TATAATTATCTTTTAGAGCTAGTAACTACTGCCTAAGGCGATATTATTTCTATTATAAAGCTAGATTCGTTAAAATTATACGTGTCTTTATTAGTAATGCTATACTTTACCTTTATATTACCTACTAGATTAAACTACGCCTAAATAATTATAGAATCTTCTTACTTTACTCTCTAATAGTTATACTTATAATTAAGCCGTGTTTTAAGCTTAGAATAGTGTATAATAAAGTAGTTTAGCTAGATTTAACTAATAGCATTCTTACTCTACTTAGTAAGTAGCTTATTAGCTATATCTTAAACAGTAGTAAGATAGAGAGTAAATTCTTACTCGTCTAGGTCTAGTATATACTTAACTATTACCTACTCTTTATTTATAGTAAGCTTTGTTTAATTAGATATCTTTTTACGTCTTTAAGTTATTCTATCGCGTTAGTTCTTTAGCGTTAATTAGTAGACTCTATATATAGCTACGACGCGTCGTTCGCTTTAAATTTAGCTAGTCTAGAGAGTAAAGAGAGTAAGCTATATTCTAGCTTTATAAGAGAATAATTCTACGTAGGTAGCTAGACTTATAGTAGTTAAGATAATTTTTAGTAGAGGCTTAGTAAAAGTAGTCGGCTTAATAATATAGTTAGCTTAATAATAAAGTATATTATCTATTTATTAACTATTACTAGAATAATTAGTTAGATCTTTTACTCTATATAGACTAGGTATAAGCTACGCTACTATATAAAACTATAGAACTATTATTATATAAAATTAAATTTAGATACTAGCTAATATACTACTAGAATTAGAAAAAGTATAACGTACTTTATAAATAAACGCTCTATATAAACAAACGCTCTATATAAACAAACGCTCTATATAAACAAACGCTCTATATAAACAAACGCTCTATATAAACAAACGCTCTAAAAATACTAAGCTAGAAAAATTAAAAGGTTTTTCTTAAATAACTAAGCGAAACCTTAATATTTTTCTATAAACTTTTAGATATATATAGAACTATATTATATACACCTTCTATTAAATTTGCACTATATATTTCTTATTACGTAAGCTAGAAGTAAGCCTTTTTCTAAAAGTAGCTATTCTTTAAGTTTAAATCTTAATAGTACTAGTAAACCTTAATAATAATCTATAAAACTTTAGAGATATATTATATACTATAGTATAAAGTTCTCTGTAAAGTTTAGTAGCGTTTAGCTTAGTAGTACTAGAGATATTTACTTAAAGAGTCTCTAATAAGAAGTTTAGAGGTTTCTTCTAGAAATAGATAGATATTACTAAGCTAGACGCTACAAAACCTTATAAAAGGCTTTATACTATACTATATAATATATATTTAAAGTTTTATAGATTATTATAATAGTTTACTAGTTCTTATAAGGTTTATACTCTAAGAATAGCTACTTTTAGAAAAGGCTTATTTTAAGCTTACGTAATAGAAAATATATATAGTACAAATTTAATAGTAGGTGTATATAGTATAGGTTAATATATATTTAAATTTTTATAGAAATATATTAAGGTTTCGCTTAGTTATTTAAGAAAGACTCGTTAATTCTTAGGCTTAGCATTTTTAGAGCGTTTATTTATATAGAGCGTTTATTTGTAAAGTATATTATAATAAAGATCTCTACTTTATATAAGTATCTTTTATAGTAGAAAGCTTAGACTTTTACTAAGAAGTAATATAATACTATAAAAAAAGCTACTAAGATTATATAAAGTAATATTATAAAGATATAAGCTAGATAGATACTCTAAGTAAATAAAAAGTACTAAGAACCTAATTTTACTATAGATAACCTTATCTATATTAAACCTTATAGCTTTTTAATATATTAGTCTAGTATAAAGCTTAACTAGTAGATATATAGCTTTTATCTAATTATTACTATAAAAGTTTACTTCTTCTAGCTTTAGCTACCTACGTATATATGTATACATAATATCTTTTATACTAATTAGCTAAGAAAAGTCTTAGAGCTACTACTAGAGTAGATAGAGCCTAAGTAGCTATCTATTAAAGTTAATAGTAATTTAGAATTACCTATATATAAGATACTAGATAGCTATCTTTATTAAGATTATCTTTAATACTAAGTTATATAAGTTACTTATAATTCTAACTCTACCTAGTATAATACTATAGGCTTTATTAACGCTTTCTATAAAGTAAAAAACTTTTATATAGTATATTCTAATAAGCTAGAGCTACTATTATAATTAGATACTTAGATTAAGATGTATAAAAAAGAGAAGACTCTATAGAAGATAGTAGAGAATTTAAAACCTATATAGATAGAAGATAATAGAGTAACGTAAAGGCGCTACTAAGTAGAGTAAGAAGTAATTTAGTAATAAGATTAATAGCTAGAATAATCTTAGAGGTATACTTTAGAGCTTAAGAATAAGCTCTTTCTATAAGAAAGAGTAATATAATAGTCTAGCTTAGTATTTACTAGAGTTATATAATCTTATCTTACGTCTTAGCACTTAGCTCTCTATATATAGAGAGCTCTTAAAGTCTTCTTCTACTTCTTATCTTTAGATAGCTAAATTTAATCTAACCTACTCTACTTATTACTCTTATTCTTATAGCTTATAAAGACTATACTATCTATAGTTAACTTATCTAGCTAGATATTCTAGAGCGTACGTATAGTAGTAGAGACTAGAAGCTAGCTTTTATAGCTCTAAACTTTTATAAACTTCTAGACTATTTATAATATATTATAAGCTAATCTAGCTAGAGTATCTAAAGTTATAGTATAATTTAGATATAAGATATATATATATCTCTATTCTTTTAGAAGCTAGTAATATATTATAAAACTATTTCTAATAAAGCGTTAGCTTTATTATAGCGCTTCGCTAATACTTTAAAGTAGAAGTAAGAAAGGCTCTTCTGTCTAAGCTTTGTAGATAACATTTCTCGTAAAACTTTTAATCTCTATCCTTAGTTTCATCTTCTCTTCACAACCTGAGGACTCTGCCACCAGAGCGTCCTGCAACCTTCTTTTACTCCTCCCACGTTAGCCCCGTACCTTGTCGTCGCCTCCGACCCTCCAGCCCTCCAATTATCGACCCCTCCCGTTCTTACTTGCAAGCCCGACCCGAAATCCTTTCTTGTTCACGAACATCCTCCTTCCTCGTGCCTCCGATGAGGCTCGAAAATTTCGTTGTCGCCCCACATACCTGAGTGGATTTGCGGGCTGCTGCGTCACGACCGTGTCGTCAGCACAAGCTTCCCAACACCATTTGCCAGCTGGCCCTCCCGGTGTACACCTACCAGCTCCGTCCACTGGACGCGACTTCCTACGATCTCCTATCCTTAGCTTCGCCTTCTACCCCTTCCCGACCTGAGGCCTGAGGCCTGAGGACTCTACCACCAGAGCCTTCTGCAACCTTTTTCTCCTCCCACGTTTGGGCCCGGCCTCTCAGATCTTGCTGCTGCTTCTTCCGTCCTCTTTACGCCTTGGCTCCGGAACTGATGGCGTGAAGGGCCACGCCACAAGGACACGAGGCAGTGCCTTTAGATCAACGGATGGCATTACAAATTGCAACGGTTCAGCTGGGCACGGACAGACGCAGATGATGGGTTGGAGTCTGCGACAGAAGGCAAGGAGCAAAAAAATATCGCGGTGATCATTTCAAGACTGGACAATTCTTCGACCTCTACTGCCGAGATCACTTTAGTTAGAATCTGACCAAGTCCTACTCGAGCTTCTATCAACTAATGTGCATATATTAGAACTGACCACCCTCGAGAGTGCGCTGGACGCTCAGGAGCAACCCTGACCCCTTCGACACCGACAGTCCTCGGTGGAATTTGCGAACGCGAAAACGACTGTCTGCTCGCCGAGCCCATTATCCTACCTTCAGACGCTCACATCCGGAAACGGCCACGCCGCACAAGGAAGGAGGTATGGAAAGCACGAGAAACGAGGGAAGCAAGAGAGGCAAGGAAGGCATTGGCATCTCACAAGAAATGCGAAAGGGGAGCTATATGTGGAAGGCGTTTACCTAGGGAAGGACAGATCCACAAGTTCGTTGTACACATGTTTTGGCTATATCTACCCTCTACCCCCTACCCCCCGATAGCCCAGCAGCGTGAACGGCTTGATGGCTTTGGTGATGGTACCGGCCTCATGATCACGTGTAATGATAGTCTGCCGGTCCTGACTCATGTAGTCCGGACAAGGCGCTGGCCGAGGTAGTGGTAACGTTTGAGGGAGAGATGGTGACGAGAAAGCGAGATAAAGAGAAGAGGTGAGTGAGAATTGAGAGGAGCGTGTGTGCTGCCAAGGAGGGACGAGATGAGGCTCCGGGGGTGGAGCGCCGCTGGCTTTTTATGTAGGTATCTCTACTCTGTGTAGTTGGCATTATAGGTCGCCCGAATCCCCCCACTTTTCTGGCAGGGCTTCCGGCAGTCACGCCAACCCCACCTTTGGCGATTTGTCGAAGAGAGAGCTGGTGCTGACTCAGCAATCCGCCACTAATCACACCTTACTTCATTGAGAAGGGACTAATTCTGGTTAGCAGAGTCTAGGCAGCAGGAAACACTCGGACTGATGCCTGGAGTGACCCCGCTCCATTCCGCCTCGGTTCCCATTTCAACGAAGCATGTATGCGTTGGCAAACGAATGACTCACAAGGCTGAGAATCAATCCAACACTCTCTTACCGTCAGCCTCAAGTTTCATCAGGTAGAGGAGGATCCAGGCCGATTGGCTGGTATGTCTTAGTTGTGGCTTGCAGGATGTATCTTTTGTATCAAGGCTAGTCCCAGCACCGGTTCCAAGCTTGGTGTTTGCATTGACCGGTTGTCCAGCCTAGCGACATCGAAAAGGTATAAAATATCTGGCTCACGGAACGCTTTTTAATAGTTCGGAGACTCAACCCTCATCATCCATCGTCGCAATATTTGTCTGCCTGGCCCCGAAAACTTCTGACATAACCAACTTGCCAACTTTCACGGCCTGCCATGTCTGACCCTGGCCAAGCTCGCCGGGACGTCAACGATGCAATCATTTCATCTGGGTCCGGCACGGTCGGAATGGTAGTCGACGCCGGCAGAGCCTCCCAGGAGAAGCGTGAGGAACTTCGGCGCGAGAGGGATAGGCGTGAGGCTGAAGAAAAGGCATCTCGAGAGGCTCAAGAGAAGGCCGCTGTTCGTAGTCTCTCAAAACTTTCCGTGGCATGAGATGCTAACCAACACAGAATGGCGGCGACGGTGGTGGCGGAAGCTCCTAAACATCGACAACCGGAGAGCCTCTATTGCCCTGGATATGGGTGGCAGCTTGAGCTCTATGTGCTGTTGTGAATAGCTGTTAACTACACACACCGGGATTAGTCATTAGCTTCTTGTTCTCAAGTTTTGGACTAGGAACGGCGGGCTCGGAAAGGTTATTGGTAGCTCTTAGTTTCTTTGTCTCCTTGGGTTGACCGAGTTTGATTTTGGAGGTACTTTCGCGACTCGCGAGGCTCTTGGATACCGCGCGCAGTTATTAATTCGCTTAACCTTGTTAACGTACTTTATCATCGAAAGCCCCACGATTTCTTGGCAAGGAAAATCAACGAAAACCAACCCGTATTTCTTAAATAACTAAGTGAAACCTTAATACTTTTCTATAAAAATTTATATATATATTCTTTATAGTATATTACACCTTAAACTAAAGTTATACTAAGATATATTACGTAATTAAAAAGCTATACGTATTTAGGTAACTTTTAAGAAAAAACCTAGTTTACTTCTAGTAAGTACTATTATATCTTTATAATAATCTATAAAACTTATAGTATATAGTATTTATAACTTAATAAAGGTTTCTAGAAAATTTTTATAGAGCTAGCTCTTCTAGATATAGTATAATAAGAGATAAAAGTTTAAAAGCTTCTTTCTAGAGTTTTCTCTTCTAACTATATATATATATTAATAATCTAGCTATATAAAGTTATATATTATAAGCTAATATATATTATAAGCCTACTATATATTTAGAAGTAATAATATTAAGATAGTTTTAGTATCTTTCTCTCTTTCTATACTATACTAGTAAAAAGGCTTTACTTTTAAATAACTACTTAAAGCTTCTATATTATTAGTTAATAAGCTCTATATAGTTAGAGCCTACTATAATTTATATAATAATAAGTTTATATACCTAGATTAACTATATATATATAGTTAGAAGAGAAAACTCTAAAGAAGATATTTATCTAACTTCTATCTCTTATTACGCTATACCTAGAAGAGCTAGCGCTATAGAAATTTTCTAGAAACCTTTATTAGGTTATAAATACTATATACTATAAGTTTTATAGATTATTATAAAGATATAATAGTACTAACTAGAAGTAAACTAGATTTTTCTTAAAAGTTACCTAAATACGTATAGCTTTTTAATTACGTAATATATCTTAGTGCAACCTTAGCATATAGTGTAATATACTATAAAGAATATATATATAAGTTTTTATAGAAAAATATTAAGGTTTCGCTTAGTTATTTAAGAAAAACAGGTTAATTTTCGTTAATTTTCTTGCTAAGAAAAAGGTAGTTAGCTCGCTTGTGTAGTCGGTTTACTTATAAAGTACGTTATTAATTATAGATAATAATATTAGAGTAGAATTTAAAGATACTAGCTTAGTTCTATTTAACCTAGATTTAGTAGTATTAAAGCTTAAAGTTTAATTATATATACTAATACTCTCTACTAATAATACTACTATCTAGAAGTATAAAATATCTATTAATTCTACTAAATTAAAGTTATAATTAACTCTAATTTAGAGAAAAATAACGTAGTATCTTAATTTATTACTAACTTATATTATTAAGTTACTTAATTAGCTTAAGAAAGGTAATAAGCTAATAGTATATTAGCTAGTACTTATAGAGTCTAAAGTTATCTAGCTTTAAGTAGCTAACGTATAGAAAAAAAAGTATAATTTACGTAAAAGAAAGTAGATTTAGAAAAAGAATACTCTTATAATTAAAGCTAGCTTATAGCTAGTTACTTAAAAAGAAACTATAAATTAGAATAAGAGTAAGAAGTAATATAAAGAGGTAGTAGTACGTAATAGCTAGCTAGCTTAGTAACGCTATAGATACTATAGTAAGCTAGAGTATAACGTATAAACGTGCTAGATAGTTAAAGATAATATAGATAAGTTAGATAGCTTATCTAGATTTATCTTAAGTAGCTTAGAGTTAGAGTAATCTAACTAAGATAGCGACTTTTTAGTAGAGGCTTAGTAAAAGTAGCTAACTCGCTTATATAGCTAGCTCGCTTATAAAGTACGTTAAGTTTAAAGTAGTTTTAGAGAATATTTAATAAGTTTCTATAGCTTCTATAGTAGCGCCCGTATTCTAGTTCGTTCATGCGTGTATATTGCGATGTGGCTGATGCGACTCGCCGGAAAAGCCCGTGCACGCGCTGCCTGCCCGCCCGGAAATTTAAAGGCCTCAGCTCTCACCTGACTCATTCCCTTCCCTCACTTCTTCTCTCCACTAATCTTTGTCCCGCGAGACATTTTCTCAAAGAGTACACGCTTAAGCGCTCGACAACTCAATTCTCCTCGGACGTCATGAACGCTCAGAAGCCCATCACATTTATTAATGATGCGGTGTGTTCACGTTGGGTTGGCCTGGTGATCCAGAAGCGCCAACAGCTTCTCGAGTGGGTGTCGACCATTCATCCCCAGAAACTCGCCTGCCAAATCGAGGGTAACTTCTTCCATGGTTCATATAACCTTGGTCAGAAGGTGACCTTCAGCGATGGCACAAAGTGGCTGATCCGCTTCCCTTTGTTTGGGCATGTTTCCCCTAGGTATATGGACGAGAAGGTTGCCATGGAAGTAGAGGCGATGAAGTTTATTAGCGAAAAGACTGCTATTCCTATTCCGGAAATCAAGCACTGGGGTCCTGCTGCCGAAAACCCGCTGGGTCTGGGTCCATTCATTATAATGGACTTTATCGAAGGCATATCTCTCGACGGCCTTCTGAGCAACCCCGACGCCAAGCAACACTTCAGACTCATCAGGGAAGACGTCAGTGATGACACCATCGAGGTCCTCTACAGGCAGTTTGCAAACATTCTGCTCCAGCTTTTCCAACTCGACTTTAACCGGATCGGTAGCCTGCCAATGTTGAAGACTGGATTCCATGTGCCGATCCGCCCGCTAACATTCAAGGTGCATGATATTCAACAGACTGGAGGGGCTAACACTTTCGGTAAGGCCTAAAGTCTTTTTTCGTTTCTTTTAACCTTTGTCTGCTGACCAGACGACATCTAGGTGATCGAAGCAAGGGGTTTCTCACGACGACTGAGTACTTCCGATACGTCGTCGAGCAGGACTGGGAACAGCTCCTTAGCCAGCCGAATTCGATAGGCGGCGAGAGCAACGCCAGAACGAAATACGAGTCGCTTAGCGCCTTGAAGACTTTGATCCCTAGTTTCGTTCATCCAGATTACGATTGCGGCCATTTCAAGATTATTTGTGACGATCTGAGCCTGGCGAACGTAATTGTGAGGAGTAAGGATGACCTTACAATTGTTGGGCTGGTAGATCTCGAATGGTCGTATATCGGGCCGGCCCAGCTGTTTGGCTCGGCGCCATGGTGGCTTCTCGGAATCCGACTTAATAACGTGGACACCTACTACGACAAAGACTACCCTAAGACGGCCGCCCGGTTCTTGAAGTACCTAGAGATCTTCAAACGTGTTCTAGGGGAGGAGGAGGAAAGAATGTTGAGGAATCGAGGGAAAGAACTTTCGAAACTCGTGGAGTGGTCTGAAGCTTCGGGCGCCATGTGGCTCCATATGCTCCTCTCATGCGGCTTCAACCACCCTGAGAATCTCCCCTTCGTGCAACTACAACGGCATATTGGAACTAAGAAGTGGCAGACGCTTAAGAGGCAATTCTGTGGATCGGAAATGAACGCATTCGTGGAGGAGAAGGTATCTCAGTTGGCGCAGTACGACAGGGACGAGGATAAGGTGTTGGAGCTTAAAGAGGACTTTGACGATGGCAAAATGACAAGGGAGCAGTTCATTGTCGCACTTGCTGCACTTTGATGGATTCTGGCTGTTTACACATTCAGTTTGCTTTAACGTACTTTACAATCGAAAGCCCCACACCATCGAACCCCCCACGATTTCTTGGCAAGGAAAATTAACAAGAATCTACGAGGTTTTCTTAAATAACTAAGCGAAACCTTAATATTTTTCTATAAAAATTTATATATATATTCTTTATAGTATATTACACTATATGTAAAGTTGCACTAAGATATATTACGTAATTAAAAAGCTATACGTATTTAACTAAATTTTAAGAAAAATCTAGTTTACTTCTAGTTAGTAGTATTATATCTCTATAATAATCTATAAAACTTATAGTATATAGTATTTATAACTTAATATAGGTTTCTAGAAAACTTCTATAGCGCTAGCTCTTCTAGGTATAGCGTAATAAGAAATAGAAGTTTAAAAAAATCTTTCTAGAGTTTTCTTCTCTAACTATATATAGATATTAATAATCTAGCTATATAAAACTATATATTATAAGCTTATATATATTATAAGCTTTCTAGATATTTAGAACTAATAATTTTAAGATAGTTCTAGTATAGTTCTATCTTTTTCTACTATACTATAAAAAGGCTTTACTTTTAAATAACTACTTAAAGCTAGTATATTATTAGTTAATAAGCTCTATATAGTTACAACTACCTATAATATATAAAATAATAAGTTTATAGAGCTAGATTAACTATATATATATATATAGTTAGAAGAAGAAATCTCTAAGAAGAAATTTTTCTAACTTCTATCTCTTATTACACTATACCTAGAAGAGCTAGCGCTATAGAAGTTTTTTAGAAACCTTTATTAAGTTATAAATACTATATACTATAAGTTTTATATATTATTATAGAGATATAAGAGTACTTACTAGAAGTAAACTAGATTTTTTCTTAAAAGTTACCTAAATACGTATAGCTTTTTAATTACGTAATATATCTTAGTGCAACTTTAGCATATAGTGTAATATACTATAAAGAATATATATATAAATTTTTATAGAAAAATATTAAGGTTTCGCTTAGTTATTTAAGAAAAACGAGTTGATTTTCGTTAATTTTCGTTGCTAAGAGAAGGTAACCAGCTTGCTTGTATAACCAGCTCGCTTATAAAGTACGTTAATAGAAATTATAGAAACCTAGAAATAATTAAAGACTCTTAAGAGTTATAGGTATAGACTAATTCTAAATAGTAGTAACCTTCTTAAAGTTCTTCTAGATTCTATTAGTACTTATAATTAATTCTAGAAACTTAGTACTCTTAATAGTAAATTCTAACTTCTTAATATCTACTTATAATCTAGTCTTATATAGTTAATTAAGTATCTAGATAATATAAGCCTTATACTTAAAAGAATTCTCTAAATAAATAAGAATATTATTAATATATACTATATAGAAATTATCTAGTAACCTATATAATATCTTATTAATATATTATTAAAAGGTAGTAGAGCTATTATAAAGGCTAAAGAGTAGAATATAATACTTATAGTTACTATATTACGTATAGAAAGAAGTTAGATTCTCTACTAACTTATTAAGCTAGATTCTATAGAAAGTCTACTAAATATTTAACTTTATAAAGACCTTTATATATAATAAGTAGATAAGCGTTTTCTAGATAAGAGAAATAGAATAAGCGTCTTTTTTTTATAATAGTATTAAGCTTTTAGTAGTTAACGTAGAATCTTTATTCTCTCTCTAGCTTTTTAGTAAATAGAACTAGTAACATATATAACGCGTTACTATAGATAATAAAGCTATAGTAAAGGTAATTCTCTAGATAGTTATATATAAGCTATAGATACTCTAGTAATATACTATAGAGAGAGCTATTAGTTAGTATATTTTCTACTATAAGCTTAATATTATAATCTACGCCTTCTTAATATAGTAGTAGTAAATTAGAATCTCTTTTAGAAAAATAAGCTATAGTTATACTAGCGTATTCTAGAGATAGAAGCTTTTAAGTAATTAACTAGTAGAGCTTCTTCTTAGAATTAGTAGTAGAGGTTTTCTTTCTATTAGTAATAAGCTACTTAACTTTATAGATACTAAGGTATCTAATTATAACGTTTTTTCTATACGTATTAATTATAAAGATAGTAGTACTAACTATATTAACGTTAAGCCTAGCTTTTAGGCATGTTTCTTATAAAATAGGTAGCTTTTTTAGCTTATAGAGTAACCTAGCAGGTAAGTTAAGATTCTTAAGCTACCTATCTATCTTATATAGGTTTTCTTAAAGCTACTAGTACTATAATTCTCTCTTCTCTTATTATATTACTCTTAGCTTTTCTACTACTAATATTAAGGTATTATAGTAATTAGTATTAGCTTAGTAAGCTACGTAGGCTTTAGTAGAGAATTAAGATAATTATATAAAGATAAACGCGTCGCGTTTATAATTAATTAATTAATTAGTATCTAGCTATATTAGTACGCGCTACTTATAGTTAATCTAAACGTTAGCTTTTTTAAGTAGCTTATACCTAATTATTATATTATAGTAGCTAGTATTATAGTATATAAAGTAAGTACGTATTTAGTAGCTTTCTAGTACTAAATTAGCTTTAAAGTATTTATCTATCTAGCTATTAGGTTATTTATTATAACTAGCTAGAGAGATAGGTTCTATATGTAATAGCTTAACGTAGAGGTTTTTTCTAAGAGTCTAAAGGTACTTTAGGTATACTAGAATATAACTACCTACTCTAGTATTAATTAAGTCTCTAAGCTTAATTATAAGACTATTTATAGATATTTAGTAGAGTAGAGTAAATATAGAACTACTAAATAGCTTTTTATATAGGTTTATTATTCTAGTAGATAGCTCTAGAAAGAAGACTTCTTCTAGAGCTAGACTTTTTCTAAATTATTAGAATTATATTCTAACGTGTTATTCTTAGGTACTTATAGCTCTATAGACTCTATAGACTTTACTAGCTTCTCTAGGTTAACGTTCTTAATAGTTTTCTACGTAGTAGAAGCACTTAGATAATTATAGCTTATATAGCTAGGTTACTAGTATTAGAAGTAGATAATTAGCTTCTTAATTACTAGAGCTTTATTAGGTATAGGTAGAATGTCTAGAAGAGTAGAGAGCGCGTAACGTAGCGTTAACGTAAGCGTATTACACTTTTTAACCTTTCTAGATACGTAAGCTTCTTCTAGAGCTAGCTCTCTAGCTAGATCTTAGATAAGGTCTATATATTAATTATAATTATCTATATACTAATATTAATATCTATCTATCTATATATATAGACTTATAGAAAGCTTTTTATAGAATTTCTCTATCTATTAGTCTATAGAGAGCTAATGCTTCTATATAAAGTAGAAGAAATTAATCTAGAAGTACGTAAAGTTAGTAGTATTTTAATAATATAGCTTCTAGAAATTATAGTAGATATTTAACCTCTTATATAGGTTTCTATAGCTCTTCTCTAGCTAATTAATAACGTATTTTTAGAAAATTAGCTTACTACTATTTCTTAGAGTATATAGAATTATAGAAAGAGTTTAGTATATATTGCTTTTAGTCTACGTATATATATAGGTAATAATAGTTTTTTTAGTTTTTTCTACTATCTCTTCTATATACTAGTTATAATTAGCTTTATTATAGTACTAACCTACTCGCTTAGTTATATAACCTTAACTATCTTAGCGTCTTAGTATAGTAGATATCTACTCTACGTCTTTATATCTTTATAGCTTAATATTATATAACTTATTATATACCTTAAATTCTTATTTCTTATCTACGCTATAATAAGCTTAAAGCTTATTTTATAATCTATCTCTCTATTACTTAAAGGTAACTACCTTACTATCTAATAGTAAGAGTAGGTCTAAAAACTTAGTAGAAAGCTACGTCTAGCTCTCTAAGCGTTATTTAGTTACTAGTAGTATAGTAGATGTATACGTAGTTAGATAAGAATCTAGAATTAAGTTATCTAGTAGTAACGTACTAGTTTTACGCGTATATAGTATCTAATTTATAAAGTATATTATATATTAAGTTAATAAAGTAGATAGTATTTAGCTTCTAGAGTAGAATTATAGTTATACTTATAGCTATTAAATTCTTATTAAAGTAGTATCTCTTTTTTCTACTATAAATTCTAATACTCTACGTATATAGTATCTTCTTTAGTAAGTATATTAGTAGTAATCTAGTAATATATATAAGTCTATTATTAAAGTATCTAGCGTATAAATAATTAGCTAACTAATTTATTAATAATTTTACCTAGCTTTTCTAAGAAAAGCTCTTAGAGCTTTTTTATAGAGGTAGAGAGTATATAAAAGCTATCTATAGCTAATAATCTAGGTATTACTAAGCTCTTACGTAGCTATACTAGCTTCTACTTAAAGTTATTATTCTAATTCTTATTAGTTATTATATTATATTATTAAATAGAGAATTTATAATAATAATATTAATTAGAATAACTCTCTAGTAGGTTCTCTACCTAGAATTTAAAAATTATTAGAGTAAAGAAGTACTAGAAGACTAGAGTCTTACCTCTAGAGTTACTTTATAAGAGTTTACCTATAGTATTTAAGTAGTTTAACTTAGGTATAGCTTTTTATTTAAGAAGTAAAAGTATATACTACTAGCGTAGTAGCTAATTATTAGCTCTACTAGTAGAGTAGAGAATTATTAGTTTTTAGAATAAGAGAGAGAGTTTTTATACGTAGAAGTTCTATAGAAGTTTTTTTATACGTAGAGCTCTTATAGCTCTCTTTAGCTTACTACTAGAGGTGTCTTTTCTACTACTAACTAGATCTGCTAGTAGTCTTATATAGCGCTAGAGAGATAAGTAATTAGAGCTTTTATAGCTTTAATTCTTAGAGTAAGTAATTAGGCTCTTATAGCTCTAATTCTTAGTATAGCTATTAGTAAACGCTTCTTATAAGACTACTTAGTTTAGTCTAATATTATACTACTATTTCTAGCTAAAGAGGTAAAGACCTTTAGATAATATAAGAGCTAGCTCTATAGTCTTTACTACTATAAGCATTCTAGAATACCTAGCTAGGTAAGTTAGCTATAGGTAGTACTATCTCTATAAGCTATAAGAATAAGAGATGCTAGTAGAGTAGGTTAGGTTAAATTTAGCTATCTAAAGGTAAGAAGTAGAAGAATACTTTAAGAGCTCTCTATATATAGAAAGCTAAGCGCTAAGATACTAGGCAAGGTTATATAACTTAAGTAAATACTAAGCTAGACTATTATATTAAAAACTCTTTAGTTATAATTATCTCTTAGAGCTAGTAACTACTATCTAAGATAATATTATTTCTATTATAAAGCTAGATTTATTAAAATTATATATATCTTTATTAGTAATACTATACTTTGTCTTTATATTATCTACTAGATTAAACTATGTCTAAATAATTATAGAATCTTTTTACTTTACTTTTTAATAGTTATACTTATAATTAAGCTATATTTTAAGCTTAGAATAGTATATAATAAAGTAGTTTAGCTAGTTCTTATCTATAACCTTTTCTTTCTATTTAGTAAGTAGCTTATTAGCTATATCTTAAATAGTAGTAAGCTAGAGAGTAAATTCTTACGTGTCTAGGTCTAGTATATACTTAACTATTACCTACTTTTTATTTATAGTAAGCTTTATTTAATTAGATATCTTTTTATATTATAGAGTAACTCTAGTATATTAACTATAGACTTTCTTCTATAGTATATTATAGAGAGCTATAGTATATTATAAGCTTAGCTTAGAGTTCTATTAAATAGTCTAAAGCGTAAGCTATATCTAGAATTTATCTAAAGTTAATTAGGCGTTTATAGAGAGCTTTATAATAGAGATAGTAGTATTTAGTAGAGGCTTAGTATTTTTAGAGAGTTTAATAGTATAGAGCTTTTAATAGTAAAGTATATTAAGTAATATAAATAAGCTTTTATTAGTATAAAGTTTTTAAAAGTCTACTAGTACTCTAATTAGCCTAAGAGTTACTAGAAGTTTTTAGCGTTGCGCTAGCATGAATATTTAATCCCGCGCCAACCTAACCTCTTTTAGAGCCATACGGAATTCCGTTCCACCCGATAAGAATTCCTTCGGTTTCTATGTCTTACAATATGGCAGGGACCAGCGCGTCTCAAGTAGTCCGTCCCCGACTATCCTAAACTTTTAACGCAGGGGCTACCAGCAACAATTAGGGACCGCATCCTTCAACATGTCCCACAGAGCGGCCTGCACAAACTGATTGGTAGGTTGATTCCGCTCCCGATCTTGGGGTGCAGGTAAGAGGCGTAATTGTGTTTGAGATAGGGGCGTAGTTATGTTTGAGATTTGTCGCGGTGCGAATATCTATCGTACGAAAAATCCTAACCTCTTCTCTGTATCTACCATAAAGCCCTGCCCTAAGGGTATCTAATTGCGAGTGGTTTCTTTGTGTGCATCTCTTCTTTTGTGCTCTCTTTGAGGTCTGCGACCATGGCTAAACTTCTACTCTGCTTTTTTGCTGTCATTTCATTACTACAGTGCGCAGGCGCACTTCCACCATACGACTACGAAGGCTTCGCTCTGAAGGGAACCAGGGAGAATGCTAGCTTCTTTGAACTTCCAGAGCACCCGCTCAAATTTCAGTCGTTTTATCCGCAGCTGGCGGAAGTCCTACACGAGGCATCGACGGGACCATGCCTTGTGAGTTTGCAAGCGTACGAGGGCAATCTGACTGCGCGCAGAGAGGTAAGTTGTGCCGATAGAGTGTGGTATAGCAAAACACCGCTGACTCGACGCCTGTCCATAGCTGACGAAATATGGTGGTGTGGGCAATTACTGCTATCTCCAAAACGACTGCATCCTCTCATCGATCTACCCATCGACTCAGGCCAACATGGCAGCGGCTTCTGTGTTACTCGGTCTCACGCCCACCATCCTGGCCAACTTTGGTCCTGCAATTCCAGAAATAGCGTTGCTCTCCTCCCGAAGGCCTTTACTGTCGCTGCTACTATCCATGGGCGCTCCAGCCACCTATCCATCGCGCTTCCTTCTATTCGACAACCCCGTCCATCTCCTGCGCCGCCCGGAACGACCTAGTATCCTGAAAATTTCGCGCATGCCTTTGCGGTTCGCCATTGCAATATCCTTCTTCCAATACGTCCTCGCCATTGTAGCAATCACGAACTTGATCACCACGTCACTCGATCTGGGACAGAAAACAGTTGTCAGCTGGAGGTGTTCTGTTTCATGGTTGCCTCTCATGTGGGCCATGACGCCTATCGTTTGCCATGCCCCCGCAGTCCTGAGTTTTGAAGTCTATCGGAGAAAAGTCAAATCACGCCGGTGCTCGGATAAGGTGGAGATGGAACAAGACACAAATATGCTGCACAGTGCAAAGGACTCAACCGAAGACCCCCTTCCATTCCACCAGACATCCGATAATACCAATGCACGATCTAGGCAACCAAGGAGCCAGCCGTATCTCCTACGTCGCGCAGTAAGGAGCGAGTTCACCATCTCCGCGAACGCAGACACTATACCCATAGCGAAAGAGTCAGCAGCAGTACATCCAGGAGCCTGGAGCATTATCTTTCAAGATATAGCGTCACTTTTCGGAATCCTGCAGGTTATTTTTGGGACCGCGGTGTTTTCGTCACTATCGTATATTGGGGTTGAGGACGCGACTGTATTGTTGTTAAGGTACGCGACGTCGGCATTTTGTTGTAGGTTGATTATGTATCTAGAACTTGAGGGGATGATTCTGGTTGCACGGGACAAAGAGGGAAAGACCAGTAGCAACGAGAATTAAAGGATCCAAGGTTCTCGTGCTCTGTCAGAAGCACGAGAAGATAAAACCAGGCAAAGGGACACATGAAATAGACAGAATTCAGTCTTGATTCCTTTCCGAAGGCCGCTCACTGCTATACAACTCTTCCCCTTTCGCACCCTGCAGGATCGAGTGACCCCCGGGCGGAGCCCAGAGGTGGCTAGGACCACGGCTGGCCTACGTCCCTAGCTACGGCTGGCACGTGACCATCAATAGCATATATTCTACTCGGATTCACGAGAGCTTCTACCTCTCAAGGATTCGTCTGTTCAACAATCGAACTCATGCTTCTGCTGCTCTCATATTTTGCCTTCCCGCCTACGTGACCTTACACCTCTAGTTTCGCGTATGTGCGATCAGTATGCCAACTATTCTATAGAGGCACAGTGAAAGCATCGCTCCCACCCTACTGTGAAAGAACGCTACTAAACCGTTGGCCTAAAGTGCTAACACCGCTAAGTGGGGAACCATTCCTTCCACTTGCTTCATATTCAGCGAGCTTTTCTGGGTTCGTCGTGTCGCGGTCTGTACCTGTGGCCGGTGCTGCGCCGAACCCACAACACCAAGCCAAAACAAGTCGCCGCTCCAACACCTTGGCTGAACCTGATTTAGCGTCAATGGGTCCTCTTCCGATTCCACTATGGAGCTTTTTACATCCCTGGATGCGGCCTAGATCTGCGAATCGCGGTGGAAACCGTGCTGGAGCGCGGTACACTAATTCCGCAAGTCATCAACGTCACGTCCTAATACCTAGGCACCCTCAGAGTATTGGCCGTCACGCTCCCTACAACAACTCAGGTGCATGCCTTTCAGAATCAGGCAGACTGCTCAATCCTCTCAATCTCCATGTACCGCTCGGCACCTGTATGGTTTGACCCACATAGTAAGTCAAAGTCCTCCTGTGTGTTCTTCTCTGTTATCCGCAGTGGCCATGGGTCGACAATGGTATGCTTTTTCTTTGCCACCATACCGAACGCCTTGGCGACTCGGTCCATCCTAACATCCTTCAAGGAGGTTTTAAATGCCTTGTCGAAGTCTCCAAACATCGTATAGCACGATGAAACGCGAATCCATTCTGGATTGGACACCATGGCCTGTTCACCTCCCATCAAGGCCATCATCGTCATTGGGGTCATCGGGATGAACTTCTGCATCAGCTCCATCGACTCTTTGGCACGTTTCTCTTCACCATTGGCGTCGAGATAGTACGTTTCGCTAACGGCATTGAGGAAGAGCATCAACAACGTGGCTTTCGGGTTCTCTTCTTTAGACTTTAAGAGCTGCCCAATTGACTGCAAAGTATGCTCTGGACCAACATAACCGCGATCGCAGATGTTGGAAAGCTATATTATTGTCAGTACAGAGCGCTTAGTAGTCCTGAGAATGGAACTAGCGTATGGAGGGCTTGTAGCAACTGCGACTCGTCCAGTGAGACGGGCCGACGAGGACAGGTAGCATACCTCAATACGATCGAATCGAAGCTTTTCTTCTCTTGGCTGGTCCAAGTAGTCGCACAAGTTTCGAGCATCGACACTGAAAATTTGAAAGTCGATTTGAATGCTCCGTATCTTGCGGCAGAACTGCAGCAATAACCGCTGCACATAGAAGAATAGGCCTCCGTTCACGTCATTCTTGGCTGCCGGAGCATGTCTCATGTACTCCGAATAGGCCCACCCGCCGTGCGGATCTGCATCGTCTTTCATCGGCCAAACTTTATCGTCTTGGAAGAAGGTCCTACTGAACATAAACAAACGCATGACAAGCATCCGGATCAGTACATACGGGTTCGGCGTATCAAATCCCCTCCGGGAACACCCGTAAGGCAACAGAATGCCATCTTCTCGAAATTTGAGCATCGCCATTCGCATATTTGGGCGCTGGTTGTTCAACGCACGATGCAAATAGTCGACTCTCTCAGGCGCCAACATGACTGCTTTTCGAACTCGTTGTGCGTCTTCTGCTGTGAATGCTCTAGGCACCCTGAAGAAATCCCTCATCTTGTACCATTGCTCCCATTCCAACATAGACGCAACGACTTGTTTCCGAACATGAACGTCTTTTTTTGAAACGATGACGGGTCTCTATCTCTTATCTTTTCACATACTTCGTTCATACGTGGCAGAACAAATTCTTCGAGGATAGCGAGCATGCTCTCTGGAATCAACGCAGAGTACCATAGGTGGATCAATATCGGAACGGCATCCTCTGGTTTAAGGACTAATGTTACCAGGAGGAGGGTCACGTTGCGTGCTACAATGGTGAAGTTAACATCGTTAACAACAACAGTGCAGCGACCATCATAACCCTCCGGTAGTCCCACGACGGACCGGACAACATTTCTGAGGTCCCCTGAAGCAGCGAAAAGCAGAGAAATATCCCGGTGAATATCATCGAGGCCCTCATTGTTTTCCATGCTGAGGACGTCCAGGGCCGGCATGTTTCCCCAGAGGTACTGGTTCACGCCGAAGTCATTCGAGAGATCACGGTCGGAGATGAAAGAAGGCAGGCGGCCTTCTCGAACCCAGCCGGGCGTATATTCATTACCCATCAACTCAGATCTGCAGGCTTTCTTGTGGTCGCGCCAATGGGCTTTCTGACATGCTTTAGAGCAGTACTAGACACTAGTCAGCGCAGTCGAACTCGAATGACATGGTGGGCGAGGCCAAGATAGATAGATTGAATCAGAAATGGATTGTATCTGGAGACGTGCCTGAACCAATTTGCAGGAGCCACAGGCTTGAGTAGCGACTCTTTGACACGGTGAAATCTCTCCGTTCACAACCTGCTCCGTGTTTGCACACAGAGGGGGATTCAGACATGAAAGATGGCTCCATCTTATCTTCAAAGTGCTGTAAAGGCTGCAATTCAGCACATGAGGTCGGGGGAAGGATCTTCCATCTGCATTGATAGAGCCAAAGACAAAGCAAGAAGTTGATCAGGCCATCTTTGCTATTAAATGCTCTACCAAGGCGGGGCACGTTACGAGACGCACGTTATCCGCCGGCCACCGGCAAACCCCCCATACTACCCCGCTATGCCACGTCACTCTGCTTGACCGGTCAACATGAACTCGACCTCATATGCCTGGCCACACTTACTATTGTTATCCTTGATCAGGAGTCTCATCTTCAATCAAACCGTTCACTTTCGTCCCCAACATATCCCGAAGTTTGTTCGAATCCCCACTTGCGCAGGAAACTCTCTGCTGACATTCTTCTGCATCTTATACCCGACCTACCCAACGAAGCCGTGCTTGCCTGAGTGATGTCCTCCGCTCGAGGCCAACGCATCGAAGCAAACTGCAAGATCATCTGGGGCGCGGACTGCGAATACGACCTCGATAACGAAACCGATGACTATGTCCACTACATGGCCCACGTGAAAAAGGACTTTGGGGTTTCGTTTGGGCCACCACTGGCGATGACCGGCCTCTGTGGTTCGAGCGAAGCTGCTTTGGCGGAATTGGACAGAATGCTAGAATTATGGGCGAAGCAGGTGAAGCGCGGAACGCCAATGACAAAGGATGAAAGGTTGGAAATTTTTGGTGGGCCGAAGGGGAAGCATAAGAAGATTTTGAGCAAGTTTATAGATGAGTTTGAGAAGAGAGAGCGTGCGAAGCGAGCTTAGGATCGGGTTTGTCGCAGTTTTGGAGAAAGTCTACCGCGCAGGCCGCCCCCAAGCCACCATCGGCGGAGCTGTTCTTCCGTGCCCGCCACTCAAAATCTGTCGTTTCTGTATCGTAAATGTACACTTGTCCGGATTGTAGTGCATGGTTTACGGAACTCTGGCTCAGGTCCCGATACATATTTTGGCTCTTGGCAAAGTTAAGCTCGCGTCTTCCGGCTCAAGCCTTGCGTCTCAGACGCATTATCACACCAATATCGTATTCTGCCCTCATCCTTTGTTTGTCGCCGACTGTATCGGCATTACCATACTTCCTTGACATGCTCGAAGTATAGCGCAGCCGAAGTGTGAAAACGCACGGACCATCGGGGAGCCTCGTAACAGTTCAGCCTCAGCCTCCAGCATGCCAACCTGCCGCAAGATGTGCGGGAATCGACCTGGACTCTGCCCGAATGCATTGCCCTCACTCCGCGGTGGTCTCTCTGATCATCCGCTGGGATGAGCGTCTCGGGGCATTCCCGACAGCCAGTTGACGTGGTGGAGGAAGGAATCTCTGTACTGTGGGGCCCAGAAAATGCCACTAGTGAGTATGTTACCCTCGGTCTGTGAAACGGGATGCCATACTTAACCAATCTTCCTAGCATTGTCCTTATACACGGTCTCCAAGGCCATCCGAAGAATACATGGCTCTACAAGAAGTCTTCGGTATTCCGCTCCAGGAAAGCAGAAGCCGCGAGTTCCTGCTACTGGCCCGAAGACCTCCTCCCGCACGATTTCGCTACATGTCGCATCCTCACATACGGTTACGACTCCAGAATCATCCGCAACTTCTTCTCGGGCGCTGCGAACCGCACAAACATACTTGGTCATGCAAAGCTGTTCCTGGATGAGATGGAAGAACAACGTCGAGAGTGCCGAAACAGGCCCCTCGTATTTGTCGCTCATAGCCTCGGGGGCTTGCTTGTTAAAGCCGTGCTACGGCAAGCGTCAGAAACTAGCCCAGACCCAGCAAACGGCCGGTTCTTCCATCAAATACTCGCTGCCACTGTGGGTACCGTGTTCCTGGGCACCCCGCACCGTGGGAGTGACTACGCAGACTTCGCGAAAATGATTGCTAATGCGGCTCGAGCCGCACAACTAGACAGAAGCACCAGTCTACTCGCGGACTTGAAGCCAGATGCTTCAATGCTGGAGGTTCTAAATGAAAGCTTCTTACAACTAGTAGAGGAACACCAGTTCCAGCTGGTCACATTTGAAGAAGGCAGAGGACTCGGTATGCCCTTAATCGCAAGAGGGCCCGTCGTTCGGTCTTGGTCGGCGCATCTCGGGTTAGTCGAGAGCGTCGAGCAGAAGTACACGATCAATGCCGACCATCGGAATATGTGTCGATTCCACGGACGTGATTCGCCGGGGTACGGCCAGATCAGAAGGGCTATTGAGGGCTGCATTCAAAGGGGTGTAGGTAAAGCTCGCAGTGCCAACACGGATTTATACCGAATGCTGACTTGCTTAAGCGCGTATTGCACAGTTACTGAATGACTTGAGGACCCCGGAAATGGGAGCCCGTCTTCGCGATATAGAACCCCCTCATCAGAACACGTACTGATGGATTTTCGCGAACCGAAAGCTGGGCTTTATGGACTGGCTCGCGTCGAAAGAACCACTCTTTTGGATCAGGGGGAAGCCTGCGTCAGGAAAATCCACTTTGATGAAGATGGTCCTCGACGACGCGAGAACTAGTTCGGCCTTCGAGAGGAACGCAAGAGGAAAAACTGTAGTGGCTGCGTTCTTCTTCCATGACCGTGGCTCTGACCTACAGAAAAGCTTGGAAGGACTCTTGAGAGATGTCCTCTGGAAGATTTCCAAGGAAGTCCCCTCCCTCGGTCATCTTTTTCTAAATTCCTACGAGCAAAAGGATAGCCTAGTACGCGATTCAGGGAGCACTCCATGGACTCGGAGCACCACTCTCCCAATATTCCGCGCCATGATGGCACAAGACATCATCGAAGTCTCTGTTCTACTGTTTATAGATGCCTTGGACGAGTACTCCGGCCACCACAAGGATATCGCAATGTTTTTGGAATCATGCAAGGGGGCAAAGAAGACAAAGTTGAAGATATGCTTCTCCAGCCGACCTGAGCAGGAATTCCTTGACCGGTTCGCTGACACTCCCGGCTTTTATATCCACGAACAGACCGAAGACGACATTCGCAAAGTCATTGAGACTGAGTTCGATAACAACACTCGAATGAAGGGCTTTCTCGTAGGCGCTGACCACCAGGAGACGACGGCAGTCGTGGAGCTACAAAATCGAATCCTGGAATTATCTAACGGAGTTTTCCTCTGGACTAGGCTGATTCTGGACGAGCTTCTTGACGAGTATACAGGCGGCGCGACGCTTGAAGAACTCCGAGTACTTCTGGAGAAAGTCCCTGGAGATTTAGAGGATTACTATGACTACATGGTTGCGAACCGCATCAGCAAAGATGAACGACACGTGGTGGAACGGCGGCGCATATTCCAAATTCTACAATGCGGGGATGTCACTTCACTGCGCGAGTTATTCTTGGCCGTCGAATTGGCTACTGTGCGCGATCTCAGCACGTACAAGGCCACTTTACCGAGCGATCTTGACCACGCCAGACGTCGTCTGAAACGGAGATGCGGTCCCTTGGTGGAAGACAATCATCGCTTTCCGGCACCGAAGGGGTCAGTGATGGTAGAAGATCCATTACGTGACAAACATGAGTTGGACATCGGAGACTGCGACCCGTCTCTTATACGCAACAGACCTCAATTCCTTCACCAGACGGTGAAGACATGGTCCTCCAAGTCTCCTGGGATTTCTGTAGAAGGAAACGGGTACGAGTATCTCTTGAAAGCCGCTGTGCATACTGCACGATGTAACCGGGGTCTGTGGCCTGGCCATATCAATGTGCTAACCGCTCGCATACTGGGTGCCAACGCGGCCGGATCCGATACTCTCTGGATACCGTCCTGCATAAACGTCATAAAGATCGCCAGTCTTGACTGGGGCGGGGACTATGATGTATCCGTCCTTGCGGCCCTAGCAGGAGTTCCTTCGCTCTTGAAGAAAGCGCTCAAGACAACTGAAGCGCATACACCGGTGACCTTTAAACAATACTGCAGGTGGATTGCGGACTACAACTTCCGTAAGGTTGATGTTCATTGGGATGCGGAGATCCCCTCCACCATCATGGACCATGAATTGATATCCGAGTCCCTTCCTTACTGGACCGCAGCGACTTTCGATGATATCGGAATCTTGGATTCGTCTCTACGAGGAAACGACGCGGTATATCATTCAAGACGTAGGGTCGCAATACCAGCCGCCGCGGGAGGATGGATCCTAATGGAGGAGGTCATAGCGAGCCTCGTCGCAATGGCGCTTAGGAAGACCTCCCTGAAAGTTGAACATGGAGGCTACCCCCTACTCTTTCTGAATCTCATCAAGGATTTCGAAGTAGTGGCCAGCTTCAACGAGAATGATGGACAGCTATCAATCAGCCAGGCTAGAAGCTTGTTGGATGCCCGTACCCACCTTGGGAAGTGGAATGTAGGGGGAACAATTATGGGATCCCGCACACATGCGCACTTCCCCTCGCTACTTGCACTACCCGCACCTAGCAACCCTTACGTATCTGGAGGCCCGAGCTCCCAAAAGGGCTTGAAAAGGACAGAAGGTTTCTATAACTTTCCCAAGCAGGCGACGAAGGAAGGGTGAATCGAATCAAGCGGGCCGCGCAAGCATGGTGTGTGTGAAGGTACAAGACTTGTCGAGTTTTCGGAACACCTTTCCTCTCCAGCAGACTACGTCCTGTCTGCAAGTGAATGCGAAATACTGAAGTAACTTTTTTTTTTGCTCTCATGGGCCTCTGATTGGGTAATAGAATCCAGCGTGAGACAAGGTATTTCTGTCCTTTTCACGCCGGGAAAACCCACCCAGCCGAGAGCCAGTCTCGGAGCAAAGGCATGCAGTATGCTGCTTATTTTTGCTGCATGCCATTCGCCTGATCATACGAGCCAAAAAAAAACTTTCAAAAAAATTCTTCTGCACTAATTAATGCCTGCCAGCACGGCAGTGTTGAGAGGCTAAAAAGAGAAAACTGGGCTGTCGTAAACTCACCCGGGCATGCACGGCATATGAAGTCCATATGACCTGTAGACCTCTTCCTCTCTATGAGAGATAGATGATACGACAGGTGCACCGAATGCAGAGGAAATTATGATGTGGAGCTGGACAGCAACACCGCATCAAGGCAGCCCTGGAGATGATTGACGGACTTCGAGCGGGCGCTTGTACCACTTCGGTTAGGCTACCCGCTAATCCCTTTCTGGACAAGACACTTCACCTCGCTTACGCCCAGATCTGCAACCTCTCCCAACAGCATCCGGCTCCCCATCGCACAAAGCTCACCACGTGTCTCCCAAAACACAGCTTCGAAACAGGCGGCTTACTTGCCTATATCCGTCCGCCCTGTCAAACATTCGCATCAACGCCGCTTTCTTGGACAAATGCACGCTTCGGTAAGTGGCGGAGATTCCGCCAGGGGCGGGCTGCAGTAAGCTTAAGCGCACACCGGACTCCGGCTAGCCGTCTGCCTTATAGGTCCGTTGCCCGCGTTGGGAAAGCCATGTTTCCACTGCGGGAAGTTCTAGGGCCTGGCTCCCGGCCAAGCAACACAGGATAGGTGGAGATCTGTGGCCCGTTTCGAAAGCGGACTGGTGATCCGCCGGAGGGCCCAGGTTGTTGGGAGAGGGGTGCAGGTCCGCCGTGGCGCTGGATGGGAAGGTGCCTGGATTAGCTGCATGTTTCTGCGTTGCTGCGTGCCTGACTAAATGCTTGAAACCGGGCGTGGGCTGCGTGTACCTGCATGCATGAAGACGCGGTATAAGATGGCTATCTCCCCGTTTTTCCAGATTGCTTTTTGTCTCCGCCAGTCTTCTCTGTTGACTTACATCCAGCCCAGTCCTTCTTTTTTTGACTTTTCGTCAAGTCCATTCCTTCTTTTTATACGTTCCTTTTCAAGATGCTCAAGTCAGCACTCCTTCTGTCCCTGGCTGGACTTTCTACGTTCACCACCGCCGCTCCTTTCAAGCGTGGTGCTTCCGGAAAGCGTGGAGTAGCCTGTACGCGGCCTAGCTCTGCCTGCCCCATTGGCTATGTGCTAACTTAGACTAAGTCAACGATGCCTCGGTGACGAAGCTCTTTCCCACCAACGGCCAATTCTCCTGGTGCTACAACTGGGAGGCCACCCCCAAGGGAGGCGTTGCCGATGGCCTGGAATACGTGCCCATGCTGCACTCTACCGAGGATGTCTTCACTTCCGGCTGGGATGCCTTCGTCGATGAGGCCGTCGGGAACGGTGCGAAGCACCTTCTGAGTTTCAACGAGCCGGATCAGTGCGGGTATGTATCGTCGTCGTTGCTCACGCTCACGCCATCCTAACTGCGACCCAGCGGTGGAGGGACCTGCATGAACGACGTCGGCACTGCTGTAGCGGCGCACAAGCAATGGGTGCAGCCCATGGCTGAGAAGCACCCCAACGTCAAGATCGGCGCTCCTGCCGTCACCAATGGCGGTGCTCCTATGGGCCTTGCCTACCTCAAGTCCTTCCTCCAGCAATGCGATGGCTGCAAGATCGACTTTGCGGTTGCGCATTGGTATTCGCCCGGCGACGTCCAGGGCTTCAAGGACTACCTTAACAAGTTCCATGACGAGGTTAACATGCCGGTCTGGGTGACTGAGTAAGCCGAGCCCCTCCCGCCGGATAGAGTTGCTCTTTGAAGGACTTAGCTGACTTCCATCGAAGGTTCGCACCCACCAGCGGTGATATCGAGGGCTTCGTGAAGGAGGTCACGGCCTGGATGGACGGCCAGGATTGGATTGAGCGCTATGCCTATCACATGGCTGCGCCTGGTGTGCTGGTTGACGGTGGCAGCACAGGATTGTCGGCGCTTGGTAACGTGTATGCTTCCGCATAAGCGGCGTGCAGCCGTAGCGAAGACGGATGAGATGGGAGGAAAGTGAGACGAGGTCGTGATGCTGTTCGCATGCTTTTTGTCATTTGCTGCGGGCCTTGGCTTCTTGTTGATACCTTTGCATTGCCAAAACTTGTTTCCCGTTCATACTTTGCGGATCCTCTGTCGTGCCATGACGCTGTCATACTCACTCCAGCAACGTAGAGCGGGAAGAGCACCCGGGAGCCGTTCGGCTATTGTTTACGAATAGTCCTAAGGTACTCCAGCCCACCACCACCCGCCCGCGACGAGCACAAAGCAAAGGCATATAAGCCCCTTCACTCATCCTTCACTGCTGCTCATCTTCACGCCTTTCTCCAACTTCAAGAGATTTCGCACTAAACTGCTGATTCTACCTCTCTATGTGCCGTCGCGGACGTGCACTACGTCAACTAAAACTCTCAAAAGCAACACAAGGAGCCAAAATGCCCTCGACAGCCCCCAGTGCTGCCTATTATGGCGTTCTTGTCGCCTCGGTCGAAAAGTCGAAAGACGCTTCGATGGCACGGATGTTTTGTTCCCACTTCCGCCGTGCTTCGAACTTCCCAGCTACAACACCAAAAGAAGAAATCTCATCCCTGAATGCCTTCCTCTGAAAGCCCATTCCTAGGCGGACGAAACAAATCAAAACAAGTCAAAGCAGACTGCGACACATACCATTATCGGAATATAGACATACGAAACCGTCGAATTATGGGATTATGTCTGTCTCGCCTAATTCTTCCTTCTCAACACTCCCTCCTCGAAAACCAAAATCCTTCACCAATCTGGCGATGAGCCTCCAGAGACCCTTCTCCCATAAGGCGTCGTGAAGAACCCCAATAGTGCCCGGTCCTCGTCTCCGGATTACTTCCTCGCGGACTCCAGCTCACGCTTTGACCGAAACCTTGATAAGACAGACGCCATGGTCCTCCCGGAAACTCCGACTGGGCTAAAAAGACCATTTGGCCACTGTCATGGACTCTCATCCCGCTCTCTACGAGTCCATGCGCAATTCCCTCGCGTTCCTCTCCCAAAAGCCCCGCTAGACATTGGGCATGCGGGTGTGCGACAAAAATGGTCGCTCGGCGGAGTGCGTGTGGCCGACTAAAACCGATAAGTATGACGCAAAATGTGGTGCACTCTTTCGTTTGAAACCTAGAGGGGTATAACGGAAGCAGTTCTTTCCATCCGTCTGCCACGATAACATTGCGCTCCTTCTGCGAACCAGAAAACAAGGATATACGGTTCTATGAGCTGTGGAGAGAGTGGAGGGGAAGAAAGGCATTTACCAACTCCAATATGACTTTTCGAGGCGTTGAGATCTATCGATATACAGCATGCGATTCGCCCCCGCCATGTCTTATTCAAGCAAGAACCCTCGTTCTGAGATCAAAAGATCCTCACGCAAATGGCATGTGTGAGTTCGTCGAGAAGTCGCTCGTCACTCCTGAACTCTGTCTCACTCTCCTCGCTCCTCGCTCCTCACCAAAGTTACTAAAGCTCCCGACGTAATAAGATATGCTGGGGAGTCTGCGTGGTCTCGAAAAGCAAGTCACCCGACCTAACTTCCGCGGTCTCTTCAAAAGAGATTCTTTGATCGACGATGTTCTTCTCCGCAATCCAATCAATCAATACTTGCTCTACGAACTCCACGACCAAACTACTGATACCACGCCTAGTCAAATATGTGGGGAGGCGCGTGTCAAGCAAATGTCCAACATGCTTGGGTCGCGTGGAGCTGCATGTGTCCAAAGAGGAAACAACCGTTCCAAGGTTACGCATGATGAGGTACGGCCTAGTACTTCAATTCAAATAGCCGGAGGGGGTCTGTTCTCAGGCGCTTTCAAAACGAACAGGGAGATGTCACCACGGTCGCAGTGGAATCGACTTCGCGAGCGAAACATGCCTGGTTGGAAGGAAGCGAAAGCTGGAGTACCGAAAAAATCCGTTCAGGGGATATGATACTTCTTTGGATCTCTGTTACCAAAAGCAAATGTCAAACAAGTCATGAGAGTGCCGTGCTGTTCGACCAAATGCCGTCGACGACACGTATGTCTGTTGCTTGTAACCGTCGGTCCCAAATACCTGCCGAAGGCATCCATGCTGGCAGCTCGACACGACAAAGACATGAGCATAGAACCTTCGTGTCTCCGCATGTCTCCGGCGGTCTTCCCGCCCTCCAGCCCGGGTTAGATATAAAAGCCCTCTCTTTCTCCTTCCCTCTTTCACTCCACACATCGCTCCATGGCGCCGGGCTAAAATCCGATTGACGGGAGATCTATGGAGGCGGACTTCTCTAAAACAATCGATGAGAGGAATCATGTCTAACAGACCGCCAAAACGAGCTGATGGCCTTGCCGTGGGAGAGCTCTGGAGAGAGGAATTGCAGGATTGCGTCAGGATCCTAAGGCAAATGCCATGGTGTGAGGCCCGGTCAGGAGTGAGAATGTCTTTAGCTTCCCCGGCCGATGATGACGACCATCTCCTTAGTATGGAGGCCACCATTAGCTCATCTTCAGCCTACACAAACCCCTCCAATCAGCGTTCAACACTCCATCCGCAACTTCCACAGCGGCGACCGTCCAACTCGCCAGCGCCAACTCAACACCCCAAGCGCACACCGCACGCATCCAATGTCTCTTCTTGCCCCAAAGGCCCACTTCCGCGACCGTGAGTACGCCATTGGCTACGAAGAATATACCGATTCTCTTCTTCCCCTCCTCGTTCAGGAGTGGTGACAGCGCATACATGTGAAAAGTCGCCATAAGACCGAAGGAAGAGACGACGGCGACGGAACGAGCGAGGCTGCGAGGGAAGTGCAGGGATGAGAGGATATAGAGTGTCGGTGTATATGCGAGGCTGAGACATGGGGCAGCAAAGGCATTATGCCACGTCTCCGTCCAGAAAGATGCAAGGCTGTCAGCTAGGTATATTGGACCAAAGAGCGGTGGGCTGGACTTGTATCGCAACGTGAGTTGAAGCGTAGTCCATATCACCCAGATAGTTAAGAGAATGCCCAAGGCCTTCATGGGTAGATGCTGTGGCAGACCCTGAAGTAGGGTAAACCAGGCGGAGTGGACGATCAGCTGAACGGATTCTGAATAGAAGAATCCTCTTGCTTCAGGAGAAGACTGGAAGGGATACTGAGGCATCGGTGCATGACGGATCGGATTCGGCGTGAACGACTCGTAGCGTAGCTCCGTCATGAGAATGAGAGCCATGACAGAGGGCCTGGGAGGTTTGCCGGCGGTGTATGAGGGAAAGGAGTTTGTTAACGAGAGCATGTGAATGTCGAGAAGCTTCATGCTTGCGACAGCGACTGTGTGATTGTCAGCCTTAATTGGGAAGAATAGAGAGATGAGGAGTGATGAGCAAGACTTCGGGAGGAAGATTGAGAATCGCATACCCACCTCCAAAATTCAACAACGCCCTCAACGCCGCACACCTCACCTAGAATCCCAGCACAATCAGCACATATCTTCATTTAGTATCCATTCCACTCAGTTGGCTCACTCACCGCCACCGCCGCGCCCCACCCCCAAAAACCCCCCAGCGCTAGAGTCCCTAGCACCCTACTCCCCGCCATCCATCTCCTCGCCAGCGCCCAAAAGCTCGCATACATCAGCAGCCCGGGCACCGCTAGGGCGGCAAGCGCCGGCGGCGCATCGACAAGCAATTGGGTGAGGAGATCATCTTCAAACTCAAGGGCAACAGCAGCAACGGGCGGAAGCGGAGATGTCATCGGATAGCGACGGAAAGACGATAGCAAAAGGGAAGCAGGGGATAAGGAGACATGAGGATAGAAAATGAGAGAGTGGGGGACAGGTAGTAAGGTGTTTGTGGAGAGGGATGGTGAGATTTCGATATGCGGCGGCACGCACGGAGATAAAGGTGAGATCCCGGTTCGTGGCAGGCAGGGTCGGCAAGAGCGAATGGGTGACAGCCACATCGAATGTGGCGTCAGGGCTGTAAACGACTCGATGCCGTTGCCTAAGACATGCTGGCGTTTTTCCACAGGTAATCACACATGCGTCCGAAAGGGTTGTCGTGATGATGATGCGCAGTCTCATCTTCACAGTATTCTCATTCCTCTTCGGTACACTCGCGCTATACACGGTAGGTATCTCCACAGACTTTTCTTTCCTTACATGCAAGCTCCCGGTCCGATCCCTATGCACACGACCCAAATAGATATTAACGTCTAGACGTAGCCATGCCCTGCGGCCCGTCGCCAGCCTAGCATACCAGCACCGGCATTAAATTAAGAATTGAAAACAATAGGAGAATTGCACACTTCATCCATAAGCGTCCCGAAATGCTTGTAAAGACCAAGGAAAATGGAGGTTGAGCAAAGGAAATAGTATGTCGAGATGGTGGAGTATGTGCCGAGCCATGCTCCAGGCAGGGCTCGCGATGAGAGACATTGAATGCAGGGAATTCAATGAGAAGGATAAAGGGATGAGGGCGGTATCAAGTATGGCGAGAAAAAAAAGAACCGAGTCGCCTCAGGGGCAGCATCCCAATGCTAGCCACCAGACCATTTTCAGGGTATATGCAAAATCGACTAGCCGCGGAAAAACCGAAGACGCCTTCGCCGAGATATGTAAATGATGGGTCGTGGACACATATAAAGTTTTCACACCGGACGCTTCAAGTGGCAAAGCTCTTCTTCCGGCCGAAGATGGTTCGTGTCCGGCTCTTGTCGCGGGCCTTCTTTTCAGAGGTATCTTTCTTCACCGAGCGACCGGAGCGGACTGATCGAGAGTCGGATACGGTGGAGCCTTCGTCCATATACTTGTCTTTGTAAATCCTATAACGTGTAAGCAAATGGCTCACAGGATGAATACCTTCGGTCTTACCAGCTATTGCCAACCATGCTGACACCTTTCGCTTCAGCGGCTCGGTAGAATTTGGCTCCCTTCTTCATGTCCTTCTTGCAGCCCACACCTTCCGCATAGCAGTAACCGGCCTCCACAAGGGCGTCAGCGTCACCCCAATTTCCGGCGATTTCATAGCAACGCAAGGCGAGAGCCTTGTCTTGTGCCGCACCCCAGCCATTCATGTAGCACTTTCCAAGCTCATAGATAGCAACGGCATATTGTGCCCGATGCTGCTTCTTCTTGCAAAGGTCTGTTGATTGGCCATGCTTCAACTGGTCCTCATCTTCTGCGACTTCTAGTTGACCTGAGTCGACAGCACGACGCAGCCATTGGAAGGCTTCAGTCTTGTTCTCGCGCATGCCCCAGCCGTGGCGGCACGCGAGGCCATACCAGAACATGGCTTCAGGAAGACCAGCACGGGCAGCGAGACGGAAGTGGTACGTGGACTTCATAAGCTCGCCGGCTTCATGAAGTTCAATGCCCTTATCACAGTGCTCTTGCGCTGTGATTTGCTCCGCTCCAGTTGGCAATCCGCGAACGGTGCTGTTACTGGATGTGAGGGAGGGCGCGCCCCGCTCCATCGACGTGCTCCGAGTCGATGCTGGTTCGAATGACGGCCTTTGTTGGTCAAAAGAACGGGGAGGCGATTCTGGCGAAGGAGGCCGTGCGCGCTGCTTATTCTTGGGTTTATCCCAGCTGATCTGGCTGTTCAAGAAGTCCTCGATACCGATTGACTGGCGGTCGAGCTTCCGTCCCCGAGGAAGGCTAAACTTGGTGTAGGTGTAAGTTGCTGCGGGATTGGAGTAGTCTGTTGATCGGCGGAAGTCCTCGCTCGTCATGCTCACAGGAGTGTGAACAAGGTCGCTGGTGTAGTTGGTGACGGGGCTTTCAACAGAGTCTTGTCGAGCAGGGTGGCTGTCAAATGAGGGCCTCATAAACGCGCTCTCATCGGAAGCCTGCCTTGATGGGGCGTCCAAGGAGGGCCTTACGTCAAGGGATGGTCTGCTTATGCTGCTTCTGCTCATTGGTCTGGAGAAATTGAAGGCCGGACGTGGAAGTTGGTGACCGCCAACGGAGTACTCCGAAGACAGCGATGGGGAGCGAGGGATGGAAGGATTCGTAAAAGGCGTGAAGGGGGAATGCGACCTGGACAGGCTAGAGCTCGGCGACAGATTCCTCGCTTGAATGGAATCGTACGAGCCACCGAGCGACATATCTTCCACCTCATCCGCGCTATCACCGGGAACCGATCTGATGCTTGGCGACATCCTCGGCGAGCGCTGGGAGCGCTGCGATCCTGGAGACCGCGGAGGGAGAAGTCCGGGCTGAGATGGCTGTCTCCTCGGAAGAACATCCAGGGATTGCTGTTTCTTCACAGGCGGGCGTTGGAAGGGCTGTGAGTTCGAGCGAGGCATATTTGGCGAAACGGGAGTGGCCTCCTGCAATCCAATGCGGGGCTCGACTGGCTCTGGGGAGTGTGTCCTGGGGATATCGAAGTAGCCCTGTGGCGCAGACGTGACTGGATTCGCCTCCCCGATCGGGGGGAGGTTGTTCCTGTACGGCAGCGGTGGTTCATAATGAAACTGATCGCCGTCAAGCTGAGGGTAGAACGACTTGTGGCGGTCGCCGGAGACGTGCTCGCGTGGGGAGGGCTGGTTTTGGCGCGGGCTCGCAGGCGCAGGTTCCTCGTTGGGCGAGCCGACGGTGGAGTTCGAAAGCGAAGAGAAGTACCCCGAGCGGTTGCCGAACTCGTTCTGGATTGTGAGCGGCGCCAATCGACTGATGCGACGGCCGGCTCTTTCCTCCTGCTCAAATCTCTTTGCCAGCAGCCGTCCTTGCAGTGCGAGAGCGTCCAGCGGGGAGAGCGCGGGCGGCACCTCGCCGGCGCGCGGGCTGGGGAGGTCGTGCAGCGAGAGATTGCTCATGCTGCCATTGTGCGGAGAGTCGAAGGTGTGCGAGCGGAAGTCGAGGCCGCCCGGGCGATCTGGCCGATTAACCATGGCGGATGTGGTGAGCGGTTTCGAGTGTTCGGGCGGGATATGTCATGAAGTGAGGGTCGGCAGACGGCACGGTGTCGTCATGCGAGCGCGGTGAAACGAGGTGTCGAGGCAAAAGTCGAGGAATTATGCGCGGGCGGCGGCGTCTGTTAAGGTTCACGGTGGTGTGCTGGCTGGAACAGCAGGACCCGGGGTGGTGTGGCGACGGCCGGGCTTGGGCTGTGTTGGTGGTGGATTATGCAGATCCGAGCATGGTAGTGAGTGGGAGCAGTGGTGGTGGGAGTGGTGAGAGGGCGGGAGCAGCGGCGAGAGAGCGACAGGAAAGCGGGCGAGGCAGCGACGGCCTGGGTGAAGGAAACAGCGAGCGAGCGGCAACAGCGGTGGTGAAGAGACGGTGCACTTGGGGAGACTCCCGTCGGCGCGCCAGACTCTGCAGCCCAGGTGTTCTCCTTATTTTCGCTTGGCGACGCAGCAGGCGTCCGGGGTCACAACCGTTTCAGCAGCGTCGTGGAGGCCAATCACCGTCGGCTAGCATCCGGAGCAGGGGTCGCCGCTCAGGTCAGCGGCGAGAAATAGAAAAGAGGGTGCAGCGAATGCCGTCGAGGCGATGACGGCCTCATTCCATTCCTCGCTACACAGCCTGCGTGTCAGTGAGAGAGCGATCCCCGTGGCGGACTCCGCGTCGAGCCCCAAACTGCCCTCGAGCCGCCGCTGGGCCGCAAAGATGCGCACGTTTCACCACCTGGAATCGGAGCCGCCCACGCCTTCGGTTGTGCCTCCCGCTTGGAGGCTTCCATGACACATGCATGATGCGCGTCGACGATGGCCCTTCATTTGTGGAGCCGTAGCCGTCGCCGTCCCAGGCACATCGCTCAACGCTCTGCAGCTTGAGGTCGGTGGCGGCTCTCCAATCTCCCCACGAACCACTGTTCTCGTGCGCAACACCATCGTCAAGAGCTGAGTATCGTCTGTTTGTGCGACGTACCGCGACACAGAAAATTGACTGGAGAGTACCTCCACGCCCTAATAATAACCTTCTCCGGCGAGACCCCTCAGGCCGTCTGCCAAGGGCCCTATTCTTACATAACCAGGCCTGGTGCTCCTCAAATTACGATGCCAGTCCGCCAATAATGGACACGCGACCACAGCGGCACCGGCCGCGTCTGCAACTCCTAAAAGTTGGCTCGGAAATCAGCTTCATCAAACCGCCCTCTCGACCTTCTCCCACGACTGCACGCTGTCCTCTAGCTGCGGCTCTGCCGCTGCGTTCAGGGATACCCGCCGTACGCCCATCATCCACCCAACCAAGCCAGAGGGCGCCCAATTTCCCACCAGGTCGTACGTGACACTTCCACGACCGACTCGCCAGACTCTCCGCGGCCTCTTCTGCGTGAGGGCATCGAAGACGGCGTTGTGCAGCTCCCGTAGTGAGCTCCCCGTGCTCCCCGTCTGGCTTAGGAGTCCCCTGCTGTGCGCTATGCGACTTTGATTAACGAAGTTGTTAGCATATAACCGCCTAGCACTTGTGGGCCAGAGGAATGTGTTCGGGCCTGCAGTCGGCTGGAGGTGTTGTTTGCCCCCAACATGTGTGCAATCAAACGTCCCAAGCTTGAACTGACACACGTCAATCCCTAGCGTGCCGAGCTCTCCTCTCAAAGATGCTGTAAACCCCTCCAAAGCGCTCACCACGGCCGTTTCGACGCTGTGGAACGGGGGTCGCAGTGACGCCACGATGCTAGGCGTGAGCATCAAAACGCGAGCTTTGAAGTCGCAAATTGTCGGGAGAAACGCCTGTGTGACGGCGATAGTGTGCAGAACTTTGGCGTTCAAAACGTCCGACCATAGTTCCGGCGAAACCGTCTCGATCGGACCCGAGGGATAGATCAGGTCTGGCACAATGACAATACCACGGAAATGTAAGTTGTGCGGAGATGCTCCTGCGAAAGCGACATGAGGCCTAAGGAGCAGGTTGTTGAAGCGCTGCATAGCTTCCTGTGTGCCAAGGACATCTGCGACATCTAAATGCAGCGGCCTCACATCTGCTCTTGACTCGCTTTGTACTTGTTGTTCCTCTTCGAGGTCGGAGCATACGATGTATACGATAAAGCCGCGTCGTTCGAGGTCCAGCGACAGCGATTTCGTGATGGGCGAGTTCGGGGGGCCGGCGATTACTGACATTCATCATTAGCTCCGCCTTGAGGAATGCAAGTTTTCTATCATACCAATAACCTCCCTCCTGGCTCCGTTACTTGCTCTCCGCGCCCGCCGCTTCCTTGTGTGCTTCCTCTTTTCTCTCCATAGTAGAAACCCGCCTGTGCCGACGAAGGCGATGAGCGCTGCCGTTAGCGCGCGATTCCTTGAAACCCAGTCTTGCAGACGATGTATGTAGGCGCTTGTAGCACGATGCAAGGGCGGGGGAGGAGGAGCAGGCCGAGCGTTTTCGGGCAGCCAGCCCTCTGGCACAGTTCTCTTGATGTAGGCGGCTACGCTTTGGAAATGTCGGTCGCTGGCATCGAAGATGGATCCTGTGAATTTCCGGATGTCCTGCGAGTACTCCGCTAGCTATCGCGAGCTCCGTCAGTTACCGCAGCGTAAAGGCGACAGGCATAGCACTCACCACATCAAGAAAGTGCTGATCGTCCGCTGTCATTGTCGAGATTCGTGATGATAGCAGAAATGACAGTCAGCGGGGTCCAGCTCTCCAAAGGCGCGCCTGGACTGTAGTAGCGTTGCTCAGTCGTATCTCGGCCCTCAAAGAAGGCATCCCGCCGAGTGGCGAAGTACCTAGCCGTCAAGCCACATATGGCGCACGTGACGAGGCCCCATCTCGCCGCCGCGCGCGCCATCTAGAATCCTTCGCGTCGCATCTACAAATGCACATCTGCTAACGCGCAGGCTACTCATTTCACTGCTGCACTCGTACTTTATACCCATATAGACGCGGAGTCCGGCCCCGGAAACAGGTATCCATTTCGTTTTGTTCTGTCTTCACTGTGGTTCCTTCGCCGCGTGAACAGCTTACGTGGCGCTTGGTTGCCTCTCTTCCATTCATAATCATTTCCACGCTCTTCTACGCTATATTCACCCCCAGCGGTCTCTCCATCTTCGTCTCTCGGATCTGAAACGTTTATATTACCACGGTCACGGTTTGCCTCTAGCAATCAACCCGTCAACCTGGTCCCTGCCAGCAACTTCAACCACAGACGGAACTCTTCAAAGAATATTCATCAGACGGTTTTGACGCCACGAGAGAGGCACCATGAGGGAAATCGACTCGCATTTCGATGCGTACGAGCATCTAAAACATCTACCGCGCGAGGGCGAGGCGCTGCACATGCTTCGCAAGGCTGCGTCAATGGTAAAACCCATGATGAGGAAGCGCGGATGGAAAGTCGGCACTCTTGCGGAATTCCTCCCAGACGAACCTCAGTTGCTGGGTGCGTATAGCGACTAAAATGCGGGAAATCGCCGCTACTAACCATGCCACAGGCCTCAACATCAATAGAACGGAGAGGATCCTCATCCGGTTGCGCTATCATCATGACTCAAGACAGTTCTTGCCCATGGAGCAGGTCACAGATACCTTGTTACATGAGCTCTCGCATATTGTGTGGGGTCCACATGACCACAACTTCAACAACCTTTGGAACGAGCTTCGCGATGAACATCAGTCTCTCATTGCCAAAGGATACACAGGCGAGGGCTTCCTGTCACAAGGCCACAAGCTTGGTGGCAAGCGCATACCGCTGGATGAAATGAGACGACAGGCCCGCTTAGCTGCCGAGAAGCGGAGAGCCACGACAAATCGCAATGCGGGTGGTCATCGGTTAGGAGGTCAAGCGGTTGCCCGGGGTATAGACATGAGGAAGGTGATTGCCGACGCTGCGACGAGGAGAAACAGCATCACAGAAGGATGCGCGAGCGGGAGCTCAGAAGCCGGAAAGCTCTTGAACCAACAGTCGCAAGGAGGCTTCAGGACGAACGCGACAGAGGACGATGCAAATGACCTAGCTATCGCGCAAGCACTCCAGGAGCTCATGGAAGAGGAGGAAATGCAGAAGTTGGAGCAGTTATGCGCTCCGAGTGGAGGAGGCGGCTTGGCATGGGATCGCGAAAACGGCCTCCAGTTCGACAACGATCCACCATCCCGGAAATCCTCACCAGCGCCAAACGCCTACACACCAAAACCCGCGCCCTCGTCATCTCAGACTCCTTCTTCGAACTCACAGGGACGCCCGCTCTCCCGCCTCATCACCGAGAACTCGAATTCGCGCCCGAAATCCATAATACGCCCCGTCCGTAACCCGTCTCGCCTCATCTCCGAAGAAGAAGAGGCCGTCCGCAGCCGCCCGTTACCCGCTGCACCGGTATCTCCACCTCTGCCATCTCCGCCTTCGCTTAGCGTGCCTACAGACCCTGACAAGTGGGCATGCCCGCAATGCACGCTACACAACCCCCTAGAATTCCTCTCCTGCGAAGCGTGCGGCCTCGAGCAACCACCGCAACCGATTCCGCAAAACAAGCGCTACGGTCCCTCGCATCATCCGGCTAGCTTACCGAAACCGCCCCCTGCATCAGGGCTACGGGGCCCCGGGGCTACCCCGTTCGAGCCAGCACGAGGACGGCTGGGTTGGAATTGCTTGAATTGCGGGACGTTTATGGAGAATCAGTGGTGGACGTGTTCGCTTTGTGGGACCATGAAGGCGGATTCGTAACAGGACCGGAAGACCAGGATTGACGACGGTTTGGATGGAAGGATACCGGCCGTGTGAATGAGTACAACATGTGACAACGCTTTTCACTTCTGTATAAATGATACCAGGCGGAGGAATAGGACGGGCTTCTTGCTTGCATTCTCCAGAGTCGGGAGTTGGGATGAAGGGCGCATGGCATCTATAGACGAACGAGCGAGCAATCGAATATACGAGTCAATCCGCACATATCACTAGTGTACATATTTATGGATGCGATACGGGCTAGAGCGCAGCCCCAAGGGTCCGCGTTACCACTTCATTTATCTACCATAACGGGATTAGCCCAGTCTCCGTGTGCGACGCACGCGCCCGCGGCGCTCAAATCTTCGCACCCAATACAGCTCGCTACTTGTGAAAGATGACCTTGTACTTGAACTGCGTCGGGAACGACTTATCCGTAATCACCATCTCCTCTCCATCCTCGACGAGTTCGCTCATCTTCTTGGTCAGATTGTGGCGCGTCTGGCGCTCCAAGTCCGCCAAGCTCTGAATGTACAGCGAGTGCTCCCCCGTCCGAATCGACGGCTTCTTAAGCTGCGCTTCCGGCCTCTCTGCCAGACTGTCCACAAAGTCCTGCAGCGTCCAGTTCGGATTGACTTGCAGCGGGCGAGCGATGGTGCCTGCGCCACATACGGGACAGTCGTCTTTCTTCTGGTGCTCGAATGTGTACGTGTAGATGCTCTCGTCACCGGTGTACATCATGTAGTTGTCTGTTTCGGGGAAGCCGAGGAAAGGATTCGTGTTTGTGGCGATTTTGAAGGCCTCGTTGCAGCAGCTCGCTGCTACGATGGCGTTGGTCGACGCAATGGCTGGGATAATGTTCTTGACGACTCCTTGAGTCATCGAGTAGGTGACGCCGGGGATGTTGAATTCCTGCGCGCGCTTGAGCGCTTTCTGGTACAGCCACGTGATGTGCTCCGGGTCGTCCGTGTCGAGCGTGATTTCCTTGCGCTCTTCTTCCCATGCGATGATGTGCGCCCACTCGATGCAGTGCTGCGGCTGGCGCGGAATGGTGGCCAGCGTACATAGCGGGACTGCAGCACGCGGAGCATGCATATCCAGCTGGCATTCGATACAGCTCGTCATAGTCGGGAAAATAACCCGAGCCTGGCCTTTGAGCCCCTCGGTCCCGCCATCAATCAGCGGCTTCAGGCTATCGGGATTCTCAGGGTCCACCATACCCACAAGCGTCGCGTTAATCCACCGCCGCGCCTCGATGCTGTCGAGCCCGCACACGATCATGGCAAATTGCATGTAGTACTCTTCGTCTTTGTCCTGGATCTTGCCGCAGTAAGGGGTAATCTTTACACCTTTGACGCGGGATTCAACGAAGCGCGCGGCAACTTCTGCCTTGGGCTTGCCCACGTCGGATGCGCGGAAGAGGAATTGGCGGTTCAAGTTGGAGACGTCGATGGTATCCATGTCGATTACGTGGATGTCTTTGAAGCCGGAGAGAGCGAGATTTTTGAGTATTTCGCAACCTAGCCCGCCGGCTCCGCTGAGGTGTGTGTTAGAGTCTCTAGAGGTGTTGGGAGTATAGGGCTGGCGTCGGACTCACATGACTCTGCATGTTGTTAGCTTCAATCTGCTCTAATTGTTGGGCTGCACAGGGGCTTACAGTATCTTTGCGCGCTCCAAACTCTCAATAACAGGCTCCCCAGGCATGAAGGAGTCTTCATCCGTAAACGGACCCGGCCGGTTTAGTATCTTGTCCAGGTACTTCCTGTGGCACAAGGTTAGTTTGTTTAAAGCTTCAAGGTGGTTTGAATCTACCATCGTGCTCGCGGTGCCTCTGAATCATTCGGCAATGTCGATCCTGCATTAGCTTCCATCGTTTTGTGTGGTTGTGAGTTTGTTGCGGAAGAGGTTGACGTTAGACGCGGTTGTTGTAGGCACCTGCGTTAAGGTCGAATTAAGTTAGTGTAATGCCAAGGCGCTAGTGTTTGGGGCAGGTATTACCGACCGCAGCGTCAGCCCAACGATCCTTTGCGTGAATAGCCTTCCTACTTTCCAAAGTACCTGTCGTGTCTATGAGTCCGTTATAGATACAGCCTGAGTCGTTTGTTCAATTCCGACTATGAACAAACCGCCATGGACGACTTCCTCACCCCGGTCTCCACCACCAAGGTGAAGCGGTCCGGCGACACCGGGCCGCTTATTCAAGAGTCTCATACCTCGAATACGAAATCTAAATACACTACGATAGACTCGCCCGACTCAGCCATGGAGGCTTTCAGAGGCCAGCCGGATCTAGCAACCGTCAGAAGGGTTGTACAATACCTTGCCACCGAATCCAACACCAAGGATGGCTTCAACCTCCTCATACCCGATCCTGTGTCTGCCAATATCGCATATCAGCTCGTCAACACAACGATTCCGGATTACTGGAGGACCTTGAAAGAAAATGGGATCGAAAGACAGCACATCATAAGATGTCTACAAAATCCCTGTGGCATTGGAGCAGTTATCACTCGCCTGCGTCCCCTGATCGCAGACTGCCGTCAGAAGAAGCCAGTTGGCAACATAAGGGACGCATCGTCTCATATTGAGGACCTTCTAGAAGTTCTGGAGCGAATACTTCACGGAGATCGCTCGCCAAGCCAGGTTTGGAGCGATATCCAAACTCATGCGAAGAATTCAGTCCAAAGCAGGATGATGTGGAAAGAGTTCGTTACGCAGGTTGCTTCTGGAAGAATATTGTCGCTTGTGGCTGAGGCGGAGGATGTGCTTAAGGAAAGGGAGGGGTCGAGAACAGCTTCATGGCTTGCTGATGGCAACGAATACGGAAATTGGTTGGGCCAGAACATCGCTGCGTTCATGAACAATTGTGACAAGACAGATGCGTCTGTTGCGGCTGTGGTCGAGCTCTGCAGTAAAACGTTGACGTTGGGCTATACCGGTAAGTACTCTCCCGCCGTTGGACATAATCGGACTCTAACATCATAGATCGTATCGTCAATGCCATGCTATTGGTTCTTATTGACACGGAATCAATCAACGCGTTTGAGTTCTTTCTGTCGAAGATGAAAGCTTTCGAGCAGCGAAAGTATATCAACTCCGCCATTACAGTCCTCGCGAAGCAGTACTTCGCATCAGCTGTAGAGAGCAAAGAGGATGCCTTTATCAAGCCTTCGTTGATCGTGTCCGGTGTTGCTACTTTCATTCACATTCTGATCAAAAACAACGAGCTGTTGAGAGAGCACCTCGTCTCAACCATGACCAAGGCTACTATTCCATCCTTGGATGATTCGCTTGCTGCCCGCCGGAGTGTTATTGCTGCAATAGCTCAGGATGAAGGTTAGTAGTGCCACTTGCCCCAGAAGCCCTTTCTGACAGTCCATAGATAATCTCCAGACCCTCCTCGAAAATAGTCTGAAGCTGTTCGGTGATTCATTCTACATCAAGCACACCCCTATTTTGCAGCAGGAAGGTAAGTCGTATATACCCGCTGTGTGTAAGCTCCACTAACTAGGAAGCGATTGCTCAAACTCTCGTCATAACTTGTGGCTACGTCCAACGCTCTCAGCCTATGTTCCTAACCATGATGGCGAAGTCAAGCTATCATGTTACCGGCATGTCAAATCGCATAGGCGCAAGTTCGCCTAGAGCCCGCTTCCTGGGCATCGCAGTTGGCACTGCTATCTCGAAAATGGTCGACAACCCCGAGTTGCAGCTCAAATTCGATCTGGATGGAAACGAGGCTATTGAGGCGAAGTGGTATCAGCGTCTCACGGAGATCAATGACAAGCTGGGAAACATTGAGGCCTTAAGAACGAGAGACAAGCCGAACATGCCGAAGCGCCGGGAGCCGACAGCGGAGATGGTTTCGAGATCAAAGCCGCCGGCAACCAAGAAAGCTAGAGCCAGGCCATCCAAAGCAGCAGCCATTACAGAAATCAAGGGTCCCCGCATCATCGAGGTCTTCTCCGACTCAGAAGAAGATGAAGACGCCGACCTGGTTCCCTACTCGAAGCCCGACTCCGACCCAGAAGACGACACCGACGATCCCACGGAAATCAATCGCAACAAACCCACCGCCCCAGTCTACATCCGCGACCTCATCGTCGGCCTGCGCGACCAAGAAAACTACGACCGCCACGCCCTCGCGCTCTCCACCGCCGCGCCCCTCATCCGCCGCAAAGCAAACTTCGGCACTGAAGTAACGGACCACATCGAAGAGCTAGCTACCATCCTGGTAGGCCTACAAGATAACCTGGAGCTGGAGGGTTTTGCAGAGCAGAGGCAGCAAGCACTCATTGCCGTCCTGCTCGCCAAACCCGCGCCTATGGCGCAATGGTTCGCCCGCGCTTTCTTCTCCGGCGACTACAGCCTCACACAGCGCACCGCCATCCTCACCACCCTCGGTCTCGGCGCGCGAGAACTCGCCGGCCTAAAGGACTCCTCGACCGAGGACCTCATCCCACCAACCCCCTCCTTCCCCAGCAAACAACTCCCACCGCACCTCCACGCTCTCTACTCTTCCCCCTCACCCACGAACGAACCACTAGCAAAGATAACAAGCTCCCTCTCCAAACAACTCCTCTCCCCCCTCGCCGCCCAAGCCGCCGACCAACTCACCGGCCCCAACATCCTCAAAATGCGCACCTTCTCCTCCCGCATGGCCGTTGAGTCGCGCCGCCAGAAACCCATCCCCAACGCCCTCGCCCAGATCGTCGCCGACAACTTTTTCTTCCCGCTCACGGGCCGCTGGTGGATCCAAATGCGCGCGTCGAACCCGGCAGACTCCATCTACACTTCCACGCACCTCCTTCCCGCCTTTCTCCACACCCTCGCTCTCCTCATGCAGGCCTCTGGGCCCAACACGCTCGCGCTCCCGCAGATGACGCGCGAGCTCTGGGATTTGTTGCTGTCTGTGCGCTCGCTTGCGCTGAGTGATAAACCGATACTGGGGGCGTTGTTGTTTGCGTTCCTGATGTTGCTGGAGACTAATGAGGATAAGGAGCGGTTGGCGACGGAGCAAGGCAAGGAACTGCTGGAGACGCAGGAGTGGGTCAGGATGGTGTTTGAGGGGTTGCCGGCAGGGGAGGAAGGGGGCGAGGATGAGAGGGTGAGGGTTTTGGCGGCGGGCGTGGTGGTTAGAGCCCAGGAGTTGGTGGAGAGGTATCAGAGGAGGTTGGTGGGAGACTTGATGGATTACTGATTGTGGACTGGTGGGATCCTTTTTCATCTTGGGGAAACTGTGATTAGTTGGGAAGGCGAATCACGCAGAGTCGGCACTATCGTTTCGAAATTAGAGAAAGCGTTGTGTTGACTGATACATCTGATATGTACATATGCTACAATGCCTGCCCAACCCGCTGGCTCAAGCAACCTGAGGCACAACCTGAGGGGCATCCTTCTGTCTATATTTCTTTTCCATAGCGTCCTCCTTCCCAAACGGTTTGTCATCTCCATCCAAAACCCTCCTAACCTGTAAGTGAGCCTCTGCGCCATGCATCCCCACAATCTTCAGCCTCTTCTCCAGCGGTCCCCACACTTTCACCGGCGGCGCCTCCCCCCTGAACAGTTCCCGTCCCCTATGGATCAACTCATTCGCCTCAAAGCTGCCCGGCGCATACCTCGGCACATACGGCACGCGATCCCACTCCTTCCTCTGCAATCGCAGCAAGTGTTGTACCATACCGTCGGGCATTGCCTGCCCGGGGTCTACGTCTTGTTGTCCCTGGGCTGGGGCGGCTTTGGAGGAGGCTTTCTTCTCGCGGCGTTTCGGGGCTGCTTCGCGGGAGGAGGTGGAGGATGGCCCGCGGCCGCGCAGATTGGGACCGCCGGCGCGAGAGGGGCCTGCGTTTCGGGTTATTCGTAGTTTGGACGGGGCGCGGACCATAGGGCCTGGGGGCGGAGCGGCGCCGCGGGTTGCTAGTGGGCCTACGCCGACGCGGGATATGAGTGGTTTGCGGGTTTGCCCTGTGCCTTGGGGTGTTTGCTGCGACTCGCTGGTGGCATCGGCTGTGCCTTCAGGGCGTCGTGGTCGGAAGGTCCCCTTTATATGCTGGCCGCTGGGGAAGACACCCGCTCCTAGACCCGCGTTCTGGGGGAGTGGACGGCGGAATTGGAGAGAGTTGACTGCGCGTGCCTGCTTCGCATTGCGGGTTCTGCGGGTCTCGCGCTCAGGAGTTGAGGATGGAGCTGTAGACGCCATGTCAATATAACTTCTTACGAAGACAATTGAAACCGCACGTCACATACCAGGCGGAGGCGCTGGTCCATCACCAGGCTGCTCCTCAAGCCTGCGAGCAGATCCATGGAAGGATCGTGCGCAGGAATTCGATATTGCCGCTACATCTTTCGTCAATGGCCGCCGTATCGCGCCCAGGGAAGGGCACATATGTCGCTGGTACATGGCGGCAATTGATGGAGGAAGCTCGCTCGTCGGTGAACTTTTCGGATGAGCTCTGCGCACTTTGTCTTGGCGCGACAGGGGTCCTTCGCGTTGACCGTGTGCGACACACGTGCGGTCTACCATTCACCATCACCAGCCTTTTACCGTCACACTCGCTATTTGTTTATTTTGCAACCTTTATTGAATACATAACTTCGGGCGCACTCGCAGCAACAAATTTTGCCACCCTGCGACGCAAACAGGCAAAGCCACCGCACTCACCTTAACCATCTCAAAACAATCACACAATCATCTCTACCTCCCACCAATCTCTCAAACAGTCTCTACCACTCTCCCTTCCCTCACACCCCCTCACCACCGCCAAAATGCTCCGCCGCAAACCCACCACCATCACCCTCACCTCCGCGGACCTGGAGCTCTACGAAGCCAACCGCCAGCGCAAGCTCTGGGAGAAGCAGCAACAGCAGCGCCAGGCCTCCCAGTCGACCGAGGGCTCTGACGAGGGCAAGGCGCAGGCTACGAACGGCGCGGCAGTCCCGCAGCAGAAGAGCCAGAAGGATCGCATTATGGGAGGGCAGCCAGTCCCGGGTAATTGATGCCGAAGATGTTTGGTTTAGGGCACGCTTGCTAACCCCCATCGGACGCCGAGTTTCGTGAGCGCTTCCAGCGGCTTGTTGAGGGCTTGGAGCGGTTGCGCCGGTGGGAGGCTGGAAGTCTTTAGGATTGGGCTTTGGGTCGCGGCTTGGTTGGTATCGGGCATGGGCGGGATATCTTGATGGCCGCGAATAGTTGAGATGTAAGCTACTCGGTCACAGTTCTGTTGATGAGTGCTAATCCTGTCTCTAGGGCGGGATGCTGGCTAAAGGTCAAGAGGACCGTGGTGGGCTTCACCAAACACCTCTGTATGCTCCAGGCAAAACATTGAAAATTTCGAGGCAGCTCGATGACCGAACCCCCATTTTGGTCCGATGGCAAGAGATTGCGAAGAGTGAAGTTTTGTTTCATCATGTCTGGCCATTCTTTCCTTCGTCATAACTGTCCTGGGCCAAAGAATCAGTCAGCGTCCAGAAGCCCTTACCGCATCCACCATGCTACCAATGCACATCACAGTCCTTTACATTCCCTTTGGTACCCCACATGTTCCATATGTCCGTATACAGCAAGCCACGCCCGTCAATATTCCCCCGGAATGCACTTCCATCAACGCGTCGGCCCGCGCGACGCGAGGAATGCAAGGCGCCATCAACACCCTTGGCCCGCCCCATCTTCCCCCTGAGACAGACGCCACTTCGTATCCTTATCTTTCACACACGCATACACATGTACTGAGACTTTAGAGATGGCGCGTCTCAAAGCAGTGTTAGCACCCTTGTGTGCTTACTTGCACCTAGCATTCTGCCAGCAATACGAACTCACCCAAACCTACACAGCGCAAAACTTCTTCGACGAATTCACCTTCTTCACGGTACGTGTTCCTCTGCGTTTGAAACTGAGAGTAAGTAGGACTGAGTTCTCCGTAGGGTTCCGATCCCACAGGTGGCTTTGTGAGCTATGTACCTTTCGAGACCGCCGCCTCGGCCCGCCTGATCGGGAATGTCTCAGACGTTATCTACCTGGGCGTCGACAAGACGAACTTCTACACGCCCGGCGGGCCCGGCCGTGCGAGCGTGCGGGTCGAGAGCAAGATGACGTTTACGGAGGGCCTGTTTGTGATCGACTTGAGCCATATGCCGGTGGGGTGTGGGACATGGCCTGGTGAGCACTCTTCTTCTTCAATAAACAACAGCCGTATTTGAAGGAGACTGATATAGCGGAATAGCCCTCTGGACCGCCGGGCTCTCCGACTGGCCCGCAGACGGCGAAATCGACATCATCGAGAACGTCAACGACGCGCGAGAAAACAACGCCGCGCTGCACGCAACGGGGAATTGCTCGGTCGTTGAGACAGCGGAGCAGACCGGGGTGTGGAAGAGCACGGATTGCAACATCGTGCACGACGAAAATCAGGGGTGTGGGACGCGCTTTACCGAACCGTATAATTTCGGGAGAGAGTTCAACGTGAATGGCGGTGGCGTAAGCTTGCTTTTTCTTCTTCTACTACTGCTACTTCTTTCAGACCCTATCGTAAAGTAGCGAGCGAGTACTAAGAAGGCGCCAGATGTACGTTATGGAGTGGACCTCCGCCGCGATCAATATCTGGTTCTTTCCCCCGACTGGGATTCCAGAATCTCTATCGGCGCTGGATCCCTCCTACGCCTCGAGTTCGCATCCGGATCCTTCCACCTTCGGTGCTCCAAGCGCGTCTTTCTCGGGGCCCTGCTCTTCCTCCTTCGGAGACAAGTTCTTCAACCACAGCATCATCATCGACACGACGTTCTGCGGCGGCTGGGCCGGCGGGACTTTTGGTGAGGGGCCATCAGCGTGCCCTCTGGCTGCTGGAAAGAGCCCGATTGATAGCTGTGTTGATTATGTGGCTGCTAATCCTCAGGCGTTCGAAGAGGCGTACTGGGGGATCAAGAGTTTGAGAGTTTGGCAGAAAGTTGCGGGATACAGCACGTCGAGCTATACGAATTCGACAGGAGAGGGATATGTTGAGGAGCCGCTTCCCGAAGAAACACCAGAACCCGAGCAGGTCCACGTATCACCGCTGACCGGCGGCATCCTAACGAGCAACGAAACACTCAACGATACCGCGAGTGCTCCAACGCTTGCCCAAACACCTCCATCCATTCCACGTCCACGCCCGTGGTGGGCTCCGCCGTTGGCTCTGCCCCCGCTGTGGGGTGCGAGCCCTTCTACACCTACCGCTAGGCCTACGCCTCGTCCGCTTCCTCATTCTGGCCCACCCCTAGCACCGTGGCATTTCCACCCTGGGATGTGGGGGCCTAGCGATGGCAAGCAGCCTGAGCAACCTAGCAGTGCACATGTGAATGCGCCGTTAGCCGCATCGATACCTGAAGGCGAGAGGGAGCAGTTTCCGCCTGAGCTCTCATTCCCAGTACCAACACCTAGAGTGGGTACACCACAAGCTCCGGCACTGAACGGAAACAATGGCATCATGGTCCCGCATGTGAGCGAAGCATCTCAGCCCTCTTCAACTCCGAAAGACGACGCTGGAACCGTTCCTCCGGTCAACCCGCCACTTGACATATGGGACGCTTTAGACGATTCTATTCAAGGGGACCTATTAGCTCTAGCGAGCAGCTTGCCTGCCGCCGTACCTGAAGTGACTTCGACCGTCCTTCCTGCAGCATCCGAATTCCCTGTCGTCCCTGCTCTTAACCAGGAGGATACGAATCAGGCCATGAGCGGCATACTCAGCCTACTTGACGGCACAACGAAGAACCAGTTGCTGGATTTGCTGACTCCGGATACCAAACCAGAAGATGGAACGTCAAGGCAAGAGGTCGAACCGGACTACGCGAGCGGCGATGATACCGTTTCTTGGATGGACGTGACGTCTTCTGGCGAAGACGACTCCACAATAGACGGCACTGATGAACCAGCTTCGGATGCGTCCACTAGCGACTCCTGGGAAGCATTAGCAAGCAATCTCTCCAGTGACACCAAAGCCAAGCTCAACGACTTCATTCTCCAGGTCGCCACCGTGAGCAAAGACTTAGGCACCTTTGCTTCGCTTGCTCTCAGCCCTTCTGGCTCTTTCTCCCAGAAACTCTCGACCGCCCTGGATTCCCTACAAACCATGAATCCGACTGACGAGGCCGGAATCCTCACGTGGCTCACCGATAACGAAAGCGCTGATATGCCGTTGGATAAACTGTTTGCGAAGTTGGACGGGGCGAACGTCTTGTCAGCCACAGCGGTTTTGCTGGACGTTGCGGATACGGCGAATGCGTACGCCCAAACCCCCGAGGCAGAATGGGACGATAGCCAGATGGCAGACTTCATGAATGCAGTGAAGAAAGCCGTGAAAAGTCTCTCAGTGGACGAAGAGGCTGGTGATCTCGGGTCACTGAAGCGGCAGCTCATCAAGAAGAACGAAAGGTCGGATATCCAGCCTGGTAGTCTTCTCCCTGAAAGCGCCCTCGGCGACTTCATCACCCTCTTCCACACCATCAGTCCCAGTCTTGAACACTTAGACCCCTCCACCCTCCAAGACCTAGTTTCGATTTTCAGCGATGATAGGCCTACGGAACAGATTTCGCTGGCTTTCTCGAAGTGGGTAGAAGAGCACGGGCTGGAAGGTCACGAAGACCAGCTCAAGCGCTTCATCACTCAATATTACTTTCTCCTCAACGACATCTACCCGAGCTTGACGCCCGAACAGCAACAGAAGCTGGCGGATCTGCTATTCGATGGGAGCGAGGGCGCGCCGGTAAAGCGGGAGAAAAGGCAAGGGCCGCCACAGCTCTCAGATGCCGATGTGAGGAACTTTATTGAATTGTTCCACGAAGTCGCTCCAAGCCTCACCCCTATCGATCCCTCGTTGCTTGAAGAACTCGCAGCCGTCTTTACTGATGCGAGAATCGACCCGAACGAAAAGAAGCTGGAGATGGCGAAGAAACTGAGCGGATACGACGACAAGCTGAAGACCTTCATCATCCAGTACATCTTCCTAATCACCGAGATCTTCCCCACCATGAGCACAGATGCGCAACAGCAACTCATCGCTCTACTTTTCGACGGCTCAGGCGACATTCCACTCCTCCGCAAGAGGCAAGCCTCCATTCTCAATAACGGGGATCTGAAAGCTCTGCTCGAGGCAACCCTCAGCATTGTCGGTCCAGCGCTCGAAAGCCTGGATCAGGCACAGCTTCAGGAACTCCTGGCTGTGTTTTCCGATTCGAGGATCGATCCGGATACGAAGAAGTTGATGATGGAAGAAAAGCTGGGAAGCTTAGACAGCAGGGTCAAGAGCTTCGTTGTGCAGTGGTTCTTCCTGCTAACGGAGGTCTGGCCGCTGATGACGCCGGATGAGCAGAAGGATATGCTTGCGATTCTGTATGACGGTACGGGCGCAGAACCTGTGCCGGGTAAGAGGGACATATCTCAGACGACCAAAGAATATCTCGCCGCCGCGTTCGACCACTTCGGAGCTGCGAAGCGGGATATCCTTGATACGCCGACGGACACCCTCAACAAGCTCAAGACGTTCATCCTCCAATGGTGGTCGCTGATGAGCGTGTTTCTTCCCCAGACCGCGCGCGACCAGCTAATCAACCTGCTCTTCTTCAGCAACGATACTGAGCCGCAGCTCCGCCCGCGACAGGAGACGCTCCCGCTGACGGAGGAAGACGTCCAGAACTTTATCGAGCAGCTCCAAGCCAACGGCGGTGCCGTCGATAGTCTCACCGAGGAGCAGCTGGAAGAGTTGGAGCAAGCGATCGAGGACAACACTGGCTCCACCAGCCCATCCGCCGACCTTAGTGCGCAGCAGTTGGAGGCTCTCTTTCTGGTCCTGCGCACATTACTATACGCGGAGGCGATCAAGGACATGTCGGGAGAAGATTTGCAAGGGTCTATGAGCGGCAAGGTGAAGCGACAGGACCGACCAGACCCTACGGGGTTCGGTCCGCTGGATGCGTATATCCACAAGAACGATAAGGCGGCTCTGGACAAGTGGCGCTTCGGTGTTCTAGATAAGGACCAAAGAAACAGCCTGTACAACTTCCTCGCTCAAGCGACGAATTGTGCGTTATCACCAGAGCCGAGCAAGCCTTGTCTGGAGAAGGTGTCAGTGGCTTACAAGAATATCTTCCCTGAGAGTGGTCCGGGTGGTCATGGTGGACACAGAGGCCCGGGCGCCGAAAAGCCACCACCAAGGATGCCAGACATCACCAATAGCGGCGGCGGCGGCGAGGGCTTCGAAAGCGCAGGCGAGACACTCGACACCTTCAACGACACCGAAACACCCGACCCATGCCCAGATTGTGTGGTTAGTACGCCCCCATCGAAGCACTATTTCCAGCTCGTGAACCCGCAATGGATTAACGATCTGCGAAACTTTGCTATTGCCGCAGCGGCACATCACAAGGCTCCGGGCGACCACTCGCAAGCGTACGTCGACCACATTGCGAAGGCGTTGAAGGAGAGCTGGAAGAACCTTGACGCTGATACGAAGACCGCGATTCTGAATGTGCTGGCGCCGTGTCCGGGCTCCAGGCGGCCCCATTGCGATGAAGCTCCTTCATATGGGCACGGTGATCACAGTGGAGGACCTAGAGATCGATCTCTGCCGTCACCAAAACTCCGCCTGGGAAGAAGAGATTGGCGATTTGGCGTCCCGAAGGATAACCCACTTCGCGCCCTTGACGATCTCCCTGTTGCTGAAGCCGCCGACGCTTCTACACCTGCGGTTCTACCCAAGAGCCTAGGGAAGAATGGACAGCCAGATAGTATGCTCGGCTCTCAGATAACGCCTTCTGAGAACGTTGCCGGCGGCGATGATAATGATACTATCGTCGGCGAGCTACCCGATTACAGCGACAACAGCATTGCCTGGAGTAGCGTGGAGCTCGATGACGACTCCGTAGATGAGGCGAGCCCGGAGCTGGTGAAGATATTAGACGCCCAGGATGCTGAGGCATATGAAATTCCTCAACCAGAATCACAGCCGAGCACGTGGTCCACTCCATCATCCTCTTCATTTCTGGAAGATGTCGATGAGTCGATGGGAAGCCAAGACTCTGCCATCGAGAAGCCGACTCGGATTGATATGCCAGATGATGCGGACTCCGAAGACTACAACGGCGACCCTTCGGATATCATCGAATTCCTGGATAACTACTTTCCTGGGGCGGATGAAATCCCCACTCATGCGGATGAGAATGCAAAGGCGCCGAAAGTCATCGATCTCGATGCGCCGACCGGAAATAAGTTCGTCGACGCGATCAAGCTCAGTCCGGCGGAGTTGAATGAAGTTTGGGCTTCTGATGACTAACGAGATATCGAAGGGGTTACTGGAAGATGAGAGGAGAGATAAAAGAAGCTGATTCCACTAGTTGTAATGCTTGATGAAGGAAAAGCGTGAGATGATAATCAGATTTGTAGGTAAGTGCTGGGATATGCGATATGTTTTCTAGTTGCTTGGGATGCCATTGTTCAGAATCCGAGCTTGATGTTGCTAGTACGATGAGTTATTCCTTATGAGCAATGCAATTGGTCATTTTGAGTCGATGCAAGGGAATGAACTTGTCGCGAGAATTGCTAGCGCAGAAGTGACTTAACAAGAGGTGAAAGGACCGAAACCCGCGTGCTTTCTTCCCCAGAATCCGGGGTAGACTTAACTTAGCTCTCCTGTCAACCAGCACCTTGGAAGACTGCATCCAAGACAGATGTCCTCTTTCGATTTTGGTAGGGCAGGTCTTGCAGAGTCGAATTTCAGATGTCTGGTCCTCGGTACGCTGGGTCAAAGGCTAGTACCCGTTTGGTGGCGTAGGCTCCGAGAGGCTTGCAGCTCCACTTCCCGTGCCGGAGACATTTCCTAATGCGGTAAACGAATGTCGCATTTTGATGTTGTAACTCGGCGAGCTGGGCAATGGCGCTCCTGAAGAACACGGGACGGAACGGGATGAAATCGCGCGGAAAATTGCTGGGATTGGAAGGTCGATGAACCTCCCGCCTGGAAGGACACTCCTGCACGCATGGTAATTTTCAGGAATTTGCTTTTGCGATAGCGAACTTGTCGTTCAAAGAAGCTCAGAAGCTCGGGGAGTGGCACTGTTGATCCTCCCGCGAACGGCCGTGTGCACGGGTTTGCAGCCATGTGGCAGCTGGACGTCGAAATGCCGATGAAGCCCGTATTCTGAAATGACAGGCAACGGAGCAGACGCCACCGACATCTTTGGCGCTTTCTGGAATTTCGGTAGAATATAATAGTGCGTGAGAGCATAGATCTTGTGATAACAGCCCGTATCAAGTCGTCTCTAAGGCGAAGGCAGTGTATAGGAGGTTGAGGCTGCCTGGAAGTCTTTGCCCTATACAACCCTTCAGCACACCCTCATGCAATCTCCGTGCCGCTGTGTCCTGGAAGTCTAGGAAGCACGCTGGTTGAGAATCTGCAGCATCTAAAGTGCAAAGCTAGAGGTCATTTCCGTGTCTGCGCTGCAGGAAGTAACTTCAAACGATCGATGAAGAAGGTACGGTTTGGTGGGAGCGCTTCACCTCCGACGAATGCATTATTCGACCACCGTGCAAGCCCGTTCGAATGGAGTTGACGAGGCTGCAGGTGCCTGGCCCTGGGAGCTAAGCGTTACTTTAGGCACTGCATGTGCATAGCGCCTTACGACGACGCTGCCACAAGTTGGTGGTTGGACTTGCGCATCGGGACGGAATGTAGGGGAGAACTCGAGAGCGCTTGTTGGTGGATGTTGAAGTTCTAGATCTCCCGAACTAGAAATTTGCTTATGATAGCAGAGGGCCGGAAAGAAATGCCCCTCTCTGGTGATGATCATTTCCCGTGCCATGAGAGCGTTTTCCCTTTGGCGAGTGGGGAACTTGCGGAGAACCTTGCGACTGAGAAGGGAGCCATTGTTGTAGTCTACCTGTTCACGGCTCGATATTGAGTTGAGTGGTCCAGCATATGGAACTGCGCAGAGATGACCAATGGTTCATAGCTTCCGCGACGGCGTAGTATCTGGACAAGACTTCATCGGACAAAGAGCTCTGAGGATTGAGAAAAGCAACGTGTGCAGGATAGTGAACCAGGACCATTGCTGCGGGTCGGAGGTGTCCTGTATGGAATTGGCGCCGGGCGTTGAACGAGGGTAGACAGCTCAAACTCAAATCCCGCGTAGGCATGAACTGCATCCTCCACCTTCTGCGGCATCCCTGAAGCTGCTTCCCCTAGGTAGTGCGTGTCCCCATGGCGAAGAGATGCCCGAGACTATGCACCCGCCTGGGACAGCAATTCCCCAGAGTAGTTAATACGCATGGCACCGAGAGCGCCGCAAAGACGAGACCGCCTGTTCATCTGGGTTGCTTTGGACGTATTCGGAAGAGCCCTGTTGCCTTCGGAATAACTTGACCTTGCACCATTCCATGTGCGCAAGGTGGGCAGGAGAGAGATCTGTCGAATCATTGTTGGTGCTCATTCAACACTGACTCGAGTGGTGGTAGCAAACGGGATTCGGCATGCCATCTCGGCTTTGAAGTGGGAGGAATCGGGCCGTTTTAGGACGGTGACATTCACAATTCTCAGCGATGACACGGTGTGAATCGTCGTGAGGCAGAACGACGACCCCTTGGTTCTCTTGCGTTTCAATGGATGCCATTGTGGTGGAGTGCCCAGTCTATGGTTTGCTGATCGTGCAGTCTCGTAGGGAGCGATGTCATCGCATCTCGTAATGCTTTTCGAGGTTGCCGGTCAGCGATCGTGCGGCACGGAGAGTGAGGGAAATGTCGGCACAAAGGAGAAAATTCGAGACAGATGGCCAATCAGAGGGCGGCACCAACGCGACCGCTAGTTGCAGCAGCTACTGCAGCGACGGGCACAGCCAGCCTATTCCCGTTAAAAAGCGTTTTTAGTGAAGCAGCGGCCAGTGTGTCGGATCGGCATCCCGCGAGTCGGCTGCATGCAGGAACCCAACGTCCAAGACTCCAGGAGGCGCCGTTGTTTAACGCGTGCGAAGCATGAGGGGCCCTGAGCTATTCGGAAGCGATATCTGAGGGCGACGGACTGCTGAAGCATGCGACTGGCCTCCGTACTCTGCGAGCCACCCAATAGATAACGGCGATTCTGACGAAAAGACGCGAGAACGCACACACGGGAGGGATGATGATAGGGGAATGGTGAGCGATGAGGCACAGTGATCAATCGGAAGGAGGCACCTGCAGTTTTCGCCAGTGGGGGGAGGAACGCTAATGCGCTAAGCCCGAAAAAGCGAGCAGTCGTGCCGCGCACAGGATGACGCGCCCGATGTCTTCCTCGTCGCCCTCTTGCAGCCCAAAAGGTTGAGCCACCTCACTTCGACACGCGCCGGCAATATACGCGCCTCGCACGCGTCCATTGGTCCTTGCCCGTCTTCCCGTGTCAACCCAGGAACGATGAGCTCATCATCCTTCGCATGAAGCCTGAGCTGTGGCTGTGAGCCCTCCCAACGTCGACCGAGACTCTTCTGCAAGGCACCGCAGCATCGACTCAGCTCCGGATGTCCTGACCTGTGCCGGAGAAGCCCGGCCCGCTCTCGCCCAGCCTCGACCTTGAACCCCACCGCTGGGGGACCTGAAGAGGCCAGACAGGTCTGTGTAGCTGAGGGTGCACGGCAGCAGACCCTTTCCCACGAACTTGGATCCTTTTCGCGTGTATGACACCGTCCGCGCAAAGGCACTTATTGCCTAGTCCACGTGGAATCTCAATGCGAACTGTTCATTGGGATCTCGTGCAAAGCTGAACGCTCAGCGGCTGCCGCTCGTTCGAGCCTGTCGACCAGTCATCATCGAGCATCGCCAACTGCCCCTCGAGAAGGACGAACACCCTACTCCGCCGGCGTTTCTTCTACGCGTTCTGTAGGACAATGCGACTTCTCTGAGAACGGTCAATAGCGCCAATTCGTCGCCCTCGAGCAGCTGTCGCAGCCGAGTCGTCAGCACAATCTCGCCGGTACGTAATGTCTGATCCACATTGAGGCAGCTGGAAAACTGTTCCTCGCAGGCACCGTTGATATTGCCCTGTGGACCATAGCTATGCACGTTCTGTTACCTCTTTAGGAGTGCCTAGGCCATGCAGAGAAGCATCTTCGCTGCTCGTCCTCCGTCGCGCTGAAGGCTCCGCGCTGACGGCCGGCTGAAAACCCGCGCAGAAAGTCATGCGTCTTCTTCGTGGGCCGCGGCGCGAAGGGCCTTCAGCGCCTGCGAATCACGATGCCCGAGCTGGACACCCCATGGAGGCTGTCGTGCAAGCCCGACGGCACATCCGCCCAGTCCCATCGCTTGCACGACTCCTGTTCCTGGCCCCGACTTTTAGCACCCTGGACCTGTCCCGCCACCATTGTAATCCCGGCCGCTCTTGCATGCCGCCCTGGCCTTGGCCGCTTTTTAGCTCACCGGCGGGACGTGCGCCCTAGACTGGGGCGTACGAGCACAGCAGGGGTCGCTTTGGTCTAATCATTCTTGGATCGTCGCCTGCGTAAAGGACCACCAAGGCGGAGCTCCAACCAGAATTCGCCCACACGTTAGGGCCTTCTCCTGCGGCCTCGGTGGGTCTCTGGAGCATCTTCTCCGCCCTAGTGAGTCTCTCGTACTTTATTGTGCTACGTCCCTCTTTTTACATTCCCTCGCTTTGGACTCGTGAGCTTCTGCTACCGACCGTAATTCTGTTCCTTCTCTTGCTTCCCCTCCGAGCTCCCCGCACGTTCGACCACACCACTACGACGACCTACACCGTTTCGTTTCCTATCTGTCACAAGTCTTCGAACCTTAATTGTCCCTACCGTCGACGGTTTCATCTCGCGCATAATCGGTGTCACTACCATCTCGAAATACCATAGTATCGCCGAACTATCTTCAGTAACCATACGCTTCTATACCGAACCCGGAACGACCGTTCGCCGGAACAGCACCTGCCGACTGTTCATTCCATATATCTGCTTGGCCGGCGGAGCATTGTTGAACCCATTCCTATGTCGCACACACTGTCTATTTGATCTGGTTTGAGCCATCCTCTACAATTGAGAAGAGCCGGAATGGCAAACGCGACGCTATCGTCCCCGCTGCGGGGACTCTGCCCACCACCGTTCTACGACGCATCGCAGTTTGGAAGTGGAGGATGTATGTGTTCCAAGCCTTTTCTCGGGGTCAGAGATACTGACTTCAGCAGTCGTTGATGGACGATTCTGCGCGCCAGTCGACCAAATAAAAGCAGGTCTCTTCTGCTGTCTGCCCTGTCCGGCCACAGACTACCTATACCCTCCCGAATTCAAGAGCTATTACCGTGCGGCAGAGGTTCTCAACCTCATCGGCCTGGTCTGCTTAGTCTTTCTGCTGGTGTCCTTCATCTGCCTTCCGGCAGAGAAAACACGGCGACATTATCTGAGTTACTGCTTGATCATCGCCGCCATACTACTCGCGGTATGATGGACACTCATATGTTATGGATATCCAATGCTAATCCCCCAACAGCTTGGATTTGTGGTTCCTTTTGGAACAAAGCCTGAACAGTGCTACGATGAGATCACTCCCAACGACATGTTTTCGAACCTGACGTGCGCATTTTCTGGCGCTTTTCTCGTCTCAGGCGGATTGTCTATGGCAGTGTGGAGTGAGTCTACCCTAGGGGGCGGGTATCGGTCGGCGCATACTGACTACTTACCAGTCTTCATTCGCGCCCTTTCGATGCATCTTCAAATCTGCTGGGACTACATGCCTGGCAAGACATTCTTCTATGCGGCGCAAGGCTTAGGCTGGTCCGTCGCTGCAGCCTTCTTCACTGCCACCATCACCGTGACTGGAGTGTCGTTCCGGTTTGGCGAGGTTTGCCACGTGAACTCGGCCAATTCGATGAAGGACTTTTGGGGCCCTTTGCTCGCCATTGCTGGCGCCGCAATGGTCGTCCAATTGGCCACCTTTGTGTACTGCATCAAGGTCTACCTTCAGAATATGTGGAGCGACGACAAGACCGAGACGCAAAGCAGCGCTGGCCTTCCATCATACACGACGAGTGTGCGGACACGATCCGCGCGTGTAGTATATCGGCGTGTCCGCAAAGTCGTATGGCTCCAGTGGAGAGGCATCACCATTGTTGTCTTCATCCTGGTCGATGTCATCTTCTTCTCGGTCGTCTTCATCTACCTCAACTCCGTCAGCGGCAACGCGGTCAACAACATCGAGAAAGCTATGCCATTCTTGCTCTGCTTGATCACGAACCCGACCAAGCTTGACAAATGCTACAGCTTTGGCCAAGACTTGTTTGTCAACCAGTCAACGGTTGTAGCTATTCTGATCATGCTCTCTGTAAGTCATGCACTGCCGTTTTCTTTACGTTTTGTGCTAACTCTCCCGACAGCTGGCCGGTATTCAATGCTTCATCCTCCTCGCCCGCACTTCGATGTTCACAGCATGGCTGGAGCTCTTCCGCTCCAAAGTTGGCTCAAAGCGAGAATTCGTGTCGCTAGACGCGAAGCAGTACGGCAACGAGACCCGACCCTACGAGTTGCAGAAGTTCGCGGGAAGCCCCTTGAAGTCCCCTATGAGCGCAGCGACCAGCCCCGGCGCAGAATACGACCCTTTTCGGCGATCATACACAGGAACACCGGACTACTTCACAAAGGAGACACAACGCGAATACACGACTCCCTCACTTAGCTTCTCAACACCGCGGGCACCATCACAGGCAGCTATGCGCGTAGAATGGGATCCGCGGGCCTCACACGCTAGGGGCGGCCTTGGGCTGCATCCCCCAGTCCTAGAGGACGACGACGATGATTACACGAGGAACAAGATATGAGCGCCAATCTAGAATCGTTTATTCTCAAGCAAAACAGGTGATGATCGCTGAAGAGTTTCGAAGAGAGCCTCTGCGGATCTGCACCGTGCCTTGCGCCTGCATGATCTGCAGAGCGGCTCTAACGGCACGAACGTTGAGGGCGATATTTTACCACTACTTCTCCCGTCCCGCGCTTTCGCGCAGGGACACAAAAGCACGGCGTCGATGAAGAAGAATATACCCGAGACTCATACGAGGGGCCTCAACAGTCGCTACAGTCAAGGCGCCTGGGCGTTGCAACATCCCGGATAATGGATTCGGGATAGCTTTCTGGTATAGGGACGCGGCTCTCCGTGACTCTCCAGCTGGGAGAAAAAGTTGGGGTACGCGCATCAGGCACGGAGTTCTGATTGGAAGAATTTTACTGGATATTATCCTTCTCCCTCTTCGCTACCACCCTTCGATTCATCCGGTACCTACTTTAAGAGCATGCTATATTCGGCAGCGAGCAACAAGTCGCTTCGCTTGCACATTTCCCCAAGGTTTGGGAAGTTAAGAGGAGGCTCAAAGCATCAGCCCTATAGCGGGCAGGGAAAGCAGAAGCCACCATGGCAAATTTTTCACATCACCTTATTTTCGCAGGACTACTGTTGTCTTCGGTTTCGCGCCCCGGAGCTGGGCTTCTCTTTTCTTTGGTCGACTATTCCGACCGTCTTGTCGCTCGTCTCATGAGCTTGTCGCTCAGATCATCTCGTATCGTCCCGCATCATGGAGCCATCTACTCCCAAGCCCACTACGGCTTCGACTGCAGTCTTGACTGCATGTCTCGACTGCATAAAAGCCTCAGGCTTCATGCCAGCGCTGCATCACAGCGCATCAGGGCTTCGCTTACCAACCCCATCAAACCAATAGGAAAAAAAATCCAAAAAATCTGAAACAAATATCGCAGTCACCTCATATGCAAGCAGCAGGTCTTTTGTTGAGAGTCACGTCGCGAGCTGTTGTGTCACGGTGAGCATTGTGCCTTGCAGAGGGAAAGGGTCCTCCGCTAGGGGTAGAGTTACTTTGGATAAATGCAGTGTGTATGGGGGCCTTGGCAGGGCAGAGACGCAATGAGCCCCAGGACCTCACGTCAGTGTTGAAAGTAGCGCCCCAGCAAATGATCAAAGGGACCCCAAACGCACGACCGGGGCGGAGCGGTACCGGACGGGAATCTAATTCGAGTCTGCACCGTCCCCAGTCGAAGTCACGCGTCTGCGTCTGCGGTAGGGAGATTGGAGTTTTGGCCTTTTTGTGGACATCAACCGATGGCAACACTCAAGGAGAATTGATACGGCAGTTGCAGAAAGCCATCATACCCCTTGAAGAGAGAGGTTACTCTTGGGAAGGCAGGCAGAGTCGAATTGGCTTCTCACGCGATGCCGCATCTTCCCTGCGTCTTCTTCTGCCTGGTATTGGCTTCAACAACCGACGCTGACGGCAGGCGCTCTCGTAAAAGCGGGAAGATCAGGTACAAATTACCAATGGGCAGGGCGGAACACGAGCTCCGGGGAAAATCGGTTGAAGAGAGACGCGGAGGAGAGGTGAGGTTGCGCAGCCCGCTGCCGTCTGCCGTCTAGTGCTGACTGACCACATTTCATTCGCCATGCCGGTTTCGGACCTGACAGGTTGCCTTGCCCCGGATTGTCATTATACCATCACGTTATCGTTTGATCGCGACAAGACCTTTGCTAAGGACTCGTCGATTTGCTAAGGAAGCGCTGTGATCGATGGCGGAAGAAACTGAGTCGTATTGTTGACGTGCAGTCACACATGCCGCGAACTTCTTCCGCCGGCCCGGTTGAAGGATTCAACGCGCAATGGGGCACACGACTCGCCGTCGTTCTGGAAAGACGAGAGAAGCAAGTGTGCACGATGGTGGCACGGAGGCTACGCCTGCGGACGGAAGTGTTGCCGATATTAAGAGCCATGGGTGCGCTGGGCTATTTTCGGGATGCCGAACCAGAGTTTGGAATGGGCTCGGTTAGGTGACCGGTTCTGGGTACCAAGGCCGCGTGGTCGTGAAGAAATGCTAATGTTAACTTGAATTATTGCCGTGGGTGGTGCTTAGGATGCACACGCGATGGGACAGGGAACAGGGAGTGGGTAGCGGGAGGCACGGCTGGGCGCGGTGCGCTGCGAAATCGAGATGGGGAGTCGGGACGGAGCAGCATGGCCGGCTAATAACATGGCTCTGTTAAGGTTGTATAATTTTCCCTCGTGAACGGCGAGGTGGGAGTTTCTCTGTGTCATGTCAATTCTGGTGTTTGATATGCCGATCGACGGAGGAGAGAAAGCTTTTGCTAACGTCCAGGGTCCTTCCTGCGATTCTTACAGTACACGCAAACCTCCTCCGCATGAGCTTCGCCTATGCATGCGCGCACCCGCCTGCATCACGATAGGCTTTGACGCGGTGTGATATGATATTCCCAAAGGCCTACGAACAAGCTGGTTGGTCGACAGCATGACAATTGATGTGGAAATTGGAGCGCAATTGCAATTGGAGCGATGACGGTGGGCGAACGCGTCTTCGACACGCCGCTAGCCCACTATCTCAAATGACGTTCATGCGGTGGAGACGCGACCGCTGTCGACGACCCGCGTGGAGGCGCGCGTCAGCATCAGCATGGACGCCGTGTGTATCTACTGCAACGTTGCCTCAAAGGACAACTCGGCAGTCGGATGGCGCCGCTGTTTGACAAGCTCTCGGCACCTCTGCGCCGGTCCCATTGTTCGTGAAACCGTGGGGCATGTCATCGGTGTACTGAAGGAGAACTGCTCTGTTAGCGCGTTTGAAGATCCTTTCCCCTGGCGCGGGTGTTCACGATGCAAAGGCATGCGCTTGCTTTTTCGAACGTTCGGCGAACATTCAGTCTGCTGCATGCGTCATGGTGAAACACGGGAGGGGAGGCCGTGCATGAGGTTGCAGAATCGGTGTGCGCTCACGTGCGTTATCGATACCGGAAAGCGCAAGTCAGCGTCCGGTATGGCACGTCTGTGGTGGAGCATCGCCGAGACTCCGGGACGCATCTGGCTTACGTCTTCCAGCCACCGGATGGTGAAGGTTGAGGAGGTGTAGAAGTGACTTCTGTCCTCGCAGGATGGCGACAGCAATGCAAGTCGCGAAAGATAGAACTGACGGATCAGATTAGGCGGGCATGACCCACCCGATTGGTAATCCCGCCATTGGAGGTAGATCTGACTCCATTCTTCTTCGCACACTCGGTCGACTTCATCTATTCTTCTCACTCTGTCTCATCCTCTCAATATACAACTCTACTCAGTCCTACCTTTAACACACAGCCCCTTCGTTACCCTGCAGAATCGCTAACACAAGGCTCAATGGTGGCAATGGGCGGGGGACCCGAGTACCCGCAACGGGGTGAACACGAGCGCGAGCTGCTGCTCTGTGTACTACCGTGGCCCGAGAAGGCGTCAGAGAAGGTCATTGGCGAAATCAGAGATGAGTTTCCGAATCTGGAAATGCATTATATCGCCCAGACGTACGAGGACCTCAAGACGGGGAAGACAGAGGTCCCGGAAGGTAATACGCCCTGCCCGTTACGCGCGGTCAGCTTCTGTACAACCGCACCTTTTCCTCTGTCACGTTCTGCTCTTTCATCCTTGATCAAATCATTCCGTCGCGTTTTTGCTCATTTCTCGCTTTCCGTCAATCATTCTATCCGTCGTCCGTAATTCTTACTCTCCGCCTGCAGACCTCTGCAAACGCGCCAGCTATCTTGCAACACTATCCTGGCTTCCGCTCCACGTCTCTTCGGTCCCCAACGTCAAGTTCATCCAATTCTACTCCGCTGGAACCAATCATGTCGCAAAGCATCCAATCTACACGGACTCCAAGATCCCTCTCTGCAGTGCTTCAGGCGTTCACGGCCCCCAGATTGCCGAATGGGTCATCATGATGGACCTCGTGCACAGTCACAAGTACACGATACTGTACGACGCCCAAAAGAGGAAAGAGTGGAAACAGAAGGTCGGGATGGAAGGGGTGAGTGATAACGTAGGCAAAAGAGTGGGAGTCTTGGGTTACGGGTCCATTGGCAGACAAGGTGAGTGGCGACGCTTTCATATATGCGTGTCTTGCTTTCATCTGTGGAACTCGGTGCTGCAGTTCTTACGTCCGCCTTGTACACATGCTTGCTCGGGCCTTAATGGGGCCAGCTGGCTGTTGAAGGATTGCTCTATATTGTATGCCTTCATCGGTCTCCGAGGTCGTTTCAAGAAACGCCGGACACGGACTCCCTTCCCACGAAACACCAACGGCCCGGCCGTTTCCCTCGCCGCCTAACGATCTCGCACCCTCAAACTCAAAAACACGCAATCGCCAGGATGCCCATCCTTCCGCTGTCGCACAGAACGCCCAGATCCTTCCCGGACTGCGCCTCACCCTCACAGTTCTCCTGCTGAGCTGACACCCTCGGACTCGCCGCTTACATTCCCCATTTTTGCAATGTTTCCCCGCATAACACACCTGCCTTATTGAGCAGTCGAGCGTTTGGCTGAGGGTGAATGACTGACTGACTGTGCCACAGTCGCGCGTGTGGCGAAAGCCATGGGCATGGACGTGATCGCATACACGGCATCGCCACGGCCGACACCCGAATCCAGGCGCGATGGGGGCTTCATTGTGCCCGGGACCGGAGACCCCGAGGGCGAGTACCCAAGTGCGTGGTTCAGTGGCCTGAACAAGGACAGCCTGCACGAGTTCTTGAAGCAGAAGATCGATCTGCTGGTATTGAGTGTGCCGTTGACGTGAGTTACATTTCTTCTATTATTGCTCAGCTGGACAGGGCTCCTAGAGCGCGGGGAGCACTGACAGGCGTTATCCCTCTGCGGATGTTTCAATGCACGGGATCCGCCACACCCGTCACAATCGGTCCTGCTTTACGAGATCATCCCAGCCTAACCCCACAAACACGCACCCGCATCACAAACGCGCGGCGACTTGCTAACGCACGCCGCTTCGCAGAAAGGAAACAACGCACTTCCTGTCCACCGAGGAATTCGCCCTCCTCAACGAGGTCAACCCCGCCGGCACCTACATCGCCAACATCAGCCGCGGCCAGGTCATTGACCAGCCCACCCTTGTTAAAGCTCTGGAGCGCAAGCAGATCCGCGGCGCAGCACTTGATGTTACGGATCCGGAGCCGTTGCCCGCGGATGATCCGCTCTGGACGGCGCCGAACTGCTTGATCACCCCGCACGTTAGTGGCAGCACTACCGTCTATGCTGAGAGGGCGTTCCAGGTGCTTAGGGAGAATCTCAGACGCGAGAGAGATGGAAAGCATTTGGTGAATGAGGTCGATAGGGATAGGGGTTACTAAATAGAACGATGGCTGCGCTCAGGCCTGTAGAGGGGGGATTTCAGCAGTAAGACGGCATCTGGTGAGTGAAGTTGATAGGGAGAGAGGCCATTAGGAGGGTGAAGCGTCGAAATAGATGTGCTAGAAGAAGGATGATTGATGATCATGGGGTTATGAATGAACATATAGAACCAAGCGTACACTACGGGAATAGCATACGGAGTTTTGTCACTTGTTGTCCTGTCGGGTTAAGACCCTATTCTTGCCTCAATCGTTGGTATTACCAACGCCGCGCCCACACTGATATCTCGACCCCATGAAGACCTCGTGGACTTTAGAGGCATTCCCAAGTTAATTCATTCTCGTGAATTTCCGCCTCTACTATTTACTCCGGCTCCTGATCCTTCCACTTCTCTCTCACAGCCGCGACATCAATCTCACACATCTCAGCCCTCTCCAACACAGCCCTCGCCTTCTTCACAACCGGCACATCGATCATCTTCCCATCCAGCGTCCACGCCCCCCTCCCCTTATGCGCAGCCTTCTCGTCCGCAATCACCACCCGCGCCGCCCACTCGACTTCCCTGTCCCCCGGCGCAAACGTCCTCTGACACACCTCAATCTGGCTCGGATGAATACACTGCTTCCCATTGAAGCCCAGCCCCTTCCCATTCACACACTCCTCCTCCAGCGTCTTCAGCCCCGCCTCGCCCTTATACGCCGTGCACACGAGATCGATAGTAGACGGCAGCTCCGCCGCGCGCGCCGCCGTCGCAATCGCACTGCGCGCATACAGAAACTCCGTCAGCGCCGGCGTCCGCGTAAGCGACAAGTCGTTCGCGAAGTCCTCAGCCGCAAACACAAGGCCTGACAGATACGGCGACGCGCGACAAATCTCCGGCAGGTTCAGCACCGCGCGCGCGGACTCCACCAGCGCGATGATCGCCAGCGGCGGCTTCTCGTCCCTATGCACGCTCTTCGCCGCCTCGCTCGGATGCCGCTCGGGTAGCACGTGCCGTATCACGTCCGTCACGAAGTGCAGATCCGCGGCGCTCTCGCATTTTGGTAGCATGATGGCGTCGATGTGCTCGCCGCGCAGCACGGATGTGAGGTCGTCGAGGGCGAGCCCCGTGGAGACGCTGTTTATCCGCACGCAGAGCTCTTTTATCCCATGGGGGCGCGGGCGAGAGAGGATGTGGTGCAGGTTGTGGCGCGCTTCGGTTTTTAGGTGCGGGGGGACGCTGTCTTCGAGGTCGTAGGCTAGGGTGTCGACGTGTAGGGAGGCGGACTTTTCGAGCATTTTCTTCGAGGAGCTGGGGACTGGGGATTGTGTGAGCTGGATGCATAGTGGAGAGGGAGAGGGTGGGGGATTGAAGTACCGTACCGTACATGAGCGCCCTGCGGATTATAGTTCGAGACGTGGCCATTGTGAAGGCCTGCGTCTATGTATCTCGCTCTGCAGGCGGCAAAAAGGAGTGAATCTTGGTTGTATCGCACTCAATTGCTGAAGGTCTGTCGCGACAGGACCTCGGAGAGCTCACCTCATGGTACGCGGGGAAGCTCCGACTCGCCGACCGACGCGGAAGGAACACGGACCTAAGCTAATGCCACGTGAATCTTAACTACCTCACCGAAGCCGAAGCTTCCCCAGCTGCAGCTAACCAAACACCAACCCGCACGCATCGACATGGAGACTGCACAGCAGATGCCCGCGCCGGGCAGTTTGAGCTGGAGGCTCAGCAGCCATCCGATCACGCTCCTCACGTTCCTATTCTTCCGGGTTTGTACGTTATGTTCCCCAAGGCTCCATCTTCCTGCCTTCGCTCCCACTCCAAAGCTTAATCAATACACCTACTAACAAACAACGCCCTTACAGCAAGCCTCCTAGTCTACCTCTTCGGCCTGCGCCTCTTCACCTCCAACTTCGTGCTGATCTTCATCATCACGATCCTACTACTCGCCACCGACTTCTACTACCTAAAGAACATCGCGGGGCGGCGGCTCGTCGGGCTGCGCTGGTGGAACGAAGTCGACACCGCGAGTGGGGACAGCCGCTGGGTGTTTGAGAGCGCGGACCCGGAGACGCGCCAGATCAACGCGACGGATAAGCGCTTCTTCTGGATCGCGCTGTATGCGCAGCCCGTGCTGTGGATTCTGCTCGCGGTCGTGGCGCTCGCGAGCTTGGAGTTTATCTGGTTGACGCTGGTTGGTGAGTCTGCTCTGCTTTTGCCTTGGGAAGGGGGTTGAAGGGCACGCTGGGATGGGATGAGGTTGAAGGGTAGGAAGGGGAGTGCGGATGGGGGCTGACTCTGAGGATAGTTATCGCACTCGTGCTCACCATCACCAATGCGCTCGCATACTCGCGCTGCGATAAGTTCAGCCACGCTACCGGCTTCGCCTCGAATGCTATGTACGGCTCCGGTCTCGCGAGGAATCTGGCAAGCGGCATGGTCAGCAATTGGTTCAGGAGATGATCCCCTCTGGGGTCGCGGTTGACAACGGTTGGAGCGAAAAGCACAGGTATCCTTGTAAGAGTACGCATGCGGATAATGGGCATGGAGGTCTTTGGCGTTTTGGAGGAAGGGGGAATATTAGACAGATATCCTTGGTTTCGAGAATTTGCAACAGCCTTCATACAGAAGCGCTTGCGTCACATCGGAATGCTTTAATCTACGATGGTCCTATCTTGAGACATGGTATTTATACAATAGCCAGCTTGGCTACGTTTAGGGGATATTTCAGTATCTACACAGTGATCATGACGCTAGCGTTCTTATACCAGCTCAACAGCGGGTTCTCCCCGTTCTTCGTTTGCGTCTCTTCAATATCTGCTCTGCCCCACATAAAGTCCTCGTGCGAATATGTGCGCGCGAATCTCCCCGTTATTGCTGTGTACATAGGCTCCATGACCTCGAAGTCGGTTGGGAAGAGTATGTCGAAGTAGCCTTGGTGGACCTGGACAACCGGTATTAGCACTACCGTACGGCTAAGTAAGGGGATAAAGGGAAGCTCACAAGAGGCGTAGAGACGGGAATCATCTGCCTCTTATACCTCGTCTGTACCACCGGCGCATTCAAACCTTCCACTGCGTCGCTTAGCTTGTTGAAGTCGCTGCTGATGAGCTTGTGGTTTGGAAACTTCGAGTACAGAATGTAGAAGAACTGCATCAGCCGCGTGGGTATGTACTCCGGTACACTGAGCGACCCTCTGAAGGGTAACAGGGAGCGTAGATTCGACACGATCCGCGAACCTTGCAGCGGATGTGGGTAGGATTTACAGGCTGCGTGCCGCCTTTCGAGGAACTGCGCTGCGACCGGGTCCAGCGTGCGAGAGTAGTATTCGAACAGCTCGCCACGCGGGTCGATGACAACGTGCGACTGGTACGGGCTGCCGGTCTCGTGGTCGTACTTCAGCGCATCGTGCGCAAAATTATCGAAAACCTCCAGCGCAAGGAAATAGCACGGGCTAGATACGTACTGCTCCCAGTCGAAGATACTCCTATTGACAATCTCCACTTTGTCCGAGTGCCCCCTCGCATACGCGCTCTGTCCGAGCCCCTGCTGCTGCAAATGCGCCAACTGGCTCGAAATCTCAATGATCTTGAACTGCGTCCGCTCATACACCTCGGGATGCACGTCTCTTATATAGTCGAGTATATTCAGCATCATGGTACCATTGCCTGCGCCCATTTCGTAGATATTGAGGTCGTGGTAGGGGTAGAAGTTGTACTTGTAGTCCTCGACAAGGTAGCGCGCGATGGCTTCCCCATAGTAGGGGGAGAAGAGCTCGGTGGGCGTATGCCAGAGCTGCCGCAGGTCATTGGGTTCTTGGTAGTCGAGTGCGTCTTCGAAGGAGGTGTACCGCTGGCGGAGCTGCTGGAAGAATTCATGCTCTGAGGCCATGGAGGTGAAGTCGAAGGGATCGCCGGGGGAGAAGATGACGACCTGCTTGGAGAAGTAGCCGTAGTGGGGATTGTAAAGGCTGTCTGGGCTCAAGTTAGCTTGTTTATAGGCTTCCTGTATACCAATTGAGGCCTGACCTTCTATAAAGTCCCGCAGCAGCATCTTCACTCTTCGTGGTCTTTCTTTCCGCAGCTTCAGCATATCTGCCGTGACCATTGGATACCGATCAAACTCTTCCGTCCTTTCATGTGGGAAGACGTTCCTCCGCGGCTGCCATCGACTCTCTCTTCTTGTCTCCCCCTCACCTAGCCGTGTAGCCTTTCCTCGTCTCTGGATATGCGGGCAGCGGGCGGTCGCGAGAGCGGGTCGAGCTCCGCGGGCAATACATTGCGATGCGCGGTGGGAGAAAAGCTGGCGGAAGAGCTGCGTGACGAGGGGCGAATCCATTGAGGCCCGAAAGCCCGCTTCTGGAGAGAAGGGCGGATGGTGGAGCTCATCACGGTGCGATGGGCACGTGGGTAACCTGCTCATGCCAAGCCACGAGCAAGGATATAAGCTTTATTCGGCTAAACCATTCTCCATCCTCCACCATCTTCTGCCTGTCTTCTCAATTCCAGAATGACTGACCATTCACGGTACTACATCACAGCAGCTTTTCTCCTGGGCGTCGCCTTAACTGCTGCATATCAGAATTGGAGTATCGAGCACGCATCCGAGCAATCTGAAGGACGCCTGAAGCAACAACAGAGACTAATATCTAAATTCTCAAAAATAACCGATTTGGACAACATAAAGAAGAGCCTTGCGGAGATTGAGCAGTCTCTAGAAAAAGGTGGCGGAAATATCAAAGAAGGCATCGAGGGATGCATTGGCGACACGCCCTTGATCAAGATAAAGTCGCTTTCTGAAGCTACAGGATGTGACATACTTGCAAAAGCGGAGGTAATCGAGGGCTGCAAAGATGAGCGTACGACTGGAATGCTAACCTTCAACGTACAGTTTCTCAATGGCGCCGGGAACAGCCCGAAAGATAGGGTTGCGTTAAGCATCATTCAGATGGTACGTCTGAGCTATACATGCTCATTAAAATTATGTACTGAGTGTACACAGGCGGAAGAGAAGGGACTCCTGATTCCACATTCCGGCGATACCATCTATGAAGGCACAGTTGGTAGCACCGGGATTTCACTAGCAGCTATCTGTAGAGCGCGAGGATATAAAGCGCATATGTGAGCTCAACCGGCTAAATATTAAGGTCTGCAACTGATGATGGTTGCTAGCTGTATGCCAAATGACATGGCAATCGAAAAGTCAGATCTTCTTCTCAAGCTCGGAGCCGAAGTAGAAAGAGTCCGGCCAGCGCCCATTGTGGATCAAAACCAGTTCGTCAATCTCGCTCGAACAAGGGCAAAAGAACACACAGACAGCCCCGACAAACCCGGGAGAGGGCTGTTCGCAGACCAATTCGAAACGGAAGCCAACTGGCGAGCGCACTTCACAGGCACTGGTCCTGAGATTTATGAGCAAACGGGTGGTTTTCTGGATGCGTTCGTCAGCGGCGCAGGTACCGGCGGCACTATTTCTGGAGTTGCGCTATTCCTCAAGTCAAAACTACCTGATCTGAAGGTCGTCCTTGCAGATCCTCCTGGGAGTGGCTTGTATAACCGCGTCAAGTACGGTGTTATGTTCGATCCTAAAGAAAGAGAAGGGACGCGGCGAAGGCATCAGGTCGACACTATCGTGGAAGGCATTGGAATCAACCGTGTCACTCACAATTTTGAAGTCGGGAGAGGACTCATTGATGATGCGATCAGGGTGACGGACGAGCAAGCTATCGCCATGGCGAGATGGTTAGTCGAGAACGACGGTATTTTCGTTGGCAGCAGCAGTGCAGTAAATTGTAAGCCGGGTTTGGAGGAGTTCAGCACTCTATCGCTGACAGAATCAGGTGTAGCCGCAGCGAAACTAGCGAAACAGCTCGGTCCTGGTCACCGAATCGTCACATTGCTATGTGACAGGTAAGTTGTGGTCTTCACAGTCCGAATGGAATGTCCTGACCCCTTCACAGCGGCGCAAGACACCTAAGCAAGTTCTGGGCCAGCACAGAACCTATCGGAGGCATCGAGAACGACGTGTCCCTTGAGAAAATTCTGGGTTCATGAGAGTCATCAACCCGTCATCCTACGAGTTCCTTCCGGATCCCGCCAGATACAGCTCATTTTGACTCCAGTTGGGGTCTTAGCTCGCGTGGCAGCAGCTAGCTGGGGTTCCTCCGCGCGTCCAGAGAAGAAATACGCATATCAAGGTAATACAGCGACCACAAAATCCGCCGGTTCTGCAAACGCGAGGCAGCAACATACCTAGTGCTCCACTGTCCCTTGGCCTCCGTCTCTCATGAGGCCAGATCACCACATTCATCCTCGTGGTGAAGAACATTGTGGAGTCCGCCACACGAGAACACAATAGCAATGTCACAACCCAGACAAAGGCCGCCCTCTTCACCTATTCCCGCGGAGTCTACATCCGCTCCGTGACAAAGAACAAAGGCATCTGCGCTGTTCTGACAATAGCCATTCTTCTCCACTTCCTTTATCTGTTTGTGTTCCGTTTATATATACAGGCGGCCTTTAACCGTGCTGTTGCCTGCAGTGTCCCGCATGCTAGCCATAACATTCCTATTGCCAAATTACTCTTGAGCAAATACGGGAACTGCATCAACAAGCTACAACCACGGCGAGCGTGTCTAGCAAGCACCACACAGACGAGGCAAACACACCAAGCAAAGCGAGCAAATCAACCCTCCACGAGAGCCACACCAACATGCGTGTATCCGAGCGGAACCCTGCCCTAGCAGAGAAGATTCGCCAAATGCGCCTTACCATCGCCCCGATATTACACGTCTCGACTGGCCTCCCACCCCCACACTTCCCGCCCACAATCCTACAACTGTTCCTACTCACGGAACCGCAACTCGACTCCTTCGCCTCCTTCTACTCGCAAACATCCCCGTCCTCTCCACACTTCTACGCCTACCCCCAGACCATGGACTTCTCGCGGCCATTTCTATCCACAGACCCGAATCTACCAGACGATTGCAAGCTCAACGATTTCGAAAGGCTGAAGGTGAAGATGAGGATGTTTGCAAAGTTCATTGGGATGAGGGGTGCGGAGACACCCAGGTGGGAGTATGAGAAGCAGGTCGAGCTGCTGGGACGGAAGATCGAGTGGATGGTGAAAGAAGAAGAAGGTGGGAGCGGGTGGGGGAGAGGCAAGGGATATTGGGGCCCTGAGGCGAGGCCTTCATAACCGCTATTTGAATACGGGATCTGCGAGGTCTTGGATGCCCTCGTGAGAACGGGAGGAACTCGCGGACTGGTAGGTCCACGTGATCCCAACATTCAATCCAGCATAGCAGCAACAGTGCGTCACATTGGAAGCAACATTGTAGAATAGGGACAGGGTACACTTGAGGTGCAACAATCTTTCAAGCGCAGTCAGGCCAAATGCAGTTCACAGGGTACGTCCCAAAGTCAAGGTGGTGTCTATAGCATCCAACATGATGCGATTCTTCCAATTACAAGCTCAGTATGTCTTCCATATCTCGCATACTTTCGTGAATCTTCATTCTATACCGCTTTCTGAGAATCTGATGGTTGTTCCGCTAAAAATAACAGTTCGACGTTCGTGATAAGCCGCCACGTGCTAGATCGGAGACGGGCCGGTGCACGCTGCCACCACGTGCGCCCAACCACCAAAAAAGCCACCCAACGTGCAAAAGGACCACCGCAAAGCCAAAAAAAAGTGCATAGTCCTGGTGGGGTTCGAACCCACGGCATCCGCATAACCAGATGAAGGCCATATGAGTCTGACGAGTCATATAAGAACGGCGCGCTACCACTGCGCCACAGGACTTCTGAAGTCTTGAATTCGTGGAATGCACTTCAAGGAAATTTTGACAATTTTTGATACTGCAAGGCTTATATACGTGTGCAAAAAGCTGACAGGGAGGGTGAGTGGCGGTAGATGAGTCACCGCAGTAATGTGTGATACGCATGAAGGGTGGCACAAGTTTTTTGAGCGATCACATGCACTTTGTGGGCGCGGGGCAACATGGTGGCGGGAGGGATGAGGGGTTGGGCCATCTGACGTTCCATGGGCCGAACGCCGTCCGACCTAGGGCGAGGCGAACCACATCTGACCTCCAACATCAACTCTACTTCACCACGACTGGGGGTTCGCACATTCACTCCTTCTCACAGATCTAATTCGGAGATTTGTATCAACAAGATAAGCGGTAGGTATAGCGCTCTTTCACCAGAATGACACCAAATATATTTGTCTTACAACACCTTTCCTACTTCCTTTCCCGCCCTCAGTTCCGGCGTCTTTCGTTTCTACACAATCGCTTTTTGAAGGAGAGCAATTCGCTCGTTTTTGTCTGCTCTGCAGGAGTATACTTTCGTTGATCAGTCAACATGTACATCTTCCCAATTCCAATTTCAGAGCAGCTCGCCGAGTTCCTGAGCGCCCATGGCATGACCTCACCGCAAAGCGGAGGCTGTAGTGGGTTCAATTGAACATGCTACGCGCGATGAGAGAGACTGCAGCGCTCGCGACGGCTTGCACATACGCTTACTCCCATTGAACACTACTAACAGTGGACAAGGCGCTCCCTCTACGTCCTACCGTTCGCTCTCCTCAGTATGACCATTCGCGCGGCCAAGTTCACGCCCGAGGTACTCCTCAGCGCACCTCGCCGCTCGGATGGCGTGCCCAACTCAGACGCCTCCAAAGTGCTGTACAGCGTCTCAACGTACAGCTTCGCGGAGCATTCCAAGAAGTCCGAGATTCGCGTCCTAGATGTCAAGTCGCAGCAGACGGCTCTGGTGACCGACGAGAAGGGCGCGAGCGAGCCGCACTGGTTGGACGATGAGACGGTGCTGCTGTTGAGTGAGGGTGACGGCGGGCTCACGAGTGTCAAGGTTGGACCTGCAGAAGGCTTTGGTAACGCGTATGGATGTTCTTGCGATTTATGGGTCTAGATATACTAATACCAGCACAGTAGCCATGTTGCTGGCACGATTGACGGGTCTGTCGGCAACGTCAAGCTCGTGCACATTGGCAACTATACGTATGCTATTGCCGTCACAGGGAAAGCGACACCATGCGGCGAGCTGTACAACCCAGAGAAAGAAAAAAAGCCGCACGTCACCGGACGCTTGTACACGTCCCTCTTTGTTCGGCATTGGGATCACTACGTGACGGAGAATCGAAACGCCATCTTCCTGGGGACGCTCACCAAGAAAGGCGACAAGTACCAGCTTTCTGAACTTAAGAATGCGCTCAAAGACACCGGCCTCGAATCTCCCATGGACGCTTTCGGCGGAACCGATAACTTCGACATTTCGGCCCACGGCCTTGTGTTCACAGCCAAGGATCCGGCTCTGAACCTGGCCACGCACACGAAGACTAACATCTACCTGATTGTATCCGCAGCCTTCTGGACTGATCTCTCCTTGAACATCTCAAAACCTTTCAAGGTACCAATCTACGGCTTCGAAGGGGCGAGTACGAGCCCAGTATGGGACAGCGTTGGGCAGCAGATCGCCTTTCTGTCCATGCAGACAGACGGCTACGAGTCAGACAAGAACCAAGTTTTCGTAATGCCAGACTATCAGCGACCAGGCTGGATCAACCACATTTGGGCTACAAATAACGGGAAGGGCGCATGGGATCGGAGTCCTCAGTCCATCAGCTGGGGTTCCAAAAACCAGCTGTACTTCACGGCAGAGCAAAACGGTCGTATGGACCTCTTCACGGCCACCTTGACTGGGCCCGGCGCACCAACGCCAGACCTGCTTGTTAAAGGCGGCACCATCACTGATGCGCGACCCCTCAAGAATGGCTCCATCTTCCTCTCCTCTACCAGCCTCATCGAGAATAGTCTGTACTCCCTCGTCCCTGCTAACTATCCCACCGAAACCAATGGCCTCACAAAATCCTACACCCTCCCCATTGACGACCGTCCGCACGACTCAAAGCCGGCCAATCTAACGACGATATTCGTATCCTCTAACACGCGCAGCGGCTCCATGTTCGGCCTCTCGCGCCGCCAGATCGATGAGATACATTGGCCCGGCGCAAACACCACCTCGAAGCCATCTGTTCATGCATGGGTCGTCAAACCATCCCACTTCGACTCGACTAAGAAGTACCCACTTGCGTACCTCATCCACGGCGGCCCGCAAGGCGCATGGACAGATGGATGGAGCACGCGTTGGAATCCGGCCATTTTCGCTGAGCAGGGGTACGTCGTTATCTGCCCTAATCCAACAGGTAGTACCGGCTATGGACAAGACTTCGTGGACGCAATCCAGGGCGAGTGGGGTGGGCTGCCATACGAAGACCTCGTGAGGGGTTTCGACTGGATCAAGAAGAACCTGGCCTACGTCGACACTAACCGCGCTGTTGCACTGGGCGCGTCCTATGGTGGTTATATGATGAACTGGATACAGGGCCACGAACTGGGGCAGCAGTTCAAAGCGCTTGTTACTCACGACGGCGTCTTCAGCATGACAGGCCAGATGGCTTCCGAGGAGTTGTACTTCCCGTTCCACGACCTGAAAGGTCCGCTCTGGCTCAACGCCCCCATGTGGGCGAAGTGGGATCCGTCGCGCTTCACGGGCAACTGGAGCACGCCGCACCTCATTATCCACTCAGAGCTCGATTACCGGCTCACTATTAGCGAGGGCCTTGCAGCTTTCAATGTACTTCAGGCTCGAGGTGTGGAGAGCCAGTTTCTCACGTTTCCAGATGAGAATCACTGGGTGCTGAAGCCGGAGAATAGCCTCATGTGGCATGAGGTTGTACTTGACTGGATCAATGAGCACGTTGGGCTGGAGAAATATACCAAGGCGCGAAAGAAGGCGCAGGAGACGTCGTCGGCTGAGCAACACATTGCAATGCGCTGATCAGAGGAAAGCGCACGTTCAGGTTTTCAAAATGGGAAGCTTTTGGGAAACTAGCTAGCATACAAGGGACGTTGGAGGCTACGTATATAGCTAGGATGGCAAAATGAGAGTCCTACTTTTCTCAGCAATCTTCTATCTCCCATCTCTTCCCGTCTTCGCTAGAAGTCCCAGAATAGCGCGCTTATCCCGAAACAGCCAAGGTGCATGTGGCTGGCCTCACAGCCACATCTTGGCACAGCCCTGGGAACGAACCACATCGTCAGCAGCTCCGGCACGATTGCGCAGCTTCGAAGTGTCACGACAAACACCATTCCTCCCCTCTCTAGTTATTCTCCCTTCAATCGCTATCTCAAGCATACCGTGCTCAATCCGTCCTCGAGCCCCCGAACTTCCTACCGGTCCATCGCATCTCCGCTCGGAGGTTATCAGCGCAGCTCCGCATAGCTGTAAACGCCAGACCTCACCTTAACCAGCGCAATGGGGTCATTAGGATCATATTTCCTCGATGTGGTGTACTCGTTCACGAATTGCATGGTGTGCTTCCCGGGGTCACCACAGCTCAAGATCAACAGCCGGAGCTTCAAGATACTGCGGCTGCTTGGCGAGGTCAGCGCTCCCTTCTTCGCTGCATATCCCCTTCTTCAGTTAGCTGATACCATGTTTATAGGGCGGCTTCTCCTACGTCTACCTCGTCCAAGACACCTCCAACCAGCAGCTCTTCGCCCTCAAAAAGATCCGCTGCCCCTTCGGCCAAGAAAGCGTCTCGCAAGCCCTCAAAGAAGTAGAAGCGTACTCGCTCTTCTCGCCGCACCCCAACATCATCCACTCCATCGATTACAGCGTCGCATCCGATAAGTCGGATCCCTCGGCAAAAACCGTATACATCCTCCTACCGTACTATCGCCGCGGGAACCTGCAGGACATGATCAATGCGAACCTGGTCAATCATACAATGTTCCCGGAAAAGAGGCTGATGCAGTTGTTCTTAGGGGTTTGCAGAGCGCTGAAGGCGATGCATCAGTATAAGATGAGGGCGGGGCCCGGAGGAGCGAAGAGCGAGGGCAAGGCGAAGAAGGTCAGGAAGGAAGCTGCGAGGGCGGATGCAGAGGCTGCAGAGGCTATGGAGATGAGGCCAAGCAGAAGACATAGGGAAAATGACGATGACGATGACATCGAGGCAGAGCCGCTTATGGAGGGTGAGGTCTCGATGGCCCAGGAGGGTAAAGCCCCTGGGGAAGAGCGCGCGTATGCGCATAGGGATATCAAGCCTGGTATGGCCTTACTGCCGCATCGCGATCGGATGTGAGCGCTAATGTGGTGACAGGCAACGTAATGATTGCAGACGACGGCGTAACCCCCATCCTCATGGACCTCGGTTCCCTCGCGCCCTCCCCTACGCCCATAACATCGCGTTCCCTCGCTCTCCAGGTTCAAGACACTGCCGCCGAGCACTCCACCATGCCATATCGTGCGCCTGAGCTTTTCGACGTAAAGACCGGCTCCGTCATCGACACGAAAGTCGATATATGGTCGCTCGGCTGCACGCTGTATGCGTGCTTAGTCGGAAAATCACCGTTCGAGGCGAGAAGTGATGAGACGGGCGGTAGTTTGAGCATGTGTGTGTTGGGCGGGGATTGGAGGTTCCCGGATGAGGGTAGGGGGAAGAAGAAGGTAGGGGAGGGCGAGATCGCCGAGAGTGTGAAGGAGGTGGTCAGGAGGTGTTTGAAGGTGGAGCCCAGCGAGAGGCCAGATGTGGATGAGCTCGTCAAGCTCGTAGAAGAAGTCATTGATGGTCTGCCGGACGATGGGTCGGAAGAGTGAAGAGGGGGTTGAGATAGGAGTTTCGGAATTTCCCTTGGGCATCTAAAGAGGTGATCCTCTTGAATCTCTTTGTGACACTGTCGTCTTCCGAGGTCACGAAGCGCGGAGTCATGAAGCAAGGCTGCGCGATATGTGACATTGGGCTGGGATGATACTTTCTTGTTCATGGCAGGACGCGCGTTCTACTGTCCAGATTATACCCTTATTCAAACAGGATTTTGACATACATGCAGTCCTACTATACGCTGCCACTATGAGTTATCTCGCTCTAGGTCTTCTGGTACAGGGACTCTGCATAAGCGGGAAGGCTGAAGTAGCAGTGATAGGTGTAAGTCTAGCATCGAGCAGTGCTTGCAGTCGCCAATCACCATCCGGCTTCCAGCACCAACACTCAGCTGGCGCCCCTCCATGCTGCGGACATTAGCGACTTGATGCCGCAAAGGTTTTTTGCATAGCCTAATGCACATGCTTATAAAAGCCGACTTATATCTCTCGATTCAAAGCTTAGATCTTGTAACCTTTCTCTTACCGGTCCAAAATTAACATTAAGCAGCTCAACGACCCCTGGCACGAAAATGGCGTCCGAAAAAATATACTTTATCCTCCGCACCCAGATCTACCATCCGGACGACTACATCCAACTAGGCCAAGTAATCACCGACCAAAACGCGCCGTACAAGCGCCTCGCTCCCCCCGCCGCTGCCCTCCTCACTCCGCCCTACAAACCCCGCATCTCCAAACAAGGCGACTGGGTAGCGACAAACACTAAAACGGACACACGCAGTCGCATCCAAGAAGCAAGATTACATTTTTAAATCAATTGAGAGACCGCTCTATCAGCCTCAAGACAGCTACATCATCGAACGGGAATTGCTGAATCTGCAGCTCCTCCGCCAATCCCCTGGGATCATCCAGCTTGTTTCCATCATTGCTTCGGGAAATCCCTATCATACAGGCAGATCAAAGGATAATAGCAATGTTCTCCGGGGATTTCTTTTGGAGTATCATACGGCCGGTACTCTTGAAGACGCGCTGGAAAAGAGTCATTCCCAGCCTGCGTGGAGGAAATGGCCCATCCAAATAGCCCATGGGCTTCAGCAACTGCATCGAAAGAACATTACACACATGGATTTAAAACCGTCAAACATTGTAATCGATTCTAATGGCGATGTTAGACTTATCGATATTAGCGGCCTTGCTACCACATATGAATGGACGGTGCCCGATTTGCGAGAACACCTCGACCGAACCTCTCTACCTTGGAAGGCTCCTGTCGACGATAGTTCCGCTTGAGAGTGACAAGAGGAGAGCCAGGCTTTTGAATGATATCGTCAGAGACACTACCAGAGAAAACCCCGAAGAACGATCCGATCTAAGTGCCATGATCCAGTCTTGGGAGGACGTGAATGGTAGCGAAGGTGGCACTATGCAACTGTTAACATACTATCCTGAACTACGCACTGCTTGTCCTCACCTTAGTCGTTTCTCTTGCGGCGTACTGAGGAGAAGCGAAAGCTTTGCTGCCTCGTATGGTATAAGGACTGGGGACTTGGCTTGATGTAACTGTTAGGCTATGCGAGCCCAGAGACGTCAACGGTGGTTGTCCCTAAGAAGGGGAGGGTCAAGAGGTGACGGAGAGGATGGATGCGTAAATGGACAAATGATTCGAACGGGAGAGAGTGAACAGCTGGCCTTGACAGATCGCGAACCTTTATACGTATCTTCCTACACTCTCGCTAGCGCTTAATGTCTCCCTATTCCCCCAACCTGCGCTCTCTAGTACCGTCCGGCATGGCTGCAGAGGTAACAACGGCATTTCGCTCATTATGCAGATGCCTGCGGATGTGAGAAGGCTTGCAGACGTTATAACTAGGGGCGTCGACCTAGGTTTGGAGTATTGTGAGCTACATCAGATTGTTCCTGCAGCAATCCTACTCTTGAGAACTAGCGATACTTGCAGCAAGCAACGCACACCCCATGGTTCGACGGCCGATGTTATTGGCTCGCTTCGTAAAGCCCCTCACCTACCTTGCTCGTCTTGTTCGTTTTCCCCACCTGTTCGTTTTCCTCACATGCGCTTATTCTTTAACGCCGCCTTTTGTCCTTTACTTCTTCCAATACTCTACCTAATCCTGGGCGTCATTCCGCCATGCAAAGCGATACGCCCACCAGTAACCTATCTCAGGACGCCCTATCCAGGCGAAAAACCTACACGAGGACGTGCTGTTTCATTGCTGCGCGTCGCGACGGCCTGTATCAAGCGATCCACTCAATAAGCTTATTCCTCTGGCTTTTCACACGTCGCCAACACTACTTACGAACTCCCGAGACGTCAATGCTATCATCCAAGATGCCTGCCGGCGGTACGAGGAGGACCAGTCTGACCTCTTCAGTGATTGGCAAAGATACTGCAAAGCCCTGGAGGCCCCCCAACGTGCAGTAGCCACATATGGTATGCTGGCTCTCCTCCTGCCGATTTAATACTCATCTCCCGCAGAGGGCGCAATATTTTTTGCGGCACAGGGCATCCCAGCGTTAAAGGAGCGAGATCCTTGGATGTCCTCGGGTCTGCACCATCTGCGTTTGTTAAAGCAGTTCACGTGCATCAACGAGGGGGATGAAAGAGGCTCCGAACGCGAACGCGGGGTTTGTTAGGAGGGCGAGCCCGACGCCTCAGATAGCCGTGTGGTCCGGGCAAGATCCATGGAGACCACTGAAGACTCGCCGGATGTCAACCTTCAGGCGACAAACGCATATGGTCCCGGTTCGACCCTGTCCCGACCGTCAACGGGGCCCACATACCAGGCAGGAGCAGTAGAGAGCGTCGGCCCCAACGCTGCAAGCTTCGTAGCTTTAATGTCTGTGATGGCCAAGCTGGAGAGTATTCTTAGACGCTACCTTTTCGAAGGTATGAAGGCGAGTCGCGTGAGACGTCAGGAAGAGGACATTTGGCGGACGACATTTACTGATGCTGTGCGCTTGCGTCTTGCCTATCGACCGGGCGAGGATTTTGTGTTGGTGTGGCTATATTCGCCGATCGGGTACGCCATTTCTCAAGCAAGGTCGGTTGAAGACTTGAGGGACATGCTGGGTGACTACCTTTTCGCAGCTATGGAAGCCAGTAATCAAAGAAAGGAAGAGAAGAGGAGGGGAATACTAACATGTACTGGCGGCGTAAACGTGTCCTTTCCCAACGGCAAGGACGGGGATAGCAAGCTGGAGATCATATTGGGTTTCGATATCGGCCGAAACATACACGCAGAAGCTTATCCTAGCTAAGTTTTTGGGACTAATTTGAAGTCCGTCCTGTCTACAACTGCACCCCACCCTCTAGGAAGAAGTATGTCCTCCTTGTCCTTATCCGTGTTCTAAGAGGTGACTTCTCTTACGCCCACACTTATACGGCCAGATCTAGCCTTCTATGACATAAGTCTATCGTAATCAACCGCTTTGAAAGTATGCCAGTCGATATATTCATACGCGCCGTTGTTGGTTCGGTCGGGCTAATTTTCTTCGCGTTAGAGTTGGCAGGCATTCGAACGTGTGCCGAAGGAGATCTAACCTTAGGCATCAGAGCGATAAGCTAGATCCTTAGCTGGATAGTGTTCTGGCGCGTATTTAGGAGGTAAGAGGCGGGGACGGTCGATATGTGATGCTTAAGTTTAACTCTTAATCGCGGAGGGGGTGTGATGCCTGGAAAATGCGTTAATATAGTAGATGGCGAAAGGTGCGGTAGTTCAAGGGCGCAACTAGGCGTACGGGAGGGAGGTTCGAGAAGCGCGCGCAGCGTAGGCTTAAAACGTTAAGCAACTTTATTAGACTGCGGTACAGGCGATTAACAAAGGCAAGCCAAGGAAAATACTGTAAGGGAGCGTATGTGTTAATAAGTCCGATAAAACGCATAATTGCTCTAGGTGTTGGTGCCCGACGGCGGGATCATATAAGATGCTCCCTGCCCTACTATCGAACATTTCCAGCGTCACGTGCACGGCAATAACCGCTTTCGCAAGTTAAACAGGGTACTACTATAACGTGCATTTCGACTTGTGCATGTCCTTTTTGCTAACTTGTCTGAGATCTTTGGAACGGTGTTTGAAGGAATTTAGTCGTCGCGGCATTTTCTTATTTACAGTATGGGGTAAATACGTAGGCAACGAGCAAGAAATCTAGCGGGAGAAAATCCTGTTACTTGGGCTTTGCGCCGTATGCGCGTAAGAATTCTACTGAAAGGCACAATCAGAACTCGTGTCGCGCATCCGTTCTCTCGAGCCACATAGTACTCTCTAGTCAGGACGTGGTCCTGCCTACCACCGAGCTTGCAGCTGCTCAACCCTCTCCCGCAAGCTTGTGTTTCCCCGTCCCTGGCCTGCGTCTCTAACCGTTAACCTCTCGTTTTGCTCGCCTGTGTTATCGTCCAGTCACACGCAATACGCCTATTAAGACTCTCCTCTAAGTCGCCTAGGCGTACTGAATAGGCCCTCGTGGAGGGGCATTAGCAGGTGCTTCGCAGTCGGAGGCTTTGGGGCGCTGGGAGGTTTCACACGAGGGATCTGCGACGCGTTAGTCTTAACAAGTTCTCATAGAAAGTGGATTCCTACTCCTCTCGGTCTCAGAGCTAGCCTGTCGAGCGTTTGGGACGCGTCCACATTGGTAGGCTGGATGTGGCCAATTTTCAGGGCTGGCTGCAGGTAGTCGTACGCGGCATAGGTTTTTGATGGAAGGACGCACCGCCCAAACGGAGGCTGTAGGTGATTTGGCGCCCCACGGGACGCACACGGGCCACATGCTTGGCGCATTCAGTGGGCTTGCACGTGGTCTTGTCGCAATCCATCGGGCACCAACAACCACGAAAATGTCTTCCAGCGTCCTGACCACGAAAGCCTAGGCATCTAGTCATTTGGGTGAGCATATCTTGATTGAGTGCGTTTCTGTCCTCGCTGTTTAAGTCTGCGCAAGCTTGCCACTGACCCTTCGTAGAGCCCGCTGCCCAACACGCCGACTCGCTGCCTCAGCGGCCGCCTGAGCGAGCCTAACGCCTTCCCGCGAGCCGTCACGTCTTCTGCAAACACCGCAAACCTCTCCCCGTCCCTCTCCCCGCCACTTATTATACCATGGCGGCCGCTTTCTGGAGATGGCTGGAAAAGAACGTGGACTGGGCGCGGTACGATGTCGTGCACTATGCCTTTCCGCCGAAGGAAATATTGAAGGCGGGAGGCGATATACTCACCACTATTGTCTGATTTGAGATTACGTTTTCCTCATACTGCCTGCATTCAACAGACTGGTCAGAAGCGTGCGATTTTGGCGCGGGTTCCAGCCGAACAGTGCTGCTCTACGCTCGTAGTGGCATTGCGGGAAGGCAACTGGTAAAAGATGAACAGAATAGGTTGGCGAACTAAATACAGAGGTGACCGTAAAGGACTGAGGGATGGTATATAATGGAGGCGCCCCATCCTCCGCACTCAGGGAATTGGCCATCTTCGAATGCGCACAAACAGTGGCGTTCCCATCCCACCATCGCGGCGTAATTGGGCTAACTGATCGGCTGTAATTCCGCGGAAAGGAGCTGTGACCTTAGTCGGAGTGACGACCTGCGCCTAGTCCGTAGTGCGAGGGCCAAATGCAGGATGCAGGCACCGACACATGCGTGAGCGCTCCACATGGGGAAGCGCTTGGAATGCGGTTCACCACGGACTCTCTGCCACAGGCGCCATGCCCTCCGGTTGTCGCACCAAGTGCACCACATGGGAAGACATCATATCCAGACGCCTCGATCCACGCGAGTACGCCTGCGAAAACCGTGCATCGATTTGGTGCACAAGATGCTTGGAGGATAACATTATACAGGTATTAGCAGGTATGGAAGAGAACATCGACTGATATTCGGGACTGAGACCCGTGGAAATACAAGGAGTGAACAAAAGGAAGGGTGCGCCCTGGTCAACAAAGGAAAGAAATACATGTCGAAGATGCGCGGGAGATACAATTTCGTGAAATGAGAGTTCCACCCGTCTAGGATCTTGCCATCGTTAGAGCACCTCGTCGGGGCCCAAGTCAGCAAGAATGACTATCTCTGCCTGTGCCGACCAATAGTGAGGCACGCAAACACCGAACGGGCCAACGAACCAGAGAGCCAACTCGTCTTAAGCTCTTCAATTTTCCTTGCAGCCTCCTTGACTTTCACGTCACGAGTGCTCGTACATTCGAAATTCTTCCGCTCGAACCCCGCCCAAGTATAAATTTCCTCTCGAATTTCCTCTACTCTTCGCCTTGGGTAAGTCCCATCCAAGGATTCCAGTACAATCACCTTAACCCTGAATACTCCGTCACAGGAGTAAACATCGCAAACGTCCTGGAGATATATTTTCGGTCCGGTTTGAGGTCGATCGGCGTTCCCAGGAGCAGAGTGTCCATCCGCGGAGTTTGATCGATGAAGGACGCGGCTAGGGGTAACCTGCTTATCCGCAACAATAACCTCTTCTTGCTCTTCTTGGGTGATAGGCTCGATCTCTCGCGTCTCCCGTATTAGTGTTTCTCCATGCTCGTAAAGGTCCTCATGGATGGAATTCGCAGCGGGGATGGCTCCGTCAATCTCCCGGAACTCTTTCCAGGGGATGTCTGCATAGTCGTACCACGGAGAATTCCTCCCTTCAAGGCAGCAACGGACCCACACTTCTACGCCTTCTCGCTTGACAGAATGGATATAGCGGACTGTGACCTACAACCTGTTAGATTCAACGAGATGTATTAATTAGAACTACATACTGACTGCGGGGTGACCTTTTCTTAGGACATCGCAAGGGCCAATGAGGAAGCTAAGGACACGGATGGAAAGAGGCTGCAGGAAGGCAACCGGTGAAGGACTGAGGGACGTCTCAGCTTTGTGAGGGAGGACGTGCATGATATATCAGTCACGGCCGTCTCGCCCTTTCCCAGTTTCGGGCGTTGCCGGTACGGAGTGCTGACGGAGCACAATCGACTGACCTCGAGAAGCGAAGCCACAGAGCGGGAAGGAGAAAGCAAAACTCGCAGGAACGGCGGAAAGGGAGCCGTAGGTCATGGCAGGATTAGCTGCAGGAAGGGAGCTGCGGAGAAAGCCATTATGGAGGTCGCGTTCATGGATTCTTCTTCAAGCGGCTTTCCAGCGCACTGTTCTCGCCCGGCTTCGCTGAAGACCAAGGAGCTAGAGCTAATGCAAGTACGGGGTATGTTTCCACAAGTCAAGCAGCGACTAGGAATGTGTGAAGTTTGCGCTATGCCGAACTCGAATGGACGACAGTTCGAGTCGAAGCCTGGTGACGTTAGCGCCAGGGGTGCTTGGCGGCAAAGAATGAAAAACGGCAGACATTTGCTAGAACTCTGATCTACTACACAGCGATGCCCTCCTTACAAAGCAAATTAGAAGCCTGCGACTACGATAAACTTACTTTAGTCGAGGTAAATGACCCGTTCCACTAATAGCGACGCTTGCTGACTCCTACTAGATATAACTTCTCCAAGCCGCCGCCGCCGCACTAAAACGTAAACCGAAGTCTTAAATCAAGAAGTTGAATAATTCGTACAAGCCAAAAAGTCTCGAAGAGCAAAGCAGAGAATGGCGCTCGAATCCATCTAATTTTCTGCAATGCAATCAGATACAGGAACAAAATGCAACCGCTAAGCTTTTCCGTATTGCGGATTGGCTCGACCGCAGCCAGGTTGTCAACCAATTAGCGAAGCGAACGATCTGTCTTACATTAGCAGAGCTGCATCCTAAAGGAAGCAATGTAAATGACTTATTGTTGCGGTTTCAGGCCGGTAGTAAATTTCATCATGAAGAGGAACAGCGAGTTACTCGAAAGCTTTATGAATTTCTCCGCGTTGGAAGCAAATGGAAAACAATTATTCAGCTCTGTGCACGACGTGGAAATTCCTGGAAGGAATCTTCAACTTACTCTGGTGCCATCTGGTTGTTATCGAATGGATCAACGTAAGTAAAATTCAAATCTGGTGTCAAGATGTTGACAATCCGTAGCTGGGAAAGAGCTACTGAGAATGAGTGCGAGCGGGCGATAAGTACTTTCGAGGAAGACTTCTTGACTGAGTGCAAGAATTATAGCCCTTCAGTAAACGCAGTCTTGAAGCATCTTAAGTATGAGGAGGTCGGCTTTGACTTCTATAAAGCCTCGGGATCGGTGGCTGGGACGCCTCTCACGACAGGCAAGTCCCGTTCTGCCTGATGTGCGTCCGGAGTTACGCTGACGCTTTCTAACAGCGCCGTCGTCGCATGGTTGCTCTCCTCATAGTTACGACCGACGGATATCCTATGGCGCAGTCGAAACAAATGCGAGTGACGACACCGACCGGGCTAAGAAGAGAGCGAAGATAGCAACAAACGACAGACCAGAAGCTGCTACTGCAGAATCGACTACCACCACAATAGAGGGTGCCTCGGAGGCTGAAGGTACGGATGATAACCCCGGAAGCAGTCGTGAGGAGGACCAAGAACGGAGAATCCTAGGTAAAGTCGACGCAAACATGTTATATCAGTTTCCGGACCTCGGTGGTGCTAAAGAACAACAAGATCGCCCCGTGCCGAGCCCAGAAGGGCATGCTGGCGACAGTGCAGCAAATGTAATCGGCGCTGACACACGGGTTTCAGTCGGTCTGGGTGTCATTCCTCGGTCCGAGCATGGCGGAGCCGAAGGTACTTCTACCTTTCCTCTACCTTGTTTCCCTCTTGCTCATCGTGCGCAGGCTACACCGCGACAACCAACGCGTATTCCCAAGAGCCCGTGTCCGACACAGAAGCTACTGCCAGACCGACTACCAATTCGACACAAGGTACAGATACTGTGGGGTCGGCGCTACCAGAGGAGTGTGATGGGAATGCAACGGCGGCGGTGGGCGATGTCGCCTCCGAAGATGAGCATTTCACGTATGCAAACGACATTGTGAGATTATTAGGTGAGGAGGACTTGCTTCTTTTAGGTCTCAGTCCGGATCCCTACGTCTAACCCTTCTACTCGACTTTCCGTATTGGCGACGTCGGGTGAAGGATTAACTCAAATGGAACACGGTCGGAAACCTTGAAGCGAACATTGCTTTCGAGCACAATCATCTCATGTGGCGCTAATTTGATACAATCGACGCCTTCTGCAGTCTTAACATCAATGCTGTCCTTTTCGAACGTATCCGTAGAATTTCGAATCGGAATGATAACGCCCGTTTCGTTTAGCGCGGTGGACAGCCAACCCTTTTGTTGTAGAAGGACAGTAGGCACATTCTTTGGTCGCTCCAGCTTTACTTCTTCCACTACCTGCTGAACGACGGACCACTGTAATCTCTATCAGCAATCCATTCCCACACTGAGGGCTCTTGTACATACTGATTCCTTGAAATATTCTCGACCTAAAGCCATACACTCGTCGCTCTTATCGTACTGAAAGGCGTTCCCTCCCTTCCACGGGGCTTCCCTACGAGGTACAACGTGTAAGGATGCAGCGACCTCATAGATTCGGTTATCAAGGTCTTTGGTAGTAGGCAAGATCTGATAAATGGGCATGGCGAAGTGGTAGAGTTGGGCCCTATATATATAGACTCATCAGATGGTGGATGTTGGCAAGCAGGGCGATATGCAGATGATAAAGCGCTGTACGAAACTTGGGTTGAACTAGCTGTTGGGTAAGCGGGGCAACGTCGCGTCACAAGAGCACGGAAAAACAATCCTCCCGCGCTTGGTCTTTGACACAACCGTTGCAAAAACCTTATCCGCACCATTCCATGATAGAGTAATCGATTTCTCATTGCCTATGAAAGTCATAAACCTCCTCTCGCCATGCTCCAGTCTCTCTCATTTGTCTGTAGAGCTCTGGGAAGTATCCAAACCCATCCTCTCCCTATCGTTATCAGTCATCGGTGGTAGAATCGAATTCGCAAGGGTTGAAGGCTCTTGATTACGGGAGCTGTTCTGGCCATGGTTGGCTTCTCCATTGACTGTCCGGGGAGCACTGTCGCACTGCTGCCCCGAAGGCTGGGGGTGTTGTTTGGGGTACGGCTGTTCGATTGATCGGCGGACATAATATTCTAGGATAGCGATGCTAAAGATGATCCTATATAAACGTGAGCATGCTTTCTAGAAGTGGACATTGCCCATCCTCACCTTGGTGATATTGCGGCGTATTAGGGCAATTGATTCGAGCTGCCTTGGGAGGAAGACGTCAACAATGGTGACAGATGACAAGACGTAGTTACAAAGAAGCGTGACGAGCGGCTGATGCTCCGCAGGATGGTGTAGATCGAGGAGTAGCTTCGAGAATGGAAGGTAAGGAACTCGCTTTTGATTGCGGACTTTATACGTCTCATCGCATCTACGCGCCATGCCTTCCCACTCCTTCGATCTGCACTACCTGGTGCTGTCGAGTACGGCTGCAGAAGCAACGGCGGCATTCCCCTCATTGTGAAGATGCATACAGGTGTAAGAGGCTTGCAGACGAGACGACGCTCGGCGTCCACTCCTCTGGTACTGTCGCCCATGGCTGCAGAAACAGTGGCATCCTCATTGCGGGATGCTGCAGGCATCATTTAAGGAAAGGCTGCGGAAACATGCAGACTGGATGGGCATGGAGTGATTTCGCTCCCGGGGAGATCAAAGAAAGCCACTCTATGGAGTCGCCCAAGTGTACACCTGTGGCTGCTAGCATTGGCTGTCACGTTGTTGCGATGCTTACCATAGCATAAGGTATCCAGCGGAAATAATTGGCTCGGTAATGATCTAGCGCAAAGACAAAACCTCAACTCCCTAGCACGGTCTAATTCTCCTCGCTTTTGTGTACATATTCATTCGACCTATAATGGACGGATCCTTGGACAACTACGACCCCCAGAACCTATCGCCAGAAGGTCTAGAACAGGCGCTGACCTCACTAAAGCAGCACTTGTTAAAGACCGAGGCAGCCAAGGTACTGCTGCCGGCGAAGGATTCGCCATTCAATCGTGCTGCGCTAGGGCGCCTACCTAGCTTTCTCAACCTCGTGTTCACCCCCGAGAGGCAGCAAGATCGAAAAATACAAGCCCTCCAAGCGTTAGACCTAACATCCTTAATCACCTGCGGATTATGTCTCACTCAGAAAAGCCTGGATACTATGAGAAAGGAGCTCTTTGACGTGTTCCTCGAGCAAGCCAAGATTACCTCGCGACGGAGCGTCGACGCCATCCTGAAAAGCGACGACGTTTATAAGGCCGTAGTAAAGGTGCGAAACGCAGAGTTCATTGTAGGTAAGGAAATATTTTTTATTATACAATTCCTATAGACACTAATGAGATTACGGAGTACCTCAACCTACGAAGAATATTAAGTACCTCTATGCCGCCTACTCTTCAGTATTTTTTGGATGGAAACTCTTCCTGGTGCTATTCTGGAGTCCCCCAGGCAGGACAGACCATGTTCCCTCGTTTATTGATGAGGGCCATCCCGGCCTGGTCACTACATTCCTACCTTCGGTAGGATTTATGGACGGCCTGATTAGGGTAGTGGTTAGGTTTGACTAGTCCCTTCTTCAAACGTTATTTGGATGGGCAGGTCACGAGATCATTGGCACAGGTACGTGATCCATAGACTTGGAGCGAGCAGGTTGCTAATTCTCGCAAGATCCATTTTCACTAGGTTGTGCTGTGAAGAATTAGGTTGCCTTAGCGTTTAGTAACGACGTTTTGCAAGCCCTCACTACGAGTCACATGTGGAGCCAGGACACTAGAGAGATCGAAACGAAGTGTCTGAAGGCAGATATCTACCCAGCGCTGCTTATGGTGATCAGTTTAACCGTTGGCTGGACATTATGCTACCAATTTGCGAACTCGGCGTATATATTATAAACACTTGGCTGATCCGCCTTTCGCCCTGACTTGTATACCTGGTGGTAGTTTCATCTGTCCACTGCCCACAGTCCTAAACAGTGTTGGGCCGCCGTGTCCTTCTTGAAATAGTATCTCTTGACAGGATTCGCACGCAAAGGTTCTTTCGAAGGTAGCTGGGTCAAAATGGTGGACTGCTCTCTTGTCCACATCCCCAAATGTGACCATTGTGGAATTTTGCCAGCGACTCTCCTGCAACGATTAGACCGAGCTTGGAACTGGTTTGTTAGACCATACCAGGTCCTCTTTTGTTACCGCCTCCATATCCTGTGCCGCTCTCGTTCGAATTTTAAGTAAAGGTCGATAGCAACAGTAACCGAGATAGTAGTGTCGAAGCTAGTGTACTGACTGTAGAAGGTTAGGCGGAGGTGGGCCCTAGTTAGTCACTTTAAGGGGCGCAATATAACGGCGATGGCGAAGTGAGAGGAAGGATTTAGAAACGCAGGGTGCGTACTCGTCTGGGATATGAAAGGAAGACTAGGGAATCTCTGTCAGCTGCCGGAAGCGAAGGATAGGATGGTTTAAGTGATATTCACCTCGACAACTGCAGAATGCGAACGGGGCGGGCGAAGCGCGAAAGGATCGTGGGCTTATATGTATGCCAATAGTGCTAGCACTACGGAGTACTGCGAGGGAATAAATGCGTCGATATGCTGATATGAGCGTTCAGGCGTTGGTGCCCAACTGGTATGACCATACGAAGGGGCGATGACCCATTCGGGTGGGGCAGGGCCCGATTCTTGGTGACGCAAAGACCGTAGGTCGTGGGCTGGAAACGATGTTGGGAATTTAGGGTCACTGCGGCTGCCATGCGACAAGCTCTCACGAAAGGCGGAAGGAGGAAGAAATGTTGTCGCAGCTTTCCAAGGTTGACCTCGGGATAATGTCATGACTGCCAAGACGCTAGTCCCCGGCTTGAGCAGCCAAAGAGCAAGCCGGCTTGCCCGGCCACTTAGCGTGAAAGCTGTCACGTGAAAGTATTAGGCTTGCCGAGGAGCGTAACCAGATGAAGTGGATTTTGATTAGTGAGGTCTATGGCAAGGTAGGAAGACCACTGGTATGAAGTTCTAAATACTGATCTAGCTTTTCGTCCACCATGTCCGGCGATCAATCAAACCCACCCCTGGACAACACTGGGCAACCCTCAGGCCCGCAAAGCAACTCCGTGGCCGTTAACGGGGGAGCCAACCAACGCTGCAGAATTTTCATTGCTGGACAAGGATCCTTCTTCAAAAGGCAAGGACATGCAGATCGACATGATGAGGGGTAGCGACCCGCTCCTTACATAATGCGGTTTCAAATTTGAAGAACAAAGGCAAAAAGAGGGAGGTTTTTCATCACTTCGCGTGGTTTTCCTTCATCTGCCCTGCAGGAAGAAATGTAGAATAGTTGCATAGCTTTTAAGAAGCTAGGTCAATTCAATGATTTCAAGCCAAGCCAAGGGGGAGCCAACCAGAACTACCAAACCCCAAACAGCAGTCCAAACAACACTCCGGGAAACCGAAGTGGTCCAACACAGTTAAGCTCTGCTTTACCCCCCGCATCTGCCGAAGATAAACAAGGTGGGAGGCTGGCCCTAACAACCCTCGCAGCAACTGAAGTCCTGAATGCACTTGCGGACTTCCTTAGGTAATGCGGTCATGTGATTAGGATTCATGTGATTCATGGCCTAGGTTCCTTTAGGCTTAGTACCAATTTAATCAAACTTGTCATCGACGTGTCCATGCATCGCTTTCAACCATCGTCACGTTTATGTTTCTACCGCCATATATACCAGTCCTCCCCCGCTATCCTCAAGTTTCTGGCGCCCAGAGTACCCTACGTCTGCTTCATGTCCCTATATACCGTTCTGCCTTCAACACCACGTCTAGACGAGCTCGTCGCCGCTGTGATTTTAGGCGACCAGTCTTCTCTCCCCACGAAGGGAGGCGCCGTATTAAATCAATATGCATGGCCGAGAGAGCAGGAAGTAGCGGTTAAGGAAGAGGTTTTCCGCAGGGTATGTACAAGAGGAGCAGCTCTAAGAATACTGCTAATCAAGATGTTTCAGGCCCGCGAAGTCGAAGCCGCGGTATCTTGGGCAACCGTGAAGGCTCCAAAGACAAAGCTAGTGCCGGTCCGTCTGATATCTGGAGAACTCACCACTGGGCCGGACAATCTCGCTATTCTTCTCCCTTTCCAACCTCGCGAAGTCCTCGAGCAGGCAGAATTGCAGACTTGGAGAAAGGGAACTAGTCGATGGAAGACAAAGTTAATGCCCGGCTTGATTTTGATCCACCCCAGCGTCTGCTTCATAATGCCAGACAATGTCCCCTTTGGTCCCCTTCTCTGTAATATACTACCGTCGGATAATGCCAAGCAGCCAGAAGGGAGCGAAGGATAACTACCGTGCTTGCGCCCATGTCCTCTCCCACCCCAGGATATATAGTGTATCCTCTTCGCGCAAATAATCGCTTAATCGTTTAGGTGACTGAGGGCTTCGCGCCCATTCGTTCAACTCTGCTTCTTGATTAGGTGTCCGCGACCGCTCGGAAGTACCGCCTGCCGCTCCATCGAGACCCTTCGCACCATCCGAATGTACACTTCGTCGACTCCTAGAATCGCTTGCGATTAGACGAAAAGGTGGAGGCGGCTGGTTCGACCCGCTGTTTGTCTGAAAGCCGTGCAGTTGCGGGCCTGGTGAATGCGGGGAATTGGTGTGGGTTTGAGAAGTGGTACTATGGGAAGTGCGCGCGACGGGGGAATCCTGCTGTGATTGCTGCGGCGCTGGTATCTGCCACTAAGTTTCCACCGCGTGACTATCCCTTTCAACGCTAGGTTCGTCTGCGTAGCCATGGGGAATCGTGTTCAGGTTTTCCGCTGGGCCTGGAATACCTTGCTGGGGAGTCGATCCTCCACTTATGGCCGAGATAACATGTAAGACCTCCGCCTCTCGCGAGCTCTGCACTATACTATCGTGCCACTCTCCAGCACTTCCAAGCACAGGAAACTGATGGAGCCTGTTCGGATGTCCAGCAGGACCTGGCGTGCCTCCGTATATAAGTTGGTGATTCGGAGGGCGTCCCGGAGCTTCGGTTCGGATCATTGGTAGAGGAAAGGTAGAAGTACCTTCGGCTCCGCCATGCTCGGACCGAGGAATGACACCCGGCTCGACTGAAACTAGTGTGTCAGCGCCGATCACATCTGCTGCACTCTCGCCAGCATGCCATTCCCCAGGGTGTTGCTGCGAATGGGATGAGAGCTGGGGGTGACCCGAATTTGGAAGCGGCAGGTCCGTCGGCAACTCTGTGTTTGCATGAACCGGGCTTTGAATCGCATTGGGACCTGGCGAAGGTGGAGAATCGGCGTGCGTTTGAGGTATGCTACTATCGGGAGTGCACTCGAGATGGGTTATCTACACCACAAATCTTAACACCTATTGAGCGCCGTCGTTCTTCAGCTCAAACCTTCTTCCATTTCCTGTGTGAGCGGTCTTTTGAGAGGCTAGATAGCGGCTAGACAGTCGCTGCATCCGCGGCGAGCAGCGCCCTCGCCTCCTCATGCAACAATAACCCTATAGTGGATCGCTCTCGAGCGGGCTATTGCGAGGGCGAGCTTTCCTGGCACAGTATGGAAAAGTTCCCGCTGAATGTACGTCCAGTACTGGTTTGATTCGCTCCAAAGACGCATAGTTGGCGGTTGGAGACGTCATCCACTCTGTTCGCCATTCGAGACTGCTCCCACTTGCCTCTCCTTTAGCGTCCCGCAATAGATCTACTCCGCTCTTCCTAGTTGCTGGCGCAATAATCGGTGTGAGGAGCGTAATCGCTGCATGCAGCGTACGCAGCCAAATGATGCAAGACGGCCATTCCAACCCACGCAGGAAGCCGTCCTGCTTCCCGCCCTCCCCAAACTTCCTAGGCTTACATCATGTCCGCACTCCGCCAGCAACTTTCCGGCAGCATGCATAGCAAATTAATCCCCGACCCTCAAGATACTTCGTGTGCTCCTCGATACATATAGTGGGCCACTTGCCTATACGTCCTCTTTTCGAGCAACTTCAATATAGTCTAGAGAACAGTGATAACGCTTTATTTAAAATCCTCTTCTCCTCCCCTTTCCCAAGATCGGCTTCTTCACGGTTCCATCGCTGACAATCTTCTTTGCACCCACTCCAGGGCGCTTGATCAACGGCCCGTTCTCCTCCTCTGCAATTCTCCGCTCTTCTCTTGCCTTATCCTCCGCCATCTTAGCCTCTAGCTCCGCTCTGCGATTGAACTCAATCTCCGTGACCCGCTTGTCTCTCGCCGAGTATCCCTTCTCCTTGATGGAGTAGAATACTGCGCCCAGGTCTGCTAACCAGTGCGGGTCGACGGATGTAACGCAGGACATGTACTCTTTCGACGTAAGGATAAGTTCGTGATAGACCACATAATCGGGCAGGTACCCGAGGCCGTATAGAGCGCTCGTGGGATGGAGTTGAATAGTGACGCTCGTACGGAGGTTTATGTATTCTCCGATGCCCTTGACCTTCGCAGCCTGGTGGTAGTACCCGGAGCAAATACATTTGCGTATGATATCCCAGTCCGTGCCGCAGCTGACAAGGTTCATTCTCTGCATCTTCATGATATCATGAAGTTGGTCGCGGATTTCCTTTGCTCGACGCAGAGCTTTCGGGTGCAGGAAGTGGCGGATACACCAGCCGTCAGAGTAGCCATTGACTTTCCATTGGGTGTACACATGCAGGAGGGTGAGGTGGTCCGATTCGGGGACGAAGAACTTTTCTCGCGCCGCGTCGGACTCTTCCTGGCGTTCCTTTGGGCGGTAGAAGACACTAGGAACGGAGAGCATAGAAACAATCGTTAGCATCTCCTCGCTGCATTCGTACTCGACGGAAGTAATGATAAGCTTGGCCAATGAGGGATCCATAGGAAAGGCGGTCATGGTTCGGCCAAGAGGAGTGAGCTCGCCGATGTTGTCTAGAGCACCTAGAGCCCAAAGATCGAAGAGTGATGTCGTGATTGTATCTTGAGGTGGCGGATCCATGAAGTCAAAATCTAATAGATCCCTCACCCCGAGGGACTTGAGCAGAAGGACTGTGTTCGCTAGGTTGGTGCGCTGGATTTCCGGGATAGTCTGGATGTAGAACTCATCGCGGAAGGCTCTCTCTGTGTAGAGATGAAAGCACTTCCCGGGGCCCGTACGCCCTGCACGGCCTGCTCTTTGGGAGGCGTTTGCCTGCGAAATTGGCGTTATCTGCAGTGTATCCATGCCCATCTTCGGATTATACACCTTCAACTTCGAGAACCCTGAGTCCACAACATACATAATGCCGTCGACTGTCAAGCTTGTCTCAGCAATGTTGGTAGCTACGATAACTTTGCGAACTCCCGGCGGGGCTCGATCGAAAATTTTGGCCTGCAAGTCCGCAGGCATTTGGCTGTAGATCGGGAGGATACTGAGCTTTGGTGGATCGTTGAGGAGCTTCAGCCTCTCAGCGACGAGCTCACAGGTAATCTCAATATCTTCTTGGCCTGTCATGAAAACCAGAATATCTCCGGGTCCTTGGGAAACATGAATGGCCAAGACCTGCTTGACGGCACTGTCGACGTAGTCTTCGCATGGTGATCGAGAAAACTGTATGTCGACGGGGAATGTGCGTCCTGGGATGATGAACTCTGGCGCCCCTCCGTAAAATCGCGAAAAGCGCTCGGCGTTCATGGTGGCGGAAGTGACTATTAGCTTTAGATCTCGTCTCCGAGCGAGGACTTTCTTGATAAGGCCCATAAGCACGTCGGTGTTTAACGCTCTCTCGTGCGCTTCATCCATGATGATGCAGGAATACTTGTCCAGATCCGGCTCCACGAGTGATTCTCGGAGCAAGACGCCATCAGTCATGTACTTGATCTTTGTCTCTCTACTGGTACAGTCCTCAAATCGGATAGCATATCCGACTAGACCACCAAGCCTCACTTCCATCTCTTCGCTGACACGTTTCGCAACGCTCATGGCGGCGACACGTCGTGGTTGCGTGCAGCCGATGAGACCTTGTTTGGAATAACCGTCTTCGTAGAGGAATTGCGTCAACTGAGTCGTCTTTCCGGAGCCGGTCTGGCCAACGACAATGATAACTTGATTGTCTCGGATCACGCGTAGGAGGTCCTCGCGCACCGCAAATGCCGGTAGGTACTGCCTCTGCTCTCGAAGTGTCTTGCTCTTGCTGAAGGCGCTCTGGCCTTCGTTGTTCTTCAGATATTCGGCGAATTTGCTGCCTCCTTTCTTTTCGTCCTCGCCCGGGACAGGGGCAGCACTGTCTGCGTCGTCTTCTTTTACGCCCATAATGTTCCCTAAAGTGGTCCCTGCCACATTTGTTGCCTCTTGCGCCTGTTTCTGGCGCTCTTTCTGCTGCCTCCTCTCCTTCACGACCCTGCTCCCTCTGCGACTGAAGACCGCCATGTCGCTCTGAGGGTCGCGGACAGCGGGAACTGGCTCCAGTTGCTTCGTGAAGACCTTCTTTCCATCTAGAAATGGAGGCTTGAGGTCGTGGACTAGTATATGGACTCGAGTGCCCTCGTCTTCGTCGTCGAAGTCGGTGTCAAATGTTCTTCGTTGGGCTACCCCGGACTGTAGCATCCGGTTTGTCTCCCACGCATCCACGTCCTTCTGCTTTTGCATTGCTCGAGCGCTGGCTCTGCTGTTCTGCTTCTTCTCCGTCAAGGCAGCCTCGCGCTGCGCGTCCAGCCATGTGCTCTCAGCGCCGCCAAACGGATTGTGTGTGTCATCTCCGAAAGTATGGCCATTTTCTTCCCCACCATACCAGTCTCGATCCAGCGCCATCGAGTCAAAGTCTTCCACCATGGGCTCCGGCCCATCGAAGGACCTCTGGTGGGGAGTAGAGCCTCCATCGCGAGGCCTGGGCGTATGTGACCGCGAGCGCGCCGGTGAAGCTCGAAGATGATCTTGTTTGTGGAACTTTGGCCGCGGAGCTACTGAGAATTGTTCGGGGTCAATCTTGCGCCTCTTCGGACTGTGACCTCTGTCCATTATGAGGAAAAGGGGAGCCGGCGGGCGGGAGTTGTGAGTGAGTGCTCTGTGAGGGTTGCGGCGAAAATATCGGGAAAGCGCGACCACGGCCGCCACAGTGTGGCTGACGGCTTGCCCCGCCACCAAAAAGTTTTGGAAATTTCCCCACGCGCGCTCGTGCATCTACGCAATTGCTTCACTTGCGAGCACTCCACATCCTCCAGCATGTCTATGATCACGGCGACGACGTGGGTGCCGCGCGGCTTTGCGGCGCCCTTTCCTACCAAGTATGATTTCAATGAGGAGGAATATGACCGGATATCGAAGCTTGCGAAGCTGCAGCTAGACGATGCAAAGGAAGATCTGGAAGAAGCTCAAGAAGAGAAAAGGAAGAGCAATGGCAACACCGGTGGCGCGAAGCTGGAAGACACAGAGTACGTCGGGCAGAGTAAACTTGTTATACCTGGCTAACCATGCGTTAGGGAAATCGACGATGACCTGAAAGAGTACGACCTCGAGCATTATGATGATGACGGCAAGGAGGACGAAGGCGGCACCGCGGCCATGTTCGGCAATATCAAGAATCTAATGTTTCACGATGCCAACGAAGAGGATCCATACATCACAATGGAAGGCGGCGAGGACGACGACGAGGAGCGCGAGGAGCTCCAGATATTGGCGACAGACAACCTGGTGCTGGCTGGCAGGATAGAAGACGAGGTCGCGCATCTTGAGGTATATGTCTACGAAGACGAGGCAGACAATCTCTACGTACACCACGATATAATGCTGCCTGCCATTCCGCTTGCAGTGGAGTGGCTGGATCTACCCGTCGGGAAGGCGAGCACAGGCAGCGATGCGAAAGGAAACTTCGTAGCCGTGGGCACCATGGACCCGGATATTGAGCTATGGAATCTGGACGTCGTGGACAGCATGTATCCTGACGCGATCCTCGGTCAGGGTGCAGAAGACGCTGCAAATGCGGAGAAACCGAAGAAAAAGAAGAAGAGGAAGTCGAAGAAAGCCAACGATGACTATCATGTCGACTCTGTCCTCTCCCTCGCTGCGAACCGCCACCACAGAAACCTCCTTGCCTCCTCATCGGCCGACAAAACGATCAAGCTCTGGGATCTGAACACTACGAAATGCGCAAAGTCATATTCGTATCACACAGACAAAGTATGCTCAGTAGCATGGCATCCGACCGAGTCCACGGTGCTCCTGAGCGGCAGCTACGATCGGACGGTAGTGGCCGCGGATATGAGAGCGCCCGAGGCAAAGGCTCCGCGCTGGGGCGTCGAGAGTGACGTCGAGACTGTTCGGTGGAACCCGCACGATCCAAACTTCTTCTACGTGAGTAATGCATTCAATACACGAAGAGACAGGCAGCTAATCCATCTCAGATCTCCACAGAGAACGGCATGATCCACTATCACGACGCTCGCAACGCGCCAACCGATCCCTCCAAATCTAAACCTGTCTGGGTCCTTCAAGCACATGACGAATCAATATCCTCCTTCGACATCAATCCAATAATACCAGGTTTCTTAGCGACGGGCTCAACAGACAAGCAAGTCAAGCTGTGGAACATCCAACCATCGGGCCCCAGCATGGTTGTCTCACGAGACCTAGGTGTTGGCAAGGTCTTTTCGACCACCTTCGCCCCAGATCAAGAAGTTGGTTTCCGGCTCGCGGTTGCGGGAAGCAAAGGCGCGGTGCAGATCTGGGACACGAGCACGAACAAAGCTGTGCGCGAGGCGTTCGCAACGAAGGTGCCACAGATGAAGGGCGATGGCAAGGAGCGGCTTGTGGGCTTGGACGAGGATGAGACGGACTCAGATTCAGAAGAAGGGGAAGATGAAGATGAGGAGGCGAACGGGGGCGAAGGGTGGGAGTCGATGGAGGAGTAGGAGTAACTATTGCGACTGCAAGTGCGCGACACGGTCGTACATGAAAGCCACTCTCGATGCGATACCCAGTTCAACAACTTGTCCCACGTCCTTGAGCCGGCGTATCCGATGCCGGATGATTCGCTGCCGTGACCCATTGGTGGTACATGTTGGACAGCATAGGCGGACTCGAAAACTCGAGACTACGTTCGAGGAGCGATGTCGGCTTGGGGTGATACCGTGGACGGATTTTCCAGATTAAGAAACTGAGCGAGGAAGTGAATAAGTTCGGTGCACCGTTTCGGCCAGCCAGCGGTGCCGGCAAGAACGCTTTCCGTGTGTCGCACAAGCTCTCGTGCAGCTTAGGAATACAGTGATGAAACCCGTCACGACCAGCCAAAGTATATCGCAAATTTAATGTCGATGGTTCAATTGCCAGTTCCACCAGGTTTTGGGGTTCCCCTAGGCTCCAGGGTCAATCAATATTTCCTGGTTCACAGAGAGCGCTAACAGCACCCAGGCCCGAGAATTGACTGTTGACGCTTGCGACAGCGCGACTCATGGCCGCTACTCCTCGCGCTCCGGTTTGAAAAGTGCGATGATGCGGGCGCCGTACGATTGTCACATCTGTTCTTTTGCAGATGTTTCGAAACGATTAACGCGGTGCGGCACGCGGGCAGGGAAACAGATTGGCGACAAAGGACAGAAAACATTCGCTACTCAGGTAGAGAACAGAGAGTCAGAAACAGAGTTTATGCGCCGCACGGCGCTGCAAGGCACACGGCGAGTGAGGACGAGTGAGGGCGGCGTATTTGGCGCCAGACAGCGTCCAGGCAAGTGCAGTCGGGCTGACTGATGGGAGCCCTGGAGCGGGAGAGATGACAGGCACGACTCTCCTGGTTCGCGCCACCCCCGATATCTGATACCTCGGAGCTTATTCCTGCGCCCGCTGGATGGCGTTGGCGGAGCATTTCCATCGTTCGAGTTTTCTTTCAGACAGGCGCAATTGCCCTCGCCGAGGCTATTGGGGAGGCAGTTCAATCAAGATGAAAGACCGTTGAAACGAACCAGCACTCTAGGGCGCCATGCGGCGCGCCGTGGACGGGCGAACAGGCGAAGGCGCCCCTGTCCTCCTCTGACACGCTGGCGCTGCGTCCCTGCGCTGTCTATTGGCTGTTGGCGCAAACAGGCCGCGGGCTAAACTGCGTCTGGGCGTTTCGACGCCGCCGCACCGGATGCCCCGGGCAGGGCGCACTGCTGTTCGCTGAGGGTTTGCTTGTTCCTGAGCCGGACCCTGGTGCATCCTTCCAATCTCTGCTCGACAGGTCGCGCGACTTCCATTCATGGACGCAGCTGGCCCACTCCGCCGTCTGCTAGCTTTTTCAACACTCGCCGCCCCTGCGCACCTGCCCTTCTCCCCAGAGTCTCTCGCTCCCTCGCCTCCACCACCCTCCCTTCTTTTGTCTCTGCGTGACCGCAGGCTTCACGACAGCTTCACTCCCTCTGTTCACTCCTTACGGCACAGGCTGGATTAGCCGCACTCGCCCCTTACGCTCTTTGACAGACGACCTTCTTTCTTCCCGGCCCTTTATTTCTATCCACGCTGCGAGCCAGCAACAACAACGGACAAAGAACGACAAAACCCACCAAAGCATACATACCACTCTCTGCATCTCGCCTTCTCTTCGACCCGGACTCCACGCACATTGATCGTGCGCTAGCATCCTGCGACTTGCTGTATCACACGTCCATCCCCGATTAAACACCGGGTTGCACTCCGACGGCGCACGCGCTCCCACGTAGCAGGCAGTGTGATCCACCCTTCCAGAACACCTCACACAGCACTGCGACAGACGCCTAGCTGCCACTCGTCAGGTGCTCGAGTGCATCTCACCAATCCCCCTCCGTCCATCCAGCGGGCCCTCATTGCTCGCCAATTTATCCGCGGCCGCACCCCGCAATTGCTGCACGCCGGAAAGCGAAGTCGCAATTGCCGCAAAAGGATTGCCGGGCCTTACACCGACCAACTGGCCTCTTCTTGCAATAACAGCAAATCTATCCTCAATTTATTCCGCCAATATGTCGATTGCTCGCGCCGTCACCAAGCGCATCAAACGGCCAGATGCGCCTAATGCCTCCTCCACGCTGTCGCCACCAGCCCGAAGCCAGAGTGTAAAGAGCCCTGGCTTGCAAATTGACCGCTCCAAAATCTCCTCTCCTGTGGCTTTGATCTCCACGACCAACATGCTGAGCTACAACGCGCCCGATATTGCAACCCTCCGAAAGACTTCCTCTTCGACTGCTTCGACTCATTCTGCCGACGACTCAGACCACAGCATCTCGACGCGGTCAAGAGCCTCCTCGCACGCGTCGCGAGAGACTCTGACCGATGCTTCCTCTGTGAACTCGTCGCCGACCTCACCGGCACCGAATCATCTCTCTGGATACTTCGCCTCAGCCAACAAGACCGCACGCAAGTCGGCGTCTGCAGGTAACCTACGCAAATCAGCGTCGTCAAGCAACCTCCAGCAACTAAAGGAAGATGTAGAGGAAGCCGTGCCTGCCATTCCCGAAAGGGCCCTCTCGCACAGCAAGCGCGCCCACGAACGGCTCGCCCAGAAGCGGTCCCTGCAGAGCATGTCGCGGCACAGCTCGGTGCACTCGACGCACTCCCACTCGAGCCGGATGTCTCGCGAGCACCGGACATCGCTCGACATGTTCAAGGCCACCATTCAAGAGGAGACTCATCCATTTGGGAAAGAGTTGGAGCAGCTCAACGAGGTCGCCGAGGAGTTCGGTGGTGCTGTTCGCGATGCAGAAATGGAGGCTGATCTCGCCATCATCCGTGAGAGGTGCCTCGCAATGTTCTGCGCAGCGGATTACCTCGCCGAAATCCAGCCGCTCTTCGCCAACAGGTTCGGCACCGTCCAAGCCCCCGCACCACTAGCTTGGATATAAGTCCTTCGCCCTCACACCGAGACCGGTTCTCTCCTATCTGGTTCTTGTCTACCCCATCCTTTTTGTCGACTCTCTACAGCTTCGATATACCTTAGACGACTACCACCCACCATTTGGCTTGTACATATTCCCCCATTTCTATTCTCGCATTCCTTGTGGCACCATAATTCCTATTCTTTTTCCTACTTATCAGGGCCCGGGCTGGATCGGAAGGAGGACGGCGTTTCAGGAAAAAGCCGTGGGCTTCTATCTACCTACTACTGGGTGACGTTCGACGCTCGTCTAACGTCTCCCGTCCTCTCGCTCACGACCTTCTATCTGTGTATATGAGTTATTGATCTATTGCGGTATCTATCCGCGCGGTGGAAGGAGGGTTTCTGCTGTAATGGCAGAGCATGGAATGCAGAACGTGGTTACGTGTGTTGGATGCGGAGGGAATCTCTGCAGATTTGGATACTGTAACGTGTGGTGCGGTAACACTTACCACCCCCACCACTACTCATACTACTACTTGAATGCTAGACGCACACTATACTACCTTCAAATCTTAACCTCACATGATTCTCACACTCTGCCTCCCTTTCATACGAGCCTGAAACCTGCCTTTGCGGCCTTGCAATCTTCAAACTCGGACTTTCCGCTTCGGGCCGGGATCAAGCTTGTGCGCCGTCCTTGTGATACCCTGCCCGCCTATCCTATCTTCCAGCCCTGCGCAAAAGCAGCAACCCCACCCCTCCCAACGCGCTCGTTCACGAGCTTGCATCTGCTGCTGATGCACCCGGCTCACGGCTCAGAGACATCCCGCCCCGCGGCACGCGCATGGGTACGGGCAAGCGGAGACGGAGACAAAGGGAAGGTGTCAGTGTCACGTAGAGCGTTCTGGCGTCATGGCGTCGGCGCGCAGATTCCGAGAGTGCAAACCAGGTTCGGCATGTGAGGTTGGGATGTGAGTGTATATTAAGCAACCCTCAGGGAGGGTACCTAGGTAGCGAGCGACGTGTTTGACAGATGTGGGGTTGCAGGGCAGGGTAGGGATGGAAGGAAAGCGGAAGGTGGAAGGAAGGTGGGGTTGATGGGAACCCTGGTTCATCTGATACAGGACGAGAGCGGTTCTCGGAGGAGAGGTTTCTCCGGGGCAGTTATTTTCTCCGGAGAGTTGTTTTGGGGTGTGATGTATTGGGCTTGGAGAGGCGGCCGAGAGATTCCTAACGTGGAGGCATCGTCGAGCTGCGTGTTGCTGGTTTCATGCGGCTTTTGTACCCAAGTATTCTACTTTCTATTCGGGCTTGCAGGCGCCCCAGGTGCACGAAGTGGAGGCGGAGGGTTCCTTCTTTGTCGTCTACAGTGGCAAGCCTATTCCACGACCAAGGTCCGCTTCTCTGCATTTCTGAACCACAGCGGCGGCGTTGGCGGACGAGATGATTCTCCAATACCCGCGTACAAACGGCAGTCGTAGCGCAAGTCGAACATTCCAATCCTTCTGTATGTGCTTCCGTCGCCGATAGGTTTGAGCAGAAGAAAGGAACATTCCCATGGGAAGCCTGAGTATGCGCGCCCGCGCGAATCCATCGTTATGGCTATGCAGTCTGCTAGATCGCTCGCTTGCAAATCCGGCTCGTCGAGGTACACATCGAGAACATTGTCAACATCCTTCGCTATTGGAATTAGCGCCTGTACTCCATTGGGTCCGCGGTCGACTAGCCGGAAATTCGGACACAGGCCGGTGAGCTTCAGCAACCTTGGAGCATCTGGAGATTCTGGAGATTCTGCTTGGGCTTTCACGATGCCACTTTGGAGATACTCTAGCATCGGCATCCAGCCGTGACCAAATGGCATGACATGGATACTTGGATGACCATCGTCGAGTCTAGGCCCCGCCAAGTCATTGCGTATTGGGCCGGCCCACCCAGCCCATGTCCAGCTTGGAAAGCCCGGTCGCCGACGAGCAGGTCTCGGATGATACCAAGTAAGCTTCATGTGGATATGGGACTCGGAGAACAGCAATTCTCTGACATCCAGCAATAGGACGCCCCATAGATGACCCTTGACTTGCCTCTCTTCGTTGAAAAAATTGAGAATGCCGAGGCAAGCGTTCAAGCCGTCTGAGTCGTACGAGAGATTCCTCTCCGTATATTCCTCGATGCAATTTGCGATACCCTCTGGCTTCCAGTCGGTCCCCCTGAAGGCGATATCATAGGGGAAATATGGGCCGAAGGTTAGCTCCTCGTTCAGAGCGCGGTGTTCTATACTGTGGGTGAAGCTTTCGGCACAGAACACCTTGCCGCACACGAATGAAACCTGGTGGTCGTCGAAGATGAGCTTCCGCTTCGACAAGAAACCTTCTTGATATGTCCAAGCCCGGCTTACCCATTCGGATTCTTGAAGAGTGACGTTGGTGTGAGGGAACATCTCAACGAGAGTCTTGTTCCCAAGTTGAACACGGTATTGAGCTGCTCGGGGTGTAGCGCCTACTCCCGGCAACCCGTAGCTTGGGTCTTTGCCTGCTGCGGCAATGATCGTAAGGGCGGCTTCCGAGTATATCTTATGCATTCCGCTGATTTGCGCATGCTTCTCGGAAGAGCTTGTTTGATCGATGCACTGAAAGCAAATCAGTCCCCATACATTTTGTCTCCAGGTAGAATGCATGCGTACGTATCGATCAACCCAAAGGTATTTAAACCCCAGCGCAAGAGCGACCATAATACTGTCGTCAATAGTCGCAGGAAATATTCCTTCTACGTGCGCTTGGCCTGAGCCTTGACCTCCGCCCCAAACGTAGGATAGAGCAATATATGAGCACTTCTCGGGAGCCTCGATGACCGACTTGGTTCCACAGTCAATGACTTTAAATCCCGGGAGAACCCCCTGCGTTGGAGTTGAGCATGCTTCGTCGTGCATAGTTATACACTCTCTTAGCCACACCCGGATGATAGCATAGTCGATGCATCTAAGATCAAGTATACGAGGCGCAAGGATCTCTTTCGAATTGTGTCGATGAAGAAGCCCTATGACACGGTACTTGTTCTGGTACCACCTCCAGAACAGGGTGGCGTAGGTGCCGTTTCGTTCTGGGTCGTTCAGAAACATGTTGTCTGATGAACATATGAGAATAGTTGTGGCCCCATCAGGGTCATTGGTTTGATCGGGGCCACCGAAGTAGGCAAATAGGCCACATAATGGACACCCGGGCTCTCCGTAGACACCATTCGCCTCATCGAGCCATAGACACAGCTCCTGCTCAAAATCGTGATTGTGACGAGTAGGCGTAGGAACAATCGCGGACAAATCTAACGCGCGGCAGCGAGAGCAGAAAGAATCGGAAGTCGGCGTAGAAGAATGTTGACCCATCTCTTACAAAGCGGCCTTTCATGCTCTGTCAAGGGGAATGAAAAGAATTGAATGATTGTAGCTAAGAAAGCCGTGACGAGAATTCGCAATCGTCAGGCTGCAGCGCTTTATGTGCGAAGTCGTGGCTCAGCCTCAACGCCCTGATTCGCGACATCAGCCAGGCGCTGAGGCTGGAAGACATGCCTCTCCTCGTATGTTTGCGCTCGTGCAATAATAATCTCTACCAGATGAGGAGGTAATGACAGAGAAGAACCGCGGGCCCATATCCGACAGGGCATGCAACTGCTCATATTGTAGTGCTATTCAATTGAAGAAAAGCCGAACTCGCCATGTGCAACGATGTAAGCGGAGCCGGAAAAACAATAATCCGAACCTAGTCGTGAACTTTTGAGCAACTTGCGACCATGAGCACGCATTCGCAACCCGCATTGCGGCCCACCCCACGCCCACAATGATCTGCCGAGGCTGTCTGCGCGCAGCATCCCGATCGCGGATACCCTCAATCCCCCGCTCGCCCTCCTCCCGCTTCCTCTCCACCACCGCACCGATCCTCAACGCAACCCCCATCTCCCCCAACGCGGCCACCCAAACCGCACCGCGCCAAGGCAGTCCTACATCCTCGCACACCGCCCCCGCCGCAACATCGACCTCCGCCGCCCAGCCCTTCAGCGCGCCCATCACGCCCTCCGCTCCCGCCTCCCTAAAGAAGGATGCCGCCGCAGCAGCAGCGGAGAAGAAAGCCGCGCCGTTAATGAGGAGCTCCGTACCAGCAGGCACACCACTAAAGGGTCTGAACTTCCTCAAAGACAGAGGCGATCCGGTAGCTATGCCCGACGAAGAGTACCCGGACTGGCTGTGGACGATACTAGACCGGCAGGAGAAGAAGGCCGAGGCCGGGGCGGCGGGCGATCTTTTTTGTAAGTACCGCATGCGCTGCTTCTTTTTGCGAATACTTGCAACTGCTAATATCGTATCCGCGTAGCGAAATCTAAAAAGCAGCGCCGAGTGGCCGCGAAGCGGCTCCGCAAGGAACAGTTGGCGAATCCTGAACTGCTAGTGCCGAAGGTCCCGATATACGAGCAGACGATCGATCTACCGGCCGGCGATGGCACGTTGGAAGGCGCGGTCAAGGCTGGCGAGGCGCGGGAGGAATTGACGAAAGCGATGCGGGCGAAGAGGAGGGCTGCGATCAAGGAGAAGAATTTCTTGAAGGCTATGGGTTAGACTTCGGGATGAATGTTCAACATGTAGAAATATTTGCCCGGGATTCGGAGGGACGTGTATCATACAGCATAGGCGGGTTAAAGCCGCGATTTGCGACGATGTTGGTGAGTGTACGATTTTGTGCATATGGTGGAGGAGATCAAGTCTCGCATATCGTTTTCCATCACTGATCCTTCCATTCTGTACAATTAACCATATATCACCCGCGAAGAGTAGAGCTACCAGGTATACCACCTTCAGACGACCCGGAAACGCCATGCTATGTACTCATTACAGGCAAAGACCAATTACAACGAGGAATGAATATGCAAAGAAAAGCACAAATACCAACGACGGAGAAATCAGACGGGAGCAGAGGAAATGGCCCACCCACAATCACAATCTTTCACCTAGAACAACTTTTCCTTCTCAACCGTCGGAATTTCCACTTTCCTCGCCGCCTTTACCAGCTCACCCAACCTCTTCTCCATAGCCGTCCTTCCCTCAAGCGTCTGCCACACCTGATGCGGTGCCTTGTTAACCACGTCCCAGCTGACCAGGTTATCCGTCAACTTGGTCAAATCCCGCTGTTTTCTCTCCCACTCGTTGTCACTCCTGCACTTGATGGCACTGCTTACAATCACCAATGGGGTATTGGAGCTTTGGATGTTTCGAGCGGAGACAACTTCGTTCTTGGAGAGGGAATCCGCAACGAGATTCTCTTGGAGTTGGGCTTTGATGAACTTTCCGTTCTGGTATGCGTTGCGGCCGTAGACACGGTCTTCGCGGGTTCGGCCTTTGAAGATGGCGCCGCCGAGACGCTCCATTCCGAGAGGCGAGATGATGCCCCAGGCCCAAAGGAGGAAGCCACGCCCGGGACTGCCGATGCGATGGAGGAGGTCTTCATGCATCCCGTCGACGATCATGATGCCGGTTACCTCCTTCAAGTGGCGCGAGCTGAAGATGCGGCTGACAATGCTGCCTGTTCCGGCCGATACCAGAATCCAGGGCCCTTCCTCACCGGCCCTTGCGAGAGCTTCAGACAGCGCGTCTGCGGACATGCCCGCTGAGTGCGGAGAGGGAGCGTTGTCCGACCAGGCGTAGCCCGGACGGTCCCAGTAGCAGTACCTCGAGATGGTGCCGTTTTGATAGGCGTTGTACGCCCAATGTTCAAAGTCATACTCGGATGGCTCTTCGCCAGCTTCGAGCATGATTGTTGCGTCCTTCTTACCCTTGGTGTAGGAGATATTGCCAACGCATGCGAAGTGAACAGCGTACTTGTCGCCGTCGACGAGGATGCGCTCGCCGTACATGCCGAGCGTAGAGTCCCGAGCACGGATGCCAAGGGTTCCCGTCATGAGTATAACGATGATGACGAAGATGACGGTGAGGACGGTCGCGAGCAGGACTGCAAGCCATTCCTTCAGCGTGCGCCTAGTCTCTGGACGGCCTGTGAGCCTCTCCTCTTCTTCCCGCTTGCCCCATGCCACGACACGGTCGGTCAAGATGCACCAAATCGAAATGAGCACCGCCCATACGACGGACACGATGCCTACCCAACCTTCCTCCAATCTTATGCGGCCAACCGCGAGGATTATGATCATATCGATAATGAGGAAAGCCCCGATGATGGTGGTTGTGATGCGCAACGCTTTTGCCGGCCCGGAGAAGAAGATGACGGCGACAAGGAGGTTTCCAATGGTCAGGCACGTGTAGGCGAAGTCGAAGAAGCCGCTGCCGCGTGAGTGCATGCGGGGCGGAGACACGAAGATGGATATGAGGAGGAGTGTCCACCAGAGGCAGGAGATCATGAGGAAAAACACGGTCAGCCATCGCATGAAGCGGACAGACCAGAGGTTGTACGGAGATACCTAAATGAATTATCTTAGTATCACATGCTTACGAGGTACTTCAGAAGCCTTACTGCTGGATCATCGGGGTCAAGGTATCCGTCTGAATTCGGCGGCCTCGGTCTGTCGAGCAACCTGGTCCTCTCGCTCGGTTCTTCTCGAGGCTCATAACTTCTCCTCGACGCACTTCTCGCGGAAGCCTGATCATCTTCTGGGGCATCACCGTTCTGCGGGCGATCTTTCTTTGATCCCCACATGGTGAGGACGTGAGCTCTGGGGAGTTTCACACCACTTTCAAGCTGTTTTGAGCTCAAACAATAACGGAAACCACGGAAAGGCTGTAAGGAGGGAAGAGAGGGGGACAGAAGAGGGGGAAAGATAGCAGAAACTTTCTTGATAACAAGGTGGTGATATTTGATGGTGGGAAATGGCGCTATGTTTTGAGATCTACGTCATGGTTGCACCCATGCTCGGAGCACAGGCCCAGCAACTAACGATTGCTCTGTGGCTTCAGATCGGCCTAGACGCGCAGCCCGCTTGACAAAACATTGACGGAGGCCTCGCACTAGCTTGTAGTGATCGTCTGGTCGTTTACGATGGATATTGTGTCAATGACCGCTTCGCCCACAGGGCTTGGTTGATCGTTGAATGCATCGCCAAGCCGAAGCTCCTACACCCTTGATCCCTGCACCACCCCTCCACCGACACATATGCATTCTCCAACTTTCAGATCACCCATCCCGCTCGATCCAAATATTTCGATACCGGCGCCCGGAAACCTGCTATCTGCCATCTAGCCTCCTCCTCAATATCCAACCAATCCCACTCTCCCTCCCACGCACAATGTCCGATCTCGCTAAGAGCTTCGCAAAAGCCAAGCTCTCTTCTCTCCCGTCCCCAGAACCTCTCCTCGAGGAGCCCGAGCCCTACGAAGACGACTCCTCGTCCGCGAGCTCCATGTCCAGCACCGGGACTGTGATACCTACCTCGTCGCAGCGTCCGGCGCCTTCAATACACTGGTCCGACTACTTTGCGCAGGAGTTCTACCTCGAGCGGCGGTCCAACTCGGATACCGCCCACGCGAAATTCCACGTGTACCTGACGCCGCCGAGCTCGTCGAAAGCGCCGCTGCTAGTATTGCACCATGGGGCGGGAAGCTCGGCGCTTAGTTTCGCCTTGTTTGCGAAGGAGGTCAGGAAGCTCATGCCGGAGATTGGTATCCTAGCCGTCGAGGCACGAGACCACGGAAGCGTCGTCTGGGGCCCCGAAGGCCATGTCGACACCGACCTCTCTATTGATCTTCTGAGTCAGGATCTTGTGGATATGCTACACCTTACGAAAAGCAAGATGGCGTGGAAGGAACTACCTACTGTTGTGCTCATCGGGCACAGTCTGGGCGGAGCGGTGGTTACAGATACGGCGAATAAGGGCATACTGGGGAACAAGTTGCTGGGCTATGCAGTGCTGGATGTAGTGGAAGGCAGTGCAATGGAGGCGTTGAAGCATATGCAAACATACCTGGCGAGCCGGCCGAAGTCATTCCCGAGTTTGGAGGCAGCGATTGAGTGGCACATACGCTCGCGGACGTTGCGGAATCCACAATCGGCGAGGGCGAGCGTGCCCAGCTTGTTGCTGCAGACACCAGAAGGGCGGTGGACATGGAGAACGGAGCTCTCCAGCACGGAAGCATACTGGGAGAACTGGTTCTCTGGGATGAGCTCCAAATTTCTGGGCGGGAAAGGAGCGAAGTTGTTATTGCTTGCAGGAACGGATCGACTGGATAAGGAGCTGATGATTGGGCAGATGCAGGGTAAGCGCTCTTGATTGCGGCTTGTCAATGCTCGTCTCTAATATGTCTCGCAGGTAAATTCCAGCTTCAGGTCTTCCCCGCCGCCGGCCATTTCCTCCAGGAAGACCTACCCGACAAAACTGCTGAGGTGGTTGTCGAATTCGTGAAGCGCAACGACCGGAGTACGCTTGTACTCCCACCAAAAGTTTCCGATCTTCTTGCTCAAGGCAAGAAAGTGTGAAGGCCCACCAAAGGGGCTTGTCTCCTTTCTCACAGGCCCGAAATCGCACTAAGCGAATAATGTACCTGGTATTCGGCAACCTGGGTACGCCATTGTCTTCTTTTGCCCGTTTGCTCAGCCTAACAACCCTGCTAGATCTGGTATCGTGAACCGGAACAGATTGGACCCGCCCGGAAAACGCCGCTTGCCGAGAAAGCGCAAAGCTTCAAGACACAGCCATTTCGCCGCCAGCGGCAGCCGTCGCACCGCCTTCACCCTTCGGCTTGTGCTTCCGTTTCCGCTTGTGGTGCCCGGATCCATCGCCCTCTAGAATAGAAGTATCGGTTTCTTTCGGCTCGGCGGACGTTGCCTTGGCCGAGCTATCTTGTGGCGGTTCTTGCGGCAGGGCTTGCGTCTTCTTGGGCTTCTTCACGCTGAGTGGATTAGGCGCCTTGGGCCCCTTGTGCTTCTTTTTCTTCTGGGGCCTTGCGTCTCCCGTAGATTGACCCTCAATAGAATCAGTCCGCGGCTCCTGCCCCTCTTCGTCCTCGCGTCTCCTCTTCCGGCCCGCGGTCGGGTTCCGCTGTCCCTTGAGGCCAGCCTTGAATTTCTGTCGCTCTTCCCTCTCCCTCTGCTCCTCGGTGGCCGTAGCCATCGGCTCCAGTATCATCACGGATTTCGAGATGTAGATGAGCGGGAGACCAGCTATCTTGCGCATATGCGCTCGAACGGCGGGGTCTTGGGATGCGACTACGTAGCGGTGCTTGTTCGTGAGGTTGCCCTTCGCGTCAACGACCGAGGAGAGGCATTCGTGGGAGGAAAGCGGATGCTCGAGCTCATGATGGTTACATCTCCGGCGCTCGAAGCCCTTCGCTTGGGCTATGAGCGCGTTGTTTTTCGGAGTTGCGTCATATAGGTGTCGCATGTCACATTGCGTAACCACTGTATGCGGAGCAGTTGTTAGCTTGTACTCTTCGGAATTACGCGACGATATACGTACTCGGCTTCACCTTGCCCTGGAGGACGCTTTCAAGCCTCGACACCAAGTCCATCCTATTTTGCCATGCATCCTCCAGGATCTGAGAGTCGAGAAGCACCTGGTAGGGTTCGCGGAAATTGAAGTGCACTTCATACTAAAGCAACCAGCATTAGCAGGCACTCGAAGTTGAAGAGACAGTTCTAGGGGGTTCGAGCGACGTTGAGCAGCGGGGGTGCTGTCGGCGGTGCGTTTTGTAACCAAAAGCGGGCTATAAACTTCGAGGAATCACACATACCTGGTGCATAAGCTTGCGGTATGCCTTTTGCCGCTTAAGTCGCATCGTCGACGTTGTGCGTTTGAGGTGGTGGTGGAATGCGGGGGAGAAGTCGCAGTTTCCAAAAATTTCCGGGTGCGTCGCTTTGTGGCCCGTGCGCTTCGGCGATCTGAAAGCGGTGGAGCTTCCCGCAGACGTCGATGATGGCCTGAGGGCGGTGCTGACCCTACCTGTACATACACACTTACTTCTCCTTGTACTCACTTCCGCTTCGCGCTATATCCTTTTAATTTTCTGCTAAGCCTCTCTCCATGCGCGCGACCTAGCTCAAACACCATGACCGATTCGGCATCCGGCCCCCCTACCGAGGGGAAATCTACAGACGGCGCAGACCCGCCGAACAAACCAAACCTCGAGGCGGAATACGACGATTTTGGACTGCCTATAAGGAAACCGCGGCCTAGGACGCCGGCGACCCAAACTTCAGACTCAGAAGAGGACGAGTTCAAGGATGCGTTGGGATCCAAGTCAGCGAGCCAAGAGAAGGTTGCGCTGCCGGAGAAGGGCACAGTGAGCGCAGAGAACGTGCCTGAACAGATGCCGGGGACGGTGAAAGAGAAGGCAGAATCGACACCGGTGGCCAATGGCCATATGGCACTAGAGATGGACGAACCCGCACCCAAGGAGCAACCCCCGCAAGCCAGGGACGAGACTTCGGGTGGCCCAAAGCCCGCAGGCCCGGTAGACAAGCGCAAGAGTGTCCCACCCGGAACTGTACATGGACACAATCCTGCCGCCATATCCGAATACTCCCACCAGCAGCTAGCCCCTAACACACGCGGAGACGAGAAGCGGGATGAGAACAACGATGACGAGTGGCAGGCAATGCCAGCGTATGCGCACTACGACATGTATGATGATGATAATAAGCTCATTGCGAAGGAGAATGTAGAGGAGCTCGAGGACATGCACGGCTACGGGAATCTTGGAGGCGCCGCAAAGGGGTATACGCGTGTGGTTATGGACGAAGATGTCGAATCGCAAACGAGCATGGATGACAATACGGCATATCTGTTCAAGGACAAGGGAACGGCTCTGTGGGACGAGGATGAGGCCGCCCGGGATCCGCTGTCGCAGATGCAGACAACCAAGAACCTTCTCACCGAAGGCCAGCGCATAGCTTACGTCGGCTTGGTCCGGTTAGCCATGGCGGAGATGGAAAACAGGCTCTCCGAATTCGAAAAAGGCAACAAAACCACAAAGAAAGTCGTCGATTTGGCGCAGGAGACGACCAGGATGTGGTCTCAGAAGATGATGGTCCGGCTATACTCGCACATGGATATCGACGCATCCGAGCAAGTCATGATAGAGCAACTCTCAGAGCACGGAGTAGTCCCACCCGATCTGACGCCTGCTCTCATGCAGAACGCTCGAGTAAAAAATCCAGCTGCAGAGGAGTCAGAGTCAGCCAAAGACACAGATTCTGTTAGGCCATCCATCTCTTCTCCACGTCCGGATTCGCATTCCGAAAAGTCCAAATCTGCGTCGAGTCTACATGTTAGTGACCCTTCCAAAAGCCCTTCCCCACCACCCTACCAGGATCATGAAGGCGAGGACCTACCGGCGGTCCGAACTCCTTCACAACTTCCTCACACGAAAAACTTGGATATTGATCTCCGGTGGACTATTCTCTGCGACCTATTTTTGGTTCTCATTGCGGATTCAGTATACGATGCCCGCTCGAGACAACTTCTGGAACAGGTTGGAAAGTATCTAAGCGTCGATTGGCTTGAGATATGCCGCTTCGAAAAGAGGGTTACGGACGCCCTGGAGATGCAGGAGGAGGCCAACAAAGAGAACTGGAACGAGGACGATCACATGGAGAATCGACGGAAGAGAGCACGCAATAAGCGTATTGCCCTGATGGGACTCGCAACGGTAGGCGGCAGTCTTGTGATTGGACTGTCTGCTGGTCTTCTTGCACCTGTCATCGGTGCGGGTCTCGCCGCTGGTTTCACCACCATAGGTGTAGCTGGTACGAGTGGTTTCCTGGTCGGCGCGGGCGGCGCAGCCATCATTACGACGACTGGGGTCCTCAGCGGCGGCACGATCGCTGTGAGGGCTGCGGACAGACGGACAGGAGCCGTCAAGACGTTCGAATACAGACCGCTCCATAACAACAAGAGAGTTAATCTTATTGTCACGTTAGCCGGGTGGATGAACGGTAATCTCGACGACGTCCGGTTGCCTTACAGTACGGTAGATCCCGTCATGGGAGACATATACTCCGTGCTTTGGGAGCCCGAGATGCTACGAAGTATGGGTGACACTATCAACATTCTCGCCACCGAGGTATGCTCAAACCAACAATACTAAGGAAGTTAACTTTAACGCTGAATTAGGCTCTCACACAAGGTCTCCAACAAGTGCTTGGGAGCACGATTCTTATTGCGCTCATGGCTGCTATCCAACTGCCCGTTGCCTTAACCAAATTGTCATACCTCATCGACAATCCGTGGACTGTTTCCCAAGCCCGAGCAGACATGGCTGGGCTCATTCTCGCTGATTCTCTCATCGATCGCAACCTCGGAACCCGGCCTATCACTCTTGTTGGGTTCTCGTTAGGCTCTAGGGTCATCTATTCGTGTCTAAAGGAGCTTGCAAAACGAGGAGCTGTGGGTCTCGTGCAGAATGTCTACATGTTCGGAACACCAGTCGTTGCCAATAAGGAAGAGTACACCAGGTCAAGGGCTATCGTCCCCGGTCGATTCGTCAACGGATACGCGACAAATGACTGGATTTTAGGTCAGTAAGCCGAGCGTATCTTCTCATCCGCATTGTAACAGTGTTTGCAGGCTACCTGTTCCGAGCGACTAGCGGTGCAATTTCGAAAGTGGCAGGCCTTGCCCCGGTTGAAATCCCAGGTGTCGAGAATTTCAATGTCACCGAGCTAGTACCCGGTCACATGGCCTACCGAACGGCTATGCCTAGACTCCTCCGCGAAGTCGGCTGGATAGTCGAAAGCGACGAATTCTCGGAAATCGAAGATCCCGACCCAGAAAATCACGAGAAGCGACAGCGAGAGCTCATTAACGAGATTGAAGAAGCTCGCAAAGAGCTAGAGAAGAAACCAGAAAAGAAAGGTGCATTCAGCTTCTGGCGTAAGAAGAAGGTGGAGAAGAAGGAGTGGGAGGTGTATGACGAGAAGTCGCAGGCGGCCGGAATCAACAAGGATGACGATCCGGCGAAGATTGCAGAGAATCCAGTACTGTTTGACATCGATGCCATCAAAGCTGAAGTGGCAGCTCTCTCTGCAGATGGTATCGAAGTCAAGGAGATCAAAAGCACCCTGCCGCCGATGAAGATCGACATAGCCGCAACATCGCCGAGCCCGTACTCCTCCCTTCGCGAAACTAAGAGTTACAACGACAGTTTAGGGGTAGCACCTTTATCGAACTTTGGCGGCAGCACGAGCAATCTCTCAACGCACTCCAACGGTGACCCCTCGACCAACGGTGCTCTAAAGAAGAGCTTTGAAGAGTACGACGAGATGGCTGACGGTGGGGGAGGCATGACGATGACGTTCGACTCTTCATTCAAAGATGCCCCACCAGTACCCGCATCAAAATCACCTATTCCTTCTATTCCTTCATATGAGCCTCCGGCAAAGGCGTCTTGGGATACACCAAGCTGGAACGACACACCCGCAGAACGGCCAGCGCTACGATCGTCAGCCACGGCGCCGAATCCGAACGTTAACCTAACCCCTGGGTACAACGCCTGGGCAGACGAATTCGAGGACGACTTTGGGAAGGAGAGGGAGATGAAGATGACTTTTGAGTAAAGACTTCGCTTGCTTGCTTCATGTCGATAATTGGAGAATGAGGTTGCATCAAGATCTGTTGTATGATACGCATTTTCAGCGCGCATTCATGGGGCGGCGTTCGGGCTCACTTGTTCTGGGTCATTCACCACTGGCATGGGCGGTAGCCCTTTTGCATCTATTCCTCCTTCATTTCTGTGTATTCTATTCTGAGATCGATGGAATGGAATACCTTATCCGTAGTCCACAACAACTCGCGAGAGTATTTAGTGGGAGTAGAGTGCGACTATTGTGAATCTTGGATAGCGTGCGTGCTGATGCTCATGCTGATGTTGATTACGTATCCGGTAGATAATGGCGCGTATGCTGAGCTCTATGCTAGTAAGGGGGATGTTTAATTGATTTGCGGAATGGGCTGCTAACGTACGCTAGGCTGGTCTCCTGATATCACGGCTGAGAATGGCTGCTATGTGATCCTGTGGGGACGGATTGGGACGTACAATTCTGCGCTGCAGAAGGGATTAACGGCGACTAGGGAAGGGGGTGAGGGGAAGGCGGAGAAGCTGTGGGGTTCTGTGGGAGCGTGTGTACAGAGCCTATATGAATCTGGGGTGCGGTTATGTAGCGGATATCCGCCGAGTAGCTGGATATCAGCGCGGCACGAGAGAGGATGAATGGAGCGCGAAATTCGATCCCATTGCATTACACGATACAACCACTGCCATGTTTAATGAATGTAGAGGCGCCAAATATGTCATGGTGTTGTGGAACAAGACCATTCCAGACGCCTCGGTAGCTGCCCCTCTGCCCGACCATATGCACCACCCGCAAGCCTGTTTCCCACCGGAATGTTTGAATATGCGTTTTGTGTAGATCCAAAGCCGGCTGTGGGTATCAAACGCGGCGGACGATAGCCGTAGGAGCGAACATCGCGGAGCATCGCCACCGATTGGGATCGAAAGCGACGACGCGCGGAGAAACGCGTCGATGCGAAATGAGGGTATGCAAGAAACTTTTGTGTAGCAACAGCACGCCTCCAAAGAGCGAGAGGAAGAAGTTGCACGCGTTCTAACTCGTCAGGCGCGGAAAGCGAGCGGTCCGTAGGGCGGTTTTCGAGGGGGTTCGTGTGAGGATCGCGGAACACCTATTTCTCCCCGACAACGTAGCAGCACCCGGGAAGATGTGGAGGGGGGCGGCTCTATCCTCCACGCGAGGTTATCAAACGCTGGCGAACTAAGACGAATCGCGAGTATCGAGTTCGTACTCGTAGAGCTGCGCAGCCGGGCGATCTCCATCCCCAGCCGGTTCTCCCTGAGACGGCCCTGATCCTTCTATGGCCTATGAGCATGGGACACAAGGGACAGAAGCCCGGCAACTGGAGTACTCACGTCCTGGCTTGGGTCGAATGGGATAATTAGGCGTCGGCTGCGTCTTGGAGCGGTTGCAGCGGGGCATTTTGGTGTCTTGATCAGAAAAAAAAGGGCTCCGTGTCTTAAGATGATCGATCGCCGTGAACGACTGTAGGAGCAATACAAAAACGCGTGTACCGAGGCCTTCCGGTTGTTGGAGGAAAATCCAAGCAGGAGAATATTGCTGGGGGAGAAGGGGGGGCTCGTCTTCTCGTCGCGTCCGACCAGGGTGATGCTGGAGAAGCGAGCATTGACCAATGGCCTCACCAGAGGGGATTCTCCTCCAACGCAACAACGAAAACCATGCTCTTTCTGAAGGCTCACACTCTTTTAACAATTGCCGCTTGATGCGTTCGCGTGTCCCTTCCGTGATTGGGAGGTTGGATGGTTTCGAGTTAGTCAGCCTCGCCGAGCAGCCTCCTAATAGCAGCAGAAGCAAATTGATCTGGAGCAGGTACCGTCCCGGCCTTCGCGAGTCGAAGACTTCAAGAGGAAACTCATCAAGGTCCGTCCTAAAGTTTTCGTACCAGATCTGTTGCCAGGTGCGCAAATGCTTAAGGTTTTACCGACGCCCAACCGCCTCGCCGGCGGAGCTTCTCTTAAAGCAGTCTCATGCTGACACGATTTCCAGATGAACGGTAGAGCATCCCAAGAGGAAGAGAGTGGGCTAAGAGCAGTTGAAAAGGGGATCTCTTACGGAGACGCCGTGGTACTACGATATGTTAGCGAATCGCTTGACGGTCACGTGCCGGTACGAAAAGAGAATTGGTGTGGTTGGCCTGGTGCATTCCACACGGCAAGGAAACTGAAGGACAAAACTTTAATTCAACGTCATCCATACACCCGAAAGACGCAATGAAACATCCCCGGAGGCCAATGAAGGAAAACAGACACCCTCTTATTTAACCAAGCACCAAAAACGGTCTCATTTCTTGCCGGCTCCTGGGAACCCAAGGTAATATTCAGTCCGCCTTCGAACTCAAATTCGCCGTCGTAAGAAATACGATGAGAACTGCCCAGATCCTGCTTAATGTGAGCAGAGAGCCGTCAACGGGAAGGGTGGCATACATCGCGGTCAAACTGAAGGTTTGCATCGCTTCTTGGCTAAAGAATACCACGGGAAATGGGAACGCGAAGCTCAAGAACGTAGCGGCAATGAGGCGATCTTTCGTCGACGAAAGATTGTACAAAAGGATGACGGCACCAGCTACGCAGCCTACAGCAATCAAGCATTCGACAGTGTTGACCAGAATGTCGAGCGTTGCTCCGCTCACGCCTTGCGACTGCTGCGCCGCATTACGACCCAAAATTCTCCTGTAGTATGTCTGGCAAGGCACGAAGACGCGCTGATGGAAAGGAGCCATCAGGTTCTGTGTTATGATATCTCGAATGAAGTCGCTGTCGCAGCCGCGGCTGGCCATTAGGGTAGGCGATACGGAGTGGCCGGTCGAGCCGTAGAGGGAGCGCAACTCTCCGTTCGGTGCTCGTAGCCCTTTTCCGGGCTGTTCCATGTAGTAGCGGAATACGCTGTCCATGAAATACTGGTCGACCACAGGCGCTTTCGCCGCCTTGGAGTCCTCCTCGTTTACTCGACCTGAGAGGGTAAGATGAAGCTTGTGGGTGGAGATGATAACTTACTATACCAGTGCAAAGCTTGGTCAAGTTCGACCATCGCTTTTTCGAACCGTGGCAGACAATCTCCGTCGTCTAAGTCGGCTGTGCTGCTCTTCAGTTCATTTTGCAATTCCTCCCATGCGCGCCCACGCTCCAGCACTCGCGATTCTACATATCGCGCTCTAGCTGCCCTGAGCCCCAAGAAGCGATGCCTGACATCGCCCTCGGGACGGTCGTTGCTGTCGATGTCATCGAATAAGTCTGCGTAGGCGATGATGCAACGTAGGAGGTCTGCGCGGCTAGGCCCCTGTTGTTGGTTATCCGAATGCTCGGGCGGCATCGTCTAACCAATGCAAGAGCGTCTGCAGCAGCCGTCAAGAAACGAGGAAAATCCGCACAAAAAGATGTCAGTTTTCCTGGTATTGCCTTACAAAATTTGAGAGCCGTTCAGGTGCGGTCGGGAGGCTCTCTTATACTGGCATAGCCTTCTTCCACAGCCTGTCCAGGAAGCTCTCACCGATTGTTCGACATTCCTCGTCGTCTCCCATGCTTGACAAAGCATCCTCGAGCTGCAATGAAGGTCGTACACGTTGTCGGAGAAGCCAATGGCAATCTCGAAGCATGCGCAGCTGCATATCGCTGATGGTCTGCTCTTCGGAGCCGTACGTCCACAAGGCTTTCGCAGCAACACCGCCAGCTAAGGAGTTCCAGTGAACTAGTTGTGTGAATCCCTAGACGATAGCATTATCAGTCCATCTTCACCGGTCATCTGCCTTGTGAAGCGCATGCGCGACGATGCTCAGAGGGGGACCTCCAGTTCCATCCATCCCAGTCCCTCCGGAAGCGCGTATTCCGTGGTATGAACCTCCACCCAGCAATCAGCATGATGTCCATAGTGTCCCACGGCCTTATGACTGGGCTGCATGGGTTCTATGCAGAAAGATGGAGGGTGCAGGACCCGGGAGTGGGCGCGGAAGGGAACGCAGGAAAGCGGCGGTGAAGCGGATTCGATGTGGCAAGCATATAGGGCGAGCGACGAGAGGACAAGGGAATCAGACGCAGGCAGATACGACGCGTCTAACGTAGCGCGAGAGATGGTGGAGAGATACGATAGCGTTGGTGAGAAATCGTGATGGAGGTAAGGGTGGGGAAAAGCGACTGAGATGCTTGCAGGCTCTGAGACAGGGTAGAGACAGCACACAACGCCTCCACTGACATCTCACAAGCCAAGATCCTATGAGTACCGTCAATTGTGATAGGCTCGCATTAGGCAATATCCATCTCGACGAGGCACCGAGGAGGCAGCTTTGGGCAGTGATGGTGCCCTCCTCCGCCGAGACGACCGCCGTCGACTGCAGCCCGCCCAGACTCATAACTCGGTTTGGCCTTCTCTCCGTCGTCTTTGTGGCACAAGCCGGATCGTGCGTGTGCACGCGGCCAGTTGCAGCAGTCGACGACGCTGTGGAACCGAGGGATATGCGTCTTCCCACCACTTCAAGGAGCGCTTTGAGCCAGTCCTTTCTTGACTGCGTCTATCATTTACCTTATCGCTTTGCGATTGGCGGTATGGAGGATTTTCAGCCTCATCGTTGACAGTTCAGGGGCGAAGGCTGAGGCCGAAGTCCGAGGCAACGCTTTCCAGAGACACAATCTTCCTTCTGATTTCTTGGCGGCAACAAGCAGAAACCTTCCTTTGATATTGATAACGTTGCGGAGCATCCCAGAGAAGATGTTGAGGTGGTCGAGAGACTATGCATGCCTTTCCTGCGATACGGGTTATTGACCTCCAGAGGTCGAAGGTCATCTTCTGCCAGCTCATACGATACAGCCTCAGATCATCCCGCATTCAAGCATTTACACGCCCGATGGACTCTCGACGCCCCATGATCGCAAAGCGAGCTGATCTGAACCGGTCAGACCCAGTTTTGGAGGGCGTAAGATTCAGTCGCCTTTGGGTCTCTTCTCGAAAGCCACCACAAGCGAGGCAGCAACGGCCAAATTGCTAAGCCAATGGTATGCCATTCAAAGAAAGAAACTCTCCTGACTCTATCACCAACTCACGGTGATCATCAAGAAATGGGCGATGCATACATGCGCCGCGAAGTGTTTGACCCACCGGTCAAGACAAGGAGCCATCGACATGCAGATCGATCAAAAAGACATGGACGCTAATATCGCAGTGACAAGGCTTTGATGCCTTGCTGCAGAGCGGTGTGTGAAGTGAGTTGGCAATTTGGAATTCACATACCGAGAAGCATCTTAGGAAACGCATCTACTAGTGCAGCGTGCTCGATGCCATACACCCTAAGAACTCTGCTCAAAAAGAGCTCTTCTCTACTGCACCAGAAGGATATGCAGAGAGTCTCGGGGAAATGTGTGTGCAAAAGGCGATGTTGGGGGATGACGTTTGGGGTCAGACGAGGTCACTCACCTCTGGCCCGGCTCCTCCTCAGCCTCATCCCTATGACAATAGCACGAGCGACAACGCATTCGAGAACTCTTCCCGTGTCAGCAATGGCACCCCCGTCACAGTTGGATTGCAGGCAAAGGCAGTGCGCTGTCATTGCGCCCCAAGATCGCTGATTACTCCCTGTTTGCTCGAGAATGCTATCGTTGCACGGCATGCGGTGGGCTGCAACTCATCATCTGACAACGCGTGAGGGCGCGTAAGTCGGGACACCGGTGTCGAGTAGGCGACATGCCCATGTGGTCCCTGGAGCTGTGTGGACTGCGTCCTTGGCTGAGAGGGAAGATAGGAGGGACGAAGCTGCTGTCTCAGTGACCTATTTGGGGCCTTCACTGGGCCAGGGATACCAGCGGAATGAGCCACTTCATTAAGGATGAAGAATTGGTGGAGATGGTGGCAGGAAGGGCATGCTGTTCTGGTTCCGCGGGGCTGCTAGGCCGTCAACGGTCGCTTCGCAGTCAGCGAACTCCTGGCCCTCGCCGCCGCCATTCCCTCCACACTTTTCATCATTTCATCACCAAGGCATCCGAGAAACCCAAGTCGACCCCGCTTCGGCGTCTAGAGTGATGCGAACGGGCCGCTCCATCGCTCTATCCACAGGATCCAGGTTTGCCTTCTCGAGATTTTCGACGCTAGCTTGCAGTTCGACACGGCAATTGCGACACCCTGGCTCCCACGCATGCGGTAGCGAAAGCCTTGTAAGGCGGCAGGAGAGCCAACACAGCATCACTCCGTCCAGATGGAGGGCCTCGATACGCTATCAGCTTTCGAGAAAGAACTGCACTTTGACTCACAGTCCCCCTCGACGACGCATCAAGAATGACGAGGCGCGAAACCGGTGAAGAGACCTCTAGAGGTGTGAATATGTCGAAGGCCCGGGGTGGTTGTCAAAACGGTCACAGGCGGTGAGGTGTTGCGTTGCGTTTACTGCTAAGTGCCACGATTGGCCGGAGTTGACCTTCGGTGGACCGCAATGAGCCTTCTCCCACCCTCCTTCACGCTGTGGATATGCTTGACGACGTATACTACGACCTTCGGTAGGGTCGCGCGAAGATGTGGGTGATGTTAGCCTGACTGAAACTCTTTGCCCTGGGGAACCTTGGAAAGAGGGAGATCGCATTACACCAGGAAATAAAGGCGAGGAGACGTGCCACTGCAAACCCTGAGAGGAAATATCCGGGAAACGATCAATCCTTTACCATCTCTTTTGAGCACGCCTGCTGGGTTTCGAGTTCCTCATTCCTCCGCCATGGCTCTGCCACTCGCCAACCTGGCCACTCAGATCCCAGTCTTCAATCCCAGTGGCACTGGTGGGCCTTCCGCGATAGACCTCATCAAGAGTCTCTCCGAACACAAACACCTCTTTCGAGCAATTGAATCCCAACCCAAAGCCGGCGTATATGAAAGTTTCGGCGAAGAGTGGTCTTTGTGCCTTTCTTATCTTGAAAGCGAGGTCCATCGATGCGCCCGCGAAGCGAGTGCATTTCTAGATGACAAGGCCCGAGGGGGTGGACGTGGTGAAATGGAGACAGAGTTGCATGACGACCTTGCGCAGGTAATGCTTCCACTGTTCGACTTCCTCGAAAAGCATGGTACGTGCCAGCATGATGACCGTATGACACATTCCAATAACATCTCTTGCAGCGCGTGGAATGCATTGCTCCAGCAGATTGGCGCGGACTCCCACCCCGTCAACACTTTTCATGAATTACTTTCGCGCCCACTTGAAAGCATTCGATGGAAACACAAGGGGCCCCAATGGAGAAGACACCACGATCTATGGCCCGGAAGGAACCCCGGTTCCTCCTCGCTTCAGGGCACGCGACCATGATGATCTCAATCCGATCGAATGGTTGCTAATCCACAGGTTGATGGATCCATTCATACAATTGGTATGCCGTCCGATCCGCCTTCTTGCAAACAGATTGATTGGGAAGCGACGGCGAAGCTCCGATGTCGACCAGAAAGCTGTGAACGCGACCGTGATCTCCGTCATCGCAAGAATGGTCGTCTGCATGCTTGCCAGCCTGTCGCTCGCCGCTGCCATCGGAGTCCTGGATAACATCGGGAGCCAAAAGAATCGAATAATCGTCATGACGGTTTTCGCTCAGGTCATCGCGTCGTCAGTCCAGTTCCTTGGACAAGAGTCGACCCCCATGTACCTCCTCATAATCTCGTAAGTTGAAAAATCGTTTGTTTCGGGATAGATGTTGATATAAAGCAGTTATTTCCAGGCGATGGTGATTTTTGTCGGCACCACGAATGAGCGAAATAATTCTCCATGAAAAGTGGTTGTTGGTGTTGGGTTGAGGGGAAGCCCGCCTTGTTCACCGCCACTTCGTCAACAAACCTTAGTTAGGTAATCAAGGGTTTTAAAAGGTCCTAATTATCCTAATCACGTGGCACCTTCAGTTGGCCTCCCACTCTAGTCAGGCTGATCCCAATCCAGTCTAGAGTCAACTATTGCAGAGCCGCATTATATGGCACGTCGAGCCAACCAACAGCCAGCGCGGCTCCGGCTCGCTCTACCCGCACTGTACCACAAGCCCTTATTAACAACAATCTCTAGTTTGAAGGTGAACTGGAAGTCGTTCAAAGCGTTTCTGGCTTCCCGTTCGCTTGCAACCGTAGGCCATACTCGCCATACTCTCGCCTTCCCAACACCGTCCCCATCAGACCCCAGATCCTCCAAAAGCCCAATGGGCAAAAGTAGGGCAAACAGCGCTGCAAGTACTGACTCGCGCGTCTGCAAAGCCGGTAACGCAGCCCATGTAGCTGCGTGGATGAGAGCTAGGGGGGACTTCCTCACACTTGGCAGACCCATCGTGGCTTTGCGCTGGTTTTGCCCATTGTGGATCCTCCCAACCGCCTTACCCCTCGAATTCCGGCCTTACTTTGGTGACCTCTGTCTTTGGAAAGTACATACCAGTTTCGCCTTGGAATATTCAATCGTTTTCCCTCTCCTTGCGGCCCGCAATATCCACATCACACTCTTCAAGGCTACATCGGCCTCCGCCGTCCACCCACGATGGCTTGCAGTGGCAAGCTCCCTACAAAGGCGGCTTTTAAGGAGGGTATGAAACGCCATCCTAGCACCAGGGCCTCCTCGAGACTAATTTTGCCGATGGCAGCGCGAGAGAAGGCGTCCGCTGGTGGTGCTCCACCCGCAGAGCGGCGCGGAGGGGAGGGCAGCACAGACAAGAGCCCGTCTAAGGGGAAAGGGGGGAGCAAACAGACGTCCAAGACCAGGAAGACCAACAAGAAGAAGTGGAGTCTTCTTCGATCCCAAGGAAGTGGAGGCTCAAGCGCGTGAAGCACTATTGCACCGAAGACGATGGCACAGCAGACGCGTTTTCGGTGACACCCCATTCCAACCTCGGCCTTTCTCCCCACCGCAACACGCCGCTACCTCTGCCAGGCCTATATTTATAATACCGGACCACCAAAAGTTATCACTCTCTCCCGAAGTCCACCATCTGCATTCCCCGATCCGCTTCCCAGACGTTGTGTTATGCACCCTACATGCCCACTGCCCCTGTCTTTCGCGCAGCCGAAGTGCTACCACCATCACCACCGCCCGCGCAGCCATCTCGTCCCTCTGAACGCTCGCATCATCCTCCTACTTGCTCTACATTTCCCTTGTCGAACTCCTACAGTGCTGACCTTGAGTCGCGCATCCCCGTAGGCAACACCATTGACAGTGCCCCTTGCGATTAGCATCCTCAGCGCCTTCACGATTACGACACCCGATGCTAGTCATCCCGCTATACAGAGCCACCGAAGCGAAACTATTTCACCGGTCCGCGAGCGAGCGGTCTCAACCCAAGATTGTATACTCCCAATATTGCTGCGATCGGGCAGGGACGAAGACACAGACGGTAGATCGTTCAAAGAGCGGTCAGTTGATATGGACGCGTCACTCACCAGACTTCACAAATACTATGGCTATACAGTTGAATACTTATTGGATAGTCATTCTCTTAAAGCTACTCTACAGAAGCCTGTGGATTGGGCAACGTGGATCGCAAGACCGCCTTGCCCGAACATTTCCCATAGCCTCTACACCGCTCTCAGGCACCAGGATAACCGTTATTACATTGCCTGCTAGCGCCAGGCACTTAGGTATCGAGTGTCATTCATCCATGCTCCTCTGTTCTTCCTTCTCGCACGCTACGAAGCCTTTGAAGAACTCCTCTTCAGCACTTGAGCAAAAAGTCCTCTACAGAAGCCAATCTCTCAGAGCTTTCAGCGCTATATGAGTCAAGACACGAACATCGAGGCACAGATACACCCTGCACGCCCGCTCCCCACTCGTATCACTCCCCTACCATAGTATGCCATCCTCCACCTGAGTTGTCGCTTAGCTCCCCATGAGACCGCCCGCCATATGCAACGCGCGTGCGCGAAAGTGACCTTAGTATGTACCATTCAAAGCATCTCCCACCACCCACAACCTGCAATCGTAACAGGCTGCCGTACGTACGCCGTTGCATATGTCATGCAAGGTTGCCGCAGCCGTGGGCGGTTACAGCGTACGCCATTCGGAGTGTTTCCATCAAGCCGGCACCAGATCCTGCAAGAAGAACCAGGCTGCGGGCATGCGCATCCTTATATGAACGAGGAAGTATGGGGCAGTTGCCAAATCGGAGGTGAGGCCGGCACAATGGAGGAAAGCGCGGGGGATGGGGGGTTGCATGACGGGTGATTGGAGGCCGAGGTGTGACTGGGCGCTCGTGGAGGGCAGGTGGGCGATGCGACGCGGGAACGTGCGGCGATTCGACCCGCGACTTCATCGATCCCCCTCGAAGAGGAAGCGGTCGACGTGTGAAGGAACCGGTATCTGTGGCAGCCTCAATGTCGACGGTTAGCACTCTTCCGTCCCTATTTCTCTTGTGAAGAAAGAGCGGCGACTGACTATATGCACCTCCTCAAATACCGGTGCAGAGCTCCCAGCCAACTCATTGCCAACTCCGAGGAGTCCACACCACCAGACGACGCGAATGAACCGGGTTGAGATGAGCGAAGATTCGGAAGGGCGAAAGAATGTCTGGGTGAATAAAGACTGACGAAACGCGCACTCAATTCTCGCACTTTCCGGAGGGGCTGGGGACCAACCCATGGCCTAGGGAGCCCGCCAATGGCGGGTGTTGTGATTGAGGGACTACCACGAGCCACCAGCGCAACAATGCTGCGCATCGTCAGGCTTGAAGCGGCACTGATACCCCAGACTCCGCGTCAGGGAGCTGAAGGTGTGTCTCTCTCGGGCTGAGAAGCCAAAAATCAACCTAGGAAAGGAGAACAAGACGAAGAGCCATTTGGAGGCAACGGCGAAATGTACCGCTCGAAGCCTCACTCTCTCACCTCTATCGCCGTGGTGATGTCAGGCTGGTTATGATTCTCTCCATAACTGCCTCATCGTTTTGGTCGGGAACATGTGTTCTCTTATCCGATGTACCCGCTTGAGTTGCACACCCCGTTGCTTCGTCACAGACTTCAACGCTAAGAGTTCTTGATAGGCTAACCGCCTACCCTTTCGGTCGCGGCATCCGAGGCCTTGCAGCCACATGATGACGCTCAACTCGCCTTCTGAAACTTCTGGATGACTTTACTCGCGCCAAAAACTTCCCACGACCCTGGAAACGGTACCGCAAAAACCAGCGTAGTGTAGTCCTATCTCGAGCATTCTATCCAGCTGCATCATCTCCTTCAGTGGGAGAGACGGGCGCTCGACGCGCTCCGCCTCGTTCTGCGCTATTGAAAACCCATGTCCAGGCCCAGAGGCCCTGCTGTGTACGTCGTGGGAGCCATGTCGATGCACCCCAATCCGGCACGCCGGCCACTGGTAGACTTCTCCGCTCACCGGTCAGGAAGAATGGATGACTGCAAGGGGAAAAGCAGTTCACTGGTCGTTCAGCCTTCGGCACCTATTCCCCGATCATAGAAAGAAATTGACGGTTAGCAGCGGCCAAAAGCCCGCCGCAAGCGTTAAGTCGGCTCGAGGACGCCGGATTTGGAAGTCGTATCGAGCGCTTCGTCGTGGAAACGCAGCTGCCCCTACGCACACACGGTAGGCTTGGGCAGAAGCTCTTCGTTATCAGAGCCACCATCATGATTGGGGGTTTCCACTCATCCAAGTGTTCTTCTGTGAGGGCTGTTCGCGTCGGCGGGGCGCTGTGTCTTCGTGGTTGTTGCACGCTTGCATACCCTCCTAGGTGCTTAGTAAGGAACAGCGTATCCTATCCGTATTATACAGCGCCCCCGGCTCGCAGATCCGAGTTTCAGCCTCACCGAGCAACACGCATCCATGGCCGTGGACGCGAAAACGGTCGGCTGCTGGATCGAGGCGCTCGGCCAGGGCTGAGCTGTGCCGCACGCATCCCCGAAGTCGGAAAGCATCGAGAATGTGTCCGGGCTAGCGCGCGCGGACCCCAACTCTGTAATATAATGGCTTGTCATTCGAACCCGGTCATTGGATGCGGTGGTGGGAAAGGAAGAGAAGTTCGCTCACCGATTAAGTTCGTCGTTTCCATATCTCGATGTCGAAGTGTACCAGCCATGCCACCGCACGGCGTCAAGCTTATCACGACTAATTATGAGGTCGAAATGTCTTTGTGGTGGCTGAATCCTCAAACTCGCCTACATAGATATGCAAGATATGTCCCCCAACCATCTCTATTCCGCGCCAATGACACACGGCACGCGTTGGATCATCCAAGACAAAAGGCGGAAACCGCATAATGTTCCGCGACCGGTGAGGGAACCACGGTGGGCGGCCTCCAGCTCGAGTCGTGTCCCTGCAGCCTGGCATCCATTGGGACGGTACGGACCTGGAGATCAATATTTTGTTTTGATGACGCTGTGATCAGAGTTGCTTCTCTGAGCTTCGTCGATATCAGTGCTTGTTCGACGCGACTAGGGTGCATGCGAGTCATGGAACATAGCCCATGCCTTCGCACTCTCGTCTCATGGCAAGCGGCACGGACCACCCAGGCGCGACGCATCCTGATCCATCATCCAACGGCAGCTGACAGCAACGTCGCTCTTGGCTCATTGACATGCTTTGGCTGATTGGGCGGGCCGGGCGTGGCTGGTCTGCAGGGAGCAGGCGGAGGACCGTTGCTGTGATGTCTCGCAACGCGACGGTCCACTCTCTCTTCCTCCTCTGTCATCGACTTTCTTTTCAGAAATAATGGAGTCTTTTCATCCCAGGAGAATGCCTATTGCATCGCTACGACGAAGCCGACCGCGAAGTATCCTCCATCCGTAATGGAGATGGGGAGATGGTTGCGTGTGCGCGCGCACCCAGCGCGCCCCCGAACCCGAACGCGAACGCGACACTGAGAGACTTCGCGATCAAGAGACCTGGACCACACCATCCTCACAATTATCCTTCTCTATACTTGCTCGTTAATCGATCGGGACTCGAGTCACAGCGCGATTCACTACTTACTTCCTTTTAGGCGCCCTCCCAGATACCCTGACACTTCTACCGCCATTCCTTCTCGGCGATTCCGAGCAGCCAGTCACGATTAGCCCAACCGCGAGAAACTTGACGACGCGGTTTCGAATTCGATTGCGCAACGCGCGCTTAGCCCCTAGCCGTACCTTCTCCATCTCCGATTCGGATGCGCTCCGGCTCGTGGTTGCAGGGTGTACCGTTGGGCAAGATGCGCGAAAGACGCAGGGCGAGAGCTTGTTTGGACGTCAGGGAGGATGGCGATTGCTCCGCCTCTTGTGGCTTGCGAGGCAGAGGCATGACTCGAGCGCAGCCACTTCTGATCGTCAGAGCAGGCCTCGCCGATGTGTGGAGTTTGGGGGCGGCTCTCGGTATTCTGCTAGCCAGCGGTGATGAGATTTCGGGGCGTGAAGCTTAGCTACGCGTGCGCGAGACTCCTAGACACCTATCTGGACCTCCCCTACTGCCACTTGGAATGGGCCATACTGCGACCTACCCGCTAGTGCAGTTGAGGCTGCTCATAGCGTCCGCTATACGCACCCGATCACCCGTTGAGATTTACTTGCGATAGTATTCCAGTTATACGCCTTCAGATCCGGCTATCAACTCAATCACCGGGGCGGGCTGCGCATATACTCCAGATCCAGGCTTCGGAAGCTCCTATACCCTTAGGTTTCGGCGGAAAATGCTGGGGCCCAATGCGAAGCTGGAATTGATAATACAAACACAGCACGGCTGCAAGCTTTGGTACGGCTGGTGGCTCGGATGCTTTGGTATGGATTGGGGGCGTAGATACTGTCGGCTCGCTGTGTGTGGGATTTGTCTACACATGCGATCGGGGTTGTACGCGATCCAGGGGCGGGTCGTCATCGCGATATATGGGCTTAGGATGGGCAGATTGGGCTTCTGGATCTGCTACACACTGTCAGTTAATAATATGTAGATAGAAAATATGCAAAGGCACTGTTGGGCATGAAGGAAGATGACCGTTCTATATTGCTAGGGGCTTTTGACGCGCCAAAAAAATTGATAAAAGAAACCCATCCGTGTCGCCTACGACAGACCAGCAGTCGTGGGGATTCCATTCGTGAGACTTCTGCAAGCTCTTCGCTGCTCTTAATTCACGTCGTTCCGTGGTGATGCTTTGAATACTCGAATGCGACGTCCAAGATGCAGCCTTATCGTAGATGGATACGATGCGTGAGACTTGCCGAAGATGCTATCGCGGGAGAGGTTGCGAGGTCTAGGAGGCTGCGTGGATGATGAAAAATAAGACCCGATATCAGATGCTTTTGGTGTTCTGGCCTGCGGAGGTGGTGAAGGAGATGCATGCCGACATCAGAGCAGCGGAAGAATCCGCGCCTTTTGTGGTGGCTGTTGAAGCTTCCGTGTACGCAGTTCTTTGTTCAATTAGCAATGTCATCAACAGGAGGATGCGCATCGCTGCCTACGTACCAAGGAGCTCCCGCGATAGGCTGCAGATTCCGCATCGGAATACCCGTAGGGTCGTTGTTGTTCCTGGTGGTGTTCGCAGCTGCTCCACTTGAGCTTGCCTGGGTGAACAGCCCATTGCAATCCGTGGATGAACCAGTGCCATTGCCGGCGTTCAAGGGTATCCCTTCCCCTGAAAAGCGCACTGTGATGATTAGAATGAAAGAGAGAAATAGGAGGTTGTTCCATACGAATGGGCCCTAGCGTCGCAGTAGGGATCAAGACGATATATTCTGGCATGTTTGTAGGTGACGTGCGAAAGTGAGACCCCACAATGGGAGAAAATTTCGAAAGGAACGGCGTCGACGTGCTAGATACTCTAACCTGCAAGCTGTTGAGTGCGCCCTCACTGAGCTGTGTATGTTTTGATTTTGCATTTGTGGGATCTCAAAAAAGCCCACCATGAGGCTTTCTTTTGTGCGTTGACACCGCTACTTTTGGCCTAGTTGGTAGGGATTTAGACGGGGCGCGCGAGACCAAAGGCCAAAGAAGCGACAGCGGGATTCATGACTCGAAACGTACGGGGATGCAGTATCCATTCATCGCCATATCCGCGGAGTGGGCTTGAGCGCGCTCTATCCCGGCTCCTACTCACTTTGACTGCGCCATCGCCGCCATGACACGATGCTCGCAGAGCTGCCCCGCGAAACATGCACAAGGGTAACACGCCCTCCTATGCCGCAGGAAGTTAAGTTTAGCGTGTGATTCTTGACCGGATCAATAGCCCGTGGACTTTGCTGTCTTCCGAGCGACCAGGCCCAGATCCAATCCAGTTGGAACGCGTCGGGGGTGCAAAAGGTTCTCGCCTACTCGGACCACGGTCCAGAGAGGGAGTTTGAGTATCGGCAGCGTATGCCATGGCGATAGTCGCTGCCTGCTGGCTTATTGTTCGACGAGCAGTGGGGGCTAACGTGACATGTCCGATGCCACCATGCAGCGCACGGTTCATCCATCTTTAGAATTGACCTTAGAAGGACATGGCGGTTGACAGAGCTTGAGAAGCACGCGTGCTCAGGGATGCTTGCTCAAGGGTTGACCCGCCAATGAATAAGGCGTATATATGTTCAGTTGCCGGTCTGGAGGCAGTCAGCTAATGTATCGGGTCAGAGCAGCTTTCAGTCGTCTCCCCAGAGCCCAGCTCGAACATCACCGCTGCTGTACAGCAAGGGAATGCTCTTGGCAGTCGGGAAAGCATCGACGAAGGCCTGAGGCTATAAGGCAACCTCCGCTAGGACGGCCTGGGCAAGGAACCCGGCCGGGTCCCGTTGGGTCCGTGCACGCGATGTGGAGAACACTCACCGCTCAACAGTCAGACGTCACCACCAACACCCGTCTATTGAAACCCACATCCGTTACCAGTATTCGAAACGAAGACGGATGCAACCGCAAAGAAGGCTGCCGTTGCGGCAAACACCTCTCCTCTGGAGGGATTGCCCGCCATGATCTTTACTGCGAGGGCGAAGAGCGTCCCAAAGCCGCCAACAGCGCCAATTCGAGCCAGCAGAGGATCGATCGAAACGAGAGCAAACATTGCTCCAGTTAGGAGCAGCGAGGCGGAGATGCATGTAAGCGTATCCATAATGTCAACAACCCGGTGATACGGAACGTCTGGTCGATCCCATCGTTGGGAGCGGCTGATGCGTCTGCATAGCCTCCGAAAACGTTCGAGAATACGCTTTTCGATCCACGGACTCCACTCCACAAATTTCCTCGTCAGGATATCGTTGGTGCTGAGGCCTCTCCAAGCACATGTATCGGTTCGCTCTGATGGGCCAAAGTACACCGTGGCATCCTCTTGTGTGAACCCAAAGCGCCAACCCTGGGGCCCGATTTGAAAGAATGGTACCTTATTCAGGTCTTCCATTCGCTTTGTCGCCGATGGACTTTGGTTTGGGAGCTTCATTATCCGTTCGCTCAAGCATAATGTTTCTCCTGGAAGTCATCAGATATAAGTCCCTTTCAGTGGCATAGCGCCTGGCTTACCATATCTCCGTAGGGCTTCCTCATATTTTACCCATTTATCTTTGTATATTGCAGAATGGTTGTGCTCGACGAACCAACGGGGGCAATCCAGCACTGTTGTCCCACCGGCGGTTCCCCGCACTCCCTTCAGCGCCTCACACACTTCGTTTTGCCTCGTCAACACTGCGACAGCATCATCCTGAAGGAGCTTGGCCCATTCTGCGGCAAATCGGCGGAATCTTCCCAGCTCTGGATACACAGCGATGTTTTGAAAGAGTTCGCTGAATCCTTGATCGGGACGCCGGCTTTGCGTTGCGGTCTGAGGGGTTTGAGGTGACCTCGGAGATGTTGCCATCGCAGATGTAGGCTAACCTATTTAGGAATCGTTCCCAGGACCGGAAAAAGGAAATTCTAGAAGAGCAATGATGCGAGAATATGTTTGAACCGATCCGTTGGGAGTCTGAGCTTATGCTCAGAAGTCGGAGGAAGAGGTGGAGTCTTTATAATAGTGTCGCAGACCGGTTCGAAAGGAGTTGGTGCCACCAGGTCTACCTTTCAGCCCTATCAGCTCCACCAGTTTGATCGCTCCATGATTGCCGCAGAAGCGATCGAGATACGCAGCACCGAATCATTGGCGAGCTGTGGCCTCCTAGCAGCGCGTATCAACTGCAACCGTTCGCGGCTCTGCAGTGAGGAAGAGTTTCTGGGGCCAAATTTTCCATCCGCTACGAACAAGCCTTTCCTCCTGTCATAAGCTCCCAAAAGCCGCTGCTCCTTCGCCTCGCCCACGAATATGAGGCTTCCTGGCCTGCGATCAAAGCAGCGGACCAGAATGCATGCTGCGGATTTAGATCACGGTGGGTTATCAGCCAGTTACCACCCTCCAAGAACTATGTTAGACCCGAGGATACATATTGCGGCGCAGCTCTCTTCCACACGCAGCACTCATCGGCTTCGCGCGTATGATGGGGCTGACGGAGTTCGCTAGGAAAATGGCGTGCTGAGGACCAGTGCCCACCCTCCTCGTCTGGCTCATCGGTTCAACCTTGCCTGATTCCGTGCGGGCCGTAGCCGATAATAGCTCGGGAAGTCATTACGAAGCGTCAGCCTTGCTGCACCCTGGCGGTTCGTCGCGTTGTTGGTGTTTCTGTGCAGCGCGAGAAGTGGCCACGATGGTAGGCTGAACCCCGGGAACGAAGCGACAAACCCCAAGCCCTCCAATTCCAAGAAACCCCGCAACTTCCCAAGAAGCACCCGAGTCCACGTATGCGATACAAATTTGCAGGTCGACGCTCCAGGGCTTCGAATCACTACATGTAGGTTAAGAAAAGCATTTAGAGCATCTGAGCCGGACGCTCCTGAAGGTAGCAGTTCGGTGATAGGGCCGCGAGGCTGCAAGCCGATCGTGGACGAGTCCTCCACCAGTCATTCCTAGAGTATTGCCTGCATTGCCGAGGAAGCCCTTCACAAGCAGAATGGACTCCATGAACCGGATGTAGACCACGGAGGAGGAGCGCCATTGTGCCCGTTGACGTCCCCGTGCAATGGTTGGAACACAGCACTCCTCTCTTCGCCTCCCAGAGCTGTGCAAGTTGGTATAGATGAGGGTTCGCGGTGTTTGGAAGCAGGACAGTTTTATTTTGTCGAAAGGAGTGATCACGAGTCAGTGGTGTGTCGGAGCGCAGAAAAGACGAGGCTCTGGGAAGGGAATTCACAAGCCACAGTCTCACGGCATTCGCATAGGCGCCTACACCGGCATATCCACTTATCCGACTCGCAGATGTTGTGCGGTGGGCTGCATGATGCAGGAATGTCGTTCGCCGGTAGTTCTAAGACATTGCCACGCGGACGATTGATATCACCGTCATAACCGCTCCATGGTCATTCGTCCACCCGAGATGTGAAGGTCATTGGCATCATAGCAGCGGCTGCCCCCACTAAGTGGCTCTCGCACTGGGATATACTGGCGATCTTTCGTCCTCGTCGGAGATAGACATTCCCGCAGAAGTGTCATCCCTCCACCCAACCCTGTTCTATTCCATTTCTACGAATGATTCGGTCGGATGTTTCACGCTTAGCTCCAGGGGCCCTAAAAATACCTGTTCCCCACTGGGACCGGGCCAACAACGTCGCGATAGGAAGGCGACCCGGCTCGAGCCTGATGAAATGCTTTCCTTATTTACCACGACTTGCAGGCTACCATTCGATTTTGAAGCCAAGCCAACTTCTGTAACATCCAACTAGACTTTCCACTCAGCTGCAGCGATGATGCATCGCACCATGCGATACGACAGTAGACTATACCTAAGCGCTGACGACCGTGTGCTTCCTTTTCGCTTGGGCCTCTCTGTTCAGTCAGCATAGATGAGGGGCGCTTTGGAGAAAGATCCATAACTCATGGATCTATCACGGGCAACATGCTCCATTGGTGTGGGCACTATACCTATCTAGGAAACTATGGTGAAAGGGAAACCCATAGGGGCATTTGGAGCCTCCGCAATCACTGACTTCTCTAGTATTAATCTTAGTTTTTAAAAGGCTCTACCTGGGGGCTTTCGCCTCTATTTACCACTCTGTTCATTTCCATGGCGCAGCTACGGGTTGGGGGAGCACTCCTCTGGTAGCATCACAAATATTTGATACATAGTTGGAAATTTCAGCATGGGTCAAAGAATATTTCCTCTTATCATTCCATTCATTCTATTCATCCCAACAAAAGAGTTTTACTATATTGTCGTTCTCTTCAATCTCTAAGCTAGATCGAAAGGACCGAAGAGCTTAACCTCAACACGACCAGCGTTCAGGCGTGAACAGGGTCTGACCTCGAAAGCCATCGTCACGTTAGGGTATGATATTCAGAACAAAGAAGGCATACTTGGGGTCAATATCATATAGAAAAGGAGCATCTACAAAGGCTGGACCGCGGAGTGAAGTGCCTCCCTCGGAGACAATATAATCCGACTCCGGAGTTTCTGCGCACGCGACGACCCATGAAACTTGTCGAATATCTGAAGCGGATGCCTTAAAAACCCTTCCTACTATGAGATGTGCCCAGAAGAGTTAGTTCGTGCTTTTCTCGACACGACATAACTCCGTGCCGAGGTGCGGTTTTTCAACTGGCACCTGGGCACTTTTAGCAACAGCAACCACGAAACGAAAGGAGCGACTTACATTTCCCAACATGCATCTCGAAGCTAGTGGCTTCCCACTTCCTGGTGGTGGCATGGATTCGTCCTTGCCGAGCTCATCAGCTCGGAGCAAACATGCAGAGATCGAAAAGGAAAAGACGGCCTCCCCATGAGCTGTCACTACACAACCTCTCACCGCTTCTCTCGCCGTGCATGGATCCTCTTGAATATTCTCCTTTAGGCTGACCGGCGAGGCCCACGAGCAAGCCACATGAAGCTTCATGATCCTTCAACAGCCCCTGTGCGCAGGCCACGACGCCCCACAGTATGCCCAGCGGTGTGACGTGCGAAGACCGACCACCTTCTGGCCCCCCAAGACCCTCATCGGTGTGCCCGAAACATTCGCCGGCAGCCGGAGGTATCGGTACAGAGCTTTCGGCGCGGTATCATGAGCTCTCCGCGTAGAATCACGCCCAGTCCTCCCAGTGCCGGTACCTAAGACACCGCGAGAGCGACCATGTTCTTATCAGCTTCATTAAGAGGCTGGGGGAAATAAAGGAGAGCTCCGAGGCGCTAAGCAAGCTAGAAATCGACCGAAGTCGGGATCTCCAGCCATCTTCGCGGTGGCCACGCACACTGCGCGCCCAGCCCGGCACGACGCTCAACCTGCGCGCAGCCTCACCACCATAACGACGCTTACATCAACAGCTTGCCAAATTGCGCGACGAGGTGCGAGTGATAATCATCTCTCAACACCCTCCACTCCCCCTGCATAACACTTGCAGCTTCTCGCACCTGCTCACTAAGATTCATAGTCAAAGTTAAGGATAAGCATCTAATTAGGATTAGCATATATATTAAGAAGTGTTTAAGACTCGTATAACTACGCTCTTTTTTACACCTAAACACCCAGATTCTAGTAAGAAATATAAGTAGTAAGGTCTCCTATATAAAAGTGCTTAGAAAAAGAGGTGACTACACTTTTTTAGAAAGGATTTTACCTCTTTTAGCTCTCTCTTTAGCTCTCTAGCCCCCTCCGCCTGATCTTATACTGTTCAGTTCTGTAATAAGTACATGTATTAGTATAAGTACTAATCGCTTGCAGCGGTAGCAAGTGCTTATTCTCAGCTTTAACTGTAGTTGCGAAAGTATTCTAGTTATATGCTTTAGGTCTAGCTATCTACTTAATTACGCAAGGGGGCTGCATATTTACTCTAGCTCTAAACTGTAAAGCTTTTATATTCTTAGACTAGAGATGCTAGGGTGTAATGCGAAGCCAGAATTAATAGTACGGAGAAGATTGTTGTATTTTGTACCGGAATTTGGCAACTCCGACACTTCTCCCTTCGCGCCTTGCTTTGGGCATCCCAGCCACCTTACTTACCTTGCGGCCGAACATCTCCTCTACATAGTTTCTTATTTACGAACTCCTTTTAAGGACGCCTCCAAACACGCTGCATAGCCTTGGATATGCCTATCCTTCGAGAAATCTAGCGTTGATTGCGTAAATTCCTGCTACCATCACTAGTGGTTAGCCAAACTAGTTCACCCAAGCTAATCGCGGTCTATTTTAGGAGAGCCAGCTTTGAGGCATCGCCAGCCAGATGTCGATCCGTCGCCTTATCGAAGTATCGTGTTAGATCACCGTTAGACGCGTAGTTCGGCGAGACAAAGGTAGCCTAGAACATCTATGGGAGGGAGTGTGACCTTGGGACGGACATAGTGTATGGCATGCTTTCACGGAGGTAACCTTAAGCAGAACATTACGGTGCGTGCGCAAGCGACACTTCATTGTTTTCGAGGCGGAAATCTACCAGCTGGCTTGGGGAGACCTCCACTGCCGGCCCTTTATGTGTGTTGATCTGGAGTGCAAATAGTGAACCCCGTGGGCCAGATTGTCACCTTCCCACGACACATACACTGCTGTATTTGCTGAAAGCTGCTGCATCGCCCATGACAGCTTATTTGCCTCACTGTGTTCTTCCCTCATCTAATATTTCTAAACATTCCTCAATGCCGCCGAGCTGTATCGGATCCCACCAATACCGTCACAGAAAGCTGTCCACTTAAAGCTTCCCACGCCTCGTGGCGGCGCAGCCCAAAGAGCAAATCACTGAACCAATGTCGGCAGCGGCACATACACCATCGGCTTGGTTTCCATCATGCCCGCTCCCTTGTCCTGGTATGGCTGTATCTTCCGCTCTTCTTGTCGCACGAACCGCTGTTGGACCTTATGCAGCATGCGCTGCAAGCGTGCCACAGCGGCTAAGGCGTGAACCCTCCGGAGTATTTCCACCTAGCCGGTTCCAGACCGCACACCACCCGGCTTGCTTCGTGAAAGCATATACTCCTATGGTAGAGGAGACCAAAGGCCGTGTCGGAAGAGGCAGTCGTTTCCCGACTCCTATCCTGAGACAGACGACACCGAATGCCGGTCGCGGGGAAGTAATGGGCAGCGCGCGGGATGTAGGATTGCTTCGTGGGGTGATTGGAGGCCGAGATAGGACCAGGCGTTAGTCATGGGCGAGTCGGCGATAGATGCGAGGAAGGAGGGTGACGACCATCGCGGATCGCGTTGGCGGTTATGGCTGCGCCGCGCAAGTGCCATGGGCGATAAAAGGGTGAGGATGGAATCTGCTTTCTTGAACTTGACTGCATCAGCTTCTCAGTCTGCACTCGGGGTATCAAGGCCGACGCGCGAAGAAATGACCGGAGACCATACTCATAATACAACGATCGAGCTCCCAAGTGCCCAGGAGAGGAACGGAATCCGCGACGCGATATGGGAACGAAAGGCTAAAGAAATGAAGAGATAATCTTGATGAACGAAGAGTTCAAATTTTGGAATCTGGCAGATTCCGCAGTGGCTGGAAAGCTGGGAGGGCAACACCGCGCCCGGCACCATCCACCAATGACGCCAATGTTGTCGTCCTTCAGTTTGTCACGAGCCACGCGCGTATCTATGCGACGGAACACGCAGCTTCACGCCGAATTGCCGCTCTCGAAGGATCCAACGGCTTTTGTTTACGCTTTTTCGTTTTGGCTATAAGTTCTGTGGTTGGCGAAAGATGAAAAGAGAAGGATGCAGGGGCTGTCCCGTAACCCATCCGGTTGCCTTCCGCAAAGAAACGGCTTATCGACCGCAGATGCGCTGCATGGCGAGGGCTTGTCACGTCGCAGAAGGGCCTCCGACCCATCAACACCCGAAGCATCTCACGACACGTCGGGAGCGCGAAGGGTACGCAGGAAGCTCCGTCACAGAACACGATGCTGGAGACCCAGCGACAGGCCGGCGGCCGCCCCTTCGCTCGCACCGTCTGCAGATACTGCTCTGTAGGATGACGTTGGTCTCACGCCATGAAACCTTGAGGAGTATAACCTTCATAAGCCGAGCTACCACGCAAACCCTAGTCAAGGCGAGCTTTCGCTTTGACTAGTCGTCGGAAGCCTCCCGCTGCTCACCGGTGCAGGCGCCGCTAGCAGGTGTCACACACTCCGTGGGGAGGCGTGTCCTGGGACATGTTCCGTCTTAGCCTGCACTATTGAACGCAACCCGCGCAGACCTTGACTTCGCTTTTGCGGAAGGCTGTCGAACCAGTCATAGCATCCCTCTCCTCACCGATAACCCAGCGGTAATGGCCCGGAAGGGAAAGACAGCCCACTGTCCCATCGACGTATCCATGCTCGTGCGACTTGGTGCTCATGAGCTAGCAAAAAACTGACTCCAGGGCCTGAAGCTTCCGAAGGGAGCGAGATGACTGCTGTCCTAGTTGCCTTGTCATGCCGGATCTGGACGAGATATAGAGCATCGCAGGAGCGTAGGCTGCAAACCCCGGCATTGTAGCTGCAATGTAACGCAAAAGTGCCTTAATTACGCAGAGAATCGCCGCAAATACGAATTTTAGACGCATCTAAATTCGCTTTTTTGTGACTAGGTGTCGCGTCAGCGCATTCTCGTCGTCGTCGTGGTACGCGGCTGTGCCTCCTTGGGCACAGGCAAGAAACCACAAATCCTTGCGGCCGTTCAAACACAGGACCTTTATTATGAACTCCGCCCAGCTTCAGAACGAGATCGGCGGCTCACGTCGGTGCCCCTACTCCGCTCTGGTAGAGGTTGGTCGGCTTGCCGAGTTGTTGTTGACCGTGTCGGGTTGATATCAATCAGCCGAATCGGAACCACTCCGAAGTGCCGGACTCGATACAGCCTCAAAAATTCGAATTAATGGCTTGTCATATGAAGACGTTCATTGGTCGGGGGGAAGGGCGACGTTGGGGCGCAGGGCGTGGAACTGAGCCAGCGCGCCGCCCAACAACGCCCCTGATCCCGGGCGATAACACCTAAAATCAAGCATGCCATTCCGTGCCGCGAGGAGCATTATGAATCTTGGACTTCGAATTTTCCTTATGGTGGCTGAATTTTGAATCTTGCTAACGCAGGCCGTGCGCGTTATGCTGCCAGGCTTACCTCTTGTGCACCAGAATTGACGAGCAGCGCCGGAAAGTATGCAGGAGGATAAGGCTAAGCTTTGGCGTGCTAGGACCGGTGAGTGTGGCCTCTGCTCGGACCGCGCGCGCGTGTCAAGCTGGGTCGTGTTTCTGCGCCCCTGAACCAGATGACCGGGCCGCGATGGGACGCGCCGTAAATCATTCCAAGGTTGTTTTGAGGGGAGATGAGATCTTGGCCGATGGGATGCCCGTCTAGAAGATTTCGTCGGGACCTCGTTGTGATCGCGACGCCCTTCTCTACCGCGTCGCGCAAAGACGAACTCCTTGCACTTACCTATGTAAAGTTCTAAATGCCTTCTGTCCGGGCAATCCTACCAACCTCAATGGTTTCTTCTCAATGCACGCCAATCTGATTCGACACGGCTATGCTCTTGGAATGGGCGAAGCAACGCGTTTGCCGAAAAGTCGAGCGCGTCCAGCCGCTCAAGGTTACTCTGTAACCATCGCAGGTTAGCATCAAGATCCTCTCTCAATGTCGTGGAGTGCTCACCTCAAATAGGCCGCTGCCCCGAAACTCCTTCTAGTCCTAGTACCTCGCCCGACCATCGTCTCCTCAGTCCCCTGACAGTCCACTCGCGCGCTTAATTCGCAACCAGCTTGCCCACCATACGACGCCTCTAACGAGCGCAGGACGCGCGCGCCTTCCTCCGCCCCGGCTTGCCTTCCTCGGTAGACCCGACTTTCGGACCGGCTTTCCTGGATACACTAGGATCAGCCTATGTGGGTGAATACCGGCGAATGTGGATCTGAGCTTGCTCGAAAGCTTATTTGGACGTTCTGCATGCCAATGCCCAGAAGCTGGTTCGCCAGGTGTTCGCTGGCATTGCGGTGCAGAGACCGGTGGCGTGCCTTTATGGGCCAACGACTGCGGACTATGGAAGGGTGCATCTGTGAATCTCTCTGTAGAGTACTCGCCGGCGGAAATATGGCTCGGGGCTGCTGGTATTGATGACTGCCTGCTCGCCCGTCCCCTTATGCAGGTGCGCGGTGGCATCGTCAAGAAGTAAGGAGGGGATGATGAACACTGAGTTCTGAGCGACCCGAGGGCAACGGAATACACTCTAGATAAACTGTTCATCGCATTGACGCCGCGTCGGTGGGGCGGTCGGAGGCCTAGGATAGGCCAGCAATAGCTATCCGGATGAATGGCATTGCCGGGAATCCATATGTCGCCTTCACCAAGTAATTTCTAAACGAATATACGAATTTCAAGGCCATAATGAACACAAAATGACTGAGTGCTATGAGAACTTGATTGTGCTGGGACTAGAAGGTGTTGCGTGTTTGAGCAGGCAGACGCGACACTAGGTGGAGGTTGATAGCGACCTTAGGGCAATAACTGACATCGGAATGCAAGTGCGGAAGACGCAAGAACAAATGAGCAACCCAATCAAAGCCAGTAACTTTTATTTTAAATGCACTCTACAGTACTATGAACTAATGCATGGATAGAATTGGTAGAAGAGTTCTGCGGGACCAAAGCCGGAATTATGCGCCAGGGAAGTGATGAAGACGGCAACGAACATTGCATTCGGGAGATTGAGTCTCTGTATCTTTCATCAGTTAGTCCACTAAGAGGTTAAACTGCTCAAAATGCTTCGGACATACCTAATTTTGCAAGCGTTGATAAAATGAGGCACGGCTGATGCCACTCGACAGAGACTAGGCATTGTTGGAGCCGTCGGGGTCTCGGGCGACCTTTGGGTTTTTGATGGGTGCTGTGAAAGATTAGAGGGCAGGTTTAGAGATAGTGGTTGTGTCTTACGAAGGGGTGGCGGGTCATAAGTCGGGATCACAGTCTCATGCAGGTGGACAGGTTGGGAAGCCACGGAGCCCATTTTGCCAGGAACTTGGACCTTTCTGGCGATGAACTTCGCACTAGGGAGATCAAGGTGGAGCAGACTGTTGCGCCGGTTTCAAGGACTGTGAAGCCATAATCTTATAGAGAGGAAGGCGGTGTCCAAGGCACCCTCCTCTATCGACTGCCCTAGCAAAAGGTGGTTAGTGACGCCGCTGCGGGCCGTCGTAGTGGTCGTAGTTTGCACCCTATCGCGCCTTGAGTCAGCTCCAAGCCGAAACAATGCATAATGAGGCGCGAGTAGACCCACTCGCAGGGTCTCCCGCTCGACGCAGGAGCCCGGAAGTGTGGAAGAAGTGAGTTGTCGTCGCGATGGCAGGATCGTGAGAGCCGCTGGGTTATGCAGCCGCGGTGCTGAGGCTCCTCCTCCTAATGAGGTAAATGCAGCGCTCAATGCGCTTAGCACCGACCGGTGAAGGCGCCTCTTTTCCCATGTCCAAGTGCGAGAATCGTACTACCTAGGTATGTTGAGAGGGTCGGGGCTCGGTGAACAGGGGGGAGTTTCGAAGCCAAGGAGATGATCCAGTGACGCTTCATCCGAGCCCCCAAGCGCACAATGCAAAATTGACAGGTCTCTAACGCCGCCCCATGCTCCCCGCAGGCTCAGTTGCCACCTTTCGACTTGCACAGAGACGGGGAAGCTGCTGCCAGCTGTCAGCCATGAACCTTAAAGGGGGGTTGGGGGAAACAATGCCGACACCATGTCTTGCAAAGTTCCTCCCAAAGATGCTTACTTGGTTGACAGGGAGCGCAGCGGTCCGCTACGCAATCTGTTGCTGCCTGAGGCCTGAAATATTTGATGATGACCAGAAAGGGTTAGGGCCATCCGTCCAGCTGGTTCGCGAAGATATTTCCACGCGCCCTCGGTATCCTCCACGACTCTTAATGAGCCCCCACCCAGCCCTACGCAGTCTTCGCGACATCATCATCAGTTGTGGACACGAATACCGAGGCCACTGCAAAGAACGCCGCGGTGTAAGCAAAGATTTCGCCACGGGAAATACGTCCAGAGATCAATTTCGAGGAGAAGGAAAATGCCAGACCGAACACGCCGACCAACGCGATGCGAACCTTGAGAGGACGCACGGAAACAAGAGCGAACATCGTAGCCGTCAGCAAGAGAGGAACGAAGATACATGTCGACATATCTATCGTTCTGACAATGGTCGAAAGCCGAACGCGGGTAACCTGGGTGCCGTGCGGTGACGGCCGATAGCAGTTGCGCAAATCGCGGAGACGTCGCAGGACGTGTTTCTCGATCCAATCGCTGTGGTTGATGTAGAAGGTTGAGAGCATGTCCGCGCTCTCCATTCTCACGCTCTCAACGCCTGACCAGGCAACGAAGTCTCGGGCTGCGAGATTCTGGTATGCAGCGGCGGCACCCTTCTCATTCGTCGGCCCGAAGTCGCCATTGGGAAACAGATTTGGAAATCCCTTCAAACGCTTACTGAAGTACGGAGAATGGTCCGGTAGCTTAAGTAACTGGTGCGATAGGCACAAGTCTTGGGCTGGTCGAAATTAGGTATGGAAAGCAGTGGGCACAGCACGAGTCACTCACAGTAAGCCCTGAGCCTTTGCTCATAATTCGTCCATTGCTTGTACAACGACTCATGGTCTTTCACCAGGATTCTAGGGCACTCCAGAAGCGTTAAGACGTCACGGCCTTCGGCTCTCCGGAACGTCGCTAGAGCATCGTTAAGCTCTTCTTGTTCCTTCAACAACTCCTCCACATCATCGTAGAGCTTTTTTGCCCATTGTGCTCCCAAGCGACGGAATTTAGGCAACTCCGGGTAGTCCGCGCATTCATTGTAAAAGTTGGCGTAGCGATACGCAACTCGCGGGGTTTGCGGCGTCTGTTGTGGCTGCTGCATGATGTGTCGTCGGGGTATCAATCAACCGAGGGAAACTTTGGATGCTATAGGCTGAGGAAGAATACTGGTACAAGGGACCGCCTTGTCGCGATAGAATGGACAAAAGAATATAGGAAAGCTCTGCTGGAATCAGAGCACGATTCAGGTTGGCAATTTAACTTACATTTATATTCTTCTGTTCTTTCGTCCTGTTTTCCAGTCCTGCATTATCTACCCTCCTTTCCGTCCACTATCGCCGTTGCGTCTGGATCGCTTCCAATCAGATTAGGGCTTCTCCGAATAGCGTTGGTATTTGCAGCGAATACCAAGGTAATATCTTCCCTTACCGCTCACTAAGTTCGGCAGGTTGTCTCTGAGCTTCATCCGACTCCCGTTGGGGCTGAAGTAGACCTCAAAATTGCGTCCGATGCCATTCTACGATGAATTGGCATCAGGGCCTTCTCATAGTGGCTCCTTCGACCATGATCTGGCGCGCGATAAGAGAAAAAAGCTGGAAAGGCTGGTGCTTCATCCGAGTCGATGTCGAACGCTGACCACTCGCACACCTCCAAGATCGAAACAATATTGATGTCCTGGGTTTCGGCACAGCAATAGCCTTACAAGACTGCATGGGGGAGGAAATAAGACGAACGGTCGTTGAGCTGCTGGGGAGGAAACGGGGTCGTCGTGGCCAATGCTGACCCTCCATCGCCAGAAGCCTCGCTCCGTTCGTCGCCTGATGCCGCGCGGGCCGGCGCTGACGATATTTGGGGCTTCACCCGAGTTAGCAAATCTTCCACGACATTGCAGGCCTTGACCGTGGTGTTTAGCAGGGTGGTGTGTTGCGGTGTTCGAGAGACAGAGTTGAGGCAGGGAAGCGACGCCAGCCCCTTCAAACCCCAAGAGCGCCTTGGTGCACGAGCGCCTATATTCACAGATCTACAATTCTGACTCGCAGATATTGCGCACTGGGCTGCATGCAGCGGGGACGTCGTTCGCCGGCAGTTCTAGGGCAACATCCACGCGGGCCACGGATATGGGGGGAAATGATAGCCGCTTTACCGTCATTCGTCTAACAGTGAAGCGAAGGAGGACGTTGACCTCAGCGCGGCGGCTGCCCCCACTGATGTGGGCAATCTCACACTAGGGTATGCTTGCCGTCGTCCACAGTCGGTTTGCGGTCTTCCCTAGAACTGAATTGCTATTCATGTCCTTTCGCGGCAATTTCCTCTCTACACATATCGTTCGCGGTCGAGCCAAACCGAGCAACCTGTGGCCGCCGCGTTCATGGCATATTTTGGAGCACGGCTAAAGATAGTGAAGGGACGCGGCTTCCGCTCAGCCTGCCCAATTGATCATGAGCATTCCTTACTTACCAACAGATGCAGGTAACCACACGATTTTGAGACCTAGCCTGCTTCTGCAACATATCAAAGCGGCTAATTCTTCGGCTGGGTGAGGCTACATCACATCGGATTCGCCGATATTTTGCGCTGCGACGAAGCATCGCAGAGGGTGAGTTCCCACCGCCATCCCTCCCCTTTTTCCAAGCACCCCCCTTTCATTCTTGGACGCTTATGATTAGGCCTAGCAGCAAGTCGGTCGGCGGAGCCTATTTCAATGATGAGCAAGGTGGACCAACCGACACTGACACTAGGCGAGCTAATCCTGTTTTGGAAATGCCAGTGAATTCGTCCGACCCGTGGACAGCTCATAGCGCTCACAAGAGGCAGCCGGATACGGTTATACGCTAGGTAATAGTTAAGTTCTATTCGGCTATTTAGTTGATTTTCCGCGTCACTCTAGGGTAAGTGGGTGCGGATGCACCCGTCGTACTTGGTACGCAGGCGAACATGTCAGGATAGATGAGCAAGGCACGATTTTGAGTCCGAACTCACAAACTGTATAGCACCATCTCCTATCATTCATTGATATCTTGCATTGATTAGAGGCCTTGAGATCGTGCTATCAGTCTCACGTATGGCATCAAGCACGCAGAGTGCTACCACTTCGCCGATACCTCCTGAATCCTCCTTTAGATGCGCGATAATTCCGACTAGACACCCGGACGGTACATTTAATAGCACTGATATCCAGAGAGAAAAACTCCTAGTAGATAATGTGTGGCATGCAGGCATCGCTTGTGCTGGACAATGGGGTGAAGTGCACCTGACGGAGACAACATGTTCCGACTCCGGGGCATTCGCGCAGAGTACCATGTCATCAAGGAGCACAACTCTCTACTGTAACCATTCAGAAGCTCCAGGTACTTTACGTGCGTTCAGAATGGCCTATCGCGTATTGTAATGCGGTCCAGCAGCCCACTTCGAGGCGCAAGTTCAACATTCGCTCTCAGCGCCAGCGTCCACGAATCGGAAGGAGCGGCCGATACTTCCCAATGCCTCATTCACGACATCTCGCTAAGCTAAAACATTGGGCATGGAGTCGCTGCTGCTTCGTACCCCCAAGCCAGTCCACGGGAAGAGAAAGCTGACTCCCCTCAATTCCTCATGTTTTGAAATCTCCATGCGCTGCAGCCCATCGAGCCATTCTTTTTCAGTCTCACCGGAACAAATAATGTACCAGGAAGCCACCGGAAGCGTCATGCCCCTTCAGCCACGCACTGCGTGCATCGACTGCATGCACGCCGACCATCTCATCACAGGCAGGGATGACCACTGCACTAAGTGCACGATGGACGGGAGATATAGAGCCTTTCCAGCACCAAACTTCACGAGCGGTGTGACCGGAAGGCTCCCCAGCAGCTGGGGCTTGGTAGAGAGCTTTCGAGGAGGCATCGTGGAAGGTATCGCGAGGTCGCCAGCCCCTAGGCTTTGCACCGTGGCGACCACGACCATGCACTTATCTGGGACGATTATGCGGCTTTGAAGAAATAGGGGCCATGCTGGGCAAGCCAGACGCCTTCTGATGGGAGATCTCCGAAGTCGGAATCAGCGTACTGTTTCCTGGCGACGCACACTGCGCGTAACTTTGCGTGGGCGGCGTGAGAGTACGCCCAGCCTCACGATCACCTCAACAGCCCGCATGTTGACACAGTATACCCACTGAGAACGAGAGGCTGCAAGCTCCTCATTGCTTCGCTCGCCTCAATCATGCTCGTTATATCTGCCTAATATATCGTATCACCCTTTCCAGGGAATCTCCTCTCTCTCCATGGAAATGAAACTGTTGCCTTATTCTTCGACCATCCGCGGAAGCGGGATTCAAGGCCGGGGATTCAAGGCCGCACCCTCGCTCCCGGCTGCACGGGGTGGTGGTCAGTGTCACGTCCTTCACTTCTTGGCGACCATCACACCGGCCTCCTCATTTCCCAGCCGCGCTGAGTGGACGCTTCTCGCACTTGATCGCTCACACGGCGCGCCCTCTGCAAGCAGGGCAATATGCCGGATTCACGCGTCTCGATGACGATGGCCCATGAGCGCAGTGCCGTTTCGCGAACACCCCCAGATCACTTGTTGTTGATCGCGTTCTCTCATCGAGCGCTCGGAGAAGCGGTAGTTATTCATACATCGCTACGAAGCTAACGCAAATCTCAACGTAGAGACTCTCAACGCATCAATTCCCTCCCCTCCCCGCACTCGCTCGTCTCCGCCCTTCCAGCCGCCTCCTATCCCGCGTGCGAACGCGAGTGCACCTCGGTCTGCCCTTACGTTCAACTACGCTCACTCCACGCGGTCGTTACGGGTGAAATAGACAAAGCTCGCCAATGCAGACGAATAAGGACTCAAATATACAAGAGGAGATTGGACTGGAGGGAGTATAGATGCCCGCGAATTCTCCGCTGCTTTCGGTGTGGCATGGGGTTCAGGAGGCGGCGAACACCCCCCTCGTGCTTTCCCCATCTATACAGCTCTTCGGCACTTGAACGTCCTCCAGATTCTCCCACGACCCCTCCATCCGATCACCCAAACTACTCCTCGCACTCGCACCATCCGGCCTCCGTACAAGCTCGTCGAACTCGATATCTGTTACCGGCCCACCTTTCTTCCGCGTACTCCCACCCGAACTGGGCCATGTAGGCGTCGACGGCAGCTGAGCTCGTCGCAACCCTAGCATCGCCATCGTCCTGACAAATAATCGTCGACTCCTCACATGCCGGACGAAGCTAGGCAGGACAGGTAGGCAAGCAGCTAGGAACCCACACGTGAGCTCCGGGTCCGCCCACTTCCCCATCAACGCAGCTTGGTACGTAATGTCGGATGATCGGTACAAGGCGATGGCGTAACGGAGTCGAAAGGCTGACGCAACACAGGCGCTGTTCATCCCGTCAGATGCCCACTCACAACCGCCTGCCATGGCATGTTACTCACATCACGGCGACCAAGAAGACCGCGCTCAATGCCAGCCTCTTCGTTCTTTCCAGCGTCAGCCTCCAAATCGCCGGTTGAGGGAGGACGAACAACACAATATCGCTTGCTGTATTGATCGCAGCCGAGATGATATGCACGAGCATGTGGCTCGAGCAATGGCCTTCTGTGATGGTGACATCCCAGAGCCTCGCCATCGGTTGGCAAGCACACAGCTGGTAGATGATAATAGTGCTGTAGAAGAGGACGTTCACCCATAGGAAGAAATGGACGAGCCAGAAAAGCGGCGTGCGGTGCGCGTGGGCGGGAATAAAGATACGCAAGATTTGTAGGACGAGTGCGGCCTTGAGTGGGATCATAACGAGAGAGTAGGTGATGACTGCGAAGAAGTAGTACTACACAGGAAGCAGTCAGAGGATGGGAGTGGTCTGGATCGTAGGGAAGTTGTACGTAGGTGTGTTTAATCATGTGTCGAATCGTCATGTTCCATTGATGGACGCCAAGCGGTAATGCTCCCAAGAGGAAGACGATAGGGTGAAACGCTCCGGCGTAGAGCACCTGAAGCATCTTAATCAATATGCCGTCTTTGCTGCAATGCAACTGTTGAACGTACCCAAGCCACAATCAAAACATCTAACCAAAATTATTAGTACACCAGAAAGAAGTAGCCTGTTTAGCATAACGTAGACTGACAATCCTCGACCAGCACTTTCCGGATGACTCTGGCCTTTGTAAACACCCGCATCCACACGAATACTGTGGCAAGTAAAAGCTGAGCTGTTGCAGAACCTTGGCTTCTCGCGTTTGGCGGGTCCACAAAATTCGACTGTATGCCATTCGGCGGCATGAGGGCGGGCGAACCCAGGAACTGCTCTCGTTCCTCGGGCGTCATTGTAGTGTCAGCGACTCAACTGAAGTATTGACAGAGTCATTCTATATGAGGATATGAAGACATGGGTTGGAACAGCAGCTGAAATATTAGTATAAAGAAAGATGTCCTTAAAAAGCGTGGGGGCCCGAAAACCCAGCACATGAAAGATGACGGAATGATTGGTACTGTAGTCGTTGTGGTCGATCCGCAGCTTACGTGAGCTCGTGAAGAACTGCCGTGGAACCTGAGATCCAGCCTCTATACACCAAAAGACCGCCGAAGGCTGTTCTGCGGCTGAAAGCGGGAACTTGGTAATGCTAAGGGCGACACACCAAAAAGCCGAGGCGAGCTGAATAACTAATCATAAGCGTTGACTCCGAGCATCTGCGAGTATCACAAGGTCCGGAGTCCGATGACTCTATATCGAGCTTTGTGCAACAATCAGTCACCCGTCGGAAGGTGCTATGGCTTGCTCGACGCCGGTCCACTAAGAGGGCGGAAACTCGATGCAATATTCGGCCCGCAAGGGGTACTGACCACAGCGTATACATCCATAACTCCATGCCACTACCTATATATCCTAGCCCGGTTTCTCTTATATATATGATGGGTGTCACTCGGTCGAGGATCCCCCAACCGGCGCACGACGGGTCCGATGGATAGCGAACGCGAGGTAGATATGGGGCTAAGGCCTAACGGGTACGGGCACAGTCGTAGAAGTCCTGTAGGTCTCCGGATTAGCGGTTGTCCATCCATGGCGGTTGCGAATGCTTTGCAGGAGAGCTCTCTCAGAGACCCATTGTATAAGCAGCGACGGCGTAGCATATGTCGATACTAGCCATACCTTTTCCGGCTCTTCCTAAAAGATAATGATGGTGGATATCATCTTCGAGCGCAGAAGCGGGAGAGCGAAGAAATTTGCTTGACGTACCGAATTGAAGATGGAGCTGCTACAGAGTACCTGCAGGTTAGCGTAAGAGATCGAGTCAGGCTTTCGAGACATTAAAGCGTATTTGACATGTATACGCGTGCCATGGAAGCTATGCTGAACTGCGAGGGGCGAGCAGACTTTCCGCGCTGTGAAGCGTTCAGGCTAGTCGGCAATACTTCGGACCGCGGATAATGCCGCTATGCCTTTTGTAGACTGGCTTAGTTTCTTCTTTTAATATCTAGGTATTACCTAGGTACTATTAACCATCTATAGGCACCTGCCTCTCAATCGTATTAGTGCGAACCACTCCATGTTGGCAAGCTTAAACCCACGACAAGGTTAGCGCTCTGGTTCAGCACCAGGCAGCACAACTCAAGGAGCTATCCCTCGTTCCCGAAGATGTGACCAGCATACCTGTAAGAGGTGCGGGACTGCAGCTCGCAGATCGGTTGTTGGGCGAATCTATGGATCAGGAAACGCACTGGGGCTGCGCAGGAGTAAGCAAAACCACCATTAAGCGCTAATCCAATCCGACTCATTGCGAATGAAGCATCTCCCACACCTGCTTGATTCCCTCGGTACCGTCAAACCCCTATCCTTTCTCCTCCCCTCATTCCGCATGTCAGCTCGTAGGCCACTTCCGTTTCCCACATCGCCAGCTTTCAAACCGTGACTCTCCGAGATGTTCGGCATGCGACAGCGCCATCCGTCCTTGGAACCAATCGCAGGCAAAGGAATGTGACACGACAGACCTGCAGCCGGCGTGGCATATAACAGAGTTTCTACCAAGTAGCCTCGTTGCCTTCACTATCGCTCTCATCGCCCGATCTGTGTTGATCAGACCATTCAACAATGCTCTCACCTAACACTGCGCAGCCTGGACGATCGGTCTGGAACCAGGTAGGTCGCGAGATATTTGAGAATCGCTTGGACAGCTTGCATGTCACCAAATTTGTCCCGGAGCCACACACTCTTCAGGAACAAGACTGGCCAAAACCACATGGAACGGAGATCCTTCCATTTGACATTGAGAAGCAGTTGTCCGATGATATCGCCTTTGTCTCTGCGTACGAGTATGGCGTCCGATACGTGACGGCTGCCGCGATCGAGGCTAGCGAGGGAGAGGGACTCCTCGTTCGCCTCGCTGCGAACGAGGGTGTTGGCGCTTTAGTTGTGAATGCATGGACACGCCTGTTCTCCACTCTGGAGAGATGTGCGAAAAAAGGTTAGTGCCCGCCTCTGGCCCACGATTGGTTGCTGATGCCTGCAAGCGCTCTCCCGAGAACAGTGTGCGGAAGACGCGCTCGATGTCGTCCTAAACTTAAACAGAAACAAGATTCTTGGGCGACTAGCGTCACGCCATTTCCGACGACCGCAGCATGAGAATGGCCCGGCTCGAAACGCTCTCTCGGAACGCCTCAATGCGTATTTCAAGTCATCAAAGCGTCAATCCGCGGAGACCGAAGAACTACGCCGCCAGATAGAGACTTTCCACGCCGCTTTCCTGGATGTAGAGAATTCTGGACCTGACACCGGAACATTAAGGCGTGTTGTGCAAGAAGCTTTTCTACTTACCGTGGATGGGATCTCGCTTCCTGCTCGCCTCGAAAGGGCCAGGTTTGCGGCCTCGACCTTGGACACGAGAGAAATCCGTGAAATCAATAAGATAGCCAATTATTGGCGCATCTGCCACCATCTGGCCCATCTCTCGCGGTCATATCGCACTCTGTTTTCCAAAATCAAGCTGCAGACCATCGAGCCGTTCGCGCCGTCAGTCTGGCACGGGAACAGCAAGACAAGATACGTCCATGCAGAGGTGCAGATGCTAGTCTACTACGAGATAAGAGGACCACCAATCTGGCCCCGCGTAATCGGAGCGTCTAAAGAAGCGTGCTTCCTTTGCAACTCGTTTATCAAGGCACACGGACTTTTCTGCGTATCGAAAGCACACCGTCAGATATACTCCCAGTGGACGATACCAGATCTTGCGGATTATAGCGCAGAAGCGCTGGACCGGCTGCGGAGAGCTTTAGTTGCAGTCAATCGGGATGTTGTTAGCGCTCTCCAGCAAGCCAGACGCAATCGCAATTTTCGCCCATTCCCACTTCAGAGCTCCATTAACCTACATAAACCTCACTTCCCGACACCATCTGTGACTACTATCCGCTCTTCCTCTCTCGAAGAGACAGATGTCGCGAGTGAAACAGCTGGTCCATCACTACAGCGACTACCACCCCCGCCGGAAAGCGAGCTGTTGGAGACCAGTCAACGAAGCCTGAACCGTACCTTTAGTTTACTTTCCACGAGTGAAGCGCCGACTTTCAATCCATCAATGAGCTCCGCAACCAACGGTTCTAAAGAGGAAGCGCCCGACTCCAGTGAGGATGCCAGTGAGGACGCCAGTGAGGACGCCAGTGAGGACTCCAGTGTACAAGTGGATCTCAACTTTCTTGAACCTGCTTTTTCAGGCTGGTTAGATCTATATGTCTCCTTGGAACGCAGCTCTGGCAATCATCCATCTACGAAGACCTTCACGACAGCAAGCGTCAACCAGGAATATCTCCCTAACAGCACAGCCATAGGAGAACGGAATTGTCACCGCTTCGACCTACACACGCTTGCTCCAGGGGAGGAGGTAGTGCTTCCCAACCCAATGGACCCTAACAAAGACGTCAGTGCCGGCACCGAATTGAGCGTCATCTTCACATACCAGCAAATGAACCCAATCATGTTGAAGTGCTCGTGGCATGGCAGAGCCGATCTGCGCGTATAGGGCGACACGGCATGCGCGCTCTTACCAATCTCCATCTTGGACGTACAAGAAATATGTACCACGCCGGTGTCATTCGTCGATAATCTGACTACTCTTTGACGACGGAGTGAGATAGACCGCGTCGTGGGAGGACCGAGTAGCGGCTACAACAAATAGACTACATCGCCTGCCTAGTAGCGATATTCTGGACCGAATCGCGAAAATTGCATGCAAGCTGCTTGCTAAAGTGCGAATGGAAAGCCAGCCTGAACGGCTTTGGAAGGAGCCTAGCGGACCTATGCGTGAGCGCTGAGGACGCACACATGAAAGAGGAGCAGTAGATCGACCCCTTTGCTGACTTGAGCAAAGGTCGGAAGAAGAAGCTAGAAAAGAATAGGAGAGAAAAAGGGTAGAGGTGTCATAGAAGACGTTCCTCTACCGCCCGCTTTCTCTGACTTGGAGACGGATGAAAGGTTTGCATGTAATGCCAGGCTACCCCGCGCCATATAGCTCTCTAAGTTGATAATAAACCTACGCCACAACAGAGCGCGAAATGCACGCTATCGAATGGACGACCAAGCGCCACGATCATGCTATACGACGAATTACAAGCTGCTTACGCATCCGGCGGACGCGTGAATTGCTGCACCCGCCAATCACGTACAAGCAAATGCAAGGCATCGACAATCGAACTAACGCCGCTTCCAAGAGGCTATCCTCCCGACGTCCCTTAACGGGCGAACACTTTTACACAAAACAATTGCAAAAGACGTAGTATAGCAATGTTACGTCGCAGTATACTACTATCCGTAAGGCTGGAGATCCAGATGCTAAACGTCTAATTTTGGTAGTGTGAGATCAGGTTAGCGTCCGACGAATCAATATTCTCCGACCAGCGGGGATGGGATGATCCGCAGAACACGAGAGAGCGTTGACCACGAGGCCATCTGACCGCTCGCATTTATTGACGAAGATGGAAAAGGTGACGCAGCAATACGAATAAGTGTTCCGCTGAAGAGCCGAAACTCCTGCGAAGAAAGAGCTGTGCACGGGAGCGAAGTGCCGAATTACACGTCGATGACCGATTTACCTCTTGGCCGTCAGCCCTATGTTCTACGAAACGTCACCCACGAACGGGAAAAGTGGACCAGCCGTTGACCCATGTGCAAACACAGTGGATAGACGAGTCCATACTTCCTGCTTACTCGCTCGTATTTGCGTAGAAACTTCCCCGCTCAGCCACACTCGAGATCCGAGAAGTAATCTATACCAAGTATTGGAAGGACCCCAAAGCGGAAAGGCATGATGCTATTTCCTGGGCCTGCAACCGTTCAATACCGAGTTCGAAGAAAATCTTACGTTCAGAGTTCACGGATGGGCCTCGTCTCCAGCGGGCCTGAGTTTCACTCAATGGGTCCGAACCATCGACATTGGTCATTCGCACTCGCGATATGATCGTGATGGCCCCCTTGCTTGCAGAATCGATAGTAGGAGGCGGTGAAAAGACGAGCAGGTGATGGGAGCGAAGTACGAGGGATGAGAGTACCAGAGGCATGAGATCGAGGGTATAAAGCCTCACTGGCACGCCATTCTCCGGATATACCATCAGCCTCGAACAGACAGTGAAGACTACGAAATCTACTCGCTCGCTACTCTATCCATTGCATATCTTCAAAACCATCACCATCATGCGTTTCACGATCGCCGCACTCGCCGCACTTGCGACTTCGGTCTCGGCCGTAGGCAACGCCGTTGTGAATAACAAGTGCCCGCAGACCATCTATCTCTGGTCCGTTGGCGGATCGGTTGGCAACATGCAGACCATTGGTTCCGGTACGGCCCTTTCTTCCCAAGAACCCCTTCCGTTCCATAACTAACTCCCTCTAGGCAAGCAGTTCTCCGAACCACTCCACTACGACCCGAAGAGCGGCGGCATCGCTCTCAAGATGACGAAGGTCAACAACGGACTCTACACCGGTGCGCCCCAACAAATCTTCGCCTACTCCCTGGATGGGGCGCAGGTGTGGTATGATATGTCGACGGTTTTCGGCGAGCCGTTCAATGGCCAGCATCTCACCGTCACCGCCAGCGGATGCCCGACTATCGACTGGCCAAACGGCTCGAACCCCGGAGGCAGCCAGGTAAAGGTATGCACCAGCGACCATGATGTTGTGTTCACGGCTTGCGCGTAGACAGAAGAGGAGATTGCTATTGTGCGGGAGGATTGCATGGCTAGGATACATGGAGGATATGCATATATACCCACACGCTCCTTAATGAGAACATGACTAGAAAGAAATGATGGCGCGTGGCTGCATATACTTGAAGCATACTAGGAAATGGTAATACACGCAGGGTTCCACATTAATATCCCCCAGTCGAAGCCAAACATTCGCATACTTGCCTACGAACTCGCATCTCGATGGCATGATTGTTTTCTAATTCCCGTGACTTACCACGAACACACTAGAAAGGTTTTGAGAAGCAAGCGCGCCTTACCACCTTACACCCATCCAAGTGGCCTCGCTAATCTCTTGGGAATATAGTCTCCACGCTGCCTCCTTCCTTGTAATGCACCGTCTTGCGAATGGCGTCTTCAATTGTTGAAGTCGTGACTGGGCTTCCCGTAGGAGCTCCCAGAAGCCCCCATGGCCTGATTGCCTCCATATAATTCACCACCAGCTTGCCCACGACGAGTCGCTTTAGAGACGGGTAGGTTGCCCTGTACGACTCGCGGTGGTTCGGATCGGCCAGGTACGTGAAAGCCGCGGCAGTTAGAGGCCGGATGCTCGTGACGGCCTCTACCTGGGCCGGAATCTAATCGCTAGGCTTCGAACAAACGAAAAGCGAAGTTATTCAGAAATAGCCAAGGGTAGCGGTTTCAGCGTAGATCTGTCGGCATGTCTCGGGGAGATGAAAGGCTGTCTGGATCCGCGTGAGGATGAGTTGCGGAAGTAGAAGAAGGAATGATTCATATGCGGCGAAGGTGAAAGAGATGTGAAAGCGGAGACTGAAAGTAGAACGTCAAGGTTAGCGCAGGGTATTTAGAGATCGGCATCTGTGACGGAGGCTTAGAGTTCCGGTTTGTAGCACCTATCCCGGAAACCGAGGCATGAAGTGACTAGAGGTCGGTAAGCATCGAACATGTGATGAAAGCCTTCTAGACCGCGACTCTAGCCTCCGCTTGTGAAGGTGAAGCCGAAACGAGTTAGTAGGTAGCCACGAACAAGAAAATTAGAGAACCTACAAAGCCCTGGTGAGTGATGTTCTTCCTTCTGTTGAGGCTCATCCAGTATTTAACGGGCGCTTCTGGCCTTCTCCAGCCGCTCCCCAACACCACGAACCAGCTCAACTTTGCGACTCCACACTATCTGCTGTTTCAAACTCGACAACAAATATCCCTCCCTCCCACAGAAGGCCTCCATCTCAAGCTCCTCTGAAGAACAGTGTCGTCTCCAAACGGAGGGCTGGTCAGCTTCGAGGGCCCAAAGCACCTCGTGCACCTGTGTGTACCAACTCCTTGAAAAACACTCCAGCAGACTCACTGACAGAGGCTAGGACCGTAGCCAACGCGAAGAACTCGCCATTCCTTCGACTTCCTGCAGAGCTTCGGAACGCGATATACAGCCATGCTCTCGGTGGGTCGAGGATCGCGTTTGGGCGGCTACCACATACCTGGAATACCTGTTACAGGCGCGAGGGAGACAGCTTCTGGAGTCCAAGGGTGGTCTATTACGATGGATGTCTCCTGCCACGAATTTGCCGTCAGATCTACGCCGAGTCCGCAACAATGGTATACAGCCTGAATATCTTCGCCTTCGTGGCCATTGAGGACTTCGAACCTTGGATTGAGAATCGGCTGCCAGCTCAGATGCAGGCGATTACGACTCTCCAACCAGATCCCTTGTATACAGCGTATGTCGGGGACGGAATGAGGCCGAAATTTACGACCACGTTTCCTAACCTGAAGCGCTTGTACATCAATCAGGGTGGGCGTAGGAGGGTCTTTTGGGATGAGGTCGTCGCGGTTATTGTGAAAGATGGCGAGAAGGAGGGCTTTGAGGTGGTCATTGAGTACGGGGAGGATTGAAAGATTGAGATAGCAATGATATGTCCTAGATGCCGGCATGACGACAGAGGAATGAGGTCGGGATAGACTCCCTTATCTATTGTGATCTTAGCTTAGGTACGGTCGATACGGTGCACGAACGCCAATGCTCTGATTGGTCAGCTGCGCTCACTAGCCACCTGCGCCACTATATGATCACGTGAACTAGGCCGATGCCGATCTTCAGCCGAAGGAACCTCGGAACAGCCATGCGCCGCAAACCGCACTGCACAGGACGCAAACGCCTACCATGACGTAGACATCGGCATGGAACGAACGAGAAGAGAGAGACTCATGTCAGGCATGCCGTCGCAATCAACGCCGGATGAATCATGCGAAAGTTGTTTTGCATGTTGGGGGCCAGACCTTCCGTTGGCACGTGCACGCGTCTGCTAAGCGTGCAGGCTCAGCCGTCCTTCTCTTGTTTGCCCAACGAACGGCTCCCCAGAGCGCTCCACCACTCACATGGCCCCGCGCCCAGCAACGCCCACTTCCTCTTTCCATCGCGTCAATACTCAGCTGTATGCACCACGATGCAGCTCTACGAGCAGTCCAACGAAATAGACACAAACAGCGGAAAATCTGGGAAATGGCGCGCGACGATCTCGCCATCGCCTGGCTAGACTGGCCCCAAGTGCAAGCCGCCCACCTGTTTACGCGTGGCTTCCGACGCCCACTAGTCTGATCCTAACCGTGTTTACCAAGACCACGCCGCTTTCCGAAATGATTTGAGCTGCGAGGCTGATTGCCGCCTGCATCCTTCCCGCGGACAAGCTGCCTTTATAATATGCAGGCGAGCCCGCCGCTCTGGGACGGCTCTTTTCTCCCTGGACGCTGGGAGAGTTCCGCCTCAGCCTTGTGCGTGCACCCCTGATCCTTCACTGTTACGATGCGATCTCTGGGCGTGGTTACGCTCGCTGTGAGCGCCTTGTCGGCGTTGCCTTTCGTTCTTGCGCAGGACTCGGTTTCATATGACATCGAGACATATGGGACGGATGATCCGTCCGGCACGCCTTTTCAGACGTACCAGTCGAATGGCGATATCAAGCCGCCGCAGATCCATATCAATTCGAACCAGAGTGGGTTGGCCGAGGGCTTCGTGTTTATTGGAGTCGATGGACAGCCTACTTCTGGGCAGAACTTCCCGACTATATTCGGTACGAGGCTTTCCACGTATTAATCTGGGTCCGGCGTCAGCATGTCAACCCAAACATATGCTGTCTTGCTTGGAGACATTCGGCTAACTTCATTGGAATAGACATGTCAGAGGACAGAATGGGCACATTGGTCTGGACGGGCAATTACACCGAGCCCTTCGACTTCAAAGCTCAAACCTACAAGGGACAGCCAGTACTTACATTCATGATTGGTGAGCTGCTGAACGGATACGGCCATGGCTCCTTCTACGTCCTCAACCAGTCGTACGTCGAAATTGCTCACTTTTCTCCCGTCGGCTATGAGAATCTGGGGGACATCCACGAGTTCACCATCACGTCGGACGACACAGCGCTGGTCCTCGTATACACCCCTAAGCAAGCCGACCTGTCCGAGCTTGGCGGTGCTGAGGACGGCTGGATATTCGAGAACATCTTCCAGGAGGTCAACATTGAGACAGGCGAACTCGTCTTCGAATGGAACGCCAGCACTCACGTCGGTTTGAACGAATCGTACAATAGCATCCAGGACGTGGGTACGGAGGCGTCGCCCTTCGACTATTTCCACATCAACTCCGTCGAAAAGGACGCAAATGGCGACTACCTTGTCTCGGCGCGCGTTATGGACTGCGTTTACAAGATATCCAAGGATGACGGCCATATCATCTGGCGCCTGCATGGCAAGCAGTCCGACTTCGACGTTGAGGATGCTGTGAACTTTGCCTTCCAACACGACGCACGCTGGGTTGATGATGACCAAACGCGCATGACTCTCTTCGACAACGGTCCCACAGACGAGATCGGCTATTCTCGCGGACTGCTTCTCGCCGTGGACCAAGATGCAATGACGGTTAGACTGATCAATCAATTCTACAACGCAGCCCAGACTTTCGCCCAGTTCGAGGGCAGTCTGCAGGCCATCGATCCTAGTGACGAGAACACGAACTACTTCTTAGGCTACGGCAATCAGCCTTATTTTGCAGAGTTTGATAAGGATGGCAATATTCTCCTCGATGCCCAGTTTGGCGCCACCAATACCGTCAACTCGTACCGAGCATTCAAACTCCCGTGGCAGGGGAAGCCCCTGACGAAGCCGGACATTCACTATGACAAAGACGGCAACAAAGCCTATTTCTCCTGGAATGGCGCTACGGATGTTGAGAATTGGATCGTGTTCACAGCCAATGCCACCGACTCTACCACGTGGTACAATGTGACTTCGGCCAGACGTACGGGCTTCGAAACCACGATCGATCTAACGGACATCAAACTCGAGACTTATGTCCGTGCGAAAGCCGTCAACAGCACTGGTGGCAAGTTGGGCTGGACTAAAGCTAGTGACGGCACTTCGCTGTACGATGCTTCAGATGACGTGCAGGAGGATTCTAACAATTCGACTTCGACTTCGACCAGCACCGGCACCAGCACCACCGCCGCTCCCACAAGTTCGAGCGCAACTGCGGCTGCGCCGTCGAGCTCCACGACTGGAGCGGCTGTGAGGGCAGCGCAGAGAGTGATTGAGCAGGTGTACGTCGTTGCGGTTGTGGTTGTGGGAGGTCTGGCGCTTGCCTGATTCTGAAGACGATAAAGCTGGATATACCCATGACTGAATGTACATAAGGACGCGTAGGAGGCAGTAATCCTAATGCTAATGCTGAATGGGAAACTTTGCGCTACACCTGTAAGCGGGTACGTGATGCCGCCGATGGGCCGCCGACCACCGACAGCCCGAAAGCTAACGATATCGGGACCAGGCACACCTTTGTCGAGGTGAATCAATTGAAAGCGAAGAGTATGCTCTTGGAGAGCAGTCATTCATGAAAGCAAGAATAGAGTCCGGCTTAAACGTAGTGGCGCAGTGCGGACACGCGCCACTCCGCATCTTTTAGCGAAATCTGGGGATGCGAAAGTTCATGCCTATGCCATGCCATGTCGCCAATCGAAGCTTGATTTCGCGCAACACAGGCCAGTCCCCCACATGAACGGCGACACTCACCGTGCTCGCCGGCTTGACTTCCGATATATGCCTTGAATTTTTGTTCCTCTTATCTCAGTCATGCTCCGAACAACACGCCGCCCATCTCAATGACCGACGCAGACCCGCCGCAAGCTCCCCCGCTCTCCCTCCCTCCCTCCGCCATCCTCAATGCGCCCGGCCTAGCACCGCACCCCGACTCCGAAGAGTTCATTCGCAATGAGAGACACCGTACGGCGCATGAGCTAGAGCCAATTCGTAAGGACTTTGCGTCTTCACCGCCGTCTAATGGCCGGCCCTCACCAAACGCGCCGCAAGCTCTACGCTCACCCACGATACGCTCGCGCGGCAGGGGCAGCTCCTCCCACCGTGGAGGACTACCACGGCGTCCGTCCGACATAAGCACGGTCCCGGATGATGTCGCCGTGGAGGACGAGAGGAGATATAGGCTGAGGAGACAGGTGCCGCACTGGTATGATCCGGTGGTCAAGTTCTGGAAGAACCAGATTAGCGTCACGATTGATGAGGGGGCGCATAGGGATCACTTGGGTATGCTCATGCCAATTTTCTTTGAAGAGACCCGGATGGACTGTGGAGGAAAAAGGCTGACGCTTGAGCAGCGAACGAGCGCACCTTCCTCGGCTACCTACGCACCTCCCTCGCCCTCGCTATGACCGGCGTCATAACCGCGCAGCTCTTCCGGCTGCAGCACGCGCTGAATCCGGATCCAGACATCGGCTACTTCGTCTTCGGCGTCCCGCTCGCGGCGTCATTTATCGGCTCCGGCATGGTCGTCCTCCTGATCGGTGCTTTCAGGTTTTGGAGACAGCAGAATGCGATGGTTAGGGGGAAGGTACATGCGGGCGGGTGGGAAGTTACGGGCATCATGGTGCTGGTTATTGCGGTGAGTGGGCTGTTGTTTGTGTATATGGTATTGAGCTGACATGGTGGATTGGTGGGTGAAGCTTTGTACCGCGGCTTTTGCGCTAGTTACGGCTGTGGATGTGGAGAAGAGCTATATCTGAGAGGAATTGATACCCCCAGGAGATCGAATGGGCTTCTCCTTGCGTCTACAAATCAATGGATTTCCCAAGCCCCCCTTCTGCTAGGCGAGCGAACATGCAATCTACCAGTCACGCAATGAGAGCCCAAGGGGTCGACTGCTTACTTGCGACTAAATATTATAGGGACCGGCATAATACGCGGTTTGGTGTCTCCTCCACACTTCGCATCAGCGCCGTTACTGCTCATCCCAACCCCCACTCTGCGGGGATAGCTCAAGCGAACGCCTAGACGAACCCAACCGTTCTGCCACCCGTAACAAAATCCGTACAGTTTCAAGACCAATTGACGCGTTCATTTTCTCCCATGGACGCGCTCTCTACAAGGGACCCTAGAGAGACTATGACATCACATGTCAGATACGATGTGTCAAGCCTCCGTTGTCGCTGTCTATACCACCTTATCTACCTTCCTAACCGCGTAATGAGCTTGCGCTCGGAGCATTCTCGTTGATCTGCATAATCTGCATACATTTAACCCGCTGCAGCCATACAGGAGTCGTTAAGCGACCAGGGAAACGGCTCGTCACACCTTATCGCTCGACATCATGGATCTTATTCCCACGGATAAGGGAGACCAAGGCGGTACAGTATCGGAGGGGAACTGTACGCTGACGACCTCAATTGCCGCCCATGTTTCGGAAGTACAGTTTTTTCCCGATGGACGTTAAGAGCTGGGATGCTGCAGCTTTTCGGGAGGAAGAGCGGTAGTGAGAAGTCGGGCTGTATAAGATGGTACATCTCCGCCGTTTGAAGTATCATTAACTTTCCCGGTACCCTTTCGTAGTATCTTGGCTTTGTCACAATGGCGAGCTCTGCTGCGACCACCCTGCCAGTCGGCGCTGGATACGGTATGTTTTCAATAGCTCCTCCGGTTACGGTATGCTGATTCGAGCGTAGGCGTCGTCGTCGGCATCGGGTTTTTCTTCGCTTTCCTTATGATGGGTATCTCCTGGTTACAGAACCGATACACTATGTACTCCACGAAGCAATCTGAGGAATTCAACACCGCGTCTCGATCCGTCAAGCCCGGCCTAATTGCCTCCGGAATTGTCTCTGCGTGGACATGGGCGGCGACACTGCTGCAGAGCTCGACTGTATGCTTCCATTTGTACTAAGGTGGTTCGAATGCTCATATTCAATAGGTCGCATATACCTATGGTGTCGCAGGGCCCTTTTGGTACGCTGCAGGCGCCACGGTTCAGATCCTCATGTTCTCGATCTTGGCTTGCAAGGTCAAGCAGAATGCACCGAGGTGTCATACTTACCTGGAAATCATTTATACCCGATATGGAGCGTTTGCGCATCTGGTGTTTATGTTGTTCGCGTTTGTGACCAATATTCTGGTGGGCAGTCAGCTGCTTCTGGGTGGGAGTGCGGTTGTGACTTCATTGACTGGTATGAACGTCTATGCTGCGATCTTCTTGATTCCAACAGGTCAGCATCCGAACCCAGGGAGATGGTGGGGATTGCTAATGGCCGTAGGCGTCTGCGCATACGTTATCCTCGGTGGCCTCAGGGCGACCTTTCTCTGCGACTACTCGCACACCCTGATTCTCATGATCATCATCCTATACTTCATGTTCCATGCCTATGCAACCAGCGATCTCATCGGCTCCCCCGGCGCCATGTACGATCTCCTCAAAAAAGCCACCATCCAACGACCCATCGACGGCAACCAAGACGGCTCCTACCTCACCCTCAAATCAAACTTTGGCCTCATCTTCGGCGTCATCCAGCTCTGCTCCGGTTCCGGTACGGTCTTTCTGGATCAAGCCTACTGGCAGCGCGCCATTGCATCACGCCCTACGACGGCCGTGAAGGCGTATCTGCTCGGTGGACTCGCCTGGTTCGCTATTCCGTTCGGATTCAGCACCACGCTGGGACTTGCGGCCGCGGCGCTCACGGATAACCCTCGCTTTCCGACATATCCTAACGTGCCAACGTCGGGCGAGATTTCGTCGGGGCTAGCGGCTGCGTATGCGGCGAGTGCGCTGCTGGGCAAGAGCGGCGCCGTAGCTTTGCTCATCGTGCTGTTCATGGCAGTCACGTCGTGCGCGTCTGCGGAGCTGATTGCCGTGTCGAGTCTTCTGACGTTCGATGTGTATAAGACGTACATCCAGCCAAAGGCCACGCCCAAACAGCTCATCTTCGTATCGCATATTATGATATGCGTGTTTGGGCTGACGATGGCGGTTTTTGCGTGTATTTGGAACGCGGCGAGTATCGATCTAGGCTGGTTGTTCTTGTATGTTCCATCTGATCTATCCGCCATGCACGTTACTGATAGTAATCGCAGGGTTATGGGTCTCCTTATCGGCGGCGCCGTCTTCCCAGCCGCCTTCGCCATCACCTGGAAAGGGCAAACCCGCATCGGTGCCATATCCGGCTGCGTGGTCGGGCTGGCGGCTGGGCTCATCGCCTGGCTTACCACGGCGCAGCAATACTACGGCGAAGTCACCGTGCACACGACAGGCCTCGAGTATCCGACGCTAGCTGGAAACCTCGCTGCCATCATGACGGGCCTGATCGTGAGTGTGTGCGTATCCCTCGTCAAGCCCGACGACTTCGATTGGGAGATCACTCGCGCCATCAACGCCATGCCCGTCACGCAGGGAACAGCGCCAGAAGGCACGTCAACCCCCAACGAAGAAGACACGCCCGAGCTCTCCAGCGCCGAAGAAAAGAACCCCGTTCCCTCCTCCCCTCCACCCCCACCCGCTCCCACCAACAACGCATCCACCTCCATCGCCGCCGCCGAAGAAAAAGCACTCCACCTCGAAATCGGCGTCGAAGACCACCCCGCGAAACTCCGCGCCGCGTTCAAACTCGCCTGCATCGCGTCGTTCGTGCTGACCTTCATCCTGGACTTCCTCGTCCCGATGCCCATGTTCTTCACGCATTATATCTTCAGCAAGGGGTTTTTTACCGCGTGGGTGGTAGTGAGCTTTCTTTGGGTGTTTTGTAGTAGTTTTATTTCGTGCTTTTTGCCGGTTTGGGAGACGAGGGGTTTTTTCGTGGAGTTGGGGAGGGCGGTTGCGAGGGATGTGCGGAGGGGGAGGGGGGCATGATGGGCCGGGCTTGTGGGTTGGGAGGTTGGGGATGGGGATGGGGAGATGGTAAGAGGCGTTGGAGGGGGGTAGGGTGGGCGGTTGGGGGAACGATGGCCTTTGCGCGATTGCGTGGATTTGTGTACTACGTTTTGCTGTGTGTGATAGAGTAGTTACAGGTTGTTACTCGTGCGGATCTACCAAAGGTCTCTGTGGGTTAGGGTTTGCCTGCTTAGTATCCGGCATCCTAGTATGCTTCAGCGCTTCAACCTCCATCGGCGTGCTCCGTCGGCCCTGGAAGCACGTCACAGTAATCGGCACCTCCTGATGTCTTCCTGGCCTGTCTCCGAGCCGTATGTAGGGTGGGCATAGAGAGCGTCCTGCCCGTCAATTCCCCAGCCTTAGGATTCTACATTCCACTCAAAGCATGAATTTTGACAAATGATTGGCCTTCCTTTGAGCGGTCTCTGCAGATTGACACGGGAAGTGAGTACCAAACTGGCTCAAACCGGCGCGCCTTGTGCATCCGAAATCGGTTGCTAGCACGTGCGCTTCGCCGCTTCGAGACTAGCGGTCAAACCTCCCGGAAGCTTTGACGCAATTCAGCGGCGCCACTGTCGGCTTTTAATCATCTTCGCGAACCGTTGACTCCTCACGCTTCACGACCGCCGCCCACCGCTTTCTAATCCGACAACGCGAACGTTTGAGCATCCCATATCGCACCTCGTTTGGTGGCGTCTTGCGCGCTGCAGACGTCCATTCCGATTCTGCGTTTTCAGCGCGACGCTTTGTAGGGCTAGGGTAGCGCGGTCATCCGAACGCGGGCGCCGTCATGGGGTTGTCGAAGTCGAGCAGGATATTGATCCTGTTGGCGATTGATTCGGCCTTCTTTCTGCTGGAGTTGGTTGTTGGTGAGTAGTGGGCGAGTATCGTTGAGAGGATATGGCTGACGAGTGCTCAGGCTATGCGGTGCATTCGCTCGCCCTCGTCGCCGACTCCTTCCATATGCTCAACGATGTGTTATCGCTCTGCGTTGGATTATGGGCCGTCAAGGTCGCGAACCAGAAGAATCACTCGAAGATGTACACGTATGGGGTAGGTGGATTGGGAAATTGGGAATATGAGCTAGGCTGACGGTCAACAGTGGCAACGCGCGGAAACGCTAGGTGCGCTCATCAATGGCGTCTTCCTCGTCGCTCTGTGTCTCTCTATCTTCCTCGAGGCGATTCAGAGGTTTGTCGAACCGCAGGAAGTCTCACATCCTAAGCTGGTCCTCATTGTGGGTTGCTTTGGACTGGCATCGAACGTCATTGGACTCTTCCTCTTCCACGATCACGGGCATGGTCATGGCGGACATTCGCACGGAGCAAAGGGAGATGTCGCTGCTGCGGAAGAGGGACATGCACATGGCATCGATGCGGAAGACCACACGGTAGCTGACCAGGGTGGGAATGTTGCGGAGGTTCTACCCCAGACGCGCGTTGGGAACTTCTCGTCTGCCGTTGGAGATGGACAGGCTAAGCCGGGAAATTCGCGAGAAATTCAATGGACTCCGACCGCAGAAAGGACGCCCCGTAGGTCTGCCTCTGGCAAGCGCATCCCCAAGCGTCATCATCGATCGCGATCCCGAGGCTATTCTACGCTCGACGAGATTTACGTCCATCCTTCTTCGTTCCGAAACAGCATTATCGAATCATCGCGGCTGGAGCAGGAAGAGTCGGGGTCGGACGCGGATAACGAGAATGCCGTAGCAGACGAGGAGGAGTCCACGGAGGCATCTCCACTGCTCCACAAGTCCAAGAGCGCTGATGGCAAGGCTTCACCGAAGAAGGATTACCATATCGACCACAGGCATGCCCAGCCGCAGCAGGAAGGCAAAGGCGGACACGGTCATGGGCATGGAGACCTGAATATGCGCGGAGTCTTTCTGCACGTTATGGGCGATGCCCTGGGCAACATCGGTGTCATTACGTCTGCGCTCATCATCTGGCTTACCAACTACTCGTGGAGATTCTACTCGGATCCGCTAATCTCGCTTATTATCACCGTCATCATCCTCTGCTCCGCCATTCCGCTCTGCAAGGCCGCATCCCGCATACTCCTCCAGGCCGTTCCCGCAGGACTCTCGATTGACGACATCAAGGACGACATCACCGAGCTCGACGGCATCATCTCCTGTCACCACCTGCACGTCTGGCAGCTGTCAGACACCAAGCTCATCGCCTCGCTGCACGTCCAGGTCAGTTTCGACTTCAAAGGCGAAGGTTCCGCACGATACATGGAACTAGCTCGCGAAATCCGCAAGTGTCTCCACGAATACGGCATCCATTCCTCCACTATCCAGCCAGAATTTTGTCTCGACGCGAATCATGATCATTCCGCACATGAGAGCAGTGCTGACGAGGCGGCGGCATCTCGCAATGGAAGTCATAGGAGCTCAGGGGGGAACAGCAAAAACGGCAGCGTGACAGGTGACCCTGAAGCCTGCTTGTTGGAGTGCAGTGATGCCTGCGGGGACAGCAAGCAATGCTGTAATCCGGGTATCAAGGGGTGTGGAGGAGCAAAGTAATCCACTCTGCCCGAGGCTCCCTTGGTTTTCTTATGTCCACTTGTTGTACAGTATCAATACCCCCGCAAAAACGAAGCTCCAAGGTTGGTTTCGGCGCCGTCCGCGCTTATTTCACTTGTACACGGCCTTCGATCCCGATAGGCTGTGAGAGGATGCAACCATGTACGGAATTGGAAGGAGAGTATCTGTCAGCATGGGGAAAGGCGTTTTGAAGGCGTTGGGTGTGTTGTTGCTGACGCTTGTATACGAGCTGTAGCCTCGTCCTTTTCCTAAAACAGCTGCATCGCGTACCGCACGCCTGCAAGCATGACCGTCGATCAGTAGGCAGGAGGCCGGCAGTCTTTAATCTAAGGCATCGAACGCCCGATCTGTGTATTGCCTCCTTCCTTGCTCGCTATCAGGGATCCGGCACTATCAGACTCCAGAGCATTGACACCTGTGGAGACCTCATGGTTCAGGGCCGCTCCCCTTTGTTCTTCTTCGCTACTAGTTGCGAGGCCCATAAAAGTATGCAAGCGCTTGGTCCATCCAGCAACGGGGCTCTATCTGTCTGGCCAGACGAGACGGGTTGCCGGGTCGGCTTGTGTACCTATTCGGTACATATGCGGTACGGGACTCGGAATTCGGAATTCGTGTGGATATCTGCTTCTCCTCCTTTCCCAGGAGTAGTGTCAACCTTGAATTATTCGTCCCGCGTGACGGGGCATTACTGTACGATTCCAAACTCGCACCAACCACAGCCGTGGGGATGATTAATCGCACACATATCTTTTACCAACTTATCAGTTGGTTGCAGGTTTCGTTCGGCGCGGAGGACCCGAGCGAGGCAAGCAGGCAAAATCACACTGTATGGTAGTACTCTGGGACGATAAAGTGGAGAGACTGCCCGTTGGTAGGTCTGGTTAGCACGTGGCGACGTCAGGTAGTAGTCTCGGGGAGCCCCGATTCTGCGAGCGTCGGCCGAGAGATGGGAGGGGAGACTTCTAGCGCGCTTCTCCCGCGCTTCGATGAGGCGTTGCCCGCGCGTGCGGCGAGGTATCGGCAGACTTGGACTTCACGTTCTCGGACAAGAAAATTTTCGAGGGCCTTCCTATCTCTGCAATAATGGAGGGCGATGGAGGGAGGGTAACGTCACTGACTGAGGTGCGTAGTTTGCTTGCAAAGCCAGCCCGCTGCGAGCGGGGCTCACATATACGAGGTGCAATCCGCATCCTGACGCTTTCATATCTGAGCATCTTCTCTCCCAATCAAAGCCGCCAACCAACCAACCACTGCGTGCCCAGATATCGCGGGAGCCGCTGATGCTAGCCAAGCACAGGCAAGCAAGCGTCAAGCATATCACGGCACTATCGGCATCGACGATGCGTAAAACAAGCAACGCCCGATTCCGTTTCGACGGCCACGCTTCAACAGCGAACGTGTGATCGGCAGCGCGGAAACACTGCTTCGGGCAGGTGCTCGCGTGGAGTGGCGAATCGGGTCGCGAAGATACCGTCTAGGCAGGTCGCAGACGCTGGTGTTGCGCGCGAGGGCGTGTGCTTGGTGGCGCATTTAAGCCGCCAAGATAAGGCTTGGTTTGGTGGTTGGCGAGCTTGGACGGACGGGGTGCCCGCCGGTATGGGACGTGCGACGCATCCCGGGATGCTGGCCGGCAAGAGGGTGAAAGTGTTACATCGCGCGGCGAATTGAGCGTGAGGGTGCTGCTGCTGGGGGTTAGGAGTGGAGTAGTGGGTGGGATCGCCCGGGCCTGTGTGGTTAAATATGGAGGATTGTTCCCAAGGGTTGGGAAAGCTGGTTTCGACTTCTCTCCCTCCGAGCTTCTTGGTTACTACTGCTCTTGTTTGTGTGGGTCTGCATTGAGCTGTGTAGCCCATCATGGAGCGTGAAATGGATGCTACGGTGTAAGTTTGGGGTCCCTCGCGTCTTCCTCGGTCGTGCTGGATTGTGGCTAATGGTGCGATATGTAGCGCGCATCAGTCGCTTGATTCGCCTGATCTCGCCAACAAGAAAAGAGACATCGCTGGAGGCCCGCTGGTCGACAAGTCCAACATCGGCGTCCTTGGGGATGAAAAGGCCCATCATACGTCCTCGACAGGCACGCCCTCGGAGAAGGGCATTGGCATCTCTGCCGAGGGTGACGAGCCCTTTGGCGGCGACATCCCCACTGCAGAGGAAAGGCGCACTCTTCGAAAGGTCGGCGAGCCGCTTCCCAAGGCTGCCTTCCTGGTCGCCATTGTCGAACTCTGCGAGCGCTTCACCTACTACGGCGCCTCTGGTCTCTTCCAGAACTACATCCAGCGACCTCTGGATGGCAGTGAGGGCCGCGGTGCCCTGGGAATGGGCCACAAGGGCGCGACTGGTCTGAATACTTTCTTCCAGTTCTGGTGCTATGGTATGCATATTCGATTCTCGTTTTTGTAGTCCTTGTTGCTCATGGCTTCGCAGTGACGCCCATCCTCGGTGCGATCATCGCCGACCAATACCTCGGAAAATACAACACTATACTCTTGTTCTGCTTCGTGTACATCGCCGGCCTGCTCATCCTGACCACGACATCCATCCCGGGGGCTCTCGCGAACGGCGCCGGCCTTGGTGGTTTCATTGTGTCGGTCATCGTCATCGGACTCGGCACCGGTGGCATCAAGTCCAACGTCGCGCCCTTGATTGCAGACCAGTACAAGCGGCGGCAGATGATCATTAGCCACGACTCGAAGACGGGCGAGCGCATCATCATCGACCCGGCCATCACCATCCAGCGCATCTACATGATCTTCTACTTCTGCATCAACCTGGGCTCGCTGTCGCTCATCGCGACGCCCTACATGGAGCGCGACGTCGGCTTCTGGTCTGCTTTCCTGCTGTGCATGTGCATGTTCCTGGTGGGTACGCTCGTGCTTGTTCTCGGCAGGAAGGTGTACGTGGTGCGCCCGCCGCAGGGCTCTATCATCACTGATGCGTTCCGCGTCATCTTTATGATGATCAAGAACCGCAACATGGACGGCGCCAAACCGTCGTACCAGGCCGCGCTTGGCAAGAACAGCAATCTGCGCTGGGACGATCACTTCGTGGAGGAGGTCAAGCGCGCGCTGGTTGCGTGCCAGGTCTTTTGCTTCTACCCTATCTACTGGGTGGTGTATGGCCAGTTCTCCAACAACTTCGTCACTCAAGGTAAGCTCGAACCCCTCTAAGCTTCACCGTCAATACCGTTCTTCTAACACCCATCCAGCCGGCCAAATGCGCGGCCACGGCATCCCGAACGACCTGATGCAGAACTTCGATCCGATCTCCATCATTGTCTTCCTCCCGATAATGGATCGCTTCGTGTTCCCCGCGCTGCGCAAAGCGAGGATCCCCTTCCCGCCCATCAACCGCATCGTCGCCGGGTTCTGGATCGGCTCGCTGGCCATGGCGTACGCTGCCGTGATCCAGTACTACATCTACTCGCGGGGGCCCTGCTACGAGCACCCGCTCTGCGACGCGAGCATGGTCGACGGCGTCGCCCGGGGCAACAACATCCACATCGCCGCACAAACAGGGGCGTACTGCCTAATCGGCATCTCGGAGATCTTCGCCTCAGTCACCGGGCTCGAATACGCGTACACCAAGGCGCCGCCGAGCATGAAGTCGTTCGTGCAGTCCATGTTCCTGCTGACCAACGCCTTCGGCAGCGCCATCTCCGAGGCACTGAACCCCGTGCTGTACGACCCGGCCATCCAGTGGATGTTCGTCGGGCTGGCGGTCGCGAGCTTCGTCACCGGCTGCCTGATCTGGATTATCTTCCACCATTTGAATGCCACTGAGGAGGAGATGAATGCGCTGGATAAGGACTACGATGAGGATCCGACGTTGAGGAGGAGCAGTGTGCATGGGGATCGGACGGTGGGGCTGCATCATGAGGAGAAGGCTTGAGTGAGGGATGAGGGGAGGGAAATGCGGATTCTGAGTTTAGCGATCTATGGAAACCTTGGAAGGGTTATTTGGGGCAAAGGAAGAGTTGGAAGCGTGTAGAGCCATGTTATGAAAAACGTGTTGTAGCTTCTTTCAGCCTTGGTGCCATTCATCTCATTGTGATGTGACGTATGTCAACCCATATCCCCTAAGAATAAGCATCCCTGAAGCTACTCTCCCTTCCACCATAGCAGCAACACATGCATTGCCGCCGCGCGATGGCATTGTCGGATATCCGTGGACATTGAAATCTCATCCCAGCATCTCATTTTTCTCAATCCCATCATCCTCATCTCCTGCGCTCCAAAGAGAAGGGCGATAGTGGGGGGAGGAACGCGGATAGGTCAGTGGAGAGGAAATGCTACGAATGCAGAGAGCGAGCATATACAGGAAAGGCAGCGAAAGTGGCATTGACTGAGGATGAGAACACATGACGCAAGGTCGAGCAAGGATAGCCCGAGAAGATAGAAATTTTGTTAACATGGTGCAAGACATGCTCGACGTCTAACCATCCCGGATGCGTCTAGCTGAGTGAGGTTGTTGAAGAGCCAAGCAACGACACCGCTACTTCATAAACTTGCTCGCCATACTCAGCAAACCTCCCATCCCGCCAGAGCTTCCGCCACTGCTCCCGCCTCCCATCTCCGACTTCATATACATCTTGAACGCCATCTGAGCCGCCGAAGCAACAGCGTCCTGCTTCGTAGCCTCCGGGTGCTTTATCACTTGTCAGCCTTCACCCTCACCCTCTTACATCCATCCATCCATCCGGACAAAAATAAACAACTCACCGTCTTCCCCTGACTACTCTGCTGATCAAACAACTTCGCCGCCTGCGCCATCGCCAGCCCAATAAACTTACTCTGCCCGCCCTTCGCATCCTCCGCCTTCCCGCCCGTAAACATCTTCATCGCCTGCATGGCCGCAGCAGCGCCCACATTTCCGGACGTAGCCTGCTCGTGGCCTCCGCTATCGCCGCCGCCGTAGAGCTTCCTGTGCTGCGTGACCGCGTCGTCCTCGTCGACGCCTTCGTCTTGCAGCTTCGACTTCTTGCCGGACAGCATGCCCAGCGCGGTGCTGAACAGGCTCGAGTCGCCGGAGTCGCCGGCGTGGGAAGATGCGTGCTGAGCCGCGCCGGAGAAGTTGTCGGAGGCGCCGCCGTAGTCGCCGTGGTGGCCTTCTTGACGGCGCGGTTCGTCGCCGTAGCTTCCTCCACTGCCTCCATACCCACCACTCGGACGATCACCATAGCTATCCCCGCCCCCTCCATACCCACCACCCTGGCGCTCTCCATATTCACCCCCTCCCTGTTGTCGTCGCTCGCCGCCATAGCTATCCCCACCAGCACTAGCACCTCCGCCGTACGCGTCTCCACCCTGGCTTCCCCCTCCATAGTACTCATCTCGTGCACCTCCGGAGCCCTCTCCGCGGCGCTCGTCACCGCCGTAACTTCCGCCACCGCCGCCGCGGCCGTAGGAATCGTCGTAGGACATTATTGTTGCTGGGGAGGTGATGGTTCTGCGGTGGGTGGGTGTTAGCTTGAATGGGTGGGAGGAGGGATGGAGAGTTTGTAATGAAGGGAAGGAGTCTTGACGGATCTCCAACTGTCTGTCTATCCATCCAACCATCCACGCCCTCCAAGACGCAAAATCAGACAAACAAAAACCCACACAAACATACCTTCTCTATCCCAAAAATCTTTCAAAAAAGTCACCGTCTCCTCAAAGCCAAAAGCCAAAGTCTTCAATCCCCTCAAAAAAAGAAGTCTGGAAGTAGATTGTACCTGACCAGCCCTCTCCGCATGAGCTGATCAACAGCACAGTACCCCTCACTAAAACGCGAATGACGTATGGCGGCTGCCACGCGGCTGCCCCTCCCGCATCGATTGGTACCAGGGGGATCGCGCATTCATGCAGCACGTACGAGGTATGCAAGTGCGCGAATAATTTCCTTGCTTTGAATACGAAACATCAAACGCCGCTGCTCAAACAGCTCAGGTATTGAGTGAGTGACTGAGTGAGCCCATGGCACGACACGCGTTTGTCGTTGGCAAACCGCAAAAGCACTACTGGCACTGTGGGAGTGATCCGATTGGAACGGGATTTCTAATCGGGCCGAGAGGAATCGCACGTGGAAAGGTTAGCTCCAGGGCTGTAAGCGGAGGGAGTGTTAGCGAGTGAGGACTCAAGACGAAGTACTAGATTCGGGGGTATGTAGCATTAACCATCAGACCGGGCTCTTCTACTCCAGCTTAGATAGAGAGGCGAGGTATATCAAGCCCGCTCGGCATCTTCCTCTCCCCAGTGGCCAAACCAACATTCTTGGAAAAGCGCATTACAAATGAAAGTAGTATTTGCCGCAGAAATGCCCATCTAGCGATAAGAAGAAGAACAAACCGAAACGGAAAGACAAGGGAGCTGGGAACTGCGATTACAAGCGATAAGACAGGGTGACAGGTAACGCTCCGAACAATGCGTAGGAATCCGGCTTATGCAGGTGGCCGTCATATGCTGGGGGACGTGCGAGGATGATGCCGAATTATGTTAATGAGGGAGAGGGGATATGGTAGCGAGGTCGGCGTGGAGGCGGCAGGTTGTATGGGAGTTCTAAGTCGTAAGAGCGTGGAGACGTTGCGAAGGGCGGTAGAAGGCACGGCTGTCGGCTACGGCCACCACCCCATCGTCTTGTAGCTTTCTATCACCTCCTCAACCTTCTCTCTTGTCAGCTTCTCATGCTGATACCTAGCAGACAGTCAGTCACTAATGCACGTCGAGGAAGCTCAAGTATTGCCGCGCTGGTGCACTCACTTAAATCCTGTTTCCTTCTCAAACAGACTGCCGTCCAGACTCAGATCGGTATCTTTGAGAATCTCCTTCTCCATGAACGGACTTAACGGCGTCGACTGGCTAATACCAGCCTTTGTCTGCAAATCCGCCCATGGGTCTAGCGTCTCATCATTCACCTCGTCGACCACATGTTCCAAGTTTAACCGCGCAAACGCCGAGATCAGGGTGCCAAAGAAGCCCGTCTCGATATTGAACGTGTCGTGTATTAATTTGGACATGACGCCTTGAGCTGTTAAACGATCTCGTTAGCCGAAGTTAAAGGAACCGGAGTTGGCTCCGATGCAGGGAGAAAATTGGCAAAGACATTCCGGGAAGGTGACAAGAGGAAGTTTGACAAAGACTTACATGTGTTACCGTGATCGACGATGTTGAAGATAGGCACTGGCTTCCGCGGCGGTGGTTCCTTGACGTACCACTCGGCGCCCGCCCACAGCGCCCGTACCGCATCGTCGACATGCACCGTATTTGTCCGCAGATCCTCCTTCCACAGGAATTTCATCTCCTTGCCGAGGAACTGGTACACTCTTGCCATGCAGAGCGCTGTGGACAGGAACTTGCTGGTATACGGGCCGTAGACATGGGCCATGCGCAACACGAGCAGGTTGAGCCCCTCGATCTTCGCCATGTCTTCCTCGGCTTGTAGCTTCCACTTTGCTAGCTTACACCACGGCTTCAGCTTGTCCGTCTCTTTTCGCGGAACGGCGTCGGGCTTGTATACCATGCCGGTGCTGGTCTCGACGAAGCATCTGATGTTGCGCTTGGCTGCCTCCTTGCCCAAGGATATGGATAGTTCGTATGACCGCATCTTGTAGACCTCATCCTCCTGTGAGAAGCGCGTCTCGCCGCCGCAGTTGAAGACGTAGTCGAACTGCGTGCCGTTCGCGCGGTCGAATATTCGCGGGAAGGATTCTGCGCCGCCAATTAGCTGTTGCTCGCCCTGTCACACGGCGATGTGCCAATGCAGCCCTCTCAGGGTGGGGTATTCTCCGGGCGTGACGATGCGCGTAACAGCTACCCTGGACGGCATCGCAGGTGCGTACAATGGCACGCATAGTTGGCTGTACGAGCAGTCTTCTCTGTACGGCGAGCCCATGAATCTGGAGAATGCCCTACCGCGAGAGGTAGCTTATGGGTATGCGGTGGGTACGCACGTTCTCGCGATGCATCGGCCTGCACGAAGCGCTCTTTCGAGCACACTTCCTTGAACTCTGGGGCGAGCCATGCGAGCTCGGGGAGGTGTTTGTCGACGAGGCGGATCTCGGACGCGAGGTTGCTCTCGTGGAGGTACTTTGCGAGGAAGCGGCCGGTGTAGCCTGCGCAGATTAGCTCTCCATATATGTGCCGGCATCAGACACGCGGGGTGAGGGCTCGAGCGAGCGTGACGCACCCAAACCCCCAATTATCAAGACGGCGGGCTTCTCGCCAGTCGCGGGGCTGCTCGCCGGCACAGCAGCCATGACGGAGGTCGCGCAAAGGGCCGATTCTCTGCTGCTGCTGGCGGGGCAGCGACTGGCGTCTGAATTCTGTGGGAGTGCGGCGGGCGCGATGTGTATCTGTAATCTAAAGCTCCGACGCTGCACGGAGCGGATGATGGACCACTGGACGCTGATCACGCTCAGGCTGCACTGAGGCCGGCGAGGGGCCCAGCGTCAGGGAACGTCGCCCGTCAGGGCGCAGAGTTGGGGCCGGAAGTGTATGCGTGCGGCATGCAATTGCAGGGAAGGCGAGCGTGCGGGCGCAGATTGGAGAGGAGTTTCAGAGCGTGCAGCGCGACGCAGAAGAGTCGATGGCCGCGGACGGGCTAGCGATGCAGTTGGCCGGCTGCGGACGTCGTCGAGTGTGCTGTATACAGTACTGGAGGCTGCCAGGAGTCATTGGCCCGCAGCGCGGCTTCTATTTAAATTGTCGGCCTGCGATATGCGATAACTAGGCCAGGAGCATCGTGATAGCTGGGCGGCCGTATTGAAGAGCAGGGCCGACGTGAGGCATGGCGGCACGCGGTGGAGCTGTGGCGGGCCATCCATGCACACCATCGCAACCCGACGGCGCTGCGAGTTGCTTCTTCGCCCGCCCGCCCGTCGCTATCCTCAGTCGACATGCGCTCATGCTGCTGCAGGTGTCCTGCTCCCCAGACGGCTGTCACACGCCGCCCCTCCGCCAGCTTCCGCCCCCGAGCCCCCTCTCGCCCGCGGCCTGCGAGCAAACCAGTGGCAATCCTGGAACCGGCGCCGGCCAAGCGCTTGTACGGCGCGCTCCCGCCTTCCTGGACCTTGAACCACGGCGTCGCATGACATGATTGATATGAGCATTCAGGGGCAGTTGGATGATCCGTCATCCGTCGAAGAAAGCACACTCCTCCCTCACACACATCTCCTCCCCCCTCCGTAATCGGCTGCCCCATGGTTCGCTAGGCTCGCCAAAAGCAACAGCTTGCGGCGCAAAAGGGCGTCCCACATCGGACCATCACCCATCCCCAACGTTCGCCCACTCGCCTGCATATCGAACAACCTTCGGACGCCTGGAAGAAGGCAGCTGGAGCCCCACCGCAGAGGCGTGCCCTACCACCAGCCCAACATTTCTCGGACGGCTTCCTTTGTCTAGTCTCGCACCTAACGAACGTCCCGTGGCGCAGAAGAGTTTAATGATTCTCGTAGGGTTAATTCCGCGAGGCACGCCCTGCCCTGCCTGAGAGTCAGTCCGCGATCGTGTGTCACCTGACGGGGCCTGCAAGCACAGATCGGGAAGCAATGGGAAACGGCCTGGCAGATTGGGCGCGCCCCGGGGCTGTATTGATTGGTTGCCCTCTCTGCCTTGTCCAGGAGGATTTGAGGGACAACCTGCCTGTGTGTGGCCAAGATTTATTCCGCCGGAAATAGCGGACTGGCTGTATTGACCTTTCACCGCCATATCAAACCTTCCGGCTTTCTTCTTCATTGTGTAACAGGCACGTCGTGAGCGGGGTTCATCTATGACGCCTAGCAGGGTTCCATTCTCGCTACACGCGCAAGTGTAGGCAAACGCGGGAAACTTCTTCCAGGACGTGATGTCCTGGAGATGGGAAATGCCGCAGGCGATAGGAGACGCTCCACACAGGATCAGGTCCAGTGATATAATACAGGCGATATAGCTCCGCACCACACCGCGAAATGCTCCAAGCCGAGCGAAGTGGCTGCCAGCACTCATGCACCCGGCCCACCAAGCTGTCAGGATCGTCCCGCACTCGCAGTATGCTGCAGGTCGTTCAAAGCTTTGCTATCAGGACACACACAGGTCACAAGGAGAGATTGTTATATTCGGTCTTACGCTACCTTAGCCAAGAAGGATGCAGTGCATACCGCTAGCTAAAATCCGAAGAGGCAAAGAGCAAGCCCTATGCGTGGGGAGTGTACGCCGTGACCGGTCGCTGACGAAAACCCGACCGCTATGCATAGATGAAAAGAGAGTGCAAAAAATTGGAAATGCAAACTCCGTGTCGCCGCCCACAGTAACCGAGCCATGCTTCCCCCTTTTATCGCCTGAGATCGCACCTGAATACACCCGTCCTTAATGCAAGCCGCACGAAAATGTCCGAAGACTTCCCCTTCTAGAACTCCCAGTTCTCATCAACTGACTTGATCGCCCAATCAAACTTCTCGCGCAGGGTCTTCGAGAAGAATCGCTCGATCGGGACGTTGAACTTCTTAGAGAAGACAACAGTAAGACGGGGGTCGATATAGTTCTGGAAAGCCGGCAATTAGCACCCTGCTCTCCCTTCTCAAAGCGGAAATGCACTTACGATTTTGGAGGTGCCAAGAGCTACCTCCTTGTTCCCTTCCTTGTCTTCCATCTGAACCTTCATCGTCTCGATTCGCTGGTTGAGCTTGTCGATGTTCGCTTCCATCTTTTCGATCGTAGGACCCTTGCCTTCTGCTTCGACCTTGCCGGTCTTGTGCTCTTTCCGATATTTCTTACCTAGCTCTTCGGCAACCTCCAGGCGCTGGTCAAGCTCCTTGGCCTTCATCTCCTTCTCACCCTCGGCCTTGAGTTTCTCGTTGTCCTTCTCGAATTTCTTCTGGATCTTCTGGCGCTGCTCTTCGACAAGAGAATCGATGTGTTGTTTGACCCACTCGTCGTCTAGATCTTCTGGAAGCTCAAAGTACTCGGCGCCCTTCTTCTTCTTGATCTTGGGGTCAATGTCCATCATCATGTGCTTAGTCCTCCAGACTTGATATCGTAGCCCATTGATCTGGATGAAATTAGTATCAAGCTCTGGAATATTTCAGTCTGGTTGGGCCACATACCCTCTCTTGCATCTTCTCAATGGAGGTAGCATGGCTAGCAGCTACTGTTCGCTTGTGATTACAGAGGATGGCGACCTCTCGATTAGCGTCGTTGTACGCCTTGACCTTTTCCGGGATTGAGCCGACGGCCTTCATGTCCCTGAGAAGTCTAGCCATGGTCCAGGAAGCGTTGTAGGTACGGAAGACCTTGGCTGTCAGGCCCGGCATATAGTTCGTCAAGTGCTTGTTGAGCGCAGAAGTCTGAAGTGGTCAGCAGATGTGCAAGGCTAGAGAATGGAACAATCTTACGGTCAGACGGTCGAAGACATCATCCCCAGTAGTCTTTGGGGCTTTCTTGAAGATCTTCAAATTCTTGAAGACCTGGGGATCGACCGTCACCTCGTCGTAGAAACGAATACTATCTTTACCCAGGAAGTCGAAGATGACAAAGTGCGGAGGCTTCAAGGTGACATGTTCGTACTTGAGGGAACAGCAGCCGACGGTGTCGGCTTCGTCTTCACCCTTCTCGTTACCAGCACGAAGGGCGAACTGATCGATCAGATAGATGGCGGTGGCGCGCTGCCGGTCGGCCATCTTCTCCGATTTGAGGTCTCGTCGGTAGTCCTCTCGGATTCGGTCGATGTGCTTCTTGAGCTCCCGGGCCTTTTCAAACTTCTTAAAGTCACTCTGGCCCTTGATGTCGGAGTTCGCAGCCAGCATGACATACTTGTAGGCACCGTTGATGTTCTCTTGCCACATAGCGAGCCACGTGCCCTCCTGGTCGTGCTTGATTTCCTTCCAGCGATGACCTGCAGGGGGCTCTGGAACCTTGGCCTCCTTGCCAATGTTGATTGTAATCTGCTCTGGCATGACGCGCTTCTTCACGCGTCCGGTCTTGGGGTGCTCGCCGCGGCCACGGAAGAGGCCTGGGGGTTCGACCCTAAAGTTCCCGACTTTCTGCTTGCGACCGTCCCACATACAGTACATGTAAGGCGCCTCAGCTGCTTCTTTCTCGGCTTTGAGGGCCTTCTTCTCTGCAGCTGGAAGAGCTTTCTTCTTGGCACGCTCCGAGTCGAACCATTCGAAGATAGGCTTGAAGTCGCATTTCTCGAACTTCTTGATCTTTACGGTGTTGCCATGCTTGTCTTTGCCGTGGCCCGTCTTATCCAGAATGGCCGTGAAATCATTGAAGAAGTTCTCATTGAACGTCGGATTCTCCACGTTGTGGGTGGAGTTGAGCATGCTGCCATAGAAGGTTGCGACTTCTTCGGCATCCTTGTGCAGCGAGACTGGAACCCCTTCGTAGATGAGTTTGACATGCGATGGGAGAGGCTCATACTCGGGCGGAAAGACGACGCCGTTGTGCTCCAGGGTTGTCCACTTCTTGGTGCCATCACCGTTTGTCGGATCTTCCCACCAGCGGTACTCGTCCTCCTCGTCCTCAGCCTCTTCGTCCTGCGCGGTCTTCTCCTCCGCCTTAGCTTTTCCTTTGCTCTTTTTCACAGGCGTGGCGGGCTCAGCCTTCACTTTCGTTTTCTTCGGCTGGGCCTTCTTTGCAAGGGGGGCATCGGAGTCAGATTCGTCCTTTTTGACACCGTTTGGAGTTTTCTTCGCAGGCTGCTTCTTTTTCTTCGCGAGAGGAACGTCATCGTCGCTCTCACTCTTGGCGGCCTTCGGCTTGCGCTTGCTTGCAGCAGCCTTTTCCTTGTTCCGGATGGTCTTGGCCTCCTTCGCGGCGGCCTTCTCGATGCTCTCCTTCTTTTTTTCCAGCCTAGTGTTGAGGGGGATATCGGAGTCGGATGACTCTCCGATCTGGGCGGCGGTGGCCTTGGGGGGCTTCCTAGCCTTCAGTGGGACATCGCTGAGCTCCGACTCGGAATCTTCCATGACCCGTTTCGCTTGCTGAGACGTCCTTCGGCGCTTACTCTGTGGCAGAGTCAGCGAACTGAATATGCAAAGGGACCAGAAATTGAACGCACCAGTGGTTTATCATCATCCTCAGAGCTGCTCTCCTCCTTGTATGAGCGGCCATTCGTGAGGCTGCTGCGCGCCTTGCGCTTCCCGTTGACGTTGCCGTTGGTTGGCGGAGTGTCGACATCCATCTCCTCGATGGGGCCCATTCGGACGGAGACGCCGGGCTCGACATGGCCGTTGGAGGGAATCTGCTTGTCCATGGCCTGGTCGACGCTTTTTGATATGCGATCTTCGGATTTTACTGTGCGACGGGGGTGGTTAGCCATTTTGCTGTATAGTGAGCGGTGTTGCGCGGCAGAAGAGCGCGGGTGAGGGTGGGTGCAGAGGCGATCGGGATCGCGGAGGGCGTCGCGTGCAAAGATTTCCGTGGAGTGTGAAACAAACGGCGAGCTTGTGCGCGCGAACTCACCTCCATTGGGCCTTCCCCTCACCAGGGGCGTGTCGTCGTCGGATGAGGACATTGGGTTGGTGGGTGGCCGCCGCCGAGGATGCAGCAGAGGAAGAACAGAACGACGAAGTTCAGCTTTGTCTGCCGCGGAACCACAAGAGCGCGCTGCAGCGAATGGGCGGGCGCAAACGCAGAGCGAGAAGCGCGAGGGGGGGCGTGCGAGGTCAAGGCAACCGCGCCGCGAGAGGGGCTGCGGTCGAAGGATGATGGTGCAAGAAGGAGGAAAGCGAGAGTGGGCGAGGAAGAGGAATGTGCAGTGTTTAAGTGAACGGAGGGCAGATGCGATCGAGTCCCGGGGGACTTAGTGAAAGATCCGTGCACGGGGTAATTTTCGTAACAATTCGACCGACGCGCACACGCACTCTCACCATATCCCTCCAATGCGACTCGGATATTTATGATGCAAGGTGAAGCTGCAGCCCACTGGCCAAGGCTCGAGCGAAAAGAGCAGTTGATAACTTCACTGCCCAGTTGCCGCCTGGAGGACATCATCGTTTTGGTTTCGTCGCCAAGACGCTTGTCCCTTAGAGGCCTAGCGCCAGTGACTCTTGCAAAGCCGACGTGATTCCCTTCCCATCGAGCCGAAGAGCTCTCTCAAGCCAGCAGTCGACCACGAACCCGCCGGCTGCCTGCCATCTCCGCTCCATCGAAATTCTCCTCCGCCTCCATGATGCTGTCACGAGCTGCTCGCCCGGCTCTGAGAGCTGGCGCGGCGGCCGCCGCCCGGTACGATGCCCCGAGATTCCCCTCCGCCGGTCCATCGCCATTGCGTCCCCAATTGCATCCCAAACTGACTGAATATCTGTGAACCAGGCCTGCAACCCTCAATGCCACCAACGCCGCTACCTACGCCACCCTGCGCGAGATCGAGGGCCGTCTGAAGTCGATTCGCAACATCGAGAAAATTACCAAGACGATGAAGATCGTCGCTTCCACCAAGCTCACCCGCGCCCAGAAAGCTATGACTGAATCTCGCGCATACGGACAGACGTCGAACACGGTTTTTGAGAAGGCCGAGACGAAGGCGCTGGAGGGCGAGGGCAAGAAGACGCTGATTGTGGTCTGCAGCTCCGACAAGGGTCTTTGCGGCGGTATCCACTCTGGTATGTCGAGACTGGTGAGGAAGATGCTCTTAGAAAAACCGGACCAGGATCTTGTTGTGCTGGGCGAGAAGTGCAAGGCGCAACTGTCCCGTTCCAATGGCAGGAACTTTGTCCTCAGCTTCGCCGGTATTGGCAAGGACGTCCCAACCTTCGCAGATGCCGCTGCTGTTGCCGACCAGATCTCGATGCTCCCGACCGACTACACGTCCATCAAGATCATCTACAACAAGTTCAACAACGCCCAGAGCTACGAGCCCATCGCCATTGAGGCGTTCTCGGAGGAGGCCATTGCTCAGTCCCGTAAGTCCAGACCGTCGGATGCTGGGCCTTCGAAACTAATGGCATGCTAGCCAACTTTGCGGCTTTCGAGATTGACGACGATGTGCTCGCCAACCTCCGTGAATACACGTTCGCGAACGCGCTCTACTGGGTATGCTTTGTAGGATAACGTTCTGCACAATCAGTATGCTGATTTTAATCCAGGCACTTGCTGAGGGCCATGCTTGCGAGCAGTCTGCACGCCGAAACGCTATGGACGTAAGTCTAGCCGATACAAAGCTCGTGTCCCCACATCTCTAACACATGTTGCAGAACGCTTCCAAGAACGCGGGCGAGATGATCAACAAGTTCCAGATCCTGTTCAACCGAACTCGCCAGGCCGTCATTACTGGCGAGCTTGTCGAGATTATCACTGGCGCGGCTGCTTCGGAAGAGGGTTAAGGGATCTCCTGGTGTTAGACTGCATGTCCCAAAACGTCGGCTCAATTACCCTGGTATGGGCTGTGTAGAATAAGTATTTTGTTCATAAGCTCCTTTGTACCAGCTAGTCCCAACCGCGTCCAGCCTGCCTCGACAGTTCTCATTGGTGCCCTCCGTGCACAAGTCGCGAACTATTTGCACGGCGTCGTAACGTCTGACCGCCCTTGGAGTGATATGCAGAACATCTGGTGGCATTGGGATGGAACTCCGCTCTCGTTAACTGGCTCTCGCACACGAAGGTTTACCCTTAATTCGAACCGCGTACCGGGCTGCACAACACTATGTATACCGATCCTCTTCATTGTGCCGCTGTCAGGCTCGTAGAGGGGCTAGCTCAGGGTCCGCGGAGGGGTTGGCACACGCGGCTGCAAGGGAGAGAAGCGTTCACACCAACACGCTCCCCGGTTGCGGCGCGGGAGATTCGAATCTGTGTGCCTGGTAAATCGGTAGGGCGCCCAGACAGGTATGGCTTCAGCCGGATCAGGCAAGCCTGATGGTCTAACGGTCGCGGTTTCTGAAACACTGCTGCAGCTGTCGAAACAATCCGCCTCTTTTGCTTCCGCAGCCAGCCCTCGTGCGCTCTTTCGGGAGAAGACGTGGAGGGCTATAATACGTCTGCTAATGTCTCCCTTGCTCTCTCCCCGGCACCGACACTGCCTTCCCTTTCGCGGCGCTTGAACATTGGGTTACCGAAGTTCGGCATCGGTTTCACCCTCGCTGAGCATAATCCCTGGACACACCACTCCGACCGGGCAACGGCCAACAGCAACGCAGCAACGCAGCCCAGCATTGCAACGCGTCCTCGATTCGCTCTTACGCCTTGCGTTATCACTTTTTTCTCGTCTCCTTGAACTCTGCATTGGCTGAAATCGCCTCTTGTCTCGACATTTCTTAACCTGCGCCTTCCCATCCGATCTCTGGTCTCTCAACAGCGTCCCGCCCCTCACGACCTTCGCCACTTGGACCTCAACAACAATACACAACAAACATTTGCTGGCAGATGAAATGATTGACGAAGCGAGCTATAGCGCTATGAAGGTGCAGATACCGGAGATCAAGAGGCTCTTCTCAACTCGGCACTACGTCCAATGCGCCACTCACTGCAAGCGGCTGCTCCTGACTCGCGGCACGGTACGCCTTCCATGAACTGCTTTCTAGAAGCCTATAACAAATCTCGCGATTCTGTTAAGCATCAACAAAAGTGAACCCAGAGGCTGACCCATCAATAGATACATCCCGTCCACCTAGCATACCTGCACTTCTATCTTGCCATGTCCCACGACACCATGGCTCGGGAGGCGACCATCAAGCACCGTTCCTCAGAGCTGGACCTGGCAGAACAACATTATCTCGCCGCCATCGCAGCACTCACTCCACCCGAGCCGCAGAAATTAGACGACATCCCGGAATGCTCGCCGACATCGACTACGTCTGAAGATGAGCATTCGAGAGTGCGCCGTGTATCAGACGCCGCTTCCTTGAACTCTGAGCAGTCGGTAGCATCTAGCGCAACCTCTTTCGCAGACGAGGAACATGACGCCTCCGATTGCGAACCTACGCCGAAGAGGTCCAACTACTTCAAAGCGTCTCCCCCATCTCGGCACATCCTGGACGACTTCAGCATGAGCCCGAAGGTGACCAAGAGACGTCCGCCTCCAATCATCACCTCCGCGCCGAGGTCAGCGCACGCTCAACCAAAGCAGCAGCAGCTCTCCGCCGACCTCTCTGCCTTTGTCAGCATGGTGCAGATGCATCTAGCGAGTGTCCGCGAGCTGAAGGAGACTTCGACCCTTCCCTCGACACGCTTCTCGTTCTCGCGCTCCCGAAGCTCCACTATGAGCTCGAGACCTGCCAGCAGGAACTCTTCGAATCTCGACGAGTCCGAGATGAGCAGGCTTCGCTGGACGCGGAAGAGCATCAACTTCCGGCCGCGGTTCGACCCCGCGAGTGTACGGCAACTCTGCAATGAGGCGCTTTCGGAGCTGTGATTAACGTCTTCGAGCCGCACGCTGATGAAGCCGGGGCATGAAAGAAACGACTTTGCTACACGATCTTGACCGCTGGCGACTTGCGGACTGGAATCCCCACCAACATCGTTCACGACCATCCCGGGCGAGCCCCGCTATACGAGACGGCCTTTCGACAGCGCGAGACGACCTCTCCTACCACCTTTCATTGAGTTTGACAGACACCTCCTCGGCATTTTCCCTTCCTACCTTTTCTCTGGCGGCATTTATGGACAGCAATTTGATACCCGTTTTCTCTTTCTGTACCCTTACCTGTACCGACCGTCATATTTCTTTTGTTGAACTCTGCTTGCGGTTGCTGGTTGACTAGCGATTCGATTCTCTCTGTACCATTTTTGGGCATGTATCGTCTTAACGATATATACTGTAGTTGCGGTAGAACGCGCATGCGGGAAAGGCTGACTGACGAAAAGCACGAGCTGGGTGGTTGCTATGAGATTGGAATCATCATCACGAGTATAGAGCACTGAGACTTTGAAGCAAGGTAGATGTGTGATACGTATTGAAAGGTTAGCATCTCTCTATATCGCACATGCGCTCTTCGTGATATCATAAGACTTTTTCCAGCCTTCCATGCCCGTGAACGCCTGCAATGCATATACCTCGTCGCCCCTTCCCCCATCAAGCGCTTACTTCATCATCTCATCCAAGCCCCGCTTTATCCGCTGGCATTTGACCTTCAATAACCGTACGCTCTCTAGGAACAATTCATCGCTGTCCCACTGGCCTGTGCTCTCGATCCTGAAGATAAAGTGATCCCGCACCCGCCCTAGCTTCACCTTGTCCTTAAACTCGGGATGCCGCAAGCACTCCCTGCTCACGGTGTCCTTCATGGGGTCGTCCACGACGGCTTTTGGCTCGCCCTCTTTACCGCCCAGCTCTGGGGCTTTCTGCGCGTCCGCGGATGTGACTTCCTCGAGCTTGATGACGCCTTTTGGGAAGCAGCGCGCGAATTTCTTTGCGTCGGCGCCGACGATGGGTTTGATGATGTCGATGGTGGGTAGTAGTCGGTATGAAGCAGTCGCCACGGGGGAGAACTTCGCGTGGTCCTGTCCGATACCTTTGAATGCGTGCATCATAAGCTGGATCTGCTGCCCCGGCCTCATCTTCACGAGCAAGATGTCTGGATGCACGGGCCTGATGCCGTCTCCCTCGGGGAACCAATCCTCCTGCTTCCCGGTCGGCTGCCACACTATGTCGCGCGCATAGACGTTATGATTCACGTACAGCTTGTCCGGATCCGTCTCGCCCCTTACCGCCCGCTCCAGGCCGCCCTCTTGCCAGGTGCACGCGATGTCCAGGTTCAACACCGCGGCATTGTAGTCCGATGGTTGGGGGCCGGAGCCCTCGCTCTCCTCGGTCGGCTTCTGGTACCATTTCATCCATTGTAGGCCGTCGCGGTTTCCGCAGAGTGGGATCAGGCCGAGACGGTGGGCTAGCACTTCGTCTTGAATGATGGAGGTGTTTTGGTAGATGAAGACGTCTTCGATGGCGAGGGTGGGGATTTCGGCGAGGAGGATGCGGCGGAAGGCGTTGGCGACGGAGGTGTCGATGCCGATGAGGGAGAAGGAGAGGTCGAGCGGTTCTTGGGAGTGGAACTGGACTTGGAAGTTCTACACAGGGAGTTAGTTCTTCACCCCTTCTATACAGAAGACTCCCATAGTAACGATACCTCTCTAAAGTAATCTAAATTCCACTCATGGTTCTCGCCCGGCCAATGACCCGGGAAGTCTGTAGAAGCTTGGTTGCTCACAGTTTCTGGACCGACTTCGAGCTTCTGAGAGGGTTGTTAGTAGAGTCAAGTTGCAGACTCTGGGTCGCTAACGTACTTTCCGTCGAGCCAGCTCATCTGCACTCGGCACAGGCATTTTTGCGCGAGTTGTCTCAAAAGTCGGTGATTCTGGCGGGGAGCTTGACCCTCGAACTTTTTTCGGCGTCGCTGCCAAGACCACCGCTCGGGCCAATCGAGTGCCGGCCGAAATGCTTTACCTCATCACGGATCTCCCCTCCCACGCCACGACCTCCATCTCCACTCCACGTCTCCATTGACGCCGCAAACGGGCATCACTGGTCTGCCACGATCACAATGCCCGTCTCCTTTGCGCGGCTAGCCGGCCACACGGCCAAACGGGTGTGCCTGACGCCCCGGCAACAGCTCGCCAAAGCACCACGCCTCCGACCCATTGCCCGCTGTATCTCGACCTCCCTCCCGCGCCACTATGCCGACGTCGAATACACCCAGCGGATGCGCATGGTCCCGACCGATCCGGACTTCAGCCACCCTGTGAACCCGGACGACCCGGAGAACATGAACGTCGTGTACGAGGAGGGGGACAACGTCGAGAAAAGGAAGATACGGCACTACACTGTCAACTTTGGACCTCAGCATCCGGCTGCCCACGGTGTGTTGCGATTGATTCTGGAGCTCAATGGCGAGGAGATTGTGCGCGCCGATCCGCATGTGGGGTTGCTGCACCGCGGGACGGAGAAGCTGATTGAATACCGGACGTATCTCCAGGCGCTGCCTTATTTCGATCGGCTGGACTACGTCTCCATGATGACGAACGAGCAGTGCTTCTCCTTGGCTGTGGAGAAGTTGCTGAATATCGAGATTCCGGACCGTGCCAAGTATATTAGAACAATGTTCGGAGAGATCACCAGGATCTTAAACCATCTCATGTCGGTCCTGTCGCACGCTATGGACGTCGGGGCTCTGACGCCTTTCCTGTGGGGATTTGAGGAGCGTGAGAAGCTGATGGTGCGTGTTCATCCGCCAGCATGAGCTGAGTAGGTCCGCTAACCATGTACATGCAGGAATTCTACGAGCGTGTCTCTGGTGCCCGTCTCCACGCAGCATACGTGCGCCCAGGTGGCGTGTCCCAGGATATTCCCATTGGCCTGCTTGACGATATCTACCAATGGGCCACTCAATTCGGCGACCGCATTGACGAAACCGAAGAGATGTTGACGGACAACCGTATCTGGATTGGACGAACGAAAGGCGTCGGTGTCGTCTCGGCCGCCGACGCCATCAACTACTCCTTCTCTGGCGTCATGCTTCGAGGTTCTGGTGTGCCGTGGGATGTCCGTAAGTCCCAGCCCTATGACGCATATGATAAGGTAGAGTTCGACGTCCCAGTCGGCGTGAACGGTGACTGCTACGACCGCTACCTCTGCCGTATGGAAGAGTTCCGCCAGTCCCTCCGCATCATTCACCAGTGTCTCAACCAGATGCCCGCCGGTCCTGTCAAGGTTGAAGACTACAAGATCGCTCCCCCACCACGTGCCGCCATGAAGGAGAACATGGAAGCTCTAATCCACCACTTCTTGCTTTTCAGCAAGGGCTACAGCGTCCCACCGGGCGAGACGTACAGCGCCATTGAGGCGCCGAAGGGAGAGATGGGTGTCTTCCTAGTGTCAGACGGCAGCGAAAGGCCGTACAGGTGCAAGATCAGGGCGCCTGGATTCGCACACTTGTCCTGCATGGATCAGATCTCAAGAGGGCATCTATTGGCAGACGCGGTCGCGATTATTGGAACTATGGATTTGGTGTTTGGTGAGGTTGACCGATAGAGGCTTAGGCTAGGAGGGGTGGAGCGATTTAAAGCATGAAAATACCATGGCGAGCGCGAGCACTGACTGACAGTCAGCGAAGAGTGGCTGGCGAGCTGTACATACTGTACCCTATCTTTTCTTTGACAGTCCATTTATGTCTGCATGTTCCAGTACCCGTTTCCTGATTTCTGCCGTCGTCTAACCCTCCTTCCGATCCCCTACGAAGCCCCCACTTCTCTTTCCCTCTTATCCAGTATTCTTAAAATTGCTGACCAACTAGCTTTAACGCCCCCGCGCCGACGGCGAGCCTTACGTTGCCATTGCCACCTCCTAGCACCTTTCCCATCGAGCTCCGGCAAGCATTTGATAGGAGCTCCATCTAGGGAATGAAAATCAGAGTGGTATCGAGGCAATCAAGACATAGAGGGGAAGAGCAGGGGTAGTATTCGAGCTGCCAAAGCTGTCAAGCCTGTTTGGTAATTGGTCACCGAGACCCTAAACCGCTCAGGCGAACCTGTGTCATGCTGTCACGCAGCCCTGTCTGCTCGAAGAGGATAAGTAGGCCTTCACCTTCAGCTCCCTAACTTCAGTGAGCTTTTCACTAGTGGAGAACGTTCGGTCACCTTCACCTTGAGTTGCGGGCGCGTTCCCACAAGTCGAGGTGAAGGAAGGTCCGGTTTTGGTATTTCCACGCCCTTCCTCGTATAATTTCGCACCCGACACTTGTATCTCGCTGTATTGCAACCCGGATCGTTTCTGTCACGATGGCCCGCTCAATCGGATTCGAGGACCTGGCACTCGAACTGCGCCAACAAATCTATTACCTCGCCCTCACCTGGTGACCTCGATAGCAATGTTGTCAAAGCTTCCCTTTGCGAGCAAGACGACGGCAAGTTGAAGCTCGCATGCCGCGGCCTTCAGCGCATCAGTCCTCTTGTCCTTACCAACCGCGGCATTTCCAACGAAGTGCGAGAGTACATGTTCGCCAATTTCACGTTGTCTTACGGGTGATGAGAGATCCAGTCGCCACATCATCGGTGCCTTCTCCCGCAAGTTTGGCCGCCAAAACAGCAAGCTCATCAAGCACATCATCATTCCCCACTTCACGGTCGACCGCCTCTTCTACGACAAGCGCATCCAAGAGGGAATCTACATCGACTCGCGGTACCACGAAGGCCAGTACACAGTATTTCAGAAAGATCTCGGAGCTGGTGTTTCCTCCTGTCCCAATTCACCGGCCTCAAATCTCTCACCATTGGCCTTGATGCTGTCGAATGCTTGCCCCGCGTGAATGGTCCCATCGGACCATTCTCGTCATTCAGGACCGGTCAATCATGGCTGCGATCCGACGAGTACAACGACGCTCTCCGGCGCGACCCTGTCTGGATGGAGATCGGTCAGGACCACTTTCCCCTGGAGAAGGTCCTGCGACATATGAGGAAGATGGGAGGTGATATGGAGCTTGGTGTGTATTGGTCTGAGCTCGGATGTCATTGGGGTGCTGCGGAGCTGGGTGTCGGGCGTCCCGAGCTTGCTAAGCTGGAGGATGAGAAGAAGAAGGCCATGCAGACAGAGCTTGTGGACGTGTTGGGCAAGGTTACGGGGAAGCATGTTCGATGCCTGGGACCTCTTCCGGCGTGCTATGCCGAGGTTGATGTTGTGGAGGAGTCTAAGGGTATGTCGCGGGCCCGTGGGCAGAAGCGGTCTTTGTCGGAAGCACTGAATGCTGATGCTCTCCCTGCGCCGGCCCCGGCTAAGTTGAGGCGCTCGCCGAGGATCGGAGATAGGATTCGCAGGCTGTTCTGATGAGCGGCGGGATGGTTGGTAAAGACGGTTGAGTATGTGGAGGTGCTTGTTCCGTGGTGATGATACCATTGTGGTGTCCAAAAGACGGATCAGGTCTCAGCAGTTCAGAAGAGCTTGAGCTATCACCTTAGGTCGTAAGTTGACTTCCCAAAATCCAGCGGAGGTGTCCTAGACTGTCTTTTCCGCCTTGTGTTGTTAGGGGGTTCACTGTCGCCACATGTAAGGGAAGAGGGAAATGGCGCATCAGATGCTGCGCTCGAGGACTTCCATAGGCTCTGGGCATGGAAGCGGTGCGCTCTCGATGCGTATGGAACAGGAATTGCCTATGGATCTGCAATTACTAGCATGCCAACGCTGCGTGCGTATTATGGGTTCTTGGGGGCTTCAATATCCTTCGTAGAACCTTATTTCACATATAAAACACAATGGAGGGCTTTAGAAGTACTTTTACCTCTTTAGCATAATTCCTGCGTTAGAGACGCTCAACTATATCTCTTCATATGCATTGTGGTTTTCAATATAGCATTCGTCTAAGGGTAGGCGCGTAGAAAAGTTCCTCGTGCACTTTGACGTTTCTAGCCTGGTGCATTCCCACTTACAAAACCCATTGAATGCCTTCGGCGTCATATTTCCATTGTCCGTATTTCTGGAGCTTTCGAGCTGTCTGACATGCTCAATACTATGCATCATGTATTTCTATATGGCAGCGGCCCAATACTCGATGCGTGGCTGGAGTCCTGATACGCCTCAACCATAATAGCGTGGTTTTCCGGCACTTCCATACTCTATAGAGGATCTCTAAGGCCTCCTTTGCTTAATTTAATTTATCTCTTCTCTATAATGCCTAAATTTCCACATGTGATGTGCATTCTGGGTTTCTCACACTAGCAGTCTATTGCTAGAGTTGCATTACGACTCCTGGAATGCTGCAACGATTTTCGTGGAATCCAACCACGCCTACCAAAGTCCCATGAAGGACTTCCGGATAGATTCCGAATACTTAGCAATCCTCAGACTTCGACCCTGTCCGTCGAAGCCTTATAAGCCTAGGGTTCTGGTATTAACGCGGCGGCGTGGAGGAACGTGCTGATATGGGTCCATAAGGGAACTCTAGAGTGCTTCAGAACAACTAAAATACGTAGAAAGCCTTACATAGAAGCCCTAGAGGTATATAGTAAGTAGCCTACTAGAATCTTAGCAATAGTTGCATTTCTACGAGGACTTTAAAGAGGTCGCATAATACAGTGGTTATTAGCAACTTGGCCTAGCCTCGATACTAAGGCAGAAAAGAAAAGTTTGCTTAGTTGGCGCCTATCCGAGCAGCAGGATGATCCCATAGATCCGAGACGTCATATTCTGGAAGCGCTTCAAAACCGCACTCCAGAAGGCGCCTGGTTATAATCGATACTTCCTTCTTAGCCTGCTCCTCCGAGATGCGAATTCCACCCTTGTTCTGTTCCCAGGTGATAGCTTCGATCTTCACACCACTACTGCTGCTACCACCGTCGCTTGGCTTCACAACAAGCACATAGAGTTCCTTGCCCGTCCCGCTTCGAGCAAGGTGGAAGGAGATGTTGCCGCTCTGGCTCTGATTTTTGACCGAGACGCGCCATTTGTCATCCTGATCCTGAGGCTCGAAACCGGCTTTGAGCTTCTTAAAGTCGGCATCGCTGATGCTTAGACCCCACGGTGTTGTGGCAGGCTCCTGCATGGCGTGTACGTGATCTGTGATTTGCTTTACACGTGAGCATAGAAGCGCCTGGGTGGTGTTCTGAAGTTGGCACGGACCTCTGAGTGTTGGAGGAACAGGCTCCGCTTGGAAATGGTTGAGACAGGAGAAAGTAGAGGACGAGGTATGCAAAGAATAGTTTGTGCGGTGGTTTGCTTATCCGCAGCAGGGCAGCTGAAGTGTTTATATTGATATTAATAGGCTTCTGATTCCTGCACATGGCCATGACGTAATGTGGCAAAGCTTACTCATTATTTTTAGACAACTGTACCGCCAAGCTCCTCTAATTGGGGCTCTGCATCATCCTGAGTGCAGAAGATGCGGCCGACTTTACAAGTAAGGCCTGGCGGTGCCATCGCCTGCGGATTTGAAAGGCGATGGATATGGAATTGAGATAGTCCGACTTTGGGAATCTGCGGTGACAGGAAAGTGGACCGAGAGCGGTAGGAAGCTCTGTATCTGTTTGGTGATCTTGAAGGATGCTATCGTGCTCTGCGACGGTTATCTGTGGCTCTGAAAATATTAGCGTACCACACCAACATGGAGATGCGATTACGTCTTGAGAATCCTGGAGTCCAGCTTCAATGATCTACACTGGCGTCTGTTGCCGCCCTCGCGCTCCTCTTTTATCTTCCTTGTGGGGGCGGGGAAGGAATAAGGTTGCAAATACGGGGACGAGAAGTCTTTCAGTTTTCAAGTTTCTAGCGTACTGATGCTCCCAAGACAGCCTGCGTGCCATAAATGACAAAGCACCTAGGTATTTCACATTCTCTGCGCACTCATAAAAGCCCCTCAGAGCTCATTGGAATAGCTTCTCATTATTTGAAGCCCTGGTACGGTCTCGGAGCGTGGTGGAAATTTGTTGCCGTATCTTGTAGTATGGACAAGGAAGGCGCATATACCATTCAGCCAACGTAGTAGGCGGCATTCCGGGGAGTAGGAATTTGGAGTGGAAGGAGCCACACGCTGACATTCTCAGTCCTTTCTCCAACACTAGTTGCATGTGACCTTTACAACACCACAATTCCGGTTTGACGTTTCCATCGCTACCACCACGATCCGAGAACATTACTACGCGTGTTTAGCACCATCAACTCAATCATCGTTACCGCCCGCGTTCGTTCGATATACCACAACGTCATATCGATTCTTTTCGTCCTCAGCATGAGTCTCCCCATTAGAGATTTCGTTGCGCTTCTCTTCATCCAGCTATTCATCACTCGCCGTGGCCGGAGCGCAGCCACATGTGCCTTCAAAAATACGATACCCCCATCACCACGGCCCCTCGCTCGCACTCACGGTCGCGGGCCAGCATTGGCATTGTCGCTATCGAATGCGGTCTACGTCTCAAATCTGCGCTTGACCAATCCTGAAACCTCGATACCGAGACCCTTCTCTGCTCTTTCCTATCACGAGAAGGTTCGCTCTGTTAAGACATTGGGAATCGACCGTGTTGCGGCATGCGCGTCTCAGCTTTCGGCATACGAGATGCGATGAGGAAATGTAAACCTGAGAACGGAGGGGGCTCGCGGCGATGACCATAGTATGGGAAACGCGAGGAGAGGGGATGTACATGATAAAGACCTGGTGTTCTACGGCTGGTGGGTGCTGGGTCAGTTAAGCGTAGGGCTTCCATTTCGCTGCATCGGGGCAGTCATTTTTTGGTTCCATTCGTCTCAGGTGTTGGATATGGCGTGCGGAATTGGACAGTCATTGCTGGCGACCTCTTGCTCTTGCCTGTGAGTCATTCTGATCTCAACTAAAATGTTTGCTACACCATCTCGTGGTGTTTGTTAGATGCATGCCCACATGTAGGTACGCGAGACTTAAAGTGGGACTGCAGAGCCACCTGTTCGCCTCACCGCCTTTTCCATTCACCAGCGTGGCTTCCCCGCAGATATACCTATTTTGTATTTCCGCCGTTTCTCACCATTCGGTCCCTGCATTTTCTTTCGTTCGTCGCTTCTTCCCGTTCGTCGACATGTTTCTGGGGAGCACCGTGTTTGGTGCTCTCGGCGCTCTCACCACCTGGGTTCTGGTCCAATGGTTGCTAAGAAGGGTGGCACCGCAGAACGCGGTCGTCAGGTCGATTAATTATTTCTTGCAAGCCGTTATCGACCATGTCGTCTTTGGTTGTGGGACGTTAGTTGCGCTTCTCCTTCTGTCCCCTTATCTCCTCGGTGTCGCATCCGAGCTCTTCCGGTTCCTTCGAACCCAGGTCGCCTCCCTAGAATCAAAGTCGCTCCTTGATTGGGTGGCACATATCCTGGAGAAGTTGGATGTTATAGGCAAGGAGATGAGACAGGCGTCTACGAACCTAGAAGAGAACTGCCCTACCGACACGAAACGCATCGATCAGCGGCTCCGTAACGATTCCGTGGTCTCTCCTGGGCCCTCAGCACTCTCCCAAAGCTGCGGAAAGGTCCTCCTTGCCGTAAGCGAATACAACAAAAGCTTGGATCGACTCTTCTCGGCGCTCCAACCGACGGAGCTAGAGGTGCGTTGCTCAGTCCTGTTTCCGGTCCAGCATTAACACATTTATGGTAGGAGATGATCTACTGCGATTGTGAAGAATCCGAGTTGCGATCCCAAAGAATCCAGTCTGTGTTGGGCATGCTTACCGCGAGTCTGAAAGAGCAGACGAAAGTCGCCGAGGCTATGGGTGCCGTGTGGTGAGATTGCAACCTGTCGTTGTTTTCGGTGCGCTGACTTTGGTCCCAGTCTGGTGCTTTCGCCGAACTTGGCCCTCGGCGGCGATGAGGATACAGCGTGGACTCCGTAATTTGGAGCTCTTTACCACCGTATAAGCCAGTCATTCGGATCGGTTCTTTCTCCTCCCTGAATATTGCAATTCCTCGAAGGTACCGGCCATGCGTTTTTCAATATCCAGGGAAAGACCAGACATGATGGTGTAAATTCTGGGAAGCTGTCGCAGCTCGTTCTGCGCTTTTCTTCAGTTTTCTTCCGCATTCCATTTTCTGGATGCTCTGCGTTATAAGCTGGCACTTTCTGAGGCATCAAACTATCACCTTTGTTTGCTTCTGGAAATAAAAGGGTGCACATGTTTACCCAGCCGCCAACCCCACCAGTCGAATTGCGATCGCCCATCGAAGACCGCCAGAAGCTTCCTCAACGGCTACGCACTCAGTAGATTCTGGGGTCGATTCAACAACCTTCGGTCTTCCCGCGCTCCATATCCGCTCCACCCAGGCGTCGCTCGAAAATCCCCTCAACATGATCGAAGTACCTCTTCTATTCGTCATCCTCGCCCTCATATCGTCAATTCTGCACGAACTTGCAGAGTCTGTCTTGGGCCCACGCCCAGGCTGTCCGCCTCCGGTGCTATATCGAAGACGGGGAGTGGTGTTCAAGGCATGAGGCGTAGATGGAGAGTGCCAGTAGTGCGGAGGTAGGGCTAATGCCTGCGGTCATGTAATGCTGGGGTCTGCGTACAAAAAAGTCGGAACAGATTGGTATCCAAAGGGAAGACTCTCATGTCTCTAGGATCGTGAAATGACAGCATGGAGGAGGTTTTGTTGCGTCGTCGAAAATCGCACGGCCAATATGCGATAGCCAGTGGATTGGGTCTCCCTTATACCAGCTGCTTGGATAGGATATCCCTGTGCCACCTTGGTGCATGTGCCACTAACCTTGTTGTAACGTCATCTCTTCTCGCACGAAAAACCCCTCCTTCATGTTGTTCCGCTACATTTCGCTGACCGCCCGTGGTGTCGATGAGGGCTAATCCAGTAGTGTAATAGCTCATCATGGAAACCGTTCCGCAGTCTATTCCATTGTATGCTGAAAGCCCCGAGGCATTCCATGCTTCCGTGGATAGGCCGCCGGTGCATCAGGACGCTCGTAGGGGAGAGACGAGTCCGCGAGCAGTAGAACGTGAGCAAAGCTTTGGAAAGATCTCGAGGCCCTCCAAGGCGAACTCCGTGTGCGCAACGAAAGCATAGCCGTTTTGATAATCCTGCAAAGAAGCTGAGGTCCGGGGTGGACAAGGGAAGGCGTGGGGGCAGGAATTTCCACTAAACCCAGATGAAACTAGCGCAATCACTAATTACCCGCCCCAGCGGCCCATCGAACTCATCCATCCTGAACACCTTCATGCCTCGTCCGAGATCATCACTAGCATCATCCGGTTGCACCTCACCAGGCATCGCGACGAGAAGCCTTGCGCATCGAAATCTGTATTGCCCATAGCCTACGTCACGTTTCGTCAATCTATAAAGCCACGCATCATGCAGCGACGGCGATCCGCCTCAATATAGAAGACTTACGCGAGAGTGATACAGGGCGTAACTTGCCTACAGTGGCAGGCAAGTTTCAACGAGTCCCGCACGAGAAGAGCCACTACACCATGCCGCCTTCGCTTAGCCCGTCTGTTGATCGCAACCCTCCAGTAGAGAAAAGGACCGACCAAGGATCCTCACGACTTGGATCCTCTAATTTCTAGGTTACGCCCCAACGATATTTGCGATTCCATGCACATTCTCTTTCCGTGGGATCTTCATGGCGTCCACGGCACGTTCCCAGCCGCTCCGGATGAGACGCTTGAGTCTCGGCGCATCTCCAGGAAACACTTCAGAACAATCAGCTAATTTGAGGTGTTCCTTTTAACTCTTTTCTGTCATGCAGAGCATTGCTTGTCGCACGAGAGCTGGTAGCATGCGGGTGCAGTCCTCAGCGGAGTTCCAGACCGCTGCAGGTGTGTCCCAAGACGATAACGTCAGAAAATCAAGCCAACTCATATCAGGATCTGCTACGTGTAGCGTCCACTCACGCCTATCCCTTGTCGTGATAGTATGAATTCAGAGTAATCAAGCGACAGTGTTGCAGCATATACTCCAGGGCGGCTCAGCCTCGCTCCCCAGGGTCACCTTATACCCCCGCTTTGTTGACTATCCAGTTGTCGCAGATGCCTTCGTTCCTTCATATCTAGAGTACCGTTTCCCATGTTCTCCAAACATTCGTTTCGCTTCAAAGCCTGCGTGGCTTTCGCTTTTCTCATCAATATCTTCTTTCTAGCGAGTTATGTTCGCCCTAATAGTCTTCCAAGTTGGACGCCCTGGCGACAGCGCGACAACACTGCTGGAAACAGCACACTTGGAGTGAGTGTCGCTCTTCTTGAACAAGAAAGGAGCGCTAAACTGCTGGCGTTATAGTTCGAATCAATTCTAGCCGTCGCTCCGAACGAAGTTCCGGAGAAGTTGAAGTGGCGGAAAGAAGGCCTTCTAAGGGCAGCCGGATACACAGGCCTGGCCATCGAGATCCCACCTCAACCGATCTGGACCGACGCGGATACCGACCCTCTTAAAGAAGAATGGCTGAAGCACAACGAGGTGGTCCGAGAGAACGGCGCCTACTCCTGGCTCGGGCACCTCAACGTCCTCAATGTCGCCGCGACGCGCACCACTGCCTTGATATTAGAGGATGATGTTGATTGGGACATCGCTACTCGCGAGCACATGCCCCCAATCGCTCAGGGTATACGGAACCTAACAGGATACTCGCCCGCTATATCGCAAGTCGGCTCAGCGATCCAGGACGTTCCTTTCGGCACCTCCTGGGACTTACTCTGGCTCGGACACTGTGGGGATAAGATGGCGGAGAAGCCACCGCCTGTCATCTTGGACGACCCTTCTGTGCCGCCATACTTCGAGAGTCTCTGGTCGGGCATGAACAAGGACCCACAGCACAAGCGGATCATCGGCTGGTCGACAAAGCCTATGTGCACGTTCGCATACGCCATTACTGCGCAAGCCGCGAAGAGACTACTCGAGCGCAACGACCACGGATCGACCGACTTCGATGTTTGGCTGCACATACTTTGCAAGGGGTTTCTGAAGTGCGTCGGTGTCAATCCGGAACTCTTCCACCACCACGAAAAGGCTGGAGCGAAGGAGAGCCTGATCAATGGGGAGAATTCGAAAGAAACGCTCGATAGGGCGATGACAAAGAATATTTGGCATTCCGCGAGGTGTAACAGCTTGACCGAAGGGGAGGAACTGGTTACTTGCATGGGGCCGGCGCCGAAAGTTTGAGAGGATACGGAGTAGATGGAACAAGACGAATGTATGATACCCCTTATCCTTTGCTATCAATCCTAGCCAAACTGCTTCGTCGCTACGTCGGACCTTCACCCGGGACTTCTAAGTTTCCTCGGGGTACCACTCGCAGAACTTCCACCCTAAGATCGATGATCAAACAAATCATCCGAGATGCGACTATTTCAAGCCCTTCTCGATATCAGGTTCTTACTCACATAGCAAGGGACGTGCGCCTCGTCACCCTGGTCCCATCAGTTCCTGGGTTCATGGTGCTTACAATCCTTGGCCCCCCCCAAATTATGGATCGAGCTAAGTACTGTACTCCGGCCCGCAGACTCGATAACACCATTCTTCATTTCTAGAAAATACGCAAAGGACTCCAAACATGGTACGATTTCCAGAAATATCTTAGGTGGGCGACGCCCTCTACAATTGTGACGTGAAAATGATGTCCGACATGTACCGTTCGGCGCTTCAACCAGATCAATATTCGCGCGAGAAGTAGCGATGTATGGTGCGATTATTGCCCGGGTCTGGCATTTTGATCTATCATCTTCTTTGAGGTGCAAAATGTACGCCTGCGATTTGATGAATGCTAGCCGCTCGAGCTGGCGATCTATCCTCCCGTCTGCCGGGATGCGACGCCATTCACCATTCCTTCCACGTACGTGCAGCCACCAAGTTGAAGACATTTCCCCAATCTCTCGATTTGAGAAGTTCGACGTGGTGGAAGTGTGGTTGCCCTTGTTGGCCTTTGTGATGAGCGCATACAACATACATGACACAGTTTTCGCAGACCCACAGCTCGGGAGTGGCTTCCGCGCGGGACCCCAACCAGGGCATACCAAAACTCTCGACCATCTTTAGTGGTCTACTTCGGTGCCCTCTGGAAGGAAATATGTAACTTCGTCCAAGGGGCTCCTCGAAAAGAGGAGAAACACAGCGGGACTGCCCTGAGACACAGATCATTGTAGAGGAGGACGAAGTATACTAATCGCGGGAGCCAGAAAGACTGAGTCGCCAGGGCGAAAGCCCGCCCATGCCGTACGGCGAATAGTTCTTTGGTCTCATATCCCCTCTCAAAGCCTTCTAGAGGAAGTGCCGGTCTAGAGATGATATACTGGCTTAGAGTGAGTCAAAGGCGGGACGTGATACGAAATGCTGAAAGTTTTGGAGTATTTGATTAAGATGCCGGAGCCAGGAACATACTCTGCCCTTTCGTAGCTTTTGAAGCGAGAGGTGGAGGTTTTTCAGCTCGGACCCAGCATGGATAGAGCGTATATGGTTTTGGAGCAAAAGCCATGGCGCTGCATTCCACTGCATTTGATGACTAGGCTCGAGAGAAGAGAGTTCTCGTTCCATTTCGTCATTCCCACCAGCATTTCGAATTGGGACTGTAGACATCTGAGGGAAGAGCATCTCGTGGTAGCGGCCAGATTTTTGATACAATCTCGCTTTGTCTAGGTCAAAGTGACGGTTGCATGGGATCGTCTTTTTTGATCTAGGGTAAGGAGTCCGATCAGATGGAACATGGATCTTGGTTCCAAGGTTTGGAGGGAGAGACGGAGTCGGACCCATCGATAATACTTCGAGACCTTTTTGGCTTGTATCCCCAAAGCCCTGCCAGCGACATGCAGCTTCATCGAGTAGTTTTCAGCAGTTTCGCAGCATGCGCTCATTCACCTTTCTTTTTAGGAGTGAAAGATGGCAGAGACGGAAGAGTAAAAGAAGACCCTGGTCTCGAAAGGACGCCTTCGTATCTTGTTCATCCCTTTATAGCACCAGCAAAGGCGAGAAATCTCCTCGCTGAAGCCATTCTCTTTCTCAACGCTGCTTTCTCGTACAGAACACGGAGGGATCTATAAGGCCATAAGAATGGTCATAACCATTTTTCGGAGCAGATGAAAGCGTACGCGCGAGACTTGAAGAGAGGATGTTTCCTTCATGCCTTTCTTGTTATGATCTCCCGTACCAGGCGCAGCGCGGGCATATCTCGTTTCACTCTGAGTTTTAATCCCATGGTTATGGAATTAGGAGACGAAGGGGGCGGGCCAGCGGTGTTGATGGCATCTTCACATATACATTTGGAAGGAGAACCAGCCACGGCGCCGTGAATTCCTTGTGCCGTACTTATGGAGAACACAGAAAAGCCGCATGGATCTCAAGCGCATCGAGTTTTCTTCAGGAGAGAATACTTCCGCAGTGACGAAGCAGTCCTCCAAATTTTAGGCTAAGGGATGTTCGGATATGGCGCCGACGGCAAGGCACTCTAGATTCAACGTGGACGCAGACCGCGCAGGGCAGCCCCAATGCGACGGAGAAGCTTTCTTGTGATTAGACTGTCTGCAGAGGCGGGCCCCAAAAGTCCATGCTCTATCCATGTCCCAGGCTTTTTTTTTTTTTTTTTTTGCAAGGGAAACCGAGTCCAGATCATAAGGCGATATGCTGCAAACTGTAGCAGCGCAAGTCCCTTAGGCAAAAACCTCGTGTTTCAAGGAGCCCCGGACTGCCACATGATGGTTTATAAACTCCTGTTTTAGAGAAGAAAGACCTCAGCAAGACATAGGAGCAGTGACTGAATCCTTGGATCCTGCCAGATGCAGTATTGAGAGCTCTTTGGCATAGTCCAAGTTCGGCTGTGACCATTTTGCAAAGGGAAGACCATGCCTACTTTACTTCTACCCCTCGGTCAAATGCGACGAGGAAAGCTCGCAAGTCTGATACCATCTGTCATCTCCAGGATATTTTTGGGCTCGAGCGGCGACTGCGGAACCAGCGGCATTGAACGAACCTTCGATGAGCTGTGGAGCGGCTGTTCCGCTCGCATAGCAAGCTGGCGAGAGTTTACTAGGAAAGCGCAGCAAGGGACACATAGAACGGGTAGTGACCATTTTGATGAGGAAGTGTTGGCTACGAAGGAGCAAGGCGCCGACGCATGTGTTCAGCACAGCGCCATTTGGGTTTGAGTTCGGATACACTCATAAAGCCGCAACGTAGCGCAGAACCATAGACTGGAATGCTGAAGCTTTCGGCCTATCGCTGACCTAAAGTGAGAAACGAGGCACGAAGCCCCAAAGCTTGATATCTAGAAATCAAGCACTCCAGAAAGCGAGACCGAACCATGAGAACAGCCGAGCTCTCTTTTAGATTCTCGACCGGAAAGGAAAGAGGAAAGAGCCATGACGCTTGTTGAGCGTTTTCTTAGGGAACGAAGAGCGCGGGTTTCAGTGGAAACGGAACACGAACCTCATGTCGTCCCTGATCATGTGTTTTGGGAGGGAGAAGTGATCAAGCCGTTTTAGTCCACCGATGTGATTTGTGCTCTGTCAAGACGGAGGCAGGCGGACACGCTCAGAGGTACTGCTATCTCGGTCTTTAGATAAGAGGGGGTTTGGAGGTTGGGCAAGGGAGGAGGACGGCGCCATATAGAAATTTTGGATGCGCTTTAGAGAAGAATGCGACAAAGGCTGTAGGAGTAGAGGGGAGGACTGCAATAGCGGACGGGGAGAGCAGAAGGGAATCCATAATTGGCCCGGGAACCACATTTTGGAGAAACCATCGCCTGTTGGTGAAAAAGTTTTGGAGTGCTTGAGGCGAGCTCCTAGGAGCAAGGAGACCACCGCCACATGAAGCTTTTCCAGTAAAACTTTGTCATAGCCCATGATAATAAAGTCGGGGGAGGACACGGAATCCAGTAGACCGGTATCCATTTACAATTCGGCTTCCAGGTACTTTGGCGATAGCAACGTCGACGTAGCAGCCCCGACCCCAAACCATGAAAACGCTTGAGAAACTTTTTGGAGCCCCGAGCAGGAGCAAGGACATACTTCAGTGTCAATCTTGTTTTTGACGTCTCACCCAGTGAGAGAAGATCCCTAGCATATGAGTTTTATCGCGTACATTTTAGACTCCACGGTCTTCGCGCTGGCGGGAAAGCGGACTCGGAGCCATACTTCCTGAAGATTTCGCTTATGAAGCCAACCGTTCGGGATGTCCATTTGAGGCCAGCGATAATGGAAGAGGTAAAAGAAGAGAGGAGGAGCAGAGCCATAACCTTACAACCGTCGAGCTTTTGGACAAGTGATCTTTCGAACGCGGAAGATGGATTGGGTTCCACATGAGTCATCCTCGCTATCTATAGCGTTGTTGCGTTCCCGGCGTTTCCGAGCTGCGTCCATGAAGTCATTCCATATATTCTTGCAAGCGTTAATTTTAGTTTTGGCGATGCTGCGGTAAACCCAGGCAGGAGGCATAGACTAATCAAGGCTTGGATTCTGGGCCGTAAAAAGAACCATTTCACTCTCGGCTAATGGGTTCCGGCGTTGATATTCGAAGTGAAGTGCCGGATCGCAAGTCCAAGAGACATCCACATCGCAGCTCGTTAACAGATCTCGCGGTCGACGCCCCAGCACCGCCAGACATAGGACGCAGTCCAACTAGATTCCACTCTCCCGCCCCATACCCTTCTCCTTTTGCTGTGTCCGACGCAGACACCCAAACTTCCGCACGCCATGAGCCTCCACTCCCGCATTTTTCAACTCCCGCCTGCCGTCTCCATTTCGAGGGTCTGCGTCGTCTTTGTTTTAAATCCGTGCCGAACTTGCCACACAGCCACCGCAACCCACCCCATCAGAGGTAGAACTCGAACTCTTGCCCTTCCAGTCTGGCTCGCACACATACGCGGATTCCAAACCCATTTAGAATCCCGGAAAGGAACGCCGCCGAGTCGAGAAGGAGGAAAGGAGGAAGGGAAGGACAAGATAAGTATAAGAGGTAGACTTCGCGAAATGTCTAGTCCAGAGGCTAAACTCTCCATGTTGGTGACCTTGGAATGCGTTTGCTCTTCCGAGAGAGGAGAAGGAGAAGGACGAAGCGGCAGAACGCATATCAAGATGAAGTGGGAACTTCCAGACCAGCGCGGAGGCATGGCGGTATTCCCTAATGTCTTCTTTTTTATGTGGAAAGAGGGGACGAAGTAAGTCTCGGCGCTGTTCTGCGAATCCCAAATCCCCCCATGACGAGTTATCATTATCGTTTTTGGGCATTCTGGAGAGGAGAACGCCAGAGCGGCAGAACGCATGTCAACGTCGAAATCAAACTTCCAGACCAGCGCGGAGACATGGCGGTAGTTCCCAGTGTCTTTTTTGTTGGTGCGGGGAGAGCCGATGAGGTCTCAGCGCTGTTCTGCGAACCCCAATCCCCCCATGACAGGTTACTATCGACGGTTTTGTCCTTCCAAGAGACGAGAAGGACAGAGCGACAGGACCTCATATCCGCACAGGGTGCGGAATTTTAGACAAGCGCGGAGGCATGTCACGATACCCGAATGCGTTTTGATATATCCAGGAGCAGACAATCTCAGCCTCATTCTCCGAACCCCAATTCCAAGTCCACCATCCACTAACCAGACATTGATCGTCGGTTTTACTCTCCAGGCGAAAACGAGGCAGGAGCTCCAGTCCAGCCTATGTTCCCCAACTCGGATTGTTTCCAACAGGCACGGCAGCATCGGTAGAACCGACCGGCGTTTTTGGTGTACGTCGAGAAAGAAAGCCCAGAAGCTCGCATGTGTCTCTCGTCAACTTGATTTTAGCATCGAGCAAGTGGATCTACAGCTGGGCTCCATAGATCGGCGGCACGGTCACTTTAGAGAACAAAATGCGGGCGGGAAGTGTGAAGAAGAAGCCCCGAGGCGGCCGGAAGGAAGGGAGGGTTTATATACCCTCATCCCCTTAGCTGAGTACTAGGTAAACGCGAGGTGCTAGATGCGAGAACGGAAACTAGTACGGGACTGCAGTCTTGACCGCCGGGGGTGATTCAGAGGTTGTGCGTTTGCATACCCGCGCCATGCAATCGGAGTCGTGGGCCATCGGGCTCCAACCCCAGCGTGAGGAGCGAGCGGCGAATGACGAGATTTGCAAGGCTAGTACGATGGCGATGTATGGCTCGAGTGGTATACGTACGGCTCAAGTTTGAAGCTTCAGCGCCTCGCGAGGAGAAGTACGAAGGAACTGAGGTTTGCGCCAAAAGGCTATCTCCGCACACGGTAACAACAGATACAACACCAACAGTTTCTAGCATGGCGGAGAACGACACGACGCATTCCATTAATACAGCGCGAGGAATAATGAATGAAGACAAGCTTTTCATCGCGCTAAGTGCCTAGTACTATACAATACTCCCAATAACCCAGCCTGCTGCACAAGCGGCCCTGTGAGCCATGCAAGATGTTCGCCGTCCGTAAGAGCCAAGAAACGTGCCTTTCCAGAGATTTGAGATAAGGAAGGGTATAGGTAAGATGGGAAAGGCTGGAATGAAGAAGAAATACTGCACCGCACTGAGGGCTCCGTTCGAGCATCGCGAGACGCGCTGGGTGCGGCGGAGAATATGAAACCGGCACCCTTTTTTGCTTTCTGGGCGGAACGAACTCTGCGGCGAGGACAGAGCGGTACATGCTCCATGTGGAGCTAGTAGAGTGTGCTGTAAAGTCATACAGGACTCCCTCATGACTTCACACCGCTCTCACGCTTCTGCCGTCTTCTCTTCCGCGCATTGTCTCGTATGAAGTCTGGAGTGACAAAGTCTTCTGGTATCGAGAATTCATGCTCTTCGAAGTCTGGTATTGGCTCTCCGAAAGCTGTAATATTGCGTCCATGGCGGTGCTTCCCTAACGCTGCGGCTCGCAGGTGCGGTTTCGAATAGAACGAAGTGAACGGTACGGCGGGTTCTGGGGGTACATAAGGGAGTAGGAAGCCGTGTGGTCGAGGCGGTCTACGAGGTTTCGGTGGCTCGGGCTCTTTCGGACGCGGCTCGGGTTTAACAGACACCTTGCCATTGATCTTCGCATCCTCGTCGGACTCCTCTTCATCCTCGTCTTCTTCTTCATCCTCCTCGTCAGCCGCCCGGGCGGCTTCCTTCTCAGCCCGCAGCCGCTTCTCCTGCTCTTTCCACATGCGAAACTTATCCACCAATGCCTCCACCTCCTTGACGAAGTAGTCCCGCTTGGGCTCCCAGTCTTTCCGCTCGCCGTCCGTGACGCCGGTTATGCCCATCACTTTCAGCCAGTCAGGCCCTTGGAGGCCATCAAGGAGGCGCTCGAGTTGCACCTTTTCGTGCATCGCCCGCTCCTTCTCGATGTTGCGGAGCTGCTTCTCCTTCCGCTCTGCTCGTCGATGCTGTGTGAAGTATACCGAGTCGGTGAGGGGATCTCCATCGTCATTGGGGAGATGCTTTGCTATGGTGGAGTAGTCGACGGGTCGGTAAGAGGTAGAGGACTGTGAGGGCGGTATTGAGGGATTGGAAGGTTTCCGCGGAGTGTGAGCTCGCGGTTTCCGTGATCGGGTTGGACTCGCTGATTTGCGGGATACTTCGGGCGAGGTCGGTTCTGGTGGTTTGGGGTTCTTGAGCGGCTCGTCTACGATGTATATGGGCGTGTCGAAGTCGAGAAACTCTGTGCGAATGTTAGGCAACACCCGACATGCAGACTACAAGAACGTACCTGGCGGCTTCGGCACGCCCGCAATGATATCGTCATAGCACGAGAAGTATATGGCAAGATCGCTCTTCAGCCGCGATCCGCCGTCCTTGCTCCTCAGACTTCGCTGATCCTGCGCCTGTCGTGTGCCCGTCGACGGCGCAGGGACGCTGAGCCGGCCGGCGCCATTCGGCCTGGGTGTTGAGGCACCAGAGGGCACATCGTCGGCCTCGATGCCCAGCCGTTTCGGCACCCCATTTGTGATCCGGAGTAGCTCGCCATGTGGTTGTGTAACTGTGACTTTGGTCGGGGGTCTCGTGTCGGGGGTCGCGTCAGCGAGCTCGGAGGCTGGCCGCTTTCTGGAGCTGCGGGCCAGCGGTGCAGCAGCCTTCGCCGGCGGCTGGGTATGAGGCTTCGCGGGCTTGCCGTCGCCCAGGGACAGCAGCGGCGTGGAGCGCGAGGTGCGGCGCGTCGAGACGGCGCCGTGGTGGGTGGAGTTCTCGACCCCGTCGCCTGCGGCGGGGGACGCTGACTTCTTGCGCCTCGTCGCTCGCCGCTCAGAAGAGGGCCGGATCAGATTAGCCATTGTTTTGAGCATCTCGCAGGCGCATTTTCAGTTATTGCGCTTGAGGGATGCCCATTGAAAGTCGCGAGGGGCTTGGGGAAGGGAATGCGCGACCGTTAGGGGGTGGTCAAGTCTCGTCTGGGCTGCTGCTTCCAGAGGCGAGCTGCATGTGTATACGTTGCTGAGGGCGGCAGAACTCCACAATCGCAACCAGACTTTGAATAAACTGTGTAAAATCGTGCCCAGGTTGCGGTAGTTCGCAGATCCAGTTGCGATAAATTCTAGCGAATGGGAAACGAGGGATTTCGGGCATTCCCAGAAATAGTGCAACGCCACGGTGAATGAGAGCCAATCGTGACCTAAAGAGCTGCCCTGACCTCCAATGAATTTTCACGGGCCCAACGTCATGGCTGATACGAACACCTCTTCACGAGCACGTACAGCTTCTGCGACTGGCGAGCGTGCTTTGAATTCATTAGATATTATGTATCAATCTGTGCTGGGCTCAGATCCTGACGCCCTTGAAGCATGTCTTCAGAAGGAAGCGCATCCAAGTGATATCGAGTCAGTCCACAGCTCTTCGTCATGAAGCAACCCGTCGAGCCCGCGGGCTATTACGGCTGGCAGGACATCCAAGGGTCTTCAACTACTGCTCGGCCGCAGTGTGACGGTCAAGTTGGATGAGATGTGACCGAGACTGTGGAGCGCGATGTGCTGGATCCGAAGGGGTTCGTAAAGAGACCGGAGTCGGCGTCAAATATGTCCAAGAAATCGTATCCCCAAACTCGGCCGGAGGAGGCAAATTCGTGAATATGTACAGCGTGAGAAGGGCATTACATTGTTATGAGAACAAAAACTCCTTGAGGACTGGCGAGCCCGCAAACTCCGGGTTGAGCAATATGCAACTAAAAATAGTCAGACCGATATACGCTAGTGCCATGGAAACAGATGGCCGGGACGCACTTCAGGAAGTAGGAGAGGCCGATTCTGCGTCTTTCTAGAAACCTCGGGCGGAAGCGCGCTATTTGGCAACATCAATATCTGACGACGGCCGATGGGGAAGGTGGGGTGAGCGGTAGTGCGGGCGGGCTGGTGACTTACAGACGACGGACTTGGGTGGCAGTGGCGGGATGGAGCCCACTGCATGGGGGAACGTTGTGACCAGCTTGTGGTGCAGGCTTTCGAATTCAGAGTATCTGGGGCCGAGTGAGTACTGTATGCAGAGTTTCATGTGAACGGCTTGGTCAACGCACCTCTTGATGATCTTCATGGGACCTCCCTAGGGTGTGTTAGTCGGGGCCTCCATTGGGGGGCCATATAGATGAAGACTACTGCGCTGATGCTGGGGCTCAAATATTAAACTCACATCCAGGGTCTCGACGGTGATGTTCCAGACGACGTAGGCCCCCAAGCCGGGCGCGGTGCCACTCACAATCACGTAATCTTCTATGGAGACATGTTTCGCCCAGAGCGCTTTGCACTGCTCCGAGCCCTCGTCGGTGTGGTCTTCGAGCCGTATCGGCGTCGGACGAGAGCCGTTCTCCACCGAATTCCAGCTCAGACGACTGTCGTTCCGGTCCTGCCGCTGCCAGTAGGGCGGCACGATGCTGTTGCGCTCCGGGCGGAGCGTGGCGGACGGGCCCACATCACCACGGGCTGGGGAGGGCGACAGGCGGTTGACAGCTTGAGAGCCCGCAGACTCCATCCATCTAGCGGGCGGGGTAGCGCGCAGCGGACAAGCGGTTCCTTTTTGTCAACGCGAGGGGCGGTCGATGTGGAAAGTGAGGTGCAGACGCGGCATGCGAGATAGCCTAGTGTCGTCAGAAGTGAAGGAGACAATAGAGCAGTTTGGCAGCACCACCAAAATGAAATATCGTCGATCATCGGGAAACACCCGCGGCGAACGACGTGAACCCTGAGTATTGGTGGCCCGGGGGCTCGCCTCCACGCCGCCTGAGTGGCCGGTTGCGCGAGACCGCGGTGGCCTGTTCGCTGCACACCCTTGCACGAGCTGGAGCTTGTCTGCATCATTTTGAGACCGTGGTGCTCCCAACCGCACGATAACCTGCCCGCAGAGGCCGGCGGCGACGTAAGCTCCCACACCTCGGGCGGACACTCATGCATCGACACATTGCAGACGGTGAGCACGGCCGGAAGATGGCGAGCAATTGGTGGCTGGTTCATTCCAGGCTCCGCGCGGCGCCAGACTAGGCGAAGCGTGCAGAGTCCGTGCTGCAGCTTTGCATCTTTATCAATCCTCCTTCCCCGGGCGCTTCCTCCCTCTGCCATTCACGTTCGCTGGGGGAGAGAGACCATTCTCGAGACGGCCTTTTTTCTTCTTGGATATATTCATTTTGCTTCCATCAGTCGCTATCTGTACACTCTTGTAATACCCATCCGTCTCGTCTGCTCCCGGACCGAAATAGCAGTGAGTGCATTCCTCCTGCATCATTCCCCAGCCAGCCATCACCACACGGCGCTGGACCTCTCCTCCGACGGACATATAGGGCTGACTCTACTCAGACATCACTCCATCCCAGCACACAACCCCATCACATCAACCAACATGCGGTCCATCTTCGCTCTCAGCCTGCTCGCCTTCGCCGGCTTCTCGGCAGCCCAGGACTCGGAGCAAAACAACTACCCGTACACAATCGACCCGGAGAATGTCGACCAATCGCTGAGAGGTGCGTGGGCTATGAACATTCTTCAGAAGAGCGCGCTGACACTCTCTCAGACAAGTGGTGCGACGACCAGAAGGCTGTATGCCCGCTCATCTGCCTCCAGCAGCCAGGCGTCACAACCATGAACACTGTCTCGAACGACTGCGATCCGGTACGAGATACCCTTCGACACCTTTGGCACATACGGGGGACACGTGTTTGGTGTAGAGGGTTCGGCAGGTGCACAACACCTCGCGCCTTCCCCATCTACACACCACACCTTCCGTTACCCACCCTTTCTTGGTGTACATACGCTAACACTTCCGGCACAGGACGCCCTCACCTACTCCTGCGTCTGCGACGACGGCACCGCTCCAAACGTCACCCAATACACCCTAACTCTCCCATACTACATCTGCACTGAGTGGGTCATCGAATGCGTCAACAACTGCAACGGTGACAACACCTGCGGCTACGACTGCCGGCAAGTGTCCCGTATATCCTCCCATAAAGGACTCCCTACTCATACTTTGCAGAGCCAACCACCCCTGCGGAGCCCAAGATCCCAAGAAGCCCAACGCGACAGCCTCGTCCACCACAATGTCTGCCACCGCTAGCCAGACCGCCGCCGACTCCTCGATACCCGTGACCGGTCTTCTCGGCGCCACTTCCACCAGCGAACCTGGCGCTGCCCCGGCCATGCTCGACCTTTCGGCGGGCTATGGCATGGCCGTTGTCTTCGCCGGTGTCTTTGCCGGATTCGCCCTCTTGTAAAATTGAGGATGTCGGTCCGCACACCCGGCACCTGCCGTATGCCTCCTCATAGGCCCACCCCTTTGAGGAAGCACGCGGCATCCTCCTTAACCTTCCCGGCGTTCGCTTTTCTCCTCTTTCGATCTAGTCTGCATTTTGCATAGCGCTTTTGGCACATCCAGTCCCTTCGGCATGTGAGGAGGATATACCCCACTTGGGATTGCCGGTCCTTTTCATTCATAACCTCATGACATTACACAGGCCATCGTGGCCACTGTTTGGGAGGGGTTTCTCCTCGGGAGACAAATATTCTTGACACGTACGGATTTAATGGAATGGCGTACGAGCGAAGGGCGATCTGAGGTATTCAGTTCTTCTTATTCTTCCCCCCATGGCAGGGCAAAAGCATCAGGTTGGCTAGGCTAGGCTGGCATGTCACACTGGATAGATAATCGGTTGGTGGTTGTAATGGCAGCTCTGGGGGCGGCTGTTGCTGCGGAAAGTCGTAAACTGTCCTGTCGTACTTGCTGTGGTGTGGTGTACTCCGGCTTCGTTTTCTCTACTTACCTTCGGCTGCTCCCCCTCTCGGGTATCACCCGAACAGCTTGTACGGCATGCCTGAGCTATTATCTATGCTATAGCACCACCTGACTGTGTGTCTACTCAACTCCCTTGACTAGATACATCAGTATCATGCCGGCTGGACAGGGCGTTCAATCCACCGCCTAAACGATCCCATAAGGTTCACCACAATAGCCACGTCTAGCAGGATGATCCGAACGGTTCGTGAGACAGGACGTCGAAGCTTCCCTTCCTGGTGTCACCATAGCGGGACCGGGTACTCCGTTGCTCTCCCTAGCGTATCACGCAGTGAGACTAGAGAGGGAAAGGAGATCCAATAGCTAAGTTCTTCATTTAAACATTACGGACATTATTATTATTACTATATTACGTATTAGGCATTAGAGATGGAAGGATAATGCGAGGGGGCCGCTGTTGTATATGGTACGTGTGCGTGTGGGTGTAAATGTCTGCGAGCACAAAACACTCCCTTGACGCCGCAACGCCAAAAGCCACCGCAAGAAAGATCCATCGCAGCGGCAGGACGACTCCCACAAAAGCCAACAGCAACTTACCCGAGCCTAACCGTTTCGCCGCCTCACCCGGCTCCTGCCCCGCATAGCACAGCACTCACCATTTGTTGCACATTCCTCCTCGTCGCACATCTCGAGGTCTTCGGCGTCATCCCAGCCCAAGGTTGCGTCTCCAGTGATCTGAAAACTCTGCAGCGCGAGCGCAAGTTGCTCAGTGTCTGCGGTGCGCCTCAACTCCAAGCTCTGATGACCGGATGCATCGTCCACGGCCGTGCGCTGCGTTGCATCCGATGGGACGAGCGACTGTGCCGGCGTGCCGCGAGCCGGGGGCAGAGGGGAAGGTCCGGAGTGCGTGGGCCCATGGTGCGCTGATGTAGGCATGAGGGAAAAGCTGGCTGGTTGAGGTGCGAGATATGTTGGATTTGTTGATGGGAGCGCGGACGATTGGGTGGAGAAGTTCTGGCGAAGTGCGTGCGAAGAGGCGGCTGGGGACGCTTGGTACGACAAGGGAGGAGAATGGTAATTAGAGACGTTGCTTGATAGAGTATGCAACGCGACCGTGGACGATGTTGCGCTATTGGTGTATGTGAAGTTTGGATGCGGGATTTGTGAAGAGTGCTCAACAGAGGGCGCTTCTATGGAGGGAAGCAAGCCAAGCTCGTTGATGTGGGGGAGTCGTAGATCCGGTTCGACGCCGAAGGGATGCGGGTCGCTCGAAAACGCGGTAGTGGAGATTATGGATTCAGCGTTGGAGACCTTGCGGGATAGTCCAACGGCTTTGGGATTCGGTTTCCGCAATGTCTTTAACCTGACGAAGTTGCGTAAGGAGCCAATGCGGTTCCGTTTCTGGGCCGGTTCGGGACTGTATCCACTCAAGTGCTGCCAACGATTGGGCTCGTCGAGGACTCCCGCATCAGCGTTGGTCTGGGGAGTAGGAGTTGGCGGATGCTCGGGGTCTTCATCCGGGCGATCACAGTAGGGACTTCGTCGCTGCACGGAGCATAGGCGCTTGTGGTACGCTTCGGCGCGGTAGTAATTGCTAGGTCCATCGAAGGTTTCCAAGGCGTCTATACTCTCTTTCTCGAAGCGCAGCTCGCCTTGTATAGCATAACGTTCGAGATCTGGAGTGTACTCGAGGGTGGAAGCGTAATAATCGATTTCGCCCTGCGTGTGAGGGTTACAATTGATCCCGGTAGGTGTGCCGAGTGTGCTGTCGTTAAAGCCGGAATCTTTGCGACCTAGTCCAAAAAATTCCTTGAACTTTTCGGGCAATGATGCCTTCCTTGGGCCCTCTTGCACTAAGTCTGATTGACCGTTGGTTTGTGAACGTGATGACCATTGCTGAGAACATGCCCCATCCTGTCTTGCTTGCTGGCTGCTCTCCATGGTGGTCTCCGGCATCTTCTCGTACACGGTACTCCTACGAGTCGATTTCGGGAAAGAGAAGAAACGAAAATTGAAGATTGAAGAAATCCGGTCCCGCGGCGTCCTCATAGGCCGGTCACAGTCATCGCTGCTCTCCGAAGATGGGGTACCCCCAGGAAAGAAAGAGAGAGTGCGTCTTCTCTTGACAGGCCGTGGTTCTGAAAGCGCTCCAGAAGGCGAAGCGGAGCAGCTTCGTCGACGTGGCTGCCCACTAATGGGGGTGAACGTCAAGTTCTCGACCGAATTGATTGTTAAGGCCATTGGGAACCTTGGAATGGGCAGGGTGTGATCTCAGCGGGTCTGGAAAAGCAGAGTGGCTTAACGACGGGAGAATGTGAAGCATTAGATGAAATGAAGATCAGGGGTATAAGACATGAATGCAGACTGAGAGAGGGGAGGTTTTGGAGCTGGGAGCCTCGGGCAAAACTGAGGCTCTTATGCGAGAATCTCGAAGTGAGCTGAGCAGGGGCCCCATTGCATTAGAATGTCCCCCTTCAAGAAGCGTTCGGTGCCGAGGAATTGGCTATCCAAGAATGAGTAGCGAATCACGAATGTTGAATTGAAGATTCGAGAAGCCTACGGAGACGAGTGTTGTCATCGAGCCACAGCCCCGGCGGCGTCAATAGTTAAGTCTTCCATATGAAAGATCGGACATATGATGTCCAAGAAGTGCTTTCCATGGAACTGAGTCTCCTGCGTGAGGGGTAATTGTACGTTAATCGATGGATTTGATGGCTCGTTACCAGTTATCAATGCCGTTGTCGGCGGTGAAGTGAAGCTCTCAATTCTTTAGTTAGCCTCTCAAGGATGTGTAATATCACCGTGAGCAAATATTCTGAGGTATTTGCGTTGTAAAGCACCTGGCAGGGAGATATGATGAGGTTGACGATGGTGGGTTTGGAGAGCTCTGCTCAAACGAGGAAAGAGCTTATGGTCTAAGCTATCCAGGAATGGTATAGTGGCGCACATGATCGGAGCCCTCGTCATTCAAACACCGACCTGCGGACGAGAGCATCCCAACGCCCAGCTCGGCCAATTACTCTCAACCACTGATGAGTGCGCAGTTTCAGGCCTTGTAATGCCGCCTCGAGTGCCATTGGCAGCGCGTCGGGCCCTGTCCTCAACAATCGTCATCCGATTCCCGGTGCGGTCCCGGCGGTGGTTTGCTTCGAGCTCCGATGCGCCAGAAATCTACGACGTAGTCTGCGTTGGGGGTGGACCGGCAGGACTGAGCCTTCTGGCTGGACTGAAGGCCTCGCCGGTCACAAATGGGCTGAAAGTTGCGCTCATTGAGGGGCAGGACTTGCAGAAGAATCGGTTGCAGAAGGATGCGAGTTTGGAGAGCTTCTCGAACAGATGTAGCTCTCTGACGCCTGCCTCTGTGCGGAATCTCCAGGGTACAGGAGCTTTGTCCCGCCTGCAAAAGTTCAATGCTGACCCCTCTTCTGCATAGAAATCGGAGCATGGACTCACGCAAACGCGTCACGCATCCAACCCTACCAGGAAATGCAGGTATGGGACGGCGTATCCGATGCTCGCATATCCTTCGACTGGGATACCGCACGCTCCCCCCTGACCCCTCGTAAACCGACCCAACCCACCACGATCGCCTACATGATCGAGAATGTAAACACAGTGACAGCTCTCCTCTCGCGCCTTGAGGAGCTTGGAGGCGTCGACGTCTTCTCTTCCACCAAGGTCAATTCGATAGAACTTGGGGCGGACACGGAAAAGCTAGACTTCTCGTCCTGGCCAATACTCTCGTTGTCAAACGGGAAGACACTAGCAGCGAGACTGCTCGTCGGCGCAGACGGAGCGAATAGTCCCGTCCGCACGTTCGCCGGCATACCCTCACGAGGCTTCGATTACGACCGCCACGGTGTAGTCGCAACCTTGACCCTAGAGGGGCCCGGCTGGGGCGGTCTAGACCACAAGATCGCATACCAACGCTTACTCCCGACCGGCCCCATCGCCATGCTCCCACTGCCGGGTAACAAGGCATCCCTCGTCTGGAGTACAACGCCGGAGCGCGCGGCAAAGCTCAAATCACTGCCTCCAAACGACTTCGCAGCAATGGTGAACGCAGGGTTCAGATTATCTCCTACCGACCTCGAGTACCTGCACACCTTAGCCACCGGCCAAGAAGAAGAAATCGCCTGGCGAGCAAAACACACCCCCTTCAACAAACGCTCGATACCCGTGCGCGTCACAGACGTCCAACCCGGCACCGTAGCCTCGTTTCCGCTCCGCATGCGCCACGCAGATACCTACACTGGCGAGCGCGTAGCCCTCGTCGGCGATGCAGCGCATACGATCCACCCGCTCGCGGGCCAGGGTCTGAACCAAGGCCAAGGCGATGCCGCAGCCCTCGTCCGCACAATATCGCGCGCTGTGCAGACTGGCCAGGATATCGGGTCTACATTAGCGCTGGAGAGCTACAACAGCGAGAGGTACGCGGAGAACAACGCTATGCTGGGTGTGTGCGATAAGCTGCATCGGCTGTACAGCGTAGAATCGGGGCCGGTTGTTGGCCTTCGCAGTGTAGGACTCAGGGCCGTAAATGCGATGGGTCCGTTGAAGGGCTTCTTCATGAGTCGGGCCGCGGGGGGCGTGTAAGATATTGTACTGTACATTTTGAACTGTATATATATGCATGAATATCAATCTTCCCAAGTACTCCTACTTCCACACCGCTCCATCCTGTGAAGGCACCCCAAGAACCGAAGAATGACGACATCGGGCGTCCCTGTCCGCCTATGCATGGGGTCCTGGCTTATGATGCTGTGCCCCACCATTGACGAATAGCTACCCCTCCATCCCGTCTTTGTTTGAGCATTGAGACCCCGTTCCACCTCCATTCTGCACGCGGATCAGGATGGCAGACCAACACGCGAAGCAAATCGAGGAATTCGGCAACAATGATGATTTCTGGCTCTTCGGCTACGGGTAAGTTCTTTGCCATGTCTCGGAAGCAAAAAGCATTGCATGCAGCGGGCAGCTCACAAAGCGCACCAGGAGTCTGATATGGAAGCCGCCGCCCCATTACGGTACGAGAGATCTTTCTTTCGTTCGCAAGGCCCCAATCAATTGGTGACAGACAGTTCGGAAACTGAATGCGGGGACATTTAGACCAGAGAGTGCCCGGGTACATTGAGGGTTATGTTCGCCGGTTCTGGCAGGTATGAAGCCCACCGCATGTGCAGATGCTCTGGCGAGCTGCTAAGATATACGCAGGCTAGGTACGATTTATTCACTCCCTTTTGCATACTGGAGCCTTTTACACGTCTGACCCGCTCACAGCGAAGACCACCGCGGCACGCCCGAAGCTCCAGGGCGCGTCGTGACCCTGATTGACCGCGCGCACTGGGACACTCTGACCGACCACCACGAGCCCACGGAGCGAGTCTGGGGCGCCGCGTATCACATCCCAGCCGCTAAAGTGGCGGAGGTGCGCGAATACCTCGATATCCGCGAGATAAACGGATACAGCATCCAGTTTACGCCCTTCCACCCGGCACCCTTCTTCACCAACATATCCTCCCCACCGACGTCCCCAGTACCCTTCGCCTCCCCCTCGCACGCGTCTTCCCGCTCGATAACCGCATCCACCACGATCTCTGCGCTGCCGGAGCGCCAGCCGGCGCCAATACAGTGTCTGGTGTACATAGGGTTACCGGAGAATCCGCAGTTTCTAGGCCCGCAAGATCCTGATGCGCTGGCGAGGCATATGTTGAAAAGTCGGGGGCCGAGCGGCGAGAATAAGGACTATTTGTTTGGCCTGGAGAAAGCGCTGTTGGAGTTGAGCAAGGACAGTGGGGATGCGCATGTGAGTGATTTGGTGAGGAGGTGCAAATTAATCGAGGCGGAGAAGGCGGAAGGAGAAGAGGAAGAAGGAAGCGCGGAGATAGAGGAGGTAGAAGTGACGGCAGGAGGGGTCCCGTTACATAAGGTTGGGAGCACCGAGGAGCAAGAAGAGGTTGAGAAATGAAAGTGGTAATGTATGGGAACCTCTAGTGAGCGTAGTAGTCGCCCCCGGCCAGATCTCTAATGTAAATATCGTCTGGGCACATAATTCTCAACTTCCTGCCTGAGCCATGGTGTCGTATTTCCGATCGAGTAAAGGATATGGCGTCGATAAATCCCCACGTTGAGGGCCGAAGTGGGCGCTGAGTAAGAAAGGGCATCAGCGGCCGGAAACTCTCCGGTTCGTCTTGTTTCTGAAGGATCAACATGCTCGCAAGGGCTGTACGACGATTGAGTAACCCTATTTTGACTGCAGGGTGATGCAAAGCTTCCAAGGACCAAACGTTGCATCCGAAGTGCTGCAATGAGTGGTAGGACAATGGGAAGATGCGGAAGGCTCCCGACCCTTATCCGGTGCTCGAGCAGGCTTCGAACGGGCGACGTACAGCAGAGGACCGGAAGATCGTAGGATGGGCTAGGATGCTCGGTTGAAGTATAACCGTTGTCCACGGCACGATGCATACGATGGTTTCCAGAAAATGCAAACGAGAGGCCTGTGTGCCCTTAAAGACCAGCGCATCGTCGACGGTAGTTTGAAGCTGATGCTCCCCTCTGGATGAATGGCCAAGGCGAGGCCGCGGCCTCAACAACTAACAGGTGTTGCTGAGAACATATACATCGCAATGATGCGCCCAAAGGGGCGATTGATAATTGCCCAATGGGGTCAATCTTCAGTGCCAAATCTCCTCACGGCATTGCGTGCGACTTATCGCTTATCGCATGTAGAATGGGCTGTTGTGGGGAAAGACCTAGGGTGACCGAGCGTCAGCACACATCAGCACCATTGAGTCATCGACGCAAGGATCACCGGAGATAAAACTTACGTAGCCAGACCCGAAATCAAATAACCCACCATCTGCACCCAGAAAAGCCCCTTCAGCATCTTCCAGCAACTGGTCTTGATTGCTCAACGCCGACCAGTCTATGTTCTGCCAGTCAATGAAGTCGGGCTCCGCGACTTGGACCTGGAGGGGTCCAACCATGCTTGACGCGTCGAAATACGGCTCGAGCCTATTGAGGACTCAGGTATAAGCAAAGGAACGAATCGGTAGGAATTTTCGGTCGTCTAACCTGAGATCAGTGATGCTTTTCCATAGGTGGCACACCGCTTCGTCGAGCTTGAAGCTGACCCAGCCACAGACATGTAGGCGATCGAGGAGGGCATTCGCGCCCTGTATTCCGAACTCAGAACAGGCCAAGGATACTTGGTAGACGAACCACGAGCTCTCAGCTGATCCTTCTGCAGATATAGCCCCGATGGCCAGGATCCACAGCAGTAGTTCTGGGCAAGACTGCCATTCGGAGCGGCTTGTGGCACTCAGAGCCATTTCGAGCCTCTTACTGGCCGCGAAATGGAGCGCGTGGACATCTACCCGACGTTTGAGTGCTTCGGTGGTGCGAACCGTGAAGATTAGGAGCGCCACGCAAAGCGCGCCCTCGATAGGGCGGGCGGAGTGCTCATTATCGCGAAGCCACTTCAATAGCATGCACTCCAGAACGCAGGAGTAATTCTGGATATCGAGGGGATCAAGTGGGCAGTTGGGATCGTTGAACCATGCATTCAAATCAGCGATGAGAATGAGGGCTGACTTGACCAAAGCGGTAAGGGAGCGTTCCACGTGAGCCTTCTGACAGCACTCGAGTAGATGGTTTGATATATTCGACGAATATCCGGGGGGATGACGCGGGTAGCATGCAGCGTTGGTGTAATCGATAACGGAAAGGTATGGCGCCTCAAATGAAGCTATCGCGTGGGCCGTAGAATGCCTGATGCTCAGTAAGCAAATGCTAGACTTATTTGGGCTGTTCCGCGGAGTGCTTAGGCTGCGCACCAGAGTATAAAAGCTTGCAGGATGCGATTCGAGCTAATTGCCCCAAGTCCTCCGCGCAGCTGGATCATTTTCTGTAAACCATTCAGATGGATCGCGCGCTGGGATGGCTGGCCATCATCCGGCCGTTCCTCGTCCACAACAGTATGAGGCAGACTTTCCTCGACCGTCAGCAAGTTAAACACAGCACCTATGTTGGCGTCTGAAATTGCCATGCTCGGGTTTGGGTCCATTATGGCATAATTTATCGCTGTTATTGCCTGTGCTCTGTGGTGGAGGATGGCTTCGATGGAGCCCCGACCGGACCAGTATCGATGCAGAGCTACAGTGCAAAGCAGACTGTGCATAAACCCCGGGTTTCTCACAGCTGTCCCAAACCAGTGCGATCTCATGAGGTCGGACTTATGTCGAATGTCGACAGCTATCGTACCGGGAGCCATTTCGGTGATAACTAAGAGGTGGAGTCAGCGCCAGTCCGGAGAGAATTGCAGCCTCAACACCAACGAATGTCATAAAATATAGCATGGCTGCGACGCTGCGTGCGCTGAGTTGCTTCATTCCTCTTCTGCACCAGAGTGCCGGGACTCCATGGCCGATGCCACTAACACGGGCCGTCCGTCCCGCGGACACGATCCCGGCAACCACACGACTGGTTTCGAAACTGGCAAAGCAGGACTTCATACTTACAGTGGTTCAAAAGTTCCGAAACGCTGCCATTCGTATCGACAGACAGAGTTCCGAAAGGATCGAAAAGACTGTTGTCCAGGTCTTCCGCGGGCGCCGAAGATTGGAACAGAAGGCATCTGGGGCATAGACTTTGTCCCGGTCGGCAAAACAAGATCTGGCAATCCGAACAGACTTCTTGTTTGACTATTAGAAGGTTGTTCGGGTCTCCGGAGGAAAAGTAATCGGTTCCCATATGTGCGAGCGGTGGACTGGGCGTCGACGTTATCGGCGTGTGTGAGAGGTCGGGCGTACCAACGGTTGCGGGACTTGTAGTCTCAGGGCTCTTTCTCTGTTTCGCTGCATGTTTACTTGTAGACCATGGACGTTCCCTTCGTGCCTTTTGCATCACAAAAGACCGAGCATTTCGCCGACCTTGACGGGAGCTCTTTGCTTTTGCCGCATCGACGAAGAGAAACTCCTGCTGGACGGGTGCGGCTTGCGGAGAGGTCCGCGGCTTCCCTTTGGCGGCATCTTGCTGACTCTCCATCAGTCGTCCCCGGCGCAGGGATGGGAGGCCGCCGTATTCTTGCCCTCTTTAAGAGAAGGTTGGAGGTGGTGGAGCTCAGAAAGGCATAACCGGGAAGAACTCGCGAAGTACAACCAGGCAAAAATTTCCTAATCGATGCTCTCTTGCCACCATATTGCGCTGACAGTGCTGGCGCGTCGCGATGGCGGTAGGCTGATGCTGCGACAACGCTGAGGTGCGACTCGAGGTGTTCCGGAGGGGTCTAAGTTTTTGAAACTATCAAAGACCGGATTAGTCCTAGGCCGCGGCGGGGGAACGCTGGGGTTATCTGTGGCCGACATTAGCCTTCGCTTCCGATGTATACGTACATTCTAAGAAGACCTACCCGCTGCTGCTTCTTGAGTTGCCTCTTCGAGAAGCTGACAGAAATGTTCCAGAAGCTTGCGAGGGCGACGGGAGTATATGTACAGAAGCGAAAGCCATGCGGGACGTTGTGCCTTGGTGGGCAAAAATAGAATCGTTCCTGGGCCATCGGCGTTGATCCATATAGAACATGCTGTCCGTTCCTGGACCATGGTGCACGCTCCTGGCTGCTGACTGATGGCGCAGGGTCATCTTAACTGAAATAATGCGGACGGGTCTGACCAGATGCCATGCGCTGGCTGAGATGTGATGTCGAGGGTTTTCCAAGGTTACTGAGCGCTGCTCGGAACCGCCAAATCGGAATGCAGAAGGGACCGGCTTGCACAAGCACGAGAAGATAGTTTTGTGAAACGAGACGAAAGACAGAAAGACAAGCTCGGTGTGGGCTTCCCCGAGGCCCGGCAGACTTGCCTCCAGCGAATTCCATGTGTTGTTTGCCTCTGCCGTTATTTGTTAGTAGGCTGCTGTTTCTAAAGATAATGGCGGCGTTCTCACTCCCGGGCCAGCTGCAGGCCGCCCTGAGCTATGGCTCTGGCAACACTTGGCATGCCGGTCGGATCTGGATGTGAAGTTGACGTTGCCGCAAGCATCACCACCACGCATCGAAGGCGGACGAAAGAAGATGCAGGTGGCTTTGCAAAGACAAACAACGTAGTGAGGTGAGGGAAGAAAGAGGCCCCGCCCCCGAACTAGCAGCTACGACCTCATCGCGCTTTCCTTCGCCGGCGCCCACCAAAACAACGATGAGCGATGGCGACGACGGCCCATCCGCAGGTGAGCCGCCATTGATCTCTCATCACCCGTGGCGCATAATGACTAAGGCTATTTTAGGCCTCTCGTGGACCGACATACCTACACACCTGCTCCGTGCTGAGCTTCTCCGCAGACAAGACGACGGGCGGCCAACGTGCGGAACCAAGGGCGGGAGGGGCTCCTACAACACGCCCATCCATGTCTTTGCATTGATTCTCATCCTCGCTGTGAGCACCGCTGGTCCGTACCTTCCCTGCCTGCCTGCTGCTCTTGCCCGCGCGGATCCGGACTAATCGCTGCCAGCTTGTTCTTTCCCCATCGTCGCAAAGCGCTTCCCAAAACTCCCCGTCCCACACCAGTTTCTCTTCATCTCGAGACACTTTGGCACCGGCGTGCTCATTGCGACGGCCTTCGTCCATCTGCTCCCGACCGCCTTCGAGTCGCTCACCGACCCATGTCTCCCTCGCTTCTGGAACGAGGGCTACTCGCCCATGCCCGGCCTGATCGCAATGATATCCGTCTTCGTCGTAGTCGGCATTGAGATGTTCTTCGCATCCAAGGGAGCAGGGCATGTTCACGCCGTGGATTATGAGGCCTTCAGCATGGACGAGCACGGCAGCCACACACATCTGCGGCCGGGACACAAGAGGAGCAATAGCTTCGGAAGATTCAGGGTGAACGGACATGTACCGGATATCGTACTGCAAGATATGGCCGAGTCCTCGGAGAATCTCATTGCGGGCCGGTCGCCTTCAATCGCCGTAGCTTCTCCTAGGACGCCTGCTGCGCGACCCGCCCCGCAGGACATTGCGAAAGACGGCGACGAGGACGATTCAGAATTGGACATTGATCCTGACGAGCTTGGTCCTCTCGATGCAAATGATTCTGAGGATGAGGTCCGCCTATTATCACGTCCCGCCGCACGCAAAGATCCGCATCGTGTCTCATCACCATATGCTGATCAGACGCCAGAGATGACGGAAGCGCAGCGCAAGAAGCAGCTACTGCAGTGCCTTTTGCTCGAAGCTGGTATTCTCTTTCACAGCGTCTTCATTGGCATGGCCTTGTCCGTGGCTACTGGAACTTCTTTTATCGTGCTTTTAGTGGCCATATCCTTCCACCAAACGTTTGAAGGCTTTGCGCTCGGGTCGCGCATTGCCGCGATCCAGTTTCCACGCAGCTCGCCCCGACCGTGGCTCATGGCATTGGCGTATGGCACGACGACTCCTATTGGCCAGGCGATCGGTCTGGGAATACATAATTTGTACGATCCTGCAAGCCAAACCGGCTTGTTGATGGTCGGATTCATGAACGCCATCTCTAGCGGGTTACTCCTCTTCGCAGGTCTGGTTGAGCTGCTTGCAGAAGACTTCCTCAGTGACGAGAGTTATATAATATTGAAAGGGAAGAAGCGACTACAAGCATGCGGAAGCGTCGTCGCAGGCGCAGCGTTGATGGCGTTAGTGGGAGCTTGGGCATAGATAAGGAGCATGAGCATCATGACATCTTTTGCATTTGCATGGCGTTGGGCTGATAGAGTGCAGATACTCCATGAATCTATAATTCATTCCTGCCCTCAAGCAAAAGCCCTTCCCACACCGTAGAGCATCAGTGTCGCCGGCCATAATCTCCTTGTTCTCCTAAGCTAACGTGGACTACTCCATACTCATTCCCCATCCATCGAGAAGGCTCCGGAGGCCTGCAGGATAGGCTATGCCGACGTGCCATTCTCTCATAGACAGTACGCTTGATTTGACCAGCTACCCGCTCACACCAGCGAGGCCATCATACCGCCATCGAGGTCCAGCAACATGTCGCCACCGAGGATGAAGGCCGCATCAAGCTCAAAAGTCGACGTGACCGCCGTCATAGGAAGGTCCGATACCAATTTTGCGAGGTCAGTTATTGGTGTAATCCCAGCCCGATAGTTGAGTTTGTCATTGCCGAGGCCGGTTCCTGGATACAGAGCGTCAGGTCCGTATGTACCATTCCAAGCTTGAGTCTGGATATTCACATCGACCTCTTGCCCGAACATGCTCGGCACCGGCGCTTCTAGTGCGGTGATCGCATGTACATCGTCCAGCGGCAGACTTGCCCCGATGTCCATATCAAAATCCACGAGGTCGTTAAAGTTGAAGTCGTCCAAGTTAGACCCTTCTAGGTCTATGGGGCTTTCTTGCAATGCAAGGTCTACAGTGGCTCCATCTCTTTTAGACATCTTGAACTTAGTGTACTCTTTCGGCGTCAATCCTGTCTTGTCTTTGAAGATCTTATGGAAGTATCTTGGGGTAAGTCCAACGCTCTTCGCAAGATCCTGCAGCCTGAAAGACTTCGCATCATCTTCCTTCAGAGCTTCCTCGATAAGACTGCATGCCTTCGCTACTGCGCGTTCCTGGGGGTCGTCGTTCGACTCTACATCCGGCTTGCACCGCTTGCACGCTCTGAAGCCCGCGGCTTCGGCTTCAGCGGCAGTCCCGCAGAACCCGATATTTGCGCGGCGTGCGAGACGAGCAGGGCATGTCGGTTTGCAGTAGATCATGGTTGATTTGACTGTGTAGACGAACTGGCCGTTGGCGTTCGCATCGCGGATTGTGAGGGCACGCCACCGGGCTGCGTCTGTGGTGAAAGACATGTTCGGCGATAAGACTAGCGGTGGAAACAGTTTTCAGTGATAGAAGGTGAGTGTATATTTGCATTCCGCAAGATGGGGCCGCGTTCTACTTAAGTTCGTGGTCGACGCTGGTTCGAAGCCGGGGTTGCAAGAGGATCCGAGAGACGACGAGTGCTGATTGGTCACTTTCCAAGCATCTTTCGGAATGACGCATAGGGACGCCTGAACACAATGGCTTGATCCAATTACAAAGAGCATCAACATGACTAATTACGGGCACAGCGGAGATATAAACGACAATCACATGATACCGCGAACGAGCGCGTCGTGATAGCTCTTCCCGTTTTTGGGTGGCGCTCCTGGGTTGGGGCAGGTACGAACGATGCAGTCACCGCCGAGCAGGACCAAGCTGGATTTGAATCTCCTCTTCTTTTCTTCTTTACGCTATCAATCGATTCATTCAATTCACGGTCCTCCGGATGATGGCTGACAACGCGGACCCTGACCCCCTTCCGAGCATCGCGGCACTCCCTCAGTCAACAGTGCGACAGCTCGGCTCTTCCCAAGTGCTCATTGACCCAAGCTCCGCCGTCAAAGAGCTTATTGATAATGCTCTCGATGCTCGTGCCAGCGCCGTCTTCGTCGACATCGCCAACAACACCCTGGATTCAATACAAGTGAAGGACACCGGTCATGGGATCCCGCAAGAAGACAGGCCGCTGGTATGCAGACGGTATTGCACGAGCAAGATCAGAGACTTCGATGACCTGAAGGAGGTTAGGGGCAGATGGCTGGGCTTCCGCGGTGAGGCTATGACGAGCATGGCTGAGATGAGTGGGACGTTGGAGATCACTACGAGAGTGGAAGGCGAGCCTGTCGCTGTGAAGCTCAAATATGGAAGAAATGGTAAACTCGCTTCGTCAGTCAAGCACGAAAGCCTTTCGGATATGGTGAGACTGATCCAATACAGGACTGAACGAGCATCAGCTCCTGTGGGCACAACTGTCAAGCTCACCGATCTCTTCAAGTTTCTTCCCGTCCGCAAGCAAGCTGCGCTCAAACATTCCTCCAAATGGCTCGCTAAAATTAGGCGGCTGATGCAAGCCTATGCCCTGGCTAGACCGACCGTTAGGTTCAGTCTCCGCGTGTTGAAGGCAAAGTCGAAGAAAAACGACTTTGTATATGCCCCCAAGAAGGACGCCAATGTCGAAGACGCCGTCCTCAAAGTCATCGGGAAAGACTGCGCCTTGCAATGCGATTGGACCGCGATGGAAACCGACGGTTTTGAGATTCAGGCTTTCCTCCCTAAGCCAAATGCGATCGGATCGAAAGTCGCCAACCAGGGTTCTTTTGTCTCCATCGATTCACGGCCGGTATCAGCTAGCCGAGGCACACTGAAGCAGGTGGTAACTACCTTCAGAGAACGACTACGCAATGCCAATCCTACGCTTGTTTCGGTGAAGGACCCTTTCTTCAGCATGAATATCAACTGTCCGTCCGACTGCTACGATGCTAATATCGAGCCAGCGAAGGATGATGTCTTGTTCGAGAACGGGGATTCGGTCGTCAGCGCAGTCGACAAGCTCCTCATGTTGTACTACCCTGAGGCGAGGGGCGAGACAGCAGGAGTGGAGGAGGAAGCTGAACAGCCTACTTCGGCTCAGCCGGAGCTCCGAGACCCTAGCTACCGGGATAATACGAAGCGCTCGAAGACACCGATCTCGATTCATGAAGATTCAACACCACTTGAAGACCACGAACTCGTTCGCAGACCCCCTAAAGAACAGACCCAATGGCGATCGACCATGTACGGCATTGATGAAGAAGATTTAGAATTACTTTCAGACGATCAGCGTCCAGTGATCGAGGAAGAGGAAGGACGTCTTGCTGCTGATGTGTCAAATCCATGGACTATCGCACGAATGAATGCTGCAATGAAACCCAAGAAGCCCGCGAACACACAGCTAATGACTCCAGCTAAGACATTGGGAAACATAACTACGGGGTCAAGCTCCCCTGCACCAGCAACAAATCTACGTCAGCAACGGCCTGTCGAGCCGTTGACGCCACAGACTTCCTCCAGAATGAACATGCCGCAGTCCTCGCTAGACACGGAGCTCGAGAGAAGCATTAGCCGACTTCCGCGTCCGACGCAACGCAGGCCTGCAGGCGGCAGTCATGATCAGACTGTGGATGAAGAAATGGAAATCGTACCAAGCCACTCGCAAGACTTGACTTCACTAGCGAAAGTGGGAGGTCCACTACCGTTCTCACCGATCACCGTCCAGCGACCTAGCACGCAGCCTTTCGAGATCGGCGAGCCCACCGGTTCTTCAACCCGAATGAATGCTCCGGGGATTCCACTCGACATGATACCTTCGTCATCTGCCGCTCCTCGTCGTCCTCGGCGCAAGCAGCAGCCTCGCCATGACGCGCCATACTCGTCCGAATCACCAGGGCCTAGCGATGAGTGGTTTGGCCAGCCAATGCGCAGACAAGCCTCTTCAAAGGCTCTGCGGTCGCGAAAGCAGAAACCGCCACACAATCCAGGTGCGCCTATCTTCGCTTCAAGCAATCTCTCAAGCCCTCGAAAACCAGTATTGAATGCAGCAGATCGGCTCGTCGAGAACCGTCTCTACTCCGAGAATAACGCCGACATTCGTGACTTCTTCAGACAAAACAGGAATCAACACCAGAAAGGCGCCTCGGGGGGGCCATCCCCTGTGTCTTCCTTCACGCCTATTAATCCTCAGTCGAGACAGCTCGGGGAAAGCCTGTCGCTCGTCACTGATAGTGGCGAACAGATCTTTCCTCGCCCGAGCCAGCGCAGCCAGCGTGCAACTCCATCTGACACCTTCTCGCGAGCGACATCTGCGGATCTACACCCACGCTCGAAGCATATCCGAGACCAGTTTCTGCTGCATTCTGATCGTGGAGCTAGTTTCGAGCCCCCAGACATGGCAGAGCAGTTGCATGCTCATGCGAGGCTGGAAAACCCGTCCGAGATGCCATCTAGAACCTCTGCAGAGCCACCACAGGCCCATTCAAGTCACCTTAAAGACCGCCTCTGTTCTCGCGCTGAAAACGTGTTTCCATCCTCTCCCCTGGCAAATGAGAGACCCTCACTCATCACTCGCCGGTCCAACGAGGTCACCAACGCGCTTCGCACGCACAATACTATCGGCTCGCCACCGAAAAATCGCGACATGGCTGCCCAATTTCGTGCCTATGTAGAGCGCGAAGACCCCTCCCGCGACCTATCAGCGTCTCCAACACGACGCGCCAGAGGTCCCCGCAACCCTCCGGCCCACGAGACAGCGCCTAAGGCCCGGCCAGCGCGTCGACGCACCATTGACGGCCCCCTCCGCAGGAAATCGTCCAGGCTACCGCTTGAGAGCATACCCCATGCGTATCGCATCCACGGCCTTGTTCTCCCTGTCGCAGTGCGTATGCGCGACCTGGAGCGCAATATGCGCAAACTAGGCATGAGCAGAAACAGTCTCGAGTGGGGCTATCCAGCTGGCGAGAGTAGCTATTATGCGTTCAGCGTCCCCGTTACGGACGGTAAGCTGCGGGACTGGGTGGTGAAGATCGATGAGATGCTAGAATGCTTGTACGAGAAGGAAGATGTTGTGGACGTTCGAGCCGCGCTTGACGAGGGTGTCAAGGACGCTGTGAAGGCACATCATGGCGGCGCTGGAGAAGGGCTTGAGACATTTGTTGTTGTGGACGACGATGACGAGGAGGAGGAGGATGACGAGGAGATAGATGAGCGTGACCTGACGCGCGTCGAAGAATGGACAAAGCAAGTCTTCGCCGCCAACAACGAGGACACCGTCGGGGTGCTAGATCCAGCCGTCAAGAACGTCGATGGAGTGGAGGAGAGCGCGGACGAGTTTGGGGATGCGATCGAGGATGATGAGATGTTGCTGGACTTTTGATGAATGCTCAGACGCAGTAAGAAGAGTGGGTGACTTTTTGGCGCCGGAGAACGAGGCGGTGTTTATGTTATGCAATGTATGAGGGGCTGAAGCATACCAGGATCGAGTAAAAGTGTGTGTGGGAAACAGAAGGGGGACCCTGATAGCGACATAGTATGATGTGGGAGCAGATCGTGCAATGTACGCGAGGTTGAGGTACTTCACGTAAAAAGTTAAAGCATAGCTTAGTCTGCGTCATCACACATCCTGAGGAAATTTACTGCAAAGCGAGATTTGAAAACTTCCAATGGGTATATTCAATAGCGCCCTCCTGTTTTCCTCCGCACTCGTACTTATTTTAACCCTAAAAGCGCCAGTGGAGGTTGTATATCATACACTCCTACACATCCCCTTCTCCTCACTACTGCCCTCCATCCAACACCCCACTATCCTTCAAACTCCTGAAAAGCTCCGGCTCCAAAAACTTACTGATTGTCACATCCTCCGCGAGCCCCTTGCGCCTCCTCGTCTTAAGCACGAAGTCTCTCGCTAGTGCTTGTGCAGCGGCGGGCTCGAGCGGTCGCAACTTGATTTCCTTGTCGAGCGGGTCACCCGGAACGATGGACCAGCGGTCGAAGACGAGGGAGAGGGAGACTTGGCCTTGTGTGTGGATCTGTAACAGAAAGTTAGTACGGATTAAAGAGAGGGGTAAAGAGAAGACGCGTCATCATATCGGGTCAGGGAGGAATGACTTACCCGGAGATCGGTCTCGAAGCCGAAGGAGTCGATGACGGGGATGAGACCGCGGACGTTGTACAGTGGTGTTCCCGCTATGGGACCATCCTGCAGGACGTGGCCTCTCCGTCGGGCGAGCACAGTGTATAAACTGCTTTTCGTGTCCGCGGGGCCAATCATACTGCAGCTATATACAGGCTCCATTAGCCTAGGGCTTGCCATCAGGAAGCTAGAATAGCACGCGCGTCGACTCGTCGGAATGATCTGGCCGCCACCACGAAATATTGCTTCTGATGCGAGCTCGACGTCTGTGATGCGGAACTTTGTATTCCGAATCGGTTCTTCGCAGAGCGGTCCTTCGCGCGTCGCCCAGCTGAATCCCTGCCGTATGGTATCGCGGACTGAGCGGAGCGTCTTGGTATCTACTTCTGAGGGGAGAGTGTCGTTTTGGAGGATATTGGGACCCATGTCATCGGGACCGAATGCCCAGATGTTGCGGGATGCGAGCAAGTCATAACCGTAGTTCTCTTCAAAGAATTTTCCGACCACACGCACGGGATCTTTTATGCTGACTTTGCCGGCTTCGATATCTTCTGCAATGCCAGGATCGAGTGGCTCGGCGATCATGGTGAGCTTGTTCTTCTTGTTTGGTGTGAGGGCGTAGCATTTGATGGCTGACATTTCGACGACGGTTTCGGAGAAGCGGGTCACTGGATCGGAGACTTTTATCTCCATATCGGCGTATAATCGACGTAGGTCATGTAGCACACAATCCATATACAGCTCGCCGGTGCCCAGGATGACGTGCTCGCCAGATTCCTCGACTTTAGTTGTGATAAGTGGGTAGGATTTGTTGATTTTGCGGAGACCGTCAAGCATCTTGGGGAGTTCGGAGGGGTTGATGGGCTCAACGGCAACTTTGAAGACGGATTCGAAGAAATGGCGAATTGGCCGGAAGATGTAGGCGTCTTCATCATCGGGCAGTTTCTGTGCAACGATTGTGGCCGTCTTGACAATGGAGTTGTCCACACCACCAAGGAGCACCCAGTTGCCTGCTGGGACGCCGCTTGTAGGGACGTTGTATCTCGACTCAGCGATCCATGTGTCTGTGACTGTCGCAACTACCATGTCTTCTTCGTCTTCGAGCGTGTAACCTTCACCTAGGACGCGCACGGATTGTGGCGATTTGGCAATACCGCTCAATACACGTCCTAAGCAGTGGAAGGACTTCGCATCCGTGGTGTTGAAAAGCTTCGTGACGTGAATGACCAGGGGTCCGTCTTGGTCACACCTCTCCATGGCTTCCGCAGTCTTAGTATCCAAAGGGCCCGTGTAGTGCCTTTCCAGCAGCCGCTTTGCACCATCTGCTGGTGATGGGACGTGTTGCACGATCATATCCACGAAGCCATTAGATGGTCCGAAATATTGCTGGCACACAAGCCTCATGAGCTCTTTTGCGTCGGTCTTGTACTCGGACGGCTTTAAGCGAATGCCCAGCTGATCGAGCGTGTCCTTCAGATCTTCCGCACTTTCGCTGAGCGTGTGCGCGTAAAGCTTGTAGATGGGCTCCAGGATCCAGTAGACGAAGGATCGCTGAGAGTTCTCTTCTTGTCCCTTGCGACTAAATTTGCGGCTTCCGGGATTGAAGAATATGTCACCCCATAGGCGCACGGCGAACTTGTCGGCATCTAGATTCTTCATCGGTTTACCAAAACCCGGCGCTTTAGAGGGCCCAGGGTAAAACTCGGCATACATCTTCGCGAACGACTGCAGCGTAAAGCACCACCGCATGCTCGTGCAGGCGAAAGCAACATTGCCTTTCTCAGGGCTTACACGTCTGCTTTCTCCCCGGCCTGGGATGGTATTCTCAATGACGGTGTTGACCTCCTCAATCACATGCTTGACTTTGAAGTATGCGTCCCTCGGGGGCAGTTTCAACTCCAGGATGAGGCGGTCCATCTTGTTGACCACTAGTGTTAAGGGCAGGTCTTCCAGCACGGCGTGCTTGATTGCCAATTCCGTTGTGACCTGCACGCCCTCGACGACGTCCACCACAAGAACAACTCCGTCGGCCAGTCGCAATGATGCTGCAACCTCGTCTGCGAAGTTTACGTGTCCCGGAGTGTCTATGATGTTGAACAAATGCGACTTCAACGAGGTGTTCTGCAAGACCAGCGTCATGGGCGCCGCCTTGATCGAAATCCCTCGTTCGCGCTCTACGACGTGGACGTCCGTGTACCGCAGCTGCTCTTCCCTCTTCTTCCCTCTCTTCGCATCTAGCCGGTCCTGGATGTCATGCGTCTCCATAACCAGCATATCCATGAAAGCCGTCTTTCCATGGTGCAAGTGCCCTGCAATTGCGATGTTCCGTATCTGATCCGGGTAGTTCATCAAGTCCGTCATGAGCTCGCGCGAATAGTGCACCGGCGGCAGATCGGCTTCCTGCACGGTGAACTTCTTCTGAACCACCGGCTCGATGATAGGCTGCGAGAGCGCCTGCGTGTCCTCTTCCTGTACCAGCACTTCGACATCGGGACCGTATACGTCGGACGCGGAGGGGTAGTACTGCTTGTCCTCGTGCAGAATCACGGCGTTCGACGGGCCCTCATCCACCTCCATAAGCTGCTGGTCATGCGCCTCCTCCTCTTCCTGGCCCTCGTCGTCGAGGACGTAGGCGTCCGCTGCCTCGCCCGTGGACTGCGCATCTTCGTCGGACTCCGCTTCGCCAATAAAGTTGCCGAACCTGGTAAAGTTAGCACTTCTGGACTTTTGAGACTTGAAAGATCGGGACATACTCGTCGTAGAGGTCATCCATGGCGGCGATTGATGTGAAGGCAGCGGTGCTGTAGCGGCCTCGGAGCTCGAAGCTATCCGGAAAATGCATGTCTTGGCGCGGCGGCGGGGGCATGTTTCGCCGAGCGCTCGCAGTGGCGGAAGGCGGTCAACAATGGCAGGGGCGACCGCCTCCACCCGCCAATCGGAGACGAGTGCCCTGCAGGGACGCACCTTCGCATGCAGAGCAGAGCGTCTTCACAGCACAAAAACTGCTGCGCCCTCGCGTGCTCTGAAGCCAACTTTCCTTTCCTTCTCCTCTCTAGAGTCCACGTTTGGGGAACTGCAAAATGTCTTTTCCGCCTGTATATATCGTCTCGGCCGTCCGCACGCCCACGGGCATGTTCCTGGGGTATGTTCTCTCAACGAAGTGGGGGGCAACAAGCGGCGACTAACCCCAACAACAGCTCCCTCTCGAGTCTGACTGCTATCCAACTTGGCTCTCATGTCATCAAGGGTACGGAAAAGCTCCAGCTCTGCAGTAAACATCCATTGGACTAACATGACCCCCAGCCGCCGTCGAGCGTGCCGGTCTCAAACCGGAGGATGTCCAGGAAGTCTTCATGGGCAATGTGCTCTCGGCAAAGTCCGACATCTGCTCCGACGCTCCAGATACACTGTGCTGATCACGGCTTGTAGTCTCGGCCAGAATCCCGCTCGCCAATGTGCCATCGGCGGTGGCCTCCCCGACACCACCGTTTGTACAACCGTGAACAAAGTCTGCGCATCCTCGATCAAAGCCCTCATCATCGGCGCCCAAACCATCATCACCGGAAATGCAGACATCGTGGTTGCAGGGGGGACGGAGAGCATGTCTAATACCCCGCACTACCTCCCCAACATGAGGACTGGTGCCAAGTTTGGAGATCAGTCCTTGGTTGACGGTCTGCTCAAGGACGGCTTGACCGACGCATACAAGAAGGAGCACATGGGTCTGCAGGGAGAAGAGTGTGCAGATGACCATGGCTTCAACCGCGAGCAGCAGGACGAATACTGCATCCGCTCGTACAAGAAGGCCATCGCTGCTGAGGAATCTGGCTGGTTCAAGGAGGAGATCGCTCCTATCCAGGTGTCTGCTGGCCGCGGGAAGCCCCCAGTCACCATTGACAGGGACGATGAGCCTAAGAATGTGCGCTTTCCGTTCACTAATCTTTGCTTCGAACGTTCACTAATCCACGCCAGTTCAACGAGTCCAAGACGCGCAGCCTCCGACCTTCCTTCAAACCCAAAGACGGCACTGTGACAGCCGCCAACGCCTCTCCTCTATCCGACGGCGCCGCCGCCCTCGTCCTCGTCTCCGAATCCGCCCTGAAAGCTCACAACCTCAAGCCCATCGCTAAAATTCTCGGCTGGGGAGATGCTGAGCAGAACCCCTCTAAATTCACCACCACCCCAGCGCTAGCTATCCCTAAGGCTCTGAAGCATGCAAAGGTCGAGCTGAGCGCAGTCGATGCATTCGAGATCAACGAGGCTTTCAGCGTGGTCGCGCTCGCGAATATGAAGCTGCTTGGTGTTGTGGAAGACAAAGTGAATATGCATGGCGGCGCGGTCGCGCTCGGCCATCCACTGGGTGCCTCAGGCGCGAGGATAACAACGACCCTTTTGGGGGTTTTGAGGGAAAAGAAGGGAAAGATTGGCTGCGCGGGTATTTGTAACGGTGGTGGCGGCGCCTCCGCCCTCGTAATTGAGTCGTTGCAGTAAGGACCAAGAATGCCCGAACAAGACGACGTGACGGATATAATAGATGAAAGGGGCATCACACATAGGTCTTAGTAGGCGATAATTGACACACTGCAGTTCAGCACAGCGCGCTCAACAGGCAGCAAAATGCGCTCAAAGGCAATCTGTTCGTCTTGTTCGCTCTCTGTCACGCCTTGCGTTCTTGACATTACCTAGCCAGAAGCGCTTTTAGCATCTTCAACCACAATGAATTTCTTCAGGCGAATAGACCGATCAGGCGGAAGAAAAATCCACAACCGCCGCTTTGTGGGGAAACAGTCGTCTCCGATACCGGCCTTTCCTCGCATACCGAGCTCAACGACTACACAATTCAGCTAGCGTTCTACCAGCCCTACGCATGTCAAGCCGCTAGCACCACCACGCTCTCTTGGCCACTAGTTCTGAGCTTCACTCTCTGGCTGGACAGCGAGCAGGCCTTGTTCTCTGCCTCCGGCACAGCCGCTTCTTTCTCGCAAATCACTGGGCAGCAGGTTGACGCTGAGCGGTTTCTGCATGGGCTTGAGTTGAGGGCGATCGAGCGGTGAGTGGGCTCAACACACAAAGAAGTTGAAGACGACAAACTAGAAGCTGCCGACGGCGTCTGTGAATCTGTCAGCCGTGCATCCACTTACCCCAGAACGGCGGCCGGGGCAAGAGGAGAGCGACGCAGGAAGCGTGCACTCGAGCTTCACTCATGACACCCCCACCACCCGCAACGTACCCTCTCTACCTCCCTATCACTCTGCGACTCTCCTGACTGCCTACTACAATATACTGCCTCTATCTCCCTACTACCGTCTAGCTCCTACTACCGTCCAGCTTCTACTACTCTCTAGCTTCTACTACTCTCTAGCTTCTACTACTCTCTAACCTCTACTACTCTCTAACTCCTACTACTCTCTAACCCCTACTACTCTCTAGCTTCTTCTTTACTTGTATAAACTAACCTGCTACTCTCTCTTTCTACGTTACGTCTACTAGTTCGCTATAATCTTCTACTACGTTAATACCACGCCGCTTATTTGCGAAGAATTTAAGAGTAGTTAGAAGGTTTATAGAGAGTGTTAGAGAGAGTGCAGAGAGAGAGTAAATAGTTAAAAGCAAGAGCGCTAGAGAAGTAGAGCGTTTAAAGAAAGAAAGGCGATAATAAGAATAGCGTAAAAGAGTATGTATTAAGCTTATAGAAAATGTAGTATTCTCTAACTATTACAGTCGCGCGGAAACGGTGTTAGCAAAAGTCTTACCACTCTATCGCATCGTCGTGTTAACGTTAAGAAATGCATCGCGAACGCCGACGCCCTTCTTATACCACAACATCCACACAAGCTTCTAATCTGCACCTCCGCCGCATTACTGCCGGCATCTCACGCCGCAGACAGAACTGGCAAAGCGGAGTAGTCGCGCTGCACTAGCGCCGCATCTGAGATTCCTCCGGCTTGTCGCTGATTAGCTAGTGTCGGACTACGGAGATGAGAAGGATGTAAGGCGGGCTGCGAGAGAGAAGCACGCCTCATGACTGCATAGCCGGCAAGGCGCGGGGGAATGGAGAAAAGGAAATCTTCTTTTAACGTGTGGGGTTGATGGTTTGGTGGTGGCGTGGGAGGAGGTCCTGGTGGTGGGTGGTGGTGAGGGTTGCGACGATGCAGGAATGGCGCGGTTGGGGGCATTTGTTGAGATGACAGGACACCTAGGTAGAGAAGGAGTGGGAAGACTGAGTAAACCAGGAGGGAATGGCATGTTAGCCTTATGTCTGTGCTTGGTAAATGCGACTCGGACGCGGAGAGAGTCCGCGTCGAGGAGGTGCACGCTCAGGCAAATCCTCAATGCGTAGAATTATGTGCATTGGATAATGCAGCGCATATCAATACGTCTTAGCGTAGGTCTCTCCATTCCGATGTCCGTACATTCATCTGGGTGTCTTCCGACTGGATATGGAATGTCCGTTACGGAGTGGCTTTGCAACTAAGGGAGCGGAGTTTCGCTTGCGAGGCTGTAGATCGCATCGCATGAACGCGTGGTCCTGGGGGTAAGCGGAGGATTGAGTGAGCAGGAAGCAAAATCATACTCTCTGTACCACTGTAAGCGGAAATTTAAGATTGGAGCGGAGTGCGTGCGGCGAGGCTGTGCCTAAATCTTCCTGCGATGAATGCAAGCACCCAACGAACGCCAGTTTATTCTCAAAAAGCAAGCTTAACACCAGCGCGACGCGTATTCCGCACAAACAGAAAGAGCTAAAAAGGGTATCCGGAAGTCCTCGGTGTAGCCGCAGCGGTGCGATGTGTCTCGTTAGATGCATGTGATGCTGTTTCAAATACGGTCTTCCATTTGCACCCTCTCATTTCGCACCTCTCCACCCAGAGGATGTCCGAACCACGGAGGATCATGTACCCCAATCAAGCAAGACACACGGAAGGATCGTTTAACGCATTTACCTTTTTGACTTTTGTGGGATGCCCAAGTGTCCGAATGCTTGCTTGATCGTGGAAAGTCCGTGGCGGCCTTGTGCAACGTCGCGTCGATGGGCGAGGGAGGGCTTTTTTCTACTGCGAAAGCGGAATCGAAATGAGGACGCGTGTCTTGGGATAGACGAGAGGCTGTTCGTTGTCGTCTTCATAAGGGGGTCTGGATCTCGTTATCGATAGTGTGATGGGGAGATAGGAGATGCGCAGGATTGATTGGGTGGATGGTTTAGTTTCAGATCGGTAGGCTATTAGACCGTTTTACAAGGCGATGGACTATATGGGGGTAATGATCTCTGATTGGGCTTGCTACCCATGCATCAACTCAGTTCGGGGCAAGTGGCCTCGCTTCTGCTCTGACAAAGCTTGAAATGCCGGCTCCGTCTTTAGCTCCGCGGATTCGGCCTCGACCAATGAAGCCTTGAAACACCCCCAACCCCAACCCTCCTGTGTTTCAACTTCACGGCATCGAAACGACGACATGTCGTTCGTCCCGATCGCCCACCTCGCCAGCGGACAACGAAACTTCGACCAGGTTAACCTAGGACGTCTCCCGGTACCTGTTTCATACCGCCACCATTCACATCGGGCCAGCAATCTTCTCAATGTCCATGAAACAGCAAACTTGCGCGTTCCACAGCCAAGGGCCTTGGACACCTGCCTTAGGCAGGCACTCTCCGTGCATATCAGTGGCTCATGCGCGTTCCTCTCGAAGAGTCTAGCCGGTGATGAACGGATCCTCCACTTAGCCTTTGCCGTAGTGTGGCTCTAGTCCGGCGTTGAAACAAAGCTTGATCGATTAGACTTGTCCATCTGCCGCTCGGATGGCCTGAGGACGGGACCCTGGAAGGCGAATCGACCCGTGGGATTGAAGGAGTGGTGCAACGTAGCGATGCCGGTTTCCGTTGGATGGCCTAGGTGCCTATATAGGCGGGCCAGTCCATTAATTCGATCACTCTCTATCCATTCTGAGATATATCGGTCTGTGGCATCGCCTTTCTTCTTCACTTCTTTTTCTACTGTCCTTCTTTTGTTAGCGTCTAGTACGCGCGTCACTCTTTTCTACCCGTCTTGAAGATGCATTTCTCCACGTTCGCTTCCGCTGCGGCTCTCTTCCAACTTTCCATAGCTGGCTATGTATTGGAGGATGATTACATGAGCGACTTTTATGGGTCTTTCGACTTCTTTACTGACCCAGATCCGACCCATGGTACGTGGTGATAATGCACCTTCAAGGTTTGTCATGTTGATGATGTGCAGGATTCGTCAAGTATGTTGACGAAGCTACGGCGCGGTCGTCGAACCTGATCAACGCGTCTACGACGGTACCCGTGGAGTGGGGTGTTGATACCACCACCAAACCTACGGATGGAAGGCCCAGCATCCGTCTCGCCAGCAAGAAGACGTACAACACTGGACTGGTTGTAATAGACGTCCAGCATATGCCTTTCGGCTGCGGTACCTGGCCTGCGTGAGTCCACTTCTTTTAGATCATTATACCGCCTAACATATTCTGCAGTTTCTGGATGGTTGGTCCCGACTGGCCTAACGGTGGTGAGATCGACGTCCTCGAAGGTGTCCACGAGCAGGAGACCAATGCTATTACTCTGCACACCAACAGCGGATGTTCCATCGCCACTGACGGCAACGCGTTCGCCGGCGACGTCTCTACGTCTAACTGCGATGTTAAAGCTCCCAACCAAGACGAGAATGCCGGCTGCTCCATCAAGCAACAGAGTTCAAAGAGTTACGGCGCTGGACTCAATGGCAATGGGGGTGGCGTTTACGCTACGGAGTGGACGACCGATGCCATCAGCGTCTACTTCTTCCCGCGAGGCGAGGTTCCCCAGGATGTTCTCGGCGACAGCCCGGACCCAAGCGGATGGGGAACGCCCGCCGCGAGATTCGCCAGTTCCAGCTGCAACATCGAACAACACTTTAAGGAACAGCAGATTGTTTTTGACACCACGTTCTGCGGCGACTGGGCTGGAAACACTTGGAGCAGCAGCTCGTGCGCTTCCAAGGCCGCGACCTGCAATGAATATGTTCAGAACAACCCAGAGGCTTTCACGGATGCTTTCTGGACTGTCAACGCTTTGAAGGTCTACTCGAACAACGGCGAGGCGCCCCAGCCGTCTGAGCCGGCCTCTCCTCCGGAGAGCAGCGCAGTTCCTGTGCCTACCGGCGAGACCACTGAGGTCCCTATTCCTTCTGTGACCGGTCTTCCGTCCATTATCCCCACCATCGAGCCGCCAAACCCTTCCGATTCCAGCGTCGCCGTCTCAAAACCCGTCCCAACGAGCTCCGGCATCGACTCCCCGCCGATCATTGACCCTTCGACCGTTCCCACCGCCCCATCAGAGACGCCTGTTCCCTCTGCGCCAGCTCCTTCCGGGGTGCCCTCTGGGCCTCGCAGAAGCAGGGGCGGCCACCACGGCAGGCCAACCCAAAGTCTCAACAACAATGTCGTGGCGCCAACTGGTGGCACTGGTGACGGCAACATGGGCGGCTTCCAGTGGCCTAGCGGCGGAAGCGGCGACGCCGAAAGCAACCCTGTTCCCAGCGGCACCGCCGCACCCTTCCCCGTTCCCGGAAACAGCACCATTCCCCTCCCCACCGGGACTGGCACTGGTGTTCCATCACAGTTCACATCCATCGCTCTCAACATCTCCTCCGTGCCTGCCGAGACCGCCATCGGCGCTCAGCCTACGAACCTCGAGAGTATGCCTAGCTTCGGCGATGCGACGGCGACGCCTTCGGTTACCGCTCCGGCCGTTCCTACCGTGACGGACATCAACGAAGTCGTCGAGACTGTCTACAAAACTGTTGTGGTTACGGTCACGCCTGGCGAGACGCCTGCACCGGGATCTAGGAGGGCGAGGCATGTTCGCGCTCATCGTCGCAGGATGGTGCAGCATAACGGTGGTCGCTGACCAACATTAGCGGTGACCTTCGGTGATGCTGTAAAAGGCATTAAGCTCTGAGGAAGTTGAACAGTTTTCTTGCATACATATACCCTATTTCTTTGTATATACTTTTTACATTCTAAGTTCGTTTTTGCATTGCGTTTGGTGGAAACTTGGAAGTACATATCAATAACTTGGTTACTTCGCATATCTAACGCTGCATATATCAAGCATGCATTCTGATCCACACTTCTTTTTTCGACTGCGCGTTATCATTATGTTTGCTATGGATACTATTCTTGATTCGTGATGGCTAAGCTTAACAAGGTCCGAGCTTCGACGCCGGTCCATGACGAGAGCGAGACGTTAGCGGAGGAGTCGAAAGAATCTCGCGGCAAATATCTCTCCACATGATATCGACAAATGGGATGGGAGTGTACGCAAGGGCAAACGGCTACAAGGTATCCCCTGGGGAATGAATTTCCCATTTCGCCACAGAATAAGGCCCCCGCGTGTCCTATTTCACCTCTCAGAATAGAATAGACAGCCAGCCGGGGATCCTTTAGGTGAATAATGCGCAAATTAAGCAGGCCAAGAGAGAAGAGGAAAAAAGCAAAAACTACAGCCAAAGGAATACATGGTTGGTTTACAGAGCCGAATACGCTGGTCGAGGCTGATAGGTACTGACATTAGTTGAATCCACTTGGCTAGCCTGGTATACGCCCTGCTGGGATCCGCTCTAGTTATAGATCCTGTTAGGCTACTAACGGTATTCTCCCCGGGGCGGAAACTTACTGGTGGATAATACTCATACGGAGTCTGAGTATACTGCATTTGAATTTGAGACAGAAGAAGCAAGAAGCCTTGCTGCCCGTTTGGCATGTTTACCGAATAGCCCTGCATATGCCCGGGCTGTAGTGGCGCATGGGCGAAGGCCTGGAGTGGTTGCGTGGGAGGCGGTGGTTGGTACAGCGTGGAGGAACCTCCTTGCGGTGGAGGGAGGCTATCTTGTAGCGGAAGCGCATTCTCCTGCAGCCACGCCGGAGGATCTTTGACTGAAGATATTCCACTTAGCTGGCAGAGGCCGTCTCCGACTTCGTAGATGTTGACGTGGACGAAAATCATACGCTCGCCCATGATGGTCTCCTTCATTTTCGCTACGACCCTACGCCCATTACGCATATCAGCGAAGGTCTTATCTGTGCCACCCTCAAGGTCAGACTCGAAGCGTGCTGTGCGTGCTCCCTCGTACTTCAGATGCCCTTCCATGGAGCTTAAGCCTTCATGAGTGAACGTGCCCATAGGCGAATCGTATATAAAGACTTTGCACCTGCACTTGCTCACTTCCCACGTGTCGTGGCCATAGCTCTCATACAGCTCGTTCGTTTGCTCATGGCTCATGAGAACGGTGATCAGAGTGTCATCTGGGTTCCTGAAGACCACTGCCGCGTAGCGGCCTGGATTGAGGACGATGGTTGATTTACCCTTGATCCTCATCCATTGCTCCGCCGGGAACACGTACGAGACCTTGAAGCTGTGCTCGGGTGGGTGGAGGTGTACGAGGATGCCGTGGTGCCGATCGAATTCTTCAGTACTAGGCAGAAAGACGTCTTTTCGGAGGTAGATGGTCGACTGAACAGGAGGGTAATGAAGTTTTGGATCCACAACAACTGGAGCACGCTTCCCATGGTCTCGTGCAAACTGGTCCGATCTTAGTGGCCGGACGTAGATTCCCAACGAACCGCTGAAGTCGCCTTCATAATGGCACGTCAACTCGGCGAGATACAAGGGTGCCTTTCCGCTGCTGTTCCGGAGGCGATACAAGGGAACGTCGACTTGTAGGCCATAATTCGTTGTTGCAGATGGTCGGCTAGTTTGCATTTGTCGGTACGGCACGATATCGCCTGAATTTGCGAATTCGGCAGGAAAACGGGCAAATGGACCACGGAGTAGGGCATCGCCCGTGTCAATCAACAATTCATCGCCATCTTCGCATTGGTCCTCCCAGGCAAAAAGCGACTGATCGTCGGAGACCTTCATGATTTCTTCTTGTAGTCTCGAGAAGGCTCGCTCTCCTTCGCCATAGAGCAAAGGCATGTTGACGCCAAATATGCCGAGGAGGCAATATGCGATATCTTCTTTCCTAGTCGTGGTCCGCTGAGAAGCCCAAAACATCCGCCTGGCTATGCTGACCCTCCGAATGTCTGAACCCTCTATGGTGTCCTGGTCGATCCCAGTGATGACGCTGACAACGGTTCCTAAAGTCGCCTTATCGCCAAGGTACTGCCAATCTTTCGAGAAAAACTGCACTGTTCTCGGTGCTATCAACTCTTGAAGGGTCCATGAACCATTGGCTCGCACTGAGGCTTTCAAACAAGGCGTCCGCGCTCCTGTCCTTTGGAGAAGGCGCCTGGACATCCACTAGATATGCCAAGCAGGCTTTCGAGTCTCTATACCACTGGAACATGGAGTTGATGACCTCTGATAGCTCCGCGCTGCTCGTTTTGTCGATACAGCAGGTGTCGCACCAACCGAAGTCGAACCCTTGGCGAGCGGCTTGGTGGCAGAAACTGATAATCTTCTGCCATCCTTCGAGACTATATAGAGTCGACTGGGTCCGTGGATCCTGCGACAGGAGGTGTTGTAATGTGACCTCCTGAGTGCCCCAACGGAGCGATAGGATGGCGTACGGGGGCCTGTGGCCGTCTTGAAATTCTTGCAGCTCTAGTGTCCGTGTGTTGAGTAGGCGCATTGCGAAGGAGGCTCCCTAGGGCGGGAAGATGAGAGGATACTGTACAAGGCACCGCGTTGTTGGATTGACGCGCATGGTGACGAGGCTGAAGTCCAGGGCAGCTATTGATTCCTTGGCGGTGGCTGCGACTAGTGACATCTTGAGAAGGCCCTTCAGCTCGTGAGCGGCCTGTCCTTATGCCGTAGCGGCAATACAGATCAGCCGGGTCGCTTGGCAGGTCGTCCGCATAGGAAGTTGTCGAGGTGCGGATGATGGAAATCCTTCATGCGCGTCGTTGAAGACGATGAGGGACTAGCGCACGCGAGAATGGAGCTAATGCAAATATAGTCAAGTGGGGCGAGAGCACCAGTACTTGGCTATCTGCAGTTTCCCGTCGCCATCTCGTCTCTCACCATGCCGCGTCTTGCCTTATTTTCCATGAACTTTACCATCCCCCGAGCATAGCTTCGCTATGTACTGCTCCTTGCTCTTGCTAATACGTACTAAAACCACGAGTGGGTCAGCAGCCCTCTCCGCGCTGAGCTCGGCCAGGCACACACTCCCCAACTAACGGCGAGGAAACGCCCAAGTGCGATCCCAAGGGGTCAAAATCTCTGGTTCAAGACCATGCAGTGCCTGCCAATGGAGAAGCTCCTGATCCCTTCGCCTACTTCTCGTGGGCTCTGCGACACATGTGCCCAGTACAACTGGGCGTGGCATCTGACACGGCATCTGCCTGGTCGAGTGCCAACTCCATTGTTCAAATACGAGGAGTCACTAGGAAAGCAGTCAATTGAGAGCGGACAGGGTGCCCGGGTCGAATGCCCTCTTTCCGAGCTGGGCTACGCAAAATGGTACCGCGTCGACCGTGCACCTTATATTGGTGTATACTACGTCAACGAAGCGAACGATTGCACTTGGTTTGAGCTTGCGCCGATAATTATCCTCCAGTCCTCGCGCTACTGCTCTTTTTGCGATATTCTACGGCAGGCGGCTAAAAAAGCAGAGTTGCAACTGCCTCCGGAAATCTACGTTAAGTGCTAGTTTCGGGATCCCAAAACCGACCTCAACCAGGATCCTCATATCCTCACCATCGAGTTGCCGGATAGGAGCTGGATGGGGACTTACTGGGCTGGGCTCCAAATGACCCTGTTGGGAGATGAAGAGACCGGGGCTTTCGCTCGTCCACTTGTCAATCCTTTCCAAATCGATCTTCCGGTTCTCAAGAAGTGGCGAGAGCGGTGCAAGGAAGAGCATGGATACCACTGCAAGCCATTGCTACCAAGCCCTTACGAACCGAAGCACAGACCCGACGAGGGATCACTACCATTCAGGGTCATCGACGTGGTCGACGATCGAGTTATACCTGCTCCAAGGAATTGGCAATACGTGGCCCTGAGCTATGTCTGGGGCGGTGCCGTCCCTTTCAGACTCAAAAGAGCTGACATATCTTATACGCAAGCCAATTGCCCGTCATTTGAAAGCTCTTATGCTTCACTGCATCGAAAAAAGCTACCTCGAACTATCCAGGACGCCATGTTCGTCGTGGAACTGCTTGAAGAGAGATACCTGTGGATTGATTGCCTCTGTATCGTACAAGACGATGCCGAAGAGCTGAAGGCAAATATTCATTCGATGGACCGGATATTCTCTGCTGCGCAATTGACAATAGTTGGGGCAAGTGGCCATGATGCGAATGCTGGCCTTCCAGGACTATATCCTAAGACAAGATATGTTCAGCCCATCACAGGCTCAGTCGACGGTATTGGAATTGCGCAAATCGAACCGACTTTGAGACTCGAGCATAGTGTGTGGGGTTTCCGTGGTTGGACTTACCAGGAATACCAATTTTCGACTCGAATGATGATATTTGCCAACCAACGGGCGTACTTCCAGTGCAAAAAAGCGTCTTTTACTGAGATCCGGCCAAATAGGTCGTGGTTTGGGCTTCCCACCACCCATTTTGGCGACTCTCGTGCTAGCGACCACCATTCTCCAGATCCATTCGGAAAGTATGTACGGCATGTGGAGGAGTACAGCAGCAGAGCCCTAACTTACGATGATGACGTCCTCAACGCACTTTCCGCTATTTTGGAGGATTACGGCGCCAAAAACAACACAACATTTTGTTGGGGCTTACCTCTTCAACACTTCTGACTGGCGCTGTTATGGGTCAAAAAACCTCTTACCCAGCCTGGTTTTCCCCGGTTGAGACGACGTACAAACGGGAACACTTACCCATTCCCATCATGGTCTTGGACTGGCTGGGTCGGAGCGGTCCAATTTGATTTCAGGGACATTATCCTTCCCAATCTAGGGGGCCACCCGGTCAGCTCAATCTATTTCCGCAGCAGCATCGTCTCCGCCATTACTTGGCCCTGGGATACAGAATACGACCTCGATGTGGTAAGCGATCCCTTCGAAACCGGTATTCTGGACATACGGGTCGAGCTGGCCATGATCGATTTGTCTGATCTCTGTCCGCATATTTGTATACGAGATTACCAATCTGACGACGGAAGCACGATTACGGGAGGTGCGGAATGCTTCCTCCTCGGCAACATCACCGATGATAGGATCACCAACAACCACATTGTCATGATTGTCGAATGTCACGAAGACGAGATCTACCACAGGAAAGGGCTCTTGCGTATTCCAGAGCGGCACTGGCATGAATTGAAATCTGAGACAAGATGCATTCGACTTGCCTAATAGAGGAGCACCCCTCAGGCATCCGTATGGTGCAAAATGCGGGACAATGAGGACGAGCTGTAAAAGGGAGGCACGTCGCGTACGGGAAGAGTGGGAATGCACCACATTTCCCCATAGGCTGACCGGAACGCGAGTTTGGAAGGATGGACGTGGCGCAGTGCGAGCCGTAGCCATCCTTTGGAATTCTTTAAGCTCTGAAGCTTCAGGGAACATACCAATTCAAGGCTAGTTGGCGGCGGGCCTCTTTGGGGAAAAGCAGCATACACAATCGCTATCGATGTCGCAGTTTAGAAGGCTTCGATCCCTGCTAGTACGTCTTGTCCCTTCCCTGATACTCCAATGTATACCCCATCGGCTTCTTTTGGGGGCCCCAGACGCGAATGAGCGACAAGTATGCCGAGAAATCCTTTTGCTTTCGGTTTCTCCCCCGCAGCTCCCTCATGAAATGCTCATAAGCTGATTTTAGTCAGAGAGGAAAGGAGTTGAAGCATTTGTGAAGAAGAGCAGGTGCCGGATGGAGAAGTGTATGCCCAGCCCCGTCCAACCGGGCGCACCATGCTGCGAGCCGCGACGGCATCGACAACTTAGTATCTCTCCGTTTTGCCTTTCCGTCTCTCTGTCAGGGCCGGAAAAAGCACTGCTGAGGCATCTACGGTACCTTTTTTGTAGGCAAAAAATCGCAGAACGCCCAAGCAGCGTAAACGAGACTCGGATATGATTTGGTAGCGACCGAGAAAGCCTTCCCAAGTCATGCTGAGCATGACTGAGCATTTTAGAAGGAGGCAGCAGCCCAAAGCCATGCGCAAGGAAGTCTGAGTATTTGGTCGAAGAGTCCATCAGCGCGACCGAGCCATGCTGTCTGCCTTCTAGCATGTTTAGTCTATGAGTAATGGAGCCAGTAATAAGTCGGCAAGTGAGGTCTTGTCTCCATGTAGATGCGCGTCCGCCTCTTTAGAGTCCCAGAAGAGACACAGCAGCCATTGCGAAGCGGCGTGGCATTTTGAAGCTGATGGCGAGAGGAGACGAGGGAGACTGAGGACAGAAGAAAGAAGGCGAACTTCTATAGATTGTCATGCCCGGCGCTAGGCCCATGTTTGTTTCGTCGTTCCTATTTTGATCCGATTCTTCACCTCAAAACTGCTCCATATTCCGGCGAAGAGTTCATTTTTAGAAATCTTCACGCCCAAGGGGAAGCGAAAGCTATTGAAAGGCGTTTCGTTCAGTTTTAGAGCGAGGCAGACGGCCCGACCAGCCATTAGTACGGCGTTGATGGGATTTTGGAAGCCAGGCTCGCAGAACGTGTGTGCAATTCGTTTCGAACGGAGAGCAGGAGGAAGGCATAGCATGGCACTGTTGAGCTTTTTGCATTCGGGGTAAGGACCCGCATAGACGCAAAGATCTTCTCTCATTGTTCAATGAAGTTGAGCTTTTAGAGTCCGAGAGGAAGAGCAGACGCCATCGAGACAGTGAGCGATAGATTTTTAGAAGGTTCGATGGATGCGAGTGCGCGAGAGGATCGTCCCATAGGCCGAATGTGGACCTGATTTTAGACCCCGGACAAGGTGGCAGCCATACCGTCTGCGTGCTGCAAGTTTTAGCGCGATCAATTGCAAGAATGCGGTGTGGGAAAGAAGGAGAGAAAGAAGGGAGGGAGCGGCTTTTATACGGGGGCTAGCTTGGTAGATACTAGGACGGACACGTACGGGATGGAAGGTTGATGAGAAATACGCGAACACTCAGCTGTTCACGCCCTCATTTTCATATTTCATTCTGCTCTCTACCCAAAACGAACTACCAGAATCCCAATAACACCGACGTCTTATACGCTTCCACGGCGTTTCCCCAACTGATCTAAATTCACACTGCGTATTCTCCCGAGTCCAAACCGCGCCCCCACCGATTCCATTCCCTTTCCCAGTTGTTCATCAGTCTGTGAAACTTCGGCCTCCTCCTCGGCACCGTTCTCCGCTATCGGTATAAGCAAGATCATCAGCACCACCCCGTTCTGCAAGATCTTACTTCTTACTACCTCCGACTCGCGGCCCACTTCTTCTCCCGGTACCTCTTCTAGTAACTCAATACTTCTTCAGCTCCGGCGACACCCCCTTCTCATCCCTCAGCTCTTGCATTCCCTGGCACTCCGTCACTAGCGTGTGACCACATTGGCGAGTGGCACGCTATCCAATGGAGCTATCAAGGAATGCTACCTATTGCTAGTATCAAAATCCATCGGGGACTTCTGGGCACACCGCGCTACCGGTCGGTCTGGGCCTCTCTGATGGGACTCAAGGTCGAAGCAACCTGGAGCTGTACATCTGTCAACAAGTATCAAACCACCAGACACCCTGGCCTAGCAAGCACCATTGGCTTTCCAGCAAATCTCGAACGTCCTCCATACCCTTTTCAAACGAATCGGGAACTTGAACTAGAAAAGGCGGTGCGCTCACAGCCCAACAGGTATCAAGCACCCTCCCGCTGCTCTTCCTCTTCCACAGCGTCCTCCAAGAGGTGCAAGATATCAACTAGGCCCTCTTTGACGGCTATATCAATAGCACTTGCGCCCCTCTTGGTAACCGCAAAAAGATCGGCGCCGTATTCCAGCAGCAATTTCACCATCTCCGGCGACTTGCTAGTCACAGCCTGGTGCAGCGGTGTATGGCCCTCACAAGTCCTCAATTGGATGCTCGCCCCGTGCTCAAGCAAAAGCTTTGCGGTTTCAATTCTCTTGGCGAGCGCCGCGCAATGCAAAGGAGAGCACCCATGCTTATCGAGGTGCTTGCCGAAGTCAATTTTCCCGCACCCGAGCAGAATCTCTGCTACTCGTACGTGGCCGTTCTGCGAGGCCAGAAACAGTGCTGTGTATGCATAGTTGTCTTTGGCGTTGATGTCGGCACCGTGCTCGAGCAGCTTCTTCACAATGTCTACTTTGCCACACTGCGCTGCTGCTATGAGCGGCGTGCGTCCGCAAACACGCCGAATCTCTGGATTAGCGCCCAGAGACAAGAGTGTCGCAACGCATGATGTATGACCTTTCGCAGAAGCCAGGTACAAAGGAGTGCAGTTGTGAACCTGCACGCAGTCGATGCTGATGCCGAGCGAAATGAGCTGTTCAAGGATATCGTCGCTCCCAAATGCCGCTGCTCTGTGAAGAGGATTCCACAGTCCTTGGGATGATGTCTTCGCATCTGCACCTCTGGACACAAGAAAATTTATCAATTGGCGTCGTTCACAGCGCGCATTCGTGACGGCGTAGTATAATGCCGACTTTCTTTCGTTTCCTGGTAGATTCGGATCGGCGCCACGATCAAGGAGCATGGTGACAATATCTATGTTTGCCTTGTCGGCAGCGTAATGGAAACAGGTTTCTCCGTGCTTGTCTTGCAAATAGATATCGGCTCCCTTCTCAAGGAACATGGAGACCATTTCCGTATTGGACGTCACGACTGCTTTAGTGAGAGCAGTTGTTCCTTCGAAGTCCTGAAAGTCGACATGCGCACCTTCTTCAATCAGGGCACGAGCTTTTTTGACGTCCTTTTGTAGAACCGCAGTGATCAAAGATGCATTGAGGACCAGCGTGTTGCGGTCCGGTCTGTTTCGTTTGATAGAGAATTTTGAAGGCGAAAAGGTGACAGGATCATCATGTCCACTCTCGGATAAGGAGGGACTGGAAGGAGGCGGCGTGATAGGCTCGTTGTGGTGCGAGCTTACGCTTAGCTGGGATGAGCTATCCTGACTCTGAATTGACGGCGACCTGCTTCGACGGATGGTCCTAACCGTGTCCTGTGAGCCGCTGGAGGGGGCCGCCTGGGATATCTGAATTACAGGAATGGGAAAGCTAGTTATCGAGGATGCGGAGGATGCAGGCTTCGGAAGCGGTTTGCAACAGCTTCTAACAAATGGAGTGCCTCCAGCGGCTGCGTCAATGAAGGAGAATCGTTCGAAGGCAGCCTGCGCACTAGGCCGCTTCCAAGGTATCTTGCTCAGCATTGTTCTCACGATGTCCAGAGAGGCTCTGCTCTCCTCCGTATTTGTAGCAGACTTCAGTCGGTCAATCCATGTGTCCCCGCCATCAAGGTTGGTTCCATATATTGTGCTCTGCGTTCCATAAGACGCCAAGTGCTCTTGCAACTTATCCAAGGTCGATCCATCTAAGAGTGTAGCCATCTCTAGGAAGACGCACCCTAGAGAGAATATGTCTGCAGATGTGTTGCGCTTTTCGCCCGTGAAGATCTCCGGCGGACTATATTTTCGCGTGGCGACGGGGGAGCTGTCTTCCGTCGTGCTGTGACCGACAGCTTCCCAGTAGAAAGCCAACCCCAGATCAGTGTACAAGACGGAATCGCCTTTAATGAGGATGTTTGCCGGCTTGATATCCTTGTGCCTGATAGACATGTGATGCATATACGCAAGGCCAGCGAGGAGGCATCCGAAGAAGCCGCGCAAAAGTGCCTTCGATGCATCGGTAGGCGTGTAGGCTTCCATGAAAGCACGGAGGTCCAAGTCCGCAACAGGAGAGATGATGAGCGCTACACAGGTTGGATCTGTATAGCTTCCGACCAACTTGACGATATGATGGTGACTCAGATGCTTGATGGCCTTTATCTCTTTCTCGAAATTCTCTATGATCTGGCGGCTTCGGCGCTCGCCGTGTTGGGCAGGGAAGCGACGTGGGATACGCTTCCGAGCATACTCAGTGCGAGTCAGTGTGCTCTTGACGCGATCGACTTCGCCATACGATCCTGTCCCCAAAGTGCCTTCGGAAGACAGAGGCACATCTTCGATGGCGCTGTAGTGTCGATGTAAGCCTCTCTCGCCCTTCTCTAGGTCTAGCGAGGTAGAAAGAACTGCTGTTTGTGTCGCAAGGAACAACGAGCGAGTTGTTGCACTTAAGCCTTTGGGGAATGTGTTCTTCGTCAACGGTAACCAGAGATCGGTGACTCCACGGGCTGTAAACAATTCGATATCGTCAAGCCGGTCGATCAGACGAAGGACAGAATATAACCTGGGGACATCTACCCATGGCGAGTCTTGCACTCGGAGTGCACTGGATATTTCGCATATGTCGTCGTCGTTGAATCTTCGTGGCGCTTGAGACGCGGTTGAGTCGTGTGCGGGGAAATAGAGGGCGAGTGGTCCGTCGAGACAATGGCTATCCGTAGCTTCTAGCAAGGGATCAGACTCTTCGAGAGCAGCTTGTTTTGCAGGAATTTGCATCTTTTCTTGGTCTTTCTAAATGGGAGCGTTCGAGAGAGCTGCTCTTCAAGCCATATTGAGCGTTGTTATTGTGGCTTCTCAGAAGGATCAGGCATCCCATCTGGAACATGGGGCTGTCTCACATGGTTGTTCAGGCGGCAACACAGCCAAAGAGAACGGTGAACTCGAAGTTTCATCTGCACCTCGGCCCTCTCCGACGTTTTGGCTCACAGAATCCAAACGAAGTCTAGTGTACGTCTTTCAGCCATGACCATGACCCTTGGCAGCCTTTTCTCCTCACAACCCCGCGTTTTCGGCCCCCATCTATAACCTACATGCGCTGATATAAAGGAAACCTACCATCGTCTTGTCCCATTTCCCAAAGACGGGAGTCCCCAAGGTGTTCGGGAGTATTGTTTCGGGGGGCACTCTTCTCCTACATCCCTCGGCCTGTGCTGTGCACGTAATTACTCTACCTTGCCGTCAGGCTGACGGGGTTACCACATGGATCTCTCAAGATGCCGGCCTCAGTGGTGAGTGGACCACAAACGTTATCATTGCTTAAGTTAACCCTGACGCGCCAGGTATATATTGACCGATCGAACCCAGGGCCGTCGCGAGAGCTCGAGTTTCCAATCTTCAACCTCCACGATCTAGCCGCGCACCATTATTTGGATAACTCTGTTGGTCCTTGGAGCGCATCGCGCTCAGCTGAATATCATCAAAAAGTTCGTGGTGCGGAGTGGCTTCGCGCTACTCGGCTGGGAAAAGATGTGACGTTTCCCAGTCGCTTGCTCTCCCCCAGCGGCGAAAGCTTCCGAACAGGTAGCCTAAGGCCGGAGTACGTCGTCATATCATACACTTGGGGGCGATGGATGAAGAAAAAGAGATATAGGGATACTCCTATCCAAGGTGGCCATTGGAAGGCGCCTTGGAATAAGCGTTTTACCAGAGCAGAACTTGACTCGGCAATTCAAACGATTGCCAACGGCTCCCACGCCTGGGTCGACGTATTCTGCATTCCACAGATGGACAATGATCCCGAGATGGCCAACGAGATCTCAAAGCAGGGCGAAATATTCCGGTCAGCATCGCGGGCCGCCGTGTGGCTCGGGACCGGTGGAGAGGAAGTTCTTCGCGAAGTCTGTTCATGGGTCCCAGACACACAGACATTGATAGTTCCGGATACCCTGGCACTGGCGGATAAGCATATGAACAGCCCGGAGCCTCGATTGCCAGAGAAAATCGCCGAGACTGTCCGACGTATTAAACTCATCTCGGAGTTCACGGAGCATGTGCCTTGGTGCAACTCTTTGTGGACTCTACAAGAAGCGGCTCTCCGACCAGAGGCGCAATTCTTCGACAAAGTAGGGAAACCTATCCTCCATGATACATCCAAAAATCCTATCACTATACGACATCTCATAAACACAATGAGGAACATAGCGGAACGACTGGACGACCTTCTCGACGAAGACGGATCAATGGGCTATAATATTTTCGAACAACCGTATATGTTCGGATTCTCCGAAGAGGAGAGACAACTTGTTTTCCGAGCCATCGAAACGGTTAAAACGGTCTCCCTCCATTGGCTTACGACGATGAATGCTGGCGAGGTGCTCCTTGCTTCGACAAGCCGCAAGCCTTCGCGACTGCATGACCGCGTTTATGGCATCATGGGAGCCATCGGCGCTCCGATTCCAGTGAAATACGACGAGGACGCAGACAAGGTCATGAATCAGTTTCTCGTCCATCTACATAACACTCTTCCGATTGAAATGCAGGCCTTCCATCGCGAGTATAGGCACCAATACGCGGGGCAAGGCTGGCGAATGGACCATTTGGCCCGTAAGCTTACTCTTCTGCGTCAGGAATCTCCGCCACCGAGGCCTGTTTTCACCGGTATATCCCCCGATGGCGAACTTGTTATCAATGAACTCGATCTTCTCTCGCCCAGTAGTTTTGCGGAGCTTAACTCCAGGGTTTTGGGGCGGAATTTCTTAGCTGGTTTGGATAGACGAGCCTTCGAGCTTGTCAATGATGGAGTGGTCTACACGAAAAGCTATACTCTCGATTACATTATCGGGAGTATTAACTTTGCTCTCATCTTGCAAGATCTTTTCTCCAAGACCAACCTAGGCCTTGTTTTTCTCGGTTTCATCACTGGTCTTGAGCATGTTGCTTGGAGATATGCGTACCTTCTAGTTGCGTCCAAATGCGGGGAGGGGGCAGCAACGGCGCCGCAGGGCCAACGGTTTCGTCGATTGGGCATCCTGATTTTCAGGGAGGAATTGCGGGCCGGCTCGCCGACAAAGGGAGAGTTCTTCATTATTTGATACAACTGCTCAGTCACGAGCTGACCCTCCCCTTCGATTGCGGATCCTTCCATTAAGAATGACCTTCAATGACTCCGCGTAGAGAATCCAGCGTCTCGTGCACAATTATTCCCACGTTAACGCAACTCCAATTCCCGATGTCTCTCACAGCCCATCCTCGCGAGGGGGCTAGCTTCTCACGCAAAGGATCTACAGCCCTTTCGCCTTCACCACTGTATGCAGTAGCAATTCTAACACTAGCATGTGACGCGTCCTTCCATGTGTCACTCATTGCGGGCACCTGAATCGCCTCAAAAGAGGTTCGGGTCTGCGTGGCTACAACCCTCAAAACCTCTGAATGTGCACCGCCTCCCGTATTTGTGGCATGTACGTTGGGAACGGATACCTTGAGATGAAGGCACAGATCTTTTGCAGGAGTGACTGGTCCCTCCATGATTCTGTGCTTTGAGTCGCTCAGGGAGTAGTTGCCGTCGTCTATGGTTGGGTAGATCTGGGTAAGGCCGTAAGCGCTATCAAAGCATAGTACGTAGACAAACAGATCCTTCTCAGTTAGGTTGCGGATGTAGAGAGTGGCAAGGTCTCCAGAGAGAAGGTGCAGCGTGCCATTGCGGTCCAGCATGGGATAGATTGGTGATGTGGTTATGTCATAGCGGTATCCGCCTATCAGTCTTGCGTCGATGATGCCTGAGATGCCACTCATGTGGCCGCCGCCCAGGAGCTCGTGATAGAGATTGGACTGCAATTTTGGTGAGATAGGGTCTATTTCCACAACCGGCTCGACACATTGTTGCAATTGCTTCAGAATATCTCCTCCGGCCGTAATATTCCCTAAGGGCGTGGTGGGTTTCGAATTGGCATTCAACATCGCGGAGTCGCGCAATGGAATCACCTTCAGCGCTTGTGGAATGGCGCCGATGCTAACCGGCCCATTAAGAGGTTTTGCCATTGCACGTAGCCCGGAAAGCTCCACGACCTGAACGACTCCGCGATATTGGGCTCGCAGTCTTGGTCCTGATTCGGCCTCCTGAACCTCCGAGACGACGGCAAAGAGCTCATCGGGCCGGATACCATGCACAGTTCCGCCCTTAATGGCAAGCTCAAGCTGATCTTTCCCTTCCAGGAAAAACGCAGTGAAGACGCGCGGCCGCGCCTTCCTCGCGCGTTGACCACCAACAAACGCACGGTTCGGATCCCCCATAAGGAATAGCCGCCTTGCCTGGTCTATCGTGGTAAACTGTCTCTCCGCAGAAAGTCCTTTCGCCTCCAAAACCAATCTTTGATACAGGTCTCCAAACGGTATAAAGGGCCCGTACTCGCGAATGGTGCGGCACAACCACGCTGTCACAAATCCATTCCAGATCCCCGAGGCCTCATCCAAGTATTCGTTCCGGATGGACTGGTCCAGTAAGCCAACGGATATAACACCTGTGTACGGCGCCGCTGCATCCGGACTGTCCAACCAGGAACGGACCCCGATTTCGGTGCGACCAGTAGCTGAAACGCCGTATAACAGACGGCCGTCGCTGTAGGTGTTGTAGCATGCCGAGAGAAGATCCTCCTCGCTGAAAGTGGAAGCAGCTACTGGCGTCTCGGAATCTAGTGAGAACCGGCCATCGATGATGAGCGTGACTTCCAAGCCTTTGGATGTGAGGGAGCGGAGCAGGACGGCGAGTTCAAGTTCATGGAGGAACTTCTTGGTTGCTTCGTGGTCGGCCGGGAGAAGGACAAGCTCCTTAGTATCGTAGCAACGGCGGTCGGAGGGGATGATGGAAGGCGCGCGGCCGGTGCGGCAGGAGAAGTGGATGTAGATGTGGTCGCCGGCTTGCGCATTATCTTCTATGTCTTGAATGGTTCGGATGATGTTATGATAGGTTGGAGTTGCAGAGGGATTCGTTCCGAGGGCAAGCGTTGCGGCTGGCCGGACTGAGATCAACTTGAAGATGCGGGAACTGTGGAAGCAGTACGTGTCACAGAGGAGCTCATACAGGTCTTCAACGTCCTGGACGCAGCCTCGGAGTTGAGCCTTTCCGTCGGGGTAGTAGTCCACACCAACAAGGACAGCCCAGCCGACCATGCTGGACAGCTTGAAGCTTGCGCCAGAGAATCAGCGGGAAGTAGGCATGAAAAGCGTTATACTAGAAGCGTATGTGACGGCAACAGGAGAGTTGCCAAACCATAAGAATGATAGCTAATGAGGAACGCGAAGCAAGGGCATGTTGGAACGCATATCTATTCGATGCTGGGGGCCATAAACGCGGGGCTTATGGCGCAGGAAGTCGTCGCGAATGGCACACAAAGCCACCAGAGCATTTTCCAGCAGCTCAACTTCTTCCATTACTCGACTTCTTCCATTACAAAAGATCTCAATTTTCTAGAACCCGCTTCATGTCTTCTTCAATGTTGGTCAGATATAGCCAAACAAGCTGGTCAACACCCTCTTCCTCATGCCACACTTCCTCCTTTGGCAACTTCTCCTTCTCCTCCTCGGAAAGGCGCATATTGTTCATCTGCTCCGAAAGAACAAGCACCTTGTCAATCCTTATCTGGCGGTAGTTCTACCACTTCTTCAGTGCGCTGTGCACTTCTACGGTTGTTGAGAGCGAAGCCAGCAGGAAAGCAAGGCTGAAGCTGTCCTCGAACGCTTGATTCGCGCCTTGGCCGGCAGTAGGCGGAATTGCGTGCGCCGCGTCGCTGTTACGAGCTGTTCTCTTGACTAACGTAATTAGTTATCTAACGCTCGGGCTCATCTAACGCCTACTTTTTAGTATCTCTTACCTCTTCTAAAATAAGAACTATAATAGATAAATAAATAAAATTTTAGTATAACGTACTTTATAAGTAAGCTAGTTATATAAGTAAGCTAGTTACTTTCTCTTAGTAACAAAAATTAACGAAAATTAACCTATTTTTCTTAAATAACTAAGCGAAACCTTAATATTTTTCTATAAAACTTTAACGTACTTTATAAACAAACGTGTTACACAAATAAATAACTTACAATTTCTTAGCAAGAAAAATTAACGAAAATTAACTCGTTTTTCTTAAATAACTAAGTAAAACCTTAATATTTTTCTATAAAAATTTAGATATATATTCTCTATAGTATATTATACCTTAAACTAAAGTTATACTAAGATATATTACGTAATTAAAAAGCTATACGTATTTAACTAACTTTTAAAAAAATCTAGTTTACTTCTAGTAAGTACTATTATATCTCTATAATAATATATAAAACTTATAGTACAAAGTATTTATAACCTAATAAAGGTTTCTAGAAAACTTCTATAGCGCTAGCTCTTCTAGGTATAGCGTAATAAGAGATAGAAGTTTAAAAAAATCTTTTTAGAGTTTTCTTCTCTAACTATAGTTATATATAAATAATCTAGCTATATAAAGTTATATACTATAAGATTATATATACTATAAGCCTTCTATATATTTAGAAGTACTAATTTTAAGATAGTTTTAGTATCTTTCTATCTTTCTATACTATACTACTAAAAAGGCTTTACTTTTAAGTAACTACTTAAAGATACTATATTATTAGGTAATAAGCTCTATATAGTTAAAGCCTACTATAATTTATATAATAATAAGTTTATAGAGCTAGATTAACTATATATATATATAGTTAGAAGAGAAAACTCTAAAAAAGATATTTTTCTAACTTCTACCTCTTATTACGCTATACCTAGAAGAGCTAGCGCTATAGAAGTTTTCTAGAAACCTTTATTACGTTATAGATACTATATACTATAAGTTTTATATATTATTATAGAGATATAATAGTACTTACTAGAAGTAAACTAGATTTTTTCTTAAAAGTTAGTTAAATACGTATAGCTTTCTAATTACGTAATATATCTTAGTATAACTTTACTATAAGGTGTAATATACTATAGAGAATATATATATAAATTTTTATAGAAAGATATTAAGGTTTCGCTTAGTTATTTAAGAAAAACAGGTTGATTTTCGTTAATTTTCGTTGCTAAGAGAAGGTAACTAGCTTGCTTGTATAACTAGCTCGCTTATAAAGTACGTTATAGAACTATTTACTTTTAGGCGTATATAAGTTCTTTAAAGAAATACTACTCTACTTTCTTTTTAAATATCTATCTCTTTTCTATAGTAGCTATATAGTAGTTATAGAACTACTAATAGTATTTTCTAATAGAAAGTACGTCTAACTAACTAGCTTACTTAATCTAGGCTTTAAGAAAGAATTAAGTAGCTTTATAGTAGTCTTTATCTATAATTTTAAATTCTTTCTTAAGGCTTATCTTAAACTACGTCTAATTAACTCTTAAGTTCTAATAGCTTATTAGGTTATAGATTAACTATTAGAGCTTATAGGTATAAAAGTATAGTATTATTCTCTTTCTAGCCTTACTCTTCTAGCTAGCTCTATCTACTATAAAGTTATAGTCTTCTAGAAAGTATATAATATTTCTTCTATTAAATATTAGAGTATTTAGACTTATAGATACTAGCTTAATATATATCTTATTAACTTTCTTTATTTCTCTTAAGAGTATAGTTAGTAGTAGCGCGTTTACTAAGAATAGATCTATTATATTATCTATCTAGTTTCTAAAAACTTAATTATTACTATTAACGCTTAGATTATTATCTTTATTAGAGTTAAAGAAGTTATAAACGTTATAATACGCCTAAGAATTAGAGTATATAGACTAGTCTACTTCTCTATAGAGGTAGTAGTATAATTTCTAAGGCCTAATATTCTTTTAATATTTTTCTTTCTCTTCTACTTCTTTCTAAACTCTTAGTACTACTTTTTTCTTCTCTTATAGAGGTTCTCTTAACTTTTCTTCTTTAGTTTCTAGTATTAGATAATTGCTTAATATTCTACCAAGACATTCGATGATTGCTTTCTCTGCAGCGCCTTGTAGGTAAATTTCAGGTCTCGGGCTTATTCGCACCGTATTGTTATGAACAACAAAGCGGAAGCCATCCTCTATTTCAAGATGTATGTCAAACAAGACGGACGCAAGTCGTTGTACTTTATCTGGGGAAATTGCAAGACTCATGAGACACTGCACCCTTCCAGTAGGAAGATTCGCTGGAAAAACCATCGTTACCCCAACACCATGTCCTTTCCGAATGGCGCGGACGATCCACTGTGGGAAGACAGATACGAGGCCATTAATTTTAGCACCCGTAAGCGTCTGCTCTTGGTTGGATGCTTCAATGCTGGCACTTGACAACGCTTTCCACATGCCTATAGGCGTATATCGGTGCTCAGGATTGTAGACTGTCGGTTCAGTGATGGTGGGCGTCGCGGGTTCGTGTATATCGGCCATTGGAGGCGACGCAGTCTGCGTCAATGTCGTGCTCGTCACGCTCATCGTTGCGTCTGTAAGTCCTGTTGGTCGAAATCAGGGGACGAAGTAGTGGTGGATACGTGGACGACTTACGACGGCGTTTAGGATGCCGTAAATCCTCAATCGCTGATTGAACGGTGGGATGAGCGTCTACGTTGGCCAATGCCATTGCGACTTGGTTTTGGCGTTCGATTGGAAATTGTTGAAGAGCAGTAATGGCTTTGCGTTTGGCGCTCTGCCCCTTGTGATGACGACCTTCGTGCTCCGTGGCAAGGAAATAAGCCAACCAGGCATGAAAACCTGCGTCCAGGAACACTCGGGCGGTGGAAGTTGATTCAGAGCGCGCTGTTGTCAAAGCTTCGTCAAACCCCTTTGGAGCTCTTTGCCGCTGCCATGGATTGGTGAGATAGGATGCTAGCAGTTGGACGCACTCGTCGATTGTGTACTCTGCATCCATGAGGGTATCATATGTGATTTAGAGAGGTGAGTTAGACAGGCGAGTTGGAAGGTGTTTATGCGCGGCGAAGTGGGGCACGCTCGTGGAAGTCTCTTATTGGTGGACATCAATCCAACTTCCAATCACGCGGGTTGAGCTGGAGTGCAGGATGAATCTACGACTAATGAGCTTGCACACCTTGGTCTTTAGAGAGTTGCAGAGATTGGTTGCCTACTATTGAATGTCGGATTGAACCCCACTCCAAGAAGGTGCATAGCTCTCCCACTTATACCGAGCCACTGCAATCTTCTTTCGAGCTGTAAGCTCGTAATATCTGTCTTTTCACCCACTATTTGGAAGGTTCTCAGACACCTGTTATTCTATTATGTGCACGTTCAACACTGCTGTCGCCAGTTGCGGCCATTATACAAAGACCCTTTACAACCCCTGCAAGACCGCTAAGGAAGAGAAAGAGGCATGCGAGTCTGGAAGCGAGAACTCGAGAACGACAAACCAATGGTGTTATAAGGACGGTTGTGATCGGAAACCTGGACTGCGTCGAGAAGGGCCTGGTTAGTGCAGCTCAATCTTTTCTGTTCTGGTGCATTAATAATCACACGATGCAGGAGGTATTACTAATGGTGGATTTGATAACTCAGCGGTTGATTGGGATGAATTTGAAGAGTGAAACACCGATATACGAGGCTGAAATGGGATCAAAGACACAGGAGTTATTCATTGTCAACCAGACCATCAATCGAAGCGACGACTTGGGAGAGTCGATCGGAAATGGCGGCGAGAGAGATACAGCCACGGGTTCTTTCAACATCTTGAGCAATTTGAAACAAGAGTAGCTTCTCTTCTTCCTTGCCACTACCATTCATAGCCTTGACCATCAAAGCCAGAATCTTACCCAGTGCCCACGTATCACTCTGCACCCGCAATTCCCAGCTCTCTGAACACCTATCCAGTGATTCAAATAGTTCTGGTAGTAACCACTCATCAGTGGTGCCTCCAATGCCGCTGACGTCGATTATAATAGCATTCCATTCTTTGCTCATGACCACGTTCTTTGGCTTGAGATCCATGTGTGTCACTCCCATCTGATGCATGTATGCTAAAGCCGTTGAGATGTCAAATGCCCATCGTAACCACCATGACGAGCTATGCATCCAAGGCTCCGGAGATTGCAATACATCGTGCAGGGTACCATTTGGATGATATTCGAGAAGGATTCCGCGAAGGACAGGTGGCGACGCTCCGGATTCCCTTGATTGATATGGGCTACTGGATATCACGGCAGCAACGAGCTGCACGATCCGCTTGCTGCCATGAAACAGCTCCAGATTTCGCAACTCTTGCTCGAGAACCTTGGTATCGTGTGGAAAATAGATGAGTCTGTCCACGCCTTTGTACACGTATTGGCGTTCATCACCTGAGATGCGCGCTGTATTGACATGTTCATGGGAATTGATATCTTCTACGCGCTGGATGTTCCTGAGATGAATTGTGCGTCCAGAGCCGATATGGAGGGGATAACGTGTATACTCGGGGTACTCCCGCACATGGAACCAGAGACTGGCCTTTCGGAAAGTGGCATAATCGCTGTCACTGCTAGGCAGCTCTTTGAGTGGAAGTAACTGTGCTGTAGTAGAGGGATCTGGCTTTGGCGTAATGAACAATTCTGTGAACTTGTCGTCAAGAAGGGGAAGCGGATCGAAATTGATGTAGCGACATAGAGCCCTGAAGTCGTGCCATCGCTTTGGCCAATAAACTTTCTGGCCAGTCTCCTGGCCAGAAGGCTCGCCTAGGAAGGTAGCTCTGATATGCCATTGTGCAGACCCTCTCTGAGCGATGAAAGAGATTGAATGTGATGGAAGATGGCGGTCTATTTTGGTACTTCGACGTATGAATTCAATGTTCCATCCGTGCTGAGATGCTAGGGCGAGATGCTCGGTTTTAGGTCCTATTTGAAGTATAGGAATGGAGAGAGATTGGAGAGAAGAGGAATTGGGAGGCTGCAGGGAAACCATCGAGGAAGCGGCGTGTTTGATGAGAGCGAAGGTGTCGGCGGACAGCCAAAGATAGCGTCGTCGGTGGGACGGATTTGCAGAGAGTAGATATAGCAAGGCTAGAAAAGCAAGGCAACCGAGTTTCCACGGCGGATCAATTAGACTTGGAGCAGAAGCTGAGGTAGTGGGTAGACAGAAGGAGCCCAGTAGATGGGTAGAGACCTGACGGCCAGGTTGTGGCGCGGTAACACTTGGCACCCGCTGCGCCACGCGGGACATTTGTCGGGGAAATTAGATGGCCATTCGCTCCGGCGTGGCTGTGCGCGACAGCAGAGCCCATGCCGACCCGGTTCTATTGGACGCTTTACATCCAACCGTTGCCTCGGATCTCCGGACCAGTCACTTGTAGTTTTGTGCCGTTCACAGCCAAGGGCAATCTGGCGGATTGCATCACACCTTTACTCCGTAAGTCGAGAGATAGATGGCTATCAAAAATTGGTTTCCCAACTACGTGTATCTACGTCTCTTGTTCCGCAACCTGTTCCGCCGCAAAGGCTACGAGTACGATTACATCTTCGACTGGACAGAAATAAAATTCTTGGAACACTTAGAGAGAAGAAAACGATCTGAGGATGGTATCGATGACTCACAACACTTAACCCCCGTGTGTTGTTCACTTCCCTCTAAGAGCAATAACATAAACCTCTTTGGCGATCTGTTCGAGCTAGGTTCAGCGATCAACTCCGGCAACTTCGAAGGTACGCACCGCCTGGGAATGCATGGCTACAACTCACATCCCGCGCTATCTAGCTTGGCGCGTCCCATTCCATCTCCCCCGGCCCGGACGACTTCACCAGACGCCACAATACCCCTGAGTATGACCCTGTCTTTGCTCGCGACCGGGCCTTACGTGAGCTCTGCACAACTCCCATCTTCAAGCACCCCAAGGTCCTCATGATCCCGGTCAAGCGGGAGGGGGAGCTGAGCGACGGCCGTGTCGAGCAAGCCTGGTTCCCATGGCAAGTGTGCACCAACTGCCTTGCCGGTCGCGCAAAGGGCCGGTGTTCGCTGTGGAGGGCCGCACTGCCGGTCGCTCTCCTCTCGGTAGACCGGATTATCTCCTTCTTTGCATCTTTTGAACACGGCCCGCGCTGCCGGCTGGAGACCTGCGGTTTCACCAAAGGCCTGGAAGAAACCAGGGACCTCAACGTACATGGGGCCCAACTCCTCCTTCGGCACGTCGTCTACGTCCATGTTCCCGCAGCAGGCAGCATTGGATCAGATGTATTGAGCCTGCATGAACTTGCACCCCCCCTTCATCTGTCCCTGTTGGCGGCATCGTCGTACGAGGTAGACTGAAACACCTTGTCTCTTTCCTGAGCCTGATGACTTTGGCCTGGCGCTCCTACGGCAAAGGGATTTCAGATAGATTTGAACGCCATGATCCCCGGCTCGACATCGTACGACTTCCCGCACCGTACGATGCACACCGCCACCTCCATGCAGGATCAGACTAGCTGTGCAGCGTGAACACGGCATCGCCGAAGGTTGGTCGTGCCGCGTCATTCATGCCTGAAGAGGCATTGCGCCTCTTGACGGAGCTACAGGAGGTCCGCCAGATCACCCAGGCTTCCACGTTGTCTGGGGACGGTTTTATCCAGCTCCAAGTCGCAGTTGTCCCAGCAGGAATGTCGGAAAGCAAGTTCCACCGTCCAATTTCGCCGTCTGATCTAAGCTCTTTGCTGTTTAATCTGTGCCTAACACGCTTCTTATTGCATATGCTCCCATCCAACACATGCTCACATCCATAGTCGTCCAATCCCTGCCTCGCTATGTGGGCTCTCAGGCCAAAGTGATAGGTTCGGTGATGTAGGTGCGGGAATTATACATTCTCTGCTGCGGATGTCGCTCAGATCGTTATTAGACGTAGGCTTGTTTCTGTTCCTGACACTCGTGGCTCGATTGGTGCCTAGTTGCAGCCCCGTGGTTTTTCAAACATGGAGAGGACAAAGAGGACCTAGCTATATTTATTAGTACAGTGAAGTGGAAAACATACAAGGAGCAAGTATACATACAAGGAGAATAGCAATCTGTGGGAGTGTTGATCTGCACAGTAATAGGAGCGAGGTGATGTTAATTTTGGGCGGGTGGAAGGCAACAACCTTGGCCAAAACACGGATGCAAGTATAGCCGAGTGTTAGGGTCCTAAACATACCCCCCTGCACATTTGAGGCTGTGCAAGTCCAAAACAGGAATGTTTATTCATGCGCACTCCGTACCTGCTCAGGGTAACTCAGTCTTTGCTCAGGTTAAAGCAGCAGCAGCTCAGGTCAGCAACCGTAACTAGAACAAGTCGCGCCAGAGAGATTTGCCTGTCTCTAGAGGTAATTCGTAATAATAATATTAGTTTAAATAACTAGCTAGTAGGTTCTCTACCTAGAATTTAAGAATTATAGAGGTAAAAGAGTACTATAGAACTAGAGTCTTACTTGTTTAAGAAGTAGAGGTATATACTACTAGTAGAGTAGCTAATTATTAGCTCTACTAGTAGAGTAGAGAATTATTAATTTTTAAAATAAGAGAGAAGAGTTTCTATATATAGAAGTTCTATAGAAGTTCTTCTATATATAGAGCTCTTAATAGCTCTCTTTAGCTTACTACTAGAGATATCTTTTCTACTACTAACTAGATCTACTAGTAGTCTTATATAGCGCTAGAGAGGTAAGTAATTAGAGCTCTTATAGCTTTAATTTTTAGAGTAAGTAACTAGGCTCTTATAGCTCTAATTCTTAGTATAGCTATTAGTAAACGATTCTTATAAGGCTATTTAGTTTAGCCTAATATTATATACTATCTCTAGCTAAAGAGATATTACCTTTTAGATAATATAAAAGCTAGCTTTATAGTCTCTACTACTATAAGTATTCTAGAATACCTAGCTAGGTAAGTTAGCTATAGATAGTACTATCTCTATAAGCTATAAGAATAGAGACGCTAGTAGAGTAGGTTAGATTAAATTTAGCTATCTAAAGGTAAGAAGTAGAAGAATACTCTAAGAGCTTTCTATATATAGAGGTGCTAAGCGCTAAGACGCTAGGCTAGGTTACGTAATAAGGTTACGTAACTTAAGGTTATATAACTAAGATAAATTTCTAAACTAGACTATTATAATAATAAGTAGAGTAGGTTAGGTTAAATTTAGCTATCTAAAGATAAGAAGTAGAAGAAGACTTTAAGAGCTTTCTATATATAGAGAGCTAAGCGCTAAGACGCTAGGCGAGATTATATAACTCTAGTAATACTAAGCTAGACTATTATAATTTTCGTTGCTAAGAAATTATAGAGCGTTCGGTAATATAAGGTATTTGCTAATAAAGTACGTTATAGTATTCGCTGCTAAGAAATCTCTAACCTACTTACTAGTATAACCTACTTACTAGTAGAATACGTTATAGTAAATACTACCTCTATTTCTAGCTATTACACCCACCGTACAGCCTCTTGCCACCGGAGCAGGGCTTCTCACGCTACTTTACGCCAAAAAGCCACCGTTTTCGAGGCCCCCTGCACCTCTCAAACGGACCATCCGGCGCTCTAGTAAACAGGGCCTTAGACCCGCATTTACAGGGCTTATCGCAGAAGCTTCCGTTTGGGAACATTCTTGCGTTGGTGTAAACCCTAGTAGAGACTACGTGAGGGTGATAATATTGTATCAGCAGTCCGATAAGCTTAGCAAGCTGTAATATAGCCCGTCACAATACATTGACGCAGGTACAGCGCTGTCACTCCCATGCAGCGGCACACTGACCTGATCGCGAAAGTCTATGATGAACTGCAGTCTCATGTGAGTATCTAGGTAAGCAGACTACCAGGGATCTGGACCGCGATCTCCACAGCCACCAACATTGGTGATAGATAGCGTGTCCTTTGCTTCAGGCGCACATATCGGCGAGAGGCTGGAACAAGAGGCCGACCGAATTAAGCTCTCATCATGGATATTTGACATCGAATCTCTGTGTAACCTGCGACGCTATTCCGATCATGTCCCCGCACTTAGCCTCCCCACATTCCGTGTTTCCTGGTAACACAAACGAGGCTGCTAATATCCATATATATGCAATCGCACCCGCGTGAGCGGCGCTGACCACACACCACGCCGGAGGACGATCACATGGCTGACGAATACGAGAATCGGAAAATGGGAAGAATGGTGAGTGTAATGACAGCATTGATTAACGCTTACGCCGGTGTATCACACCTAGCAGAGACTTATCGACCATAGGGAGGCCGAAGGGATCACGTTCGAGAGATATGAGGTAAACCGGGCCGCGGCCGGATCGGGGTTAGACAGTGCAGTGTCGGGTGAGCGATGCACATGAGAACAATAGGCTCGACAATTGCAACTGCACACCTACGGCAACCTGTTGCGTTCGTGTGCGACTAGGTGGTACCTAACCCTGGTTGACTATCGTCGATCGTCAGCCCTATGGGATGCCTAGCCAATGTATGGGATGTTGCAGCTTACCGCAATCTAGTCTGAACTATCTTTGTGAAAGCGTCGCACGCTTTCCGCTCTCCTCCTCTTTTTGACGTGTCGCTGTCTTTGTGCTAGATCCTACACAACCGATAAGATCAGCCGAGGGCATTTATGCAACGAGGCACTTCTGGAAGCAAAAGCTTGACGATCAGTACACTCCACGGCGCTTCCTGCCACCCCGCCTCTTACGCTCTCCCCCCCAGTTGCCACGGAACTTGTGCCCACCTCCGTGATGGTGGCCCCGGTCATCCCGATCACGTTCTCTCTCGTCCTCTTGCTGTTCGCGCTCCCTCTCTGCGCGCTCCCGCTCTAGCTCTTCTGGGGATTTCTCGACGCGGACCTCGGGTTTCTTGAGATCCGTAGGGAATCTAGGATGTGCCCCATTCAAGCATGCCTTCCCCTCGGGACAGAAGCCTGCCAGATAGAAGGGGCACAGCTTGTCTTTCTTGTTGTGCTTCAACGCGCAATGTGGGCCAAGCGGGCAGAAGCCCCGATCGTAGTGTGGGCACGGCGGGCGCTTGGACTCGGGGTCGATGTGAAGGTACAGGCAGTCATCGCCGTTCGAGCATGTCAGCGTGCGCGCGTAGTATGAGCATTCGGGCATGCGGCGCAGGTTGTACTCGTGCAGGAACTCGCAGGTCTCGCCCTTCTTGCAGAGGCCGCGCAGCCAATGCTTGCACACCAGACTAGCATGTCTTGTCAGCTCAAGGAGTCAAACAGGCATTCAATAGCCTAATACGCACTTGTTGTACGACGACGAGACATGGTGCCTATCTGGACAGCGGTTGCCCAGCGGGCAGTGGCCCTGCATGTATGCCTTGCATGCTGGGCGATCCGGGTCGAGGCCGAAGCGGTACTCCCGCCGCAGGAAGTCGCTGAAATTGAAGTCGTATGTCGCCTGGGCTGCCTCCTCCATCTGCTGGGCGGGGGCAACGGCTCTCTGCACTTCCGTCATGATTGCGAGGGGCCGTCCAGACCAGCGTCGCGCCGGCGTAGATTGCAAGCAGGCTTTGGAGTGGTATCGTAGCGGAGGTTCCCGGCTCCGAAGCAGGCGGTGCAGAAAGCGGAGGCTGCAGGTGCGCAAGCAGGGCAGTCGATCCGGGCGGGACTGTGGGTGAGGGGGTGCGAACGACTGGCGGGTGGCATTCACACTAAACACCGAGCGCAGAAATTAGCGTCTCATGTGACATGCCAAGAGCCCCCGCGACTTTCCTGCGAGGGCACTACGGGCGATCATCGTTCCTTCTCATGCACCTGCAGGAGCAGGCAGGGTGCGCGGCATTGCACCCGCTGTGCGTGCAGCAGGCTTTGGGCCCGCGCTTCCATCACTAAGGTTTGGGTGCTGCCGTCGATGCCGTCGGCTCGCCGGTTTGTGGATATCAATAACGGGTGCCAGCTCACACCTCCGTTCGAGCCGGCCCCGGTTGAGGGCGATGTGGGGAAAGGCCCGTCCCTCCAAGATGCCCTTTCCCCACCCACCGGTCAGCTTAGCGACGTCGCTTTCGTACGTGCGATGCGACCAAGGCCTGTTTCTCCTCGTCCTTCCGTCATCCACCATCGATTCTTCTCTGTCCCTGGTCATATGGCTTTCCATCTCTCACCGCATGGGTCCATTCCTGCACCGCCCTGCACCATCTCCACGCTGTGCCCTGCTCTGTCGTTTGAAACATCTCCAGGGACAGGGACGTACCCCATTCGCGGTGCCCGTGCATTGACGGGCAGTCATACTGCATTGAGCATGCTCAGCTCGCAAGCGCCATGGCTGCGTATTCCATGACCCCCAGTCCCACCAGATATGTGTCAGGGTTCAGCGGCGCGGCATCTCCAGATTTGGAACCAGCCTATCACAGCCTCTGGCTCTGACGAGTTGAGCTAGCCTCACGTACACCTATTTGAAGATCGTGAGGAGGTGCTGGCGACAGCGATTTAGCGAGAAGGTGCGCAATCAATGCTGCTCATGCAAGCCGTCTTCGGACTCGCTGCCCTCGCCGTCTGGCCGCCTCACCGTTAGTCGAACCCAAGGCACCCCAGGTTAACCATCGCGTCTCCGCACGAGCGACCTTGCCCTTTTTGCAATAAGCACGCAGGCGGCTAGTCTACGGCGATCATCAGACGTTGAACGGCCCATGGCATCGAGGCGGCAGGAGGACCTCATCGGATTTATAACATGCAGGGCTTGGACGACATCTCTGGGACTCTATACTGGCCAGCAATCCACGTTACAGCACTTCTTCTTTCCAATTAGTTCTCTCTATGATCGTACAGGCACGACGGCGCACATGGCAAGCCTGTAGTGCTGCGCAGCCCCGTATGAGAACCCTCATATTCATATCCAAACATCACCACGATTTGCATTTCGAATACTGCCAGGGCGACAAGTTTTCAACCGACTTCAGATTATTCTTCCTCTCCGCCGTCCACATTCGTGCTCGGCGTCTTGCTCGTGAGCTCTGACGTGCAGCAACCTAAAGCTGCAACTAACGCTTAGGCGGACCACTCCTGATCGAGCCACCATGAGCCGAAGTCTTCCACCTTACTTTGATCACGACACCAACTTTTCGACGCCGCTAGAAAACATGTACTGGAACGCCGTCTACTACCCCAATTGGCGCATATACCGCGACCAGCCTCCCGTTTCTCTCAATTTCGATGTCATTTCGCACGTCTTCTACGCGTTCGCCTGGTAAGCCAGTTCCCCGCACTTGATTCCTGCTGCTGACACTTTCCCAGGGTGAAGCCGGACGGCACCGTCTATGTACGTTCTACAAATTACTCAATGGCAGTGCTCCGCTGACTGTCCCAGCTCAGCGACGAATGGGCAGACGCCCAGATTCCGGTGCCTGGTGTAGGAGATGTTCCAGAAGCCAAAGGGTGTCTGAACTCTTTCGCGCTACTGAAAAAGAAATATACGAAGCTGCGAGTGGTACTCTCCGTTGGAGGAGGTGGCAAAGGCAGCGAGCCCTTCGCTGCGGTCGCTCGAAACCCAGCCAGTCGGGAAAGATTTGCCCAAACGGCGTTGGGGCTGGTGCAGCAGTTCGGCATAGACGGCATCGACAGTGAGTTGCCGGTCTCACCACTGCGATCGTGAGATCATACACTAATCGCAGCGCTAGTCGACTGGGAGCACCCTTCGGATGCAAGACAGGGTGAGGATTATGTTGCACTGTTGGCGACTCTACGTGCGCATTTGCCCGCGCCGCAGTATACGCTATCCACGGCCCTTCCTGCTGGCCAATGGGCTCTGCAACACATCAACCTTGCCCATGCTTCGCACTATCTTGACATGGTAAATCTCATGGCGTACGACTTCTCCGGACCCTGGGTCAAGAAGTGCGGCCACCATGCTCAGCTCTTCACACCGCACGTACCCCACTCTGCCGAGGCCGCCATCTCATGCCACTCGGCGGTCTCCTACATGGTCCGGCAAGGTGTCCAGCCACAAAAGATTGTGCTAGGGGTTCCTGCGTACGGGCGGTCGTTTACTGGCTCGAAGGGCGTCGGCCACTCCTATTCGGGGCACGCGGGAGAGGAAGGCACATTCGAGTACCGGGACCTCCCCCGCCCGGGCTCGAAGGAGCATGTTGACGAGCAAGTCGGAGCGGCTTACTGTGTTGGTGGTGACGGCGGGTTCGTCACGTACGACACCCCGCAAACTGTCAGGTTGAAGGCCAAGTATGTGCGACAGAACGGCCTGGGCGGCTTGTTCTATTGGACGGGCACCGGCGACGCGAGTGCGCATAGCCAGAAAGACAGGAGTCTGGTGTACAATGGGTTTTTGGGACTGTTCCCGCAGTAGTGGTTCGCATTTGGGCACGCTGCATCCTCACGGCGTGAATGCATGGTCGGCAATGGGATTAAAACGAAACGGCACGGCAGGACATCGTCTTTGAAAGAAATGAAGTGATAATTACTCCTGAGAATGTGTGTTTTGCATGAAGAACACTTCCGCTTTCGAACGACGTCAGGGAAGAGCGATGGTGTACATGCCACTAGGGGTGCGCATGGGCCAGCGCGGAGCGGCTCGCGCTGTGATTCGTCGCCGTGCCTGAGAAGTGAACACACAACGGCGGGCCCAAGCGGGAGGCATGAACCTCACTCCATTGCCAATATTGCGCTATTGCAACGCCCCGCGCCGTTACCCGCCTGCTACTGCTCTCTGGAAGCTGCCCTCTACGCGTCATCTGCTGCGGCGTCGAAATTGGCCAGGAACCGCGGCGCTCGCGGGTCAATGCAGGCCTAGTTGGACTTCATGCCTGCGCCTTCATCCTCGCTGGACTCTGGTATGCCCGCCCGTCGTGAGTCCCGCTGGGCCTGAGCTGACCGCCCTCACAGCTGAATACGACCCCGTCGATCACCTGAACGCTCTCTTCGCCCACCCCTCGACGCTCTCGTCCGTGTCCGCCACCTCCGAGACGCTCCGCAGCTACCAAGATGACCTGGACGAGGACATCGCCGACTTCGTTGCCTCCCAGACCGCTTCCGATGCGGACAGTGTGCAACGCATCCAGGCCGCCAAGGCTGAGCTGGCCGGCCTGTTCAGGAAGATCGAGAGCGTGCGGGAGCGGGCCATGCACACTGAGCAGACCATCACCGAGATGACGGCAGACATCAAGCGGCTGGACAACACGAAGCGGAACCTCACGCTGTCCATGACGGCATTGAAGCGGCTGCAGATGCTCACCACGGCATACGAGCAGCTGCGGAGCCTGAGCAAGTCGCGCCAGTACCGGGAGTGTGCCCAGCTCCTGCAGGCCGTCATCCAGCTCGTGGCGCACTTCAAGAGCTACCGGTCCATCGACCAGATTGCGACCCTGAGTCGCAACGTGGCCGACCTACAGCGGGAGCTCCTGGAGCAGGTATGCGAGGACTTCGAGGTCATCTTCGCCAAGGGGGAGGTCGCACCGCGCAAGGCCGTGCTCACTGAAGCCTGCTTGGTGATCGATGCGCTCGGCGAGCACGCCCGCACCCGGCTCATCAACTGGTATTGCAATACCCAGCTGCGCGAATACCGACAGGTGTTCCGTGGGAACGATGAAGTGGGTACCCCGCTTTTCTCCGCTTCTTGAATCCTTAATATCTAATAACGGCATCGCTAACACCACGAAGGCCGGTTCATTGGACAATATCTCAAGGAGATATTCTTGGTTTAACCGCATGATGAAGACGTACGATGTGGAACACGCCACAATCTTCCCAGCCTATTGGAAAGTGAATGAGATGCTGGCCAACTCCTTCTGCGAGGGCACGCGGGATGACTTCAAGGCGATCCTGCAGCGTTCCATGCGGAGAGGTGACGGGCAGACCCTGGATGTCGACCTTCTTCTCTCGTGTCTGCAGGAGACGCTCAATTTCGAGCATAGTCTAGAGCAACGATTCTCCAACGAGGTCTGTTTTGCCTGCCCTAGCACCGAGCATAAGCTCACATGACACAGTCGCGCTCCTCTATCGATACCATGGCCTCGAAGGATGACAGGACCCATGGATTCAGCCAGTCAATCTCCGAAGCCTTCGAACCCTACATGCGCCTTTGGGTGGAGTCTCAAGACAAGTACGTTGAGAGATTATGAGGGATATCATCATAGATGCTGACTGGGGCAGGCAACTCGCGACTCTAATTCCTAAGTACCGCCAGCAGCCCTTACGTAACGCAGAAGAGGAATTCTCCTCGCAAGCCGTCATCTCCTCGTCGACCGAGCTTTTCCACTTCTACCGTCTCGCCCTGGCCCAATGCGCCAAGCTATCGACAGGGAGCAATCTGCTTGAGATGTCTACCACCTTCGCCAAGTATCTAGATCAGTACGGTCAGCAGGTCCTATACTACTTCCTTAGCGAGAAGCCCGGCGCGCAAGGTCCTTCGGTGGAAGACGCAGTCCTGATTTTGAATACTGCCGATTACTGCTACCTTACCTGCAATCAACTAGAGGAGAAGATCAAAAGCCGGATAGATGAAGACCTCAGAGCGAAAGTCGATCTACAGAACCAAGCAGATGCCTTCATGGGCATCGCTAGCGCCACAGTGCGTGTGCTCGTCAGGAGAGTCGAAATCGCATGTGAACCTAGTTGGCGAGAAATGCGCAACACGCCTTGGAGTAAGCTAGAAAGCGTGGGCGATCAGAGCACCTACGTTGCGGAGCTGTTGCGCCACGTCAAGGACAATTCAGCCGAGATTCTGAAGTGTCTCCATAAGCAACAGTATGCGCGAGCATACTGCGATAATCTGGTGGATCAGATGGCCAACACTTATATTGCCAACATCGTGCTAAGTAAGCCGATCTCGGAGGTCGGCGCGGAACAGATGTTGCTGGACTCTTACGTACTGAAGAAGGGCTTTACGGAGATTCCTACGCTCAATGATGAGCCAGGCACTGCTCCACCAGCCAGGTATGTCTCGCTACCCAGTATTACCTCTGATATGGAAGCCTTACAATCCATGCAGCTTCGTCAAACGGGCAAACCAGAGCATGTCCAAAATCGATCCCCTCCTCAAAACCCTCCAAGTCCGACCGTCCCCGCCGGAAGCTCTCGTGCAAGCCTACCTCATCCACATTGCCGACAAATCCGACACCAACTTCCGCAAAATCCTCGACCTCAAAGGCATCCGCAAGGCAGATCAAGCCCAGCTGCTCGATCTCTTCGCCGCCTTCCGCGCCTCGCCTGCCCACGCAAACCTCGTGCAGAACTCGCCGCTGCTTACGCCCCTGCAGATACAATCCGGACACATCGGCACCGGTATCGGTAGCTTGGGCAATGCATCAAGCGTTATGAGCACACCAGTCTTGGGCGTAGGTAGGTTCGATGGCTTGGGCAATGCGATGGTCAATGCGGTTAGGGATGGCGTAGATCGGTTTGGGAGCCCGGCGCCCGGACAGCAAGCGGGTGATGGTAGGGATGGAGAGAGGGCGGAGGGCAAGGCCAATTTGAATGAGAACTTGAAGAATATTGGGAAGTTCTTCCGGAGGGATGTTGGCGCATTTAGGGGGTTTGGTCGGAGCGAGGAGGGAAAGTAGGTAGCATTGTAGTGGGGGAGGAATTGATGCTCCTGAGCGACGTTTGATATCAACACCATGTGACCTAAGCGTCGTCATACCTGAGATGCGTGGGGACGAACGGCAATTGTGGGGTAGCGAGTCACCGGACTCATCATTCCACCCTGTCGTCTTTGGAACGGCCGGCCTTAGAGCCCGCCCGCCAATGCGCTGGATAACAGCCAGGCAGTGCTGAATCGCTGTCTGCAGCTAGCTCGCAGCCTCCTCTTCCTCCTCCCCCCGGCACGCAGGACAACACCACCAGTTCATTCCAATCCGCCTCCGCTCACGTGCTAAGCGACAATCATGCTCCAAGCGCGTGCGAGAAGCGGATGAGCGTCGCGGTGTCACTCCTCAACTGGGGATCTATCAATGCGTTGTATAAAGCCCGCGCTGAGTTAGCCATTCCATTCCGTTCCATTCTATCTACTCCCCTTTCCTCTCTCCCCTGAGCAAAAAAAGAGCCTCTGATCCGTTCAGTTCAATCTCTCTTGGCCTAGGTGCAGCTACAGTGCCTTGCTCGCCCTAGTTGGTAGACCAGCTCCCTCTTCCTTGACGAGGCGGTGCGGATGAGCGACCGATGGGAGAAAGTTAGGAACGTGATGAGAGGGGGTAAGGACAGGAAGAAGGAGGATGGAGAGGGTCGGGATGAGGGTGTGGAGGAGGAGAGGAAAGAGGATGAGGAGCCGCCGAAGAATGGACCGGCGATGAATGAGGGCGGTGTGCAGGAGGTGGTGGGGAGGGATGGGGAGAGAGATAAGGAGAAAGGGACGTGAATGTCTTGTTGGAACAGCGCCAGCGCCGGTCTAGAATGGACTGGTGAAGGTGGGAACGACAGAGTGTCAGAACTTCGGAAAGGATGTAATGGTCCATGCGCGGCAAAGAGAGAAGAATAGGTCGACGAGAGCGATTGCGCTACGGTTGGGCGTCAGGCCGTGCAGCTAAGCGTAAGTAAGGAGGCTCTCCTATCCACGTCGTAGAGAACGTACGAATACTTTCTTTCATCTCATATAGCTCTCTACGCAACAGCCATGCTGTCACCGACAACGGGAGTGCGTGCGCTGGATGATGATGAAGTGTATTCACCCTCCGCATATATAATGCCCTTTTTATCTCAACCAATCTCAACTAGCAAGATAACTTCATTCCACGCACACATATCTTAATTCGGAGCATACCACTGAAGCTTCCACAATGACTGAGCCCAACAACAACACCCCGTCGGGTAGCAATATTTTCATCTGCTACGGTGCTGTTAACAACTATTATCATAGTGCAGAGACTCCGTCTGCAGGGCCCAGTACTACCATTGATCGCGATGATCCTAACTTTGAAGCTCAGCAGAGGGAGAGACAGGATATTATTGCCAAAAAGCAGGAAGAAGGGGGAGGAGAGGAAAGCGGAGCAGCAACAAAAGGGTGAGGAGAGTGGAAAGCCGCAGTAGAGCGAGGAGGGGAAGAGTTAGTGACTGGATTCCTGATTACGGGTGGTTTGGGGGCCGGAGAAGCTTTCCACCTACTACTATATTTTGGCGTATGTAGAAGTCGGAATGAGTGTTGGCCTTAGTCTAGGTCTGTGGCAAGGGCTCGTGCTGTTTATATTTTCTCGTACCGCGTGAGGTGTGAAATGTTCTCATCCACCTTCTTTCCTGGCGTGCTTCGCCATGTGGGCGGAGGTGGCTGATGTGTTAGAGGCAGTTCTTGCCCTAGGGAGCATGCAGTGTCGATGGACGTAGGTGACGACGAAGTAAATGAACTGCTGGATGACAGAAGGGTAGGTGTTGTAATCCCATCTCTTCTGCGCTCACCGGTACATTCATCAACTGCCTGCACTGCACCATGTCATATCCGAGAATGTTAGGGTATTGGTGACGACGAAGTAGATGCGCTGGTAACTGCTGTCCTTGTTCTCACCCAGTATATAAATCGCCATGAATCCTTTCCAGCCTCATCAATTCCGTGCCTTCAAAGCAAAATCAATCTACAAAACGTCTCCAGCAATAGTACTGATCTATCATAGCCCCGACAATGGGCCGATCATCGAGACGCAAGAACCGCAACAATAGACGGAATGGGAATACTCAGCAGCAACGCAACAACCGGGACCAAGGCCAACCCCAGCAGAACCAGCAACGGGCAGACTATCCACATGCGTACCCTGCGACTGCCATAGCTGCAGGGGATGAGGTGTTGATTTTTGACACAAGGGTGGGCTGGGTTTTGGCAGCTGAGTTAGCAGCCAGATTGAGGGCGCTGTATTAGCAGGTCGGTGCTGGAAACGGGAGTGGTAGTGCGAGGAACTGACTGATAGTTGAACAAAGAGAGTAGGAGGGGAGTAGAAATGGGTCGTGTTAGTTAGCTTTCCACCTTCGCTTAGACGGCTGGCCTCTCACTTTTGTGTACTTCGGAATGGGGTATGAATTCTAGCTCGCGATGTCCGTGTGTTTCTCGTACTAGTAAGCAGGGAGCGATCTCAATAGTTCCTGATAATAAGCTTCTATGAGGGCATTGTGCCTGTTCTCGAGGAAAGCTGATATAATCTCTGGCGGACTGAATCTCGTCTCTGGATCCGCAGCTGTTCGCCTCTCACGCCCAGGATCCTTCGCCTGCGCCGGAACTGGATATGATTCATTGGGACACAGGCAGTTAAATGAATGTCATAGTCGCACGTGGGACGGCGCGATTTCCGCGGGAACGAGGCCTTTGAGGGTGTGGACGTGGATTGAAATTTCAGAAATCAGAATGCAAGAGAGGCTAAGCATGACTAAGGAGAAATGGGTGGACGGGGAGTACGGAGAAGAGCAAGAATCTCTTATATGACAGAAGATGTAACGCGAAAGTTGGGAGACGTTGGACTGGCTAGGCTTCGACAACCGGCGGCACTCTGGGCTGCAGACTTTCCTGATCACATTCACCTCTGTTAAGCCAACCAACTTGCTGTTCCTGCTGCAGCTTAGGATCATAGTGCGCATTGTGTGGAGTCGTGCTGCCGGCGGGTCGGCAGTTGTAGGGAGGTGACAATCTCCATTTCTCTAGGGACGTAGGAGTGAAAATGTCGGCGCTTTGGGCTCGAGCGCAGGTCGTTCGATTGACTGATATTGAAGAGACGTCGTGCTCGAGCAAACGTCATACGGAAAGGGAAGGGTTCTTGCACGTGTGAATCGCCAAGACGAGCTTAATTTTAGATCCCTGCACGCCGGCCGCTTGCCGGGCAACTTGCGTGGACCACCGAGATCCGCCATTTGCATCACGCTTCCCGCTGTCAAACCCGTCGCTGCACCTCAATTCCCACTCTAACCGGCTTTCACCCACATGGCCGAGACCCTGCCCATATAAATTAACGAGCCTACCCCTCCTCCATGTCTTTACCTCCGCCTGCCACACATCCCACGATGCCGCCGAGCAGAGGTGCGTTGCTCTTGTTTCACCGTTCCGGGAATCAATGGACCGGGCCCCGAAGCGCGAAATTGATTGCTAACGTTGAGGGGTGATTGCAGAGACCGCGAAGCATGAGTGTGTCTCCGAAGACGCGCTGCAGCACCTCAAATCGTACAAGTACTCGAGCGTCGACAAGTCCCTGATCTCACGATACATCCTGAAGCACTACGTTCGTCCCCACGCGCCTGTACCGTAGCCCGAACGTATCTCTGACGCAGTGGAATAGTGGAATGGATTCGTGGAGCTGTTGCCGCTGTGGCTCGCGCCGAACCTGGTCACTCTGCTAGGCTTCTTCTTCATACTGGGGAATGTGGCCTTGTTGGAGGTTTACGTGCCGGATCTGGTCGGACCGGTGAGCAGCCAGCACAGGACCGAAGCTATTGCGGCGGGCTGACACATATCCTGAGCAATAGGCGCCCTCGTGGGTGTATTACAGCTTCGCCTTCGGCTTGTGGATGTGAGCCCTACCATTTCCCGCCCGCTCGATACCGCGCTAACGGACGAGTTATCAAGGTATTCCACCATGGACAACGTCGATGGCAAGCAAGCACGCCGAACCGGAACATCAAGCCCGCTTGGAGAGCTGTTTGAGTACGTTGCGTCCTGCCCAATGCGCCAACACCCGGAAGCTGATGTGCGTGTAGCCATGGAATTGATTCGCTGAACTGCACCCTGGCAAGCCTGCTGGAAACGGCAGCGGTTGGATATGGTACCACCAAGACTGGCGCCTTTACGGCCCTTGTTCCGGTGCTTCCGATGTTCTTCTCGACCTGGGAAACGTACCACACACACACCCTGTATCTTGGCTATTTCAATGGCCCGACAGGTAAGATCCCAGAATCAGTAAATGGGGAACGCTTCTCATAACGTCTGCAGAGGGTTTGATCTTCGCATGCACCTTCATGTGCATGTCCGGATACTTCGGACCCGAAATCTGGTCAACACCCCTAGCCAAATACTTGCCGGCGTACAAGGAATATCTTGACGATATGACTTTCCGAGATTGCTGGATACCTATGATTCTCATCACTTTCTTCGTCGCGCATCTTCCAGCCTGCATCATCAACGTCGCACGCGCGCGTCGTGCCCAAAACCTGCCCACGCTGCCACTAATCTGGGAATGGATTCCGCTGCTCATCTTTGTTGCGGCTACCATGGCATGGCTGGGGTCACCATACTCATTTCTCCTCAAGGACAACCACCTCGTTCTCTATTGCCTTACCATGTCCTTGGTCTTTGGGCGGATGACGACTAAGATCATCCTAGCGCATCTGACACGCCAACCCTTCCCATACTGGACCGTCATGCTTGCGCCCATGATTGGAGGTGCGTTGCTGGTCAACCACCCATACTTCACTATTACGGGCACGACGTTTGGCCCGGTCTCCGCAAACTTCGAGTTGTGGTACTTGCGCGGTTACTTCGTCTTTGCTGCCATCGTGTATGGCAAATGGGCGCATCTAGTGATTACGAGCATCTGCGATTATCTCGGCATCAACTGCCTGACGATCCCGAGGAAGACAGACGAAAAGAGCGCCAAGTCAAACGGCGCGGCGAATGGCTATCATCCAGGGAAAGGTCGCAGAGACTGACTTCCAAGGTGAGACTGTGGAAGCTCTCTTCAACAACAAAATCATCATTAAGGCATCCTTACGATATTATCAAAGTCTCAATCCTTCGCTTCTTGGACATACTTTGGCGGGCCAGTCCACCTCAGCTTATAGATTCTGCACTGGCATATTGGCATCAAGACGGCTCTGCATCTGCATCATTACATAATGTCTATTGGATACTCCTAGTGGGCTAGGGACAGCTTTGCTTAACCTTATCGTTGGACGGGTACACGTAGGTTTCAACAGCTGCGTCACCCTTTCATTTCTTTGCGTTTGACTCTCGCGCACTTATTTTTGCATATGCGGCGGCTTTTTCCTTGGCTTGGAGAGGACTCAGTCATTTTGTTGATCGCTTTGGTGTTGCAGTGTAGCAAACCCGCAGCACGCAGAAGGCTGTGCAAGGTATAGCCTTCACAGCCCAACCAATCACCAGCAGGCGATCATGCATATCCGCGCCTGATCCTGCCTGTCCACCACACCTCAGGTCTTGCAATTGCCTCCTTGTTCAGCTCTGCTTTTATAAGGCCCATGGCTTGCTTACTTCGCTAAAGGTTTCCAGATAGGCACGGTTGTCAGACGGCTACACCCGTTTCGCCTGTCCCAGGCTCTAAACAGCGCCTCAGCCTTGCGGTGATAGCGGACAGGGTTGCCCAGCTGGTGGGGGCGGTGACGGGGCCGCATCTGCAATAAAAGCGCTGCCTTGCCTGTTCGTTAGAAGATCCACGCTAGTGCAGCGGAATATACGAACGATGGGGGTGCGGCTACTCAAGTGTGCAGAGTACCAGGTCGACTGCTCGACGCGGAATCAGACGGTGGAAGCGAATCCAGACATCGCTGGCATCGGCGTCCTCCTAGGCTTCCTCTGCACAACATGCGTCGCCTTCCTCGTCGCCTTCTCCGTCCTCTTCCTCGACCGCTACGAAACCATCAACACCTTCTTTCGCAAACGCTTCACATCATCCGGAGCCCCATACGCCCCCGACCCTGCCCGCCCCTTCTGGCGCACCGCGAACTTCTGGTCCAGAGTCCTGAGCAAGAACCTACTCGCCCTATCCGACACACAGCTCCTCACGGGGCTCGCCGTTCAGTTCACAGCTATGCTGAAGCACTGCGAGCTCTCCATCTACCATTTCACGATCGTAACGGAGCTGGCGTTCCTCACCACAGTTACGCACCTTCTCACCGTTGTGACCCTTAGGAACTACTTCGTCAAGAATAGATGGATCAATTTGCCGCGGATCATCTTCATGCTAGGTAACCTAGCCTTGCTCGGCTACACCTCCTTTGTCTCGTATTCCTACGACCTTGCTGGCCTAGATCTGTCCTCCTCCCTGGCCTGTTTCTACCAGGGCGAACGGCCCCGTTTCCGCGCGGCGTTTGGTGGAAAATGGGCTGCACTACTGGTTGGCGCTATCGGTGGACATGCGACGGTCATTCTTGCTATGTACGTCTTAACCGATGAAGAAGGATCAGGCATTCCCTTTAAGGAACGTATCAAGAACGGCGGTCCATGGATTTGGCTGAAGCTCATCGGCGCACTCTTCCGCACATGGATTGTTGCGCCAATTTATGCAGTCTACGGTATTGCTATGGCAGGCGGTGGGCTCAAAAACACGCAGGCACTGGGCGAGGCGACCGTCACAATCCAGGGGAGCGAAAGCCAGTGGGGATTTGGGCAGTTTTTGCCCATGTTATTGCTTGCTTTGCCCGTCTTTGCGGGTTGGGAGAGCTTCTGGGGTACGTCCTCCTACTTCTCTTTCTTGATAATGGGGAAGAATGAGTGCTAACAGCTCTACAGAGGAGAAAGACGAAGACCGCGAAAACCGCTTTGGACGATCGACGCGCACATCGCAGGCCGGAAGCCGCAGCATGCTGAACGGGTTTGAGATGCAGAACCAGAAGAGCCCCTTGATGAGGCAGCGATCGCGCGATAACTCTACGGAGGAGAGGAGGATCGAGAGCAACGGGCCTAGTCCGATGGATACGCCACGGCAAAGGTCAACATCCCGTGTAGGGGTCAGCCCACATTCGACGTCGCCTTTCCCCAGTCCACACCTGTCGGTGCCGTCGCCGGTTACGAGCCCCCTTCTGGGGAGGTAGAGCAGTCTAAGAACGTGGTTGAGGAGTCCTTTGCGGTTTGAACGGTGGCTTCGATGAAGCAATAAGACGTGAACGAAAGAATATACAATATCTATTTCTCCATAACCTAAGCGAATTCGACACCCAAGTGGCGCACCACTCACGACTCGCCCTTCCAATCCCGATACGCAGCATGCATCAGCACCACAAAGCTCTGCCCCTCCGGACTCCCCGTGGTATACTGACTGCGATTATTCCAATTCAACGGATCAACCGCCGGACTCACAATCCCCGTCCCCTCGTCAATCTTCCCATCCACAACGTCCATCTTCGTCTCTGCCCAGCTACTATACTTCTCCCCAAAGCTCTCCGGCTGCAACTTCGCCATGCGCAACGCCGTAGCCGCCAGCATCGACGTCCCCGAAATCTCGCCCCACCACGTCGTGTCGTTGAGATAGTTCCTCAGCAGGCCAGACGGATCGTGGTCGAGTGCCATACTGCCGTCGAGGATTTCTTGTATCATGGAGGAGAGCATAGCTTGCTCGGAGGCCGTGTCGTCGGAGAAAGGTGAGTACTTCATCGTCGCGAGCACGCGGGCCATCCCCGCGGCTGCCCACGCGTTGCTGGTGCTCCACAGCCCGAGGTCAGAAACGTGGTCGCCGACTATGTGCAGCCAGGGGCCCTGGGTGGTGGAGAGCACGTCGTAGTAGTGCTTGCACTGCTGCGCGGATTCCTTGAGCAGTTGGACGTCGGCGGTGGCGATGGCGTAGTACGCGAGGAAGGGCGGCGCCATGTAGATAAAGTCGGCCCACAGCTCCAGGTACGCTTCGCGGTGCGAGATGGCGCCGTTGGACCAGCGCGGGACCGAGGTGAGCATGTGCTGCGCTTGCCGGGCGGCTGCGTCCCAGTATGCGCCTGCGCTTTTGCCGATTAATAGCGCGAAGGTACCGAGGGAGGGGGGATCGCCTGCTGCGCCTGGATTTTTTTATCAGCCGTCTTGAATCTTTTTGTTTGGAGATCTTGCTGCTTGTTGGACTTACCATCACCCTCGACGAGCGTAGGCCCGTTTGTGCTGATGAACGGCTTAACGTACGAGAGCGCGGAGACATCGTCGATGTTTAAAGTAGGGATTTGCCCAGAGGGAAAGGGATCATGCCAGATGGTGAGGTTGGGACTGTGCCATTCTAGCAGGGCTTCGGCGACGGTACCGTATTCCCATGAGTGGGAGGCGACTTCAATCGCTTTTGCGAGCACGGTGGAGATTACCGCGGGCGAAACCATGTTTAGCGATGTCGGTGTATGACGGAGGGAGGGCTATGGTGGTGGGTTTGGGAAGAGGAGGTTGTGGTTCTTCTCGCCCTTGTTGGGCTGTTGTCGTCGTTTAGATTCTGTTTGCGGCGGTGGTGTGTGATGCTGTATTTTGTTTCGGGCTTCGAACGAATGGCTTCTTATACAGGCGTGAAGTTGGTCGTGGGATTATTGATGCTCGATCAACGTCCCTCCGCGGATAAATTTAGCAAGTCGCGGGCTCATCCCGTACCGTTCACCGGGGGCCATTGGACCCTGATGTTTCCCTACTCCGCATAATGGCTCTACCTGGGGACGCTTTTCTGGAGGAGACAAGCGATTCCCGGAAATTTGTGGAGGGGCGTCAGATCCGGATGTGGTATATGGGGCTTGGTGTCAGCCAATGAGGTGCTGTGGAGGGCTTAGTAAGTCCGGTGGTTGTAACAGCCAGAGGGTAGAAGATCTATTGTACGACGTGAGATTGGGGGATGACTTGAGGGTTGAAGGTAATTTGATGGGTTGCTTGGGGCTGCGGAGCGACTTTCGTATTTGGAGTTATCCTTAGATTGGGTAGGGGCGGAGAGAGTAGGTGGTGGTTATTCAGCGAGGCTGGGACGAGTTTGATGAAGAGGCGCTGAAGGGGGGTAGGCTTCTATGGTAATTGAGATAGGCTTATGATAAGCAAGATAAATAGTTCTTGGGATTCTCCGCAGGAGTGTGGATATTCCGTGGGTCAACTTTTAATCCGTTGGATCACGTGGAGCTAAGGCCAAGCCTCATTCGCCTAATAAGTTTTATCGCGGAGAAATCCTCCCACTCCAACACCATCGTTCTTTAGAAGCTCATTTCCAAGCCGCCGTCCAGTGCCTTGCGGCCTAGCCCGCCTTCTAGAATGAGAGTAGAACTGTGGAGACGGTAGCGCCCGAGTTGAGCTTCCACAAACCTCGGCTTGCCACGGCTCAAAAAATATCGCTCAAGTCACTCCGCAGACTGGCGCGCCCTACACCACGCCTCCCTACGACAACATGCAGAAAACACGGCCGAAGTCAAGCTCAGATCAAGCTCAAAGAGCCGCTTCAAGGCGAACTTCATCATGGCCGCACGCCAAAATGCAACCTTGGGTCTTCCCCGCATGTCCGGCATTCAGCCGATACGTAATAGTAATTGCATCCCCAGATCCCACTAAGCAAGACCGGTTCCGATCGTCACTATGTTAGACGTCGGCTTGGCTCGGGGGTGTGCTCCACTAAGGAGGTCCTTGCGGTGCGTCTTCGACTTCGTGTGAGACGGGAAGAAAATCTCTTCAGGCATTTCACCGAGCGACGGAAGTCTTAGCCCCCGTCCTCTCTCACTTGGGGTGCCAGTATAAGAGTCGCGTTGAGTTCCCTGGAGTCCCACGGTGCGGGTCAAGCGAGCCCCAACAATCTAGTCAATCAAACCAAAGTGGCGACCGCGAAATCTCACCTCTGAACATACGGAGTGGACAAGATGAATCGCCACGACGGAGCTGAGATCGAGAAGGGATACCCGGGCGGAGAATATGGCATCGAAAAGAATGGAGACACCGCGTATGAGGAGCCTTTCGTTCATGGCGCGGCTACTGTTGCGGAGGCTTCGGGGAGGGGAGGTGATACCCATCGCGGGTTGAAGAGTCGCCATATTCAGTTCCTGTAAGCTCACGATGTCTACCTTCCAGGATGTATCTGAGACTGATCGTGACATAGCGCTCTCGGGGGCGCCATCGGGACCGGATTGTTCGTCGGCTCAGGAGGCATCCTCGCGCTTGTTGGCCCTGCTCCGCTCTTCATGGCATATCTCTCCATGATGATTGTCGTCTGGAACGTCATGAACAACCTCGCGGAGATTGTTACGTATCTTCCCATGAAGGGCATAACAATCCCCTACTTTGTCAAACGTTTCGTGGACCCCAGTCTGGCCTTTGCCGTTGGCTGGAATTACTGGTATGCTTATGCTATCCTTGTCGCAGCCGAGGCCACTGCCGGAAGTATCCTCTTGGATTACTGGAAGACAGCGGTTCCAGCCGCTGTTTGGATCACCATCTTCCTCCTAGTCATCCTCTTCCTCAACATCGTCGCGGTTGGGGTGTTTGGCGAAGCCGAGTTTTGGTTTGCTTCCATCAAGTTTATCACGATCATGGGCCTTATCATCCTGGGCTTCGTCATCATGTTCGGAGGAAGCCCGAATGATCAAGGCAGGCTTGGTTTTCGATATTGGAATAACCCAGGCGCATTTACACCGTATCTCGTCGACGGGAATACCGGACGCTTCCTTGCGTACTGGACCGCTTTTGTTCGCGCCGGATTCGCCTTTATCACCTCTCCTGAGCTGATTGCGCTGGCGGCCGGAGAGACTATCGCTCCACGTCGAAATATCCCAAAAGCAGCGCGCCGATTCGTCTGGCGCCTCGCCATCTTTTACGGTTTCGGTTCCTTCATCATTGGGGTAATCGTTCCTTCTACCGATCCTCGTCTCCTGAGTCCGACTTCAAACGCCACCGCCTCACCCTTCGTCATTGGCATTGCCAGGGCGGGAATTGGTGGGCTGAACCATGTCATCAACGCTGCCATATTGACGTCAGCTTGGTCCGCCGGCAATGCTTTCCTGTTCTCCGGCTCCCGCGTTCTCTACGGCATGGCGCTGAACGGCGAAGCGCCCAAGATCTTCGGCAAGACCAACCGCAACGGCGTGCCCTGGGTAGCAGTCCTAGCCACCTGGACCATCGGTCTGCTCGCGTACCTCAATGTATCGAACACGGGCGCGCAGGTGTTTACCTGGTTTTCCAACATCTCCACCATCTCCGGCTTCATCGCCTGGATCGTCGTCATGATAACCTACATCCGCTTCCGCAAAGCCCTCGTCTACCACAACCTGGTCCACACGCTGCCCTTCAAGACACCTTTCCAGCCCTACTTCTGCTACTTCGTCCTCGGCATCATCAGCATCCTCACCCTCACCAACGGCTTCCAGGTCTTCTTCCCGAAAAACTGGTCCGCGGCCAACTTCCTGGCCGCGTACATCACGATCCCCATCTTCGTGGTGCTGTATCTGGGGCATAAGATTTACTTCCGCACGCCGTGGGCGATTAGGGTGCACAATATTGATGTGGTTAGTGGGAAGAAGGAGATGGATTTGCTGTGTTCGAATGATGTAGAGCCCATGCCTAAGAACGTGTTTCAGAGAGTTTGGTTTTGGGTTGCGTAGTGGACGGCGAGTTGGGGTGGGCATGCATGTGTATGTGGGGTGATTGTTGGATATAGTGCTACGTTATTAAGGAATATTCTTTGAATTTTTAGTCCTTGCCGAGTGAGATAGCGTCTCCGTAATCACGGAGGGTATCTTGCTTCATCATTCGTGGATTGCTCCTGCCACTGCCTTCGTGAGGCTGTGCTATGTAGCTGTAGCTGTGGCTGTCCGAATCGAGTTAGGCGCCAGGTACCTCGACTTCTCCCGTTCCTGATGATCGGGTTTTTCCTCTCCTTCTTTTTTTTGTTATTTTCTCAAAATTCAACCGTACTCCACGGTGAGAAAAGTGCAAGTTCCAAGAGGTTGTCTTAATTTTTGATCGAGGGAGACGGAATTGCGGACGCCCTGATACGTATGCACTCTTCTCTGCAACAGCGGGGACCCTCCTCGAAAGTGCGTCTTTCTAGTTGCTTGGACATCCAGAATGAACGGAAATCCCCTCCGATATCATCGCACCGGGTGAGCGTCGCTGAGAACATGCGACTGGAAATTGACCAATACAGTGACTAGAGCTCGAAACTCGGACCGGGAAAATTTTGGTAAAGGATTCAATGGCTGGTTTTCCGTTCAAGCGATGTTTCAATCATTCGTTATCCAGGAAGGCTGGGGCCTAAGGGTGCGCGAGTGATTTATAACCCCGCAGCTGAGTTGGACCAGTGCGGGATGCCTGATGGGGAAGTTGTATCTTCAGCCGCATTTGAGCATACGCAGTAGCACTCCGCGCGGGTCCGGTAGGTCGAAAGGAGCGTGGATATCGACTCTTGCTCTGGACGCGATCTAAGCGTTATCAGATTCATTCGGAACTGTATCGAAGGAAATAGTTTAGCACACAAAGAGAGGATCGAAGCAGCATCATGAGCATGCAACTATGAGTCCGCATCACTATTCAAAAGAGACGGAGCCCTATTATCTACCATGAACCCTACTAGCATCAGATGCCATTTCCACCACCAAATCTGCTAGTTGCTCTTCTGCGCCGGTGCTATGTTCGTACCTACGAACACCACCAAGACAGCCGCATAAGCTGCAGTGGTAGACAAGACTGTGTGGGGCTGTTCTAATTTCCACGCCGTTACCATACCGCACAGAACCACCGAGACAGAGGTCGCAACGAGCGCCGTGTACTTTGTATTGTGCAAGACCATCAGCCACATGGGGGCAATCAGGAACACTCCGCCAACCAAAGAGAAGGCCAGTCGCTTGAAAAATTCCTCCGTCTTCTGCTTCTGCGTCCGCTCCAGGCGCGTTCCTCCGATCGGCTGCGGCGTCTTCTCTACTGGCGGAGCGAACGTTTTCTCTGTAACCGACTCCAGACCGTCCGTTCTGCGCTGTTCCTCGGGTACGGTGTTCAATAAGGAACGGAAGACAGAGGCGTCTACCAATCTCTCTGTGATGACGATGAAAGGATCGTCGAGGTCTCGATGCACGCACGTCCTGATGAAGTCATTGTCTCTGGTCGCATTGACTGAGGCAGTGTAAGCACTCCCTTTCCCTGAAGACAGCATTACGAGACTTTACTGTACTGCTCGAGTAAGTCTTCCCAGCCTTTTGGCTCCGTCTTTTCATAGCGCATGCGGAGTACTTCCTGGACGAGCTTGACCTGCAGCTTGCGCATTCGCATACGGTTCAGGGCTGCTAGGTTGACTAGTAGATGCGGCCTGTTGTCTTTTCCCGGCCGCTGGTCTCGGTAGATGTCGAATAAGTCTTTTCGGAATTGCTCCACGAGCCAGCGGCCAAACTCTACGTCCCCTGCTTCTTCAACGGGATGCGGTAGCGCTACGGGGGTCAGTCAAAGCGTCCTGTGCATCTTTAAGCATTTCGGAACTTTAGAATACCTTCTGGTACGTCTTCAGACGACGGAGGTGGTCCCTGCGTAGGAGCCGGACTTTGGGCAAGGCTAGGACTAGACTCCTCGAATGAGCTCGGGCGTGTACCAATTTTGACGGAAGCTTGCTTGGATGAAGTCGGGCGGGAGATAGGCTTCGTAGTAGGCTCGGCATGGCTTTGATCTGGCCGTGGGTTTCCCACGTTTGTTACAACGCTTGCTAGACTTCCCACGAGGCTTGATGGTCTCGTCCCAGGAGCGGAGTGGGGCTGGCTTATCGAAGCGAGGCCTGTACCGGTTCGCTGCGGAAGGAAATGTCGAGCGTCTACGGTGCTGTTGTCTTGGCTGAATGTTCCTTGTCTTGGTGGAGGAGCCGCTTGCGCCGTGAGTATTGATCGGTAGCGAGCTGGATAGCCTCATACCGTAATCTTTCTCGTCCACCAGTGCTAGGCCCGATTCCTCGTCATGCGGCATTTCTAACGATCAGACTTGATGTAAACCAGTATCTATGTTGCGGAGAAGGTGTAACTGCCTCGTAGTGCAAGTAGTTCAAACGACTTGTCGATGGCTTTTCTCGGGAATTTCAGCTGGGGCTGAAAGTGACGATCAGGCTGGAAGTCTTGGCGGCGTCTATCGTTAATTCCAGTTGCTACCTAGCCTGGCTTCAGCAACAACATCCGTACTTAGAGGGTTGACAAGCTCTAGTAGAGCTATCGTGACCTTCCCTCATGAATGTCAACTTTGGCTAGTAGGACGTTTTTGCTTTGTGCTGCGTCCGATGAACGGTCCAGGGACGTGGATGGGAACCTTGGAAACCGGCTTCAGCGGGAAGGGTTCGCCGTCGAGTACCAGCCGGAGGGCAACTTCCTTCCACCGGAGATGCTGTCGCGGTTCGCGAAACAATGACTGCTGGATCGACGATGACCTGAGTTACCCAAACGTCCTGTGATCCCCTACCGGTGCCACATACCACAGTACTACTGTGGGCGTAGCTGGCAGTGCGCATACCGCAAGCTCAGCGTACATGTGTCGATGGGACTGCATGATCTAGAGCATGAATTCTCGTCCTGCGAAGTTTGAACCGTGGGAGGATCGTGAATGGATCTGGATGATGCCGAGGAACAGAAGGCTGGAGACCACCTTTCCGATCTTGGCCTAGCGTCTACGCTGGTGCAAGCGCAACGGTCCTTCTTCAGCACAGCTACATGACCGCCAGCCACGTCCAACCCCTATTTGCCTACTTTCGTTTAACACGAACCGCTATACGGCCATATGGGGCGCATGATCTCCGCAGCTAACGAACATGCTGTTTAGCGGCCCCTTCAGCTCGCCTCGGCGCTAGGAGGCGTATTGGTTAGTGCGGGACCCTCTCCTCTCACGAAGTGCCCCCAGCGCCCGGGCACGATCGAGGCACAGCTCAATCAGGACACAAGTGTAAGATTCGCTGCCTCTTTCTATCGCGCAGTCCAATCGACCTGCTCACTTTGGGCTCGTGCTTACGCGCGTGCTACGTTGTGTTTGTTGCAAGTGCCCCTCGGGCTCCAGCCTCAGAGGCGCAGGGCCGGTACCTTCCTTTTCCTTCAAATACCCCTCTTTCCGTGTTCACATTCACCGCAATGTTTCGTTCCTCGTTTCCGTGAAGCATACCCAGCTCAAGATGGCCGACGACACTCCGTGGGGAAGACGCCTCGTCATCTGCTGCGACGGCACATGGCAGTCCAGCGCCAGCTTTAAGGACAACGTCCCTTCCAACGTCACCAAATTGTGCCGCGTTATATCCCGCATTGGCACCGACGGCCACGACCCGAAGAAGAAATGGCACCAAATCGTCTACTATGACGGCGGCGTCGGCACAGGCAACCTGAGCGCCTCGGAGCAGCGACGGCAAGGCGGCACAGGAGCAGGCTTAGCGGAGAACGTGATCGAAGCGTACAACTTCATCGTTCTGAACTACGAGCCCGGCGACGAGATCTTCTGCTTCGGCTTCTCCAGGGGCGCCTACACGGCGCGCGCAGTAGCGGGCTTGGTCACCGATATTGGCGTCCTGAAGCCCATCCACATGCAGGTCTTTCCGGAGATATACCGCGCCTACATGACGAACGATGAGGGGCTTCCGTTCCGCGAGACGCAGGCTTGGCAGGATTTTATCAAGGGCAAGCTGACAATGCGTGGTCAAGAGCTGAGCAGGACGAGTGGTGGGATCCAGGGCATCCAGGAGAGGGCACAGAGCTGGGAGATCAATCCTCACCACAATTTGATCGCCAGCGAGGAGAGCAGGAAGGTTAAGGTGGTGGGCGTTTGGGACACGGTTGGCAGCTTGGGCGTTCCGGATGTTGCGTGGTTCGACAACGAGAAGTACAGAACTAAGTACGGCTTTCATAACGTGAAGCTAAACGAGAGTGAGTAAGCCACAATCGAGGAATATGCTGTGGAGTGCTAACAGTACGTAGATATCGAGCACGCGTATCATGCGCTGGCTTTGGACGAGCGCCGCAAAGCCTTCCGACCGACGCTCTGGTACATCCCTAAAGATCTCCAGGCAAGACTCGCGAAAGAAGGCAAGCCCATGCCCGAACTGAAGCAAGTTTGGTTCCCAGGGGTACACATAAATTGCGGCGGCGGCTCTGACGACTGCATCAAAGACATGAAAGGAGACCTCGAGCGTAAATATACCCCCTTCCCCAACAACCTCCAAAAGAAAGCCTGACAACTCCCCCAGACCTCTCCACCGCAACCTTCACCTGGATGCTCCAATGCATCGCCCCGCACATCACCATCGACCAGGCCCAGTTCAAAGCCTGGCTAGCGCAGTACGAGCGCTGGCTCGAGAAAGTCCGCTACTCCTGCACCTACCACCACGACACCTGGCTCGACTGGGCCAAGAACAAGATCCCCACCATCCCGCTCCTCAACCCCGCGGAAAGTGAGCTCGCGCCGCCGAAGCGCGACCCGCCGCACACGCACCCCGGCTTCGACTACGGCTGGGGCACTGGCCCTATCGTGGACTCGTACGGCGGCATCTACCTGCTGAACGGCGAGCTGCGCCGCGTCCCGGGGCACTGCCAGGCTGAGATGTTCGACCTCGCGAGCGGCGAGACGAAGCTCGACGATATCAACAAGTACGGCGAGACGAACGAGTACATCCACCCCATCTGCGAGTATCGCAAGATCATCCGCGGAGCCGAGGATAACTCCGCGCTGAAGAAGTTCACGCGCAAGTGGGAGAAGAGCGATGGGAAGGGCCGCTTCTGGTGGTATCGAGAGGGCGATCCGAAGCCGGTGCCGGAATGGGTCATTCTGAGGCATGTGGACGGGGAGGTCAACTTTGAGAGGACGTGGTATGAGCAGTGTGAGAAGACGGAGAAGATGCTGGGGACGCTGAAGAAGGCGAAGTATGAGAAGGACTTCTTGGCGGCGTTGGATGAGGTGAATGATTTCAAGGTTGGGGAGAGGGAGGGCTGGGTGTATCCTTGAGGTTGCGTGGGGTGTTTATGCAGGTCACGGGTGTCCTTCGAAAACTGGAGTCTCGAGAATTCTGTATTCGCTGTCTATCGCTGAAGAGACTGTCCAGACAAATCTAAAATGAAAATGAGCGCTTATCCGTATCTTCGCAACGCCAACCATTCTCCAGACACCCCCGCTACGTCAACAGCAACTTTCTTCAGCCGCTTGAGACTCCTTCCGCGCGGTCAACCTGAACATTAGGCTCCTTGCGCGCTTCCTCATAGTGCGCTCGAATCCTATCCGCCATGTGCTTCGAGCCACCCTCCGTGAAATGACCCTTCTTGTTCTTCGCCGTCTTCTGTGCATACCTCGCCGCGCGCGGGAACATCTCCTTCTCGTAGGCCTGCAGCGCCTCATCGAGGCTCTTTTTCCCTTTGCAGGCAGCGACGATCTCATGAGCTAGGACTAGAGAATCAGTCATGCCGACGTTGACGCCCACGCCTGCGAATGGGGTCATCAGATGCGCCGAGTCTCCGATCAGAGTGACGCCGGGGCGGGACTCCCAGGTGAAGCCAACCGGAAGCTCGTATAGCGTACGTGGGATGAGATAGTCCGTCGACTCCATGACGACGCGCTTGAGATCCTTTCCGGCGTGGGAGAAGTGCCTCTCCATGAACTCCTTGCGCGCAGCGTCCTTGTCGTTCCAGTCGATGCTGCACGTCTCGATGAAGTCCTCCGGGACCCTGAGGCACGCGTAGGTACGCTGACTGCCGTCACCCTGGCGCTGGGAAAGGATGGCACAGCCCTCGCCGAACGAGAAGCACGAGCCGTTGCCGACGTAGTTGCGCAGCCAGGGATTGCTCTTGACGTCGTTGCACCAGACCTCGATGAGTGAGATGCCGGAGTAGTGGGGCTTGGTGTCGGAAAGGAGATTGCGGACTTTGGACCACGCGCCGTCGCCGCCGATGACGAGATCGAAGCCCTCCTCCTTGCCGTCCGCGAAGACAAGATTGAACTTCTTCTCCTCTGTCTTGCTCGGCACCACCTCGTTCAGCTTCTTGCCAAACTTTATGCTCCCCTCCTCCAAGCTCTCAACAAGGATCTTCATCAGCGCCGCTCGATCGATCTCCGGGCGTCCGGCAAACTTCTCCTCCTCGCTCTCGCCCACCTCCTGCTTGTCCGCGCCATTCTCATCCCAGCAGACTTCGCCGCCAATGTCGACGAGCTTCATCACGTCAGACTCGGGCCGTGCGTGCTTGACGAAGGCATCCCAGAGGCCGGCTTCTTTGAGTGCGGCTTGGCCGGTAGTTGGGTGCAGGTCGAGAGTGCCGCCGGCGTGGCGGAGAGAAGACGCCGCTTCATAGATGGTGAAGGGGATGTCATGGCATTTGAGGAGAGAGGCCAAAGTGAGGGAGGCGGGGCCTGCGCCGATGAGGGCGATCTTGGGGGTGGACTTGGTGGTTGTGGTGGACATTGTTGAGATGGTGTTGGTGGAAATTTGACCGGTGTCGTGTTATCGTAGTGGAAAGTTCAGATGTGGTGGGTGTGCCGAGTCAAAGCTTCAGCTATGCTGTGAAGAATACTGTCTTTCTTGTTTGTAGGACGGTTATCGCGGTGGCTTTGCTAAGCAAAATCTCGCAAAAGTGATGAGCGTAAGCGGGAAATCGTTGAAAAGTGTTGGAAATTGGTCGAATTGTGCTTGGTGATGATATCCAATTTGAAGAGAACCCACGAGACCTTTATACTTATCCATTGAGTGCGTGTCTTACGTCTGTTTCGAGCATTTCGGTCGCATACGCGTGTCTCGGGAGCGTGGCGCTCTGGTGTTGAGCCTTCGGGCCCGAGCTAGCGCGCGAGCGACCGAAGGGCCCCCAACACCGACCCCCTCAGGGTCCGCAAGGCAGGCCAATGATTGGCCCGTCCAGAATCCTCGAGCTGGTAAGGCTGTCTGGGCGTTGCTTGTCGAATTCTTGTTCGCCCCCGTTGACGTTAGTGGATCGGAATTGCGCATGTCAGGCGGACTTTACGGGCAATTTACTCCTCTACGGTACTAGCTCATGATTTGACCAGAGAGGGAGGATTCGTTCTGGCACTGCGTCCAACGCACTAAGAAAGATGTAGTGTACGCAATTCCCTGGCGATATCGGCACATACTCGAGTCCTGGCGGTGAGGACTGAGACGCCGCCCCAACGGTGCGTACGCGCGTATGCAGCTCCGCGTTTTCCGTTCGCATGCGTATCCTTGGCATATGGACTGCTGTCGGAGGTGAGATAGAGTCGCACACTAAGCCTCCTTGGCGATGCTTGACTTGCTGCCAAGGGCGATTGGGTGAATGTGCATGGCGGGGTAACACTAGCGCCCCAGAAGGTTAGCTGCCAGGCCGGCTTTTCATGGCGCCACTCTCTGTCACCATCCAATTGACTCCTACTCTCTCGGTTCACAATCCGCCCGCTCGACGACGCTCCTGAGTCCCGACACTTCAAGCCTGCTCGTGCTATAAGACCGTACGATGCCTGGCGGACCTGCGTAAGCGCATGCAATGGAGGGATCAGTCGCGCGCTCCGAAGCCAACTGCAAAGAACTGGTGATGTGCTTCTCATTTCTCCTGGTTTCTCGCCGCATTGAAATCCCATTTGTCTTTCATTTCATTCGTTGTAAGCGCTTGCTCATTTGCGTGCAAGCCCGGGTGAGCCTTTGGCCCTTGAAAGCCGGCGGACAGGGAGGAAAGGACAAGAAGCCAACATGGCTGGCCGGGGGAGCGAATGAGGGGAACGGCAATGAAATGAAATTCGCAAGCGCCCAAATGCTTTTGCGGGGTCGAGATGCCGAAATTCAGGAAACATGGGGGAGGCGTTGAAGAGAAGCGGAAGTAAAATGAGTAAGTAGGAGCCTTGGAGGCTTGCTGAGTCGTGTAGGTCCTTGTGATCAACAACAAGAAGGGTAGGTAGTTCCTGCCCTCACTGGACGACCCCGATCGTGCTTGCCGTTCAAGCGCTGCTAACGGCGTCATGGAAATTGCACGGACGAACGACGCCAATTGGTCCACCGCACCGAACTCTTCAGCTTCTCATTTCGACCTTACACTTACACCTGTCGTGTGACCCGTGCCTCGCTAGGCCTTCTGCTCGAATCTGTCGCTTGTCCTCTTGGGAAAAACGCTCTTCTCGCATCCAAGACCTCCAAGACGCTCACCGCTGGCTTGGAAGCGCGCCGAAACTGCAGTCGTTCCCGACGGCCGACGCAGCACAGCATGCTCGAAAACGCAGGGAGAAGGACACCGTCGGGACGGACCCTGCGTCCCCGCAGTCGCGAATCTCGTGGCTCCTGAGAAGACGGCTCTCACGTCGCACAAGAGATGGATAGGAGATGCCGCGGAAGGCAGGTCGGAACAGGCGGCTTTTGAACGGTGAGGTCCCCGCCGCACAGCTGTGCTCGCGATCCTCGCCGCCAACAAGCAATCGAACGGTTCGGCCAATAAACAACACCCTGCTGGCGAATTTCACCCGCGAAGCGACGTGCAGCGCTGCCCCTGAGCACGCACGCCGTTCCCGCGTTCCTGATTCTGTTCCTGCAGCAGCGCCTGGCCGTGACCAGAAATTCCCGAGCGCCCAACGCCCACATGGTCGCCGCCGTCGCCCGCTGGAGATTAGACTGCGCGTGGTTGCGATGTGTCATTTTACATGCTCTGCTTTCGTCGGCGGCGCGGGTGGACGACTACTGAACGCCTCTGGTCTTTGATGAAGACCAAAGCCGAATGTTCCGCCGCTCATCAGAAATACGAGGCTGCCCAGCGAACCGTCCGCTTGCCCTCGAGGGCGGGGAGATTGTGCTCGCATCGCCCCAAGCTGCCAGCTGGAGCCGTTGCGAGATCCAAGGGCTCAGCGCGCTCGCAGGATTCCCATCCCACATCTATCGATTGCTCCAATTCGCCGCACGGCGACTTGTGACGCAGTTGTGCCGGTGTTGTGCATCCAACTGGCCTGTCAGGGGAAATTGACGCTAGGCACCCTAGCGACGCGCTAACTGCAAGTAGGCGGCGCCTCAACCGAAACAGAACAACTTGGTCTGGGGAAAGGCCAGAGCTCATTTCACGACGCACCCGTGCTGTGCATCATGGCTGCTTCGAGCCGTAGTTTGGCGCCGCGTGCTGCTGCGTCATGCCGTTTATGGGCCTGCATCGACAGTGCTTAATTTACGAATGGACAGACCCCTAATCGCCAAGGTCAGCAGGGCCATGGCGACGGCTATCAAAACCGCTGCTCTTCCTCCTCTCTTTCGTGTTGCTGCGCAAGGCTTCTGTACGTCCATAGCCTCGCACGCTCAAGTCCTTTGGCCTTTGTGCCGTCGTCATTCGTTTGTCCAGTCGCTCTCTTCACTTAATACCTCGTCACTCGCTTTTGCTCTACGTTATAACGAATAATCACTGCCCTAGCCGTCGCTATTCTTAGTAAACAAAGTCAAGATGAAGGGTCCAATTGTTGCTGCTTCGGCCGCACTTGTCGGTTCCGTGGTGGCCTCGCACCCGGCGCATGCTGGGTTCCACCTTCGTCGTGGATATGAATATGCGGAGGACCAGGTGTGCGAGGTCTCCACAATCTACACGACTATTTATGTGACTGCGAGTATGTGAATCCAATGTAGCAAGAGGAGGAAGAACTGGAAAACCACCAAGTTTAGAACAACGAAGGACGTGGAAGCTGATATACCGCAGTGCCTAGCATCGCCCCGAACTCAACCATCTACGTTGTACCAACGCCGATTCCAGAGACCTCGACGCCCTGCCCTGAGGAGTCCAGCAGCACGCCGATTTACACTCCACCAGCCCCATCGTCGAGCTCAGTCGTCTACGTGCCTCCTCCCCCTCCTCCCACCTCTTACAAGCCGGTGGCTCCGTCCTCGATCTATACTCCACCCGCATACACTCCCCCGGCGGTGCCTTCCAAGTCCGCCTACGTTCCAAAGCCCAAGCCCAGCAAGCCCGCCCACGGCGGCGGCGAATATGGCCACCGTATCACGCCCAACGGCCAGAAGTGGTCCATCACCTACACACCCTACGCGTCGAACGGCGACTGCAAGTCCGCCATGGAAGTCCAATCCGACATCGCTAAGATCGCGAGTCTCGGCTACACCACGATCCGCAGCTACAGCACCGACTGCGGAGTCTTCGACAATGTAGTCCCCGCCTGCCAGAAGCACGGCCTCAAGGTCATCTACGGCATCTTCCTCGACGCGAGCAAGGGCCCCAACTCGGCCGGCGCCAACGAGCAGCTCCAGGATATCATCGACAATGCGCCAAAGGACAGCATGGCCATGCTCATCGTCGGTAACGAGGCCATTTTCGCGCACGGCGTCCAGGCTGGCGACCTCGCTGCCTACATCAAGGTGTGCAAGCAGAAGTTGCTTGATGCCGGCTTCCCCTCCGATATTCCCGTCACGACCGCTGAGCCCGTCGGCACCTGGGAGGAATACGGTGCCGCGCTCTGCGACGTCATCGATGTGTTTGCCGCACAGGTTCACCCCTTCTTCGATGGCGGCATCACCGCTGGCCAGGCCGGCGACTTCGCGCTCAAGCAGATCGAGCAGGCGGCCAAGGTGTGCCCAGAGGCTGCGGCGCGCGGCAAGTACATTTCCGAGATCGGATGGCCGAAGTACGGCGAGGCGAACGGCGCGGCTGTTCCCGGTGTGAGCCAGCAGAAAGAGGCGATTGAGAGCATTATTAGCGCCGTGGGCGAGTTCGCGTGTATCTTCTCCTTCCAGGACGACGAGTGGAAGGAGCCGGGTGCGTTTGGTGTTGAGCGAAGCTTCGGTTGTGCGGATATCCTCCCGTAAGCGCGCTCAGTTGCATGAGCGAGAAGGTTAGGACAAAGGGAATCGATGATGACGGTGCCCTTACACAGACCCGCCACTCTTGTACGATCGAACACATCGTTGTCAAGCTTTTTATGGTCGTTACGTTATGTGTTTACGCCTTGTGCATTTTTGCATCTTACTCTTCCTATCGAAGTCGAATAGCGGCGGCTTATAACGGGGTAGTTTCTAGTGTTTAATTTCTTAGTATCTATCTACTATGTGTATCATAGCATCGATGCATCGAATCAAATCACAGTTTGACGTGCAATTGTTTCGGATGTATTACATGGATGTGAGATGTGTTATCCCCTGATAACGAGTTTGTTCCTGGGGTAGTAATTTAAAGGAGATGAGGAAGACGGGTGGTGGTTGCAGGGTTCATTTCCACCGTAGATGCCCAGCACTTATTACACTGCTCACAAACATTACAACACTACAGTAGGTAGGCTTAATATGTCGAGTTGCCGTTTGACATCGAAGATAATTCGTCCATACAGTATGATAAATACCGTCTTCCCATGGAAACAGCCCCGCTCCAGCGATCTCCAACCTTTCCACTCCCCACCAGACAACAACACAGAACAAACAAACTCATCCAATGCCGCCCAAAGCTCGCACCAAATACCCCGCCCTATTCCTCCAGTGCCTGCCCAATCAACCACGCGAGGCACCTATCATGGCTCACTGCCGCCGTCCCCCTGTGGCCTAGACATAAGCACATCGCCGCTCCAAACTCCCCACGAAAGCTCCACATCCCCATCCCCCTTCCCTTCCTGCACACCATCCACCCAAGCCTCCACCAACCCCGCAACATCCTCTCTCCCAACCACCCCCGCTTCATCAACCACCACCACCGTCACCAGCCACTCGCCCGCCGCCGCTGCATCCACCATCGGGTGCGCTTCCGGCTGCGTCGCCGCGCCCGCGTCGCGGTACAGCGAAGTGTGCAGTTTCAGCGCCGCTTGCTTCGCGCCTAGGAAGGAGAGCAGGGAAGTCTGGAGCTGCTGCACGTGCGGTGGAACTATGCTGCCGGTGGTGGTGGATCCGGCCTCGGGATTCGGATTGACCGACAGCACGATGAGGAAGTTTGCCGGCGGCGTGCCGGTCTCTGCGTGCGAGGGGGAGAGCGGGAGCGCGAGGTCCTGGAACGTGCCGCTGATATTGGTGTTGCTTGCTACGTCGACGTAACACGTTAGCAGTAGTCCATCAATCCATCCATCCATCTAGAAGGAAGAGCAACACATACCCCCCAAACCCCCCATACCCTTATCAACAACCTCATAAACCTTAAACCGAGCATCCACAACCTCAAACACACTCCCCTCCCTACCGACCGGCACCTCGCCCTCCCGCAACGTCCGTGTATTCTCCAAGTCCAGCCGCCGGTTCACGCCGTCGTACAGCGGGCTGCGGACGAAGCCGATGTCGTCGACGTGGCACGTGTAGAAGTACGGCGTCAGGCCTTTTTGGTCGTCGTGGCTGTATTTGGAATGCGCGGAGGAGGAGGAGGAGGAAGAGGACGGGGCGACGAAGCGCATGGCGCCTGTGACGCTGCCGTGCGAGGAGGCAGGCAGGTGGAGTAGCTCTGGGAAATGCAGTTTAGTCCAGCGCAGGAAGAGGGCTGCGGTTTCGGGGCTGGGGGACTTGAGGCGCGGTTGCACGAGCATGATGCCCGGGCGGCGCTGGGGGGTGGGGTGGGAAGCGGTCATCTCGGATGGGGATGGCGGTTTGTTTGATGTTGGTTTATCGTCCGTCGTGCTTGGTCGAAAGAGAGAGGATAGGATGTATGGTGCTTGATCCAACGAGGGTATCTTCCGCGTCCGCTAAGCAGCAGTGTGCGTCCCTTCGATCCCCTCGCTATATAACCCACCTCCCCAACGCAACGCAGTCAGTTCCTCACCACCCAAGCCCCCATCTTGCAAACGCACCCTCTTCACCGCAATCCCCCGTCCACGCCGAACACAAGGCACGATCCACACTCCTCCACCTCAGCTCCGCTACGCTCAGCCCGCGTTTGCTCTTGTAGGTAAACTAGACCCCCCTCCCTCCTCGCTGTAAACCATTCCTCGCACCTAAATTCCATGGCCATCCATGCAGAGCACCCTACCCACCACACCAACCACTCCCAGGCCCTCCTCCTAGGTCCTAATCCCATCTCCCACCCACCCCATCTAACCCCAATCCGCTCTAGGCTAGCGCCTGGGTACTCCCCCCTCTACCAGGGTCCTCTCCAGCCCATCCCTGAACGCACCAAGTCCCCTTCTAAAAGGCGCGATCCAGACCCATGCGGGTCATCAAGCTACTCGAGGGCTGAGATGGCGCTACTACCGAATGCCTAGTTCGCGCTCGTGAGTGGATGGTAGAGGAAAGATCGTTTGCTTTGCTTTACACGCCTCACAGAAAGGGCGTTACATAGCTTCTTCCAGGTTTTTGAGCCAATCACAAGGGCAAGAAAAATCACCTGATTTATCCACCCAAGCGTTAAGATTCTGAGATTCTGGGGATTTCGAGGAGGGGAGAGCGATAAGACACGGCGGGAGAGAGAAACAGTACCTACCTCATCCGAGAAGATCTTTAACCACCAAACAACAATTCCAGGAATACGCCCATTAGCTACTAGAGCCCAATCGCACAGTTAAATCCCAGGAAGAACCAAGCCATTCAAACCGTACCAAGGAGCCAAAAGTCTAGCCGGGATATCCAGCCCAGGTCCAGAACAATGCGACGACGCAATACAACGCGCCCATCTTTTCCACGCAACCAAGTCCTAGCCCGGGGCTGAAGTATTCAACGCTCTCTCATTCCTAGCTGTGAAGGCCACAAGCCACTAACCCGTGAAACCACTACTCATCAATGCTAATACAGAGGAAGGAATAAAGCAGATGCCCACACAGAGTCTGCGCTGGGACCCCCTCCAAGAAACTGCTTGCTTCCCACGGGCAAACCTCGGAGAATAACAAAAGACCAGCCATGCCCAGCCCGATTTCTGTGCTCTTAAACGCCGGGTAGACATAGACCCTTACAGCCCCGAAAACGTACAAACGCCTGCTAAGCCGCCTCGTTCCCCAATCCGACATTACCCTCATCTTCCACGTGTGGGCCGTTTTCCTACGACGTCCTCGTCAGATGCAAGAAGATGGTGCATTTCTCAATTTCCACCTGATCTTTGGGATCTTTGGGATCTTTGGGATCTTTGGGCTCTGGTTTCCCCTTTCGATCCTTCTCCGCAACGATCTCCACTTCGACGCGATTTACGCCTGCCATGAGCTTGGCCTCAAAGACTGGTTCGCCTTTCTTCTTGCCACCTTCATAGCCTGGTCCCATGGAGGTGCCGTTGATGCCTGCGGTAACCGGTATTCGATTCACTTCGAACGTCTTATTGCCATTGACGGTCACGAACAGCCGATAGAGGCGGTTGGTGAGCGCGATGGGAACGTGGGGCACGATTTGGAGGTACGAGTAATTCGGTGACAGAATCATCGTAACGCTATGCGAGGTTTTCTGCTTGTTGGCGAGGACATTGACAGACCATGGCTTCGGCAGGTTGAGCGCAGGATGAGTGTTGAGAGTTATCTTGGGAATGAGGGCTTCCTCCACACCTGGTCGGTGTTAGCAAGCCAATCAACGTCCTGCAGCAATGGATATACTTACTCTTCAGCGGCACCTTCCTGAGGTTCTCGAAGTGAGGCGTCGTAGGAGGGACATAGTAGTTCGGTGGTGGGTGGTACTGATTGTAGGTTCCAGTCTGCTGGCCGATCGGTCCATTTGGATGCGGACTGCCACTTGCCGGTCGGGATATTGACTGTGGCGGAGGCATGACAGGGTGCGGAGTCTGCGCTGGCACGCTTAACCGCTGGCTCTGACTGTCGGATGCGTTGCTAGCTGGTCTGATAGCATTTAGTGCCGGGGATTGCACATCGTTCTTGATCCCATTCACAGCCGGAGGCGATCCTGCGGTTCTGGACTGCGCGGCAGGCAATGGGGCGATGGTGGCGGCAGCTCCCCGCGAACCGCTGAACGGATTGCTAGATGCCGAGGGAGTCTGTGGTTTGCCAGCAGATGATGGTCGAGGCGATCCGGTGCCATTCATGCTATCCAGGACATGGCGTTGCTGCCTCCTAAGAGCTTCATTGTCCACGATGACACCAGGAGTGGCAGAACTACGCGCAGCTGGAGTATTTGGATCTGATACTGGGCTTTGTCGCAACTTCAGCTTCAACTGCTGCTGCTTCGGAGGTGCTGGCACGGGAGACGGAGCGGCGACCGACATATTGAGCTTGAGCTTCGGCTGTGGTGGCTCTTCGACTTTGGCCTTAGCTTCCGCTAGCCGCTTCTTGAACAAAGCCTGCGTCTGTGAGCAATGGATAGTAGAACATTCTCAGGCATATGCATACCTCGAGCTCAAGGGATACGTTGTAGATGTCGCTGCCATCCTCATTGTAATCTCGAGCGTTGATCCATATCAAGCTCGTTGCCTGTTCAAAGGCATCCCAGCTCTTCAATTCCGTGATACCGGTTGGCGGATTGCGGCCAACGACGCCGCGAACTTTCTTCTGTACCGCCGAGAGGGACATGGGCTCCTTGATCAGTTGATAGTAGTCCTTCAGCGACCGGCTAGGCAGTTGCACGAAGGGCTGGAAAATTGGCAGACCGCTCCTATAGCAGCGTCAGTTATGACCAAGTATGTGAAGCTTGCCCACTACTCACTCTGGCTCTACGTAGTCGATCAGCTCGCGAATGATCCGGTCCTGCACTTGCTGGAAGGTCTTTCCCGCAAAGTCCGGGTTATCATCTGGTTCTTCCGGGGCTGTTGACGCTGAGTGGCGTAGCTTCGAAGGTGCTGGGGTGGTTTGTGCTGCGGTAGCCGCCGCTCGTCGCGGTCTCTCGGTGGAATCTGGGGTAGGAGCCGCAGGCCGGGGTGTCGAAACCGCAGGGCGAGGGGCGGGCTTCCCCGGGGGCGTTGCCTCTTCGCCGGGTACGGGCGTAGCAATCGCCTGATAGCCTTGTATACGGTATGCGGGGTTGTGCTTGACCATCCAGTTCGACGCCGTCTTGCGGAGACGCTCGGCATCCTCGTAGATGAGGGACTTCTTGTCGTTGTACGCCTTTGCATTGTTGACGAGCCGCTTGCAGTCGCTCTCGACCTGCGCAAGTGTGGTGTATTCTCCGCGGTTGAGCTTGTCCTGCAATGACAGTCAGCAATTCATCCTCGAGCTGGGTGCGGTATATCGGCTCCCATGCTCAAGGCAGGGTGTATATAGGGGTATAGGGCCCAAGAAGGCTCAATGTGAATAGATGTGGACAGTGTGATCTCTGCTGTGGGCATTGTATGCGACATGTAGGTGCGGGCATCGTACCTCGATAGTGTCGATTGCAACGGGGAGCTTGATCACGTCGTAGTACTCCGGGATCTCGTCCTATGCGCATCTCGTTAGCGGGGCCGACGCGGGACGCGGGGGAGCGTGTCCAGGAGCGTACCTTGTCGGGGAGCGTGAGGAAGTGCACCGCAATCGGGCGGCCGCTGCAACCTGTCAGTAACAATTCGTGCGGCAGCCGGGCAGAGCGAGTCGCTGCTCAGAGCGCGGCCAGCCCAGACGAGGGCGCGGGCGCAGGGCACTCACGTTTTGTCCTTTGCTTGCTTCAGGCTCTCCAGGAACTTCAAGCCGTTGGTCGTCGTCGTCTCCGGCGTCTCTGAGGCGGGCTCCGCGTCGGCCTGCACTCGCACAGTCCATCGTTAGCATTCGGCATTCCGTCTTCCAAATATCCCTCCCGGGCCATCTTCGCAGGCATCGCCGGCGGGGCGCTCGCGGTGTTGCGGCGACGAGGGAGGGGCTGGGGCTGGCGGAGGGTGAAGGTCGCTCGCTCGTCGAACCAAGGCGTCGCGCTCCACGTCCAGGAGCCCTCCCGCATCGCGTCCGTCCGTCCCTCGTCGTCTCCGAGCCACCGCCGACAATGCTACCACCGTCACGGAGGGCTGCACGTACCGGCACTTTCTGGCGCTTCGCCGGGCGACCCTCATTTTCGGCCACCGCGGCGCTGGCGGCTTTGCGCTTGGCTGCGCTCTCCATTTCCCCCAAATCGCCGTCGCGTAGGCTATCCGAGCGGTAATTCGCAGGCTGGCTCGATGGCAGCAGGTCAAGGGCGGGTGCAGCCGTGTGCGGAGTCGTGCTCAACTCTCAACACCTGGGCAATGCGACGCGCACCTGCACCCTTGGAGGCTAACCTGGGAAAGGTGATCCGAGCTCGGACCCTTTTCGCACATCACGTGATCCGCAAACATCCATGGATCCACCTGCGCATGCATCAGTCCATCGCATGCAGGTGTCCGTCCCACATTCACAGGAGCACCAATGAGAAGGAATATCAATCTGTTTGCGTCTGATTCGGAACTTGCCGACCGCTATCCGGGACAATCGTGTCTTAGCTAATCGCCCTGGTCACTTGCAACCCAGTATCCCAAAGCCAAAGAAATCAACTTTAAAGCAAGTGACTCTGTGCCCCTAAACCATGTCGAGAAATGTACTGAAGCATCATAAGGAGACAAAATCTCAGACTTGGACTCAGCCCTTCTTGGCCGCCTCGTTCGCCTTCTTCTCGAACTCCTTCTGGGCCTCTGCCTCCTTCATCTCTCGCACCTTGGCTAGCACCACTTCTCTGAAGATGGCCGATTTGGCGATCCTGCTCAAGCGCCCGGGCGACTTGCCCAGGGTGCTCGCAGAATCACCCGCACTCTCTGTTGTCGTCAGACCCTTCTCGGTGCTGTGTGCCGCTAACGCCTCACCCGCTGCCTCGCGCGCGTTGGCAGGCATGTCTGCTTCTCCAGGAACGTCGTCTTCTTCGTCCTCTTGCATCTTCAGCGCTTCGATGCGGTTGGCAAGCTTGACGAGCTCGATGCCGCGCCTGAGTCGGGCCTTGGCAACGTATGCGCGGATCTCGGGCAGTAGGTTGTGGTCCGAGGCAGTCTTGCCGCTGACCCAGATGTGCTTCAAAGCGTCCTGATGATGATTAGCCCCATGGCACAGAATGAAGCGCTGAATGCCTTACCTCGCTATTGGGTCGCTTGTCGGGATTTGGTTGTAGAAGCAGCGTGATGAACTCCTTCGCATCCTTGCTGACGTCCTTCCAATACCGCTCGTGGAAGATAACGCGGCCGTTCTTGCATTCCTCGATCAAATCGGCCAAGTTCTCTGATCGGAAAGGGGAGTATCCGCATAGGAGCGTGTAGGTGATGACACCCATGGACCACATATCAACGGGCTTTCCGTGCCCCTTCTTGAGCATGACTTCGGGGGCGGCGTAACCAAATGAGCCAGCCATGGTGGTGAGGACCTCGTTCTTAGAGTCGAGCATCTTGGCGATACCGAAGTCGGCAAGTACCAGGGAGGAGTTGGGGTCGGGCGAAAGATACAAGAGATTCTCCGGCTTGAGATCTGGACATAATCAGCATCACGATTGGTGCGTTACAGCCAAGGCACCAACCTCTGTGCACCACGTTGTTGTGGTGGAGATAGTTGACGGCATCGAGCACTTGTCGGATGGTCTCGGCCGCGTCCTTCTCCGTGAACTTTCCCTTCTCGCAGATTCGGTCGAACAGCTCGCCGCCAGTCGCCAACTGAGTTACGATGTAGTATTTGTCCTGCCAGAGTCAGCTCCCAACCGCCATACTATATCGGGCTTGTGCCCACCCTCGACTCAAACCAGTCATGGAACTTGACAATGTGCGGGTGGTGCATGCGCTGAAGCATCTCCAGCTCGTCGTAGACCATCTGCTCGTTGCCGCGCACGTTCTTCTTCAGGATGATCTTGACCGCGACCTTGCCCTCGGGGCAGTCGGCCTCCCTGACAATGCCATATGTGCCGGCGCCCAGTGTCTTTCCAAAGCGGTATCGAGATCTGCGATCGGTGTTCTCAGCATATTTGTCGCCTAGGAGGTATTAGAGGTGCGCGAACTTTCTGTCGTAGCTGTCGGGCTGACCGTGCAGCTTGTTCAGCATGTTTGTCACTGCGATTCGGTCAGCAATCGTTCGAAAACAGACGCCACGATAGAAGAAGGGCGCACAACTCATTTTGGGTGTGTGGCTCGCAGCGCACTTGCTGCGCTGTTTCGAGGCTGAGAGTCAAGCGGAGCTGCCTGTCAGGCGGAGCAGGTATCGTGGTGGGGGTGGTGAGGGGTAAACGATAGACGCTGCAGGCTGATCAAGGCAAAGAAAGTATTACTAGGCGGGTGGAGAGGAGGTTGCGTGTGTCGTAGGGAGAGGGATGGAGAGAAGAGACAAGCTCAGCTCAGCAGCTTAAAGTGTTGTCGTGGGGTCGTGCCTGCCGCCGTGGGTTGGGGGCCGCGTTGCGCTGTGTGTGAGGCTGAGCGCTCCCTAATTGGCTGTGCAGCTCTCACCACCAGAAAGGTGGATTCAATGGCCTATGCAGGCGCAGCCGGGAACGGTAAAAGCGGCATCAGAGGATACAGAGGGCTGAGCAAGGCTTCTTCGATACAGCTCTGGTGCATCCTCTGGGGTTGATGGTTCTCTGCATCTCAGGAGAGGGCTGTAGCGCTGCCAGATTCCAAAAATTACACCTTGTCAATACCATTGCGAGCTGCGACCTGGCGCGTCGCGACGCCGTAAATGTCCTGTTTCTACACTGAAGATGCGATCTCGCATCATCCCGTAGACAAGACATAGGCGAATCTGGTCCAGACCAAGCCCTAGTAGGCGCAGGGATCTGCTCAGGGAAGCCGGCCGTGAAAGGGCGGACAGGGATGATGTCATCGCGACATAGGGAAGGCGCACCGTCACATAAAACCTGCCCATTCAACTAGAACACCGCGCTCATCATTTCTCTATCCCGACATCGATCCTCTACACGCTTATTGCCCTGCGCTCTATCCTCAGTCAACACGCACCAAACAACCCTCAAGATGACCGCAACAAAAGTAATCACCATCCTAGCCGGCGTCATCGGCGTCCTAGCTCTCGGCGTATACCTCTTCGGCATCCCACCAGAGATGAAGCGCAAGCTTGAGCGCTCGGCCCTCAAGACCATGGGGGAGAACAAGATGTCCTATATGGCCAAAGGTGAGCCATATGCCTTTATGGGCCAAAGGCAATGAAGCACTTCCCCCCGTTGCCTCCATCGCCTCCAGCACGAATGCTAACACTCCACCTCAGACCAACTCTCCAAGATCCCCGCCTCAGACCAAGAGGACGTCAAGCAGTTCAAGCAGGGCCTTGGCAATGCCGTCGGGGGAGGCTTGAATAACCCACTGGGCGAGCAAGCCGGTGAAACCGCGGACAATTTGACCAGTCCGTTTACCGGTCGCTAATTGCCTTCTCCATTGCAGGTCGCGTCGCGAGCCAAGTCTGGGATTCGATGCAGGACCTGTCGAGGGACGCGTACAAGCGGGTCTCTACCATGACGCGGAATGCGAAGGAGTCGGCGGCGCGAAAGACTAACGAGTCTACGACAACACAAACGAAGCACGAATAAATGGACCGGGCGTCTTAGTACCGGTTGGGTAATGGCTTTGCGTTCCTTGGAGGGTCGGACTTGGTACATTGATATTCCGGCGGCATTGGGTATTCGGCAGTGGATACGCATTTCCTAGGTAAACCACGAAACATCATTCTCCTTCTAGTCCATCTTATTGCCCGCTCAAGGCACCGTGACTCCACCACTCCAGACAGCCCACCACACGACTTGCCAGCCCAGCACAATCATCCAGAACGGTATCTGGAACGTCGTCTTCTTCGTCTTATGCTGGAAGTAGTGCTGTCCAACCAGCGCCCCCGGCCAGCCTCCCAGCACCTCCAGAATATGCAATGTCGCCTCCTTTACTCGCCATTCCAAGTTCCTCGCCTGCATCTTATCGTACCCATACAGCAGAAATGTTATGCCGCTGACAACAGACGTGTATGCGAACGGGAAGAGAGACCCGGTGTTGGCGTAGAGTCGGACGAGAGTCACGGTGGGTAGGACGAGCGAGCAGGCACCCACCGCGGTCGCGGCAGTTAAGGGTCGGTGACGGTGCGGTCTTCGCGGCGGCATCGTGGGGGAATGAGCCTGCGTGGACGGAGAAATCGGAGTGAGCTTTGTGTTGCACGTTCGTGTTTCGCCAGAAGCTTATGTCCCGACCGGGAGAAATGGGTGCCTTAAGTGAGGAACAGCGGCCATGTGCGAAGCGGTTGTCGGGGATTCCACCGTCGGATGAAGATCATTTGCGGGGAGAAAGCGGTTGGCGAAGGAGGGAAGGGAAGCTCCAAACGCGAGGTCAGCATACGTCGATCTCCCGCCTTCCACTAACCCAGCCTGGACTAGCTAGTCTCTCTCAACCACACTCTCGGATACAGTGGACCTCTCACCAACCTTTCCACCGTCGCATCGTTTATGGATCAGACGAAACGTCTTGGGCAATATTAGTCCGCGTGTCGAGATGTTCCGCAAAGATAGCTTTCCCCGCTGAGAACATTCCCGTAGTTATCGTCCGCCACCCCAAGCCTCTACCCCTGAAACCATCGGGCCGACACTTCCGTTCCGCTAGTTTGAGGTCTCGCCCTGACGTTGCCAGATGTACATTCCTGCAGCATAGCCCTCCTCTCCTCACGGTCCCTCTGTACTGCCCGACCGGAGCGTGACAAAAACCTACCGTCCTGTATATAGCGTTGAGCCACTCCTAATTCTCCCGAGCACAGAGATCTCCACATCGAGCAGCAACGATGGTCGGCATAGCCTTGTTCGTATACCCTCTTTTATCGCTCATTTGCCTTTCCGTGGTCGTAGGCTAACGCGTGTGCAAGATACCACTGCACTCGATGCGATAGGCCATTCGTACACGCAGAAGCGCTCTACCAGCATCTGAGCAGTTCGCAAGCCCACTGGCCATGCACGGAATGTGGATTCGACGGACCCCATAGGGCGGATCTGATGTCTCACTACCGCAAGACGGGATGCCGACATGTGTGTGAGGGATGCTCCGGTGGAGCGGGATTTGGGTGGGTGAACGGTGCGTTAGCGGTACAGCAAATCTCTAGATGACCGTCTGCTAATTTTATCTAGACAGCCCGGAGTACTGGGAGCATGTCGCGAGGGAGCATGTGTGCACTGTATGCGGACGGCATTTCGGCAGCGAGTCTAATCTTCAACATGTGAGTACCCAACCATACTATAACACAGTACTAATATGCTTACCATTCTAGCACGCAATAACTCATCGAAACGCAACAATCAAATGCCTCGCCTGCGACCGCAGATTCACCACCTATGGCGGCAGTAAACCTCCCCGCCTATCGCCCCGGAAATACCTACTAACCCCATTCCCAGTGATCATCCACCTCGAAGCCGGGACCTGTGCATCTGGCATCGATATGCTCGACCTTAACAAGTCTGCCGCCATGTGCTACCAGTCGCGCAAATGGGTCTTCAAAGAGTTCCGGAATGGCCTCCGCGAGCACATTGCGCCTGCGCCGGCGGAATGCCCATTCAAATGCCCGACTTGCGAAGCGGGCTTGCCGAAGTTGAGCAGCCTGTTTATGCATGTAGCGAGCCCTAGTTGTGGACAGGGTATCAACGGGGGTGCTATGAAGAAGCTGAAGAGGTGGCTGTGGAAGAGGCATCATGCGGGGTATCATAGGGCTTAAGGGGTGAGTGGTGGTGGCCGGGTGGCCGGGTGGGAGAGGGGTGATATGAAGATGATGCTATTTGCTTCTACGCGTACTGTTTACGATTGGTTAGAACTAGGATGCGGAAGAGGTGTAAGATGCAACATTAGCGCCCTTTCTCCCTCTAACATCTTTATTCCATCCACCGATGCTGCCGAAACAAATCCCTATTCCCTCCCTTTCCTTCCCCTCCTCTATGAGATAGACCCCGCTGGAATCCCTACTTTCTCCTAAACGGACGCGTAATGCGTTTCCAGGGCGCACGTCTCAATCCCTCCTCTCTACTATTCCGCCGTTCAAACCGTACTGTCCTGATGCACAGGGGGCCCTCAACCGGACTTCCGCTCCCTGAACTACGCCGCCTCACCCTATTAATCTTGCTCCAGTCGGTAGGTACTGTTCGGCGATGCCAGTATACGTCTCTATCAGGACACAGAGAAGGCGCTCTCGCAGCCGCTCCGGCGGTCGCCGGCATAGTGCTTCCCTGGGCACGCGATTCTACGTTTGACGAGGTGTGAACAGGATAATAAATTACTCTAGGCGGCGGAGGGTAATCGTTGCCCCTCTTCTTGCGCTTGTTAATCAACTTGTTAAAGAAAGATGATAGTGCCTTTGTAAAACCGCTTGGCTTCCTAGGGTGGTGGTCGGCGTCGTCGTCGGCGGTCTTGCCGCTGGGGGAGGACATGTCCATGGTGGTAGCGCGATAACAGGGAGATGGGACGACTTGGAGTTTGTCGTAGGGTTATATATGAGTCGCGCAGCGCGTTTGGGTTTGCCCGGCTCCGTTTGAGGCGACGCCGTGGCTTTTGCTTGTAAAAGCCACGACACAAGGAAAAAATTTAGGTATGTATGACACCCTTGTTCCAGATCCACGAATGCTGGTGCTAATTCCTCTGCCTCCATTTAGAGTGGCATAGCTGCACAACCCACGCCACTCTCTACCACTCTGAGCCGACTAGTGCCCGCGCCTTGACTGCTCACAATCCCCGCACTTCCCGTCTTCTGCATCGCCCTGGCGCAGTCTGAAAGCAGGATGGACCGACCAGCCCGTTTTCCCTCCCCATATCGCCGTCGTACTCGACACCCTCCTATACGCCTGCGGTCGCGGCAGCGCTTGAGCTCCCGCTCCATCTCCCAAACCCGCGCCGTATCCCCTAACAGTTCCCGGCTCCGACGCAGTCCGCCCATGAGCTCCCTTCACCGCTTGGTCTGTACCGCGCCTCTGCTCCCCCCGTACTTTCTGCCAGCTCTGATCACCCCATCCATGCGCGCCGAGGTCAGGAGCGGTCGCCAACTCCTCTTGGGTGACTGCGCGCATGTTGGAGGAGTAGACTTTGGGCTTGGGGCCCTCGCTGTTGTTGGCATTGCCGTGTTGCGATTTGGTGTTGTTGCCTTTCGCTTTGGTTTTGGCTCGATCGACAAGGTCGCTGAAGAAGGTTTTGGACTTCTTGAGCGCGGTTTCGAAGCGGGTTGGCCCGTTGTTCGACATGATGACTTTGCTGGGCAGGAGGCGATAAGTATGCTCTTGACGGTGGATAGAGCGTTGGTGGCGTAGTGGATGTGGTGAGTTGGCGAGTGTGTATGGATTGGATTTGCTCCACGCTGGTTGCCCGGGTGTCGCACGTTTGCGCGCCATCACGTGAGTTCATGGCAGTGAATGGTCAAGAACGTGGTGAAATGCGAGGTGGTATGACATCATAGCCAATTTGCTTTAAGAATTACTCGCCATTCTGTGTCCGAGAGTAACCATTCCGGGAGCTATTTCTGAGCACTACTGTTATCTGATTTCTCTCGAGCTACATCCAACCGCACCAGGGTCTCCTCCATCATTTCCCCATCTTACTAAGCCTACTTCACCAGAGCGAACATGTGATTTCATCCCCTCAGTCTTCCCTCCGGTACTACTCCGCCCGCATCGACACCGTCTCGACTTCTCTCCAACGACCCCGGCAACTCCCATCGTCCTCCAATATTCTCCAATCCCCTTGGCAATAAGCGCCACCCCTCCTCGCCGCGAGATCAGATCATCCATCCTGCACCCACCCGACTGCCAAGAGACCAGGGCATGACATGATAGCTCCATTAAGGTGTGGCTTTCCCTCTATTCCTTTGTTCCATCAGCCTCTTGCCTTGGCATTATTGCTCGAGGCTGTGCCCTACGCAAGGCTGGTTCGAACAGCGGTGGTTACACAGAAAGAGCCACAAAGAAGCCACGGGGTCTAGGCCTTTGGCAGCCGCGGAGTTTCTAGGCCGAGAGTCCTGCTACACAGGACGAAAATAAGGATTGTGTCAAAGTTTAACTATCCTGGCGGACTGGTCGCCGGGGAGGGTGGAAGATATGGTTTTGCGAGCACGCGGTGGGTAGCAGTACAGAGGAATGTAGTTAGGTCCATTGGAGCATCGAAGGATAGAATAAGGCGCTAAGAAGGGGATTCTCGCCGTGCTAGCCTCCGTGCTCACATAGGATAATCGAAAGGAAGTCTCAGAGTGGATGAGAGCCGCCGCACTCGGAGAAGGAATGCGCTGGGACTAGCGAGGAATGCTAGGCAACAGCAGCAATAGAGGTTGCAAAATTTCAACAATATTATAATTCGACTCCAACATTAAATTAAAGCTTTACGCCAGTCGTTAGCGACAGACCCGTACGCCATCTATACCCTTCCAAAATAGAGTAGAATAATATTTCCAAGACAGTATCAGAACGCCTCATATGTACCCTTTTCCGAGCTAGTCAAAAAAATTTCGTAACATCATTAGTTCCTCTTCTTCGTGGTCGTCTTCTTGTTATCGTCATTCTTCTTCGTGCTTGTGCTCGTGGGCGCCTTCGTAATCGCCGACGAGGCTACCCTAGCCGCAGACGTAGCGGAAGCCCGCGTACTTGTCGCCAGCGTGGTCTTCGGCGGTCCATTGGCCCAGTACGACTCGAGCGCCTTCTCGAGGCCTTCTGGGTCATCGTACGCGTCCATCATATAGAAGTCGTACAGGCGCTCTTGGATGTGTTCTGGTTCGAAGTCGTGGTCGTTCTCATCCTTGGATCGATACTTCTCTTCCATGGGGTCGATGAACTTGGTCGTCTCGGGATATCCCCAGTCCGCGAGGCTGGTAACATTGAACGCAGCCATCATGTCGTGGTCCTCATGGATGAGGTTGTGGCAGTGGAACATGTACACGCCGTCATATGGCGCGTATCGAGCGATGACTCGTACGGTTTCTGATTTGCCAAGCAGGACGACATCCTTCAGGGCTTCCTTCTCGTACGGAAGGACTGAGCGGCCACCGGACCGCGAGAGAATCTGGAAGTCGACAAGGTGGATGTGAACCGGATGAGACCAGCCACCGCTGCTATTCTCAAGCTCCCAAATCTCAACCTTGCCGCGCTCAGGCTTAGCAAGGATGCGGTTCTTGACATCGGAGAAGGTGACACCATTTACCATCCTGTGTCTCCAGTTAGCACTGCATACCCAATCGCGCTGTAACCTCACTCACCACATGCCGTTGCTGCGCTCGAACTTGAAGTGGCGATCGACACCACTCTTTGTAGGTGGGAATGGAACAGCTCGAAGGGACGAGGGTAGATTGCCGTTGCCATCCTGACTGGTGACTTCACTGCCGACCACAAACCGCATGACCTTGTTCGAGCTGTTGTAGTCCTCATCGGCCTGCACGTCGCGTGCGTTCTTGACAGTAATGTTCTTGCCTTTGTAGTTGCTGAAGTCGATTACGATCTCCCAGCGCTCAGCCATGGCGATCTCCAGGTTGTCGCTCTGTACGGGCTTCGTCATGAGTCCGGCATCCGAGGCAATGACATGGAAAGGGATCTTCTTGTTGCTTGGATCGTCGAAGGTGAGCTTGAAAGCCCGGCTAATGGAAGTGTCCAGCCATCTAAGACGGTACTTGCGCGGTTCGACCTTGAAGTATGGCCAAGGCTCCCCGTTGACATGAATGACGTCGCCGTAGAGAGAAACAGTCTCGCTGGCGGGGCTGAATAAGGTGCCATCTTTGTTGTACTGCTTAGATGCCAGCGCCAAAGGCAAATCGTACCTGCCGGAGGGTAATTTCAGAGCGTCCTCAGCTTGGTCATGGAGGATGTAGAATCCCGCCTGGCCGAAGTAGGCGTTTTCGGCCGTGTGGTGGATGGCGTGGTCGTGATACCCTGATGACGGGACAATTAGCATCATGCTCTGAGAGATAGAGTACAAATATCAATTGTTGGACACATGCCAACATTCACAACGTCCAAGTAAGACAATGTCTTATGAGAGGAAGAGTCGCTTACTACGCATAAGTTAGCATAGCTCTATTACTATTTGTACCGGGGGCTTGAATACCAGAGAGTGCGAGCGCTTTGTTTGTTAGGGTAATCTGGTTTCGTCAGCGTCACGTGCGCGAGTGACAACCATGACCTACAGTAGTCCTTATACTGCCCAGGCTTAGTCACGTCCTCTGCCCAACCATCGAAGGGTGCACGGCCTAGCCTAGGTCAGTACCCATAGAGCATATATAGCACAGAAGATGAGACGAACTGTATGAGCCGTGTAGGTGGACGGAGATATCCTTGTCACCATGGTTCCTGAACCGAACAACAGCCTCTCGGCCTCTCTCCATGCGGAAAGTTGGCCCCGGCGACACGCCATCATAGCCCACGAGCTTAGCTGGCTTGAGGCCTGGGTAGACCTGCTGCTCGAATGGCTTAATGTCGATCTCATAATAATCGATGCTCTGGCCCGTTGTTGCGTTGTAATAAGTCCTGTACTGGTCAGCATAGGAAGGAGACTTCGCCAGAAAGGACATACGCTTTTGGACTCTTCTCTGGAGGGAAGGGGAGAGGCTTTTCAAAGATTTGCTTATACACGGGGCTCAGCCACTCGTCGTCGCCGGCAAAAACATGCCGTGCCAGAAGGGAAGCCACCACAAGAGAAAAATAACTCTTCATAATGCAGGTCAAGGAATCTGGTGCCTTAAAGATTGACCAAGAACGCCCTACAACGCCAGAGCAGAATTGAGTCAATTTCTCATAAGGAAAAGTAGGCTGGCGTCCGGCATGGACTTTATATTGAGAGGAAAGCCATGACAAGTGCAGCTCTGAATGACCCATCACGGCCTCATTCAGACCAGACCTGGACTCCACTAATGCAAGACGGTCAAGGGCTCGTCCTTCCTAGGTCCCCGATAGCCATGCCACCGCGAGGAATCAATGGGCAATTTCTTGGCACAGAAGTCCAGGTTCGCTTGGATGCATGGTGTCTAGACAGGCGTCGATGCGGCTCAAGCCACCTCTCGTGTTTTCCAAGAGGTAGAAGCCATTCATGGGCGCGACTTGGCAAGCTTGAATCTATACGCAAATGTTAGGGTGATCAGAGTGTGTAGAGAGCTCGGATAGGAATCTGACTTGTTCTGGGAAGCCATGTACCACCACACAGGCTCTTGGAAAAGGCTTGGTCGGGGGTCTGGGTTAGGATGTCGGCGAACTGAAACCTTCGACTGAGATCAATGTGTTGTGTATGTGGATACTGAATCGCTTTGTTGATTGAGCCAACGGAGCATCCCGTCTGGCAGCATTGTTCTTTGTACAGAGCAAAGTCCTAGACATTCGGCTCGCGAAGGAACCGAGTGAGCTCAGAAAATACGGAAAAAGAGCTAATGAGTGGATAGACGATTTTGCTGAGCAGAGCGAATGTGGTAAAGCAAGGCGACAACCTAGAATAGGAAACCGAGACGCCAACCTACCACTCCGCGGCGGTCTCTAGCAGCCACAGCTGAACGTGCCAAGACGAGACAACACATGCCACAGACAATAGTGTCATCGACTCTGATGCCCAAAGTCGGAGGCACACAGAAAGTCACTAAAAGCCTAATAGAATTGCACGCCTATGGTAGGTGGTGAAGACGAGCGCATCGTGGCAGGCTGATAATCGGCCAGACACGAGGTATGGCGTCGGCCTCGGAGCTTTTCTGGGATTAAATTAGAACTGAGAAGTGAGTGTGGCTGCGGAAAGTCTACGGCATGCAAATAGCGGACGCCGCAGGCGTGGTAGCGGATGTCGGATGTGTGGGAGGTGATGGGAAGGTCTGGAACTCTCGCTTCTAGCTCCACATTTAGCGCCGATTGTCACGTGACGTCCAAAATTAGACCAATTACGCGAAGCGGTCCCGAGTCTGTCACCACTCCCATCGCTTTACTTCAGCCGCCTTCTGGAGGTGGCACCCTCAAAGGACCTAGCAGTGTCCGTGGGATTCGATCAGAACCGCCGTCATCCCCATCGTCGCGGCCGACTGGGGATTAGCGTTAACACGAGTTGTTCCCGGGTCGTTTCTTTACATCCATGGATATCTGCAGAGACAAGACCGGCAACGATCCTAGCTCTTACATTTACCCTGGATAGTTGGTCAACAGAATGCCTCCGAAGTCTGGTGAAGAGTAGCTTAACAGACTAGGTAAGGCCGTCTGACACCAAAGTCACCGCCTGTCGGATCCGCGTGCTGGTATACCCAACCTGGTCCTCGGGACTAAAGCTTTGTAAAGCTTCATTTTCGTCTGATGCCTAAACCAGATGCGCCAAGACGAGAGATCCCTGAGATTTCCCGTATCAGCGCGTCTCCCCCGGAAGGGCTGATCGAAGGTGCATCTAGACTCTCGCTATGCCAAGCATCCGCCCCAGCTCCCGATCTTTCGAAACCCGTTTCGATGGGACTATCGTTCTTCTGTCCTAATTAGGAGCAGGCAGTCCTTGTGTCGAATGATATCCCAGTCCTTGTGCCCGCTCAATCTCCGGATTCTTACAATCTAACGGTCGAATACCGCACTTTCGATCTTCGATCCTACATCGGGACATTTGTGCCTACCCCTGATCAACTCAACCTTCGATAAGCCAAGCAAGCAGCTAGGCTGCTACTGTCTGATGATGGCCACGGTGTAAAGTCAGCGAGGCGCATGATCAGTACAGCCCGAGTCATTGGGCAAGAGGAAGCCTCATTCAATATTTGCTTGCAGACTGCCAAGTAACAGCCCGCCCTTGACCTGGAGCTTGATAATTCACGCAATACCAAATACCGACACCTTCGTCCCAAAAGCCACTGCAGGAACCGAAATACGCCGCTACGGTGGTGCTCTAGCTCGGTTATCATGAACACTTTTATGGCATGGAATCAGTAGGATGAGTGCGCCTGCCTAGTCTTGCCTGCACCCATCATGTCACCAAGCCAGATGGTGCGCGCTTTGGCTCGTATGTCTCAGGTACGCGTTGTCGTTGAAGAACCTGTGGAGGTACGAATGCGAGAATCGGAATCTGCGATATCTCCCTAATCTAGGCAGTCGAAAGCTCAAATTTCTAAGAGAAGAGAGGGACACCATAACCGAAAATTGCTGCATCGCTATGGAGATACAAAGTTCGCGTCCTTAGGTTCCAAAAGAAAGCTCCACGCTGGCCATTCTTGATTCAGCTAAGCAAACTCTACGATATCTTGGCAATGAACTAATATGCAGCTAGTTATACGCCCATGAGCTAACTGCTGCGGTACATGCTTTGTAGAGGTTAGTACTATAGCTTCCCGCGCTCTGGTGATCGACGCGCTACGAAGTTTCGTGACGTTTAGTCCGATGAGTAGTTCACTGATGAGGCTGTATGTTTGGGGATGTATCGAGGCACGAGGGGCGTTAAGAGATGAGAGGCTTGGAGATACTACAGCATCGAGGGACTACGAGGAGGTTGGATGCAGCGCAGTGACAAAAGGCTTGCTGACGAGTCCGTGGTCAAGGGGGCGAATTAGACGAGACAATGAGGTCAGAGGAAGCTGATGCAGAGAGCACAGAAAGAAATGCAAGAGATATGAAGCTGGGATTGAGGGTGAGAAGGTAAGAGGCGAAGGTGCATCCACGTTTCTACTCTCCGTATGTTCACTTTACAAGGAGCCCTCAGAACCTGAGATATCTCCCAAAGTCTACATACGCGAAGGAGTTCTTCGCGGACTGGCATTAAGAACCTTTCACATCCATCACCATCCTGCTGTGACACCTGCCCGCCCGCCAGCCCTCTCCTTTTTCGTCGCACTTGACTGTTTGCGTCGCGACTGCCTATTTATATGCCAAGCCTCTCCGACTTTTCACCTCCTACTTTCTTCTCGACTCCGCACCTCCACACTCTCTCCTCTTCAACCCCCACACCATTCCCGGGTTTGCACGCAGAGCCGCAAGCCTTGGGTCGGGCATCGCAAAGTGCGCGACAAACCGCAGCTCCACTCTGTGTTCCATTCGCGCAACATGAGTGAAGGGAGACAGTCCAGCAACGGGAAGACTGCAACAGCCACTCCCGTCAGCAGATCAGGCAATGGCATAATGGTCAGCCAGGCGGAGATCCCCGCCCATCTAGTAGCCATGTAGGTTCCATACATACTCCAAAGGCTGCCCGGGATCCGCTAACGCCTCCGCAGTTACGAACACAACGCCACAACCTCTCCCCTTCTCTGTCTTCCCGCAGAGCTCCGTAATATGATCTGGGAACTCGCACTCGGAGGCCAAAGAGTCTACATCTACGGCCGGAGCGTAGAGCCCACAGACCCTCCCGAACCCTGGCTAATCCTGGGGAGCGAGGTCCTCGACATGCGACCCGTCAGCGGCAGCGCCGCCAGACGCAAATCCGCATTCCACCTTCTCGAAGTATCGCGCCAAATCTTCGCCGAGACCTCCGCCCTCGCATACTCGCTCAACACCTTCGTCTTCCAGACCCCGATGGCTATGCGCTCGTGGGCCGAACACCTCTCATGCTATCCGCGGCTGCGCCAGGCCGTTCGAAGCGTGTACGTCGACAACGATCTCTGCTATAATACATACTTCAGCACGGTGCCGTTGGACTATTCGGCGGATGTCGGTAAGCCGGAGCCTACGAATCCATTGTTTACGAAGATGTTTCCTGGCCTGAAGACATTGATTATTCCGGGGATTGTCATGCGTGACGCGCTGGAAACGGGGAGGGTAACTAGGGGCACGGCTCAAGGCTACAGCGAATGCATTGAGAGGAAGATTCGAGAACGCGAGGGAGCGAGGGGGCAGATCTTAACTATCGTTTTTGAAGACCGAGCGGTGCGTGAAGGGGAAGGGAGTTCGACCAATAGAGCCGGTCGGCAGCAAGCTCAGCATGAGTCCGGAGACTAGAAAGGCGACAGATGGGGGTACTTACCAACGTTACTATAGCACGGGTTCAAAATGACCCCGACCACGCTCTGGGCTTAGGGACAACGTCACAAGCAAACCAGTGCCCAAAGGCTAGCATCTGAACTACACAGTTATCTTCCTGCTTGAACTATCCTATCCTAGCCTTTGGCTCCCACACTTCGCTAAATACACCCTAAATTTACATTCCGTCTATCGCTTCACTGCTTTCCTTTCCCCACCGCTCCATCGCGCTTTCACTTTCCCTCCCCACGCGCCTGCCACGCGACTCGCACGTGGCGCCCCACTTCCCCATCATTAGGTCCCAGTCCTCACTCACTCGCCAGTAGAGAGTACACATTACGTCAGTACAGAGTTCGGGATCGAAGGCAAAACGCCGCACGAAGGAGAATTGACATAATGAAAAGTAGGCTGTGCATTCAGCAACCAGCCAGTGGTGGTATCAAAAAGAGAAGAACAGACAGAAAGTCGGGTAGTTAGCATACCAACCCTGAAAAGAAAAGGCCTTCACGCTCATTCCTTTCACTCCATCACTCCACGCTCGCAACCAAAACCACCCATTATCTAGGCCCCGCCTCGGCCGTGGTCAAGCGAAAAAGAAAGGGAAATGGTATCCTGCGCATGCAATGCTTTTGAACGAGGGAGCGCTCGAAGTGGCCCTCGTGCAGGGCGACAGAAGAGAAAACGCCAGCCATGCAAAAGGATAACATGGTAGAAAGGCCGTCATATGAACAAGTTCGCAAAAGGGATCGACGAGAATCGAAGGTATGGCCGCCTATCGTGTGACGAGGCAACATCGAACTGTGGTCAGGCCGTGGGTCCCATTAGGGTATCCTACCGTTCACATCTGGGATGACTTTGTACAAATTTCGTAGTATATCTTCATCTCCGCCGTCACGCGCTCTTGGTCATATCGCTGGAGCCCGTGGCCCGGAGAGCGTACCGAAGAGTTGTTCCGGAGGCACGCGGCCCACGTTCCCCATGCGGTCGGTGTATGAGGTGGGCGCAAGGGAATAACCCTGCGACTTCTTGCGGTACCATTCGACGACGATACCGGCGACGACAAGCAGGAAAGTGAGCGCAAGGGCGATTGCGAGGGCGATGAGGACGACGAAGCCAAGTGCAAGATGCTTTCCTGTTTGTGTGTTAGCCAGCTGCTCGAACTGGTTTGGGTGCTACGAGTGACTTACCTCCTCCGTTAAAGAAGGACTGGGGGTTCTCCACGAAGACCTGCGACAAGCTACCAGGAGTGTTCTGCGCCGTCGTGGAAAGGAGGAACGGAACCAGTGTAGTGCCGTTAAAGAGAGCTCCAGACGCCGTCCCGAAGTTCGTAATGTTGATCTGTCCAAGGAGGAGCAGGTCCTGGTCTTGATCGATAAGGTCGGACTTGTCGTGGTTCTTCGACAGGGGGAGCACTTGAATGCCACGGATATCGGTGCCCTGGCCAAACTGGCCATTGACAGGAAGCCACTTGCTGCCATCGAATCGCTGAAGGAACGCGGATCCGTCGCTGCTCTGACCAGCAGCCCAGAATTGTGTACCGTCAGAGTTGGCTGGACAGAGAGCAGTTACCGGACCGGGAAGATCGCTAGCGCCGGTAATTGCCTGAAACTGGCTGTTGCTGGAATCATACAGGAAGACATTCGTCGTATTGCTGCCGGTGGTCAGATTTCCTGAAATGAGTAGCTTCGTGTTTGAGATCCACGTCAGAGAAGTGGCGACACCTGAGAGGTCACCGCCCGGACTGATCCACTGGTTGCGCTCCGTGTTCCAGATGCAAACCGAGGGGCAGCTCAAAGCGCCAGCAGATTGGAATCTTCCAGCGACATAGACATCCTTCGACTTCGGCCTGGGAGCAATGGCATTGACGGTGACGTTTGTTCCTTGAAGTGCGAGTGGCTGCGTGCTCCCGAACTTGTTGGCCGAGAGATCATAGGCCACCACACCGGCAACCCTGTTGTTATTGATAACCCCAGTGGCTACACCGCCAGCATAGAGAATATTGTCGAGCACTGCGAGCGTCGCGAACGTGGAGTTAGCGTCCACCTCTTCGCCAAATCCAGTGACCTTGTCCGAGTCCTTTCCATCAATGATAAGAACATTGGTTATGTTTTGACCATCGGATCCAGTTGCCGCGAAGTGGCCCGCAAAGATTGTCTTGTTCATGTCATTTTCCTTGTAGAACGTAGCAGTGACAATCCCAATTGTAGTCAGGTTCTGATCGTCAGTCAATGATCGCTTTTGCAGCGACGTCTGCTGTTGCTGAGCCTGAATATTCACCCCGAAGCCTTCAAGCGATAGAGCGTCGCTGTCTGCCAGAGCGGCAGCACCGCTCGCACCGAGGGCTTGGGAAGAGACAGCACCAGCGAACAGCCGATCTGCTCCCGGGATGTCGACAAACGTCATCAAGCTACCCTGAATCGATATTGTCTGGGCGTTCAAGTTGTGCAGCCAATTGTTCTGCGAAGGTACCCAAATTGCAAAGTTCTCGGCGGAAAAAGCTGCATTGTTGCCGAAGCCGTTGACACGATCGAAGAAACCGCTGATCGCAAGAACTTGCTCTGGCGTATTGCCGGTGATGTTCAGAGCGAGAGGCACGATATACATCACAACGCCATCCACACCCGCACCAAGGGCTGTCCATTGATCGTTGTCGTTGTCGTAGGCGGCCACGCCGTTAAGGCCAGGGTTCCCGTTGTCCTGGGTGTTCGTGAAGTTGCCTCCGACGTAGATGGTACTGCCATTCTGGAACAGGGTCATTACTTGGCTGTTGAGACCATTTCCTTTCAGTGTCGTTGGGCCGGTAGCGTCGCGACTAATCGAAAAGATATTGTTCCGTCCGTCATTCGAGGAGAAATTGCCGCCAACATAGAGCTTATCGCTGGATGCCGCAAGAGAAGTGACAATTGCGTTGTCTTGGGGGCTCAGACTCGCGCCAGCCGCATCGATGACCGAGTCGGCGAAGTCCGTTTCTTGAACGTTTTGCTGCTCTGGATCGTACTCGAAGAGCCCATTCAAATCTCCAGAGGAGGCCACTTTAAGCTGGAACCGAATTCTCTGTGCAACTATCGTCAAAACGCCGTTGCTTCCAGCATCGCCTGGCACAGGAGCTAGCGTGATTGACGGACGAAAGCCATCAGTTGCGTCGACATATCCATTGTAGATTTCATCATACTTGTCGAACTCGTTGGTCTGGAAAAGGACGGTGCTGGTGGGCGTGTCCGACTCAGTCGTTGACCGAAACATGGATCCGGTCATGTTGACCCTTCCGCGTGTCGTGCAGGTGTCATCACCGCGGCACCCTGGGGTGTATACAGTGATCGAATAGTTCCCAGATTGTTTAATGTCGGGTAAAAAGACGACGTTTGTTGTATTGGGTTGGATGTTATTCGTTTGCAACGTCGCAGTGAGGTATTGGGAATTGCTGTCATGGGATGGTGTGACGACCCAGGGTCCTGTCTGAGTGGCCGATGCACCAGTTGTGGCTCCTCCGCACGTTGGCTCATTGAAGTCACTGATGGCATACGTGTAGATATCTGTGATTGTTAGCAGGGACTCAGTGTAGTGCGGGGGGATCTACTTGCCAGTTTGCGAGAGCTCGATGCCATTGAGACCACCCCCGGCTCCATACCAGTCGGAGATATCAATTTTGAAGGCATTCATGCCGACAGTGTTGACGAAGAAGAACTCCTGAGCAGTAGTGTTGCCCTCCGGCAACGGGCATCGAGCGTCGCAAAAGGCCTGTTGTCCAGTGGAGGGGTCGACATAGGTAAAGTTCATAATGCCGCCAAGGGGAAGCGCGGTGTAGCGCCAGGTCTTTGTGCCGCGGCCTTCAAACTTGGTGTTATGTAGTCGCAGTTTTGTTGGATTGAATCCGAAGCCGAAGTCGGCTCGCCAGAAGCCGGCAGTATTATCGGCCAGCAGCCATGTAGCACCGGTGCCTTCGGTGTCCGGATCTGCCTTGCAGACGATACTCTTAGGATCAGTTAGGCCAGGCCGTCCAGAGCTGGTTTGCGCCGTGATGTTAGCAGATCCAACGGGTAGCACCTGAGTGTTATTCTCGGCTCTGCCGCTCGAATTGCCGCCTATGCCGTTGAACTCTCCGCCAAATACGATCTTGTCATTCGGCGCTCGGATGATAGAGTGCACGGGTCCGTTGAAACCCTGGAAGGGCATGTTGTTCCAAGCGTCTTTCCAGATGATGGCGTTGGATGAATTACCGCCACTGAAGGAGCCTCCGATGTAGACCTGGCCCCGATCCGGATCGCAGAGCAATGCGCTGACGGATCCGTTCAATCCTTCTACTGGGCTCACGGTGCCGTCGCTCGGGTTGAGCATTGCGATGCCACCGGGCGTGTGCTGACCATCAACGCTCGTAAAGTTTCCGCCAAACACAATGCCCTTGAGACTACCGCCGCTCTGGTAGGCGCACATGGCCTTGACGTCGCCATCCGTATCCTGTATGGCGGTAAACACGCCATTCGGGAATCGCGATAGGAGGGCGCCATTGAGGCCGGAGGGCTGTTCAGTCTGGCCCTCGAACTGGTACAGCGATATTGAGTCGAAGTCGCCGGCAAAGGCCACGCGGCCGAGGTCGTCGAGGTTGAGATTAGGGGAGGGTATGGATGGGAAGTTGAACGCGCGCGTTCCTGGTATTAGTCGGGGTGATGCGAGAAGTAGCGAAAGTGCGAGCTTGCCAGCCCGCGACGCCAGCAGCGAGGAGAAGGGCTCCCTCATGGCCAGCGGCGGGCGACGAGTCGGTGGTGTCGGAAGAATAGCGATGGGATAGAGGAGCGTTGGAGTCGAGTGTCAGCGGGAGGTGGCCCCAGACATGGCCAAACCGCCAAAAGAATCGGCGGGCTTGGATTCGAGGCAGGCACACCCGCGCTGGCGTAGAGGGCGTGGTCGCGTCCCGATTGGCGTTGCGGCGGGTCAGGAGCTGCCGGGGAGCGTCTGGCAAGCGGATGCCTTGGCAGTGCCTGCAGGAAGGCGGTCGATTTGGCAGCGGTGGCTGCGCCTGAAACGAATGACTGAGGTGAGGAAGAGCGCAGGATTAAAGAGTCAGAGAGAGCTCGCGGGAGGCTTGCGAGGGTGTTGACGGACGGCAAGGAGTCTGGCGAGCGCTCGAGGAGCAGGAGCACGCCGGGGGTGCTTGCTGCGTCGGGAACGGCGAGATGAAGCGGCAGGAGCGACTGTTGTCCCGCGAACCAATGGCACGCGCCGACGGCCGTCACAATTTGCGCTAGCCACTAGCAAAAGCTTGTCGCGCGCACAGCACGGCAACGGTGAACACCACTCGACAGCGCGGCACGTCCCAATTCACCGCGCTCAAGGGCAATCGCAGTCTGGTGAACGAAACCAACGACCCACGCAGTCCTCCAGCGCTATTTACAGTCATCGCGAGAGCAGACCGCGGTCGCACACGCTGGCTGGCGATCGGCCGCTCCCCGGTCCCTGATCTGCTCCTCCGTACACCCAGGCGAACCTCCTGCGTCCAATTAATCTTCACGACGCGCGCCGAGCACTCGTCGTGGCTGGGGTGACACCACGGCCATGACGAGCGACCCGGAGGCACACCATGTCTTGTATTCCATCATCGCGACCTCACTCCTCGCGTCGAGCAAGATTCCGACTCTCCTCGCAGCCCGACCAATCTGGCACGCGGGCGCTGATGCCAACGCGTGCGACAGTCGCGGCAGTGAGAGACCTCGAGCATGGCGAGGGTCATCCAGGCGGCGTGCGTGCGAGACAGTCCACGCCATCATCCCGCTCCACCACCAGCCCTTCTGCTCGACAATCTTCAATTGCGAGACTCTCGCCGTTTTGCCTGATGACTGAGGCAGACCACGGTAATGCGCTCCGATTCAGCAGCTCTGCCTGCCCCATCCATCTACTCCGCGCCCGATAAGTTGTCCAACATTTGTATTTCTTCTACATCATACTCTTCACTTTGCAGCTATATTTCTGCAGTTATGGACGCGGGTTCGCTGTCAGTAGATCGCAGCGTCACCACCATCGTCATCCGCAAGGGTGCATCCACGCGCAGTCCACCAAGCCCCTGCTTACGACCTCCGACGGCTGTTTCACACCCCCCTGCCGTTCTTGACCTCGCAACCTGAGACTCGAGACACGCTGCTGCTTTACCTAAATAAGCAATCAGCTTTTCTCTGCTGCCCGTCATTCGACAAATCTTCCCGAGAGACCCGGGCGCAGTCTAGACAACGCGAGGATGCGATGTTCAACGCTCATCGCGCCTAGAGTGACGTGCTACACGAGCTCATGATACACCTCGGGAGATTTGCGACCTGTTCCAAATTTGGAGCTCTTGACGGCGCCGTTGCATCTCGGCGCTTGGACACGGATCTGACGGTTTGCGCAGTCCGATAAAGAGCCGAAAAGGATCAATTCGGGATCCATTTGAGGCTGGCAGGTAAGTAATCAGGCTGGTGTTGCACAGATATTTAGGCGAGCGGACACTTCACGAAGCTATATCTTCGAGAACACCCAAAAGTACAGGACTAAACATTAAGTATCCAGAGTCGGGTCGGACCATCCCATCTATCTTCTAAGGTATCAGTACATCCATGCCCATTCAGCCATCCTTCCATGAAATCAACCGCTCTATATCCAACGCCGCGCTGATGCGATATGCAGAAGGAAGGAAATCGACCCGTCCGGTGGCACACCCGTTTGTACGACACCGCGTGCCCGCCTTACTGTGCCTCCTGCTCTACATCCTTCGACCTCCTCTTTTCCTTGAACCCCTGTTCCGTCTCCAGTGCTCGATCCAGGGGATACGCTTTCGTAAAGGCGCTCGCAATGAGCGCGACTGCCGCGAAGACCGTCATAACGATCCATATGTACTTAAGCGCATCCGTGTAGCTCTCGCGCAGCTGGTCTTTCATCTCACCCGCAGGTAAAGCCTTAATGATTTCGACCAGACCAGCCGCATCCTTTGAGTACTCGGCCGCCTTGTCGGCGAGCAGAGGGAACGTGAGCATCTTCTTTTTCATCTGGTTCTGGAAGATCACGCCGCCGATGGCGACGCCTATTGTTTGTCCAAAGGCACGTAGGAAGGAGAAGATGTTCGAGGCGTAGGCCTGGTCTTTGCTCATGGCGGAGGCTTGCGTCGCAATGGCCATCGCGGGGAACAGCATGCCGGTTCCGAGTCCGCCGACAAGATTGAGGAAGATCCACTCGACAGTCGTGGTGTCAGGCTTAAGTAAGATGAGAAGACCCATTCCAAAGGTTGTGAGAAACCATCCCGCCCAAATCGCCCAGCGGTATTTGCCCGTCTTTGCGATGGTGGCTCCAACAATCTGGCGCTCAGTTAGTATGCTGAGTGATTCGATTAGAGCGGGTTTCTACGTACCATAGCCGCCGGCGCAACCGTGAAGGTCTGCGGGAAGAGAGCGATGCCGGCCACGATGGGGGTCATTCCCTTGACGGCCTCATAGTAGAGGGGAAGGTAGTACAAAACAGACCAAAGAATGATGCCATGGATGACCGTCTCGAGGTAGGTTACCGCCGCTGTAGTATTCTTGAACACACTCGTTCGGATAAGAGGCTCGGGCGCGATATATTCCTGGTGGATGACGAAAGCCACGAGGCCTGCCGCGCTGACAAGCATCGGAACAAGCGTCCTCCAGGAATCCCATGGGTACTGCACTCCACCCCATGTAATGGGAATGAGAAAGCCCGTTGTCGATCCAAGAAACAGGACCATCCCGACCCAGTCGACCCGTCGTAGCTTGGCGATGAAGGAGCTCGTCTTGTAGTTGAGCTTGAGGAAGAGCGTAATCATGATGCCGCCGATACCGATGAACGGGAGATTGATCCAGAAGACCCAGCGCCAGGAGACGTTCTGAGAGAAGCCACCACCTGGAAGCGAGTTAGCAAAGTCCGCCATTTCTTGAACGCTGACTTACCAAGCAGTGGCCCTGCTACGGTACCAATCGCCCACATCCCAGATATCAAACTGAACCACTTTCCCCGCTCTCTTAAGGGGACCATATCAGTGACAACGATTTCCGTGAGGGCAATGATGCCTCCGCCACCCACACCTTGGATGCTTCGACCGACCAAGATGACGGTGAAGTTATTCGCTAAGGCCGCAATGATTGCACCCGCTGCGAAAAGGACCAAGCTGAGATAGATCAGAGGCTTGCGTCCGAAGATGTGGGAGAAAGAGCCAAGGACGGGCTGGAAGACGGTCGATGTCAGGAGGAAACTGGTGCCACTCCAGAATGCTTCAATGGCGGAGCCACCTAGAAGCCGGGCCATGATCTAGTCAACGTCAGTTACCCGATTAAACATCTGCTCGCGCGATACTTACTGGAAGAGCCACGGATATCGAGGTCGCGTCTAGAGCCGCCATCAGTGTGATGACGGAAAGACTGGCGAATGCAGCCAGGAACCGCCATCCTGGATTGAAGGTCGACTCTGATGACTCTTGTGACTTCTCGGAGACAGAGTCTTGGTTTGGTGCCGCGGAGGGTAGTATCTCAGGGATTTCCAATTTCGGTCCCTCTGAAAGGGACACTGAGGAAGGGGTCGCCATGACGAATTTCCGCCGCTAGGAGCCAGAAGACAGGAAACTGCCAAAGAGATCCTTGAATACAAATGCGGAAAGGTACTGTTCGCTGTTGGAAGCTGGAGAAGATCTTGGTGCTGTTCTGGGATGCCATGGTAGGCGGACAGCAGCCTAGATATACAGCCAGCTCGATGTTACGACGACTACACCGGACGAGCCCACATGGTGCCCTCGGATGAACAACATAACGTTGTGGATACCAGCCCTACGAAAAGGAATCGCTCCGGGCACTCGTTCAGCCGTATGCGAAGCTGGCTGAAAAACGGATGTCGGGCACATTGACTAATCCCTAAGTAGGTAATCAAGCCTCTGTTATGCAAGCCTACGGGCCTTGAGGTCTACATGTGCCCGGCGCGGTGCAATTCGCAGCGATCGTGCATGCGCAATGGCGGCCTTGATCAGTCATTCCGTAGGGCTCAGCGGCGGAATGTTGCGCCGACTCGCTGGCCTAAGAATTCCGAGGGCTTCGGCCGTACCGAACCTGCCCGATGCCCACCCGCAATATACTCGAGAGTGACTAGTTGCCGAAAGCCATTGTTGATGCGGCTTTGGTGCGTAGACGTCTGCTCCCGAAATGCGACGTGAATGCGCGAGTCCGTCAGCCAGCCTCGTGCCTTCCAGCCTCGTCGGCTTGGCTTGCTGAATGCGGACCACTACCACCATGCGTTCAGCTGCAACCTCTGTTTTCCTCATCGCTCACTAGTCTTCTACCTCTGATCCCCTCATCCTCGTCGTTCCTGTCGTTCCCGTCGTTTTTATCAACTTAAGAGGCTGTCTTGTACAGTACTTCTGCACCTGCATGTTTCTATACTAGCGCTATTTGAACCTGCAGTCGTCATGTCATTCCTACATCACAGCCTTGCCCCGCGTCAATCCTGTGCTGGGTTCTCGTATCCATGAAACTCTCTGCTATACCACACGCACCCATTCGTTTGGATTTTTGCGGGAGGAGACCATGTCCATGCTATCTTATCAATCGCCGCGCAATGTGTCGGCCACACATTCCAGCAAGTGAGGACGGGCGCTGCATGCGTAGCCTTACATTCCTCAAAGGAACCGCTTCCCCCATCATGTCTTTGTCTAAATCCAGGGATTCTCTCGACATTGCCGCTTACGACCTCCCGCCACGTGCTTGCTCCGTTCTCTTTGTTTCCAAAAGCCTTCTAGAAGGACTTCATGGCGAAGTATGTTGATCTCTTCGTCCTTTCTGCTGCTCGCAACGACGAAGGTATGAATCGAACCGGAGAAGGCCATATGCGGTCTCCGTTCAAGCAGGACAACATATCGTCCTCGTCCCTTGAGGGCATGGAACGGCCAATTCCGTCCTTCAAGTCTTTCATTCGAACCGTCCCGCCGTACCCGACTGCCGCGCAGAAGCCTTTGCCACCGACCCCGTCGCCCAGGAAAGAGAGGCCATCACTCAAGAAAAACACGTCGTCAACTCCAGCGTCAACTCCGTCACCCGCCTCTGCGGCTTCTGCGGGAAGGAATTTTAGTGTAGCTTCCTGGAAGGCGCCAGCGGAGTGGTATAACAATAGTACGGACGCAAAAGAACCTCTTCCGTCACCACCTATCCCGGCGACCCGAACGTATTCCCCGCTTCTACCGGAACCATCTCCAGATACATCAGGGTTGAGCATGGATCCAATTTCGTGGCTGGGCTCCCCCCCTCCACAATCATCTCGACTGTTGCCAATCTACGAGCGTCAAAACGGAAACACCGATCTTGGCCCACCACGCAGCCCTCCTAGATCCCCTCTGCCTGTGCCTCCAGCGCCCAATAGCAGGGTGGACAACAAAGTCCCTTCACCAGAGCAGCGAAGCATGAACAACTCGCCTGCTATGGGAAACAGGGCGATCTCCGACCTGGACCTCCGCTATAGCACGGCCTCGCCCGCCAATTCTGGCAAAACATCAATTACTTCAAATGCCTCTACCAACCAGAAAGCTTTCGCTGCTCTCGGGATCGGTTCGCCAACACAGCAGACGGTTATATTGGAAAATAGAACGTATAGTCCGGACTCCATATCACATATGGAACGGACACGGGCTGATAGGCAATACCTCCGGGGCAAGAAGCTGCGGGCCTTGAATAAGGGAAGCCCCTTGGCTGATGATAGCTGGGAGGATACCGAAATGGACGACAAGACGCGACAGTTAAGCTTTTCGCAGGATTATCATGACCTGTTAGCAGATCAGTATCAGGAGATGAACGTTCGCGCCGAGGAGGTGTTGCGTTCAGGGGGCCCGCATCAAGTCTACGACGCGCATTTCGACGAACCCAAGCCGAAGCCGCCTCTGAAAGATCATGATCTCGTTCCTCGACCTCTATCCTGGCAGAAAGAATCTGGTCGCTCAACACCTAGCAGTCCATCGCAGGACAGGAGCACAGAGCGTTCTTCCACCTCACCAACGAAGGGAAAACACAGGAGGATAACTTCGTGGGTGCCTCATCGTCTAAGCGTGGCACCACGACGGCAGTCAGTCAAACGCCACTCGAGCGAACTGTCTAGAGACGACTCTAGTCCACCTCGAGAAAAGCAGATTCCGGAAGCAGAGGTAGACCGCGTGTTGAAGGAAGGCCTGCGCTTCTCCCTCTTCTTCCCTCCAAGCAGGGCCATGAAGTTTGGTAGAAAGCACAACAAGAATAAGAGCGCGGATGCAGCGACCAAAGCACCCCCCTTTGCGGCATCGCCACCTCAATCTGCAAGCCCGCTCATGCGCCTCCCTGGCGGCCTCGCAGTGGTTTGGCATTCGCCCTCATTAGCCCCGAAATCAGAAGCAGCAAGCGTTCAAGAGCTATCACCGACTTCGGATCAGGCACCGAGCGGTTCACAGCAGCCCAGTGACCACTCGATACCCGCTTCCAACCCTTCAGACAACCGCTCTTCTTTCAACAGCCGCCACTCGCTCTCGCCGGTGGCTCCTGCGGTAGCCGTCCACAACAAGTTCCGCGCATCGGTGTCCTCATCGTTCTCGCACCGCTCAAGCACATCAAGCCACCCGCTTGCTCAAGAGGTATCCCGGAGCACACGCACACCCCCGCCCCTGCCGCCAGCTCCACCTATTCCGCCCTCGTTAGCTTACTCGCCGCCTCTTTCGCCGGATGCGTGGAAGCGGCTGAAGAGTCACAATCAGGAGGAAGTGCACCACAGGCCGAGCTTCATCGAGAAGGCGAAGGAGGCGCGCAGAAGACACAATAGGGAGGCGAGGCAGGAGAGGCTGAAGAGGAGTATAAGGGTGCTTGGGCCCACTGATCCGGGTGTTGTGGCTGGATACGTGAGGAAAAACGGGACGGCGTCGGAGGATAGCGATGTCCGGGGCAGGCTGCCGGGGTATATGGTTAGCGGGACTGTGTAGGGAGGATGCAGATGCAAGCGTGTAGAATGTCCGACCTTGTAGCATATGTTGCCCTTCTGTAACCGTAATAGATAGACTGCACCCCTATGTTACTCAGCCTGCCTTGGGCTCGAGCCTTCTAAAGATAGAATCAATCTCCTTCCTTGCATCAAACTCTATCCAGAATGTCAGAACTGCACGCCACTCACCCACCCAAAATCTCCGCTCAACCAAAACTCGATTGAACATAGTCGGCATAGAGCGCTTCCCAAGTTACAGCCACGCCCAGGATTCCTCAACCCACCGCGCGCCTTCAAACCAACGTCGCACAAGCTAACGGCTCTCCGCGTCCCACTGATCATGCGCTCATGCACTTACCCCTCCAGCATCCCTGTATCACGGCTTTCCGCTTCCAGCTAGCGTTACACAACCTACCTATCACGAGCGAGTCGATCGGTCGTTCGTCGTGCGTTCAACAGAAAGCACTCCTACCTACCCCAGCTTTTTGTCTCAATCTTCTCTCTCTCTATTCTCTCCTCCTTCTTCTCCTCATCTTGTGCATGTTCCAATTCCCCATCTTCACCGCAGTCCATCGCATTGCAGCTTCCCCGCAACACCGCCGCAATGACACTCAGCGAACCCTCCCCGCCACCCCCACCAAGCGTCCCCAACACTAACAACGACACCAACACCACCACCACTCCTCCTCCCGCACCCGCTCCCGCGCCCATCCACATCTCGCCGCACCTAACGCTGCAGCCGCCGCTCAGCCGGCGCGGGCACGGCCCCGGTCTTATCCTCGTCGCGGACCACTACGCGCTGCTGGAGCAGAGCGAGCGCAGTCTTGATCCGCCGCCGCTGCAGAAGTGGGCCGAGGAGGGGTTTGCCGTCTGCCAGGTGCTGGTGCCCGGGAAGGTGGAGGATGGCGGCGAGTTTCCGCTCGAGAGGGCGGTGGAGGTGCTGAGGGGGTGTGAGGGGTGTGATGGAGGGGAGGGGTTTGGACTTATTTGTACGTGAGATTGGGATTTCTTCATTTTTCTTTTGAGGAGGGGGGTTTGGGGGATTGAATTGGGTTGAGTTGGGAGAGGAAGAGGAAGAGAAGGGAGATAGTGGTGGTGGTGATCGTGGTAGTGGATGCGATATGTCTGAATTAGAAGTAACATCGCACGTGCTAATTCTCCTCGCAGCATACCTCTCGCGCCTGCCCTTCTACGTCGAAGAAGCCGTCTGCCTCTCCCCGCACATAAAAGCCATCATCTCCTACGGCGGCCGCAAGCTCGGCTCCATAAACCCCGAATCCGCATCCTTCCCGCCGCAGCTACTACACATCCCCGGGCCCGAAGCCCCGCGTCGCGAATCCCTCTCCGTTGTACCTGAGCCGGAGATCGAAGAAGAAGGAGACAAGAGCACGCGTGCCCAATGCCCCATAAAAACACACCGCTACCCGTCCGCGAAACGAGACAGCGGCTGGGCCCTCCCCGCCGACGAAGACTACCACGCGCCGAGCGCAGCGCTAGCGCACACACGCAGCCTGCAGTTCCTCAAGCCCCTGCTCAACGGCCCGTTCTTCGACCTCGAAGCTATATGGGACGAGCACTGCCGGTACGAGTTCGCGGAGCGCGACGTCGCGCTGACCATGTCCACGATGGTCGCGCAACCCTACGTGAACCACATCCCCACGCTGACCGGCGGCATCGGCCAGGCCCGCCTCACCGCCTTCTACACGCGGCACTTCATCTTCGCGAACCCGGACGACACGGCGCTGCAGCTCGTCAGCCGCACCGTGGGGACCGACCGCGTGGTCGACGAGTTCGTGTTCCGCCTCACGCACGACCGGCAGGTCGACTGGCTGCTCCCTGGTATCCCGCCGACGGGCAGGAAGCTCGAGATCCCGTTTACGAGCGTGGTGGCGCTGCGCGGGGATCGCCTGTGCCATGAGCATATCCATTGGGATCAGGGGACTGCGATGCGGCAGGCGGGGCTGCTGCCCGAGTGGGTGCGGTGGGAGGGCGAGATTGAGGGGAGGAAGGCGGGGCAGGGGATGCGGTTTGAGGTTAGGTTGCCGACTGCGGGGGTGGAGACGGCGAGGAAGTTGGTGGATGAGGGGGCGCTGGAGAGTAATGAGCTGATGGGGAGGGGTTGGAGGGAGGTGGAGGATGTTTGAGGGGAAGAGAAGACGGCGAGATAAGGGGGAAAAGGTTGTGGGTTATCGTCATGGGGTATCGTTATGATTTCGGAATTGGATGCTCAGGCTGTTTTGGACGGCGGGCACGCAAGCCCCGGGTTTTCGGTTGTGTTCCAGCGATCGACGGAGATGGGTGTAATTCGTCCATTGGGTTGTTGTTGATGACACGAAGCATAGCGCCTACAAGCTGCACAAGAAAAACTAGTACTGGACATATAGCGGACAGTAGATAGCGAGCGGAAGCGTAATCACCGGAGTCTTGGACAGCACTTGAAGAATTCCTCATTTGTCTACGAAAACGGCCTAGGTATCTTGCTCACGGATCCCCACCCACACTTCTACCCCCTCTTCCCAAACACACCCCATCCCGCCAGCACCTCTCTCTCTCCCCAAAACACCCACTCATCGCCGCCCACCTTGCCCAGTCCCTCCCTCCGTCTCTGCTCCCCCAACTCCCCCCACCTCATCAACAACGCCCCATCCAGTATGCCTCTCGTGCCACCTCCGCCGCCCAGCTCACCCTCTACAGCCCTATACGCCTTCGGATTCAGTCCACAAGCGCTGTCTAGCGTATTGCTCAGGAAGGTCGCCAGCCCGCTCAAGCGACGATAGCTCGATTCGGACAGCGGGGTGAGGAGCGCAAGTGTACCTGATTGCGAGGTATGGAGGATTTGATGGAGAGGCTGGGGTATAGATGGGTGTGGGTCGTCGATCGCAGGCATGGGAAGGTCCGAGGGGAAGTCGGTGGCGGAGGGCATGGAGAGGCGCGATTGTACGAGGTGCATGATTACGGGGAAGTGGCCGGTGTGGAAGGTGGATTTGTGGAGGAGGCGGAGGCCACCCATTGATTTGGGATCTGCGCAGAATCATCAGCAAGGTGAGACTGAATTTGGAGGGTTAACTCTTACTGTCAGGATCGAACTGCAGGACTTGCAGGTTCATGTCGGCATCGGCGATGACCATGTGGAGTTGCTTCTCGAAGGGTAGGAACTCGGCGCCCATTACTTCGAGCTGGTGTTTGCTCCGGCCGAAGAGCATCATCTTATATGGCTCTTCCTAATCCCTTGTTAGCCGTGCGAAGACAAGTTGACGTGGAAAGAGTGACGTACCGTATATCCGGTAAACCAGAGGCCTTTGAATGCGTCGCCCATCAACAGCATGCCGGTCTGCGGCAACGTCTTCAACACCGTGACATAGCACTGCATATCCATGAACGCTACAGGCAGCAGCGTCCCATCCTCCTTCAACCCTCTAACCATGCACTTCTGGCCCTGCGCCATGATCAAGAAGCCCTGCGTCCCCAATTCAGATATCGCCGACACAGCACCCTTGACCTCGTCCTTGACGATAAGCCGTAGCTTCCTGTTCGTCTCTGGCCGCTCTGGCTCGGGAACGACAGTGATGACTTCGAAGATGCGGATGCAGCCCTTTGTTGCCAGGTCTTCGCCGCGGACCATGGATGTGCCGACAGCGATGAGCTGCTTGCGCTCATGAGTGTTCTCCGAGACCTCAAGGTTGAGGGTCTTGATGCAGAGGACAACTTCTTGTGGGTCCAGCTCGTGGGTGTCAATGACCGACCAAGTCTTTTCATCTATGACCTTGAGGATTCCATGCTCAATATGAGGCTTGAAGGTTATATCTGGCGGAACCGTTAGTGCTGTATAGATCATGGAAGCCTCTTTACCTACCTTCTTGCTTCCACTCGTAATGATAAGTGTCATCCGGAAGAGTATACTCCACCATCTGGCCCGTACCTAGCACATAGACACCTCTTGGATGGTAAGAGAAGGCGTAGATTTCCGAACCCATTGGCATCCTACGCGCTGCCCAGCCCAGGTGGCCGTAGTGTGTCTGAGTAGGAAGCTGGGATATCCGGAGTGTGTCCTAACAACTATTAGTCCTGCCACAGGCTATTAGTTTCCTTTACTTACTTCAACGTCAATGTACGCAAAGCCTCTCTGGCATGCCGATGTGTGGAATGGTGTTAGCCCTTTGACTGCGTTCCCGTGTAGTCCAATGACGCGCGGTGCAGATGAGGACTCTTTCAAGATGAAAGCCGGCGACGGTCCTCGCTGGAAAACAGTACTGTATCCGCAAACGTTATCCATAGCCATAAGGCTACTTTCTCTCCCTGCGTCGGCACCACCCATGGCCGGCTCCTCGCTATACTTTGGAATGTGCTGCTGCGAGAGCTTGGTCCATCTTAGATTCTTAGTCCACAATTCCGAGGATGACTTTGGTGGGTAGTGGAAGGCCTTGTAAATGACCATATCATCGGTCGATGTTCGAATCTGTGGGTACATTAGTGCGCGGTGAGAGGCAAGTACGTTAAACGGTCTTACTATGAGATGGGGCGATTTTGAAGTTGAATCACCAATGTCAGCAGCTAATATTTCCGTAATGGATGCTTTTGCTGTACTACGTCTACCGTAGTAGTCGGCAGTAAGAAGTGGTGGAAGGAAGCCCAAACCCTCCGCAACGTAGCTCGGTCTTGATAAGTTCGACATCGCAAAGACCTACTAGGCGTTAGCTTCGGTGACACAAGGAGGAATGAAGGAACGATGTACATGAAGGCTACCTTCAGGTGTCAGGAGAAATGCAAAAACTTCCGAAAATGTTGAAGATTTGAAGAGTGATGCGGAGAGCCATCTGGTGGAGGATAAGCCACTTGCTTCAACATCTTCCAGCTCGCCACTCCCAGTCGCCTTGAAGATTTTGACACTCGAGTCATCTCGCAGGACGAGCAAGTACGGATCGGCGAAGCTTGCGCTAATGATATGAAGTTCAGCGCCGCTTTCTTCGTCTTCCATCGTAATGATTTGGTCCATGTTCAGTTCTAGTAACGCAATGATCAGTCGTCACTTCAACATTGTGTGTCTATAAACGCAATAGTGCTTACCGGAGTCGTAGGTCCTTACTTCGCCTCTCATAATCTGGACGACCTTGGTTCCCCAAGCTAGCACGCCAACGCTCATTGTGGAGCCTTCTTCTCGTTCAAAGTCTCCCTTAGTTGTTTCAGTAAGTTCGTGACCGTTGACCTTATAGACAATAGTACTCTCACTGCCATCGGGATCCGCCTTGCAGACCACTAGATACTGATCGTAATCGACGTCCGAGGCAAGATTGGCCTCGGTATCCTTGCCGAAATCGGCGACCACACCAGTGGGAGCTTGCTTTCTAGCGTGCACAGCCCAAAGGCCTCTTGCAGATGCTAAAGTGGATTGCGCTAGTCTGGTCGGATGCAGTTCGCGGTTCAGAGCAATGATAGCCCCGGCAGCCCCTCGACCGCTAGAGATCATGATCTCACCTGTTGTGGGATATTGTGATGCGATGTCGGGGCGTAGTACAACGTCTCTGATAGGAGCTATGCTCGGCAGAACGTCGTGTATTCGAAAAGTGTAGGTGCCAGGAGCGGTAGGTTCGGCAGCCACGGCTGTAACCTTCTTTACCGTGGTCGCGGTATCGTTGTAGAGGTCATCGTCCAGATCGTCGATATCCTCCTCTTCTTCGTCCGCAGACATGTCATCCGCTGTTATGTCGGCTCGTGATTGCTTCCTCCCCAACGCACTGGATGTGCTCGTCCAGCCCAGGAGCACGGATTCACCGTCCTCACTCCCGATGAAGAGTCTGCCGCGGCCCAGATTGCTCATACATGAGGCTCGAGTGCTCAGCACGTGCCCCCCATGATCCCCAGCGACAGGCTGAATGGACACGCCGGACACGGTGCGACCATCCATGGCGAAGGTCAAGGTAAGGAGTTTGCCATCATTCAGCACGATGAGGATGTCGCCAGTCTCTTGTGACAAAGGCTCAACAGCGCAACCTTCCAGATGGAGAGCGAGGTCTGACTGGTCGCTCAGCAGAAAGGATGTGCAAGCCTTTGCGAACTCATTGACAGCCACCCCATTGGTCTTCCCGGCCTGATCGACGTGGATGATTTCATTGCCGCCAACCAATAAAGCTCCTCCAATGGGCAGCGGGAGTGGCACCACTCGCGTTATATCATATGGCAGTCCTTGTACGGAGAGGAGGGTGGTGGAAGCCTTCTGCTCTAGGTCGAGCGTGAAGACGGTGTAGGTGAGAATATCTTTCCGTTCGGCGAGCAATGAGGGTGCGGGAGTTCGAGAGGATGCGACTATGCCGAAGGTGGGCTCGCGGTACTCGTGCAGGAAAGCCAGGTGGACGGGGTGGGTCAAGGTTGGATCGAGGTGCGTGAGGGGCAGCACAAACGAAGACGAATATGGTGTTTTCTTGGCTGGCTCGCCATTTGTACCCTCGGCGTTCTCCATTTTCTCATCTCTGGGCCCGTCAAGCTCCCGCTCATAGTCATCCTCCACCAGGTCGCGCTGCCTGAACGGGAGGATGGCGAGGTTATGGAGGCCGAACTTGAGGGCGGCGCATCTGCTGCTGGGGTCTGCCGTCAAGAAATTATACGTGTCTTTGAGCTCAGCTGACCAAGGCGCAATACCGGGCAAGTCTGGGTTCTCATAGTAGTGTATTGATATTGTATCGAGGTTGTATGTCTCCGGGTCCCATTGCACCAAGCTCAGCTTCGCGTCCCGGAAAGCCACCAGCAATGCCTCCGCCCTCGACTTGGTATTCAGCGCCTTTATCCGCGCGAGTGATATGACTGTGCCGGAAAGAGGGAATTCGCCGATCAGCACCAGCTTCGCCGTGTTCTCTGTGCGCTGCAGAGGCACGTCTGCAGCCTCCGTGTCCAGCATTGGGGACACATGCTCTGCGCCAGCATCATCGCCGGATGGCACCTCGGTCACGGTAGACTTGAGATCGAAGATCTGGAGCAGCGAGTTCTTTGCGACGACGAGATTGTTGGACTTGGGCGTGAGGAAGGGCAGGTGGATGGCGTGGCTGACGGCCGTCGGCGGCGCCAGCTCAGTGTAGCACTGCATCGGGGTGGGGAACGGGCGCGCTGTCGCCGCTGGTCATATTCTGCGCGCGATCGGGCGAGACACGAGGGCGAGGGCGGTAATTGAAGGCTGTTTGGTGTTGAGGACTGCTGCGCCGGCGCGCGTTCAAAGAGCTCCGATGCCAAGAGCTCTTTCGAGTGGGAGCTTGGACCACCTAGGCTGGCGCCATTGGTCGGGGCGATGGTCCGCCTGTCTAACGTCATGGTGCTGCCAGTGTTCGGTCGACTTCCATCGTCCTATCCTGGCTTTACCATCACAGTGCCCACAGTCAGAGGAGGTAGGCTTTGGAACCCTCCCCGATACCCCCCGCTATCTCGCCGCTGCTAACTGCCCTGAAGCTCCCTTACCGAGCGTGCCGACGCCATCATGGCGCTCATTCAAACAAGCCTCATCTGGGTGGCCTACGCCGTCGCCATTGTCCTTCTGCTCGCTATCGCCATAATCTTCGTCTACCTCTATCAAGCACCGCAAGACCGCGCCGCTTCCGTAACGGCAGTATGCATCCTCACGACGAGTGCGCTGCTCGCGACGGTGCTGCTCATGCCCGTCGATGTCGCCCTCGTCTCCTCCACCTCGCTATCCAGCCAAGGCCGCAAAAAGGACTGGGCGACGCCGGACAAGGTCGATAGCATCCTCTACACGCTCAAGATTGTCTACTACACCCTGTACTCGCTCGACGCTGTGCTCTGCCTGCTAGTCGTGCCCTTTACCTACTTCTACTACGAGGAGTACGACGAGGACGCTGCCGAGCACGGAGAGCAGACCTTCGGGCAGAGGTTCTGGGGCGCCTTCAAGTACACCATAGCCTTCATCGTCTTCGTCGTCATCATCTTCCTCGTGGGCTTCTTCGTCCCAGCTGCCAAGTGGGCGAAGCATGACGGCCGTCTGGACTTGGACTACTTCAAGCACCTGCTGCAGGAGAACCGTACGCACAATCGCCTCCACACTTAGAAGCAAGCGCTAATGTTTGTAGATGGCGAGAGAGCCTTGACCTTCGCCCTCGGCCTGCTTATGCTCATTGGAACCGTCATCTACGCTCTCTATACCGGCGCCGGAATGGCTCTCCTTCCCGTCGCTATGGTCAAGTCGGCTCCCTCGATTTCCGCCCCTACCCTAGCTGAGGACACCGCGGCGCAGCTCGAAGCGAATCGTGAGCGCCAGAGGCAGCTCGAAGGCCGCAATGAAGGCCGCGACGGCGGATTGGACTCTCGAGACAGGCGAGAGCTTGAGTCCTTGGTTCGTGAGGAGAGGACTCTGATTCGCCGGGAGCGCTTGGCCGCCGAATCGCGAGGCCAAGACCGCCATTGGATCATTAAGACCTGGATCAAGATCGAAGCAGTCTTCCGACCCCTCAAGCTGCTCGGCGGCTTCATCCTTATCATCCTCGCGCTCCTCATCTTCGTCAGTATGCTCATCACCGGCATCGACAAGGCCAAGAATTCCATATGCAAAGCCCACTGCGGATACATCCTGGGCCACATCAACATCTTTCAGCCTCTCAATTGGATCTTCGTCAAGTCCTCCAAGGTCTTCCCCATTGACTACGTGCTCTTCCTCCTGCTCGTCCTATTCTTCTTCTCCGCCTCGGTCGTTGGCATTGCGTCAGTGGGCATCCGCTTCCTCTGGCTCACCATCTTCAAGATCCGCAAGGGCCATACTTCGCCTCAGGCACTCCTCATGGCGACCGTCATGCTCAACCTCATCGTCCTCGCCATCAACTATTCCGTCGCCATGGTAGTCGCGCCCCAATACGCCACCTTCGGCCCCCAAACCTTCTGCGACAGAAAACCCAGACACGGCGGCGAGCAGCCCGACTGCACAAACCACAAGAGCGCCATCAAGCCCTGCACCGAGACTACGGACAGCCCATGGGCCAAGGACGTGTGCACGCCCAGCGTCCTCAGCACCTTCATCAACCGCGTAACGATCAACTTCCCCTTCTTCGGCGTTGTGTTGTTCTGGGCGCAGTTCGCTTTCTTGGGCGTGTACCTCATTGTGTTCTTGACCACGTTGTTTAGGGTGCCGAAGCTCGATCAGGAGCAGATTGATCGCGATTTGGAGGAGGAAGAGGAGGAGGGCCTGCTGGCAAGTACGGGCAGGAGGTTCAATGCTACCTGGCAGGATATCACGGGCAGAGGGAAGAATTATGGGACTACGGCGACGAATGGAGAGAGGAGCTAGATTGCGTCCTCGAAAAGATCTCCGCTGGCTGCTTCGGAGATCTTTTCTGTTCTTGGTTGAGAATGCTACGAGATGGATTGTAATGAAAAGGAGCCTGGAACGAAATGGTACATATGGGGAAGTGTAATCATGGGAGGATTTTTTTTGGGGGTTTCAATTGGAAAAAGCTTGTACGCATGATACCTCGGCGCTAGGCGTTCAACGAGAGACCAAATTGATACGTTGGGTTTCTGAGAAGCTAGTCTTGGTCGTGTGCACACTGCGCGTCTAGCAAGCTCGGGTCTGTCTCAGTCGGGAGGTGGTGCCATCCACTACCGCGTCCCGAAAGCTGGCTGCCGCAGAGTATACCGTGGGCGAGTCAGGAGGGCTCAGACAATTCGGTCCGCGGGGACGGAAGTCCCCAAGCGGTGAACGGTGAATGTGAGCGGATGGAGCAATGTTCTCGAAGTAGTTAGCACCCCACAATCTCGCCGCCAAGCAGCACAACACCTTCACTCATGCGGTTTCCCTCCCAACACACGGGTGCACAGTCATCTCGGAAACTGTTCCGCGCATGGCCGTTCCTTTTCACTCGACGTGGGGGGCTGGAGAAAGACTCTTCGCGCGTGCCGCTGCTTGGTTTCCTCGCGTCTGTCTCCTCTTCGCTGCACCCGCAACCCAAACTCGTTGTTCTCTTTTTTGCTCAGCGCGAGCAGACTCAGTTGTATTCTTGCTCAGTGCGAGCATCCTTGATTCAGTTGTACTACCATGGCGGAGCACGACGGGCCTCCTATGCGGCCTGGACAGAAGGTTCGCCACGCTCAGGTCGCTCTCCAAGCCCAGATGCGCAAGTTCGACCCGATTGATGCGCTGTTCGGGAAGAAGAATGCGCCGCTTGCCAGGAAGAGGAAAGCAGGAGCTGCTACCGAGGACAGGTGGGCGACCAAGCGCATCCAAATGGTCTCGACGTCAGTCAATATCGGTCCTGACGTGCTCTCGCCGAAACACAACAACCCGGCTGCATGTCTGGACGGCCTGCCCGGCGAGCTCCTCCTCGACATCTTCGAGCATCTCCCGAAGCCGGCGTTGGCCCGGTTGAGTAGGATGAACAAGAAGCTCCGTGGGTTTGCCGACGAGAAGCTGTACTCGACTCTGAGGTGGGAGGACATGGGTGAGAAAGCCCGGCGTGGGTTCGTGCACAGCATCGGCAGGAAGGCTGAGCTTGCGGCGTTGGTCAAGACGATTGAGGCGGAGTACGACGTCAAGAATGTCGACTGGACAACGTACAAGAAGGCCGTGGAGGTCAAGCGCAAGGACAAGCAGAAGTGGGATGAGAAAAAGCCGAGGAAGATTGTGGAGGAGGAAGACCTGACTGGGCGTGAGGCGCGGCTGCTGGATCTTGCGCTCAATGCTGCGACCAATGTGCAGACGCTGGTGATCGTGGATCAGTCGGTGATGATGACGCGTCGCCATCTTGGAAACGAGTTCTGGTGGATGGATCTGCTTGTCAGTGCCGCACAAGGCACTCCTGTAGGACCATCCCACGCCTTCGCGCAGCTCAAGACGCTCAGCATCGTCTCCCCATACTGCAACCTTCCTTTCGAGAAGCTGTCGGACATCCTTTCTCTTCCGTCTCTTCAAGAGGCCACCATCAAAGGTGTTTTCCAGACTGAGAGCGTCGAGGATCTGGGAAGCCACAAGAAGTCGTCCTCCGTCAAGAGGCTCGTGTTGAAGGGCTTCCTCCATAGCGATGCGGTGACCCAGCTTCTCTCGTCCTGCCATACACTCGAGCACTTCACCTACACCTACACGACCGCCACGTTCGAGCCGCTCAACTTCGATAGCCCCAAGGGTGTGTGGGCGGAACATTCGTGGGCCACCATCGGAAAAGCGCTGGCGACGCAGAAGGATTCGTTGCAGAGCTTACAGCTCTACTATGACGTGGATCCAGATATCGCCCAGCTGGCAAATCCGAAGGTCGCCGACTCGCAGTTCTACGATGACGCCGATCCGGATACCGTCACCGAAGAAAATACCGAGGGTGTCAATCTCGGGACCCTAGGCTCGCTCAAGGCGTTTCCAAAACTGCAGATTGTGGCGGCTCCGATCGATGCGCTTGCGGGCCCCGACGATGATCTTCCAGTTATGGCTGAGCGACTGCCGGCTGGGTTAGAGATGCTGGATCTCAGGATCGATGGTAATACGCAGCTGAAGCCAGAGATGTGTGGCGCGGCGGTAGGATCACTTGCCAAGCATCCACAAGGCCTGAACGCCGTCCATGTGTCCGTCGGGCTGCAGGTGAAGGTGTGTAAGCTCGAGCTGTCTGGCGCTGTCGTTGCGTTGAACAAGGCTGGCGTGGAAGCTCCGGTGACGCGCAGGCCGAGCCATCGTGTTGGTTACTATATCGAAGACCTTGACAACGTGGGTGTGGATGAGGAGTACGAGGACATGGGGAATGCGTATTGCTACGAATCCGATGACCCTGACGAGGTTGACGAGGAGTAAAGTCGCGGTTACGAGGGTGGCAAGGGTGGCGAGGGTACGTATGATAGACATGAGAGTCATCGTATAACACCTGGCAGGCTGGTGATAGAGGCCTGTTGCTAGTTTCCTAGGTGGAGTGCCTCTACATGTTAAGAGTGCGGAGGTGGTCCACAATCGGGACGCATCGAAGTACTGCCCGCAAATGTATGTATCAGCAATACATATGAATGTAGTCGATAAGCATATCGGGTGAGAGAAATCAAAGGTGCAGCAATAAAGGAATTGCGTATTATGCTGCCCCCTTTCTTGTGCTGCCTGGGATAGTGGCGTCTCCAGTTCCTACATAGGGAGAGACCAGACATGGTTTATCCTCTAGGATCTTACCCAACCAGTAGCGAAATTATCAAGATGGCGGATAAAATTCCTAACGCTGTCTGTATGTTCATCGGACAACCCTATTCAATTCATCGTTAGCACAATGAATCGCTACAAGCCCAAGAAATTGGTTTCACTCACTGGATTCGACCCAGATATCATTGAACTCCAAGAACCGCTCAAGTGTAGTTGACGTGTTGACGTCTTCAGCTCCGCATATCAATTTGAATAATTCCCGGTCCACTCCTTCCTCATTAAGTGGATGTAGGTCGCCGCAGCAGTGAAGGTATAATTGGGCAAGGCTTTCTATGGCGCCCCGTAGTGTATTCTGGGCTGTGAGCAGAGTGTCGGTAAATCCAGGGGCATCCTCAAGGTTAAAGTCGATCAACCAGAGTAGACAAAGCGTGAACCAGACAGCTGGCCATCTAGTGGGGTCACCCTTGAGAAGGTCGGTGCGAGCTAGTTCCACAGCTGTCGCGAGAAGTTGTGGTAACGAATCGTGCACCCTCACAAACTCGGTATTGTCTGGTGGTCGAAAGCCCTCGTCCATGCGTTCTAGGAGGATCTCTGGTTCGAGATGCGAGGTTCTGTTTGGCGTTTCAATCAACTCAGCCGCCAGGACATGATACTGGACGTGGGCAAAGTCGTCATCGATGAGCCACCCAAGGGGAAAGTGATCGCTGAATTGAGATACAGCGTGTACGCGGACCAGAGCTCGCAGGGCAGGAAGGATGGAGCTGGCCTCCGTTTCCCAAGGCCGGGCTCCGGGTTCCGGGTGGGTCGGGGTGTGGGAGCACAAATGGCAAGAGGCTTTCAGGATAATGTCTTCACTGAGTGCTGCATAAGCAACGGGCCATTTACTCGGGACATCGTTGAATTGTCGCGCAAAATCATACGGGGCGCGACGAGCCGACGATTCTGCCTTAACATGCCACGGGAGGTCTACAATGGCATGCTTTACTGCTGTTTCGTGACCCAGTTGGAAGTAATTGACCGTGAGTTTCCAGTGGTATTTCCCCGTGCTGAAAAGCCAGACGCCGTCAGCGATTTCGATGTAGTCTTTTCGAGGTTAATGATACCGCATGGCAAGGTTCGAGCGGGAAGGGAAACCATACTAGAGAATGCCTCTTCGAAATGCGTAGCGATCTGTCCTCGTTTGCAAGGGAGAATCTTCAGGCCATCATTGCCTAGATCCAAGCAACCCCGGCACATGGGCATGCGGTCGCACTGGAGAACGTTAATGACGGCGAACGAGTCAACACGGTGGATCGCCACACAGTTCGATTGAGCAATATGCAGCGCCAACAGCGCCTATCCTTGGAGACAGGAACAGGTGATGATTGAGCCATGGGCTGTTCTCGAGACGCTCGATGCGAAAAAGACGGAGATCAGATGAATGAGCGACGAGCGATTGTCGAAAGTGACGTCGGATGAAACTTCCGGAAAACTCTATACCGGATCCGGTTAGGCCGGAAGACTCGTGGTGGTTCTTTCCCCAACTCTACTTCAACATCACTCGTACACGACCGGCATACTCTCCTTCACGTATAATACACTGTTTCTCCTCCCATTGTCCGAAGAGGCGGCAGACGAGACTTTTTTTGAGAAGAGCTAGCGTTCGCGGGCGTCCGATGACAGTCCTCTCAATGGCCCTTCATGACTGACTCGACAACAGGACGCTCGCACATCGAAATGCGGAGTCTTCCGCGTCTGTGGAGAGCTGAATATGGCACATTATGGCAACCCGGCACAGCCTGTACTCGCCAACGCCGCCGTACACCTTAACAAAATGCACTGAAAAACGACCCGACAATTCTACACTGGCACGTCGTCGGGCTTTTACTGTCGAAGGCATCCAGTATCGGCTTCTCATAGCCAGAAGTAAGGAATGTCGTGGTAGTATATGTACCGCCGCATGTTGCGTTAGAGCCCAGCTGAGCCACCAGTCCCGTACACTCGACCCGTTCGCAACCAGCCCAAACGTTCGGATTTGGTGGAGTCCAGACCACTGAGGACTCCGGACCATTTCTTACTGCCTCTTCTGTGCCTTCACTATGCATACCGTGTACGCGTTTTCAGCCTACGCCTTAAACCAAAGAACATCGCGATGAGGCATACAAGATTCAGTGTGCCAGGGCGGGGATGCTGGGTACCTGGGTATCAAACGAGCTGCGAATAACCACCTGCGACTTCTCACGCGTGCGATGACTAGGTGCTGCTGGGTGGACCAGCCATTCTACACTCTCAAGCCTGAATTTGCCGATCAAGGACCTTTGGATAGTTGAGCACAGGAAGCATCACGTGGCTCTAGAAAGCCTTGCAATCGAGGTGTGAGGTCTAGGGGCATGCGCATACAGCTACCTGTGGTAGGTTCGCTGAGAAATCCGGGTACACGGCTCATATCTCTTGAATAGCGACGTTCCGAACGCTCGCGACCTCAGCCGCGCCGTCACAATCTACCGCTACGGAAGGCGTCGCTGAATTTCATGTCTCCTACACCATGGTAACACCTCCTATAAGCGGCTCGACCGGAATCATCACGGAGAACTAAGACGGGGACTGCCCTCGAGGGTTCGGCGAGAAGTTCCGATAAGACCACCTATTCTACGCCGCCTCCCTCTCGCACTCTTCCAAGGTTTCCCCCCATTCTCCAACAAAGCCACGGAAAATGGATAATCGCAACTATCCGCGTACATTATCTCTATCACTCATCGCGCCCTAGACGCGTCACAGGGTATTGCATGAGCCTGCGTCATTGACATGCTTTCCGGTCATGATCGCCCCATGCCGCCCTATTCCATCCATCAGGATCTAGACTCGGTCCATCGGACGCATCACCGGCGAGGGACGTTTCGAAGCTCAGCCAGGAAATCCCGCACGACGATATTGCGGCCATTACTTGATGCGAAATAATTTGATTGCACCGCTACTTTTTGGTCATATGCGCTCAACCTTCTCCCCCACACTTGCTCCCGTTGCTTCGGTGCGACCATCACGCTGTCCTCTCAGAGCGGAGCCTCTTGTCGCGAGCTTGCATCCTTGACCGCCTTTTGGCGCAGTCTTCCGTTTCCAACGACATGCGGCACGGAAAGATCTCATTGCTTGATGCTGGCTCCAGTCAGTGTTCCAACGTGGCCTTCCGTGACCGATGTCCGCCTGGGCAGCTACTCATTGCCCTGACTCAGATAAGAGCCCGAAAGCAGGCAACAGGGCATGCCTGCAGCAAGGCAGTGGGCTGTGAATGTGCTTCGCAACGCCGGATGCACGTTTGTTGTAGTATCAGGACATGCGCAAGGTCTAGCCGTGTCCATGGCTACGCGGCAGCGTCCATCACGGGTCGTGCTCCCCGCCTCGTATCCCTACCCTGGATCGGTTCGTCTGTACCTTTACAGACCAGTCAGCCCTATCATGCGAAGCGAGCAACTGTGCGCCAAATCACAACAAGCGTTGGAGGGGGTAAGGCCCAGCTGATGGGATGATGACTGAGAGAGGTACCCTGCAAGGTTGTCAGCTATCTCTGGACTTCAAAAGAAGCAAAGAAAGACTGACCTCGAGAGCCCTTGTCCTCTAGCTCCGATTGGCTTGCATTCTATATATATGCGAACGACCCGAACGTGGCCCAGAGCCCACCTCACGACGCAGGCGGTAAGCCAACGAGTCCCGTAGAAGGGCTGGGTCCACGAGATGCGTCTCATGTTGTCGTCAATAGTGCCCATAGTATGTGGACTCGTCAATCGAGCCTCGTGACCGGTATTCGAGCTCAAGTTGCTGGATACCGATAACGCTGCGCGACGACTGCTCCTTGGCATTTGGCTCAGTCACAAGGCAGCTTCAGCGGGATGCCATCGTTTGCAACTCCGGGTTCTCAGCCCTCAGCTCCATCGAATTTATCAATGGAGCTGAATTGGGACGACACTATGTCTTATTGCGCAAAAGCGAATGCTGCAGGCTGAGTGCATTAGGGAAAGGGCAAGAGCCTCAAAAAGCTGGATGTCACCAAAATTGGAACGAGTGACGGCGGCGCTCTGACGCTCAACGCGAGTTGGAATGAACGTCACCATGCAGACGCGTGCGCATTTTGGGGCCTGTGGACACGTGCAGCCTTCCGCTAACTAGGGAAAACGAACCTCTTTGCGACTGGGCTCCAAGGATTCCGATGGACAAGGCGGCAGCTCGGAACGGGGCTCTTGGGCGCGCTGATCTCGCCGCACTAGGTACAGCCCTCCTGCGACAAGGTGCGGTTGGTGCGGACGGGAATACCTCACCAGGAACAAATGCATCACGGGTTCACGCACGCGGCACGCCGGCATCTTCGAACATTCATTGGATCCAATGGATAGCTGTGCGTTCATAACCTTGCTATCCTACACGCGGGTTGCCCAATTCTAAGGAGGTATTCCAAGGCCAGTCCCTTGCGGGCCGGGGAACGTGAGCCATTTTGCAAAAGCAGAAGACCACCCAGACGATGTTAGAAAAAGCAAGACCAATATGTACATGTACAAGGGTCCATGCGAGGCTGGTGTTTCAGAGAAAGACAAAGTGGGAAACCAAAACGACCGATACAGCTTTTGGCGGCAGGCTTGCTTTTCGACAACCGTTTTGCAACAGATAACGCCTAGGACACAGACCAGCGCAAGGAAGCGAGACGCTCAAGCCAAAGGAAACGCCACAGATAATGCAAAGAGCTCAACGCCGGTGAAGATGCTGAATCGTGTGTGCCGCGAACATGAGGACTTCGCAGATCGTCGCAAGCGAAACTCATTAAGGTCGATGTTGTCGACGAAAGCAGGGGAAGAGCAGAGAAAGGAAGGGGATCTCTCATGGCGATGCGGCTGACGCACGTTCTGAGCGGAGAATACGACGGTGGGAGTTCATAGAGAGTTCTCAACTCTGACCAGCTCTTCGAATGCGTCGCGCCACTTGCGGATTTCTTCCTTGTTCGGCCTGGGAAGAGGCTTGCGAGCATAGCCTCCATACCCAAAGTGGGACATGAGGGCAGCCTTGGTGCCGATGATGCCGCCCTGAATGGCCGCCCAGTCGCCGCGAGCCACAACGGCTTGCAGCTTGCGTGCTTCTGCGTGCTCGCCGGCCTCGAACAGCTCAACCAGCCTGACGCAGGCCTTAGGCGCGATGTTCGCCATGCCGCCGATGATTCCAGATCCTCCCCCAATCAGGGTTTGAAGGGTGAAGTCCACGGAGCCACCCATGCACATGAAACCAGATCCGGGGTCAGAGAGAGTGGCAGCACGCGTGGCGGCCGCGATGCGGTTCAACTTGCCGGTGTTACCGCAGGTCAATTTGCAGCCGACAATATTTGGATGCTGGGCGAGCTCAGTGATGGCATCCGAGTTGAGATCCAGTCCTGATACGGCGCCAGGGTAGTTGTAGATGAGTATAGGGATAGGTGAGGCCGTCGCTATGTCTCGGAAAAAGCTGATGACGGTGTCTTTGGAGAACAATCCTTGGTAATATGCGGGCGGTAGTACCAAAGCGTAGTCTCCGCCAGCGGAGGCGGCCTCCTCGCAAAGCTCGATCGTCTCCCGGGTGGATTGAGCGCCACAGCCGACAATGACGGGCATGTAACCAAAGCCAGAGTCGTCTAGCGCTTTACGAGTGGTGCTGGTGATCAGGTTACGCTCCGTATGTGAGAGGTGGACCGCCTCGCCATTCGATCCTTGGGTGGTGATGCCAGCGACGCCGGCTTTTGCTAGACGGACAGCGTGGTTGGCTGTTGTCTCGACGTCGACATTGTCGGTCATGGGGTCGAAGAAGGCCACTGTGGGGACGTAGATACCTGGCACTAGCGACCGCCGCAAGCCCACGTCTCCAGACTCGACGGAGCTTGTTTCGAAAGAGTCGTTATAGTGGCTCATGGCGTAGATTGATTGCACAGCCTGGTGGTGGATAGGGTACCCCGAGCGAGAGTTGAAGCTATGTGCAGGAGAAGGGGCGTCGTTATGCGGTGACATGGTAGGTATGGGTGCTTCTGGCGGAAGTCTGATGGGTTTTATATTGACGAAGACGTTGCAGAGGTGCGGAGGCTTGACAAAGGGATAGCAAATTGATCGACGAACGGTACGGATACGTCAACGAGAATGGCCTCGAACCGAGGACATGTACCTGTACTTATATAATTCACAGGCCGGAGAAGCGCTGTCGCGGATTTCAGAGAGCCATTGGCGAGAGTGGGGGTCCAGCTGACGACCGGGCAGGAATACTGGGGATCGCGGGCAAAGCAAGGTGCGCGAAGGTGCACCCGTCAAAGGGCCAGCAGGCATGACTGTGACGACCAAAGGGGCGGTGACCTGGAGGCGCTGTAGTGCGCGTTGCCGATGTCAGGCACGGCTGTTTGCGCCTTGGCCGGTGGGACTGGGGCCCAGCCAATGATTGAGGCGAGCATGGGTGAAAACAGCGTTTGCTTTTTCTCCTCACATCACGGTGGCAGCTAACAAGGAGGTGAGAGGCTGCCGACGGTCGGATCCTGGCCGGAGCTGTTGGGCAAGGGGTGCACGCCTTGTGACGATCTCTGCAGGCGCTCGCAGGCCGCTGATAGGGCGATCATTGCCACCGTCTCGCCCATGCGAAGGGTTGGCGGGCTCGAAAGAGCGTTGCAGAGGCGGTTCGGGGCATCCTAGTGTGGGGGTGGGGTGTGGTGTGGCATTCGTGAGGGACCCATGCCGCCGAGGTCTTCTCATCATCTGATATCACGACCGCGCCCCTGGGCCAGTCCGCCGCCCATCGTGGTGCCAGTCGTCGCGTACTTCATTTCTCAGCGGCCATTCAGGATGCACAGCAGCGCAATGCAAAGAGTAAGAAGAATAAGGACTGCGAAGAGACGCAAGACGTGGCAGATGTCGGGCAGGCGGTGCAGGATTGCCCGTCACAAGATCACAAACCATCAGCGCGCAGCAGTCATCAATAATCTCCCCGAGGGTTGCAGGGCCATCGACAGGAACATGAGGACACGTTTGAGCTCAGACCTCGTCATTACTACACCATCCCCGGCAGCGCCGGCCGACTGCGATGCGAAGCTGCGGCCCCCCACGCCGATTACTCTGGTGGCGCTCTCGGCCATGGCGCCTACGCAGCAGGAGAAGCACTAGTCTAGCCAGGTTTGCTTGCGGGAACAAAGGCTCCCCAGCATCACCTCTTCCCATTGCGGTGAGGGGTTCCAGCTCTGGGCCGCCTCGCCCTCATTCTTCAGACCCACTATCGTGTCTAGGAGCGCCGCCGCAAACTCAATTCCCGCCTGGTGACATGCAGCAACGCGTCCCCAGCGCAACAAGGTCACTTGCAACCGCTGCGTGTGCAGCGTCTACCGAGAGGATGCTTCGGCAGTCACGAGAGTACGCGACCCAGCGACGTGGAAATACACCAGCCTCTCGTTGCTTTTGTTTCCAGCTCCCAGGCTCACCGGCGCGAGAGGGAGAGATGTTTGGACGGTTTGCTGCGGTTCCTGAACGCCGGTGAACCTTTGTCACCTCCCCCACGCCAACACCCGTGGCAAGACCCAACAACGATCAGACGAGGTGTTCCCGGCGCACAGCCGAGAGCACATCGTCCCTGTGCTCAGCTACAACCGTCTCCGAGTCTGTCTTGTTCCCGATGCTGCATCGTTGGAGTGGGCCCGCGGCCCCTAGACTCACACTGGCAAGCGGAAGAAAATTTTTCCTGCAATCTGATGCCGGCCTGATGCGCCTGTCTCGTAATGGAATCCGGGGCATCGGCCTTTCTGCACTTCAGAACGGCATGTATAGTGCGTTGTCGTCGGACAGTGTGGGCACAGCCTCGCCAGAAAGCCAGCCGAAAAGGGACCGAAGCTTCGCGCACAGCTCTGCGCTATTACCCCACAATTTGTCGATCCGAGGAACCTGGCGTCCCCCGCTTTCGACCACGCTCGAACCGTGACGCATCTGCTAGCCGCCGGCCATGCCTCCCTCTGACATGCATGACGCCCAGTTGTCCTCGCGATCGGCTTGCTTCCTAGCACCTAGCACCGCCCTCCTGCATTGGAGCCCATGCATGCAATATCAGAACGGAAACCCCCCAGATGCTGCCCGAGGCTCAAGAGCGCGCAAGCCATCCGCGCACTAGGATTCGAGATTGGGTTGCAAGCCCCAGCATCGTCTTGCTGCGCGTCGCCATGTGACGCCGCTGCTTGCATGGCTCTCGATATGCAGGCAGCAGGTCAGGGTGTGCTGCGTGAGAGTGGATTCGAAGGGGTAAGAATTACTCGCCTCTCCGGCCTACTCCATATCTCATCCGACTAGACGTTCCATCGGCATATAACTTCACAACAAGAGCTCTATGATCATAGCAGGGGCCGCAGTTCGGCGTGGGATGTGTCACGAGTGGATCTCCTTGCGCAGAATTTTCTGATCCCCCCCCACGACGGAAATAATCGCAACCTTCGGAATACCAGGCGTGAAAAGAGGGGTCGTGTTACACCACAAGAATGCGGGGAGGCATGATCCTCAGCTGAACCTAGTCGAGGTCTTAACCGATGTTGTACGAAGGCCCTCGTCGATGGCACCGCATCACGCCTGTAGTCCAAATCAAGACCAGGTCCAAAATGCCGTATGACCATGGCGGCAAGTGTCTCAGGAGATCGGGTGTTGGAACCGGGACAGATGGCAGGATGTGGTCTCAGGACGTTAAAGGGAGTATCCTCATCCCAACGTCATCTGTGGGACGATCCACTTGCTCGAGTCTCTGCTTTGAATTCCCTATTCCCGTCTGCTCCCTATTCCGACTTGAAGCTCGCCAAATACCGCCGGCTCTCAATGACGAGTCTATCCCCGCCCGAAAGACGAGGTTCGGTCAACCCGTTGATCGGCCATCACTTGCTTGAACATGTCGAGATCCCTGTGGAACTCGCCAAACGCTCGGTTCGTTCTATTTTCGCTGTTCGCAAGCAGCTGCACAAGCAATTGACCGTCTTGCCACCTGTTATTCCGGTCGGCTACAGCCCTTCGCCGCGGTTATCGAATGCCGGTCAGACAATGCCGGTCAACCCTGCGCTGACCGCCTAGAGCCTCATTGTTCAAATTCCTCCGCTGACCCAAACCGGTCGAATCGCGTCGATCGCGTGGGATGTGTTCCAAGGTACATTCGGCAAACTTCTCGGAAGACATTCCAACGTGGGATGTGCCAAGGTATTACTGCGCCGTTCCAGCTCAACATCATCGTCGAACCGTCGCAGACACTGCCACTTCGATCCTCAACACTTCTCTTACGACGCCGTACTCCGCCCCGAACGGATATCGTCGCCATCATCCCACGCTTCGGCTCATCTCTTGCACGACGCCTCTCGACCCTTCCGCTGAGGAAGTACCGGTACTTGAAGAGCGGATGTTAGGTCCTCGACGATCGATTACCCTCAGGAAACTATCCGAAACCCCCTCAATGGCAAGTGCAGAAGCATAGTTGCATGAGCTTACGAAAGATGACCAGGAAGTCTGTTCTTGGCTTTGAGGGGAATGCCTTCCGCCCTCGGAACCTTGACTACTATGGAAGAGTTGGACCGCATGGCATTTTCACATTTACTGCAGGGCGGCGGCGATAAGGAGGGACATGATGCCCTACTATGCCAACAGCGCCAGATTCCCATACCACAGCCCAACGGGATGACGTGCAGCAGCAGAAGAGCGTAGGGCTCTTGATCCATTCTAGAGAACTAGCACGTCTACCTCGCAGACGTGGTCAATATGGAGCAGATTGCCTAAGTGGGTCGATGCATTTCAAACTTTCACTCTGCCCCGCACCGGAACCTGATCTAGTGGCCAAGCCCGCAAGCTACCAAAAGATCATACGACGAAGCCACCCACCCACGGACTTCTCAGACGGCCGAGAGTAAACGTTAGCGCCTGTCTCCTAAGTATTGAGGAGTGTGTGCCAGTATCCACAGCGAGCTCGAGGTATCGTGCCGTCAATATTACGTGACTTTAGACCGGCATCTGCTAACAACAAATGATCCCTGCGCTTCATACCGCTGTTCTCTCCGCCGCGCGAAAAAGATACCCGGATATTGTCGGGAGAGGTCAGGAGACCATTAGAGAAAATAGATCTATGCGCTGACTACAGCAGGTAATCGTGATCTCGATCCTACGCACGGCAAGCTGTTAGACTTCGAGCCTATATGTGGGGCTTCGCTCAGATCAGCAGTCAACAGTACGACCTCCGCTTACCCAATGGAGTGACATGCTTTCACCTGAGGTGAGATGATCTATCCGTACTGCGAGTTACTCTGGTCGTGGGGTCTGGAGAACTCTCACCTGGAGTACATGTGAGACTGGCACCAACTCACGAGCTTCAAGCAAGGTCGTCCCACAGTCACCGCCTCCGTTTCTATGCCGTGAGAAGTCCTGCGCCCCATCACTTCCTCCTGCTATACGCGATGCTGCGTACGGTCTTTGGAAACACGTGTATATGGCAACTTTCTCACTAGCTTTGTCTCGTAAGCGCACGCGGAAGTCCACAAGCCCTCTTTATCGAACAACGACTAGGGTCTTACTCTCTGTTTTTGCTTTTTGGGCGGCAATACTATTGCCGTTTGCTCCTACGATGAAGAATGTTTCCAATGCATGGAAGTATCCATTCGTCTAATATTCGGACTCCAACCGATCTCATGCCAGCCAAACCAGAGACATCCAGTTCGGACTTGCGACTCCACCAAACTTACCTGCATGCCTCTACCTGCGGGTGTATTGTCCTCTTCCCGGATAGGAAGCCTCATAAGAGGGGTCCCTGTATGAACCGAGAATATGAGGGACTTTGGACGCATGCGAGACCCTCCGTCGCGGCGCTCCTCCCGCTTTTCCTTGCATGAACATACTTCTGTTTCGTCCGCAGTGTTCTGGACCACGACACCGACCCGCGCCTTCTCTTGGACTTTCGCTCGAGGTGGAGATGGTCAAGTAGCTAAGTTCAACTTATTGCTTCTTGTACTCGAGGACATGCCCAGTAGTGCGTCGATGAAGTTGAAGCGACAGATCATCAGTCGGCCAGAGCGCCTCGCCAGAGAATCGGCCCGAAAAGACAGCTTGTCTCAACCACCAATCTCGGCTGGGGAACCGGGGAGAAGAACCGATGGCCCTAGCTGGCCAATGCTCCAATTCGCCCTTACCAACGCTCTCAAAAACCCTTACAAATCGTGGGGTTGAGGCTGCAAAACTTATCAACCTTCCTCCACCACTTGCCTAATTTTCGGCCCTCCGCAACCTCCAGCAAGCTCCTAGCCCCTCTGTCCCGCCTGGTTTGATCGCCGAATCTTGAAGGCCTAGTCCGATCGCAAATGGGATATCTCCTACGAACTCCGAAGTAGCGGTCAATCGTGGCTGCTTCGTGTAACGCGCAGGAAGACCTCAATGCTGCTCAACGGTTCGTTGGATGTGCATGTAGGCGCATCTTGAAGCCGCAGATGCACGGTGTCGGCTCCAATCGCGGTCGCCACATGGCGAGAACTCATATCAGGTGAGGGATATATTCCATCATGCAGAGGTAACACATCATAGACGTACTCCACCCATACGTATCTGCGACATTTTCACCTCCCGTTCAGCGGATAAGGCTTGCGGACCGTTGCTCGGCCTCCACAGCAAGATTTGAAGCTTCCTTTCTTGTCGCGTTGACGCACCTCCTGCCTCCCTCGCAGCATCGTTTCCGCCCTCGTGCGTCTCAAACATGCAATCGAACAAACGCAGCTGCAAATCGCTTCATTGCTTTTCGCATTGACTCAACGGTGGCTTGCGCAAATTTTGGCTTAATTGGTACTCTAGGTCTCCCCGCACGTCCCACATCGTCGACTTCCCATTTCGGTGCAATCTTTGGTCGCCTACGCCCGCTCGTCTAGTACACATCCGCTAAAAATGTCACACGGAGGATATCTGCAGGTGGTGATAAATACCAGCGCGTGTACAGATGAACACCAAAAAGCAACGAGGGTAACAATGTCACACCCTGTAGCGGGCCTGATTCCCCAGAGCCATGCGGAAAACGGAAGTGGCTTCGGCAGGCTTATGCGACATCAACGTGGTCTGGGAAAGGAACTTTCCTGGAGGATTCATCTTTTCTTTTGCTCTCCGTCTCATTTTCCCTGTCGTTCCCAATATTTGTGGCCGTCGCTTAAGCTTGCCGTCGTGTTTCCACTCGCCTGGGTCCTTTCCACGAATGCTTGGCCGACGTCTTTTGCTTTTTGGCTTCTGATGTCGCAGCCATGGTCTTGTTTTATCCTCTTTTAGATCACGTTGAGCAGGGGTCGCATCGGTCGCCTGATGGCACGAGGTCACCTCTTCGCATATCCTTCTCACACTTTCTCTTCACTTCATGGGTCCGCCTTCGTCACGACTCGCTAAGGGGACATTTGATACGGGAGGAGAACCGTCCCCGGAAGCAGTGCCTCTATCGGCAGCGGTGCCGCCCGTTTCGCCTGGACCTTCAAACCTGCTTCATCACCACCTCCGTCATGCATTGCTACCCGGCACTCTCCATTACGACCTCTACTTTTGAACAAGATCAGCGTAAGAGGCGTCTCTCCGAGAAAGGGACCACCGACACGATCTACGATCACCTCAGCATTACCGCATTGCGTCCGAGCACGAGGACGGCAGCCTGACCGAACAAGCAAACGTCTAGCGCGCGACGCCGTTGCAAGAAAAGGCGATCGCGTCGGCGACCTCACTTTGGTGTATGTTCAGCCCAACGCCCCTTTGCGGGGCGGTTATCGTGGCCAACGTCAATTTGCCCTGTCCTGTCCCGGCTTTTACCAATCCGTTCACATGCCCAGGGTTGTCGGATACGGATGCGATTTACAGGACTTTACCATGTTTCCAGAAGTTTTTTTGCCATTGTTCGCCGTCTAGTTGTGCGCCGAGCCCGGCACACTCCTTCCGGGCAAGCCGACCAAATTGTTTTCGCCTCTGCGCGTTGCCTTGCTTTGGAGATTCAGTGACGTTGCGAGATCCGCCTAGAAGTTTGCGCTTTGCGCTTCCTTTTTTGGGGGTGTTGGGGTTTTGACTTGCGCTTGTGGCGCTTTCTCTCATCTCCTGTATCGGAGACTAGAATCTTGCTTTGCGGGAGCCTGAGGCTCGTGGCTGACACCGCTTTTCTGGTAAGATGCAGGAATGTAGGGAAAAAGGGGGATCCTTGAAGTCTGGAGGGCGGAAGCTTGGTGCACTATCGCACCGAAGAAGGTAAGATTGCGATGTGTAAGTCCGATTATACACTGGAATCCAGTGAGGTGATCCAGTGAGGTGAGACAGGAGGATACGGTAAGCTCATTGACATGCCTTTGTCCGTCATGTTACCTGGGTATGCTCTTCTTGCTTAGACACGCAGGTTCGGCCCAAATTTGGCGTCGCCGAAGAAGTCTCGTCACAACGTCTGCTTGCGTCAGTGAAGGGAATACCTCTAATGCATACTGCGTACTCTACAGAGATGAACAAAGCACAATGGCACGCTCGTCTGAGGGAGAGCGAGTCGGGATACGACTTCCGAAAGGTTCTAAACCCTATCAGCTTTAGCATCAACCAGACATGCCAGTCCAAACTGCTTGACTCTGTAGAGGGTAGCTAAAAATGTTCGTCCCATTAGAAACACGTCAGCTTTCCCTGCTAATGAAACCCTCAGAAGTCTACTTGAGGAAGGCGCTGGCTTCCATGCTTCGCTCTCCTCTCGTTGTCTACGCTAGATTGTGAATGCAATACTCCACCGTCGCTCCTGATCCCCTCTACCGTCCGTCAAATCCACCTCGATCACCGCAATATGGTTGGGAATGCCAAACCTCGCGGCCTTATGTAGACAAAGTGGCGGAGGCATTGCGGAAAGGGCCAGTCACCGGTAGACGTCGCGACGAAATCAGAGTAGCTCGAGGGCTCGCGACTGGGCTGCATCTTCGCTCCTACGCAAGAGTTAGAGATGAGGCCTGCGGTGGAGAGGCTTGACTATTAGTCACTGGCCCATTGCGCGCTTGGGAATGCGTGGAGGAGAAGGAGACGGGTTTTAACCACGTCGGCAGGTTTTAGCCACACTTCTATGCTCGAACGGCGCCGCCACAAGAACCTTGAGGTTACACCAACGGTGCCACCTTAGACGAACAGCATCGATCCATCACTTGAGAGATGGACGCCATGCCTCGTCCTTGCTTCAACAAGGCTGCATGCTGTGCCTGACCGGTGAGAGTCGTTGAGCTGCGCCGCACACCTCAACGTACTCACGCCTCAGCAGTCGTCCCTTGTTCCGCGTTGCAAACAGATAATCTGGCTACCCTTCTCCCAAACGTTTAACTCTACTAGTATTTCTTTTGCAACCTTTTGCTGAAGCCTCCACAGACATGTACTGGAAGATGGAGGCAGTCGCTGCAGTGGAGACCGTCATTGCGTGTCTGCGCTCTCTTTCTGACCACCCATACATATCTGCAATACTTACCTGCGGCCTCGTGTTACTCCTCACAAGGCTCCGCAGTACCTACGCCTTCCATTACACAGCAAAAAATGCTCGTCATAATGACGAACCCCCCATAGCTCCATATTGGATCCCGGGCCTCTACCATGCCCCTAGCATGATCCTCAACGGGCCTGCCCAGTTCTTCACAAGCATACTGTAAGCACATTCCCAAATACCCATTTCAAATTCCGTTACTAACGGCTATCAGACTCCAATACGGCGACCGCCTGCCTCTCCTCACTAGAGTTGGCGCCCTAAACTTCCTCCTTATCTCCTCCCCCGAACACGTGAAGCGCGTCTTCCGGTCCTTAGACATGGATATGACGTTCCTGAAAGTGCAGATCTTCAAGAAGGTATTCAGGAGCCCGAAGAAGGCGCTCGACTTCTATAAGGCCGACCAGGACCAGTTCGAAGTAGAACGGCGCATCACTTACGCGCATGAGACACTGCCGCGGAAGCTGCTTTCCGGGCCCAGTCTAACAGCCATGACGGAGAAATACTTTCTCACGCTCAGGAAGAATCTCGCCGCATGTGGGTGTGATAGGGAAGAGGGGATGGAGATTCCGGATTTGTATGCCTTCTTCAAAGATGTTATTATGGAGAGTACCATCGAGACGGTAATGGGTTCCGCGCTCCTGGAGATGTACCCAGCTGTCGTAGAGGACTTCTATCTCTTCGATGAGAAGCTAGAGGACTTCAACGCAGGGACGCCGAGGTTCATGATGCCCCTCGCGTACGATGCGCGGGATCGCTTGCTGGTGAAGTTGAAGGAGTGGGATCTCGCGTCGATAGACGAGAAGGAGGGCTTGGACGAAGACGTGGAGTGGAATAAGTGGGGATCCAAATTCATCCGGGCTCGTAGGGCTGCTTTTCGCAGCATGCCGGCACTGGACGCCAATGCTAGGGCGAGCGAGAACTTGGGGATTCTGGAAGCGTAAGTCACCCGCTCAACTTTGTTCCCTTAGAAACCTTCGTACTAACATGGGGACCCAGCGCAAGCACGAACATACTCCCGTCAGTCTTCTGGTTCATCATCGAGGCCCTCAGGAACCCCGACCTTCGCTCTAGACTCAAATCTGAAATCGAGGAATGCACCACGGACCAAAGCGAACGTGTAGACGTCGTGAAGCTGGGCGCTAGACCGCTCCTTCAGTCCATGCACGCCGAAACTGCGCGGCGCTACCTCGCCATCGTCACAGCCCGCACCGTAACGACGCCCAACTTCACCCTCGAATTCAAGTATGGCGTTCGCAAGGGCACTACCGTCATGATTTTCTCGAACCCACTAGCCATGAACACCTCCGAATGGGCTGCGGCCCGGCCGTCGACCGTCCGTAAGCCGCTGGAGGAGTTCTGGGCTGAGCGGTTCTTGACGGACGAGGGGAACTTCAGTGTGGAAGGGATTGCGGGATGCTGGGTCCCTTTCGGCGGAGGGAAGCACATGTGTCCTGGGCGGCATTTCGCGAAGAATGTGGCGGTTGCAACGGCGGCAGTGTTGCTTGGCGAGTACGAGTGCGAGTTCATGGAGCCTGAGAAGGTTGGTGATGCGGTCCCGAAGTTTAAGGGCGCGTATGCGGTGCTGAGGCCGAAGGAGAAAATCAGATTGAAATTGAGGAAGGCGGATGGGAAACCTGGATGATTGAACATTTTGAGAGACGCTCCTAGGTGCGTTAATGAAAGAAAGGAATCTAGTTAGCTATGGTGTCTGCCTAATTCCCCTTACCGTATCCACTGGAAGAGCCCATGCTAGTGAGGATAAGTAAATGGCCGGATGGACTCAGATATTCGAGTAGGCATCCAGGAAGGAAATAGTGGGTAGACTATGCTAATGAAAGTGGAGGGCCGAGAAAGAGTAAAGAGACTCGCTTTTGACGCTCCGGTAATAATGTTAGATGATGAAAGAAGACATGAATGGGGCGAGGTGACTCGCTGATGAAAAGAAAGAGAAAGAAGTTGGCAGACCGAATAACGCCAGATGGAGACGAGACATGCGTGCGAGGCAAGGGAAGAGCATGAGGATTAGTGATGGGAACAGGTATCGGGGGATCCACGGCACGTATCCTCTTCCTCGATATCCTCTCGCTAGAAGTCCTCGAAGGGAACGTCAACCTTCCCATTCTCCTTCTTTCCGATCTTCTCCCGTACCCACTTCTTCCGCCGCTCCCACATGCGCCCCGGACCCGTATCCTCCACTCTGAAGTCGAAACTAATGGCGAGATTTACCGCAGTCTTCAAGACGTGAACCCTCTTTAGTGCCGGGAAGATCCTCCTAAGCGGCTCCCTGGAATTGCCACTGCAGTATGGCTCTAAGGTCAGCGGGCGCAGCTCCACATCAGTCACAGCCTCGAGCTGAGCCGGCACCAGGAGACCAGCCCAATCCCGCATAAGGTCGAAATTCACCGGCGCCGTTGAAGAGGAACGTATTCAGGGCGTAGCCGAGCGTTGCGGTTTCGGTGTAGATCTGGCGGCAGACTTCGGGGAGATGGAAGGCTGACTCGACAGTGCTAAAACCATAACCAACACGCTTGACCGCGTTCCCTCCAAGGCTGACACGAATAGTCGTGCGGGTGAATTCGTTATGCTGGCAGATTTCGACGAGGTTTCCGCCCATTGCGAGCTCCCAGACTCGGTTCCTAATCTCGGCGGGCAGGTGTAGAAGAGGTGATTGCGCGGCATTGCGTTGCAGGCTACGATCGCGTTAGCGTCTTGAGTACAGAGAATGGGCATAATGAAAGAGCATGCTTACATCTCGACCAGGTGCTCAGGGGTCTTTCCCATGTTGATGAGGCTATTCGGTAAGCGTACGACCTCGAAGGACTTTTCGATCAGGCGTGCCGATCGCCTCGTGGGTGTTTTCTTCTCTGCGTTGCTCTTTGGCTTTACAACTCTCGTGGGCTTGAGGGCCTGCGCAGGTTGCTGAGACTTGCTTCTTGCGAGGAGCCATGTGGAGGAGATTTGAACGAAACACGTTTAGGAAGAAGAGATTCTTTAGGAGGGAAGTGCCGAGGTGTGTTGCAGTGGGCGATGATTTTATGGCTGCTCGACTGGAGGAAACCCAGATGAGCTGGTCGGCGCGAGACGTGAGAGTGGATAAGAGAGTCACGCGAAGTACTTGAGGGACGTGGAAAAAGTGTTAGTGAAGGAAGGATTGAAGACGCGAGGACAATACTGACCGGAAGTTGCAGCTATAGAGAGTTATTCTTGACTGAGAGAACGAAGCCCTAATGAGTGAGCACAACGCATCACTCACCTATATGCCCATAATTACGTGACTTACGGCGTTATCAAGAGATATTAGAGCCTTCTTTCGCGCATCTTCGAACCATGTGATGATAGCTAAATGCGCTCACTGGAGGCTACCATGTGACATAGTAACTGAAATAGTAGCAGCTCAGGGAGCGGGGAGCTGGGCCTTACCGTGCAGATATTCTCCGCTAGGTGTCCAGAAAGCTGCACCGGGGCTTGTCATTGATCGCATAAATAAGAAGTGCTTCGGGTCTTTTTTTCGTAACGACAGTATCCATGCATCGGGTATATTGAAGAGAAGAATATATTCCAAAATCCCACTCACGCCGAAAATAAAGCCTACTTTTATAAACACTGGTAGTAATACGGCGGCGAAACTCCTTTGCACGTATACGGTGACTATGTCCCAATGAGTCAGCAATCTGTACACTCCGAATAGAAACATAAGCATAACACACCTCGCAAACTGTGCACCCGTTCCAATTTTGACCACCGCATTGATCCCAATGCTTCGACTTGCACCCACCTCCTGGATTCCCAGGGTTACCCGGTGTACTCGTTGGTCTTGCACTCGAAGCTCGCGTGGAGCTGGGTCTCTGCGTCGAAGAGGGCCTAAGTGTCGTGCTTGGCCTCGGGGGATTGGATGTCGGCCTTGGAGGTGTGGACGTCGGCCTCGAAGGTGTGGATGTCGGCCTCGGAGGGTTGGGGGGCCTGGAAGAAGGAGAAGGCCGCGGCGGACTTGTTCCACCCTTCGTGGGCGTATCGACCTGCGACCCATCACAGTATACTGTCGGACCATCCAGCGCTAGATTCTTCAAGACGGTACTCATTCCGGTCGTTCCAGGTCCTGTGCAGAGTGTCGATCTGGCTGCGCTGGTGTTGAGCGGAGCCGGATATTCGATGTGGAAGACTGGCTTGTTTGTGGCGAGAAAGGTGGTGTATCTGTCGCATTCGCCTAGTTGTGCGCATTGCTCGTTCACAGCGAAATCGACTATTGTAGATACTCTGTCAATGATGTCGATGCTGTTCTTGAGCCCAATGTCCATGTTGTATTTCGCCGCTTCTTGCTGCATCCACTGGACGTAGCTGATTGCGTCGGTGTCCTTCAAGTTTAGGCCGTTGTCGTTTTGCTAGACTATGTCAGTTGTACGTTCTCGGAAGAAGAGATTGGGATGGCGTCGCTCTCAAGACGGTGCCAGTCTCGGCTAGCAGGAGGTGGTGTACGTACGTAGCCATCTGTCAGAAGGAGTTAGCTAGATGGTTCTTGAAGATGTAGACAGCGCAAATACCACGCTGGGTAATAGCCCTAAAGTCCACGGTTCCAGCAACTCGTACCTGTATTATCTGGATCTATAGCATCACACCCTTTGTCTCCAGCCGTCTTTATGCGCTTCGCCATGATGTCCCTGATCTTCTGGCTTCCCACTCGTATCCACTTCTCATCCGGCCATTCTGGTAGGACTTTTCCTACATCGGCCGCGGGGAAATCTTTCGCATCATCTCTCCAATCCTCCACGGTGCCGGCGCTGAAATAACATATTACTATCTTTCCCGCAGCTTGCAATGCCTTGATGGACGACGCGTCGGTGTCGAAGAGATCAACGTCCCATACCGGGGCGTCCGTCGGCGCAATAGGCATCTTTGACGTGTCCGGTGTACCTAGTAGTATGATCTGAAACTTTTGGCCGCGCGTGAAGTTTTGTTGTCCGAGCGAAGGGCGGGCGAGAAGCGCCGGCCAGAGCAGCCATGGCAGCATGCTGAAGAAAGTTCGTCGCATGGCCGCGAACTTTCAAAAGAGCGCAGTGGAGCTTGAGCAAGGTCCTAGAAGCAAACGAGAGAATGTAAGGAACGAGGTGTAAAAGCTATGCGGCGAAGATCGGACGCAGCGGATGAGCTTCCAAAAACGACAATGGAGCATATAAGAAACGACAAGCGAATAAAGTGGCAAGCCAAGCAGCATGGTTTACGTATTGCGGTCGACGAAGCTCATTGCGGGAGATTAATCGTCTAGACGCGTCCACGTCTTAGGGGCCCTTGCCGTTCCCCATACTCCCATAAAGATTGCTTATTCGTAGCCGGACCAACCAGCTCGACCAGGTGTAAATGTAATGAAAAGATGGTCACACCCGGCTTCAAGGTGATGCTCGTGCCACAGGCAATCTACGTTAGACTGGACAGCCACAGCACGTCATTGACGCGCACAGTGAGCATGCTTTCCTAACGCAGAAACAATAAGTCGAGTCCGTGGTCTCATATTGGTGGCAGCTGGTAGAGACCATTTCTTTCCGCAGGTGATATAGCGCGACTCCGAGCGACGTAGCCTCCTAAAGACAAATCTTCTGATCATCCGCTAGCGGGAGCGATGCACGTACTCGGCAGATGGATGCATTGCGGGGAAAAGCTTAACCATGAAACCCTCATGGCCACAGTCAAGGATTGTGTTCGGGGATCGACTTTTCCTGATGGGCGAGGAGGACGTCTGGGTGGCGGCTAAATCAATGCCTAATATATCGGACTCCACATAGACGAGGTACCCGGCGGAAACTTATATGGCTGGATAGAAATTTGAGGAGATATTGATGAAAGAAGAGAAAATCTCTCTCGGGCATTTTCGACTGCCGACAGTCTGGACGCTGAACGAATCCTCCACCAATTAGCCAAGCTCCGGTGACGAACAGACCAAAGGCAGGTACGTACGCCCTTGCATAAGACCATGCTGAGTCTAGGCGTTCCTCTTTTACTTCAGTGAGGTTCTGCTTAAGATCTACTCAAGGCGTATCGGTCCTATTTTTGCGCTGTGCAGGCCTTCATCAATCATAGAACTTTCGCACTCTATGTTAGCCAACCCAGCTGGAACTCAAACCGGGGTAACATAGGACATATTCCGGGTTCGAGAAGCCTTGCGACTTCTAGATCGATCGCAGATGGGGATGGTTGTGATGGAATGTAAAGTGGAGATGCTCCAGACGTGCATCGCGACGGATGACTCCACTTAGAAAGCGAGAGGCGTTGCCTGCGCAATATGACAAAGGATAAGCGCACTAGCCTTGATCATGATTGGAAGCTCTGTGCAAATGGAAAGACTCGGCGAGAATGGACCAGCGAAGCCGAATCGTCGAGGAGACATGGCAGGGAAAGACCGAAGCGCACTGGTTTCGGCGGCTTCGAGAGGAAAACCTCTTCAATGCACAAGGTTGGAGAGACAATTAAAAAGCGCGTTGGACTAACGGGACGGAACATGGGAAGCGAAAGCGAAGAATTGGGTCGAGGTTTATCCAAGGTTGAGCTGCTGCATTAGCATTATCGATAGGATCACGTGCAGACGGACCGATAAGATTTTCCGAACGCCGATGCGATTTCCAACTTTTGCTGATAGGAGTGCACTGCGAAGCCCTTCGATGCGTCGTCCTTTTTTGTTCTTTCGATTTGTATTCGTTATTGTTCACGGCTCCCTGGGGTCCAGATGCACTTAGATACCCACGGAGAAACTCAACTACCGCATTCGCTGAGCCGTTCCGCACACTGATGCTATCGTCCCTCACTCGCCGAAGCCTTTACCGCCCTTTCCACTCCTTTCGTGCGCGCTTCTTAACCACGTACCCTAAACCCGTTTCACCTTACGTGAAGGTATGGGATCCCACCGCACACGTACCCCTCAAGCCTGTGGAGTCGTCCGCCGAGTGGAGGGTCGCGACGAAGGATGCGACGGAGGATGATGAGCGAAAAATCGAGCGAAAACAGTGGCGCGATACCCAAGGAGTGACCATTGCCTCCAAGACACGTCGGCTGGGACAACGCCATGCAATCAAGCGTCTGAATTACTATCTTTCGCTTGCCGCCGATACGGTGGTGTGCAAGGAGAGTATCCGCACTCAATTATGGAGAGCCTACGCGTTGGCCAAGAGGCAAATCTCAGGCTTGCCATCTATACTACCGGATAGGGCCTGGGACATCATATGGGCTACCCAATGGGCGCACACCCCGCAAAATCGTTCCCGACGATCGCACCTAGAAGAATTGTACCGCGACATGAATTCGGTGGGCAGGGCGACAACTGTAGGGCAAAGGACTGCGTATCTTGAGAGCATCTTCCTTAATGGGAAGGAAGAGCAGGCATTGAAAGAATGGGAAGAAGACCATAGCGGCCTGAGCACTGGCTCGCGACAGGACTACAAGCCCGAGCACCTGGAGATGGGAGCGAAGCTACACGCCCTAGCCGGGAACGCGGACCGAGCGCGAGCGATCATGCACGAGCTCTTCGACCTATATTCGGACTGGGACTCATCCATCATGATGAGTGTATTTCGCGCTCATACTAGCGCAGGTACCGATCAACTATCCGACGTAGCCAAGGAAATATACGCAAAGATGCGGGAACGGATGGGTAGCAAGATGGAACTGCAGGATTACGATTCTTGCCTGGTGGGATTCTTGGAAGCTCGCCATGTCCGCTATGCGAAACAAGTCTTTCGAGACATGATCAAGGACGGCTATCTGGCCTCAGCCTTTTCCGCTCGGCAAGTCGAGGAAGTCTTGGAGAGGCTGCATCTCCTCTACCGCCTCGGCACCGATATTGAAAAGATGACCAGTATTGCGCTTCAGGCGATTTCGGTCCTCCCGCAGCCATACCATTCGCACGTGTTTAAAGATTGGATGAAATCGGCTGTTGTCAAGAAGGCACCCGCAGCTTCGGCCCAGATCTTGGATATGATGTATAATAGAGGTTGCAAGCCGGAGACAGTCCACTTCAATCTCCTCCTGAAGGCTCTACTCCGGACGAAGGACGAGCCACACATCCTGAAAGCCGAGAACATCGGCTGGACGATGATCGAGGAATCTAGAAGATCGTCCTCAAAGAAGCTTGACGATGAGGCAGCGGCCGACATCATCTCGAAGAAGGCCATTCAGACTGCGGAGACGGCTCTCGATTCTGATATTGCCAGGAAGATACCACAGGCTAACGTCACGACATTCGCTCTCATGATGCGGCATCACGCCAGCAATTTTCAATGGGAGCATGTTGACTACCTAGCGAGACGCTTGAAGGAGACGGGTATCCAACCCAACGCTGCGGTTATGAACGTCTTAATGGACAATCATTGCCGGCAAGGGAAGTACAGCGAAGCGTGGCGGACCTACAAATCCTTAACCGATATTCCAGAAGGTGCTCCAGGAGTGTATCCGGATGGAGCTACCATGAGATGCTTGTGGAAGACTCTGCGCCTTGCACTTGGTGACCACGCCACTCGAGACGATCCCGGCCTTCCTACACCGCGCCAATTACTGGCCGAGATGATACATTGGTGGACGCGTTGTCGGAGCAGATACGACGTCGAGCGCTTTCGCATGGGCCTAGCCGCTGCAGACCACGGCGCAATAACCAATCTTATGATGCATTGCTTCAGCTATATCCAAGATCTCCCGGGTTCGCTTGTTGCTCTTCACGTCTTGAGGAAGAGATTCGACATCTTCCCATCCGACAAGGCGGCTGAGGTGTTGCAGAAGCAGACAGCCTGGGTTGACATGCACCGAGAGATGCAGTCCGTCCGGTCGCAGTATTATCACAGCGGAGTCAACCAGAAGAACGTGGAGAAGATGGGCCGAGTCTTCAATCTGCTCATGGAGAGGAGGTTTGAGCGGATGAACCTCATCGGAGACCAGTTTGCATACATGAGTGAAGAGGAGGTCGGAGATTTAGGGTTGAATCTCTTATCGGAGTTCGTCCGAGTCATTCTGAAGCGACAGTATCCTCCCGAGGCGGTTGAGGCGCTGATTGATGAGGCGAAGAAAGAAATTGAGGTCTCAGATATGCCAACGGGAGACATGGATGCTTTCAGTGTTGCTTAGCCTGCATCTGTAGCGACATGAGCATGCAATTGCATGACGGAGCGGTATCCGTCCCAAACTGCTGTAGAATGTTAATCTCCAGCTTTGCCTGGTCCTTAGCCTCATCTCCACGAGATGTTTCTTCAGCGCTGCAACGGCGTCTTGAACGTTCCTTGCATAATCTTCAATGATTAGAGCTTGGATTGTAAGGCGGTGGACATCTTGGATATGGACAGCGCTGAGGGGAAGAGTGATCGACATGAGAGGACAACGGATACCGGAGCTCGAAAAGAAGAAGGGATCCAAACATTCAAGTTTCATCATAATCATTATAAAGACATTCAACCTGACTCCAGTGTGGTTCTCAAACCAGTACATGTATCTCCATCATCCACAACTTTTCTTTCTTCACTCCCATACATATCACCCTTACAATCCCAAAGGATTGTTCCCGGTGCCCTTCCTCGGTGTAGGCCCCGACCTTGTGGCCATCCCAGCCCTCGCGCCGGACGGTGTGCTAACAAGCCCAAGCGGGTTCTTGTTGGTGCTGCCTCGGGGGCCTGTCGCGCCTGTGACATCCTTGATCGAGTTGCCGTATTCGCGGATAGTGTCACCCCAGCCCCGACTTGTGTTCGTGACGCTGTCCGCCATTAGCTTCATCGCTCTCTGAGACGTGCAGACATACCTCGAGCCTGCTCCCTTTCCAGCTCCTGCTACACCATTGCCTGCGGCTGTGACGATAGCCCCAGCGAAGTTACCGACACCTGCGGCCGCAGCACTGGTGGTGCGTGTGATCCAGCTCTGTTGCTGCGGTGGTTGTTTTGGCGGTGGCTTCTTGGTAGGCGGCTTTGAAGCTTGCTTTGGTACCTGCTTTGATACCTGCTTTGGAGCCTGCTTCGGGGGTTGTTTCTTCGGAGGCATCTTCAAGATATATGCTGGTTATGATTTGGACTTGTTAAGTGTAAATATCTTGGAGATGTTCCATCGCAGAAAGTTGATCATGGTGATGCCCGTGTGGCGGCGGCGATGATGTCAATCTGTGGCTGGTGCGACTGCCCTAACCGCATAAAATAACGTTGCATTAGCCGGGCGGTGAAAAGGCTTGGCCGTGGACCCCCATCAGACGTCGGAACCGTGGAGTTTCGCGTCTCGCACCCCACCACGTCGACCGTCGACTGCCGCATTGCTGGGCAAGCACCCTCATTTTCTCCACCTTTCCACATCTGAACTGTCGTATCTGAAGCTCGGTCTTCAATACGTCCTCCTATATGCTGTTCCGTGGTTGATGCGTTGTGTTGTCCGCGCGGGCACGAGTGAAAAGGCGGAACTGACAGTGTTGAGCCCACGGCTTCACACCGACGGCCCAGGGTTAAGACGTCATGAGCCTCATTCACCACGAGTGACGCTAAGTGACCTTCACGCAGCCTGTAAGTCGAGCGTTTACTTTTACTTAATGTCACAACGACAACCCTCCCGTCGACGTTTCGCGAGTTGGACGGCTTTCGCCGCCTACCCGACAGGATGGGACTGAAGAGGTCCAAAATGGACCTCGAGGACCTCCTCAATGGCAATGAGGAGGTCAAGAAAGCGATCAAGACAATACGTGGGTGCTCAATGGAGAGGCTGACCCCCCGCAGGTTATTCGGGACCCCTTCGCGCAAGCCAATAGATAGGTCTACCATATCGCGGCCCATTCAGAACCCTCTATACCCAATTATACCCCCGTCGCCGACAATCGATCTCGGAGTTGCCACGCCGCCGCAGACGCAGTCGCCGTCGCCGACTTCTTTCGTCTCGGAGACTCCCTCGACGAAATCCAGCCCTGGCCCTGCCCGCCAAGATTCCGCGTGCGCCTTTACCGGTCACGTCCATTCTGTATCTGAGCCTACTAAGCCCACTATCATTCCTCCCCCGCCGCTTCGCACCTCGCCGAGCTTTCCAGCAGGTCCAGAAAGTGCCAACAAACGCCGCGATCAAGGCCCCGCTCTTGAGAAGATACCGGAGTCGCCTTTTGAGTTCGAGGGCGCGGTCGAAGACTTAAACCGTCGGAAACACCCGCGTCACATCGCGGACATGGAGCCCACACGTTTGCAGCCGCCACCGGCGGGCACGAAAGCCCGCGCCATGCAGCAGGCAAAACAGATGGAAACTTTGGTTGCTGAGAGAGCGAAGCGTACAGGAGATGAGCCGCCGCCGTACGATTTCTACGAATTGATCGGCAAGGGCGCTTATGGCCGCGTCTTCAAAGGGTAGGTTTTCAAACGTGAGCGTTCTAGCATGGCTGACCAAGATGCAGTCGGAACCGCAACACAAACGGTTTGGTGGCTATCAAGATTATCGACATCGACAAGGTTGATTACGAAGAAATGACAACCAAGAATCTGTCAGAGACACTCAAGGAGATCAATATCCTCCAGCAGCTGAGGGACAGCAAGGCTCGACCATATGTGAACATCATCGAGGAGGCGTTGCCAGTGCACAACGAGCTTTGGATCGTCAGCGAATACGCCAGCGGTGGAAGCGTCAATACCCTCATGAAGCCGACCATGAACGACCCGGACGGCCCTGGCCTGCGGGAGAAGTTCATCATCCCGATCGCACGGGAGCTAGCGATGGGCTTGAAGTTTCTCCGTGATGCTGGAGTGATCCACAGGGATTTGAAGTGTATGCCTATCTAACTAGCGCTTGCCACCATGTGTCGGACACCAGCTAACGTTCGTTTAGGTAACAACGTTCTTGTCCTTGAGGATGGTCGCGTGCAGCTGTGCGATTTTGGCGTGTCAGGCACTCTCGAGCCAGAGATCTCTAAACGCTCGACGATCGTGGGCACACCGTATTGGATGGCTCCTGAGCTCCAAAAGGAATGGGTGAAAGATGCGGACCCACATAGCAGGATACAGCCAAACGACATCTTCTACGGCCCTGAGGTTGATATCTGGGCATACGGCTGCACCGTTTTTGAGATGGCGACCGGGTTCCCACCTTTTCACAAGACCGTGCAATGGGACCTACCACAGAGTGGAGTTCCCGTCCTAGAAGGCGACAAATACTCTCCAGAGCTCAAAGATTTTGTGGCTTTCGTACTGCAGCCAGATCCTAAGGATCGACCAACACCGGATCAGATCCTCGAGCATCCTTTTCTTGCTGACACAACTAAGATGTATCCCACGGTCCTACTTGTCAAGCTCCTCGAAGACTACCTCCAATGGGAGCAAGGTGGCGGTGTCCGCGCCTCGCTCTTCAACCCGTATGGAGCCCAAGCTCCGGACCCGCTTGCGCCGCAGGCCGAGGATGAGGATGATAACTGGACGTTTAGCGCTTCAGACGAGCTCGAGGAAAGGATGTCTATGCTGTTCTCTGACCCTGATCATGACCCTTTTTCTGGTGCAGCGCCCAGCCAGAGCTTCACAGGCATACCCCCACCTCCTGCGGATGACGATAGATTCGCAAAACTGCAGGCCAGCATCAGGGAGGAGCAGATTACTCGAGGTCAGAAACGCCTAAATCGGCTCTTCGACAAAGACTCCACGCCATACAGATACAGCGCCGTAGACAGCAATCGGCCGCCTTCGGACCTGATTCTCCGTGACTTCAATCCTGGAGCGCCGAATCGCGAGACAGTCATTGACTTGGATTTTGCGGCGCCCACTGTGGCCGACGTGCCTAGCATTGACCTAGGCGAGGTCCCTACTTTGAAGGCCAATCGCATGCAGAAGATTTTGCGCGAGCTGCAAATGGAAGAAGAGGAACAGAGGGACACTTTTGATCAAGACGAGCTGAACAAGCGAGCCACCCGAGACTGGAAGTTTCCTTCCATGAATGACCAAGACAAGCGAGCCACGCGAGACTGGAAATTCCCGTCCACGGCTGAGCAGTCGAACAATCGAACGACGCGGGACTTTAAATTCCCGGCTATGCCGGAGAGAGCTAATCGAGCAACGAGGGAGTGGACTTTTGACGCCGCTATGGCCGAGGCAAATTACAAGGCTCAGAGAAACTCGAGACGTGATACGCGGGATTGGTCTTTGCCCATGGCCACAGCACCGATCGAGGATAACAGGAAGACGCGAGACTTCGTCTTTCCTATGCGAGACCCTGAAGAGAATGAGGGCGGTAGTCAATCCGACCAAGGCCCAGGTTTCTCTTCTTCACCCACGCTTGGGCCCGACTTCCGACCCGGCTTGAAACATGCTTCAACGGAGCCGTTCGGTTCGTATGACGACTATCCGCAGATCGACTCGGCACCGGGGTCGCCTCTTCGGGCGTCTATGATAGATCTCGATATGGCGAATGTTGACATACCACGCCCGTCGACCGCCGGCTCTAACAGTACTTCTACATACACCGCCGGGGAGCAAATGAACGAAAACCCGTTCAATCTGGAGGACCAGGTCCACTTATCGCAGAACAACAACCGCACGTCATACCATATGAAGTCGCAATCCGAGCCTAACCACGCTATCCCAGGCTTGCTAACCCCGCAGACGTACGACGAGCAGGGCCATCCGACAAACCAGGACCCGCACCATCCGAGCATGCACGCGCGCGGTGTCTCATCGGTTTCTCAGATGCAAGCCCAGGTCAAGCCCCCACCCAACAATGTTGGTGCTGGCTATCACCGCCCCGGTCAGCGCTCGCAACAGCTTATCTGGGATGGCTGGTCTCACAGCGCCGCCTATGGTCTCGGCAGCGACGATTCTCCGCCCACGAGCGTTACTACCGATGCCTCTGACGACGATATCGACGAGGCCTGGGATAACCTGGAGAAGCTCACTCTCACCCGTAACAGATATCGCTCCCGACGCACGGACAGCCGCGATGAAGATCCTCGCTCTGACGCCGAAGACAATTACGCCACCGACCCTGCCTATGATGACCTTGAACGTGTCCGCGTCTCCCTTGGGCCCAACGGCAAGCCGCTCGTCGACTTCCCTGTCCCACACGGACCAGAACCGCAGGTGCTATTCGGTGTCGACGCAGACATGAACGCGCTGCAGAACGCGCTCTGGAAGAGCAGCGTGGAGATGAGGGACGGTATCAGGACGAGCAGAGACCTGTTGAAGGCGATGAGGTTGGAAGATGTGAAGCCCCTAGAAGGCTTCCCCGAAGAAGTGGAGAGCGATGCAACGAGCACTGTGCGGATTGCAAAGTAAGTACACTGCGCCTCGTTTCTCTTCTCGGGGACCGCCACCCCCGTCGCTTTCGAGATCGCGGGTCGAAGGCCCTCGGGAGGAGTTGTTATTACGAGATGGGCTGGAGTTCAGGGAGGAGTGCCTGATTATGGACGGCCTGGAAAACGACGGAGTTTGGACGGACGGACGGCCATAGCGATGCATAGGCTTGGCGTTGAAGGTGTACGAATACTGATGGGATAGATATCTCTGGTCTCAGCGCCTTCGCGGCGACGGATAGCTGCAGACTTTCTTCAAATCCAGCTGATACATGTTCTCTGATGCTCTTGATCCACTATACTAGTGGGTTGTGCAAGTACGTGAAGGGCTTCCGGCTGCTGTATGCGTTAGTTAATAAGAGGGACGGCGGAGTGGTTGCATTACGAGCGGAGAAGCTTGACTTTGGAGGATGTGTTTGAAGGTGGGATGACGCACACTGTCGGAAGAGGATGCCGGATGATGAGCTGGTGCACGAAGAGACGTTGGTAGCTAAGTATTCAATTGTATAAACTTTTTTATCTGATCCAGTTATCGTATCCTGAATATCCATATCCCGACCGTACCTCCCAAAGATCGAAAGCCATACCTGGCCAGGCCAAAACATGAACTCAATATTGTCCTGGACGCCGAGTGGCTCCACGCCTAGTAGATGCATTGCCTACTTCCCCTTATGCCAACGCCGAGCAATGCTATTGATAAAATGATACTCCAAACCCTTGATTAAGAGCTCGCGTTCGTGCTCGTTTCATCATCGGGTCCATCTTCATCTTCGTCTTCCTCCTGTATCCGACCTTGCGAGTCACTTTCGTCGCCGCTCTCATCCTCACTCTCCTCACCGTCTTCATCTTCCTCATTTCTCTCAACCGGCATGCCTGGGACCGGTTTCCACTGCATATAATCCTGCTCTAGCCACCGCTTACTCCTCGGAAGGACATACGGATCAAAGGGGAAGTATGCATCCAGCAGAAAGGTTTCCTCACCCTTCTTCATCGTAAGCGCTGTCTCCCTTGCACCTACACCGTCTGTGTACGAGCCCACACTCCTCGCAAGCCTTATCCGCTTGTTGGTCTCAAGAAGGGGGAACACGTAGAGGAAGCGGAGGTGGTGCGCCATGCGTGCGAACTGGGCAACAATGGTGGGTGCACAGACCTTGAGAGGGTTGAAGATGGAGAAGATGTTGCGGCGGATGATGTCGTGGACGGAATTGTGCCACGTGAATTCGCCTTCGTGATAGATGATCTCTTCGTCTGTTGGAGGGATGCCGTCGGCAGTGACGATCAGGTCGCGCCAGCGGAAGCAGAAGGTGTAGAGGAGGGCTTGCGAAATGGCGTAGTATGTGCCGTAGCGGCGCACATCTGGTCCTTTACAGGCAGGCTCACAGGCCAATCGAAGGGTTTCCAGGTGGTGACAAAGAAGATCGAAGACGTCGCGGACTACAGCTGCGGAGACGTGAGCTCCGCGAGCAATGAATGACGCAAGGTAGGCGGCTGCCGCAACACGAAGAATGTGCGGTCGACCATGGTCGAAAGCAAGATGGGAGCAGCAGCCGGCGAAGCGCTCTATGAGGTTCGGAGAGGTTTGGCTGAAGTGGAAGAGCAGAAATTGCGTATGCCGCGACCGATATGTTGGTAGGATGATGCTTGCGAATTGGGAGAGAAGACTTTCGAAAGTCTCGTCTATGTCGAAGAGATCGCCTCCCGCAAAGACAGAGTCGTAGTGCGAGAAGAGGAGGTCCATGATGCTGTCTAGCTTGGTGACGGACTCTTTTAGATCCTTGAGGCGCTGTTCCTCTGGATCTAAGCTCTCCTCACTTGAAACGGATTCGTTGTCGCTATCATCTGCCCCGTCGAGGTCGCCAGCGGCTTCTCCGACCAGGCGATCCTCGATATCGTCTTCGAGCTCTTCCATGTCGACCTGAATTTGTACATCGATCTTGACGAGCTTATCCACGACCAGTGACATGATCTCGCCCTTGAGCTCCGGGCAGTACTCGGATACTTTTAGAATATTCTTGATGTATTGTACGTGGGCTTTCGCGGTATCGGTCGGGAATGGGAACGTCGAGGACAGGATGGGCCCGAGGTAGGTGCTTGCCATGGGGCTCTGTCGGAGAAGATAGCTGAGACAGTCGTGGATCCGAGAGTGGATCCGCACCCGCTGAATGCTGGGGTCGTCTTGCTGCCTCATGGCCGGCGACGGCGACTCCACAAACATGTTCACCAGCATGGAGAGCACAGTCGAAGTGAAGCCAGGCTGTACCGATAGTAATGAGCGTAGTAGATGTCGGTAGGAGCGCACGAATTGCTCGTTTCGCGCTATCCAGCTGCAGTCGATGATGGCATGGACGAGGCCCCTGCACCTGTGATCGAGGAGCGGCACATTGTTGGCGAGAGTGATGATGTACTTCTGAAGTAGGCCCGTGAGAGGTGCGCCGGCGGAGGTAGGTTTGTCTGTGAGGAGGCTCCGTATGTGGTCGTAGCCGGTGCTATCGCCAGCTGTGTGCTTCTCGAGGGCGCGTCGCACCTCCTCGCCGACCAGCTCCAAGCTCTTCTCGTTCGGATCTCTTAGTATGCGCACATCGACCTCGGGGTCGAAGGTGACTCGGCGGCGTTTGGTCTGACTCGAGAGCAGGTTCTCATTGTCGGAGTTTGCGTCGAACTGCTTGCGCTTGAGGCTGCCGCCTGCGCTGGGGGCAATGATGCCAGGAGCTCTCTCAGTTGAAGCAAGAGACACCATATTGAAGGGTCTATGGGCGAATGGTTACATCTGGTCAGCAACGAAGAAATAGAAAGTGGTGCAGGGCGTACGCGGGTTGCGGTGAAAATGCGGCGGGACGATGAATGAGGCGGGGATTAGCTCGCGTGTATGTGCGGACTTGGCGAAATTTTGCTGTGGCCTGTGCGCTGACGTCACGTGCCCGCGCGATGGCATGAGTTCACAGCAGATGTGAAGAATTATCATGAATGTACCGTTCTATTGGATGATGTGGTGTACATGACCATGTCTGGGTCTATCTTCTTGCCCCAGGAGGAGGCTTTACCGAGTTGTGAGCAATTCCTTAGCATCGTCACAGGCGCCTGGGAGAGACCTCTATAACGGTAGAAGGTGCTCTCACAGGCCTACCCCACCCTCCTCATCCTCCTCATCCTCCTAGGTACACTACTAGTATTCTCCAATTCCACAGATCTGGTTCGTGGCCTCAGTCAGCTCCGAAGCGTTGGCTTCTTTCAGCCACACGCTCACATCTCGCCGCACTGGGCGATAGCAACGTCCTGCACGGGCTTGCCCTCTGGGTTTGCTAGGACCCGCGTATTCTCAATCTTCGTTACGACGTCCATACCCTCGACGACCCGGCCGAAGACAACGTGCTTGCCGTTCAGGTGGGGAGTGCCGCTAGGAGCCGTGATGATGAAGAATTGGCAGCCATTAGTATTTGGTCCTGAATTCTAAATGACAGTCAGCACGAGGGTAGAGTGCGAATGACGGAATCTGGAATGGAGATGCTCAAATATGGAGCTGAATAGAGACTTTGCGTACCGCCATCGAGAGCAGTCCGGCCTTGTCATGCTTTAGAATGAAGTTCTCGTCCGCGAACTTGTCTACGCCGTATATCGTTCTTGAGCCGGTCCCATTGCCGTTCACAAAGTCTCCGCCCTGGATCATGAAGCCCTTGATCTGGAAGAAGGTCAGTAAGAGCAATGCAAGAAGGAGCACATAAAGGGAGCCCCCAGAGTGACAAACTGATTCCTGTAATGGACGGAATTGCTCGCAGTATCTTGCAAGACACATTCGAGACAGGAGGCTTAGAACTTACCACACGGTGGAACTTGCATCCCTTGTAGCCTTGTGGCTGCCCTCTATTGTTCTTGGTCTCGCCTGTGCAGAATTGGCGAAAGTTCTCAGCGGTCTTGGGTACCACGTCTTTGAACAACTCCATTTTGATTCGGCCCAGCTTCTCCCCTATCGCGCATCTTAGCCATGTGGTCACGCGTCCTCTTCAAGGCTGAATCCAGAGGGCTGCGCCAAAAAGACAAGACGCACACGCGTCAATAATGAAAAGGTGCAGCGGAGGAAAATGACCATAGGACGTGGCTCCAACAATTTGAAAAAGGCTGCAGGAAGGCATACCTCCTAGAGTGACATCGAAGAAGACGATTGGATTGGGCTCGGCGGGCTCGGCCATGGCTGGGGCTGTGCAGTGGTTCTGCAAGGCCGTTGATGACAAGATGCCTGGATGACGTTAGACTGTATTCCCGCGATCGGACTTTGCGAGGAAAGGCATACGGACTTTTGCCGGGTAGCAGTTATGCCGATAAGAGATTCGGAATCGCAGCTGTCAGGTCACCAGGTGCTGCAGGAAAGGGGAGCGATCTCCTAGAGGGGCAGGGCCCTGGACGAAGCCGTGGAAGGATAAGCGGGAGTGAGGCATGCACCAGCTGGCACCGGCGCCAAACAAGACCTTGGCACTGGGGTAAGTGGGCAAGGCGAGGTACACGGGGCGTGAGAACCGGAAATCAGTGACCGGTCGGCCTCTGTTTCGCCCTGCTGTCTACCTCACGAGGCAGCCGAGGGCTCGTCTGTAGTACGCATGAAGGAGACTGTTGTAGATAGATGAGTGCATACGAAGGGTGTCCCGCAATCAAGCAGCGATAGCGACGGCGCTGACGGACGGTACGCGGTACACAGTAATAAAATGCGCAGGGCTGCGGCTGGGGGTGAGGATGAGACAGGTGGAGAGGGAGCTGCCCAGCTGCGTCCGCACGCGCACGTCAGACTCTCCTCAACCACGCACGCCGACTGCTGCTGTTCGCCCATCAAGCCCTCACCGGCGCCGCATTCACGGTGTCTTTGGCTACTATTGTCTCCTCCACCGGTCCCCTCGCTCGGGCATTCATCCGTGGGACGGGAATTGTCATCAATAGATCATCCGAGCCACACCCAGTTCGGCCTGGCCCACCCACCCCAGCCAAGCCTCTTTGTCCTCCCTCCGCTTCCCAAGAGCCCCAGCCCCGACAGCGACACCACAGGACGACTTGCCCTCACCACAGCGCCAGCAGCCTACGCGGAGGGCATGGCATACTCTGCTTTTGCAAATACCCACTGATTGCCGTCGTCGCCACCGACAATTCACAGCCCCGGCGCGCTCCCGTGAGAGCCCGGCCTCAGCTGCTCGCCACGCCGCTGTCGTTGCCGTCACCACTACCTCTTCCACAGCCTCCGCCCACGCGACATTCACTCTCGACCCGAGGACAATACATAGCGCGAGCCGACCTGAACGTCGACTCGACCTCGCCGTCGGAATCCTCTAACAAGACAAAGCACGCAGCTCGCATCCGCATCCGCATCCGGATCCGGCCCCCGACGACGGCCTGTTTTTGACGCCCCACCATCTGCATATCGCTGTAAATAGCTGCGACAAGGGCAGTCTGTTCCTTGGCTCAGATTACATCGTCATCGTCGTGAACTTATGGAATACTGCGAGCAATAATGGCTTCTACAACTGCACCGTCGCTCCCCTCGGCTACCCAGACCCAATCCAACGGCAATGGCAGTGGCCCGACGAGCTCGCCGCTGCTCTTCTTCGTTGCCCTAGGCTTCGGCGTCGTCTTCACCAATCTCTGGTATGTCCGCTGTTTGTCGCATCGACGATTGACCTTCGTCCGCTAACCCCGACCCCCAGGATCATTGTAGGCGTCAAGTACTGCTTCCGATACAACCAGCGCAACCGTGCAGCCCGAGCCGCCGCAGATGGAGAACCGATCGACCTCACGGCCATGCCACGGCCGCATAGAAGGAGGAGGGAGAAAAAGCTGATGACAATGGACGAGGTGAACGAACGCTTCCCTCTGACAAAGTACAAGCAATGGAAGGCTAGCCGGGAGAACGAAGGACTGCCGACAACTGGTGGCATCGCAACAGCTCCCCAGAGCAGAGCCAACAGCGTGAAGGACGTTGAGGGAGTCGTCGACCCCGTGAGAGACGATGGCGCGTCGAGTCCGAGGCCGACCACCGCCCTTTCCATGGCCCGAGACGAATTTACTGCTTCGTCAAAGGACCAGCCCGGCTCACCCAGGAATAGTGTAGGCGCACATGAAAACGCTGCAGAGCACAAGGAGGCCGAGAAGAAAGAAGCTGGCGAGAAGTCTACCGAGCTTTCGCGGACCGGGATTGCTGTCACCGACTATCAACCCGGCAAGGAGCCTGCTCAAGGCCAGGACCAGGATGGAGATGAGTCGGACGACGACGATCCGATACGTACTGCTACTGCGCCCGAGATGATGGCTGAGCCTGGCGATACCTGTGCCATCTGCTTGGACTCCTTAGAGGACCAAGACGATGTGCGAGGCTTGACGTGCGGTCACGCTTTCCACGCCAGCTGTGTCGACCCATGGCTGACCAGCCGACGTGCCTGCTGCCCGCTCTGCAAGGCTGACTACTACGTCCCCAAGCCACGTCCCGAAGGCGAAAACGCAGAGCAGTCGTCGGGTCGCCGTACGAATACCGGTCTCAGGTCTCCTACATCTCCGCAGGCCGCATGGACCGCTGCGCGAGGCAACCCCTTCTCTCGATCTCGCGTCATTGTCTTCACCAATGTTGGACCCCAGACCAACAATAACAACCGTCAAGCCAACGCTACGTATGGGCTGGCCAACCTGTTGAATCGTCCCGGTCGGCGCGAACGTACCGCTACTCCTCAACAGCGTAGTCCTCAGGGAACCACAAGTTGGAGGACGGTCCTTCAGTCCGCAAGGCCCAGCGCACCGACGTTTTCCAACTGGTTCGGCCGCAACCGTGGCGCCAATGCTAACAACACCTCACCCCAACCCACCCCAGGCCAGCTTGAAGCTGGCAATCGGTAACAGGCACGCTGATGTCCTTCGGACCACCCCGCACTCTTGGATTGATTATCCCCACCCACGACCCTGACGCCTCACGACACTTCTAGATTCCGCTACATCCTTTCCTTTCTTGCTGTTCTTGAGCGCGGACAGCTGCGCTTTCCCGGCTTCTATAGCGGTCGACTGCTGCGGCCGCAGGCTTTACTGGCGTTTTCAGGGGTAATCTCGATATGTGTTACTGTCTAGTCAATATTTCATCTCCTACTCGGGTGGAGCATTTACATGGTGGCCGGGGTCTTAGGTCAGATCTCCTTTCACGGAGTTGCCGCTACCCTGGCTGCATCATACCTTTGATATAGCTTGGGAACATGATGCGGTTAGGTTATCAAGGAGGCACTGTGCGGTGCCTCAAGAGGAGGGCAGCGGCCGTATCTACAGCATCAGCCAGGGCCGCACTTCCATCGGATCACATTAGGAATTGTATATGCAGGAAGAATATATTCTGGATACCATGCTTGCGCAACTAGTTGCATTCTGCATTCGTGACTAGCACAAGTCATTGCCAGCGACGGTGTTCATGCAGCATCTTCCGCTCCGCACGGATAGTAGATATTTTCGTTTCTGGCGAAGCACTTGATCTAGCTGCTAGCCGTCCAGGTAACGCAGTTCTGTCCCTTGAAAATTAGTCGGGAAGCGTTATGCAAAGGATATAGTCTCGAGCTGGAGCTTGTGAAAGGATGTCGAAGGAGTGGATGAGGGTTTTAGCGAAGCTGGTATTAGTTTCCTAGTCGTTCGGTGCCAATATGGATATTTGATAAGAGGTTCAGAGCCTCGGCGGCCTCCAGCATGGCAGGTCGTGAACTCGCACGATATACACGCTCGTCGTTCGTTTCCAGGGGGGTAATTTCAGGTATGCTTTGTAGATATTATTGCAGGACGTTTGTAGCAAGGTCACTTGAGCCTCTCTCTACTAGGCAGCAATGGGATGTCGACAGTCGGGAGCAGCGATCATCTGTTCACATGCTTCCATGTGCTGGGGAGTGGATGTATGGGCTGTTTGGACATCGTCAGAAAGGCTCTTTGTGGTAGGCCGCTATAGCGTCGTACCCGCCCTTAGGTAATAAACGTTGCCGACCTAAATTATCCCCCAGCGTCACTAGCCCCCTGCTGCTTCTGAAATCCCTTCAGCTTACCATTGGGCTATGCAGGCGGCCTCCAGTCCGAGATAGGATAGTTCCATCTATCCTTGATCTTCTGCCACGGCTTGCGCAGCCTACTCTCCTTCCACTTGACCTTCACCCACTGAGGTGGCCGAACCAGAACGTACAGAACGAGACACACAGGAACGGCAACGACGAAGTAGACCCAGAAGAGGCCCTTTCCGGGGCTGAATCTATCCGCCATGCTGAATATACTCGCGAACAGGCTCAGGGGAAAGAAGAGCAGCGCCAAGGTTGTCAGCTTGGTCGTTGCCTTTGTTTCGTCGACGGAGCGGCGGGCGTCGAGTATCTGGCTGACTGAGACCATATGATCGAGCGTGCGACCGCAGGTGCGCAGGTCGTTGCCTACATAGGCCCAGTCTTCGAGGTGGGGGTCCCACTGGGCTCTGTCTGGCTTCGCTTCCAGCGAGCGCGAATAGCGGAGGAAGGATGTTGCGGCGCGGATCTTCTGCTCGCTGGCCATAGCGCGCCGTCGCCACCGTTGCAACTCCTTGAGGTTGACTTCGATGTTCTTGTAGTCTTTGAAGTCTTTGCTGTCGTATTCGTATTGTTTGACTGAATGCGACATGACTGAAGGCGTTTCATTAGCTAGCCGATTTAATATATATAGGCGGTAAAAGGCAGCATTAAGTACTCCAATAGATGATACCGGCTCTAAGACCAGACATCTTCCCTAGTGTACTCTAGGCGAGTGAGTTGCTTTCACAGGCCGCTCGGGCTGACGTGCCATCAGGCCTGCTTCTCCTCATAGGGCAGTAACGCATTGTCTGCATGACATGGGTGCGTCAAGTGTATTGGCCGCAAGCTGACGTACCTGCAACGTAGTTTACCCACTCCCGCGCAACGATTTGAAGTGGACAGCGCGCGAAGGCCAGTAGTGTCGGATTACCGTTCGGAAAGGGATAGCCGCCAACGGCAAAGTAGTATAGCAGATCGTCGAGGAGATTAGATCGCTGCGGTTCTAGGGGCCCGGTTGGAGGTAAGGGACGGGGCGGTAGGAAGTCTTCATAACCGCCAGCGAAAAGCTCGGAAGCGTAGGAGAGAATCCCGTTCGGGCTTTTGTAGCGATTGGAAATCTCCGGATCAGTCAGGATAAGTGCTATCCAGTCTCCGCTCGTTCGTGTGGTTCGGTAAATGGAGACACAATGCTGGGCCAGCCCGATTCGTCTTTTCTTGATAGGCGTCAATACCGCAACTTTGCGGTGTATGTTGATGTCTCTTCGCAGCTTCAAGTATTCATCTGGCATCTGGCAATTGAAAACAATCGTCCGGTGGTAATGAATGTTCACGTAGTCTTTGTTCTTCAATCTGGAGGGCAGGGTTGCCTTATCTGGGGCTTGCCTGTTGATGTCCTGCGAAGGAGTATCGAGGTGCGAGGCGAAGAAGAGTGGATCAATGTTGATAATGGATCCGAACGTCTCGACGACATTACTGGTAAGGTCTTCGATTAGGAAGAGTCGACCAAGGAGGGTTGCCGGTTTGGCCGCGGTGAGCACCGCTGCAAGGTTTACTTGATCGACGTTGGTGGGTGTCGGGGCTGCACCACCCTGGTTGAATTCAAGTAAACGAATGCGACAGTGCAAATTCTGGGGAGGCTCGTGGAGGAAATCCGCTAGATTGGAAACGCAGGGGTTGCGAATCTTCTGGACATCCACAAGGCTGGTGTAAGGAGGGAGCGCAACAGGATTATTAACTTGGTTCCCAGCCATGACAGGCTAGAGAGAGGTGCAAAAGAAGTTACGATAGCGAGTAAAGAGGAAAGAGGACCTAATTGAGAGGGTAGGCTGGGGGCTTATACTTACCACGCGCTGCTAGGTCCGCAGAAGGCTCTCTTGTAGCAGCTGCTCCGATCAGGGGCCAAATGACAGACCAGGCTCCAATTCGCCCCATAATATGCATCTCGCTGGTGGATTGCATGGTGGCTTCTACACCATCCTAAGCATGATTAGATAGCTGCATGCGCTCAGCCTTGTTTTTTGAGAAGGTCCGCGTCAATTTGAAGGCACCAGTGCATTTCGCATGGTGATGGCTAGTCCAGTCGTAAGCATAAAGTCCTCCCTGAAGCAGCCTCGGGAGCAGTCAAGGAGAGGCCGGAGCAAAGATATGGACGTGGCCATGGAGGGCACGGAGCAGCGAGCAGCGGCGCACGTATTCAGCTGGGCTGAAGTTGAAAGGATTCTGCCATCTCACGCCGCCTCTCCCCGGCCCAATGAGGCTGTGACTGCACGGACCATGGCGGGATGAGCACGCACATGGCAACACATCAACTCGACACCGAAGGCTATTCAAAAGCGGGTTGTTAATTTCTATCGAGGCTGACGCCGCCCCAAAAGCCCCATCCTGTATGGTATACTTTCTCTCTCATGTTGTTCGAAGGCGACGTCCCTAAGATGTAGAAAGCGAACGTAGTGAGATACTCGGTAGCCCTTCTTCAAAGCGCCCAATGAATTCTCCGCGCCAGGCCACGGGTTCAGAGAGCAATGCCAACGACGATATAAGGAAGACACCCAGCTCTGTGCACCACAGCTCGTTCGATACTCCGACCTGACGCCAAGAACTTCTAGGCTACAACATCAGCCCCATTCGAAAACCGTCGAGATACCCCCAAAACCTTTAACATATTACAACCACGCTCGCCCACTCTTTCCCATAGCAAGCGCGCGGTTTGTACATACATTTTGAAGAGTTATCGTAGCTCATTCAACACCAACATCTCGAAATCCGCGAAACGCTCGGCTATGACATGGCCGCACCGAAGTCAGTGATTAGGGCATTTGTGTCACAATACGAAGTCGAGCAGTCCAAATATGCCAGACTGGCGCATATAGCCACAGAAGCGGTTAAAAAGAAAGCTCGGAAATTGGAAATCGATCCACAACCCCTATGTACGGGGCGGGGGAAGTCTCCGGAGTCTCTCCGTCGGAAACTGTCCCAGAGAAACCAGAGGATAAATCACGGCCAGGGATATGCCGAAGAGTCCGAGATTCGAAGAGATATATCAGATTTGGCCGGCATCCGCGTCTTGCTCTACTTTCCCGATCAAGCAGACGAGGTTGAGAATGTCCTGCGCAAGGCATTCGACGACGTTCAGTTCAAACCTTCCAAGGCTATGAAAACCTTTGAAGAGTTGGATAATGCCGCGGAGTGTTCCAAAGCAGGTCCATATCGGGCTCGCATCTACCTGGTTAAGGTCAAAAAGAACGATCTCGACGACTTGTCGATACCGAATGAATGCAATCGCGTGGAGGTCCAGGTTGTCTCCTTGCTGTCCCACGCATGGGCAGAAGTCGAACATAGGAGATACAAGGGCGTGATCGCGCCAACGGCCGAGGAAAATCAGGTGCTGAGTCGACTGAACGAAGTAATGCGGCAGGGAGAGGACCTCTTGACCCAGCTACACAGTCTATACAACGCTCGAAACGAGGCTTCTAGATGCTCGTAACGTTCAGACTCCGGCGTCAATGTATGCCGGAGGGATCGTCCTTCGAGGTGGTGTTTTATTAGCAGAGCAGACATGACATCCCCTTCGGTCGATGATAAATAGCATGCCTGCGAATAAGAGCACGGGAATGCCGACTGGGGAGAAAGCATTGTGCAGCTCTTAGTACGACCTAAGCTCGGTTTACTGGTCTGAGAGAATGAATCAATGCTAGAGAGAGACCTCAGACAGGCACTACGAATTACTCGATTCCCCAACCGGACTTTTGTGTGGTGGACAATGAAGTGCACAGCTCAGGTGAACTGCGCTTGCAAGGGTGGTGATGATTAATCCACCGGCCAGGCCACACCCGAGCCACAGTGTGTTAGTAAGCGTTCGCGGACTAGTCGAACCGCCGACGTTCCAAGGTTTCGGTCTCACAAATCTCCTGCATCAACATCAAAGAATGCAGACGGACGCCTATATATTTGGGCAGGGGACTTTTAGTGGATATTCATCACTCGGTCGCCCGAAGCAGCCTCAGCTGAAGGTGTGGCGTTTACAATACGAGCGTGCACCACATACATAACTACTCCGTCAGGCCTCTTGACCGTACCCACTCCATACTCCTCACAACCCGCACTGCGATGTCGGATACGCTACCGCCGTACGAGTATAGCCCCTTCCCGGTGACGGAGGATCCGGATGATATCTACATTCGCCTCATGACCCTCCATCCGGGACCAAAAACCGGACCGATCACATGTACCATCTTCGAGACGCGGCTTTCTCAAGTCTCGGAGCACAAGTTTGAAGCGGTGTCTTACTGCTGGGGTGATCCGGAGGATCAGTTCGACATCTTCATTGTACCCTCGTCCCTAGTCTCTGCGCGGAGCGGCCGGGTTCTTCGCGTCAACCGTTCGTTGGAGCCGTTTCTCTACCGCACCCGCTCCGTAGGCCGTCCACGCCCGCGGACGCTCTGGGTGCGTATGACCTTTTGCCCTGCACCAGCTTGTGTGACCGAACGCGCAAGCTTGGACTTTCAGATTCCTCTTGACGCCCCTCAGGCTTTCGCCCCATTGCGACTATTGCTAACAAATCTCCCCATGTTTGCAGGTTGACTCAATATGCATCAACCAACAGAATAAGCCAGAGAAAAGCGCCCAGGTAGCGCGTATGCGCGACATTTACCTCCACGCGGTACAAACTCTTTCTTGGCTTGGACCCGAGACTGCATCCAGCTCGGAGGGCATAAATTACGCCGCAACTTTAGCGAAGCGGGGGCTATACCATTTGGCGAGCAAAGGCGACATTGACTTGACACCAGAGCAAAAAGAACCGCTGAATGTCGAAATCGAAATCAAGGTTGGACACCAAGGCCTGGAAGCACTGTTCACGCTGATAGACCGCCCCTACTTTCAAAGAGCTTGGATTGTGCAAGAGGTTGCTGTGAGCCGAAATGCCTATATCGTTTGCGGCGACAATACCCTACGCTGGGTCGAGTTACTACTTGCTGTTGCCTACCTCGTGGAGAGAGAGGCATGGCTTATGGAATTCTATCCTTCACAGCAAATGGCCTCCCTGCTATGTTTCCGATCCAGTCAGGAAGAGTGGGAGCAGAATACGGAGGTGGAGTGGTGGAGAGTCCTGCTCCGGCATCGCGAATGCCAGTCTACCGATGGGAGGGATAAAGTGTTCGCTTTCTTAGGATTGCGGTGCCAGAGTATGTTCAAGCAGCTTAACATCGAGCCGGATTATGACGGATCGACTATGGAGAGTCTGTTCACGCGATTGGCTGTCAGCGCATTGGAGAAGGGGCACATTGAGGTTTTGAGTGTCCCAAGGCTCGTCACTAAGTCGACGCCTGGAGAGGATGGAGACTTGAAACCGCTTCAAATCCCGTCCTGGGCTCCCGATTGGCGGTGGTCGAAAGCAACCCCACCGCCGGCTTACTGGCAAATATACCCGAAGACGTACGTCTCAGACGCTCCATACCAAGCAACGCCAGGCTCTCCTTTTGACGTTTCTTTTGAGCTGAATGGACTCCAAAAGTCCGATGCAGGAAGAACCCAGAAGGGAGAGCTTGTGGGTGACGTGTCTGGGGAGAAAGAGTCGAGAGGAGAAGAAGCCGAGCAGAAGGAGCGGAGAGCAGAAGAGGTAGAGGCACTGCCAACAAGGCTACGGCTCAGAGGCTACACCGTTGCAAAGGTGACGCAACTCACGCCTCGTCGTTGGGAACGGCGAGACCCTCCAGCCCGGCAAACGGTACTGAACCAAGCTCGCGAGCTTCAGCACGTTCAAGAACAGATATACGAATGGGAGAGCGCACTGTGGCCAAAGGACCCTGCAGCTCCATACCACCCGACCGCTGACAGCGGCGAAACGGAGCTCGACGCTGCCTATCATACTATTACCGCCGGAATCGACACTTACAACAAAGCTGTTGTCAGTAACCCTGGATTAGACACTCGCTCAGCGATCGCAGCCTTTGAGAAACGACAGAGACGCCTTCGCCCGATTGCTAGGATTGGATTACAGCACTTTGTGTGGGTGTACGTCCTTGTTATGCTAATAGAGCACGTGTTAATGTGGTTTGGGCACCGCAATCTTGACATGGACTTCAGACAGACGCTGGTTCCTATAATAAATCGGAGAGGAGCCAGGCTGAAGGATGCCAAGGGGGTAGAATACCTGGGACTGTTACCTGGTATCTGCGAGGTTGGGGATGAGGTGTTTGTTTGCTCGGGGGTTAAGGCGCCTTTGGTATTGAGGGAACGGAGGAAGCTCGGAGGGGCGAAAGACACGGAGGAGACTAATCAAGCACAGGAAGAGAAAGAGTGGGAATTCATCGGTGATTGCTACGTTCATGGAATGATGACGGGGGAGGTTTGGGGCAAGGAGTGCCAGGATGTATGGATTGCTTGACCTTCATAGTCGGACAGGTGAGCCTGATCCTCGTTCAACCTTCCTTCTGGCTTATTCGAGCGCCGTCTCCAGTGTATACGTCACTCTCAGTCCTTGGCACTCATATTTCCCTTCAACCGATACAACCTTCCTCCGCGTTCTGCTCCACACTCTATTATGGCTCGGTTGCCTGCATTTTCTATGGCTGGGATTGCGACGTATCGCACGCCTTATACTATAAGCACGTCATGTTCCTTCCACAGCAGTACGAAGTCGGCTAGGCGTACGATCGCGTGGTCAAATCGGAGGTCAAGGTCGGACAGACGTTCATTTACGAAAGCTTTACTGGACGAGAGCATCTACGCTAAAAGCTTAGAAGAACGAACGTTCAGCGTGGCTGGGTTCGTAAGTACTCGTAGATGTTACCTCGTTCTTAGCATCCCGATCCTACTCACCAGAAGCTTGGTTCCCAACATCAAGAGCTCCTTGTCGTTGACGATATTGGTACATCGGATTCCCATGTGCAAACAGCGGACTTTACCGTACGAGCAGTCGATTACGAGCCTTCCGTTCCTGCTGAATTGTTCGCTATCCGGACTGTGCAGCTTACTGGGTCGTTTTGCGCTGAATCATTCCACCTCAAGTGGCACGCCAATTTCTTCTCGAACGCGGGCCCCGATCCTGCATGCAGTCGGGCCGCTTGAGGAACGTCCCTCCCGCTCTGCTTTAGACTCACCGAAAACCATAGGCCAACCTATGTAGCGCTCGCATGTCGGCGCACTTAGACCGCCTGCAGTCAGCTGTGGTTACATGCTACTCCGCGGGGACACTCATGCTCACGCCTTCCAAAGGTATCCGGTTACATTACCTCGATCTAGCAGTTGGGAAAGGGCTATGCAGCAAGGTCCCACCATCCCATGGCCCTCATGGTGTATAACAACTGCGTACTATGGGCACCACGTGAGCGGGTGGACCCATAAGCACAGATGACAAGCTTTTTACCGTGCATGATCTCGCCCCCGACCACCAATAGGAAGGCATGGCGTCCCACGCATTATGATTCTTACGCGATCAGCCCTAGGAGTCGTTCGCCCGCCTAGGAGCCAAGTATTGTCTCCGCCTCATGCCTCCCTGCACAGATCGCCCATTCGTCATGGCCTGGGTCAGCGGAGACTCTGGGTTTTGTTCAGCTCACTCGATGGGCTCGAGCTTGGTCGTCTTTGTCAGACCACGACCTCCTAGAGTAGGATTACATATGCAGGTGCGATTGAAGGACTCCAACATGTGGCAGGCGGATCGTGTTTCAGCCTCTCAGGAGAACATCCACGGGTATGAAATTGAGTGCAGGAATGCGATCTTGTGTCGCAATTTCGCCTGTGGCTTGATTCAAGACATTTCTCTGCACTGTGCGTAATACGAGGAGGATGCGGCGTCTTTAAGCTCTGCTAACGTTCTCAGCCACAGGTTTTAGTCTTTAGAACGCCACATAGAGTTCATCCTTGGTCCTTCGTTAGGTCTCTTCACGAACAGCATGCTGAAAGATCTCACCGGATGACTTGCCTTGGACGCTGAATGTTTACTGAAATGACCTGCTCCGTGGAGGGCATTCTACCAATTATCTCGGCCATGCGCACCACCGAGACCCACAACACCGTGCGTTTCTTCAAGGCGCGTGAACTTCCCGCCATGTAAGACGAACTCCTCACTTAGGCACCCGATCTACGCGGCAGATGCACTCAATATGTTCTCCCTCTATTGCTAGGATAGACGGTGTTGATCGGTCCACGAACCATCGCGAACCTGGCTGACGGCAAAGAACGCCATGCATCGGCCCACGGGCCGTTGATTTCCAAAGGGTGTACACGTGGGTAGAGACGCTAGGCATAATGTCCTGCATACGTCTAGGGCAGAGCTTGAAAATTATGCGTTTTCTATGCTTCAATGGACTGCCCTCTACGAATTCAAGATACACCCCCTCGCTCTGTGGTAGAACGCATGGCTGAACAGGCGCCGAAGGACTTCACGAGAGTCTATAAAGGCTCGAGAGTATCACGATCAACTTGTTATGCTACAATCCGCATCACGGCCCGCAATGTCACAAGAATAGTCACGCCGTAAGCCACTCATCCATAGCTTACAGCAACAGTTCGAAGGAAGAAGACGACCGCCAATAGCCTGTGCCTACGCGTATGTGATAGTGACGGCGAAGGCCTTCTATGCAGCTGCCACGTCCACGAGGTACCATTCTGGGGCATAGTCGCGATGCCATTGGAAGTAAACCATCAATAGGATCCCGACAGCTGTGCCCATTCTTCGTGTCAGCGAGGCAAAGGCAAACACCATCCATGCATCGGGCGAGACTGACGAGCACGAGGAGGGATGGCCTTACTCTCGTCGTCGCGGTCGTACAGGTATAAATAACCCCCTCGACGTCCCATCCGCTTCTCATCCAGCACAGCAGTCAGTCCTCAGCTACACTTCTCACTACTCAAACCAACTCTTCTTCTCAAGCTTCAGCTTCACCCCAAACCACCATCCACCAATATGCAGACCAAGCTCGCCCTCGCCCTTCTCTACGCCGCCGTCAACGCGGCCCCCAGCCTCACTCCCCGCCAGGCGACCTCCATCCCCGTGGAGATCTGGGAGGGCACGGGCTGCAACACCGGCGCCGGGCCGATCACCACGGCCAACGTGCCCACCGACGGCTCCTGCTTCGGAATCTCGCCCATTGTCTCTGGCGACACCGACAGCGGCAAGGTCAGCTCGAGCTACACGTTCCCTGCTGGCTGCACTTGTAAGTCGACACCCTCACATTCTAGCGCTTGCGCAGCGAGTTCTGATTTGAGACAGTGACGGTTTTTAATACTACGAACTGCGACCCTCAGGGCAACTTCATCGCGGTTAGGCAGTCTACGACCTGCTTTGGTACTTTTGGGGCGGGCAAGCTTATCCGCTCGGCTAGGACTTCGGGAACATGCTAGATGGTGAGCATGTGGCTCGTTGGTGGATGTGGTAGGAGATCAGGGGAGAGCGGGTGGAGGGGTTGACGGTCAGAGTGTTTGGTGATTGTGGGTTTGGATGATATGGGGTTGTTCTACTTCGTCGCTCGTTAGATACTGCTCTTGAGTTAACCGATGGGGACGCCCTCGCTTTTGCTCGGAACTTGCATTTGCTTTGTTGATCCTGTCGATTTCTGTTCACTCAACGCCCATCATCTTCGCCGTTGAGAGTGGAGGCATTTGACCACTGAAACGTGAACGCTAAGGCGCTGTCTTCACATCTTTCAGCGTCTTTTGGTGACCGGGATCAGAAGTGAACCCGCAATTCGGACGATTTCGCATTCTCACCACCCGTCGCTGTTGGGGCCGCTACCCTGATCGAGATCGAGAGAGTGAGCTGTGAAAGAGGTGCGAGTTGAGGTTCGGGTTAGTGAGTGGGCTAGTCCAAGTTCAGCCTAGTAAGCCTCGCATTTCCAGCCCCTGAGGCCACACATGTCCAACACCATTACTCCATACTCAACCAGACCCAAAATACGCCGCGATGACATCGTCCCTCGACGCCTTCCCAGCAGAGCTGTTCCTAGAAGTCGTCAAATACCTCACACACCATGATCTAGCGCAGCTTATGCGCGTCTCACACCGCCTGCACCAACTGATCGAGCCTGTCGTGTGGACGAAGATCGAGCTGCACAGGTTCTCCTTCCATGAAGATAACGCCCTCGTGCAGCTCCGGCAGGGGGAGGCAGCCTTGCAGCGACCGTATCGACGACCTGCTAATCTACTTAACCGGCGAGAGACGTACTGGGTGGATAACCTGGACCGAGATCAAGACGTAGCATCCACGCTATTCCTGAATCTTTTCTGCCAAAAGACGTTAGTTGATCGGCATCGAGCAGAGCATTTGGCCGGCTTGGTGCGCTGGCTGTGTGTGCCTGTTAATGGGTGGAACGCCAATCTGGGGCAGGGCAGTAACGCGGACAAATTGGATCCCTGGAACGCGCTCGCGACGCTCAAGAATCTCGAGTATCTCGAGATCTCAGCTCTCTGGAAGTCTCCCGACGAGGTGGAGCCTTTCAAGGGCGGTGCGCAGCCGCTGTCGAAGCTGCAGACCCTCAAGCTGCGGGGATATATCCCAGCGGAGTTCGTACGCTACGCTTGCGCCAACCCTTCGACGATTACCGAGCTGCAGCTGGCCATTCTCGATGCACCCATCGGATCGATCCTGTGCAGAGAGCGGCCAAATCCGCCTCCGCCAGCCGATCCTGAAGATGACGAGCCGGAGGACTTCGATCAGGAGGTGGTTGCACCCCGTCCGCTCGCCTGCCTGACGCCTGAAATCATCTCCCAATTCACCTCTTTGACCCATCTGTACCTCTGCAGGCCCTGCGACGGCCCTGAGCCTGCCGAAGGTTATACGGATATATGCGACATATACACGTCCATAAAGTCCGACACGCGCGCGCTAAAAGAATGGGCCTCCCTGATTCGCTCCACAAGAAGCCACCTCTCGCAGCTCACCCTCGACCAGCGACCAGTAGGCAACTCAACCGAGCCCGACGCCACCGAAAACGCAGAGTTCCTGGAAGAATACTGCAACGGCCCAGGGTACCTGCGGTTCGTCGAACTCGTGCTGCCAGCGCTGCTGGAGGACGCCGACTGGCCTGCACTACGGCGCATCAGGCTGTTCGGCTTTGAGAACGAGACGCCCGGGGAGAAGAGCCACGATTTAGTAGGGAGGTTGAAAGAGTGGTTTGGCGACGGCGTCGACGTAGTGAATGGACGTGGGAGGAGAATCATTATGGAGGATGATACTGGGGAGGTTCAGAGCGGGGGCGATGCGTTGGATACTTGCAATAGCTTTGACGAGGAGGATGAAGGGGAGACACCGCTTTGGCAGATCCGCGAGGGAAGCGCATGGGGCGACTGGAGTTTCGGATCGGTTCCTAGGCTGGCGTAGCGGAAGCTCCCTGTGGGATCTGGCAACACGTTAAAAGACCTCATTCATACGTACTCACTGGGCTGTTGTCGGAATTAAGTAAAAGCCATAAATCATTGGGTCATTCGATCCATCAAGAAAAGTTTGTCGAAGTCTCTCTGGTCTGGTTCCCCTGCTGTATGTCCACCTCACCGAGAAGTCCCAGCTTTCTTCAAGCGCCTAAAGAGCCTCGGGCTCGACTCTGGCATCACGAACCGATGGGTCCAATACATACCGAGGCCATCAGGCGGGGTTTTACGAAGTCCAGCTTGATGTCGCTGTTCGGTGCTCTTGGACGGTAATCCTCCTTCTCGCTCATATGCTCGCTCACTCATTTGGAAATATATCCATCTTCTTCTAAATTATGCGCCTACTCTCTCCCTGCAAACACAACTAAGGATTCTACGCACTCAACCCAGACCTAGGGTGCGTTTAGCGGACAGTTAGGAGCCAACCGCAATCGCTTCCACAGACATCCCAGCGAAGAACTCTAATCAAACATTCTTCTATTTTAAGAGGAATACCGAGCACCTATAAAACACAACGTGTCTTTCCCGCGTCCGCATATCGATACATTTTCTGGCGTATGTCACTACCAGAACAGCGCAGTGATTCTTTGTATATTATTGATATCCCTCTCGCACGAGCGCACAAGCACCTCGAAGATAAAAAGAAACGTTTAGTCCTCGCGTTCATCAGCGATGACGCATTCGCCCCCGGAATGCTCTCGCCCGAACCCTCAATCAGCCCCTTTCATCTGCGCAAGCCTGAACCTATCATCCCTCAAGCGGTCCCAATAAGCCAGGTCCGAGTAATCCGCGTTCTGATGCGCAGACCTCATGTATCGCTTGAAGTTCGTCGACATGTCGACAACCTGACTGAAGTGATTTTCCGTGACCTTTGGAATACTATCGCCTTCTTGCTTTGCTTCGTAGCAGGCAAGGGTCACCGCAGTTTGGAAAGCTGTTGTTTCTCTAGGTTAGCGAACGGGTCTGATGGTACTATTGGCCTGCCACTCCCTTACCATTTCTGATCTCTCGACCGTTCCACTGCAGCCATCTGACTTTTTCTGACTCCATGACGAACTCCTTCGCGGGCCAGGTATATAGTATCTCTCGCCCACCGCGCAGGTGGTTTTCTGCGAGCTTCTGGAAGCTGTTTGTCCAGATCTGTTTTCGCGATTCGTCGTCTAGCGGCTCGAATCCGACCTGTATGTGGATACGCGACATGAAGGCTTCGTCGAAGGTGCCAACGCGGTTTGTGGTTAGAAAGAGAATACCCTGGAAGTAGTCTAAGGCCCTAAGGAAGACTGCGAATCTTGGTTAGACGAGTAAGTCTGGGTGGGAGAAACATACTTGATACGATGCTGTTCCTGCGTAGATCGTTCGCGGATCGTCGTTCGAGGTAGACATCAGCTTCTACATAGGAGGAGGGACGTATTAGCACAGTTTCTACATAGAGGATTTTCCACAAGAAGCTCGGCGGGATATGAAAAGCCACTCCTGGACGCCTTCAACAAATACTACGAGACTTGGGCTCGCTGGAACCTAGACCACGACATACGTACCATCTAGGAGTACTATTGCATTCCATTTAGTTGCATTGCGCAAGAAGCGAATGAGGTTTCTCTCCAGTTGCTCTGGCTCGTCGCATAAGTCCGAGCCGGTGATGGTGAGAAGTGGTCTTTGCAGAAACTCAGCTACCGATTCTAAGAGCTACGTCAATAACTTTCTCAACTGTCTGGTCGTCGGCATATATACCTGCTGTGAGCGTTTTGCCGGTCCCAGGCGGCCCATGTAGCAGAATGATCAAGCCCTCTCCCTTCCCTTTGATCGGATCCGCGAAGAAAAGCTGCTCGCGATGCTCCTTGCGGTGGTATGTCTCGCAGATGGCCTTGATCATAGACTTGTTCTTCTCGGGCTTAATCACAAGAGTGTTGATGATGGTCCGCTCGATGGTAGGATTCTTTAAGCCCTGAACATCGACTAACTCTGCGCGAGATCAAATGTTAGCGACCGGATTCTTGATGAACGGAATGTTTATTTACCCCAGCATCGATCTTGCAGTGCATAGGCGTATACGTGGGAGAAACAGAGAAAATATTGATGCTCGGTAAGGCTGTCAACCGAGTCCAATGAAATGTCGTCATAATCTTCGAATGCCAATGTTCTGTTCGATAGCTCTAGCGCGTCGGTCGTTGCTGCGCACACCTTGCAGCCGCACTTAGGCACCCTCACGTCGAGTCCCAGTTCTTCTCCAGAGTCGATGTTTGGCATATGGCGATTCGGTTGGTCTGCTGCAACGTCCTTCTCCCATGGCCGGTCAGTGTGATCTACCATGACACGTGCTTGGCTATACTGGGCACGCAGTTAGCTTCCAGATCATAAGGGAGACAAACTCATTCATATTACCGTTCGGGCTCGACTAAAGGAGCTTGGTCCCGTGTATTCTTGGTAAGATGGTTGCGTGATCACCTTAACGAACGTTTTCCCACGCTCAATGAGAACCTCACGGTGCGGCCGCTCGTTGGCTTTGTCGCGATGGAAGCGAGTAGGAAAGACTGGCAAAGATGTGACTTCTCTCTCTCCATCAAATACCGGTATCGATACGGTTTTTACCGATCGAGAAAGACACTTGCCGTTGAAGTCGAGGTTCCACAGCTTGACCAGGTAAGGCCTAGGAGGCGAGGTAGTAGTTCGCACGATCCCCTCCACACGCTCGACTACGTAAGCATTTAGCCGACCTCTCTCACGAACATACACATCCGATCCAGGTTTCAGGAGGATCCACAGTGAACGAAAAGCTGTCATGGGAAGTGATTGACTCCAAGCAGTTTCCGCCTTCCCGAGTTGTATTGCTGGCTGGTTGTAGAGGTAATCGAGGAGAATTTGAATGTGACGGTCGCAGGTCTCGTTGTACTCCCGGCTATGGTGCTGCTTCGGTCCACCTACCTGCGTTCGGTAGGTAGACAAATCCTCTTTGTGGTAATAGAGATCCTCGAAAGGGAACACGAACTGACCGGAGCGTAGGTTGGAAGATAACCGTCGTGTGACCATACTGAACCCCTCATCGTCCTCTATTTCCACGGAGGTTTGGAAATGCATCACAGCCTTCAGAGCGTCGAGCAGGATGCTAGAGTGGATCTGCAGCACCGGGACACCAAAGACATCATCGCTCTGGAGAGAATCATAGTCTTCGCTATTCGAGACGCCTGTCTTAGATATGCCCAGAAAGATGTTGCGCACCTCGCATAGAACCGAGCCAAGTTCGCTTGTCGAGTCGAGGACCCGACTTAAGAGCGGCTCCTTGTATGTCTTCTGACGAAGGTAAGACGGATACGTGGTGCCATCTTGCTGGAATAGCCTCGCTACGTAGCTGATGTCCTGAAGCTCATTGGGTACATGGTTGTACGGTTCTTCCTCGACGGAGCCCTGTTTTTCCGTTGCCGTCTCATTCGCCATGGCATGGAGAGCCTTTTGAACGAAACGCGGATGCCCTTCGAAGGTAATCTTGATTTGCCACCCGGGCTGCACCATCTCGTTCCACACTTCCGGTAGGATATCGACCTGCTGCGGGAGCCGAGTCAAGCAAAAAGACCTTCTGTTTTGCTCATCGGAGGTGATGAAGCAGTCACGGTACCAGCCATGATGACCAATACCGCTGTTGAAAATGCTCACTACCAGCGCTTTCATCCCCTGGGTGCTGTTAGGCTATTGCAGCAGCAACGCACGGCTAAGCATACCTCCCAGGTCTTCGCCTTCTCGAAAGGAAGACCCCATCTTGCACCTAGCGGGTCGTAGAATATTATAGGTTCCTCCGTCTTTGCTGCGGGTGCCGTTTTCACCGCTCTGCTAGAAGCGTGGTGAGTAGGGACAGGCACGAGGGTTCGTACACCTCGTTCTGAGCCCAAGGCGTCATTGGTAGTCGTGGGACTGTGCGCTTCGGTTGGTATAGTGTGATCCATCAGGACAGGGAGATTTGGACTGTCGGGTTGAAAAACTTTCCCTGCAGCCACTCCATTTGCGATGAACTCTGCTCGACTGGCTCCGCTCAGCGCCATCCGGGGATCGGTGAATCAGAAAGAGTGCAAGAGACGTAGTTCAGGACCTAGGGCTGGACTACTGAATAAGTATAGCTCCCCTGCCGTGATTGCTTGTCAGCATCTTCAGCCTTGCGGGCCTTTGGCGTGGTACCACCATGGATTGGGGGTCAGCTCGGGCTCTGCCTTGTGCGAAACGGCCGAGAACTGCCTCACTCTTCTATCGGCCGTAGTCCCAAGACGGGCACCAGCTATACCGGAGACGATACAATGGCTTTCCTTTTATGGTGCCTTTTGTGAGCGAAAGCAGACCCCGCAGCTGAGGTGTGATGCCAAGATTAGCGCCCTGTCGGGGCTGAAAGCTGACACGACTCATGATAAGGCAAATGCGACCAACCTAACATTCCATCCCGCCTTAAAGGATGGCGCAGTGTGGCGGTCGGCTACGGATCCCGCATCGAAAGCATGAATGGGCCTAAGGGCTTCTCCCATGCGCTTTATTCAAGCTCTCCAGAATGACATTCTAGCCTGGTGCCTGCTCTCCGCGGCAAGATCTCCAAAATGGACCCGTCAGTCGTACATCGTTCTCGAGCTCAAGAACGCAGCAATGTGATTGTGCGAAGGTTCTCTGATGACCTAGCTGGAGATTCTGCCTTATCCGTTGGGACCAAAGTGGTGGTCGCGCAAATCGATGCGGAGATTGAAGCTCGAGATAGGATGCGGGCGCAGTCGCACTTCGAGGAATTTGATGAAAATTCACGGTAAGTCGTCAATGTCATGGCACCGCAGAGTGTCGACATCGCTCAAAAGCATGCAGGCCTTTCGACAAGTGCGAAGTCGCGCGCAAAGCGCTCGAGTATGCATCAGACGAATTTTTCAAGTCGATGGAAAAGAAATCGAGCGAAAGCAAATTCAGCGTGTTTGGGAAGTCCCGGAGAGATGCGAAAATCCAAGTCGAGCAGCGTATGAGGCAGAGTACCGGTAAGAGCCTGGAAGACGTCAAAGGACTTGTTGAAGGAATGGCGGATGATTGGAAAAGAAGCCATGGCAAGGTACGGTAGCGTACCAGTCCCGACCTAGTGATGAAGCTGAACAGAAGTCAGCCTTATAGCTACTTTACTCACATGTGCAAAACCTTGAATGCCCATCGAGATCTCCTGAAGGTTGTTCCGCAGCAGAACACATATGTATCGGTATTGTCCGGTGCACTTTCGATGGTTGTTCAGGTGAGTCTTGTTTAGTAAGCTTAGGAAGTCCCTTCGTTGACATCTCATGGACCTAAGGCATCCGTATACCACGATCAAATAGCAGAAGACCTATCTGCCACCACAGCACACGTCTGCGAAAGGGTAGCTGTCTGTTCGGAACTCCTGGAAGTAATAAAGAGGGACTCGATGCACAGGCAACTAGCCGAGGTGTATAGAGCGTTTTTCAAGTTCCTTCTGAGAGTTGCCGAATGGTTCAACAAGTCGAGTACGTCGAGATTTTTCGACAGCTTTAACAAAGACGTCAAAGCCAGGCATGAAGAGGCCGTTGCAGACATTAATCGGTCAATCGACATGATGATAGAACAAGGAGGAGTTGAAGAACTGGCTCGCGTAGAGTATATCCGACGCACTGCGGACATAATAGAGTGGAAAGTTGACAAGTTGAACGAGGCGGTGGTACCGTTCATGGCTGAGATGAGGACCAATATGGGCACGCTAGTTGACGAAGTCCGCATGCGTGGCCACATACAGAGCCAGGAGGATTTGGTGCAAATCGGACGTTGTATGGTGCAGCTCCTGCTAGACCAGGCGGCGCCTCACATTCGGGCGGTAGTCGGTAAGGTCCCTTGATCAACCGTAGTGCACTGGACTCAACACTGATTATGTAGGACAAGAATTACGCGCCCAGGGTATCTTAGAGCGCACCCGTGCCGAAGAAAGGGCGAGTAACAGGTTTCGTATTCCTGATACTGTTCCATCTCAGACAGCCACTCTGATATCCAGGGAGGAGGCCGATGTACGATCCAAGCCCCTACAAGGCTTCGTCCATGGATCAGATGGACTTGCGCTCATAAAAGCCAGTCAGGCACTGGTTGCAGAAGCGCATGTGCTAGCATGTACTGCGAGATGGATTCAAGGAGGTGCACTGCAACCGCAGAGACTGTGGATTCAATACCCGTTCGAATACCAAGCGGACACCAGTGCCAGAGCGACGGCGCTGGGTGTCATTCTCACCGCGGCTCGGGCGAACGCACCATTCCTCTCGTACATCTGCACGAAGCCTCCCAGAGCCAACATTGCGGCGTCTCTTTCCGTGAAAGAAGCGGGGTTGTCATCGATGGTCTACAGCCTCATTCTTCAACTTCTTCGCTTTCGACCAGAGAAGGACGGTTTCAAGGTCGACGCCGCAGTATTGAATGGGCTTGGCGAGGGTATGGACAGCTGGAAGGACGCCGTGGGTCTCCTTCGCCTGTTGCTCGAGCACACGCCAGTTGTCCGATACTGCGTCATCCACGGGCTGAACGAGCTGGAAGGTAGCGGTAACGAGGAAAGATGCAAGGAGTTTCTGGAGGTCTTGGAGTTGGCTTCGCTTCGTCCGAATGACCCGTTGAGCGTTCTCTTCACGACGTCCGGCCAATCGAGAGTCTTGGGCGATGCCACGACCAGGGACGAGCGAGCGATGTCGAATGCTGGTATACGAGAGGTTCACAAGAGGGGTCAGGCTTTCCATGGACTGCGGATCTGAGGTGCAGTGACTGGAAGGTTTTTGCGGAACGATGGTGTAAGGAAGTCGCGGACGCTCCCCCCGGCTAGCGAAGAGGAAGGCGCGACTGCGGGAGCGAACCGGTCCAAGATGAACGTCATCGTTAGTCGAATATGAAGAGGAAGAGGATCATGGAACGTACCTGGGGTGTTATATTTTGTTTCCGTGAGTCTTCTGCTGTCAATGATAGTGTGAGCTAAAAGTCATTGCGGAGGTGTTTGTGTGAGACGCTTCGGTGATAGCACCATGGATCCGAAAGCACGAATGCAGTTTCAAGCTATCCGCTATGCAACTTTTCCAACCATTCCCAAGATCGTGTTTCAACATGCTGACGCCGCCCGATGCAACCCCTTGCTGACCTCATTTCACAGCAGGCCGAATGACACCATCGGCGATCCACTTTCCTGTGAATTGTTCGTCGAGCACCCTCAGCTTAGAGAAGAAGACATCATCGTCCACATAAGCGCCCTTTAGCCACCTCTCGCCCTTTGTAGCATCAAACGCTCTTCTCGCATGCAGCACCCTCCTGTTATCAAATATCACACACTCGCCCTCGTTCAATCTATACTCATACATGTTCTCCTCCGCACTCAAGACCTTCTCGAAGGCATGTGAAGCGGCGAGGTAGTTCCTCATGGTAGTCTGATTCTCTCCACCGATGCGGGCTTCGAAGGGACCCTGGAAGGGCGGCGACCAGTTCACGCGGTGGATGGCTAAATTCGTCGGCTCGCTGTACTTGGGGTACGGGTACAGCTCGATGGTGGGCCGCGTGTAGTGATAGTGGTGCGTCGGGTGGTGGTAATGATAGGTTACGGGGAACGTGCACAAGCTGCGGAAGTGGAAGGCGGACGAGTTGTGGAGCTGGTGTGCGGCGTAGAATGAGTCGCTGAAGAAGGACTCGCCGCCTGGAGTTCGCGCACGCAACGAGTGGAGCAGTTGTAGATGCGGCGGGTTCGATGTATACAGGAGGTCCATGTGTAGGCCGAGGAATTGCGGCGTGTAGGCAATGTTCTCGGCCTTGGGCTTTGAGCGGACGTCCCAGGTGCGGCCGTAGAAGGTGTCCTTGAGCGTGCCGATTCGGCCTGCGATATCGACCACCGACTCTTCCGAGTCGGGGATGTTCTTGAGGAAGAGCAGGCCGTACGTGTTGAGATGGCTCAGCGCGTGGAACAAGACTTCGTCCTCTCCCATCCAGTCCTGGTAGTCCACCCACTTATTGTCCCTTGTAATTATCTCGTTGTTCCATAGCACCCGCTCGTCGTGGCGCACGCCTCCTCGAAGCTCCAGCTCGGTGTTGAGCGCTCGCCGTAGCCAGTCAATCGAGTGCCGCGTGCGGTGCTCAGGCCCGTAGCCAGGCACGTCATTCTTCCACACTACCTCTACCATCCATCCCTTCTGCTTGTCGATCACTGTCCGGCAGCTGCCCTCGATGTCTTCTGGGATGTCTGAGGTCTGGAAGACCTTCTGCCTGCTGTCCGGATCGACGCACTGCGGGCAGGCGCAACTATCGCGCAGGAACACCGTGTCGAAGACGCGCGGGTCGCCGTCGATGTTCACGGCGACGTGTCTGGCGGGCTTGCCGTCCAACTGGCCTGCATTGGTGGCATCGTGGACGAGGTGCTCCTGCTGGGGCGCGGCGGCGCTGGCCTGCTCGGCGCTGGCCCGCGCGGAATTCACTGTCGACGTCTTACTCCAGAAGGAGCTCAGGAACGCTCTCTGCGGCGAACGGATGGGTGCTCTGCAGGCCCTCGCGCCCGCACGTGCAGCATTGGACCGCAGCGCGCGGAGAGCGAGGCTGGTGGTGATGTTCAGGGCCATGGCGGGCGATGGGTGATGTGCCGTGCGCCAAAGATCGCCGGGCGCGCCCGCTTTTAGAGCCGCCTTGGAGCAGTCGCCCGAGGATATCAAACACCGCGTCTCCCCGCTCTGCCGGTTCTTTTTCAATCAATACCCCCTTCACCGGCGAGACAGCCTGCACTGGGCGCAGGCTTGGGAGCTCGTACAGGGCCTCCGCAAAGAGGGGTAGGGCGCATGTCTGGAGGAGGCGTCGCGCAGCTCAAGCATGAGGTGACTTTTCCCGCTGTCCGCCAGCTCTGGGACCCGCGCTGACTTGCTTGCTTCTTCAGGGCTCGCAGCGACAGGTGGCGGTTGCAGGCGCCATTGCTGGCCTCGTGTCGCGGTACGCATTCCATCCTCCTGCTTCAATGTCGCCCAGTGAATGCTGACCGTGTTCGCAGCTTCGTGATCGCTCCCCTGGACGTCATCAAGATCCGCCTGCAGCTCCAGGTCCACTCCCTCTCCGACCCGCTCAGCTACCGCAACGTTCAGGGGCCCGTCTATAAAGGGACGCTGGGCACACTCAAGCAGATCCTGCGCGAGGAGGGCCTCACGGGGCTATGGAAGGGCAACATCCCCGCCGAAGCCCTATACCTGGCCTACGGCAGCGTCCAATTCTCGGCCTACACGTACATGTCGCACCTGCTTGAGGCCATCCCTCAGCCATACACCCTCCCCAGCACGGTGGATTCCTTCATCAGCGGCGCTGTTGCGGGTGCTTGCGCGACAACCGCCACATACCCTCTCGACCTGCTTCGGACGCGCTTTGCGGCTCAGGGGCGCGAGCGCGTCTATCCCTCCATCGTCGCCTCCGTCCGGCACATTGCCGAGCACGAGGGTCCGCGTGGGTTTTTCCGCGGGCTGGGAGCTGGCGTGAGCCAGATCGTTCCCTACATGGGCCTTTTCTTCGCTAGCTATGAAAGCCTCAAGCCTGTTGTAGCTAGCTCGCCCATCCCTCTGCCCTTTGGCACGTCGGACGCCGCTGCCGGCATCATCGCGAGCGTGCTCTCCAAGACGGCCGTCTATCCCCTCGACACGACACGAAAACGGCTGCAGGTGCAAGGGCCCATGCGATCGAGATATGTCCATCGGAACATACCACTATACTCAGGGGTAACGAGCACTCTTTTGAACATCTGGAAGAACGAGGGGCGGAGAGGCATGTATCGAGGGCTGACTGTCAGCTTGATCAAGGCGGCTCCAGCGAGCGCCGTCACTATGTGGACGTACGAGAGAGCCATGGCGCTCATGTTGACCTTGGAAGAGAAGTTGACGGACGATTGAGTTGTGACTGTACTGTTGGCTTGCATAGCTCGGCGTTAGGGGGTTCCTTAGAGGACACGGTAGATCCTGCTTAGAAGGGCATAGATGGAGAGGGTAATTCCTGCGATGGGCATCTTGGTAGCGATGCGCATCCCAGCCGTGGCGGCCGTACATCTGTATTGGAAGCATGCAGCCGAAGAAGTCGATCTGATCGGAACCGTTTCAGCCAACCGGAGTGCGTGCGCTCCTCCGCAATGCCAGCGATGCGCAACGCCAAACGCTAATTCAACTGTACACAGTGCGGAGGCGATGTTGGCTTTCTGGACGCGAGCGCGAGCAACGCCCCAGAAGTCGGTACGAAATTGAAATGAGGGGCGGGGAAGCAGGGAAGTGCTTCCGGACATGGAGGGGGGGTCGAGTGATAATGGTCTGAGAGACATCGCCAAAGCTCCACCCAGAATTTCGTGCCTCGCTTTGATTTTCCTCGAATTTGCCCGCTCAGCAGCGGGAGCCAGAGCACGATGAAGCGCAAGAACGAAGCCCCTGCCAATGGCAAGGCGAAGAAGAGAGCCATTTCCGACGACGAAGCTCACAAGAATTTCCGCAAGGGACTGTTCGACGCCGCCGTGCTCGAGGGCTATACCAAGTATTACGCCACATCGCAGCCGTATGCCCGTTCTCAGACCATTGAGCGTCCCTTTTCTGACAACTCTAGGTACCAGCACGCTGTGATACAGGACCTAGTCAACGACGCCCTCCTGCGCAATGTCCGCAACGAGATTCGCGAGCACATTTCCTTCACGCCGAAGGAGACCGACATCTACAAGATCCACCAGTCCGGCGACCTCGCGAACCTCGATGGCCTCGACGACTCCGCCCTCAAGCGCCTGCCGTCCCTCTTGACCCTCCGCGACTCGCTCTACTCCTCCGCCTTCCGCAAATACCTGTCTTCAATAACTGGGTCTGGGCCGTTGAGCGGGGTGAAGACAGATATGGCAGTGGTAGGTAATCCAAGGCTATGCCATGGCAGAATATAAGCTAAGCCGCGTGCAGAATGTGTACACACCCGGCTGTCATCTTCTGTGTCACGACGACGTGATTGGGAGCCGGCGCGTGAGCTGGATTCTCTACCTCCTCGATCCGGATCGTCCGTGGAAGCCAGAATGGGGCGGAGCGCTTCGCCTATACCCGACCGTAGACCTCAAGACCGCCGCTGGTGACGAGGTCAAGGTACCGCAGCCCGACTTTACCGTGTCAATCCCGCCCGCATGGAATCAGCTGTCTTTTTTCACGGTGCAGCCCGGGCAAAGCTTCCATGACGTCGAAGAGGTATACAGGCGCGGACCAGATGAGATGGAGGAAGATGACGGAGGGCGCATCCGCATGGCTATCAGCGGATGGTTCCATATCCCCCAAGAGGGCGAGGAGGGTTATGAAGAAGGGCTGGAGGAGAAGCTCGCTGAGCGCAGTTCTTTGGCTCAGTTACAAGGAGGGAAAGCCGACGTGTTCGACGAGCCGCAAGCGCACTGGGTCGATAATCCCCACTGGGAAGAGCAGGCAAAGGCAGACGATGAGGAGATGACCGCCGACGAGATCGATTTCTTGATCAAGTACATGAACCCGAACTACCTCACCCCAGACACCGTCGAGGAGCTGTCCAAGATGTTTTCGGATGAGTCTTCCCTCAGATTAGCCGAGTTCCTGTCGCCCAAGTTCTGTGCCCGGCTCCGCGGTTACCTCGAATCGAAGGACCATGAAACGAACCCCAGTCTGCCCGCGAACCCCTTCTACAAAGAACAGTCAGAGGTCGGTGTCGCTCGTCCGCCTCATAAGCATCTCTACCTCTATCGGAAAGCCGTCCAGCCCATACAAACGACTTACCCAGACACTGAGAGCTTGACACCCTATGATGACCTCGTCGATATCCTATTCCCTCACCCCGCCTTCACCAAGTGGGTCTCACTCGTCACCGGCATAACGCTCACGAAGAGCAACATCTATGCCCGTCGGTTTAGGCGCGGGGTGGATTACACTCTCGCCACTGCCTATGAAGAAGAGGATCCTCAGTTGGAGGTCTGTCTGGGTATTACACCCTCCAAAGGCTGGGGCGATGAAGAGGAGGAGGAAGAGGAAACGCAGCAGAACGGTGCATCGAGTAAGGCTAATGGAAAGGCTTCCGGTGAAGCTCCGAAACCTGAAGAGGAAGTCGGAGGTTACGAAATGTATATGGCCGGCGAAGACGACGAGGGGACTGATGCCGGCGCCCCTGAATCTTCCACACATACCGGCGCCGGCCAGCGACGAAAAGCTAAAGCGGACCCTGCTATCTACAAGAGCGCGGGTGACGACGATGACGATGGGATATTGTTCTCGCAGCCCGCGGCGTGGAACAACCTCGCAATCGTACTGAGGGATAGAGGAGTGCTGCGCTTTACCAAATACGTCAGCAAAGCTGCCAAGGGTGATCGATGGGACATCTGTGGCGAATATGGCGTCGAATTTGGAGAAGATGAAGAAGACGAGGAGTAACGGCCTGGCATCCGACACGGTACGGAAGGGAAGGTGAGGTTCTCCTTCGCATGCGATCACGGCCTTAAAGCAACTTCCATAGATCACGACACGACTTTACGAATGCATCTCGGTTCGCTGTCCTACTTGGTGTTGGATGTATATTAGTGCCGTACCGCTTACGGTTTAGCATGCTTACTCCCCTCATCCACTACCTAGGTAGCACGTCCACCCTTCAATCCAAGCTTATCCAGAGCTCTTCTCTATCTCTTTTTTTTTTTTGCTTGCCTTACGTCGTACTCCTCTCTATCTCTGCAACCATGGCCCCCGCAGAAGCCTCTCCTCCGAGAATGACACGAGACGAGATTCAGGCCTTGGGTACCATAAGCCCCGAGATGAAAGAGGTAGGTGGTGGCCTAACTCCACCCACACACTGAAAGCTGAATCAGCACAGTTCCTCGACCACAATCCTCCTCCCGCTCTAGGCGACATCACCGACGCAGCCGCGAACCGAGCGCGCTGGCAGCCCATTATCCGCCAGATGCGGCAAAATTTCGGCCCTGCACCAGAAGGCCTCGAGGAATCCGAACTTAGCATCCCCGTCCGAGACGGCTGGCTCTCCGAGGCCCTTGTCATCCGCCCTGCACCAGCTGCGCAGAAACCCCCCGGCCCCGTGATCGTAATGTACCATGGTGGAGGCTTCATTGCTGGCGCGAAAGAGAGCATGATTCCGAACGCACGTGGCTTCGCGCGGCTGTTTGATGCGGTTGTTGTGGCGCCGTCGTATCGTCTTGCCCCGGAGAACAAGTTCCCCGTCGGCATCAATGACGCGTGGGATGTGCTGCAGTGGATCGCGAAGCATGCTGGAGAGTTGAGGGCGGATCCGGCCAAGGGGTTCGTGATAGGCGGCGGGTCGGCGGGCGGCAACTTTGTCGCCGTGCTGGCAAGGAGAGCCGTGGAGGAGTCTCTCCAGCCCGCAGTTACGGGCCAATGGCTCGCGTTTCCCGCCATCTATGAGCATACCGGCGAAATGGTGCCGCAGAAGTACCGCGATCTCTGGACATCGTGGGAGCAGAATAAGCACGCTATGCTCGTTGACGCCGCAGCGATTGCGATAATGTTCGCGCACTATGAGCCCACGTTCTCCTCTCCCTTGTACAATCCACTCTTCACTTCCCCGGCATTTAAGCTGGCCAAGATGCCGCGGGCCTTCGTGCAGGTTGCGGGGATGGATTTGGTCAGGGACGATGGCATTCTGTATGCGTATGCGCTGGAGGATGAGGGGGTGGAGGTTAGGCTGAGAGCTTATGCGGGCGTGCCGCACACCTTTTGGGCGTTTGTGCCGGCGTTGGCGGCGAGTCGGGAGGCGTTGGTGGATGTGGGCGTGGGGATGGGCTGGCTGCTCGGGAGGGAGGTAGAGAGGGGTGAGGCTCGGAAGGCTTTGCTGCGAAACTAGATTGCTCAACTAGCAGCCTCCTAGAGAAGTCAGCGTCCTCAGGCAAGACCAACATTCGTCGGTATCGCGACTAGCAAACGCCAGTATTATGGACCAACTCGTGTCGGTATGGTTAGACTAACAGACGCCAGTATGAAAGACTAGCAAGCGCCAGTATAGAAGGACTAGCAGACGCCAGTATAGAAAGACTAGCAGACGCCAGTATAGAAAGACTAGCAAACGCCAGTATCATTATATCTCGTCGCCTTGGCTCCAACTGCAAAGGCTCACGCCTCCATCAGAGTCAGAATACAAGACGTGGTCCTCCTCACCACCAGGCGGGCCATACCAGGCAGTAGAGTCGGCGTCAGAGTCATATAGGTCCGCGTTCTCGTTGGCTGAGTCGGCGAAGTTGTCCGCGGCGAGTGTGCTTGCCTCCGCGGCGTTCATGGCAGCCACTTTCGTGGAGGCCCGCCGCTCGCGAACCGCGGCGGGGTATCTTGGTGCGGAGGCGGTGGCCAGTGGTGTGCAGGCGGTGGCCAGTGGTGTGCAGGCGGTGGCCAGTGGTGTGCAGGCGGTGGCCCTTGGTGTGCGGTGGCTCGGTAAGGCTCATTGGGTTGTTCTGGGGGTTTTTGAGGCCTATTGCGACGGCCTCTGTTTGGCGGAGATCACGGTATGGGTCCCAAGGAGCAGAAGGAAGTGCGCAGGCGGACAGCGTATAGATTTGGAGCGCCCGGTCCGTGCACGTGCGCGCTAACGGGGTTTGTTCACCTTCACAACAGCTTACGACCAAAGCCACTCGTCCTTTCGCTGCTGGCACTGCAAGCGGCCCTCCGGCTCCATAATATGCGCCTCATCCCTCACTCTTTGCCACGGGAATACTGGAGAGCAACATGAGGCTAAACCGCGGGAAGGAGGCCTCTTGCGGTAGGGTATTCTCCGGATCTAAGGGCTCGCCGTACAAGATTAGCTGTCTTATTGTACGCACCCGCGAAGGCCTCTAGGGTAGCTGTTGCGCACGTCGTTCTATCCGGAGAATTCCACAACGTGAGAGGAGGCTTACTCCGATGTGTATGTCAAAGCCGGGTCATAGGCTCATGCAACTCGTAGCGTCTGCCAAGTCTCACAACCAAACTAAGTCCTCCCTCTGAATCGTGTCCTCGTGGTAAAGGATCCGCCGCTTCCCCCCGTACTGCGCCCCTGAAGAGCCGTTTTCGAGATGCGCATGCAGCCATTACCTCGCGGGTTCCGACAGACGCCTAGACCTCTGGCGACAGAACAGAAGCACAAACATACCTTCTAGTCTTGGCGTGTTCTGCGCTCCTCGGCTTCGTATGACCCTACAGAGGGCATTCTGGCTAGGACACGCTTACAGGGCGCCGCGTGGCTGAGGGGACTCTTGGTGTGTAGCTGTAATACGAAGAACGTATTGGCCGGCCGTTCAGCTCAGAACGGGCGCGGACCGAAGTGCTGGCACAACTTGTAGTTAAAGAGACTGGCACGAACAGGCCCACGAGTTCCTGCGAGGAGACACTTGCACCTGAACCAGTCTGCGGGCGTCGAACCCGAGGCTCGTACTAGGGCGGACAGCAGTGGACCACGCGGCGTTATAGACTGAGGCGCGAGGTTGACATATCGTGAGGTAACGAAGAATGCGACCGAGGACCAGAGAGCTTACGGGAGAGCTGCGTGGGTTTCAGGGATCGAACGACGGTTGCCGGTTATCTGTCCAGGCATGTCAGAGAGGCAGACCGCCGGCGCAGATGTATGAAACGCTATCCAGAATGCCACCTGAGCCATATACTTCGAAGTTTGGTATCACACTTACATATTCTATATGCCCCGAATGGACCTTGTAGTGCGGACTGGTGTGTTCGTGGTTTTATCAGCGTAGATGTTTCATCTCATATATTTATGACGACAATTGCAGCGTCTTGACAGGGCTGGCGATACACATGCAGTCATGGTGGTGTTTATCTTCGAGCGACGTTCAAATATGCATTCAGCTGGCTTATGAAATCCGGTGGCTGGGCTAGCTACCCCTGTTTCCCCACCAGTGCCCACCTCGAAACACGCAGGGTCCCTCGGCGAGAAAAGAGAACATGTCGCAAATGACTGGCTTAATAGCGAGGGAATCTCACACGTTGTAGAATGATGGAAGGCGTTGAACATAACTAGGTAGCTACCTTATGACTCCCGAGTCGGAGAAACTGTCTGCACGTGATTTCGTGTCTCAGCGCGCTTTCCCTGTCGACCTCGGAAATCTCTAGAGCTAACGAAAACGACTTCGCTTCTCATCCGCACACTCCCACGTTCACACACTTACCTCCACCTTTCCATTCTATATGTAGATTATCGTAATCTTCCACCGGGTCTACATCTTCTCCCGGGCAATGAAAATGGTGCTCATCTGACGCCGTTTCGCACACGCCTGATGACCAGCATTAGAACAGCCGCGCTGATCTTCGAGCTGCAGCTGGACAACCATTCATTTGAATTCTGCCTTCGACCCTATCATAACAACTATCTCTCTTTCTCTCCTGAGAACTACGCATGAAGCACGAAGACTAGCGGAAATTATGTTTCGCATTTCTCGCATTCGAGTTCGTATTGGATTCAGGGGCTCCAATATCTTCCCATTCCACCTCGAAGACTTCCACGCCAACCTTTTTCCACTACACTTCACAGCCTTGGATTTGTAGTCGACATACACGATGAACGGCACCGCCGTATGTCCTCAGGATGATCCCACAGCAGCGCCGCCAACGCGCAAGAGCACTTCTGCAGACTCAGATTATGTGCTTGTACAACCAATTGATACCAGGCTGGAGAGACTTGGAGAGCGCATGGGTCGCATTGAATCAGCTTTGGATAGGATCCTGGAGCATTTGCAACTACCCCGACTCAACGAGGGAGGAGAGCAACCTGTGGCTAGCAACGAGTCTGATGGCTCTATTTCCATCCCAGATCGCAACTTGAACTCTAAGACCATCCCTGGAAACCCCAACGCCCCACAAGCGCCCGAATTTCAGACCCCCAAAGTCTTCCCCGGTTCCTATACGTACACAGCCCTAGACGAGACCAAATCGCAAATCCGAGTCCTAAAGCTCTACCGCGCTAAAAACTTCGGCGATCCGCTCGTTCTCGATGTGCAGATCCAAAATCTAGACGACGACATGCTGAGCAACCCATTCAGCCGCTACACTGCGCTGTCGTATTGCTGGGGTCCACCAATCATGGACGCGTCCATTATCCTGGCCGGGCATCACTTTCCAATCACCAAGAGTCTCGAATCGGCGCTGAGACATCTGCGGAACGTCGAAACCGGCTACGGGCCCCTGGACCTGACTACAGGCAAGAAAGGAGACTATGAGCTTTGGTGGATCGATCAGATTTCGATCAACCAAGCCGATATCGACGAAAGAGGCAGTCAAGTGTCTCTCATGAGGCAGATATACAAGCGAGCTGGCTCCGTCCAAGTCTGGTTGGGCGACGAAGCGGACGATAGCTCCACCGCCTTCGATGTTCTCAACAGGGTTGCTGCGCCTCCGGTTCACGCGCCAGGAGAGAAGCCGATTCACTATCCGACTTTCACTGATGCCGACGTGGCCAAGCACTGGAAGGCGTTGGATGCTTTGTTCAAAAGACAGTGGTGGGAGAGAGTGTGGATCAGGCAGGAAATCTCTCTCAATTATACTGTCAAGCTATGGTGCGGTGAGAAGAGCTGCGATTTGAATATTCTAGGCCCTGCTCTCTATGTGCTGGGATACTTTAGGAGCTTCGCAAAACGGTCCCTAGGTGCAGATCTGGACTGTAACGAGACAACGGCAGTGCTGCCCTGGAATCACCATCCGGAGAAGCTCGTAGAGCTGAGCAAAAGCACTGCTGGAGGATACACCTGGGTTGAGCTCAGCCGGCTCTTACTCAACGCCAGAGGCTGCAAGGCCACCGATCCTTGCGACGCCGTTTTCTCCGTCCTCGGTCTCGCAAACCCAGAGGTCTACTCGATTGCGCCCGACTACCGACAGGACTTGCATGAAATCTTCATCGCTGCTGCACGAAAGGCAATCCCGCACGACGAATACGGACTCAACATCCTCTCCGCCTGTCAAAATCCAGAAATGAGGCACGGACTACCGTCATGAGTGCCAAACCTCGCTGATGAATGGAAAACGATGCCGTTTGAGACATTAGATGCCCATGGCAGCTGTATTATGGAACTGGAGGCCACGGACGCGCGCTATCCGACGGCACGAGTCGAGGATAGAATTCTGATCCTTAGGGGCGGCCTTGTTGACAACGTTCAGCTTATTTGCAAGGAATACGTGCCAAGCGGGGCCAGCGCAGAAGAGCTGGAAGCCGTGTACGTCTCTTGGCGAAAGTTCGCTAGAGATGCGGTGAAGCGAAAGGAGCTTGAAGAGAGGGATGCCTACGAATATGTCCAAGATCACACGAAAGCAACCGAGAGACATTGGATTAGGTTCCTGTCAGTCATGAGCGACAAAGCGGATGACCTCAAGGGCTACTCTCGCAGTGACAGTAGCTTCGAGAAGAGGAGGAGGAAGGAGAGGGAAGCTAACCGAGATCGGGACTCAACCCCATTTAGCCAACTCAGGCTCAATTACAAGCTCGCCCGCTCATACCTCCTTCCGCCGTCGCATTCGCCGAAGCAAATGCATGGCAATCGCCGGATCCACGATCTGTTCCAGAGAATTGGCGTTGGGCGTCGCTTGTGCATTACGATGAGAGGGTCTCTGGCTTTAATACCTGCGGAAGCTGAGAAAGGTGATCTATTTGGGCTTTTCCACGGCGCCTCGTTCCCTTATGTGCTGAGGAAGCATGGTGAAGAAGAAGACCACGTGCTGGTAGGCGAGGCATGGGTGCCGCGTTATTCCTCTGCCTACGGAGAGAGATTAGCCAAAGAAGAGTGGGGGATCAAGATGAATGCGACGATCAGGTTGTGCTAGATGAGGAGAACGTAGAGATGATGTTGGCTGCAACGAGGACGCGGAGAGGCTTGCCGGGTAGGGATCCCATGGATTGTGTCACACTTTACCGTTTCCGGTTAAGGATTTCGAGCCAACCAGTCGTCGACGTGGAAGCTCATAGGGCTGTATCAGCTTGCACAGAATCGAAACCTGGGATTTACTGGAAATGGCGTGTCAGGGTACGACACTGTTAGTTTGGCGGCCGACAACGAGAACAATATTATAAGTACGAGTTAATGGCTTGGACAGATAGGCCTGTCGTCAAGAGGCATGAACTTTAGGCAAGATGAGCAACCAAACGCCTTCCTCACCAATCTTCGGGATTCTCGTATTACACCGAGTATCTCCTTTGGTTATACTGCTGGCGCATCCTACCGTGACTCCCTCCAGGAGCCATTTTCGTCAGACGTAGAGTGACCCCCATGACAGGTCTAAACAAAGTGCCAGGCAGCCTCGTCTTAGCCGGCTACGACCGCTCGCGAACCTCCAACAACCTTACCGTACCCATCAGCGGAGAAGCCGACCGTCCATTAACCATCGGCCTCCAGAAGATCGTCACCTCCAACTCGCTAAAAGGTACCATGGCACTCATGGACTCCGGCATCCTCACCGTAATCGATTCATCCGTCCCCGGACTCTGGCTTCCCCGCTCCGTCTACGATAAATTCGAATCTACTTTCGAGCTCCAATACCACGAGCCTTCAGACTGGCACGCTGACGAATAGCACTCGCGACCGTCTGCGCGAGCTCTCACCCACGCTGACTCTCACCCTAGGCATCGGCATCGGCATGTTTGAGGGGCGGACCATTAATATAGATCTACCGCACTCTACATTCGATCTCCAAGCCGGGTACCCCATCTTCGCAAATAGCACGAACTACTTTCTCATTCGTCGTGCAGCAAATGAGTCGCAGTATGTAATTGGTAGGGCGTTTCTACAGGAAGCGTACTTGAGTGTCGACTGGGAGAGGAGCTACTTCAACATCAGTCAAGCGGTGTTTGCGGCGCCGATGCCGGAGCCTGATATTGTTACGATCTTGTCGTGCGACGTTCAACTCAACGGGTAGCGCGGGGTCTGATGGACTCGCGCTTTCCAGGGGTGCTATTGCGGGTATCGTCGTTGGTGCTGTAGTAGTAGCTGTTGCTTTTGTTCTGGGGGATTCTTCTACATCCGGCGTCGACGAGCGAGGAATTTACCAACAGAAGCGACGACAACGTCATCTGACATGAAGCAGAATACAGAATCTGCACTGCATCCGTCAGGCGCCGAATTGATGGGCACCATGGTTCAACCCCCTAGCTCTTCCAAGCAACCACAGAGCCCGGAGCTGATGGATACAATGGCCCAAAATATGCGACCATCCGGGGGAATTCAACCTCCGGAGTTGATGGGTACAATGATAGGGGAGTTGCCTTCTCCTAGCGAAGAAGGGAAACGGGAGGCTGTACGGAGGAAGAGCGTGGCAAGTGAGGTCGAAGGCAGCATGTCTATTTATGAGCTCAGAGGGGACTCTGGATATTATTAGAAGGGGTACAGACTCAGATGCTTGATATTTCATCCTATACCTCCTGTGTTTGTAGCATTGTCGTTCAGGGTCCACGTTACGATTCGGCAATCGCTAGCCAGGGTTCGGCAACCAGCCCCACATCCCCCATCTCACACCAATCTACCTCGTGGCTTGTTCTTTCTTCCTTCATCTCAATCCCAATGTCACCTTTCTATATTTTCGTTTACGTCTCACGTGCCTTGTACTTTATGTAAACGTTATATTTCTTCGCGGTTCTCGACAACAAACTCGATGTCGCAAGATACCCTCCGCCACCCCACATTGAAGTGTTTACTCCGCGGCAAGCCCTCCACATCAACCGTCCAGTTCCGGAACCTCAAATACGCATCGATACCGGGGCGATGGCAAGATTCGTCACCAAACGGCTCCCTACGGCCACTTGCTGATGGCTTATACGATGCAACCAAGTTCGGGCCTTCGTGTCCGCAGGGGCGCGCAGGACAGGCGTGGGACCTAACGCTTGTGGGAAACGTTTCGATGCCCTTGGGAGAGGGCCATGGTGAAAAGGAATGGATGGATGAAAACGAGTGCTTGAACGTCAATGTCACCGTGCCGAAAGCCGCCCTCGAGGAGAGAGGAAAGGCCAAGGGCCTGCCGGTGTTCGTCTGGGTGCATGGTGGTGGATTGAGCATAGGCAGCAACAGCTGGCCGCAATATAATCTCACCAGACTGATAGAGCGAAGCATCGAGATCGGCAAACCAGTCATTGGCGTCTCGATCAACTACCGACTCGGCGTACTGGGTTTCTTGACGAGCAGAGAGCTGGGCACTGATGGCAATTACGGGTTTAAAGACCAGCTGCTGGCGTTTCGATGGGTGAAAAAGCACATCGCCGGCTTTGGTGGTGATCCCAATAACATTACCGCAGCAGCAGAGTCTGCGGGCGGGATTTCGCTCTCGACGTTGCTATGCGCAGATGTGGGTGAGGGATTATTTGATAGGGTTGTCATCATGAGTGGTGAGACGACGCTTAGGAAACCGAGGAGCAGGGCGTGGCATGAGGAGATGTATCAGGATCAACTCAAGTTGCTTAGTCTGCAAGAGGCAAATGTCGGGGAGAGGACCCGGATATTGAGAAGCATGCCTGCGGAAGAGCTCCAAAGCAAGCTACCGCTCGCGCAGCACTTTTGCGCTTGTGTGGATGGGAAATTCCTGAAGGAAGATGTGACATTGAGTCGGTTAAGCAATGGGAAACGCAGGCAGCATAAGCCAGCGTGGTGCAAAGAATTCGTGATCGGGGACACAGCGCACGATGTAAGTGCTTTCGAGCATTTTGGGAGCCACCGTCGTGCTAACAAGTGCGCCACTGTAGGGAACCTGTCTCAAAACGCGAATCCTCGACAATCCCAAAGCCTTCGCCCTCCTCAAATCCCTCTGCGACCGCCACTTGACTTCCTCCGAAACCGCCAATCTGCTTTCCGCCTACAACCTCCCCGCTCCCTCCGCCGAGCAAGAAAAGCATACCCTTCTCGAATTAGCTTCTGAGCTTCGCTTCTATCTGCCTACACTCGCCGTCCACGTAGGCTGGAAAAATGTTTCCCCGCCAAAACTCGCTCGTCGATATCACTTCCACGTTCCAAACCCGGTTGAAGGAGCTTTCAAAGGGCTCTCCTCGCATGAACTTGACGTCACGTTCCTATTGCAGAACTTCAATGAGCATTTTGATGAGCGGGGTAGAGAGGTTGCGCAGCAGATGGCGGACCAGTGGATCACGTTCGCGAATGGCGAGGACTGGTGTGATGTGGGGAAGGTGGTGGTTATTGGAAATGAGGGAGTGGTGAAGGTGGATGAAGAAGCGTATGATGATAGGTTTAGAGGCGGAAGAGGGAAGGTGTTGGAGAGCATAGGGGCGCAGAAGCTTTGGAAGGTCGCGGAGCTGTGGCAGGGTGTGAGGAGTGATATTGGGGGAACCGACACGACTAGGTACGATTATGGGTCGGCGAAGCTCTGAAGACGAGTTGTTGTCGGCATGGTGTGGGAATTGGGGTGCTTATGACGCATTCCCGGGGACTGTGCGTTCGCGGAGAGTCGGCGATAGGGACTGACGTATCACTCCTTGGAGTCATTCTGGCTCCGCTATTTAAGTCGATTACCTCGTACGTTTCTCTCTCTCTTTCTCATTCTCCTCCCTCTTGCACGTTTACTTCGCAAACACTCTACAAAGTCAGCTTGTCATTGAAGTCCTGCCTCTCCCTTCCCTACAGCACGCACAGTCGACCCGCATTCGCACCACCGAAAACCACCAGAACATCTCCAAGACGCTCATACGAGGAAGCTCCGCAATATGTCTGAGAGCAAGGCGTCAGAGCCGCAACAGGAAACTCCCCACGACGAGTTTACAGAACGGCTCAAGGACAATCCATCTCTCGCTCAAAATCAATCCTGCATGGATCGTCTATCAACTCTCACTCAGAATCAAACTTCCGAGAACTGGCGAGACCGCGCAGCAAACACGGGAGTCGCAAAACGCGCAAAGTTCATCGTCCTAAAAGAGTCCGAGCCTTCGACTCCGACAAGCGCATCAACCAGCAACCTTCGGTTCCTGCTGGCCCATTTGATCGTGAAATGGGAAGAGTCGACTTCGGCTCGTGTTATCCAAGTCTTGTTTCCAAATGATGCACACGAGGCCTTCAACGAGGAACGCCCGACCTCGAGATGTGCCTCGCGCCTGCCGATATCACCATACTTTTCGAATCATTGCTTGAGCATTGCCCGAAAGGCTGCGGGATCCCCGTTGCCGTATATGGCATCGGTGTGTATGATCGTGAGCACGCCAAAGAATTTCTTACCCTGTTTTGGGACCTTACGCGCAAGCTGCGGAAGGAAAGGGCGGGGGCAACTGGGCAAGCCGCAAAGGAGGCGGCGGTGCAGGAAATGAACAAGAAGGCGGACCCGGTTCTCAAGGTGCTCTTCATGTGATCCCTGAGGCAGAGCGCTCGGAGGTTGTCATTGCGCTCTAGCTCATGCATGCCGGCTCTTCGGATGCCAATCCTTCTTCTACTCTTCTTCGGCGTTGGATTTTCATATATAATTTGTATTCTTCGAGCTCGAAAATTGGAACTCTCCTGGCGTACCTTCTTTTGCCCTTGCCCAGTGTGATGTCGTAATTATACTTGACTGCGCAATCACTGAAGCTGACGTGCATGCATGTATATAGAGCAACAAGAAGCACGATTTGTTTGCATTTGAGCCTCGGACAGGCGCGCAAAACTTTGGAAACAGCTTATCGGTCCACCTGCTGTGATTCATCTCCGATGCACGGTTGACGCAGCACGATCCCGCCGCAAGTTGTGCGACCAACGAACTAGTCATTGAGCTAAGTCTCGATGCCAGCTGAGCCAATTGGCTTACTCAGTCTTGAATGACTAGTACTCGTTACTCCTCTTTCCTGAAAGGTTTTGCGCATTCAAATCCACGCACAGCTTCAATCGTGGACGCCCAAGCACTGAAAAATGCGAGGACTGGGAAGCCGGAGCAGACCCTAGCGCCACTTAAGGGAGTTTTTCGGTTCCCGATGCAAATGTTTTTCTTATGGATGTTGTCTGCTTGTTGCTCACTGTTGATGATGGGAGGCGTCCAACACAGTCATTCGTTCAGCTATCACATCACACCACTCAATCCAGTCATGTGGAGACACAGACGTACGTAAGTTTTCCGCCCTTATTCGAATCTTACGGGTGGTGAAGCCAAGGCACTGGAGAAGATTAGAGCGGAGAAGGGTTTAGAAAACTGTGGAGTCGTGGTAGGGCGGCAAGGGTGAGGAGGTTGAAGAAAACCGCACAGGAAGATTGTGAGTAGTGGTATTGCCAGTTGGTTCATGGTGACGGAGGCGCCCGCTAACGGTAAGAGTCGAACGGCGGATCAGCTTGACACAACTCAATGTAGAGTCATCGTAGCTATACTATTTAACCAAGTTCTTCATGATCTCCGCTCTCTCATCTTCCTTTGTCTTTCTCGCAATTTTGAATATCCAGCAATCTGCCTCTGCTTCAGAAATCCTTCGATACTCTATCTTCACGAACAACTTCAACCCCCGCTAGTTCGTCATGGCCAATTCCGAGCCAGGAGATGTGCGCCTCCTGGAAGAGCTCAATCGATACAAGCAATGGCGCGAGAACGAGTGCCACATCCCAAACACATACCATGCCTTGATACCAGGAAAACGCCCGGGCCCTTGGTTCACTCAATGGCAACATGACAAGGAGAAGAGTTCAGACTTCAGAATTGTGAAAGACTCTCGATCCTCCAAACGTCCCTCCGATTTCGATGCGCATCTCGTCAAGGCTCTCGCAGAGCTAGACGCCATAGACGACGGCCGGAAGATTGGCGTCGAAGACATGAACGACTCCATTAGAGAGGCTTTATACGGAAAACTGGACGAAGACGAGCTTGACGAGATCTCAGCAATCAGGCTCACACCCGACGTTCTCCTCCAGGTGGTTTTCACTCCAGAACGAAAAACTGGCTTTGACTACGAGCCGAATTTCCTCGCTTGTCAGCTCATATATCAACTAGCGGCTCGACTACTTCCCCTTGAACCTCTAGAGGAGGTTATCCTGAAAGCGAAAGTGGATCCCAAGGCCCCATTTGAGAACTGCTTCAAGGCCCTTATCGACATCAGCCCGGTCAAATCTACAATCTACGTGGTCATCTATGGCATCTCTTTATGCGAAGATGAGCAAGGACTGAAGACCGCCGTTGAGATGCTTTGGGCGGCCAGCGAGTACGTGAAAGCCCGTAACGAGTGGGGTGATAAATACGATGCATGGGTGGCAGAGGATGACGAAGAGAAGAGGAAGTTGCTGAAGGCAGAGAGACTGGAAGAACTTTCTGGGAAGGCTGATGGGGAGGCTACGGAATGGCGAACTAGGCCCCTGCTGAGGGTTTTGTTCGCTGGGCCAGGAGCTGAAAAGGCAAGCGATTGGATTCCTAAGTCGGAGCACCATGATGTAGTGGTCACGATCTAGCCCTTGTTTTGGAATGGGTAACGTCTGGCGGTGTGTCTGGGCGAGTTGAGCTAGGTGTTTCGGTCAGTCGAAGTAGATAGAGTTTCTTAGCACTGTATGTTCTCTTCTATCAATCTTTTGTCCAAATGACGGCACTCCAATCCCTCTTGCGTGTCGCAAGAAAACTCAATGCCGCTTTGAGCCTTTTCGAAACCATTAGACCACTACGTCTTTGTGGTGACAAGACGAGATGTGCACGCATTCGTCGAAGCAGAATTCCGCCAGGACGCTTTCCGTCAACGCCGCGAGGAAGGCTGGTAGGAGATGGAGAGAACGTGAGAATAACTTACGGAGTATAAAGATGCTGATTGCTGACTCTTTAGGCTCTCGGCGGGGAGCTGAGCGGGCTCGCGGAAAGTGTGCTGTAGTGTCGCCTGTTTGAGAAGGCCAAATTCCGCGACGCTCCCGCATGTTGCTCCGTTTCCCAGAACACACGAGTGGGCATGATTACATGCTCTATCAGTCCATAGCATTTGCCCGCTCCAGGAAGCGTGGCGGGGATAGATACTGCCTCGCGAAAAGTCCGACCTTCCTTGCGCCAGCGAGATAGCGTGAATGGTGCAGAATGCCACCGCGCCGCCTCGGGCTGGAAACGACCGAGGGCCATGTGCGGGTCTGTGATAACCTAGAGCTCGTCCTCATCTATCGAGGAATGGTATTGGATGGCTGTAAAGTGTGTGGTGGCTCTCTTCCCCGCGGCAGAATTCGTGAGTGGTGGAAGAGGATGGCTTGGCCAACATGGACGAATTCCGCCAGCTCGCTCTGCGCCTCGCGGCCCTAGTTGCATGTTGGCGGAAATTGAAGCCTGAGCAGCCTGGCCACTCGGCATCAAATCCAACTGCTCCCATTTTTCGCGAGCTTCCCCCGCAACAGCACTGTCGATTCTTGGCCCAATCTGTGCCTCAAAATAATCACAAGAAGCGAGAGTACCTTATCTTGCCGTTTGCTTTGCTGTAGTCCCGTGGCGAGGAACGCTACACGCTGGCGGAAACTGGGGGCTCCGTAAGCCTGTCACCCTTGAACGAGCACCACAGTTCTCAATTTCCGCGCGCTTCTCCTGCAACAACGCTGTTAATTATGGGCTTGTCCCCGCCTCCAAATAACCACAAGAAGCCATAGTACCACATCCTGCTGTCTGCTCGTTGTAGTATCGTGGCGAGGAAAGCTACGCGCTCGTGGAAACTGGCCCCCCAAGCCCACTTGACAGGCGCCATAGCTCTCACTTTTCGCCAGCTCCCTCCACACCAACTGCATCTAGCACATTGCCGCACTGTATACGCTTAGCCAGCCTTGCCAGCAAGCAGAAGCACCCTAATCTCTTTTCAAATTTCTCGAGAGTTCATCGCGAGGGCCATCACAGCGTGGCGGAATTCTCTAATCCCCGCGCTTGGGGGCCTCGCGCCAACGCCCAAAGCACCGCACGCATTCCGCCAACCTCTATCATCGCAACCCACATAACGAGGCCTGCATGCTTCAACACGAATTTCTTATGACGGCAAACTGCCTCTGGCCGGCGGAGCCGCTTCGCAAAGTGCGCCGCGAGGTGCTCAGCGCCGTGGCGGATATCAGCGGTGCGCGTGGGCTGCTTGCGATGTCGCACTCATGAACAGTTCTCTGCGGGTAAGCGGCCCTGGGTGTGGTCACGACAACGTGAGGAAAAGGCGACGGGTAAGTGAAAGCTTTCGATAGAATCGCATCCCCACACGACTCACAGATCTTTGCGATTTCGCTTCGTCGAGCCCCCCTATATCAGTTCCAATCGTACCGTTGAGCGTGTGCACATTTTGCAGTCTCTGAAACCCTTGACAGTCATATGAAGAGTCGTTCCCATGAAGGATGACGCATCTCTCTTTGAGTCACTACTCCCGAACTATAAAACCCCCCTTCGTTACCTTTCGTATCTCCTTCTGTCCTCTTTACTTGACACTCCGCACACTGAACACTCGAACACTTCATAATCAATCGCTCATATTCCCCCTTCGTTATCAAAATACGCATCTCGCAACCAACAAAACCACGGTATCCAACAAGACATATTCACCATGTCCGAAACCCCCTTCGAATACTTCAAAAAGCACGATGGCCCAGAGTCTAGCCTCTTCGAGGAAACACGCAAAGCTTTCTTGCCGTTTCTAGAGCATAGGCGCTTCGAGGACTGGCGTTACGAACGACTACGCCGCGCGGAATTCATGGTGTTACATCACGACACCACCTCCAGCGAAACCCACCGTCGGCCGATCGATTATGCTGCAATCCTCGCTTTTTTTGCTGACTCATATGCGAACAACCGCACCGATGGCCGACCTCGACGAGAAGACCCCACAAAGATCGCAGTGAAAAAGGAGTTCAAGCCCCATCTCGAAGCTTTGCAAAAACACTTAACGCAAGCTAAATCTCAGCAACCTGGATTGGCACAACTCTGCGAGGAAGACGAGAAAGACCAGTCCACGAGAACGGCAAAAATAGAGGGGTATCAATCCGCGATCAAGGCACTGGAAGTCGTGGAGGAGCATGTTGATTCTCTCACACACGCATTGGGGCTGGGAGAAGAGAGTTTGTGCGACCAGGCCCTTGTGGAAAGGGACCTTGCGGTCTATGCTTTCTTCCCTGAGTCACAAGAGGAACTGGAACCAGGCTACCTGTTACGCGCTCTCATGCGTCAGCTATCAGAGAAGGTGGATGGCTCACGGGATACCCTGACAGACAAGATGTCCTTCGAAGACTATTTCAAGCGCCTCATCGACGAGGTGCCGAGCACATGCGATGTTGTCGTCATCGTATACGGAATCGGCTCATACGCTGACAGAAAGGACGCCAAGAATGTGTGGGACTTGTTGTGGGAAGTTAAGGAGACCCTGCGAAGAAGGGGAGGGAAGTTGCAGGCTGCAGTGAGAGCTCGTGATGCGAGGCTAGTAGAGCTTCTTCAACAGAGAATAGAGGAACTTGGAGAGCGAGACCGGGTTACTGCTTTGTCGAGGGATCGGGAGTGCCACAAGATATGGAAGAAAAGACAGGAGGTGTTCTCTGAAGAAGAAGCGGAAGTCCATGGACCGGTGCTGAGAGTGCTCTTTGCTGGACCAGGCGCGGATATGGTTGCTGGGTGGGTTCCTGAGTCAGAACGCGAGGATGTGGTCCTCGCGCTTTGACAGGCCTCGGGTTTCTCTTCTATCGATATTTGTGCTCGTGGCATGCTCCTTCTGAGACCTGCTCTAATGTAGTCAATGAATTCCCAAACCCATGATTCAAGTCAGGTGCTAAATGTACTTTCACGTTCGGTGCCGTCCTCGCGAACCCTGTGGTACTTTCTTTGAGGTATCCATATGTATCTACTCTACATATAACATCTCCAATGGATACATTTGCCAAAAGCAGACCACAGTTTCCCAAGTCAAAAGCAAGAGATTCCGGCAGCCGTTTGCCGGATAAGTAAATAGACTACCTAGAAAGTAGAGAGACGCGCGATGGACACCCAAGGGGCATACACTATCCACGGCATCGATTCCTCCGTATGGGCACCCTCGAGGTCTGTCTCCGCGCCATCCGCAGTGTCCACCTGCCCTGCTCCAGATCCAGGCTCGTCTGCTATATCCATGTCCTCAGCTGTTTCTTTTCCTTCTGCCGCGGAGTTAACCTCTTTGTCCACGAAGCCGTTCTCGATTGCATTCATGTCCCCGATGGCAAAACAGCGTCGCAGTACTGTTTTCATGCGCCTCAACAACTCCCTCCAAAAGCCCATCTTCAGCGCCGCGCCCAGCGAGATTGCAAACATGACGCCCAGGGCCGACAAGAGACCCAGGTAGCTCTGGGAATACACGAAGTCTGCAGAAGTCGCCAGTGACAGCGCTTTAAGCCGCAAAGCCGTAATGATCAAAAGCCTAACGCCGGATCAATGCAAAAGACACCAACATTCCGATCTTGCTTACTCACAATGCTGGCACGTCAAGGGCACAAATGATCACAAATCGTTTACGCCTCGACATACGTAGGTTCCAAACTGCGTAGGCGGGGATGATGAGTATCGCTAGGTCCAACGCCAATCCGATGGTTTCGATGGCGATAAACGAGGCGCCTTGGTTGCCGCATGCGGGTTTTATGTCACCTGTCCACTGTGCGTGGATAGGGCGGCATATGAGGAGCAGTTCCGCGATAGATGCCATACCATGGAGCACACATATGCCCAACGCAGCAACTATGACATATCTCCACCTCTGAACACCGAACAGTTTATGGAAGAGCCAACAGGAAGATACGCGGATTAATGCGTTAGCCAGTGTCCACAGAGCTTCGCTAACGAGTAGAGACTGTCTACAAAGTCAGTAGAGCGTTCTATAAATCTAATTAGGGGTGCCTTACACGAGCTAAAGTCTCGACCTGGTTATAGGATAGGTCATCTTGATGATCGGCTTGCCCCTCGATGATTATGGCGTATGTGTTTTGGGCGACGAGAACTACGCCGATCACGAATGCCGTGCAATTCATCCATTCACTACGCCGGACCCTTTCACCGAAGAGCCAACAGCCTAGTGTACCTGCTAGCAGAGATAACAATGCGAGGGCAGTAGCGATCCAGGAGACGATGATGGTGGTGCGACCGAGCGGCGAAATATGGTTCATGATAAACGCTAACGAGGTGAGAGTGGGCATACGGCACCATCGAGGCGCATTTTTTTTTCTTTTAGAATGCACAGCTGGCTGGGAGGCGCAGCTTGCATTTTGTAGTCCGGCGGACCTTCACGGAAAAGGTTGGCAAGGCGGATAGAGTACACCTTCAAGCTGCAGCGTGGTATAGGTTTCCATTCGTCTTAGCGGTAGACACCGGTGCAGATCTCTGCCATCCCTGCAGACCTTTGTGGCGTGGTGCATACCTCCTGCAGGCGCAAGGCTGAACATGCATCCACTGCATTCTTAGATAGTACATCGTCCTGTTCTTCCTTGCCTCATTCTTTAGGCACCTCCATAGACATTTGAGCGGGCTATGAGCTACAAGCTGGCTAGTGCTGAGGCACACGTAGGTCGATGGGCTTGTCGGGTGACTGTTCAGCACGCAGCGCCAGAAAGAGGAGTGGAACTCGTTCAATGGTTCGGGTGTCCTCGCATTACGCTTCAGACAGCGTCCCCGCCGGCGCTCTCAGTCCAGAACATTTCCCATCTCTGATTAAACTCCCGCCTCAGCTCTTGCTGCAGCGTTTGCTGCTCAGCGGTCTCTAGAGCTGGTGCAAAGAGAAAGCACCATCGTTGCTTTTCCACTTCCTTTGCCTCTTTAGCCCAATCCGCCCTTCTTCTCTCCAAGAGCTCTCCATCAAACGCCTCAGTCCCCCATCCGCAGTCCCGATACATCTTCTGCAGCGCCCGCCAGCGGTTAATCTGCCTTCGCGTCTCATCCGCGCTTTCCTGCCCAAGCTCTCGCCTCACTTTCTCCACAGCGAGCACCGGATCCATTGGCACACGGATGCCTCCAGGCCAGAAATTCTGGAAGATAAGCGGGTTCTCGACGATCTCGCGCGCAGGGGGCCGCTCCCAGCCGTCGGGATCGAAAAAAGGAACACATTCCAAGCTCTGCAGCTTCTCCACCATCTCTGCAAAGAGCGGCTCCGTGGGCTGACTAGGGATCTCGTCCCAGTACTCTTTTCCGTTATGGCTCCACTCAGTCACCGTCTGGTCTCGCGAGTTATAGATCATGTGAACGCCATACCGGCCGCCGAACGTCAGTCTCAGCATCCACGGGGGCAGCAACCTAGTATCGTTTTCGGACTTGACAAAGTCGCCCCAGCGCAGGTCGTCGAAGAGGTCCGGGAAGTTGTGGTCCGCGAAGTAGTTGACGGCCTTGGAGCGCGGCGCTATTTCCGTGCCCTGGCTTTGCCATGTGTTTTTCTGCGATTTCATTCATTTCGGGCGTAGAGCGGGGGTCAGCAGGGTGAGCAAGAACACAGAATGGAGGGAGAATAGAGGAATCAGCGGCGATTGATCTATATCAGCGAAGACCCGGGTTATAGCATCGATCACGTGAAGCCACCCCAGAGCTCAAACTTCCCAATACGGCAACTCCTTTTAGCCATCGACCACTGTATCAATTCACGTCAGACCGATCGGGCAAGAAGGCAAACCCGAAGTTCCGGACGAGGAAAACGACAACAAAGAGCTGCTGCAGAGAAAAGGCGTAGAAAACAAATACAGATATTGTACAGTACAAGGGGCATTCTCTGCAAAATTCCCTGCCGGCGCCGGCGCTGCCGGTGGGAGAGGAGGTGGACGTGCGCACCGAACGCGATGACAGGAGCTTAAACCACGCCATTCCTACTCAAAGCAGCAGTGTGGAAAGCAGCGACAGGAGCTTAACTCAGTCGTGCCCAATGGCCGAGCAGCCGGCGGGGACGGAAGCGCACAACTCCGGGTGGGCATTGGCAAAGCTTGGGTGCAGTGACGTACGTGTAACGAGTTTTGCATTACTGACACAGCGATGACGATATAGTTGATATAAATGCTACCTCGAGTGGTTTTGTGGTTTCAACGCCGTGTGATGCCTTATTGCCTTAGAGAACCGCCTATTCTGTTGAATTGCTTTGTTCAACACATTCCCGGTGTAACTAACGCCCAAGCTATGCAGTGAAGCCAATGTACAAAAACGATGGTCCTATATATACAGCCCAAAATCACAGCTCGTGATGCCCCGGGACACGAATTTCCCAGCTACGCGGGCCGGGGACGATACCGAGCCACCAGTTCCAGAGGCGGCCGCTTTCGAAGATGAGGATCTTGGTGCTGCGTCTGGTCAGCGCCATGATCGGCTCTTGGCAATTGAGCGTAAACTTACAACTTCCCGGGCAGCTCGGTCCAGCTCTTAAGCACGTAGATGAATGCCCGGTAGACAAGATCAAACTCGGCCCAGAACTCTTCCATGATGGTCATGTTCTCAGGGTTCCAGTTGCGCGTAAAGTCGGGCATCCCATCGTCCACCTTCTCTTCCTCGCCGTCACCGAGCACCTCTTTCGCCTTCAAGACGCTCTTTTCGGCCTCCGGCGGCGTCGGGACAGCCTCTCGGGAGATGGCATCGCGTTCTTCAATCATCTGGCGGAACTCCTTAATGGCCATCAGAGAATGCGACAGCCTGTGCATTGTGTTGACGAGCGCGACCAGCTCAGTACGGCGGAGCGGCGGGTCCTTTGAGGAATCATTCTCGTCGAACTCGAAGAGCACCTTGAGCGCAGTCCCGTATCCGTTCGTCTGCAGCTTGCCCCACAGCCTGCACTTGTCGCATCCAACGCAGTCCATGATCCGGCTCACGTTCCTGAACCTGTTGCGGAAGTCCTCCTTCAACGCTAGCGTATCCGGGTCCTGGAACATGACCGTCTCGTCGAAGATCTCGGGGCCCGCGGGAATGGCGGAGGCTAAACGGAGAACCGAGTTCTTCGTGCGGAGATCTTGCTCGGGGTCTTCTGAGCAGAAGGAATAGTCCTTGATGTGCTGCTTTATCTTGCCCACGGCTCGCATGACCAAAGCGTAGTTGAAGTAGATGTTGGAGATGCGGTCGGGGAAGTTGTGTAGGCGCTTCTCGTAGCAGGCAAGGTTAGGACTCCATTGACCCGTTGTCTGGTTCAGGTAGTCCCAGCAGAGATGCGTGGAGATAGACGCATGCATGCCTGAGACGACGCGATAGAACACGCGCTTCTCCAGGCAGGTGTCGTCAAACTCAACCGGGTCTAGCGTCGCAGGCGCGGTTCCTTGAGCGATGGCCGACTTCACATTCTGCTGAAAGCCTTGCTCTTTCATGACATTGCGCAGCTGGTTTGCAGCCAGCATCTGCTGCTGGCTCCCAAACCCGCCGAAAGAAGACTGCGCCGTCGTCTGTCCGTTTTTCGGGGGCTTGCTGAAGCAGTTTTCGCGGTAGATGGCTTCCCAGACCTGCTGCGACCCTACACCGGCGTATCCGGTGAAGCGCTCAGGATTGTCCACGAGCGACACGTAGTCCCCCTTCGCCGTGGCAGACTGGTCCTCTGGTATGCAGTAGTCGCGGTCGTCACACTCGTCGTCGTATTCGACCACGCAGCTCTCGTCCACGTTTGCGCCCAACTCGCCCTGGAGGGGCCTCTGCTTGTGTTCTCGTTGCTGCTTCTTCCCCGGATGATGCGCGGTTGGCCCTTCGAGCTTCCCTAGTTCCTTTGCGCGCCAGACGAGCGGTATATCCTCCTCGTTCTCCAATGTATTCACCGCGCATGCCACGTTTCCGCACATTCCATTCTCGTCGTTCCAAAACGGGCATTTCTTGGTATACAAGCTCAATCGGTAATGCGAAAAGAAGTCGGTATTCTGGGTAATCGAATGGAGATAGGGGTGTATCGCTTCGTTCAATTGCTCGAGGGTATTGTAGCTTGCGCAAGCGTCGGACACGATGGCGCCGGGCTCGAACTGGAAAGTAAGTCTGGTATCCTTGCGTTGGGGCTGCAGAGGGTTGCAGGAGGAAGCATTGCTTACATCGCAGACGTTTGCAGGAGCATTCTTCGATTTTGAAGGAGCGGCATGGCTGGCAGCATGCGAGCTCCCCAGCAGCGAGAAGACTGCAAGATAGAACACTTGCGCCGCTGACCGCATCCTGAATGTCAAATCAAGAGTCTCCTATGACCGTCTTTCAAGTCAGCAAACGTCTGCAATGAGCGCCGGGCGCGGGGAATCCTGACACTTACAGTTCCTAGCAGTGCACACTATATAAGGCTCTCCCGGAGCTCGGAAGCCGGCTCTATTGAGAAGCGGCAGTCAAAGAGGCCAGTTGTATTGAAACGCCGGTTGGCGGAAGGGACAAAGGTCGCGTGGCGGTGGTCGTCCCTGTTTGGAAAGTAATCTGTCAATAAATGAAGGGCAGCCGTGGGGACTGTGAGTGCCGAAAGAGCAGGGAGGAGGGGTGAGCGAGCGCAGATATGGTAGAATAAATGAAAGGTGGCCGGAGGCTGCGGTCGGAATTGTAATCACGCTCTCATCGGACCATGTTGGAGCGTTGGAAAGGTGGCCTCTGGCTGTGGCGGTGACGGGAGCGATCCCTGAGTGTGTGGCGCGCCGATCCGCGGTACCTCGTGGGGCTGACACTGACGTATCGCCTCGTCGGGACCGCCCGAGATTCTTGCAAGTCTCAACAGAGCCTCCACGCCGCAACGGAGGCACAATCTTGCGTATCTGTGCAGCTCCACCTCCCTTTCGCCATGGCGGACGCATCCAAGACATCGAATTGGTGGGACGCCTTCCCTGCGCCCCGGCACACGGCACCCCTACTCCCACGCGAAGTGGCCCTGCCAAATCTCACATCTCCCGACCTGTTGATTGTGGATGTACGACGCACCGACTACGAGGGCGGCGCCATCTATGGGAGTCTAAATCTGCCGGCGCAGTCCTTCTACACCAACTGCGCCGTGCTCTACGATCTCTGCAAGCGAGCGCGTGTTAAACAAGTCGCATTCTATTGCGGTACGTAAATTGATTTTCGATTATTGCAAGGCCTGCGGCGGTGCTGACAGACACGTCTGCTGCGTGGCGTGAGGGCGGGAGGTGTCACGTTACTCTGGCTATTTGGGTGACATCGGCTGAGACAAATTTAGGATCGAGCGCTGGCAGAGGGACACGGTGTTCAGGATGGTTCGCCGACTATCTGGCTGAGAAGGGCGACTCTGAGATGCAGTCACTGACGCTCGCTGGAGGAATAAAGGGGTGGGTCAAGGCTGGCGAGGCATACACGTCCAAGGTTGATGGCTACGAGCCTGAGTATTGGAAGCAGTTTGACGAGAAGAAATGAGGAAACTCCATGGATAGGGACGAACAATGTGTGCACCGACTGAATTGTATCGTCGGGGTCTTGCGGCCTGAGCTCTTTTTCCGTCAATTGACAGAGGCAATCATCGTTCCCTCAGCTATACAATCTCCATACGCTCTACTAGGTCATTCGTCATCATCGTCATCAACTACCCTTCGAGCCCTCCTCCTGGGTATAATGGGCTCATCATCAACATCATCTTCCGACCCCGAATCCACCACAAAAGTCATTGCTTTCCTCGCTCCCTTACTCCGTTGCCTACCAATTGGAACATCATCGTCGCTGTCACTGGTGACTAGCGCATCGTCATCGGTCGGGTCGCTTGTAAATATCTTCTCAGCCTTCCTGAGTCGCTTCGGCTTAGATGCCTTGACGACCGCCTGGGTACCTTTTCCTAGCCCGGCTAAGTCTAAACTGGGCAGGCTAGAAATGGGCACTTCGATCTCTTCATCGTCATCGGCTATGAAGCTGACAAGATCGGAGTCCATGCGAAAGGCTTGGGTATCCTGAGGCTCGTCCCCACCAACAGTGTCGTCAGAACCTATAGTCTCCGCTTGCGATGCGACCCGCATACGCGGATCTGTAGGCGGCGGTGAGGATGAAGCACCCTCTTGTGCAAAGCCAGACATACGCCAATTAGGTGTTTCTGTCCTCGATGCTTTCGAATTGGCTTTAGGTTGACGAGCAGGCGTCGTTGTGGCGGACGGGTTTTTTCGAGGACGACCACGGGGAGCAGCCTGTTTGGGGGTCGTCTTCGCCTTAGGTTTGGGTCCTGGTTTCGCCTTCAGCTTCGGAAGCGGCTGCGAAGGGGGATCGTCATCAGCCCACATGTCCTCCTGTACCACGGGTTTCGATTCCGTGTCTGATACTACGAGGTTCTGCTCGGGCTCTGGTTCGCAGTCTGAGTGATGCAGATTCTTCCTATACCGCTCCTCACAGTTATGGTCCATCTCATGCATCCGCTGCATGGTGTGAACGAAATACTGCGCTGCACGTCCATGGCCGCGGAAGTGGTGCGTTCGGGATAGCACTCGCTGCTCTGCTTGGTGTCTGCCGAGGTCCAACGCGCCAACTATCGGCGCATCGTCCTCGTCAAACACGGTTTGATAACGTCGTTCAAGGTCATGTGCCGCCCTCTCGTCCAGGAGCACGCTTTCCAATGGAAGTAACATAACTACCTCCTCGCTGGGATACACTGGTGTCACCTTCTTGCCCCGTGCCTTCGGCGCAATCTCCTCATCCATGCGGCCAGCGGTGACGAAGCCAGCAATAACACCATCCGGCATATGGAATTTCTTGGACGGTTTCTTTGCTGCTCTGCCTCTTGTCTTCTTTGGTTCCGGAAGCCAATCGGACTGCGAGTTTTCTATGGGGATTTCGACAACCCGTCTTTCTACGACCGGTTGAACATCTCGAGGCAGGATCCTGCGCGATATCTCATCGTGGAACGCAAATCTAGAGCCTTCGGCGATGAGCTTCTGCATCTGCTCGTAGTTGTCCTTCGCCTTCGCTGCGTCTCTCTCTTCCTTTCCTTCCATCTGCAACATGATGATCTTGCCCTCTCGCTTTCTTCCTGTTCGACCCATGCGTTGCAGCATGCGAATTGGCGACGCTTTGGAGTCGTAGCAGATAATGAGATCGACTTCTCCAATATCAAGACCCTCTTCTCCGATAGAGGTAGCGACAAGCGTATTGAATGTGCCTTCCTTGAATTTCTCAATCACTCCGAGCTGCTCCTTTTGGTCCATGCCGTCTGAGTTTTTTCCGGTCGACTGTCCAACGAAGACGCGGGGTCGGATCATTGGCTGATGTTTCCTCAACACCCGTACAATCTCCTCTGCGCTGTCTCGAAAGTGGGCGAAGACCATGATCCTCGTCTGGGCGGCAGTCCCGCCGTCGGAGTTCAGCCCGTCGACGGCATTGACGAAATGGTCAAGAATTACTTGCTGGAGGAACTCCAGCTTCGGATGGCCTACGAAGTTCTCGTTGCTAACCCACGTGTGCAGCCTGACCATGAGCTTCTTGAAAGCGTCGCTGTTACAGATCTCGTCCCGATACTTAGACTTGCTGCGTTGTTGCTCGTCCTTGAATTCCTTTATTTTCACGTAGAAGGGACCAATGCCGTGGTACTTGAGGAGGTCCATGCCCTGGGAAATGGAGTTGAGAACCTGGAATATGCCATTGACCATAGCCTTCTGTGCCTGGGGCGCCCGGTGTCCGGCTTCCTGGAACCACCTCTTGCGGGCTTGCAGGCATCCGTATGGCGTTAATTCTAAAGGATTTGTGGTCCAGAAGGCGTTCAAACCGGCCAACTTGCTGACACAAGGCTGGAGCGCTTGTGTGTACAGATCCATGCACATCTCCATCTCTTCACTATTCGAAAAGACGTGCTTTTCGACTTTACGGTGGTGGATATGATGCTGAATGTCCAAAGAGTTCTCAGTGCGGATCTCAATCCTGGAGATATCCAATCCATCAATAACTTTCTGAACGGCTTCCACGTCTGCGCCAGGGGTCGCCGTCAGTGCTAAAACGCGGAAGCTCGAGTTGAATCGCCGCAAGAAGCTCACCACTTCCACGTAAGCATATCCGCCTGTCGCTCGATGTGCTTCATCCACCACGAGAAGCACCATCTTCTTCGGGTCGGCGTACCCAGATTTGAGGTCGTTCAGTAACGTCTGCGGTGTCATGAAGAACACTCTCTTGCTAGCCCATTCCTCTGCGCGCACCGCCGGCGGTACACCACCCGTCAGCATGACCGTGGAAGAGCGCGGGATCCCGACGATGTGAAAGCAAGCATCTACCTGTTGCGCTACGAGCGGCTTCGTCGGAGCCATGAAGACGATCTGCGCTTCCGTTGTCCACCGAAACCAGTTCAGCATGATCGTTGCCGCGATGAAGGTCTTCCCTAGACCTGTCGGCAAGGCAACTAGGAGATTGTGGAACAGCCCGCGTGCGACTATGTTGAACTGGTAGTCTCGAATTGTGCCAAGGTTGGTGGGGTAGATCCAGGTTTTGGTTGCTTCGGTGTCTAATTTGTGATGAGTGGGCGGCTCCTCTTTCTGGTCGACTATAAAGTTGTACCGCTTGTTAACCTGCGATGGAGGGACTTGACTGTTGACCCCCTGCCGGCCGAACAGGGTTGTCTGCCGGAGGCCGGATTGCGGAGCCACTACTCGGGTGCGCCTCTCCGAAAGCAGTACGACATCGTCTTGCTTCTGGGGTGAGGAGGAAGAGGACGCAAAGGCATCAGAAGGAAGATCCGCCAGCTCTTGTGTCAGGTCATACGCCGTTCCCGTCTTGCTTGTTGCCGGTAGCTCAGGCGATGTGTCGATCCCCATCGGTGTGTCGGACTCCCCTGGCGACTTGTGTCCTCGCGACACCGGCCTCGAGGCTATGGATTGTCTGCCCGGCAGTGCCGTTGTCTTCATGGCGTCGAGCCCTGAAGGCCGGTGCACACCGATGTTGGTCCTGGGCTTTTGCCATATTGCTCCGCGCGGTTTCCAAGGTGGCGAGGGCTCTCGCGACGGCTGCGTGAAGAAGAGATCTGTTAGATCCAGATTGGCAGTCGGCACATGGATTCTGTTCTTTCGCTTCGCGGCCACGGTCTCCTTCCTTGGGGATCCATTTTCTGGCTCTTCATCGCTCTCTTCTTGCCGCTTTATCCTAGCTTTTTTCTTTCTCGCGGCCGAGCAGACAGGTTTTGCCGCAGTTGGCTGCTCCCCGTCGTCGAGCTCAGTTGCTGCGCTTTTGTTGCCTCGCGAGGTGGCGCAAACGTCCGGCTCGGAATCATCTTCATCTTCCGAACTTAGAAACGGCTGTCGGCGTCGATCGAAACGTTGTTTACTGGGCGGAATGGACGGTGCACTCCTTTCATTTGGCCCACTTAACTTGCGGCGTTTGGTCGGCCGTGGCGACGCCAGGAATGGAGGCGTGTTTTCTTTCTCAGCCTGGGTGGCGGCCTCCAGGAACGCGGTGTCGTCGAAATCATCCCCGTAGTCATCGCTATCCTCCATCGCGCCAATTGCGGGTTGGCAGACGCAGCAGTGGTGTATTGGGTGCTGCGCCGATGGGGAGAGAAAGTCGACGCGTGACCGAAGGTCGTGTTTAGGACCCTGTTAGGCGCGTCGAGCCGCAGACTGGACGGGGAAGGTGCACCCTTGCCCCCAGATTTGCCCCAATGAGCATCACCCGAGGTGCATGATGCCCAGCCAGACGCAGCCGAAATGACGCCAATAATGGCCGTCCTAGTCCCGTAAGCGGCATGGCGGCTCGGCATGTTCCTAAGCTCGCCCGAGCGATGCTCGACCCCCTTGAACCAATATTAAAGGGCGCCGACCCGAACTTTTTCCTTCCACCTCAACGTTCTTCAGTACACTCGCTTTGCCATTTCGTTGTTGGATACTTCTGTACACTCGCTCAATTTCTATCCCTAGTCCTATTAATACAAAAGTCGACGTTCCACCCGTCCCGTTCCCCTAGTATCACCTCGCTACGCGCCAGTTCGTATCACCCGACCGAATAATCAAAATGAAGTACACCGCTGCCCTCATCGCTCTCGCCGCCGGCGCCCTCGCCCTTCCCCAGGAGGCTTCCTCCATCACCAGCGCTCCGACTGCTTCGGTCTCTCTCACCCCTACTCAGAGCTGCCTCGCCTCATGCTCTGCCGGCGACGTCACCTGCCAGGCTGCCTGCGTCGGTGTTGCCCGTCCCAACTCCTCCCAAGCCGTCGAGACCAATGAGTGCGCTGCCAGGTGCGACCAGGGTGACGGTTCTCCTGAGGCCACCGAGGCGTACGCGAAGTGCCAACAGGACTGCTTCGCGAGCCTTTTCCCCAGCACCCAGACCCTAGCTCCTTTCGCCCCTGGCGCTGCTTCTTCGGGAGCTGCCGGTGCGAGTGCGAGCGGCTCCGGAGGCGCTGCTGCTACTGGTAGGCCAACCTGAGGAATTGCAGCAATATAGACTGACGTGTTGAATAGGTGGCTCTCCTTCCGGTACTGGTGCTCAAGCTACCGGGTCTGGCTCTGCGACTGGATCTGCTGCCGAGGCAAGCGGAACTGGTGCTGCCAACTCCAACTCTGTCCAGATCGTGGGCGCAGGTCTTGCCGGCCTCATGGCTATCTTCGCTTTGTAAATTCGGCGCCAGGTATCCAGTTTGTGGATGATAATGGGTGGCTGTAGGGAGAAGGAATGGTCCTGTCAGGTCAATAAGCAGGCCGTTCGTGGGGTCCGGGGTTGTGTGATGAAGGAATGCCGTTTTGTCTTCAGTCCATATTCTTAATGCACTGTTGCGGTAGTATTCGGGGTCGAAGTCGGTAGCCGAGGGGGGTTGGTAGTTTGCTTAATGGCAGTCGTGGATCCAAAGCCGTGCCGATTTTACTCAAGCGTGTCGTGATGCTCGCCGGTGTTTTAACAATATCTACTCTCTCGCGGCATGGAATTCTTCGGATATAACGACGGGCGTAATAGTTACCCTATAGGTCTTCGCAGGTGCATACAACACGTTCAAACGATCTTGTCTGTATGGCGAGCTCTTGAATCCGGAGAATGCCCTACCGCAAGAGGTACTGCACCCACTACTCTCCCCAATGGAACATTGCCTGGACTGCCAATTGCGGATCCTATTCATTGATCTTGGCCTCGTATTGCATACGGGGAATTCTACAGGAGCTGACAATTTGAGCAAACTCGAATGTGCTCTTCATTTAACGTGGACGACGGTCGATGAGACAAGCTGAAGATAAGTGGTTCGAGGGGAAACTTTCTAATTATGAAAACATCTCTGGAAGTGGGCCCATGTCGGACTACCCTCTGATGGGGAAACAACTTGCGCGGATGTAAATGACGACTCTAAGAATTTGTATCTCTGACAGAGTTTGAAAGCAAGCGTAGTGCCTTGCAGTTGGGAAAATCTCTTGATGTTTGACTTGTTGACTGTTTATCTGCGCGGAATGCGGTGAGTCGGTGACAACCAAATGTGCAAAGTCTACCTGCTGGCTCTTTTTCTGGGCGCAATATTCTAGTCAGCAAGGTAAATCTTGCGTTGGGGCAACGTGGCGAGTGTGCTCAACAGGCGATGTTTTCATTCGGCGAGCTACTCACACCCATCAGATCTGCGATTTGCCGGTCCTCACCATAGCATGTGCGTTTCGAGTAGAGCGGGTAGATGCGTTCTGTGAATAAAGCCTACTGTGAGCGAAGCTCAACAAGAAGCAAGAAGGAAGGCCGTATAACGCCTGTGGATCCGGAACGGCTTGCTGCGGAGTTGCCCACCATGATGCTGGTCTTGGCGCAATACTGGTGTCGCCGGCCTGCAGTTGATGATCTGGCATTGCAAAGCTCCACGGGAGTGCGGCGATCGCCTTGATGTAAGACATCAGATGCTGTTTCGTGCTAACGGCTCTGGCTGGTCCTTATTCTGGTCCCCAAGGCTGCCGACCGCGGTGTCGCTCGTCCTGGAGGTTGGCGCAGGAGTGGGAGCGAGAGGAGTAACCGCTAGCGAAAGGGCATAGCTCATTCAAAAGCGACAAGCAAAACTCGCTGCACGCATCGAGATGACGGGGGCGATGGACGAGCGCGAATAACAACTGCCTGAGATGATGACCCGCAGGCGCGAAGTCGTTTCTGGGTTTTGGTTTTGGCGCCGAAACGGGCCTAGCGTGCGGCTAGTGCACCAACGACACGCCTGGGCACCTGCGATCCATTCAGCCCAGACCCTGGCGAATCAAGAACACGAGCCGAAGGACGACGCACCGCTGGCTCGTGGGGGATAAAGGCCGGCGCTCGTCAAAGCGAATCGCCTCCTAGCGCCTCTGCACTGCGTGAGTGCACCGCTCCTGGTCTCTCCCCGCTTGATTATCGTTTAGCCTTGCTAATGCAGTCGAATGAAGCGTCCAACACTCCTTTCGGCCCAATAATGGCCACAGAGCTCCTGCGCTTGTGGAGACGCCTTATAGTCAAAGGAGCTGTGCAGTAGGCTCCCACGTCCAACAGACACCCCCCTGGATTCAGAGGGTCGAAGCGCTGCAGCAGGCCCGAAACATGGATTTCTTGATCGTTCTACATTAGGAATATTCTAGCCGTCCCGCCGGATGTGGAAGGGGCCTCTAGAACACGGGTCGAGTGCGGCAGAGGAATGCGCTCGTGTGCTGGACTGCGCCACCTGGATGAGCGGCATCTGGTGCTCGCTCCCCGGCGGCGGACCGTCATTGCAGAGTGACAATTATATCCCGATCAGGGAGCACAGCTGGGCGCGTCGTTTGAGACAGGCTGATGCGACCACGGCCGGCAGCGGATGTGCGATGCACGACGGTAGAGCCGAGATAAACGCGAATGCGGGAGTTAGCTAAGGACTTCGTGAGGCCCCTGTTTTTCAAGCTTCACCGTCGCGCTGCGGTTGGCTGCGCAGCGGCTATCTTGTCGGGACGTGTAACGGCGGCTCTGAGGGCTGATGCTGGCGTCTTTGTTCCCACGTTGGACGAGTGTCGTCTGGTGTGGTTGACCCTTGCCTGCCCTTAGCGCTTTGGGTCTAGCCGCGTCTAACTTCACACGATCGTACCTCGCCTCCTCCCATCCATCGTTGCTCACCGGGGCCGCCCACTCGACAAATTATACCAGACTGCAGGCCAGGCAGCGCGCCAAAGAGCGATATGCTGATGGACTTTGATGCTAGCGTTTCTTTAGAAGCACGTGCAACCACAGCGGGACACAGTAGCAATTTCCCTGGCGGCAAGGAGAGAGGAGTGAGGCCCTAGCTGCCTCCATCGCTGCAGGACTTCAGGAATGGCTTTGCAGAGGCAAGGCCGACAGATCTGGTGCTGGTAGGCGTACCGCTACGGTGCTGTGTTGCCGGCAGCGCTCTTGAGGCGCACGCTTCCATCCCCAGCCTGCGTCACATGAGATATCTCAAAAACAAGCATCGAGCTGCGTATATGAGAAGCGTGCACCTTTACGGGGATTGCTCCGAATGTCGTGTTCTTGGGCCGGGGTGTGTTCGAGGCCGCTGCTTGACACGAAGTCGTCGACGGCGATCGAGCAACATCAAAACCGCCGATCCAGAAACGGAGCAGAACGTCAGAGAAGAGCCCCGTCGGCGGCCAGAGCATGGCGCATCGCCATGTGTGCGGGCGTGGTGCAGCTGGGCCGAAAGGCAACAGCTGTTCCGAATGGAGATGGAGCATCAGATATGAATCCGCAGACCCTTGCTAATAAATCAGCGCGGGCTCCTCCACCCTGGGCGGCAGGTCCCACGAGCCCTCTTGGCTTTAGTAGACCATTGGCGATCTCTCCCGCCGCCCAACGCTTCTCATCTTTCTTCCACTTTCCTCTCACATCTCCGTCTGCGCCCACGCCGCGCTTTTCTGTCCCCCCAAAAGCCATCTGGCGTTCCCGGCATCGGCTGCATCACCCGTGGGCCCCAGGTACCCGCATTTTGCCTTTTTCCACCACACCTGCTTCCCATCTCGCATGTCTGCGCCGTTGGGGCCTTCCATGCTACCTTGATATCTGCAAACCACGGGCCCTTCCCTACACCTGCCTTGACGACGGCCCGCGTCCGCCCCCAGAGGGCTTGCCGGCGCCTCTGCAGCCTGTCTTCTTTGGTGAAGTTTTCCTCTACGGGAATATTTCGCAATGGTGGACGTGCGGAATGGCGGAGGCGACGCTTCACCCTCCACCGCCGTGAACCACCCCAATGCAGACGCAGCGCAAGGGGACGACCACGCGCAACGCGGCTCCTCAAATCCTGCCGGTGCTCAGGAAGATATGCCGCCTTCAAGAGCGCCGAGCAAGGCGTCCTCGACGAGAAACTCGACTCCCGCAGCTGCGTCCGCGGACCCCAGTCAGCCCATGCAGCCAGCCAACGGAACGCCAACTGCGACAGAGGAAGCACTGCAGCCGCAGTCCACTGGAGCTGCTACGTCAAGTTCCTCAAATGCCTCTGTAAAGGAGTCCAGGGAAGCGCCCACCGCCCCGTACGGGACGCGATCGCGCAACCGCCCAGGCACGTCACGACCGAACTACGCCGAGGACGTGGAAATGGATTTCGAGATGGCGCCCGCCGCGGCGAACGGAAGCGCCTCTGACCCTCCATCGCGTGGTTCCGTGAGCACCGAGAGCGGACAGTCCTCAGGTGCGAGTGGGAAGAAGGGTTCCGGTGCTGGACAGGGCAATGTGCCGTGGGGTAATTCCGGAACCAACCCAAAAGACATCCCAGCCAACGCCAATATCCCCGGGACCTCGAGTTTTGTCGCGAACCCAACCTCCGCCTCTACGCAACCGCCCAAACGACGAAAAAATGCGGCAGGTCACGCTACGAATGGAAGTCACGCGAATGCTGCCGCGCCAAGCCAGGCAGGAACGAGGCGCACCACCAACGCCGTGGCGGCGGCCAACGGCACGCGAGAGTCCACCATGATGACCTTTGAGAACACAGGGGCTTTTCTCAAGGACGGCCATCTGGAGGCAGATGACGGCCAGATAGTATCAGTCAATGGTAAGTTGTGATTTCCAGCGTCTCGTCAGCGCGCTCCGTTGCGCCAGTCTCGCTCTGCCTGCGCCTCGGTTTCTGATTGGATGTGCAGATCAGGTCTATCTCGTGTGCGAGCCGCCCGGGGAGCCTTACTACCTGTGCAGGGTCATGGAGTTCATCCACGTCGACAACGACCCCAAGAATCGTATCGACTCAATGCGGGTGAATTGGTTCTACCGCCCGCGGGATGTGCAACGCTACAACAACGACACGCGCCTGGTGTATGCAACGATGCACTCGGACATATGCCCCATCACGTCGCTGCGAGGCAAATGCCAGATCCTGCATCGGAGCGAGATCGGCGATCTCGACGAGTATCGCAAGACGAAAGACAGCTTCTGGTTCAACCAGGTCTTCGACCGCTTCATCCACCGCTGGTACGATGTCATCCCGACCTCGCAGGTTATTAACGTGCCCGAAAAAGTCAAGAAGGCGCTAGACGAGCGCTGGAAGTACATTTGCCTCGAGACCAGCCGCGTCAAGGAATTGACCAGCGCCGTGAAGACCTGCAAACGCTGCGTCGGATTTTGTGCAACGTGAGTGATGGTCTTGGCATTTTGAGGCCTCAGGAGACTGACCAACATAGGAACGATTCCGTGGAATGCGCCGTTTGCCGCAATACATATCACATGAACTGCGTCCGTCCGCCTCTGTTAAAGAAGCCATCACGTGGGTTTGCGTGGGCCTGTGGGCCTTGTAGCAGGGCCCAAGAAAAGAAGCTCGAGGCCCGGCGCACCCCGCTCCTAGGCTCAGGAAATGAGGAAGCGGATGAAGAAGAGCTACTCGACGAGGAAGAGGAGGATGCCAATGCCGAGACCACTGCCCCGACCCCGAACGACTCTGACACCCAAGTGGATCTCCACCCTGGCACGCAAGCAGAGATAGCGCTAGCGAAGATGTGGCCGATGCGATACCTCGGCATCCATTGCCGAGTGGAAGACGCCCTGCAATACGATGACCGGGCCATATATCCTCGCGCCAGTTCGCGGTTAGGTCCGCGACATCAAGCAAACGTCAACGTCTGGCATGGCCGACCCGTTGAGCTCGTCAAGCCTGCAGAGATTAAGAAGCGTTATGTCAAGGCCGCAGGCCACAAGAAGGACACCAAGCTGTCCAAGGAGACCGTCGCTGCAATGGAGGCCGACAAGGCGGAGAAAGCCAAGCGGCCCAAATGGGTTATGGACGAACCAGCCGGTTATGTGCGACGCGGCGAGGACTACCCGAACAAGGATTTGAAGTGCACAGCGGAGCTCATGTTCAAGATGCCTCCCCTTGGCGTTCATTCCACACGGGGCGAAGACGACGCTCCCACGATCACTCCAGAGCAGGTCGAGGCCTACATGATGCGGGCCAAGGCGCTGGCGAAACCCTATGTCGGCGTTGAACCGTACAATACGAATTTCCTGGACAAATGCCTGGCTCTTCTCACGAAGAACCAGTACGACGCCGAGGCAGCCTTAAAGCAAGTCAAGAAGCTGGACAAGCGAAAAGATCTCAAGGAGCCTGAGCTGACCAAAGAGGAGGAGAAGAAATGGAATGAAGGCGTCGCCAAGTATGGCTCCGAGATCAGGAATGTTCGCCTGCATGTTAGCAAGACAATGCTTTATGGAGATGCCGTCCGCTACTATTACATGTGGAAGAAGACTCCCAAGGGCAAGGAAATCTGGGGTTCTTACAGCAACCGGAAAGGCCGGAACAAAAAGGCCGAGGCTGACACTCACACGCGGCTTCTCGACGATATCGCGGATGACCACGACGATTCCGCGTTTGACAACGAGAAGGCAATCCAACGCAAACGCAATTTTCAATGCAAGTTTTGCAATATTCGACATTCGCGGCAATGGCGGCGTGCACCAGGCGTTCCTCCTGGACAAACGGTGGCTGCGGATGGCCGAACTAGCAAAGACAAATTGAACGGTTGGGTCGTGGCGCTGTGCCAGCGTTGCGCGAATCTCTGGCGCAAGTACGCGGTCAAGTGGGAGAACACGGAGGAAATAGCTAGGAAAGTCGCTCAAGGTGGAGGAAAAGCGTGGAAGAGGAGGATCGACGAAGAACTTCTGCGCGAGGTCTACGCTGCGACATCCGACGCTGGTGTAATGAACGGTGCCCTAGAGTACGCCGACATGCCTGCCGCGACTGCACAGCCTGTCGCAGAACCGCCAAAAAAGAAGCAGAAGACTGCCGCAACAGCATCAGCAGCAGACAGTGGCACATCTACACCTTTCTCCGAGCCCGCTACCAAGAAGAAGGAGAAGGAGAAGGCCGCGCCGCCACCCAAGGCTCCCACACCCCCGCCAGTGCCTGCTCAACCCCGGCTAAGAGTCCTCCCCTGCGCCGTCTGCCGGTCGGCTGAAGGAACAAGGCTGGAATGTGCTGCATGTCGCATGAATGTCCATAAGTCGTGTTATGGTATCGAGGAAGTTCGGCAAGCTAACAAGTGGTTCTGTGACCCGTGCAAGAACGACAAAAAGGAAAGCGTGTCATATGTAAGTCTTCTATTTGCTCTGACTGACAGCCTTACTAACCTCAGTCAGAACTACGAGTGCGTGCTATGTCCACAGAACTCCGGGGAGCAGGATCTCTATGAACCGCCAAAGGTCTCCCACAAGAAGAAGACGGATCGAGAGCGAGAGAAGGAGAGAATGGAAAAGGAGCTTGTGGAAAAGGCCAAGGAAGAGTACCGTCTCAAGCAGCAAGAGAAAGGCAGGCCGATCTTCCCCCGCGAGCCTCTCAAGCGGACCGCCGACAACAATTGGGTGCACGTCTATTGCGCACTTTGGCATCCGGAGACGAAGTTCAGCAGCGCGACCAGGCTCGACATGGTGGAAGGTATTGGTGCACCTACCCTGCGGTACGATAGCACTTGCAAGCTGTGCAAGACGAAGCACGGCGCATGCGTGTCGTGCCAGCAGTGCTCCGCCAGTTTCCATGTTGGGTGTGCGCATAGCGCTGGCTATACCTTTGGGTTCGACATCACACCTGTCAAGGCCACAAGGCGGGATGCAGTACCGACAGTCACGCTCAATGGAGAGACGGGTGCGATGGTGGCTGGAATTTGGTGCAAGGAGCACTCACCAAAGACTATCATTCATCCGATGAATGAGGAGGCCGAGGGCGCTGACCTGGTCGCGCTGCAACTATTCGCTCGTGAGTTTAAACAGGCAGATCTTACGCTCACTGGCACCGCGCGCAAGGCGAATCTTGTCGACCAGTCCACGCGAACCATCCCCCAATCAGCGCCACTTCAGAGCAATCGTCGCACATCTACGGTTACGAACCAAACACCTACGTCCGCACGTGGCCGGCAATCAAATGCTGGCTTGGTTATCAAGGAAGAAGAGCCAGCTGAAACGACCGTGGCCAAGACCGAGCGGAAATGTGCCCGATGCCAGATTGACGCTAGCCCTCGCTGGTGGAAGGTGGAGGAGCCAGGCCAATTTTCTCAGCACCCTTCAAGAGTCGTTGACGGAGCAGTAACCACGAACGGCGGGGAGCCTGGCCAAATCGCACCTCGCGAGCAATCTCAGCCGGTCAACGGTTCCATCGATCATGCTATGATAGATGCACCTCCGTTAGCTTCTCAGGAACAGTCAGGCCGGTTACGAGTGGATACTGAAGTCGGGATCGAGCGCCCCGTCTCATATCTATGCCAGAAGTGTCACTGGAAGAAGCTGAACGCACCCGATGAGCCGGAAGAACGCGAGAGGTCGGCATCGGTGCATGTCGAGCCACAACAACTTCCCATCCGATCGCCTCCCGTGCAGCCGTTCGTGGCCCCGCCTCCACCACCGCCTTCTCTAGGAGGAGCATGGATACCGCCGCAGCAACCGCCGCCCTTGCCCGCATGGCACAGTAGTGGGCCTCCGCCTCCTGGACCTTCGCCTCACGCCCCTCCACCCCACTCTCTACACAATGGCATCGGCCATCCTCCACCAGGGCCTCCTATCAGCCATGCTCCGCCGTTTCACGCGCCGTATAATCCAGTGCATCCCCCCAACGGATACCCGCCGTACTCTGGACCCCCGGTGCATGCGCCGATGCCGCCTGCTTCTCTTCGCCCGCCGTATCCGCCTCCTCATCCTCCTACCAGCGGCCCTCCTCCAGCCCTTCATCTCAACAATGGAGGAATAATGGTGAACGGCATGCACTCACCTCGCATGCCGTATTCTCCGACTCATCCACATGGGCACAACTCATCGCGTTCCACAGAGAGCCCGTTCAGCGGGCCGCCCCAGATGTCGTTCCCTCCTCTGCACCACGGTAGCCCCGCGCCGGGCCGGCCGTCAACTCCGAGGGATACGGTGATGCGGGACGTCCCAGCTGTCACGGCGCCGCCGCCGCCTGAGCGGGTGAGCACAGGAGCGAGTGCCAGTCCTTCGCTCCGCAACTTGTTACATTAGAATTTCCTTCCCTTCCTTTGTTCGACTTGTGTACTTGGCAAAAATGATTATAGCAGTCCGCATATGGGTGGGCAGCATGTAAGCATGTCGATTTTCATAACGAGATGGAGCCAAATCACAGGGCTGGGTGATTATGTCCTCGGGCATATGGAGCATGGAGCAAGTGGATATATCGCCAGATCGGCAGATAGGTCGGCTTTCGTGGCGCAAAATGGCGAAACAGCAGTCTGTTCACTTTTTTTGGGATTGGTTCGATTCGCGACCTCGGTCGTTCATTGGGCTGGGCTGGATACGAGAGGAGTTTCTCAAGCACGATACCACCACATTTATCATGTTTCTGTAACCGTGTTCTTTGCATTGCGCCGAGGTAACGGAGATAGTCGGCCTGTACGTTTAGAGGATACCGGGATATGGTGGGTTTGCGGGTATCATCCACATGAGCGACGCGCGTTTACACAGTACCGGTATACCGTAGTAGTTCGTGACCGGACGTTGAAAAGGAAGGCATCGTAGAAACCCGGCTCCTGTCTTTCCGTGAATGTCACTGCCTCAGGTGAGAGTCATGAAGACATGTGGTGAGGCTCCTACACAGGAGACCGGCTGGTCGCGGGAGCAGCTTGCCCATTCCGCTGACGTGTTTCTGTTCGGTTCGCCGTCGTCGAGCATGCGACCGTGCCACAGCCACAGTTCGGCATTTAGTTTGCGCGCATTTTAGAGAGGAATAGAACAGCCTCGGTTGTGCTAAGCTTCCCAGCGCCGCCGGACCTGTGGGCCCCGTCATGCAAGGTTTCTCTGCGGACGGAGCGCCCCCGTGCATCATGCGCTTGCTGCCGACCTCCACCCAACCCCATGGTATCTTTCCGCAGCAACCAGCCATGCGTGCCATCCACTCTGTACCCGCCAGCGTATCTTCCAGCTACAGTCGCTTGCTCGCACGTCGTCGCCGTCACGGATCCAGTCTTTGCTGAGAAACAGCGCTGTTCTGCGGTTCGAAGGCGACGGTTTGAGCGGGTGAAACCCAGCACACGACACTTTCGAAACGGCATCTGTTGGGAGCTGCGACACGCTCGCAGTCGGGACTTTTGACACACCGAACAGGCTCATCAGCCTCAGCTGCACTCATGACTCCGAAACTCCACTTTGCGCCGCAGCTCAAACCCAAAATGGCGCCCGGGAAGGCTGTTACGGATTGCATTTCTTGGCTTCCCTTCCCCCCATTCCATCTGAACTTTGTTGTCCGTCTCTCTCTTTCCTTCCTTCCTCTTTTCTGTTTATCCGCATTACTTGCACTTTGCAGGGCCTGGTAGTGCCTGTTCCGTTCACTTCTCTTGTTTATTCTTTGTCCATCGTGCCTTTGTAAGGCCGTTTAGGTTTTTGTAATCATGGTGTTGAGCAAGAGGTACTGTGTCGAGTATGTCGATGGGACGATTGAGTGCTTTCGCGATGGGTTTTGGTACTCGACGGTAAGCACACGCTCATCCCGTCTTGCTTGTGTGTCGACTGCAGACTGACTGGAGTAGACGGGCGTAATAGTCAAGTGGTCGATCCTCGCTGGCTTCTTCCTCTTCTTCATGGGATGGTTTGTAGGCGGCTACCTGCATGCGAAGAGCCGGATGAAGAAGGGCAAGCCACTGCTGGCATACCACCGAGTACGTCTCCGTTCACACAGTCCCTACCACACGTCCCGCTAACAAAAGCAACAGTGGCTCGTATCCTACAGCGAAAGGAAGAAACACGGCCAAGTCCCCCAAAATCACTTCACCTTCTACGCCACGCAACCCTACGGACAACAGCCACAGCAGCCCTACGGCCCACGACCAGACGGGACCTGGCCCGAGCCGCCGCCCATGTACAACAACGATGCCCCGCCTGGCTACATTCCCCCGCCCGGCGCTACGAAAATGAACCCGAACCAGAATGGGAATGCCATGGAGATGCCGCAGTATGGCTTCGCGCCGCAACAGACGGGCGGCTATCCGATGGGCCAGCAGCAGACAGGCGTGATGGGAGGTAGCGGAGACCCAGAGGCCCAACAGCAGACACCACAGCAGCTGCCCCCTCGGCCGCAGCAGGCGAAGATGGCGATTACAAACTTTGTGTCCCGGTTCAGGCGATGATGCGTGATTGCACGAGAAGGGCGGGCGAAGAGAGGATGAAAAGAAACATAGCGGGCGCAATTATTGGATGTGATGGGTATTTAGCTTCACGGAATGCATGACTGGATCATGCCCTACCTCTTACATGATATCTCTATGTAGTCTAGACAGGGAATACCCACAGGGAGATTCAATAGCTGAAACGACGAATTGCATTCCTTAAAGTACAAGTATCGTAACGCTAGCTAGCTAGCCATCGATGTCCATTGCATCGGGATCCTCCTCCATCTCTATGGGTATCTCTCTGACTATTCCGTTCGCCATGGACGCAATCGGCGTCGCGCTCCCCCGCTCCAGCTCCGACGTAGGATTTGCCTGGCGCTCCCTGACGCGCGCCCTCGCTTCCACGATGGCTTTCCTCACGCTGTCCTGCTCCTCGGGCACCGTCAGCGAGGACGGGATGTTGTACAGCACGAGCTGGTTGTCCCTGGTCGGCTTCGGCTCCGGGCCCACGAGCACATGCATTGGTATCTTCGCCAGGTGCTTTTCTATATCCGACAAGAAAACGGGGTTCTCTTCGTCTGATTCGATGTCTGAGAGCTCGGCGGCCAGGTCGTGGATGTAGACGCGGTGCGGGGTGTCCTCGACTTGCATGCAGTCGTCCGGCGGCGGCGGCCGGGGCTTGCGCTCGCGTTTCTTCTCTGTCGCGGGGGCTACTGGCTTCGGTGCGTGTTTCGCTGCTGCGCTCGCGTTGTCGGCGGGATCTGAGGATCCGGCGACGGGGATGTAGAGGCGCGTGCCATTGCTGTCGACTGCGGCGCTGTCAGCTGGCGGCGCTGCGGGCGCGGTGAAGGAGAGGTGCGCACCGAGATTCAGCAGGTCGAAGCGCTTGCTCAGTCGCTGCTCCGACTCCAGAGAGCCGTCCGCCGCGCGCTTCTTGCCATGGGGCATGCGATGCGGTGGGCAGTGGGAGGTTGTGTCTTGGCTGCCGGCGACTACCACAGAAACCTCCGCCATGGATCCATCAGCAGCCCGTCGCCCGTGCACTACTGTATCTACCGTACCCTTCGCGTTTCGTCGATCTTTCTTGAGGCGCTGTTGCAACGTCCGACTCTAAGCGCGCGTCCGGAATCGCAGGAGGCTATCGAGATTAGTGCGTGGATGGGTGCGGCGATTCATTGATATATCGGCGGCCAATAATTGGTGAAGGTTCTGGAAGCTTGGACGGGGCTGTGGAATCTTTTGGCCGTTCGGGGAGGGGTTCGTGTGAATGAATGCAGCGCCTGCGAGGGACCCCTCTGAGTCACGGATGGCTCGCCGCACCACCGAGGACTGCACCCTTCACCACGGCCGCGTCTGCTGCGCTTAGACAAGACTCCAGGATTACCTTTTCGTCTGCAGCCTGCGCGCGCACCTTTGTATACACGAAACAACGCCCACAACAGCTTGCAAAACTACTCCCCCTCCGCGCAACGCGCCTGCGCACATCCGCCGCCATGGCGCTCCACGACGAGAAGCACGAGTGGGGTGCTACCCGCGTGCGGGACACCTTTTTGGACTACTTCAAGGAGCGCGGCCATACTTTTGGTGAGTTCTCTCTTTTCCATCCCTCAACCCTCCGCCGTTTCCCCCGCCATGGCGCCCACGAGAAGAGCAGCAATTGACAGCAACAGTGCCCTCCTCCTCCGTCGTGCCGCTCTCCGACCCGACCCTCCTCTTCACAAATGCCGGCATGAACCAGTACAAGGCCATCTTCCTCGGCACCGTCGACCCCGCCTCCGACTTCGCCCAGCTCAAGCGCGCCGTAAACTCGCAGAAGTGCATTCGCGCCGGCGGAAAGCACAACGATTTGGACGATGTGGGCAAGGACAGCTACCACCACACCTTCTTTGAGATGTTGGGGAACTGGAGTTTTGGCGACTACTTCAAGAAGGAGGCAATACAGTACTCCTGGGAGCTCCTAACGAAGGTGTATGGGATAGACCCCAAGAGGCTGTACGTGACGTTCTTTGAGGGATCAGAAGGGCTGGATCCGGATCTAGAGGCGAAGGAGCTGTGGAAGGACGTGGGCGTGCCCGAGGACCACATTCTGCCCGGCGACATGAAGGACAATTTCTGGGAGATGGGCGACCAGGGACCATGCGGGCCTTGTTCAGAAATCCATTACGATCTGAGACAACCGGAAGGTGAAAACTACAGGAACGCCGCATCCCTGGTCAACCAGGACGACCCGGAGGTCATCGAAATCTGGAACAACGTCTTCATTCAGTACAACCGCGAGCCCGACAAGTCACTACGGCCGCTTCCGAACAAGCACGTCGACACTGGGATGGGCTTTGAGCGATTAGTCTGCGTGCTGCAGGGCAAGAAGTCGAACTACGACACCGACGTCTTCACCCCGCTCTTTAAAAGGATACAAGAAATCACCGGAGCTCGGGATTACAGGGGCAAGTTCGGCAAAGACGATCCAGATGGTATCGATACCGCATATCGGGTCGTCGCCGATCACGTCCGAACACTTTCCTTCGCCATCGCCGACGGTGGTGTACCCAACAATGTCGGCCGAGGTTACGTTGTGCGCCGCGTGCTACGAAGAGGAGCCCGCTACGCCCGGAAATACTTCGAGACGGATATTGGGGATTTCTTCTCGAAGATCGTGCCCAGCCTCGTTGAGCAGATGGGCGACATGTTCCCGGAGATCAAGAAGAAAGAGGCGGATATCAAGGAGATACTAGACGAGGAAGAGAAGAGCTTCGCCAAGTCATTAGATCGCGGCGAGGTCATGTTCGAGAAGTATGCACAGAAGGCGAAGGTCAAGGGCTCGAATGATCTGCCTGGAGACGACGTCTGGCGGTTATACGACACCTACGGATTCCCTGTCGATCTTACGAAGCTCATGGCCGAAGAGCGCAGCCTTAACATCAATGATAAAGAGGTTGAGGAGGCGCAGGAGAGGGCTCGCGAGGCCAGCAAGGGCGACAAGAAGGCCGGCGCCGTCCTCGTCAAGCTCGACGTACACGACCTGGGTGCACTAGAGAACATGAAGGACGTTCCGAAGACAGACGACTCTCCCAAGTACGGGCGGGAGAACATCACCGCTGTCATCAAGGCAATATATCACAACAAGAAGTTCCTGACCAGTACGAAGGAGGTACCAGAGGGCGAGCAGTTCGGTGTGCTACTTGACCGGACGAACTTCTATGCCGAGCAGGGTGGCCAGGAATACGATACTGGCAGGCTACTTGTGGATGACGAGGCGGAGATTAGCATTGAGAACGTCCAGGTGTATGCGGGCTATGTGCTACATACGGGCTACCTCAAGTATGGCGAGCTGAGCGTCGGAAGCGAAGTCATCGCAGAGTATGACGAGCTCCGGCGGCATCCGATCCGCAGCAACCATACCGGGACGCACGTTCTCAACTACGCCCTCCGAGAAGTGCTTGGCAATGAAGTTGACCAGAAGGGTTCCCTTGTCGCGCCAGAGAAGCTACGTTTCGACTTTTCGCACAAGTCTGGTCTTTCCGACGCCGACCTTGCAAAGATCGAGCAGATCTGCACAGAATACATTCGCCAGAATTCGGAAGTCTTCGCCAAGGATGTCCCGCTCGCAACTGCTCGCGAGATCCGGGGCGTTCGTGCTGTGTTCGGCGAGACATACCCGGACCCAGTCCGCGTTGTCTCCGTAGGCGTGCCAGTTGAGGATCTCCTGACAGACGTCAAGAACCCACAGTGGGAGAAGGTCTCCGTCGAGTTCTGCGGTGGCACGCACGTCAAGCAGACTGGCGAGATCAAAGAGCTGGTCATCCTCGAGGAGTCCGGTATCGCCAAGGGCATCCGCCGTATCGTCGCCGTAACAGGCCAGGATGCTTACGACGTCCAGCGTCAAGCCTCGGAATTCGAAGAACAGCTCGCCCGCGTCGAGAAGATGAAGTACTCGCCAGAGAAAGAGGCCGAGGCAAAGAAGATGCAGGTCGATCTCAACCAGCTAACCATCTCCGCGCTCACGAAGAACCAATTCCGCGACCGGTTTGCCAAGATCCAGAAGAGCATCCTTGACGAGCAGAAAGCTGCCGCCAAAGCAGACAATAAGCGCGTTATGGATATCGTCACCAATCATTTCACCAAGAATGAGGAGGCACGCTTCTTCGTGGAGAAGGTTGAGTGGTCGAGTAATGTTACGAAGGCTATTAATGAGGCTATTAAGAGTGTGTCGGGACCGAAGAGTGCGCTGAGGGAGAAGAGCGTGTATCTTTTCAGTGCAAACCAGGATGACGGTAAGGTTGTGCACGGATGTTATGTTTCTGAGGTAAGCTCCCCAGTCCTTTGAGCATTTTGGAATGGAGGCTAATAATATGCAGCACTTCAAGGCTCAAGGCGCCGATGGCCCCAAGTGGGCTTCTTCCGTCACCGGCATCGTCGGTGGCAAGGCTGGCGGCAAGCCCGGTGCTCCGACTGCGGTCGGCCAGGGCACGAACGCCCACAAGATCGACGAGGGCATTGAGGAGGCTAGGAAGTGGATCGAGAACTTCCAGGTATGAGTTAACTGCTTCGCATTCGCCCATGAAGTGTGTGCCAAGCAGCCAGTCAGGAAGCCCCTAAGCAACGGCTTCGAAGTCATCTGAGGTTGTGCGAGCGGTCAAACGGTGTCCTGCTCAATGCACGGATTTGTAGTCATCTCTGCTTAGCTCTGTATGCCCATCCGAGGCTACACTTGTATATCATAGACATAGAGTAACTTTCTTGGGGCGCACTTTTCATAGCCACGCTGCGTGAGTGTGACACGTCTGGATGTTGAGGAATCTCAGGGACACCGCACGTGAAAGGTACCCCGCTGTCGTCATCCACACCCTTGTTAGACCATGTCCTCCACATCCCGGATCCGATACCAAAACCACAAAGCTAGCCAGAGCTCTTCAGCATCTTGTCTTACCTAACGATTGCGTGATCAAGCTCCTCCTGTTTACTTCAAATAACGTCAATTGCTCTCCTCAAACGTTAAGCCCCCTATCCACTTAAACCTTCGTGCACTAAGCATCCACCCCACCTCCCAAAGCTCTCAATCCTTTGCACCCACCAAACACCAAACCTCCACCATCATGGCTCTCGCGCCCAAATTCGCCGGCCAGAAACTAGCCTCCTCCTCCATCCAGCCCAAAGCCGTCCACACACTGGAACTCTGTACGTCTGCCCTGCCCTCCCCTCCCCCACCCGCGTCCATCCACCCATCCACCCATCCACCAACCCACCGCTAACACCACACCCGCGCCCCCACAGACCTCGACTACGTCTGCCCCTTCAGCGCCAAAATGTTCGCAACGCTCTACACCACGCCTCTCCGCTCCACGCTGCTCACCACCTACGCCTCGCGCCTGGTAACCATCTTCCGGCAGCAAATCCAGCCGTGGCACCCGTCGTCGACGCTCGCGCACGAAGCCGGGCTCGCGGTGCTCAAGCACGCGCCGGACAAGTTCTGGGCCTTCAGCGCGGCGCTGTTCGCGCAGCAGACCGCGTTCTTCGACGCCAACGTCGTCAACGAGACGCGGAACGCGACGTACAAGCGGCTGGCGCGGATCGCGGGGGACGTGGGCGTTGATGAGGCGGAGGTGTATAAGTTGCTCGAGATTAGTGATAGGCCTGGGGAGGATGGAGCGCTGAATGCGGGGAATGGGGTGACGAATGATGTCAAGGTGCAGGTCAAGGCGAATCGGCTGGTGGGCGTGCATGTCACGCCGACGGTGGTGTTTGATGGCGTGGTTAGGGGCGAGATTAGTAGCAGTTGGACGAGGGAGCAGTGGGAGGAGTGGTTGCAGAAGAATGTTGTGTGACTGGGTGCGGCTGGTCGTCGAGGGTCCGAAGGGAAGTGGAAGCTTTATGGCTGTGGAGGGGATCGATATCACGCTCAAAGACAGACAGGGTATTGCCGGATTGCCGGGATAAAGTAATAGAAACGACTTGCATTTCATATGCCTGATAAAAGAGAAGCAAATAATGGTCTGAGTCGGGTGTATCAAGTAGACTCCTAGAGTAAGAGTGACAAATGACTCCATCACGTACCGCCGCTGAGGTATCATGCCTACGACTGAGGTAAACATCGAGACCAGAAGCCCTAATGAGACATCGAACCCGGATATTATTTTGCCCCGTCCATATTCGCCAATGCACCAAGCCATGGAAAAGAGAACCAAAGACATGCACATGTCCTTTCCTAGAATGACCGAGGAAACCCCGAATTAGATGTAAGGAGCTGTCATCTCCTCGTCCGAGTCATCGCTCTCGTTCTCCACCTTGCGAGGCTCATCCATGTCCTTCTTGAATGCAACTTTTCGCGCCTCCACGTCGTCGCGGCTGAGGTCCTTCATCCATTGGTTGTTGCGGACCAAGACCTCCTGGACGCGGTCCGCTCTAGCATCCTGAAGGGCCTGGTACTCCTCTGTCGGTTTAGGCACGCTCTCGCTCAGACCGGTGCGAGTAGCGTCTGATTGGACGAAGTACTGGATACCGCCAATGCCAGAAGGCTCACTCGCAATGAACTTCATGGTATACATGGCCGGACTGATGGAGACCGTAATCCTATCCATGTTCTTGATGTGCTCGAAGCGGCCATCCTCATTGAGGTCCTCGACCTTTGTGAGACGGTTCTTGAGGTAGGGCCACTGGAGACGGGCGTAGTCGAGCTCTTCAGTAGGTTCGACAGCCATGTATGAAGCGACATAGGCACGCCACCGCTTGACCTTGTCGACCTGGTTGAACTCAAAGGTCGGATCGTCCTTCTTGAACAGCCGCACGTGGGCTTCGGCCTTGTTGGGATCCTGGCAATTGTGAGTAACTATTCGACAGTTCACAGCAGAAGCGCTTACATAGGTGATCCGGTAGGTATCAGCATCCTTCGCATATTTCTCGACCGCTTTCCTATAGCTGATCTCGTTCTTATGTGTGGTTGACTCGTTCACGCGATCCTTCTTGAACAGGTTGTAGATGTCGACAGTCTTGTCCTTGTTGTCGTTGCTCACCACCGCAAGGCTAAACCTCACGAGCGAGCCTAAGAGCCGATCGAAAGAGTACAGCTGCCAGCCAACCTGCAGATAGTATCGTCGCAGAGTCTCCTCGATCTGGCCCATGTCGATTTCGCCGAGAATCTGATCCTGGAGCAGGTCAAGGACCTGCTGGTAGTAGTTCGCAGTCTCGGAAGTGTTCTTGAAGAAGTCCGATGGGAGCTTGTCCATCATCTTGAGCTCGTGCGCGGGCTTGGCCTCCTTGGCGCGTGTAACTATCCTCCGGGTGACGTCTTCATTCTCCTTGAGCTTCAGGAGCCTCTCGTAGAGGTACACAAACATGCGAAAGAAGCAGTAGATCGAAGAGTTAGCGTACATGTTGTACTCAGTGCGCCGATACGGCTCCTCTGGCTCATACTCGCGGTCCTCGAATGCGGTTGGCTGGTCAGTATAGTCAACCCACTGCGCGGGTGTGCGTGCCACTGGGCGCGCGCTGTCTGCAGCAGCTTCGTCCTCAGCTGCTGAAGTAACGTCGGGAGTCGTATCTCGGCTTGCCGATGCGATGCTTTCTTCCTTGTCCTTGCGCGACTTGCCGCGGGGGTCAAGGACATCTCGTCGAAGGTCGCCCTTCTTGTGCTTGTGCGACCGCTGTGACACATCCTCATCGGCGCTCGGGGTGTCTTCTCCCGACTCGTTGGCCGAAGACTCACGGCCAAAACTCTGGACCCGCTGCTCAAACTTGGCCGGATCGATGCCGAAGAATAAGGGAACGAACTCCTTAATGAAGGGGATGACCCTGGAAAAGTCGGCAGCTGTGCTATTCTCGGCAAAGGTAAGGATGAGGCGCGCAACATCGTACAGAACTTCTTCATCCTTGAACGAGAACTTGAACTGGTAGTCTGGCTGCGGGATCTCGTTGATCTCTTGACGACGCTTCTGCTCCTCATAGCGAACCTGGATCTCGTTTTGCAGGGACTTTGGTTGGAACTGGCGCTTGTCCACCTGCTTGACAGACAAGCTTTGGTGATCGAGAGACTTCCAGAAGATCTTCTGGGTTTGGTCGCGCCAGACCTTCTCCCACTCACGCTGCGCAGCTTTCCAGTCTTCCAATTTAGCTTTGAGACGGTGGAGCAGGACCGGAACGACACTCCAGGGCATCTGGAACAGTTCTCGGATGACGTCCTTGCCCTTCTCACGACCGTAGATCTTCATGATCACGCGCTTGTAGATGGTCTCGCTCTGCCCGCCAAGACCCGGTGGCAGCTGGAAATTGACGCGGTCCTCGGGCCTCATAGTGAGTAGTTGATTGGCAATAGGCTCAAGCTGCTGGATTGTGCGGTTGCATGCCTCTATATTAAAGTCGTAGTCATGGCGTTCCTCTTCTATCCTGTGCAGCCCCTCCTCAAACTGGTTCTTGCGGTGGGCCACAAAACCGGAGTCTTCGGAGGCCCAGGTAGGGTGCGACGCCCACTCATCGTTGAGCACGGACCGACAGAGCTCGTCGCGCCCGCTGCAAAGTCGCTCACGCTCGCGCTTAGGAAGGAGTCGGTAACTTGGACCGAGGCTGCGGCAGTTCGAGAGCGATACGCGCGAATTGACAGTCTTTGGACGCGTCGACTGCTGCTCATCTTCTTCGCCGAGGAACTTCTTGAACCAGGCGTACAGCTCCTGATTGCCGCCAATGAAGGACTGCGCCCGGTAAAGCAACAATGACTTGTCGATCAGGTCCTGAGAGAATAGATTGCAAAGCTTCAGGAACTCGTTCATCGTATTCTTGTTACCGATGAACTTTTTAACGCGGTCAAAGAAGGCCAGCTCATCCTGGCTAGGGCTCGTCGTCGCGGTTGGGGGCATAGGTTCAGGCTGACCCGGCGTCAACGTGGGTGACACTGGAGGGCCATCTGGAACCACCGGTTGCTGTTTGGGGTGGCTTGTTTTGGCACGCTTTGGCACGTTAGCGACTCCATCGCAATCAAAAGCGCTGGTGGCTGAAGAGGATCGCTTCCTCTTGCTATAGCTGCTGGGTGGCTGTTCGACGGACTCGTGCAAGGAAGAATCGTGGATAGGAGTTGAAAGAAAAGAACGGGGTGACGAGAAAGTGGTCGACGACGCGGCCGATAAGGTCGGAGCATCGGCATAGATAGAAGCCATAGTAGAAAACGAGAAGGGCTGTTGAGAAATCGCGATGGGGACGGCGAAAGGATGGGTTGTGTGCGGCGATGGAAAAGTGGGAAAAGTGCGAAAGTGTGCAGTGGTAAAAATAGAAGTTGAAGGTGAAGGTGAAGTGAGCACGTGTGGAGCGGTAAACCAACAGCCAACGCAGCGCGCATGAAGAATGGGTGGAAGAAAGCAGCTGAACGTACCTTGTTCGCGTTCCCTTGGCCGTAGGTGCTACGCATGCTAGATGTAGTCACTTCCTGAGTCATCGGCGTGGGCGCGGCGGCTGCCGCACCGCCCGCACCTTGACGCTCGCCGCGTTTCCGCTTGTTGTCCCGATTCGCGGTAGGAGTTGGTGCGAAGTTACCCATAGGAGGCAGCCGCGAAGTATCCGCCCGTGGAGTCTGTTGATGAGGCGGCGCTTGACCGTATGCGGCGTCACCTCGCGCATTGCCCATCATGGCCTCCTCATTGTGCCTTGCAGCCTGCTGAGCTCGATGTTGGGCAGCGGACTCAGGCAGGAACTGCTTGAAGTCTTCTAGGAGGTCGGGCGCAGAGCTAAAGAGACTGGTAACCTGGGCGTAGACATCTTGAATAGGCTTCGACTCTCGCTGGTAGGTCTGCAAGATTTCGAGGAACTGTTTGTAGATGTCTGGTTGCGATGCGAACCGATTCTGGTGATTGTCAGCAGCATGCTAGAGAAGGTTACAAGGACACTCAAACTCACCTTGATCTTGTTCACATAGCTAATGGCGTGGTTGAACTCGACCGGTCCTCGCTTTTCTGCGCCGACACCACCAGCCTGGGCACTAGGGATTGCACCGTTTATCGCCTGACCGGGCAAAGGAGCCGAGGTGTCGCCGCTCGGCGATAAGATCGAGCGGCCAGCAGCTGCAGAGACGGCATTCTGAAGCTGAGACACCCCGCGCTGCTCCTGCTGGTGGGCGAGCGCGGCGGCTGAAGCGACCGCATCTGGATGTGGCCGAGCAGCGGCCTCGGGAGATAGCGGGGCAGGTCCTAGCTGTCCCTGTTGCGCGCCAAAGAGTGGCTGTCCAAGATGACGGTTGTTGGGTGAGAAGGCCGCTTCGTGAGTCTCCGGGGGTTGAGGAGGCCTTAGATCTCTAATATTTTGTGCCCAGCTGCGCGCTTGGGTAGATTCATAGTAGCCTGGTTCGTTCTGCGGAGCCGCGTTTCCGTTCACGGCTGCGCTACGGGGCGGCGAAAGCGGCCTTGGAGCTGGCATAGTGGAGACCATTGTACCCATAGGGGTGGTCACTCGAATAGCATTAGGATCGCCGTTGGTACCGCATTCAATCTTGTACCCAGGAGGAAGGAAAGTGTTGAATCCTTGGATAAGGTTCGGATTCCCTGCGAAGAGCGTAGACACTCGCTCAATGACGCCCGGGGTATCGATCGCTCCGCTCTTGAAGTCTTTCATGATGTCTAGAAATCGATTATAGACGTCGGGGTGCTCCGCGAATTGAACCTTGACTTGGTCAAGATAGCTAAGCGCATCCTACAAGAGTGAGTCAATGGTGGGACGCGTTAAGAGTACCGGGACCCCGTAGGTGGCGCAAATACTTACATTGAGAATAGGTTGCTGACCCTGACCTATCGTCGCCATTGGCCCAGTCGGACCAGCGAAGGACATGAGCATGGAAGGCTGTGGAGACTGCTGCACTGCGTGCAGCATCCTCGGTGCTGCCTCTCCCTGCTGGACTGGCTGCGCTGACGCATTCCCAAACATCGAGCTGGGAGCATTCGGTCCGCCCAAGGGGGCCGCAAGCGACCCAGGACCGCCGAGAGGACCAGATTGGCTAAGCAGGCCATTGGGTCCATGTATCGTCCGTGTCGAAGGAGCCACAGCCACAGGCTGGTGTATCTGTATTGGCCCAGAGTGATTCTCATGGGCGGCCTGCTCATGCTGTTGTCGCTCACGAAGCTCTCGTTCTCGCTGCTCGGCTTCTCGTTTGACGACCTCTTCTTGCTGCGCCGCATGCTGAGCATGCGACTCCATCAGCTCTCGTTCTCTTGTCTCCCGCTCATGAAGCTCTCGCTCTCGGTCCATGTTCGATTGGCCCACCGCTGGACCATGGGGCTGCTGGAGGGTCTGAGAGATTCCCGGCAATGAGTATGGAGGCCCTTGCGGGGTGCCCTGAATGCTCTGTGCGGCGGGCCCTGACTCCGACGAAGGTGGTCGTTGCGCGGACTGATGCGGCGACGCTTGAGGTGGCTGTCCGGTCAGCCCAGACAGTGCGGGCAGATTCTGATTGTGAGCCGCGGCAGCGTTTGATGAGTAGAACGATGCTCCTAATCCGTCGTTAGCAGCGGAATCGCTGAAATTCGTTCGCAGGAGTAGCGTACCAGACGGTGGAGGCAGGACGGGTCCTGAGCCTTGCGCTGGTGACGCATGAGAGGGCGGCTGCTGGTTCGCATTGTTGGGCCTATCATCATTCCCATCGTTAGCACAGAGCCAGTCGAAGGGTGGCGTGCAGATGAGCTCGATAGCTGCTTGATCCATGATCGCTCGCACATCGAGCATGAGTAGGAACGAGAGAGTACATACCCGAATGAGCCCAGTGGCCGTGGCGCTTGGCCTTGGCCTTGCTCTGTTTGCTGCTGACCTGTCACCGATACAGCAGGCTGCGTCGGCGGCCACCCGTCGCGATGCGCTGGGTTCATCTCGGCTTTACAGCTATTCGTCGGCTAGAAGGGCGGATGCGACAGTCGAAGGGAGACGCGTTTGCGGGAGAAAAGGCGTGCCAAAAGCCTGTACTAGCTCATAAGAGCCTTGAACTGGTAGGTGATGGGTTGCGTAGTGTGCGGTGTCGTTCCGCGACCGGAACAAGGCCAGTCGCAGTCCCCAGAGGATAGGGACAGACAGAGCAGCTGAGCTGCGCGATAGCAAGGGCAAAAGACTAGAAAATTAGGCCGCGAGCGTATGCGAACGCCCTGGTGCGACTCTGTGGGGGAGTCGGGTGTAGGAGAAAGTCTCGAGAAGAAGTGACGACTGCGGTGTTAAGCTTGGGAAGGGTGCGATCGAGAAGCAGCACCCCTCGGCGTCACAATTATCCGTGTCCGTGCGTCTGCAGGGGTGAGCCGGTCCGGTCCCTTCAGTCTTGGCACAACACTTCCGCCCTGGAACCCTTCGTAGTCTGAACCAGATATCGACCTTACCGACGAGACTCCAGCCGGTCCGCTAGTGGTTATCCACATGCGTTATGTTTTAGAGATGTGCGTGATAGGTAGCGGATATCTGGCAGCTGCAGTTCGGAAAAAGATCGGGCGAAGACCACGTGAGTCGCCATTCACATCACGTGTCTGCGCCTCTATCTAGGTGGGCGCTTAATAGTTGCTGTTCCGATAGCGCACTTGTGTTGTTGAACATGAACTAGCTCTACGCAGAATACTCGGCTCGACAGCTTCTCTCAATTAGTCATCCAAAGGGAGTTCTATGTTTCCGGCGAGTGAGCTCAGAGCTCACACATGGCAGGCCCGAGTCAGTGTGTTAAGGAATGTATTGCGGACTCTTTCCGCGACGAATGAATCCAAGCAGCGCTAAAGAACCGAACCCTAAGCAGGCGGGCGCCTCCGATGGAACTCCCAACGCCTTCTTCCCAAGAATTGCTCTCCCGGAGCATGCATGCTCCAGCAGATGCCTTAGTTTTAGAAGATCCATGTAAATGACTCCTTCACCTCGAAGCTAAGCTTCGCCCTAGACAAGGAGTTAGTCGCGGCTTCGAAGACAGCGAATCATGAGGAGAACCTACCTGATATCCGCACAGCTCGCTCCGATGAGCACGTCGAACGCGCCCTCCTCCGCGATCCAAGCACCCGACTGCCCCAATGATGTATCGAAGTACCCTACTGAGTACTTGTCCAGCTTCAGCGTCACGTCCTTAGTCTCTCCAGGTTGTAGTAGCACCTTGCCGAATGCTTGGAGCTCCTTCTCTGGTCGCGGGAGGGCGGATCTCACATCCTTGACGTATGCCTGTACGATCTCATGCGCAGCTACCGAGCCGGTGTTAGTGACGGGAATGGTCACTGTAATGCCTTCGGATTCTGACAGCACCATTCTGCTGGCCTTTGGTGTCCCGTACTCGAATGTCGTGTACGTCAGACCGTGTCCGAACGGGAAGAGCGGCGCAATCTTGCTCCGCTCATAATGCCTGTACCCGACGTAGATACCCTCGCCGTAAATAGTCTTCAGGTTCTCCCCGGGCCAGTTGTGATATGATGGGTTGTCCTCGATACGGACGGGGAACGTTGTTGGCAGCTTTCCGCTCGGGCTGGTGTTGCCGAGAAGGACGTCTGCAAGAGCATTTCCAGCTTCTTGGCCCTGGTACCATGCTTGCAGGATCGCTGGGGCTTGGTCGACCCACGGCATGCTGACAGGCGTTCCGGACTGGTTCACGACAATAGTGCGCAGGTTGGCGGCAAGAACGGCTTCGACGAGTCTATCCTGGGAGCCATCCTTAGGAAGGTCCATGGTCTGCCTGTCGTAGCCCTCCGACTCCCATTCAGCGTCGAGACCCACGACCACAACCGCAACATCGGCATCCCTCGCCGTGTCAGCGGCTTCTTGCAGCCGATCAATCTTGTCCTCTTCTTGGTAGCCGATACGGCAGCCACCATAGTCGTGCCGTCGGCCGATAATGGAAACTTTAGATGCCGGTCGAACCTCGTTGGTGCTCTCTACGAGGATATCGACAAGCTTGCCCTCCTCCAGGTAGATCGACTTGAGCACATCCTCGGAAGCAGAGAACATAGCCTCTCCCTCTTCAGTCCAGTCCCAGTTGTCAATGAACAGCTCGCCATTGAGGAAAAGCCTGCCAGGTCCGACTGAGGCGAAGCTAAACATGTGGTTTCCGGATGTCTTGGGTGTGAGGGTAGCCTTCACCTTGAACGAGTAGACTGGGAGAACGGCTTTCGGTGCCGAATCCCATAGCCAAAGATCTGTGCTGACTTTGTGCTGGATGACAGCAGGGTCGCCCTTGAACCTGTCGCCGTGATAGTACTCTAACCGCACGCCCGGCTGACCGTCCGGTGTGGTGCAGTAAGGCGATGCTAGGGGCAACCATTTCGAGCTGTCACAACCCTGCGCAAAGGTGAGTTCGCCATCAAAGCGAGATCGAAGACCATCCCATGGGCTAATCTTGTAGTAAGGGTTCAGGCCAGCGCTACCGCCACCGCTCACAATAGCTCGCTTCACATTCGGTCCGATCATGGCGATCTTCTTAGCGTTCTTGATGGGTAAGACATTGTTCTCGTTCTTCAACAGAGTTAGCCCCTCAATCCCAGTTTGGAGGATCAAGTTCTGGGTTTCCACGTTGTTGATAGACTTCTCGGCAGCTTCTGGGGAGTGGTCATCTAGGCCTTTTGTCCGGTCCACTAGGTAAAGAACATTGCCTGCTGATTGCTCAATCTCCTCGCGCGTGATTTCGCCCTTCTCGAGAGCTTCCAAGACCTGGTCAGGCTTGCGCCATTTCGTCGGCCCTGGCATTTCGATATCTACTCCGGCTTTGATAGAAGGAGCAGTAGCGTACGTTCCGGTCCAGTCAGAGATCACAGCTCCTTCCCAGCCCCACTCTCCTCGCAAAATATCCTTGAGAGAGTGGATGTACTCGTCAGCGTGCACGCCATTGACCATGTTGTAGGAGCTCATGACTGCCCAGGGCGCAGAGTCCCGGACTGCAATCTCAAAGGGCTTGAGGTAGATTTCTCTAAGGGGCCGCTCAGCGATCACGGCATCATAAGCCTGGCGTTCCGTCTCCTGCTCATTCCCAACGAAGTGCTTGATGGTGGCAGCAATGCCTTTGCTTTGCAGTCCACGGATGTAGGATGCGGCCAGCTTTCCAGTGAGATAGGGGTCCTCTGAGTAGGATTCGAAGTTTCGGCCACCAAGCGGAGATCGGTGCATGCAAACTGTGGGCGCCAGCAGCACGTTAGCGCCGCGGGCTTTGGTTTCCTCTCCAAGATGCCGGCCGATTTCCTCCATCAAGTCCACGTTCCATGATGACGCCATCGAGATGCCGCATGGGAACAATGCAGCCTAGGACAATCAGCTCGCTTTCGTGATTACGCCAAGCCGGAGTACTCACGGGCGTGCCGTTAGTGAAGAACTCGCCTCGCGCTCCGTTAGGCCCGTCTGTAGTCTTGATCGAGGGGACGCCTTTGCTAGGAATCGGCATTGTCCGCCAGAAATCTGCTCCTGCTAGTAGGGAGATCTGTGAATGTCAGCTTCTGTATTCTGCCCGCATCTCGTACGACGGCGAAATCCATGAAACTGAATGTGTTGTCACACGAGGAGAGTGTGGGAATAGGATAGACTTGAAGAAAGCGGCTATTGAAAATAAGATAATGCTGGCTTTAGGCATTTCCAGTCTCTCTCCAGGAGCGTCAGAGAACGTGATTTGTGATTTCGTCCATAGCCAAGCGATGAGCAAACGACTCTGCCCAAGTGCTTGAGAATAACGTTGCAGGCGCAATAGCAACCGCATTCGACATGCATTGCTGGGGTCCAAGCGCGGCAGACATGGAGAAAGGCAACCCACCTGCTCTTCCAAGGTCAACCTGGCGGCCAACTCCCTCGCGCGGTCATCCGGCCTCTCGAGCTGAAAAATCTTCTTGCCGGCCATGGTGTCTTCGTCGCTCGGTGACTTCTCTTCTGGCGTGGCAGCAGGTGTCAAATTCGAAGAAATAGGCTGCACCCGGACGAGTGCTTCTTTTATATCGATGCGGTTGACGTCTCCCTCAACCGGACTAGGATTTGCCAGGTCGATTTCAGCCATGGTCAATCAGGCAAGATTAATTCTCAGGCAGGCGGAGTGTCTGGACGAGGGTCCGCGTTCTCGCCACGCAGCCGTGTGTGCTTCGCTCAACCACAGTTCAAGCAGTGCGGAGAAGAGGATGGCGCAAAGGAAGAAATACTCAAGTGACAAGTGTGAGGGAGGTATTGCAGTAGATTGTCATCTTTTAGTACCCGGCGAGGCAATGGGTGATTATCAAACCACGCATCGAGCGAGTCTGGTGGAGCCAGAAGAGAGTCGAATATCCGGATGTATTGGGAACAAGCCTTGTACCTAGCGACGGAACGTAGGGATGTCGCAGATCGCCTACCTAGGCGCCATTGGCCGGTGGAACGGCACTGGGCCGAAGTATACGCGGTCCGCCGCTCCCATCTGCGTGCGTGAGCCTCGCAATGCACTCAATCTAGATCGAGGCGGCCGGGGGCTTGGTTGTGGCGAGCCCAGGGCGACTCTCCGCCAGGCTCCCCCCACCGCGCTGCGTGCGTTGGGGGGCATAGTATGGAGCAGAATTGCCGCGAAGGGTAGCAACATGGCATTGATGGTATGCAGATTGCGGCAGCCAGTCTAGACGTGGCAGCGCGCGTGTCCGCCACCGTGCGCAGGCCCAGGGACGCCCATTCGACGGCTGAGGGGAAAGGCCAGGCGGTGATAGCGGTCCTACACTGCGCGGCGGGCGTGGATACTCCGGAGCTAGTCTGGAATGCACGAGAGAGGCTTCCGCATCGCGTATTGGGCCGTGGTCGGATAAATTTTCGTGTGTGAGGTTGTGTTGGCAGCGTTGGCGTCGGAGGCACGGGATCGTTGCGGCTCGTGCGGGCCTGCACTCCGTCCCAAACGGGGCCGGAGGAGCAGCAACGTGACTGCAGACGGCCCGCCAAGCGCCTTTGATAATCAATTTAGACAGTGTGAGGGTACAACGCCGGACGACGCTCCTTGCTGCAGCTCGAAGACGGGAGCGCGGTCGAGGCTGTCTGTCTGCACCAACAGTCACCCTTCCCTCCGAGCATCACATGTAGACGATATCACGGCAATACCCCGAAAGTACCAACGTGATTGTACAGCAGAACTGACATGTCTATGCCGCCGATGCCTCCGATCGCGTCACAGCAACCGCACCCTCCATATCGACTCCGCTCCCGTCCCGACAGCCGCCGTCAGCCGCCGAAGGACGCTATCGGCTCAGAAACCTGTCCTCCGCGCCATATCGAAACGACCAACGGGCGCCATCGCCAGCGTGATCACTGTTAATCAGAGCGTGCCTCGCTAAGAATGTCGAAACTCTTACCCCTCAGCACCACCGTGCCAACGAGATACGCGCGCAATCACGAACAACGAGATCCTCCGTTCGTCCTTCTGATCGAGCTATATCGCGCTTAGCCCCAGCCGTTATCCTGCGCCTTCCTCCCATGCATAGCCGCCTGCCTCTGTCTCAGCGCTTCTGCCAGGCCGCCAGCAATGCTTCCTCCGCTGTCTCTAGCGCCAACATCCGAGCTGCTAGCTCCGCTCCCAGAATAACCGCTGTCCCGCGCCGGGGTTGCGGCAGCGGGTCTCTTCGCTGCTGGCCGTTTGGCAGGCGGAGCTGGGGGCGTGGCCTTGGCACGGACTCCGTTAGCAGCGGGCCGTGCTGGAGGTGCGGGTGGGGCTGGCGGAGGAGCTGGCCTGTTAAGCACCTCTTCCAAGTATGCAGACGGTGCCCATCCGGAAGCAGACTTGTCTAATCGGCTCGCGAGCCACCAACCTGCAATGTTTGTTAGATTTCAGCGCTATCAGCAGGTGGATAGGGGATGCAAACCGTTGCCCTCTTTCTGGGTGACCAATATAATCTCACCCTTCGTGATACTGAGCTCGCCGTTGGATTGCCCTGAGAAGTCGTACAGGACGCGATAAGTGGGCTCCTTGGGAGCAGGCGGTGCTGCAGGTGGGGGTGGAGGCGGCGCCCGGCTGGAGGATGACGACGCATTGCGTGCGTGAGTGGTACCGTTCGACAACGCGGCGACTGGCTGAGGTAAGGGCTTCGGTTGAGTTGTATGCCTAGGCTGCGCAGGACGGCTGGCAAGCTTCGAAGGACCCCCACCCGGACCCCCGGGACGCAGTAGCTTGCCTTTCGTGATTGGTTTGGCGGCAGCTTGCTTCCCTTTAGGCGTGGGTCTCGAAATCGAGTTAGGTGGCTCGCCAGGACCAGTATGTATGGTACCACTCTTGTACATGTCGTCCCTCGTGACCGCCGGATCCTTGACCACCTTAACCTGCGCGGGTTTTCCGGGTTTCTTGTTGTACTCGATTCTGGAAAACATTAGCACCCACCTAACCCAGGATAGTGGCGCAACTCACGTGTCTCCAATCCTCAGATTTAACGAGCCGCGGAGCACATTCGTCAGATGCGTGAAGAATTCGGTCTTGAACACGCAATTAACCAGTGGATCAGGCTCTTGTGGCGACCCTACGCCGATAGAGAACCAGTCATCCTTCAACGTTGAGGTGCTGATGAACTTGATGGCTCCCACGGGTATTGTTCTCTCAGCTTGGATCTGAATCTGCCGGTTGACCATAACCTGTTTCACCAAGTAGACGTTCCGCTTCGTCAGAATAAGAGTCCGAGGCTCGGGCTTGCTCGAGCGACCAAGTTTAGAAACCAACATTTCAGCCCTGCAGGAGAAGGGAACCTCCTCATTGCTTGAAATGCCGATTGCGTTTGCTATCACCTCGCCTGGTCCGCCTCTGTTCCCAATGCCGAGATAGTCGCCCATGAATCTGCGCGACCCGAGCAAGCTATATCTTCTCCTCTCTTTGCGGCCCTGAAGGACCTTGTGACCTTGATCGCGGAGCTGGATGAATTCCATACCGCCGTTGACTCGCCTCCAGAACCTCTGTATTCGAATGGCACATTCGGTCCGATAACGCAAATAGTTCCTCCAAGCACGTTGGATGCGGATAGCCATGTTGTGCCAATAGCGGTCTCGCATCGTTTCGAGCGCGAAAAGAGTCTCCGGAGTCTTGATAAAGACTTTGGATACACCCATCTGGAATTCTTCGGCGGGTATGTTGGTGTCTCTCAGAATCTGCTTCGCGCCGGTTTCGTAGTCTCCAGTCCAGGTGTACTCGCCGGCGTACGAACACTTCGGAGACAGGAGGAAGAATCGTTCCACGAACTTTTCGAAGGTTTGACGGGACGCAAACCCGGCGCGCCGAATGCGCACGTTCTCCTGCAGGCCAAGGTATTTGATTTGATGGAGGACGTTCGGGGTGTTGTATTCCGTGGGCGACTTGTTCTCATTTGGTTTGATTGTTCGGATGTAGGACGGCTGGCACTTCATCAAAGTGGCGACGAGGTCGTTAGCAGAAGCTTTAATCTTGTCTCCGGCCGTGGGAGGCCTCCTCCTGTTATCGGTGTCGACTTGATGGGGGAAGAGGGTATGAACGAAGGTATTGGAGCTTTGACCGAGAAGCAGAAGCAAGTCTTTTAGGAGTTGATCCTTGTTCTTGTCTGTCATGCCATCCACGGCGTACGACACATCGCCGGCGTAGTGCTTGATGACGAACTGTCCCTGACGTGGTTGGAAGTTCGGGTTGGACGAAAGAGCGTTCAACCTTTGAACAAAGGTCTGATCTGCGGCCGTTGGGTCCGCATGTGCCGTGGCGCAAGCGTCGTTGAGGGCAGCGAAAACACCGGGCGGCCTCTTTTCTTCAATCAGCTCGCACACGACCTTGTTGTCGAAGTACTTGATAGGCGTCCACTTGATCTGTTCTCTAGCGTACTCTTCCTGTTCGGCCTTCAGCGTTAGCTGGATGAAGATCTGCTGGAGCTTCTCGTTCACATAGTTGATGCACAGCTGTTCGAAGCTGTTCCGCTCGAAGATCTCGAATCCGTAAATGTCCAGAATGCCAATCGAATGGGCAAGCGCGCCTCGTGCCTTCAGGGAGACATTTACTCGCTGAACGATCCAGTCGAACAGGTTGAAGTATATACCCTTCGCGAGTGCGTCTCTTACTGCCATCGCCTGAGCTGGATTGAGAGGAACGTCATACACCGAGCCCCTGCGTCCACCTCTGCTTGTCTCCATAACGCGCAGGGTGAGTGCCTTGTTGACGTGTGCGCCGTCCACCTCCAGAAGATAGGCCACAAAATCGATTACTGATTGATCGACAATAGTGGCGTTTCCGGAGTCGTCCTCTTGGAAGGATACGTTCCCTAGCCACAAAATCGCGGAAAGCATGCGGAATATGTTATCTTGCTCGCCCTGAGACAGCCCAATTATTCTCATGGCGTTCAGGGTATCCTTGAAATCGGCGTGATCGTCGATACCTTGGACATCGTAGCATTTCGACCGGCTCGTGTAGACGTACGATTGGGGTTGTTGAATGCCGAAGGTCTCTGCATTCGTTAGCGCGTCTTCTCGGTCCACTTGCAGATGGTCGTACCCCTATAATTCGATGATGCCGCTTTCGCGAACTGGTAGAAAATGTGAAAGTTGCGCTCATTCGTGATCTGCCCCACTACTCTCGACTTCTCGAGGAGGTAGTTGTTGATGTTTGCTCCCACAGGTTCACCCTGCACGTTGAACTGGATTTCAAGATACTTTCCAAATCGCGAGGAGTTGTTGTTCCTGAGCGTCTTTGCGTTTCCGAAGGACTCGAGCAAAGGATTTGTGGCCAGCACCATGTCCTTTATCTCCTGAATCGAGGAGTTGCTGCCTCCGGACACGTTCGCGATATACTGCATTATCCGTTTCGCTGCTTCTGTCTTCCCCGCTCCGGATTCGCCGGAGATGATAACACACTGGTTCTCCTTGTAGGCTTTCATGTTGTAGTACGAGGACTCGGCAATGGCGAAGACGTGCGGAGGCATCTGCATTGTTTAGCTTTGGCGGTACAATGCCATGGAGCGCCATACCTCCAGCCTGTTCTTCCCCCTGTAGCTATCCAGAACCTGCTCTGTGTATATGCCCACTATTCGACGTTAGCAACTGTCTTGAGTGCCTGGAGGCTACCGCATACGATCTCGGAAAGGGTTGACGGACACCAGCACATGTCCAATATATGTCTGCGACCAGGTCAGCCCATAATCCCAAGCCCCGCTCCATATCGAACGGTCGCGGAGCGGGCGCTCGAGGGCGCACGCACGTAGATCTCCGCATTCTCGAATCTCTTCTTGAGATTGTCGTTGATGGCCTCGTTCGAGATCTTGCTTATCAGCGTGAGATCTGAGACTCCGACTTCCTTCTTCTTGGTGGTCTCGAAGACGGCTTTCTTCGTAAATCCCGCCTTCGGGCCGCCGCCAGCAGCCTGCTTGGAACCGCCGGCATCTTTCTTGCGCCCGGCGCGCTTCGTTACCGCCTATACGGATACATGGTCAGCGCCTGTCTTCATTGCGCGGCGGATTCGGAGCGGGCCTACCATGGTTGATGCCCAGACCCGCGCTCAGGTAGCAGGCGTTGTGTCGCGGAACAGAGTAAGGCAATCGGTCCAGTAGTACAAGCAGAGCGCAGCAAAGCGATGGAAAAGAGCGGCGTTTATGGGAGGGTGCCGAAAGGGTAGAGGAGCTCTGCGGATTTGAGTGTGTGAGGTTGAGTGCGGGTCGTCCCAGGCCTCAGTGCAACGATGTCACGGTCGGCGTCGGAACCTTAGCGCGTGGCTGTGGCTGGAGCTTAGGCGACACGCAAGCTCGAGGGCTTGTATGGGCAATTATTCCATGAACACTGCCCACCCGCCGCTGACTACTGGGATTCCTCATCGTTTGCCATGATGACTTCACTGCGCACTCTTTACGTGGCCACAGCCACACGTTCCGAAATGAGAATTGCCATCATTTGCTCCTTCAACCTGTCAATGCTGCCGTATGGACCGACGCGCCGAAGCGGACATGCAAGATTCACCACCAACGAGTGCTAGAAGAGACCGACGTCAACATCGTCAAGACTGAGACGCCGTGTAATGCCAATGCCGGGTAGAAATATCGCCCATCCATAACGCCATCGCTTGCCGACCCAGACCCGTTTCAAAAAGTTCAGACAACATCGCCGCCAAAACGCCCAACGCTCGCCCAGTCATGTCGTTTGTTTTCAGAGGCTATCTGCGGTCCTCTCCACTCATAATTCTTCGGTTCCTCGAGGCAACCTAGGCCCCCCCCTTCGATCCAGCCTTTGACGACAGACTGAACGAACTCAAGCTTGTCTCGCAGCACATTGCTCTCGGTCACGTCTTTGTAGCTGTCTGCCTTGTCGACAGAGCCGTAGAGCAGCTGTTGAAGGGAGCCGTGTAGGGTTTCGCGCGCCTTGACGTGCCTCCATGGAACCTCGCCCGTTTCCTTCAGAGCTGCCGTAGCGTCCAACGGCAAGCATACGAACTTGCCGTACCCAGCGTCCGAGGACAGCACCAGCTTGGTGTGATCCGGGAAGTTGATCTAAACAAAGAATTTAGCAGTGCAACCTCTAGGCCCTTGACACCACAAACCTGAAAGGAACCATCGTCAAACCCCCAGATTCCGACGTTCCCAAGCCGCTGGTAGAATTTCACAAAGTTGGGGCGCTGAGCGTCCTTCCGGGGCCAGTCTTCGTTGCCCAACTGCATGCACATGTACCTCCCAAACTTCTGCCAGTATCCCCGAATATCATCTATACGGCGTTGATCTGTCAATTGGATGCGGGAGAGTCCTTTCGTTTTCCTCGGAGCTGCATAAAACTCGATCGGGATGTTTTCCGCATAGTCCTGGTTCTTGGAGAGCTGTTTCAAATGGTGGAATCCGTCGGTGGAGAAGGCGATAGTCACTGGGTATTGTTCTGTGGCTGTCGTTAAGCACCCCACGCTACCGTCGTCCAATACGTATCCGACGCCGTATTTTCGAGAATAGTCAACCCATTTCGATACGAATGGCAGCTGTGGGGGCTTATCGCGTCTGGAGTATGACGGTTTCCTGTCGAGAGCCCGTGCCAAATTATCTCGAAAGGTGAAGAGACGCGCGAGCACCGCTACAGGATCAGTTGCGGGAAGCTCTGTGCTCACTGTGCGGAACCGGGGCGCGCTCCGCGTAGTTGACGGAGGAGGTGCCGATGGCTGAGGTACTGGCGGGTCCGACTTCTGAACCGTCCTAGAACTGCTCTTCGCGACCCGCAATGGGGGAACTTCCGCAAGAGGTACTTCCTTCTCTTTCGGCACATCCTTGGTCGATCTAGTGCGTGGGATTGTGCGGGTTTCCTTTGGCACCCGCAAAGGCACGGTTGCAGGCGCCGTGGCTGCCGTTACTCGCCCCGGATTTGAGATCTTTCGAACGGTCCTCATTCGCGTCGGCTGCTTGTCCACCACTCGTCGGACCGTCTGACTTTCTTGCGCGGGCTCCGCATTCTCTTTGAGTGTTGGCAATAGTTCTGCTTTCCTCATGCTTCGAGGCGGGCGACCTTTGCTGCGGTCATTTCCGGTCGTCTCGACGAGAGCTTGACCTTCCGAGGATGAGTCCTTCTCCTCTGTAATGTCGCTTAGAGCACCGGCTCCTTGAAAGGGCCAGTGGACGCGTTCTGGGAATGGAAGATACACAATGTCCTTCGCAAACGGTATGCACGGCTGTTTCCCGGATTCGATTTCTTTCTGACAGTCCCTCGCCACTGTCTTGTTCCTCCTGCTGCCATAGGCTCCAAAGGCCTTACCTGGCTCATACTCGCCCACGGCGGATGCCTTGCACAGCGTCCACCATTCTTCCGTATATCCCCTTTTGACCGTTGTGGCGGAGGGTGGCCGTATCTTTGGCCACTTGGGAACGCGCGAGGTGCATGTACCATCCAACTGCAAGGGTATATGTCCCAGCTTGAAGAACGGATGAGCGACAATTTGATCCGGGGTGGGCCGTTCGTCTTCGTGCACCAGCAGAAGCGAGACAACGTCGCGTAGGTCGTCCGTGATCTCGTTCGAAAACTTGGCCAGGTCCGGCCATGAATACTCCCGCGCCTTGAGCTTCCTGTAGATGTCTTCCCGTTTCGCAGCATGGAAGGGCGCCCTGCCTACGGCGAGGGTGTACCTGTTCGAGTGAGTTTTTGTTTACATTTTCCGGATTGAGATATGCTCACATCATAATGCCAATAGCCCACAGGTCGACCTTCTCGTCATGGCCTTTTCCGGTCTTCTCTAGTACTTCTGGTGCCAGATAGTTCGGTGTGCCGCACATGGTTGTCCGACGGATGGCGCCGTAATCGTTCTGAGAGACGAGCAGCGCGGCAAGCCCAAAGTCTCCAACCTTGATGTTCATGTCCCGGTCCAGGAACAGGTTGCCAGTTTTAAGGTCCCGATGCACGATATTCCGCTGGTGGAGATATTTGATAGCCCCGCAGGTTTGGACCATGAATCGCCGGATCTCAGGCATGGTAAAATACTTTCGCTTCTTGATCGCGTCGGCGAGAGAGCCATTCTCGCAAAGCTCGAGGACAACATAGGTGCTCTGTCTGAAGGAGAAGGCGCGGTAGAATTCGACGATGTTCGGATGGGCTAGCTTCGAGTGTATCTGCAGTTCTGTCACAAACTGCAGCGCGTCAGCTATGTACAAGAGCATTGTCAGGGCTCCAAGTACCTTTTGCGCCAGTTTGGGTGGCTCCATTTTGGACTTGACGATCTTCAAAGCGACTGTAGTGTTGCCGAGATGCTCATGCCCCAGCAGCTTCGCTCGATGGCAGATGGCGAAGCCGCCCTTTCCCAGCTGCGGTCCCGTTTCATATTGCAGTCCCTCTGGGTCTCTCACGACCTCTGGCGGTGCGTCGGCGTGGATAGACGGGGCGGACATTGGGTGCTGGAATGTCGAGATGGCCGAGAAGTGTTGGAGTTCGGTGGACCTAAACAAACACTCGCCTATCGTTGACAAGGGAACCTCGGTGCCAAGGCCGCGCTCCTCCCGATCAACTGTGATTCCCGCTCCTGAAGGCTCTCAAATAGTCTGAGTTCTACAAGCGCTCGAGAAATTGTAAACCATTGGCATGTGCATGAAGCGCCGATTAAAGGGTAAAGTAGCCAGAGTATCCATTGTAGACATGCCGAACGCGGTTAGCGCGATCCAAATCCTCCCGGTTCCGAAGGCAACCTCTAGCGACTTCTACCAACTGTTCCACCCCGCTCAATTCACAATTCTGGATCTCCCACACATTGCAATGGGCTGACTGAGACTGCTCACTTTCATGAAGCTGCAATGACTAGTGTATCCCTACACAACCGCCAGAACAACTTCTCCTAACCTTTCCGGAGCTTCCAAGCGCCTAGCCCAGCATGTCTCTGACGCTCAAGATCACCTCTCTGTTCGTCAGGACGCTAGCGAAGCCGATGGCTGTAAGCGGACTTGGTCCAATTCGAATGCCCCTTGCTTACGGTAAACTTCCAGAATGCCATCAAGCGCAATGCCCACGAGCACGAGCGATTCAGGCGGTTGTGTGTCCGGTTCGCACAAGGACTACATCGTATCGATATGCGCATGCGTCTCGGCCTGCTGCAGGATCCCGCAGTTATTGACCGACAGATAGCAAAGGAGGTCGCGGCAGCTGAAGCAGCTCGGAAGAGGTCGCAGGCACCCACAGTGAAGACGGAAGCAGAGACGAAAGCGGAAGAGGCTATGACAAAACAGGAGCGGGAGGCCGCGAAGAAGAAGATAGAGGCGGCACATAAACCGCGGATACGGCCGCTGTCGGAGACAAAGGCTATCGAAATGGGCGCAAACTTTGCCGCCGAGACCTTCATCTTTGCTGTTGGCATAGGAGTTATTGTGTTTGAGCAGTGGCGGCAGAGGCGGAAAGCAAGGAACCAGCGCGACGACATTCGCGAAGACTTGGAGGAGCTTCAAGTTGAGCTAAAGACCGTTAAGGCTGAGCTGGAAGAGATGAAGGCCAGACATCCCGAGTCGGCGACGGGAAAGCTGCTGGGTTTCTGGAAGGGCAAGAACGAGGCTCACAAAAGTGAAGAGAAGCCACAGTCCAAAAAAATGACGCCGTCTGGATCCGAGACAATATCGGCGATGCAGACACCTCCGCCTACACAGGCTGGCCAGCCACGAGTAGTGCAGGCCGGGCTGGAAGAGACAGAGGGGCGACATTCCACCTCAGTTACTGAACAGGTATTGGGCTTCTGGAAAGGCAAGACGGAGAGCCAGAAGGCAGAAAAGAAGACCCAAGCCGAGAACAACACAGCGTCTGACGACGAGCCGTTGTCCCCGCCGCAGAAATGAGCAATTCCGCAGGATAAGCTCTGCATACTACACCTTGTGACTTTGGGATTACTTGGCGGAGGTATTCTGTATTCTTTTGTCGCGCTTAGGAAAGCGAAGTGTGTACGCATTCTCCTCTCATGATACCCAGCCGAGTCTTTGTTAAGACGGCGCATAGAGATCTCCGCTTTGCGCGTCTTGAAATCCTACGTGTACAGTATGCTGTTGTGATAACAGGAAATGGTGACCAGCTGGTATGTGGCCTCTTTCCGTCACAATTGAGCAAAAATTCCCTACCTCTACAAGAAGCTTGTTTAGTTCTCTTCATGGCTGCTCTGAGTGGTTGTACGTGGGTCGCCGGTCGTGCCTTCCTCGTTTGCGCTTCGAGACATTCTCTGACCTCACTCATCTTTACGTTCCCCCGCTGATTGATCTCCTTGCCATCCGTGAAGAAATTCTCCTCCCCTTCTTCATTCTCCATCACTCTGAACAGCATGCAGCATCTCAACGGCAACAACCTCGGCTCCTCCATGCGAGACCCTCCCACCCCAGTCAAGGAATCCCATGCTTCACCCTCCGTCCCCTGCACATATGCAGTTGATGATGTGTGATACACTCCCCCGCCAACGATAGATAACGAATTTGGCCTTGAAAAGCCATGCTAACTGATAACGCCAGCGCAACTCTTCCCCCCAAGCAACTAGCAACATCCCTTCACCAGTCAACAATCAACAAGCAGCACAAGACACATGCTCAGCCTCGGCTGCTCGACCTAGCTATCGTCACCCATCCATTCCCCGCATTCCACCACCGTCCGTTGCGTCAACTACCGAAAGGCTTGCAGCCGATTTGCTACCGCAGCTCGATGGACCGCGCGACTACCATCCTGAGATGATTCCAGCGGCTCTCCGACCTCCGTTTACAAGGCAAGGACACAGCAGCGCTCGAGCAGCCGTTGAAGCTCAGATTGCAGTGCCCGAGAGTGCGATTCAAGACCTTTTGCCTTTCTGCACGGTCGGGGCACCTCTGAATGAGGGCCAACTCGTCGGGCTGAGCGACATCGCAGGCAGTCTGAAGGAAGTCATGCTGCTCGCTTTGCAAGCGCAGAGGGATGAGGGCGTCAAGGCGGACATGGCGAGGGCGGTTGGTGGACAGGCTGCTATGGAGATTATCGAGTTCTTCGGTGACGAGTTCGAGACGTGACTGGTCGTAGCACAGAGGTACAGACTAAAGATGTAACGCATATGCGCAAGAAAGTCGAAGTGGAGGAGAGAAACATCTGGAGAAAACACCACTCTTCGAGGGACAGTGCATATTCCCGTGAGAAAGCTGTACGCAGCCAATACCATCCAACCAGGGAATGTCTTGGAGGTGTAAACTAACGGAATGAAGGTATCATGTACAAATCCGACAACCGTAAACTCCACGTAGCGCGATGCGACACTCCCCCTGCTTTTCTTCCCCGACCTCTGGAAGCTGACCCGATAGTAGAATACAACGGCCGTCATAGACACCAATGCGGAGCGATCAGCGCGCAATCCCTCCATCCCAAAGAGCGAACCTAAGCAAAATCCGTAGTATTGATCCCGATAGCCTGCAACGCCGGTCCGATATTCAAATCCAACTTAATCGTATTGCTCTGAATAGCCGCCTCGTAGTATTCCAAATGCTCATCTCCTTTCATACTCGAGTTGCCTACAATCTCAAGGGGGATGACAGCGTTCTGGTACTTAGTCTGGATGAGACCGATGACCTGGAGCTGCTCGACCGTGCTCTGCATGGAGACATTGTTCTCACCGGGCTTGAGGACGAGGTTAGGGAGGAGAGATGTGCCAATGGCTGTTCCGTCGACGGCCAGGTTCATGGTGACATTGCCGAGATCGATAGTCATGACGGAGGGATTGGGGATGATGACGTTGCCGACCATGTTGGAGCCGTCGGGGAGGATCTCGTCCGAGCCGGAGAGAATCCTGATGTTAGTGATGTTGAGGCCTGCGAGTTTGTTCAAGCCTGGACGAGAGTTAGTACACCTCGCGGTTGATGTATACCGAGAAAGGACAACTCACCCTTCATGGTGACTTTCTTGTGGTAGTTGACAGAAATGGCCTGCAGCCCAGACTGATGGATCTTGGTCTTTCCGTCCATATACACATCAAATGATTCGCTTCCCATGACGACTTTGTTGTAGTCCTTGAAAGCATCCATGTTGGCAATAGCTACATCCTGGTCGACGGTAATCGTGGTCTCGGCCTCCGCTTTGGTCTCCGGGACATTGATGTAGATGAATGCTGGCTGATCCAGCAAGGAGAGTCCAGCTTGGAATCCCTCGATGGTTGGGTGGAAGCTGCTGCCGCTCTTTGCCACGCTAACAAGCTTGAGATGGACCCCGTCTGTCGTTGGCGAAGTGACATCTTGCTCGGTCACGTCTAGGGTTGATGCATCGAGGTCGTGCTGAGCCTTCTTCGGAATTGCAACATATATGATTGGGAGCACGATTATCAGGGTAATGGCAGCGATGAGGAGGAGATCTGTGTGTTCATGAGTTCAGGTCCAGCTTGAATCCGGAATACGGGAGATACGGGGTACGCACCACACCACCAGAACTTCCTGCAATGGTTCTTCATCCGCGGACCAGCACCGCCCTTCGGCCCCGGAGGATACAGAGTGTTGAAAACTCCCCCCTTCTTTGGCGCCGCCGCTCCATGGCCGTTCACCTCCTCCTGCAACTCTGGGTGATCGATCTTGTCCATAGTGCCGTTCTTGTCCATGGTGAGAAGGAAAGCGCGTCGCGCAATTACGTAGAGACGAACAAAGAAAGTGAAAATTGAAGATCACCTGGTCACAAGTGTACGGGCCACAACTCCAAGGTCGAAAACAGAAAATGCGGAGAGCACGCGGGGAAAGAAGCTTATAATGACAGTAGTGAGGATCTGGAGAAGGAGCACATGAACGCTGGAAACGAGAATCTACAGCGGGGTCCGTGTGTCTACCGAGGAGTGGGCGATCATTCGGGAGCTCGAAAGGGAAGATGTGGTGGCAATTGGCCGTATTAAAGGCGACGACGAATGGGAGCCAGCGAGCGTAGCTCGTTCGGGAAGGCCTCCGAGATGATAGCCACAGATCCTGGAGCAACGGCAAGCCGAGGCTGGAGAGCAACATTGCGACGCAAAGCACATGCTTCTGTCGCTTCTTGTCTCGTCTTCTCAAACTGCAGACCAGCACCACAACAGTATATTCGAGGCTGAATGGCTGCGTGCTCGGGGGTCTAAAACGCTCAGCTGGCTGGCGAGACTTGTGCATCGGAGGCGCCGACCAGCGCCGGAGGCCAGCAAACGCTACCCAGTCACGGGCAGCAGCTGATGAGCTGGGTGCCGAAGCGTAGATGACCGCCAGGGCCATGAAAGGGAGGTCGAATCCTGGCAGCGGCGGCGATGGACGTTAGCGTGCGGTTTGCCGGAGATGGCGGCTGGGGCGCGGCATGAGCGTTCCATCCGGTTAGGCCGGTCGAGTTGTGGGGTAGCGGGTGGCCAATCGCTGCCAAACCGACGAAGCAACCATCGGACTCCAGCCTTTTTGAGCTCCGTCGCCGTCTGCTTCCTGCAGGCACTCACACATCGAGAGACGCAGACGCGGGAGCTGAGTTAAAATTGACAAGCTCTGAGAATCGATAGGAGCCATTCTCTTCACATGAAAGTCCGCTGTCCCTCGCTGCTGGGACGACGGCAAGCTGAGGGCTCTTCTCCGCAGTGCCATACGAGACAGCGCAATGATCTCAGTGATCTCCGGCGAAACGCAGCAGTACGCCGGTACCGTTCTTCGTGGCTGATCAAAAGCACAGGAGACGGTAACTTGATGGCTGAACAGTCGGTGGCATCAGGCAGTCTTCGAGAGATAGTCGTGTGACTGCAGGTTCGTAAAGAAAGCGCTAAAAGCGCCTCCTGCTCTTGTCGATGACGCCAATTGATGTCCTGCAGCTAGGACAGCAGCCTTCTGAATCCTTTGTGCAACAGGGCTAGTCATCCCATCCACCAGGCTCTACAAAAGCTGCGGCGGGAGATCGGATGTAGGGAGGCGTGATGCTTCCTTGGACTTGAGTAGCTAGGACCGAAGCAGCAATTGCCGCGGAATGTGCGGCCCATCGTTTCAAAAAGAATGTTTCGAAGAACCGGGTGAGCTTTGTGGAGCAGAGGTGCTCTGTGGGCGGGTCGCCGTTCAGTTGAGGACATGCGGTGCCGGGGGAGTGAGATTGCAGCAGCTAGATGTCAAAAGGTAGGAACGCAACTCGACTCGATTGTCCCTGCGTACAGGGCAATGCGCGCCAAGAGCCCGCTAGCGAGTGCAAGCGCCGATCGCCTGGAGCTTCTATCTAGGTACGCGACTTCGACATTGATACGACTCTACAACTGCGCCTCTCACTCCTGTACACATCATGGCGCAATCAGACGAAGAAGAAGATTACATGACGATGACCTTCGAGGAGCCGAAGGAATCCAAGCACGAAACCTCTCTCCAGCGAGCGGCGCGAATGCGTAAAGAGGTACGGCCTTGCCAACCTAAGAATCGAGCTTGGCTAACTGTAGCCTTTTAGGGCGAAGCTAGATCCCGCCAGAAATCGAAAGCCGAGCGCGAGGCGGAAGCAGAAGCAGCTCGAGAGGCATCCTTAGCAACTGCGTTACCTGAGACCAACAAGGGCTTCAAGATGATGGCCAAGTTCGGCTTCAAGCAGGGCGGCACTCTGGGCAAATCCGAAAACGCGCGCAAGGAGCCAATTCGCCTCAACATCAAGGAAGATAGAAGCGGTATTGGCCTGGAGTCTGAGAAGAAGCGGAAGTTCCGGGAGGCTTGGGAAAAATCCGAGCGCGAGGCCAAGCGATCCAAGGAAGATCAAGGAGACTTCCTCCAGCAACGCAGGCAGCAACAGAAGGAGAAGAAGGCCGAGAGAGACCTGGACAATGCACAGAGGACCGCCGAGCGACTCTCCGAGCAGGAAGCAGAAGAGAAAGGATCCGCACATACAGACGAGAAGTCCTTGACGGATATCAATGTGCTCTGGCGGTGCCGCGCACGGCGCCGAGTTGAACACCAGCGTGACCGGCGGCAGCGGCGCGAGCTCGACAACGGTCTAGCCTCCCGACTCCCGACGTACGTTGAGGAAGACGAGGACAACGATTCCAAGCTCGCTCTTGGTCGTGATGTGGCTCCGTTTTATACATCCCTGGAGAACGAACTCGAAGAGGAAGACCCTGAGCTGGCGGAATTTGAGGCGCTACCCGTGACCGAACGTCTTCAAAAGCTCCTCGTCTTCCTTCGAGAGACTTACAAGTATTGCCTTTACTGCGGGCACCGGTACCCTGATGCAGCCATGGAAGGCTGTCCTGGGGTAACTGAAGAGGATCACGACTGAGGTGGTATTGCATCATGGGCCAAGCAGCAGCGTGCGCAATATTATATGAAGCGTCCATTCCGGTCCGCTCAGGACGGTCGATGTTCAAGACCACCCCGAAAGAGGCCCACCAGCTTCGTATAAGTATAAGCCACAGGAGACAAATGCATGTCCTGTGCTGCTAAGGCCAGCGTACTTCGCTCCTCGGGTTCTCTCATTGCTCTATGAGGCTGAGAGTCGCTCCAGCCCAAGGTTTGCGACCACAGAGAGCGCGACTCGATGGTCTTGATCCAAGCATCTATTAGGCAGAAACAATGAAAAGCGAATCCTGTCAAAATTCGTTTCCCTTTCCCTGACTACAAGCTTCCGTACTCGTGCATACTAAGATTGTGAAGGGCGCTTGGACGGAGGTGGACGTCACGAAGTCCCGTGCCCGCGCGCCTAGCTATTCGCGACTTTGCGAACCCCAAGCTCTTCACAACTTCGGAACCTTGCAACTTCTGCTACATTGCACAACGCATACCATCCCATCTCAAAAATGGAGAGAGAGCATCAGCGATGCTATATCTATGCACCTCCCGCGACAGAAGAGCGTCCACTGAAACGTCAGCGAACCAGCAAATTCAATCCTCAGGCCCAGCTGCCGGAGCGCCTGTCAACGTTCCGGCACATATGGTCGCAACAAGAAGAACGCATTAAGGTATTGACGGCACTTTTGAAATCCGAAAGACTTATTGACGTGTGCAGGCGACGCTTGAAGAGGCGGACAGCTCTACACAAGAGAGGATCGTCAATTTCGTAGCTGCATCAGCTCAATCAACAGGCGAGTCGCAAGGGGCAATCCCCACGGGTCTAATTGTCGCCGGTCCTAGCATTGCATCCCATGGACCCTTCTTTGAGCGGCTTGGTAGAAGGATCAGAGATCGGACGAGCTGCACCTATGTTGTCCTGACATCTGGGGAAAGCCTGAACCTAAAGACGTTCCTAAAGAATGTTATCAAGAAGGTCACATCGCGCGTCGATGACGATGACGACGACGACCTAGGACGCACCCCTGCTTCATCGAGGAAAGGTCCTAAGTTGCTCGATTTTGATCTCGGCCACGTCCAGGAATGGCAGAAAAAGAACCGAGTTGAGAGTATCGTCGTAGTGATCCAAGACAGCGAAGCATTCGATACAGGGATACTTGTCGAGATAGTTAATCTCTTCCAGTAAGCCTTTCACGTTGGATACCGACACTTACTAATATCTACAGTTCCTGGCTTGACCGTCTTCCATTTATTCTCCTCTTCGGCATCGCTACCTCAGCAGAAAGCTTCGAAGACCGACTGTCGGGGCATTCGCTTCGCTACCTTGAGGGACAAAAGTTCGATGTCACACAATCCGACGAGATCATCGAAAAACTGTTCCGCGTAACGGTTGCCATGACTGACATTCCTCTTTGGATTGGACCCAATCTCAGTCGACGTATGCTTGACAGGCAAAGGGACCATGTGCAGAACGTCCAGGACTTCGTGGATGGCTTGAAGTATGCTTACATGTCGCACTTCTATGCTAGCTATCCAACAATTATCCTGAAAGAGGATCTCGCCTTCAAAGATTTGCCTTCGGACGCGTTTGAGGCGGTCCGTAACCTTCCATCCTTCAGAGTGTAAGTGGAGCGTCCGAGGATTTCACTATTCTTACTGACTTGTTTTTGAAGATGGATAGAAGAACTTCTGGATCAGCGACGTGCGAGCGACGTTCGCCAGTTGCTCGATGACGATCAGTATCTCTTCGAAGGCATCGTGGAGTATGTTGAAGAATGCCGAAAGGCCCTTTCAACTCTTAGCCAGGCAGCAAGAGCCCTGGCATGCATCCGCGAATCCCTACAAATGTCGCCACATGTTCATCTATCCACTATCTGGACTCGGGCGGCATCGGGTGAACTGCTAGCAACCCCTCTGCTCCGAGAGACGATGCTGTCCATAAAGAAAACACCATCCAACAAGCTGGTTCAACTGCTGGTTTCCATGATGGACTCGGACGGCGAGGCGTTCCCTATCGACATTACAGCGTTCCAGCGGGAGTTGGCTGACCTGATCAAGGACAACGCCAGCTCAGCACCGCTCCGAAGTCAGGACGACGTTCGCAGTGACAGCCTGAGAACAACGGTAGTCGCGCAGAAAGTGCTGCTGAGCAAGCACAAAGCTGCCCTCTCCGAGCAAGATAAAGCCTACTCCGACTTGATAGGAAGATTTCATGACGGCCTCGAGGCCTACTTCTCATCCGCCTTCATGGACCCGCGCACGCTGTTCCTGTCCGAGATTGTAATGCACGATCTCAAGTCACCACACACAGAGGTCTTCCAGCCCAAGCCTCGCTTTGCGATTGAACGCGCACTTGCATGTCCTCACGACTACCTGGGGTGCGACTGCTGTAGTGGGCAGCAGAATGAAGACTCTGCTCTGTCGACCACCCAGCCTGCGACTGCGATTCTATACCAGCTTTACCTTGAATCCGGAGCGTTCATCAACGCGGCAGACTTGTGGTCGGCTTTCAACGCAGTTGTCGGGAACGAGGAGAAAGAAGAAGAGGAAGAGTCAAAGACTATGTAAGTGCTGATAACGGAAAGGGAACGAACCGTGACTGACCTCCACGCAGGGCGCTCTTCCAACGTGCTCTAGCTGAGCTGAAGTACCTAGGTCTGGTCAAGCCCACCAGAAAGAAGACGGATCACGTCGCAAAGATGATGTGGAAAGGCTTGTAGCCTGTGTCGTTGCCATAACGACATATATATTACAAAATATACAGCTCCTGCACACCTCCATATTCGGCTTCGGCCATCACTTCGGTCTCGGCGCAGTGTCACATATCGTGCCACAATTCTTACACATCCTCGCCTCCTTATCCGCCTTAAACTTATTCACCGCATCCTTAATCTGCGTTCCCAAATCCGTGCAATGGAAGGCCGCCTCATGCACCTTCTCCCCACACTTCTGGCAATACCATCTGAGCCGATCCATGCTGCCCTCGGGTCTATGCTGCTCCAGTACGATTCCCACCGTATTCGCAAACCTGATTGGATTATGTGGGGTATTCGGAGGTAGCAAGAACATGTCGCCCTCATTGATATGGATGTCGCGGAATTGCCCATCGTCAACAATTTTCAGTAGCATAGCTCCTTTGTATTGATAGAACCATTCTGCGGTCTCGTTGATGTGGTAATCCGTGCGCTCATTGGGGCCGCCGACGATCATTACTGTCACGTCGTCGTTGTAGACGCAGTAGTTGTTAATGGGGGGTTGTAGCATGTGGGAGTTCTCGGATAGCCTGGCAAAAGGGTTAGCGGGAAATTGGAGACTTTGGGAGCTGAACCTACCATTTGGGAATGTTCAATGGACTTGCGAGCAGGCGAACTTGTGAGGTGTGGGAGAAGAATCGCGATGCGGGAGCTACGGGAGTCCGCAGGCAAGGTCGGCGGACAACCGAGGCTTGAAGGAGACGGAGGGTCGGTCGGAGGGCTTGCATAGTTGCAGTTATCTTCTAGGGCGCATTTCAAGAGTCAGAGTAAGAGAGGCAACTTCTTCAGTAGAAGTTAATTGAATATGTCATCTCTAAAGGTTCCGGCTGCGGTCGCGAAAGCTCCCCGCCACGTGAGTCCCGCGATTCCAGAGCTCGGACCCTGGATCGTGCGACGACGACGTCAGCCTACGAACCAGACATCAACAGCAGCTGCCAACCCCATTCCAAACGGCATTGAATCCTCTACACTTAGCGCAATATGGACCACGGACACATGGACCACGACATGCCTGGCATGGACCACGGCCACAAGTGCAACATGAACGTAAGCACACTCGCAGCTCTACCACACCTCCGCAGAGCTAATCATCGGGAATAGATGCTGTTCACCTGGGACGCGACCGACCTCTGCATCGTATTCCGCGGCTGGCACGTCTCCGGCACCTCCTCACTCATTTTCTCTCTCCTCGCTATCGTCCTGCTCACGGCGGGCTACGAAGCCGTGCGCGAAATCTCACGGCGCTACGATCTGTACGCGAAGAACATAGCTGAAGGACGCCGCAGCGGTGATGACCTGACAAGTAAGCCTCCCGATCTCCTGTACGGGCAAGCCGCAAGAGTCGTGTGAGATATGAAGCGACGGATGTGGTGCGGCAAGCCGGTCAGGTTTCTTCATTACACATTCTGAAGCGCATATGCTGAGACGGAAGCGCGGTGCTTGCAGGTGGCTCAGATGAATCGAGCTCATTATTGCACCCAGGGAGATATGTGGGACGGGTTAGCGAGAAGCAGACCAAGATTGTGAAGGCGATCTTGTATGCGGTGCAGGTGTTTTATTCGTTCTTCATCATGTAAGTGTCGAAGGTGTTGAGAGGGACGTGGGACACTGATATAGGATAGGTTGCTCTTCATGACATACAATGGCTGGGTTATGCTTGCGGTTGCGGTGGGCGCCTTTGTTGGTTATATTCTGTTCAGCAATTCGCCGCCTACAAAATCCGCTGCTTGTCATTGAGGTAGATGGTCGAGGCTGATGAAGTCTCGAGGGTCCAGACATCGGCATAGTGTTTGGACGGCAACATGTGGCATAGAGGAGAGAACTTTCAGTACAAGGCCAAGGCAGTCCGAGTGCGACGGTTCTGTACCATATGGGCTCACTTCCCAATGTAAGCTAGGATAGCAGTAAATTTCAGTAGGAGATGGCATACTCCGCTCTCATCTTCTGCTTCTCGGCGCTGAACTGCACATGTGCGCGGCCGATCCGCGCCTTTCCGGCTCTGCTGATATTGTAGTACCTCTTGACGTACTAGATTCTCCACTCATTCATGAATTATCAGCCCACAGGAGTAGGACGCCAGCCTCAAGACCAAAGTCCCTCGGCGCACTCTCCGAAGTCCTTGGATATCCGGTAGAGCAGAGCTCGGAGGCAAACGGCCCGGACAGCTTCGAGATCCCGAGCTGTGTTCCGTAAGACAGTTGTTGAATGCTGAATACCCAGCGCGCATAATGAGAACGGGCACCTCAAAGCATGGCTGCAGAACACTCCTTGATACATCCTCCAGACTCAGCTATCCTCGTCACTACGGTAATTCTGCCCGCTATCGTCGGCCGTGGCTCGGCGCAGCTCGGAGCAGACGCCGCGGCATTTGAGCGGAGACACTTGCCAAAGCTGGAACTAAGAACTTCAAGAGTAACAGAACAGAAATTCTTTCCTCGCAACATCGGCGAATTTGAAAAATTGATGCTGTCCAGGACGACGTCGAGAGCCGGCGGTTTCTAATATTGCATCTGATCTGACGTTCACATGCCAGATTCGCAACAGGCACCGCATGACTTGCCCCAGATTTCTCGGCATTCCTCCCGAGGTCTGCGACCCAGTGACTTGCGGTCCATTAGGCGGTGCGCCCCAGGTCAAACTGCGGCACACTATGCCCGCATGACAGAGAATCAGGCCTTCACATGCGTAAGACAGCGCGCTGGGTGTATAAGACGTCCGGTGCGTTGCGGCGTGAGGTGGTTCACACCATGGGCCTACAAACCGTCCACTGGTGATTCGCTGTAGCACCCTCAGTGAGGCGCTGCTTTGGGTTTAGCGGCTTTCTTTTCACCGAGGCAATTGCTATCCCGCGTGGAAGCCGTCATAGTCGCCCATACAAAGACCCAGACTCCGCGCTTTCTTTCTCCCGCATTCTCTTCGACCTTCCCCATCCTCCGCACTTTCTATTTATCTTACTCACCGTCAAGATGCCTCAGCAGGTCATTGTTGTTGGTGCTGGCTGTAAGCCCATTCCTTCTGATGATGCGATGATGCGGGCAGCTAACGAACCTCCCAGTGTCCGGCTTGAGTGCTGCTCACACCATTTATTTGTCTGGTGGCAATGTGCTGCTTCTTGACAAGAACAGTAAGTCTCTGAATCATGTGTTGCGTTAGAATTGGGCTTTGTCTTACATGCGCTAGACTTTATGGGCGGAAACTCTACGAAAGCCACCTCCGGTATCAACGGCGCTCTCACGCGGACGCAAGTAGACCACAAGATCCAGGACAGCGTCAAGCTGTTTTACGATGACACTCTTAAGTCCGCACGAGACAAGGCGCGGCCTGATTTGATTAAGGTCCTGACCTATAAGTCCGCGGCAGCCGTTGAATGGCTCATGGATGTGTTCAACCTCGATTTGACCCTCGTCTCGCGATTGGGGTAAGTCCCCGGTTTCTGCATTCTGTGGCTGCAAATACTGACTCCACGCAGCGGCCACTCCCAACCGCGAACCCACCGTGGCCACGATGCCAAGTTCCCCGGTATGGCCATCACGTACGCCCTCATGCAGCGGTTTGAGGAGCTTGCCGAGGCGGAGCCGGACCGTGTTCAGCTCGTCAAGAAAGCCAAGGTCGTCAGGGTCAACAAGGACGGCAACCGTGCCACTGGTGTCACATATCTTTTCAATGGCGAGGAGACAATGGTGGACGGCCCGGTCGTGCTCGCGACTGGTGGTTATGCTGCCGACTTCACAGAGACTTCTCTGCTGAAGAAGCACAGGCCGGATACCTTTGGTCTATCAACCACCAATGGCGCGCACGCTACTGGCGATGGTCACAAGATGCTGATGGAGATCGGCGCCAACGGCATCGATATGGACAAGGTTCAGGTGCATCCTACCGGTCTGGTAGATCCCAAGGATCCAACTGCTAAGACGAAGTTCTTGGCTGCTGAAGGTGTGTACTTCAACCTGCGCAATAGGATTCTTCGGCTGACATATTCCAGCTCTGCGCGGTGAGGGAGGTATCCTCCTAAACAGCAAGGGCAAGCGCTTCTGCGACGACCTCGGCCATCGCGACTACGTCTCCGGCATGATGTGGGAAGAGAAGAAGAAGGGCACGTGGCCCATCCGCCTCGTCCTCAACTCCAAGGCTTCGAACGTCCTCGATTTCCACACAAGGCATTACTCCGGCCGTGGTCTGATGAAGAAAATGACCGGCAAAGAGCTCGCCAAGGAGATTGGCTGCAGCGAGAAGGATCTCCAGGAGGAGTTCCAGAACTATAATGCCATTGCCAAGGGTGAGAAAAAGGATACCTGGGGCAAGCAGTATTACCACAATATGCCGTTTGACATCAGCGACACCTTCCACGTGGCGGTCATGGAGCCCGTGCTCCACTTCACGATGGGCGGTATTGAGATCAACGACCAAGCACAGTGCTTGAACTCGGAAGGCAAGCCCTTCGACGGTCTGTTCGTCTGTGGTGAACTGGCTGGCGGTGTCCACGGAGCCAACCGTCTCGGCGGTTCATCATTGCTTGGCTGCGTCGTCTATGGGCGTGTCGCAGGAGAGTCAGCATCGAAATACCTCTTCCAACAGGCGCTCAACTCCGCTGGTGGCTCCGCCGTATCTCGTCTTGGTCAGATCTCTCTGCACATCGACCCATCACAGCCCGGCAAGGTGTCCGTGGAATGGGGTAGCGGTACCGGTGCCGGTGCTTCGGCGTCAGCAGGCGCATCAGGGCCGGAGCAGCAGAAACAGCTATCTGCCGGTCCTGTGATGAAGGGCGGTGCCGACTCCAAGGACCCCGGCAAGGTATCGAAGCCAAACCAAGTCCAGGAGTTCAAGATCCCCGATAAGGAGTTCACTCTTGAGGAGGTGGCGAAGCACAACAAGAAAGACGACCTCTGGATTGCGGTAAAGGGCATCGTGCTCGATGTGACGAACTGGACAGACGAGCACCCCGGTGGCCCTCAGGCGCTATTCAGCCACATGGGCAAGGATGCGTCGGAAGAATTCGAGATGCTGCACGACGATGAGGTTATTCCCAAGTATGCGCCAGAAATTGTAATTGGGAAGGTAAAGGGACAGAAGGTCACTCTCGAATATTAGGATTTGTAAGAAGGCGTTAGATTTCTTGGATTTGAGTGTACTTCTAGCTTGTTCTAAGACATAGCATACTTTCCGCATGAAGTAGAACAATATTTCCTGCATTGGAGGGGTGTAGAACGAGGTGCGACAAGATCGTGTTGTGCTTCCAAGGTTCAGTGATAAGCGGCACGTGCGCGCGCATACCCCTGCATTCGGCCTTGTCTTTGACTAGCGGTAGATCATGGAGCTTTCCCGGGACCGAGACCGACTCTAACGTTGAACATGCGGCACCCCTTTGCGCATTACGCAACCACCCGCTATCGCGACGCGTAGCCACGTTTCCAAAAGCCGTTTGCTTAGAAAAATGCTGCGCGAACAGCTTTTCCTCCAGAGCAACCCACGATGACGGCGTTCGACGACTATGGCATGCCCGTCGGCGCATATTCCGAGCCGGAAAGCCTTACCCACCAGGCATGGAGAGTCGCTCGCGCTTTCGCGGTGTATAGGGTAAAACCTGCGGTTGAGAAGAGGATAAGAGGCCTAAGGCAAAGAGAATGGAGTTGGAGAAGGATATTGAGCTTGGTGAGAGTGCTGGTGCTGGTTTGGTGGGTGATGCTGTATTTGGGGGAGCGGAGGCACTTCACGAAGGCTGTGGACGAATGTCGGTGGGAGAAGTGGGAGACTTGGGTATGCGAGAGATTTTTGCAACTCCTCGGACAGTATAAAACTGACAGCAGCCAGGACAGCAACGCGAACCCCCATCGACTCGTCTTCGTCGCAGATCCCCAGCTCGTCGACCCGCACACCTACCCTGGCCGGCCGTGGCCTCTAAACACTCTCACCGTCAAATTCACGGATCAATACCTCCGCCGAACCTATTCCCGCGTCCAGAAAGTGCTTTATCCCGACAGCGTCGTCTTTCTAGGTGATCTATTCGACGGCGGCCGGGAATGGTCGACGCGTACGACCAAAAGCCCCGAGGAGCAGTACAGGAAATACGGTGACAATTTCTGGTTAAACGAGTACAATCGCTTCGGTGGTATATTCTTTGGACACTGGGCAGACGGCGGTCTAGAGCCCAGGCCTGGGCAACCAGGACGCAAAATAATAAGTAGCTTGCCTGGGAATCATGATCTAGGTTTTGGAAAGGGCATACAGGCAAGTGTGCGCAAGAGGTTCAACGCTTACTTTGGAGACGGGAATAGAGTCGATATCCTGGGCAACCACACCTTCGTTTCAATTGACAGCGTCTCATTGAGTGCGCTGGGTCAGGACAGTCCCCAGACGGTCGAAGAGCTATGGCGGCCGACGGTGGACTTTTTGGAGAATGCGAAGAAGCAGAAGAGGAGGGTTGTGCAAAGAGAATTGAGGAAACAGAAGGGGTTGCATCCGTATCCCGGCTTCGAGCACAAAATCGTGGAAGGTGGCGATTTAGCGAACGCGCAATTGCCGCATTCGAACGACGACGTCACCGAGTTTCCCACGATTCTGCTGACACACGTTCCGCTCTATCGCGCGCCGGGTACACCATGCGGGCCTCTAAGGGAACATTGGCCACCTACACCAGTGGGCAAAGGCCAGGAGCCGCTGGAGAAGGATGACAGGAACGCGATCGCTGTAAGAGGGGGATACCAGTACCAGAACGTCCTTAACCGCGAGATCACGGCGGATCTTACAGAGAAGATCGGCGAGATACGATATGCCTTCTCTGGCGACGACCACGATTACTGCGAAGTAGTGCATCGGGGATACGCTTCAGCAGGGGGCGGGATAAGAGAAGTTACTGTCAAGTCGCTATCCTGGGCCATGGGTGTACGCCATCCGGGGTTCGTGATGCTGAGCATGTGGAACCCCGTCGATGAGTTGGGGAATCCGATATCAGGGGACGCAACTTCCACGCTACAGGCTCATCTTTGCCTCATGCCAGACCAACTGGGTATCTTCATCCGCTACGCTTCCTTTTTCGGCGTCACCTTCCTCGCACTCGTGATTCGAGCCGCGCTCGTCACGGCCGGCAAAGTCAAGCCCGCGACTCAGTTCTTCGAGTCTCCTCTCCTACCCACCTCGAACGAACCCCTACCAGCTATAAATGCCTCCTCCGCCGAGCATGAGAAAGCCGAACTCACCTCCCGGCCTCGGGAAGATAACTATAATCCTACGCATTCCTCTGATTCCTCAACATCCTCGGAGCGTGCAAACCTTCAAGTGCGCAATGCACAAGCTCGCACGCGGAGCGTCTCTCCTAGCAGCTACTGTTTACCAGCTCAGCAGTCTAAATACACATACCCGCTGATACAGCATGCGGGATACTATGGTCCCTCGGAGGAAGAGGAAGAAGAGAGAAGGCAGGCTCAGTCCAGAGACTGGGGCAACGTGAATACCAAGAAGACGAAGCCGAAAAGGAAAGGCATGGCATTATTTTGGCAGGAGCTGAGGAATACCATAGCAGCGGTTGCAGTGCAGGTTTTCGTTTGGTACTTTTGGTTGATCTGGCGTTGGTAGTAGTTTAGCATTGGGAAGGGGTATTGGAGTTGAGCATACGGCGCCCACATAGGCCGGCTTGGTCTGCATTGTATCATTAGCGTAGGAGCAATATGCATTATCCGTGAAAGCCATTTCGAAAACCCGTTCTAAGTGTGGTCTTTGTTGGTATGGATTCAAAGCGCGCCCCTCCCCCACCAAGCAAGCTTCCGAACAGCTTGGAACTCCGCAGACCCCCGAGCTTTGAACGTCACATTCCCACATCACCACGCAGCACCATCTGATCACTCTGTACTCTATACACCTTTCCCTAAAGTCTCTGCATATAGTAAACGACTCATCATTCCTACGTCCTTGCTCTGGCCTCGCTAGCCCCCACCCCAACCTAACGCCACGATGCCCGACTCAACCCCGGTAGACGACTCCCTCCTCGCCCGTTTAAACGCCTTGAAGAAGTCTTCTGTAAGCTTCGATACGAACTTTTCTGCTTCTGTAGCCCCATCAGCCTCAGCGCCCCCGAGCAATGCGCCAGACGACCTCGCAGCTCGCTTTGCACGCCTCAGTTCCGCTTCACTTTCCAGCTCGCCGATACCCTCGCGGACCGCCTCCTCCAGTAACACACAAACACGAAACGACGGAGCGCCTATAATAGCGCCAGGCGCGCCAAGCTATTTGGAGGGGATAGCGGAGGGTGTGGGAGGAGGTGAGACGGAAGTAAATCCAGAGGATGAAAAGAGTCTGGAGGAGTTGTTAGACGAGCTGAACTTGGGGCAGAGAGAGGAGTGGGACTTGAGCGGCAAGGATGAGAAAGATGTAGGGAAGCTGCTGAAGGATATCAGGACGATATTACCAGAGGTGCAGAAGAGCGTGCAGGAAAAGAGGACACAGACTGAAGCTCCGGCAGACGCGGAAGGAGGAAAGAAAGAGGAGGAGCTGATGGACTGGGAGAATGTGGAGGTGGATATCGGGAGTGGCGGGGTAAGAGTAGGCAATGAAGAGCAGCATGGAGAGGAGGATGGCGACGAGGGCGAACAGAAGAAAACGGAAGATCAGGAGGCAAACGATGTAATAGCAAGAGTAATGGCGGAGTTGCAGATAAGCAAGAAGTACGATCCACCTTCTCCGCCGCCCGAAGATTCCGCATCCGACTCCGGCGATCAGAAGTCTCCACAGGAGAAGGAGAAAGCTACGTCGCGCTCGGAAGACAAGACAGACAGCAAAGACGACTCATCCCTCAACCTCCCCTCCGCGCCAAAGTCTCTCCCCTCAGACGACTTCGCAAAAACACAAGCTCTCGAAGACGCACTGACTGCGCGTTTGGCCGCCCTCTCAAAGCCCTCGTCCGACTCCCTAGGCCTTCCATCAGCGCCGTCCTTCGCTCCAGCCAAAAAGCCACCCAAGATAGAGTCTAGCCTGAGCAAAGCATTGGAGGAGGAAGTCGATACGTGGTGCATTATCTGCACTGACGATTCGACGCTCAAGTGCCTGGGGTGTGATGGCGACTTATATTGTCAAACGTGTTGGATGGAGGGACATAGAGGCGAGAGTGCGGGATTTGAGGAAAGGAGACACAAGGCAGTGCTGTACAGTCGGGATAGAAAGAAGAAAAAACAAGCGGCGACGCAATGAGTAGTGTTAAGCGTCCGCTACGCACGAGTCGGACGATTAGAGTGAATGACCAGAGGTAAGGAAAGACGCATCTAATCTTGACCGGTTAGTCTCTGGTCTCTCTCTCTCTCTCTCTTTCACTTCCCACCGTTATCAAACGAGCGGGGTTCTAACCCAGTCTACTAGCTTCGAAACTTTACGCTGCCAAAATCGATATTGTGTTTGCCCAACCTGTTCTTCAGCTCTGTTCCTGACGCTGCAAATAACTAGCGACCACCCCATGCGAAGTGCCGAGATGGCAAATACGAAAACCGTCGACTGGCTCTACGAGAGCGCGCACGCCGCATGCATTAACGAGCCCACGCTTACGTCAATGACCAAGCAAACGATCAAGCGCTGGATATCCGATCTGAGTGCCCGGCAACTCGAAGACGTGGAGCGGTTTGCCGCCAATATCCCACTAGATACGGCTATGGCAGACGATGCTTTCCGATCTGCCGTGAAAACAGTCGCTCGATTGTATGGCTGTACGACAGAGTCTGCTGAAATCGGCGAGTCTATGGCAAAGCTGAGCATTCGGGACACCGCTGAGGAACAACTTGTGCCTGTTGCGACCAAATCCGCTTCCGACAAGTCTACTCTGGAGTCGACTGTACCACCAAAGAAACCACAGGGGGGTGCTCTCTTTTCCCAGAAGGTGGTGCAGAAGTGGTTGACTAGTTCGGCTCCAACAAAGCCAGCGTTGACAGCCAAAGCGGGCGTTAAGGACAAGACCGAAGCCACAGCCGCTATCTCAATGAAGGCAATCGCAAAGCCAGCACTCCCTGTGACCACCGAGCTGGATCAGCGATTTAAGGGCCTTTACGGACCACTAAAGCAATTCAAAGCACGAATTGAGCCTATTTCATATTTCCGAGACGTCAACGTTCAAGAACCCGCCGTCCAAGCCTTGATTAGGAAGCTCAACGGAATCAAGCCTAATCACTCGCCCCTACTCACGCTTTCGCTATTCTTGCAAGCCTTTTTCGACCAAGGCGTGGACATAGCCTCCTTCGTTCTGGAGAACCTTCGCTGGACACTGCCTTCAATTGCTACGCAATCTCCACGCCCGCAGATCGGCATCAAGTTAAAATCTACTCGAACCGGTGACGGAAAGCATATGGCCGCATGCCAGAGACCCTGGTACTCATGCGAGATAGCAACTGTCAGCATTGTCGTGTGTGCCGCGCCCGCCCTCACCTTCGACATCTTCGCCAAACAGCACGCTGACCTCCTCTCCGAGGAACCGCTCGAGGATCAAACCTTGAGGCATACCTTGATCCCCTCTGCATCCCTAACCCGAGCCTTCGACCGCGCCAAGGCAGCCGCTACCGGCCCGCGCAAGTCCACCAGTCTCATCTACGTCGCCCTCATGGATTCCTGCCTCTACCAGTTGTCATCGTCCCAGAAGGAGCACAACATGGATCTCAAGCGATTCATGCCGTTCACACACTACTTCGTGCTTGGAGTTGGACCTGAGGGTATGATGATGTGGCAATCATTTAGATCGTATGGACCGCGTCTGCATGAACACATCGCGCTTGGGGGAGCAAAGGTTCGCGATTGGGAGGAAGCTACTTCTTTCGTCGCTACATTTGACGACTTTGCGGCCTATAGGGGTATCGAGGTGAGGAGCCTTTCCCACCCACAACACCTAAAAAGTACTAACGAATAGCAGACGTTCACTCCCCGCAAGAACGAGCAGTATAGGAACTTATTCGGCCTCGACCTGCTCAATCTACTATCCGGTGCCGCGAAATCCTCGAAAATGATGCCTTGGTTTGAGGCCTGGGTACAGATTGAGGTTCTGGAGGATGTCAAGGCTGAGGATGTGACAAAGTTCAAGTGGATGGTCGACGAGCATGCGCCGGAGAACCGAGAGTGGTCGAAAGGGATGTTGGGAATTGCTTGGGGCTAATGCCCTCGCTGGCCACCTCATGCGACCACGGAAGCAGCGTGGAACGCTACGCGGTTTGCGATGCTATCTCGGCTCCCTAGGGTCTCAAAGACATGGTCACAAAATAAAAAGTCCGCTAAGCAGTTTGGAGATGCCAACCGGTGTCCTCTGATCGCTTCGGAAGTGCTACTCTAGGGTATCTGAATAAATTGAGATGGAGCCCCCGTGTCTTAGACACTGTACAGTGATGAATGTTCCCGTTATACCTGCAATAAACGACGGTGTCCACGAACGTGACAGATTCGTCACTGCTGCCTCCAATGAAAACGTGCCTTCAATGCACCATGACTACACACTTTTCTAATCGTGCTGGAGCACACTTTTCTTGCCATTTGCCCACTTTCCTACTTCACGACTCTTGGCTCGGTCCAGGTAGCTTCTCAATCCGCTCCTCTATCCTCTTGACCCAATCACCAACCACCTTCATATTGTTCTTCAGCGCCTCCTCGCATTTCTTGATATCCTCCTCCACGACCTCCAACGACTTTCCCCACTTCTGGATCTCGTCCTCTTGCTTCGACTGGCGACGCTCTAGCTCTGTCAGCACCTCGTCCGCTTGCCAGGCGCTGGTATGTACGAGACGGAGGGTGCGGAGTCGTTCGAGAACGAGGGGCAGAACTGGCGAGAGCTTGTCGATGGATGGCAGTGTGCCATAGAGAGCGTTGACTTTAGCCTCCTGCTCCGGGTTCGACGTAGCCTTGCCCTCTGATGCAGCGCGCGAAGCTTCCGACCGCAGCTCCTTCAGATGCTCCGCGTCAGCAATCATCCTCTTGATCTGCTGGCTTGCGCTCTCAAGGTTGCCCTCCTTAGCATCGTGACATGCGCCCACAGTCTGCTCAATCCGGTGCAGCGTTGTGTACACTGGGAATGGCGCCTTGTCTCCCAGATCCGGCATCGTGTTTCCGGTCAAACCCAAGTTCTTCTCTAATTGTGTGAGCCGTGCATCGAAGTCCGCCGCCTGGTTCAGCACATAGTCGAGTTGACTCCTCTGTATCTGGGTGCCTGGAAGCGGCGGCTGATTCGCAATAGCCTTGGTGATTCGCGGCGAGGGTCCGAACGGGGGGTAGTTGTTGAACTTGTCAATCTGCCTGTCGAGCTGCGCTTCTGCACCCCGTACGCCGCCCCGCCGCATCGCGTATATGTAGTCTACCTTATCTGAGATGAACTCCATGATTCGCTTGGGATCCTGCTCCTCGATCTTCGTCTTGTCGCCTGATTGCAGCCTCCCCTCGTATTCGTGCTCCAACTCATGTAGCTCCCTCTTTACCCGCATAAGCTTCCGTGAGAAAGACTCCTTCTCTTCATCGCTGTCATCACCCAGTATCTCACCTCTCCGCCGCTGGCCTCGTGTCGATGTGCGGTATGAGCGCCGTTGAGCGCTGATGTTGTCTGAGAAGTCCACACCGTGGGCATCCACTCGCGAGGGCTGGAAGCGGCTGCGGGCTTCGTCTGTTTGCAGGCGTTGATGTCGGACCGTAGACTCGTCGGCCTCAGATTCGCCGCCCTCAGACTCAGAGACTGCGGTTGAAGCTTGAATTGTGGAGACATCTTCGGCGAGCTCGGGGGTCTCATAAACGTCGGGCGCTGTATCGATGCCTGGAAGGCTGTCGTACTTTGGTCTCTGTGCTTCGGCCATTTTTGCGTGCTACGGAGCGATTGAGGTGTTGGTGCAATGTTTGTTTGGAACCTTGGAAAGAAGCGCAGGCGAACTCGTCGGGCGAGAACGCGTCAAAGGTGAGGTGCACCGCGACCAGCTCATGTGGGCCCGTGCGCCCCCACGCTTCAAATGCAATCAGGTATTAGGGGATTTACACGTGCAGGTATGTGATTTCGTACTCTGCTTGCTTTCCAATTGTGAAACTTCTCTATGGTATTTGGCGTGATCCCCAGCGCTTGTCCTATTCCGTTCGTCTTTCGAACTCTCACAGCCCTTATGCAAGGCTTCGGGGATCAGGAACTTTTACCAACCCCTGGACCGGAAGAGACTCCAAATTCCTCGATCGACTTCCTCACTTGATCTACACAATGGTCCCTCAAGACTGGACTTTGAATGTCCGTCCACTCGCTGTCTTGCGTTCCTTCTCTTCCGCCTCTGGTCTGGCGCGGCGTAGCACTGTGTATTCGTTAGCATACCCACCGCGTCAAAAGATGTCTCATGTGGTTACGTACCTTGAAGGAAGTCAGCCGTCCGTTTCCGCATCCTCGAGTGGATGTAGGCCTTGGAGGCTTTGATGTGATAGTGGAAGTAGTCTCGGAACGTCTGAATATGTGAGATGACGTCCGCTCGTCGTTGGTTTGTCAAATGGCGAGGAAATAGGACTATGACTATTAGTAACGCTGATATATCGAATCAGCTGGATACGGACCAAAAGTGATGTAGCCAATCTCTCCAGAGCCAGAATTATTGACGCCTGGGATGCCCTGTAGTTCCAGGGGAGGGTCGTTGCGGAAGAGCACCTGGGGGGCATTCTGGATTGCTCTTCGCCGGGCATCCACGAATTCCTATCAACACTAGTAAGCGGACTGTGCTCGAATTGTGCACCCCGCTGAGACGTACCTGCAAGAAGACTTTCCCAAAGACCCTGTCCGTCTCTTCCCGGAACACGGTTGAGAAAATTACCGTTACTCGGTCGTGGCTCGCCTTGACGTATATGGCTTCCTCCTCTCGGTAATGGATGGCCCGCACCTCGCCGCCTTCCTTGACGCCCTGTGGTGCCGATTCGGAAGTATATTTGGAAGCTTCCTCTTGCAAGTGCTGGAACTCATCGAAGGCCTGCTCGAACGGTGCGGCCATGGCATTGCGCTTGAGGAGGGATATGCGGCGGATCAGATCGTCTTTGGCCTCTATGCTTCCCGTCAGCTCAGCCTACGGCAACCCCCCGTGCAGATAGTACCCTGGTCTTCAGGCAGATTCTCCAGATCTACTTGCACCGAAAAGTCATATCCGCTTTCCGGCGCGACGATGTACGGCCCATATTCCCGCTCCAGCACTGCCTGCGCACCATACTGCACCAATTCCGAGAAGCACTTGACGTGGATCGAGACAAGAATCTTGGTCTTCGCTTCGGGGGTGGAGATATGGAAGGTTACGCCATCGAAGTCGGATACGACCTGGTCGATTGAGACGGGCGGGCCTCTGCTATGTGTTAGCTACCTGGATGCTGTGTGGCAGGCAGCGGGGTAATGCCTACCCCGAGAAGCGGTCCTTTAGCAGGGATTCAATGAGGACGTTCTGGTAATCGAGGAGAAGCATGGCTACCCGCGTGGCCCCGGTCCGTTGAAGTGGTATATGGAGATATGGTGGGGAGCTGTGAATTGGCGGCGGAGGTCGGAGGTGATGTGCGTGGTTGGGTTGCGGCGGCTTCCCAAATGTGGCTGTGCGTCTGGAAATGTGGGGTTGTGGCGTCCTCAAAAAAAGTTCGGATCCAAAGTCGACCACTCCTCCATTGCTGGCGGGACACGCTGATGGTAGCTACAGAGGGCTGATATACTGATCTGCGTCTTCTGCTCGAATGCGCATTTCTCTTAGTGCGTCTAAGATACCCCGTTTCCCCTTCGGCGCATCATGGTGAAGTCGTACAGGTGTGTTGCGCTTCGATTTAGCACATCTCCGCTTACAGGAATAGCAAGTACGAGCAGACGGATGCATTCGGCGTAGTCGCAACAGCTACTTCCAACATAGTCTGGGCTTCCGAAGAAGCCACTCGGGTCGGATCGAATCGCCCCGCTGGCGCTGGCCGCGCCTATGCCGCCGCAAACGAGGAGGTTCTGTGCTGGGATGTGAAGAAAGGCGAGCTATTGAGCAGATGGCGCGACTCGTCATGCACAGAAGAAGTCACAGTAATATGTCGGAGCGACGTGGATCCGGACGTCTTCGCGGTTGGCTACGCCGATGGAAGCATACGCGTGTGGGATTCGAGAACATCGACAGTCGTAGTCAGCTTCAACGGACACAAATCAGCCGTCACCGCCCTTGCCTTCGATCATTCAGGAGTCCGGTTAGCTAGTGGCGCGAAGGATACCGACATCGTGATATGGGACCTCGTTTCCGAAGTCGGGCTGTTCAAGCTCAGAGGACACAAGGGTCAGATTACCGGTCTCCATTTTCTGCACCCAGAGAAGGTGACTGAGGACGGTGGCGTCAATGGTACGGACTCAGGCATGGACATAGATCACGCTTTCGTCTTGTCCACCAGCAAGGATGCACTGATCAAGATCTGGGACGTAAATACGCAGCATTGCATCGAGACGCACATCGCACAATCGAATGGAGAGTGTTGGGCGCTTGGAGTATCTCCCGATGGCAGTGGCTGTATCACTGCCGGAAACGATGGAGAGCTCAAGGTGTGGGCTATCGATCTTCCTGGTCTTGCAAGAGCGGGCTCATCTATCGGCGAAGGAGTGGAACTGCAGTATCTTCGCGAGCGGGGGATTCTTTATCGACAAGGCAAAGACAGGACTCTTGGAATTGCATTTCACGCCAAATCGGATTACATCGTCGTGCACGGCTCCGAAAAGGCCATTGAAGTATGGCGGATACGGAGCGAAGGAGAAGTGCAGAAGAGCTTGGCTAGAAAACGGAAGAGGAGGCGGGAAAGGGCAAAAGCTGAAGCAAACGGCGAGTTACCCGAGGCCGACCATGCCGACGACAAAGTGAACATCGCAGATGCTGAGATAGGGGAAGTCATCGTACCCTACGTCACGGTGCGGACCGTGACCGCGGGCAAGGTCAGGTCAATCTCGTGGATGTATACTCGAGGATCAAAAAAGCTACAACTGCTCGTTGGAACGACCAACAATCTCATTGTCGTCTATGAAGTCCCACAGAAAGCGAAGTCGAAGAAAGAGGAGACCTTGGATTACGATATGACGCTTTCTGTCGAGCTTGCAGGTCATAGGAATGACATTCGAGCACTGGCACTGAGTTCCGACGACCGTATGCTGGCCTCTGCATCCACTGGCGGGCTCAAAATCTGGAATGTTCGGACGCGGAATTGCCTCCGGACATTGGAGTGTGGAAAAGCGCTGTGCGCTGCATTTCTACCCGGCGACAAAATCGTGGTGGTAGGGACCAAGGACGGTCATATCGAGCTTTACGACATCGCAGCCTCCTCGTTACTGGAAGACGTTACTGCGCACGAGGGCGCGATATGGGCATTGCAAGTGCATCCTGACGGCAAGTGCATCATCACCGGCAGCGCAGACAAAACCGTGAAATTCTGGAATTTCGAGATCGTGCAAGAAGAGATACCCGGCACGAAACGCACCATGCCTCGGCTCAAGCTTGTCCAGTCTCGCATCCTGAAAGTGAACGATGATGTACTCAGTGTACAGTTCTCTCCTGACTCTAGGCTCCTTGCCGTCGCCACCCTCGACAACACCGTTAAGGTCTTTTTCGTTGATTCCCTGAAGCCGTTCCTGAACCTATACGGCCACAAGCTTCCGGTCTTAAATATGTCGATATCAAGCGACAGCAAGCTCATCGCCACCTGCTCCGCCGATAAGAACGTCCGCATCTGGGGCCTCGACTTCGGCGACTGCCACAAAGCGCTCTTCGGCCATGAGGACAGCATTATGCAAATCGGCTTCATTCCACATCCAGTAGAGCAAGACGAAAAACACATCTTCTTCAGCGCCGGCAAAGACAGGATGATCAAAAGTTGGGACGGCGATAAGTTCGAGCAGATCCAGAAGCTAAAGGGCCACCACGGAGAGATCTGGGCGATGACGGTGTCGCGGACAGGAGACTTCGTCGTCACAGCAAGTCATGATAAGAGTATTAGGATATGGACGCGGACAGATGAGCCAATATTCTTGGAAGAAGAACGAGAGAGAGAGCTAGAAGAGCTTTATGAGAACACGCTCGCCACTTCTCTTGAAGACGACGAGCAAGTGGATGGCGAAGCCGCAGAAGCTGTGGCCGCATCCAAGCAAACTATCAGCACCCTCACAGCAGGAGAACGCATTCAAGAAGCCCTGGATCTTGGCCTCACAGACCTCGAGATCGTCCGTGCATGGGAAGTTCAAAAGCGCTCCAACCCAAAGATTGCACCTCCACAACGGAACCCCCTTTTCATGGCTCTCGGCAACATCTCCGCCGAACGTCACGTCCTCAACACTCTCTCCAAGATCCCCGCCGCTCAACTCCACGACGCACTCCTCGTTCTGCCCTTCTCCTCTCTCCCCGCGCTCTTCACTTTCATCTCCATCTGGGTGCAGCGGCAGTGGAATATAACCCTTACATGCCGCGTCCTGTTCTTCATGCTCAAGACGCACCAGAAGCAGATCGTTGCGAGTAGGGAGCTAAAGTCGGTGCTCGAGGCCATGAGAGCGGATCTGAGAAGGACTTTGGGTGGCACGAAGGATCTGATTGGATTTAATGTAGCCGCGCTGAGGTTTGTGGGGGAGAGGGTGGATGAGATGGGTGTGGTGCGCTTGGAGGATGTGGATAAGATGGATGAGGATGGAAATAGGAAGAAGAGGGCGTTTGTTGATGTTGCGTAAAGGGGGAGGTGTGCATAGAGTACGAACGAAATGCAAAATTTGTCCTCGTTCAATATTTCCTCCTGTCCTCGTTCTTTTCTGCATCCGTATACACATGGTTCGTTCAGATACTCTTCGTTAAATCTATTAAGCTGCAAAGCACGAGGAACAATAATTCATGTACGCAGTGTATTTCACACGGAGTATAAAACGCGTACTCTTAGAATGGACGCCTCCGCCTAGGGAGTTGGAGAGGAACAATGCTTTCGGTCGGATACACGGTATTCTTCTTGGAAAACAGTCTTGAAATACATGAAAGTGTGCCTTCGATGTTTCTCTAGTCTTTTAGTCGTATTGAAATGAGCAGGACATAGGGAATCGATAAGTATTCATCAATCTATGAATCATACGCTAGCACGTCAAGAGGTTGAGCGACCAAGATTTGAAATATCTGACTTTAAGCTTTAGCAATCTACAGCAGCTAGAAATAGTGTCTGTCCGACTCGATATACTTAGTCCTCGAGCGAGTCTTTTTAGTAAAGACTAAAGAATATTGTGTAGTCCTCCAATCTTCCAAAGCGGAACCATAAAACGCATCGAGGCGCATGTAATCCGAAAGAAGAACCTTGAGCTAAAGTTTAGTCCGACCGCCTTCAAAAAAGGTAAAAGTCAGCACCGTGCTGAATTGACGCCTCCCATGCCCATGGAAACGCCTGCCACTGCTGCAGTTCGAACACCCAGAATCGTACACGCACCATTCCAGCCTCTGTCGCCGCACCCACGTGATCGCTCAAGAGAACTTCCACCGATTGCCGCAATTCATGCACTCGCAGAACGTTGTCATCGGTTCGTCAGCGGATCTTGTCTGTGCCTGGCTATAAGAAACCATCTTTTGCTTGCACTTGCCGCACTGGAACTCTTTGGAGATACTCTTCTCGACCTGTGCCACCATCGCTTGGTTCATGTTCTCCTTCTCCAGCTTCTCGTCTTCCGCGCGGCGCTCCGCAGACTTCATTTCGTCATGCGACATGGTGACAAATCGTTCCGGGGTGACTTCGCCGGACCGCACGCGCTTGCGCAGAGAGGGGTTGGACTTGTTCTTGAGGTTCTGGAAGAGGGAGCGCATCTTTTGCTTGTAGCCGTCGTTAGTGGCGCTTCCGGCTTTCTTGAAGGCGGCAGCTTCGACAGCTTTGGCTACGGGAAGGATGTCTTCCGGCACTAGAATTGTCTATCAGCAGCGCAAGGCCATATGACCATGCAAGATACTTACGATCCTCGCTCATGAAAGCCAATCCGTCGTACATTAGCCTTACGCACGCATCCCGCGCATCCACCCCAGTAACCTGATACTTGACATTGTCTGTCTTATGGCTCCGCTTCTCTGGGTCCACGTTGTGCTTCTTCTTGTTAGGCATCGGCGACTGCGTGCCGGAAGCCGGCGCAGGTGACGCAGTGCCATTTGCCATGGGCGCCTTTGGTCGCGCAGCTCCCTTCTTTTGCTTGTTCACCTCTTCTCTCCATTTGGACACCATCTTGTTGGCGAGCGAGGCTACGGCGGGGTCATTGTGTGTGCGCAGCTTGTTTATCGTGACGCCGATCCTTGTCTGTCGCAATAAATCTTCGGTAGGTTTGAGGCCGTTGTCCAGGTCGCTGAGGAGCTTCAGCAGAGAGGAGCTGGGCTCCTTTTCGCTAATAGCCTTGTTGATGGCCTTGCCGCGCAGCTCGACTTCTTTGACGTCCATTGTGGTAGAGTGTCGTGTGCGGTTGTCGATCGGAGGCGAGGAAGCGCAGAGTTTACTTTTGTTGGAGGATTCGAGCGCGGCGACAGAGATATATAAGCGCGAGGAGCGTAGAGGGGCGAGAGAACGGCGCTGGCTGGCGATAACGGTCTGAATGAAGGCATGTTGTCGTTTGCTGTTGTCGGCCCGCATGCTTGGCATTTAGGTCCGTGCGCCGAACCTCATCTTTAGTCGTGACGTTGGGAAGCGCTTCGAAACGTCTAAACCACCTGCGAACGACCAAAACTACGAGACTTGCTACCCTAATCGACCATCAAGAGTCATTGCCACAATGGCGGAGAACGCGCCGCCCGCAAGCGCAGGAAACACAGCGACTGATGCCTCGCGCGGCATGCCCTACTACGAGCGACTGCGACGCGACCTGCGAGAGTCCCTCCAGAGGAAACGCGTGATAGACAACAGCTTGGTGCGTCCTATACAATTCGTTCTCGCGCCGCTCTCTACTTACATCTCCGGTTCAGGCACAACTTGAAGACAACATCCTCCGCGTCGAAACGCAGTACCTCGAAGAGACCAGCGCGGGGAATATCATCAAGGGCTTTGACAACTATATCAAAGGAGCAGCGACGACTTCCACGACAGGCGGAGCGGGCACTGCGACACGGCGGAAGGCCCCGATCAGCGAGGTGGACAGGATATTCAGCCGGAGTTCGAGCAGCTTTCTGAGGGTAAGTCGCTTGGAACTGTCCGTGACGATGGACATATTGCGGACTGTCAGGTGCTTGACCGAACTGTTCGTGTGGCCGACGGTCTGCAGCGCAATATGTCCCCTCGTTGGGGGACTCCGTCTCAATCAAGAGACGTGAGAAGTAGAGGATGCTAACCGTTCTACAGGAAGCATCGACTCCTGGATCGGCGCAGACAACGCCGTCACATGCTCCCACACCGACTTCCTCCTTCCCCACCCGCGAATCCAGTCAGCCGACACCAAACGGAGCCAACAAGGCCGGCGCAGGGAGCAAGAAGAACAAGGCCGGCGATGAGGACGAGGCGGAAGGCAAACCGCCGAAGCGCAGCAAGATTACGTACGGCAGAGAGTGAGGAGGCGGTCTGTTCCTATGGGAAGGAATGGGATACCAGATATGGGATATGCTAGCGCGGTTGCGCGTACTGTATCGCTTGCGAAGCCACTCGGCGGGACCGTTTCACGGCGAGATTGAAAGGTCGATCGACAGAGGCATCCAGGAATTCTGTCCAAACGGTGGTGGCGGCTTGAATTCCTGAGTGGATTGTGGTGGTAGGCGAGGTACCGGATCGACATGCTAAAATCGCGGGGTACCGTCACGGGAGCGGCTTGTTATCTCATTGCGAGATAGAGTACCGGAATGTGCACCTGTCGGAAGCAGCACTGTCCGGTTTCGCAGGTGGAGCTCGTTACTGTTAGGCATTCATCGTCGCTCGCCTCGAGCGATGGAGTGGTTGAGACAGACGGTACGTGATGCTTGGCACAGGGAAGCGCATGAAGCACTGCCCTCCCGCTGTCAATAATGGGTGGGCGCACGCGCCTTCGCATAGAAAGAATGACAACATCAGTCCCTTTAGGGGGCCTCGCATCATCAGCATCAACGGTTTGCTACAGCTACAGCTTCTGCCGAAACCAGGATATAATGCCCGTATAACGCGGCTGCAGGTAAGAGGAAAGAATAGATTAATATTAGACATCTCCGGTCGCTGTTGACGCAACAGCCGCAGGCCGAAAGAGCCACATGGCCGCAACTGCGAAGGCATGCATGCTGTTGAGCTCGTATGTATGCGCGAGCGTCTGTGCCATGCCGTCCTGCTTATGTCTGGGTGTTTTCCAGAAGGCGCAGAAGGAAGGTGCAAGCTGCGTAAGGTCAGGGTTCAGATTGCCTCCATCGTAAACCTGAGACATGGCGCGCGCAAGGGGGGTGTGTCTGTGTGTTCGTTTCCTGCCGCCGCAGTATCGTATCTTCGCATCTATGGATATTGTGGCATGCGCGTTGAGACCAACCGTAACTTGACCGCATGCTTTGGATATGGGCATGGCAGCTGTGCTGTTGATTGTTTCTAACGTGCTGGAGATGATGTTTGCGTGGCAGACCCTTTTCTTACCGGGCGCATGAGCAGTCGTCGTAGCCAGGCAGCAGTACATTGAGGCTGATGTTGTAACTGGTACCTGCACAGACACGAGTGGTGGCAAGTTATTGCGTCGCTGTATCGCGGCACTTTGCGACGGAGTGGGGATGGGGCGTTGAATGGGGGACCCCTATGATGGCATGTCTCTATGCTCGCGTCGTCATTGTGTCTCGTTTTGCCGTCCAATCCACTTCTCGCGAGAGGCGCAGGGCTTCAGGCGCCCTACCTAAGCCCGAACGCAACGCGGACCGAACTTTCGCAGTCAGTCAGCAAGCCAGCAGCCGGAAGGGCCTGCAGCTGTGGTTTTGGGAAGCGAAAGAGGGGGGAGGACAGACGACGAACGAACATTGGCAACCAGCGCGCCGTGAAATTGTAGTGGTCCTCCTATTGTCGCGTCTACCGTACCGCACACCGACTCGGGGAAGAGAACGCAACGAAGCCGCAGATGTAACATCGCCCGCAAGCCCATGTCGCACCGGCTGGGATCCCCCACTACTCAGGCCCTGGAAAGGTCGGGAAAACAGCGCGTAAGGGGCATAATGCGCGCATCAGGGTCCAAAGGGCCAAGCCACCGACGTAATGCTGCAGGCTCCCTGGGCGCGCACAACGAATCGCGCTTCGCTACGGCAGCGTTGTTTTTGTCTGCGCTTTCTTTCTCTCGCAACAGCCCTGGCATCGGGCGCCTGCCCTCCCCCGAAGGGGTCAAATGACAATGCGGCGACGATGATGTCGAGACACTGGCCGGCTTTGCTGTGTGACTATCCGAGCGTGCGGGGACAAGGCTGTGTGCTTATTGCCATAAGGATTCTATATTTTGTTCCGTTTCCTTGGGAACTGCGTCATTTTGCTCGCTGCTTTCGCCTGAAACGAGTGACGGATTCCCTCTAACCCCAAGCCTCTGATGTGAGAAGCCGCCATACATGGCTCCTTTGTACTAGGGTAAACCGTGCGTGAGAGCCCCTCCAATCCAAGCTACTGTACAAACGTCATGCAGCCGCCTCGACGATACCCGAGGTAGGTGCTAAAGAGAGTCTAAAACATTAAAGGGTATAGCGAACGATCGTGACCCGTGTGACCGAGGCATGAAGCCCCGAAGCCAACATGGCAGGTGAAGTGTGAAAAAAGTGAGATAGACAGAAGTGAGAAAAGCCAACCCAAGAGCGTGATACTGATACACACGGGACGAGACGAACTCGCTCGTGAAAAAGGGGTACTCGCGGAAACCAGACTCCAAAAAACGCCGTGGTGGCTCCCTGAGGATGCGCAAAGGGGCCGGGGTACTAGGTATCTCGAAAACCGTAGTGCAGCGACTGATAGAAGAAGATTCGTCTCAGCTCTTTTCGTAAGAGGGTCCCAATCTAGCATCCCAACCAGAACTCGCAGCGCTGCGAAACACGCGACAGAGGATATCTCAAACGCACATGTATCAAACGAAGAGACCGGAAAACAGTGATGAGAGAGCAGATCCGAACGGTTGGCGCACGTGTGGCCGATCGGATGTCAATCGCTCAACAGTGATCGGCGGACTCACGCGTCGTCGGGCGACGGGTGATCTTGGTGATTTTCACCTTTATGAACTTTTCGGTGCCTCCTCAAGTTTGAGACGACCGAGAAATGGCGGCCACAGCCCTCGACTTCGCAGGCAAATGCTACGTATGATTAGCGGCGTCCACGACACTTTGAATGTACACACTCACGCTTCTCTCCAGTGTGACTATACATATGGGTCTGCAGCGAACTCGGACGAGTGAATCGCTTATCGCAGATCTTGCACTTGTGCTTCTTTTGCGAGCTTGACGAAACCTTTGAGCTGAACTGGCCCATCATGGACTGCGGCGCAGGAGGGATGTTTGCTCCCATGAGCGCATTCGGACGGGGCAGTGTTCGCGAGTGGGTGAGGTCGACAGACTCTGACGCGGAGCTATAGTCGGTAACGGAGCCTTCGCCGCCATAGTAGTTCGACGGGTTGTAGCTGGCGGACGAAATCGACGAGTGTGCCGAGTGCGCCGACGGGAAACCGTACGAGTCGGTCGAGCTGCGACTGGACCCTTGGTTGCCATAGATATTCCTCGGGGTGATATCCGCCTGGCTCAAGGAGACCATGCCCCGACTGGCGTCAAGAGCGTCGCTGAAGCTGTTCCGCTGCGGTTGCGAATTCATTCTGCTAAAGTCAACTAATGAACTCTGGCGTTGCCGTTGCGTGTCCATGGCGCTATCAATGAACGTTGCTGAGGGTACTGACGGGTGAGAGGAACGACGGGCAGAATCCTGCTGGTATGCATAGGGGCTGCGTTCGCTGGTGCCATATTCCACCTGAGAATAAGGAGCCGAAGTGGGGGCGTACGTGTTTGTATTTGGAGAAGCAGATGAACCGTATCCACCTGTGTAACTCCGCGATAGGAGATCTTGCGGCGCGTCTAGTAAGCTCTCTGCTGCGAAGGTTCCATCCGGGAGGGTAATACCTGATCCTAGAGACGGGGCCGTCACCGGAAGGCCATGGTACGGAATGGCAATGCTGGTCGGCCGCTGTACTGGCTGCGTCTGCGATGGCGCATGGGTCTCGAGTCCGCTCGACACGTTCGTGGCGAGCGAAGTTTGGTACATCTGCTGCTGCGAGGGCGCAGCCGACACCCACGGGTTCGTGAAGTGCGGTTGTGGGTAACGCAGAGGATCGTAGCCCATGCCGTTGAGCTGGGACTGCTGGCGATTATCGACGGCCATTGCCATAGCGGAAATAAAGCTGAGATAGAAGGGAGTCCCTTTTCAACGGTGAAGGAGGTACAAGGCCAGCAAAGAGGGAGCTATCGTGGGAGCACGAAGCCCGGAGGGTCCAAAGGTGAAACAGGATGGTTCGAGGGTCGAGAAACGTGGGGACAGACGATCACTGGCACGCAGACGTGGGATCTGCGGGCCTTTTGAACTCGAGTCTGACAACTGGGAACACCCGTCTACAGGGCTTCCGTTCGGAGTAATGATGAACGCTTCGGGATGCTGATCGCAAGGCCGCTACCTGCGCAGGCGCCGTGGCAGTGGACCACAGAGATTGAGTTTTTGGGCGCTGCGGACGCAGATGACGGAGCGGGATATGCTCGAGCGTTTCAAATGCAGCGCAGAGTGTGGAGAAGCTGGCGGCTGTCGTCGAGCGGGCGCAGGGGCGGAGCGCCGGCGAGCAGAGGGTGGTGCGGTGAGGGTGTGGATGGGGTCGGCCGGGTGCCAACGTTTACTGGCTAGCACGATGGGGCACGAGCGACAAAGAAGAAAGGATGCTCAGCGGACGACGATGGATAGAGTATGGATAGTCTGACGGCGGAGAAGTAGCTGGCGACGGTTTGGAATTGAGTGAGCATTTGAGGCAGTGACTGTTGATCGGCGGGCATCAATTGGGGAGGGCTGATTGATAAATTCGGCTGCTTGGTCTACGTCGTTTGGCTCACAGCACATTCATCATAGGCTGGCAGCCAAGGCCAGGAGGGCAGGCTGGCTCAAGCGTAGCCACCACCGCTAGAGACCCCGGACAGACTAGGTGAGCGTGCAGGACAGGGCCCCTCTCAGGCGCCGCTAGCACCGCGATTATTCTCGAGGCTGCTTTAGGGGTGGTGGGGAGCGCGGGCCTGTCGCTGTTGCGCCCAGTGACGGCTGGTGCTATCGCGACGAGGAGCGCCCAGCGCCCACTGCCCACTGCCGCTGGCCACACAGGGCCGCCCGCGGGAGCGCTGGCTCCGGCGGCGGCGGCGGCGGTGGTGGTGGAGGCCTCGGGGGTTGCGCCGGCAGCTTCAAGCATTCATCATCGCGCTGGACGGCGGGCGGGCGGGCGAATCAGGGCGCGGTGGAGGCGGGAGGGTGCCTTTTGCCTTTTGTTTTGGCGTGCCGCCACTGGAGCGCAGGGACCCCGTCCCGGCGTGGTCCATTCACTGCTCAGCGCTCTTGCTGCTTCGGGCCGCTTGGCGCTCCTGAAACCGTATTAAGTAAGGGGCGCTAGCCGCATCCGCGAGGACAGCATTCTCAAATCCTGCTCGCCGCCCGCTGCTAGCCCACCTGTCGACGTTGCGTTAATTCTCCGGCCCTCAGCTGACGGCCGTGCTCGTTCTGCCTCTGATCCGCCGCTCCTCGAGCAGCCTGCACCGCATGGAGCAGAGGGTCGGGGAGCGTCCACCTGCAAATTGGCGGTATTCGGTATTCGGTCCGCGAGAGACAATCCCCCCCCTCCCTCTGCGAGGACTAGGGCACCTTTGGGCCGAAGCACTGTGGCCGGCTCCCTAGTCTTTGGGACCGCTCCCCCTAACACCACCGCTCTCACCATCCATCCCGTCGACACTCGGACCCATGGAAATTAGCCTCCCCTGACCAGCGGCCCTGCGCGGCGCGTCAAGCAATGGGCAGGCGTTTGATCGCCGTCTATATTCCTTTTCGGCACTGCGCAGGGAGCTTAACCAGATTGCGGCCCTCGCACTGGTCACGAGCCGGGCCATACAATCTCGGGACATGCCAGCCCGTCACCGAGCAGCCTGCGCGGCCAATGGCGGCCGGCCATGGCTCTCCTGGCGTGGAGGACATGGTGGGCTGTCGCCGTACCTGCTTCGCACAGGGCATTCCGCTCTTGGGCAGCGCTGAGTCCGCCCGCAAGCCAATTAATGAAGCCCTGCTTGGCTCCATCAGGCCCAATTCCGCGCTCCAGGGCTCCCTCAAACGACATGATGTAAACGTGCCAGACGTCGACGCTAATGAGCCAATGCGGGCGTAGTAGGGCAAGGCTGCGGTACGTATCCCGACAGTCCAGGTGACAGCGACTCTAGGTGCTGTATCTCCGCAGCCCGACCCTGAGCGCCTTCCCGCCTACACGTTACTAGTTGCAGCCCTATTGCTGATGACGACGGAGCTGCTAGTGCTCATATACGGTACGATGAGAGCCAAGCCGACGCATGCTCGGTGTGACACGGGCGTGGAGAGGGCTGCGGTAGGGGCAATGTCGTCATTCGAACGAGCACAAAAGCACCTCTTTCTGCCGGCTCCGCCCTTGGCGCAGCGTCGTGGGCAGGCAGCCTTCCAATTGGCCGGGCGTTTGACACGGCCAGGTCAGACACGGGGCCAACCGTTCGGATCTCAGCGTCATCTTGCATGTGCCCAAGTCAGACTTCACGCACATCTTCCCGCGCCTGACCCTTGCAACGCCTTCCACCACTTCAGCGCGCCACCCAAACTTTCAAGTCACCGTCCACCACACGAGTATGCCCGATTTCGACGCCTGCAGCATGGCGCTGGACTTGTCGAGGGTTTTGCAAGAGCCGACGCCGATGTGTATCTGCCAGCGGGTGCATCTGTCTCCGCCGTGGCGATCCAGTCAATCAACGCGACGGGGGCTGCCATCTCACCGCTCTGGTCGCAACGCTCGTGAATGGCTGAGTTGTGCACCAAAGGGCCGCCTTGCAGCACCGCTCCCTTGACCTTCTCCGCCCTCCTGCAGGGCTGCGAATGCTTGAAGCCGTTAACTGCGCACCCTGCAGTTATGGCTCGCTTGTCGAATTCCTCGGTGTACAGTACCGTCGTATCGATGCTTGCCACCACAGTGATGCAATCGTCCCAGCCCTGTCGGTGCGACACGCTGTTAGACAGAATCATGTCCCTCGTATCTCGAGTGATGCGATTCCAAGTTCGTTGTGCAACGCTCGCCCACGAACTGCTCCATGGCGCCGACCCGGCGCGGGCAACTCGATACTAGCGTTGGCCCATCAAGTGCACGGCAGGAATGTGCATGCTTGGAGCACTCGCGGGCTGGCGTTTCGGCCAACCAGCAGACCCAGCCTTCTCCGTCCAAGCAATGATTTCCAGGGTTGCTGTACTCGGCACTCCGCGGTGGGCAGACCCTGCATTCGACGAGCTACCTGACGAACACAGTTTAGCCGTTGCCTATTCGCACCTTCCCCAAGTGCACCATGGTTTATTTCCGCGGCAATGGCATTGCCTATTCTGCGCTTCTGCGACGCTCCAAGTCGACAACTGTGGGGAGTCTCCATTATTCCGATGCGAATTCCACGGTTTGCGATGTGATCAACAATCGCATTCCTCAGCAGGAATCGTCTCAACCAGACGCGCGGCGCTGCCAGATCCCTCGTTCTGTTGTCTAGGATGACATTCCGCAAAGCACACTGACATTTATTCCCGAGTTCTGCGCGTGCGCGCTAATTTGCTTCCTTCTTGCGTAACCCTTTAGCAAAACTTTGTCACCGCAATTTATCAAGTAAACAAGAGAGGCACTGGGATGTGCCGAAGCAAGAAAGCCGAGTCGGTATGTCACCTGAAGTCGACAGCGGAGACAGCCGTCCGTTCAATGGACGGCGACCGAGAGAGACCCTGGTTGAGCCGCCCGATACTTTGGTGCGTCCGCGACTTGGACCATGTCAGTTGTGGTGGCCGAGTGTTCATCAGTCCATCTGCTGCTATTGCCTCGATATCGATTCGTTCGGGCCTTCGCCGGGCATCCACGTGCGGCAGGGAAAATCTTCAGAATTTCCAGCTATCTGTACTGATCTCCGTCGCGGCCTCGAGCGCGCAGTCCAGGAAATTGGGAATTGGCCGCATTCGGTTCGTCTGCATCTGAGCGCAGCGAAGCACACGGGCATGGCGCGATTCGCAGATCTCAATAATCTCCCTCCCGCACCTAGCTTCCATCACGCCGTTGGCTTTTTGGCTCCAGCATTTCCCCTTTTGATCCCAGGATTTATTGAAACCCGCGGAGAATATTTGACAAGCTGCGATGGCGTTCGATAGATCCTGAGTTTAATTCGACGTCGTGTCATGGTTCTGCGGTGGGTGTGCACCGACCGGGGATTCCATTGGCAGACCGCATGTTCTTCCAGGTGTAAATCGCCCTGGAGCACGCGCATCCTGCAAGTAAAAGCCCGCGCTCCCCATTTTGTGCCGGCTGCTGCATGTACAGCACGGTTGTAGGCAATCACGTTCGAATGCCTCTAAACAACGATGCGCTAAATCGCCCCAAGGCCGTGCCAATAAAAGTGAGGCTGCTAAGGTCGCCGACCTGAAGTGTCCAATCACGGCCCACTTCAGACGTCGAACCACCATCTGGATGCCGTATTATCATCACGAAGAATTGGCTAAGCAACCGCGTTCGAGATCCGACGTGTGAGGACTGCGACTTCTAGACCGGTGCGCCAACCCACGATAGAGCTCGCATTCGCGGCAAAATACGTGAAAAGGAGGCGGGACGCAGCGGGCGTCGGTGAATGCTGGCTCATGCAGGACGCCCGACACGGTAAGAGGTAGGAGCAAATCTCATCCAGCTCCTCGTTCTCGACTGTGATGGGTCGTCAAAAACAACGAGTTCTTTTCCACTTCACGTTTGGGACCGTGGAGTAACGGTGCGTTCACTGTCGCGAAGTCGCGTCTGCGATAACGATGGTCTGCCGGCCGGTGACTCTCTATTGTGTGTTCCCATCTCCATAGCCACACTCGAGCTCTGGTCAGGCTCGGGAGGGGCACGAGAGAGGGCGGGTTCTACCTCCTTTTCGAGTTTCTGCATGTTCTCGAGGGTCAGGGGTAACTGGGGTTCTTCTTGGGGCCCCTGATAGCTGCTATGCCGGTGTACCTGGGGCCGGGGTCCCGTGAGGGAGAGGAGCTTTTCGTCTCGTGAGCTTGACGCCATCTCCTCAGCGTGGATTCGTCGCATGGCTCGGTCACCATCGGTTTCGGAGGATTTGGCCAAGGCGTTGTCACTTTGGAAGTGCAGGCGGTCAAGCTCAGCCGTCAACGATGCAGATTGCGCCGCCGTTTCAGATTCGCCCGAAAGCTGCGAGGTTTTCGGTTGATCATTGAGGTTTTGGGCAGTTGCACTAGGGCTCGCATTTGATGGGGCCGTGCCGCGTCGTTGATCTTTGTCTTTTCTGGAATGGGAGGCCTTGGCGGATTTGCGTCTTCCCTGAACCGCCCACTTCACCAGCATTCGCTCGAGGAGTCTGCCTTTGACTGGCTTCGCTAAATCTGCATGCAAGCTCAGCATCTCTGGACTGACGATAAGGGGAGCCACTTACAATCATCCATCCCAGCCTGCTGGCATTTCTCCTTGTCCCCCTGAATAGCTGATGCAGTCATCGCAATGATTGGGACGGTCCGAACATCGGGCATGTGCTTGAAGTCCGTTCGGATGGCCTGGGTAGCCTGATAGCCGTCCAGAAGAGGCATCTGCAGAGATTTCTCAGTAAGCGCTCTATGCGAGTGTACATTGGTTCATACCTGGACATCCATCAGGATAATATCGGGACGGGGATGGTCAGGCGATGGTTCCCGCGCAAGGTAGTCAAGGGCTTCCTGTCCGTTCCACACGGCATTGACACTAAAGTGCAACTTCTCGATAGTCTTCAGGGCAATCTGTTGGTTGATTTGACTGATGCATGTAATTAGCCAGACTATGGGAAAAGGGGGGTAAGAGGTGGAGTGTAACTGACTTGTCCTCAACGACCAGTATGTGGACTTTCTTCCTCTCGCTCTCTGAAAGGTTGACCAGGTGTTCTGGAATACTCGTATCCACCATCGGTGGCACCATGGCCTGAGAATCCCCGCGATCACGGGAGTTCTTGACGCTGCCGTTATAGCGTTTTGGAGTCAGCGGCGGGGTGTGATCGTCCGAACTTCCGCAAGACACCGAGACGTCAGCCTGCAGTCGATCAGGGATCGAGGCAAGATCGATTAACGGTGAGCCATCGTCCTGGTACGGTGCTCTGTTAAAAGGGATGAAGAAGGTTGCTGTCGTTCCCTGGCCCAATCTCGACTCTAATGCGATGTCTCCACGCATCAATTGGACGAGCTAAGAGGACGTCAGTTTCCTCTCCTGTGTCAGTGTCAGGGACCAACTTATCAACTCACATTTTTGCTGATTGTCAGTCCTAGACCAGTTCCTCCAAATCGACGAGCCGTAGACGAGTCCGCTTGACTGAAAGGCTGGAATAAGAGCTTGCGAACCTCCTCTTCGATTCCGATACCCGTATCTTCGACTACGAAGTTGACAGTCACTGTCTCCTCAGTCTTGTGCGTGATCGATACCGCGAGCCGGACGTACCCCTCCGACGTGAACTTGATACTGTTGGTTAGCACATTGGTCAGGATTTGCCTCAACCGCCCTGGATCCCCCATGACCCTCAAGTCTCGTTCGACTTCTGGTTGGATAAAGCTCTCATATGCAATGTTCTTCCTCTGGGCTGCAAAAGCCATCATCTTGTTGACGTCTCGGAGAACAACCGATAGGCTGAACTGCACCTCTTCTACGTCCAGGCGCCCTGACTCGACCTTGGAAAAATCTAGGATATCGTTGATGACGGTAAGCAAGCCGTTCGCGGATTGCTGGATGTTCTCTGCGCATTCCTCCTGCTCAACATCGAGGTCAGTGTCCAACAGGAGCTCGCTCATCCCGATTACCCCGGCGATAGGAGTCCGAATTTCGTGCGACATGTTTGCGAGGAATTGACTCTTCATGGAGCTCGCCTCTTTCGCTGCCGCTGCCTTAGCCAACAATCTGCTATTTTCCTTCTCCTGCTTGCGGAGCTGGTTCTCTCTTTCCCGCAGTTCGGTCACGTCCATCGATACGCCGATCACGCCGTCGATGTAAGAGTCGCCTTCTATGCCTCCAACCCTCGATCTGCTCCACAATGGTACGAGTCGCGTGCGGTAATAGCGTTCCTTCTGCATGATCCTCTCAACAATTTCGTCCTGAGCTTTGCCCTCCAATATCTCTTGAATTGGTCGCTTCCAGCGCTCGACCCCCCCATTGGCTTTGTCATGAGCGAAAACCTTGTAAATATTCTTCCCCAGGGCCTTCTCAGTGCTTTCTTCGTTGCCCAATCTCATACCGCCCTCTAATAATATTAACTCGCTCTGCCTGTTGACGACCCACAGGGTTACTTTCGCATGCTCGATAACGCGAAGAAGCTGGCTCTTGGTCTGATGAGCAGACTGTCGAGCCTCTACCAAGTCGTGGATGTCTGTGCACGTCCCAAACCACTTCACGATACATCCCTTGTCATCGTAAAACGGGAGAGCTCGGCCTAGCATCCACCTCCATGCTCCGTCATGCCGCTTAGCTCGGTATTCCGTAATATATTCTTCGCCGGTTTGCAGAGAATGTGCCCATCTTGCCGAGGTCGCAGTCATGTCTTCCGCATGAAAGACGTTTCTCCATCCTTCTCCTAGTGACTCTTCCATGGTCAGCCCGGTGTAATCGATCCATCGTTGTGAGAACCAGTCATGCGCGCCGTCCGGCTTTGTTGTCCATACCATTACAGGCATGAAATTCGCAATAGATTCGAATTGTCGTTCGTTCTCCTCAAGCTGGGCTGCGATTTTCCTAGCGTATTCGGTGACGTCTTTGAAAATGACAATTCCGCCCAGGAACTCGCCTGTCTCGTCATGTAGCACGGGTTCGCCTGTAACATCGAAAACGATTCGATTCCCTGTATTCGGATTCCGCATTCCGATTCTTCGGCCACGCAGGCGTTGTCGGCTGCGGCAAAGCTCCATAATCGGAAACTCGTCTAAAGCTAACTCTCGTTCGTAATCTTCAGTCCAGAGGGTGAATTGCCCTAAGAAGGCTCTCTGATCGCCTAGGTTTTCGATCCCGTCCTGGGGCAAAAGTCGTAGAAGCGCTTTATTGGGTATACCAAAGCTCTCGTCTTTCCACATGGCTGCGAATCATCTTAGCGGTCGTGACCATATGGTACAGAAGGAAAGACAAAACTGGCAAGGGGTAGGGCTGAGCAACGAACCATACGCGGGCATGCTGATGGAATTCAGTATCGCATCCTTCATCTGAGAGGCTTTCTGGAAGATGGAAGCGGACGTAGAGATGTCATGCTTGCTCTTTGGAGGTGGCCCACGAGGAGGGAACTCTACTTGATGAAACGTCGGCGTCACGGCTTTGGAGGTAGGATTTGAATTTGGTCCTGATCGTGGTCCGGACGAAGAACTTGACGCTGAGCTTCGGGAGGCGTTCAGGTTCGTCGCAGTAGCCGTTCTAGTCACTATGCGGCTCGACGGGCGTGACGTGTGGATAGCGTCAGTTGGATGAGCACTTGTGAAGGTCAACGTGAAGTATTGGGTGTCTTCGATGCTCCAGACGGATACAATCAGCGTAGCCTGAAGTGCCTCGTCGTATATGGTAGCCTTGTTGGTTGGAGCTTTGTTGCAAGTGCCAGCACCGAATGGTGCTATGACCACATCGACAGCGACGTCGTGGACTGTAGCTTTCGCCAAATTGGAACTACTTAGCCGGGGTAGTTTGGGCATTGACTCCACACGATCCTGTAGAGCCGTCAATGCGGTGGGCGTACTAGCGCCGCTTTCTGAAGGGGCTTGATGGCCATCAGCATGTCCGCCTGGATGTGACGCGGAATCACTGACAACAGAGTCGAGGAAGTCCTATCCAACAATTAGCAGCGACGTCTGCAATTTGCCCTACTGTGTAACACCAACCTCCCACGACACAAGAATCGGCGAGCCGTTCTGCAATATATCGACCCCCAGTTCGGCTATGCTCTTGCCTTCCAGAATGTCCGTGACCGTGGACCCTTGCGTAGCAGTGCACTCGAACTCTATCCCGAGCAAGCGAGCCATGGCCTCATTGGCAAGAACGACTGTCTTCTGTGCGGATAAGACGAGGAGCGGTATCGGTAAATATTGGAGGGCAGTCAACGCTGCCGTTGTCGACGAAGGCACCGAGGGTAATTCAAGAGGCAGAGGATCGTTGCAGTCACTCGACGCCGGCGAACGCGCTGCGCCGCCCCGCAGGTTGAAGTAACTCCCGTCCATGGAGGTTGATATATCTTCCGCATCCAGGTACAATGTTATGCCATGGAGGTCGCTAGATGTGAACTGGATGCGACCGGAACGCCTTTACTCCAGCCTGGAAATATGAAGCGAACACTTCACCGAGACACAGAAGGGACCAGTGTCAAAACTCGATGCAAACGAGAGGAGGGCGTGAAAAGAACTTGAGGGTCCACGTTGGTTTTGTTATTTCGAGCGTGCGGAGGTAGCGCGGGTTGTACCTCCAAGTCCAGATTCGGAACGTCGATCGTTCGGTCTGGCGTTGGTCTAGGCCCCGCCGCTATGTTTGGGATACGGCGCGCCAGTAAGAGTATCCGCAGCTATTATTGAGTAACCAGGAACACGGAGGGGTTTGGACAAGACGAGGAGAGAGGAGCAGGCTGTGAATGCGTGAGCTGTCACAAGAGGGAGGCCGGAGTGGTTGAGGGTGGAGGGGCAGGAGCCGCAAGCATGTGGGTTCCAGAACCATTGCGGCGACGGGGAAAATGCCATATGACGTCTTTTGGGAAGGCGGGCTATTGAAAGAGACAGCGGATGCTGGGGATCGTTCGCCGGCCGGCTGGCGCGGAGCTGGCCCCTCGCCCCTCGCCCCGCAATTCGACACGGCATATTGGGGAGTTTGAGGGCAAGCGCGAAGCTGGGGGAGGACTGCACTTTTAAACGGACCCTTGAAGGTGCTTGACCCTTGCCGATCCGCAAGGCGATCATCGTGAGACCGTCACATAGCTTTGGCAACACATTGTCGCCAGACGCGGAGGTTGTTGAGTTTCAAATGGCACTCCTGCGCTCGGTTTTCTTCGGAGAATTCGGTCATACCACTTTTACGCCAGCTGCTCTTCTGCCAGTCAGCCGATTTGCGCCGTCCGTCTTCTTGGACGTTGATGACAGCACCCCTGCTTGCAGGCTTCACGATCGGGACGCGGACCCACCAACCGCATCGCCCTTTGCAGCTGCCTGGTCTGATTGCTGCAGGCAGGGTCCGGGTCGGATATGCAGACCGAAGCCTTTTGCGACACTTCTTCCCGTGTTCTCAAGCTTCCGAGGCATTAGAGAGCAATAGAGTAGCAGAATGTGTGACTCGCCCGCAGTCCTACTCACGTGACCGAATGCCAAGTATCGAGCTCGGAAACTCCAGCTGTCTTCAGAGCAGGCGGCAGCATCACCGAAATCTCGCACGAATCCCGCAAGAGCACAGCGCAATTCTCTGCCTACCGCGCATCGCTAGGAAGCCGATTCTCCACTCTTCAAAATGGTGTTCTTCGGTCTCGGCGGCCTCCTATACGGTACTCGACTTCCACGAACCATCTACTGACCATCCTACTGACCTTCGCAGTCTCGGTCCTCCTCATAAACGCCATAGCAATCCTCTCCGAAGACCGCTTCCTCGCACGTAGTACGTCTTCCCGCACCGAAAGAACCCCTACGCCTATGATCTACTGCGCCCGACGAGCATGCAACCGCCAGACAAACCTATGGATGGCTAACACGGGATATAGTTGGCTGGACAGCCTCGGCAGACCCCGGCTTCGGCGGCCAACGCGACGATGCGAGCGTAAAGGCGCGACTGGTCAACCTAGTATCTTCGGTGCGGACGTTGATGAGGAGTACGTCCCTTTCCTCTTGCAGAACCTGGAGAACCGGCAGAGCAAAAGACAAAGGGGATTGGATGTATACTTACGTGGAGCAGTACCGCTCATGTTCATCAACACGGCAATGATCATATACCTCCTGATATTCGGATGAGAGCACCACGCGTGCGCCACCGCCTTTCAGCGGCACATGAAAAGGACAAGGGGACGCCCTGGGCGTGGGGAGGCATGTAATTGATATTGAGCTGTTGGCGCTGGTCTGGCAGCAGAGAAAGAATGTCGTACACGGTAGATTGATAGCGCATCACTACCGGCACGGCGTAAACCGTGTGAAAGGGCTGGATTGCGAAGGTTGGACCGTTGATTGAGGCTGGGCCCGAGTGCCACGAATGAACACCGTCCAAGTTCGCTACGCATTTCGACCACTCTATAAGAATGAATTGCTCATGGATGGCAACTAACCATCCCATCCTCATCGCTATGGACAAATCGAGTCGCTACCAAGAATGCGCACACCTGTCCCGTTCAGTGCCTTGAAATGCCAAACTCGCTTTCTCTGAACCCAACGTCTGCATCCCTCATGCCTCATATCATGCGAGAATCTGCCATGTACATAAGCTAAAAAAGTAAATGATGATTGTGATCATCCAGCGGAGCATCAACGCCCCCATAGCCCGCAGATCTTTGTTTTGTGGTTGAGAGATATATCCGATAAGTGAAGAAGACAATATACACAAGATCCGCGCCAAATGTAAATACAGATGCTGAATGGGATCGCCAATGACGGGTGCCTCCGTCTGGGGTGTTGAGAATGACGATCGTGTCGATTGATGCCATTAGAGGTGGAATGTCGACTTCTTGCGCCCCAGGCTGAACCGGTTCTTCTTCTCCTTTTCCGCTTTATCAGGTGTCGCCAGGGGAGTGGCGCTGCCACCTTCTGTGTCTACGCCGGGTATGCTAGGAGTATCGTGCTCACCCGACTCGTCGTGCTTGTCTTTCCCGCCTGGCCAAAACTTCGGCTTGTGACGTAAGCTCATAGAGCTGTGTCTGAACCTGCTCAAGCCGGTCTTGCTTCCAAAGCCGTTTGCCTTCTCCGCTTCTTTCTCATGGTCTACTCCCGTTCCTTCGTACCTCTTCTTATTCTCCTCGTTCGCCGTGAGTCGAGATGCTGCAAGCGCCTGGCGGAGTTCCTCCTCTTGTCTGCGGTAGTTCTCCCTGCGTTGTGTTTCCATCTCTTTGCGCTTCTGCTTGGCTTGCTTTTCTAGCTCCTTCTCCTGTGCCTTGCGCTCTTTCTCTTCCTTGGCCCTTTCTGCCTTCTCTTTTTTGGACTGGAGGTTGCTCTTTCGCGTACCCAATATCGGAATGCTCGTCGCTATGTGATCCAGGGAATTGTGCTCGTGGGGTAACAGTGGTGCTGTCGGCGCGTGGCTTAGGCTCGCAAAGTGATTGTCCTGCTCTGCAATAGGTGTTGTCGAATGCATAAGGGGGTGCCCATTCACAACGCCATTCGCTTTCGGCGTCGTAACAGTGACTGTCTCTGCGGTCGCCTCAGTCGCCTGCTTCGCAGCAGCCAGACCCTCGTCCTCCAGTTCTCGCTGCATCGCCTCCTCCGTCGTCTCTTGGTAGAAAAGGACATAGGCGCACGCAAGCGCATTTGCACCTCCGAAAAAGTTCCGAACATACGCCTTATCCACAGGCTCCACGAGCTCGTCATCGAATAGCAGCCATCCCCTGTCCTGCGTCTTGATGATCGATACGTAGTGTCCGTGGTAAGGTCCGCCTCCTATGTGGACCACTACTGCATACAACTCGTATAGTCTATCCGGATCTTCCGCATCATCGGTCGTGTTGAATAACCGCAAATAGTAGGGGTATACTACGCGGTGAAACAGCTTCTGTAAACGCTGTAGATCCTCGGTATATTTGAATCTCTTCAGATGCAGCGCAAGAATTTTTGGTAGTCGCTTGATCTTCATCCTCTTCTCCGCCTCTTGCAATCCTCCGCAATTATCGCAGTGAAACTTGTTACGTTCGCAAAGCATTTCCTCCTCGGAGAACTTTCGCAGGCAGCTCGTCACTGACGAGTGCTGGTCCAAATCGACGGACAGGTCCAGGAAAGCTTCATCTCTTTGCGAAGTGTTCTCGCAGGTCAGACATCTTGTTTCAGATGTCAGTGTGCCTTCGAAAAGTTCGTGTACCCAGCCCGTTGTGCTCGACATCGTCGACGTCCGATCTGGCACGACCACGCCAGAATTTACTGTCAGGCCATTGGCTTCTGAATGGCCGATTTCCTGTATTCGCGACTTGGAAAAGTGCTCCACGTTCTCCACCACCTCGTTTAAGAGCAGGTTTAAGAACTCGTGCGCATCTTGGTGCATCGCGGTGCGAAACATCTCATTCTCTCGCCGCAGGATTTCGAGGAACTTGTGCGGGCTCACCACGCCAATATGTGACCTATGTGCAATTATTGCCTCAAATATGTCCTTTAGCGAGGTGAAAAGAGACTCGGACATGCCGTATGCCTTTGAGTTCTCGTAGTCCATGGTTAATACAGGGCCTGCCGCTAGCGCTTGCTTCTTCTTGTACTCGGGCGAGTCCTTGTTATCCTCGGGTTTGGTGGCCTGGGGGTTTACGGCGCCCCCGGGGGTTGTTACGGGCTTCCTGGGTGACGCTGTGCTCGGGCTGGATACCGAGTTCCTTCCCTTGGGCGAGAGGGCCGAGTTTTGGCCATTTGCGGTAGGCATCAGGTCGGTGTTCAATCGCGGTAAAGGTGCGTTCGCGGGCCGCTCGAGGGCTTCCGGCGGTGATCTGGAGGGAAAGTGGATGACCTGTTCCCGGAACGGGACCGAGTAGTATAGACATTGTATTATAGAGTTGCAGTAACTGGAGGCCAGCATGTGAGCGCATGTCGTTGTGAGCATCGGAGGGCGTCAGTTACCATGTGCTTCCAAACTACGGAAAAAGCGGCAAATCAGCGAACTTGGTACAGAGCAACGAGGGACACAGATTCCTTACGTTTTCAAAGCCAAAGAACTTGTCGCTACCGTCGCCGCGTATTGGGCCCGCATCGGCGAGGAGCTTCTCGAGAGGGGTCAGTTGTGGGGCATGGGGGTCCTTCTTCGCAGGCGGATTGCTCGACGCAGGGCTCGCCGGACTCTGTAGTTGCGTGCACGTCAGCCATTGCGCGCCTGCGCGAGAGGAGCGTGCGAAGTACTGACCGTGCCAGACTTTAGCCTCCCGAAGAACGATGTCATGGCGGCGAAGGCCGACCACGCAGGCAGGAGATGCGGCGGCGGTGGGTAAGGCGAGGTCGCGCAAGCATGCGGCGAGTTTAGGCGGCGGGCTGGCGGGCGACGGCAGGCGATGGGCGATTCCCCAGGCAGCAGAAGGCGGTGGTGTGCAGCATCGGGTAGGAGATGGAGCGACGGCACACTGAGGCAGACGAAGGCTGCGCGACGGGGTGGCAGAGACGGGCGGCTTGGAGCTAAGAATACCCAGCACACACGCGAAGGTTCGAGGAAAGGCAACTCCGACCGGGAAACGGGGTCCAATAGGAAAGGCGCCCCGCCACGAGGGCTCCAGCCGTCTGGTTGACAACCTCCACTTTGCAGCCCACCGCAGGCGAGCCCACGGAGACTCCGCCCGTCCAGGGCCGTGATGGCGTTGCAGCGCATTACCACGTTGCTGCGGGGCTGCTGGCGGCGTCTGCCAGCGCTCGCCAGTCCATCGCGGCTCGCGCAATCGCCCTGCCGACGAGCCTGTGCCTGGTGGAACAATGTTCGCTGCACGCCTGCTGAGGCTAAAGTCCACCACTCATGCACGCCCTTCCACCCCCATTCTAGAACAAGACTGCTGCACAAGCATTTGGCGCCGTGTGAAGAACGGCTTTGCTAGCTTGAGTCTGGCCCTTGGGCGCACTTCAGCACTGCTCCCAACACCTCGTGATCACCGGTGCAACAATAAGCCCAATCAGCTGATAGACTGTGCGACCCCCGCCAGCTAGCAACCAGAGCTTCAGTACAGCGGCCTCATTTGTTCGAGTTCTACATGATCTAGTAACAGAAAGTACAACAAGGTGGGATATCAGGTGTGCCCGACCACGCCAGCCGCCGGCAAATCCTTCACAGCGTGCCGCCCAGTCGAGAACGCCTCATGCCGGTCCCATGATGCAGTGCCGCACCTATGTATATAATGCACGCCCAGAAGAGGGGACTGAAGCCTTTCATCCGGACACGAACTTCGACAACAGGCTCCGCTGAGCAGATTTCGATGAATGGCAGAACGAAACCCGACGCCACAGGAAATGCTGGATGCCGCGCAGGTTATGCAAAGTAAAAACGCATGAAAAAAAAATACAGTGAACGAAATTCACATATGTTGCTCACAGCCGTCGTAAGCGCTTGCCGGCGCCCAATTCGATCGCGGTGCGACTGTTCAGGATTCTGTCTTCATTGCCATCAGGAGGCGGGTGACTCTGAATGTACTCTCGTCGTATTTGTGCCGCCTTCTTGTCCCAGTCAGCGACACGCTCCTTGAAAGTTGCTGCATTTGCGGCCGCATCGTCTCGAGCGCTCTGGGTCTGGTCGAGGTACGGTTTCTTGATCTCAGGGCTCGCCGTTCGCCACATGAGGCCAAGAGCGGTGCGGATCTCTGTTTTGGAAGCCTTTGCGTTTGGGTCGCCGGTAGCAGCCCTACGCTTTTCGCCGCAGTTCCCTTTGCATTCGTACCAGTAGTCTTTCGTGAAAAGCAGGAAAGGGTCTGAAGAAGACAGTATATTAGCACAAGTCCAAATTTTAGGACAGGAGACAAAGGGATTCAACACTGGACTATCATGGATGGGCAGCCCCATAGCGTTCACCCCTGAAGGGCTTCAGCGCACGGGCTAGTACAACATAGATAGTCTAGCATGTTTCTCCCAATTCTACTTACTGACGCTAGCACGCCCGGGTTTGATAGGGCGCTCGCCGATTTTGCTTAAGAGCTCTCCAATAATTGATGCTTCATAGTCCTCGTCCAGTTGTAGCCGTGCATTCTTGCTCTCATGTTCTATGACGTCTACCTCGACCTTGCGTTTCGGGTCTAAGGCCGGATATTGGGACGGATGCTCGAGCTTCACTCGCTTCTCGATCAAAGGGCTGGGAACCTTGATAGGGCCTATCATAGTTTCAACGACTTCGGCGGCCGCCCGTAGACCGGACAGATAGGCGCCATGAACAGTTGCTGGATGAGTGCCACATGTGGCTTCACCAGCGAAGTGAAGGGGCCCATGCGGCCTCGCCATGACATCGTAGTCACCTGCCTGAGTCTGCGGTCCCACGTATGAGTAGCTCCCACGAGCGAAAGGGTCCTTTTTCCAGCGGGTAACGATGGCCTCAGTCGGGAGGGGAACGGGATTCGGGGCGAACATTTTGTCCAGTCGGTCCGTAACGTCTTTGATGAGTTCGTCGTTAGAGCAGGTTTCGGCATAGTGAGCCGCCTCTCCCGCCATGAGAGCGACGAGTGTAGGTTTGCCGCTCGTCTTGATGCAGTTCCAGAATAGATAGAATCGGCCTCGCCGAGAAGCGTAGTCTTCTGGATTCAAGCTCCCTTGATGTTCTGCTTCGTTCAGCAACCCGAACATATCACGATCCGACTCCCAGAAGGCTTTCTCGTAGACTAGAATGATCTGAGCACGTTAATGGATGCACGTATGCTATGGTCCGATCGCTGCGTACCTTGTTAAGCAGACCAAAGCCCATCCGCTCAATAACTCCCCGCTTCCAGTCTGGCAGCGGTGGCTGGAATGTGATTGATCCAGACTTCAGCACGCCAAGCGGTGTAGTCATAACGATCTGGTCTGCCTCAAATGTCTCGCCGTTGGTGCATTCGACCCGCACTGCTTCCCCAACGCCTCGATCTTCCGCGTTATAGTGGACTGACTTGACGACAGTGCTGAACCGGACGTCAAGCTTGCTAGGTAATTGCCAAAGGCCGCGTGGCACTTGCTGGTAGCCGCCGATGATCTCGGTGTGCTCGCCTTCGAATTCGTTGCCGATGTCCTGATCCCATCCGCTGAGACTGAGCTGACTGACGCTTACTGCATTCGCATATTCAAGATTCGCATGGTGCCAATTCAGCAGGCGCAAATCTCTTGGCTTTAGATCAAGTATGGCTTGGTATTGTTTGATACCTTCGTCCATAATCTGCCCCAGGGTTGGGTATTTGGATGCCTTCGCTATTGTGTTTAGCTCGAGCGACTGCGTGAGCGAAGCGGACGGTTTGAGCGGCCATCCCATCTTCTGAACCGCTTGAGCGGCGGATATATTCGCATTGAAGCCCGCGCTGAGCTGATACGCTCGTCCTGCCAACTTCTCGACGCCTGTTGAAGGCTTCTCCTCTGTCGTCGATGCTGTAGTCGTGGCATTCGCAGGCAGAGGGGTATTAGACTGTTCTAGCGCAGCGATAGTTGCCCCCCCGGTATCGCTCGGCTCTCGTCCGAAAAGCATAAGATTTCGGTCGCCTTCAACAGTTCTGAAAATTGCGGGCTTGTTCCGGTATACGCTCGCACGTTCGAGAACGTCGTTGTAGAGCTTCTCCACAAATATATCTTGACTCTTCTCTACGAGCGTTCCGTCGTAGTCGTAGAGTATAGTGTTGTCTCGCAACCCGTGGTATGGAATGCCGAGTTGGCCCCGTATGATCGCGTTCATCGGGTTGCCGTGTTCGAAGCCCGTCACTATCTGCGCACCCATTTCAGCAGTACAGCGATGTCCCGGTGGAAGGGTGGATCCAGATTGATTCAGAAAGGGGTGGGAGTATACCCTGCCGCCGATGCGGGGGCGAGCTTCTAAGACGACGACTCTGGGCGGTCGTTCTCCTTCGCTCATCCACAGGTCCCCCAACTGAGCGAAAAGCCCTTCTAGGTGTCGCGCACACCCAAGACCGGACATCCCGGCCCCAATTACAAGTACTGTCCGTCTGGCGCCCTTCTTTGCTTTTGTACATGGTATAGTTGTCGCAGTGTTGGGGACTTCAACACATCCGAAGTTGATGTAACCGTTCCTCATGAGCCAAAAATACGCAACCTTCGCTAGGTTGAAGTAACGCTTCTCCCGAGCGCAACCTGCAGCTTCTTCCAAGCTCATGTAGACTAACGGATTCCTCGTCCAAAGCCTGAGGATAGCGTTCCTGATGTTCAGGTAGATGGTGACTTGAGCATGGGTAACATGGTTCCGCAGAAGTTCGTACTCGTTCGGGTGCAGGGCAAATGGGTTGAGGCGTGAGCTTTCGGCGGCCAATATGCACTGCCTCCCAAACTCCTCCCAAGATAGGGCAGCTGGTATGGAGGAGTTCGCCCTGAATTCGACAGCCTTGCCTTTGACGGGGCTGGGATTCCTTGAGCGATGCACGCTGGATCGCCCTTGAGATTGAGACAGTTCTGGGGTTGAGGAGGTTTTCGACCCACCATCGAGGAGATGCGGAGTTTGCGAAATGGATGGTTGATCATTCGTGGCGTCTTTCAGGTAAGACGTAGTAGTTACGCCAGCGGATGCTAATCCATTAACCGTCGTGCCTGAGTTGTAACGATTTGATTCTGCCGAGTTCGCATGGAGAGTTGTATTTGATCCTCCAGTCGTTTGCGAAGTTCGGAGCGGATGAGGATAGTGTAGTGAAGAATGCGCGTGACTCGTCTCGTTTCCATTGACATAACCTGGCGTAGACCCATCCCGCTCCTCTCCTCCGCTCATATGACTTCCACTCAGTTCCGACATATCGTGAGTGTCGCCATAGTGCACGGACGAGGCAGTCGATTCGGTATAGCGCAGGTTATTAAGCCCAGGTATGGAGACGGTGCTAGACGTTTGGGCTTTTATATGCACGACGTCCGGGGACATCGACATCGGTAAAATGCCATCATTGGAGCCGCCGAAGAGATACTGGCTTTCATCGAGTGCGTCCGCATCGGCGACGGTAGCGAGGGAAGAGTACATGATGGCTGGGGGAGCGGCATGAGCTCTGATAGTAGCCAGGGATGAGCTACAGGTTGCAATGAACCATTAGCCGAGATTTTAGAGGATGGAGGACTAGGTAATAGCGTCGTTCGGTTGCTGAAAGCATGGAAGATTTCGTTCTTTGGGGGTGATGGGTGGGGGATTGGTCGAGCAGCTGGCCCCTCAGGAATCGATGGACCAGGTGAGGTTGGAGCGCCATTCCAAATTAGCACTGCGATCCGTGCGCCTTCCCACTTTACCTCTTCCTCGAGGTTCCTCATCACCTCTCAGCCACCACTTGCCTACCAGATGCCACCTAGCTAAACAGATCACTGCATCCGTTTTGTGGGCGGAATATTGCGTGTCCACTCTCTCACGCGGAAGGCATGTTTTCGTTACCACAACCCTCTGCTTGCTATGCCCCGCTCCAGCCCATCCGAGAGGGACGCTACGCAATGCTGGATATGCTGAGCTGCGCCTGGTAACGTCTGCCGACTTGATAGTTACATTTGGAAGAGCAAACGTACGTTTGGAGCTCATGGAGGATGACTGTCAGTGGTTGCAGGTGAGTGCATACGGGACTGAGCACCTTCAGCCGGCTTCATCATACGCCTCTTTGCTCTACAGTGCCGAGAGAACGGTTTTGTCATCCTATCATGTATTCCGCATGTCGCTCGTCGGTTCCAAACACACCATGGTTTTCAGCCCTCAAAAGCTAATATCGTCCCAGGGCGACATCGGTTATCGTCCCGCAAGCACTCCCCACTGCACGCTCTCATCCTCTCCATGCGTGTAGCAAGAACCGATGTGGCTCCTTGTGCATCCGGAAGACGACGACGATATGGAATATCTTAGAGCAACACCTCTCTGTATGAATATCGTACGATCTCCAACGTTCGGACACTCGGTGGATCTTCCGCCCTCCCCGCCCCATATTCAGCCTCGGTTCTGGTTGTATATTTGTCTGAGGAGATGCACAAGTTGTGATCCCATCACCAGGTGGCAGTCAATTGTTCGAAGTGGTGAGGATGGTCACAAGCTGGCCTCTCAACAGCGGTCCGTGGTGCGCTGAGCAAAGGGTGGCAGAGCATGGGTCGATATCCCGCACGATATTGCGGACAGTCTGTCGTTGAACTTGGCTACGTACAATTATAGGGTGTAGAATCAGGAGACCAAGCTCTCGTCGAGTGAATGTATTGATGAAACTCTGCTGCGCATTTCAATTTCGCCATTCAATCTGATGCCTTTCAATGCAAGGTCTCTGTGGTTCCTCTACGCCGTTTGCTGGCGATGCACCCTCAGTAAGCTCTTTGGCCATATATCATCAGACGTAGCCCTTGTTGACGCGGCAATTTGAACTCCGGGTATGAGGTTTCCACGTGACTTACCGTTTCGCGGAGATCGGGACACTTCCGCAGGCGCGGAGACCTGCACACACGTCACGACTGCACCGCCTTTCGCGCGACCAACAATGCGATGGCCTCTGTCGGGCGACGACGATGATAAGAAGAAATCCAGTTTCGCGGCCTCGGTCGAAAGATTGAAGTCGACTGACTGGTCTTCTACGTTCACAGATCCTCGCACGCTCGGTCCGTCTCTGGTGTTGACGGTCTCCGTTGTTGCGATTCTCCGCCTATACAAATCATACCTTCGACGCATTCCGAGCGTCAGTCACATCAAACCGAACTACTTCCGCCGACGAAGCTTGTTCGGTCAGGTCACAAGTGTTGGAGATGCCGACAACTTCAGACTGTTCCACACACCTGGAGGGAGGATAGCTGGGTGGGGCTGGCTGCCGTGGAAGAAAGTGCCAACTACGAGAGAAGGGCTGGCGAACAAAACGGTGAGTTGCGTTCGACGCATGCCGCGTCCAGACTCGCCCACGCCATTCAATTGCTCATGCCCTCCGCAGATACACATACGAATTGCTGGCGTCGACGCTCCTGAACTAGCACACTGGGGACGAGAAGCGCAGCCCTATTCGCAAGAAGCGCTCGACTGGCTCACGAAGTATATCCTGAATCGGCGGGTGCGGGCGTACATCTACAGGCGTGACCAGTACGACAGAGTGGTGGCCCAGGTTTATGTGCGGAATGGGTTATTCAGGAGAGACGTGGGATTGGAGATGCTGAGAAATGGTCTTGCAAGTGTCTATGAGGCAAAAACTGGGTCTGAATTCGGCAACTTCGAACAACGGTACCGCGAGGCTGAGGAGAGAGCCAAAGAGAAGAAGATTGGCATGTGGACGAACCCGGGCATACTAAGACGATTGCTCGGGGAATCCGCAAAGAAGCCGGAGAGCCCACGGGAGTATAAGACACGACATGCAGCAGCAGAGAAACAAAAGAAGACTACATGAATGGAGCTTCCGGAGACGCATCGTGCATATCGGTGATCTGGGCATAGTCGATCGCTTTGCAGGGCCATCCGCCCTGGCAGGGCCGTATGTTGCCAGGCCACGATTGACCTCAAATGGAGCGATGGTCAGTCGCGGCATAAACACATCATACCCAGTATGCCGCCGCGGAGTTGATTGGCCCGTAAGCGTCACACCCGCCACCAGCGGAGGAATTTTGCACGCGGCTTGTGACCATGCAAAGATCCAGCTGCGGTAGGGCCAGCTGTGGTAGGGCCAGCTGTGTTAGCCCTGCGGATGATGCAATCCCATGCAGCAGCACCGTAGTTGCAGGCGGATTCAAAAAAATTCTGCCCCAGGAAACATTTTCGGCGCCGGTCATCGGTCTGCTTGCATGAAGATCACCTAGAGCTATGTGTAGCGCAGATAACCACCAGCTTGCTTCTGTTATCTCGGGACTACTCAACAGCTTGACACAATTGCTCCGTCACTTCTCCGCGATACTTGACAGGCTTGATTGATCTACCTAGGTACGGATTCCATGCTGCGGTGGTTCTGCTGCAGTTGACCGCCTTTGAGTACTGATAAGACATCGGCCCGACACTATTGGCTCGCGGCGAACCATAGAAATTTTGGCACGACCGACAGCTCTCCACTCCCCGCAATAAATTCCACGACAAGAGCATCTGCACCGCTGAGCTCGAGCTCCAGTACCCTTCAATTGCGCCCTCCGGTCCTGGCACGGACACCTCCCCGCGCGTTCGACCGCTTTGGACTACTTGCGGGGGTGGCAGCAGAGCTCGAAGCTCGGTGCTTGACCGCCTGCAATGGCTCTCTGCGGGCGTCTGGCACGTCGCGCACCCGTTCTTTCAGGCCAATTCCGCTCAATCGCTCCTTCCATTGCCTCTCGACATTTCGTATCTCGAGCTTCCAGACCCTTGGTCTCTCTTCGAACCGCCAATGAGTCACCTGCGACATACCGGCAGCTCCGAGCTTTCTCAAAGATCTCCGCAACATGGAACAAGACACAGGAGGCGCCTAATGCGCAAGCATACCTGGATAGCGGCGTAATTGCCGGAGCTCGTGATCTGGTCGACGTGAAGAAGGTTTTGGTGATTGGCAGCGGTGGTTTGAGCATTGGTCAGGCTGGGGAGTTTGACTACTCTGGTAAGGATACGGATTATTTGGTTCATAGGAGTGTGTGGTCAAATGCTGATACCTACCTCAGGTTCGCAAGCCCTGAAAGCCCTGAAGGAGGCCGATGTCAAGTCTGTGCTGGTCAACCCCAATATCGCAACCATTCAAACCTCGCACGTGCTCGCCGACGAAATCTACTACCTGCCCGTAACCCCGGAATACGTCGAATATGTCATTCAGAAAGAGAAGCCCGATGGTATCTTCCTCAGCTTCGGCGGTCAAACAGCTCTCAACCTGGGAGTTCAAATGAACAAGAAGGGTATTTTTGAGAAGTACGGCGTGAAGGTCTTAGGCACAAGCATCAAGACGCTGGAAACCAGTGAGGATCGTGACCTGTTCGCTCGAGCTCTTGATGAGATTGACATTCCTATCGCAAAGTCCATTGCTGTCTCCTCAGTCGACGAAGCCCTGGAAGCTGCGGAGAAGGTCGGATACCCCATCATCGTCCGTGCTGCGTATGCGCTTGGTGGTCTAGGGTCCGGTTTTGCGAACAACGCGGAGGAACTCCGAAATCTCTCGGCCCGATCGCTCACCCTGTCACCACAGATTCTAGTGGAGAAATCGCTGAAAGGCTGGAAGGAGGCAGAGTATGAGGTGGTCCGTGATGCAAGCGACAACTGCATTACTGTTTGCAACATGGAGAACTTTGACCCTCTAGGAGTGCACACTGGCGACAGCATTGTCGTTTCTCCCAGTCAAACGTTCAGCGACGAGGAATATCACATGCTTCGGTCTGCGTCAATCAAGATCGTCCGACACTTGGGCGTTGTTGGCGAATGTAACGTCCAGTATGCTCTCCAGCCGGATGGTTTGGACTACAGGGTTATTGAGGTCAACGCCCGTCTATCTCGATCATCCGCTCTTGCCTCGAAAGCTACCGGGTATCCGTTGGCTTACACTGCCGCGAAGATCGGTCTTGGTCACACGCTCCCTGAGCTGCCAAATGCGGTCACCAAGACCACTACAGCGAATTTCGAGCCCAGTCTGGATTACATTGTTACGAAGATGCCGCGGTGGGATCTGAGCAAGTTCCAGAACGTCAAGAGAGACATCGGCAGTTCGATGAAGTCTGTGGGTGAGGTAATGGCAATTGGACGAACTTTCGAAGAGTCTTTCCAGAAAGCTTGCCGACAGGTGGATCCTAAGTTCTTGGGCTTCCAGGGAGAGAAGTTCGGTGAGGATCTTGACGAGCTCTTGAAGAATCCTACCGACCGCCGATGGCTAGCTGTTGGCTATGCAATGTTCCACGAAGGCTACTCGGTCGATAGGCTGCATGAGCTCACCAAAATCGACAAGTGGTTCTTGTACAAGCTGCAGAACATTGTCGACTGCACACACGAGCTCGAGGACATTGGCAGCTTGTTTGGTCTGAAGAAGGAGATTATCCTGAAGGCAAAGAAAATGGGCTTCTCCGACAAGCAGATTGCGAAGGCCGTCAACAGCACCGAAGACGAAGTCCGAGCACGCAGGAAGAGCTTTGGAATCCGACCATGGGTCAAGAAGATTGACACTTTGGCTGCGGAGTTCCCGGCATCGACTAACTATCTTTACGTGAGTTTTATTCCCTTCCTTTTCATTCAGTTTCGTATCTTGGTGTGGTTGGTTTGGCGGATTTTGTTGTTGCCGGAATTCATAGTCACCCGCCTGTATTCACTAACCCATAATTCTAGACTACGTACAATGCCTCCTCGCACGATGTTACCTTTGATGATCACGGTATCATCGTCCTCGGCAGTGGTGTCTACCGTATTGGAAGTTCTGTGGAGTTTGACTGGTGTGCCGTCAACGCTACGCTGTCCCTCAACAAGCTCGGAAAGAAAACTGTCATGATCAACGTAAGTTAGATTTTCTCTTTTCATATGAACTTGGCGGCTGCCCAGTCGAGCCCTGAGCTCGAGTAGGGGCACAATCTCCAACCTCAAAAAAGTACTTTTGGACCTCTGGAAAACCCATTGAACCCAACCCGGAGCTATTTAACAGAGACTAACATGGGCAGTATAACCCGGAAACTTACAGCACTGATTTTGACGTCGCCGATAAACTGTACTTTGAGGAACTCAGCTACGAGCGTGTCATGGATATCTACGAGCTGGAGACGGCTAGCGGAGTCGTTGTCTCTGTAGGAGGTCAGCTACCGCAGAACATTGCTCTCAAGCTTCAGGAATCCGGAAAGGCAAAGGTACTGGGCACCGATCCTGCGGATATCGACAAAGCCGAAGACCGTCATAAATTTTCTTCCATCCTCGACTCGATCGGCGTGGACCAGCCAGCTTGGAAAGAACTTACCTCATATGAAGAAGCGAAGAAGTTTGCGGACTCCGTTGGATACCCTGTCCTTGTTCGACCGTCTTACGTCCTTTCCGGTGCTGCCATGACTGTCATCCGCAACGAACATGAGCTCGAAGCCAAACTCACCGCTGCCGCCGATGTCTCTCCCGACCACCCGGTCGTCATCACCCAGTACATCGATGGTGCTGAAGAGATCGACTGCGATGCCGTTGCTTCGAATGGCAAGCTGCTTGTGCATGCCGTCAGTGAGCACGTCGAGAACGCTGGCGTACACTCTGGGGATGCAACGCTTGTCCTTCCTCCGGTCAACCTCGACGCAAGAATCAAGGATCGGGTCAAGGAGATAGCAGAGAAGGTCGCCAAGGCATGGAACATCACCGGTCCATTCAATATGCAGATCATCAAGGAGGCCGTGGAGGGCCAAGAGCCAAATCTCAAGGTCATTGAATGCAACCTGCGCGCCTCCCGGTCCTTCCCCTTCGTCAGCAAGGTCCTCGGAACGAACTTCATCGACGTGGCTACCAAAGCGCTTGTTGGTCGCGAGGTCCCTGAGCCTGTCGATCTGATGGCCGTAGAGAGAGATTACGTAGCAACGAAGGTCCCTCAGTTCTCATGGACTAGGTTGGCAGGTGCTGATCCGTTCTTGGGTGTCGAGATGGCGTCCACTGGTGAGATGGCTTGCTTCGGCAAGGATCTTGTGGAAGCATACTGGGCGTCCATGCAGTCCACCATGAACTTCCGCCTACCTCAACCTGGCGAAGGTCTTCTGTTCGGCGGCGACACAGAGTCGGGCTACCTCGTGCAAATCGCCAAATACCTGCACCCTCTTGGGTATAAGTTCTACGCGGCAAATAACGACGTTAAAGAGGTGCTGGAGAAGAACACCGAGGGAGTCAGCGTTGAAGTCATTGAGTTCCCCGTGGAGGATAAGAGGGCGCTCCGTGAGGTGTTTCAGAAGTACGATATCCGGGGGGTGTTCAACCTGGCCAAGTACCGGGCTAGCTCGCTAGTCGATGAGGACTACGTGATGAGGAGGAATGCGGTCGACTTTGGCGTGCCGCTGTTTATGGAGCCTAAGGTGAGTTGCCCCGAAACACCCTCCCTGACGCAACTACAGAAGCTAACCTACCCCAGACTGCCGTCCTCTTCTCCCAGTGCATGAGCGAGAAGCTGCCTAAAAAGGGTGGCATCCCGAGCGAAGTCAGGTCATGGAGCGAGTTCGTTGGTGGCCGACCATTGTAGACACCTCACACCGAAAGAGTCACTGGAAGAATGGTATCCCCTTGCGGGAAGGCAGAGATAGACCGGAAAACGAAAGAGAAAGAAGTCCCATGTTCGTGTATATAGCGTTCTGATGATGTCGCTCGATTCATTTGCCCTAGGAGAGGAGTTTCTGGCGACACCAACGCCGCTTAAAAAGTCCCTTTTTTGCTCCTGAGCGTAGTGCGTGTGCGTATATAGCCTGATAATTAATCAAACGATATCACGTATTTTCTCTGTTCATGAGCTTGGTAAAATAGACGAGAAAATCTGGGTATGATTATGCGTGGCTATATACTGAAGCTGCTCAAGCCGTTTCGTAGCCATGGGAAACCTTCTTTCCCTAGCGGTGAAATCCAATGCCGTCGCTATGCTTTGGTATCGAGAACAGAATATCGGATAACGCGAAGAGTAAACAAAACGCTCAACCAACAATCGCAGCTACAGGGCAAGGTCATCCGCGCTATCCTCCTCGGCCTCCCAAGCCCTCTTCCTAGGAACCGTATGGAAACTGCTCCTCTTCGTCAGGGTCTTCGGGGCGATCGCTGATTTCCGTCCGTTCTTTGCCCACGACTGCTTTACTTTCTTCAAGAAGGCGGAGCGGCCTAGCTTCGAAGCTGATGGCCCGCCTGATGATTGCAGGGCTGATGGTTGAGGCGCAGACCGAGGGGTGCGGAATGCGGGCGCCGAGAGGAGGTTTCGGGGTGGAGTAAGAGATTCGCGTTTGATTGCCGGCGTGGCAGGGGCTAGGAGCTCGTCGTCCTGGGTAGGAACAGGCTCGGCAAGGGATGACGATGCTGAATTAGCAGCTAAGTCGACGCCGCTGTGCATAATATTCGGATTCCACTGATGCCGCTCGAGCGCTTTGCTCGTCCTGAAGGGCTTTTGACATGTGTTACATATAAACGAGGAGTCTACGTCGATCAGATCCAAGTCATCTTCGGATTCGGAGCCAACCTGGAAGTTGATGAGTTTTGGTCTCGGTTTGCGTTTCTTAGCAGATGTCGAAAATGCTCCTGCGAGGTTCTGTCGAGCGGGTGTTACGGTCTCCGTTGGGATTGATGTTTCGTGCTCGACGATGGGAAGGGTAAAAGGGCGCTTGTTTTGCGCATCCTCGTCCACAGGGAAGTCGGCTTCCGCTTTGGCATCGCCTTCCGGGGGCGTCTCTGTTTCGACTGAGGGCAAGATCGCCTCGTCGGCTGCCGGGAAATACGTGGGGTCCTCGAATTCCCCCGAGCCGCCTCCAATGGGCGTGCCTTCGACGGGCTCATCGGCGCCAGCCAAAGAAAGTAGTTCCCGCTCGTCATCGTCGAAATGTGCGCCTGACGCGAGCATATTCTCAATATTTTGAGCGACTATATGAGGCTGTTCCTCATGTGCGTCGTCGGCGTCGTGGTTTTCTAGCGAACTCGGTGTAGGCAAATGAGGTGATGTAGTTAACGACTCCAGGCTCTTCACGCTAGGAAACTTAAGTTTCTGCGTTCCCGTTTCGCGTGGTCCGCTTGTAAGATCGTTGTATTGGGTGTCCTTCCCCTCCGGTGCTCGCTCGTCACTCTCCGCGTCCACAATGCTTCCGTGCGCAGGACACTCTTTTGATTTTAAGTGAAATTGCCAGCGATTACAAAGCGAGGTGGTTGGCCAGTCTCTCCATTTTGCCCTGCTAGCCTTGATCTCTTTCCACGGAGTATTGTGTACTCGTCTCTGTTCAACGATATATGCATCGTCGGCTTCAGTGAAGAGATATTTGCCGCGTCGCTTTTGGGTACTCCTCGCCCGAGGTTTGGCTTGAGATTGATCCACGCTCGCGATGTCTGCTCTCTCGTGGGCATCTCGCTCCTTGCTGAGCTCAGGTATAGGTGATGAAATAGGGGTTTCTGTGGTCGTCGCAGCTTCGTCTTCAATGCATTTGCGCGGAATAGGTTCAATCGGGGCGTTCCTAGACGAGAAGCTTCTGGGTTTTGGTCTTCGAATTGACACCGAGATGGGGCTCGAATAGGGATGCACATGCCGGCTCCCAGTCGCCGATAAAGCTGGAGAAAACGAGTTGGGGTCAGTAAATGGTGCTATTTTGCCGCCAGCTAGGGCAGGTGTGATGGGGCCCGGTAGGTCGTTGCTAGCTGGAAGCTGGAAATTCACCCCGTTCGCAAGCAGATTCGACACAATTGGTGTAACTGCTTGCTGAACAGCTTGCGTTATCTGCGCTACAAAAGCGGTCTGAGCTTGTTGACCAGCTGGCGTCTGTGGAAACTGTACGAGCTGGGTCAAATCGACCGCATGACTTGCCGGATTTGCGACGATGGGTTGTGGGTGTCTCTGAGGATGCATGCTCATGGGCGTATCCGACGGCGGTAGATGCACCAGACGGTGGCATTGTAACGCGGTCGTCCCTGCTTGTCCGTCGTCATCCTCTTCCTGTTTGCGATTCCGAGGCTCCGGAGACTGCGACGGCGCCAATTCATCTTTTGCGTCTTCCCCCGAGCCATCCTCCTCGTCCGACACTTCGGGAAGCTCATCTGCCATCAGATCATCCAGCAACTGCGTCGCCCTCCGCCCATGTCGCTGCTTGTATTCCCTGTTAAGCCTCCTGTAATGGCCCCTATCGACTACGATTTCGCCGGTCCGCATACTGATCTCGTCGCTCATGGCCGCGGGTATGGCTTCGAACTTGGAGAAAATAGACTCGAATCTGCTTTTGAGCCGAGCCTTCTCCTTCTCCTTTGCGGCGATGTAGTCCGGGTTGGATTCGTCGACCTCGACAGACTGGAGGATGCGCAGGCGCTTCGCGGGCGGCTCCATGGTGGGCGATACGGTTCGAGTGCGCGCGGCGGGGGGAGGGAAGGGTGCGTTCAGGCTCGGCGGGGAGCCCCGGGGCTGACACGCGATGGCTGGGAACGCGCCTTCCTCGGTTTAGCGCGCCCCGCCGTGCGACCGACCCCTGCTTGCTGGCTGCGGGAGTCTGTGCGCATCCGCAGACGATGACCATGGCCGTTGTCGCAATCACTCACGCCTCGAAACAACCCCCGCCACAAACATTAAACGTCCGTGGCTGCAAAGCGGATATGAGCGCCGCCCTTCCATGACCAGATGGCGAACGAAAAGAAGCAGCCGGCGCTGTATTGCCAGAAATGCCGCACGCCCATCGATATCGATGCCTCGATAGACCAGCTGAATCCGGCAGCCTTCAAGCTCCTGACAGGCACGTTCCGCCTAGCATGCCTCGCCCGGTGTCCTCGCGCACGATGCTTACAAGACCCTAGACTCGACCGTTCCCGGACAGCAACAGATCGCAAAGCACACTCCCCCCCGCCAGTCCCGGCCGACATACCCTTCAGCCCGTCATCAGACCTACGAGGCGGCCCTGCAGTCTGCCAGAAATCCTACTTTCAAACGTAGCGTCCCGTCTTCGCGCTTTGGTCAACATGGCGCGCACAACCCCGCCATGTCCTTTGTCAACGTGCACATGTCCGAGTCGATGCTCGACCCGCCTTCCACGTCACCGGCACCCGTGCGCTCGCCAGACCGGCCAGCGCCGGTAGAAGAGCCTCAGTCGAACGGACTGGAGATAACGAGACGTGCAAGCGTTGCCGGTAGTGCAGGAACGGTGGGAGGGGGCAGCATGGCAGACGCTCTAGAGACCACGAACCGCATGTTCGAGATCCTGTCAGCCCGCTCCGACATCGATCATCCTGTATGCGTCGAGTGTACAGAGCTGTTAGTTGACGGCCTGCAAAAGCGCTTAGCTGTAGCGACCCGCGAGCGCGACGCCTACGTGGACTACCTCCGCCGTGCCAACACCGACGTCCCCAGCGCCGAAGAAATAGCAGCCGCTGAAGCCGCCCTCAAAGCAGCCAAGAAGTCCGAAGCAACAGCAATCACCAATCTCGAAAAGCTCGAAGCAGAAAAAGCAGATCTCGATGCACAGCTTGCTGCCCTAGAAGCCGAAGCCCGTGAGCTCGACCAAGAAGAGAACGAATTCTGGAAGAACAGGAATGCGTTCTCATCCACGTTGACCGAGTTCCAGAGCGAGCGTGACGCACTCACAACAAAGCATGCACACGACGTGCAAATACTAACTCAACTCCAACGCCGCAGCGTCTACAATGACACCTTCAACATCACTCACGACAACCATTTCGCCACCATCAACGGCCTGCGTCTCGGCCGCCTACCTTCACCCTACGTCGACTGGGCCGAGATCAATGCGGCCTGGGGTCAAACATGCTTACTCCTCGCCACTCTCGCCGAGCGCCTAGGCTACAAGTTCCAGGGCTACGAGCTCTGCCCAATGGGCTCAACCTCTACAATCGTCAAGCTAGAAGTCAAAGGTGGGAACTCGACGACTGAGGCGCGGCACTCATCTACATCGTCACCCACGGTGAACAAGCAGCACCTAGAGCTATACACCTCCGGCGAATTTCCCCTGAACTTTGGCTTCATCCACCGCAAGTTTGACACTGCGATGGTGGCCTTCCTGGAATGCTTACGCCAGCTTGGAGAATTCGTGGAAAACCAGGGGATTCATGCTGGAGGCGGATTAGCGGGCGTGGGCAGTGCCGGTGCCGGTGTCAAGATGCCGTATGAGATTCGCAAAGACAAAATCCACGATCAGAGCATCAAGTACACGCTCAACAAAGAAGAGGCGTGGACCAAGGCCTGCAAGTACACCCTCACGTGCTGCAAGTATCTACTTGCGCACGCAAACAACGTCGAGAGCTCCGCTATCCGGAGAGGAAGGTAGCGGGTGGGATTGGTGGTAGGAATGTGGTAAGAGTATGCGATGCATTTCTTCGCCGACTCCATTTGGCAGGACGATTTACGGCAGAGATAAGATACCCATGATGAACTATCATTTTTCGTGTTAGGAGTGGCTTGGGCTTTGTGTTTGGCAGGACACGAGCAGACAGTTAGACAAGATACGGGAGGCTACATGTGTGCGGATATATTACACATCACACAGTGCAACTCCGATATGAGGCACAGATGGCGCATAGATAAACCTAATTTTGACCTCTCTGTGAACTTCCGTGTTGCCATTGACCGATAAGCCTTAAAAGCTTCATTGGAAAGGTGTTCCCATCCTCTCGAGGATTATCGACTCGGGCCAATGGCGATAACAACAACAACACCGCTTCATCTAGGTGACGCTTTCCTTGCTCCGATCGCGCAGTATAAGGCGATGATAGCGCGATATTGGTGGAAGGTTGCGGTGGTGTTGCTCAAGATAGCAGCCCGTCATGGCAGTGAGGGAGTCGCAGTAACGGACACTGATACGCATCGGCGGCGGAAGGCTTCCTACGGTGACGGAGCGTCCCAATGTTACGCCCAGGGAATTTCGACGCGCTTAGAGGTATTCGTGGAACGGACGGAGACCGCCGACGAGATCTCGCTCAACCAAGTAGCCCAGTCTGCTAGAGACCTTAGGACCGACTATTGTCACGTAGCCCGTAGACCGGCTCTTTCATTACTGTCGCAGACGCTGGTGCGCCGCTCTGAGTACATATACCGAACATTCTCCAGAAGCTAAAGATTGATCTTTTGCTCCGCCACCGTTACACATTCCGCGTGCCCTCCCTTCGATATCATGTCAAGACGGCGGGTAGCTGCGTCATCTTTACTCGGGCCTGACGGGAACGGAAGAGACGTCGAGGGAGACAGCAGGTATGTCGCGTTCAATGGGCGCCCAACTCACTCCCGTCCGAATTCGGGGGAAAGCGTCTACCACACAGTACAATTCTATATTTCTAGCTGCTGTCACGTGTCCTAAATGTGCCCAATGAAGAAATGTACCGGCGAACTTTCGTCCTAACTTATCAGACGCTGCTAGAGCGCGTAGCAGAGGCCGGGAATGGCGAGATGCATTACTCATAGGTTTTCATTATTTCCCATCAATGGCGCTTGCATAGGAGTCACGATGGTAGTCGGTGGTGTTGCGGCGCTTAAGGAAGAACGTGTCATATGTACAGGCAGGTGACCAGCAGGCCCAGCCCGAACCTTGGAAACCAAAGGAACGCTCGGTAAGGCGCAAATAGCCGTCGCACGTCTAGTGTTAGCGCCCAAAATTATCGACGTGGTTCCCGCCGTTGTCGGCATATTCTTGCCGCTTCTCGTAGCTTCGGCCTCTGTGCTCTCGCGGTGCTTTAGGGCCAGGGGAGCAAATTCTGGTAGTCAATGTAAGTCAGGGTCCGAATTTTGCGGGGTAGCATATTTCTTAGGTTATGGAAATCCGGGGATATGGATTTGGAAACCCAGTTCGCATGAATTTACCGTTCTGCTCGTCAGGGGGGTTGGACCTGAGGCCGGGCTCGATAACGTTATTTCTGGGGAATGCTGTGATCGCAACAGCACGAAAACAATCTAGCCATTCGCAATCAGCAATTAAAAGGGACCTTCCAAGGTCCTGAGGCATACCTCCGCTGGCACAGGCGTTAGCATGATACGAAGCTCGGGGAGCTCGCGTCCCTCTCATGCCAGATTTACCAAATCGTAACCTGCTGTGCAGGGAGGAAGCTGTGCGGCGTAGTCCGCTGGCGTCTGGGCTAAAGTAGTTCCCGCAACGGATGCCACTACATATGGAGGTGTAGAGACGCATGGCGGGGAAGGGGTTTCAAAACGTAAGAGGATCCTACTACTTGACGACAGCGCAGACGACTTCAGCCGATCCTATGCAGAAGGCTGGAAAAGCTTGTCTGGCGGAAACATGGCGGATGTTGGAGATTTCCGCGGCGTGCTGCCTTGTCATTGCTGAGATGCTGCGGTGCGGCTCTCGCTGAGTGGAGTTCGTTGTATGGTGGAACTGGGGGAATGTGCACCCTCACGACTCCCAAGTGCGAAAGTACAGACGAGCCCGGATTGAGATGCGACACGATGCTCTCCGAACGGCAAGCGGCGTCCATGGCGAAGTGTGACGAGAGCAATGGCACAAGATGCGCTTTCGATGGCGACACGGGCGGTCTCACGATTCCCCGACGACGGCTGTCAGGATGCAGGCGCTGGGGATACGGGGCTGCGCAGTGCCATGGCAGGCTGTTTGCTGGGTGGTGAATCGGTGATGAGGTGTTGAGGCACGAGGAGCGTGGTCGCAGTCCGGTTCGCCTCGCCCAAGGATCATATGGTCAGGAGTTGGGTAACAGATTGCTGCTGTTGACACATCGAAATCCACGTGACGCAGAATTCGTGCTCGTTGAGTCTTACGCGGGCTTGGCGCCGCCCCAGACTTTAGCGGCCGTGATGTAAGAGCTGGCGCCAAGCGGCACGCACGACCGCACTCTCTCTCCGCCGTCGCCGTCGCGAGAGCTCACGCGGTGTGCCAGCAGCTTGCGCCGGTAATTGGCCATGGCCGCCATTCACTCTGTCAGAATGACCCCTCGTTTGTCTCCACTGTTCGGCCCCAGCCGCCGAGCTGCTGGCGTTGCATCGCGGTCGGCTGGGGACGCGCTTGACTCTTGACTAACACGGTACCACGATTCCTTTGTCCTAATAAAAATCTGCAGCTCCGACGGATGTGAAATCCCCTATAAGAAGCCCCAGCCGTGGCTCCCGCCGCACTTTGCCATCAACCTACTTACCACATTCCTGACTCACCTGCACAGCACAGCGGCACCCCCCGTCACCACTGTAGCCACCCACGAACACTCTGCTCCCGGCTCTGTTCCCTACAGACAACGAGCACCACAACCCTACCGCCGTCGAACATTCAATGCACATCAACGAGTTCCCATACGAAATCCTTTCCAAGATCCTCGAGGAAGCGGCCAGCGCCAACCTACGCGATGGCCCGACATACACGTTCGGGCTGTCCCAGCCGCCCATGCCCTTCCAGAGGGCTCCCCTCCAGCGCTACGTGAGGGGTCCCGTCCCGCCCGAGATGCTCAAGTGGGATGCCACCTCCGCCATCCGCCTCGCCTGCCGGGCATGGCACGAGTGGGCTCTGGAGTATTCCCTCAAGGACGTCTACATCCGCCGGTGGAAGGGCGGAGAGGTAAGTGCGCCTGCGCCCGCGTTGCTGCATCTCATGCTGATCCATGTTTAGAGATGGGCCGAGCTCTCCACCCGCCGCGAGAACTATGGGCTCTATGAGCTGATCGACAGGCCCACCGGCACCGCCGTCTATCGCGACCCCTTCGCCTCCCTGAAGCACACCGTTCAGACCTTCGACCGATTCCCCGGCGTGGCTGCTAAGATCAAGCGCATGTGGTTCCATGGCTTCTACACTGCAGAGACCGACCGGTTGGTGTTTGAGTCTCTCAAGCATTGCGTCAACCTTACATCCGTGTCCCTGCCCTGGACCACTATTCGCCATATGGATGCAAAAGCATGGCGGACCCTGCTTCTGGGTAACGGCAAGCCGCTCGAGTCTCTCGAGCTGCTCTCTATCGATCCCACCTCGCAGCAGGCCTCTGACAAGGAGAACCAAGTCGACCTGCACCCATTGCAGTCCGTCAACTTTGGTAAGCTCCGTCGTCTAAAACTCTTCGGCGACACTACCTTCATGCCGATTACCGACCGTGACCTCTATGCGATCGCTCGCACCGCCACACAGCTAGAGGAGTTCCACCTCACCTGCATCTCTACCGTCACAATCGATGGCGTCATGGCGGTCGTCAAGGCTTCGCGCGATACGCTCCGGGTTCTTGAGCACAGCCCCAGGTCGCAGGACGGCTTTTGGCATCCTCATCCCGGATCTCCGAGCGGTTCTGAGCATCTTTGCGAGCTCTTCAGGAGCTGCTCGAAGTTGGAAACACTGTCCATCTCACTCCCTTCTATGTGCGCCGATCTCTTCTCCAACGAGGATGTCAAGTTCGTTGGCGATTTGCAAGTGCGGGCACTGCACCTTTGTGGCCACGAGCATGGTCGGTCTACTCAAGAAGCCACGGATGCCCTTCAGAAGACGCTTCAGTCAGCCCGTAATCTGATCAGCCGGCGCGCCCACAGCATCATTCCTCACGAGCTTTACGTCGAGTTATTCTTTGCGGACTGCATTTTCGAGCCGTCTGTCAAGCTCGTTCACGGGGACTTCTCTCTAGCACAAGTGTCATCGGACGGGACTTGGCCGGGCACATTGCGAGCGAGCGGAAAGGGCCCATATGGCAGCAGCGGGCTCTATGAGAAAGAGGAGGAGGGACCTTTCCAAGCGATGGACGAAGAAGACTTCCTGGCAGGAGTCCGACGGAGATACCTGTCTATCTCCACCTAATGAGCGATCAACGAATGAACGACCAGCTTCATTTCAACCACATATTTGTATTACGACCAAAACTTACGACCTACGACTACTTGCATTAGCGATTGGCGCCTGGAGTTGGACTACCAGGCCGAAGCTGCCACATCTGGATTGCAGGTTTATCAAAAGTTCCTTCGAGTATTTTAGCGAGTGTGCACCCTCACAAAAGTGGATTCCCGGGCATTTGCATGGGCTGGCCAGGCATCGCCGCCCCGGTTTACGGATTCCAGAGCAGACAAAGTAGACAGAAGTTTGAATGTATAATTTTCGAGCCTCCTCTGAAGGCTCCTCTGTCTTTTTACCCCTTGTATGGCTTCCGTGGTGTTGATCTTGGTCGGCTCTGCCCCGCGCGCATATTCTAAGCTCAAGAGGGGAACGCTCAAGGCACTGACGAACCCATCACCACTGCACAACCAGCTGCTCTCTTTCCCGAAGCTCCAAGCTGCGCAAGCTTATGTAAAGATTCCCAATGTCTTTCATTCCAAGATTATTGTCAAAGCCAAACGTCGCTGAATAATACCCCGCGGAATGAGGGACTCTCCGTCTTCCGAAGAACCTTGGAAGAGCTCTTTGGTCCTGGCGGCATTTGCAATTCTTACCAATGGTGACCTAATCCGCCAAGCATCGATGACGCTAACGAGCGGCAGAACTGAGCCCACATGCCGGCCTATCCTGGATTAGAACGACTCTGAAGCTGTTGTGGAATCATGCCGATGCGTGGAATGGGTCCCGACGGCGCTGTTATCGGACCAATTGAGACATTGCCATTCGAAGGGGAAGGCCTAGACGGTGAGGGGTATATATTAAGAGCTTGAGGAGCCCCTCCAAGCTTCCCGTCCCCCAGTCTCCGGTTCTTTGTCAAAGCAATTGAGCTTCACCTTCCTTCAATTGTCAGATTTGAAACTTAGAGCTTCGATCGTCGCCATGGCTCCCAAGATTGCGATTGTTTACTACTCGATGTACGGCCACATCAGGCAATTGGTATGTTGTTGAGCTTCCACGGCGTCTGTCTCCACTGTTGTCACACATTCAGCTATGGAACAGCTAGCTAATAGTCATACCACAGGCCGAGGCCGAGAAGAAGGGAATTGAATCCGCCGGCGGAACCGCGAAGCTTTTTCAGTACGTATCCCCTCCCCACAAGTCCGAGCCGTCCGTACCACCTCGGAAGCATCGGTTCTCCGCCTCTCCTCGGCCCGCCATTAACCCTGCCTCAGGATCCCAGAGACTCTTCCCGACGACGTCCTTGCCAAGATGCATGCCCCTCCCAAGCCCACCGACGTCGACGTCCTAAGCGACCCGGGCGACCTCGAGCAATTCGACGCTTTCCTCTTCGGTATCCCAACCCGATACGGTAACTTCCCCGCGCAATGGAAGACTTTCTGGGACAAGACGGGTAAGCAGTGGTCGACGGGCGGCTTTTGGGGCAAATATGCCGGGCTGTTCGTGTCCACTGCTGGCCTTGGTGGAGGCCAGGAGTCTACTTGCATTGCTGCGATGTCGACTTTGGCCCACCATGGCTTCCTCTACGTGCCGTTGGGCTACAAGACTGTTTTTGGTATGTATCGCCGGTCAAAGGGGTGCAGTGAGGGGATGGAGGGCTAACAAGACGTCCAGCTGAACTCACCAACGTCAACGAGGTTCACGGCGGCTCTCCATGGGGTGCCGGTACTTTCGCTGCATCTGACGGCTCGCGCCAGCCCACTGATCTCGAGAAGAGTATAGCTGAAGCTCAGGGCATGGCGTTCTATGAGGCCGTGGCCAAGGTCAACTTCGCGTGACTAGATGGCTCGAAGGCGGAAAAGGTGGTGCAAACAAAACCAGCAGAAAATGGATCTAAGGCGGCTCCAGCACAAGAAACTACATCACTAGCACCGCAGCAGAAAGAGCACAAGGATAAGGAGGGTCCGTGTGGGCTGCCTGCTAAGTGCAATATTCTGTGATTTTGTCTGTTCAAGCCAGATATCAAAAAGCATGTTCCAGATCTGTCATGTTTGCCCAATGTCCCGTTTCTCATATCCGAGTGGTGCTACTCCTTGTGGATAGCCGTCTATTGCCCCCTTAATATAAGTACGAATCGAGCATGTTATAAAAGCCTCTTTACTATACCCAACGAGGCTAAGAAAATAGTCTTTTCTTATTTTAGATTGCCGTAACGTGCTACATCATGCCATCGATTTCGCGCCCGGAGTCTGCCTTTGAATTGTGTTAAAGGCTTCTCGCGAGACAGCATCCTCGGCATGAGGAGGCTAAGAACATCAGCCACAGGGTTGAAAAAGGTCGCCTAGATCCAAAAGGGAACAGCAATGGCGTTGGACCAGGCAACCAAAGTCAAGTCAGTGGACGCCTTCTCTAAGTGCGTCAGATGGTCCACCTACCGATTCTCGAAGACACATAGCGCATTGAGAGTTCGACATCTCCGCCTCCGTTTTGTGGGAAGGATTGTATGTTTCGGGCGAAGAAAGCGGCCATGAAAGAAAGAGAGGATTACTGTATGGGTAGGGCAGACAGAGTATGTACGGTCAGTTCGATCGGTGCAACCCATCTCACGAAGGGCATCGTCCTCATCGTGAAGTGCGTCATGGTGTTACTGGACCTTGTGGAAGCGTCTACTTGGCGTAGTCGGAACAAATTGCCAAATAGGGAAGAAACGGTTTACTTGAACATGAACAGCTCGTTCATCTAGTTTGCCGATTAGCTCCAGAGAAGAAACTCACGGGGGTCAGTACAAAGATGCTCTCCTGACCTGCCATCGAGAGGCATTCCTCACTCACAAACGACTCAAACTCTTGGTCGGCCTCGTGAAACGATCGGAGAATACTGTGTCCATGATTTCCTCCGTCAGCTGTACCTGCTTTATGATAGTACGCTCGAAAACTTCGGTATCGTCAAAGATGATTGAGAGCCGGTTTAACCAACCGAGTTCGCGCTGGATTCATAGAAGCTGATCGATCATTTGTCTCAGCGTATAATCGTACGACTTCGTTCCTGGATCTGGAAGAGTCTCGAGGAGATTGTTGCGCGCGTCAAAGTTATAAGATCGGTCGGAGGAACGTGCCGTGGCGAGTGTGAATTGAAGAGCGGGTCATGAAGACTCACATGCCATCGACGTATCTGGATAGAGGGGAAATGCGTGGCGTTGGTGGAACGGCATGCATGAGAAATGTCAAGAACGGTTTTGATCGTCGCTTTCGAAAAGTCACAACGTAACATGAAGGGGGTGTCTTTGACGCTGATTTTGGAACTCTATTTCTCCTACATAAAAGATCTTATGTCGTGCCACAAGGCACATTCCGAACGCCTTTTGCACAAAGCAAATATGCCACTGACCGCGCCATACACAGACATGATTTGTAGTTTTTGTGCTCGACGGGAAATCATTTACTCCTCCTCCTCTTCCTCTTCATCCTCCTCCATGCCCTCAGCAGCATTCACCGTAAACGTCGGCGCCTGGTCGACACCTAGATAACTATCGCTAACTAAGAATAGCGTCAACTCATGTTCACCCGGCTGCTCAAGCGTAAACTCGAGCATAGTCTCTAGTTTCCTGCCAATCGTAACCTTCTTGATACCCAGTAGCGTATGTTCGCGCTGATCCCCAACTACGAGCCACCAGCTCTCGGTCTTGTCCGCGGGATAAAATGGCGCATGAACCTCTGTCTTCGGCTGCTCGTCCTCTTCGAGATTGCGCGTAATCCTGACCCTGATTTGCGTAGGAGAGTTGGTAGCGATCTCATCCGGATCGACGACTTCGTGCTCAAGCTCCAGGTTGGGGTAGTACTCGTTCGTGAACGTGGCGACTTCCTGGATTTGGCGGCCGTCCAACTGCATGGCCTTGAGCAGAGACTTATAGTCGGGGTTCTCGTCCTCGTCCATGGCGTTGATGAAGTCATCGATGTCGTTGATGCCGAACTTCTGCACTGCCTTGATGGTGTCGTTGTCAAAGTGCGGAATCTGCTTGAGCGGAGAGTCCTTCTGCCACATGGCTTGGACGACCATCTGAGAGAGCTCCATTGCACTCAGCGCATTGAGATGTGCTTCTGACGAAAGCACGTCGACGCTTGCACTGAGAATATTGAGGACTTTCCGGACGACGATTTCTTGATCCTTCGCCAGATCGATCGGTAGCTGCATGCGCGAGAAGTGTGCTTGCAGCAAGACAAAAGCTTTGAAGTGTGGAGTCTCAAAGCTCGCGTCCTGCATCTTATACGGTACGCGATCGTAGATGCGGCTGAGGATGTGCTCTTCGTGGCGCCGGATTTGGATATCTTCGAACTCAGTAGCTGCAGTGATAATCTCCAGGACGCCCTTGAGACTGGTCTTTCCGTTGAGCGACATCATGAGCGTCTGCATGGTGATGAAGGAGATATTATAGTATGCTGCTATCATGCATGGATTGAGAGGCTGGATGGCATCCTCTTCTTCATCATGCTCGATGAGGTTCGCGTCGACCAAATCTTTTAGTGTCTGCTCCACCAATTCCGATAGATGAGCGCTGAGGCCTTCGTGCGACGTGTCATGAAGGTTGTAATAGCTCGGATTCGAGAGTAGTCGGCGGTAGAAGTAGGTGTATGTAGACCAGTCGACAGCCTCCTGTGTGGATTCAATTGTCTTGGCACTGATCTCGGCAACGAAGGCATCGTGTAGATAGTCGTGGAGGTAGCTCTCGACGGGCAAGGCCTCGTTCAGGAACTTCTTGTAATAGTCTCGCTTGACCGCCGGGACCATCAATACACCTTTTGCGGACTTGTCTTGTCCTACTCTGCCAGCCTTGCCAAACATCTGGAGGAGCTCGCTGATCGAATAGTCCACGTAACGGTGTTCCCTGCCTTCGAAGAACTGGGTGTTCATAACGACGACCAGATGAGCGCTGCAGTCAATCTCCCAACAGGAATCTCGCGACACTATCAAGACTTGAATAGCGCCCACCTTGAAGAGGTGCTGCACAGCCCTCTTATCAAAGGAATTGAGCGCCTCATGATAGTAGCCAATACCATGTGAGAGCGATTCAATTAGCGCCCGTTCGTTGACCTTGGCAAGAATGGGTTCAATTTCATTCAAGGACGCGTTGAGAAAGCGGTCCTCATCGTCGTCAGCGACACAGGCGGAGAGCAGGTCCACTGCGGACGCGCGAGCTTGTTTTCGGCTTGGCACAAACAGTATGGCGGGCTTATCCGGGGACTGCTGAGTGATGGCCTTGTACGTCGGTTTTGCCATAGCCAGCATAAGCGACGGGAAGTGAGGAATGGTGTAGGACTGGATCTTTAACTCCAAGGGTACCGCGCGAACGCCGGGACTGAAGTTGTAGATGGTGTGCTTATTAGCGCCAATCCACTCGCCAATGTCCCGAGCATTCGACACAGAGACGCTGAGGCCGACGATTCGGAGTCCAGATTCGATCTGAGCTGCCATTGCCTGCATTCGAGAGACGACGATCTCGTAAACATAGCCACCAGCACCGCCCAGCATGTGCAAGTCGTCGGCGATCAGGAGGGCGACAGACTGAACGTTCTTGCGGCGTTGCCATTGCCGCGAAATGGAATCCCATTGCGTCGGGGTGGCCAAAATGAGGTCGCCTTTTTCGAGTAAACGAAGATCCGCCGTGGTCTCTCCTGTGAGCTTGACAACATCCTTCCCTCCACCGAGACCAGACAAACGCGTATTCCAGTTATTGTATTGATTGTCAACGAGTTCCTGGAACGGCGCCAGGTAGACAATACGCCCTTCGTTGTTGCTCGACCAGTGTCGCAAGATTGCGAATTCGGCACAGATGGTCTTCCCGATGCCCGCGGAGGCACCCACGAATACATTGTCATCTTGCGTGTACAAAGAAGTGAACACCTGTGTCTGGACTTTGTTGAAGCGGCCGATATCCTCATACAGACCCATGTATTCCTTTCGCTTCAGTGCGGAAATGGGCAGTGACTGTAAATCCAAGACCGGAGTGTGCGGAGGGAATTTGGCCGGCAGAATAAGCTTTTGGAAAGAGACGGCTAGCTTTGTCTCGGAGCCCATCCAACGGTCGGAGAGTACGGTGATGAAGTAATTAGGTGGCATTGGCTCGTCGATAGGCACCGTAAGCTCGACTAGATGCTCGTTCACTTCTCCCTCGGCGTAGTCCTTGCGGAGGATGAATTGATCATGGAAGAGTATCTCTTCGCCATCGCAGTCTTCGACAAGGATCCAGAAGGCTTCAGAAGCCCCATGAAGCGACTCGTCCCACTCGAAATTCGGCCTAATCGTGAGCTCTAGGCGTAGCATTGATCTTGTGACGGGCCGTGGGGTTGCCTCCAGTTCAAGACGAGGGAATTTGTTTACCAGCCCGCATATCAACTTGCCGGCCTTAGGCATGCCCAATAATTCGCCCATGTTTGGTGGATCGAGGCCGAAGTAGCTTGACCACGGTACATCGATACGCTCTGCCTTCTGGACGACGTCCCTAGGGCAAGTGGGGAACTGCCGGAGGGGGGACATGGTCGGCCACATCCGCTTCTCAGCCATCTTGCACAAGTCCAGCGCAAGCTTAGCGACCTGTGACCAGCCCTTCTTGAGGCATATTTCAAAGATGGCACGAAGGATACGGCCAGCTGACTGGGTGACATACACCATGTCAGCCACGAGCGCTAGCCCTTCTAGCTTCAACCGAGAAATGTAGGCTTGAAGCAGGACGTTAATCTTGGCCTGAGGCTCCTCAATGCCTTCTTTAACCGGGATAGGAACTCGCCCAAGAAGCTTCGCCAGCTCGAGCTTCTCGTCCTGTCGCACTGGAATGTATTTGAATTCCTCGCTGAGCGCGAAGACTCGGAATAATTCAATCGCGCTGATACCGGGCTGGATGTGCAGATTGTATGTCCCCATAGAGTTGTGAGTGATGTAGTAGTGGGATGCAATCCTCCCGAGCTCCGTTGGTTGGAGAGCCCCCGACTTCCTGTCGTATTTCACCAGATTGCATTTCTCCAGGACATACGCGGCGGCATGAATCAAATCAACCCGCCTCTGCTCCAGGACTGTGTCGTTCTCGTATTCCGGACCAACGCGATACAAGCCCGGCGAGCGCAGCATCCTAACGAAGAGGTAGGTGTATCCAAGCCAGTCAACGCCCTCATCTCGGGTGCGTACGTTGCCCAGCACGATTTCCGCATTGAGATTATCCGCCAGTCGGCTGATGAATTGCGATTCGATCGGTAGCTGCTGGTTCAGAAGCGAGAGGTAGTACTGGATCTCCGCTTGGGTAGTGATGATTATGCCTTCGCCGTAGGTGTCAAACTGGGGACGGCCAGCACGTCCAAGCATCTGCAAAACATCTTGAGGGCTGAGCTCAACCCAGCTACCCTTTTCCGGAGAGTATACCTGGGTCCCCTTGATAATGACGGTGTGAGCCGGAAGGTTGACACCCCAGGCAAGGGTTGCCGTGCAGACGAGGACTTGAATAACACCATCGGAAAATAGATCCTCTACGGTGGTCCTGTCGGCACGGGACATTCCGGCGTGATGAATACCAAAACCATAAGGCATCAGGTCCTTTAGTTCAGCGTTCTGCACTGATTCCGACTCTTGCCTCAGAATCTCCCTACTCGCACCATCAGAACGAAGGATCTTGCCAATGGTCTCCAATTCCAGGGCTTTGTCGCGGATGTACTTTGCTGTCTTCGCTGTCTCTTTACGGGAGTGCACGAAGATAAGCATCTGATTCCGATTTTCACCGACCTGCTCTAGGACTTTGGTGTAGCATACGTCGTTCATGGTTTTCAGCTGCTTGATAGCTTTCTTGTCTGTGACGCCGATAAATTCCTGCTTCAGCGGGCATGGCCGGAATGTTGCATCAAAATGAAAGAGTCCCTTTTCAGGATCAACACGAAGGAAGCTCGCCACATCTTTGTAGTTCGGCAACGTGGCACTTAGACCTACGAGCCGAACAGGCTCGCCAGTCTGTTCGGTACGGCGGATCGTTCGGCTGACGATGCTCTCAATGACCGGACCGCGGTCATCGTGGAGAAGATGAATCTCATCTATACAGATGAGGCGCACTAGGTTAATGTAGCTAGTGTCGGTGGCTTTGCGAGTGATAACGTCGTACTTTTCAGGTGTGGTGACAATGATCTGCGTCTCAGCGATCTGCTGCTTTGTGAGCTGGCGATCGCCAGTCAGTTCTGAGACGCGAATGCCGTAAGGTTCTAGTCGTTTTCCGAAGTTGCCCACCTGTTCTTGGACGAGTGCCTTGAGCGGAGCGATATAAATGATCTTGAAATCGTCGAGGGCGATCTCGCCAGTACGGGCATTCCTGTGCTTTCCAATCTCTCGGAGCATTGCTAGCATTGCGACGTTCGTCTTACCAGATCCAGTGGGCGCGCAGATGAGCATGTTACCGTCGTCTTTGAAGGCGGTAGGGTAGCATTTCGTCTGAATGCGGTTGAGGTTCTTCGAAGACCCAAAGCCTACGCGCGCCCACTCCGGTAGCTCCGATGTAGGCATATCCTTCTGCTCGGTCGGGTCTCGCCGTGCCTTGGGTGCAGGCACGTGAATCTCTTCGTAGCCCTTGAATTGGCGACGCGTCGAGCCTTGCGGCAGCTTGACGCTCGGATTTGTCATGAGGTGATTTCCCTGGTCGAAAACTATGTTTTCTAGATTGACCAGTCGGCCGGACGGTTGCAACCCTCCAACCACGCCCTCTGGCCTCGGAGCATCAGCCATGTCGACATCTTTTGATGCTTCTGGGATGTTGATGTCCCTCAAATCGAATTTCATCTTCTTCAGACCAGGGCCTTCGGCCTTGGTACCTGTTTCACGAGCGCGTAGTTCCTGGAGGATTTGTTGCTGACCCGCAGCCCTCATTTCTCGCTCGACGGCCGCTCGCTCATCATTGTCTTCCGCCGCCCGTCTCCACCTGGTGACCCAGACAATCCTATCCCGGTTGAGCACAAGCTTTGCGACGAGCTCGTGATGTTCATAATCGAAAAGCTCCATAAGGTCGTTTTCGATCTCACGCAGGGGCTTCTCTTCGCCGTCTTCCGATAGCCCGGCTAATATTTTGAGCCCATCTTGTGTTTTTTCCTGTTGAGTGTGCGCATCTTCATAGACTTGACCAACTTGCCTCTGCAACCAATAAGCATCAATCTCGTGCGCTGGTATCAACTGATCCACGCCTGCTGTTCGGTCTGCCGAAGCTGTGTCCCCTTGGATAATCATTTCCTCTTCCCCCGCAAGAGCGCGGTCCGTGTCTTCTCTGCCCTCACCGGCTCCTATTTGCTCAACGGGCCTCTCCTCGTCTTCCTCCTCGTCGGTGGTATCGCCCTCTCGCACTTCGAAGGTCTGTGCGGCATCTTCGTCGTCTTCATCCTCGTCGAAAACGACTGCGACACCCTGATTCTCATCATTCTCCGGGCCTTCGGCGTCTGCTCTATCTTCACCCATGTCTTCGTCATCATCCTGCGCATCGTAGTCGGTGATTTTCTTGCCGAGATTGACTAGTTCGTTAAATTCCTTAGGGCCCATCGACGAGCCAAGGAGATCATCCACTGCTTTCTTCTTATCGAAGTCCTTCATGCCGTCATCCTTCAGATATTCCAGGACAGCGTCGGCGGCACTTCTCGTGTACAGCATCGGAACATCCCCAAGATGCTTACTTACGATCGTTGTGATTAGGTCGAAAGTTGCGCGCGTCGCAGGCGTCCGTGGCTTGTAACGAAGATCCTCTATGGCCAGGTCCTGGTCTGATGTGCTCACAGCGCCAAAGGCGCCTGTCCCATCTCCCCTCTTCCGCTTCCGCTGCTCTCGCTCTAGCACATCACCACCCTCAGTTATGCTCCCCCGTTCAACCTCGAAGGTGCTCTTTGGCTTCTTCTTTTGTGTAGGTGCGCTGTCGCGCGCAGTCCGCCCTCCCATATCCCGAATGTTTATGCGACCTGCTAGCGACTCTGGGTCACCAGTAGCTTCCTCTGCGCGGCGGCTGGTGAATCTCCGGTCCGCCTGCAGGACCAAATTTGACATCGCCGCATATTTGAATTGCGCGAGGTGGTTTTGCTTCGGGTCTGCCATGGTGGGTGAGGGATATCGCTCGCGCCTCGGGAGAATCTGTAGGTGAATTTCTGCGTCTCGTCCAGACTGGGTTTCCGGTGGAGATTTAGGGTCTCGATTGCGCGCCGCTTTACCCACGTCTAGTCCCGAGTAATGCGAATCTTAAGTACCGATGTTGGAAGGTAATTGGGGTCTCAGAAGTTGGTCGTACCCTTCGTGAACGCTGGTCGAAGCGAATCGAAAGATGCCGAGCTCGAAACAAGACCGCGTTCTAGCGACCGCCTATCGCGCAGCGCCGCGGACGTATATTCGGTGAGAGAAGGGGTGAAGCACGTGCGACCTTGGTGTTGACGGTGTCGCAAGCGGGCGGCGATAGAATTTAAAATCGACGGCGGAGCTTGAGAAGCTCGGCCCACCGCCACCGCGACCAGGCAGCCACACCACGTGACCGCGTCCTTTCTCACGACCAACCCATGTTCAGCAATGCGTCGCTTGTCGCTTACTCCTGGCATCAGATGTAAAGGTTTGGCTATTTGGACGCGGCGCTTGCAGCAACTTGATCGAGATTGATGCAGAAAATTGCAATATGACTAGTATTAGATCATCTACGCCTCTGCCAAATGCCCAAACCGAACCACCAGGGATATCATGCAGTAATGTCCATAGTAACCTAAAAAGCATTCTAGAAAGCATCTTCATTAGGGCATGCCGTGACATCATGACCCTCGCTCTCGCACAGCGCACACCACTTATCCGGATCAGCTACCGTGGCTCCCTTTGGAGGCACCAGCGATGAATTAAACGAAGGTATCGGGAGCGGCGCCGTAGGGGCGTTGCCTGGCGCTTTGCTGGGAGTACCAGCCGAAGGTCGAGGCCTATCGGACGAAACAGAAAGATTTCGGAGGCCTTCGATGACCACGTCTTTTCCGCTGCGGTTCGCGCTCGAGTGAGGCTTGGATATGCCGTCTCCTCCCATGGCAGAGCAGTTAAGGATGTCGTGGCCGCCCGTCTCGCAGATTTCGCACCAAAGTACACTACCATCAGCTGACGAGTGCCCGTCAGACTCCATCATGGGCTCAAGCGTTGATGGTGCTTCCCGGCGTGCCGCTTGTGGTGACCCTCTCCAGCTGACAACCGTGCCTTTAGAGTCTCGTCCGGAGGATCGCTTGTCCTGCATTGCCGTACGCTCGGACAGACTATTGCTGATGACGCTCTCACGTTGGTCGGGAGTGCCCACCTGGCTCTTCAATCTCTCGATTTCCCGCTCTAGCTCTTCCTCTCGGTAAGCTTTCCGTTCAACGAGCCCGCGCAGCTCTTCTTTCTCGCGTTCGAGGCGCTCTGCCTTCGCTTGAACGCTCCTCAGTTCTTCTGGGTTCACTGAAGATCCCTGACGCGACAAGGGCGATCGGCCGTGCTCTTCAGGCCCGGAGCTCAAGGAATGGATGATGGCTTTCAGACCGCGGATTTCATCGTCTCGCTGTTCCACTTCTCTTGATCCTGGGGTGAGCGGGCCGTCCACCATCGCTCCCGCGCCCTTCAGAGCTGCTGCAGCCTTCTCTCGTTCCCTCCGTAATTCTGATCGGCCGCGCTCGACTTCACCGCGTAGGAACTCAACTTCCCCTCGAGCTTCCGCTTCACCTCTCCTAGCATCCTCCAATCCTTCCTCCAACTCTTGCACGAGTTCTTCTAGTTGTTTTAACTGCCTCGCGACGCTTTCAACGTCTTCACCCCTCGATTGCAGTTCCCTAAGCTCATCCTGGAGCTCTTCCACTTTTCTCTCATACACGCGCTCTGTCTCGGTACTTGCCATCTCAAGAGTGTCGATGGTACTTCGGAAGTCGGCTCGATGCGCATCAAATTCAGCAGTAAGCATGGCGATCTTATCATTCTTCTCTCGGAGAAGAGCGCGGAGCTGGACAACATCACTCGGCTCGTTACCGTTGCTCCTTGGACGCCCCAGATCCATGCCATCCTCCGGCATGAGAGTTTGAATCTCAGCCAAGCTGGTCTCCATTTCCGCCAGCGAAGCCGCTTGCTCTTTTAACTGCTTATCACGCTCTTCTAGCAGCTTGGTGAGGCGCTGCACCTCGCCGTCAGATTGATTTGAACCAGGCCTTCGCGTTGTCGAGCTCGCCATCGAACCATTGCTTGCACGAACGACTCCAGTTGGGGTTACTTCCGTGTCTTCATCTATAGTGTCATGCTGTCCCAAACGTGAGTTGTTGCGTGAAAATGGCCGAGATGGACCTGGCGTCCGCGGCGGTTTCTGGAAAGCCGCGGTTCTTGGACCAGGACTGTTAAACCTCGGAGGGCCAATGGCGCTCTTCGAGAAACCAGCGGGTGTAATAGAACCATTTCGCCCAGGTGTGGGAGCCAAATTTGGTTGCTTGCGGAAGGGTGATTCTGGGCGCGGTAGCGAGGGCCTTCCCTTTGGTTTGAAGACGGGACTAGGCGCGCGCGCTCCAGGGCCTACTGACTGCGAGAACTTGGGTATAGACGGCGTATCGGGGCTGGAGTTGGGCTTTTCTCTCGTTGAGAGGCTGAAGGTATTGAAGGACGGCGTCGTAGGCGTAGGAGGGAAGGTCTCGGAGGTCAAGGTAGGAGAGGATCGTTTCGTCGCACGATGTACAGGCAGGAATATACCGGAGCCCGGAACCGAAGTCGTGAAATACCGCGTGCTGTGGGATCGTTACACCTTGCATACATAGGAAAAGGAGAGGCTCGCATACCCGTCGACGTCGCCGTCGTTCTTCCCACGCGCGGCGAACTCTCTGCTGAGCTCTACTCCAGCGAAGACACCTTTCTTTCCGCGAACGCTTCCGATAAACTTGACGACACCGTGCATGCCGCCCGGCACGTCCACAGTGTCGCCAACCTCGATATCCTGGCCATCGCCGCCCATTTTATTCGTCGGAGTCGTAGGATTCCCTATTAGCGCGTTTAGGGACGCTTTTCGTGCGATGGCGGTGCTGGCGGCCAAGGCCAGGTTGGGTGAAGAGGCGGTGTTGTTTAGTGAAGGCCGTGGAGGGTTGAGCCTCCTGGGCGTTTGGAAGGCCATCTGGTCTCGGCTACCCGCTGTGGGTGTTATTGTTGACTGGGTCCTGAGACGGCGGCCACTGTGGCCCTGTTGCACGAAGAAGGCGGGATTTGTTTTGGAGGGTTACCATGACTTGCTTGTGACAGGGGTCTAGTCGGTTGACCCGTTCTCCGCCAATGATGCTCGGGTGTCCATCCCCATAGCAATGCTGTTATACCGCCTCTACCGGTATGGCTCTCTAAAGACGGCATTCACGTCGACTTTACGCTGCTCACTGCGCGGCTGAGTCAGTTAGCCTTATATTAAGTGGCGAGCGGATGTTCGAGCTTCCTGCCACCGATCGCGCTGAGATCCTGGATGGCCGGAGCAGCCACAAGTCCAGGTAGGGAAAAGGAGAGCTTATCGAGTGCGCGGTGAAGTATTTGCTTTGACTCGGACTCCATTGACTGTGTTCATTCCTCTCGCTTCTCCCCTTCCTGTTGAATGGTACGTCCCCCACGGCATCCGACGGGCTCCAGGAATGTCCACCCGCGTTCACTTCACGAGCGACGGAAATCGTATGATGCCTTTACGTGGGAGATCGCGAAGTTGAAGGGGTTCTGGTGCTGTATCTCTTCCACTTGATTACCTGGGCTTCGCTCTGTTAACAGAGTACAAACGTACTGAAGTGTCTACTGTCAAAGCGATTGAAGGGCTTGAACATTGTTTGAAAGCTCAAGGCAAGTCAGATGAATAGATCAGGGGCTTATAGATCGCGCGAATACTTGCGCCCAGCTAGCTAGAGGTACCTCTTGGGCTACCTAGGTAGGGAGGAACGCGCATTCACGTGACCAGGACACCATCTCATTGTTGGCTAAAAGGACTCGCGAGCCTGGAACAGTCGACTCTTTGCGAGGGTATTTAGCGCTCAAGGAACTGCCCACGCTGCCTACCTAGGTACTGGGAAAGGATTAAGGCAAGACTAACATCAACCCCAACCTTACCTCCTCTGTGGTATCTAAACCTAGACGGCACAGATGCGAAGTACCGTACATTGGTAGAAACGACAACGACGCCTGCGATGTAAAACTTACAGCGGTTCTTTTCAATTACAGATGGGAGCCTGAGGCCCTCAGCAAGCCGTTTAGTATTCCGCATCCAATTCCGACTCGGCTTCGCTTCGACTCGCGTGCGCCCCTCCCAATTGCCTCGGCTCGGAGAGGATCAGCTTTCCCGCAGTCATAGCTCTACAAAATATGGCCTCCGCCGCACACACCGTGCATCCCAGCCGACATTACCTACGATGGCCGGCGCAGTTCGACAGCCCATTGACGTAGCCTCGCTGGAGCGCTACATTGCCTCCAACGTTCCTGAAATCGCGGTGCCGATTGACGTCAAGCAGGTACAACACCGGCCCAAACGTAGCTCGTAAGATGTATGCGCTGACAAAAAGAGTAGTTTGGCTACGGCCAGTCAAACCCAACGTACCAGTTGACGGACAAGGACGGGAAGCGATATGTTATGAGGAAGAAGCCGCCGGGGCAGCTTTTGTCCAAGACGGCACATAAGGTGGATCGAGAGTACCGGATCATCCACGCTTTGGAGAAGACAGACGTCCCAGTGCCCAAGGCGTATTGTCTCTGTCAGGATGAGAAGGTCATCGGGACGGACTTCTATATCATGGAGTTCCTGGACGGTAGGATATTTGAGGATCCAGCCATTCCAGAGGTAACCCCAGAAGAACGGACGAAGATGTGAGTCTCACGTAAGAGGGAGACAGTCATCAGCTAATATTCTGCAGGTGGCATTCAGCAGTCACAACGCTCGCCAAATTCCACAGAGTCGTCCCAAAGGATGTCGGGCTCGAGACCTATGGGAAGCCCTCCGGATTCTACAACCGCCAAATATCCACCTTTAACACTATCTCGAAATCGCAAGCAGCGGCGAAGGACAAGGACACGGGGGTGCCAGTTGGGAAGATTCCACATCAAGACGATATGGTTGCATTCTTCAGTGACCCTAAGACGCAACCAAAGGACAGGAGCAGCTTTGTGCACGGGGACTACAAAATTGACAACGTTGTCTTCCACAAAACCGAGCCGCGGGTGATTGGCATTCTGGATTGGGAAATGTCCACCATAGGGCACCCATTGTCCGACCTGAACAACCTACTAGCGCCGTTCGTAACGGCGTCGTCGGAAAAAGCCCTAAGCATAGGTCGTGCAAACACTGCGTTCCAGCCGGGTGCAATGGAGGGTTTACCGTCGCAAGATCAGTTGGTGTCGTGGTATTCGGAAGTTGCAGGGTGGGATCCTCGACCAGATATGACCTGGGGTCATGCCTTCTCGACCTATCGGTCGGCGATAATTAGGTACCAAGGCCCCGGTACAAATAGTAGACTATATATGCTAACCTATAGGTAGTAAGCAAACCTTTCTTATATTACGCCCTACCTTAGGGCAAATGTTAGACACGTTCCAACATTTGCTGCGGATCTAAGACATGCGGTATTTGTACCCCAGCTTTCTAGGCGCCTGCTAATTGTACCGTCACCTTAAGTGCAAGGGATAGGTGCGCGATACGCACTTCGTCAGGCCAGCAGCGCGCAAGCGCAAAACTACGGTTCGATGATGAGGCCGTTTGCCGAAATCGCGTGGGACTTGGTGCAAGAGTACAAAAACGCGCATGAGAAGGCGAAGCTGTAATGTAGCTTGTTGTACCCTGTAACTACTCACCATTATCTGGATAGTTTTCTCGTCCACCAGCTGATCAGAAATCGCATATTGGTATCATGTCAATGTCGACCTATAGATTGGGCTGTCAACACATGTACCAACCCCAATGGCCTCAAGTAACCGGGTACAAAGAGCTGGGGAGCATTACCACAAGCTATTGCCGGAACGCCAGTTACCACTCTTTTCTGTAGCCGAGATAATCCCCCCAAAAGGTACAACAATGTACCTGTCCTTCGTGACGTCTCATCTTCCCCCCTTGTGGTGGTCGTCGGTGTTGATACGGTCGAGAGCCTGATGTCCAAAATTAGCACTCTTACTGGTAGTTTGGAAAACGCTGGCTACACAGACCTCGAGCATGACCACAGCATTTCCTCGAATGACAACCATACCGATTCGCACCCTATCACCACTCGGCTTCTCTTCCAGGGCTTCGTCGAGCACAATGTTCAGGTAGACCTGTGAACCATAAGCTTGGCAGAACCATGATTATGAGGGTGTCAGATACATACGTCGTATCCTCGCAGAATACCGATGACTTTTCGACTTCCATTGAGCTGCACAAGAATGCGCTTCTCTAGGTACTGTTCTCACTGGTTAGCCGCACTCCACGAAGGCGGAAAAGAGTGGAAAGACCGTACCTTCTTCAGCTCCGGCTGTGCTTGAGGCATCGCGAGAGTTGTAGGCCGAAATTAAAGTCGACTGTATTGCGAGCTTCGTGGTAGGCGTACCAGCTGGCCTGTGGATTAGGTTGCGAAGTCTTCAAGGCGCGTGGTAGGCAGCCACCGCGATAGAGACAAGTAGATTGTGTTCACCTACTTTTGTGGAAAAGATGAAGGATAGTCCAGTGTTGTCAGCGTCGAGGTCGTAGTTGGGTCAAGCTCGCGTCGAACGGGTGGGACAGCTTTTTTGGAGGTGGATTGAATATCTTGGCATTAGGTCCGTGCGCGCTGCCTACAGACTGATCGAAGTTTCTTAGACATGCTCGACCTTACCTTTTGCACTAGGCTTCGTCCATACCAACACCTACACACAAATCATGAAGCGATCAGGGTCAGGGCGCATTGCACGCAAGATTGGGTCGTATGACGATGACTCCCCAGACAGCGCAAGCAGCTCGGCGAGCGAGGCCCGGAATCAGCCACCACGTAAGTTTGCATGCGAGTCGCTACTGCAAGCTGTGTGTTCTGACATTCCTAGGCACTCCGTGCTAACCCACAGTGTAGAAACTGTAGTCAAGCGGCCAATATTCGGAAAGAGTAAGAAGCGCTCATCACTGCGCATCTCTTTCGGCCCCGGCGAGTCCGACGCAAATGACGGCGACGAGTCTAGCGATGCCGCGGTAGCCACCCCGAAGAAATCAAACCTCAGCCGCATAGCTATCGAGAAGAATGCCCAGCTCAGAGCCCGGTCACCGCTCGTGCCAGAGGCATCCCGCCCAAGCCTCGACGAGGATCGGCCATCATACAGCAAAGATTACCTCGCGGAACTGCGTAATTCGACCCCTACGACGCCAAAGGATCTAAAGCCGACGGAAGAGGAAGAAGAAGAAACACGAGCCCTGGACATTGCTTCAAAATTCGGCCCCACGGCCACCATCTCTATTGAACCAGAGACGTCGGCGATTCCCACAGAAGCCGAAATACTAGAAAAGAAAGCCAGACGCAGACGGCTGGCCAAGGAGCAAAGGGCTTATGATGAGGACGATGACAAGCCGTGGGCATCGGATGACGACGGTGACGCCGAGTTCCGTACCCACAAGAATGAGATATCTCTCCGACCAAAGGAAAAGTACGCCGAGACGCGCCTTGTTCATGAGGATGAGGACATGGCGGAAGGCTTCGACGAGTACGTCGAAGACGGAAAGATCTCCCTAGATCGGAAGTCTGAGCGAGAGGCTGAGCAGAAACGGCGTGTTGAGATAGCAGAACTCATCAAGGATGCTGAGGGTGGCTCAGACGACGATGGATCAGACGACTCGGAGGAAGAGAGGAACGCCGCATTTGCCGCGGCTCAAGCGCGTGCAGGTAGATACGGCCAGAAAGATCAGGATAAAGAGGATGGCGCGCGAACACCGCCGCGGATAACGCCCTTGCCCGACTTAGGGGAAGTTCTACACAGTCTGCAATCTGATATCTGGGCCAAGCAGCAAAGAAGGGAGGTGATCTTGAAGAAGTTGGAAGAGCTGAGAGAAAACAAAGTTAAGATTGAGGAGAGGAGGCAGTATTTGCAGGAGCAGTTGCAGAAAACAGGCGAGGAGTATGAGAGACTGCGGCAGGAAGCTGGCATGCCAGCATTGCCTGCGAACGGCGCGGCAGGGAGCAAGCTCATTACGGAGAGGGGCTTAGATAGTCTCGGCACTACTCCACTAGCTACTTCTGGGTCGAGTGGGGAGTCGGAGGATGAGTAGATATTCTTTAATGCCAAATAATGCTCCAAAAGTCTCCAAGTACGGTCACATTTGCTTCGGGTTTCTTGGTAGCGGACGCTTTCATATGCCTATGATGCCCGGATATGATACAGTGTCTCCTGTCCTAAACTCCAATCCTACTCCAGAAAATGCATATTCGGTCGTTCCACCTCTTCATGAATTCGCATCGATCTCCGCCCACACTTTCTCAATGTGCTTCCGCTTCTCTTTGGCCGCTTCTCGGTTCTGTCGTGTTCGTTCGAGCCGTTGCGCGCGCAAGCACATGTTGACTCTGTATTTTGCGTCGGTGCAATTGCCCAGGACTTTGTGGATGAAACCGCGGGCGTGGCATTCGTCGAGGGCGGCAATCACGTCAGCGCAGTCTACGACAGTCAGCCAATACACTTGAGGAGATCGGTACAGGACAACCTACTCTTTTGGTTTTCCGCGGTGTGAAGATGTGGATGCATTGTTTACTGCTTCAACTAGAGGTTGTGATTGGGATTGACCGGACAGCTTGCCTTGGGGATTCGGTGGCGTGGAGTTGAGGTCGCATCGGCAAAGTCACAAGATTTCGTGAACCTGGCCCGTGCATCCTCTAGCATCACCTTTCCGGAGCTCGCCGTGGCACCAACATCAAACACGACTTTTTAGCTGAAGCTGGTCTCTGCATACAATATCTTCACAATGGCTTCACAAGCGGCTTTGAAGAAGCAGCAAGGTGAGAAATACCCGCTTCGGCCGGTGCGAACAGCAACTGACCCAAGGCAGAGCTTCAAACCACGTACCAAAACTACAAGAGCACGTTACAAACTATTGCTCAGAAAATTGGCGATATTGAGCAGGAGACAGAGGAGCACAAGTAGGTCTTTGCGACTTCCGAGCCGTTTTCATACCGCGCATATTTTGCTGCATCATACACCGCTTTTCTTTCCGAGTCATCTTTGCATGCATTCTCGTGCCTCGTCCTACCCCGTCTCGCTCGCTCACCGCATCATGTTCCTCCCTGACTTGCACGTATACTCACCTAGTCTAGGCTCGTGCTAGAGACATTGGAGCCGCTACCGGGCGATCGGAAGTGCTTCCGCATGATCAATGGGGTGTTGACTGAGAGGACGGTAAAAGAGGTAGTGCCGATTCTCAAGACGAATTCAGACGGCCTGAAGAAGACCCTGGAAGAGCTGGTCAAGCAGTACAAGGCTAAGCAGGATGAGATGGAGAAGTGGAAGGTATGTTCACCGCCACAATCAACGCCCGGCTTTCACCTGGCATCCATCCAAACGGGACTGTGTCAGCTTCCAGCTCTACCATGCTGACTGCACCACTTAACAGAAGAAGAATAACGTGCAAGTTGTTCAACAGCCTCAGTAGTGGAACATGTTCACGAGCGACGGACGCACGCAGCCTCCGACGGTGACGCGAGCTATGCTCGACGCCACATGGCATCCGGCACGGAATACGTGGGGCCCTCGTGAACGACTGCGGACGGACACTGCAGCTAGAAGGCTCGAGCTCCGGCATGATATCAGGTCTACCAAGGTGGCTCGCTCCACAAAAGCATTTCATGCATACAAGTCAGGCCAATGGGGCGATCCCCACCTTTCTTCCAAGTCATCTCCCTTCCAAGTCATCACCCACGTCATCTCGCTCCCGTGGGAAGGGTTGAGATATTGTCTTCATCTTGCACACTAGCTTAAGGCTGCAGGAGGATGAGTTGTACTTGAGAATTGGGATCTTTCGAGAATGGCGAAGCGTCATGTCTTGGGCAGGGGTACATCAGAAATCAAGCCATGGGCATCATTCCCGCCCTATTTGTTCTTTTGCGAACGCACAATTGCGTGGACATGTACGCCGCATCGACTAAGCAGTTGAGCAGTGAACTAGTTTCGTGACTGGAGAGAGGGTGCCATGCGACCGGGACGTAGCAAGGCTGAGGACGGCGTGGTCAATGGCTGCTGCGCGATGTGCTGGCGTTCAGGCTAAGTCTCATCGACGCCCTTGCCTGCATCCACATTCCGCGAGAACGGGCGGGTAGGCTATAGGATACCGACCATATTAGACTCTGCAGTGGCGGATAGCATCTGGGCGGTCGGTGAGTGGTCGGCAGGAACGCCATCTGAAAAGCGAGTGAAGCCGGACCGAGGCGAGGCGGTTCAGGAGAGCCTGACATGACTACAGCTTCGAACTTGTCCACGTCGGCATCTGCTGGGGGGTATGCGTGCTTCATGGCCGGGACAGCACACGAGGTCAAGGAGCGAAGCTGCACTGCCAGCTAACCCCTCGATCTACCCTGCAGGCCAGCGTGCTAGCGACCGGCCAGAGTGCGGACCGTCTCACCGCGAGGAGCAGGTCCTTGCGGCGGGGGTGTCAGACACGCAACTCTCGAATGGTGTATCTCATGGCGTGGTGAGGGCAGCGTCGACATGACGTCGGCGCGACAACGCGGAAGAACAGCATCGGCGTGAAACAACGGCAGCTCGACAAGGGACCCAATAGGAGAAAAAGCAACGCTCGATGCTCAGGCCGTAGGGCAGTCGAATGGGAGCCGGCGGCGGCTGACGGCCATCACCTGCATGCGCATGATCGCCCGACAGGCCTGGTCCACACGGCCGCGCTGGCATCATGGACGGGGGAGCCGAGGAGCGCCGCGGGAGGGACAAGCAAGTGACATAGCTACAGTAGGTATGAGGAGTGAGGAGTGAGCGCGAAGGGCGTCGAGGCGAGTGAATGGCGGAGCGGGCGGCCCGCGGGGAGAGGGGAAAGGAGGGCCTGAGCGCGGCCGCCCGAAAATGCGCGGACGTGAGTGGGCGGCCGGCAGTCGCATTTCCTGGCCGCTGCTGTCCTCCTCCCTTCGATTCGCTCTGCGCGCGAATTTTCCTGCCCCATCATTCACCGCCGCTTGCGAGTCCTGACTGGCTGCCACGCATCACGTCGCCCGCGCCCAAGCTCCCAGAAGGCTGAAGCTCCCATCCCGGTGAGCCTCCTCGCGCGTCGCGGCCCAGCCCGTCCCCCATTGGCCGGCGCGCGCGCTGTTGTGGTCGCCGCCGTCGACGTCCTGCGAAGAAAGCGCAGCTCCTCCGCCAGCTTAGATTGCCAACACTCACCTCACCGGCGCCCGCAGCGCTCCCAATTCCCCGCCGCTAGCTCCGCGACCTGCAGCCCGTCCCACCGCCCGGCGCAGAGCACGTCCAGGCTCAAAGGCTCTCTTGACGTCGCACAGGGTGCGTCTGCGGTGACAACGGCCTCCACTGTGCGCCGCCGCTGCTCAGTCGCCCCAGCGCACGCAGCAAACCCAGTACCCTCCCTCCGCCCAATTGTGCATGCAACGGTCGAGTAACACGCCGCCAGTTCACGCTCCTGCACCCGCGCTCCCCGTGGCCGCTCCCTTGCGCGCTGCCCGCCCTCGCCAACAGCTGCACCTCTTCGTACGTTAGCTTGCGTCCCAAGCCGCTGCCAGACGCATGCCGCTAACCGCTTCCTCCGTCAGACGTCCCTGTTACACAGTGCCCACAGCCGGTTGCATAGTCGGCCGCCAAGCCAGCAGCATCTCCCACAGTGACGTGGACGCCAGCGAATAACGAGCAGAGCGCCAGCGCACACAGGCACTCGAAGCAGGTCCCCGGGCCTGCAGGCGGCCGAATAAACATGTCGTCCACCCCCCCGAAGAAGGAGGGCGTGGAACCAAGCGCTCAGTCGCCTGACGATTCGGAGCCGCATATGGACAGAGAAGCTCAGGAAACACAAGCGCAGGGACTCGGGTACGAGTTCGAAGTCAAGGAGCAAGACCGATGGCTTCCAATCGCCAATGGTGCGTCTATTTCACTTGTTCTCTCCTTCGCTCTGATTTGCGCGCCGTTTCGCTCCCATCTGCACGTCGACGGATTGCTACCATCTGGCGCCGCTGGATGCGCGCATATTCGTTAATCGCGCGCCCGAGTCGTCTCCGCGTCGAATCACCGTCTTTGCTTTCCCAGACGGCCTGTCAAGGTCTCTGTGTACCTGGCAAACGGTCGCCCTGCAGCCGGCGCCATGTCGTCCGCTTCCCCACAGTCCTCCACTTCGCCGCCACAGTCCGCGCAGAAAGGCGCAAGCTCCAGTGCTGCGTCAGATGCTAACATTCGCAACTTTGCTCCAGTCGCGCGCATCATGAAGCTCGCTTTGCCCGAAAATGCCAAAATAGCCAAGGAGGCAAAGGAATGCATGCAGGAATGCGTGAGCGAGTTCATCTCCTTCATCACCAGCGAAGGTACGTTTCAGATTGAGCGCCCGTCCACCAGCCGCTGACGTTGCGCGTCCAGCCTCCGAAAAGTGCCAGCAGGAAAAGCGCAAAACTGTCAACGGCGAGGACATCCTTTTCGCCATGACTTCGCTTGGTTTCGAGAACTACTCGGAAGCATTGAAGATTTATCTCTCACGGTATCGCGAGGTAAGCTGCCACAATTCCCTTCGCCCCTGTTTTTTCCTTTGTTGCCTCATTTTGGCGAAGACATTTATCTGAACTATTTATTGATTGGTGGCACGAGACCCTCCTCGCAAATCAGAACAAACCTGCAAACCAGTTCAATGCAAGCGGGGCCGGCGGGGCCAATGCAGGCGCCAATACCTCAGCAGAGAATGCCCAACACCAGGTTCTGAGCGGCGACACGGAGATGGGAGAGAGCGACAATACCGCGTTCGGCTACACCGTTCAAGGGAACGGCACCGCCGAGTTCTAAATGCCGCGTCGAGATTGGAAGGCCAGATCAAGAACTACAGATCGAGTCGGCATCTGCTACTGACCTTCCAGCGGCATCTTGGCCACCGCAAGAGGAGGAGATTGCGCGTTTGAATAGGTGAGGAGGTTCTTAGGATTAGATTGTATGGATGAATCAGTGCTTTGGAAAGGTTGGGGTTTCTGTCTCCTTCAGGGTCGTGGCATGTAAAAGAAATAGGATTGGACGAAGGTGTTCCGGGGCATAATCACCAGATCCGTCGTCGGGACGGCAATGGTTCATGCATGGCTGGGTTAGGATGGATCGGGCAATGGGCGCGGATACCACACCTATTCTTCCATTCTCTTGTAGCCGGATTAGACTTCTTCATTGCTCACGCAGCCCTACAACACTAATCGTGATTTTGCTTTTCTCACACTGATGGTTCATACGCTAAGCCTCGTCTGTGTCTGTCTTTTCTCCATTTCCGCGTCCGTGGCTCTCCAAGCAGCTCTCCCGAGCGTCCGGGCACCCGAAGCGGCGGGTCTATTCTTTAGTAGAGGATATGCAAGTGCCCGTCCTGGATGCTTCGATCGTCCTGCGATCGGTACACGATTGGACAAGCTTGTGGAGAAGCCTTAGGTGCGTTTCGGGTAGGTACACAGACGATTTGCTCGTGACGTACCATTTAGGGCCTTTGCGGTTGATGTGCGACGTGCTGGGCTTAGTATGGACGTACACTTAGAGTCAAATCTCGGAGGTGAAGCTGACACCTTCATGCCATTAATCTCATTGATACGCTGAAGCGGCTTCTCTTTTCCGCGCCAGTAGCTCGCCCAAGGGGACGTCATCCTCCTGCTCATCGTAGAATTCAACCTCTTCATCTACGCCAAAGTCCTTTAGCCTCTCGCCCTCCGAGTTCCGCCACCCTTCCTCCCCGCTCTGGCTTCCTTCTCCGCTCTTACCTCCGCCCTCATACTCTTCCTCATCACCGCTTCCATACTCCAGCTCGTCTTGGAACGGATTTCTCCGTTCCTGCGCCAACTTCGTCTCCACGCGCTGAAGAAACGGCTTCCTCCTTCTTACTGCATCGGCGGCTTGTCGCTCTCGGAACGCTGCTATTGTTTCTTCGGAGCTGAGATTAGCTTCGGAGTAGGTGAAGCCTTCGGCGCCGTTGCTGCTGGACTGCGGGAAGCGCCGATACGAGCGGTCCGGATCGGGAGGTGGCCAGGATAAGGAGGGGTCATCGAAGCCGTTTGTTTCGAAGGAGAGGCCAGTTGAGAGGGTCGGGGTGGGCGCGAAGGGATTGAACCAGGATAGGGGCTGTCTGTAGCATTAGCACAGGTCTTGCGGGCTTTAGGGAGAGATTGCGTTATAGGGTTGCGTACGTTTCCAGTACCCATGCCTTGCTTGATATTCTTCCATATCCCGATGTCGTATGGAAACTCCTGCTTCTCAATCCGCACTTTTGCTCCATCCGGCCCATCAAGCCAGCCACCGAAATGCCGTGCGCGTCTCACAAGCGTGCGATGCCTCTCTATTTCCCAGCCCTCAATCGTCGTCGTGTTTACGGCTAAGCACCATATGTTCCTGATGAAAAGAACACCTAACGCAAACAGGGTGATGGAATTGGCTACTGTGGCGATGAAGAGGTGGGCGACGAGCCAAGGGCTGGGACCGAGGTAGGCGGGCAGATTGCGGTTGGCCCAGAGGGTCGAGATGCGGATCCAGAGGAAGTAGGCTAGTAGGGAGAGACCGCAGGTAGCGTAGAACAAGAAACGAAGGAAGTGCGGAAAGGTGGTATGCGAGACACAGTTTGCGGTCCAGGGGCAGTGGTGGTCCATTTTCGGTATGCATCTAGGAGATCGTTAGGATCACTACTTTTACATTGCCTAGAAGTAGGCTACAAAAGAGACCAAATGACTGTGACTGGGGTCATTTATAGAAAGAATGAACACTGCTTGCCTCTTGCACTCTTTACAATGATGAGTCCGCGGTGGCTTCGGAGCATCGCATTTCCGACACCATTTCCTGCTTTGTCCGCCCTTCTTCTCCCCATTTCCGTTCATTTTCCTAGGCTCTTCCCCATCCTTCTTCTCCCAGCCCTTTGGAATGCGCCCTGGATCCACAAATACCGACTTGGTGTATGTGATGTAAATAAGCACGAGGGCAGTATTTGATAGGATGAGTTCATTCTTCGTCAAAGGTCCGGGATCTAAGTAAGAGAGGAGTATCTGTGATGGATACCCAAGGAACGATATTAAAGCGTATACGGCGGGTACCGCAACCTGGTTGAGCTCCATATCTGCTGGTGTTAGAGTCGTGAAGGATCGACACACCCCTGTCAGGGTTCGATTTAGTGCGACGCTAAGCACACGTGATACGACCCTTGTTGCGTGAACGTAAACGCCAAACCTACGAGCTCCGTTACATCAACTTCATCACATTTCATTTTCACATAGCTGGGCCAATTCCAGCTCGGGAAGGAGACGCCGATGAGATGGCACGGCTTACATGGATGTTCTATCTTCTCATCCCGACCTTTATTTTGATCCACCTGTTTGCGTCACCTTACACCAAAGTCGAGGAGTCGTTCAATATACAGGCTATTCACGATATTTTGATACACGGGATTCCTAATGAGAACTATGATCAGTTCTTCACGGCCAACTATGACCATGTTTCGTTTCCGGGAAGCGTGCCGAGGACGTTCGTCGGAGCCTTGCTTTTGAGCGGTTTGTCCAGACCTTGGGTTAGATTCATCAGCTCCCCTGTTCAACTTCAGTTGCTTGGTGAGTATGTCTATCATTATAAAAAAGACGCGGCGTTCACCACCTACCCATAGTCAGAGCTGTGCTTGGAATATTAAATTCCATCGCGCTCATTGCGTTCGGTCGCAGCGTTGAGAAGACCTTCGGTACCGGCGCTGGGATATGGTATGCTATGTTTCAAGCTAGCCAGTTCCATGTAATGTACTACGCATCGAGGACATTGCCGAACATGTTCGCATTCGTTTTCAGTAAGCAGAGATTCTATATACCCGCTCACACATGGCTGAGATGCTTCAGGCACCCTAGCGTTGCGAAGCTTGCTCAAAGCTTATACTGCCACGTGGAGCAGCACATCAGTACCGAAAAGCTACCGCTTGTGTTTATATCTCCTTACATTTGCTGGAGTTGTCTTCCGTTCGGAGCTGGCCATCCTCGTCGGGACCATCACGCTGTATCTATTCGCTACTCGGCGAATATCCATTACGGGGATTATCATCCCGGCCGGAGTCGCCGGTCTTGTCATCGGCCTGCTTTGCACCGTACCTATCGACTCATTCTTCTGGCAATCTATCCCACTATGGCCTGAATGGACTGCATTCTACTACAATACTCTCCAAGGCCATTCCGCAGACTGGGGTGTCTCTCCATGGCACTACTACTTCGTCAACGCACTTCCACGGCTAATGCTGAACCCAGCTACATATCTACTATGCATTCCAGTCGCGGTGCTCAACGTATCAACCAGAAGACGAAGCCTAGATCTCCTGATACCACTGCTCAGCTTCGTCGGCTTGTACAGTTTTCTTCCGCATAAGGAATGGCGCTTCATCATCTACATAATCCCAGGTCTGACAGCCGTTGCTGCCACAGGAGCATCTTGGATCTGGACGCGTAGAGCAAAGTCCGTCATATACGCGATCCTTAGCCTCACTCTGGTTGGATCTATGTTGGTCTCCTTTTCAGTATCAACGGTTCTATTGGCGATATCCAGCCTCAATTACCCGGGCGGCGAAGCTCTCACCTTCCTCCACAACCACGTAGTCCTTCCTGAGGATCGTCACATCCACGTCTACTTCGACAATCTCGCTTGTCAGACAGGCGTCACGCGCTTTTTGGAGAACCACGAGGGACCACAGACAGTCCTGGACGTCCTTGAGGCGCAAGACATTGCCAACAGGAGGACGTGGACCTACGACAAGACCGAGGACCCAGAAACCCTTCTTGATCCTATGTTCTGGGTCACCTTCGACTACGTGCTAGCCGAGAAACCGGAGAAGATTATCGGAAAATGGAAAGTGGTACATGCAGTGTACGGCTTCACTGGCGTGCGAGTATTGAAACCTGGAGAGAAGACCGGCTTAGTTGCGAAGCCTTTGGACGGCACCGCACAGGAAAAGAATGGGCCTGTTCATTGGACGTCCAGGGTAGCATACTTGTGGGAATCGTTAGAGGATTTCTTAAGAGACAGGGTCTTGAAGGGCTGGTGGGCGGAAGTCAGAATGGAGCCCAAGATAAGGGTATTGGAGAAATCCACCGCTTAGAGTTGAGGAGGTTGGCGATTCCAACACGAGCACATCTCACATACGGGCAAAAGCAACAATGTTCATGCGTCTCATGCGCGTTTGATATCTCAGCTGCGGGCATCATTTGCTCGTGGTTTTATGGACCGTACTATCACGGTCCTCGCCCTAGAATGGCCTTTGGTATCCCGCTCGCTATGCCATAACCCAAGAGACAATCTCCGTTCCATTCAACCCCTCAACCGGCAGCCTTCTTCTTCTTATCCTCGATACACTCCACATTGTCCTCCGGGATATCCTTATACGTCTCCACCACATAATCATAGATATCATCGCTCAAATCGCCCTGCACCGTGATCTCCTCACCGCCGCCCGGTATCTTCGTCACGCTTGACCCTGTCGCAAACTTCTTGCCAAAGTCCTTGGCCACCTTCTTGATGTCGAGGCCGAACGCTTCGAGACCCTGCACGGCCGTCACGTATTTGCGCTTGTTGCGCTCGATGCGCTTGATTAGGATTTTGGAGGAGGCTCGCTGCTCTTGGGCACGGGCTTCGGCGGCGACCGCTTTCGCGGCTTTCTTTTGGGAGTCTTTTTCGGCGCGCTTTTGCGCTTCGAGGGAGAGGGCAGAGAGGTTTTGCTCGATTGTTTCTGTGAAGATGTTAGTGTGTCCAGAAGCAACACGGGAAAGAGAAAGGTTGGCCGGCTCGTACCTTGCGAGTACAGCTTCGCATGCATGTCTGGGTGGTTTTGCTCCAGCCACTCTTCGCACTTTTTCGTCGTGCCGCCGAACTCGCAGTACTGAACACATTGACTGTCAGACCATTATGAATCAACTTCACTTGCGCTAGTATCCTACCTACTTCAGGGGGTAAAGTGCACACTGCTACCGGTTAGCATTCCTGTCGATGCGAGCGAAGGGAAGATTTTCGCACCTCCGCAATACGTGACCTTCCTGGGGTATGTTTCTGTAGCCATGGTCGCAAGGCTATCCGGCCTTAGTGGAAGAGGATGGAGGGTATTCGTGTTGCGGAAGCAGTGGCGTAGTGTAAAGAAGTTCGATTTCACGCGACTGTGAACTATTCATGGTGGGGCAATGGCGGGGTAGCAAGGATGAACATCGAGGGCAAGTCGCTGACCGATAAAGTTTCACTTCAAACCTGGTGTAAACTGGACTCACGCCCGCCTTGATGACATCATAAGGGGATATGATCGAGCATTTGAGGCGTTGAATAGCTCGTGGCGCCAATCACCAAAACGCGCTCTAGGTGACTGCAGGCACGCAAACGCCCATGCCTTCGAAATGAAATGTTGAGCAAGGTATCGGCAGATCTGTGTACTATTCTGGTCACAAAACAAAGGACTACTGTGGCTTTGTTGATGAAGACTCTATGCTTCAGATCCGGCGTCGTTTCACTCGATATGAGCTGAGCTGGTGTTGCGGAATCGGGGGCGAGGCGGCTCTGCCTTAGCGTCTTGGCAACGAATCGCTTTGTCATAAGTGCCGTTTCCCACGGCTGCCTCAGCAAACCGCACCCAAACACGAACAGCGCTCTTTAACCCACCACCCGCGCTCTTCCCCACCTCTCCTCGCTGCCAAAATCTCCCTCAACATGGCCTCTAACCGACCCCGTGGCGGAATCCGCAAGCATCAACGCCGCGACCGCGATGGAGACCTCATCATGGGCGCCGCTCCCCGTGTCTCTCCGGCTCGTGCCCACTCCGCTCCCTCCGGTCCCAGGAACAATACCCATACCGCGCCCTTGACCGAACTCAAAGTCACCGGCTACACCGACAAAGCCGAGTCAACAAAGCTCCTCAACTTCCTCGAGCGGCACTCAGCGCGACGGAGCCCCAATGCCTCGAAAGGCAACGTTCCCCCGAAAATGGTCAAGCGTCACCGGGTGGGAGAAGACGCACTCACGCTCTGGGTCCGCCCTGAAGACGTGGTCGCCTTCAGCAAAATCAACGGATTCACATTCAACTCTGTCCACGGCACCCAGAAGCTCACAATCTCCGGGCCTGGTATCCGCTCCCGCTCGCCTAATGCCTCCTCCACCATGGACACCGCCGGCGACCGTCCACAAACCAAGAACTCCTCCGAGAAAAACGCCACTGTCGAGCTTCTCAAAGCATTCCTCGAGCGACGGTACAACCCCGCAGAGAAGCTTCTCAATCTATCAAAAATCGCGGAGGATGAAGAGGTTGCCAAGTCCGGAATGTTTGACAGACCCTCCACGCAGGCCAAATTCTTCCCTGCCCTTATGATCGTCTGCGACCAGACTCTTAAGACCGCCGAAGAGAAGCGAGAAGCCATCCACAGCGTGACTCTCAGCGGCAACAACCTTCCCAACCTGGACGTGGTTCGAGACCTCGCTACAACTCTTCCTCACATCAAGAACCTCGACCTTTCCGGCAACAAGTTCTCCACCGTAAACGACCTCAAGCCCTGGAAACACCGATTCCGGCACCTGGAGCACCTCATTCTCGAAATCTGCAAGGAGGGCTGGCAGGAAGAAATCATCTCATGGTTCCCAAAGTTGCGCCTCTTGAACGGACAGCAAGTCCGCGACGACCCCTCTATCGCGGCAGCCCCGGTTACAGCACCGGTGGTAGCCCCCGCGCCGACATCGGTTCCAGTACCAGCACCAACCCCAGGGTTCACGCCGGAGCAGGAAGCCATGGTTACATACGTCCAAGAGCAGACGAATCTGAAGCGAGACATGGCAGTCCAGTGTCTACAAGCAGCGAACTGGAACATCGAGAACGCGGCACAGCTCTTCCTCGCGCAGAAGGACACGCTACCCCCGGACTCGTTCAACTAGGCGTCGATCGATTCGATGGAGGTATAAGAGGTGGAGAATGCAATTTCAGATTGGGTTTGCTCGGGGTATTCTTGGTCTCTGCCCTTGATGGGTGGCTGCACCAGGCCTTCTCACGGGTCGTGTAGACATTGGTGGCAGATTGGCCGGATTTTGTCTTTATTTTGTTCAGCATAGCTCTAGGCGTCATGGGTGGGTCGGCATGGAATGATTTGGCATGACTCGGTGTTTTTTTTATCGTTTTCTGTCAGGATTGGACGCTATCGGATAGATACCCGGAATCCGCACAAGACCTCCGCGATGAGGCGCTTTTTGGCTCTCCCTCGAAGGAGAGCCTCTATCTTGTCTATAGAATCTCCAATCATGCATATGTGACGTCGTAGACTCTACCATGTGTTTCACTCCCTAGGATTTTAGAAATGAGAACCCTGGGTATAGGGTAGGATATCTAGGAGACATGATGTTGTGCACTTTACTGTGAAATTCGCCGTATACGGTTATTTGAGCAAAGTCTACAAGGCAACATCTAACTTCCCACCTTCCCAATGTCTATATCTTACTAGCCTCCCTGAGCACCTCCCGCGTCAACTCGTCTCCTTTCCTCCGAACCTCACTCAGCCTGCCTATCTTCAACAATCTCCCAATCATCTCTTCATCCCCGAAATGACTATTATGCTCAAACTCCGGCTCCTCGCCATACGCGACCCTCGCCGCATCCACCAGTATCCTAGCCGTCATCCCAAACACGCGGAATGTAGTCAACGCCTCAAAAGCCGCGGGCTCCGGGCGCGGGTCATCGCCCTGTGGAACGTCTTTCTTCCCTGATGAAGCGGAAGAAGAAGAGCGAAGAGGAGAAGACCGTGACTGTGAAGGATTGTGCCGGAGTTGTGTGGGCGAGGCAGGTGGCGGGCGCGGAATGTAGAAGTTGTGCATACGCCAACGGCTCTCGTGCCAGTCCGTCCAGCTGCCGCGATACCATTTCTCGGGCTTACCGCTGGGCTGTGTGGGGCCTGGCGCGGGGCCGTCCCAGGTCTTGCGCAGGAAGTTGCGGAAGGGCGCTGTGAAGACGGCGGCCACCTCCTTCGGATCGAGCCTTGGAATCATCTTTTCCTCGACGGCGGAGGCGGCGTTCATGTCTTCGTCTCCCGACAACGACGAGGCCGACGTAGTAGCGGAAGGACACAGAAACGCAACGCAAGGCCGTACACCGAGTTCCGTCTTCGCCAGGTTGGACGGCATTTCGCACAGGTGCTCGACTTTGAAGCCCGGTGGGAGCTTGGTGTCCGTTGTAGGCAGTCCAATCTCCTCGTATGCTTCTCGCCGCGCGGTATCGAAGGGTTGTTCATCGAGCGTGTCCGCCTTTCCTGGGGCACATCAGTCCATATGCGCGCTCACGTCTTCCCTCCGGGCGATAATCTCCATACCTCCGGGCAGTGCTGCCTGTCCCGCATAATTCCTCAGTGTAGCCGCGCGCATCGTGAGGACGACTTTGAGGTCGCCATATCGGTCCGGGAAAAGGAGTATCAGGACGGCGGCGCGTCGTGTTAGCGGGCAATTATACCATTGTGTCGGTGGAGGGTTGTATGCGCGGAGGCGGGCAAGCGCTTGCTGAGCACGTATTAGCCCACGATATTATCACATCGGGAGAAATGGAGCAGTACGGCAGAAGTTTGCGAGAGCATCATTACTGAGGTAAATATCCAGCGTTGCGCGAGCCATGCTGAAAGTTCAGGACAGTCGCTTTACGGAAGTGAGTTTGGAGGGGTTGATGTCATGACCCGAGGCAAAAAGGTTCAGGCCGAACTATCGGACTGAATAGTAGTTAAAGAATACCCGTGGACAGCAACATCACAAGCACAAGGTAAAAGATTCAGAGGACAATGATGCATTCGCAACCGTATCTATATCGTGTAAGAGTAGTCATTACCGTCATCAGTGACCAGCAGAGCCATGGAAAGGGTATCCCATCGCGCTCACAAGCCATGATAACCAAACCCTCGCAGCAGATCCTCGAATACAGGAAAGCCTATGAGTGAAAGAAAGAGACACTAAAAAAGACACTCGCAAACTGAGCATCCGCCGCACTTTTCTAAAAGCCTTTCCGAAGGAGTTTGCACACGAAAATTGACAAACGCCGAGATGCCACGAATGTAGAGATCCACCACGTCTCACCTCGAGCTGCTTTTGTGCTGGAATAAAGCGAAGGAACAGTGCCTGACCAAGCAGGCAAGCCCCGAATTAGTGAAAGCACAGACTAACCCAATTCGCCAACCAAATCTCTCCGGCAGGTAAGTTGGATCGGAGTCGTAGAATCGAAGCGCTTAGATCAGGTCGGCAACGTTCATGGGCATCTCCTCGATCTGGGTGCTGTAGAACTGCTCAATTTCGCGCATCATGCGGACATCCTCGGCGGTAACGAAGTTGATGGCGACACCCTTTCGGCCGAAACGACCGCCACGACCGATGCGGTGGATATAGTTCTCGCGGTTAGCGGGTAGGTCATAGTTGATGACCAACGAGACCTGCTGGACGTCGATACCACGGGCAAGGAGGTCGGTGGCGATGAGGACTCGGGAAGAGCCGGATCGGAACTCCTTCATGATGATATCACGCTGGGCCTGGTCCATGTCGCCGTGCATAGCCGAGACAGTGAAGTCGCGGGCAGTGAGCTTGTCGGTGAGCCAGTCGACCTTCCTGCGGGTGTTGCAGAAGATGACGGCCTGGGTGATGGTGACGGTCTCGTACAAATCAGAGAGGGTGTCGAGCTTCCAATCCTCCTTCTCGACGGCAATATAAAACTGCTTGATACCTTCGAGGGTGAGCTCGTCCTTCTTGACAAGGATACGCACGGGGTCGCGCATGAACTTGGTGGTGACCTCGAGCACGTCCTGGGGCATGGTGGCGGACAGGAGGACGACCTGGGTGGACTGCGGCAGGAGCTGGAAGATGTCGTAGATCTGCTCGGTGAAACCGCGAGACAGCATCTCGTCGGCCTCGTCGAGGACGAACATCTTCATGTGGTCCGTCTTGAGAACGCGACGCTGGATCATGTCCTGGACACGTCCGGGCGTGCCAACGACGACCTGGGGTCCCTCCTGCAGAGCCTTCATGTCATCACGAACGCTGGTACCACCAATGCACGCATGGCACTCGACGTTCATGAAGTCGCCGATGGCGACGACAACCTTCTGGATCTGCTGGGCAAGCTCGCGGGTGGGGGCGAGGATGAGCGCCTGGCAGGCCTTGATGTTGGGATCCAGCTTCTGGAGGACGGAGATGGAGAAGGTAGCCGTTTTACCGGTACCTGACTGGGCTTGCGCGATAACATCGTGGCCTGTTGTCTACGTCAATGTCTGTAACCCTGCAATGTGGGGGCCGTCCGACTTACCCTTGATGACGGGCATGATGGCGCGCTGCTGGATGGCGGAGGGGCGCTCGAAACCGTAGGCGTAGACTCCGCGGAGGAGCTCCGCCTTGAGGTTCATCGCGTCGAAGGAGTCCGTCGTCTCATCGTAGTTGGACTCGATCTGGCCTGCGGGAGGCGGTTAGCGCCGCTCAGAGAAATTTCTCAGGTGAGGTCGCTGCGGCCGGCCAGTGGACGAGCGCAGCGCCGGGAAGCGATGCGGAAGGGACACTCACCCTCAGGCACATCCTCAAGACCTTTGTCAGCCATGATTGGGAGGTTCAGAGACCGACGACTACAGGCGCTGCTCTGTAGTCGAACGAAGGGCTCGTGGCGGGGCTGATAGCGGTGGGGATCCTCGGGATGCCGCCGCTGGTGAGTGGGTAAGTCGCTGCTGTAAAACTAGATACCAGATCCTCTGCGCGAGAATCGAATGGGTATCTAGGAATGTGGGTTGCTCTGGGTTGCGTGCTTTGTGTGTGGTGATGGAGCAAGGTGGGAGGTCGGCGGCGGTCCTTTTATGAGAAAACTTTTAGCGAGGATTCGGCGCTAGCGTCGTCCCAAATTCACCGTTGAGCCATGAGGCAAACCTCCCACTCCTGCTTTGCCTTCACCTCGCCGGGCCCCTGTGCCCGCCTGATGCCTTCCAGTCGCCGTTTGCTTCGTACCCTCTGTCTGCCGGCGCTTTCCAGCTGAGCAAGCGTTGTTCCTGAACCTTCTTCCAGATGGCGCCCGGCATCCTGGATGCTAGCCACCACGCGTGTGCCGAATCACGGCCGGCGAAAAAGATCAAGTTATCGTCGGCGGCGAATGTCCAGCCCGACGATGCGGACGATGTGGCGACTGCAATTCCTCCCCACCCGCTGCACGTCAAGCCCGCGGGCAATGCCTACACCGCATCGGAGAATCTAAAGTCACGCTGCGGCTCGTTCGCAACGCTGCCTGACGAGCTACTCAGCCTCGTTCTTGAGTCATTCAATGCTGACCAGCTTGTGCGGTTGGGAAGCACATGTCGGGCATTGTACGCCTTCACTCGGTTCGACGAGCTGTGGAGGGCCTTGTTTGTAGGGTAGGTGACGAAAGTTCGTTTACACTGTTCCATTTCCGGTCACGGAATCAACATATACCCTCCCCTTCTCCTGTGTATTCTATTAGTAGATACATCCTGTTGTGCCTCATGCGGGTGGGGCATGTATGTTTCAAACAGCCGGCCGAGGAGAGTTTGGTTCTGAATTCTGTCTCAGACTCAATGACTCTACGTTATGAGTCCATCCTTGCACTCGAGCGCTGTGACTCATTTGCTGCGGTCATTTGCTATAGTTTGGCAATCTTCCAATCCTTTGATCTCACGGTAAACAGTCAGACTAACAAACGAATAGATCGCGCCCTGAGGACTTCGTTTGGCGTGGGACGTGGCGCACAACCTTTCTTCGAATACCCCAGGAGCATGTGACTTCCATCTCCTGCAAAGACCTCTTTTCGGACGTCCTTTATCGTCCTTTCCAATGCGCTCACACTTCTCTCGAACCCTTTACTTCAAACATTCCTAAACAGAATGCTATCCAGCGGCTCCCCGACCTTACTCGGGATGAGTACGCCGAGAAGTGGACCGACAAACCCTTCATTCTTACCTCGCCGGTGAAAGAATGGCCAGTCTACGGTAAATGGACGCCGCAGTATCTTCTAGAGAAGTATCCGGACGTCAAATTCAGAGCCGAGGCTGTCGATTGGCCCATGGCCAAGTATATGGACTACATGTCAAATAGCAGCGACGAAAGCTCCCTCTACCTCTTCGACCGCGGCTTTGTGGAGAAGACGGGCATAACTCCAGGCCGCGATGCAGTGGAGCCAGCATATTGGTCGCCAGACTGCTTCGGCGAAGACCTTTTCAGCGTACTCCGAGAGCACCGCCCTGACTGTCGTTGGATGATCATGGGTCCCAAGCGTAGCGGCAGTACATTCCACAAAGACCCCAACGCCACCAACGCATGGAACGCGGTTCTCACTGGCTCCAAATACTGGCTCATGTTCCCTTCGTCGCCCACGCTCCCGCCTCCGCCCGGCGTCATTCTCTCAGACGACCAATCCGAAATCACATCCCCCCTCTCCATTGCCGAGTACTTCCTAACCTTCCACTCTCTGGCTCGCGAGACACCCGGTTGCCGCGAAGGTATCTGCTACGCAGGCGAGATCCTGCATGTCCCGTCAGGCTGGTTCCATCTTGTCCTGAACCTAGAAGATGGTCTCGCTTTGACGCAAAACTTTGTGCCCATAAAGAAGCTAGCCGACGTGCTTGGCTTCCTGAGGGATCAGAGAGACCAGGTCAGCGGGTTCAAGGACGAAGTGTGCGATCGGGCATATGAGCTCTTTGTGGAGAGGCTCAGGGAGAATCATCCGGAGATTCTGGAGGAGGGACTCGCAGAACTGGAAAGGAAGGGTAAGAAAGGGCGAGGGAAGTGGGAGGAGCTTACGAAAATTGGTGATGAGGAAGAAGAAGGAGCAGGCTTTAGCTTTGGGTTTGGAGGTGACGACGACGATGCTGATATCCCGTGAGCTCCTCCCTAGGCTAGAGTCTGACTAGCCTTTCGAGGCCAAAAGTACATAGAATGGACCTAATTAAAATCCCGATTCCACTAAATCCCGCACAACAGGCTTAGATTGGTCCAGCTCGGATTGGGCTGGTTCGGCCCCGTGGAGGCCTCTGCGCACATCATGGTTCCTTCAGGGTTATGTTTCTGCGTCACGCTGTCTTTGCGAGCTCTTGACATTTTGGCGCGACGTCTGGCATGCCTGAGACACTACATCACTACCAACCTGTTGTTGACTTGTACAAATGTGCGCGCGGCATGATGACGGTTCAGTCTCTATCATTAACATATCAATGAGCCACAGGTAATAGCTACGCCCAAAGTCTAGTGAGCCAAAAAAACGCCGCACACAGCCGGGTAGACATCAACCCAGCCTCGTCCAAGACACTGACCAGGAATTGTTCTCCGTGAAACCAATATTGCCGGAGCAGGCAGTGCACTGGAGCTTCCACTCTATGAGGATGCCGCCGTGGCCTTCCTCTCATCCTCCTCCTTCCGCATGTCTTCGAGGAACTTCTCCCATGTTTCGATTGTGTCTTGAAAGAACTCGATGTGCGCATCCGCCAGGTCTCCGAGCGTGTCCTTCATCTCAACGGTTTTGATGCGTTCAAAGTCCTCAACCTCTTTGACCGTGTGCTCGTCGAAGGCCTCCGTGGCCTTCTTCGCATTCTCGACTTCGCCTGTCAATCTCTCAATCTCGACCTCTAGCTTGCGCACCCTCTGTCTGCGAGCCTGCTCATGGTCAATGCCGCGGAAGTCCTCGACCTTGGAGCGGAGGAAACCGGACGCTCCCATGCCTGCGCCGTGCTGGCTGGCTAGTGAATCTCGGTCGGATGCAGACTTTGCGAGGTAGTCGCTCAGTGCTTCGAAGTCCAGCTGTTTGCTTTCCCGCGTGCGGAGGAGAGCCTTCAATGCGAGGACATAAGCATCCATATCCCGCAGGCTGGTGAGGTAGTTTTGATCGGTGTGGTCCCGTATCGATTTGAAGCCCTGCGCAGTCGTAGCTACCGACGAAGCAAAGGACGTGAGAGGCCCTTCAACGCCCGGCTCCAGGGTGATAAGCTTCTGGCATTGCGTCGCCAGGTCGTTGTAGTCCTGCTCAAGGTCCCCTTGACGCCTTGCGACGCGCACCGCCACCTTCTCGATATTTGAAAGATCCTCTGTCAACTTTGTAGCTCGCTCGCTGACCTCGATGAATCGCTTATCCGGCTTGTGCACCTTGGTAAAGGTATTCAGGAAGCTCTCCGCAATCGAATCCACAATGCCGCTTCCGCCCTGCTCGGACGCGCTTGCCGATCTTGACGACCTCCCCTTCATGTGCTGATTCCAGTCTGGGCTCTCGAGGAAGTTGATCAGGAGCATAGCTCGCCGCAGGACCGGGTGCAGGGTTATCCGCTTGAGGAATCGGTGCAGAGAGTGTGCGCGCCGCTGCGTGAAGTCCGGACCGAACCGGTCGCCGCGCACGTACTCCATCTTGTGCTTGTCGGGTAGCGGTGGGACGGCGCATTGTGGGTACTCCTTGGTGAGCTGTTTCCAGAGGAAGAGGAAGTCGGTGAAGCGGCGGCGCACGGAGAACTCGGGGCGTTGGAAGGATTGGAAGTCGGACTGCGCATGTCACGTTAGGCTTGCATTCTCCTCGAAGCGACGCAAAGCTTGAGCAACAAACACCGACCTTGGTAGTTACAAGATAAGAGACGTATGCATCCTTGGTGCCCGGCAGCTCCTTCTGCGGCTTGCCGACGAAGGTCTCCAGGCGGCCTTCGCTGAAGTCTTCGGCCATTCTCGGCAGCAGGACGGCCCGGGGATCGAGCGCAGTGTATCGGTCCTCTTCTTCGATTGCTGCAAGGTCGTGGAGCAGGTCGTAGTCGGCGTCGGCGTCGGCGTCGGCGTCGTAGGAGGTATTGGTGGAATCAGAGTGGGCTGCGCAGGTTGGCGGGCTTGAGGCTGGGGTGGTGACGTTGGAATCCGAGCGCTGCTCGCTTCCTGCGGGGCGGCGCGCAGCAGCATCGCCAGAAGCTTGGACGCGGATTGCGTTGTACATTCGGTCGAAGTCGTCGATGCTACGCATGCGGCGGTGCTCGAGAATCATCTTCGACAATATTTGAGAAAGAACGTGGTGTAATTAATAACGGTCTGCAGCGGTGAAGAACCATGGCCGGCAGCTATGAACCCAAGTCGGTCAAGCTATACACAGAGTGAATTGAAAAGGAAAGAGCCCGCCAGACGGACACCGCCGTGAATCCCGCGGCTATTCGCTGCAAGTGGAACCAGTACAATCAAAAACGCAGATCTATCAGTGGTCCGGAACGCCAAATCGTTTGTCAAACTGCTCAAAAATCTTGGGGGAAATCTCATCGCTGCTGTTCCCATTCACAGTCCACAGCACGCCCAACTTGTCATAATGCTCGAGCAAGGACTGGCTCGTGTCCGTGAAGGCCTTCAACCGCGCCTTCCAGACCTCTGGGTCGTCGTCCTCGCGCCTGGTGAGCGGCTCGCCCGTCACATCGTCCTTGCCGGGCACTCGCGGGGGATTGAACGTGGTGTTGTAGACCCTCCCCGACGGCGCATGGACCCAACGGTTGCAGATGCGATCAATGATGATCTCGCTTGGGGTCTGGATATTGACCACCATGTTGATGGGGACGATGTCGTTGAGCTGCAATGCCTGCGGCGCTGTTCTTGGGAAGCCATCGAGGATAAAGGACGCGCCTGGATGGTCGGAATAGTTGTACCTTGGCGTTCGAAGTGTCGAAGGGATCATAACGGAGTCCACGGTCCCTTCCATCTCCAGGCTCATCGAACTGGAGTACACGTTGTATGGTCTTATTGTGCTGTCCTGGATCCACCCGCGTGTTGTGAGTTCGTTGACTATAAGCCGCAAGATCATGGCGTCTGGGACCAATGCGCCGGCCTTCATCTTGGCTTCGGCCTGGACGCCTACGCCTTGTTAGCGACAGCAACGCGTGGGAGTATGACAGGCGCACCGAGAGGCGTTCTTTCCCTGACATTCTTCCTCAAGAGATCGCCCGAGCTTATAGAGGAGATTTCCGGAAAGCGCTTCATCAAGCGCTCCGTCTGCGTTCCCTTCCCCACTCCTGGAGCGCCAACCAATATAACCCTCGCTGCTCTCGAGAGTGCCATTCTATGGGGTGGTATAGTGATAGTCTATGAAGCGGGCGAACTCGGAGGTATGTATACAGGGCCGAAGCGGTGGAATGGAAGCCCCAGGGCTTCGACTGAAGACCGCGGGAACTAGCGGAGCTGCATTTTGGCGGTGTAAAAGAGGATAGTGATAGGATGCAATGTCGACGACGGCGAAAGGAAAGGCAGAGAAGAAAGAAAACGGGGATAGGGCACGGCAGTCTGGGGATCTATTAGGTGCGGATGCGCAGAGACGGGCCAGGCGGTTGGCGCTTTGGTGAGGGGCCGGCATTCGCAGCATTTCGATGACCGGCTTTCCACGCATAAGGCCGAGCACAAGCCACCGAGGCACCGCCGCACTGCGAACACACAGCCTAACATTAGTCTACTGTACTTTGTACGTGCCACCCGATGGGCACTCCTTGGTCTGCTGAATCCGAGGACCCATGGACATCTCTCGGTGCACCTGTGGAATAATGCGCCCCGAACGTCTCCGGCCTGTCCGCAAGCGGCAATCCACGGCACGTGGGTGGCAGCAGCCAAGCCTCCGATCGACGCCTGTTCCTGGCCAGAGCCCATCTTTTAATGCTCCGTCAGCACAACGTTGCTCAACACCACACTCCTCAACACCACAATCCCATCCTAGCCTGTTTCCCATCAGAATCCGCCTTCTGCTGGAATTTCCTTCTCCTTCCAAGCCGCCGCACTTTTGCGTTCCCACTCTTCGTCGCTCCCTAAGCTTGCGCATCCGCATTCGGCGCAATGTACGTCAGTCGAGCTGCCTCCCGGGCAGCGCCCGCTGTGCTTCGAGCCGGCGTCAGAACCGCTGGACGGCCGCATCGACAGCTTCCCAAGAGCCTTCCCGCCATTGCCTTGCTTCTTCCGCGCCGCACCATGTCGACCGAGACTTCAACGTCATCCAATTCCGGCGGCAATTTCCCGCCTCCCGGATTCAATCCCGAGCAAGCGAAGAAGCCTCTCCCAAAAGAGGAGCAGCAGAAGCCGCAGGAGAAGTCCACAAGCGCGGGGACGGATATCAAAATTCCTAGAGATCAACCAACAGGAAGCCCGAAGACCAAGGCGCAGGAGGCTCGGACTCTCTCAGAGTTAGCGTCGGAGAAAGCGGCAGCGGAGAATAAGGAGGAAAAGAAGGCGTTGGCGAAGAAAGAAGAGGAAAAGAAGAAGCTCACAGTCTGGCAGAAGGTGAAGAAGGAGGCGGCCCATTACTGGGACGGCACGAAGCTGCTCGCAGCAGAGGTCAGGATCAGTACAAAGCTAGCTTTGAAGATGGCGGCCGGATATGAGCTTACAAGGCGAGAGAACCGTCAGGTATGCGACTACAAGGAGGGCTGGGTGGCCATGCGCTAACAGGGTACAGTTGCAAAGGACTGTCCAGGATCTCGGACGCTTAGTTCCCTTCTCCGTCTTCATCATCGTCCCCTTGGGAGAATTGTTCCTCCCAATAGCTTTGAAGCTCTTCCCCAATCTCCTCCCTAGCACCTACGAAGGTCAGTCGGCCAAAGACGCAAAGGCGAAGACCCTTCGATCCACCCGGAAGGAAGTTAGCAACTTCCTTCGCCAGACTCTGAAGGAGACGGGATTGCCAATTTCAGCCGAGAGCGCGCAGAGAGAGGAGTTCGCCGAGTTCTTCCGCAAGGTGCGTATCTGATCAGTCCTTTCGCATCGGTCTTGTCCAACACGACATGACGCTGACTTCTTATCGCAGGTCCGAACTACTGGCGAATCCCCCTCGCAGGACGAGATCATCAAGGTTTGCAAGATCTTCAAAGACGACTTGACGCTCGACAACCTTTCAAGACCACAGCTCGTTGCCATCTGCCGGTACATGAACATGGCATCCTTTGGCACAGACAACTTCCTGCGCTACCAGATTCGGGTCCGTATGCGCCAGATCAAGCGCGACGATAGGGCCATTTCTTTTGAAGGCGTCAACTCTCTCTCCGTGCCCGAACTTCAGAGCGCTTGCGCAAGCCGTGGCCTCCGCACCTATGGCGTCTCCCCTGCACGGTTAAGGGAGGATCTCCAGACATGGCTTGACCTGCGCCTGAAGTATGGCGTACCGTCCACGCTCCTCGTCCTGTCCAACGCTTTCGTCTATGCTCAAGGCAAGGAATCCGAAATGACGTCCCAGATTGACGCCCTTCAAGCCGTTCTATCTAGCATTCCGGAGGAGCTGTTCCACGAGATCGAGCTCGAGGTCCACACCGCCGAAGGCGCAGCAACCAACAAGCAGCGTCTTGAAGTCCTTAAGGAGCAGCAAGAGCTCATTGAAGAAGAAAATTCGCAGACTAAAGACCATGAGAACAAGGCTACCGCCTCACCCAAGGACACGGAGAACATTGACGAAGATGACAAGCCGAAGCGGAAAGAGGAATCTGAGGAAGAGAGTATGGAAGCAGAGGCTAGCACAGGTGATACTACTGGGAGTACAGGCAGCGCGGAGCGCACGGAGCAGGATCAGCGCGCTTCAGAGGGCGAGAAGGAGCCCTCGAGAGAGGAGCTCAAGGCAGATGCGGGAGGCTCCAAGAAGGAGTAACAGGCATACTCTTGCAAATATTCTCTGCTTTGTGTAAATAGATCTGGACTCCATTCACAGCGTGTGCCGAGTTGATTATTGAACAACCTCGGACTCAGAACATCATATAGAAAATACCCACATCACCGTCGGCAAAGGTGAAAATATAGACCATGTACAAATAGCATCTCAGCTGCTGATTCATGTAAGCCTTCTCCAAGTTTTGCCGTCATGCCTTTTCGGCCCACTCTCCCCTCTCTAAAAGCTGTACCAAGGCTAAAATGGCAGCGCACGATGCAATGCATCACGAGAGCATCTTCCACAAAGGACAGGCGGAAGGCGTCACGATTGAACTTCTGAATCCACAGATCTGAATTCATAGCTAGTCTGATATATGCAGCCTAGCTAGATGTAGCCCACACGTTCAGTCCATCCCTCACCGATTCCGCTTCCTCGCCCTCTTCTCCCTCTCATACTCTTTCGCCTCCCTGCCCTCCTCACCCTGAATCTCCGCCACAAGCTTCCTATACTTCTCCTCGTACGCGCGATCCTTCTCCTTCTTCTCGCGCAGCTGCTCTCTCGCAATGAAATTTGCATCCTTGCGCAGCTCCCTAAGTGCACCCTTCTTCTCCCTCTTGTACTCTTTGCGAAGTCTGGCTGCTTCCGCGCGCTCCTTGTCTGGATCGTAGTGCTCGTTGGGATCGAATTCTTCTTCGAATTTGGGAATGGAGGTTTTAATTGGAAGCGGGCGGTGGTGGTGTAGTTCTTGGGGCCGACGGTTGAGGCGGGCTTGTTGGATGAGGATTTTGAGGCGTTGGACTGCGTTCGTTTGGGTCGCTTGAGCGAGGGGATCTAAGAGGGGGGTGAAGATCTCGATGAAGGCTGGGGATTTTGACCAGAGATCTGCGGCCTTTAGGGCGTTTTGCGCGTGCGCTGCGACGAGTTTTTTGGTGATTTGCGGGCATTGAAGTGAGAGCCGGATACACCTGATGAGCTCGGGGATGTATCTCTTGGATATCCTTTGATAGTGCAGGCAGGTAGCACCGACCAAGGCTGCCACCAAGACGTCATGAACGGATCGAGGGAAAGCCATGCCCATCCAGCGCGCCATACTGGTAATCGCAGGCGTGACGACTTGGTGGAAATGGTCAGAGGTAGGATATATTGAGCCAATAGCAACCAGGATGGTTAGCTGGCCTGGAGTAAGGTTGTCTTTTATACCTTTGAGGTGTTCCCGGAAGCGCGTGGAAACCTGTGAAGGATAGCTTTTTGATAGAGAATGCACATGCCGGACGATCGACTCTACAACGGATAGAGGCGCCGGGGGGGTCTGGTTGGTAAGGTAGGATATATGGTCGACCAAAGCGCACGCAAAGTCTGCGAGCTTATTCTTGTTGTCCGCATGAAGACCGGGGTGATAGAGTGCACGGATGCGCTGGATCACAGTAGGAAGATCGGTGACAGCAATGTCTCTCAAGTCAAGAATCTCGCGATGCGATCGCGGGCAAGGGTAGGTATAGGCCAGCTTAGATCTAACCGTTGGTACACCATTAGTCGCCTTTTCTCGCTTTGCGGATTCCGGGCGTACATATTCCAAGAATTCGTCATCCTGGTCATCGTCCACGGCCATGGTGTCATCCTCGATATCGGACTCATCTTCAGAAGCCTCAGAGATGTCTGCTTCAGATTCGCTGGCTATGAGGTCATCCAATAGAAAGTCGTCCTCATCTGCGAGGAAGTACATAAGTATTATGCTTGCAAAGCTCAACTACGCCTCGAAAATAATGGAGAACGTACCTTCAACACCCTGAGGGCGACTTTGCGAGATTCGAGAGGCTAGGTTGAAGGCGGCAGCATCATCATATTCTTCAGCATCCTCTCTCTCTGTATGGGTAGGCTCCACCTCATCTTCGCTCTCTTCTCCCCGCATTCGACGAAGCCGCTTCGCTTCAAGCTCGCGTAGCTTTGCAGCGTCTTCTTCGGCTATTTCTTCGCTTGTACGCGTGCGTGATGTGGGTTTAGCACGGGCATCGAGCTGCAGCTGGCGCACTCTTGCATCGTATGCCTTGTCGACCTCATCTCTCGATTTGCCGGCTAGAAGAGCAGCACGATCTGGATGAATCGCATTCTCCGGCTTTGCAGCTTCCTTTGGCACCTCGGGAGCAGGTTGTTTGTTGATGTGTCCACGCAGGGCAGCCAGCACCTCATTGAGGTCTTTGTCCAACTCTATCCTCAGGTCGTCGTCATCCTCTTTCTGCTGCTGTCGTTCGTACTTATGCAGCTTCGATTTGGCAATAACCTCCTTCATGACCTCAGCCTTACTCTTCTTCCTCTCGGGCTGCTCTTCTGCAGCCCCTTCTGCGGCATCAACATCCTCATCATCTCTCCTTCTTTTACGCTTCAAGAAGCCGTCCTCTTCTCCATCGCTGGACCCACTGACACTAGCAGCATCATAGTCTCCCTCGCCAATATCGCCTTCGTCGAACCGTAAGGTCTTTCCCCCATGCGTAAGCTCAACCTCATCCTCGGCCTCCTCGAGGTCAAACACATTACCCCCACCCCTCTTCCTCTGCTGCTCCCTCTCAAACCGCGCCATCATCCTGTCCTCCAAGCTCATTGTCGGATCATCCTCGCCAATCCGCCTATCCACAATCCCGCCCACCTTGTTCTTCCGACTCATCTCCGGTAACAAGGTCTTTCTCCTCGTCTCCTCGCCATGGCTCTTCGTGACACCTGGTCGGCCTAGCACCTTCGTCTTCGTATTTTGCGGTTGGGCGGTGACGTAATCGTGCTTCTTCGGTCGCGACAGGTGCTTGAATTCGAAGGGGTTGAAGGATTCGCGGATCGATGCGAGCGCGGTGGCTTTTTGAGCGCGGGCGCCGGCGTTTTTGGATTGCGATTTTTTCTGCTTTTTAGATTTTTGAGGGCCTGTGATGCCTTGCTCGCGGAGGGAGGCTTTGAGCCGCTTGAGCTGGGAGGGCGGCATGGTTGGCCGAATTATCCACTGGAGAAGTTCCTCACCTGGAAGCTCAAGCGACGAAGTGGAGTTCGAAATTTCGGGCGCCAAGATTTCGAGATGGTCATTGCGTGCATTCACCGCCTTCTCTTTAGGCTTAGCCTGGCGGGCCCCCCTGTCGTTCGCCTGCGCCTTCCGCATCACTCGTGAGAGCTTGACAGTCACTGCCGTGCGGCCATCAGCGTCGGTCTTAAGCCCATGCCTCACCCACGATGACCTCTAAAATACGATGGCGCGCACGATAGAAGACCGCTGGCTCTGGCTCGGCCTAGGTACCTACACCCTCCAAATTCCGCCCTCGCGTTTCCACAGCTGACCTGTTCCCAGGCGTCTTCACCTTCGTCGCCATCAAAGGCGTAGCCCATGGCCTCCGGCACATCGTCACCTTGACCGAAGTCCACAACGCCGCGCCGCGCCCCACCATCCCGCTCCCGGGCGGCAAAGAAGACGCTATAAAGACGTCCTCACTACAAACGCTCGCAACCTGCTCAAACGTGGAGATCCGCAAGGCAGCGACCAAGATTATGTGCGAGCGCTTCATATCGAACCCTGTTGCGCGAACTCTCCTGTTGAAGGATCTGCAGAGCAGCGATCCGGAAACACAACATAGAGCGCACTTAGCTGTCAATCTGCTGTCTGATTACGATGTCCTGCAGCACCATGTTGCGCCACCGTCGACACCGCTGGCATATCGGGGAAATGGAGGTGATGGTAGCAGGCGTACGTTACCGTGGCTGAGGTCAGGAACGAGGAATCATGAGAGGGACCCTGAAGAGAGGGACTTGAGAAGAAGGAGGAGAGAGGCCATGGTGATCAATGAGGGGGATCGGCCGATTAGCCAGCAGGATGTTTGGATGAGAGATGGAGACGGGAGAATGAGTACGGAGGAGCCGACAAGGCCTTGAGAAGCGTCCGGAAATCTTGCTGACGCGCATGCAGTGCAGCGCAACGAATAAGGTGGGGCACTTGTGAGGATAGTATCCAAGGCATGGCAAAGCGGAACAGCTGTCAGGGGCAAAAACAGCTCATGCTGCATAATGAGCATGTTGTTTTGGGAAACGCCGGAATACATCATGGGGATCTGAACGCCCGAAGGACATGGGGAACCGGGGGAGTACTTCATGGATCGGCGTTGGCGGAGCGAGGTAAATTATATATGATACCCTTGAGCTATGAGTTCAATCCTAGTCTGTCTTCATGATACGAAACGTCACTGCCTACTGTAAGCCGGAATATCATGGAGATAGTGGGTGGAATAATGTGTTTTATTTGGAGCATACCCCCGAATGTGCCAATCCGATCCTAGTCGTCGTTGACATATGCCTCAAGAAAAGTCAAACTCCGATACCCAATGCCACCCATTACACTCGAAACCCTATTTTACCTTCTGCTACCCGAGCGCGCAGCACACCAAACATTTCCGTCTCCAGCGAGAACAAGACCTCTACCCCGCCAGAACCGACCTCAGCATGCTCAGGAAGGTCGGATGCAATTTACAGATCTCCTCGATAGGCGGCTTCCTAGGTTCTCCGGCCTTTCTCCTAAGCTTCTCCTGGGCTCTACTTCGACGTTTCCGTTCAGCGGCGATCGGATCCGCAATTTCTTCGTCTTCCAAATCGCTCTCGGATTCATCATCGTCAGCATCGTCATCGAGTTCAAGATCTTGAAGATCGAGCTAAGACCAGTCAGCATCTATTGCCCAAACGGTTTTGAGAGTTCTTACCTCATTAAGCCCAAAGTCGGACGTCTTGAACCCACCCATACCTCCGAGCAAGTCGCCAGGCTCCTCCCCACCACCACTAGCCATCTTTTGCCTTGTCTTGTCCTGGTGCCACTTCTTGCGAGCTGTCTGCCACTTAATCAACGAGTTTATCTCCCTGGTCGCTTTCTTCTTGTCTATAGTGCCGGAGTCCATCGCGCCCTGGAACAAGGCGTTCATATCCAGCTTCCCGCCTCCTCTAGGACCATGGCGAAGGAACTCTAGGATACCCTCTAACCAGCCCATCAGCTGATCAAAGAGCCCGTTATCATGGATATGTACTTCATGAACGAACTTGTAGAAGTTGTCCTCGTGTCGCGCGCAGAGGTCAATGAACGCCTGAACGGTCTGGTTGGGATCGGCGGACACGTCTTGCCGCTGGCAGGCTTCTATGACCCGAATAGTGTCGTCGACGAACATGGCGAAATCAGTGATGCTGTTGTAGACATTGGCGGATTTGTAGACCCGAACGAGAGGCTCGTAAAAGATCGTGAAGAGGTCGCGGAAGAGTTGCAGAGTAGTAGGCTTGATGTTGAGTCAGCTTTCGAAGTACAATGAATAAAGTGGGAGTAACATACCTCCTCAATGAGTTGAAGCATCATGAGCTTGTCTCGCTGTCTTAAGCAGAGCTTTAAGTACTGCTTTAGGTGCGCGAAGAGCTCAGCGCCTTGCCGCAGATCTTTTTCAAGCTGAATGGAGCCGTTCGAGATAGCGCTATGGTTGCTGTAGTTGCTGTAGTTGCTGGGCTCTCGGCTCAACCCCTTGCGGCTAGGTCCTTCTACCGCACTATTCCAGGCGACATATGCGTTGAACACCTTCTCCACTTGTTCAGGCGCTAACTCTGGCTCGAAGTATTCGGATCGAAGTATCGCTACAACAATATCAACATTCTCCTGCTCGGCTTCTGCGCGGATTGTATCCTGAACCTCGTCGTCTGAGTTGACAAAAGCCTTGATTTTCGAGCAGAGAACGTCGTCTTTTATCTTCGTCGAGCCGAGGGTATCTATCGATTTCTGTGCGGACCGGACGCCGTCGTTGATGGCCATGCCGAACATTCGCTGGAGTAGCGAACGTGCACCGAAGGGCTGGGCGAGGAAAAGATCCAACACTCCATTCATGACCGCTGCAGGATTGGCAATCCTGATGACGTTCTTCAAGACGGTGTATGGGACCAGGGAATGTATCCGTTTCGCCTGCGCAAAAAGCTCCGGTGAGTTGTCTTCGGCCAAGAAGAGATGATATATCGTGGCTGCGACCTCTATCCGCAACCACTCTGCAAACTTCTGATACTCCGGCTTGAGTTCCGCAATGGTGTTTTTGACTCTGATTTCCTGAAACAGATGCGACAATCCGTTGCTTTCCACTATCTCTCGGCGGAACTTCTCCATGTGGATGTCGAGCTCTGCCGCTCGCTGTCTTGCCACCTCGTAGAATTGCTTTTGCTCCTCGATGCGCTTCTCATCCATCTCCTTTCGCCTCTCAATATCCTCCATTTCCTCCTCGTTCAGCTCGATGGGATTGCCGGTGAGAAACTCAGCCATTGCATTGGAATGCGCGATCGTCTCGTTCTGCAGAAAGGTCCTAAGGAAGGCTCGTAGAGAAACACGCTGCTCCTCTCGGTATAGGAGTCGTGGCTGCTGGTAGGCTAGGTTTTCGCCCGACGCCCTCGGGGACCGGGCCTTGTTTAATGAGGTTGCGGAGCTATTTCTCTTGTGACTGCTGAATATGTAGCTTCGTAATCCACCACCTACATTGCCATTTTCGTATGGATCTGGTGCTGGATCTTGCGTAGAGATGGAGGAAATAGAACTGGCATCGTCGTCTGCCGCGCTCGGTTGCAGAAGGGAATCCTTCTTGTTCTTTCGAGGTAGAGGAGGAAGGACCTTGCCCGGAAGTTCTAAGCGTATCCGCTTGTGTAGTTGGACGAAGTCGTGATATCGACGCCCGACGTAGAAATCATGTGAGCCTGATTGCTTCACCCTGATCAGGTATTCCTGTAGACGAAATAGTAAGCTACTGCCCCCTTAAACTGCCCTAACGAGCGATTCCTTTGAGATGTACTCACTGCGTGCGTGTGATACCGGACATGCTTCTTGACAGATGTCGTCCGCACTCCGGCGACGTTGACGTCCCAGCCATTGATGAAGTGTCCGCTCGGCGCATTAATAGTAAGGCCATTCTCGTTTGCGCCCCGCTCTACGATTTCCATTTCTGAAAAGCGTATCCTCTCCTCGTATCCCGAGGCTGTGGGGATGCCGGAGACCATCATAAGCTCCACCAGCTTCTCCGCTTTCAGCGCAAGCTTTCTACGCTTCGTTTCCTCTAACCGATCCTCAGAGGAGGAGATATGCTTGTTCGCGAATGACTCAAGGAACTTTATGCGCAACCGCTCGGTTAGCCTCCATGTTGCTTCCAAATGATGTCGCAGCCGAACGTACAGTTTGTAGCTTATCCTGCCAGAACTCCTTCTCCTTGGCCTTGTCCAGGAATGGAAAGTTGCGGACGTGGTTTACGAACATGTAGCGAAGGATGGGCAGCTCCGAGTCTTCGGGGGCGACTTCGCCCGCATCTGAACGGAACGGGGCGCCGAAGCGCTGGAGAGCGGTAGGTGAGGAGAGCTCGGAGATTTCGAACTTGGTCTGCTGCGAGATGAGTTCGCGCTTGAGGTCTGTCTATGTGTAAGTGCCTTGTCAAGTGTAGGCTCGCTGTGCCACTCACAATGCTCCTGCTTGCCCGTCAATATGGAGCCTTCTGGCGGGACCGACATGGTGGAGAATTTCGAGAAGTTCGTGTCGTTCCGCGTTGCAGGCGGGCGCTCTGGCGTCGGCTGCGGCTCCCCGAAGTTCTGAACGGAGGGTTTGTTGTCCATGGTGGTGGGCTCGACGGAACCGTTGAGTCGAAGAGCCGGAACGCTGCTGGAGGCCATGATGAAATAGTACGCTAGGAAGGACGGTACCTAGGTAGGGCAAAGGCGAGGCTAGGCGGTAGAATAAAGCCGGTTGCGGCGTCCTTACGGAGCAATATCGACGCGTGTTTGTATGACGCCTGGCGGGGCTGCGGCTGAAGCTCTACTGCATCTCCGCCGCTTGGAAGGTGTTGAGGACAAGCCCAAGAGGAGGCCGAGTAGATTCCGCCGGGGAGTCGATGGTCAGCTTGCAGGAACGCCGCTAGGCGAGGAGTGCGTACAGGCGTGTAAGCATGCAGCAGTAGCAAGTGCGCGTGCGGCAGAGGTGTGGCTGGTTGCCCGGTTGCGTCACCGGAAATGGCGCAGTGACAAAGCCCAGTATTCGAGTCACAGTGGAGGGCTTCGCATTGGCCTCAAAGGATCGCACGGCACACTCGGTCATTTGGCCAAGAGTATTCGCCTTGGTCCCTGCGAAATAGTCGTGTCTAGTCCGCCTGGCCTTGCGGCGAGCAAGAAACACACCCCGCTGCGGATGCTTGGCACCCTTGGAATGCCTCTCGCGCGCATCTGTCTCTGGCGCCGGTTCGGAAACACATCTGTGGCGAACGTCAAGCGATCAGTCCAGGTGCTCCTGATCGGCACACCTGCTCAAGCCATGCAGGAGTGCTGGGGTCACATTCCTCACATGGCATCGTCTCGCGGCACCCTAGTCAGAAGCTTTGGGCTTGCTTTCACGTCTACCTAGGTTCGAGCTTGTACATGGAGATATGAACACAGAGTCGGAAATGAATTGTGGAAAATCTCCCGAAAATCCCACCCATCTGAATGCATCCTCAAGTCCTCGAGTAAATGGGCCGACTCAGTCGTGGGCAGAGGACGAAATAAAAAAAGACCAGGAGAACCTCGAATGATTAATGAAAGGAGCCTTCCGAACACCTGCCCTATAAAGAAGCCCTGTGGAACATGTGAGTGAGAGGCCTCCCCGTACTCTCATGAAACAGTCTTGTACCCCCGCTACATGCTCTCTCTCCGGGTGTTCAGTAGTTGAGCTCCCCGTTGCCGCCTGTGCCGACCGCATCCAGATCCTCGTAGCTCTTGATGGAGCGGCCTTGGGTGGACTGAACAGGCCCTGGCCCACCATCGCCGAAGCGCGGACCACCAGCTCGTCCGCCACGTAGGGGAGGAGGCGTCAGGCGTCCGGTGGTCCGGTTGCGGCCATCGCGAGGCTGCCTGTCGTAAGGGCCGGATCGATTGTTGAAGCGATGTCCGCCACGTCGCATTGGGCCGGCCTGGTGCCGCTCGTCATGACCAAAGGTCGGGTCCCAATTGCCCATAGCTGGATTGAACATGGCTTGGAGATTGAGACCATTCATTCCACCGTTTGCAAGGTTGATGTTCATGTTAGCAAGGTTGAATCCTCGAGGTGTACCGGTAGCTGCGACGTGATTGCCCATTGGGAAGTGGCCGTTGCTGTTCGCGTCGCTGCGAGAAGGGGCTATGTGCGCCGGGTCCATAACGTAGGTATTGACGAGTTGCAGCTATGTTACAATTAGCAAGCATTTCCTAGTTCCAGGAGATCAGAGTGCTTACGTCGTTCTTCAGCTTTTCGTACCACTCCGTGTGGCGCTTCTCGACGTGCTTGCGCCAGAAATGTTGGCCTTTAAAGAGCTTCGTGCACTCCGGGACCTTGCAGCGCCATTTCGACTCGTCCTCTTGCTTGACATACCTGGCGAGCTCGTCTTCCATAGCTTCTTCCAACGCTTTACCGCCGAGCTTCTTAATATCGACGTTCTCCGGCTCCAAAAGCTGAAGAAGTTTCTCCTCATAGGTCTTGACCCAGTTGAAGGCCCGCTGAAGCTGTTGCTGTGTCTTCCCACTGAGTTTAGGAGGCTTCTTCTCCTCCGTAGCACCTTCTTCAGCCTCGACCTCTCCTGAAGGCTCTTGCTTCTTATATGGGAAGGGCTGCCCGAGAGCAGTCGCTCTAGCGGTAGCCTTCGCAGCCGTTGTCAGGCTTGCGCGAGGCCGGCGAAGGTGGCCGCCTGCACACTTCCGGATGAGTTCGTGCACAGAATCGCTCTCAAAGACGCAGAAGAAACAAAAGTTGTAGACGCGTCGGAGATATTCGATGAGCAGATCGAGCTCTTTCTTTTTGGCCAGCAGCTCTTCGTCATCAACCTCATCATCATAAGCCCCCTCCTCCTCATCTTCCATGGCTTCATCTTCGCCCTCTTCAATGTCCTCTGGGTTCCTCTCCTTTTTTGGTGCTGACGGAGCATTGGCGGGGGGTTGGAGCCAGCCCTTGCTCCGGAGGTCCGTGACACGCTGCTGAATCTTAGAGATACCGTTGACCAGGCCAAACTCGTCCTCGTGATTCTCCCTCAGCTCGGTGTCCAGCTTCTGCACCAATCGTTGAGCGAGTTCCAAGTCGCGCTCAATTCGTTCAGGAGCGGAGAAGAGATCCCAAAGTGCTTTCTTTCGGGGCGCTGCCGGTGGTTCGTGAATCCCGACATGGCACGTGAAGTTGCCGCGCACTTCATCGACAACTGTCTTGCCGTTGAGGGCTTCGAGGGCTTTGTGAGCCGTTCCCAAAGGTCCTTGGGGCCCTTCAGGCTTCTCATCCACAGCGCCTTCCTCGCCATCCTCAACACGGCCATCACCACGATCATCGATAGCCATGGGCTGCTCCTCGCCGGGATGAAGGATGACCCAGCCAATGCGATGGCATTTCTTGAGGGGATTTGGATCACTCATGCTCAGCCATTTGAATCCGCCAGGGCCTTCGCCAAGATGCTCTTTGCAGAACTCTTCGACCTTGACCCTATTGACTGTGGGTGCGATTGTCTTGATGAGTAGAGTCGGTTGAAGAGCAGATTCGTCGCGTAGGTCTCCTCCTTTGCAGGGCAGAAGGTCTCCAACGCCAAGAACCTCATTGGCTGCTGTGGTCTCGCCCTCCTCTCTCTCGACAATACCACCTGCACCATTCGATTCGTTCTTGTAAATGCCCTCGAGGGTGAACTCGTCGAAGTGACCCTCGTCAAGCTGTCGCTCCCAGTCTAGGTAGATCGCATGTCGATAGCCCCTGAGCTTCTCGCGGAAAGCATTCCGGTATTCAGGATCGTACCGCTCTTTGAACCACTCCTCTCCCTTGTGCTTATCGACAAAAGTCTTGGCCATCTGCACCTGGAGCTTCTCCTTGTATTCGTCGTATGCGGCCTGAATCAACTCACGCTCTTTCCCTCGCTCCTCTCGAGCTTCCCGCTCACCCTTGAGGACAGGCTTCCTACCGCCATTCTTAGCGCGTTCCTTCTCTTCCTTTATGACCTGTTCAACGCGCCACCACTCAGCAAAGTAGTTGAAGCCGACCTGGTATTCTAGCGACATGGGGTTCGGTATCGGATTAGTTGTGAATGTCGGGGCAAAATTGTCCTGACCAGGCACGTACCGGTCGATACCGGCCTGGATAGGCGGCGGGGACGATCGACGGCGGGGCCCATCGCGGGCTCGGTAATCGTAGTCTCGAGAGCGGTCCGGCTGGTAACGGTCAATGTTCTGAGGCGATCGAGAACGTCCGCGGTTCTGCCTAGCCCGTCGGTCGCCGGAGCCTTCGACGACTGTTAGTGAGATGAGAAGATGATAATAAGTGAAATGAAGACGACTGCATCGCACTGCACTGCGCAAACAAAAAGGAGACAGCAGAGAAAGGAAAGAGCGCGGAAACGCTAGTAGGTGCTTGTTGGGGCGCCGAATCCCAGAAAGCGGCTTGTGACAGAAATGAGATAACGACCTGTGGAAGACGATCAGTGCAGCGTTGATGGGTGAATTGACTATGAATCAATCGGTCTTACCTGGAGACCGGCGCCGGTATGAGTCGACGGGAGGCCTGGAGTCTTCCCGAGTGCTGCAAAAGGTGAGCGCCTAGGGTCGCAATAATGGAAAAGACGACATACGTATAAGAATCCATATTTGTACGTGTAGCGCCCGTCTAGGATCGCTAATGGTGGAATTGTAGAGGAGCTGCAGTGGCAGGGGCCGAAAGGCTGACGGCGCTCAGGAGGAACCAGAGTAGCGCGATGAATCAACCATCGGCGGCGGAAGGACGAAGGATTGCTGGCGCAGACTCGCAATCTTGCCCGGCGAACGGGGTAGATGGTAATCGATAGACAATCGGGCAGTGAAGCTGTTTGCCATCATGGCCTCGCGTTAGAGCAACGAACGACAAACAAGTGACAGGAGACGATGAGACGTGGTGCAAGGGAGGCAGTAGGCGACGCAGAAGTCAACAAGAGGCCGGCGGCGCACGACGCAATTGATGCCGTCGCAGCAGCCCCGTAAGAAGAGAAGTGAGGAGAGGTAGCAGGAAGGTAGGCGGACACCCAAGCGCCGCCGACAAAGGTAGGGGAGCTATGAAAATAGCTGTACAAGAAGGGACAGGGCACAAACAAGGGGTAGATGCGAACTAGAAGCAGCTGCACTCACGATGTGCTGGAGTTCCCGGCGCGAAAGAATACCAGGTGGTGGAGAGAAGACGTGTAGGTCGTGCGGCTGTAGGAGGTCGGCCCGGGCGAATGAGGCCGCTCCAGTCTCACCATGCCAAATGAAGACTAGCTCCACCTTTAGCGCAAACGCGTTCACGTGACTGAGCCGAGCCCTGATTGGTCGATCCATCGTTCCGAACATGCCATCATACGACACGAGAAGCCTCACGCATTTATAAACGGACTCGATTCCTACGCTCAATCGCAGCACGCACGTTGATCTTTCCACAACGAAGGTACTCGTCGTTAGCAAGCCACAATGACTACATATATCCCTTCCTTGACGCTTCCGCGCTTCGTCTTCGAGCAGCCAGCCATCTCCATTGCCCTACCTATGGCTGTGGGTGCTGGTATAGGCTACTCGACAAGGCGTACGTATTTTGAAGGTAGAGAGTGACTACGTACTGACCCTTACATCAGCCGACGAGTCGCAGAAGTTATACCGAAAGCTGAAGCAACCTCCATTCAACCCACCTGGATGGCTTTTTGGTCCCGTCTGGACTGCTCTTTACGCGACCATGGGCTACACCGCCTGGAGAGCCTGGACTACAGGAACCACCTCCTTCGACCCCGAAACCGTCAAATTAGCCAAGGTACCCGAATCCCATTGCATCCGCCAACTCCAGCACTCACAATTCGCAGCAAGGAGCCACCCTCTACACCATCCAACTAGCGCTCAACTTCGCCTGGATGCCACTCTTTTTCGGCTTCTACCGCCCCATTGAAGCAGCTGTTGACCTCGTCGCCCTTGGTGGCGTAACATCTTGCCTTACCTACGTCTGGGGGAAGGTTGACCCCGTGTGCGGATGGTTGCTTGCGCCGTATCTAGGCTGGCTTGGATTTGCCACGTATCTCTGTGTAAGTCCGTGACAGGCCTGTATGAAAAGCGTGGAAGTCTCATGGTACTAATGTGACGGCAGGTGGGCTGCGGATATCTCAATAACTGGGATTTCAGCGCTGCCACGAAGGAAGAGAAGGCGGAGTAAAGCGAGAAGCACTGGGGGTTTTTTTTTACCGTGGCTGAGTGTGATCTCAAACATGAGTGGGTTTTAGGAAGGTGATGCGGTGGCCGCATGTCTTACTGAAGGAAATAGAATTACTCGCATGCAGAATGTAACTATGATACAATTCTAAGCCGAAGCTAGTCTAAACGCTCCAACAATGGTACATCCAACGACGCCACGCTACCAAATCGCAAAACCGTAACATATCGTAACAGCATCATTTCTAGGACGAGGTCGCGAAGGGGCCGAGCTGACACTCGCCTGTGTCCACCCAAGCAAGGCTCCTCACTTAGCCACAACCTCCCCTTCAGGCCCCTCAATCTTAACCCGCGGCGCCTGAACGCCGACCACTCCCATACCGACACCCTGGTTCGCATCCCAACTCGCCCTATGCACCTCGATAGTCTTGTCAACATGCACCGCCAATCCAATCTTTCCCCAACCGCTCGCGTCATTCAGCACTCTCTCGTCACTTTCCGGACTCCCCCTCCTCGTATGCGTCAAATCACCAAGCTTCCTTCCAAAATGGCCCACTCTCTCTTCCTCCGTGATCACCTTCTCCGACGAATGCATAGACTTAGTTGACTTCGAAAAGGAACGGCGACTGAGCTCGATCTCATCGTCGTTCTCTTTCTGCGTTGATACGATGCGACTGCGATTTCCCTTAGACATATTTCCGTATTGCGAGGCGTAGCGTGGGAGGCCGGCACTGCCTTGAGGGTAGGTGTTGTGGCTTCGCAGGAACGGGATTAGTTCGCGGAGGAGGGGCCAGATGCCGGGGAGATTGGCGACGTAGACGGCGACGCTGGCTTCGCGGGTGTACCAGAGCATATATGCGGTGTCGTATACGTCGGAGAGGTTGTAAACTTTGGTGAGAATTGCGGCGATGATCTGTGCGCGGTTAGCGTAGACCGGGAGCAAAGGGTTTAGGAAGAGCGTACAACGAAGGTACCCATGCTGAATATTATGCCCAATACAATCTTCTGCTTTAGGGGGAGACTCAGAGAGACGACCATGGGCAGAGGTATTAACAGCATGCAGAAATCGCTGCTCAGGTTGAAGACCGCCTGCACAATCGCGTAGTGCTCTAAAGTGGTACACTGCGGGTTTGGTGGCGGCATGCTTCAAAAAGGTTAGTCCGCCTTTTGTAGGATTGTAGGTTCCCTTACCCCCAGTAGCCCTTGAACGGACGGCAGGCCGTGAAAAAAGCGGTTTCTACCGCTACCCAACCAATCGCAACGTAGATGGCCAGATATTTGACATATTTCAGATGCTTCGTGCCTTGGGTCATCCGTGCATACATAAACAGCATGCAACACTTCAACGTCCAAATCACATTGAGCATTGCTTGCTCGGAGACGACCACGATCTTTGAGCCTTTGATACGCTCCTCGATATCCTCCTGAGTAAAAGTTTCGAATTGCTCTGGGGGATATAGATTACTTCCTCCTCCAGTAGCAATCACATTGAGGCACACGATGAGCGTCGTATATAAGGCCGGAACAGCAGTCATCATCAGCCAGTCGTCCGGGGCAAGCAGAGCAGGACTTCGGGCTCTTCGCCATCGTGCGAATCTGAATTCAACAGTTAGCTTGTTTCTGCAATGCACCATATCCGGTGGGACATGTACATAACCCAGTAGATACGATTCGGCCAGGCAGAATCTGGTCTGCTACTTTGCGCTCTGACCCTGAAGAGCTACGTGGGAGAAAAGAGAGAACACCATCGATCTTCGTAACAAGCACTGTATCCTGTCTAATTGAAATCTAGAAACTTACGTTCTGAGAAGAATGACGAATATCCCAATTCCGTATAAAGTCCATGACTGCGTCGCCAGCTCGCGCTGGAAAGACATCTCGAAGCCTTGGCCCCCCATAACTGCGGCAGAAGGAGTTCAAATATCAAAGAAAAGCGTACCGAAATGACGTGCTCGAGTGACAGTTTCAAAGAGGAAGACAGTCAATGCTTAACCTGACATTGACCTATGGAAGACCATGGCGTGTAGCCCATTGACTAAGGGAAACCTGGGGAATCCGAATTATACATGCAATCGAGCACGAGCACCCCGCGCCAATATTGGGGTCTTGGACAGGGCCCTGAGATCCAGAGATCGAGCTTGTGTCATCGGTTGAGGAAAGCATGGCTTGTCGGCTAACTAGGCTGAGAATTGCCCTAGTATGGGACCATGGCGAGTCTTAGACCCTCACTTGCGACCACGCTGACGATCCTCGACTGAGGGTATTCAGAAGTGCTTTACCGGAGTGGGAGAGCATGCGCTGAGGAGACCGCGGTATTCGGTTCGGTTGGAAAAGTAGCGGCGCAGCCCAGGCTCTTTTTGTCTTAAACATGTCCGCGGTGCCTGGGGCTAGGAGAATTGAGGTCTAGCAGGCGGCTATCATTGGTGTACGAGGGAGAACAAGCAATGCTGCTCCATTTAGAGACGTGGGATGACAGCCACGGACCCGAGGCACTCTAGGCGGGAAACGAGGGCCTTGTCGTGCGTAGACGCCTCCGCCAGGGCCGTTATGCACTGGGAAAACTGGATGGCGTCGAAACTAAGAGGCAGCGAGAACGAATGATACGCAAAAGCCGGCTTGGAGACTCTCGACAAGGGGCGTGCTGCAGGTCCGGCGCGACGTCCTATCTTTCCGCACCTAGATCAGCAAGGTACGAAGCCCTAGTAGACATCCTGAAGAGATAAGATAGATGCCCTGGCCCCAATGGGCAGATCCACTCCAACAAACCACGGCGCTGGTATGCACATCGATCTCGGCACATCCCATGTCTTCTGCAGGGTAGTCACAACGATCATTGCGATCATCGCGATGCTCGTGCTCGGCTTCGCGAAATCTGTCGTAACGAGTAAAAAGGACCTTAAGCCTTGAGGCGCCAGATGGAAATACCGACGAGTGGGAAATAGTTGGCTGAGGGAATAAAATAACAGGTGTGGTGAATAGATAAGGAAAAAAGAACGTGACCCCCCACGGCTCGCCCGCGGGAACCCGTGGACCTTGAACCACGCAGCACCTCCACGTGCTCTTGGCGCCCCCTAAAGCCCCGATCATTATCGCTAAGCTTCAAGCACGGAAATCTAATATACGGTAGCGTCTTCCTTTGATGTCACGGCTGGCGCAATTCAAACGTTTCGTCGGTGAGCAATAGATGACTTCGAACGCAAAAGCTGCGGGGAAATCCTCGGTTGATGCTAATGTCTTCAAGCGCATTACAATTGACTACTAGCTAGTAAAAGTATGGGTGCTTCCCGTGCCCTAGTTGAGCGCGGCTCACTACCCTCTACCCTACCCGCCGAGCAAGCGTTCAAAATCTCCGAAGGAAAATGTAGACGATGAAGATGAATGTCGCAAAAAGCATGGAGATCGCTTCATGTACCCGCTAAAAGGATCACCACAACGAAAAATAAGCGTAAGGCGCGGCCATTCAGATGGCCCAACTGCCTCTTCTTACGGCAGTTCCCATACCACCTGCAACACTCTCTCCTGCCATCCCTGGATGTTGCTTAGCCCACTCGCGAATATAGATCCGGAGCGCTCGCCATCGCATGCAGGACTCCTCGGTAATCGCAGCGCTTGCGAGATTTCCGTCTGCGCCTAGACGGATGTATCCCCTCGATTTGGCCAGGTGATCGTCCTGCCGGAGATCAGCAATGGATATCCCGGAAATCTTGGACAGCTCTTCATCGAATGGACGAGCCATAGATGGATAGCCTAAAGACAAGTAGTTATACACTTGGGTAACGAAATCATCCCCAAATTCTTCGTCTATTGACTGCTCGAAAGCGAGCTTCTCGTCAATGCAGGCAAAGTCGGCATTGGATGCCGGCGGTGTAGGAGGTAAAAGACTGGTAGCCGGAGTTGGGCAAGGGGTTTCAAGCGGGTTGTCCTTCTCAACCCTGGGCGTAAGAATGCCGGTGGGGCCTTTTGGGGATGTGTGGCCAGAGTTGACGCAGCATCCGTGCCAGAGGCCCCCGCGGCTTGGAGGCCGGCTGCTTCCGTTGGACCACAGCGAGGGCACTTTACTTGGCTGTCTGTCGTTTCCGTTGCCGCACCAAAGACCCTCTCCTTTTTCGGCTGCCTGGCTCTGCTCGGTCAGATAACACATGGCTATCCTTACGGCATCACATCCTTGGGTCGGGTCAAAACGAGCAGGCTCGGGGGAGCGACATCTCGGAAACTTGATATCAGCTCCCAGCATTGGAGGCCGAGCTCCTTTCCGCATCCGATCCAGTTCGCCATCCTTCTGGTAGCCTCCCACTATGTTCCTAGCTGCCGTAGCTCCCATGAACACGGCTGGGCTTCCCCAGGGACCATCGTACCTATTCATTTCTGCTTCCCGTCTCCTCTTCATCTCCCTTTCCGTCTCTTGTTGCTGTTCGAGCTTCTGTCGGTGCTGGCGCATGGCCACTAATTCCCAGTTGACTTCATTGAAAGACGAGTCGCGCCTACGCACCCCCTCGTCAATGTAGGATTCGGTATCATCGTCTCGGTCAATGAAATGGTCGACTGGTTCATGGTGGTCATCATTTGGAAATGCCGCCATTGCTTGTTCGCGTAGTTGCCTTTCTGCAGCTTTGGCAGCGAGTTCAAGGAGATAGCCAGAAAATCTGTCATCCACACTCTCGCGCATCCGCGTAGCTTCCTTATAATATTGCGAACGATCGGATACGACTGAGGGAGATGTTGTAGGGGAAGACGGACTGGAGCCCTCCGATTCGGACGATTCAATTGGATCAAGATCGGGAACTCGGAACGAATGATGAGAGATTCTCGACATCGGTCGCCGTCTGGCGAGCGGCGATGTTGCGCGCTGGATTTCCAGGAACAATGGATTCTGTGAGTAATTAATAGTGGGTGTGTTATCCGGCGGAGCTGGGACCGGCGATTTAAGCGTCTTCTTGGGACTTTGAGAGTTATCCACGGGTGTGGCCTCAGTCCTGTCCGACGGCCTGATCACAGGAGCCGCGTCCCCCGCTCTACGAGAGCGTCTCGCAGTCTCTATCAATTGAGGTGCGAATTTCCTCGGCGGTCGCTTTCCGGTTCTCTGAGAGCTCGACGATGTCGCATCAATCTTCGCTTGCTGGTTGATGCCCTGCTTCTTACGGTTGCTACTGGCAGGAGTCTCCAATGGCTCGGGCTTGAACTTCCTTGTTGTTTGGCTTTCCCATTCTTCCGCGAACTTCTTCCGACTACTCCGCTCTGACGTCTCAGTAGGCTCCGGGGCGAACCGACGATGGGTTCTCGTGGTGTTCTCTAGGGGTTCAGGCGCAAATCGGCGGCTGGTCTTCGCCGTAGTCTCTACTGGTTCAGGAGCAAACTTTCGTAGACGCTTGGAGGGTTCGTTCTCTTCCCGCTGACGGTCTTTGGAAGACTTCATGGTCGATTCAATGGGCTCTATTTTGAACCGCCGAGGAGGTGCGGGGGTTGCCATCTTAGGGGATCTTTTCCGGACTGCTCAAGGTGTTCTGCTACGTCAGGGCCTTTATGTTCATGCCATAGGCGACACTGGCGCGACTAGGCTTGCCAACCTTCAAATGTATCGGCCACCCGGGGGCTAAACGACTACCCTAGGAACTAATGCACGCCAGGCTCGCGACAGTTGTTACTGCGCTTCCGCAATGCGGGGAAAGGGGCGATCGGAAGATTTCGGAAGCAGGAGACGCGGTTCGGAATGAACCGTACGCCAGTAAGCTTATGCCTCAATAGCTCGTCCTAGGAGGTTGGTGCGACCGCTTGCCCGTCGCCTTTGCCTCGAACGATGTGTTTCAGCTGCCAGTGCTGCGGAGTGTATTAGGCGCGATCAGAAGGAGCGTCTTCGCAATTGAGGTCGGTCGGAGGGAGAGTTCGGCGGCACTGCGCTGAGACTGCGGCATGGTTAACATGTGCTTCGGAGGGAGACGAGATGAGATGCTATGTACCTGCCAGCGCGCAATAACCACACTGCTAATTGCTTGTCGAAGGCTCGGAAGCTAGCGGGACGCGTATTTTCCCGAAAAGGCGGCTTCATGTGAATTTGTTCGGTGTCAACAGTGGATTTTGGTGGTAGCGTGCAGTGACGTATCGACCCGAAGGGCAAAGGGCTCGCGTGCCACGGGTCTGCGAGCGTTATCTTGCGCCGGGAACGTTGTTGAGTAAGGCGTGGTGCAGACGTTTGGGGCGGCTGAGGATTTCGAGCTCCCACGGCTGGCGGAGCGGCGAAAATATGGTGAGCTGATGCGGACCTCGCTGTTGAGGCAAGGGTTCTGCGAGTTCAAGGTCGAGGCCGCGGCGCGACCTGGCCGGTCAGGGGTCACGGCGGCCCCGGGAGCAGACCGAGTGTCGAGATTGGACTGTGTTGGCCAGTCCAATGATGCAGCCGGTTCAGCATATATAAATAATACAAGAGCAGAAGCGGTGGGAGTGTTCGGGGCATCGAAGCAACCCAGCAAGCAAAGCCCGATAAGCTCTGGTCTGGGCGGCGGAGGGCTGCTGAAGGCTCAGTGTGGAGTCAGCCCACCACAGGTGCACTAGTCAGCAAGCCGATGCGTCCAATGCATCTGCTGGCGAGTCGGTGTGCTCAGGATGTGGTAACGCGGCGGGGAGGCGGAGACGAGCGGACGGGTGGGTCTGATGAATGACAAAGGCAGCACTCTGTGCACTGGAGAGGTCCATGTCCGTCGGACGGCGCACCGACACCAGGGATCGGCGTCCGATAGGGTCGATGGGACGCAGCCCGCCCACATCATGCAGAAGGATTCCCCATTCCCGACATCGCTCGCGGGTTGCGAGCGCGTCCGGACATGGCCACGATGGCTGCGTCCGTCTGATCGAAGTGGTCTTCCATCCAGCCCTTGGACTGCGACGACTCGGAATAGCCTGCTCAGGAGCCAGCATCAGGCCCATCCGCTCCCAATAATGCCTCAAGCTCAATTTCCACGCAAAACGACGATGAAAATGCCTCCAAGCTGGGACAGTCCACGTGTCTGAAAGCTCCCTTGCTTTGGGCCGTCAAAAGAAAGCATCCATGGGATTCGCCAGCATCGCCTCCTCCACGTTTCTACCTAGGTATTCACTCAAATCCCGCACGATAATCAACGCAGACTGGATGCTCGAACGCAATGAAAAGGAGAGTCGGCAGTACTTGTCCCCTCCGTGGGGGTTTGTGGCATGTGGACAGTTGGAATTCTTCCTCGATGCACGCGTGGAAGGCGTTGAGGTGGTGGCTTTGGCCTCCATCTCCGCATTGGGTACGAAAATCCACCAACTCCGGCAACATCATCTCTCCTCCACAAATTTCCCACCGCTTTACCCCTCGTTATAGGAGCGCTCTACAAAAGACTTGACGCTGTCATCCGCTTCTACCCAAAACCAGGACCAGTCGAATTTCAGATCAATATCTCTCGTTCCCCAGAGGGGACGTTAACACGCGGCATCCGGGACTGAGTGCACGCAAACTTGAAGAATTTTGCCGCAAGCACTACTAATCACAAAAGGAACCCCAGAGTCCCAAGATCACGCTCAGTGAAACCGATCATCCTGCGTCAAGTCAAAACACCGCCGAACCTTCCCTGGAAACGCCAACTATCCGGGACAGTATTCAAAGCAAAGTAACAACGCCCAGTGAGAGCACCGACCCGAGATAGAGGAGAACGACAGACGCCAACATTCCCAAATGCTTCCGTTCCTAGACCCGCTGCAAATGACTGGGAATGCCTGAACCGCCACCGAGGAGTCCCTCTCCCAGATCCATAAAAGTGGCTTCGTCCCGCAAAACCAAGTGCGAAGCGACGAGGCCCCGACAGTACTGGTGCTCCGCGCTCAGGCGCAGAGGCCTCACAACGAAATGGTAGTCGAGCTGGAATCTTTCGGACCATGCCTCTTCAGCCCATGCACCTGCATAGGCCACACCGGGTCCCGGGGATCCGCAACGTACGCTTCTAGGTCCTGACGTCAGGACACTGTGGATTTCGCTGCCCGGCTCGTTTATCAGGCTATCCGCCGTGTCCTCATATTCCTGCGGAAAGCGCAGCTGATACGGAGGAAGTGAAAGATCGGCCATGTTCATCAGAGGCTGACCAGCACGAAATCTTTCGGGAACATCGATTGACAACCCAATTCTTGCTCGGAACTCGTCAACACGGCCGTTGCCGGTGGGAGCCTGCGATCGGGCCAGCCCGATGGTAGCGTGCTGTCCTGCCTCGTCCGATCCAGCTGGGAAGTCGTCTCCGAGCTGAGAGTTGTCCGAACCGACTAGAGTTGAGGCTGCATCGTCCTCGTTCCCACCGTCACCTTCTTGGGACACCCCTTCAGACATACGTGTACAGCGGCATTTGCAAATCGTCGGATTCAGTTGAGGCGGTCTGGTGGCAGACAACACTTCCGGATCAGGCTGTGAAGGGTTCTCGTAGACGTCGTGGTGATGCATCGCTCCAAGACTCGAAATGGGACCGCGGATAACTAGGCTTGGATGGCGTCAGCGAATCGGCTTTGCTAGGGCTGAGATTGGTAACACGATGGAGATGACACGCTTCACGGATACATAACGGGGAAGCAGGTGCTATCCCGGTCGAGAGCTCTTTGCCTCTCGCACATTGGACCACATCATCGATTCCGGCCTCAAAACCAAGCACACGCTTACCTTGTAGCGCGGTACAAGCAAATATGCAAGGAAAGCCCCACTTGTGGGGAAAAAGAACCCGAGTATCCTTGTGAGGGCCCGTGAGATATTGGAAGAAAGGCTGACGCTAGGCAAGATCAAGTACTCCTGGGGCCGGGGTGCAATGCAAGTTCTTTTCGAAATACAACAATAATAATATACAGAACAGGTAGAATACTGGAGGGTAGGATTCGGTGAAGAGGAAGACATGAACGTCAGAGAGAGGGCACGACCTTTATGTTCATCGAAAAGAGGGGTACCGGTGCCCAGCCAGACTTGACGAGAGCCTCCAACAACAGCAGAGGATCCTGTGACCAGACGAGAGAAAGACACGTCGACGGTTCACCGCGGATTCTTCGTCCAATCGATGGGGTCGAGACTCGCTCGTGCTGCCTGCCGCAGGTCGACATGTACTTTTGTCATTCCCCAGACGAACCGCACGCCATCCCGCCTTCCCCGCCGCTACTTATTTCATCGTCAACCACACCATCGACTTACCGGCCTATACCGCGGTATCCTCAGTTTTCCGCTCCGGCCCTGTCTACTCCAGGATTCGTGGCCGATTGTAGCCGCTCGTGTGAACTGGAGGTTTACTTACGACCTGCATGTCGCTATGCATTCCGGTCAGCCTTATGACGTGGTACTGGAAGGACTCCCACAACGCTTGCTGCCTAGAGAGTTCTGTCTAAAAGGGTGTCATCAGACGAGGCTCGGTTGTACCATCCCAATTCGGTACCGGTGCGTCTCTAGCTCGTAACAACAAGTCCATTCATACCGTCCTCGGTGAGCTCCGCTCAGCCTTATTGCTTCTTCTAACGCCCATTCAACGCCCAATTGGCGACTATCCGGATTGCTGATTAGTAGCTTCGTTTCTTACTAGCGAGATCCTTTGACTCGCGTTTGCTGCATGTCTCTCGCGTACACCCGCATGTTGTCGCTTCAGGGCGGAGATTTCATCTCTTGCATCCTGCAGGGTGCTCTCGGTCAGAGCGACATCCGATATGAGGAGGAGCAAATTGCGATACGTCTTCTTGAAGGCCTCGCAACCCCATTGGCTACTACGTCTCAAGGGATGTCACTTCGGTGGGTTGGCCCTATCCACAGCTGCTCGAGCATTTGGATTGGTCGACTAGATCTCGTGCGGTTGGATTTCAAACCTTCGAAGGTGGCACATGAGCACGCAAGCGGCCCGCATCACGCCATATGTTCGAAATAGGCGTTGACAGAAGCAGGGCCAATGGAGAGCGGTTCGCATGTGACGTTATGAATGCTCTCACAGCTTCAAGACCAGCCAGTCACTTGTAGCAGCACGCTGAGAGGCTAAGTCACGATTTCGGAGCGCACTTAAGGTTGACCATGATAGAGATTACCGAGATCGCAGATTCTGATTGATTCACGCTCCGAAGTCGGAACTATTCCGCATTCGAGGGCTTTTAGAGCTCATCGAATACGCGCAATCGATCATCGCCCTCCAACTCAGTGACCGGTTTTGCTTCCAACGTCGCTACCAAGACCTCCGGTGTAGACCTCGTGGTGCTTAGAATCGCCTCTTTCGCGAGATCGGGTATTGGAGCGTCGAGAATCTTCGTCCTTGAGCTGAAGTCGAGTGCTGCCCTAGGCTCCCTAGTAGAGTGGAGGGGTTTGAATTGCTGGAAGAGAATTGCGAGTATGATGAGAGCCGCGATAGTGCCGAGGATGCCCCAGAGGAATTTCAGTCGTCCTATAGAGGAGATTAGCACCTAGGCTTGTATAGTATAGGCACGCAAGCGTACGTGTGATCCTAGCATCCCACTCAGCTTCGCTCTTCGCCCGTGCTTCGACACGCTTCTTTGCTTCCATAAGTCTTGCAGTCAGCGAATCAGCCTTCTCTTTGCCTGCCTTTATTCTCTCCTCTAATGCCGCGACCTGCTCCTGCTGCTTTTCAAAGTTACCGAACGCATCGAATTGGCCCTTTATATCCTCCACCAGCTCCTGTGTATCGGACCGGAAGTTCTCGTGAAGCTCCTTCGTCAGACCCGAGAGCTCCTGTAGGCTGCCTATCGTCTGCCGCAACAGAGACACTTTCTCCAAAATGGAATAGTAGGTATCATCGAGGTGGCGAGACGTCTTCAGCGACTGATCGGAAAGGGTTTGAAGGGAAGACCGAAGCTCTCTAAACTCCATGTCAGTATCCTTCTGGGAAGCCCTTCAAACACAACGGTGCCTTACTGCTCCCTAGCCTTAACCCTCTTCCGCTCGCACTCTATATCTTCTGGCCCTACGGGCTTCGCCCGCGCCTCCCGCGTCTCCAGCACCTCTGCCTGCGCATCCAGCGTCGCGCTCTTCACGCTCTCCCTCCGACTATGCGCCGGCGAAGCCGAAGTCGCACGACTGCCCTTAGCCTGCTTCAGCAAGTCACCAAAGCTCGTCGGCGGGTGCAATTGGATCGCCGACTGCACGGCCTCCTTTGCATGGTGTCGCGACGAATGGCGGTGATGGTGATGGTGTCGGTGCGGGTGGTGATGCAGCGAGTGCAGATGCGATTTCTTAGATGAGGCTGGGGACTGCGGATCAGTGGTTATTTGGGGTGTGGAGGAGGGCGGGAACAGATTCGGGCGGAAGGGTTCGGCCATATCATGGTGGTGGGCTGCTCGGGGTGTTGAAGGTTAGTTGCAGCACGCGGATTCGGCATTTCCTACCTAGGTAGGTTGCGTCACTGGCACGTGATAATAACGCTAAGCCTAATCCACGCGTAAACTGGGAAATGTATGGTCGAAGGCCCTCAAAAGTCACATTTCTCAACAAGAACTATGAGGTACACTGGGTTAGTTCCCAGAGCGTTGCAGGGTGCTGGATATTCAGATAGGAGATACGGCATTCGCGACGGCGCCCTTATCATACCCACATCCAGTGTTCATATAGGCCGTCGTTCATACGGTGCCGTCACCATGGACCCGTCGTACCCGTCGTACCCGTCATTGACGCTGGAAGTAACGTTACTGCCTCTGCGCGGGCTGGAAGGCGGTCATCCATGATCACCGCCTCGTTACGTCCTTTGCTTTAGTGACAGCTGATTGTAGCTGGCGTCCCTCGCTCCAAGGTAGCGGCAGGAGAAAGTTTGAGCGGTCGCATGCTTCTACAGAGCAGCACATGCCGCTCAGGCCTTGAGCATCTTGTTGCGCTTTTCCCTCCTCTTTAGGCGCTCGACGCGCTTCTTGTGCATCTTCTCTTCCATCTTCTGGTATCGCTCTCGCTCTTCTTTCGCTGCACGTTTTGTCCGAATAGCTTCAACTCGCCGCTGCCATGCGGTTAGCAGAGGGTCGTCTCATAGGCTTGTTGCGCCGACCTGTCGCTCAGCTTCCTTCTCGTCCTTCATCTCCTTCTCCTTTGCCTTGATCGCGGCAAGCGCCTTCGTCTCTGCAGCTCGCTTCTCGAAAGAGCTCTGGTTCGTCCGAGGCCGGAACGCCGTCTTCGTTTGATGCCATTGCTTGCCTGCGCAGCCGTCGTGATCAGTTGGCGGTAATACAGATATCCACATTGCGACAACACACCGTTCTTCCGCATTCCTTTAACAGCAGTCGCTCCTGCGCTCGGCGGCGCTTGTGTGTCAATAACTTCCGACATCCCCGTGGGGGTACCGCTGGCACGGCGACAGCAATGCAGGACGAGGCGACGAGCGTCCTTCTGGAGTGGACAAGAAAGCGGCCGAAAATCGGTATCGATAGAAAAATGGCGGGACAGCTGTTCCGCTTTGGGCCTAGCCGCCGCTAGCGCTGTCAGTGTGAAAAGGATCAGATAAGATTATCAGTAACACTTTGGTGATGGGCCCTGAACCTTGGAAGGCCTTGAATAATGAAGTCCATCGCGTTATTTCAGCCCTCCATCAGCATTACCCAGAACACCCGGCGCGCGCTTTCCCGGCCTCTGTAATGATCTGCGCGGGTTTGAGCAGGGTGCCCTCAGGCTAAAAGTTTTCGACAGCTATTTTCGCCAGGCACAAGGATTTCGGCGCCGATTCGTCGTCACGCCTTCGCACCACCACCGTGGACGCTTTCCGATCGCAGCTCCGGCCCGCAGCATTTATATGCAGCAGGTTTTCCTGTGCTACCTCGTATTCGCGCAACCTACGTCTTTACCTACCAACAATTCGTGCCCACGCCCGCCCGGTATGGAGTATATCTTTGAGTCGTAGCGCCCTCCACTCTCCTCACCGCCTGCTCGACTCTTGTACCCACCCCGCCATGAACCGCCGTTCATAAGCACACACATCTTTTGTTGATATACATTGGGTCTATGGAAATCCACGAGAGTCCGGTAATGGTGGGGGAGAGTGCGGGCAGGTTGACCAAACCAGTCATTGTGCAGGAAGCGGGAGGTGGCTCTGCGGAAACAAAGAATGGCCAGGGAGAAGAGGCGCTGAAGGACGTGGTCTGCGGATCGATTGCCGGCATCGTTGGCAAATACATCGAATACCCCTTCGACACGGTTAAGGTACGGTTACAGTCACAGCCAAACCATCTGCCGTTACAGTACACTGGACCATTGGATTGCTTCAAGAAGTCAGTCAAGCAAGATGGGTTCATCGGCATATATAGGGGGGTCAGTGCCCCCCTGGTTGGCGCAGCTGTAGAGACCAGCTGTCTCTTCTTCAGCGTGAGTATACGAATAGCCTGGCAAGCCTTACATACCTGAGCTAACATACCTCGCAGTATCGCCTTGCTGGGGATGCCGTCAGAGCTTCCGGCATCTATCCCGAACTGAAGAGGCACCCCGACAAAGACTTGCCTTATTCAGCGATGATCTGGTGTGGAACGGCCGCAGGAGCCTTCACATCCCTCTTCCTTACGCCAATTGAACTAGTAAAATGCAAGATGCAGGTCCCACTTGAAACGCCGGGCGCGACCATCACCCGGCCAGGTATCCTCAATATTATTGCCTCCATATACCGCCACCAAGGTCTCTTGGGTTACTGGCACGGCCAATTTGGGACTCTTATCCGCGAGACCGGAGGTGGTGCGGCGTGGTTCGGTGGCTACGAAGGTGTCAAGCTCCTCTTCAAGAAGGCGAACCAGACCTCAGGTCCCACCAGCGACGACGATCTGCCAGTTTACCAGCGCATGGTTGCCGGCTCTGTGGCCGGGATGTCCTATAACTTTCTGTTCTACCCTGCCGACACCATCAAATCGAGGATGCAGACCGAAGACATACAGCGATTAACGGGCGGCAAGTCGACCTTCAGCGCGGTTGGAAGGGCTTTGTGGAAGCAGCATGGCTTGAAAGGGATGTACCGCGGGTGCGGGATCACAGTGGGACGCTCAATCCCCAGTTCCGCTTTCATCTTTACGGTTTACGAAGAGCTGAAGAAGCGATGGCCTGAGCGACGAGTTGAATGACATCTTCTCGATCCGTTTCTGTTCACGGTCCTTTAGCACTCATGAAAAGCATTCCGGAGCATTGCAGCGGCGTCGGAGCGGGCACAAGAACCTAGGAATCATAAACGTAGCATTGCATTAGCATCAATAGAGAGAGCAAATCTGTGCAAGATCCTAGAGGGCGTCTAGGCTACGTTCTCGCACACATGCAAATTCGCAGCCACGCCTTCACATGCAAGATACCCCGGTCGTGTGGCTTGTGCGCGGGAGTGTGGGGAAATGTGCGGCCGGTGTTGTGACGCGATGCCGAGGATCAAATGCCATCCATCGCCCTCGATGACCCGCAAGCACCAGGGAGCGCCCGAGCCGCAAAGCCCTCCCTCCGATGCGACTCAGCTCAATGACCGGCGTCTTCATTTGTCCTACTTCTTCCGACTCTTCACATTCCTCGTGCCCGAGCTGCGACAGCTAGAGCAAACGCCATTGCGCAAGGCCGAGGCACATAGCGCCGCGAATTGAGAGACTGCAGCAATGGACCGGTTACAAGCGCTCGAGGTTGGAATCACTCTCTGAGGGGCTTGCGGACTCTCTTTGCTGATCTGGAGCAGGCGGTGGCCGAGAAGATTGTATTGGATCCGAAGTATCACGACGTCCTTGCGCTCGTGAAAGGCATCCGGAATGGCATTGTGTACGGCACGAAGGTGCGGTTTCCGCACGCGCTTGTGTAAGAGATCCTTTGGAGCAATATACACGATATACACGATGAGACAAACTGCTAACCGTTTGGCGCACGTAGAATGATATTCCTCTTCCGCTCCGGCACGTACGTTCATCCCTCCGTCTTCCATCTCTCCGAACCCACCTCCACCAACAACAACATACGAGAACAACTATTAACATGATAGGATAGAATCCGCTCAAAATGCTGGCTTGTCTTCAAAGCCACCCGCCAACACGCCCGCAACCTTAGCCTCTTCGCCCTCGTCTACAAATCCACTATGCTGCTCCTGCGGCACACCTCCCCAACCGGCAAGGAACGCCACTACGACTCCTTCCTCGCCGGCCTGGTTGGCGGCTACACAATCTTCGGTCGAACCATCCACAACTCGGTATCTCAGCAAATCGTCATATATGTGTTCGCTAGGGTGTGCTTAGCGCTGGCGAAACTGGCGGTGCAGCCCAAGGGCGTGGGCAAGATTGAGGGCGGTGGTGGAGGCTGGGGATGGCTGGGTGAGGGTTCAACGCGGAAAGAGGTTGTAAGGAATGGATGGCCGATCTTCGCGAGTTTGAGTTGGGCGATGGTGATGTATGTTTTCAGGTGGCATCCTGAGACGGTGCAGCCGAGTTTGAGGAGTAGTATGAGCTATATGTGAGTATCCTCTTTCCTTATCCTTCTTGTGTCGGGATGCTCTTTTTGGGTATTCATGGTGCTGACTGGAATGCAGCTACGTGCAGTCAGACCACTGGGATTCACTGCGGACCTTCATATGGCATAACAAATAAGCCCGTCACCCGGACAGCGGTTGCAGTGAGGGGACGGGGCCGGATTTTTTTGCTTCGTGTACATGATTGAATGCTTGTATGAGTTATATGCATTGGTGGTTGCATTGGAGACGCCCGGTTGGGGTCTGGCGTCTTGCACGGTCTTGTATTCCCTGGGTTACTTAGACGCGTAAGCTGAAATAGAAATTAGAATCCGCCGAAGTAATTACAACTTCGGCTCTTTCGCGTCTTTCTACAGGGGCACTTCCATCGTTTTGCCTCCATCGGACCGTAGGCCTAGGTGCTTGGGGGCCGTTCTAGGGCAGTGGGTACGCCTGATTGAGGCTGAGCTGTTCCTCAAGCATTCAGACACATGACACATACATCCTTGATCAGATCCCAGCCATATGTTCAAGCCAGCTTGCCCAAATACCGCACGCGTGAGTCTACCGGTCAGATACGAGAGACAGTTCAGCATACAACTCGGTAGACAATGCGTCATCACCGCCATTCAAGCCAAAAGTAGGCACACTCACCAAACGTAGACAAGCCGCTACACTAGTGAGATTATCAGAGGGAACCTAGAAGACGCCTCGCCCTTGACAAGGAACGTCGAATGACAGGTTGCAGCTCGCGCAGATACGCTAGATTCTCTCCCCCCAATCCTTAAAGCTTTGCTCCTTCTGTCCTATCTCCTTTTCTTGTGCTGCAGTCTTTGCCGACAATCAGCGCAGTCTGTGCCAACTCCTCTACTCCCTCCCTCGCATCCGCGCCCAACGATTCGATTACAAGTATCCTAGGCGCGAGCCTCAGAAGCATGGCAAGGGCAATATGCAGCATCATTTCCGGAGGTAGGCAGTTTCGTTGGCTGGAATCCCATAAGCGTGCACAGCTTTTTCAAAGACACAGTTTTTGAGCGATTGTTCCCCAATACATTTCCTGAGCAACCTTCCGCGTCTCCGTGAAGGCTATTAAGGGCGCACTTATCCAATGTCAAAGCCTGCCTTGCTCAACGAGCGAAGATCTTGGTGATTAGCGTAGCCTGCCTTGATAGTTGGGCGTGTATCTGCTGGTTTGCCAGGCGACTGAAAAAACATTTTGTGTATATATACCCATTTATTCTGCAGTTCAAACAAAGAAATTCAATATTATCGTCGGTTACGGAATCGGTTAGCAGGGCTGACCTCGAGTTCGTTTCATGTGTGATTGCGAATTTCTTTTTGCATTTGGTTTGATTCTTTACTTCGGACGGAGCATCGGTTCAAATGCGATACTTGATGGTTACAGAAAGTTGAAAAGGCCAAAAGATTTTGCGCCCGGCAGCACGGGGGAACGTCTTCTTCGTGGTAGGAAATATATACCTCAGAAGGGGAAGCCTGTCACTCCTCGCTGTTACCCTTCTACGCATCGGAGTGGAAGAGCGCCCGGTTTTGCGCCCATCTCACATCTCGAGGGCCGTAATGGAAGATATAAGTGCGTGTACAGAGTAGAGAATAGTTGCGATTCTTGAGCCTTCCTGTTATCGACCGTGTGAAGCATCTGGTATCCAGGATCGATGCACTAATTGCGCTGAATCCTTCCTTGTACCTATATGCGACGTCAAAAAGAGATGAATACGAGTTCACCATCGCTCCCTCTATGACTGTCCTTGCTGGAGAAGATATGTTGAAAGAGGCGGCGCACTTCTGCTACTACATTCGGTTGTTCGGACATGGCGGTTGAGAAGGAGACGGCGACGTACTGTAACAAGTTCGATGTCGAGGTGTTTTCCATTGATTATTTACGAAGCAGCGATGACCGTCTACTGAATGCTTCTTCATCTTATCTTCTTTTAACCCCCGAACGTCCCGAAACAAGTCACTCGCCTTTCGTACCACCCTCCTAGAGGTTTAGATTGGCTGCAGAGTTTGTCATTCCTGCCCCAGATAGAAAGCAAGGTAGTACTTATATACCAACGGCCCTTCCATCCGGAACATGCACTTTGCTGATCAATCGTGTGCCAACTCCCGCAAGTGTTGACGCCCACCTGGACAGCAATCGAAAGCTATAGGATTTTCCACGTGAAATGACCAAGGAATTAGATGGAGCGCGACATATCAATTGCGCTTGTGAAATTTTTCACCATGGCACACTCCATGTCAATACCGGCGCCATTGTCAAGCCCAAGATCGCAATCCCTCACCATGTTCAAAGCTCTCCATTACTACCTTTTGAGTACGAGCAAATCCGACGTCCATAATGAAGCTTTCTGGCGGGTTCGTGTCCCCAGGGGATGAACTAGCACTGACGCATTGCAGTATAGTGACGCAGAGCGGCGAAGGCGAAGACTGGGGAATCCATTTCACTGGGTTTAGCTGCTCACGGAGCTTCTTCGATGGTGTTTCGGCGGAGAAGAACTGGAACAAGTGTCGTTCATGTAATACTTTTAGAGCTGGCTGGGGCCCGGCTGTGCAAAACCATGATACACAGATTTTTCTAATCTAGAGATAGCGAAGAGGCCGTTGCAAGGTGTAGAGAAGAAGGAATCGTGGCCGCACCGTAGAGCATTTTCCTACCCGTTCGTAGCACTTGGCCGGATGAGATGAGTGTTGGGTGCTGATGCAATTTACTCTTGCGAGCCCCCGTCGGCTCTGAAGTAGTTGGTATCTGCAGGGGCAAACATCTGCGGAGCAGAATGTAGGTCGATAAAGTTTGAAATTCTCGTCTAGATAAATCGAGATATCAAGCGGAAGACGGTGTCTAGGATGAAGTAGTAGTGACATCAAGCTGTAGAAGATCAAAGATGATCATAAGGTGCCGGCGGAACTTGGCGATCACTTGGCGATCCGCTCCCGCGAGGTACAATGTCGATCAATTCTGGAGTAGTGGAGGTTTGACGTGCAGGGTGTGGAGTTGAGCGTCATTCCGCAGAGTCAGATGTGGAGTGGAGTGGAGTGGAGTGTGGGGGATACCAACATCAGTTTCACAGCGACTTTCGAGAAACCTTGGTCATAAATCCGTGAAATCGTATTCAAAGTGATACAAGATATGTACAAGAAGCGCTATTCGTGGCGCGCTCGATAGTTGTCCTATAACCTCCATGATTTGATGCTTGAAAAGCATACGCATGTCTCAAAAGACATACTCTCCAACTCATCTCCGCAGCTGCCCTGCGCCAATGCCTACGCGTGGTACTTCTCGCCCATTGGTCCCTCTCCCTCGTTATACACGACGCTCTTCTTTCTTGTCGCCTCATTCTCCACTTCAGCCAAGCTCAAACGCCTAACATCCGCGCGCGTCTCCTGCACCTCCTGGAAGGAGACGGTGGGCACAAAGCCGGGTGATTGCCAGGCTTTGCCGATCTTGGCATACAGCTCATCGACCTGCTCGAGAGCAAGCCCCTTTGTCTCGTAAATCATGGTCCATACAAAGAAGATGCAGATGAAGCAACAGCCGCCCCAGACGAAGAAGACCTTAGCCCCGAGGTTCGCGTTGCCGGGGCCCGTGTTGACCATGTAGGGTGTAGCACTGGATGATTGTTAGATGGTGCTAGTGTAGGTGAATGATGGTTGAGCTTACTATCCAATGGCCCAGTTAAGAAGCCAGTTTGACGCGGTGGTCATGGAGAGCGACTTGGCTCGCACCTTAAGCGGGAATAGCTCACCAGTGACGACCCAGGCAACCGGACCCCAGGTAGAAGCGAAGAAGAAGATGTAGATGCACACAAAAGCAATCATAGACTTTTGCGCTGATGGGTTGCCCGTCCCGACGACTGTGCCAGTGATGGCTACGATGAACTGGCACAGGGCCATACCGATAGCACCGAAGAGGAGAAGCTTACGGCGGCCCCATTTCTCCACAAGGTACAGACCGGGGAATGTCGACACTACGTTGATCGACGACGTAATCATGGAGATGACGAACGGGTTGGTGAAACCAGCATTCTGGAAGAACGAAGTGCCATAGTAGAAGATGAAGTTGACACCAGTGAGCTGCTGAAGACTTTGCAGAAGACAGCCGGTGGCCAAGCGTTTCCCGAGGGTGCCCTTAAAGCAATCGATGTATGTGGCCTTACCGATAGAAAGCTCGTACTCGTGATTGGCAGTGATTTCAGCGAGTTCCTCCAGTAGAGCGGGATGCTCAGCGTCAAGCCTCCTCAGCTTGGAGAGCGATCTCGCAGCCTTCTCGGGGTGGCCCTTCTTGACGTAGTAGCGGGGTGTTTCGGGCAGGACAATGCATCCAAGAAACAGGACAATGGCCCATGCAAACTGGACGGCAATCGGAATGCGGTAGGAGCCAGTATCGTTGCGGTGCTTAGTGGCATTGTCGACAATGGCAGCGAGCAGAAGACCGATCGTAATCGCGAGCTGATAGGCACCAACGACGGCGCCACGGATCCACTTGGGACTCGTTTCGGATTGGTAAAGGGGGATGGTCATGGAGATCATGCCCACACCAAAGCCAGCAAAAAACCTTCCGGCGACGAACATGGGAATGGCAGTGGCAGCCGTCTGCAGAATGACGCCGAAGCAGAAAACGACATTGGAAGCCACGAGACCAAGACGGCGTCCAATCATATCGGCTACAGGAGCAGCGGTTAAGGCTCCAAAGAAGGTTCCGACGGAAAGTATAGACACAATTTCCGACGTCTGGCTGGAAGTGACGTCTTTCGCCTGGTCCTTGGGATTGATGTAGCCGGTAGAAAACTCGTTTCGCCAATATGACATGCCCAAGATACCGCCGATAGTGCCGGTATCATAGCTGCGGATGTTAGTGAGTAGGGGCGCAAAGTTAGTCGCGCCAATTGACTTACCCGAACAGGACGCCACCAAAGGCGACGAACAATCCTACCATAATAGCAGGAGCCGCCGATCCGGGGGTGCCCGGAGGCGGCCTCAGCATAAGACCCATGGTGGGCAGTCGTAAATGATTCGATTGCGGAAGTAAAATAAGGCGACGATAGATACTGGAGGGGGAGGAGTTGGAATGTTGAGAGGGTGTTACAATTGGGGATCCGGGGAGCTTTAAGTAGAAGTCTAGGTTTGGGCGATCACCCATGCGGAGGCCCCGTGGGCGTCCACGGGCCCGGAAACATTCACCGACGGCGCCAGTGCTGCGATTGGGCAATTCCAAGGTTGCAAAAGGCGCAACGTGAACGGATGGGGATTATGGCTAGCGCCACGCTATTACCATGCGCGCCGGGTTGCGATCCGACCTTACCATGGGACCGCTGCCCTGAGCTCCGACCTTGCCTGACTTAACTGAGCGAGAAGACGGCAGAACATCCTCGGCCACAGTCCCTGCATTGGTGGTTTACTCGGGACATCGGCGGGACATCGGCGTTTCTTCCTCAGCGCACACTGGCACAGGCGCAAAGAGACCATGGCGCTGGAAGAGAGAAAGAACGAAAGGTCCTGCATGACGCAGAAACGTACAACACATCATGTGGCCGCGGGCGGTCCGAGGCGATGATGAGGCGGCGTCAAGAAGTGATATTCGGCCGCTAATGTCTTGTCCATGCTTAGCGTGCATGGTGCGGGGATTTAGCGCACGCCGCCCAACCGCTGACTTCATCGTCTGGACTTGCGACCTCACCACCCTCTTCTGACAGGCGGCAGGCTCAGCGGTAGCTGCATCTGTGCAATGCGCCGAGCTGTCGCTGCTTTGGATCGCCTGGGTAGGTGAATGCGCCCTCCAGACAGCCCTCTTCCGACGATAGCATTACCACAGCATTCGCCAGTTCCACTCGCAGGGACAGCCATCTCAGCACGCGGCCGACCGCCCCATGCGTCCCAATTTTCGTTGGATAGTAGGTAGAACGGAGTAGAAGGCTTCTAGAAGGTCACGGCCGCCGAAACTGGCCGACGTTGCTGCGGGGCGTGCAGGCGGAGTGGGCGACAGCCGGGCGGAAAGGCCAATGCTTAGAAAATTTTGATCCTCAACCTGTCACAGTAGAGCGTAGAGGTATTATCCGCCCCTGCAAGCTCCCTAAGAAGCCAGTCCGTTCTCGGCTCTCAAGGATGCAAGCTAAAGGCAGCCGCGGCCTCTTGAAGCATCGACCAGGCGACTGGAAAGACTGTCGGGGGGATTTGAAAGCCGGCCATGTCGGTCCGAGGCTGGTACGACTGTGAGCAATGAGGCTCTTGCGCCGGACCCGCCAATAGTCGTTTCGGATAGGCGATACGTCGGCGGTTTGTGCACATATTGTTGAGGCTCTATCGTGGTGGATACCTGCAAGGCGGTGCAGGTCGTGCGACACGAAGGCCTCTTGTCGAGCGGCTCCTGCGAGCGATTTGAGATGTGGGCTGATTTGCGTGGTCGGTTCTCGTGCGATGTGAGCAGAGGGTTGGCGCTCATACTGTGTAGAGCTGGAGCCGCCGCTGACGTCGACGGGACACACCACAGTAGCGAGCGGCTCGGAGGTCTTGAGAAATCTGAATAGTGATCGAGAATCGAGAATCGAGAATCGAGATTGTGGAACTTCGCTGACGTGCCAGGAGTGCTGACGATGGGTTTCATCGATGGGTTGCGGTTGCTGTCAAGCAATTTGGCCGAGCGCGCCATTACCGGGCCCCTGGATCTTGACGTGCTTGAGCATCTGGGTAACCCGGTCGAAGCAAGACAACATCACCCTGCTACATGGTACAGAGACGGACAAGTTTTCTCCTCTGTAACAGGCCCGGTTGACAAACCTCGGAAAGAGGGATCTGTGAGAAAGGGAGTCCGCGAGTAGGTGGCAGTTTCGTGCTTAGCGCGACGCTATGCCTTTTCTAGCGCATCATGGAAGAGTTGCACCCTTGGACACCCGTCTCTCCCTGCGCCTTGCTCTCGCATCTCCCTCTCCGCTAGTATTGCATCTAGCGTTGCGCTCAGCCCTTTGTTCTCCTCCAACCTCAGTACCCCCGGTCCCAAAAGCAACCAACCCCAGATTGGAATTACCGACGACCAGCCGACATACGCCTCGGGTGTTGATATGAGGACGGCAACAAGATTGATAAAACTGCAACAAAAACGGTGAAGGCGAGACATAAGACGATACTAGGGTTGTCGTAGAGCGTACTCGCGAGTATGGTAGCCTTTCGATACGTTGGTGGAGGTTTGCGTGGCTGGGTGTTAGACCGGTGCGACCAATCGTGGGTTGGTGGCCTCATATGGAGGGGTGGTTCGGTTTCGTCTTGATTTGGGTGGGGATATGGTGCGACTATGGACGAGAGCGTCGCTTTATATAATGTTTTCACTATCGCTAAGTATTCCAAGTATATGCTGACATTGAGAGAAACCGCATTTCGTAGAATACACGGAATAGCCACTCGGCAGGTCCTCCTCCTGTCTCCCAAGGAGGAGGTTGACCGGCTCCCATTCTACCACGGCCTGAAACCGTCTACTCGAGCCCACGTGCGATGGACATAGGGTACGTGATGAACATAGAAATGATGCCACACATTTTCCGTACCGCGACTTTAAGGGACACCTAGACCTTCAACCCAAGAATCCGTGACGCCCAAGATACTTGATCGCGTCAAGCGCCAGCCGATCTGCTTTCTCCAACTCCTGCTCCACCATCTTCTCATATAGCCCCATCCGCTTCGGCTCCTCCTTCTGTGGGTGCGAGTAACGGCAGTGAGAGCCGTATTTACATTTTCCGAACTGCTTCCACCGGAAGCAGATGTCCGGCCGTTCTGCCTCGGGCTCTTTCACTACTTGCGTGAGTGGCGGAGGCGGAACCGTTATCGGAGTAGGTGCTCTCGTCGAAGAGTGTTGCACTGGTGGCGCGTCGCTGTCGTCCGATTCCCGGTCAGAGTCAGCGTCAGCGTCTTCAGAGCTCGACACTACCGACGAATCTTCCAGCTCGGAGCTTTCGTCTTCTTCTGAGACGGTTTCGCTGTCGTAGCCTAGGCCAAGATCTATGCATTTCGGCTTCCTAGCTCCGATGGGTGTTTGCGACTTCTTTTGTTCTAGAGAGACTGACTCCTTCACACTCTCCCGGGCGTTCTTCCGTAGCTCTTCAAGGTCTGAACGACGTGTCTCCGAGAAAACTTTCATATCTTTAGTTGTAGTCCGGGTTCGTTGAACTTCGACTCTCTTCTTATTAGCGCCTCCTTTGATCTTCCGCAAGAACTCTAGTTCACTCGCTCTCTTCGCTGCAGCTTCTTGAGCTTTCTCTGCAATCCTCTTTCGGGTAGGAAACTGTTTTCTTCGATCTTTTATCCAGGCGGCGATTTCCGCTGGCGTTTGGAGGGAGATGCTCTCGCCTTCATGTTCGAAAACAACGCCGCCTTCGACCTTGACATTCGACACGAAGACGGCCTCTTCGTCAATATCTTCCTCCGCGCTGCTTTCTAGGTCCTCTTCACGGTGCGTAAGGCCCAAAATTACCTTGCGCTTCTTCTGGTCGTGCTTGCTGCCTAACTTGGGGGTATCGGAAGGCTGGGGTGGAGGAACCGGCGGCAGCGAGAATCCGAAACCAGGTACTGCTGGAGGTGCAGCTGCTTTAGCCCTCGGTGGCTTCTGACCGCGTGGCTGGGGGTTTTGAACTGTTACCGGGTTCTGCTGGGATTGGTAGTTGATTGCCCGTTCATTTCTCTTTCTTTTCCTTACCGAACCGCTCTCGGAAGGGGACTGATAGAGTTGAGGCGGCAATTGCTGAGAGGGAGGTGACAATGGGCTCTGAGGAGTGACATTGTTCCCTGCTATGTGATTTGCGAACGCAGTCATCGTCTGCATTCCAGCTGGTGTCGACATAAACGCCATTGCTTGCGCGAATGCTGCCGGATCAACTGGCAGCGCCTGCCCTCCCACTGGGAGCGGAGCTCCAAACAGCGGGTTCCCAGGTGTGCCATTGGGGAAGGGACGGGTGTTTGGTGGAGAGGTGCCTTGTTGCGGAGGCTGCTGGTACTGCTGCTGCCGTTGACCCTGTGTAAAAGCCTGATTAGGCAGTCCTCCTCTTCCGCGCTGCTGGTAGCTCCCCCGGGACCCTTCTCGGCCACGGACATCTCCACTCCCGCCTCCGAGTCCGTATGCGCCTCTTGAGCTCCCTTGATTATTGCCACGTGCTCTTCCTACAAAGCCTCTTCCACGGTGCCGGTCTCCTCTTGCAGTATGAAGTCCCCCTCTCTGACTGCTATACGGGTTTTGCGCATCGTTCGATGGAGCCTTCGGCGGAGGCGGAGGCGGGGGCGGGAACTTGAATGGTGTCATGTTTGGTGGTGGTACTGTGATGAACCAGAAAAGAGCATGTGATGACGCATCGTCGAGCGCAATAGATTTTCTCGAGTGACGGCTCGGCGGAGGGCGATGGCGAAGAGTGTCGCGGATGGTAGTCGTCGGAAGGACGAAGCTCGAAAAATAAAGTTATCGATAAGGCACGCGACCCTAGCGCGTCCGAGGCACCAATAAACTTCCGTGTTCTTGGAGCTCACATAACCTTTTACTCTCGCTCGAAAATGTCGAGGTAGCATCCGATCTCTATATTTCTTGCGGACTCTGCGGGAGCATGAAGACGCGCATCTTGCGACGATGTTTATCCTCGTAAGTCCTGCATGGCCGTGAAATCACATAGCAAAGACTCATGATCACAGACGACGATCGAAGATCTGATTCAGATCCCACCGCGAGATTTCGGCAAGCCCAGCGCCCAAGCGCTCAAAGATGCTATCAATGCGAAGTACTCGAATAAGATCATTCAGAAGGTTGGACTCTGCTTGTGCATGTGGGATCTCCTGCAGACCTCTGAGGGCTTGATTGGTCATGGCACGGGACTCGTGAATGTGAACGGTAGGCATCATGCTCTTCTGAGAGTTTGTCTGGTCTCTTCGCACCTATCTGCCTTTCCTGGCATTTCTCCTAGCATTCGTTCTTCGATTTGGACCTTGACAGATGACTCTGCAAATGCCAAGATTGCGACCTAACATTACCAGTTGAGTTTCGCATGACAGTCTTCCGCCCCTTCCGTGGCGAGATCCTCTACGGCCGGATTAAGTCAGCCAATGAAGAGGGCATAGTGATTGATCTCGACTTCACATCCGAAGTGTTCATTCCGCACCAGAATCTCTTCGAGAATTCAACCTTCGATGAGGGAGAGAGCACCTGGATTTGGAGGCCCGAAGGTGGCGCAGAACTCTTCTTCGACAAAGGCGAGCCTGTGCTGTTCAGGGTGGAGCAGGAGGAGTGGATTGACCAGAAACCAACCATGGTGCGGAAGAATGAGCAAGGCGAGGTGGAGGAAACCAGAGACACCGCCTGGAGGCTTATTGTGAGTGTGAGTTTTGGTACGCAATCGACAGGCGCTGACGTCTTTTCAGGGCTCAATGAATCAGTCTGGTTTAGGGCCGACGCTCTGGTGGGAGGAGGCTGGGGGAGAGGAAGCAGGAGAGGAAGATGGAGACGTGGATATGGACGGCGCAGGAGAGTAAGCATACTCAGTTCACCAAAGCATAGGCGGCGTCACGGTCTCTGGCGTTGGTGCGGAAAAGTTCTCAGTTGTTTGCCGGGTAGGATCCCCCAATATTCTACCCGAATTGATAAGGAGAAGCCTATCCAGGCTAAGGAAGCAAAAATATCGCTTGCCTACTCTCCGATGACATATGTACAGCCCTCATCGCCCATCCAAACCTCGTGGAGTTTACGAGCATCGACATCAATCCTCGCGCCAGGTCCAAAGGTCTCCTTTTTGGGCTGGGAATCTTCCGGATAGGTGATGGTCAATTGCCCATTGAGAATCAGGTGCGTGGTGAGGCCGCTGTGCCTATGTGGCGGATAGTGAGCGTTTCTGCGGCGGAGGCTGCAGTCAGCTTCCAGTTGCCGATAGATGAAGATTGGCAGAGGCATGGCTTACGGTCCATCGGTCCAAGTAAAGACGTGCTTGAAGCCCCAGGAAGTAACCTCTCGTTCCGCGTCCTTGCGTGACTTGGTCATGGCTATACACGGGTGGGAGTGACTTGGAGACGGATGACGGATGAGGGGAGCGATGCCCTGGGGGGTGTCTAGAACGACCGGACCCTGTGACGTAGCTCCTCGGCAACGCTCAGGAACGCGGCTCTAGACTATCCTCATACTTCAAGCCCACGGGTCGAAGCCAGCCACGTGCAAAGCATTCGCATTGCACCCACCTCCTCTGACAAACAAGCTTTCAGGTCCCGCTTTCCCAGAATTGGGCGCCCAAACGGCGCATCAGGCCGCCAAGGCGTCCCCAGCAGCACGCGGCGTCTCAGCCCTGCCACGCGACGCTGCGCTAGCGGGCCGTTCTTAACATGCCCGCCCGCGCTCGCTCTTCGACTTCTGTTTGCATGCGCAGATGACGGCTGACGACTGCCAGGAGGTGAGTCTCTGTTCAGTCGGCCCATTGGCTCGACCGCTTGATTTATCGGTGTGTTGCTGAAGCCAGTATAAGCAGAGCTGAGCTGCCGCAGCCTCACACCACATCCAGCTCCGTCAGCCTTCAAATCCTCAGTCGAAGCCTCGGGGTTCTGCCTAGCCCCTTCCCCAACCTAGAAGTCCCGCTCTTCCGACCAGAGAAAATCTGAATCCACATTCTCTCGACCGCAAACACGAGTCGGAAACCGCAATGGCACATCCTCCAAGCAGAGATCCCAAGCTCGGCGCCCCGAAGCTCGACCAGCCCCAACTGCAGGCCGGCGGAGGGAGTGCGGCAGACACAGGCAAGGCCAGAATCGTCGAGTCCATCTCGCCGCTCATCTCGCAATACCTAAAGACTATCTATGGGGAGGTGGAGAAGAAGTACAAACTGGAGACAAAGGAAGGACTCGCCACATGGCTTGCGGAGGAGCAACAAGCTTCAGCAACGGACGCTGAGTTGTTGAAGGATGGCTCTTTCTCTCATTTCGCGAGCTACTTCATGTCCGGATCGGCCAATGTGATGAAACCTGCAGAGCCCGTGGACGAGTCGTATCCGATATCCAATTACTTCATCTCCTCGAGCCACAACACTTACTTGACTGGAAATCAACTGTCGAGCGAGTCGAGTGTGGACGCCTACAAGAACGTGAGCATTTTGCTAACCCTATCATATCTTTCGCTAACGGAGCCAGGTACTCCTCAGAGGATGCCGCTGTGTGGAAATCGACGTCTGGGACGGAGAGCCACCATCGAGCTCGAGTTCCTCAGATGAGGCTGCCAATCCAGGCGCGCCCAAGGCCAAGAAAGAGAAGCCAGAAATGAGTATCCGCAAGCGCCTCGAACTCCGATTTGGAAGGAAAGGAGCGCCTTCCAAGGAGGAGCCAAAGGAGGCCTCGCCATCCCCTCCCAGTGCCGGCGAAGAGAGTATTGAACCATGGCATTCTAACATATCTACCCGAGCCGAGCCGAGGGTCCTTCATGGTACGTTGCGATCCGCTTTCCCTTCGCCAACCAACGCTGGCAGCTGGTGCGGACGGTATGAGAAAGTTGCTAAGCGATTATTAGGCTACACCTTGACGAAAGACACGTCCTTCAGGGCAGTTTGCAAGACCATTCGAGAATATGCTTTCTTCTCCTCAAACCTCCCTCTCATCGTGAGTTTGGAAGTGCACACGAGTCCCGAACAGCAGGATATCATGGTCGAGATCATGACAGAGTATTGGAGAGGCATGCTGTTAGATTTGCCACTCGATCCCTCCCAGCCGTCGGAAAATCGGCAATTGCCTACTTTGAAGGAGCTAGAGAAGAAGATTCTCGTTAAAGTCAAACGGGCGACCCACAAGTCCAAACCCGCCGAGGGCGATGCCAAGCCGACGACACTCCAAGCACCTGCGCAGCTCACCAAGTCTACTAGCCATGAGTCCATGGCATCAAATGCATCGACTACTTCCTCATCGGATGTGCCTGACAAGCCGCCAGCGCCGAAGCCCAAGATCGTCGACGCTTTGTCAAGGCTTGGAGTGTACTTTGGGGGCTACCACTACAAAGGGTTCGATTCTCCTGGTAAGTGCTCCAACCTCCCTGGTGGAGACGTCCTTGGGGGGCAAATAGGGCTCCTCTCACATATACGCCTTCGGGCTGTGCTGATTACGTTCCAGAGGCAAGCATCCCGACACACGTGTACTCCATGTCCGAGAAGACATTGATGGAAGTTCACGAATCTCAACCGGCTGCTTTGTTCAAACATAACAAGAATTTCTTCGTGCGAGCATATCCAAAGGGGCTCAGATTGAACTCTTCAAATCTCAATCCATCGGTTTTCTGGCGGCAAGGCGTCCAAATCGTAGCCCTCAATTGGCAACGCTGGGACGGCGGCATGATGCAGAACGAGGCCATGTTTGCAGGCACAGCCGGGTGGGTGCTAAAGCCCGAGGGCTATCGAAGCACGAGTTCAGGAACTACGCAGAAGGACGCGGTGCCGCACCACAATCTCGACCTCAGCATCGAGTTCCTTGCCGGCCAGGATATCCCCTTGCCGCCTGAAGAAGACGACGCGAAGGACTTCAAGCCATACGTCAAGGTCGAACTGCATGTCGAGAAGCCAGAAGAACGCACGGCCGAGCCAGTGCCAGGAGGCGGCAAAGGTAGCAAGGCCGACTTCAAGAAGAAGACGAAAACGCACAAGACGCCTAATCCTGACTTCGGCCGAGAGATCATCAAATTTGAAGGCATAAAGGGGGTCACCGAAGAGCTGACCTTCGTCAGGTAAGCCCCATTTCTTCCTCTGAAGCACAGCATGTACTTCGTCAGCTCTCTTTCTCCGTTTCTTTTGCCGCCAGCTCTCGGCTCAAGTTTGGTGCTACGAACTGGCCTAAAAGTCATGAAACCGCGCATCGTTCTGCTGTGATCGCCTGATGCATGCATCTTTGGTCAGATCGGGCAACGAACTGGCATCTCCACGTTCGCGCTCAGACAGCAAAGCCATCCCCAGATCGATCGTTTGCAGCGCGAGACAGATTAGCTCGTTTACCGAGGCCATGGTATCACGATGCTGGGATCGGGACTCTCTGCATCGCTTGTCATGCATATCGCCGTTATTCCTGCCCGAAGCCATGCTTCGTCACTTTTTCACTGTTTCGAACTCTCGTCTTCTCTCCTTCCTCCTTTTCGTCGCTCTCAAGCCAGCATCTTCCACGCGTTCCTGCAGCTTGCTTCTAGACCCGGGCTCCAATTTCGGTTACAGATATTTCTCATCGTTTTACCGTTCGGAGAAGATCAGTCGCTAATTTTGGGCTTCTGCAGATTTAAAGTCATGGACGACGAGCGCTTAAGCGATGAGCTAGCCGGTTGGGCATGCTTCCGCCTCGATCGCTTGCGGCCCGGCATTCGCATGCTACATCTCTACAACTCAATCGGCGTCGTCTCCAAGGGTGTGCTGCTGGTGCGCATCAAGAAGACGGTCAGTAAGACGTAGCGAGCGCTTGTCGTAGCGCCGGTCGCACACCTGAGAAAGGGGGCAATCCCTTCGTTTCCTACATCACTTAGGTCTGACCATGCGTGCATGGATTGCCTAGAATTCCGGCAAAGCATCTGTCGGATCATATCATGCTGATTTCCTCGGCTAGTTTTTTCCTTTCTCGGACACGAAGGCAGGTAGTCGACGCATAGTCAACGGTATTAGTTTGACACCGCCGACTGGTCGATTTGGACAAGGTCATCGGCAGACACGTGGGACGAGGTCGGATAGTGTGAATGTGCGTGTTGGAGAAGATGAGCATTAGGTCTTGAACACGAATGTGGGCTAGAGTCGGACTAGACTGGGTTGTTCCTTGAGAACATTCCTTATTCTGCTTTGCTGGACGGCGTCTGCAGTATGCATACGAGATATGATATCCTTTTCCTTCAAATTAGCCGTCTGCATGGCTGAGCGCCTGGAATGATGTGGCGTCCAGCGGACGGCAAGCTTGTTCTCGCAGAGTACTCTTCGTGATGAATGAGTGCAGAGAAGATTGATAAGTTACAGCACTGAGAGCTCCATAGACGCAAATGAACTATTCCCAATTAGGAAGAGGGGGATGAGAGACATTCTCCGGAACAGCCTGGGATGGATTCGGGGAGCCGTTCTTCGGCTCTCTGCAGAGTCTTAGGGGTGTCGTCAGTTACGCCTGTCAACGTGGCTGCGAAGTCTGTAGTGGTGGCCTTGTGTCTGCAGGAGCAAGTCCTGTACTCTCACGAGAGCGATCGTGAAGCCGCATATTCCAGTTTCTGTTGTGGGGCACGTGACGAAAGGCCTCGTGATATCGGAGCGTACGGTCTCTAGGCTGCAGTCGATCGATTTGTGGGGAACTAAGACCGAAAGGTGCCTGCGAGATAACGTGGTGTCGCATGTCTCCTTCCTGTTATGGTCATTCCAGCGCTATGGGGTACAAAATGGTCATGAAGTTGACATCATGAATAGCTAATCGGTGAGTGTAACGAGTGCTGGTCGAAAAGGCGGCCAGGACACGGCGTTTCGAGTCCAGTCGCACGCGCGGGTGAGTCGCTGGGGTATTGTGTTGCGCCAATGCTACCAGGTACCGCACGCCGGGGATGATGAATGAATGGGTCCACAGCTGTTTTCTCCTTCGTCATCGAAAATTAGCACAGAGTTGAAGGGCTGCAGAAGTAGAGGTACGGAGAGTTTGAGAGGAAGTGCAATTCTACCGGAGCAGCAATGCTAAAGGTAAATATATGACACACGGAGAGGTCTAAGGATCCTGTGATGTTCGCTTTTCCTCCAGGTTCTCATCGGCGGGTTTACGGAAGAATGAGGTATAGGCAAACGTCGTTCGCGGATGGATTTTTTTTAGTTCCAGATAGTGGCTTGAGTCGTTTCGTGGAATAGATATTCGCTTCGGGTTGTTCATGCACGGGCCGCAACTCATGCTTTCACGTGTAGAGACGTGGTGACCTCTAGCAAGGCGTTGTGCGCAGAGGAGTTGCTTGGTTCATGAACTCGCACAGCTTGACGCGGGGGTTAATGACTCGCGCCTGTCACAGAAGGTGAACACGGCGGGGTTAGTCAGATATGCCGTTCTGTGTCAGTGACGTAGACATAGAAGGTTGTGAAGGTCCCCAAGGGGTCGATGGTACGAAGAAAAAGTAGAGAAAGTACTGATCACTCTATCTTCTCTGAAGTAAACGCGCAAGGTGGTCAATGGCGGTGCAAAGTACTGTTGCATCTGCACGCTGGTATGAATGATGCAGGCCGTATCTCGCAGTGGCTCTCGGACCCTGGGTCTGTGACGTGGCCTGCGAAACGAAACGAATTAAGCAATTAGTGCTCAACTACCTGCACTGAATTCGGCACTGCGACTGTAATAGGAAACTCGAGTGGGTCCCTACTGATGGCAGGCGGGCGTCAATTCTACACCATGCGGGTCTGACTACGATGGAAACCCGGGGATCTGGAGGATCGCGAGGTTGTCGGCTGCGTGATGGGCGTAAATGGTAAGCGCCCGACCTATGGTTGGCTTGAAAGCATCGTTGTGGCGTGCAGAGAATGTAGATCTTGATTAGCAAGGCCGCGGCTCGCACGTAGAAGACTGTGGTGTAACCGTTGAAGCATATATTTGCACAATACTGGTGGAGGTACGTTCTGGGTTCGGTGGTGCAAGAGAGCATGCACAACACTCGATTGCACCCAGACGATAGTGTGCATGTCGCTTTGCTGTGTATACTCTGAGGGAACGATCCATTTCAAGCCATATCGGAAAGAATATTGACTTTTACAAAGTGTCGCGGGATCAGTAACGTTGCCAGCTGTTGGATTCGGGCGCTTGAGAAGCGCAGTGGCGAAGGAGTGTCGCCACCGCCGCTATCAGACGCTACAGTAATGGCAGGCGGTGAATGATTGGCGGAGGTAAAAGGGAGGAGGTTTGTCTGTTTGGATATGCTCGCCGAAATCGGCCATTCCACGGCTACGTGCTTTTGCCTACTGATTCCTGCGAGGGGCATGACGTGGGTAGCCGGCCGTTCACCCATGACTAAGGCTCTCGCGAGAGAACAGCTTTCACTGAATTAAACATATGAAACTAGCCGATTTCCAAGGACTCGGTTAAGTTCGTGTAGGGCGGATGGACTCGACGGGAAGCTGCGTCTCGAATCACACTTGTGGAAATTGTGGCGAGGCTCGAAGATGAGGCATTTCTTTAACCGAATGAGCTCGCATGGAAGGTTTGTGTACAGCGACGGTTCCATACGTATATTGGAGTTCCTGATGCGCACCGTTCCTCAGGGATGGCGTGCCGAGATATCAAGTAAAACCTTCCGGAGTTGGTGCCGTGTAGTTCTCTGCGCAGTGAGAAGGTGAGGCGGTGCTTTGATCCATTGTTCCTTGAGGTGAGCTGATGTCGGCAAGGGTGCTAAAGCTTCAAAAACATCATGCCCGGCCTTAGGATGATCGCCCGTCACGGCTTTCGGCCTATGTTCCCCGATTACGCATCCCTGGCTTACTGGTCTGGACCAAATGCCCACCGTTGCCGGGCCGCAGTCGGACCGAAAGGAAGTTCAAACTCAGCATCCGACAACAGGGATAGTTGATCCTTTCTGGACAGCAACTGGATGCGGATCTGAACTGCTGATAGCCGTGGAGGAGACACGCGTCCGCTCCTAACGGCGTGTATATGAGTCCACAGCCAAGATATGCAATAAACCGCCTGAAAGTCAGAGCTGGTGGGTGATTTAGGGTCCTCGTGCCGGTTGTTCTTAGTTGCCTTGATATGCAAACGCTCACATGATCGGACGGTATGGATACGCCGGTACTGCGCGGAAGCAGCGGTATATGATCGAATATTTTTGAACAAAGGGCCATTAATCTCCCAGTGTCCCGTTCGAGGAACGAGAGATCGGAGAACGGAGGTCTCATTCCTTACAAACACGAAGCATGATCCACGGTCTAACTCGGTGCCAAGTAGGGAGGTTGTAGTGCGGCGCAGTAATAGAGGACAAGGTACGCATGGTATGCTTGCCGGGAAGGACGGAAAGGCTGTAGCAGTGAGTCTCTCCTGAAAACCGATAACGCCCCACGCAGGTGCAGGCACAAAGCCGCAAAAGGATTCTAGGGTCTTCAGTATGCGGGGCTGTGTAGCAGTCGCCTCGAGTGACGGTAACACAGAGGTCGGGAGCCTGCGTTAGAATTAGCGGGAAACAGCATGCATGTTGAGATTGGCGGAAATAGTATTTGACTCTCAATATGAACCATGAAACTTACAAGATAGAGGTCTACCATGGATGGGTTGCTTTCGATATCAACATGCTCCAAGCTCGATTGGCGGTTATGCTCCGGATGGTCGTACCGGAAGCGTGGTGGCTGGCTTGGCACCGACTCTGGACGACGAAAATGTGAGCAATCGCTTTGCACGAAGTAACTGTTCCAGTAGCTCCGCAATTGAGATCAGCTGTGTTGAGACTAGCCCAGAATATGAGACCGTTGCGACTACTCAGGGTGTTGTCGGCGCACAAAGGCCATGCAGCTCATGCGGTGCGAGAGCAAGCTTCCACTCCGGCAGATCATTCGACGTGGCATGTTTAGACGGAGGAGTGTGTTCTGGGCAACTTGATACAAGTGACGTCCATGGGCGTTGCTGAACCTTGCATGTTGGGGACTGCTGTCATTGGAGACCCGCACGCTCTAATGATAGACAGGGAGGCGCTGTAAACTCTCATGTATCGCACTCGAGAGTTTAGATTCGATACGCAGGATTTCTCGGTCGCTTTCCGGGAAGTGTTGGGAGTGAGTAGCAAGCTCCGTACCACCGCTTTCACCGCATGGCCGAGAACCAGGGATGGCATGTACCACATCGCAGCTTCGTGGTCGTTGGACGGAACGCGACGCGTAACGTTAATGTAGACATGCTTGCTGAAGCAGGGCGTATGGGATGGTGTCTTGCGACGAGGATCCAGCGCCAAGGTCTGTGCTGACCACAAAGTGTGGCAGGAAGGGCGATAGGTATAAAAGGTTGCTGCTTTCTCAAGTCAGAGGAAGCATCAAGCGCTCGAACTTCCCATCCAACTTCATCCTCATAGTCCACATTTCTCGTACCTCTGCTCTGCCGCCATCGCGATCCACTCCAGCCTCAACATCATGTGCCAACAGACTCCCATTGACAAGATCGCGATCCCATTCATGAATGACATGGAGGGAATCACCACGATGCCGGTTGGTCTTCTTCTCGGGTGTCTCCGGCCTCTGTTGACATATTCAGGTTCCCGGCCGCCGCTGCCCTGCCTGCCTCGAAAGAGGCCAGACCGTATGGGTGATCCCTGGCAAGTGCTGCCCGCAGTGCGGCACTCCAGTCAACTAGTCCATCTTTTCCAGTAAGTCTAGCAGTCTTCGTCCACGCGAATGTCCACGGAAGGCTAATGTTAGTCAAAGGCGGCAACAGGCCTCCGGCTTCAACACTATTCGGTATCCAACAGCAACGATCATGACATTTCGGTTGATTGATATGTTCGGGATTTTGAGGTCAGGGGAATTTTGCTCGCATTTTCTGGAGTTCAATGTGGCGCGTCCACTGTGGCTGTTCGTGATGAGGCGGTGTTTGTTGAGTAGATGATCAAAAGCTTTCGCTCTTTGCCCACAGCTTGTTCCCCTGTGCTGTGCAGTGATGTTGTCTATGCGACCCTACGAGTCTGCTGGCTCTGGTCTTGAGGCACGCTTCCGAAATGCGAGGGGTCTCCATTGGAGAGAGTGGGGTGTAGCGAATGCGCTCGGATTCAAAGCAATAACCTTAGAATAGAACATGTCCCTGACGATGCTACGGTAGCTGATGGTGTTGACGTTGAGCCAAATCCCCAAGATGACTCGGGAGTGAGTATGCTTGCCAAGATGCGCTATGCCAGATTCGTCAAAGCGTCGTTAGCAACCTCCAAGCCCACCTGCAGCATCATTGCAAGCTCTCACGCCTCCAGCACTCCACACCCGACACATCATGCAGTCGCTTCGCAGGACAGCAGCGACTGCCGCCCGCAAGGGCCGGACTACCCTGCCCCGCCAGCCGCGCCGGTACGCTCACGACGAGCACGCCCACAACCGCAGCCATGAGTCCGTGAACGAATCTATGGGAGTACGACCCCTCTCCACAGCCATTGCTTCTCTCCGGTGCTTTCGGGAGCTCCCTTACCGACACCTCTACTCGTACTAGATGTATGCTGACGCAATCGGCCATATAGAAAGGCTTCTGGATCACCATTGGCGCCATCCCCGCATCGTGGGCCGTCTACTACATTTCTCGCTCTGACGATCCGAATGCTCCGAAGCTCTTCACCCGCCTCATCGACAAGTACACGGAAGCGCAGGACAAGCTGGCAGCGAGGAATGACCTGCACGTGCAGATGGTTGAACAGGCCGGCGGGGACAGGATCCTGTTCAGGAACTCGAAACCGCAGGAATACGTGCAGATGAAGTTTCCCGAGTACGTCCTCGCCCAATTACAACTCCCTAGGCTCGAAGAGAAAGGATTTGCACGCGAGGGTCCAATTGCGCCATGCTACTCTGATGACATGTTAGGCAGAAAATGGTCCGTTGGCTAATGTTACCAGGATCATGAACGTCGGGTCACCCTACAATGTCCCTGCCGGTAGCCAAGTCAGCATGGACAAAGTGATCGAGAAGTACAAGAGGGAAGCATACGAAGACAATGAGCGCAAGCTCGAAGCACTGCGCAGTGGCAAAATCAAGTCCGAGCCGCCATTCGAGCCGTGACGCCTGTACTTGCACGCTACCTGTATATATTCATCGAATAAGGTTTTTTTCCTTGTCTTTCCAATGTCCTGGGGTTTGAAGTGCTGCCCGTCTGCCGGATCGGCACGTCTTTTATCAGCGTACGTCCTGTCTCGCTATAGATGCTGCTTTAACTTCAATCTTCGAAACCTTACCTCCTAGTCAGCGCGCGATATTTCCCGTAGGAATTCCCGTAGGATCCCTTTTGGATTCTCCGCCATGAAGCCCCCGTCACCACTTGAACAGCCGAGCTCATCCACCAAGTTCGGCGGAACTCTACATAGAAGTGGCAGTGTTACATATGACTAAAATGCCTAACCTTTTCCTAAAAGCTCATATGCACACCAGACTAGTAGGTCTCGGCTCGCACTCGCACATGATGAAGAATCAGAATTGCAAGACAAGAGTACAGATTTTGTACTGGCGGAATCCTAGAATAGTTCGTCCAATGAGACCTATCCCTCCACTGCTAAGGAAAAGAAAAGGGCGGACTTCAGCCCTCAACACCCAAACAGTCTGGGACCGTTATCACGATATATTTCCGCACAGGCAAGAAGCTCGTCCCCTCCGATTTTGGCAAATTTGCGCACGGCATAGAGAGGTCGTCCGCCTGCTGCTCGCCGATACACGATATCCAGCTCTTCTGTATCCGATAGCACCGTACAGTCTCATCACTCGACGAGCACGCACTCAAGAAGCACCCTCTCTGGGATCATATGTTTGAAATAGTAATTAAGATTCAAGGTAATAAACGCAGCACACTCGGCGTATTATGTATGCCCTTTCTAATTCCTCCACAATCCAAGATGTCGCCCAATACGGTTACTAAAGGGAAAAAGGGCGGAGGCCAAGCCTCAACGCCCATCACACAATCTCGTCCATCACGCGTAGAAAGAAATACTACTTCGGCGATCACTCCCTTTGCCTTGCCTCGGCAGGACCATCTCCCTCCTCCATCCCGATCTAACCATTCATCTGCATGCTCCCCTTTCCGAACCCTTTAGCACCTAGCCCGTACTTTGCATACTCTTCTTGCCTCTTCTGCGCCTCCACCTCCTGCTTCTTCATGCTCTCGAACTCCTCTTCCGATCCCGCGAGGACCGCAGCGTCCTTGCTGGATGATCGGGAGTGGGAGGGGGAGAGCCTGTGTGCGGCTTTGGAGAGGGCGGCGCGCATACTGGATTTGGGTGGACTGGAGGACGCACTGTGTACTTCGCGTTAGTTCTAGAGTGCTTACAAGTAGCAGAGATAGAGGCGTGAGGTATATACTGACCTTGCTTTTGCTTTGCTTATTGAATCCATAGAATCTACTGAGGGTCGATGCTCGTACTGTGCTTGAGCTTCGATATCCGTGGCTTTGCTGTTGTCTTTGGAGCCTTGTGAAGCTGAACTGCTAAATGGACTGATTGGCTGACTGGAAACGGGATGGCGGGGTGAGATGACGAACTCTCCTGGCATCTTGATTGCGTGGCTGGAAGCTCTGGTGGGTAGAAGGGCGTATCTACTAGATCGGATATGGATGGCTCAGAGAGCAGCTCGGCTCGGAAGTACGGTTTGTTGCTTGAGAAGACGCTTTAATAGATCAGATGATGCTGGACTAGTTCCTCAGGATGGCTTTCCGAGATGGTATTTGTATCCACTACTCGAGTATCCGGTGAACCTGTTTGCGTGGGTCTCGTCGTGGCCTTGCTGCGGGGAGTTCTGATTGCGGAAGGTCAAGCTGGCGTTGAGGCGTCTTGTTGCGTAGTCTGAACTATCCCTCGATAATGTTGCGTATGTGTAGATGCTGCCTAGTGGTGGGGAAGAACGTTCTCGATGTCGATGATGGAACTGATAGGGCTGATTGAGTGAGGTGGTGATGCGGCCTCATCCTGCCTTGGGCCAGGCATCTTATATGTCCACGTAAGATCACCGGACGACCATCGATAAGCATAAACGAGCCTCTATGTGTAGACTGGGTCATGGGTAGCATCAGGGGTAGTGCAAGGCTGTACTGCGCATGGCTCATAGGTGCATGCGCCATAGCATTCCCGTACGCAGCACGAGGTAGCACTGCTTTTTCGTAAATCCGACAAACCTTTCGGCGACATAAGCAGATGCGGCAAGAAGATGAATCATAACCTCGCGTATTTGGCGGACTGTGTCGTCATGAAGACAATCCCAGTATGCTCGCGCTCCATTTCCCTTTTTAGCTGCGCTGCCTGGCATACCACTTCACGCGCAATGTCTGTGCCATCTCAACGCTCCGAGAGCTTGTTCATGCTTAGCAATAGCAATAGCAATAGCAAAATGCCCGTTGATCGCCCTGTCGGACTGATGCTTCAACCTCTCGGAGAGATTCGGCGCCTTTTACTCTTCTAGAAAGGGCGGCGTAGCCCTTGTCGTCAGACCACACTTGATGTCCTCCCCCGCGGCTATGATGCCGGGTCTCATTGGTCAATAGGAGCGGGATGCAAGACGACTATCGGTGAGGAGAAGAATCGCGGATGACTCCAAAGTCTTGGTATGCCGTTGTAGTGTAGGCTGAAGGATGTCTGACGCGGCGTTGCGGTTCGCGTGGGAATCAGGCATTTAGGGCTCGCCGGTACAAACAACCAAGAGTGCTCGTACGTACCAACTACACCTTCTATTGTTACGCACTAGCGAAGGCCTCTACACAGTAGTGTAGCTGTTACGCACGCCGTTATATCCGGAGAGTTCTACCGTGAGAGGGTAGCGGTACTAGCTGCCCTTTCTGTAGGCGTTCGGAGGAGTCATCGATGCCTCAGCCTCCTTCGAAATTTTTGCGACTCCAAAAGCGATGCGAATGTCGAAATACGACAGCTGTGTGTAGGTCGTGCAGCGTAATTGCAATTGGTGAGTCATGGGGGCGACGCAAATCCAGCTTTATGCGAGATATCCGATCTCGTGTCGGTGACTCAACCGACTCGGGGCTGCGAACCTGCATGGGTTGTTTCCGTTGCAGAAACTCTGGAAAACCCATCTCCGTGCAGGGTTAAAGAAAGGCAGAAGAAAATCTAAATTGAGGGCAGCGAGCTAGGGCTCCTTTTCCTGGCGTGCGTTAATGGGCGTTCTTTGTGGAGCCGGCAACGAAGTCGCTTGGAGTTTAGTCTTCTATCATGGTTGATGCATTATGTGGGCAAGCGGAGTAGTGACATAGTCAAATACGCCGGGTATGCCAATCCAAACTACCATTATCCTGACCGAAACCGACAAACATGCCGTCCCAACATCTGAAAATGCCCCGATAGCGCCTGGCCTCCGAAATGCTGGACGGTTTTCCAACGCCGATTCAGATATCGAACAGATCCCTTTCTATTCCGAGAATGATTCATGACGGTCGTGAGGTGAGCACATCGGTATTCAACTGCCCTGACGCTGCTGCTGTGCCATTACCCACATCATCTTGTCCCTCGTCTCCTTCAAAGCTTCCACAAGCTGTGCAGCTTCCTTCTCTTTTTCCGGTAGCGCAGCTCGCATTCGCTCGGCTTCCTCGATGAGAGCATCCATCTCCTTCCGATGCTCCCTCTTGTATGTGCCCATCATATCCACCATCTTGTCCTCGGTCCGCACCTTCCGTGCCGTTTCGTGCTGAAGCTGTTCGCTGATGATTGCCTGCCGTCTGATCTTGTCGGCGTCCTCGATCCGTTGGTTTCGCAGCTCTCTCAGTTCCTCATTAATCAGCTTCAACTTCTTCTCGAGGCTATCCATGATGCGCTTATAGCCTTCTCTCGCGGCATCCGCATTCGTTTCGGCGAGGTGTTTCTGTTCGTATGCTGCCGCAAGCTGGCGTTGAGTCTCCGATCGGGTGTCCCCCAGCATCTTTAACGCCTCATCTGCCCTCTGCTCAGCAATCTTCCTCCTCCTCACTTCCGTCTCTAACGCAGCCTTGAGCTCCTCGATTTTTCGATCTTTCCTATCAATCGCCCTCGCATTGGTGTCCGCAAGCACTTGTAGGTGCTGATGCTCAGCTCGAGAATCCTCCGCTTTTGAGCGTGCGGCTGACACGCGTTTTGCCTCTTCCTCCCTGGCAAGCTTCTCGAACTTGATCTCCCTCTTCAGTCTCTCATTCTCTGATGTGATCCTGTCGATATATTGTGACGTCTTGGAGTTGTGCGGCGGCGCGTGGGCGTTTGAGCGAGCCCAGGGTACGTTCGCAGGATTCGGGTCGGGAGCCATGACTGTAGAATCGATGGCCAGCGGACCGGCGGTGTTGCGAGGGGACGTATACGGGGGCATCGCCGTTCTGTCGATAGAGGCAGGAGGACTGCCGTTGGCGGTCTTGTTTCCTTTGAAGTCGGAGAGCAAGCCGTTCATGTCATCCTGGTCTTGCTGGTCTTCCGAGCCGAAATCGAGTTCGGGAAGTAGCGGAGCTGTGATTGTCCCTCGAGTGTCAGTGAAAGTCGTGCTGTTTCTCGCGGGGAAGGTGAAAAGTAGAAGGAGGCGTGGGAAAGTGCGGTGTAGACGTGGGCTGCGTTCATGCGTGACGGATAATAAGGATGGATGGTGATGCGCTGCGCCGGGATTTCCAATGTTTTGGACAGGGACGGTCTTACCAGACTTAGAGGCTGCAGGTGCCGGTGGCCGTGCGCCGGGCTTGTCCCGTTTGAGGTTGGACAGGGACAGCCCGCGCAACAGCCGAATCGGTGTATTGTCGCCCATCTGGTTCGGCGGTGAGCTGCGCTCGCCTTTGCGCTTCGGACACTTCATGGGATTACCTATATGTGTTACTAGTAACGGCGGGCATGTCGAGACGCTTGCGCTTGCAGAACAGCAGGAATTGTAAACAAATCAGCCCGGAAATGCGGTCCTGAGACAGAAGGTCACTGCGGTTCGACGTACCTCTCGGATATCGATAATTGAGCGTCTGCAGAGAATATGCTTAGAGTCTGTACGCGTTCGGTGACTAAAAAAACACTGTTAGTGCCCTGTATCTGGTAATGACGCCTGCAGTGCGCGAGTTGCGAAAGGATGGTGTCGCAGCTCAGTTTATGTGGTCGCCAAGACTTCGAATTACTCAGCCAATCATCCGAAGCGATCTAGATCACGTGATTCCTTTCGCTCGGTATACAGAAAACGCAGCCGGCGTAAACAAAGATTAGCGCGCGTCGCTAAATATACTCTCGCGAGCCTGAACCCCGGCATCCTTGCATGTGGGGTTTGGGATACCATGGCAACAGGCCCGCAGACGCGTTAGTGACGTCTACGCGTTCATCCCTCGCCGTCCACCAAGGAATGCATATTCCATCGCAACTGTGAAGATATCCATCAATATGCCGCCTGATCGCTCAAAGCAGGACCCATGTGCTCCTAAATTGGAAGTGGCGCAGCTGAAACCGAACGAACGGTTTCAGGTATGGGCCTCCCCATGGGTACTGCTGTACGCGTGAATGAAACGGATATGCACTACGTGTGCAAAGAAAGGGGCTAGGGGTGCATGTAGAGAAAGATGTCGGTTTCGAGATCTCGTGGTGGCATCAGCTGGAGTTGAGTGCCATCCTATGAAATCTTGGGAAGCAATAGAGGGGGCGGCGCATGAGAAGCCATTGGTGTTTCATGCTGATCCAAAGATCACGCAAACGCGCGGAGGAAACGTCAATTGAGGGTGGTGTGAATAAGATGTGATCTGATTAGAGTCCAGGATACAGGGAGCAGCAGTGGTACAACGCTCTGCCCTGTCTTGCCTCACAGCAGCGGCCTTCCGATCTTCGTGACACCCGTGCCTTTGGGGTGTTGGGATTCAACCCCAATGCAAGTCTGAGATACGGCGACCCTATTCTCTAATTTACCTTGGCGATATTCATAGTAGCGGATGATGGTACAGCCGGCCGCCCCCATATAAACTGCAAAAGAGCCCCGACTGGACCCCAACCTTTACCGCGTCCGGAGACAAGCTCCGGGATCTCGGCAATGGCAGCACCTACATTTGCGTTCCCTGGGTATCAATTGAAGGCGGCGGCACGAGCATCTCGGGCACAGACTCCGTCGGCGGTTCGTTACCCCTAGGTTCTGTACGGCGGAGGATATGTCCGCCTCCAAAGACATCAGGAAGAAGTCCACTGATATCGATGTGGGCGGGATTGATGATGGCGATCCGATCCTGCCGCGTTCATAATTGATACCGGAGAGTCGATAGTGTTTGCGCCCCTGCTACACGTGCCTTCTGCCAGTTCTCTGGGCGCTAACGGCGCTGGCTCGATTCGAACGGGCGGACGTAGAGTCTCTATTCCGTGCCTGTGGTAATGGTCCTGTAAGAGTGAATTTGGGCACTTCCAACCTTCCAAACGAGTTGCGCAAGGCTGCCAAGGACTGTGGGGCTAGAGAATACGAGGACGGGGTCCCAACCAAATGGCGGGGTTTCTTTCGGTAGGGAATTCTCCAGATGAAGCAAGGAAATGCTGCGTCGTGATCATCAACAGAGTGAAGGTGTGCCCTTGGTGGAACCGCGGTCGTACTGACGGTTTCGAAAACCCGCCAAACATGCCGTCCGATATGGATGCATCACTCTCTCTCTGAGAGAGCTATGCGGGCTTGGTTATGGGGGATTGCTCCCGTTGCAAGCTCGGGTAAGCGCCTGGCTACCCTGCGCCGATTGTTGGTGATGGCCATTGGACGTGACGGTCGTTCAGGGACTCTTTTCACAATTTTTTTTTGTAGGAGCATGCAGTGATTGTTGAGGTTGACAGGGTCAGCGGTCCGCGGGAGGGCATCCGAGCGCCTGGCGCAGGGCTCGAAAGACGGCCTGAGCCGAAGAAGTGGAAGATTGGGGCCAGGTCGAGCCCGTCACCCTCAACATGCCCCTCAATTTCGAGATTTCGACGACAGCGGAATGATTTCGTGCTAGTTCTGGATGAGACCGTTGCTCTTAAATGGACCCATCCATATATGCGAATCTGTCCCGTGTCGAACCAATGGCTTGTAGATCCTGACAAATTGGGGTGGCCCAGCTTGCCGGCCGCTCCCCCTCCCTTGACGTCCCTCGTCGTGGTGGCGGCGCGGCGATGTTGGTGGCAGCGAAGAAGGAATTACGAAGCGCCTGAAAAGACGGCGCTTCCCAGCCTGCCTGAGGACGCAATCTGTCAATTCTTCGATTCCTTCGCCGTTGTTGAAGCATTATCGGACGCATGCACACTCTTCCCACGTGGTCCCCAGCAGGGGTCTCAAACCTCCGTTCGATCGCTCACAGCCGGCACATCAGCCTTGCCTCTTACACCGCCTTTATTTTACTCTCTTGCCCCTTCGTTGCCTGGCTATCGTGTCTCGCTTCCGTTGGGCGGGTAATGGCGCTTGCTGATGCTCTGGAAGACATAATGCATCATCCTATGCCTCCATTGGTCTCTCGGGCGAATTGCACCACTCCTCACCGGAACAGCGCATAGTCCCTCAACGCTAATCGAACCAGGTAGATCCAAGCGCAATTCCAGTCCGGCACCGTGGCGTCGAGCTCCTTTTGGTCCATATGATCCTCGGCCGCTGAGCTGGCATATCCGACGCCCTTTGCGGCCGCCCGCAAGACTCGATGGTGGCGAGAGGAGGCGCGTGGATGGACCCCGATTCGAGCCACGTACAAGGACCGGTATACATACTGGGGGCTCTGGAGATAGGGCTGTGGAGGAGAAGTGATGACGCCTGGCCGGGTCCATATCAAGACCACGCAGTATGCATGATGCCATTCGTGGATACCGCAGGGAGTCGTCGCTGTGCTCTGTACACGCTATGAGTTCATCTCTCGTTGGCTCGAGGATTCCGCACGGTAGATGTACCTCTCCTGGAGGACGTGAATGCGTTGGGCGTCCTGTGGTCCTGATTCTGGGAGCTCAAGAAGACCTTTGTCGACAGCCTCATGACTCCGGCAGCACATCTTTGAATCTCCACCATCCCATCGTGTGCTCATCGCGTCGACTGTTGAGAACACCGAGAGAGAGGCGTGAAGGAGGGAGAGGCGCAGCCCCTAAGCCGTCAGGCTTGAGCATTGCCTCAAAGAGCCTCTGGCAAGAACTCAACTTGAGCGACACCAGCCGACGAAGGCGAAGAGCGGATGGTAAGTGCCACGTTTGCTGCGCGAACAAGCGCTCGATTTCGGCCGCATCCTGGGTCGCATCATCGATGGACCCCTGGCTGACGGCTAGTCAAGGATGATAGTTACCACCATGACGGTGGTGACCCTCCGTATCCAGCTCCATCCCCGAGGAACATGGAGTTCACAATCCACGAGCCGGTACAAGGCATCGTTGACGCCGAGCCTCAACGTCGTGGTCATGTCGCCCAAGAGAGCCCTATGCTCTTAGTGTCAGTGCCAGTCACCGCTATAACCTACCCTCCTTATCCTCCCTCGGTCCAGGCCGCCTGGGATGCTGTTCAAGCGGCTTCAAATCCGCCTTCGTCTTCCGCCACGATGTCCCCCACCCGGCGCAGCTCTTTTGTTCAGTATTCGGACGACACAACGGCCTTCACAACGTTTCCGCCATATACTCCAACCACCACCGCTGATTCACCGTACATGTGGCAACACATGCCTTTCGCTCAAGATGGACACTTCTTGAGTCCCCTCTCCCCGCCGACTACAGCACATGATGCACCAATAATGGTTACACCGGCTCGCCAATCGAATGCTTCGCTTCCTAGGACTTCCAGCTCAACATTGTATGGGTAAGTGCCGATTGCAAAGTCTTCCAACAGCGGATGCTAACAAGACACAGTAGCGGCAGTGGAGAGGCCTCTATGTCCTTGGATGCACCACTGCCACAGGACGATGAGCTGTGGGACCGTATTGACATGGGCACTGGACCGAGCAATGGTGTCGGCAATAGGCCGGATAGCTCTAATGGAGGTCACTCTCCGCGTTCAAGGTACGTATCAATCGAAGAAAAGGCCCGCCAAGAGACAGGGGCTAACGTCGGGGGGGATATAGCAACGATTCCATGGTGACGTGCAACTTATGTGACACGACGTTCACTGGGGATTACGCGCGAGGTAATAAAACCCGACACATGAAGGTCGTCCATGGCGCTTCCATCATCCATTGCGAGGTTCCAACATGCAATAAGCCATTTCATCGTTCAGACGCGAGACTTCAGCACTACCGGAAGAGCCACCCGGAACTCAACACGCCTCCACGAACTTCTCGTGGGAGTGCTTGAGCGGTTCCACTGAAGCTCCCCATTTCGAAAAAGCGCTGAGAGAAGGTAATCTGGTCGACGGCCACCAGCATCCGAGGAAGTCTTGAAAAGGAAGCAGGGAGAAGAATGATCTTTCAAAGGAAAAAGGGAGGTCGTATTGCAGACTATCCACGATCCCGTGTCCTCATCCAAAAGTACCAGGCGGCGACCAATGACCAAAAAGGAGAAAATGGAGGGCCTAGTGGCGGAGTATGATTGGTTACCAGGGCTTCCGGCGTCCGGCGTCCGGCGTGTCCTTCCCCTCTCCCTGACTATGCCCCCCCTCCTCCACCTTTCTCATTCCTTCTTTTCCTACTTTTTCTTGCTGTCGGCACATATCCTTCAACAATGCTCAACCTTCCCTCTTTGGCGTCAGGTCCTCAACTCCGGCGGTGTCCTCCTCTTGTGTCCGGCCGCGTGTCTTCCTCCCGCCCTCCTTTGCCGACGCATCTCTTTGCCTAACGGCCGTCATGTATCTTTCTGTACGCGTAGTTAGTCAAACTTGGCGCATGTTCTCCCCATGCGCCCATGCGCCCATGCGTATCATTCTTCCCATGCTGTGGTCGACGTTGAGACAAGGTTTGGCGTGCCGCAAATGACCCACAACGCTCGCGCCAGTAGAACGTGCCAATTGCTCGTGGCCAAACGGGTGCCGACGTCAGTGCGTAACGAGGATCTAAGAAACCAATATATCATGCGATGCATGCAATTGCGGTCGCGAACAGCTCAAAATGTCGGTGTAGAATCCGTTGCCATCCTTCCGCACACACACCATGACTTGCTTTACATATGCACTTCCCGTCCCAGCAGCGACTCCATGCCTTCCAATTTTTGCATTCTTCGCATGAAAATCCTTATGCAGTGCTGCCGTACAGGACGCAGGAATGTTGGGAGAAACTGCTGCGAGTGTTTGCATCCACCAACCATATCGCACCACGATGCTGGGGAGCCACGACATTGGGCGCGACATTCTTTCACCTCCCATTCTTTCGGGCAGCGACCCTGCCTTCCATCCAATGACCTTTCTTCACGGCCATGGGAATATCGCACTTTCTAAATTCTCGAGTTCTGTGCGTCGTCGGGCCAAATGTGTACTCCAGGGCGTTGAAAGCCACGACATTGGGCAACATCCCTTTTGTTCCGTCCATCGGGCAGCGATTATGGCTCCAATGGCCGGAGCTCTTACCAACCAACATCTCAATGCCGCAGAGCAAGGCTCCTAGAATTTTTGCAATGTTTGGCGAGAGGAGGCCGGATGTTGGGGGCTCCATTCATATGGCTTCTATGGCGGTGTGCGCGTGCTACGTCATGTCCTGGTCCCACTAATTGACTGCGTGGGTCCCACGTATTCCATGCAGGACGTTATCTCCCTGGCAGATACGGTAGGGTTCTATAGGGCTTTGTAGGGCTCATGCACCGGGTACCCAAAATGGCCATCGTATTCATGCGGCCAAACTTGCGAGGGATTGACGTATCCTCGAATGGCAAACGATAGGACAATGGGACCGATATTCAGGTGTATATTTTTGAAGGAGGTCTGCTGAATGACTTCCAAGTCGGTCAGTGACGCACGCATACAGCATGCACGCTGAACACGTGGGCATCAAAACCTCAGAATACCGTTCCTCAGCACCCGCCGAGGAGTTGTTGGACACGCATGGAATCCTACCACAATCATACGTCAATGGTACGGAAGCCTCATCCAGAATCATTTAACAGGGTCCATAGCGTTATGCTCAGGAGGGCCGGCACACCAAAGGTGGTGCAATACTGTAGAAAGAAGCACACGGAGCACGTCGTTGGAGTACGCCTAGGCATTATTGCGCAGCAACTGAGCCAGCCGCATAAAACTCGTGTTATAGCCAAGGAAGCATCCTGGCGTAATGCCACGAAAGGCCCCGCAATGTCGGGCAATAAATTTTCCGCCGTGGGACGTGCGAAAAAAAGCCGTGCTTGCGAGGCTGGACGACCAACGCGAATTTGCGGGAGGATAGGCACCTACGCTTTTAGAGCTTGCCTGAACCGCACTTGAAAGCCTTAGGTAGATCGTGAAGGCTGAAATGATCCGACTTCCATGCCTACACGCCCACGACATTTTCAGACCCACTTGCTTCCAGAGAAAGCCTGCAGTATGCCACAACACGAAATGCACCTTGTATGAGCTGGAGGACGTGATGCATGCAGAAGGGGCAGTGCAGTCTTGCATGTTCCTCGCGTTTACGTGGTCGGAGGACTGACGTCGGGCGGACCACGAAGAGGGCAAAGGGCACCCCACACATAGGAGATTTAGACCGCTGGGCCAACCCGCGATGGAGCCGCACCGTGTGCCTAAGGCAGTGCAGCAAGGCTGATATGCCGCAAATCCGGACCCCTATTTGCCAATCTCGATATACGCTCGCCGCATCCGGGACCTCCGAGTTTTGTTTTGATAGTGGATATGTTGAACGTAAACGTACGCCGACGGCGTTCGTGCTGGAGTCCTTCGACCGGTGAGCGCGTCTGCGCAGTGCCCTCAGTCCACAGATATACGTGTGCTTATCGTGCGAATGTCCGATGACGGAGACGCGATTCGTAACGGTATTGGCTTTGAAAAGAAGGCAAAAGGCATCCCTTGGCAGATGGTTAGCTTCAGAGTTCAATCAAAGTCCAACTCACCGCTACTTCTTGCGCGCCAGTATGTGTCCGGATGCGGTGTGGAAAGCAGCATTGTTTTCTTGATGTGGTATAGTTGTGCCTGGGACTCAGCGGCGTGGTCGGTCACACGGCATCGGTGAAGAATGCCAGAGGCTCGTGCAGTCGAGCGAGCAAGTGATGGCTGTGTGACGACGGAACGGAGGACGTAGGCAGTTTCTCCTCGCTCCAAGCTAGCTCCAAATGTCGTGTTGCCTTCTCGATTGCGGTCTTTAGTCGGATAGCAGATCCCCGAGGTTGACTCGAGCGTCGTTGCAACGGCCGATAAGGGGCCTATAGCCTCCAGAGAGAATCGCCCGCCTCTGTGCTGCCACGATGTGGGGGGTTAGTCTGTGCGACCTATTGCTCTCGATGATGGTCGTAATAGTGTGGGTCAAAACTGAGCATGCCGCTCAGGCGGCCGGACCGGAGCTTGGTGATCCTAGCCCTGCAGCGAGGCTCTGATCCCCACTGCTTAACGCAGAAAGCCATGGAACGGTAAGAGCAGCCCTACGGGCTGAGCAAGGCCGATGAATGTACTCGTGAAGTTGGTCCAATCGCATAAAGAAGAACTCGGCATGACGCAAAGAAAGATAGAATCCGATTCGAAGAGCTCAAGGGGCGCGCAGCAGAGCAAAATACTCGAAAGAAGGCAGCTGGACAGAAGGGTTTTTCAGCGTAACCGTTTCCGGGGATGTTATGTGTTTGAGGGTCCAATTTACAGGGCCTCGTCGTAATATGGGGTGAGGGTTGGATACTGCGCCGCAATAGCCGCTGACTCTGAGCGCCTTCTGATACAGCCAAGACATTCGAGATGGAGGCATAGCCAACAGATTCAAGTCGCTGGCGAGATGATAGTTTCCTTCGCATTTGCCGTTGAGGTCTTCGGCGTCAGACAAAGGGAGGAACGGGCCGAAGGGAGGCCGGGTTGAAGCGAGAGGCGAGCCGCTAGAGTCCGTCTTCTGTCCCGCGTGCCGCGTCTTGCAGTCCGAGAGCTAAAGCAGTGATCAGCCCGCTGTGCGCAGGACTATGCCGTTGGTGTGTGTTTGAATTCGAATCCGGTGTATGACAAGCAACGTGGAGAAAAGGGCAAATCGCCACATGAGTCGCTCCGTGAGGGCAAGGGCCATGGGGAAACGCCTTATCCACTGTATAGTAAGCCTGAGGAGCCTGGTCGGAGACGATACCCTGTCCTCCCAGGCTTGGTCTAGCGCCGAGCATTACAGCGAAAGCCTGCAATACGTGAGAGCCGGCCCGAGCACGGCGAGCGAGACGGACGATGATTGTAAGCTTTCTTGCTGATCGATACATCCGTGTCTCCTAGCGGTGGTAGAGCCCTCGGCTACTCGGTTGTCGCCCCACAGTAGAAAGGATAGGCGACGTGAGGACATGTATGCCTAGATCCGTCTCTGGCAAACTCCCAGCGTCGGATATCAGGCTCACTCGGCGGGGCCACCTGCAGTCAAAGTACGCAATTTCAATAGTGGTGATATTCTTTCGTAGGGCGAAATCCGGTGCGACGAAGCTTGGGTCCAGGCTGAACAGGGGTAACCATGAGACCATCTTCCACGGGGCTTCCTTAGTGTCCTAGTGTTGTCGTGCCTATCGAATGGAGCGGCGCCCTAGCGCACACATGGCATCGTATGTGGCTTCAACCCGATCTCGCAGCGCTAAACTTAGGCAACCGGTCCAGATGCCTGATGGCAGAGGTGTCGTGAAGGCATATACAACCTGAAGGCGGGAAGAACATCGCATAATAACACGCTCGCGATTGGCGGCGTAGGACAGGGCGGTCCTACTGCACAGGCTCCCACGATGGGGAGGGGCCTCGAGAGAGTCCAAAACGAGCCGAAGTGGTTTGAGAAACGCGTATCTTCCGGCAGCGATGTGTTACCAAGGCGCTCCGAGGCTGTCCTTAGCCCCTCCCACTGATCGCCCTGAACGCGTCCGACATGGCGGGCTGATGAAGCCTTGCATCACACGAATGTGAGCATATATATATGTGGAACGACCCGGGTCCGAATTCGTGCGACAACCTTCGAAAGCTCTCCTCAAGCACGCTTCTTCTTGGAAAGTTGCCTCGTGTTCCACACTCGCGTGCTCCTTCTAGTGCTACTACGCACATTGTCATCTTCGGCCGGTAAGTGCATCGCCGGAGTCCCACATGAAGTACCGACTGAGGAGGAAGCTGACCAGGCCTCAGGGAAACTGACTTGTAATACATTTCGTGGGCAACCCCCGCTCAGCAATCGAACCCGTTCGCCGGCTTCCACAGGGATCCCCGACCGTTGACGCGGAGCGTGTTGTTTTACACTGGAGATATTGCTGCGTATCCCCGTCTTGGTACATTGGCCGTGGACACTCCTTTAGTGTTTGAAGAAGCTGCGCAGTAATGTGAGGACTTGGAAGTATCACGTCGACATACGGAAAGCTGATGATCGAATAGGGCCGGGAACCAGGCACCATCGGTCGGCGACACATGGACCGACACAGCCGATGGCTCGGTGTGGGTTTGGGATGGACGACGATGGATTGAGGAATGGCAATGGCTCGACAGCCAAAACGAGTATGGGAACGGGGAGCAATTGGGAGAGGTCGGCAGAGTTCCAAGCGGACAGTCGACAGTTCCGGCGCCCACTTCGGAAAGCGCTACATCTGCCTCCTATAGCGAGAATTCACAGCCACAGATACCCACAAGCACGCCGCCTGGATATAGCAACCAAAGCTATCAGACCTCGTTCGGAGGTAATCATACGCATACGAGCTATCCGGGCAGTGGGTATCATACCGCATGGAATATGTATCCCATGCCGGGCGGTGCAGCGCCAGGATATCCGCATGCCGTGCCAGGGTAAGTCGAGCGATCGTTAAACCGAAACTGCGGGTAGAAGCCAGCTAATAGAGCCTCAAGGCAAAGCCCAGGCTACTCACACCAATCCAACAGCAACCCCCCACAGTATAGCCCTACAGGAGCCGGTACGAGCGCGTATACCCCCAATCAGTACGGGGGTGTTCCCCAATCGTCCTCATTCCAACAGTAAAGCATCTTCCCAGCTCTTTTTGAGTAACCCACTGACAGTTTTCCAGGCCGAGCTCTTCAGACCACGGTGATCTATCCAGGACGACCACAGCGACATCATCGGCCTCGGCTCCTGCGGCTCCTGCGGGGATAAGTCGTAGTCCATCCTCGACAGGGCCTCGAGATGGCGGGGATTTCAGTGTGACCTGTCCAGATTGCGGAACGGTCCTGACTGGCGCCCATGCAACTGGAAATCTCAAACGCCATAAAAGAACCCAGAAATGCTCCTCCAGCCAGGGGCAGCAGTATACATGCTCGATATGCCACAGGACGTATCAAAGATCCGACGCTCTCCGTAACCATCAGCGCAAGAGGCATGGAGGAACGTGAGCTGAGACGAGCCTACCGAAGGCGCAGGTGTCGTTTTCACCAAAGGGTCGTGAGTGGATTCGAAGAGCAAGCTATGTTGTCCATCTTTCGGCCTGGAGAAGAGTAGAGAATGATTCGAGGGTGGGGAGCGGGGATCTCGTGGTACTGGTTTCCAATTAGCCCATACGTGCATCGGTTGTGGAGGCACGAGCTCGTCGATATCGGCCGACGGTACGCGGTTTTGCTAACGCTCGCGACGGTCCGGCCCCCAGCGTTTACAAAGCCCATCTCGGACACGGATGCTTTCATCGAAGAGCTCGCGGGGACACGTTGTACTCGTCGGGTGTCCGGCGCTCGGGAGTCGTGTTGTCCGAAGCCGGCGGTATCCGATCTGTCGTTAGAGGAAGGAGCGTCCGAAGAAGGTTCGATCACGAGACATGGCGAGATGATGAACAAGAGGGACGACGGTATGCTGGAGAAGAATGTGAAAGAGTCAAGGTGAGGTCGAAACAACGTTAGGCAGGGACCCGCTCCAAGAGCCCAGGGGCTCATCGAAGCTAGCCTCACTTTGCCCTAGAGTACCAGACTATGGCTCTCGGACCAGGCATCCCCTTCAGGCCACATCCCTCCATCTCGTCTCTCCTAGGCCATGGCGTACTGCAGCTCCTCGTCTCTTCTGGAGCCATCCTGCACCTTCAGCGGACGCCCACGACGGTCGTGGGTAATGGGGTCGCTATGCAACGCGAATCATCGAAGCTGGAGCACCACGAGAACGTCGGGACGTCCATCTACTGGGCACCAGCGGCGACCAGTCCGACGTGCTATGCCGTTGAGGTATACGTACGAGAGATGACCGACATTATCTTGCTGACGGCACCGGGCCAATGGCCGTCTCCTGCTGAGACTTCCGTCTCCTGGAAGATGCGGGCAAAGGCCCAACAGAAGAACGACCCCTCATCATCGGTAATACGAACCCCTATCAGGACGGCCACCCAGGTACATCTCTGCATTGGCGCTCAAAGGTGCAAGAGCACGTCAAGTGTACCAGTGCCCCGAGCGAGCAATCAACTCTCGAAGCCAGCGCAGGCCTATCGATGCAAGCCGATCCGCGCCGCCAGGAAGCCAGCGCCCTCGTCCTTGCAGACGACTCGACAGCATCTATGGATGTTCCTTGTAGACGTATTTCGGATAGAGAGCACTATGGTTCTGTTTCTTCACCTATCTCATTATTCAATGGTCTCACCCGTTTGTTCATACACTAGACAGATCGCTATGAAAGGAACCCGCCGATGTATGCATCCTCGATGAAAAGGAAAGTGTACGAGACGTCAGGTCACGGCCAAATCTATGTGACCTGCAATCTTTCACCAATCATATCCCGCCTTCGCCTCAGCCCGGTGCAGACCCAGTAGCACGGCACCAACTAATTCTCCGCGTCCTTCATTTGCAAGCGCCACGTTGTTAGTATCCGTGCGCCGGTGTGTTTCTAGAGACGACATGGCGTCCACATAGCAAGAATGCAGCCAACTAACTCGTCCAGAATCCTTTTTGAGGGGAGTTTGGCCGCCTGATTCTTCGAAAGCCCGCATCATCGCGCCGCTGATAAGATATGCCCCAAACGGGAGCGCCTGCATGCTGAAAGGATGACAAGACGACGAGGCAGATTTCACAGCTTCCTCTCTTTGTGGCACAGCAGCCGCCTGTGAGCCTGCAGCAATGACCTAGCCGGGCAAGTTACTATGGCCAATGCAGGATAACAGCCCCGACGAGACCAGGCCCGTGTTGCACTGCAGCGGATGAGCTTGGGATGTTCCCCGACCTCTTAACGTACCGCACATCTCCCAGAGAGCCACCACTGTGCGCAGGTTGGTATTTCATATTTTTCAAACTACTTTTACACGTGCAAAGCGCTGGTATGCCCGACTTCCTGAAAGACGGAGAGCCCGAAATGCCCAAGTTCAAGTCGCTCAAAAGCCGGCCAAAACATTGAAAAGTCAAGTATCGCAAGGGCTAATCGACCAGGATATCCACGTCTAGACATTAAAGCCCCCAACTCCAAAGGTGTAAATAGAACAAGATATTAAGAAATTCCCATTTGCGTCAGAGGTATAGATGTATGGTGGGTCAAAGCCCAGCCACGTATGGAAAAACGCCCAAGGAAACCTGTCAAGCTATCATTAGTCGAGAAAGAGAACGTCAAAGACTCGTAACCCTTCCCCCGGGTGCAGGAGGCCTCTGCGGCCTGAGGTTTATCACCGACTCCAGCTCTTTCAGCATATTAGTGCTTGCTTCTCTTTGTTCTCGTAGAGATACCTGGCGTGCACGATCCTCTTGAATCTTTTGCATGCGCTCTTCCCTTGTCATCGTCATCCTGGTCTTCGGGATTGCGATGGCCTCGAATATTTCGTCGTCCGAATTACTACCTACGCTCGGGGGCGCCGATTGCTGGGGACTCAATAGGTCGCCGCTGAGCGCACGAAGGGCTTCAGAGGGGCTCCCTTCGTCGACAGCGGTTAAACCACCGAGGCTCGGCACGGGTGATCGCAACCCACTGGAAGCCTGAGAGATGCGCCGCTCGTGCCGGTCTATGTTTAGCGCGAGTGCGTTCCTACCAGCCTCCCATGCCTGAACTAGGCTCTTCAAGTCAGCACCGATGGATTCGTACTGGGCCATTAGGTGTGAAGCAAGCTCAGAGACGTCCTCGGACTCCTCCAAGCTCTTGTTGGACTCTTCGCGAAGAATCTGCATCTTCGCTTGCAGGCCGCGAATGCCCTGCGAGAGACCGCCCAGCTTACGAACGGAGTTGCGCAGGCGCTCTCGTCCAGGTGTCGGCTGAGCCTTCAGTGGCGAGGGTAACGTAAACTGCTCCTCCTCGCCAAGGACACGGTTGAACTTCTCACTCAATTCTCCTGTTGCAGCCGCTAAGATCATCATCGAATCAACGACGGCACTCCAGCGCCCGAAATCCGGCTTTCCCCCATCTGCTTGAAGAGCGAGCAGCGAGCACAGATACACCCGCCGAAGCGTAGAGAGGCGATATTGCAGAACCCGGAGGGCCTTCAGGGTTTCGGCGTCCTCAAACTCAGACTCGGCGTAACCTTGAGCCGCCTCTTGCAGGTCGGGATTGCTGATATCGTAGACGTCAAGATACTTCTCCAGGTCGTCCTCCTCGACAAGCTGCCTAAGAGCCCCACACTGCTCTGAGAAGACAGGTATGGTTTCAGCGAAGGCGGCGCGGAGACTCCGACGGAGGCGGTGACAGCGGCGCGCTTGGCCTTTCTCCTCGATCCTCGAGATGGGCGGAAGGGGGCTGCTTCTAGAAGGTGGTCAGTAACTGGCTGCATGTTTAGGCAGAATGTTTACTTACAGTCGGTAGCCCCTTGAAACGAGCTCCACCTCCTGGATCAATGCGAGCGCCGATGACGTCGAGGCTTCGAAAGCTTGCAGGTTCGTGACCAGGGCCGCAGCGCCCTCCACGGCCTGCTGGCGGAGATACTGGAGCCACTGCCGGCGAATGTACGCGTAGAAGGCTGCCGCAACAGCACAAAATACGGCAACCACGACGACGAATCTGCCCCTGCTGAAGCCAGACCCCCGGCTTCTAGACCAGTGTATGAGCCAGACGAGCACGAAGGCGGTTGCTCCCGTCAGGACTGCGCCTGTCAGACTGATTGTGGCAACGTGGAATTGTTGTGGGCCTGCTCGTTCGTCGGCGGCGAAGCTGGGGAGGGCCGTGGCTCGCAAGCCGCCTTGCTCACTTAGAAGCTGAGAGGCGACTATGAGGTATCGAAAGTGCTCGAGGAAGCGCTGGTTGTCGGCGCGGCCCAGCCGGGAGTTCACCGCTTTCTACGACGTGCATTAGTAGCAGTATACGCAAGCAGCGGCGGGTCGACGCACCGAGCAGGCGCGGTGGATGCGCGCAACGGAGCCATTTCGTCCGACATGAACCTGTAGCGGCTGCGGTAGCTTGTCTCGTATCCTGGACTGCAGCGTCGAAGGGCCCCGTGGCGCGAAGCTCTGCGGGTCTGACGGCGGCGCGGCGGGCGACGGCGGGGTGGATCCTCTTCCTTCTCCTGGAGCGGCGGTCAACGTGGGATGATCCATAATCGAGCAGAGAGGAGCGCTCACCTTCTAGAAACTCGGCCAGAGGCGAGCCGTCCAATATAACGACGTTCTCCATCTCATGTTGCGCCGGGGGCGGCTTTGCTGGAATGCGCGCGCTTCCACCGGCATGCAGCGCGTGAGACGGTCCGCTGATTCGCGGTCGAGCGTCGAATGGCCACGGTGTTGTGAGGCGTGGCAGCTGTCGCAGAAACTGGGGAGGCGCGGGCGCGGAGGCGCAGTTCGGTGAGGTCGTGCGAGTGAAGGTGAAAGGAGAGATGTACGGGGAATTGCGGGCAAGGGTGCAGTTCGGGGTTGTACAGTGCGCGGAGCCGCGCCGAATCTGATTGGCCCCCGTACTCTGCTAGGGTGAATAATCAGGATGGCTCGCGCCGACGTCACACCTGCCGGAACAACACCATCTGAATTTCCACACGCATACCTCACTGACAAATGCATCCTAGAATCACAACACCCTACACTTTCCGCGATTGCTACGGGATGGAAAGCTTAGTCACTCTAACAGCGCACCAGTCCTTCCAAGCCAGCCCTCAAGGGGGGATTTGTCATGTCCAGAAACCACTCGCAGCATCGCGGTCGACGGGAATCTATGTGTTGCTCGGAGGGTTGACCGTCACGCTATCCTCACTATGCTGTACAGCCTGTCTTCTATACACACGAGAGCGCGCGGCGGTTCCGAGGCTTGGTTTACAGTTGCCGATCGTTTCGGCAGGCCCCCTCATAGCACTGTTCCATAGGCACACCCCTCTTCACTCACTTGGTCGTGGGAGGCATCACATAAACTGTACTTTCCAGAGTGCGTGAAGCCGATCGAGAATGCGTCGGCATGCGCTTGCTACCTCGCCGTGGACGGCCCTGTCAGGCCGATCTTAGCGCGGCATCGCCGGACGGAATTGATGACAAAATCTCCGATACTTCCATCGGGCAAGTCTACCAGCCCTGGAGCATTCACATCTCGCTCCCGTACCGTCACTCTGGCTCACCCTTCTTCTCGTCTTTCCCTAAACCCCGCGCGAGGCGCCGCCGACGACGTCGACCATCTATGTGCTATCCCAAGGCAGCTTAGCCAAATGCCTCTTTTCTGGGGGCCTCCCGCATGGCTCACATTTCCAACCGCTGTCCTCCATTTTATGGCTAGGGAGATACGCGCCAGGCGATGACACGGGGCTTTTCAAGACTGTCGCCACCGGACGGATGGTGCTAGATCTATGCGGCGAAGACGTAATCAGCACTCCTCTTGCAGTATCGAGGCCATAGCTCATCCCATCCAACCCGCTTCGTCCACAATGTGTGGCAACCATTATAGTTGAAGCGGTCAGCCCCGTCTTCTGATATGCCTTCCCTTGCGAGAGACCAGGCTTCACACACTGCAGCCACCCCAGGGTTCGCCCTACGGTCGGCCATCCATCCCCTGCAAACCTTCCAGAAGTCTTTGTATCTTCTTTAGCGGTCTGGAAAGCCGGGTAAGCTCTCGTATGCTATCAGATTCGGAATCAGAGACAGCCCTGTTCTTCATTCAGCCGCTCCTGGTTGCATCTGAAGTTTCTTCTCGGTCTCTAGGTCATATATATCAAGCCTGCTACCACGCCTCGTCAGCATTCTCTCATGCTTTGTATATATTCCTTTGATTTAGGTCACCCGTCTTCCTGTTTCTAAGCGTTGTTCGTAAGCAGTTTGAATACAGTCTCAATTCCGACTGTGCTAGTAACCATGGACGACAATACGGTTCGAAATTTCATGTCCACCGCCGAACTGATTTCAGCCACGCTCGATGTTGCCCCAGAGAGCTGGAGGGATCACCTGCAGGCCATCAGGAACATTACCTCCTCGCTAGAGCTATTGCACACGAATCCCGATGAACAAGAAAGACAATGGCAGCTGCCGCTTGTCGCCATGTTCCAGCGCGTAGCTTATGCAGATGCCGACAATGGCGGTGTTCCAGATATCGCAAACTGGTGCTTGAGGCAGACATTGACGCTCCTTCAAGTCTACCCAGAGGACGTGGATCTTCTTGCTCGTAAGTCACCCCTTTTGTTCTGTGGAGCACCGCTGACTCGGGCAGTTGTGGGACGCAATTGGCTCATGCGAGCCCAGAGGTCTCTTGCGAGGATTCATCAGGCGGAAGGAAACGGTTCGAGCAGCGGGGCAAGTCAAGGACCCCAGCTATCTTCAAGTGAAGAGCAACGACAGGCCACCAGCGCAACACTAGAAGCGGAAGACCGACTCCATCTGCCGGATTACGTGGAAGCAAGGGGTATCCTGCTGCCGGCAGTTGAGTACCTCAAATACGCAGTAGATGCGGCTCGGGCTCAAGGAAAGCTAACAGGATCTCTGCTCTCTACGGTATGTCTTCCAGTCATTGGGGTATCTTCCATCCACTAATGCCCCTGAATAGGCTGCAGAGGCATACATGAGCCTGGGAAACGTGTCTTCTACACGAATCAATGAACAGTACTTCCACGAAGCCCTCGTGTGCCTGCGGCGAGCGAACGAGATTCCGGAGTACCGCCTTTCACCCCACTTGCAACAGTAAGTCCACGAGCAACATACCGCCGGTGACGATGCTGACAAAGTTAGTTACCTTGAAGAATTCGGTCCGTTAGATGAGCTTCATTAAGGGTATATCTGGTCGGTGTTCGGTGACCTGAGTTTCAGCGACTATGGTGCATGTTCGATACCCGGCCAGGGCCTGGTGCCTTCGCTCGCCTCAACTGCGTAGCTAGCAATACATGACATTCGCTTTCTTCCAGATGCGCGCTGATAGTGAACCAAACCCGGCCGAGCTGCAAGCACCAGAAGAATGCTGCACGATCTTCTCGTCCGAGTTCCAAGATTGATGTTGGAATGTCCGTGCGCGCTCTCGGCCCTAAGATGCTCCGTCCGGACGGGCTCAACTCCAGCTTTCTGTCCACCTCATCCGATCAGCCCGTAACTTTGTCACATCAATCGGGGCAACCTTGCGACCTGCGCCACTCCGACACTTCCGAGCTCTCTTCTGCCACTGCGCACTGCCCGGCCCCCGAGACCGCGTTCATCCTCATACCGAACGGCCGTATCCTCAATACAGCTACTCGGCCAGCCTGCGTGTTGCGGCGTGTACAGCGTTAAGTCACAGTCACCTCTGACTGCTCAAGTCTCCTGAGTTTAGCGCATAGCTGGTCGCGGTCGCGATGGCATTTACGGCCACCATGAGCGAGGAGCGGGAGTTAGCCATCCACCCCATCGTGCAGACCAGCGTGCAGCATAACACCCAAGTACGTCTCGGAAAGTCACGGAGCAGCATCTGATGCTGAAGCCAAAATGGCTCGCTGACACTTGCCACGCAGGTCGTCTCGAACATTCGCAATCTGACCGCCTCTCTCTTCGGTGTCGCCGCAGGAACCCTGGGCTTGGAGTCGTATCCAGGCTTCATCTTCTACCTTGTCGGAACGCTTATCGTGTCGGGCCTGATATTCGCCTTCCGGACGGAGGGAAAGCCCAGCGAATACTTCCACCGACCGTTTGGAGACCTATGGGGAGGTGATGTCTTCAGCGGCTTGAGCAGCTTCGTGCTTACGTGGACCCTTTTCTACGGACTAGTCAGAGCATGAGGATAAGGAGATGGCTGAATGGATAGGGGTTAACATGAGTTCGATTGGAACAGGAAGAATGTGGCGATATGCGGGCGGTATATGTTACGGCTAGGCAGCCCTCCAGACGGCGTCTGCTATACAGACCAGTCCACCAGCTTGCTGTTGCCCTTCACCGCAAGTTTCCTTGGACTTTGGTCGGCCTCAAGCGAAATGCAGTTGGATGAATGGGGGAAGTGATCCCAGACACGTTTTCAAGGTGTCGCAGTCGTTGCCTGATACAGGAGGGCGTAGCGGGACATGCAGCGCAGAGAGGCTATAGGGGCGAGCTGTAAGAGTCCAGCTTTTGGAAGCTCTGCCTGACTACGGGTTGGTTGGTATTTCATAACAGTCTTGTTCTAGCCTCGATAGGCGGGAGCTCTGTCTGGCGTTGCCAGTATATCAAATTTAGATGTTCGTTTGACATGCCAACCAAAGAATGATTGCAACGGGTTACATCTATACTGGAACGAGGGCGCTCAGTGAATTCCTTCGACGGGTAGTTGATGGCTTGACGTCTCGTGCAGTAAGTATGGCTGGCCCGTGCCATCAATTAGGCGCGGGCTCGCTAGCGCGACGTGGTCGACGCGTTGGCCCACGAAGGTCGCGTCCCCTCGATTCTGCTGCCTCAGCTCCAACTGTCGACACAACTCTGCACTCTTCCTCTCGCCATTTCTGCACCGCCTCTTCTCTTCCGCTGTCTGCAATCGCTTCGATCCACATTCACCAGTAAGCCTCATTGTCTCCGCAATGCTGATAGGTCGCTGCTGACGATTTCGCAGTGCTTGAGGCACGCTTAGAACAGGCCAACCTTCTGAAGAAGGTACCAACGACCTCGCGCACTCTGCTTGAACTGGTCTGACAGCTCTCCAGGTGGTCGACGCCATCAAAGACCTCGTGCAGGACTGCAACTTTGACTGCAATGACTCCGGCATCGCGCTGCAGGCCATGGACAACTCGCACGTCGCCCTCGTGTCCATGATGCTGAAATCCGACGCCTTCTCCCCCTACCGCTGCGACCGCAACATTGCCCTCGGCATCAACCTCGGCTCTCTCACCAAGGTCCTCCGCGCTGCGCAGAGCGACGACACACTGACACTGAAGGCCGAGGATGCGCCAGACGTCGTCAACCTCGTCTTCGAGACGAGCGACTCTGACAGGGTTAGCGAGTACGACATCAAGCTCATGGACATTGACCAGGAGCATCTGGGTATCCCCGAGACTGATTACGCTGCGACCATCGCGATGCCCGCCGCCGAGTTCCAGCGCATCTGCAGGGACCTAAGCGCTCTTTCGGAATCAGGTATGCACATCCTGCTTATTTCCTTTTAGATCCTGCTGACATGCGCATACAGTCTCAATTGAGTGCACGAAGGAGGGCGTCAAGTTCTCCTGCCAGGGTGACATTGGATCTGGCTCTGTGCAGCTTAGGTCCCACAGTGCCGTAGATAAGCCCGAGGAAAGCATCGAAATCGACCTGACCGAGCCTGTATCCCTCACCTTCTCGCTAAAATACCTCGTCAACTTCTGCAAGGCAAGCGGCCTGTCCAGCCAGGTCAAGCTGTGCCTCTCCAGCGAAGTTCCCCTCCTCGTGGAGTATGGCCTCCAGAACAACAGCTACTTGAGATTCTACCTTGCGCCTAAGGTTAGTCGCAACGTCTTACTGCATTCGGCTCTTGCTAATAGTCACAGATTGGTGACGAGGAGTGAACGATTCATGACGTTCTGCGAAACGAGATGTGTTTTCAAAGATTCTGTGGGGGCGCGGCTGCGTAATGTCTTGATATGCATGAGAATGTCTATCGGGTTCATATGGCGGTATTAGATTGGCGATACTGCGTGTTAGTCCCAACCCCTCGGTGCTAAGAGGGCGCCGAGGGGTACCCCGCCGACGTCAGCGCGTCGTGCGAGCAGATAACGGAAAAAAATCAACAATAAACTCATACTTCGCCCACCTTGTCATACACCTCTGCCCTTCAGTTCCCTCTGCCTTAACATTTGCCATCTTGGTCGCGGCCATGGCGTCTGACACGCTGATACCCGAGACTCGCGTCCTCGCGATCGCCAGCCATGTAAGAGTCACACGCGCATTCATCGCGAGGCTTGCCAGCTAATACAGGACAGGTAGTTCACGGGTGGGTCTTTTCATGCCAAAACGAAGCGCGAATGGCTGAATTGTAACCGAGATATGTGGGAAACAAGATGGCGACCTTCGTCATGCAGTCGTTAGGCTGTGATGTCTCCGCGATCAATACGGTGCATTACAGTAAGCATCCGTCGTCCCGAGAAGATTTCTCGAAACGGATGTTAATGAGAGAAGGCAATCATACGGCGTACAAGCAGGTCAAAGGCACCAAGACGTCCGCCGATCAAATACTCGAGCTGTACGACGGCCTCCGACAATCGAATCTGAACGACTTCGACTTGTTATTGACGGGATACATGCCGAGCGCCGAGGACGTACAGGCTGTGGGCAAAATAGGGAGGGATATCAAGTTCAATGCTGGGACGAAGCCGGGGAGCTTCTTCTGGGGTGAGTGCAGTTGGTGCTAGGGCCGATACGGCATCATGAGTCGGCATCTCTTTGCTTGGCAGACACGGTGGACTACGCAAAGCGCACTTGGTCCTCTGTGCCGACAGTCATGAGAGAAGAGTGGAGGCTCGTGTTGGCGTAGGAACCTGTGTATTAGCGTAGAAGAATGCCTTTGGGCCCACGCTGACACTGAACAGTGCTCGACCCCGTGATGGGAGACAATGGAAAGCTCTACATTCCGGAAGATGAGGTACCCGAGTATAAAGCGCTTCTAAGAGAAGCAGACTTGATTCTACCGAATCAGACCGAGGCTGAGTTCGTCATATTACTTCTACTCCATCTGGGAAGTGTCGTATGCTGATAATGAGTCCCTCAGACTGCTCTCTGACATTACCATCACCGACCTGAACTCCCTAGCAGCTGCGATGCAAGTTCTCCATAAGACCTACCAAGTCCCCCACGTAATCATAACCTCCCTCCGCCTCACACGCGACAACCAGACTGTACCATCTCGAACACCATCGCGCGCAGCTTCAAACCCCGCATCAGCGACGGCATCCAGCCAGCAGACCCCCTCAGAGTCTCCTTTCCTCAACCCTGAAACCACAAATCCATCCTCGATACTAACATCAACCACACCGTCAGGCCAACGAACGCCCTCAGACTCTCCTCGGCTTAATGCAGAGACATCGCACCCGTCATCATGGGCTACGTCGCCTCCTTCGAAGCCTTCGCCGCCTCCTCAACCCCTTATTAATAAAGAGATTGAGAATATCACCATCATAGGCTCGACTGCAACTTCGGACCACAAGCCGCGCCTATTCAGGATAGACACACCGCTACTACCCCTGTTCTTCTCAGGGACCGGTGATATGTTTTCCGCTCTTACGATCCCGCGCCTTATTGAAGCAGTTCACGCCTCTTCCACGCCGCACCTGGCTTCGAAACCAAGCTGGAGATCGCCGGATGATGTTCCCGCGGACGAAATTCCCCTGGCGAAAGCGTGTCAGAAAGTACTAGCCAGCATGCAGAGTATATTAGCTCAAACAACGGAGACATGTCAGGAGAAGATGAAAGCGTATGATGCGCGTGTGGCGAAAGAGGGGCGTGGAGAGGGAAAGGAGGCGCTCGAGGAGAGCGCCATGAGGAGGCATATCGCTCTGATGAACGCGAGTGAGGTCATAGTTCCGAGATTCGTAAAGGATATTGTAGATCCGCCGGACTTGGAGAGGTTTAGGCCAAGGCTAGTGGAGGAGGGGAGGAATGTACCGGAAGAAGTGGGTAGCAAGGAGCCGGACCAGCTGAAGGTACTGCATCTGGGTGTTGGGAAGACGGCGGAGGGTGCGGTACAGGTCTTGGAGGGTGAAGCACAGAAAGAGCGAGAGGAAGAGGAAGCAGCATGAGATACCACTGTTTAGTTTGATAGCGAGCATACCCAGAGCTAGCAGCTTTGGCCGCATCTACAGCTCTTGCATTACGGCATCAGGACAAATCCCCCATACTCCTTTTATTCCATTCCAAGACCCGTATATAGTGTGGTCAATACGCCGTGAGAGAAGGGGTGAAGCCGCCTAAACGCCATTGACCGTTGCGGTAATGCCAAAGCCTCCGGTGCTGCCAAAGCCACCTGCACCGCGCACGCTCTCCTCGAGTTTCTCAACTACTACCACTTCTGGCATAGCGATCTGTATCCATATTAGTATATTGCCTTCCATCAGCCAATGTGGTGTGCATAGCATACCTTCTCGACAATGAGCTGCGCAATCCGGTCCCCAACCTTGACCTGGAAGTCCTCATCCGAAAGATTCGCCAGTATAACGCCGACCTGACCGCGATAATCAGCGTCAATAACGCCCGCCATGGTGTCGATTCCATGTTTGGCTGCGAGACCAGAGCGAGGGGCTACACGCCCATCTATTCATCCCCCTGCATTAGCAATTGCTTTCCAATTGACCCTCCACGCCGCAAACATAAAGCCAGGATGGAGGCACACTCACATGTTCCCGCCGGCACCGCAATGGAAATATCTGTATCGACCCTCGTCCTCCCCCTCGCGGGAATCACCACCTCCCGCGCACTATACAAATCATGCCCCGCCGCATACGCACTCCCCTTCGTCGGCGCCGTCGCCTTCTCGCTCAGCAACTGCACCTGCAGCGCCTGCTCCGCTCCCGCGGCCGCTGCTACGCTAGGTGCGATGGGCGCAGGGGGCTGCAAAGACCCAATTGGGTGCGTGGGATTGTGCTCGAGGGACATGGCGAAGGGCGTGGGTGTTGCGCTGCCGGAGTCGGTGGGTGGGGCGCGTGCGAGAGGGGTGGGGTTAGAGAGGGTTTTTGTGCGTTTGGGGAGCGGAGAGGCAGGGAGGGATGGAGGCTCGTGAGTCGGCGCTGGGGTGGAGGTTGTTTCGTCGGCGGACATTCTTGTGAGGAGAGGAATTGGAGGGGAGTGGAGAGGAAGGCGGTGTGGTTGGGGTGGATCATCCATCGCGGACGCGTTTCGGCGGGGGAGACGCGTTTGATTGGCTGACGCGTGGGTGGACTAGTGTCCGTGTTTGAGTCCGTTTCGTCTCTCGACCTCCTCTTCCAAAAGCCGCAGACTCTAGCGCACATTCAACCCTTCGATACAGTTGCAACGATTGTGGGTATTCCCTCCGTCTGTAGGCGCGGGCTAATCGAGATGTGCTAAGTAGCGTACATATATCCCGTAGACGATGTCATCCCCCAATCTTCATGGCCCGGCTCCGATACATCTCAAACCCTGGAAGAGTGCACTTGGTATCTCTAACCACACTCCTTAACGCCGACGCTTACGGAAAACGAGAAATCGATGACAAGAAGCAGACCGGTTGAACGCCGTACCCATGCATGCTTCGTGCGATGAACCGCCCTCTTTTGTCTTCATCGGTTAACCGTATTCTGCACCTGGGTATCTATTATCTTCTCCTTCTCATCCATGGCATGCTTATGCATTCTCTCCATCAGGAACTGCAATGTCCTATCTCCGAAATGGCTCCTCACCGTGGGTGTCCTCCACCACATATGCTGGATAAAAACGCCTCTGCAATTCTCCAGATCCCACTCCCCATTCGCCTCATCGCACGGCAGCTCTTTGAGATACTGATCGTAGTCGTACCTTACGTACGTACCGAACGCGCTCTGTTCGTGGAACCGGACCTTGTTCCACTCAGAGCAGCCTTTGTATCGCGTCTCACGAGGGCACTCATCCCACGCCTTGAGTATCTCGTGCGTTTTCGCATTGTTCTGCGCGATGATGAACCCGGTGTTGGAGTACCGTCGGCCGTAAGTGTCGTTGTTTACGGCGCCCGGTGGGTCCAAGGCCATGGCGAGCGAGGTGGTCACATTGATAGACCAGTAATTCAGGAGCCATTCAATGGGGATGTGCATTTGGTTAAAGAGGGCGTCCGCGTCGAGGAAGACGACGAATTTGTAGGATTTGAGCACGTTCGCTAGGCCGGAGACTTTGACCCAGGTAGGATGGCGCTCCGATTCGGTGGCAGTTTGAAGAAATTTGTAATCGTAGCCATGCATTTGCGCTACACGGGGTGAGTGTTGAATGGGGGGTTGCTGGACGAGTCCACTTACCGTACATATAGTGGTTAATTATGCCTCCCGAGTATGGATCGAGCTTCGACCAGTCAAAATTTGCGCCATGGAATATTTGGTTTTCAGCATTAAACGGCCGAGTGTCCACGTCGAGGATGCACACATCCTTGCCTAATGGCGAGGTGTAGCCCAAGTCGGAGGGCAGTTCGTATGTCTTGCCGCCGTGCGAGAATGACGGTGTTGTTATCGAAGCCTTGTTTGGATTATAAATGAACTGAAGAATTTGCTGTAGGGATACGTCGCTGCCGAATCTATAGCACTGCTTAGACAGATCCAAGACGTAACGTTGGTAAGAGCAACGAACGGTTTTCTTGATTGTTCAGCGACCGGCACAGCGTATGGTGGTTCGTAGTTGAAGTAAAGAAGGCTCAGAATGAAGAAGAGGACGACGACAGCAGGGACAAAAGATCTCACCGATGGAGTCATGGCGGAAAATAACGTAGAAGGAAAACCTGCGATAAGAGCGAAGCGAAGAGATGGAGGCAGAGCAGGACCTGCTGGGGAGGCGGAACCCCACCGTTATAAGGCACAGCATCTTACAGTCAACCCCCCCCCCCCCTGCTCGGCATTCTAGCGCGGTGTAGCGAGTCTTGTAAAAGACCAAAAGGTGGAGCGTGCCAGCCCCGAAAGCCAGATTGCGCTAGAATGCCGAGCAGGGGGGGTGACTGTACGGATGAATGAGAACGGGACAGTGCAGACAGGGGTCTGATCCCAAAGATGCCACGGCGCCGGCTGTGAGCAGGAATAGAGTATGACAGGAAAGTCCTCTTCGCTTAATTAGCGCGCAAATCAGGTTCGCGCTAGTCAATATGGCTGACCCCCGGCCGATCGGGTACACGCATCCCAACGTCTCTCGGTGGTAGGTAGGCCAGCGTTCTTTGGACCACATCGAGACGGTCATCAGGCATCAGCACCTATCCTCTTCTGTTGCTTCAACGTCAAACGTGAGGCGAGAATCGTCACTGCATATGCCGTCAAACAGTGGCACAGCTAAGCCGCTGGGCCGCCTCGCTGCAGGCATGCTGTTGTACTTGCCTCTGTTACGGGAATCGTTGGCGCCAGCAATCCCGTGGCTGAAGCATGATTCATCGCAAGGGGCGAAGCACTTTAATAACTCGTGCAGTGCTGCTACTCACGTTAGCTCCCAGTCTCGCATATCGAACATCCATTCATCAAGATGACCTCTCAGCAGCCCTTCTTTCGACTTGCCTCCGTTCTATTGTCACTGTCTCTACTCGTCTGTTACATCCCTCCTTGTCACGCAACCTGTTACGGCCTCGATGGAAACATTATGGATCCGGAGTTCCTACCTTGCAGCTACATTGACGGAGCTATATTGGTCTGTTGCGCGTCGAATCGTACTAACCACTTCGCTGGTTCGACTTTTGGAGGGCCCACCGCAGACAAATGCTTACCGAACGGACTGTGTCAGAACGTTGCTATAGCCCCCCCTTCGGAGACTATCGTGCGGTACTGGCGTAACGGTTGTACAACCACACCCGTGGACCCCGAACACTGCCTGGACGTGTGTATCCAACCTGATGAAGTGGTAAGGACAATATGTCTCTTTGATTCACTCACAGAAAGGCCCATCTTGTTGTGCAGCTTCGTTGACAGTGTGCAGATAGGCGGAGGGTTTGCTATCATGACACCCTGCGACGGGAACTCGAATTCTACGATGTGGTGTTGCGGAAACGATACCACTTGCTGTGGGACTTCCGCGGAAGTCTCGCTGGCGGCTACTCTTGGTGTCGCTCTACCGTCATCTACCTCAGCTTCGACTGCCTTACCGACCTCGGATGGGAGTTCTACTAGTCCTTCGGCAACTTTAGCACCTGTCGGCAGTCCTAGTCCCACGGGCTCCGTCAGTCGCCAGTCAATGCTCAATGCAGGCGCCTTAGCAGGAATAGTCATATCTACAATTATCACCGTCGTGGCCGTACTCGTGCTCTTCTTACTCTGGCGCCGATGGAATAAACGAAAAGCGAGTCTTGACGAAGCAGCAAGCGGAGCAGCGGCAGGGTCGACTCTTGACGCCTCAGCGGATCGCCGCACATGGCCCTCGCATCAGAGCAATGTGACGCCTGGCGATGGTCCTATTTCACCAACCCCAAAGAGAGCACCACACACGCATCCGCAACAGTCAGAAGGGGACGGGAATCGCCAGTGGAGAAAGATGGTCCAGATAACATGGTGTGCGAGATGGCGTCGTAAAGATCTCGGTGTCTAGGAAGGAAACATTGGAAGGCAGAACGTCGGGGATTCGCATCGCCGCCCCTAGGAGGCCCCGAAGCCGCATCCCTAAAGAGTGTTCTTCTGGGGCCTGTTCATCCTAGGTTTTAGACAGATTTAGATTTCAGTGAACGCTATACCATAACAGGGATAGCGTAATACTAGCGTGCCGTAGCTGCTGGTTCCCCGCCTCATCCATATCCATCGCCCACTAGCGGGAAATATCTCACTTTATCTCGCAACACTTCATTTTTTTTCAATCTCGTCCGCCGTCCACGCCTCCCTCGTTATCCATGCAATAGACGGTAGACGATTGCCGCCATGGACAGGGAACGACAAGAGTAGGAATGACGCAAACGGCCCCGTACCCATGGCCAACATAATAGAAACCGATCAAGCATTTGTTGGCAACTCCTCTGAGGAAAACAAGTAGAGCATCGCAACTTCCCGTCTGGTGGACCGCTTTCAATCTCAGATTCGGGTGAGCAAACGAATGCGAACCACAATCCTTTCGTGCACAGTCTGTTCGAAGCCGCTTCTGAGTTACTTGCCCGCGAACCCTCTTGCAGGAATTTGACGGCAACAGTATCGTGTTGGGATCGGACCGCGGTCGATCAAGTTCGGCATGCCATACAAACCTCAAGTAAGGCCTAGTTTCTACTTCTTGTTTCTCTGTGATTGCATCTTGCGCTTGCGCGTCCGTGTCCTCCAGTTTGCTCTATTTGCGTATCTTCTAGAATTTCATTCCAGGACATAAATCTCCATACTTCCCCCACCAGCTCTTCTTTCGCCATTCTTGTCCCGAATGCAGCACTTGAATGCAAGTATGCGGGCACACAACGCCATACACGACGAGAACTTCAAGCTTCACCGTCTTACGGTACCCCACCCGAGCGCGAACGCCGATGACTACCTGAAGAGTATCGCTCATCAGCAAACCAGCATCAAGACTCTATGCCTAGCTGTACAGAACCAGTGCAGCATGTCTACTCTCAAATGGTATCTGGAGCAGCGCAAGGGCAATGATGAGGATTTCGAGAAGAACATGAAGAAGCACGCCTGCCCTGTGCTTTACTACGCCGTTGAACGAAACTCAGCCGAGGCCGTTGGGATACTCTTGGAACACGGAGCCGATCCGGAGGACTATCACTTATGCTTCCCGATCCCACTGCTTGCATTTGCCATCATTCAGGGTAGAAGGGCGATAGTGAACACAACCGGTGTGGTCAAGCAGCTGCTAGCCTACAACGCTAGTCCGAAGGTTATCCCCCAGGATATGTGGATTCGCTACTTGGATGCGCCCAAGGGGAAGGGTCCCATCTACCGGAGTGGACCAACTTCTTGGTGCGACGAGAACGCCCGAGCAGAGCTTGCGCCCGCTTTGCATTTGACCCACCGATACTCGTTGTATCGGGCGAGCATGCTGAAGAAACCCAAAGCCAGGGAGATCCAGGTCGCTGCGGCGAACAAGATGCTCAACATGTTGAAGATCCCATACTTCTTGATCGGACAATTGCCTCCTGCGGAGTTGGTCATGACGCGACTGTTCAGCCACATCGCGGATCGGAATGAAAACCCCTTGGTTATGGCTTTCGCCGGTGCCTCGGGTCATGGGAAGACTGAGCTGGCTATCCAAATGGGAAACTTGTTGTCTGTGAAGCATATTGTGATCGACTGCGCACAGCTGCGCGACAGAATGGATCTCTTAGGCGCCTCCCATGGGTATTTCCGAAACGACGAAGGCTCGGAGCTAAATAACTTCATTGCGGAAAACAATGGGAAGCGGGCTGTTGTTTTCCTGGATGAATTCGACAAAACGGAGCAGGTGGTTCGTGATTCGCTCCTAGAAGCCACAGACAAAGGTATCCCCCCTTGCTCAGAGTCCTGGAGTGCGATGCTGACGTTGGGATAGGTGTGTATAACGATCGACGAACCAACCGCAATATCGATTGTTCGAAGTTCATCTGGATATTAGCAACGAACTACGGCGACGTGATTATCCAAAAATTCTACGAAAACGAAGTGTGTCGACTGAGCGACAAGGAGCGAGAGGCCATTAACTTGGAGCGCCTGCAAGATAAACTGAAGGATGCGTTCATGCAAAAGTTTGGGGTGAGTCGTTGCAACATGAGGTACCGCCTTCACTAACGTCTTCATACAGGCACCCTTTACAGGCCGGACTCGCCTTATAGTCCCGTTCCTGCCATTCTCACATTCGGAAACCGCCGTTGTCCTGCACAAATTCATTCTCGAAAAGGAGGATCACGTCCGGCAGCCTATAGACCTTCGCGATGATGTTAAACGATACATCGGCCACGTACATCTTGACTTGCTCGAAGATGGGAAATTCTGTGCAAAGATGGCCAATAAGCACTACAATGAAGAGCTGGGAGCCAGAAGCTTGCTGGAAGCGCTGGACACGATCCAGGACAAGTTGGTAAAGGAGTACCATGACACTGACGAGCTAGTGTCAGAGGAAACGAACAAGGGCCCATTGCAAAGATACATAGTGCGACTCGTTCCAGACACTAACGGGGGATATGATGTGGGCGTGTATAAGGATCAGGAGGCCGATTGAGATGATGAGTGAGTAGGAGATAGAACGGTGACTGAGCCCCACAAGAGCATTTGCAATGGTATAGTTATGTCGAATGAGATGAGCTAGGGTATGGACGTCGCGGGACGCATACAAGAATGTCTTGCTTGGTCATTGTAAACTCTGCTAAAGGCCTTCAGCAGTGCAGGTGACAAGTGAATGCTACGGTGTTAACTCAACGCTATTTCCTACACATTCTTCCCGGCCAAGGCCTCACTAACGCCGATGAGTCTCGAGTTTCGTCTTGGAGCAGTGGAGGATCTCTTGTCACTGCCTTCATACATTAATGGGACTGACTGGCTGCAGGCGCTATCGCTATGCCGACCTTGCCACCTCGTTCACTTGCGCCTTCCTTGGGCAGCCTCGCCGCCTAAACGTATAAACACGCTATCCTCCGCATATTAACTCTCCACTTGCTCGCCTTCCGTCTCTCTCCCCACCTTTCTCTGGCCTCACTCGGAGACAAAACCTCACACTTTCCGCACGCGTAAAGCAAGCCGACTCTCTCCAGTCACCATGCTACTCAAGCGCCTTCTGTTGGCGGCTGCGGCCCTCATGATGACGGCGGTCAGCGCCAGCGTTGTCGCCCCGCCGGTGTCCGGGTCTCTGGACGTGCCATCCCCCGAGCCACAGCTCACCGATGAGCAGTCCGTCGCCGACGACTCCTCTCTACCCGGGGATGCAGGCGACTGCAACTTCGGTCCTTGCAACGCTACGCCGGGAGAGCGGTCGACCGCCGCCGAGCCAACATTCACTGATGAGGCACCTTCCACCGAAGATTCCTCTGGATCCGAGGCTATCCCGCCTCCTCCTCCGCCATGCCTCGCCTGCACATACCTGTACAACGCCTGCATGAACCGCTGCGGTCGCCGCAGTGGCTGCTACGAATGGTGCCATTGCCAGACAGGAAAGGTCTCACGCTGCGGAGGGTGCGGATACCCCGATTGTGACGATACTCTGTCTGAAGCCCTCCAAGGCATCGAGCAGCGATCACCGTCTGACGCCGACAATGCCGCATCTGAGGCTATCCCACCACCCCCTCCGCGATGCCTCGTCTGTGTACATCAGTACAACAGCTGCATGAACCGTTGCGGTCGCGGCCCTGGCTGCGACTCCTGGTGCCGATGCGATATCGGCAAGAGCAGTGCGCGCTGCAGGGGGGCTTGCGGGTACCCTGTCTGTGACGCCCCTCAGCCTATTGCACAGGTAAGCAACCCTTAACTGTTTCTGCATACTTCCTCCGGATGGGCTTCAAACGGTCGACGTGCAGCTCATCCGTCTAACCACGCCGAATCTGTGGCTACATTCTAGGACATAGCTGACTTCAAGCAGATCGAGACCAGCCCAGTTTCGACACTTCAGGTGGTTCCGCGCGCGGACGATCCGGACAAGGTCTGCATCGCAAAATACAACGAGTACATTGAGTGTTACCGTCAACGCTGTCAGAACGCCGACTGCAAGGCTGAATGTATGAAGCCCTTCTGCGCCAGCCTTCCATCAGACGACACGCGCAGCTGCAACAGCGCTCGTGAGATCTGCCGCAACGCCACTCCTACGTCAACGCCTCCTGCTGCTATGCGGGTATAACAACTACGACAGTACAAGTGGGCTTCACTTTGACGGCCGGATCTGGTAATGCAAGCTAGGGTGGTCGTGGTTCTCTAAGCGGAATGCGCACCTGATTGATGGCAAGAGTGGTGGTATCCAGAGGACTTTCGGGGGCAATCTCTACCAAGACTTCCATGGGCAGTTTTACAGCCCTTGCAATATGATGCAACACGGATAGAAACGCTCGAATAGCTAGCAGAAATCTAAATTCAGGACTCAAAAGCAATATCCGCCCTCTGACCTCGGATCCGGCCTTCTTCCCTAATGACACAAGGTCCGACTACTAGAAGGAAACGTGCTTGCTCGCTCAGCGCTAATAGGGTTCTGGGTACCTTCAAGCATACCTCCCACCTCAGCCCTTATAGATGGTTCGGATGTTGCTTCATTGGTGTCCGAAAATAGATGGTAAGGCTGAGCACTAGCACTTGTCAGTAGCGGCGTTTCGGACCCCAAACACTATCAGCCTTCCTCTCTCCTCTACTACCAACAACCCAAGCCACAACCTCGCCGCATTGCTTGACTGCGTTGTTACGCGCCTCCGTCCCTCCGCCTAGCTGATACCAGTCAACTCCATTGCCCAACCGCCGCTCAGTCCCTCACGCGAAGCTTCGCCTATTAGGCATTCATACGAGGATTTGCAGTTGTGGAACCCCCTAGAGCCTGCTCCTTCACAATGCATGGCGTCTCTAGATGCTGTACCAGTCCTATAGCCCGTATTGAGGTCTTCTGCCGAGGTGGTAAGGGATGTGCTTCGATGACCGAACCGGAAGACGTAGGTATACCATGACTAGCGCACCTCCGTGCCTGGCGATCCATGTGCCGCCAAAGCTTTGCTCCTCTTCAATCATCGTGAGCCACGGGCCTCGCATGGTCAGTTTAGGGTTTGGCGAATCAGATGGAGGATTAGAACAAGATGCGGCGCAGCGGGAAGAGGCGAGCATAGGCGAAGGCTGATGCTCAGGCTTCCTTACTGTCGAGTGGTCCGCTGTAACGAATCAGGGCTTCTGTTCGAAGAGCAAAGGCATGAAGTGCTCCGTCAAGCTGTGGATGTAGAAGGCTTGTACAGCCTTGTCACCGCCTGCTGCAGGGGCCTTGAGATGGCCATGTATAAGGTATGGAAAAGCCGTCTTGAAATAGTCCTCCCACATCGTCTGCTTAAACTCGGCGAGTCCCCAGGCGTTCCATTTACTTTCAGTGTGTTTCATTTACTTCTTTGGCTATGCATTTGTTTCTCTCAACCTTTGCAGCCTTCGTTGCTGTCTCGTCCGCTCTTCCCACCACTTCGTCTTACAGTCATGTCGTTCACGAGAAACGAAATAGTATACCGCAGAAATGGACGCGGCGACCGCGGATGAATGCGTCTGCCGTCTTGCCTGTTCGCATCGGCTTGAAGCAAAGAAACATGCATCGAGCCCACGAGTACCTAGACTCCGTCTCCAATCCGAAGTCTAGGAACTATGGCAAGCACTGGTCGATTGACGAGATTACGGAGACCTTCGCGCCCAGCGATGAGAGCCGAGTTGCAGTCCTGAAATGGCTATCCGACAACGGCATCTCATCAGTCAAGAATGAGGGCGCCCTACATACTCTGGAGTTCGATTTGTCAGTCGAAGGCGTCGAGAGGCTTCTGAGCACGGAGTACTACGTTTACAGTCATACTGAAAACGGCCAAGGTCACGTTGCTTGCGAGGAGTATAGTGTGCCAGACCATACCACGGAACACATCAACATCATTACGCCAACCCTTCATTTCGACATCAGGCCGCAACAGCATGCTGTGAAGCGCGATATCCCAAATCCTGCAGACCCTGACCATGGATATCACCCCTACCACGAAGAAATGCCGACTGCGGGAAGACCAAAAGCCCAGAGCGGCAGCGCTTCTCTCTAAGACTGCTTGGACGCCGTCACTCCCGACTGCCTTCGAGCTCTCTATAACATTCCTGTAAGCTAAGGCGTCCGGTAGGAAGTCTACGCCCCTGCCAAAGTATGTGCTGTTGTTTGAAGCGCCCCGTGAGGGCGTTTTGCACTACAGCAAGCACTTAGCTAAGACATTAACTTACTATCCTAGCCACTTTGAGAGCCACGCTAATATTGTACCCGTACCTTAGGAGCCATCCGACGAGCCAAGCGAAGACAACAGCTTCGGCATCGTCGAATACAACCCAAATACCTACGTCTCCGAAGACCTCGACACCTTCTTCAGCAAGTACGAGCCCTCCACCGTAGGCGCCCCAGATGTCGTCCTGGTCAACAACGGCAGCCTCGACTACTCCAACGCATCCAACTTCAACCTACACGACGAATCCAACCTCGACCTACAATTTGCCATGGCGCTTGTCAGTCCTCAAAACGTAACACTCTACCAAGTCGGCGAAAACGAGATGACCGGCGCCGACGCCAACTTCATCAAGACGAAAGTCGTCTTCACATCCTGGGGCTTCAACGAAAATGCGCTGACGCCCAAGTACATGGACTCTCTGCAACGAGTACATGAAGCTCGGCCTGCAAGGCGTCTCGGTGCTCTTCTCAGCCGCGGATAACGGCGTTGCCGGAAACTCGCAAGACGAGTGCGTAGACAACCGCTTCCAGCCCGACTTCCCTGCAACCTGCCCGTACGTCACCGCAGTGGGAGCCACGCAGCTCGACGATAGCATTACCGACATCGCCGGCACGCTTTCCTCCGGCCGCCAGCCCGAAGTCGCCATCAACTCGTCCGTCAAATCCGGTGGTGGCTTCAGCGACGTGTTCGCCCTGCCCGATTACCAGGCCGATATCGTATCAGCGTACCTCAAAAACATGCCGCCGCCTTACACAGCGGACCGTTTCAATAACTCCGGCAACGCCCGCGCACTGCCCGATATCTCGGCCAACGGACACAACTACGCGGTCTTCGTGGGCGGAGCTCAGCAGTCAGTTGATGGGACTTCTGCTTCCACCCCTCTCTTCGCGTCAATGATTACGCTGATAAATGAGGAGAGGATAAAAGCGGGCAAGAGCTCTGTAGGCTTTCTCAACCCGGTGCTTTACCAGTACGCGGACAAGTATATCAAGGGTGTCACCGCTGGTAGTAATCCCGGTTGTGGCACTGATGGGTTTGAGACTGTGGGAGGTTGGGATCCTGTTACGGGCTTGGGAACGCCTGACTTTAGGGGGTTGATGGAGGCTTTTATGGGATTGGATTAGAAGGATGGTGGTGAGCTGATTTTTCAGTTCATGGTTTTAACGAGCCTCTTTTTTCTGTGGGCATAACGATGAGCGTTGGGCGGGCATTTCACCGTTCTGGTTCTGGATTTATGCAATCGCACCTGAGCGGGCCACCTTGAATTCGCATGGCTTCCCGAGATTCTTTAGAGTTTTCGTTTCATTCTCCGCGTCTTCGTGATATAAGCCCGGGCGCTGCGGGCCAGGAAAGTTTCGATTGGCGAGGTCCCGAAATTTGCAGGTTCTCATCATTTGGGACGTCGCTGAGTATGTAAAATCTTTCCTCGCTCTACCATCGACTCCTGCGGCCCTACTTCTTCATTTCCGGATTTAACCCTATCTCCGTCCAGAAAAAGCGACTACTGAGCAGATGCAGGTCCCATCTTTAAGCGGGGCATCCAAGCATCAAACAACCTCGGATAACTACACCCCAGTAGTGCCCATAACGACTCAGGAAGCTCGGCCATGATGTCGTCACTTGAATCACAAGCTTTTTTCGATCTCCATCTTTTTATTTGGACGTCTATGCTCTTTTCGTGAAAGTACTGCATCATCTCTCAACTCCATTGCACTTGCTCTTTCCCCGTTGCCTTCTAAATTTTAGAGTCGTTATTTTGGTGGAGGATTTAAATCTCATATACAGCAACGATGTCAGTCCCCGAAACCTTCCACGGCTGGCTCGCCCACGACGCAAAAGCCGCGCAGGGAAACCTGCAATGGCAATCCTTCGCACCGAAGCCCTTCGCAGAAACAGACATCGACATAAAAATCACGCACTGCGGTATCTGCGGCACAGACATCCACACGTTGCGCTCTGGATGGGGCCCCACCCACTATCCAATTTGCGTCGGGCACGAGATCGTCGGACACGTAGCGCGCATCGGCAGCGCTTCATCGCGAAGATTCCAAGTGGGCGATAGAGTGGGCGTCGGTGCGCAGGCAGCGAGTTGCTTGCGCGCTGATTGCGAAGAGTGCAGCGCGGGCATGGAACAGCACTGTGGGAAGGGCTTCGTGGGCACGTATAATGGGCAGTATAGGGAGAGTGGATACTGGAGTATGGGCGGGTACGCGGACTACGTGCGTGTACCGGCGCCCTTTGCAGTTAAGATACCCGAGCGGCTGGCGAGCGCGGATGCAGCGCCGATGATGTGTGGCGGGATCACGGTGTACGCGCCGCTCAAGAAGAATGGCGCGGGGCCGGGGAAGAAGGTGGGAATCGTAGGGTTAGGCGGGTTGGGCCATTTTGGCGTTTTGTTTGCGAAGGCGCTGGAGTGCGAGAAGGTGGTTGCGATAAGCAGGAGTAGGAGCAAGGCGAAGGACGCGCAAGCCATGGGCGCAGACGAGTTCATTGCGACGTCGGAGGACGAGAAGTGGGAGAGGAAGCACTCGCGTACGCTGGACCTCATCGTGTCGACCGTCTCCTCGCCCGATATGCCGTTATCGGGCTACCTGCGGCTTTTGCGTACGAACGGGCAATTCATTCAGGTTGGCGCGCCGGAGGATAAGCTGCCTGCTATTGCGGCGTTTACGTTAATTGCCAAGGGATGTAAGATTGGGGGGAGCCAGATTGGAAGTCCGAGGGAGATCGAGGAGATGTTGCGATTTGCGGCGGAGAAGGGGGTGAGGCCGTGGGTGCAGCAGCGGAGGATGAGCGAGGCGAATCGGAGTGTGGTGGACATGGAGGACGGAAGGGCGAGGTATCGTTATGTTCTGGTTAATGAGGATCATGCGAAGCTGTAAAAGAACAAGGGGGTATATGGCGAGGCGGTATGAATTATATCAAAAAGCGTAGTCTAGCGCATCGAGGCACCTCGTGAGGATATATGTACATATGGCGGTACGGGGAAATACCGAGAGGAGGGATTGTATTATAATGGAGAGGGAGGAAGACGAAGGATATTGACAAGTCGGAGCCCCATTCTCGCCCTTACTCGTTCTTCTTCATGCCCTTAGTGTAGAAAGGACTCTGCTTCACCTTCTCCCAGTCATGCAAGAGCGTCGTGTTCGCGGTGCCATCCCTGACTTCTCCTCCACCCCGTCTTATCATGTCTTCTTCAAACGCCGTGATCAGCTCTTTCCGGTTACCCCCCTCTTTGACGATCTTGATCAGTGTATCCCGAAGCTGTCCGGCGTCCGTAATCGAATGGTTCAGTCCTTGACCTCGCTGGTAGGTCATCGGGTGTACGGCATCTCCAATCATGGTGATCAGTCCATCATGGTTGTCCCATCGATGGCCTTCGAGACCAGGATCCCAGTCTGTCAGCCCCATATACCACACAGGCGTGTCGTCAGGAGTCCACTCGTAAGCGCTCTTCCAGGGATCGCAGAACTTCTTCGAAAGGTCCTTTTGCTGGGCTAGACGCTGCGCATCGGTCCAGTTAGCGGTCGCATCCTGCTCTTCTAAGCTACTATGCCAAGAGATGTAGAAGAAGAAGGTCCAGGAAGAGGGATCGTCTGCGTCGGCGACATCCTGCATTCCGAAGAAGGCGAAGTTGTTGTCAGGATGTGCACACGCCAAGTAAAGAGGGTGAAACTTCCTCAGATAGAGTGCTTGCTCCTTGGGAAATTTCCTTTGCACGAAGGTCGCCGCGTAGGGAAGCCTGTTGATCGCGCCAATCTGAGGGCCCAAAAGACATTGACGGGTGGTCGAACGAGCACCATCCGCACCAATGAGAAGACGTCCGGTAGCTGTGGTTCCATCGGCAAAGTGTGCAGTGACAGATGCTCCATCCGTTGCGGAGGTGACATCCGAGAGCCGCTTGTTGTCCTGTATGTCTAGGCCTTGAGAAAGAAGTGCTCGTAGCTTGCTCCTTCGCAGGCGGTAAAACGGACCAAAGGTGAAGGCAGCCATGGTCTCGCCGGTGTCACCTTGAACGAACGAGAGCGTATCCAGCTCCTTGGTGGGCACGTGAGGGTCCACTTGGATGCTCTGGAGCCTGGACCACAATTCGTCAGGAATGAGGCTCTTGAGCACAGGGGCACCCCAATGCAGGCCCATATTCCAATCGCGCTCGCGCTCGCGCGCCTGGAGAGGGTCTTTCTCGAAGACGGTGCATGGTACGCCTGCCTTGGTTTGTTTCAGCCAGCCGGAAGGACCACACAACGCAAAAAGAAACGGACGAGGCTAGACCAGGCGGAAGGAATACAGCGGTACTTGTAGCACACAGAAGCCCGGGTGACACAGTGCCGTCTTACGTACCTCGCGGAGGCCCTGAGCAAGCGCAAGGCCAGTGCTGCCTGCGAATCACGTCAGCCTGTGGTTGTCAGCCATGCAGATTCGGGCACGCACCGGACCCGATGATAAGGATGGGCAGGTCACCCGAAGCGGCGGCTACGAGCCCGTTGCCCGTTGCGGTCTCTGCTGCCATCTGGAAGGATCGGGAGGACTAATGTGCTCCTGCGGCGCTGCACGCGGATCGGGGGTAATATCTGGTCGCCCAGGGCTGACGGAGGGGTCTCCTTGGCCAGCGGGCCCTCGCGGCGGCAGCGTCTGTCGCGGCGAAAGGGGAAAGCAGCTCGCTAGGCTTTGCCGCTCTCGAACGGGCGCGCGTCTGCATTCGCACGTGGGGCTGCACGCCGCGCCGGCCGGCGTGGGCTGGCTGGAACGGCGCTCGCATGCCGGCCGGGAGGAGTGCGGGATTGGTGTTTAGTGTCAGTGAGTTTGCTGGTGCGTCGCTTGGGGGCCGCGCAGGAGAGCGCAGCGCGAGCGGGGACCGGCCTTCCCACGTCAAATCCGTCCTATCCAGCGCTGCGGCCGCCCTCCGCCAGACAAAGACGCTCCAGCAGCCAGCGGCCAGCAGCCAGCACCTCCAAAATTCCGGCGCGGCGGCTCAACTGAAATGTGACCGTGTCTCTGCCCGCCGTGTTCTCTTTATCCCGCCCGGATCCGCTGGAGCGCCCTCCTCCCCCGTCACCATGGCCGATCCAGCGCCCTCCAGGTCCGTCGACTCGTTCAGCCTCCACTCGACGGGGCAGGACAGCGCGATCCAAGTGAGCGAGGCAGCAGAGCAGCCGGTGCCGGTGCCCGCCGACTCGCAGGACCACGCGGCGCCGCAGGAACCGGACAACCAGCCCGACTATGTGTCCGACTCGGGCTTCGACAGCGGCAGTCTGCTGGGCGACGAGACCGACACGCTCGCCTCGTCCATAATGCACTACCGGATGGAGAACGGGCGCCAGTATCACGCATACAGGGACGGCGCGTACTGGGTAGGTGGCACGGCGTCCATGGGAGCTTTGCGACGTCTGACAGCTGCAGGGCCCCAATGACGAGCTAGCAAAAGAGATCCTCGATTTTGCCCATCATATGTACTTGCTCACGCTTGACCACAAACTGCATCTCGCGCCCATCAAGAATCCCCAGCGAATCCTCGACGTCGGCACGGGGACGGGCATCTGGGCGATTGATATGGCTGGTAGGTTGCGTAACCGCGAACCGGGGTGCTTCTCCCTGACGTCGAGCAGATCAGTACCCCTCCGCGACCGTCATCGGAACAGACCTCTCCCCAATCCAGCCCGAATGGGTCCCGCCAAACTGCATGTTCGAAATCGACGACGTGACGCTCGATTGGACCTTTCCGCCTGACCATTTCGACTTTATCCACATCCGCGAGCTGTTTGGATGCGTGCCGGACTGGGACTTCTTCTTCGAGGAGGCGTACAATCACACGAAGCCCGGGGGATGGATAGAGATAGTAGAGCACTCGGTGCAGCCGACGTCGGACGATGGCTCCCAGGGGCCCGATCACTTCTTCCACCTCTGGGGCCAGACGGTCATCGAGATGGGCCAGAAGTTCGGCAAGAGCTTTACCATCTGGAACGAAGCTAAGGAAAGAATGGAAAAAGCTGGTTTTGTAGATGTCACGGAAATAACGTACAAATGGCCGATGAACGGCTGGCCTGAAGACAAGAAGCTCAAGAACATCGGGCGGTGGAACCAGCTGCGGCTGCACGAAGGAATCGAGGGCTTCATGATCCGGCTGCTGACGCAGGTTGGCGGGGTGAGTCTCCTGCGCCACTCCTTGGTCGACGTTGACTGATGCCAGCAGTGGTCCGTCCCCCGTGCGCAAGTCTTCCTCGCCGAGATGCGGAGGGAGCTGAGGAACTACAAGGTCCACGCCTACCTCCCGGGCACCGTCGTATACGGACGGAAACCGCTACGATCTTCATGATTATTTTCACACACATGGGACGACTTTCTTCTCGGCGATTTACACCAGCATGTTCATTCTGTAAGATCAGGTGGAGGATTGATACCCGCATCGTCACGAGTAATGCAGCGCTTCAACGAATCCAAGAAATGCAAGTAAGTCATCTTGTTACATCTGCCTCTCCGCTTCCTGTGCGACTCCCGTGCTCTCCTGGATTCCAAGGCTGGCTTCCGCCTTTGTCTTGGTATCAGCCACAGCCGCAGGCGCTCTGCGGAATATAGCCGTCCGTGTTTCCCGATTTGGGACAATACAACTCCGAACTTTCGCCTTCCTCCAGGACGATGAATCCCGTGTCCGGGCTTTCGTTCTCTCGTTACTGGAACAGAGCCCTCCTCAGGCCCAGAAGACCGCGCCGTCTACCACAGAATGTGATGGGCGATAGTTGTGCGGAGCATCTCTCATGAAGATGTCAGGTGGTTTCGCGCTGGGCGCATATGTCTGGTGGCGAAGCTGTTTCCGACGACCATTGTCTAGTATTGGAAGTGGACTCTTAGGGAGGTTAGCAACGGAGAATGTGAGAGGGACCTCGAGTTGGGGGGTTTGCGAAGCGGTAGTGCTGCATCAGGAAGCGACCGAACCCTCACGGACGAATATGGTGGGTGTGGATATTGGCTTCCCATGTGAGCTCGTCCATGGGTTCAAGTAATAATACGTGAGCATTCCATGATGCAATACGTAAAGCGAGGCCATTTCTTAATGTTCTCTCAGTACATTCTCACCGATGCAGCGACCTCTTGGGTCCCTCGCGGTTGCCGAATGCGCTTCGTTCGCTCCTACCCGAACTGTACGATCATGTTATTCCTCTCAACCCACACCTCAACCCAACAATGACCGCCACAGCGCCCATCCAGCTCTATTCGGATTACCGATTACGATAGCCTGACCTAGCTGACATTTTCCGAAGGTCTCGCGTGAGGGCAAAGTTCAGCCTCGTCGCCCCAAGCCATCGTATGACGGATATCCTTGCCAATGAACGACACATATAATAATACAATGGCCCCGGTAACGTGTCGGAAACCTCGTTCGCGCTTCGAAAGCTTACGTGACGGTGTATATCATCCAACTTTTGGGTCATTGCTGCACCAATATTGGCTATGGCCGAGACTACCGATACGGACGAGGCTGCGAGCTCTGTATCAGCGGGGAACAGCTCCCGCGAGGATATCACGCATCTCTATTCATACATAGAGGCTTTACCAGAATCATCCTCTTCGGATGTGAATCTTTCAACCGGAGTTAACTTCAATCGGGAGGTAGAGGTGTTTCCAAGTCCGCGCAGCTCCGCATCTTTCGACTCCAGACGGGACAGAGCACCAGAACACAGCATAGTCCCCTACAGATATTCACGGTCCCCTAGAAGGGTCAGTGCAGGCAGTTTGCACCTGCGAGGTGTGTTTGTGTTTCCCGCCCTGGCTCTACAGAAGTGTCGGCTAATGCGTGACTTTCAGGACAGACCGATGCACCGGGTCTCCCTCCACCAACCCTTGAAGCTCTAGACGACACCTCCTCTTTAGGCAGCGACGCGGAAGAGATTGAGATCGAGGCTGGCTCGGATACAGCATCCAGCGTATTCTCCATCGACGATCAGATTCCGAACGACACAGATGACACCAAATCGCCTAAATCGAAGGTCAAAGATAGCCCCCAGTGTAGGATTCATAATATAATCAGATCCCGATACACCAGCTTTGGTGACGAGGGGGAGGATGATATGTCGATTGAGCTCACATGCGGGCCCCATGCGGTTGAGGATACCAAAGGTGTTTTTCGATGGGTGTACGTCATACACCCTCCATATTCCATTCCTGTGCTTACATGGGCCCAGTCATAAGCATGATAAGATCATGGATTTTGACGAATTCATTGTAGGTCAAATGTTGTTTTATCCCGGTAGGTCCGGCTGTGTCTAACAGGCGCCAGCAAACTTCTTTGAATGCCCTTGAGCTGTCATTGCGGGAAAAGCGAATGGTCAAACAAGGGTTGGAGGCCATCAGAAAGCAGAGAGAAAGGCCATTCTTCGCGCATTACGCCACTCGTGGACGATACATGGAGCCATTCGTTACCCAGAAACTCTGGGCTCACCCATCGCCGGCCATGTCGCATCTAAACCGAGTCGTCACCGTCGTTTGTTTTCCATACTTCCTTCTTGACGAGCTTCCAAAACGCGGCACGCCACCGCGCACGGCTAGCCATGTTCCGCTCACACTTCTGCAGTCTTTTTCCACTTCTACAGAGCCAGAACGTGATACGCAGCAGGTCGTATGTCGCAGCCCCGTGGGAAGTAAGAATCGATGTTTCTATGTTTCCCAGCTATGGTGTATGGTACTCGATGATGGTGGGTGCAACCTTGCAGCGACAGGCGGAGCTAACCAAACCAGGTCATATCCTCACTTGCTCTCAGCTGGCAGAGCTAGGCCTTCAATCTAGTACTGTTTCCATGATCCAGAGGCCCACTCGCGGACCGCCCCATGTCCCTTTCATCAAAGTTACTGATGGAGGAAATTGTATATGGCAGCTCGGCCTAGATGATTGTAGAACTTGGTTTGTAAGTTCAACGCAGAGGGTGAATATTACACATCTGCTAACTTATTTGAAGAGTTTTACAGCACATTTCATGGATATCAAGGGTAGTCAGTCCGGAGTCGCACGTCGCTTCGGAGATATCTTCCGCGTCACCATGGGCGGGCGCACAATTGGTCCTCGTGACTGGGACAAAGTCATGACTAAAGCCCAGAAAGGATCTGCCCATCTAGTGCTTATTCGGCGGTGCGTTCAGATATACGAGCTTACGAGCAATTACTGACTCCCGTAGGACACGCGCCGAACGCATTATGATCGTTCATCCGCCCGAGTCCGATGACGAGTTCGAGATGGCGGATAGCAACGAGCTATTCCTATGGGAAAGGACTAAATCCACGCCACCTCCAGGGTATGACGTGAGCTCTTCTGAAGTTACACTGGACACTACGCATTCTGGGGTTTCCGCCTCCGAAACGGCAGAAGTCGATTCACCTGCAACAAGTCGGCCTACTGGAAACGGATCAGGAGACCTAGAAGACAATGCACCGACTCAAACGGCCCCCCTAAGAAGCGACAGTTGTGGAACAAGCCCTTCGACTACGCAAGATTATAGCGTTTTCCATGCCCTAACTTGGGCCACCATCGCTTGCCAACCATCTAGGGAAACAACCCACGATGCTCAGGCTCAGACCGTCGATGACTGCGAACTTCTTTCGGACATACATCAGAAACTTCTACGAAATGTCAACGAACAGGAGAGAAAAGCGTACATTCATAGCCGAGAGAAGACTCTACCGGAAGTGACCACACATCTACTCACAGTCACTCGGAGGAAAGAAGGAGGTTACGTCCAAGGTCTCTCAACGCTTGATACATTCTTCGTCGCCGCAGTGCAAATGTTTGAGCTCTATCTCCCTTTGGAGAACGCAGCGGACTGCGCTAAGAGGTACTGGGGCTCAGTGTTCTTCGTCATGAAGGTAACCATGTCTGTTCGTTTCGCAGGCACTAGGACTAAACATCGATACCAGAATATCCTCGTGGACGACGGTCTCGCTCATGCACGGTCAACCGTGGCATTTATCACCATGTTCAAACGGGTCGCTCATCTCTCGTGCGTCATACAGACCGAGTTGTCCAAGCCTCAAGGGCCGGACCCTATGTCTTTCAAAGTTCCTATCGAATTCCGAAAAGCCTGGATGCATTGCGTCCTCTCTCTTGCTATGTTTCGCTTTAAGAGCAGAAGATGGCAAGATAGAGAAAGACATCTGGAGAAATGCGAGGCACTTCTTCATCGCGGCCGGATAACACTTTGGAGAACATCAATGAAGGTACCTCTTCAAAGGAAGGAGGTGGCATCCCCTGCCGCCCTCATGTGCGCTCTAATTGGGAACCTTGTCCGGGATGTCAGCACGGGCGACATGACGCCTGATATCACACTCATCTACCGCGAGTATTGGAAACAACTAGTAAGTACCATCTCATAGTAGCTGTATCAAAATTACTTACCTGAAGAGGAAATCAACGTTAAATCCGGCCGATGGAAGGGAGCCCGGCCGCAAATTGGATTTCTTCAACAAGAGATAAAGGCCATCTTCAAGACTCTCGACGACCAAATCGACCTCCTCAAGCGCCTGTACCAGGAGATTAGATCCCAATGCTTAGGGTGGTCTTCCCTTGACAGTCATCACCTCGAGCACGCGCCTCGGCCAGAACTGCCCTTCATCGAACGATGCATAGAGCACGTACAAAAGCGAGTAGAAGCTTTTGAGACCATCGAAAGAGAATCCATCGGATTGGAGAGATGGATCAATGAACAGACCGCATTAACGAAAGACCGTCACGACAACGCCATCTACACGTTTACAGTCGTAACCGTCGTATTCCTCCCACTCTCCTTTGTCTGCAGCTTCTTCGGCATGAACACGCACGATATCCGCGACATGCAAGGCGGCCAATGGATCTTCTGGGTCGCTGCCCTTCCTCTCACGTTCTTCATCGTTTTCGTCGCGCTGCTTTGGACGGACGAGTTGGGGCATGCCTGGACTGCTTTGACGGGCAAGATCGGCTCGGGTGAGGCGCCGGGAGACCCCACTCCGCACCACCAGCAGCCTGGCTTGTGGAGCGCGATTTTTGAGCGTCAATCCGCGTGGAAGAACGCCTTCAAGAAGGAGACAACTCAACTACAGCGACCATCCACAGCTCATGCTCCTGCTCCTCCATCTCAAACATCCGCGACGGATGCGATAGATGAGTGGGCAAAACCTTATCGCCGAACGCCAACTTACAAGTCGTTGTAGCACATGACACGCCGTGCTACGTGTCGACCCTTGGTAAAGCCTTCTTAGCCAAGTAAGGTTGGTAGAGATAATTGAAGGTACCTGGCGGATCACGACAAAAGGCACCACGCTAGGTTAACGTATTGTATGTTAGGATGCTTCAATGGAGGCATCCCTCCTGAGTGGATTCGGATTCTGAGGTAGTCGTCTCTAGCCCATCCCGGCCGTAGCAAGCTTACGCAGCCCGAATTTCTTTGTGGGAATTCGGTATACGTCAAAACCTGGAGGCTCCCCAGTTGTTGTATGTTTCGTTTTAGTGTCCGTTGGCAGCCAAGTTTGCTTGGAGTTCCTCTGTGGGCGCTTTTGGCCCACGCCCTGGCGGATTCGCCTAGTCCCCCTGTCGTGCTCGGCTCTGATGTCTTGGTCGCAGATGTTGGTGATTCTTACAACCAAGTGGCTTCCGTGACCGGAGTCCTGGTTTTATCTCCTCACTGACGAACGACCTGCTCTCGCTAGATACAGGGTAGGATCCGTGCCAAGTCTGGCGCGCAAACATTGAAACTTAAAGAATTCGTCATTCTCAACTCTGATCATCACTTTGCAGCCTGGCTGGTCCGTCTGCGGCATCTATTGGGTGTTGCCTTTCTTCAAATAAGCGATACGCCTTCCTGGACACCGGAAAAACGACCAGAATCATCGAGCAAACGAGCGGAAACCACTGATCCTGGTCCAAGAGACTCGATCCGCTCCTCGGAAAACTGATACCGATTTTGAAAGGCAGCGCCTCTTCGGTGTACATGAACATGCCTGCGATGAGAGACGCAACCACGAACACCCAGAACAACAACAGGCTAGCCATGTCCCAAGCGTCGTCTGTCTCAAACCTGTAGCCTTCGTTCATTAGCGACGTTGCCATTGTGCCGACACATATGTAGCTCCAGGTCCAGATCAGCATCATTAGCATGGAGAACCACCCGGGAGCCGGAGTAGCCATGGATGAGAAGGTGCAGATACTCCACAGCATCGTCCATGTTGCTCTGCGACGGCCCGTTGCTCGAGCGAAGCCTTCGTGGCGATGATTCTCCTTCTGATTCCACTCGCCCAATATCGCCACGAACGCGACCATAGCCCCAACGCGAGCTACACAGACCGCAGCGGCTCGTTGCGGGGAATCCGCGTTCCCACCAATCCAGCGGAGAACGTCAATGCTGGCCACTAGGGGGTAGGCCGCCGTCCCAAGCACTCCGGCGTCAAAGTCCACCTTCTCTTTTACCGCCTTGTCCCCCTTTCCACCAACAATTCCATACTCCAAGTCTTGCTTGTGCACGATCCTCCGTAGGCGCCGAGACAGTGCAACGAGCAGGCTCTGCCACTCGCAGGAGAGCAGCGTCGGAAGCGCCGTTAAGAGCCACGGGATGAAGACTCCTGGGCCGTAGAGAGAGCTGACGCTGCTGAGGTCTTTTTGGTCGCTACAAGAGACCGTGATGGCCTGGAATAGAATGGAGAAGATAAGAAGAGCCTTGACTAAGTGGAGCGGCCACTCCACCCAGAAATCAGAGGGGAACTCTAGATACCTTGACATGGTTGGTTTTTCGTGCGGTGGGGTCCTTTGTTTACTGGTGCCTCGGATTGGGATATCAAGGAGAGAGTGTGTGGGCGAGGGTGCTTGGCAGGGCTAAGGTTGACGGGAAAGCTTAAGAGGCGAGTCTCGCGGCGGGATTGGCTTGTGAGGCGGGGAAGAAAGCTGTAGGGATGGATGAGCATCAATAGCAACATTCAGAAATGTCATATTACCTGTCTCGAGCCTCGACCCGCCAGCCTGATCGTCACCTTCTGAGTGCGTGCTCTTCCGTTGCATGAAATTGAGGCATTGGTCTGATGTGTGCTGGACCTGTGAGCATGGGGGAAAGAGCGAATGTTGTTGTCCACGATGGAGAACGGTATCACACAGGTGCTGCCTGCTGTAGCGTTCTCAGCTCAGCCCAGAGACTGCTATGTCCCTTGACCCCAGAAACGAGAACGAGAACGAGAACGAGAACGAAAGTAGAACCGGTGAACACGTAGGCACAGCCTTATGGGATTGGCGCGCTAGCCCATTACGGATGGCAAGCGCCATGGCCTCAGCCTTGCGTCGTCTTAACGCCCCGCCAAGCGTGCTCAATTTCGCATATACGGGACCCGAGTTTTTTCATATGCCGATCGCTTTGAAATTCGCCATACAGGAAGGAAATGGGCATGAATGCGATTGTTCTTATTAGGAATTTAGCCGAGTCTTCTTCGTTGCGATCCTTCCTAGGGATCTACATATCTTGGTATCACGGTGTTGTTTCGCAACCCTAACCTTATTTCGTACCCGCGGTCGAAAGCCAAAAAAAATATATGGGGTGTCATGACAAGATGGGAATCCAGAACGCCCATACTCCCTCCCATGCCGTCTAGCCTAAACCTTTCCCGTTTCTCGAATATGCTGAACCGAATATTCCAAACCTAAGACGCCGTAACCCAAACCGTCCAGAACCGGGGGACTTTCTCGCCCTCTGAGAGCTTCGTCACAAACGCGGGTTCATTCTTCTTTCTCTCTGAACTCTTTCATGAAATCCCTCGTCCCTTCGCCCTCGTTCACCCAGACCTCCTGCTTGGTCTGCAGCAGCGTCTTTTGCATGATCTCGGCGAGGGACTGGATCATGGCGTTCCCTGTGTCGGTTTTGGTCATGCCCTTGTCGATGGTGTGGTGCCGGATGAATTGGCCTTTGCAATCGCTGAGGATGTGCGGATGGTTGGCCGCGAGGCCGGGGTAGCCCATAGCGTCGTCGCATGGGATTTCCTGTAATCCTCATCAGCTCCCGCTCATTCCGAAGCAGAAGATTTGGGCGGGAGTACTTACCACGATATTATTATTAGGGTTAAAGTCGTACCGAATGTACTCGCTGAACGCTCTCTGCTCATGACTCCACTCCTTCTTCCACGTCCCACAATTCGGATACCGCAGCCCGTTCGTGCACGTCTTCCACGCATTCATCATCTCGAATGTGTACGGAAGCGCCTGGGCAACGACAAAGCCCGTATTCAGGGTCACCTTGCCCTTGGAGTCGCAGCTCGCGTTCTCGTCGCCGTTGAGGATCTGCCTGGTGTCGATGGGCATAGCGATGGAGGTGTTGTTCGTGATGCCCCAGCGGTTGAAGAGCCATTCGAGCGGGATCTCGAGGTGCTGGATGGTGGCATCGGCGTCGATGAAGACGACGAAGCGGTACGAGTGCAGTAGTTCGTCGATGACGTGCGGTTTTATCCAGGTGTTGTGGTGGGATGGCTCCATGGGTTGTGCGCGGAAGAATTTGTAGTCGTAGCCGTGGATTTGGGCTGGATGGGTGTTAGCATTGCGGTCTGGATTGACACACGTAGGGCACGTGATTACAGTAGAGATAGTGGTTCAGAAACGATGCGGACAACATCCCGCCGCCCTCTTTTCCATCCATGGTCTCCCAGTTGATCTTGTTGGCGCCAAAGATCTCGTTCTCGCCATCCGGAGCACGCGTGTCCATGTCGACAATGAGAACATCGGAACCCAGAAGCTTCGTCCATGTTGGATTGTCGGATACATTGAATTTGATTCCATACGGATCGACGTAGTCCTCTGCTGTCACTGGATGTCGTATTGACTCATAAAGGTTGGAGACTGAATTTTGAACGGACGGTTTTGAGAAATTCGGTATGTCGTTGGAGCAAAAGCTGAGGCGGCGGCGTCAGCAGAGCCCGAAGCTTTCTTCTTGGAGCACTCACTGTTGCGCTGACGAAGCAGCCTGCTGGGCAGCATCCTTAATTGTCTGAACCGGGCCACCTCCGTGGCGAAGAGTCGCAAAGATAAAAACGAGGAGTATGAAGGTTGCGATGCCTAGACCGACTAGACGATTACAGGAAAGGGGTGGCATGATGACAAGTGTGGGAAACAGAATAAAAAACCTGGGGATGAAGAGCCGCAACAAAAAGGCAGTAAAAAGCGATGCGAGAGTGATTAACGCGCTACACGAAGCGAGTGGGTACGGTGCAGAGGAACAAGAAAGAAGCTGTTCATTAGAAAAGGTCAGCAAAAGGGAGGATTCATGGCGGTAGCCTGGTGACGTTGAGAAGAAAGGTCGACGGCGGCGTAGAAAATGAAACACCGTCCTACGGCGCGGTACTAGGAGGCTCTTGGACTTATTAAAACGTCTCCCCTAATGGCTCTCTGCCCTGCGGGGGCCTGACCGCGAGATTGCCAATGACAGCCGGGCATCCCTGGGGCAATGCCGGCGCATGGCTGCAGTCTCCTAGGGATGCTTTTCGTGGCGGTAACACCGCATGGCACAGTAGTTCTTCTCCGCAACTGGAGTGCTACATTCCAGAGTATCCGAAGAAGCCACAGGCTTGACTTTGTCCCTTCAGCTCTGGAAATATTCGTTGCTGGCGCAAAATGGTTGAGCTGAAAAGCCGAATCAGCCATAAAAGGGGTACTAACGTGATGATTCCGAGCAAGTGGATCACCTAAGCTACGGTGGGCGGGCGGCTGCGGGAGGTGGCGGCCAAGCCTGCTGCTCAGGTAAATTCCCAAATGCGGACATGCAGATCCTTGATGCTGCAAAAGCTTCACAGCCGGGTCTTGCTTCGCCGCTGCCTGCATCGTATTCTTATCTTGTCACACCATGCCGAGGCGCCATCCTCCAATCGTAGGGGCGTCGGAAACAATAGAGCAATCGACACCACAGGTTGAGCGGTTGTTGTCGAAGAGGTTTTCTCGACGCGTTTAAGCTTTTGCGTTCGTGCGTAAGACAATAAAAGCCACGCCAGTCGCGTTTCCTCCGCCGTCGACTGATTACTGTACTAGACTGACGCGGCCACCGCGGCTGACACAATCGTCCTGCGCTGTCTCAACCGCGAGCGTTCTCCCCAACAACTTTAGGCCAGCTTATCTCAGCTGTCGCCCTCTTGGCCAGCCTGCATACAAAACCACGCCGATGCACCTGGGCAGAGGCAAATCCTGTCCTCCGTTTCAGGAGACTCAACAACTCCAAGACTTTTTGAGCGCGCCAATGAGAAGGCGGCATTCTATTTGTATAGAAGGAACTCTTATAACAACGATCTTCGCCCAGCAATCTCGGGCTTGGTCTTGGCGGCTTCGCTTTCAATTTGCGGCGATCGTGATCTCGCCCATGCTCATCGTAGTATGAAGCAGTTCCCGGAGAAAATGATGGGTTACGCGGACTTTCGAACCGGCGAAACGCATAGGATGGAGTCGCCTCCAGGAGCAACGTCGTCACTTACGATAGACTGACGGAACGGAGGCGGTGCGAGAGAAAATTCTTGGACGTCGAGGGCGATGTTTTATAATTAACGCCGTTAGGGAAACTTGCCTTAGGAAAGCATCGTCGCACGTCCTATATCATAAGTCCCAGTCCAGTCCAGTCTCGGCAGCAGTCGCAGCAACGTCTCTTTCTTCATCGATACGGACCCTCGCCTCTCACTTTTCTAACGCTGTCTCCAGGCTGTCGTTCGAGGTGCTCAACAGTCTTGTGCCACAGACCTATCCGTCATGGTATTTCTTCTGGGCTTTCTTCTCCTCCGATCCCCAGTCGATGAACGGTTGCTCGAAAGCCCCTTCCTCTGCTTCTAGAGTCGCTTCCTCGGTAGGCTCCAGTGGATCGTCTTCCGAAACCTCTCCCCGACATGCAGTGCGCCCCGTCATTCGAGTCGGAGACCAGCCCATCGAGATCATGCGCCTTTGAAGTCGGTTTGACATGACATGGAGGGGTATCTTTCGTTTCGTGTTGTCTTCCTCCTTGTTCTTAGATTCTTTGGTTTCGTTGATTTCGTCGGTCGCGTGGGAGACTGCTGCTTCTTCCTTGAAGTAGTGGGTATGCGGCTCTGTTGCGGATTCGATGACGCCATTGTTGGTCGACTTTACTGGTTCGATTGCCAGCGCGGGGATAGAGTGGACGTAATTAGATAGTCCCAACGGGTTGCAGATGAGAGTGACGTTGGAATAGTGGTTGTACAAGGGACACGGGTGCTTGCCTTGATCATCGCTCTTTCCCGTTATCATTCTGCGCTAGCCACAATCGTACGACTCACCCGCTGGCACGTCACCTTGACCTCCATCCCCCACCTGCAGGTTGGGGATGAGAAGGCAGTATTGTGCTAGACTAACTTCTTTCCTTCTCGAAAGGATGGCGCACTCTTATTACCCGTAACTTTGAGGTCACGAAGGTGGACGGAGGGCCATCTAGGAAGCGGGATCCGTAAGGAACAATGCTTCCCCAAGCTGGTGTCATGGTGCGAGGTGTACATTGACAGGCCGGAGGTCTGGACCAAAGATAGTAGTACATTTGGATATCATATTCGTAACTCTTCAAACCTAAAAGACTCTCATCGAAGCCGGACCTCAAGCATTATAGAACTCCTTCCAATCGCCCCAGATGATCTCCGGCTCATACTTGCGCATCAGTTGTCCAGTCGGATCATCGCCCTTCACATGTGCCCACGCACCCGCGAAATGGATCACGAAGGTGCCATGCTCCCAAGCCTTCCGCGAGTCGTCGAAGCAGGCGATCTCTTGTGGGAAGGCATTGAGCTTCCACTGGGGCACCTGGATTGTTCTGTGCGCCGACGCCGGATCATCCTTCATCAATTTTACAATGACATCCTGCTCGCTCATTTGATTGTCCTTCTCCTTCTCGCGATCGGCTATGGCGTACGCGTCGTGGAGGAATTTGATCGAGCGCTCGTGGCCGCGAACGATAAAGGAGCCGAAATTCAGACCATTGCAGTCGTGGGTAAGCAGATAGTCGATTTCATCTGGATTCGTGGCGTTCGCTAGCGTCTCTTCGATGATATCTGCGACCTTGATATCGGTGTTGGTTACCAGAGTGTCAAAGTCCAGCCACCAGAGCCAATCCCACTTGTTCTTCTTAATCAACCGCTCCATCATGTCATATTTCCAGTATACGGTCCCGCGCTCCGAGTGCGCTTCGTAGTCAACGAGGAAGTCGAGGCCATGTCGGCGGGCGTAATCTATATCACGGTCAGAAGGGTCTACGGGTGGATGCGATGAGCTTACGGTCCTTGCTCTTCAGCGCGAGATGCAGGTAGGACCTCTGATCAGTAACAAACGTCACCAGAGCGATACGCGGCGACTTCTTCTCTGGAGGTGCTTCTGGAGCTGGAGCTGGGGGTGGAGGGGCTGGGTTGAAGGACTCATGCAGCGGGGCCTGGCCAAAGTGCCAGCCGAGGAAGGCGCAGAAGGCGAGGAAGAGCAATAGCGAGGGCGGCACCCTCAGCGAACGCACCAACATTTCGAAGCCGGAAGCCCTTCACGGCATGAAGAGAAGGAGGGCATCTGGGGACGCAAGTGAGCTGCGCTGAAGGTGTTGTTCGTATTGGTGCTACCGGAATGCCGCCAAGCATGTCAGGGCGGTGTTCGTCGCTCCCTTCCGCTAGTTCATCTGGCATGGCAAGTACTCGCTTGTAAGGTGATCTAGCCTTTGTGATCCAGCTTCAATCTCAAGGGCGATGGAACGGCTTCAAGCTCAATTCTGACAAGATGGAAAGGATCCACTTGATCTGCGCGACGCGGGATGCCAAGCACCCTCAACCCCACTCTGTCGTTCGTCCCTGAATGGGGTGAAAGGCGCTCGGGCCGCAAGCTGCGTCACTCCCAACCACCCTCATAACCATCACCTTTCCCAGCGCCAGTTACGAGTTGCAGTGCCATATTACACCCGCTCAGTTTTGCATCGCATCGTTCAACCGCTATTATGTCAGGCTACAGAGGAGGCCGAGGCGGAGGAAGAGGTCGCGGAGGAGGCGGAGCGTGGAGTTCGAGGCCGCCTAAGGGACTCTTCCTGAACGGCGTGTGGCACTGTACGCACTTGAACGCTATGTCGTACGGCTCAAGCTAACGCAGCGGAGGCGATTGCGACCCTCGATTACCCGCGCTTCATATGGAGACGAAGAAAGGTGACAACAAGGGCAAAATGTGTAAGGCTTCCTGGCCGGCTTCTATGCGCATCAGAGAGCCTCCTAATACCTGTGATAGATCGAGCCTGCCAAAGGAAATACGGCGATAAGGACCGCTGTAAATTTTTCCTGTGGGATTCAGAAGCACACCCCCGAGAGGCCGCCGCCTTAGCAAACAACACGCGCACAGAGCCCGGTCGTGCACACGAGGCTACACCCATTACGCCGCGACCCCAAAGGGTGTCACCTCCCCCACCGTACACACCACAGGCCGGACCCTCCGAACCGAGCAGAAAACGTACGCGAACAGCCGTTGAGGAGGACGAAGATGAGTACGGTGTCGAGACTGGGGATGCAGCGTTCAACGATGAACTGGACCAAGTCATGACTGCTGTCGAGACGCCGACGAAGATAGCGAAGACTGCCGACTTCAGCACTCCGGCAAGGCGCAGACTACCTTGGCAGAAGGACGATCCTGCGAGGGGAAATGGACTGCTGACACCGCAAACCAACCACCGTGCTACAACTGCCGACCCGTTCAACACAAGATTTGCCGCACCTGGTGGATCGCTCTTTACGCCGTCAAAGCAGATGCAACCGGACAGCGCACCTTCTCAAACCATGACACCGTCGTCGTCCCCTATTGCTACGCCAACACCTAAGCGCTTCAAGGACGTTAGCACAGGAGATGATCTGTTCCAGGATGTCTTCGGGGTATTTGATCCAGACAACCCCAGGTTGGATGAGCGGACCAGAAGAGACCTGACTGCAGTCTTATCGAAGCATGCGACGATTACAGAGGGCATCAAGAGAGGACGTGAGGTCGCCAGGTCAGCAATCAAAGCGGAAAAGGCGAAGGTCACGGAGCTCACCTACCGCGTCAATACACTGGAGGCTGAACTAGAAGCCGAAAGAAACAAGTCGAAGCTGCTGCAATGGCAAGTAGAAACAGGGCACCGCTCCGATTGACGTAGAAATCGAGACGAGTTTCATACTACCGTACAACAACGATGCTTTGGATGAAGCCCACGACCTGGCATCGCAATGCCGATTTCCGGCCTCCGTACGACCGCCCCGAGTTCCAGGATCCGCGTGGGTGAAATGGCTCAAGGGCAGCTTGCCGTTGTTTCCGATCGTTTGCGAGGCCTCTGTGTACATGTAACGGTGCTGCACCGCGATAGCGTCGCAAGCACCGCTTCGGGAATAAGGCGGCTACGTCAAAATCCGCGTCCAGTGCCGGGAGCATCACGCAATTCCGTCTGTTCTCCTGTACTGTTCAGACTCGGCGCCGCAGTTCCACACTCTAGCGGCGGCTACCCTTTGGGCAGCCAGGTCGAGCAGCGGTATTTTGGGCTATGGCCCCTCGTGGCTGCACGCCTGAAGCGGCGCCGGTTTACGAATGATTGCTTTCATTTATTTATCGATGGCTGCATGGCATTTTGAGGTGGAGGTGGACGAAACGGGAATGGTCGGATCGCGTGAATGGCGGCGGGGAAGCGAGAAAGCTTGTTTCCGCCAAGCCGGCCACACGTCACGCTTTGTTCGTGGTGCCTGCCCAGGTGAATGCTTGTGACCTGCGCCCTCCAACCCGTGCTGGACAGCCTCCCGAGGTCACGATAACGTCAACGCCGGTCAACGCCGGTCAACGCCGTCGAAGCAGGCCGTCGCTGCCGAGTCACCATGGCCTCGCGCTGTCGTTGGACAGGCGCGGTTTGTGCGAGGCGTGACGCCATCGTTCTGCGTGTGCGCGACTTGTGCGGACCGCCACGCACGCGCTTTTTGTGCGGAGATCGCACATCTCACTCACTCACTGACTGTTCGCTTGCTAGAATATTCGGGTGCAATCTTCCAGGCAGCCTACTTAATCGGCCGTGTCGCAGCCATCGCTCCTTTCGAATATTTGCCCACCGATGTTTTCCGCTGCCGCGTCGCTTCCCTGAATACCTCATTAATCCTCCCCGGTAGTACCGCTGGCTGTTAATCAACCCCACGTATCACCTACCACTGCCAGCTGAGTGCCGTCACACACACCCAGGGAATTCGACTATCCCCATATTGCGTGGTCTATCCGAGTCGCTCGCAATATGTCACCCACGATGCGGAGGACACACTCTGGCAAATTGCCCCTACCGCATGTGGAAACCGTCACAACAACCATTTTCATTTCGAACCTGCACTGCCCATCATGCGTCGAGGCACTTCAACAGTCCTTAAGTGCGCTCGAGCCGGCGCCCGAATTCGTCTCCCATTCTATTGTTTCACATTCCGTCGTCCTACGGCATCAGTCCTCCCTTGCTGTCGAGGACATTTCCGGCTCGCTTGAAGCTGCCGGCTTCGAGATCCACAGCATCTTTCAGGACAACAAGACCATATACACGCCAGTAGAAGTCTCCCATCCCGAGCACCGGACTGTAGAGTGGGAAGACAGCTTGGAACACTCAGTGGCGAGGTGGTTCCAATCACGCGGCCCCGACACCAGCTCGAGCTCAAGAATAGATATGCATAAGCGCGAGAAGCACGTGGAGCAGTGTGAGCAGTGCAAGGCGGAGTCTGGAGGCCTTCGGCTAGACATCAACGACGAAGGCACATACCCACTGAAACCGGAGCCGGTCGTTACGGCCGACGAGAAGACGATTCACACCACCTTCGACGGGGTAAGGTCGACGGAAAGCTTCATCGCAATCGAGCCGGCAAGGACCCCAGTACTTTATAAGGCCACGCTTGGCATCACTGGCATGACCTGCAGCTCATGCGTGAGCGCTATTACGCACGCTGTACAGGACCTGCCGTGGGTCCGATCCATCGACGTCAACCTTCTCACCAACAGCGGCACAGTTGTCTTCGACGGGAAGCACCGAGTTGAAGAGATCGTCGAGGCAGTGGAGGATACTGGCTTCGACGCCACCGTTGAGCAGCTCCACGAACTCCAACATCCAGCTCTTAAAGAACCCCCTGCACACAAGAAGCATTCCGAGAGATGGCGAGCCGCATACGCGATCGGTGGCATGACGTGTAGTTCGTGCGTCGGCAACATCTCCACCGCGTTAAGGCGACACTCCTGGATCGAAAAGGTGGATGTGAACCTAGTCACCAACAGTGCTGTCATCGTCTTCTCAGGAAAGGAGCATCTATCAGAGATCAAAGAGACCATCGAGGATTCCGGCTACGATGCGACACTCGACAACGTGGTCCCAGAGGATGCAGCGCAGGAGGAGGCAGTTGACAGATCTGTCAGCATCCGAGTTGACGGCATGTTCTGTCATCACTGCCCGGAAAACATTATTCGGGAGCTGAATAGCAGGTACACCGAGAGGTTCTCTTTCGAAATCGAAGACCCACCTTTATCGTTGAAGTGGCCTATACTCCACATCAGGTACATACCAGATCCACCTGGCTTCACCATTCGGCACGTATTCGACACGATCATGAACTTGAATCCCGTTTTCGAGCCGTCTGTGTACCATCCTCCAACAATTGAGGAGCGGGCCCGGGAGATGCACGCGCGGGAAAGGCGACGCATTTTATTCCGGCTTCTACTTTCCGTCGTCATTGCCATTCCTACCTTCATTCTCGGTATCGTCTTTATGAGCCTAGTCAAGGAGAACAACCCTCTTCGCCGCTACCTTATGGAGAACATATGGGCAGGAAACACCAATCGACTCACTTGGGCGCTCTTTATACTTGCTACTCCCGTCTATTTCCTTGCGGCCGATACCTTCCACCGCAGGGCCATCAAAGAACTTCGGGCTATGTGGAGGCGCGGGAGTCGCACACCATTCCTGCATCGCTTCTTGAGGTTCGGAAGCATGAATATGCTCGTCTCGCTCGGAACGAGCATTGCGTATTTCGCTTCGGTCGTCGAGCTAGCCTTGGCTGCCGCAAACAAATCTTCAGGCTCTATGTCCGACTCTTACTTCGATGCCGTGGTGTTTCTCACCATGTTCCTTCTCATCGGGCGCTTTCTGGAGGCATACAGCAAAGCAAAGACGGGCGATGCAGTTACATCGCTCGGCGGGCTTCGGCCTGAAGCAGCAATTCTAGTCGATTCGGAAAAGGGTGACGTGAAAGTCGCTACCGATCTTCTCGACATTGGTGACATCGTCCGCGTACACCATGGAGCTTCGCCGCCTTTTGATGGGATCGTTCTTGAAGGGAACACCAATTTCGACGAATCCAGCCTTACGGGAGAATCTCGGCCTGTCAAGAAGGAAGTGGGAGATACCGTTTACTCTGGCACAGTTAACAAGGGTTCGCCAGTCAAGGTCAGGATCACCACTGTCGAGGGCACATCAATGCTCGACCAGATCATCAATGCCGTCCGAGAGGGTCAGACCCGTCGCGCCCCAGTGGAGCGGGTGGCTGATACTATCACCAGCCATTTCGTACCCTTCGTCACGTTGATCGCGATTACCACTTGGCTTCTATGGCTCATCCTAGGGACAACTGGAAACATCCCCATGGATTGGATGAATGAAGGCTCGGGGGGTGGTTGGGCCCTCTGGTCGCTCCGTTTTGCTATCGCAGTCTTTGTTATCGCTTGCCCTTGCGGCATCGGTCTGGCAGCGCCTACCGCTCTATTTGTGGGCGGTGGTCTGGCGGCAAAGCATGGCATCTTGGTGAAAGGTGGCGGCGAGGCTTTCCAGGAAGCCAGCTCTCTTGATTGCATCGTCTTCGACAAGACCGGAACCCTTACTCGGGGGGGGGACCCCGCCGTTACAGACCACAGATTTTCTGGAACTCAAAACCATTCGCACATTGTCGGTATAGTAAAAGCCCTTGAGGAGAACAGCAATCATCCTATCGCGCGAGCTGTGGTTGCCTTCTGCAACAAACAGCCCCACGAAGTCCGAACAGCGACCAATGTTGACGAATTTCCTGGCAAAGGCCTAAAAGGGACGTTCAAGAACGGGGATGGGGAGGTAATCGCGATCATTGGCAATGAAGCCTTCATGGCGGATCATCACGTTCAAATTCCGGTTGCCGAAACCTCATCATTGCAGATGTGGAAATCGCGAGGCGAATCAGTCGCTTTAGCCGCGGTACTCACTCAGCCGCCCTCACAATCTGTTGCTGAACCGGATCGTAAGCTGTCAGATACCTCCGTAGTATCAGACCCGCTTTCGGAGGCGACGACGGAGATACTAGAGCCGCCAAAGCAAACTTGGGAGCTTGCATGCATCTTCTCCATTGCAGATCCGTTGCGCCCTGAGGCTATCGGCGTGATCGCCGCGCTGAAGAATCGAGGCATCGACGTTTGGATGCTCTCTGGAGACAATCAAATCACTGCCAACGCCGTCGGCTCGCAAGTCGGCATTCCTGTATCAAACATCATTGCAGGCGTCCTCCCAGATCAGAAGGCCGAAAAGATTAAGTATCTCCAAAAGACTCTCATCAAGCCGGACACTTCGCTCTTCCGCATCCCGTTCCTGTCTAGCAATCGCCGCACCAAAACAAAGCGCGCAACCATCGCAATGGTCGGCGATGGCATCAACGACGCTCCCGCCCTCAGCACAGCCGACCTCTCTATCGCCATTGGCTCCGGCTCCGACATCGCGCTCTCGTCTTCCTCCTTCATCCTCATCAACTCGCACCTCACCTCGCTACTCACCCTCCTCGACCTCTCCCGGGTCGTGTTCCGCCGTGTCTACTTCAACTTCGGCTGGGCGCTCATCTACAACATCATCGCTATGCCGATAGCAGCCGGTGTCCTTTATCCGATCACGACAGGCCAGAAGCAGATGGATATGCACCATAATGGTGTGGCTATGGATGGTGGCATGGGTATGGGTAATAGCGGCGTTAAGCATGTGAGGTTGGATCCGGTGTGGGCGAGTTTGGCCATGGCGCTGAGTAGTGTGAGTGTGGTTTGTAGCAGTTTGGCGCTAAGGAGTAAGATTCCGGGTGTCGGGTTCAGAGTGAAGACGGGTGAGGTCAGAGACGAGAGGCGGGATCGGCAGGAGGAGATGTGAGATTGGAAGTGATATCATTCGGGGATGGCGTCTCTTTCTGATACCTTTTCTTTACGGGCATGGTCGCATTGGTAGGCGCTGAAAGTGGGGCTATTCTTACTTTATTCATCAGGGAATTATGGTAGATGGGTCGATGAGAAATCGGAGCATCTGATACCTTTAAAACGTTTTATTAAGCAATAATAACAATCACCATGATGTGTCATCGTGGTCCCCGCTTTTCGTTCACATATTGATCCACACTCCACAACCTCAAAACACATTTTTGTCTGTGGGAGAAGCAGAGTCTAGACCTGGAACATGGAGTCGGATTGGAGTTTAAAAACTCAAGAGCAATGGATTGATGGTTGGGGGAGAGTCGGCGCTGTGATCTATGGAAAGTGAGCGATGTTTGACGGGAAAGCGGCTGAAGATGTGAGGAAGGTTGCATGATGGAGAACATTATCACCCCGCCGCTGTCATCATTTCTAACCACCCTCGTGGCACCGTCAAGCTGATCTCCTCACCTCCCCGTCAGCGCAAGTCTCACCCCCAACCCATGCAGTACTCAAGATTTCACTCTCATGGGATATGTCCCATGTCCCAGTCTTCGTTGAATATAGCTCTGAAGCCAGCTACGAACCGCATGTATGAGGATGTTCTACACTCTTAGCCCAGGGGCGGGACACACCATATGTGGTACCGATATTGATTTTAGTCAAAAGCCTGCAAGAGGACGTATAAAAGAAGAAAGGAAGACAGTGATGCAAGGGGGTATTCATATACTTTTGAAGACGGAGCGATCACATTCCTTTCAAACGAAGCTCTGGATACAGCAAGGGTACTCAAGGTATAAAGGGCCCTCGACCTCACTTCTAGAGTTCACCATGACTCTTCTCTTTTCCGCATCTGCGGTCTAAAACCGATACAAAGTGTCGGCATGGAGCTGGAATCCTCTAAAAACTGGCTACGCACAGTCTGATGGGTGTCTGGTGAGACAGGGCTGGGATATATTTTCAACATGGAGCTGAGAGACAAGGACTAAAGTAGCATTTCGTGCGGTCATGCTCGGAAGAGGCTTGGGCGGAGTGTGGCTCCGGCATAGAAGACCGAGGCCGCGAGAGCATTTTTAGCCCCCGGTGCCGGATGGTCAGGAATGGGTTAGAGAAGACGGAGATGTGCGTAACACGTCTTGCTGGTGAGAGCGAGATCAAGTAACCTCCTTTTCCTTGATTTGCTCAGTCCCTACATGTAGTAGTATTCAGTGCCCTTTAGTCTCTCAGGCCAGCACATTTGGCCGTTCTTCATCCCTTTTAATCGGGCGAGCGGAACAACGCCATGAGTCCGGGCATGTTAAATTTTAGTCGCCACAGACAGTCAGTGTCGGAGGGGAAAGAACAGTGCGGAGGAGGGATTTATATAGGTCGACGGGGACAATGCACACCGATCCCAAAAGACTTCCCCATAAGGCTGACATTGCTCAATCCGAACGATCCAGCATATGCATACCCATCGAGTGCGCTTCTTTGCTCCGCATGCAACGGTCTATGGTTCTTTTGCTGGTCGTGTCAGTGTGTGAGTTGGGCATGCCAGTTTGCTGGGCGCGCGGCAGAGAGCAGGAGGAGATGTGTGGCATAATGCCGAGTAGGGTTGTATTGCAAAGGGCTCTACATCGAAAGTGAGGGATTGTAGAGGTGTAGTCAACGCTACCTGCTTTTAGGTTGGAGCTAAGCTAATTTGGTCCGATCCGTGCCACGCACTAGCCACGTCCGTTTCAACTTTCTTTCGCGAAGATGACGTCTCATCAAATGTCTTAGCTAGCCTTCAACCCTCACAATGAACAATTAAAATGCCACTCTGCATCTCCTACACCCCTCCCCATACCAGCTCATCACAATGAAGTCTCTTGGCATCCTTTCTTCGGCGCTCCTCGCCTCTGCAGCTCTGCACCCCAACCGACCAGCACACCAAGCCATCCTCAATGCGCCATCTGGTAAAAGCGCCATGAAACCCCCCGGCGTCGGCCACTTCAGCGAATGGAGCCGAGAAACCAAAAAGCGCTTCCTGATCGACTGGCAGGCAAGCAAAGAATCAGAATGGATCTTAGTCCAAGGCAACGAAGGCGGCGACCTGGACAGTATGACCAGCGCACTCACCTGGGCCTATCATCTCGAGCACTCAACGCAAAACACTTCCCGTCCACTTAAGGCCATCGCGCTGCTTCAGACTTCCATGGATGCGCTGGACCTCCGCCCGGAGAATAAAGTCGCGTTGCAGAATTCCAAGATGACGGAGGGTCATGAGGATTTGCTTACGATGGACGAGCTGCCTGAGGACCCCGAGACGCTGAGTCCAAAGCTAAAGGGCATTGTCTTGGTGGATCATGCCAGTCCGCTAAGGAAGTGGAGTAAGGCGAAGATATTGAGTATTTTCGATCACCATGTTGATCGCGGTGTTGCGCCGCACGCGAGCCCGCGCGTCTTTGAGAAGACGGCGAGTTGCTCGTCTATCGTGGCGAGGCAGATGCTGGATGAATTGGAGCAGCTGCCTGAGGAATACCACATGCCGCATGAGCTTCTGGAAATTATCCTCGGCGCTATCGCTATTGATTCCGGCGGTCTGAGGGACGCTACGGAAGCGGATGTGCACACCGCGGAGCGCATATTGAAGCGGAGCAACTTCTCTGGCAGAGAGCTAGAAGACGTCATGGAGGACCTCGACGACGAGTTGAGCGAGGCCAAGAAGGATCTCGTCGACCTAGGCGTGCGCGATCTGCTGCGCAGAGATTGGAAAGGCGACCTTGTCGATACTCCATCCCCACGCACGCCCACCGTAAGCCTCGGCTTCGCATCGATTCCCTACTCCCTCGACGAGCAGATCCAGCGCACCGGCTTCGGCGAGCTCTTCCACTGGTTTGCGATCCACGCGGCTTGGACCGCCGCCACCGGCGTCGACATCGACGTGTGTTTGAACAAGTACAAAACCCGCGACCAGAACGGCGAGAAGAGGAAGATAAGAGAGATTGTGCTTACCGTGAGGGACGATGTGCGGATCGACCAGGCGCAAGCAGATTCGCTGTTTCGCGTTGTGTATGAAGCGCTGGAGAAGGAGAAGAGTCTTGGGTTGAAGCCATGGCATAAAGCGCATGAGCTTGCGGCGAGAGAGATGGTGTGGTCCCATGAATCCGATGCTGGCCGGAAAGTGATTCGGCCTATTGTTGAAGATGCGGTGAGACAGTGGGATATGGCGAAGGCCCCTTGATCGGGGTTTGAAGCGCTTCCGGAGGCCCTGAGCTACATTGGGAGGGAGCCATCATTATCAAACAGTTGACGTAGGTGGATGGACCTGCGTCAATGTTAGAGACCGCCTCCTCTCTTCATGCTCGAATTCCGAATTTCATATCTGTAAGGGTTAGCGGGTTCGGATACATAGACAAGATACCATAAAAGCTCTATCATTTCATGAACCGTCTCTTCGAACAGGCCTCCAAGCACATCAAGATACATGCTGTGCCACCGCAGTTGAAAGGATAGCGTTCAACAAAGGATCAAGCTCAAGCGTCCCAAACCCAACGTATGCAAAGCCTTATTCATCTATACAGGCTGTGTCTATCAAGGTCTCACTTCCTCCTCTCATTCGCCTGCGCCCCGTTCGTAAATACAACCTCCAGCTCGTCACCCACTCGCCATTTATCTAAATCCCCCTCCCACTTCACAAACCTCACCTCCGCACTTAAACCCATCCGGTTCTTCCCTTTGCACAAACCCCTATCCTGCATCCCAGCCCATATCGCACGGAACGCCTCTCCCTCGCCCTCTCTTTCGCGATCGGCATCCTCGCCTTCTTTATACCAAATGCCCTTCTTGACCATGCGCTGCAAGTCGTCGGCCGGGTCCATGGTCGCCCAGATGTCCCAGGGCATGTACTTGATGCGGATTTCTTGCAGCTTTGGGAAATCCGTGGAAGTGGAGTGGTGCAGCATGAGGAGCGCGTGGATGCAGACTTGGACCCAGTAGCGGATTTTGAGGGGGAGGGTGCGGCCGGGGTGTGTGCTGTTGCGGTGATGGTAGGATTGCTTTGAGATGAAGTAGAGGGGGAGCGTGATGCTGGATAGGGAGGAGAAGGTTGGCATGGAGAGGTAGGCGAAGAGCGGCGTTACCTCCATTGATATGAGGAGGCCAAGTTTCGTGGATATGTCGTCCTGGGCCGAAGTATCGTGTTCGTGTTCCGGTTCCGTCAAGGGATCAGAGAAAGGATAGTGCGACGAGAAACCGAATAGATCTTCGGGATCGCTCGTGCGAGAAGCGGGCTGAGGCCAAGAAGGGTATAGAGAAGCGTCGTCTGGACTATAAAAGTTGTCGTCGTAGTATCCACCTTCGTGGTCGTCTTCATCATAGTGTCCGTTATACGCCACTCCACGTACACAATCCACATCGATTTCCACTCCATCCCTCTCCCACCACCACTCATCCCTCCCCTCACTCCGATCCGGCGGATACGCCCTCAGGTTCGGAAATGTGACCCAGTCAAGCTCAACCTTCTTGATCCATTTCAGCCATTGCGTGCAGGGGCCGCCAGCCTCTTCTATGCGTGCGAGGAGTTGCTTGAGCACGTAGGGCCCGCAGCTGAGGAAGACGGTATGGTTTTGGAAGAGGATTTCGAGGGCTTCGCGTGCGGTTTGCCGGTTGAGGAGAAAGTATTCGTGGTGGAGGAGTAGGAGGATGGAGGCTGCGGAGGGCTTGAAGTGCTTCAGGTGGCGGCGTTCGATGCGGAGGGCGCGGTCGCCGCGGGCGTCGGTTATCTCGAACGTATAGTCATAGATCTAGAGGGTTGTTAGTATTTCTGGACTCTTGCGAGCCGGCCGAAAAGCAAGCGGATACGGTAGGGCAAAGCGAGGCGCCATTGGACTCCTCGCGGAGTACGTACCTGGTCCCGAAGTTCTCTGGGAAGTTGCAGGAACGGGAAGACAGGATCAACCGGTTCTGCTCCTCCGAGGGAAGGCTTTCGAGGGGCCGTGTCAGTCATTTCCACGTTAGAAGCTGTTGTAGCCGTCTTGCCCCGGCGGCTGCTGACGCGTCGTGGTGTTGCGCTGCGAAACCCGAGGCCCGTTTCCGCTGCCTACCCCGCCGTTGCGGAAAGTTTGGATAGTCTAGCGGCACCATGCAGGTGGACGCCATAGACGCGCGGCACGTGACACCCCAGCGTCACGAGCGCCCGCGCTCCCGAATTGCACCTGCCCAAGGGAGACAGATAAGCGAATTCCTTGATCTGGCAACGCCTTCTCCGAAATCTCATAAACGGGCCGTAAGCACGGACGCGCACCGCCGGCGACTTTTGGCATGTGGCAACCTTGGAATCCTCTCCTGACCCGATCTGGAGCGGTTCCCCTTCCTCCAGGATCGCTGAACCATGCGAAGTCCGTTTGCTTGTTATTGTCGCATCCCGCCTCATCCATGGATCATCGTTCATTTACTGCGACGTTGGAAGGGTCTCAGTTACATTTCGGGCATGCCCGAGAATTCAAATCGAGCCAAATCTCCGTTTTGAGATTTGGGATGTGAGCATTCATATTCGATTCCGAGCTCCTCCTTGTGTGCTTGGCTGGCTGCAGGAACCCTTTATTTACTTTTCGAAATTTCTCCGTCCAACGGCAGATCCAACGGGGGCGGTAGCAAGGCGGACTCCCTTCTTGTCCTGGTCAACGTTAGCGAGAGGAAAGCTGCATTGACATAAACCGCCGATATGTAGTGTTCCGCGGTAACTGCCCTGATCGTGGAGCAAAGGGAACCACTTGCCTTTACTAGTAGTGCAGCCGTGACACCGCCTCCAAGCTCCCAACAGTTGCACCTTCCGGACGGTCGACTGCTGGTAGAATGACGCGTTGATGCACGACATCAAACCTGACGCAGGTGGTGCTCTCTCGACCTGGAGAGTCCGGCAACGTGTCGTTTTCTTGCAATACGAAGGGTTGCGTCGATTCTGCACGTCTTCGGGGTGGCTTAGATCGGAAACAGGGAGGAGAAATCGTACGACAACGCGCTAGGTTTTCCAGATGTCTAATTCAAGAAGGTGTCGGGAGGAAGCCACGAAGCGCTTCACAACTTCTATGAAAGCGTAGACGTGTCTAGCCGCTGCATTGCCTTCTGAGACAGCAACACCTGCAAAGGCAGATTGCGCAAGACTGGCACAGCAGCTCCGTGCATTGACGGTGGAGTTTGCTGTCTGGCCATCGATGCTGTGTACATGCCCCATAGTTTCAAGATCTGCAGTTTGGCGCACGCTGCTGAACAAACACCCGTTGCTACGTGGACAAGACGATGGGTTGTGGCCGCGAGCTGCGAGCTTCTCGTATCAATGTAGAAAGACCTGGAGACTTTTCCAGGAAAAGACAGTCCTCGAGGCAGTCCTAACACAATATGCGGGGTATTAGATATGAATTGAGAAAGACTTGTGCTGCTGAGCTGGAGTACAGGGCATGCATTAGCACCTGGGACAGAGGGCCGTTTCAATTGCAAACCGGGTTCCTGGGATGCGTGTGGTCGTACCTTCGAACTCGGGTGCGATGTGAAGGGGGACAACGGCGACACGCCATGTGCGTTACAGTTTCTATCTTCGCATGTGGTATTAGGGTGTTCGAGGGCTTGTGCCCGGACGTCTGGAAGATGACTGGCACTGGGTCCGAGGATCGGAGGTACAAGCAGGAGACATGCTGAGACTCGAGGACGCACTGGAAGTGGTCAAGTATTTGTGTTCACGGCAGGTCTCTAGCGGTACCCTTTTCGTGCTCTGACGCGTCGAGGTATTCAAACTGGGCTCGGAACTCCCAACCGTTTCTTTCGTGTTACCGGTGATCAAAATAGATCCGAGTACCTCCCTGTTTCCCTGGGCCACCATTCTCGCGTCATCGAGACGTCGAGTCTGCCTATGACGAGCAGCTGAGGGAGTAGACGATCGTCTCAGTTCTGCAGAGACTCCACGATGTGCCATTCGCAAAATGGTCCAGAGAGGAAGTATATACTTGTGGTACCGACCGTGATGGTTGAAAGGGGTGAGGTCAGCGGTTAGGAATGACATGGAGCTGGCAGGCAAGTCTTGCCTGTGTCGCACTGTGTCTCTACGGTGAAGCGCCGACTGGTGGATTTCGACGACACATCCCTTACCGAGGAATAGCCAGAGATAGGGTCCTGGGCCTCATGCAGCAGTTGTCTACCTTGGCTTGCTGCGGTGCCATGCTAACGTGACTTCGAATGTTGTACGACCTCCCTGGCATATCGGCTTCAGCCAACCGCGGACACTCCCCTGCTGACGAGCGCACCTGCAATGCGGACGATCGTACGGCGCACAGAGAAGTGAGGTCGTTGATCCCGACTCGAGGTGCCGGGCGCGCTGGGATGCAGCCGGCCACCGAGGAGCCAATTTCGCCCTACGAGACACGAAACGGGACGAGAGCAGAGATGAATGAAACTTGCAACAAGGGCTCGCCTTTTGCCATGGATAGCACCAGGATGCGGACGCACCTGTGCTCGCTGAGATGCAGGTGCACCACACGCACGTCAGCAGCATTCCTGGCCAATTGGGCGCGTCGCATGTTAGGGCAAAAGAGGCTGTGTGGCCGCGGGTCTTTTGGCAAAAGTCCGGCCGGTTGCTGAAGCAGCGCCGGAGCGAGGTGAAGCAGGAGCTGAAAGCATCTGGGATCGGGGGACCAAGCAGCCCTGTAGAGGGGCCGGGAGGAGCAGTTCGCGAGCGCACAGGCGGCGGGCTGTGTTGAAGGGCCGGGAGGGGCAGATTGATCGAAAACGTGGCGGGCGTGGCCGAGGCGGACGCGGGATTGTCTTTGGTGGTGCTGGCCGTGCACATGCTCCACCTCGCCATGGCTCTTCACCCGTGGTTGGGCGTGCCAGATATTGCGCTGCGATACGACCTTCTGACCCAGGGGACGGTATTTTTAGGGCCCGCAGCACGCTGTGCAGCATGTCGGCAGCAGTGCACGATTGCGCGCGTTCGCACGCGGGCATCGCGCAGCGGGCAGGGCGGCGGCGACGGCGACGGCGACGACGGAGCGCCAATATGGGGGATCGTCGCTCACGGCGGCGGACGTTGCTTCTTCCTCGGCGCAGCTGGCGGGTTGGGCAAGAAGGGGGCCGGCGTGGAGAGCAGCGGGATCCTCGTGGCGTGTCTTACAGGCGGCGTGCAGACGCAAGCAGGCATAGCGCTGCCTCGACGGCGGGCGACGGGCAGGCTCCAGACGAGCACGCAAAGGCCAAAAAGCCCTGGGTTTGGCTAAACTGGCGACGGCGCACCAGCAAGCAACCCCAAATCCTTCCCACGCCCGCCGGCCAGCGCTGCGCTGCCACCCATCCCCCCCGTGCGCTTGACTGCTGCTGTACTGTGGAATGCTGCGTGTCGTTGCGTGCAAGCGTCCTGCCAGTGCCAGTCCCTCGCTGTCATCCGTCTCCGCCGTCTGTCTGACTGCGCTCTGTCTGACCTCCCGGCACCTGTTCGCGCGCAAGACAGGGTGCCATATTAAGTGCAGCTAGCCGCCACTAGGGGCTGCTGAGATACACGAAGCCTTGATTGAACGATTTCCCACGTGCGGGCGGCTTTGTTCTGGGCGCCAGCACCGGCATTAATTGGCTCTCGCCCTGCCCTTGCGGATCCCTCTCTGTGACCTCTGGTCTTCCTCCGCCGAAGCTCCACCTCGACTCCCATCCCCAGTTGTTGTACATACGGCCAGACCATCCGCCGCCCGCTGGAGAGCCCCGTGTTCCCCCCTCGGCATCAATTGTACTCCCTCCGCGCCCGCGGGCCCGTTCTGAGCCCGTCTATGCAAGGCACGCCCGTCCTCATTCAGCCGGCCTCGAGGGGAGCACTGCGACGTTCCCTTCTTCTTCTGTCTCCCTCCGCCCAGGACATGTCCTCGAGTCGGATGTCTGCCGTACCTGCTCCACGCTGATCGACCACTCACTGCGCGCGCAGTAAGCCGCCCTCATCTGGACCGCTGAGTTTCTTTTCTCCGCCGCTGCTCTTCTCGGGACGCCAGGTCAACCTCACTCTTTCTGTACGACCGCGACAGGACGCCACGCCGCCGCTGCTCGACACGCCTGCCGGCCTGCTGAGATCGGATTCCCATCCAGCGCCCCGCTCGACGCCTGCCTGTCGCACTCGCGCCTCCAGCTCGCTCTCATCGCATCATCCCAGATCTGGCTGTCTGAACGCCGTGCACCAGCCCATTGCCCGGCGCCGCCACCCCTGCCGTTGCTTCCCAGCGCCGTCCGCCGGAGGGGAGCACTGCAGCCACGTCTGTTTTGGCTGCGAGGCCCATGGTGGAAGCGTAGTGGGCGACGCGGCTATCGCTCGTTTGGCCTGGTGTTGCTGCTGCTGGCCCGAAGAAGAGCGCGCGGCATCGTCGTCTTGCGCGCCGCAAGGTGACTGGATTCCCGGTTGCCGGAAATCTGAAGAGCGCGTCGATTGCGCCTGCCGGCGAGATCGAGCGTGCTTGGCGGCAGGAGATTTGTTCTGCCCCGCCTCACGACGACGTGGGTGCCGTTCTGGGACGGCCTCCCTCCTGCGCTCCTGCCCTCGTGCGCTCCTGCCCTCGGCCTCTCCGCCTCACCACTGCACCGCACTGCACCTCACCTCACCTCGCACCGCTCCACTCTCTCTTCTTATCCCGCCAATTCCACCCGGAGACCCTCTGCCACGCCCACCAGTCGACGCTGACTGCTGCTGCTACGGCCAGCCTTGCTTACGCGCTATTGGCCAGTCTCGCCCGCTGGCCTGCTCTGCATCACCATCACCATCACCCACCAGCCGTGGACTTCGCACCCGCCGTCGCTGCTCGGCCTCGTCGTAGTGCAGAGAGCACGCCGATAGTTCCCCGTTCGCCACCATGGACTCTGTTTCTCAGCAACGGCCGCCTGGCGGCCTGTCTCAACCCCAGGCACTTCCATCTATTGCTTCGCTGACGAGCAACCTCTCTCCCTCCGAGCAGAGCCCCGTTCGCCTCAGACAGCACTCGGAATCTCGCGACGCCCGTGACTCGGGCAATTGGTCCATCTCCCAGAGCAAGCGTAAGGTTCCCCCAGCCGCCTGTCATTCAGACGTCAACCAGATGTCTCCAGCTTCCTTACCGTCTTCTCCGTATTCATCTTCAGATGAACGAGCTGACCGGTATACAGACTCATCTGGCGTGTCGAACACGATGGGCTTGCAGCTGCAGACTATTCTCAACGCTGAAGATTCACCTTCTCGCAACTCTGTGCCGGACACGCCCTCCTCGGCTCGGTATCCATCCGGACTGTCTGCAACCCAGCAGGTACGCTTGTCCGCTAGTGGTCAAGATAGCGGACTGACCCGGACACAGCCCAATGCTCTGCCCTCGCTGAACCAGGGCTTTGACAACCGCTTAAGCTTCGAGGCGAGCTCACAGCTGAGCGGTTCGCACTTCGACTCGCGACGAAGCAGTGTGGATAGTCGCATGAACGCGGGAATGACGCACCTCGCCATCAGCCCAGGCTCACCTTACGACAGCCAGAATGCGTCCCGCGTCTCTCTGGTCTCGAATCTTCAGCACCAGCGAGGCATCACCACGGCCGAGCAGCGCCCCAATGGAACCTCCCCGCTTTCGCCTCTCGGCCCCAGGGCTGGACCACGCGCAAATCACCCTCCCCGGCGGGCGCCTGTCATTAACCCGAACCCCAGAAGCGTGTCTGGGATGCCAGATCCGATGGCTGCTGCTCCGACCAAAGGTTATGCCTGGGCTTTCCCGGCCGAGCCTGAAGACAGAAGAGGATCCAGCAGTGGTGAGTCTAGCGTTGGACATTCTGGTCCATCACGCCAGAACAGTTTCGCCGCATCTGTCAATAGTAGCATCTTTACCGCGGACTCCAATCTCCCCAACGGGCAGAAGAGATTAGACGACGGCACGCATTCCTATCTCTATCTCTCCCAGACAGTACTGACCTCGTCTAGACATCCCCACTACCCATCACCATTCGATGCAACACCGCAGTGTGACGAACCTCCAGACTGCGGAACCGCCGAGTGCCGCGGGCAGCGGAAACTACAGCCGAACCCCGGAGCTCCGGGTGAGCCATAAGATGGCCGAGAGGAAGCGTAGGAGCGAGATGAAATCACTATTTGATGAGCTCAATGGCATTTTACCTAATTCTCCTGGGAGCAAGTCCAGCAAATGGGAGATTCTGACCAAATGTATGTTCTCCTTTATGTGTTGCCTCGATTACCTCTTCTGACTGTTACCTAGCTATTGAGTACATCAAGAACCTGGGGCGAGCCCATGAACTCGCACGCGCTGAGAATGCTCGATTACGGCCCGACGCCGAATATTGCCGCCGAGCACAAGAGGAGAGTGAGTTGTTGCGTAATGAGTTGGCGGCGGTATGGCAACACCTTCGTCGCCTCGAGCCCGGCAACCCGCACGTCTACGGAAGCATGACCGGCATGCTGGCGCAGCAATATGCGAATACGCCCTCGTCGACGACAAATGTACTACCGCCCCTTCAGCCACAGCAACCCCAGCCAGCGCCGGCACAACCTTCGCAATGGGGAGCTCCCGCTCCGAGTGCGATGCAGGGAGTCGAGTTCGGTGGCGCTCGAGCATATGAGCACCCGCATCGCTAGCCGTTAATTCCCACCGTTCAACACCATCCATCCAAAGACGTACTAATGCTTCGATATTGTCCTCTGTACAATAGCATATTTCCTGCATCCTCCACGACTCGCGGATTTTGTCGCATATACCTCACACCTGAAAATCGTCCGACACGACGCTAATTTCCTTCGGTCACGAACGGCCGCGTTCTGTTACAACAACTACCCAGGCGTCTCCGCATGGCTATTTTCATTTGTTATACCAAAAGAGGAGGGAGCGGCAGGCATGTGATTCTGGCGCTAGGTAAAGAGTGGGAAAGGGCACAGGCAGGCAGCTGCTGTCCGTCGGATCGCGCCTTCTGCGACCTATTTTTCGGGATATCCAAGGTATTTCGGTGATTCTTTTTTGGGGCGGATTACTTGACTTCTACACCAACCATTTTGTTGGTCGCGCAACCAACTACCTACGGGAATATGGGAAGGTGGATATGGATCATGTGTTTTACGGAGTGGGACCCCAAAAGTATACTTCGCTCATCTATCCTACCTAGCAGACATGACGCTGTTCTAGAGGGTGGTTTGGTGTACGAGGAGTGGAGCGAAGCGCGCCTGTAGCCATGCTTCTTCGTCAGTTTTTTCGAGCGCAAGCATAGGTAGCCACAAGCAGATGCATCTGTTCGATGGTGTGGTTTCACACAGGATCAAGCTACTCTTTCGCGCTTCCCTTTCGCATCGCCGACTTTGTTGGAGTGTGTTTACGTGTCACGCTTTTCGTTTCGCCTCACTTCGCCTCGCCGCCTTCTCCCTTTCGGGGTGGGGGGTTTTTTTTTTGGTTTCCTGGCAAATAGTGTAAGTGGATCCCCAATGTGAATCCGACTGGCGTTTTTTTAAAGTTCACCAAACGGATCCACGGCCGTGGGCTGTCATCGAGTCATGTCCAGCAGCCGGTTTCCCTCGTGTCAAAACCTTTTGAAGCCGGGCTCTACCTTGTCGTCGAGCAATTCTCAAAAGCCGAGTTTTTAAACTTTTCTCCACATTCCGCTGCTTCCCCACCACGCGACAACAACAGGCAAGGTTCGAATTGTTTCAGAAGGTTCGCCCGCTGTCGCCGCTGTCAATACGAAACGCCGGGATGGACCTTTCCCGGACACCGGGCGGGCAGAGTTGCTACTTTGGGTAGTTGGTGGCTAGTGGAGGGAGGACGGTTTTGGAAATGCGGGTGTGCTGGATATAGAAATATATTGGAGTAGTGGTGGGATTGTAGAAAGAGGTAGGAGAGTGGGCTGAGAGACGGATGTTTCAGGAGGGGGAGAGATGAGGCAATGTGTGCGATGTTTCTACAGTAAAGCGATTGTGGCGGTGCGGTGGATGGATCCTCCTGGATAGGAACCTCATAAAAATGGGTTCACAAACGCTGATTGTGGGTGTATTATGACAGCGTATCGAAGACCTCCAGCCGGTGGCAGCTCTACGCTCATGGTCTTTCCATGCTTTCCCTCTTCGATGCGCCCAGGAACCCCACCAACTATAGCTCCACCAAGTCCCACTCTGCAAACCCTATACCGCGTGTTCGGCGCTACTTTCGGTCCCTCTCGAGAAGGTCGAACGCCGATCTAGACGCGATATCAGGTGATAACTCCAGCATACCTGCGTCCGTCTCGCTCCGGTTGTATGTACTCAAAGCATGTCCTTCTTTGCTAGCTCCAAGGTTCCGCACATGCTATGTTATATCAAGCGAGCATACGTAAGACCAGCATACCTACCTTAGATATATCCTGCAGAAAGACCGAAATGCAACCCTCCCTCCAAACCTTACCCACAGCCATTCTCCCACATCCCCTGGCTATACCTCCAACCCTCTATACTGTGGTACGAGGCACCGGCCCCGAAACTCAGTTCACCTTAGTTCTCGTCACGTAAAGCGCAGCACCACGCGGCACTCGTGGCACTCGCGTGGCTAATGACCTACAGCACTCGCATTATTCCACCGGCATAAAAAAAAGGAAGACCCTCGTCCCTTCGCAAACGGCGGCTTGCGCAGGTGCAGTGCAGTACCTAGTAGCAATCACTCAACTCGCATGACGTCTATTTAAGCTCTTCCCCAGTCCGACTCATGCGCGGCAGACAGCACAGCCTTATCACGGCAACCCAAGGGTGAACAAGGCAAGGCAGGAACATGATCTGCAGCGGGCCGGGAAATGACGACTATCTGGACAGCGATCGATGCCAGCCATGGGTCGGAGATCGTGGAAAAGCAAAGGGAGGGAAAGCGTGTGCCGGACGGGAACGTGGCCGCGCGTGTTTCGTGTTGGGGAATGGGGGCTATATGTCTCCCTTGTATATACTGCTTTGAGGTGTGATTTGTGATGCCAAGGGTGTGCTTAGTACGGATCATATGGAGCGGGAGGATGGGATCATGACTCAAGGCTGAAGGGAAATGAGACGCGATAATCGTCGACATAAGAGGCACTGAGAGAGACGCTGTGGGCTGTTGTAATGGCAAGTATGGAGAACGAATTGAAGACGACGGGACGTATGGTGAGGAGTTATATGGACATGAGGAGATTTATTGAACAGCTACTCGGGAATCAAGCCCGCTGAGCTTTGTTTCCGGTTGAGCCCGGCAAGCAATGCAACCAGCGACCAGCCCAACTTGCTGATAATAGCAAGGAGGGCCGTCGCTCGCCACCAGATGGTATCCAAACAGGTCAATCTGCCAAGCCGAAGCGTGCTGAATATCGTACATGTCGTACTCAATGTGCTGTGCACCGCTCAACGGACCACCAATACAGTCTGAAAGTACTCAAGGAAATAGTCGAAGAGAAAGAAAATAGTCCCTTGGAAATCGCTTGCTCGTGGTAGTCGTACTCCGCCGGCCAGCCAGGTGGTCAGTTCATTAGAGGCATTAACATAGGCCGTGCCCGTCGTCAAACGTGCCGTCATCTGCCATAGCGCATCGAAAATGCAGACGTGTTGGGGCTTAGAAGTCCCAGAAGCCAGTTGCGCCTTTCCGCCCACCCATGCTATCCCCTGTCTGCTTGACGCCCATATTCTCCTTCTTCTGCACGGGAGACTCCTCGTACAGGCTCCAATTGGATTCGGTACCCTTCCGCGCGCCCATACCATTGCCAGCAGTCTTGATGCCACGGTTCTCAGGCGAGTCTTCGTATAGACCCCAGTGGGCGTCCATGCTCTTGTGGACCTTCTTCTGGTTCTCTGAGGGCTTGTTGCCGTTGAAGGATGACTTCTCAAGGGCAGGGCTATCGTCGCGCATTTCCCAGTGGGCGCCAAAGTCTTTCTTACGGTTCTCATTCTTAATAGTAGTCGTAACGTCGTTGAGAGGCCGCTTGGTGTCGCCCTTGGGGACATCGTCATCGCCGTCATCATCCGCGGTTGAACCAATGACGTGCTCCTGGTAGAGGCCGAGGCCCTTGTTATGTAGACGGCCCTTGGACGCAGCTTGGTTGCGCTGTGCTTCCTTGCGCTCGGCTTCTGGAGTTCCATCATCTACAAATTCGAAGTGCATGTCGGCATCCGGGCGCGCCTTGTGAACTACGGGGCGGCGAACGGGGGAGCCCTCATCCTGTGGTAAACAAAGTCAGCATTCCGAGTCATTGTGAAGCAGTGAAGCAGGATCAACCTCGAAAATCTCAAAAGTCTCAGGCTGGAAGAAAGGACCGACCTCATCGTCGCTCCACCCAAAGTGTCGGACGGCCTGGCCCAGGACCTTGGGCTTCACCTTGTCGGGTGTGACAAAGTCCTCAAAGTCCCACTGTGATAGGTGCTTGGACTTGGTCGCCGGCCGAGCCGTCTCTCGCACCTTGGGTGTTGCATCTTCGTCACCATCCCCAAATTCGAAATGGTTGTACTTGGTCGCATGCGTCTTGACACCCCTCGGTGTAGGCGCCACCTTCTCCTCCTCCGTCTCTTCGAACAGGCGGTTGGGCTTGAAGTTCTTACCGGCACCGGACTTGGCTGGAATGCCACGCTTCTGCGGGGACAACGGGTCGTTTGCCGGCGACGGGGACGGGGGTTCCTCGCCGACGAACAGCTCGGAATACTCGCGTGGCGGAGGCTTCGCGGATTGTGCGCGCGGTGCTATCGGTTGCGAGCCGGAAGCGCTGTCCTGATTGACGTCGCGGGGCTGAAAGAGGGACAGAGTGGCGTGCGGGTCGTTCATAGCATTGTTGGTCGACCGCCTCGAGCTGAACGGACGCTCCGTAATCGAAACCTCGTCTGCACCGCGAGCTGCAGTGGAAGCGGTGGAAGGGCGAGAGGCGGGCGCGGATTCAGGCTGGGCGACCACGGCAGAGCTCGTGGAAATGAGGCGGCTCTGGTCTCTGCCATCACGGAGGGGCCAGTTGCGCGCGCGGGCGCCGATGACGTCGATTTGCTTGAGGAGCGAGCCTTGGTCCCAGTACAGGCGGATTTGCACGATCTTCTGCGCGTTGTCGAAGTGGACCATGTGGACCTGCGCATGGCGCGTTAGCACAAGTCGCCGGGATTGCACGCGCCCTCACGTACCATGGGGAATGTCACTATCCTGTCCGCCACGAAATTGTCGTCCAAGCCGGGCAGGTATGCGCCGCCGCCAGAACTGAACTCGATGGTGGTCTCCACGTCCACGCTCAGCCCATTGGCGCCCTCGATCTTGCTCAGGACCTTCTGCTCCGTCTTCTTCAGCAGCTTGTCCTGCACCGCGAGGTGCTTCATTATCGCGCCGGCATCGTGGATGCTCGTGAGGGTCGTGATGTAATGCAGCGACGCGTTGTCGGCGAGCGCGCCGGCCGACGGGCTGGCCAGGAAGGCCTGGTATTTTGCGCTGAGCGACATGGCGGACGCGCGAATAGGGGCTAGTAAGCGTGTTGCCTGCAAGATGCTGTGTAGGAGCTGTGCGGGCGTATGGATACGGGTGCGAATGTGCGGTGGGCGGTGGTCGTGGCGGGACGAGTGCAGAGGTAAACAAATAGTCGGCAGTCGTGTTGCGCGACGGGCAGTGGAAAGAAAAAGGAGGGAGGCACCGAAGTGAAGGGGAAGTAAACAAGGACGCAGAAATGGCCAGCCTAGCAGGAGCAAGACCACACGCGCCCTTGAGGGATGAATTGCTGCGGGCCTCCTGCAGGGGCATCCTGCCTACCCGCATCTGATCAAGTGTGAGGGTGGTCACCGCCGCTGGCCGGCCAGCACCGACGCCACACACGGCACCCGCCACAATCTACCCAGGCCATGCGGAGAACGCGCGGAGGACGAAGCCGTGGAGCGAAAATCCAATGCGTACCTAGCTAATAATACTGTGTACGGCGTGGCGGAATATACTGACAATCATGCGGATGAGCCCGGTGTCCTCCGTATGCTCGTCGCCAACACTGACCAACCGTTCCGCCAATTCCGCCAACGTATCAAACCAACAGCCGAACGGGGGCGTTTCAGGAGCCGGCCACTGACGCTCGTATCCAACATTGGCCCTGTTCACATGCCGCATATGCAGAAGAGAACGTCGATACATAAATAAAGAAAGAAGGCAGGATGCACAGTGGGTAATGAGAGAATCGCGTAAGAGCATAAACATCGAAACACCAAGAGATTGTGGGCGTGAATGAACACGCGTCTGTCGCGTCGTCGACGCTCTTCAGGCGGCACACGCGTTCTTCTCCGCGTCAAAACACGTCTCCCAGCACAGCACTTCGGACGGGAAGTCGCCGCCTACACTTGGCCTCTCCCGCACGAACCAAGCAAGGGCGGCACCCAAAATGCCAAAGAGGGCCAGGCAGGTCCACAGTGCGACGTTTGTCGTCGCAACGCTGAAGTCGTTGCTCAAATAGAAGCTTGCGCCAGAGACGGCAACAGCGAGCGCCTTGAAGAGGCTGGCGACTTGCATTAGGCCGACAACAGTACCTGCTGAGAAGGCGTCGGGTGTCGTGTTCAGTACCAGGAGAGCGACGACGACTGAGGCTCCTCCGCTAAGGGCATGCTTGATCAAGATCGACGCCGTCGAGGTGACAGCAACAAAGCCCGTTGAGCATGCCGCTGCCATGGCAAGAAGAGGAGTGAGCGCGTAGATAGCCGGGAACATTAGCGATACCGATCGATATAGTTTGAGCAGGCCGAACTTCTCCACGGCTTGAGGGATGACGCCTAGGATGGCTATGCCTGCGATTCCACGGACCATCAAAACGGTAAGCCCAAGCCAATCGCAGGGGATTCCCATGCCACCGTGCTCGGAGTTGCTGTGGCCAAGGTGAGGCAGCAAAACATCAAAAGTTGCCGCGTGGAGGGAGAGGAGCGAGAAGGAAGCCAGAAGAACCAAGAGCGAAGGAGCCTGTAGGAACTGGTTGATGGTGATGGGCTCTGGCCGAGCGAAATCTACGACGGCAATCGTGGGATCGTCCAAATCATTGTCGGAGAGGAATGCGGCCTTCTCGCAGTCCAGGTCCACTGCGTGTTGCTTAGACTCGAGGGGCAGGGTCTATTGGTACTATCAGCGATCATGCCAGAGTATTGATAGGGCGAACTTACCTCTCGGAGCATGATTGACGCAGTCACAGCAATCAAAAGAACAAGACTGCCACAAGCAAGCTGGGAGCCTAGGATAGGGAACTTCTCCCATACCGCTCCAGAGGCGTGGATGCTCTCAGAGACCATTCCCTGTATTATCGGCCCAATTGATCCGCACAGCGCGATCAGAGGCAGCCTCGCGACGTTCTTGGCCCTTTCCATGGTGTTCTCGCTCAAGTCTCCGATCATCGTCAGCGTTGTGACTACCACGGTTGAGCTAGCCACTCCAGCAATGTATCTGAAGATCGTGCAGCTGGCAAGATCGGTTGCGAATCCCATGCTAAGACAACAGGCAAACATAGCCCACAGTCCCAGGAGTGTGACACGGCGTCGTCCCATACGGTCGGAAAGATATCCCCAAAACAGACCGGTGGTACCGCCAAACGCGTAAGCGCAGTCAAGAATGCTGCGAAGGTAGGACGTCGAGAGGTTTCCGCAGTAGTCGTCGTCCGAGATGAGCATTTGGAGCTGTGGCTGGAGGCTGGAAGCCATGATACTGCGTCGACGCCTGCGTTAGCTTCGCGGAACTCCAGTCCAGGGAACCAGTGTAACGTACGCTTCTGCGAGAAATACGATGTACACCAAGGTCAATTGCCTCTTGCGCTCCTTGATGCTAGTCTCTAGCGCGATATCCTCCATGCCCGCCTCCATCTCCCCCTCGTCAACATCCACCTCTTCCTCATTCAATGGTACTTTGTCATACTTTGCGAGGTCCTTGACCGGAATCAAAGATCGAGTCCGCCTATGGAAACCCAACATAATGGTATTAAACAAGCAATTCGCTAAGGACTGTGACGGGCAGTTCGATATGATATGTGATCGTGGAGCTCGGGTGCACGACCGGCGCGACCCCTTCACGATGTATAAGGGACTGTGGTGGTCGCTATGGACCAATGCGTATGCAGTGAGTGACTAGAAAGTCCAAAAGACGGTCAAGGAAAGGCCTGGCTCCGCCTCGAGGGAAGTTGAAGAGGTCAGAGTGGGAGCATCGTGAGGGGATCCACAGGCGTCTTGAAACGTCCGTGCGAATCGACTCCGGATCGGTAATTAGTCTCAGCTCAGACGCACCGTTCTGAAGCACAGCGGAGATGACGCACGTGAGTTCACTTCGGCCAAATCCGGCCGATTAGAGCCGCGTTTTCTGGGGCGCATATGGGGAGTCATATATGTCACGATGCACCTGATGCATCGCCGCCGGAGTCAGCGAGATTTTCCTCCACAATTTCGTATAATTTACACTATCTGACGATCTCTAACCCTGCCTCCAGCACGGGAAAGAAAAAGAAGGGGGGAGATCTAAATCAGCTGAAAACCCGCGAAAACAAAGGTCATCTGTTGTTTGGAGGTTTTCTGTTTGAATGTCTTGCACACTCAGAAGAGCGCTATCCATAACTCGTCGCTGCATATACCATGCACACGTACTCCGCAGGAAGAAGATGCCCTAACTCCCTAACTCCAAAGGCCGTTACCACGTGAAAGAAGTAGAAGAAAAAAAAAGGTATGCAAATGTCGCTCCTCGTATACATGGCAGTAGGCAGCCAATTACTGCGGGTTTCCAAACGTGCTTCCCATCAGGTCATCCAAGGTCGTGGTCGGCTCAGCATAGAGGTTATCAAATTGACCTCCGAACTGATTGATGTCTGGGAAGAAGCCGGCGGTAGAATCAAGGTTCATGTTGCTCGGCTGAGTTGTGCCGAAGAGAGTAAAGTCCTCTGTCGGCCGGGTGAATGACACGTCCATACCTTCTCCAAAGCCCTCGTCCATGTGCATCTGAGGAGAGAACAGTGTGATGTCGGGCTGTCCGCTGGGAGATAAATGAGGCACATTGCCAGACGCCGACGTATTGATGGGGAATTGGAGCGGCTCGAATTCGAATCCAGTGCTCAAAGCAGGAGTGGGTTGCTGTTGGAAGGCATTGAAGTTCGTACCTAGCCCGCAGTTATTGAAGACGTCATTGTGGTTGATGGTGGTGTCTTCAGGAGTCACAGCATCATCAAATGATGTGGGCTCGGTGGGTGAATGGCCGGAAGAATATGTGAGCGCAGAACCGTCGGTGGTCACTGAGTCACGTCGGAAATCCTCCTGGAAGCCGTTGGCGCTCATGGCTGGGGTACCAAAGCCATACGGGTAATCGAAAGTATCGATCATCGGGACAGAGGGGGAAGGAGCAAAAGGAGTCATTGGCGTAGGCAGCGTAGCAGACTGCGGCGTGCCGAGGAATGGTGTAAGTGGGGTAGTAGGAGTACGGTCGCTACCGGTTGTTGGGGCCTTCTTCCGACCGTTGCTCTTTGAGCGGACATATTCCCAGCCGTGGGCCTTCTCCATGTGTTGCTTGCAGTTCGACTCGCGCTTGGAGGCGTACGTGCAAGGAGGATAGAGGCATTTGTATTGAGGAGGTGCTGAGGAGTGCTTGTCGTTGACGTGCCGATCACGCTCCTTCTCGGTGGGCCAGCCAAGCTCGAAGTATTTGCACTTCTCCTCTGTGCACTTCCAGGGCCGAGAATGGGTTTTCTCGTGCTTGGTGAGGTCACACGGTCGCTTGAACTCCTTCTTGCAGTCACGGCAGGTATGCATGACATCACCTGGCTTATCAGACTTCCTACGCCGGGCCATAGATCGCGTGATTTCGTCGACGTCCATTTCGTCATCGGACAAGGCTCGCTTGGTCGACGGGAATCCTGTGTGTGCGTCTTCAACGCCATCGGCAATGGGAATGACCTTGCCGTTCTTCTCACGAACCAGCTCGGCAGGACGGCCGTTGTGGCTTAGTCCACCGCGGAGAGTAATCTTCTCGTCGCTACAGGAAGTTAGCCACGTCCGGAAAGCGTACGGCTGGGAAGCATACCGGGAGTGATCCATCTCGTCAAGCTCTTCTCCATTCTCCTCTTTGCGTCGAGTGGCGGCCATGATTGCTGCGTAGCGGTGGATCTGTTGTACCAAATCGAGGAAGTAGTTGTTAGTGTATGGGCGATCCGACGGTAGTCGTTGGTCTTGTTCGGAGAGGCAGTCGACAGTCGTTCGCAAGAGTGTAATTGATCGCTCGCAGAAACGCAGATACGAAGCCGGGGTTGTCGATAGCTCCTTAAAACCGAGAAGAATGCAATAAGCTTTTGCACTCTCAGAGAGATAGCGGATACCACTTACCGGTGCCAGGAAGATAAGAGTCTTTTCGAGATCACGAAGGTTGCATATGTTCTTCTCACCAATTCGACGTGGAACGTCCTTGATCAAGGGATGAAAGTCCTTTAAATCCTCTTCCTGAAGAATAGGCTTGATGATACAGTCGTGAATCGCTCTGCAGGCAAATTCGCCGAGAGTGTGCTTCTCCTCAGCAGCGCCCAGCGCGGAGAAGGAGCGAGTAATAGCAGAGTGGGTGGAGGAGACAGACGTATTGACAGATTCATGAGCGGCGGAGCGTCCTTTATGTATGTCAGAAGGCGGGGTCCCCAAGACGGGTAGGTGCGTCTGGTCCTTACCATATTTCGATTCACCGACGCTGGAACCCAGCCCGCTATCAGAGGCGTGGTCATGCGAGGTGCGTTCCACCGTAGGCTTAGGGTCGATCTCCATTGGCGAGGCGTTCAGGCTAGCGTTGTCTAGGAGGAAGCTCGGCACTGGAAGGACCTCCGGGTCATTCAGGATGTTAGCGCTGGCTGCCGACGGCTTGTGGCCGGCGATCTTCCTATCGAAGTCCTTGAGTATGTTCGAGATGCGTTGGACGCTCGAGTCGTCGAGGAGCTCCTGGAGGCTCTCAGTGCTAGTGGGCGACCGACGAGGCATGTAGTGGTGGTTCCCCAGGTCGCAGATGTCGGAGGAGTCTGACTTGGGTGAAGAGAAGGTCCCACTCTTGCGAAGCTGCATGCCATGGGTTGAGAGGAGAGGGGTAGCCTTAATAGGCCGGCGGCGGGGGTGACTCTGAGGAGCCGACATATTGTGACTGGGTCGATCCTATTGTGGAGGAGGAACAATCAGCCCGACGCTCAATGCTGCAAGCGTATTGACGCTTATGAGTCACCAAGCCGGCGGTACTTACAGATCGGTTCGGTATCGGAGTCACCAAGGGATAACCCACCCTGCCAATTACGGGAGGGTCAAGCAGGGCCGAATCGATCCTGTTGGCTACAGGCCCGATGCACAGGCCTGGTGAAGGTGAGGCGGAGTAATCGAGGATTCACGCCTTCATGAACTGAGCGGTGGTCCAGATAACCGTAGTGGAGAGGGCCGAAACGGTGGGCTGATAGCGAAGGGCTGGTGGGAGCCAGAGGGCTTCGGAGAAGAAGGGCGCCAGAGGAGGGTGCGCGTGAAGCTGCGGGGGTAAAGGTATAAGAAGAGGGCGGCGCAGCGGGCGTCAGACGGCAAGCGGGCACGAGCAGCGCTGCAGAAAGGAGGGCGGCTAGAGTGCAGAATGCAGGTGACGAGGCCTCAGAAAACAGGCTGACGCAAAACAGAGGGCAGAGAGGAGGGTGGAGGGAGTGGGTTGGGGGAGGAAGAAGAGGTCGTGGACTTGGGCGCGGGCTGCGGTAGGATAGAAGTCGCGTCGCGAGGGCCAAGACTGCTGCCTGGAGACGCCGGCGACGCTAAGCCTCGATGCTCGATAATCCGCATCTGCGCAACACGAGCCGGTGCCATTATTCGCTGCAGGTGCGCAATAAGATGGCCTGTCTGTGACGCCAATTGCTCGCGGAAGGGCGCCAGATTGCCGGCCGCCGGCCTGCTCATTCGACCGTTCGGTTCGCCGACGCAGGTTACGTCGTCGCGGTTGCGCAGCGTGCAATTGCCCATGACGAGGCCCGCCAGTTCGTCACCAGACACTCTGCGGCCGCCGCCAAAAACGCAGTCGAAGGGCGGTCTGTCTATCAATCTGTCCTGCATCCTGCGCGCCCGCTAGCGGCCGGACCATACTCGCCCATGCCCACGCTGCGACAGCGAGGCTTGACCGGTGAGCCCCACAGGGAAACGCTTGAGATGCCGGATGCAGGGGTCGACCTGTGAATACGGCCCTGTGGCGTGTGCGCGCCTGAGGCTGTGAGCGGACGACTGCGCCATCTGGCCTCATCAGTGCCGTCATTCACTCTTGGATCAGACGGACGGCGTCTCGATGGCCAGGCTAGAAACGCTCGAACGCGGGACGGCCTCGATGGGCATCCAAACCGTACTGTGCACCGTTCACATGCGGCTCGCGATACCTGTCCTCAAGGACTGTCTGCGCACGCTCGATTCCTGCGCGGTGGCGAGTGCAACAAGTGCTCACCGGACTGCCGTGGGGGCCAGAGACAACACGAAGGAGCGGAGCTCGGCGCGGCGGCGTTGAGGAAGCCCGTCGCTCGGCAGATGTTTCCTGCGGGAACATGATGTTGAGGGTGGTGACATTTAGGGTGCTGTGCCGGCATGGTGCAGAACGGGTTCGAAAACTCACAATTGCACACGAAAGCATTGGTGCGCCTCGCTCTGACTGGTCGCCTCCTTTCTGCACCTGCATCCTTCCTTGTGAGACATTGTCGGCTGGAAAATATAGTAGGGTGGTGACCCGATAAAGACTGCGCAATCGAGTGTGATTGTCAACTTGCGCAATGGAGTCATACACAGTAACGTGGGGTGGGCTTAACTTTACCCCTCCCGCAGAGATTCAGACCACGATCGGCTGTTGGATATTATAGACGACGAAGTCGTGCTTGATTCATTCAGTGCCCGCGCGAACTATGTACAAGAAGAAGAAACAAAGTGCCTCGCCTCAACCCACCCCTTCACCTGGCTATATTGAAACCCGGGGGAGGCCATTGAAGGCCTCAACCTCGGGAATCTCAAGCCGCGAGGGAGGGGTGGGGATGGCGGATAGCGGCCACGCTTCCCGTGATGCCCAAAACGCCATTACCCTTCCTAGAGTGCTAGAACACTTTAATGAGACTCGCCCCATCCTCTTAGCAGTTTGCCAAAACGACTATGCATAAAAGAGGGTATCATGTGGATATCAAAGCAAGAGAAACGCCCAAAACGCCATTACCCATCTTAGTTCAACTCCATATGAGATTAGCGCTGGCGACGTGCGCGAGGCGCTGGGCGACTGTTATTCGGCTTCGGGGAGAGCACCTGAGGCGCCTGTGGGACGACCTTCCTGGAGGCCGCCCGGGTCGTTCGCGTACTCGCACCCGGCTTGGGCGCGTGGGCAAGGGCAGCAGCCGTCTTGGTGCGCTTCTTGGGAACAGCGAGCTCGTTGGCATTCTCTTTATTGTCGCCCATCTCATCCGATGACCTCTTCGTGCCGCGGGTGGTCTTCGGAGCTGTCTTTGCAGCTGGTTTCAGGGCTGGTTGAAGGGCCGGTTGCGTCGGTTTTCGAGTCTCCTTAGCAGGTATAGGCTTGGGGGCGTCCTTTCTAGCGGCAGGAGCCGTACGAGTCTTGCGGGCGGCAGGAGCGGGAGCTGGGACAACGGTGCGAACAGGAGGCTGTGCCAGGGCGACTTCTTTCTTCGCCGGTGCAGCTTTGGTGGTAGTCGCTGCGTCGAGGAGATCAACGAGCTTCATGTTGCGTTTGCTGCTCGGGATGCGGTTGACGCGGCGCTCCAGGCGCGACCGGAGACTCGCGATCTGCGCCTCGCACATGGCGACAAGCTTCTCTCTGCGGGTCTTGACTGGAGCTGATGTTAGTGAAAGTGCGACAGAGGAAGGGGAGCTGCTTACGCTCTAGCTCGAGATTCGCTCGCATGGTGGCTTTCGCCTCTGCAGTCAGAGCGAAGTGCGACATCTTGTTGCAGGTTGTTTGTTTGTTGTTATTCTCGTGCCTGGGAGAGGAATTGATCGATGAGAAGAGTTCAGATGATGAATTGATGCTTCTGAATACTTTTCGGAGGACGCGGAACGGTGTCGGAGTGGTGTGCGCGATTTCCTCGATCGATGTGTTGGGGAAGAAGAAGAGAGGAGGAGGAAGGCAGAAGTAGCGGGGTTTCAGTCGCGCCTGCCGCACGGCCGCCAGCGCGTCTTGGCATTTGACGCCATCAACGCGAAATCCAGTGATCCAAGCTCCCGCGCGATTACTAAGGCGATCATTGTTGCTCTATGCAGGTGCGTATTGCGCCGCCTGGCAGATTTTTGCACAACGCTCCTTAGAGACGGTCGATTATCCCTCGTCTTGGCCTTTAACCGGATCTATCTGCGCGTCAAGTGAATGCAAGTTGCCCGCGCCAGAACGGTTCCAAGGTTCTCTAAGCTTCACGTGATCGCTGCAAGGCTCGCTTGCTTGTGCTCTCAGAGAGCTCCGACTCCGACGTCCGCAACGACCTGCACTCATCTACATCTACAACTTCGACAACCCGTATCTACACTCATCAACGCCTTCACCATGGTGCTAGAGGCTTCCATGATAATGTGAGCATTTGGAAACGGACAGCTAGAGGCCTTAGCTAACTATGCGCAGTGTCGACAACAGCGAGAGTAGCAGGAATGGCGATTATGTGTATGCGGTCGCTGAGAACCAACAGAGCCATGTACTGATAATAATACAATAGACCGTCACGATGGGAAACGCAAGCGGACGCCGTAAACCTAATCTTCTCGGCAAAGACCGGAGCGAACCCAGAGTCGTCTGTCGGCCTCATGAGCATGGGAGGCAACACCCCCGAGATTCTCACAACGTTGACCACGGATATCGGCAAGATTCTCGATGGCCTACACAGGACGAAGATAAAGGGCAGCTCGCATTTCTCAACTGGCCTCAATGTGGCCGCGGTAAGTTCGGCTGACCCCAGCTGGGCGAGTTTCCACTGACGTTGCTTAGTTGGCGCTGAAGCACCGCCAGAACAAGTCCCAAAAGCAACGGATAATCATCTTCACCTGCAGTCCCATCAATGAAGAGGAGAAGGAGCTCACCAAACTCTCGAAGCGCATGAAGAAAAGCGGCATAAGCGTCGACATCATTGCATTCGGCGAGCTCGGCGAGGAGACGATTAAGAAGCTGGAGAAATTCAGCGAGGCTTGCCAGGGCAACGAAGGGTCTCACCTCGCCGTTATACAGCCCAGCTCAAACCTCCTCAGCGATTCTCTTGTCACAACGCCTATACTTGGCGGGGATGGAAGCTCCGGTGGGGCAGGAGCCGGCGGCGCCAGCGGCGAAGGAGGCGACACGGGCGGCAACGCTTTCGAGTTCGGTGTTGACCCGTCGGTGGACCCAGAGCTGGCGTTGGCCCTGAGGATGAGCTACGAAGAAGAAAAGGCGCGACAGGAGAAGGAAAAGAAGGCCAAGGAGGCTGCCGAAGGCAAGTCGGAGCTGGAGCAGATAGCGGAGGATGACGAGAAGCAGCCCCTCTTGGACGACCAAGGTCAGCCCAGCGGAAGCGGAAGCAAGGACAAAAAGGATAAAGACGACCCAGACAAGATGGATACTGCATGAGCCTGGCGTTTGTCAGTCGTGGGACCTTCAGGGTAATTGTGACTCCTGTGAGCATCAAAGGCGTTCGACGGTGGGACACTCAGGTTGGCGCATACGAGCGTTGTGCATCATAGAATCAAACCCTAGGCTAGTGTCCGTATTTCGGGCTTAGGATTAAATGCAATAGACCTGATGAAAGTATTGGATCAGCATTATCCTATTGTGAAGAACCCTCGCCTCTTTTCCAGATTCATTTATCCCAACTCATTCCTAGGCAAGATATGCTTCAATCCCGATATCATCGAGGTCAATCTCCAGCGTCCAACCCTAATCTCCATTCCCTCTGCTGCGGAAGCTGTCGCCCAGAGGCCGCTTGCCCCAGGGTCTCGTCCCTGGTATCTTTACATTCCGTCAATATTCTAATCAAGACGTTCCCGGACCAGCCTTTCCTGCTTGCATCGCCGCAGACACTACCACTTTCTAAGCCTGCGGAAGCTCATTCACATCCTAACGATCCTGTAAGTCTTTCATCCCCTCACCTTCACAAACCCATCCAGCCCACGATCAAACTTCTCACACCGAATCGGCATCTCCACCGTATAGAACGGGTTCTTCATTACAAAATCCGAATACAGCTCATAAATCTTCCGCATCATGCTATCAATGTTCGGCTGTTGGGGTTCGGTGAAGAGGAGGAACTTTGTCCCGGTGAGCGTCTGGAAGCATTGCATGCGGAAATGGCTCGATTCGAGTACTTCGAGGCCGCTCGGGCGGTTGGAGAAGGGTGAAGGGGCGAGGGCGGCGGCGGTGCTGGCAGGGTTGGTGGGCGTGGGAGGGGCTGGACAGAGTTGCTTGGTTATCGCGTGCATTCTAGGGGAACGTCAGTATATTATACAGAGACATGCATAGTGCTTGTAAGGGCGGATACCCGTGGAATGAGCCGGCGAGCATCAAAAGATCATTGCTTGAGAGCTTATTCATGCCGGTATGGAACTCTCGGTTGTAGATGAGACCGCCAGCTTTGCTAATTATGAAGAGCGCGAAGACGACCCTAAAGATTGTGAGCACAGAGAGTACGCGAATAGCATACAGACGTACATGATGTGAGGGTGTTAGGGCATTCCAATGCTGCAGGTTCTCTTCCTTAGCCGTGGAATTTCCGTCGCAGGCTTGTGGAGGCGCTCTGACACCGTCTGACCCGCCGTATAAGTAGGTTGAAGTGCCAATGAATCCAGGGCTACGGTGAAGGCAGATCCGAGCAGCTAGTTTGGCATCCCCCCAATCGGTGATTTGCTTAGGTCTATATCGCGACGCACGGACCGTTGGTGTTGAGGCACCGGTGACAGGGGTCTGACCGCCCGCGCGTTCTGCCCCTCCAAGCTGTGCTTCACCAGGCTCCACTTCACCCTCACCCACACCAGGCGGCGCCGTCTGCTATTATTTAAGTCATCTCCAACCCCCAGACTTCGCCAAAGCACTCATCTGTCCCACCCCAGCACATCCCACGTCGACAACCCGCTGAAGGCCCTCAGGAGAGACAAAGCGCAGTCTGATCAAGTGAGGGCACAACCACCTGCTTGGTTGCTGTAGCACGCATGTCAAACCAGTCGATTCTCCGAATCACTCGCGTGCGTTCCCATACGACGGCTTGCCAAGATACGGATGTACTAATGAGGCGTAGGAATTGAGCGAGATCCAGCGTGGATCAGATCTATGTAAGAGCCGATATTGCTGCCTTCGCATGACGAAGCTGCTGACGTTTGATACAGCCCTAGCAGTCGCGTGCCGTGACATTGACGTCCGACATGTACGAGCCTTGATCATCGGCCCCCCTGACACGCCCTACGAATTCGGCTTCTTCGAGTTTGCCGTCAAGTTCACCCGGGAATACCCTACCAAAGCACCACAAGTGAATGCCATAACTACAAATGGCGGACGGACGAGGTTCAATCCGAACATTTACGCGGGGGGTAGAGTATGCTTGTCAATCCTTGGGTAAGGCTGTCCGGTGGCCCTTAATCTAGGAATATCTGTCTAATGGTGTACAGCACATGGCGCGGCGAGCGAGGAGAGGAGTGGTCATCCGCTCAGGGTCTCGAATCGATTCTTATCTCCATCCAGAGCCTGATGTCTTCGAACCCATATGAGAACGAGCCAGGATTCGAGGACGCCAATTCCGACTACGACAAGAAGAACCAGGAGGCCTACGTCGCCAAGATCCGACACGAGGCATTGCGGATCTCAGTCATTGAGCGCCTCGAAGACTATCTCGGCATCGATAGGGGGAAGGCGCCGGGAGTAACAGTGTACAATGCAGAAGAGGACTATCAATCCGGCGCGGCTGACGCTCCCTTCGAGCCCTTCAAGGACCTCTGCAAGCGGCGGTTCCTCTGGTACTACGAGTCGTATATGGGCAGTATTGAGCGAGAGATGAAGAAGCACAAGGATGGCGATCGGTTCGAGAAGATGCCGTTCGAGGGTCCCGGAAATAGCATGGACGGGAGCTTCCAGTATTCGTCGCTGAAGCAACGCATGCAGACCATATTTGAGAAGCTCAACGAGGAAGCGGTTGGTTGGGCTGCTGAAGGAATGGTTGCAGTGCAGAAGGAGATGAGTATTGCGAGCAACCTGCAGCGGCAATTCGAACAGATCGTCGAGAACTACAAGAAGAACGACGCCGTTACGCTCGATCTGGATCTCGTCGACAAGAATCCGTTTGTTTGGCGCCTTGTTCTGTTCGGTCGGCCAATGACAAACCTAGATGGTGGTACGTAACGGCAGATTGCACGCGGCGCTAATCCCGGTCGTGGTTTCAATGGCCCGAAGGCCATCAGCATCCGCTAACCGTAGCTTTAGGCATGTTCCGCATCATGCTCTATCTGAGCCCAAAGTTCCCCGATGTGCTTCCGCGTGTCAGGTTTGAGACGCCCATATTCCATCACCGTGTCTCACCGACCGGAATCCTCTGCTACGACGCCGTCCGGAAAGACGACATGCGATCACATATTGAGGCCATCATCGAGGCTATCGAAGAAGAATCGCCAGCGTATGACCCTAGGACTCTCGTCAACCCCGAGGCTGCCAAGCTATTTTGGGGCACACCTGACGAGAAAAAGATGTACAATCGCCGGCTCAGGAGGTCGGTTCAAGACAGCGCTGAGTGAGTGTCCAAAGTGGAGCCTGGAGGTCTTCAGAGTGCTGACAGGACTACAGAAACTGCTTCTAGGCACAGCTCTCCCTTAGCCTGCTGAGCAGCATACACGAAGATATGTCACTTTCAATGAATAGAATGAGGGTTGATACCCGGATCCTATCACCTACGGGGTCCACGGCTATGCACGGTAGGAGTTCGGGTCCCATTTCGGTCATGATAGCATAAGCACGAAGCGTGGCGTTGGTCTGAAAATTAAATTCAATATACGTACTAGCTCCTCCAATACCCAAAATGATCGGTGTGAGGCGAAAACGCGACATGAGATTGTTAATTGCATTGACATGCCAAGCTCGGAACCCGCTCTGCCAGGTACTCCCTAAACCGTCCAAACCTTCGCCAAAGACTAAGAGGGCTCTGGATCCCCTCAGGAAGAGGCGTACCAAGGATAGCGCTTGGTTCAATCGCCCTATATGGCGAACGGCGCCGCAGAACCCCGGGATATTAGCGTGTTGCATCCGCGCGAGAGCAATGCCCAGCCCTCTGCCAATCGCAGGGGGTCAATGCTCCGAAAGCGACCTCAATGTTTCTTTCGCAAATATCCAGATATCAAACATCCAATTGTGCAACCCTCTGCAAACATGTCCACGCCGCAATCAGCCCGCTCTCTCGGGAAGGTGCTAGTCGTCGGAGGCTGCGGCTTCTTAGGCAGTCACATCGTAAACCTCATCCTCAAGCGACACCCTGATACACAAATTTCGGTCCTCGATTTGCGAACCAATTCGAACCGCAACGCTAGCCCCAGCGTCTCGTACCATGATGGCGACATCACAGACGCTGAAGCGATCAAATCGCTCTTCGCCAGCATCAAGCCAGATTCCGTGATACACACTGCCTCCCCGCATTTCAACGCGCCGCCGGCGATCCACGATAAAGTCAACATAGACGGAACCAACAATCTGCTGAAGGCGTCACAAGAGACGGGAGTGAAGGTTTTCGTGTATACTAGCACGGCCAGCGTCATACTGGGCCCCAATACGGAGCTCGTGAATGCGGATGAGCGATGGCCCTTGGTCACAGGGGACGCGCAGCCAGAGCACTACACCACCACAAAGGTAAGGAAACGATACCTAGCTCTACGATTGTGTGCTGATCCTCTATACAGGCATATGCCGAGACGGCCGTGCTCGAGGCGAACCGAACACCTGCAGGATTCCTTACATGCTCCATCCGCCCCGCAGGCATATTCGGCGACGGCGATATCCAGACACTCCCACCAATGGTGGGTGCGTACCGCAGGGGCCAGACAAAGTTTCAGGTTGGCGACAATAACAACCTTTTCGACTTTACCTACGTTGAAAACGTGTGCCACGCGCACCTCCTTGCCGTCCAAGCTCTTCTCCACACGCACAAGATACTGCCGACCATCCCACTAGATTCCGAGCGTGTCGACGGCGAGGTATTCTTCATTACGAACGGACAACCGGCGTACTTCTGGGATTTCGCCAGGGCTGTGTGGCATGAGGCCGGCGACAGGCGACCCCTTTCGGGAGTGTGGCGCCTTGACAAGGATTTCGCATTTGCGGTTGGCGCGATATTCGAATGGGTGTTTTGGTTTCTTGGGAGAACTCCAAATGTAACAAGACAGCAGGTCAGATATAGCACTTTCCCAAAGTACTACAACATCGACAAGGCGAGGCAGCGGCTGGGCTACAGCCCGATTGTCGATCTTGACGAGGGCGTTCGGAGGGGCGTTCGACACATATTGGAGAAGGAGGAGCAGGAGAGGCAGAAGAAGGGGCAGTAATGGCAAAATAATGTTCGAATATTCCCGTAGTAAATTTATGAGGTACTTCTTCTTTTGGAGGCTTTCGCTGTATATAGGTGCATAGGCTCCGTAAATGTAGTAATATAACTCGAATTCAAAACAGTAAGCTTGGACTCGTCAATGGCCATAGATTCGGCCTTTTCTACGCATCCTTCCAGTCGGCCTCTGGCAGAGATCACGTGATGTTACGGAAACATTTCGGCCCGCGCTGCTGCACTACGTCGGTCAACAACAAAACTGACTTCGACTTCCCGCGTCTACAATGCCAGTATGGAGCGCACCTCACCGCCATGTCGCACTCGACGCTGCCCGCGTCCGCATATGAAGCGCTCGAACTCCCGCCAGCAACAATTGAAATTCTGACGAACCCAAAGCCTGGTGACCCTCTTGCCCCCGAAGCATCACCAAATCTGTTGCAGGGCGCGCAGAAACCTGAGCAACCCCTAGCTCCAAACGAGTCATCTATTATCCTTTACGCTGAGCTCCTGCTACATATTCGGACGGTTACACTCTTTGCTTCTCTCCGCAGCTTCCACACGCGCGAGACGAAAGCTCAGCTCGCTACCGACGGCTTTTCCATCACCGTTACGCATGAGGGCGAGTCGGCAACGATCCATCTCCCGATCAAGGTGAAGGGAGGAGGGGATGCGGCGCTTTCGCTGCCGGCACAGCCACCGAGCAAGGAATTGACTCTGCGGCTACAGATTGAAGAGAAGGAAGGCACCGACTTGCTCGGGACGCTGCGGTCTGAGCAGAGGAATGCGAACCTCGTCCCCTGGGATGGCGCATCCCTCAATCACATCCGGGCTGTAGAAATCCGCTGCAAGAGTTGTCAGGGCGTCATTGCGCCTGCTAGTAAAGTTGGTGAATGGAGAGACTTGCCCAACGAGAACTGGGCTGAGATGATGGACTTTTGGCATTGCCACAAGCCCGATGAACATCATCTGCATGACCACAATCGCCATGCGATCGTCGGCAAGAAAGGCTACGCCGCTGGCAATCGACTCAAGGCAGTCGATGGCGTGGGATTCGTAGACCTCGCAACCTTCTTGTTGAAAGAGCAGGACTGCGAAGGTGCCGAGGTATGTTATCCTTCCTTTCTCATGATTTTCAATTCTCCTTCCGTGTTACTCCACCTGGGTATGGTCATTACCACGTGCTTCCGGGCGCAAAGAAGGCGGCCCCAGTCAATACGCCATGGCGGTGTCGCCGATACAAACGCCCTAGAATGATAGGCCCATACACTTAACTCGCAACATTGCGCAAATCCTCTTCCCTCGGTTGACGGGCTTGCCGGTGGTGTGGGGGAGCGGCCCGATCGTTTCACTGCCTTTATGCCCTTAGGCCATTGGGACTGGCGGGATAAGATTTGGCTACATTCTTTCGAGCATTCGGTGTGTCATTCTATGATGCCGCATGCTGACCAATTGCAGTCTCCATCAGAGTGCGACTCTCAAGACAGCACCTTATTCTGCAAGCAATGCAAACACATGCTGGGCACCAAAGATGCCAGTTCTGACGGCTGGCGAATATGGAAATGGTGTATCAGTATCGCCTCCGGCTCTAGCTCAAGGCCAAGCATATACAGTATCCAGAAATGGATATCTGCCCGCCTACTATTCCTGACAGAGAACCAAGGTGTCCGGAAGTTTCACGTCCATCCTGATACCGATTCACCGCAAACTGCTCCTATTTCCTCGCTACTTATTTGGGTCTTCACGCCAGATCTATTCTACTCATCTTCTATCCCTTCTGACGATCGAAATGGCCCTACCAGGTCTATGAAAGTCTTCTATCAAAGCCAGACCTATACACCACCCCAGACTGGTGAGCCAGAGAGCGCGTCGATAGAGGACGTCGCGTTTCCAAAGGAGCTGTTTGAAGCATTAGAAAGGACGTTGAAAGAGAGTCAGAAGCTGGTCCCAGCCAGCGCAAGAAGGTTTCAGGGTTGGGAAGTCGGGCTTCTAGAGAGGTTCGATCTCGGAGATATGAAGAGCCTTGCGCTAGAGCAGTGCGACCAAAGTACTCAACAAATCGACGCATCGGCTTGAAGTAATCATCAGGTCATTGACAGGTGACGAAAAGACCGCAAGCTTCTCATTTGGCCCTCCAGCCACACTCCGCATCAAGCGTACATTCTACATTCCACCGACCCATCCATTCGCCGAACCACGCCCAGAGCACTCCTCCCTTTCTTTCTTTCCCCGTTTCCCCTCGAATTTCACCGCTCGAGCCTGCCCAACCTGCTCCGCTCATCTTCGTCGACATTCGGCTATTTCGCTCTAATCTTGTCAGGAAACATTTTCAAATACGGGTAGGGGGTGGACGTGCTGAGGAGAGTTTCCTTGGAGCGATTATGCAGTACGAATTTTGTACGATCTGGAGGGAAGATAGTGAGTCCTGCTTTCCAGCTTATTGAACTTATGGGGTACTGGTTAACAATCACTTACTTGCACTTCGTACGTTCCTGCGCCGAATTTGATCCTCAGCAAGGCTGTTAACTTGGTCGGGTTTATATGCCTCCCTGGAATGGATTGAGCGGACCCCAAATCAGGCAATTCATTGTTATGTTCTTCCGATAGGCGACACTGTGTCCCGATGTATGAGGAGGGGTCCATCGGGGTTGTTATGGTACGTCCGTGACAGCCGTGAACGGCCTCTGGGTCTTGAGTTTCGAGAGAAAGATCTGTTGTTGCCTTGGGAAGACCTCATGAATACAACGGCGATACCAGTCTGTCTATAAGGGAAGCACTGGGAAATCCTGAGGATCCCAATTGTCATGCTAGGGTTTCAGCTGGGGGCGGCAGAGGACCAGGCTGCGCCACGCCTCTACGATTTCACCGGCTGGCTTTCGAGACAGTGGATGGTTTTGCAGCGTTGCATGACAGCGCCTAAAAGAAGGCAACTAATAAAGCCACACTCAGGTCGAACACGCGCTCAGCCCCTTCGCATTGATAGGAGGGGCTATCATCCGCTTCATTTTGGATTCCCAGCCTGCCCAGTCCATCAGGCCGAGCTGACAATATGGCCATATATATCGTGACAACTCGTTGCAGCATTTCGGCCTTGTTTCCAAGCCAAATACACCGCGCCGTACTTGCGCTGTTTCCCAAATGTATTATGCGCACCGATAAGGTGGAGGGTTTCACAGGCCGTACGCGAGGCATTTCGGTCGGGAGCTCATCCTTCAGCAGCCCTACACGCGCCAAAGCCTCGTCCTCCCAATTCCAATACCGGAGCCCCAAACACGGACTTCGGCGTTATCGAGCGCTGTAATGGTGAATATGCACACAGCGGATGCTAACCGTGGTGCGTACGGACCCGGTTCTCCAGAGCCTTTATCGCACGACTTTGCGCAGACCACACAACGACCCAACTGCGCGGCCACCTGGATGAGCAACCCTACTAGCTATGCCTCAGTCACCGACGGAAAGTGCCTCACGTCCTCACTGGATCCCGATATTCGGCGCGACTCGCTCTTCAGATCATCACGGTTCGGCTACAGAGGCCATGACGACGGCTTTCGATCTTACGCACACCTGCCGTCGGAATCGATATCTGGTGCTCAATTTGGGTGCGACATGACGCCCTTGTATTCAAATACGCAGACATGGCCCCAGCTGGGCTATAATAAGGTAAATGTTAGCCTCCCATTAAGACCGGTCAATTGTACGTCAGGCGACTGGAGTGTACTGAGGGCTGAGCCTTATCGAAAGTCAGACGAGGACGCTACAACATCCTCAGTGAGTCAACCTTGTTAGTCCTCTATAAACCATGCCCTTGGATACTGACAGAATCCAACCAGAGTACAACTTTCGATTCTATCGAATCGTCTGCTGAAGGGAGTTATAACCCGGAGCGACCTTATACGTCTTCTCTGGGTGTCCCAACCGACTGGGATGGAAACTACCCCGCTGAGCTGAGCATAATTTCAGATGCTGGCGACCAGCAGCAGCTGCGTCAAAAGCGAGCCTTTGCTCCCGGTCCGGATGTAGTTCATGAAGAACCTAGGAGGGAGGAGCGGCTAGATTTGTGCCTGCCGTATACTTTTCGGCATCAGTTCCAGACTGGCATCTTCGACGCTCTGGTGCAGACACGTTGCACGGAAGCCTACATACCCGATTTTGGATTCCTTCCCAAGGCTCAGCTTTGTCGCCTTGTGAACCCAGATTCTGTGGCCCGAGAACTGATGAAAGATCTATCGCACATCCATACTCCGGAGAAGATAAGGAACTATGCAGAAGCCGTGTGCAGAGAAACGGAGGTAATGCACGGGGGCAAGCAAAAGATCAAATCCTTCCGAAAAATCTTCGCTTTGCTTGTCCTGGCCGAGACATCATCGTCGATTCCCTTATTCCTGGACGAGGATGTGAGCGACCTCGACCTACCTCTGGCCTCGCTGCAAGTTCGCGGGACAATTGAGCTCCGCCGTAAAGACGAATCAGGAAAACCGTCTCAAGTTCCCCTGCAGTCCTTCAGGCATGGCATGTGGTCGCCCAACAAGCTTTGGAATTTCAATAAGTATCAGTGGATAATGTTGGCACCATTCTTCTCCCAGGACAAGTCCGGCGATGTCAAACATTATCTCCTCCGAGATCAGCATATCCTGCCATTTGTCGCCTCGCAACAAGCAGACGATGACAACGCTGAATACCACGGCGGATTTGGAAAAGTATTCATGGTGCGAATCCATGAAGAACACCATAATTTCGGTGACAGGAAGCTATGCGACCGCGGCTTTGCCATTAAGCAGCTGTACGAGAGCGATCGAGAGTCCTTCAAGAAGGAGGTCAACATTCTAAAGAAATTCAGCGGAGAGAGAAGCCACAGACACATTGTCTCGCTTTTGGCAACATATGAGCAGTTCAACAAGTTTCACATGATCTTCTACCGCGCAGAAGGAGATCTCTTTAGGTACTGGAAAGAGATCGAGGCCCGCCCACAATTCAACTACGGAAACGTGCTCTGGGTGGCTGAGCAGGGTGCAGGTATTGCCGACGGCCTGTTGCGGCTTCATAAGCACCGGACCTTCACTCTTTGCCGCCCTAACACCGAAGAAGAATTGGCGCGAAAGCCAAGTGGCGAAAGACGTGTCAAGATCATCGATCCCAACTGGCACCGACAGCGAACAGATTCGGTACAATCCAGTGGCGCCAGAGAGCAGCCCGTTAGCCCAACTTGGATGCCCGAACGACCACATCCAGCAGGGGAGCAGTGTCCAAGACCTTCATGCCGACGACATAGCAGCGAATTTCCAATTGAACAGTACGGTCGCCACGGTGATATCAACCCAGGAAACATACTCTGGTACGACGACAGCGACGGCGATAAAAAAGTGCTTAAGGGAACTCTCAAGCTATCCGACTTTGGGCAAGCAGAGCTCAACTCCTTACGAAGCAGAACGAGGCGAAAGAGTGTCGCCAACACGCTGACTTATCGACCTCCGGAATGCGATCTTCAACCCAAGGCCATTCGCCAATCATACGACATTTGGTGTCTAGGCTGTGTCTATCTGGAGTTCGTAGCCTGGGTGTTCGGAGGCGAGGAGCTTCTGACGGTGTTCGGATTGCGAAGGATGACCCGAGACATCTTCTCACATAACCAGAAAACTGATACCTTCTTTGAGGTAGTAAGGAATCAGGACACGAATCATCCTGGAGTTAAGATCAAACCAGCAGTCACTCAGGTATGTGATATGATTCCAAATTCCGGACAAATCCCCGCTTCATTGATATCGTTCTGAATCACATGGTTATAGTTTATCAACGAGCTACATCAGCACGAGAACTGTACCGAATACTTCCACGAGATCTTGGACATGATTCAACACAACATGCTTGTGGTGGAGCCCAACCACCGCAAGTCTTGTGAGGAAGTCCGAAAGGCACTGAATGTCATGTACCAGAAGTGTCTCAAAGGCAAAGACTACGCGGCGAACAAAAACCCGTGGTGTCCTTTCAGGCTTACGGCGGAGCCTCCGACACCTCCGGTAGAGGTTGAAATGACAGGAGACGCGGAGCAAGTGATTGACGAGAATTTGCCGAAATTTCAGCTCCATCGGGCTCGGCCCGCGAGAAAGTTCACGGCCCGCAACGAGTAGCGCACCACTCATCTACTTCTATAATACTAGCAAAGGCTTAACTACATCAATTTGGGCGTCTTGAGCTTGTTGGCCCTACAAGAAAGATCATGAGGGCTATCTATTTGCAAGTATTTTCCGTTTACCGCATTCGTCTAGAAGCTGTCAAGCACTGGAAGGTTCTCTGGCCTGTCGACGGCTCGGCCCAACACGCCACCCAATACACAGGGCGGCTAATGGCCAAGAGCTGAAACGTCGCCCAAAAGGACCCGAGGCGGGCGATCGCCAATCTCCAGGTTCGGCGCTTCTAGAACAGGCGGGGTCCTATGTAGATATGCATCTGTCCTGCACGTTGCCGAATATTGGGGTTTCCCCTCTCTCCCGCGCCGAGCTGAAGGACGCCAGAACATGGGGGCCAGCCTTCCCAAGCATGTCGTAAAAGTATTTGTCAATTGTATGAAGCTGAGGACTTGTATTGCGTTACTGAATGCGGCTCTGTGGCGAAGGATAAAGTGGACACTTCGCATCGGATGTTCCCAGCACTTGAATTGTTCTACCTCACCATCTCAAAAGGCTGTGAGTACTAAATTCGCCCTTTTCGATTCGTTATCTGAGCTAAAGTACACCTATATCCATCTTTCTTAGCACTTGAGGCGACATTGCAAACAACTCTAAGATAGGCTAAAGCTGAGGGAAGCTATATCCTTCCATGACTGGTAGCTCCGGGTACACAATGGACGAGGATGACGAGGAAGAGGAATTCGCCCTCCGACATCGGCCACCAGCCCGCGAGTCTCTGGCGAACAAGATACTCACTTCCCTCGAGAGAAGCACCTTCGACGTCAAGCATGAAGATTTTCTGCCAGAAGACTGCATCGAGCACCTTGTAACACGGGAGGCAATTCAAGATGAGCTGCGGATTAATGAATTCTATCTCCAGATGGCGTCTGCGAAGCAAGAACGTATCATCAACTGGATCCACACAGAAGCCAAAAAGGTCTTCGCCATCACCGTCCAATGCCTCGCAGCCCAGGATCTGCTTCCATCCATACAACGATTCAAGAATAAAGGATTCAACGATGCTAGCCTTCCTGTGAGGAATCCAAGGTCTCACTCTGATTCGAGTTGCCTATCGCCCCAAACCCACGAACATTTTCGTCCAGAAATCTGGGGCCCGTTCCCCCTCTACAACTTCTACGGAAATCAGTGGAAGTACATAGCGCCGGTGTTCTCGCCCAACCAGTACGACTACAATCTCTCATCCGAGTGCATATTCCCCTTCACCGTAGACGGTGCAATACCCAAAGTTGGGGCATTCAGTTCCGTTTATAGGGTCAAGATACACCCGGCCCATCAAAAGCATCCCAAACTGCAGGACGTAAGTAATGCCTCTCGCATCAGAAATCTGAGGATTGACGGGCTTCTATAGGTTGCCATTAAGGAGATTAAAGTCAGTCGAGGCGATGACAAGGCAGGGACAGAGAGTGCCTGGGAGACGGAAGCGAGAGCGTTAGAGGATATCAACAAGCTTGATCATAAGCACATCGTCAAATGTATCGCCGCCATTCGCAGGGGCGACAGTCGCTACTTCATGTTCCCTTGGGCAGACGGGGATAGCCTTCGCGACTTCTGGGACAGAACACCGAGACAGGCCCCCAGCAAAGAAGTTATCCATCAGGCGATACTTCAGCTAAGGGGACTAGCGGACGCTCTTGATAGTCTCCACAACTTTGATGGCGGGCATACTAGGCATCACGTCAACGAAGACCAGACAGATGCACAGCACCAGGATGTCCCCGAGATGCGAGTCCACAATGAACTCAACGAATTAGGTGACTACGAAGATGCGCCCAACCAAGAATCGATCAGGCACGGTGACCTGAAGCCCGAGAATATCCTCAGGTTCCTAGACCAAGAGACGAAGCTGGGAGAACTCAAGATCGCTGATATGGGTCTCGCGAAGCGCCACGTAGTCGAGACCCAGGATCGAGCCCACCTCACGAGCACTCGATATGGGACCATCCGGTATGAAGCCCCGGAGACGGTAACTGCGATCCAAGGGCGGTCGCGTCTGTACGACATTTGGTCTATGGGGTGCATTACTCTCGAATTCATCATCTGGATCTTGTACGGAAACGAAGAGCTGAATAGTTTCTACAACCAGGTGAAAGGCGCCGGTCACCAAGTTTGCCAGTACTTCGAAGTCCTCGAGTCCCGGACGCCGATGCGGGCCAAAGTACATCGTGTCGTGCTCTTATGGATGGACCAGATCCAAAACATGGACCCGGAGTGCTCGCAAGAGTCAGCCATCCGAGATCTTTTGAGCGTTGTCCGCACGAAGCTTCTTGTTATTCCCCTGCCTCCGAATCGGACCAGGTCGTTCAACCCTGGTCCCGGCCTAGTGCCACCAGCCGAAGGAGAGCAGATTACCCGTTATCGTGCTACCGCGAGCGAGTTTCGCGACGCTCTTGATGGCATATTGTCCAAAGTAAGTCGACCAGGCTATTTGCTAACAGGGAAGACCCGAGACAATATCAAGCCGCCAGCGCCCAAGTCGGATGACATGCTCTCTCCGAAGGCAGCGCAGCGACCGGATGGCTCCGCGATTCCGCGAATGAATCCTCCGACGGGGCACGTAGCAAGTGGAGTTGTGTCCCGATCTATTAGAGTGAGTTCATGTATCATGACATCCAGGCCATCCTCTCTGACAGTGCCAAGACTGTAGGTACTCTGATTGAGGTTATCTAGAGACGTTCGTGCTAAACGAAGCCTCTTTCGCGTTCTTAGGATGTAAGTGGATCGCGATAACTACCTATAGGTAGAGAAAATGTTGACTCTATTCCCTATAGTATGTAAGTACTAGTAACGAACCCCTCAAACCGAGAACTTGCCTGACTTTCCTAGGCCGTAAGTGCACTGTTTGCCTCTTATTTCATTTCCTCAAAGCTGTGCCTCGGTGCTCAGGATTCATGCAAACCAAGGTAAATCATAGTAAGCCACTTATGAGGAACGCAATTATCCCACTAGGGGAGCCTGACACATCGTCGCCTTGGGCGACAACATCCTGCCTTCGGGCAGATTTGGGTGGAATATCTCATTATTTTCTTTCTTCGCTATAATCGCGTCAAATATATTCTACTCACTCGATATGTTGCTAATTAAGTGTCTTGCCAATGACAGCTGGTAAGTACACTGAATAGATCGTCCTCTCATCCAACTAACTGTGATTCTCAAGCCGGTATGTCACACCGTATTAGACGCGTCTTTGCTACTTTGACACCTAACATTTGTACTTGCACACTAGCCAGTAAGTCCCTAGAATGTCATTCAACTTTTCCGGCACTCACTGACCACGAAAAGCTTAAAGGCTGGGAATTTCCGGTCGACAATACTTTCGCTGAGAAAGTTGTAGCTCAAGTGGGGTCCCAAGCACTGTCACCACGGTCGTCCACGCCTGCCCAGCTCTGCGAGCGATGCATCGGTCTGAACTTCTGGGCTGGAGGATTTGCATTCGAAGATCATGTTCATGCTCTGCAAGAGCGCGCTAAAGTCTGCGACTTCTGCAAGATGCTTCATGACGTTTGCGGGAAAGGCGACGCGCCCCGAGGTCGGAAAGTCCGGTTTGAGCGCATGCAGTCAACTGTGATGATGGTGGGAAGCAATCCGTTGCCTGTACTATCTATTTTTCGAAGCCCTGGTAAGTGGGAATTGCACACAGTTCGGAGAAGGCTGTGGTATGCGATGTGATTGCTAATCATTTCCCTCTCTCTCTGAAGAATCGAACCCGCCGCTGCAAATCCAATTAGGACAGCCGGAGCTTCCAAAGCCCGGAACAGACACTTTCTTCAAAATCACCAACCTGTGGCTCGAAGACTGCAACACGAACCACAAAGACTGCCGACCCGAAACTCAGAAAAGCCTCCCCACGAGGCTAATTGACGTGGGCACCCTTGAAGCCCCTAAGCTGCGCCTCCTAGAGTGCCGTGAGGAGAAGCTCTCAGGCTGCGAGTACATCGCACTCTCGCATCCCTGGGGCGATCAAAGCAAGCACCCACCGTTCACGACACTGCGCAAAGACCCCAGTGGCGCGGGTCGTGAGGTCGACAAGTTCAAACATGCCATTCCATACGACCAGCTTCCAGCAACTTTCAAGGATGCGGTGGACTGTACGCGAGCGTTGAACATCCGGTACGTCTGGATAGACTCCCTCTGCATAATTCAAGGCAAGGATGGGGACTTCAATGAAGAGGCGGAGAGGATGGAAGATGTATTTAGCGGCGCGTATTGTGTACTTGCCGCAAGTCGCGCCTCAGGCCAGTGCGATGGCTTTCTAGGGAGCAGGCCGTGGCGTGAGTACATTACTTTCCAGCGCGGAGACGAGAAGCCCTTCTACATATGCAAACCTATCGATGACTTTAGCCATCATGTGTTAGAAGGCACATTGAATCGTCGCGGCTGGGTATTGCAAGAGCGGGCGCTCGCTCGACGGACCATTTTCTTCACAGAGAGCCAAACGTACTTCGAGTGCGGCTGCGGTGTACGATGCGAAACGCTAGCACGGATGCATAAGTAAGTTTCCCCCATTCGAAATACCTATGCTATCAATATCCTCACACGTTCGACCTAGCAACATGGCCGACTTCCTCGGCGACCCGAAGTTTCCAGACAAGGCCTGGCGCACGCCGTCTCGCGCACTCAAGATATCCTACTTCCAGGACCTTTACCAGCAGTACTCCCGCCTCCAATTCAGCAGAGATGAAGACCGCCCTTTTGCCATCGCGGGCCTCGAAAAGCGTCTTCAAAAAGCGTTTGGGACGAAAGGCGGATACGGCATCTTTGATGACGGCTCCGGAGGTGGGCTTTTTCATCGAAGCTTGTTGTGGCAGCGCGGCGAAGACGAGGTGAGCATGGTGCCCATCCTCTTCCCTGTGGAAAGAAATGTCAATGTTCCGAGCTGGTCATGGATGGCCTACAAGGGAGGGATTGGCTATACCGATCCCCCATTCCAGACCGCGGAATGGGAGAAGAAAGAGATTCGGCCCCCGTGGACGCGTGGCGGGAATGAAGAGGCGGAGACGACGCATAAGCATATCGATATGTCGTTGACGGCTACGGTGAGAGATTTCACCGTCGCTGGGAGACTGCCGGCTGAAGTCAGGCTGGTCTATGATACGGAGAGGACAGCCTCCGATGGGCAACGTCCTCAATGTATTATTGTGGCTCGGTCTAAGGATGGCAAGACGGATCGGGACAAGAGGCACTATGTGCTGATTGTTACGCCGATGCAGGCAACTGCGGCTCGTGGAGAGAAGTTGTATAAGCGCGCAGGCGCGGGATACATGCCCGGGAAGTATATTGCTTTGGAGAAGCCCGGTATTGCGGCAAAGATATGTTAGCTACAACCTCATGGTCATCTGTATATTCGGCACCCCGGGACAATCGAGCCATTACCGGCCCTCGTCCACGCTAATCTATCAACGCATAGGTCTTCAAGCAACGTTCGAAAAATCCATAACTATTCCACTCCTTCATCAATGCAGGTAGAAGTAATCAAGACCAAACCATTCCAAACAATCTCAACCAACGCAATTTGCACACGAGTTCTACCCGGTGGCCTAAATACACAAGAGAGTCGACATTCGTGAATGAGAGTGACAAACAAGCCCACGTTACATTCAACGCTTGGAGTAGCTATAATGCATACTAGAGGAATCACCTTATAGCGGTGCGCATAGTAATAACGAATGATGCGCATCTGCACATACAAGCATTCCCCTGAAAGCATCATGGATTAGGGTCAGCATTTTTAAGCGGAGTTCCCACTTACCAGCCCTTCAAACCAAACGTATCTCGTCGGACAGATCACTGAACTGCAAAGCCTCTCCTTTCATCAAGCCATGCACATACGCCTCCCCAAGGATCTTAAGTATTCCGTCCCCTTCCGGGCGTAGAACGAACGGGACACATCCACCTCGCAACACGGCAACCGTGTCGTTCGCATGTACTCCCTCTGGTACCCGACAAATGTACCCTCGCTTGGTAACGCCAATGGAGGTTCCACTAAACGCAAGCTCTATTGCTTTTGCGAACTCGCAGGCCATGCGTCGTGTGCGGGCGTCGGAAGGCTGGTCCATGTGTTCAAGTTCCATAGTGTAGGCGTCAGAATGTAGCTCGTACTCTGATGTTGCTTCTTTATCCTCATGCGTGACGTTGGTGATGAGTGTCCTCCAGAAAGCGTTCATGAATCCACCTTGGTCCCCATAGATCTGGTTTCCAGCACAAATGACTGCGGTCCATATGGTCTGAAATTCTTGCGCGAGTAGCGGACGCATCTTTTCGTCCCACTGAGGGGAGAAGAACCCGGCCACGAGTGGGATGTAATTATCTGACACAACGGCAAGCTGATCGATTATAGAACCCTTCGTAGTCAGCTGCGCATAGCTTTCGTCGAACGAGACCTCCGACGCTAGGTCTGCGCTGGCGCAGTAGAGTCCTTCGCTTGGGGATTCAGCGTGGCGGATAAGCGGAAGAGCGATTTCAGCAGGACAGTACGACCAGTCGGGCGCCCAGCTCGGAAGAGGGATACGTTTGGACACAGCTATGCTGCTGAAAAGATCAATCGTGGTATCGTTTTCGAGTATTCTGACGGCAGTCGTGGTGTAGAGGTCCTTGACGGTTGTGGAGTCTGAATAATCGGGACAGATATTAAGCGCATCGCAGTCGGTAGCGAGATTGAGAAATGCAAAGACCTTGTCTCTCGGGTCACCACAATCCCACTGATGACACGTCCTGAGTAGCTGCCAGAGAGACTGATTGAAACCCTTTTCCGTAAGGTAATAGCTGCGAAGTGAGCCGAGTGTATGAATACGGTCCACTCCGGAGCCTTGACTAGCGAACTTTCCCTCCAAATCTCGTTCCGTGTAGCTGAATATGCATTCTTCGGGAAGGGAGCCCTCGAGAGCCAAGTCTACTATTTGGTAAAGTACCCACTCCTCCATCCTGAACCCTCCGCATACCAATACAATGGACAGGTTAGCGACGAATTCCTGTACAATCCAAGCCCTGCTGGACCATGGCCGTCGGAATATTTTCCTGATTGCGTGCCAGCTAGGATGGTCTGATGAAGGTAGCTCGAGGTACTCGAGATCGTAGTTATGGAGCATGGTGAACGAGCCCTTTCTCCGGATGGCGTAGAACCTCGCTAACTTGGCTAGAAGCTCAAAGCCAGCTCGAGAATCCTCTTCCTCTGGCCCCATGTATGTGACTACAAGGGCTGCCTTGGAGTATATATCGGTCATGAGTGGGACCTGTACATTCTTTTCCGGGGCGTCCTGGTTGATGCAGATGGCGTCTGCCCAGATAAGCGGTTCATCTGGACCGGATATTTCTGGTGTGTCCGGATCAATAGCCGCAAATTCTTCGTCTAGGAATCTGAGCGTATCCTTCAATGCCGATTGCAGTGACTGTAATACCTAGCTGCTTGCCGGAAACACAGACATGATGATTAATGGATGGACAGCCCCAGACGTAGGATAGAGCAATGTATGGAGGTGCAGATCGGAGCTCTGCTTGTACTAGGGAATATGATATCTTGCCGTCATCAACGCCGTGAATCTTGATCAAGCGGATTGAGCTGGCGCTGTTAAGCGGTTCATATTCGTAGAGTGGTTGAGGAGAGGTCGGATTGGCGGGCATCTTTTCAGAGTTAGTGGAGGCAAGAGAAATAACGCCGGGGTCCTTAGCATACCTTCCGGCTTGTGTGGTTCCAACGTAGTAGTGTTTGTGGGAGAAGTGAACTCTTCATATGATACTTGGCAACAATCGTCGCTGAAAAACCCAGTCGTCCTTTCATGGTGTGATGTTTCATTTCTTGTGAGACTTTCTATGCTCAGCCTGATGGACAGATGAGCCGACTCTCATGGCGCCTAGCTCCCCAGGCTGTGGCGGTGGCTGTTGCATCTAAGAAGCTCGGCAACCGCTTATCCGATGCCGCAGAAGGAAGCGCGGCCGGCGAATCTTCAATGCCACGGTCCTAGGCCCGACAATTGTATGACATGCCGAGTGACGGAGCTCGCAAGACGCGGAAGTTGGTGCGCAGCAGTAGATCGCGAGACCGCACAATGGACGGAGTCGCGAGATGTATCAAGGTATCATGGTAGGCCACATGCTGTACGAGAGAGTAGACGTAGGCATACTCAGTATGGGACCGCGAAGGGTGTCGAAGTTGCGTACATTCCGGGTGGGGTTGAAGAACCCACACGCCAGTCTCATTCTAGCCTAGTGCTCAACGTACGTTCATCTCTTGAGCAATCCGGCATTCTTGAGTGGAGATCTCTTTGACTTAGAGGGCGAGCATGGCACACAATCGAAGTCAGTCACATTGACAAGGATGGATGACTATGAACGCAGATGTGATACACTACAGAGACAGGTGGTGCCTATTTGTAAGCCTACCCGGCCAGTGGATGAGACGCGAAAAGGAAAGAAAACACACTACTTTTGAAGGCCTACTACGCCAAAGCGAATGATGAGCAAAGAGATAATCTCCGCATCAGTGATCATCCAGAACCAACAGCCTCCAGATCGGGGGATCTTACAACAGCTGGTTCATATGCGACCCATTACTTACCATCAGAGATCAAGGCATGATAGATCTTAGCCCCAATGGCGACACCTTGAGAGAAGACATCTAGAAAGTGACCTTCGAGCCCTTGAAGTCGCCGAAGCCTCCACGGTTGGTGGAGAAACCCCCGCGGCCTCCTCGAGCACCTCCGCGACCGCCACCACGACCGCCACCTCGCCCGCCAAAGCCACCTCCACGACCACCACGGTCTCCGAAGCCTCCACGGCCGCCACGACCACCGAAGCCACCTCGTCCGCCGCCACCGTTGTTGTCACGAGGCGCCGCGAAGTCAATGCGGATGGGGCGGCCGTCGACGTCAGCGCCGTTCAGTGCTTCCAAAGCAGCCTTGGCCTCATCAACGGTAGCGAAGTCAACGTAGCCGAAGCCCTTTGGATTTCCGCTCTCCCTGTCGGTTGGAAGGGAGACGCGCGTGATCTCGCCGTGCGCACTGAAGATCTCATGGATAGAGTCATTGGTGGAGTCGAAGGAGAGGTTGCCGATGAACAGAGTGTTGTTAGGTTCGCTTCGCTTATCGCCGAAACGCTTCGCGCGGTCATTTTGCTTGTCCCTCGGGTTCTGCTTGTCCTGACGGGGGGTGCTGAAGTCAATGTTCAAAGCACGTCCATCAAGTTCTTGTTGGTGCATCTCATCCTTGGCTTTCTTGGCGGACGCAGCGGAGGCAAATTCAACGTAGCCGAAGCTGTTCTAGTTAGTATCGCTATTGTGAAGAGATGGGAGCAAACCTACCCCTTGGGACGACCGGACTCGCGGTCGGTGATAATGCGGCAGCCAACAATCTCTCCGAACCCCTCGAACTCACGAGCAAGCCACTCCTCATCAATGTTCCAGCTCAGGTTTCCGACGAATAGGTTCTTGATGCCTTCGTCGGCAGCCTCGGTCTTAGTCTTCTTGACGGCGGGCTCAGCGGCGGCTTCTGCCTTGCGCTTCTTAGAAGGAGCCTCAGTCTCTTCCTCCTCGCTCTCACTAGCCGAAGAGTCGGAATCGTCGGAATCGGACTCCGAGTCGTCAGAAGCAGAGTCCTCATCGGAGGTCTACGTGGTCAGTATGGACACAAATCGGTGATACGATAGAGCACTTACCTCAGCCGTTGTGGCTTTGGCTGCGCTGTCCTTAACCTTCATGCCGTTTGCCTTGGGAGCGGCAGCCTCTTCCTCGCTCTCACTCTCGCTCTCCTCATCGCTGCTGTCCGAAGAAGCAGAGCTCGAGTTGTCGGCTTTGGCAGCGGCCTTAGCAACGACGTTGGCCTTGCCGTTAACAGGAGCCTTTGTCTCGACTTCCTCGTCTTCGCTGCTGCTTGCAGAGGAGCTGTCGCTATCCGCCTCGCTCTCGCTCTCGCTGGTCTCGGGCTCAGGCTCGGACTCAGACTCGGACTCCGGCTCGGGAGTAGGTTCCTTCTTGGCCTTTTTCGACTTCTTCAGCTCCTTGCCGGCGCCATGGCTTGTAGCAGCGGACTTGGCAATCTCCTTACTCTTCGCCTTTGGGGTCTGAGCAGGCTTGGTGACGCGACCCTCCTTAACGGCGGAGAGTTCGGACTTCTTTGAGTCCTTCTTGGAGGGCTTGGCGATCTTCGTCTTCGACATGGTGACTGATGGAGTCTAGTTCTGGGATGTATCAGTATGGCGCATGCAGGAGGTTGCTCCTTGGCAACGAGGGAATGACAGGAAGGAAAAGAGGATGGACGAGAATAGTCCCGTCGCCGGCGCGCAGATCTCGAGGAGATCATGCTGCGCTGATAGCCCGCTTCTTGGATGTCTCAGACTGCGAAAAGCCCACTGGTATCTCTCGAGACCGCACGAAGCGGAAATCCCTCAAGCCCACGAAAAGCCCACAGAGCCCACAGAAGGATGGCCTCGGGGCAGCGTGTTCCCACAAATGCCGAGAAGACAGGATAAAAGCCCTCAGTAGCGAAAAGCCCTCTGATGAATCTTGTCGTCTCTGGCGAACGACAGATGGTACCTCTGAATGTGTGTGTGAAGGAAAATGTGCCTCAGTGCCCACTGACTTGATAGTTTCTGGTAGTTTGGAGAGTAGTACTCTCGTGCAAAGCCCTCAGTAGCCCTCAGTAGCCCTCGAAAGCCCACAAAGGATGTCTCGAACTGGTGCTCGAGAGAAAGGGTGCCGGTGTGGAAAAGAAGTGGTGGCGGGTGGAGAGGAAAGAGCGAGGCGGGAGAAAAGTTCGCTTTTGAAAATTTCGGTGGGGGTGGTCCAAGCTCCCAAGGCGGTGTGAACCGTGGAATTGCCGGCGCGCGAGCCCCTATTGGGCACTAGCGCCAGAAGGTAAACGTCGACCGAGACGCGGCCTCGATGCTCGCCGCGAAGAAATTCGCAATCATGGCTTCCCCCCAGAGCCATAAGCCGCGCCGGCGGAGGAAGATCGAGGAAGGCTCGCTCGCTCACGTCACACACGGCACACTCGACCTAGATCAGAGCACCAATGCTCGAAAGCCCGCATTCCCGCTCGTTGCGTTCCTTTGGCCTGCAAAAGGCACAGTATCGCAATGGGTCACGATACCTCTGATCCTCATGGCTGCTGGCCTCTTTCGATGGACTACCGGACTGTGGGAATACTCTGGGTTTCAATCGCCACCAATGCACGGGGACTTTGAAGCTCAGCGACATTGGATGGAACTCACGAAGCACCTTCCAGTCTCGCTGTGGTACTTCTACGATTTGGAATGGTGGGGCCTAGACTATCCTCCTATGACTGCATACCACAGCTGGCTGCTAGGAGTCATGTATGTTTTATCTTCTACTATCCAAAAGCATTGCTAATTTCCTTCAGTGGCTCTGCCATCAACCCAGAATGGTTTGCCCTCGACGAATCGCGAGCGCTCGACGACCCGTCGCTGAAGATATACATGCGAGCCACTGTTTTCATCACCGAGTACCTCACATACATCCCGGCAGTAATTATCTTCCTCCGCCGGTTTTCTCGGGCCGAGGGGGTGAATGTGTGGGAAGCATCCATTGCTCTGGTCGCAATCCTGATGCAACCTGCGACTATGCTCATCGACCACGGTCACTTTCAATATAATACGGCTATGCTTGGCCTTACTCTCGCAAGCATGTCTAGTATGCTGGCGAAGCGGTACTTGTGGAGCTGCGTCTTCTTCGTTGGCGCGCTTGGCTTCAAGCAGATGGCCTTGTTCTACGCTCCGGCTGTCTTTGCGTACCTCCTTGGGATATGCGTCTTCCCAAAGATCAACCTCCTTAGGCTTCTGACGATCGCCTTAGTCACGGTCGCTTCCTTCGCCTTGCTCTATTTACCTTTCCTCCTTGGCATTGTATACGATACGTACAAGGGTGTTCCTCAGAGAGATCTCCCGTTACCGCCGGTTCTTGCCTCTTTTCCAATCCAGTTGCACGACGAGGCTTGGTACTACCCCACCATTCTACAACTAGCGCAGTCAGTGCACCGGATCTTCCCGTTCGCTCGAGGACTGTTCGAAGACAAGGTCGCCAACATCTGGTGCGCGATCCATACCTTTTATAAGCTCCACCAGTATCCGACCCCTTTTCTTCAACGAGCCGCGCTCATCGCTACGACTGCTGCGATTGGCCCGCCATGTCTCATCATTTTTTTAAAGCCGAAGAAAGAGCTTATGCCTCTTGCCCTGGCGGCCACATCCTGGGCGTTCTTCCTCTGCTCATACCAGGTTCACGAAAAGAACGTTTTGCTCCCACTGCTCCCAATGACGGTCCTGTTGAGCGGACATAACGGCCTTCTACCTTCGATTCGCGCATGGGTTGGACTCGCTAACATGCTCGGGGTCTGGACCATGTTTCCATTGCTGAAGAGGGATGAGCTGAGAGTGCCTTACTTTGTCTTGTCGCTCCTATGGGCATACCTCCTCGGACTACCTCCGGTGTCCTTCTCCGCATACCACGAGGGAGCCTCGGGCGGACTCGGTCTTTTAACGAAGATCCTTCACTTGAACATCTATGTGGGCATCGTTGGTTGGCACGCCGTGGAAGCGTTCGTTTCCCCACCGAGCAGCAAACCAGATATGTGGGTTGTGGCAAATGCCATCCTCGGCGCTGGCGGGTTCGGTATCTGTTATCTTTGGTGCCTATGGACGCTCTTGTGGAAGAGTGAGCTTTTGGGGAAGGCTAGCACAAAGGCGAAGAGCAAGACGCAGTAAAGGAAAGGGCGATGCTTCACGTTTTCGATTACCAGGCATTTTTTAAGTTACAGATACCCATTTCTTACCGGACGTTGGAGGGAAGATTCAGGTTCCATTCATGTACAAGTATGGCATACATATAACCACGTCTAGTGCTCCCGCAATGCCCGACGCCGTCCCATGCTGTGTATTGTACATGCCTCCCGTTGGCAGTTATAGTACACCAGTTCCACCACGGACTCGTATCATATCTTGAATCCGTACCCAGCCATGCAGTCTTTGTACTTCGTTACGAGGTCGGCACACTCTTCTTGGGCGTTGTTCGAGCTGGAGAAGAGCATGCACTCGTCGCGCTTGGCTTTTTCGTCGGTGCAAACGCAACAAGGCTGCCATAGGATGTTAATTCTCTGTCCACACGCTAGGAACGGACTCGATACCTTTGGTTTCGCGGGCGTGTCGGAAGAGGTCTTGAGGTCTGCACCCATGTTGGCGGCCGTCGGCGGAGGTGCCGGTGCTGTCATCCAATTAGCCTAGGGCTGTCGCAAAGACATCGCGCAACCCACTTGACTGTCCTGAACCCATTGCCGTGGTATTGGAGCTGCGGGTGGTCTTTTTTCTGCTTAGCAATTCTTGAGGAACATTTCGCTCATGTCATCAAGCTCGGCCTTGGCACTCCCGCGGACCGACCGCGCCACAGACTTGCAAGGATCCGACCGCGTGGCGCGTGCAACTAGACTCCACCACGCATAACACAGCAAAACAACAATTCTTGCATACCCGCCAGCCAGCAAGCACCACGCGCGCACACATCCTTTCCTCTCTTGTTCTCTTGCTCGAACGCCGGTATTCTTATTCCTCGTGACATCACTGTATTTTGCACGCGATGTCTCCGTCCAAGATCTTCTCGCTCGAAGGCAAGGGCCTCAAGCTCACAACCGCCGAGGACATTGAGCCGCATATCAAGGGGCTGAAGGAGAATGACGAGGTGGAGGAAGTCCATTTTCTGGGTAACACACTAGGGATAGGGGCGAGCGAGGCGCTGGCGAAGGTGCTGGAGACGAAGAAGAAGTTGCAGGTTTGTTTACCCGCCGTGACAACGCATCACTCGACTCTCGCGGGCTAACAGATGGCTTTGTAGGTCGCAAACTTCGCCGATGTCTTTACCGGACGACTGCTCTCCGAAATCCCGCCTGCGCTGTCTCATCTTCTTACCTCCCTTCTCACGCTGCCTGAGCTGTATACCGTCAACCTATCTGACAACGCCTTCGGCCTAAACACCCAGGCGCCGCTCGTTGACTTTCTCTCGCAGCACGTTCCGCTCCGCCACCTGATTCTCAACAACAATGGGCTCGGCCCCGCCGCTGGTGTCCTCATCGCCGATGCCCTTACAACGCTCGCTGAGAAGAAAGAGGCTGCCAAGAAGGACGGTAAAGACGTCCCCGACCTCGAGACCGTAATCTGCGGTCGCAACCGTCTGGAGAACGGCAGTATGGCCGCCTGGGCGAAAACTTACGCCGCGCATAAGGGCGTAAAAGAAGTCAAGATGGTCCAAAACGGCATCCGACAAGAAGGCATAACGCACCTCCTTTCCAACGGTCTCTCCCATGCCTCCAAGATCGAGGTTCTCGACCTGCAAGATAACACGTTCACCGCAACCGGCGCGAAAGCCCTGAGCAACGTCGTTGGCGGCTGGACCGAGCTGAAAGAGCTCGGCGTTGGCGACTGCTTGCTTAGCGGCCGCGGGGGAATCGCGCTCGCTACGGCTCTACAGAAGGGGAAAAACTCCAAGCTGGAAGTGCTCCGCCTCCAGTACAACGACATCAACAGCAAAGGCATCGCCGGACTCGCAGAAGCACACACCAAGTTGCCCGCTCTCCGTCGTGTCGAGCTCAACGGTAACAAGTTTGACGAAGACGACGCAGCGATCCAGAAACTCCGCGAAGTGCTTGAGGAGCGTAAAGATGCTGCTAGAGTCGATGATGAGGAGGATGACGAGTACTGGGGTCTCGACGACCTGGATGAGTTGGAGAGCGAGGAGGAGGAGGAAGAAGAAGAGGAGGAGGAGCTCAAGAGGGCTAGTGAGGAGGAGGGAGAGGAAGAGGGAGTAGAGGTTGAGGAGAAGGCAGCGAGGGAGCTTATTGCTGCTCAAGAAGCTGAGGAGGAGAACGTGCCGCAGGAGAAGGATAAGAAGGTCGATGAGCTGGCCGATGCACTGGCTAAGACGGAGATTAAATGAGCTTGGTTAGATCGGCCTGTACCTTGAGGAAGGCTTATGGATTGGATGGCGTCACCGTGTGATTGGCTTGTGTATAGGACCGGGGAGATACCATAGATAGAATTCATACGTTCAGCGAATACCGACTCCTCGCCGTGCTCTCTGGCGTCCTTTACTTGTCATGTTCACCACCACTGGATAGTACAGGCGGATTTGCGAGCATATGCGACTCTGCTCAGGATAGAGTGGGCTGAGAAAAGGCAGTCAAAAGCACTTCATTGAGATTTCACTATGATCCAGGCAGTGGTTCATCGGCACCTCGCAACAACAAGCGAATTCCATTGGGTACATGATGTTCATTATCGTTGCTTCATGATCAGCGGCCAAAGAGCCTCATATCTCCATGATTCGTCTAACCTTTCCATACCCATGTCCACGTCCACCATCATCATGATCTGAACAGGGCCTGGAAGCCTCCGGGCTCGTGTATCCCATAACCATCGCTACCCTAGTTTGCCTCTACAGTCGGGTTCTTGTCGGCGAAGTGGAGGGCTTCAGCGGCGACGCTGCCCTTTTTGACGTGGCCATGGGCGCGGTGCTCGCGGCTCTGAACGTACGCCGCCTCGTCCTTGGTGATGTGCTCCGGCTCGTTCTCGATCTTGGATCCAATGGTGAGCTCAGCCATCTTGAGGTTTGTCTCCTTGTCGCGGTGAGATTGCTCCTCGGGAGCGAGGCCCTTGCCGACGGGAGAGGTAGCCTTGACGGTGGCGTTAACGGAGCTTTGGCTGTTGGTGTTGTCACTCAAAGAGAGGGCGCGGCTACGCTTCGCGGCAACAGATTGGGCGTGGGCAGTCAGACCTCCCTTCTCAGTGTGGCCGTGAGCGCGGGCCTCCAGGGAGTGTAGATAGTCGGCTTCCTCCTTGGTGACGGTGCCCTGCTCGACTTTGGGTTCGATCTTAGCGAATTCCCGCTGGAGCTCAGCTTCGAGTTCGGGGTGGGGTGCGTTGGTTTGGCCGACTGCACGCTGCATCACTGAAATAGAATGTGTAAGCAGCAGCTTCATTGCATCAAAGGTGTAAAAACAAAGCGGACCCGGGCCGGGCGGTGGCCAGATCGAGGGGACTGGGAGACACTTACTGCTGACAATGCCCTGGGTAGTCTTGAGGACCTCAGGCGTAACGTCCTTAGGATTGGTATCCACAGCGGCCTTCAGGTCATTGACGACGGTCAGAATGGAGGTCTGAGGCCCCTGGCCGAGCTGCGGCACTTGCTCGTGAACGTCCTGCGCGGCGACCGCCAGAGACTCCACGGCGGAGATGATCTTGGCCGACCGCTCGTCTCGAGCCTCGTAGTTCTCGCTCAGACGGCGAGCGTCCTCGGTGGTGATGCTGAGCGGTTCCGTCTGCAGCTTATCCAGGACCTTCTGCAGGTGTAAGTGGAATTGCTGATAAGGCGGTCAAGAGACGGATGATGAGGATAGGGAACGGATGACTTACAGCATCCTTAGCGTTGTCGGCGGAGGACATGGTGTTGGTAGGTTGCGTCGGTGTTGATTGGGCGCTGAGGGGCGTTTGGACGGGCGTTGACGAGGTCGACGGTGTTAAATTAGTGTTGAGATACAAGAAACTCAGGCGGCGGATATTTATCTGTTGACGATGACGTCCGTGCTGCGCGCTCTTGCCGTTGACGGTGAGACAACTGCGCGCAAACGGATGCAGCCGTGCCTTCACCGAGCCGGAATGCCTTCACCGCATCAACGCGGGGCAGGAAGGAACCGACTGGTGTCCTGCATAGCGACACTCGGATGGGTTTGGGGGCTTCCGACCTCCTCTTGACAGTGTTCTCTAGGATTGCTTAATGGGAAGGAAGCACTGGCCAGGGGGAAAGACCTGGTCCGCACTCTGCTGGCTCCAGCAACTCCTACTGGATCTGACCTCAGATCAGACGGGAGAATGGACTCTGATCAAACAGACTGTAATTGCTGGACTAGTCTATGGATCAAAGTGGTAGCAGTCGGGTACAGGCGCGCATTACGAGCGCGCCGTCGACCCGGTGAGCTCTTTTGACTAAATTCTAAGGGACCTACCTAGGTATTCTAGTTTTGCTGAACTAGAATTCTAGCATAACTCCAGCAAGTGCATCTATCTCCTTCGGGGATGCGAGGCCTGAGCTCGTCGCGTGGCACAGGAGCGAAAGACTAATAAAAGGAGAATCTGACTTTGAGAAGAATGTCCGCATGAGAAGCTAGGCGTGAGAAGCGAATAGCCAGAAGACATACCCAGTGACACTATTGCAAGAAGTGCCCAAAAAGAAGACTATCCTGACTTGGGCTTACAATGCTGCCTTCACCTACGAGCCTTCAGAGGTCAAGAAGGTGATTCCACAATAATACGCCTATGAGCGGAGGCGGATCTTGGAGCGCGACTGTCTCACCGAGGCAAATGCCCTTCCCCACGGGCATTGCAAGAAAGAAAGCCGCTACCTAATCTCGACGTTGATTCCCAAGCGACGTGAGGGGAACAAGAAGAGGCCACAACGAGCGGAAGTGTTCGGCATCGTTCTCCACATTCCAGACACTGGAAGTCTAGGGGTCTCTCGGCGGGGCAGCCTTCGTCACAGGGACTCGTATACTTTCCACCAGCCGATCCGTTGCCAGACCATCTGAAGGCAGAGAGCGCCCTCTCATCTCTTGCGGCACGTTGTTCCGAGCCGCTGTAACCGTGGAAGTCCGACCGGTGAAGAGACGTGTCGATAGGGTTCTATTATGGTCACAATGATATTCTGAAAAGCTCAGAGAGATCAGATCAGATCAGATCGATTTGTGGAGAGAAAATCGGGGGCAGGGAGCGGCCGGGGGTTGCGAAGCTCTGGAGACATGGTGGAGACAACGTAGTCGTCGTCTCGATCGCGAGGAACCCCCACGCAGGACCCAAATTCAAAACGCCGAGACATTCAGGGGCGGCCCTCCTTTGGGGGATCGGCCGCTTACGCCTTTGCCGCAAGCCACGGACCGTTTGAAACATCGGCTCGCGATAAGGATACGGTTCAAAAGGGATGCTGGCCGAATGGCCGTCCGCGACAAGTGTGCCAGCAGAAGCGCGAGATGGCAAGAATGCGCCTCCTTTTCAAGGCGGCACGCCTCCTGCAAGGGCATTGGTGCTGACTGCGAATTGGACGGTTTATCGGAATGCCGTGGTTTGCGGGCTTTGGGACCTGCATAGGATGACGTTGCACGCGAAAACCCGTCGCGGTTGGCAGGCTTGTTCCCGACAGCGAACCAAACACTGTAGCGTCCTACCGCGGCTAGCTGCTACACAAAAGGTATGCTAGAGCAGCTGCATGTGCGAGGGGCGGGGAGAAAATCCTTTTACGGTGGAAACGGACTGGCGGAGTGTTCCCAACAGCGCAAGCCGGTCCCACCATTTTGGCGCCATCGACGTCGGCCCGTGACTTGTCAATTCCAGCGACCCATATTTTCGGTGGCTATCCTCCACCCAGGCCGCGAATACGCGAAATTATGAGCATCGGTGATCACCTCTCTTCCCCAAGATAATCGCGGGCGCTGGGTCGCAGGCGCTCCTAATATTTGGCAACCGTCCAACGCCGACCAACACCACAACCCCATTTCTTTGTCCATCCCCGTCCACCGTCCCGGTGCCCCGCCGCTCTTCCATTTCTTCAACTCATTTGCACCCTTCCACACCCGTCGCTCGCTACCTAAATTTTTTTCCCCTTATATCGATTGCCCTCAATTGCAATTGGGACGCGGACCACGACGTCATCGGCTACTCCGTACTAGGTCTTCTCGGACGGCTATCTCACGAAGATATTGGGACCTGACGGCCATCACCTTGTGTGACCGCTGGTCGGATATCACGAACAAGCCATCATGAGCACGCCAAATCATGAGCGGCCCGAGCCCACGTACGCGATGCACAACAACATGCATACGGCGACACACCAGAGGTCTTCGGACGACGATGGCACATATGTTGGGGAAGATTCAAGCCAGCAGGACTCTTATGCGGGGCCTGGACCTGGCCTAGGAATTGGACAAGGCAGACCTCGGGCAGGAAGCCACTTGACGGTCGACACGGTCCATCTCGGCGCACCAGGGTCCCTCCAATCGCCCTCGCAGACGCGAGAGCAGGCAAGCAGGCTCGACGACGATCTCGCTATGCTTCAGGTGGAACGGGCCATCTCGAATCAGGAGGAGCTGAATAGGGAGCAATCGCAGTCGCGGTCCGTTCGTCGAGAGAGGACACGTAGGCAGGACCCCGTCGACGAGTTCGATCAAGCTACAAACCCATTGCACGAGAAGACGGCCCTCTACAAGCCGCCCGAGAACCCCTCCACGAGCCTCTCCAAGTTCTTCAAGAAGGTCCACAATTCGAGCTTCCTCGTCCGATATTTCACCTACATTACGCCGCTGGTTCTCATCATTCTCATTCCGCTGCTCCTTGGTGCCTTCTTGTTCCAGAACGCTACCGTTGGAGGCGTTAAGCTCATCTGGTTCTGCATCTGGCTTGAGATTGTCTGGCTGACCCTCTGGGCTGGTCGACTGTTGGCCAAGTGCTTGCCATGGCCTATTGGTGTCGTGTCTAGCCTCTTCACTAATAATAGCAAGAAGTGGAGGGATATGGGAAAGCAGCTTGAGCTTCCCGCCACTCTGTTCTTCTGGTGGCTCGCTATCGAGATCTCCTTCCTCCCCACCATGAAGAATCACCACCTCAATGGAGACAAATCCACCAGGCATTGGGAGTCTGTCATGAACAAAGTTCTCATAACTCTGTTCGTGGGGGTGGTCCTCAACTTCGTGGAGAAAATCATTATCCAGCTCATTGCCATCAGCTTTCACCTTCGGACGTATGCCGACCGGATCGAGCTGAACAAATTCCAGATTGGCAGTCTGGCCAAGCTGTACAAATTCTCAAAGGAGAAGATCACTATGGAGGATTCTGAATTCGAATCGAAGAGCGGCCCGGCATCCGGTGCCCGCACGCCCGGTCAGTTCGTCAAGGAAGCCCAGAAGAATACAAAGGAAGCTTTCAGTAAATTCGGAGATATCGCGGGAAAGGTTGCTGGAGACTTCACGGGTCGTCAGGTTACTCAAAGCTCTCATCCTCACCAGGTCGTCCTCGCTCTCCTCGGCAGCACCAACGGAAGCCAGGTGCTTGCGCGCCGATTGTATCGGACCTTTGCTCGGGAAGAGACGGAGACTGTCCATTCGGAGGATCTTAAGAATGCCTTCGACAACGATTCCGAAGCCGAAGCTGCGTTCTCAATGTTTGACAAAGACATGAACGGGGACATTTCCATGGAAGAGTTGGAGGCTGTGTGCGTGGAGATTGGCCGAGAGCGAAAGTCCATTACCGCCTCTTTGAAGGACTTGGATTCTGTGGTCAGCAAGCTCGATGATGTCTTCATGTTCATCGTTTTGGTTATCACCATACTCGTCTTCATCTCACTCATCTCTACTTCAGCCGCTGGCGTTCTTACATCTGCCGGATCCACGGTCCTAGCCTTGTCCTGGCTCTTCTCGGCTACTGCTCAAGAGTTCTTACAGTCCGTCATTTTCGTGTTCGTAAAGCATCCTTTCGATGTGGGCGATCGCGTTGGTGTCTATGGTAATACTGGCGCTCTCGGACTCGGTGACGACTATTTCGTAAAAGAAATCGCCTTGCTCTACACCGAATTCAAGAAGATGGAAGGCCATGTCGTGCAGGCACCGAACAGCTACCTGAACACTCTTTTCATCCTCAATCAGCGACGTTCCGGAGCGCTTGCGGAAGCCGTGCCTGTCATCATCAAATTTGGCACTACCCTTGACCAAATTGACCAACTTCGCCAACGTCTGCTGGAGTTCGTCAGAGCAGAGAAGCGAGAGTATCAAACCAACATCCTCACCGAGCTGAGGGAAGTGAAGGAGGTGCACTCTCTTACGCTGAACGTCGTTTTCTTCTACAAATCCAATTGGCAGAACGAACTTCTTCGTCTTCAGCGCCGGAACAAATTCATCTGCGCTCTTATGATCGCTATGCAGGAATCCGGCATCGAAGGACCGCGGATGCGCTTCCCTGGTCAGAAGGAATCATTCCCCGTTTACCTCCAGAATCTTCCCCACACTGCTACGCCTGGCGTGGGCCACAATGGAACGCCGGACAACCCGGGAGGCATGCTCCACCAGCAGCCTCAGGATGAGCCTCTTGTGCCTCCGCCATCAGATGGTGCCACTGGTAGCGTGCCGGCCCAACGTCATGCCTCGATACTCCGCGCTGGTGGGCGAGGCCGCGGCGAGTCCATGGCGGCCATGGGCCGTCGCGTTGACTTCTCCTTGGGCATGAGGGATTACTCCGCTGGTGACATGCCTGGCGATGTCTTTGACGACCGAGAATCTCAGGACCGAAGCAGAGCCACTGTCGTAAGAGTCACTTCACCCTCTCGGCACTCACAGGACCGTGCTCGCGCGTCTCAAGATACCGGTCGGTCCACTTCGGTCGCCGACAGGCCTAGTCGTCAGTTTGGCCGCCTTCAGCGTACCAACACGGACAGTACTCAAGCCCGCGAGCGCAGCAGTCACAAGAATCGCTTCTTTGGCCGCAGCCGCCACCGGGATGAGGAGACTGGTATGGTAGGCATTCCAGAGAGCGGCTACGACTCCTCCGAGAGCAAAGGCAAATTAGATCCTCGCTCTGGCCTCGTTAGTCCAAGGGCAATGAGGATGAGCACGGATGAATCGCGGCCCCCGCAGTCTTCTGGTGCGCTGCCGAACACTGCAGACACGGATCGGACTTTCAGCGCACCGCACCGAGCCCAGACTGACACCTTGGAGATGAGGCGTCTTCACTGATTAGACTGAAGTCAAAAGTTTCCTTGTATATATCTGTTTTTCTCATGCGGCATTTGAAGGCGCTTCGGGTATCCGCCAGGGTGGTGGTGGAGGAGCTTGTGTCTATTAGCGTTTGGTCTCAAACACTTGGGCTATGATTGTCGCCTCCGAATGGCTTAATAGCTTCAAACAATTCTAGAATTACTAGCCGAGTCATTTCGACGGAATGACAAAGGACTTTCCACAAAAGAGTTCGGATCTGGTCTTGCTGTTGTGTCGGTGCCTGAGCGAACGTCTGCGGATAAAAAGGGTCCAATCACGTGTGGGCTGCCCCTTCCGCGCTGGTCCATGCGCGACGCCACGCACTTTCCCGAATAATAAACAGACCCCACCAAGCCGACAGCTACACACCGCTCGTTCACGACTAACGACAACCCTTTCGATTCTGACCCTCTTCTCCAGTCTGTTTGATACAGCGTTCGAGAGCCATCACCATGCGAGGAGAGGTACGTATACCCTGTAGGAGCCCGTTTGTTTGTCGCGCAGCGCGTCAATGCGCCCCGCCATCCCCTACGCCTCTCGGCACGAGTATGGGGGAAGACTCCGGGGGCCGCCTGGGTTCCTGCTCCTGGCCGGAGGTCAAGAGGATGATATACGCATCCCTCCACCTTTCTGTATCTTCTTGGACACGTAATGCGTATCAGCGAGCAGTCGACTAAACATGTGAACTACAGATCTGCCACCTCCACATCGGCCAGGCCGGTGTCCAGCTCGGTAACAGTGCCTGGGAACTGTACGAACGGCCGCTCCACCCCTACGCGCATCGAACACGCTGACGGCGTCACAGATACCTGCTGGAGCATGGCTTGAAGGCCGATGGACGTCCCGACCCGGACGCAACGGATCTTGCTGAGGGAGGGTCGTACGAAACCTTCTTCACGGAGACCGGCAGCGGGAAATACGTGCCGCGCTCCATCTTCGTCGACCTCGACCCCTCTGTATGTGCTGTGCTTGCATCAATTGCCACGTACTAACATGATATAGCCCGTTGACGAGATCCGCACCGGCAACTATCGTCAACTGTTCCATCCCGAGCTCTTGATCAGCGGCAAGGAGGATGCTGCCAATAACTATGCCCGCGGCCACTACACTATTGGCAAGGAGATGGTTGACAGCGTCATTGACCGCATCCGACGCGTTGCTGGTGAGATCGGACTCATTCATGGAACCGCATGGTTCGCTAATCGATTTGCAGACAACTGCTCCTCGCTCCAAGGCTTCCTCATCTTCCATTCGTTCGGTGGTGGAACCGGATCTGGATTCGGAGCTCTGCTCCTTGAGCGTCTCTCTACCGACTATGGCAAGAAGTGCAAGCTCGAGTTTGCGGTGTACCCTGCTCCCCGCGTCTCTACGTCCGTCGTCGAGCCGTACAACGCTGTCCTCTCTACCCACAGCACCATCGAGAACTCCGACTGCACCTTCCTCGTGGACAACGAAGCCGTGTACGATATCTGCCGTCGCAGCCTGGATATTCCTCGCCCCAACTATGAGCACCTCAACCGTCTGATTGCTCAGGTTGTCAGCTCCATTACGTCCAGCCTGCGATTCGATGGCGCTCTAAATGTGGACTTGAACGAGTTCCAGACTAACCTCGTCCCATACCCACGTATCCACTATCCTCTCATTAGCTACGCACCCGTCATCTCGGCCAAGAAGAGCTCGCACGAGAGCTTCAAGGTCTCCGACTTGACGTTCCAGTGTAAGTTTGCGCATCACTTCTGTTTTGATTGTACACTTGTGCCGCCCCAATGAATTGATGCTGATCATGAAAGGCTTCGAACCGAACAACCAGATGGTGGTCTGCGATCCGCGCAACGGCAAGTACATGGCCGTCGCTCTCCTGTACCGCGGCGATATTGTTCCTCGGGACTGCACGGCTGCGGCTGGAGCGCTCAAGGCGAAGGCCTCTTTCAACCTGGTCGAGTGGTGCCCTACTGGCTTCAAGCTCGGCATCAACTACACCAAGTGAGTCACTTTTCACGCCTCTCTGGCTTATTGCTAATCCTTCTAGGCCCATCAGCCCTCCCGGAAGCGAGCTTGCCGCCGTCGACCGAAGCGTTTCCATGCTCAGCAATACCACTGCCATCGCTGAGGCTTGGTCTCGCCTTGACCACAAGTTCGATCTCATGTACTCCAAGCGTGCATTCGTCCACTGGTACGTCGGCGAGGGTATGGAAGAAGGCGAGTTCTCTGAGGCTCGTGAGGATCTTGCTGCGTTAGAGAAGGATTACGAGGAGGTTGCGAGCGACTCGATTGATGAGGGCGTCGAGGAGGGCGAGTACTAAGCGATATACCCTCGGCGCGAAGCAGGCTCGGGGGCTGTGTTGGCTTTGGAAATGGCAAGATATGTGTGCTGAGAAGGTGACATAGGCTACCTTAGGCTTAAATGTCGCATTTACTTTCAGCTTCTCATGATCCGCTCAGCTACTATTATGATTCTCAGCTCTTATCATAGGGCGAGAAGTGACCTGCCCTGACTTCCCGCTCAATGTGCGCATCAGAGACAGACAGCTGCGATGTGATTCTGACAATAATGTCTCCTCCCGGCCTGGTCTGCTTTCTACTAAAAGAGATTATGTATGAAGTTGGCGTTCGCGGCAATTGTTGCCGGCCAGCCAGGCGCGCCGAAGCCCGCCCGCATCACGTCACCCCGAACAGGAAAAGGTCAAAGCATCTCGTCGAGCTTCCCCGCAGCTCAACACTTGCTCTTCCACACCACACAAACCGCAGAAAATGTTCAGCCTACCCTCGTTCAAGTTACCTTCTTTCTTCAGCCCCGACAATAGACACTACCCATCAATTGAGCTTCCCTCGGTCGAAATCCACGACGTCGAAACGGCGGCGGAAAAGCGTCCGCGGACATTGAAGCACCTCCTCAAAGCAAACCATGCAAACCATTCCATCATATATCATGACCTCCGATTTCACAACCACGCTCCACACGTAGGCGGACTCAATGTATTGTTGGCTGTAGCTGCTAAGCTTGCTCCATAGATTCTGGGCTCGGCTTACATCCTCGGAGGAACGCATGAACACTTGAACGAGATATACGAGAAGGAGTCGGAGGAGCTTGAGCCATGGCACGACTCCCCCGGAGAGATATCAAAGGATGATTGGAGAGACTTTTTGGGGAAGCGAGAGTACGTTGGCTGGCAAGACGCGATGGAATTTGCTGACAATCTGCAGGTACCAGCGGGCTTTCGTAGACTTCTTTGAGGATCAGCTGGTCTCAAAACGGTACGACTGGAAGCTGCTCCTAGACGAATATATATTCGAAGGAAAAGAGCCCCTCATCAATGGGCTAGTCTCAGGGCGTACGTGCGCGCTTTTCATCCATTTGTTCGACGCTTACACCCCTCCAGTTGGCCATCCGCTCATCCACCTCGGATACGCGTACGAGCTCAATTCGAGAACTGTCGCGATTGAGGCTCTAGCACACGGAGCCTGCTTTTACAGCTCCCTTCATAAATACGTCGACGATACATCTTACACGAAGCCTAGCCCGCACCCTTCGACGTCGCTGCTCGATATACTACACAGGGTAAGGGAGGACAAGAGATTTAACGGGCTCTACGACCATCGAAGCGGCGACATCTCGAAAGTGCTTGCGAAAAGAGAGGATGCCTTCCTTGAGTACTGGAATGCGTGGGAGCTGCCAAATCCTAAGAAGCAGTTCGAAGAATCGCAACACACAGCGGTCGCCATTCTCATGGGTACGGAGCCGCCGGATAAGTCGAGTTTTGATTTCTTCCTCGTCCACCTGTTGACCTCGTCCCATGCCGTTCGGATCCTGTTGCCACTGATTCCCGCCAAGTTCCACATGAACCTCGTGCGGCAGTGGTGGCTATTCACGCTCGCCGTGTACATCGCCCAAGTTCGCCCCGAGATCAAGCTCGGCGCCATAGAGGACTATGATCCCAAGGGGCGGGACTGGAAATTCGTAGTAGACAAGGCGCTCAAGTCTCCTCACGCTCTGGACGCGCACTTCGTCAAGGGTAAGTCGCGTGCCTGCATTGCGTCTCCCGACTAACAACAACAGCGCTGCGATCAATGAAGGTGGCGGCAGAGACGTGGGGTGACGAGTCGCAATATTACCTCAAAGCAGCAATTCGTTTCGCAGACGAGTTCGAGCACTGGGGTGGCTTTGGAACCGCTGATGACGTCGCGTACGAATATCCAGAATACCAGTAGGTTGTCCGTAGGTATGACGGAGATGTAAGCAGGGGATCGTCTCAGGTTGTTATAGCCAGGCCTTCATTTCAGAGATCATTCGTTCATACGGGGCCTCAACCCTGTATCATGCGACGAGCGACAGGTGGCAGAGTCAAGATCCTCCGTCGTTGTTGTGGCTAATTTGCGGCACGGGGGCACAGAGGCGTTGAGCAAGGCGAGTAACCTGGTCGAATTTGACAATCTGCATTATCCATCTACCGGACAGCAAAAACCTGGTAGGCGAAGCCGGGTTGTTGAAAGCGCCCTGCTTGCTCGTAATGCTGCATGAAGATCAGTCATCGCAGGCGGGCTTGTTGGCTGTCCCCATCAGCAGTAATGGTAGAAATCGAGGTGCAGTAAGCGGTGGATCTGCGCGCTGCCGATTTGCTCGCAGCGGGATTGGGGCCTGCATTGACAGGCTTGGAAAAGCTTCACTGAGCTTCTGCTTGTGAAGGTGCAGAGTAGTGTGCGCTCAGTGCGGAAGAGCGCGGATGTGTCAGCGGATTCGGGCACTTGTGGATGCTTCACGATACCTCCGAGCCACGGTTGAGGTCGGCCGATGCATGCACGCTGCAGAGAGAAGAAAAAGCGTCGCCTCCCCGCGCTCTCGTGCTCTTCCTCTCGCACCTCTCCGGACCCCGTTGTTTGGCGTCCTTCACCTTCAGACAGCCCCCAACTCGCTTGACGTCAAGCCGACGTACCTGCCTCCGCAGCCGGCCAAGCTTCCACGCTACGCACAGCCGCCCTTTCTGCTTCCGTCGGGTGCGCCACAGCAAGGCCAGGAGCCGGAATTTCGTCATCCAGCAAGCGCGGACAGCTCAGGGCGCGGGCGCCGACACCGCCAGCATTCCCATACATAGGCGCTCGACACCGCGGGCCCGTATCGCGGTGAGCAGACAGTGTTATTGATTGCTTGCTTCTTGTGTGCTCCTCGGCCATCCGTTGACCGCGCCGCCGTGCCCCACCTCGCGCGCCACCTTTGTCACATTACCACACCTGCACGCAGCGGCCCACGCGCGACAAGCCTTCATCATGTCTCTGAAGAAGGCCCTGGACAAGCTCAAGCCGGGCACCCGCAGCAACCCCGCATCCGACGACGAGGCCGGGCTCACCTCGCCCAAGGCCAATGGCACCGCTTCGCCGCGCTCTTCCGGCCTCTTCGGCCACCGCGCCAGCGGCGAGTTCAAGCGCAACAGCGGCACGTTTGACAGGAACAGCGACCCCCTTTCCCCAGCAGACAGCAGAAGCAGCTTAGATCAGAGCAAGAACGACACCCCCCGCGCCAGCGGCATCTTCCACCGCCGTACCGACAGCCCGAACCGCAGCCAGACGTTCGCTTCAAAGACGAGCCTCGGGCTTTCGCAGTCCCGCACCACCCACAGCCCCATCCGCGCCGTCAAAGAGAAGCTGCACATTGGCAACGACTCCTCCAGTGACCCCAACATCCCCCTCAACCGCGATGGCGAGCCCATGTCGCGGAACCAGCTGCGCAAGCACGAGAAGCAGGTCCAAGTCGAGGAGAGGAGGAGGGAGGTCCAGGAAAGGGAGAAGGAAATAGAAAAGAGGCGGAAGGAGATGGAGGAGCAGGCGGATAAGGAATTGACACCCGAGCAGAAGGCCAAGTACGGCAACGTCCCGCCAAACAGCTACGCCGGCGACTGGAAGCACGAGCCGCGCCTGAACATCATGGACTTTTCAGCAAAGGACGTCGGCAAGGAAGTTATCTTCCGCGCCAGGATCCACCACCTGAGGAAGATGAGCTCCAAGTTCGTCTTCTTCGTCTTCCGCCAGCAGCTCGCTACCATCCAGGGAATCCTGGTGGAGCACGCCGACGTCTCAAAGTACATGCTCTACTGGGCCGAGCATCTGGAAGCTGAGTGCGTAGTCCTCGTCAAGGGCGTCCTTCAAGAACCGCAATCCAAGCAGGGAGAGGTCACCGGCGCTACGATCCACGACGTCGAGGTCGCCGTTCACCATCTCTATGTCGAGGCGCCCGTTACCGAGCACCTGCCTTTCAACGTCTACGAAGCCGAAGTCACCCAGGCAGAAGTTGACGAAGAGATTGCAAGACCCGAGCACAAAGAAGGACACAATCGTGTGAAGATCACCGACCGCACGCGCTTGAGCAACCGAGTCATCGACCTGCGAACAACTGCATCGCAAGGCATCTTCCGCATTCAGTCCGGTATCTGCAACCTTTTCCGGGCCCATCTCGACACCGAGGGCTTCATTGAGATTCACACCCCCAAGCTGCAAGGCGGAGCTACCGAGTCGGGTGCTAGCGTCTTCAAGGTGGAGTATTTCGGCCGCGGCGCTTTCCTCGCTCAAAGTCCTCAGCTAGCCAAGCAGATGTGTATCTCCGCAGACTTTGGCAAGGTCTATGAGATTGGGGCGGTCTTCCGAGCCGAGAACAGTAACACCTATCGCCATCTGACTGAGTATACCGGTCTTGATCTTGAGATGCAGATCGACGAACACTACCACGAAGTCCTTCGAGTGCTAGACCGGACTTTCAAAGCCATCTTCACAGGCATCTATGAGCGCTACCGCCCGGAGATTGAGATCGTCAAGCGCCAGTTCCCTCACGAAGACTTGGTGTGGCTAGAGGAAACTCCCATCATCCCCTTCGCCGAAGGTATCCGGATGTTGAACGAGTCCGGGTGGAGGGACGATGACGGCAACCCTCTCGATGAGAACGAGGACATGGGCACAAGGGACGAGGTGCAGCTCGGACGCGTCATCAAGAAGAAACTCGGAACAGATTATTACGTCCTGGACAAATTCCCAGTGAACGCCCGACCATTCTACGCAATGCCGGATCCGAACAACCCGAAGGTAACGAACTCTTTCGATATCTTCCTCCGCGGCCAGGAAATCCTAAGTGGTGGTCAGCGTATTCATGACGCAGATATGCTCCTCGACAACATGCACAGGCTGAAGGTCGATCCCATGAGCATGGAAGAGTACATTCAGGGGTTCCAGTGGGGTGCTCCTCCGCATGGCGGTGGTGGTATCGGTCTAGAGCGTATCCTTATGCTTCTGCTTCAGCTTGGGAACATTCGACACGCTTCAATGTTCCCCCGCGATCCGAAGAGCTTGCCGGAAAAGCCCGTCATCAAGCAACTCCGACACCCCGAAGCGAGCACAATGCACCCTCCATGGGAGGGCACGGATCGGGCTGCCGCTGGCATGGATTTTCAGCCTATCGAGAAGCTCATTGCGAACTATGGAGACGCCACCAACACCTCGTGGCTGGAGCCTCGCACGGAGATTTGGCGAGACGAATTCACCGGCGCTGCTGTGGGATTCGTCCCTCAAGACGGCTTCGCTATTACAGTTGGCGATCCTCTCTGCCATGCGTCTCAATATCTTAAGACAATGACCGGCTATCTTAAGTACATTAGAAAGGAACGCAACCTCAAGCCGTTGTGGCTATTGGTGGGCTCGGAAGCTGAGGAAGTCCTTGCTACCAAGTTTAACTGGCGCACTTTCTCCGTCGTCGCCGAGCAACGCGTGGATCCGGCCCACAATCCCGCACAAAACGATTCCGACGTTCAACGTAAGATTCGGCATGCGGAAAAGGAAGGAGTCAAGATCACCGATTTCCCCATCGGCAGCCCACCGCCTGAAGACATCAAGAAGAAGGTTGATGCTCGCGTCGAGGACTGGCTAAAGAATAGGAAGGGCCGTCAAGTGCACTTGACCAATATCCATCCCTGGCAAGATGAGGAGCATCGCCAATACCATATTGCACAGACGCCCGATGGCACCATTGTCGCCTTCGTGGCTATGGCTCAGCTGAGTCCTGACCACGGCTGGCAAGTCAAGTATTCTCTCGACTTCCCCAACGCGCCTTCAGGCTCGATCGAATACATTGTCATTCATGCCCTGAAGGTGGTTGCGCAGGGCGGAGCGCCTACCGTCACCTTTGGAGGAGGTGCCAGCTCCAAGTTCACGCCTGGCCACAACGTCAAGGGCACGCGTGTGAAGGTGCTCAGCCGGGCATACCACGCCATTGCCTCGGAGTTGAAGCTCACAAACAAGACCGAGTTCCGCGAGAAGCTGGGCGCTACCGACGACCCAAGCTATATTTGCTATCCGCCTCACGGGCTGGGCCCACTGGCAATCAAGGCTATTTTGAACTTCTTTGAGGACGACGAGTAACAGGGTGTGCATTGCGAAGGTCCTAAGCAAAGTAAATATTGATGGATGAAAGAGATATGATACCATAGGGCGTCTGGAGTGACCAAGACCGCCAATGTTAGTTTCTCTCGATTGCAGGAGTAGTTTTGTGGCCATTCCTTGGTTCATTTGCCATTAGCTCCCTAATGCAATCCCCTCCCCGCTGAACAACGGACCTGGCCCTTTTGGTGACAGAGATTTATCTGATTATCAGACATGCTTGCAGTTATGTTGCGGCTCGTGTTCGCTCCGCCCTTTCGCTAAAGCTGCTCCTTACGGTAAGCATTTTGCGAACCTTCTGCGAGCATAGTCAGCAGGCTTTTGTGTAGCTTGCATCAGCCCGCTAGCAGATTCCAGATCAGCTTGTCGGGTGCAATGAACGGCATTTGAGGCTGGAGTAAATTCGGGATGCCCTCGACGCCCGTTGGAAGCCGCTTCCTGCGGGTCTTCTTCTCCTGGCATGAGAGAATATAGCAAAACAGCTCGTACGAAGTGCAAGTAGCAGTTCCGTCGGAATCGGAAGCACCCGCCAAGCCACCCTATCCGTTCCGCTGCTCGCCCAGAGATTTTGCGGGGGAAACTCGGGGCACGTCAAAGCGCGGGGTCGTGGCCGGACCTTAAATTCGGCTGCCATGAGCTGCATCAACGCGTCTCTGATTGGGCGAGGGGGAGCTCTAGTCAGCCACGGATGCTCGGGCTTGCTTTTCACGGGCGAAGCTGACGTCGCGTGCGAGCTTGTGGTTGCGAGCTGTGAGGGCTCGGGGTGGTGCATCGGGACGGATGGGTGACGGGAAAGGCAAGAGGCAGAGGTAGGGCTGAGAAGACCAGACTAGGGACGGAGGTGTATAAGAGGAGGGGACATCTGCTGTCGAGAATGGCAAGTTGAGAGCTAGAAGCGAAAGGCTTGTTACGTCGTTTTCCTCTCGTCCGTCTCGTCTCCGGCTCCACCGCTTTTCCTCCCCTCAACTTCATTATTCCTCTCCCACAATGTTCCTCACGTCCCTCCTCTCTCCCTACGCCCTCCTCCTCCCCGTTCTCTACTACATCCTCCCCTACCTCCGCAATTGGAGCATCCGCAACATCCCCGCGCCCTTCCCCGCACAGTTCACGAATCTCTGGCTACTATACCAAGCTCGACGCGGACGCCGCTACCTCGCTGTCGACGCCGCGCACAAGAAGTATGGAACGCTGGTCAGGATCCAGCCGAACCATGTCAGCGTTGCGGATGCGGACGCGATCCATCAGATTTATGGTCATGGGAATGGGTTTTTGAAGGCGTGAGTATAGCCTTTTACGCTCAATTAGAGGAGGTGAAATTAGTTAGATGAGTTGTTAACAGGTGGACAGCGAGTACTACGACGCCTTCGTCTCCATCCGCCGCGGGCTCTTCAACACCCGCGACCGAGCGGAGCATACACGCAAGCGCAAAACAGTCGCCCATACCTTTTCCGCGAAGTCGGTCGGGCAGTTCGAGCAGTACATCCATCACAATTTGGAGGAGCTGCGGAAACAATGGGATCGTCGTGCTGAGACTGCGAAGGGTGGATACTATCACATGGACGCTCTGCACTGGTTCAACTACCTCGCGTTCGATGTGATTGGAGATCTGGCGTTTGGAGCGCCGTTTGGCATGCTAAAGGAAGGAAGGGATGTTGCGGAAGTGAGAAAGACGCCGGATAGTGAGCCGACCTTTGCGCCTGCCATTGAGGTGCTGAACCGGAGGGGTGAGGTTTCCGGGTAAGCATCTCTCTATGCCCCTAATCAATTTTTTTTCGCAATTTCATTCTGATGGTTGAGATATAGTACGATTGGCTGCCTCCCCCAACTCAAACCCTACGCCAAGTACCTCCCCGACCCCTTCTTCTCCAAAGGCATCAAAGCCGTCGAAAACCTCGCCGGCATGGCTGTCGCCTGCGTAAACGCGCGTCTGCAGAACCCCTCCGACCGCGTCGACCTCCTCGCCCGCCTCATGGAAGGCCGCGACGAAACCGGCAACAAGCTCGGACGCGAGGAACTCACCGCCGAAGCACTCACCCAGCTCATCGCCGGCTCGGACACCACCTCCAACACCTCCTGCGCGCTACTATACCACTGCCTGGCGAACCCCTATGTGATCAAGAAACTGCAGGCGGAATTGGACCAAGCGCTCCCGGAAATGGACGTCGTGCCGCAGTTCAGCCAAGTCAAAGACCTGCCCTACCTCGACGCCGTCATCAAAGAAACAATGCGCATCCACAGCACCTCTTCGCTCGGTCTGCCCCGCGTCATCCCCCCAGGTCCCGGCATCACCCTCAACGGCCACCACTTCCCGCAGGGCGTCGTGCTTAGCGTCCCCGCATACACGATCCACCACAGCAAGCAGATCTGGGGCCCCGACGCCGACCAGTTCCGCCCGGAGCGATGGGAGAAGATGACGGAGCAGCAGAAAGCCGCGTTTATCCCGTTTAGCTACGGGCCGCGGGCATGTGTGGGGAGAAACGTGGCCGAGATGGAGTTGGCGCTTATTGTGAGCACCGTGTTTAGGCGGTATGAGTTTGAGCTGAGGCAGGGCGAGATGGAGACGCGGGAGGGGTTTTTGAGGAAACCGTTGGGGTTGGAGGTGGGTATGAGGGTGAGGACGGCGTAAGGAAGGAACGGGAGGAGGTTTTGAGATGGTAAGCATCTGAGTATATAACTGGGTATTGCTGTGATACCGCGTAGGTATCTTAGTTTTTCAGCTGTATGTGGTCTTAGTCTTGGTCTTAGTCTTGGATGTTTGGATATCACAGTTCAATGCAATGGCCATTTAGCATGGTCGTTATTCGCTATTATTCTGCATTAATATGACTCGAAACGCTACCTTACGTCGGAGCAAGTTTGCGAACTGCCTTCGCGCTGACCAAGAATACTCAGAGGCAGCCTTCAAAGTCGAGCTTTTATCCCCGATGGCTACGCCATCATGAATACCCATACAAGACTCGTGAAAGTAAGCTTCGAGCGTGGTGCTGCAGGGTAGGGAAAAAACCAAGCCGGTCTTCCCGTAGTGGCCGAGAGTGCATGGAAAGAAACTCGCATAGAGCGGGCGAGTTATAGAAACATTTGCCCAGAAGTTGTCAAGTCGGGCATGATGCTGAATCCACGGGGGAAAGCACGAAACGGAGCAAGACGTCAATCTCGCAAGCGGACTAGGTGGGAGCGCCAGATTGTCTGGTTGCTCGTACCTGCGACATGTCAGTGCAGGTTTGATATCTAGGGATATGGGACCTACGAAAGCCGGAGTTTTGAGACGAATCATCTGCGTAGATCCTTTTGTGTAGTAGCGGCGTTCGCGGTCATCCTGTTCGGTCGTGCCTGGCTCATCGCTTCTCGGGACCGCCGATTTTACTTTTAGCTCCGGCCAGCTCGGGTCAAAGTCATTAGCGCTTGCTTCGCTCTTTGTGAACTTAAACTCAAAAGGGTTATCATGCTTGATCTTGCTGGCCTCGGAGGGGTCAAATAGTCCCAGGATCGCGTTCGCCATACGGGAGGAATCCTTCTGCTGTAATCTCTGGTAGTTGATCCATCGCCGCTGAAGAACCTTTCGGATTGCTGCGAGTTGCGGCAGATCGCGGCATTCATATGCTACTCGTGCTAAGTGTAATGGCCTAGCGATCCCTTCGAAGACGTTGCGTGTGTACAGTGAAGTAAGCCCGAGCACCGATCGCTCGTCCTCTCTGTATACCGTTGCTACGAAGCTTTCGATGCTCTTCATCTCGGCATTTGCTTGGGCGATCTTGCTTGACATAGGCAGCTCCGGATCTTGACGGAGTTTCTGTGTGTACTGCGCAAGCGACTCTCTCCACTCCACTTGATATGCCCTGTATTCTCTTTTATATGCGTCGGCATAAGCGTCGTGTGGGCGGGCACTAGAGGGTTCCATCCATTGGCCTCGATAAATGAGGATAGGTTCGCAAAGTACAGGGCGATGCACTCCGCAAACAGCCTTGAAAGGTTCAGCCAAGAGGACAACGGCTGCCATAACTTCATCGAGCTGCCAATGAGAATAGTGGTCGCCAACCTTTGGTTGGATGCGAAGCCGTTGTAATGGCTTATCTCCAACCTTAGGCTGAGCACTGCTCCGATTGATGAGATCGACGAATTTTCCAATGGTGTCGCGGGCTTGGTAAAGCCAGTAGTCTTCTTGAGTGACGTACTTAGATCCAATCCCTGTACGTACCCCTATCGGAATAGCCTCATAGGAACCCAAGCGGACTTGGACTTCGTAGTTCTGGATCCGTTTAGCAAGCTCCTGTGGTATAGGTGCGTCCTCTTTCGCTGCGTAATTCAAACCTTCGCCGTACGCAGGATTGCAGTTCCAGACTTTGCCGCATAAGCTGATAGAACTCGTGGCGACATCGACTTCAAATGGAACCTCTCCATATAGAACGAGAGCTGCTTCTTCACTAATCTGTCGATTGACACTCAAAAGTGACATGCTAGAGCAGACGTCTTCCCAGGCTAAATGCGGTATCCTCCGGATTGGGATGCTGTCCGGAAACACGTATCGGAAAACCATCAGCCGGATCTCGGTCGGAACCCTCAGGAAGAAACAAGGGAGCGTGTCTGTTCCGTTCTGGTGCTCCACACAAAGATGGAAAGGTGGGTTATAGGTAGAGAGGCGGAGACAAGGCCATCCGCAGGCTTCGGTAGCTTGACATCTGCCAGCCTGTATCTGCCGGTCGAGGTGTTGCCTGCAGGTCGGCAGCAATCCAGAGGGAAAATTCTTCGCAGCGCGGCGACAGGGAAAGTGTAGTTTGGTCGAGGCGTTACAGCGGGAGGCTACTTCGCCACAGTGCAGAGGACAGCTTACATGGTGGGCAACGCTGTCGGGGTCGGAACCGGCCGACGAAGCAGCCATGGAGTAGCTTGGTGGTGTCGATGCTGTGGGAGGGGGACGGAGGAGGGAGAAAGCTTCGGAGTAGAACGAAGTTTGGAGATGGTGGGGCTTAACAGAAGAGCGGAAGGAACGACGACGCGCTAGTGCGGGAAGGACGCGCTGTCACGTGCGCGCTGCTAGTGGGGTGCGAAGAAAGGTTAGATTGGAAAGGGAGCGGATAAAGGGATGGTTCGATCGCCAGAGAGGGCTTTCGTTCCGGCTAACGGGAGTGAATTGAGATCCTTGCCGACTAAATAAGAACGAAGCAATGCTCTTTAGCCGCTCCCTTATCAAACAGCTACGAGGGAAGCACAAAAAAACATTTCATATCTAACGAAGGACGGATATATTAACAACGAAGCACTATTTACAAGCCACCAAAGGCCCGCGCAGTCCTACACAGATTTAAGACTGGCCCAAGATCCAGAGCTCGCCATTTGTCGAAGTGTCGCTGGTCATGAACAGCCTGCCCTGCTTATCAAAGGCAAGACCAGCCGGCCTGAAGCAGCCCGAGCTGAAAGACGGTCCGTTGCCCTGGCACCTCGTGACATCAGGGTTGTAGAAGATGTCCTTGGCCGCGGTCGTGCTCGTGATCGGCTCGACAGGGACGTAGTTACCATCGTCGCCCTTCTTGAAGGCCACGGCGACAACCTTGAAGCCCGTAGTGGGCTGGCGGTTCCAGGAGCCGTGGTAGCTAATGTACATGTTGTTGTTGTCAGGATCAAACTTGCAGTCGATGGGCGCGGAGTGAGGGAACAGAGTCATCGCCGGCCTGGTCGCCTTCTGGGTGCACGTGTCGTCGTTGAAGGTGCTGTTGGGAGCCTGTACGAACCAATCGCCGACCTTGAATTGCTTGTCGGTGAAGTCGCTGGGCTGCCAGACGGTGAAGCAGGTTGGGTAGCCGTACCAGTTGTTGTTGGGCTTCGTGATGTCGCCCATATAGTGGATCTTCTCACCGGGGTTGTTTTGGTGGACGTCCTTGGATTGGCCGTTGACGGTCCGCTTGAAGTCATCACCGCTGTTCTCCACACCCCAAAGCCTACACCACAGTTGGCAAGCACGTTCAAAGCAGGAGCGGAAAATGACTCACATATTGTTGTTGTCAAAGCACATTCCAACCTCGTTACGTTGTCCATAACCGGCAGTGTAGCCAGTAGAGGCGTAGTTGTATCCGCCGCTGGGGATTGTGGTAAGGTCGAAAACCTTGATGATCGCACGGCCCGTCTTGGCGTCCGCGGCACCCGCGTCGATATTCGCGTTCGATCCGTGGGAGATGACAAGTAGATTCGGCGCATGAGCCGAAATAGCAAGCGTGCGCGTCAAGTGAGAGCCGCCATTGACCATTCCGGTGATGATGGTCGCTCGAGTGCCGACTGAGGCGGCAGTAGCGTCATAGGGCCAGGAGTAAGCCTGGGTCATGGAGCTGGCATAGAGAGTCTTGCCGTCGGGACTGAGAGCAATGCCATGGTTAAGGTTGGTCTGGGAGACCAACATCTTCGTCGATGTAATGCATCCATCCGCTCCCATAACATGGTACGAGATACCCTTGCCGGACTGGACAACCAGCATGTTTCCTGCACTATCGAACTGAATGCTTCGAGGGCTCGTCAATCCTCCCGCAATCTTAGTAGCCTTCCAACCGCTCGCCAACTGGCTCGAGAACGTAGGGTTGCCTGCGCCTGCACATGAAGCCGGAATTGCGGCTACGGCCTTCGTAGTGGCGGAAGGTTTAGTGCTGGTCACGATCGTGGTGGGTGCGGGAGCGCTGCTAGCTACAGGAGCTGTTAGCAGATTAGTCTTTACTAAAGAATCGAAGTTGTCGATGCGAGCGGCATTCAGATCATGGTACCACTTTCCGTAAGCAGCATGCACATTAAACGCAGAGTCGTTTCTGGCTGGATCTTCGACGGAGGAGACACCATAGGCCCAAGCGAATTGGGTTGTGCCAGTGCCATTCAGTACAGCCCGGGAGTCATCGTTGGCTATCCAACCAGTGCAACCTTTGCACAAGGCATTGACTGTCCAGTGCGTGCTGTTGGTCTTGGTCCCTTTCAGGAGAAAATGTTCGGCGCCATCGTAGCCTAGGGGCATGCTGATGCCACTACCAGCTGTTAGAGGTACACTCTTCACGCAAAAGGTGATACGTACAATGCGAAGCGGGCTGAAGCAACGCCAGAGTTGCCATTCGCCCATGCAACGGTGAGAGGGTCCCACACCATATCTCCACCCCAGGCGAATCCGGCCCACTTGTTGTCCAGAGGAGCCGTGATTTTGATAATGGCGTCGAAGGGGTCGGTCACAACCTTTGGGAGCGCCACACCAAACGTCATGCCGGACTCTGCGTTCGTGTATGACGAGTAACAGATCTTGGTCTCCGCATCGCAGACAACTGTAGATTCAACCTCACCTTGCGCCAGGACTGTATCACTTGTCAGTAGAGCCCTTGTTATATACTGAGAGTATCTTTACCATAACCCGCGAGTGCAATCGCACCGCCAAGAAGCTGAACTGAATGCATGTTGAAACAATGGGACAGGCGTAAACCGAGGGATCAAGTCCTACCGCTCCACCCAACGGGCTACCTCCAACTCTTTATGCCGGGAGCGACCACTCATAGTGGCGATTGCTGGGCCCAAGGGACCACGCCCGTTCATCCCCAGATCTTGTTACACCCCAATTTCTCGCCATATGCAATGGTATATCTTTAATGAAGAGGTTGTGGAGAATGCCTTCGAGAAACAACATCCACTGGCCAATCTTCGCCGTTGAGATTGCAATATACAGCCGGCAAATCCCAGCACAGTAATTATTCAATTGCTCGTCCTGGTCATGCCCTTTGGGTAGGTTTCAGGCAGCGGGGAGAGTGATTTGATTGGGTCGCTTCATGAGTGCCAAGAGCGTGAAAAGGCTAATATAGCGTGAGTGAACGTTTACCCCGGCATGAGTGAATATATTTTGATGGTTTAGAGCCGCGCGCCGACCCGGAAATGATAGAGCGATACCAGTTTTAGATCGTAGTGTGTCATTAGGCGTCGGGTCGTGTACTTGTTACGCTTTGGCCAGCACGGCAGTTGCAAGAAAATCCGGAAATCTTACCCGCATGTGAAGCGCCCGACCTAGCAAACAGTGGGGCATACAGTAGGAAAGAACGTGAACATACCAGCAGCATCCTTAATGACCCATAGAATCCTTCCTGCTGTGCTACCCTGAAACAGAAAATGAGGAGCAATATCTCGGTGCATGATGGATGGGGAGAACCAGGAATTCATCATATTGCGCTCGTACGTGCTGGGCTGCCGAGAAACCGAGCTGTCTTTGTGTCTAACTAGAAGATAGGACTTTGCTCTGCAATGAGCAGAGATCGACGATAGTGGCGATGCTGTTGATTTCATGGTGGCTTTCCTGGAGTCGCCCCTCAACAAACTGCTCTGTGGCCGCCTCAACCTCTGTAGCAGTCTTCCCCCAGGAGGTAATGGCTTTTGATCCGGATGGAAGAAGGTGGCTTTCTCCCGAGAGCCTCAGCACAATCTCAGCGAGTTCCTCGTCCGCTAACGAAAGCTGAGCCTGTAAATAAACGGCCTGCTGCAATAAGGAGCGCTCATTGTTATCGATACGCGAGAGGCAAGGAATGTACGGAAATATTCTGATGATCGCTCTTGCAGACTCTGGGTTATCTCGTTGCTGAGAGCTGGGATGAGCCTGGCCGGTGCGATCGTTGGCGTTATTCGAGTCCGCGTTCGGTGGCCGCTGAAGGGACTCGTACGATGAAATTGCGGCCGAGCGGGATGCAGTATATTGATCGTAAGAGCCTCGGATTTTGGCTTCCGATGAAGCGAGATGGAGGTCAGAAGGTCCCCCGATTGAACGTTTTACGGGGGACATATCCTCAATAAATTCGGACTCCTCTTCCATCTTTGCCAGCTCCCCTTCCACCCATTCTTGTAATTCTTCACGTGCACGACCAAGCGCATAGACCTGCTCAGTCAAATTTGGTGCCCCTTGAGGTGTACTCTGAGTCTCAAGCCGGGCAGAGTTCGCTCGTTCCATGGAAGCCCGAGCTTCAAGAACTTCTTTTTTCAACTTTAGAATCAACGACTCATCATCCTGGGCCTGGGAGAGCTTTTCCAGGCGCTCCGCTGGTAGGTCAGGTTGCTCGCCGATGGTATTCTTCACGAGATTCTTGGGATCGTTGGTTCCATTCGCTGGATTGGCACTGAGCAACTTTTCGAGGGATCCTTGGACGACTTGAAGCTCTGCAACGCGGATGCGACATCGAAGAAGAGATACATAACTCCGCGTGACTTCATTATCGTATTGTGAGTCGTTTCCGGCGGGCGATTCGATGGTATGACGGGTTTGCAGCCCTTCCAACGACGTTTGAAGTTCGCGATGTTTTGTCTGAGCCGCATTCCTAGCACGTAGTGCGTTCAAATAGCCCATTCGAGAATCCTTAAGCCCCGGAGGATTTGTAATGGCCGCCAAACACAGGTGTGGACATTCATGGTTGAGGTGCTGGTTTTGCGTATTGGAGTTCACAGGTCGGAGACCTGCGGTGAGATATTTTGAGAGCGTCCGCCGTATCCTCAGGGTGTCTTCGCGAGAATGGATATATGATGCCAAAGCTCGATCAACGTCGGGCACTGGGCACGGAGTTTGACGCAGAGCCATGTGTGTTTACACCTCCCTTTGTGGCGCGAAAAGGGCCATGAAAAGGGAAAATGCGAAAGGGTTATGCTCCACTGATAGCGACTCGGGATGCGAATAGGTATCAGACAGAAGTTGAGCGCAAAGTCGTACGAAGGAGTACCTATCGAGGTCGTAGTTCGGTGTAGACCGTCGAGAAGCGAGGGATCAGAGAAACAGCCCTGAAGCTGGCTGGCGCTAATGCCGAAAATGGCTAGCAGCGTCTAAACGCGAGATCATGTGACTAAGCCCGTTCATCGACTCCCGAGAAGCTAGACAGAGAACTGGAAGGTGAGCAGAGCCACGGTCGAGCTCACTAAATGCACCGATACATCTGACCATGAAACTTTTGATTATACTGTTCCTCAAGGCTAATTGAGTATTACACGGGGTTGACATCATTTAAAGGTTCCAAGGTTAGGGTTCTCCACGTCTTCGGTCATGCCACAAGCTGCACCCAGGAGTTCAGTCGCCTGACGGGGCAAAACAACCATATTTGAGAGTTAACTTGCACGGACTATATCATCGTCTAGTCTCTCTCTTTACGCACAATCATTACCACCCAAAGCTCCGTGCAGCCATGGCCTTGACAAGCGACAAGCTACCTCGTTTCATTGCTGCCATGCAGCGAGTCTACGCTTTTCCAACAGAGTCGACGAGTAGTTCCTGGGCTCCTCCGCCGGCATCGGCTGGACATCGTGGACGATATCTATGGACGGACGCCTTCGTAGGTTGACTTGTAGCAGCATATGCAACCAAGCTGACGTCGTGTAGGGAGTTCTGAATTTCTTAACGCTACATCGAGTGACTGCTCAGCCACTCTATCTAAATCATGCCAAGTCCCTTGTGACTGCGGTTCATTCGACACTGGGAAGGACACGCGATCTATCTTCCTACCTTCCGGGGGCATCGGCGTCCAATCCCCTAGCTGGCGGTCTTCGAATCGGCAAGGAAAATGCCACAGGTCCCGACGGAGACGGCCAGTATCATCACTATTTGACGCTCTGGATGTTCGCGCTCAACCGGCTCTCTGTCACAAGCGGGGAGAAGCAGTACAATGACCAGGCGATCTCCCTTGCGAAGGCTATCCATCCACACTTCATGTACAACCGGAGTAGCAGTCGACCGCGCATGTATTGGAAGATGTCGATGGATCTCAAAGAGCCCCTGGTCAGAAGTGAAGGTAACCTGGATCCTGTTGATGGATACGTAATTTTCAGGCTGTTGCAAAAAACAGATGGCGAGGATAGCTCAGTGTTGGCTGAAGAGATCCAGCAGTACAAGCGCATCGTTGATACGAAATGGAAGAACTACACCAGCTCCGATGCCCTCGACCTTGGAATGACGCTCTGGACAGCCCACTGGGAGGACGAGGTCTGGGCCCAAGGACTGGTGGATCGCGCTGAGAGGGACATTGAGGACTTCTGGGAATCGGCGCATTTCCGAAGGTCGACCAGTCAACGTCTTGCTTTCCGGGACTTCGGCCTGGCTTTGGGCATCAAATGCGGATTGTCGACGCGGGACCAGAAGAAGTGGACCGAACGAGCGGATAGCGTGCTGAAGGCTTGGGAGGAGTCGGGCCTGGTGCCGGAATCTAGAGCAGACCATACGGCCGGCATTAATGCGGAGGAGGACCTGCGCCCCATTTCCATGGTTATGTATGCTGCAGCTCTTATTCCTGGAGGTGAGTGACTTCCATTGTGCAGTACGAGTTGCAATGCTGACGGTTTCAGCATTCGAACGTCGGCGTGGAGGGTAGAGGACGACTGGCTATGTGGAAGTGTCAAGCGCGGGCTATGGGCCAAGTTTCACGCTTTCTGCTGACCGGTGGTGGTGTCCTTAACGCCTTGAAGGCGACTATGCATGAGGGAAGACATGATGCTGCAGCTCAGAGTCCTTCATACGAAAGTAGCTGCGGCGGATGATTTAGCCAACCGAAACATTCGGTAAGGCAACCGACAGGACTACAAGTCTTGCGTCGTATCGATCTTTGCTGTTTCCGTGCCGCATCTCTCCATTGCTGGTGTCGTGACTGATGGGTGTAGAAGAGGACAAGCTGCCCCGCGCACACGGTATCCGGGCAGTGATATCCTGGCCATTGAGCGGTCTGCCCCAACGCGGCGTGTTTCGCCTCTCGGTCGAGGCAGCCGCGAGAGGAAGCCATGTGTGTTGGAGTGGAGAACGGTTTATGCGTGCGGCCTGCCGGAATGTCCGCCGCCGCATTCAGACACGCAAACGAGGCTGGACGCACTTTCGGCTGCTGCGCTCGTTAGGGGCGGATTCTCGGACAATATTTTCTGCTGTGAGCATGCACATTAGCCGGGCCATGACGCAATATAATCGCAGCTCTCATAGCGGGGTTGACGGCGCGACTTGTGATGAGCGGGGGACGGCCCTTTGCCTCTGCTTCACCGCCCGGGAGGTGTGCTGGCGGTCGCATCGCGGGATCGCGCTGGCGGTCGCGGGCGACAGCGTGTGTGGTACGGCGAGACGAAAAGGGACCGCACGTAACGGCGTGTGATTCGCGGACTGGTGATAAGAGGACAACGCATAGGCCTCGGTATGGTAAGGCGAGTGGCGCGCAGCAGGGACTCGGTGAAATGAAGCCAATTGCAGGCGCGTCCGCGTCCACTCCTTCCGGTGCTGCTGCCAGCTGCCAGTGCCGGCAGCCCGCGCGGCGAGGGCGTCGGGAGGGCAGAGAGAGCGCGCAGAGCGCAGTATTGATGAGTTGGAGAGCGGCACACCGCAGAACAGTGCCACAACTGCGCGGGCACTGGATTGGACCTGGTGGCGCTCGGCTTGGCGTGTTTCGTGCACGAATTGGGGCGCGCCAGCCCTGGAGATTTTAATGATTAGGGTCCTCAGGTTGGACGATTTCGGCTGGCTTGAGCTTTTTCGCAAAGGGGCTCTGCCTCTGCACTCACACCTTCTCCCCGACCACCCCCAAGCACTGCTGCCGCTGTCTCAGACGACTGCATCGGTGCACTGCCTGACGCTACACCCGTCCTACCGCCCCTCGAGCAGCCCGCGCTCGCCTACGTCCCTGCATCATCGCCCTCGCGCCCTTGCGTACAAACATTCGAGCCCCGGGCCCCGTCCCCCTCCCGCCGGCCGCCAGCAGCACATGCAGTCCGGCACGTCGACGCCGCCCGCGACGTGACCTCCAGCATGCCCTTCTTCAGGAATGTCTTCAGGTCCAAGGACGGATCGCGGTCTGCGTCGAAGGCAGGCAAGTACGGCGACGGCGACAGCCCGCCCGCAGCGCAGCCGAAGCCGCGGTGGGAGGATGCATGGTCCCGCAAAGATGTCGCGCCCGACGAGATACGCGAGCTCATACACGTCTGCACCCAGGAGATGAAGTCAAGAGGCATGTTCAATTGCGCCGGCCCCTGGAGCTGCCACCGCTAACGCCCGCCAGCCCTGGACATCCCGTTTGTGCTGCTGCCCTTCCGCCCCTCGTCCGACCCCAGCGCCGCCCGCAATTTCGTTCGCAACTTTTTCAGAGCAGCATACGAAGGGACAACGCAGTTCACCGGCGAAGGGCTGTCTCAGGAATTGCGCCTCGCCGAGCCCCTGGTAGGACCCAATGCCCCGGCCGGAGCGCCATTGCGGCTTGTCACTGACAAAAACAGACTCTGTGCAGCATCATGAAGTGGTGTTGGAGCAGGCTGCCCGGCGGCGTTGTCACTTGGGACGCCTACGAGCTTTTCCGTATCGGGGAATCGGGTAAGCGGCAGCTGCACATGCAACACGCGCCGGCGTGCTAACACGCGCCACAGACTCGAACTTCGCCCGACACGCCTTTGACACCTTCATACCCCTCAGCGTCGAGACGGAGGCCCGCAAACAGGTCATATTTGATTTCTTCGATCTCCTGGCCGCAGTAGCCGCGCGGAGCAAGACCAATGGCATGGGCGGCAGGAAGCTGTCTCGCATGGCGGGCTGGTGGGCGTTTGAATTCTCCGAAGACGGCAAAGGCTTCGATGGAGGCTATCGCACATGGGAAAAGTACTGCGCCTTGCCCATCCTCACTTGCGAACGTACACTGACACGTCCTAGGGCCGCCGATGCTGCTAGCCACCTGTTCTTCGCCTACCTTAGATCGCTAGCCCCGGACCCGAACGCCATCGGTGGCATTTCCTCTCTTCCGCGGTCTCTCCAAGCACTACTATCACAGACCGAGTATCCCCCCCAAGCGCCGCTCTTGATGCAGACTACAACCACAAGGGTGGTTATGATCGTGGGTTCGGTCTCGCCTACACCTTTCTCTCTACTACGGCGCGCGAAGAACTTTGAATACCGCGACGACGACGAAGCGCTGCAGCAGTTTTCCTCGTATGAAGACACCGTCACTGCATTGACCGACGAGTGCCGGCGCGTGCTGGGATGCATCTCGACAGCCAATCAGTCAGTCCTCTCGCCAGACGGTGCACGGCAAGATCCCTCCTGGTCTCGTTTCGAAGATTTTGGTTTCTCGGGATTGCTCGACAGCCCCACGATGAGCACAAATGGGACGTCGGCTTTGAACAGCCCCCGTGAGTTTTCCAGCCTGCGAGCCGGTCCTCGTTCGAGGAATACCGACTTTGGTCGTCCTACGACCCCTTCTTGGGCCGATTTCCTTTCTTCCGGCTTCGCAGATGAGAACAACCAGCCCTCACCAGCGCCTCTCTTGTTACCGTCCGACAAACTTCCCCCAATTGGAGAAGCCGCTCGCGTGCACAGCTCTCAATCACATATGCGCAACGGTCTGCTGGTTGAAGAGGATCTAGAGCCTGGCGAGCTTGCCAGCATCAGCCGTTTTGATCTGGATGACACGTTTTGGTGGGTGTGGATGACGAGCTTAGCAGGCGAAGAGACCTCAGATCGCAAGGCCGCATTTGGCAGGTGTACCTTGATCGAGACCAAAATTCCTGGAGCAAAGTGGCTGGTCGTAGAAGAACAGGTCAAAGGTGCTTCTCCCGGCCCTGAGGAAGGCGCTTACATTGCGGAAAAGAAGTCCAAGTTCAGCTGGACTAGGCGCGGGCGGCTCGGACGACGGAAATCCACTGGCAAGAAGCCATCCGGCGCTTCGAAGGAGCCATACAATCGAACAACCGCAAACACGCCAATGAGTAAAACAAGCATTGGGCCTGACCAACACGCAAGGATCCAGGCAGCCGCTGCCAGATTGGCACAAAATCAGAGAGACCAGCAGGCTTCTCAACAGAAAGCCCAGCGCCGCGCGAGAGTAGACGACACGGCTTCAACCAAGACCAACAGCGTCTTGACGCTACAGCCCCACCTCTTGAGCGAGGCTGCGGCTGCGATGAAATGGGATAAGAAGTTCGGAGAAGGCGCAACGGAGCGCGATGCGCTCCGTGCGAAGTACCTTGGAGATGTCTCCACCGGAAGAGGATCAAGGGACAATCTCCTGAAGACCGCCAACGGAAGCACCGCTGCATTGTCTCGGGACCTATCGAATCGTGACCTCCCTTCACTACCAACGGAGCAAACAGAAGCTCAAGGCGCAAAGTTCAATGCTCCGCCGTCCCCCGCTCCGCTGCCCGCCACTCCTACCCCCGAGGCTCTGCATTCCCAGGCTGCGGAAGCATCAACAGCTGCCCAAGTACCCCTGCCAAAGCCCTCGCCTCTTCCGCCCGGCTCCCTGGATGAGAAACCGGTTACACAGCCGGACTATTTGGATCAACATCCAGCATTAAGAAAGCCGGTACCGGATCGGAAGCATGTAGGTGCACCTCACACTGAGGCTTCCGCCAGTGAGGAACCAGCCCCCGCTGCTCCTACTCCAGAACCGAAGAAACCATCGCCGAAGAAACTGCATAAGAAGAAGGAGGGTGGGGGTGGTTTCAGGAAGCTGTTCGGGAAAAAGAAAGTTGACACTGCAGCGCCGGCCCCACAGCGGGAAACTGAAGAAGACTCGCGTATGCGCGAGCTCGATGCTGCTCGAAGCGTATCGCGGTTCGAAGACCATGTGGACACCCCGGCGCGGCAACCGTCACCGACTTTCAGCCTCGAGAAGCCTGAGCCTGTTATGGCGCGCGCGCCAGATGTGCAGCCTAGCCCTGCTTTGTCTGCCATTTCCCACACTTACCGCGAACCCTCGCTTCCGGTCGCACCCAGCCCAACCACGCATGAGCGGCGAGAGGCTGAGCAAGCCTTCTCGCGGTTTGACCAAGGCCCAATGGGCGACATGCCGGCTTTTCTTCCCGAGGACTCCGACGACGAGGACATGCCAACTGTCCCTCGTCATCGGCCTCAACACGTGGCTGCTCCGCATGAGCAGGCCGCACCCATGCGCGAAGCTCCCCCGCCTCCGATGGACGACGTATCGGAGGAATCAGTAGATCTGTCCCAGCAAGCCTCTCCTTCGCAAGACCGGTGGGCCCAGATCAGAAAAAACGCGGCAGAGCGTGCAGCAAGACTAAGCGAAGAACAATCTCGTCGGAGTCAAAGCCAGAGCGCGCGTACGGACGAGGGCGAAACTAGCGGCGAGGAGACGATCGAAAGCCGTGTCGCGCGCATTAAAGCCCGGGTCGCCGAATTGACTGGCAATATGGAAGGGCAGCCACCGGCTGCCGGAGCGAGGCGGTACTAATTCATATGTCTTTGTTCTGAGGTTCGTCAGCAATTCCCACTACGATCATCCGCACTGACTCACACCTCGTTAGAATATCTTCCGCCGTGCATTGCTTGCGTGCTTTTGAAGCATACGAAGAGCTCTGATACCCCTTTCTCACTGCTTTCTCTACACACATAATACCCTTTTAGCGTTCCCTATCCATATGCAAACGTTGTGGATCTGCTCTTGCTTCGACTTACACTTTTCGTTGGGGAAGCTTACGGTACATGACGAGGAAGGGGTGTGTGTACTATCATTTAACTGGGTGTAATTCGTCTACGTGTGTAAGATTCTCCGCAGCACTGCCGCGGGTCATCTACCCCTAATCGATGTTTGGTTTCTAGGTGGAAAATGAAGTGTTGGGTCCATGTCTGAGTAATTTACACCTTAAGGAAGCCGGTCAGTAGATGCTTCATTCAAATCTAGAGCATTCGCTCCTTTTCTCGATAACTCATGCGCTTTCTCCTTTGCATTGTCGCTGCTTGTGATTCTACGATGATACATCTCATGGCGAGGGTGCATATCTGCCTCACGCAACGGCCCCAGCTCTCCTGACCATCTCAATACACTTATTTTGGTACGGCTGCCTTGTCATATGGTATCAACGGCACTTTTCACCTGCATGGGATTTGGAATCGGAGGTTTGCTCGCCTGAAAATCGGTATAACGAGGCCTATGTCTTATTTTTGCAACTCACTTGCTACTCTCCTGGAGATCCTCCTTTCTTTTCGGCGAGGGGCGAGCTGATAGGGTCATGATCCATCTCCTTCATCAGCACGTAGGCGCCATAGAATGCACGAGGCCAGTTGGGGGTAAGTACATTGGGTAGGGAACGTGAGAGCTGTCGAAGGATTCTGAGAGCGTTTTGCCAGACAATAGCCAACGTCACCATGCGGCGTATATCTAAGAATAACGTAGCTGGAGTTGTTCCTGCGTCTAATAGATGAAGTCGTACTCGAATAGGATGGAAAAGCTGCAACGGCCCGCTCTGGCTACCGCCTGATTAATCAAAGGTGACGGAGGGGGGGTGAGGAAAAAGGAAAGGCGTGTGTGCCTGCAGGCTGATGTTTCGTTTCAAACACCCTGGGAGAAGTAAGATACCTCGTGGCAGCTGCACCTTGACGATCAATAGTCGCGATTCTACGAGGGAGCATCTCGCTTGGGGCTTCCTTCAAGCACGTCGAGCCCATATTAGTAACATTAAGCTTCTCACAGGGGAAAGGAGAGGGAACCGGTGGCCCGGTCACGGTCTAGCTCGGCACCAAGGGCAACGCGACCTGTGATGAGGGGCATCTGAATGATTTATTTTGGAAGTGAGATGGCCGGATCTGGAGATGAGAACTGGTGGAGGAAGGGATGTGACCAGTGAGAAGCGGGCAAGGCTGGAATCAACGGGTTTACGAGGGCGTTTAAGCAGGTGAGATTATGTCAACGGGGTTTTGTGGGGAGGATGCGAGCTGGGTTTTGTAGATTACAAACGAGAGAAGGTCTGGAGTTCTGGATCGTCTAGATGTGAGGTTTGGGGAAGCGTCATCGTGGTAGGTGCGCCATGTGCTGTGTCTAATTCTAAATATATCGCACGCTGCAGGCGATCAACCGTTCCGGCAGGGTTAGCGTACCGGAACCCTATGACAACGTCCCGCGTATCTACCCAAGGTCTTCCTGCTCACAGACACCTGTGGCACCGGAAACGATCTTTCGGGGGCTCCTCCGCCCTCCCGTTGGTGAACCGAGCGGATGCATGGACCAACTCAAACTTCATAAACCTGGACGGTGCAGCTTTCAGCGCGCTTGCCTGCGCATGCCGCGGAGCCGAGAGCTACGTCTGGTGCCCTTATGGACTATCACGTTGGAGTTCCTTGACCGCCAAAATAGCTTCAAACAGAACCAAAGCGGCCTTTGCTGGCTAGCGGGCGCCTGCTGCATGGACTAGGAGTCCCAAAGGGGTGGAGGCCGCGCGCTGGACTAGTTACCGGGCTGGGTATGCTCCGCCGGGTGTTGCTACCATAGGCATGGCTTGGCACGGTATACGCCAGTAACAGATACACCAGTACTCCGAAGCACAAGCACACAGAGCACAAAGCAGCCGAGGCCTGCCAGCATCACCGAGTGTGGCGGATGACAAGCTGCCTCGAGGGTTCCGAGTTCGATGTCTCTCATCTCTTTCTGGCCCCTCCTGACGCTTCGTGCCGCGGTCTCCTGTTCGCCTGCCTGCTGGCCTTTGATAGACGCTGCAGGCAAAATTAGTGGTCAGAGCCTGGACGCTGCAGGCGGGAGATGGATTTGCTAATCTGAGGACCGCCAACTGCATTTGACACGGATTGAGTGTGGAGACACGTCTCCCACGCGTCCCTTCAGCCGAGGGGGCCTCTGCCAAAGGCACTCATTCCATACGGAAGGCTTGTCAGGGTCCGTCGCGAGGCCGGAGGGCTGCTTCGAAGAGCGAGCCATCCACATCACGGCATCACGTTGCAGCCGAGAAAATGTTCCTTAAAATAACTCGATCGAGCGGCGGACTAGGCTCCTTGCGGTGATTTAGCAGGCATCCGGGAGCTCTCTGAAAATTGTCCGATTGATTGCGCGTCCAATCACATGGCGCGTGGCCGCTCTGGGTGGCTCCTTTGCCGTGTTAATTAGCGGCTGACTGCGCATGGGTCGCACCTGCTTCTATTATTAGGGGGAAGGCACGCCCGCCCACCCACGCTTCGATCGACTCTCACAACTCCATAGAGCCTCAAGGTGCCGTCTGCGAAAGCTGCTCGGACCCCCGCCGTCCTGTTGCGCAACAAGCAAAGACATATATCTGTTGTCGCTGACGACTCTCCACCTTCCTGCCGACGACTTCCGTCTCCCGCACGCCACGCCTGAAACACCTAACGTGTTCCTCGTCTCGTCGCCGCCTCGCAGCTCGCCCGACGCTGTCTTATCCTCGGCGGCCCTCGACCTCCAGCCACACCGCTGCCCGCCTCTGCCCTCGCCCACCTTCGATGCGCGTTGACGTCTAGCTCTATTCACCATGGGCCGCAGGAAGATTGAGATCAAGGCCATCAAGGACGACCGCAACCGCTCCGTGTAAGTGTTCTGCACCCGGCTTAATCATAGTCGCGAATGCCGACTGACGTGCGGCCAGCACCTTCCTCAAGCGCAAAGGCGGTCTCTTCAAGAAGGCCCACGAGCTCTCCGTCCTCTGCTCCGTCGACGTTGCTGTGATCATATTTGGACACAACAAGAAGCTGTACGAGTTCTCGTCCGGCGATATCAATGAGACCATCGGCCGGTATCAATATGTAGGCTCCCCCATGCCCTCCAGGTGAAAGCGCGCTGACTGGGACACGTAGTATGGCGGAGCGCACGAGCACAAAGGCCCGGAAGACTTCATGGGCAAGAAAGACTTGGACGAGGAGGAGGATGAAGACGTCGAGATGATGGGCGGATCCCCTCCGCGAGACTCCCATACCCCGCCAGAGCATGCCATGATGCCGCACCATCTTCAAAGCCAGCCCGCCTTCCAGCACATCAGACATGGCACTGCCTCCGCTTCCCCGCCAATGCACAATGGCATCCCATTCCACGCCCGACATCCTTCCCCTCAGCCCGGCGGTCTCTCACGGCCTAATTCCCGAGCCCACATGCGACGACCAAGCTCAAACCTCGCACCGCCGCAACATCACCCGTCACAAGCTCCTCCGCCCCCTAACAGCTATGCCTATATGCCAAACCCTCCCTTCTACAACCCTCAGGCCCAGGGAATGGCACCGAAGCCTCAGCAAGGTCCACCGGCGCCTCAGTTTCAGTACACACATCCTCCGCCAACCCACCAGCAAATACAGTTCATGCAGCAGCAGGACCAGCGGAGGCAATCCATGCCACCTGCATTCCAGCAGCAACAACAAGCACAACAACAGCAAGAACGTGCTCATCCGCAGCAACAACAGCAGCAGCAGCAAATGCCAGTGCCATCTCCACCGCAGCCGGAACAGAGCAACTTCCAGAGCCCGCCATTACCGCAACCGAGGCCACTGCCTTCGGCAGCCAAACACAGCATATTTACTCCGATTGATGACAGCCGATCAATGCTTGCGGCGCACTGGGGAAGCTCGGACCCGCCTCGTAGCGAAAACATAATAGTGAAAAGCGAGGGTGGCATCCGATCGCAGTCCATCGACGTTGCCGCTATGTCTCGGCAACAAGTGAACGGAAACTCGCCGCCTCAGCCATCTCCTGCACAAGTACCTAACCAGGCAAGCCAACCACAGCGAACCCAGTCCACTTCGTCTGTGCCCACCATTCCTCCGCCGTCACGAACAAATAGCATCCAGAACCCGCGACCCAGGCTGAAGGTACAGATTCCCAGTGAGCACTCGGACGCTGGAAGCCAGACGGCAGAGTCATCTCCTAGGGAATCTGGCACCACCGGCGCAACACCCGCGAGGACCAGCACAGATGCTTCGCATTCCTCGGGGGTTGTACTGCCTCCGCCGTCGCCTAGCGCAAATTCACTTTTGAGCGCTGGAGCCACTGGTCCCCCAAATCCTTTTGCTCGACCTCCACCGCCGGCGAATAATGGCTCATATGGTAGCCGCAGCGAGATGGAGACACCAATTTCTGCTCTTCCAAGCCGTTTCGTCGAGAATGGCCTTCTCCCCTCGCCTTCGAGCTTCTATCCTGAGTGGGGCTTTGGCCGGGACTCCAACATGCTTCCCAGTCCGCTCACCTTCCAAACTCCGGTGAACCCAAACGGACCGGGCTTTGGTCGTGACGACTCTGCGGACCGCAAACGAAAGACGTCCGATGAGGGCTCCGAAGCGGGCGGGAGCCAAAAGAGGATCAAAGCCTAAAATCGTCTCATGAGTCTTTTTTAGATTCTATCACTCTGTTCGTATATACCTTTCTCGAAAAGCGCGCATTTTGCCTTGTATTTTAATCAGTCGGATATTGTTTGCTTCATTTTCTTTTCCTTTACACGGCACAATGGGCGGGTAAATGTCTTCAAATTTCAAGATGCCGACTCTCGTTTTTTTGGGACACATGCGGAGTTATGGGGAGTTTTTGGATACCCAATGAGTAGTATCTTTCTGCTTACTGTTGCTCCTGTGAAAGGGAGCGTCAGGGGGTGGGGTGGTAGGGGAGGGAGGTGCCGAGCGCTGTTTCCCCTTCTTTATGACAGCATTCGGTATTGGTACTTCATGTTTGGGAGAATGAGTATGGGCTATGAGGATGAGGACCTATATATCTTCGCCTGTAGATATTCAATGGGCACTCTTGATGACTGTTCTCGAATTTGGGTGCAGGGAGTTGCAGCGTGGAGATGAAGTGAGGCCCTCGTCTGTTTGCTTTGCTTGAACGCATAGGTTCGAATGGTTCGTGGAACAGCAAACCAGCACACCCAATCCTGAAGGGATTCGGAGTTCTTGAGCTCGCTTAGTCCGAGCTGTTTAGACCCGGGGCGCAGGTCGAGAGAGAGAGGAAGTATCCGTATTGTGCACATGGTGGACTGCGAAATGCTTGCTACCTAGGTATCCCTTGAACGCTAACCAACAAACCTCGCCAGCCTCATGATCACAAAGCACCAAGCCATGCTAGCAAACTCGCCTTCCGAATTACCGACCCCTTTGCTGCCCAGCGGCGAGGGCGGTCCCGAAAGCGGCCTCTGCTTGTTGACCGGCGTCATAAGGCGGCCAAGCCCCGCCACGCCTGCTTTCGCTGTCGAGGGTCATCAGCCGCACCCGCAAGGCTGTGCGTGTGATGAAGGAGTTCTGGAGCCACCTCACCGCGCCAATCTCCCGTCCTCGCTTCTCCTCGTCAGCTACATACCGCATACCTGCACTATATAGCTAGCTGAGACGTCTTTCGCCTGCTCGCTCTTTCCCTTCCTTTCTGACAACACTGCCCTCTGCCCCACCATGGCGTACAACAAAGGCTTCAATCCAGATAAGCTGCCTGCGCACGCGGAGCCTGAGCAGGTGGGCTTGCACTGGACACCGGAGGACCTCATGGAGCATGATACTAACGCGCTGCCAGGCTGCTGCTCTCCTCTCGCAAAACTCAGCCTCGTCGCGCCCGCCCCGGACCTCGTCGGCGCGCCCTGACTACAACAAACCTCCCCCGCCTGCACCAAGCGGCCGACCAGACCTCCGCCCAGAGCACCGATACGGCGGCGGAAGCAGTGGAGGCTACGACAGCAGACCTCCTCCAGGCGCATACAACGACCCGCGTTACGAGGGGCGCGGTAATAGCCCCCGATTCGATCGTGATCCCCGCCACGACGGCTACGGCTCTCCTCCACCACAGAACTACGGTCACGGGCCCCCACCGCAGGGCTACCATGGCCGACCGCCCATCGCGCAACGGCCACCGCCCACACCTGCTCCACCGAGGGATGCGAATGATAGGGAGGCGCTGTGGAGGTTGTTCGGTGCGGTGGACAAGGATGGTATGGACCCATTGCACACGTCATAGGTGAGGTCGAGGCTGATGCGTGCTCTAGGAAGCGGGAACCTGACCGAAGCGGAACTGAGGACCGCCCTTGTGAACGGAGATTGGTCGCCTTTCGATCCTCATACCGTGCGCATGATGATTCGGTACGCCGGCAAAGCATGCGCCTTAGTGCAGGTACTGACGCGATGTCAGAATGTTTGACACCGACCGCTCAGGCGCTGTCAACTTTGATGAGTTCTGGTGAGCCATCTCCTCCCAGCTTCTGCAATTCGCTGCGTCTAACGCTACTCAAGTGGCCTGTGGGGCTTCCTCTCCGCATGGCGCGGCCTCTTCGACCGCTTCGACGCCGACCGCTCAGGTAGCATCTCCTACAGCGAGTTCAGCGAAGCCCTCGTCGCATTCGGCTACCGCCTCTCGCCCCAGTTCGTGCGGCTACTCTACAGCACGTATGACAGGCGGGGTGACAACAACATGAGCTTCGACCTGTTTGTGCAGGCGTGCATCAGTCTGAAGCGCATGACAGATGTGTTCAAGAAATATGACGACGATCGGGATGGGTATATCACGCTGAGCTTGTAAGTTGCGGAAAGGACTGCCTCTTGGTATTCAAGATTGCATATGCATTTTGCTAACATGTTCGCAGCGAGGAGTTCCTGACAGGTGCGCAAACTCTGTTCCTCTTCAATTCCATTAGTCCAGATACCGACGTGGGTCTCTACTAGAAATCATCCGCCAGCGATAATACTACGGATCTTTTGGATCACGCATCATGAGCGTGCCCGGTCCATTGCGCCCGATGTGGCCTGTTCGGCCTTTGGAAGTGCTTTGGCCCATCTGCAGGGATCATGTACCTCGGGGACTCTCAATGCAGGACTGCTTCCTGGACGACCCGATTGTGGAATCCGGGCAGCAGCACTGGTTTGGATAAAGGCCTGATTTGTCACGAATTTCAATCTTCTCGACGCAGTGGACACTGCTCAGCTACCTAGACATACACACGAGGGGGGCTATTTAGATACCCGTTCAAATATTCTTATTGAAAGCCTTCGTTTGCACGTACTCTTCGTGACCGAGGAAGCATGGAAGAACCCGAGCTATGCTTCGAACGGTCTTTCCCGCATTCGCGGGTAGCTTTCGACCCCGAAAAGTTGGATAAGCTCGTATATGTAATGCTGTTGTAATGTGTAACGAGGCATTAGAGGTGACGCAACTCCGCCATGCTCAGCTGATCAGGCTTCCAGACAGGGACGCCCCATTTGGCAACCAAGGACGAGTTCAAGGTTGAACGCGTTACAAGGCAAACCTGCTGATCTCAGCATGGATGACTGTATGCTGTTATCGTCTCGCTTCTGCACTGTGATATGCTTGCTCTCGAGGAGACTGGATTTCCCATTTTCATATGTTACATTGTAGAAAGTGGTAGTATTATCACACAGCGTGACTACGCTAAAATCCGAGCATAGCCTGGGTATAAAGCTCAGACCTAAAGGAAGACATGAACAGCGTGAACACTCCTACACGAGTGCTCCCCAACTCTAATAGACAATCGCCAGAAGCTGGGCCGGGGTGGTTAGTATGCCGCCCCGAGATGCAAAGAAACCGTCCATCAGGGGCAGACTCCGTAATCAGTTTCATCCAGCTTTCTCTCTCTTCTTCAGTGGGGGTTCTTCATGATTCGTCCTCTTTAACCGTGCTTCGCAGGCACGTACGTTTTCCTCCGGCGATGCCCAAAGCAAATCTCCACGCTCCATAGCACAAGCACCACCAGCATCAACCCCGTCGCTGCCCACGTAATCGCCAAAAACTTGCCGCCCTTGTGCGCCTGCACACCCACATCATCCCCGTACTGGTTAACCACATCCGCGCCCTTGACAATGACCGCGGTCGTCAGCGCGCTGGCCAACCCAATTGCAATGAACGCCAGAATCGCAATCATCAGGTTCAAGCACGCAGCTAGGCGGCCCGAGGCGAAGATAGCAGGCAGAGCGGCGATAAGCGCGATGCCGATCAAGGTGATGGCAATGCAGTACAGCACAAACGCCACCTTCCAGATAACGCGCAGCGCATCCAGCCCGCGCTGGATATCCGCGGGCCACTCGAGATCGTCGAGCGTAACATCCACGCCGCTCTGATTCAGCGCGTTTTCCAAAATCTCGTTCGGATTGAACCAGAACATGGCCGTGCGGTTCGAGCACCCCGTGAGGTTCTTGTGGATGTCGGACGCGGAGACGGTGGCATTGGCGGCCTCGGCGGGGACGTACTGGCCGTAGCAGTAGTCGAGTATGTGGGCGGAGTAGAAGTCCTCGATGCCGAGGCGTTCGGTGACGACGCCGATGGCTTCGCCGACGTCGTTTTGGATGTCAGTGGGGATCGAATTCCAGATCGAGGAGAGCGGGCCGCCGGAGTCGGTGAGGGAGCTGTTGACGAGGTTTTCGCCCAGGCGGGAGGTATTGAGCTAGGTTTTATGTTAGTGTTTGACTTTTTGTGCGTGGTGGAAGAAGGGGAAATTTACGGTAAGCATGTGGTAGTCCTCCATGAAGCCTTTCTTATGGCCTGCGAAGAGGCACAGGAAAGAGAGGATGAGAGCTCCTGCGCAGCATAGCGCTGGAATGAGTGCGGTCGGACGCATGATGTAGGTATGGTGAGTTCGCTCAGACAGAGAATGTTATATGCGTGCGTATGTGTATACGCTGCTTTCGGAAACGAGTAGGCAAGCAAGCATCAAAGCCAGAAAGAAAGAACAATAAAAACCGTGTACACTTGCTTGTACAAAGGGACCCAGCAGTCCCCTTGAATAAATACAAAGCGAACCTTGGCATGGAATGCTTCACGTCACTCAGGCAAGGGACCACGCACCTCCACCCACACTTGTTCGCAAACTTGTTTGCACTGCCCAGCGCTCCCCAGCCTCACCGTCGCAAGATCTTCGGCCAACATCCCCGGTAAAGGCTAAACTGACGATTGTTGACGTGGTTCGCTGTGGCCAAACAAGTTGCTGGTTGAGGTTGGGCGGTCTGGTAACGTAACGTCATTGAAGGGCCGGGGGCTTTGCGCGAACAGGGGTTGCGGCTCGCTTAGCCGAGAGGCTTGCGCAGGGCTTTGCGTGGATGTGGGGAGTGTGAGAATTTGGACTGGCGAATGATTTTGCGAAGAAAGTGTGTAGATGTACAGTTTCGGGGTTTAAGAGGGTGTGCAGCGCCACAGGCGACGTATCGTGCTTGCACAGCCGCTGGGGAGCCGCGCGGATTGCGCTAACTTTCAGACTTGAGCAATGGTGAGATGCAACGGAAACCTTGCGAAAAGACCTGCCAAATGCCGAAGAAAACTTCCGAGAGAATGGCCTGGGCTCCAGCGAGGGCAAGGCCAAGTCCCACCCGCTAATGCGACATACGGCATCAGTTGAAGTTGGGAGCTGCTTGTGCCCTTTTGTGTGTGAAGGCTTCTATTTCGAGTTGTACCTACTTCTAGTCACAATCCCACCTTCCTCTATTCATTAGACATCTATCGTAAGTGACCATGATTGCATGACAGTCGTGAAAGGAAGCAACATGTGCTCCTGAACTTTTGATATGAGATTTTGGGAGACCTAAGGCTCCCCACGCTCATCTGAGGGGCGTCGTAAGAATAGTGCGCCACATAGTGCTTTGAGTGAAGACTCGTGATGAAGAGGCCTCACGACGGAGATTTCTTGACACCTCGCCATGGTTGTGGCGTCGGTTGAGGCTCGCCCAACGGCGAATAAGGGGCAGCAACGGCATGGGGAGGCGCTTTCGTCCCCTGCTGGGTCCTTGGAGGCTCTAGGGAACCGGGATACTGCCTCTGTTCTTCATGCATCCTGTCCAGCGGCTCTCCCACTATGTGGTATTTTGCCCAGTTGACTGGGGGGCATCGTACGACGTTCTGTGGCTGAGGTATCGAAGGGAACTTGGATAGGTCTGTGGTTGCCCCATCTACATCTGCTGAGTCCTTGCGTGCCACTCCATCGCGTTGTTCGAGACCGTCTCCAGCTTCGCGTCGGGCGGATTCGGATATGTCGGAGAGTGTAGGCGTGAGGATATCGTGATGCGCTCCTGCAGCCTGCGCTCGTTGCTCCCGTAGAGAGTGCACGAAGCCTTGAGGATCGGAAACAGCAGCAGCCTTCAGATCCTCTAGGGCCTTCAGGTCCCGCTTGCTCTTTTCTCGCTGCAACTGCAGGAGCGATATGGCCGAACGTAGTGCTATCGCATCGGGATTCTCGCTCTCTGAAATAGGCACCGAAGGCGGCTGCTGTCTGAAGGTGGCGGTGGGTGGAGGAACAACGCGATTCCGAGGGTCGGGGCGCTCGATAGGAGCCAGTTGCGCAACGGAGACGGTGGGAGTGATGGGTGACACTGGCGGGCGGTTCGGAGAGCGGGACTGGGAGCGCCGACGGTCGCGCTGGTCTGAGGGCGTGGAGGAGTTGGAGGGCGAGCTGGACCGGGTACTCGTGTCTACCAGGAGCGCTGGCATGGCGAGGATGAAGAGAGGTCCGGAGTCGGTGAGCCCGAGCGGCTCTGTAGACCGGGAACGTGCACGCCGCCGGCCCGTAGTGATGATCCGTCTGTGCGTAGAGAGCACTGCCACCGGTGGATGGAGAAGGGCTGTCGCGAAGACCGAGTCTGGAAATGTCCGGAAAACGAAGGCGCGTGGCTACCTGCGTGGCGACTTCTGGAGCCGTGTCTGTCTCTGCTTTGGCACTGTCTAGATCCGGGGGCACACCGTTTGGGAAGCGATGCGCGGGATCGTGAGTGCTCAACAGCAGCGCCAAAGCCTTCTTATTCGTGCGGCTCCGATTGCAGATGTTGGGGGCTAAGCGAGGAAGGATTTGTGGCTTGCTGTGGCTTGTCGGCCACCGATGCAAGTACCTCGGAAAATTTCCTCGCCTCTATCAACTGGTTACCTAGCGTGCCTAGGTATGTGAGCTCAAGTCCTTCAGCGGAGCGCAAAATGTGTATAAGAGAAAGGGAGTTTGGAATCTTTATGGTGACAGACAAAGAGCTCTGACTATTAGGAGGTAGTTTTTGCCACGGTGCTGGGACGGTGAAGGGGTCTGTGAGGAATTGTGGAATTGGAGGGTGTTTCTAGATCCGATGCCGCTCTCCAAGTTGAACTTTGGCCACGGTGAGGGTTGAGCCCTCGTATACAGATGCTGTAGCAAATCTAGCTATACGAGGTGACACGGATCTGGATCACAGCCTCGCTAATCTGGAGGAGCCCTTGCCGTCTCACCATGACCGCGGTCGCGGAACCTGATTCGCAACATGGAGCATTTGCTCCAGCGCTGTTTCTCTGCGTCGCTAGAAGACCCGGATAAGGAGGCGCAAAGCTCTACCAGAAGTGCTTCGTCCGCGGGACCACAGCTAGCCAGAACGCCAGCAAAAGCCGGCCCGCCAATGGCAGAGATGGCCGCCACGACGCCGCAACGCGGGCTCGGCCTGCTTTCTGTCAACCGCATGTCAACCGGAGATGGCATTCGGCCCTCATTGGCAGCCGTGCCTGCCTCCCAAATTGGCGTCGTTGCTTTTTGCGTGGTTCCGCCCGTCAATGGCGCGCGCCTGCCTTTGCTGGCAGCCACCGGTCATCCCATGCGCTCCGCCAGACTTATTCCAACCACGCCCCTGCTTCTCTCACTTCGACATCTCACTCACCTTTACCTCCGTGCTACGCGTGCTGATTGCCGAGAGCGATGCCCCTCTGCGCCATCGACGTAGCGTTCGTTCTCTCTCCCAGCTGAGCGTCGCTAGCGCCTCGCCCTAACCGGTAACCGCAACGGGCGATCGTCGCCGTTTGTTTGGCAGTTCGCAATGGCGCCCGGCGCAGAAATGGCACCGCGTCCGCCGCGAATGCCGAAGCTAACGTACAGAAACCGTCTGCCCGCCGATCAGTCCTCGCTCTCCTCACTCTCCGAGACTGCTTCCACCGGCGACACAATATCAGAGCAGCGTCCGCCAACAACGCCTATCTCGCCCGCCGCTCCGTCGTTTGATTCGGGATCCACTACATCATCCACCAGCCTGGCGTCCTCCAATGGGTCAACATCACGGGACTCCTCGAAGGCGTCGAAGAAAAAGAAGCCCGGCGCCGTCCTCGGCTTCCTTACTCTGAGAGAGCCGTCGCAGATTGCTTTGGAGCAATTCGCCGAATCGCAACGCAAGCAGGCAGCTTCGAAGGGCGGCAGCATTACCAGCACTGGAAGCATTCAGGGCATTTCCCCGCAGAAGCTCCCAGCCAATGTACCCAAGGTCAACTCGAAGTGGGATGGGGTCCCAGAATCCCTCAAGTCGCCGAGGAGTTCGAGGACGAGCACTAGCAGCAAGAGAACCAGCTCATCGTCCCAGGAGGCACGGCCTCTACCTACCTACAGCTACAGCACCTCCATGTTCTCGGTCGCGACCGACGGCAGCCGTGATCCCCCAAACTCTATTGCATCGGCTGCTAGCTCATCGACGGATATTACTCAGCGCAGAGATTCCGGCTCGTCTGGAAATCCGCCATTGAACTCTCCATCTACTTCCTCGCTGCCGGAGATCACGTACTTCTTCCCGGATAACCCAAACCCGACAGGCGCATTACCAAGGTCACATACCCAACCTACGCCCGCGACACATCCATGGAGCCCGCCCCCTCTACCGTCGCATACAGCTCCGGAGCCAGTCAGGCACCCTCATACTGCGTCGAACGAGCTGGCCGGCCCCGAGGCAGATATGTACGACCAGGCTGACGCTATCTTCAAACGCCTGAATGAGAGCCCAGGAAGGCTGTTCCTGGTTGACGAGGCCAAAGAAGCCAGATTGGAAGATGAGGATGAAGATCTAGACTTAGTGCCCGAGACTCATGGCTTTCTATTCGAGAAGCCCGGGGCTCTTGCCGAACCACATGCAGTTGGCCACCCGCCTGGAGGCTACGCCCCTCCTGTGCAGACTCCCTCCCGAAAGCCTCCAATGAACTTTTCACGGCCGCGCCATTCGCCACATGCTCACAAGCCAGCCGTGTCGGCCTTGCCCACGCTATATGAGGCTTCGATCGCCAGCACGGATACAATCACGGATCTTTCCGACCTCAGTAAGACGGCCACTGAGGACAGCGATGCCGCTTCGATTGCGCCGTCTGTGGCACCGTCTGTCACACCGTCAGAGATGTCAGCTTCCTGGTACAAGTCTCCTCGCGAACGACTCGGTCTTGGTGGGCGTATTCGGAAGAACGACGTCTTGCCATGGGAGAGTCAGGAGGAGCCACCAGGTAAGCCCAAGAAAGGCCGCCTATCAGTATTTCATAAGAACTAAGCATAATTTATCGGCGAGGCCTTCGGTTTAGCTAACACGCTGAGAACAGAGCGTCTTCTGACTTCTATTCCGGAGACTACACTGGAGACCACTTCCACTATTTAAGGGCATTTTGAGCGTTCAGCGGGAATTCACTTCATGTACATTTACGACTCTATGGATACCCTGGTGAAACACATTACGCTATACTTTTCTTCTTCGGTACTGCACGGGTAATGAGGTCTTCTATTTTCACGAGCATGGACAACGGATTCGGAAAATGGCATAATCTTGAGGATTTCTATTTCCTCTTCTACTTCTCAAACCTTTCTTGCTTCATTCTCTGCAATTATTGATACTCTTGTGATGTACTTTAGGCTGCGGTTTGACTATGGGTGTGGGCAACCGGAGCGACCAAAAAAAGGAGCCTTACATCTAGCCGCCCAGTGCGATCAAGATGCGGTCCTACTTCAAAATCGATTCCCTCATTCTCCTCAGTGACGCTTGTCGGTCCCGTTCGGCTGCGCTGGGAGCCTGGAGTGAGTCAGATTGCTGAAGCCCTTTCGGTCGGCTGAAAGCCCCTCCGGCTCTTCGCTTGGACATATGGATACTTTATCGGTCGAATCTAGACGTGGAATTCGAATACCCCATTTGTTAACCTAACTCCGCTGGTCTCACTGTCATCCCCTGGAAGGCTAATCAGGCAGTCAGCATAGCCATGTTGCGTTATTGAGACATGGGTAGCTCGAAGGCAGTGCATGTACTATCTAGTCCTAAACTTAGGGTTGGACTTGGGCACGCTATATCTTAAAGGCGTGTAATAGATAGGAGAGATTAGTAGAGCATGATAGGATGTTGACTCCTTTCCCGGTGGGGGGGCCAGTGAGTGTAGATATGAAGGTGAACGGGGACGGGGGCGGCTACTACATGCTTTGAAAGCCAGTTTCATGGTACATGTAGAGATCTTTGGTGAGATATTGCAACTACGCGTATGTCCAGGGCAGGGGATCCGATGTGTGGATGCGGAAGTTGCGTGCACACACGAGGAGATAGGTATAGTGTAAATATGTTTGTTATTGAATTCTACAGTCCTTCAAAATCATGAGACTTCTGGTCTCCCGCTACGTAATCCGAGCGTGCTGCCATCTTTAGGATTTCCCCACAAACTAGCTCAATTATACCGAACAAGTCCTAGTATGCTATAAGTTCATGATTCTTGCTGGTCTTTTTTACATCATGGGCTTGAATACGTTACTCGCTAGAAATGGCTTGATATCTTCTTTATTAGGTGTTGCTATAGCTCTTAGTCCCTTCCCCAAGCGCACGCTCCTCATCAAGCCCACGCGAACATCCTCTTTCGCATCCGTGGCCTATCTACTGCAGTCGACAGCGCGATTTTTAGAAGACCTTGCGCGGCGGTAGACAACAAGCGGACGGGCATACGCTTTCTCAGACGCTCTTAATGAGACCAACAACATCCAATTATCGGTCTATTGACAACGCTGGCCTTCTCTGCCTCGTCCGTGGGAAGATGGACTGCGTCTCCCGTAAATATACAAAGGGTATAACTACATGCCGGCCGTAAGGTATTATGTTCGGATCCGGATGACTTTCAGCTTCCAGCTCAATTCGGGGCTGCCCACAAAAGATGATGTCTTCCCCCATTGTAGAATCTAGCGCTCTTTCCAATAAGCCAGCCACAGGGCCCTCAAGTATTGATGTGTCTGGAATAGCACTCCAAGCACCAGGGATCCCCCTCTTGACCGACTTCTACAATGCACTTCTTGCAAATAGCCTTTCGACATCCCAAGCATTCTCTTGCGCAAATATAGCAGGTCCGACCGTCGCAACGTTTGCATTCCATATAGTTCTCTAGATCTCTTTTCCGCTTCGGTGCTGTTTTGCAGGCGTGGCATGGACGCAGGTCAGTGTCGTTGCGTGTTTCCCTCTTTTCGGTATGTGACGAGCTTGGCGGAAGGTCTGGCTCGATGTCCATGAGGTGCGACGGGGTTTTGACAAGAGAGACTTTCGGGTTCAGACGTCTCATCTGCTTCACCGGCCGTCGATCCGAGGTGAGGTAAGTTGAGGCGGCCACGGAGAGCGGGTATGTTCGCTCGTTGTTGCCGTCGAAGGATGCGGAGTCGTGACCTTGCAGTTTGAGGAATCCTTTGCTGGCGGGGGAGGATCGTTGCAGAGCGGAATGGCTGCTAGAAATCATCCTATTAGCATTCGCAGCAGTTGGAGAGTCGGTAGACCACCCATACTGTACACCTGATGCCCCATCGCAGTCTTCTGACCGCCTTTTCCTTTTGCCCAGACCCGTCGAAAGGGAAGAGTCCACCATTGCGTTCCAGGTCTGCGTATGTATCGAGGTTGCGGAGTTGGAGCGGTCGTGTCCGGGGTCGCAGCCGAAGAGGTCCGCAGTGATAAACATCGTGGGCGAGCAACGGTGAAGAGGAGGCTGACCAAGGAAGCGGCGGTGATGGAGAGCCCAGAGCGGCAGGAGTGTGCGGCGGCAAGCGGCGAGAAAACCAGGCACGCGGTGGCAGGCTTGCTTCTAGTTACAGAATATCCGCCCGACTTGACGCTGTACGCTGAAGTAAAACGAGTGACGAGAGGCAACAGGCCAGCGAGGAGGAGGTGGAGAGGCGAGGGACGTGGGGAGGTGTTGTTGTTGGTTGGAAGGACCTAGCTCGGAATTAACTAGCGCTGTCAAGGCAGGCACCCGCCAATAATGATGCACTCGGCAGGGGTGCTAGCACGTGCGCCAAGGCGAGATTCGCGTCGGGGGTTTGGAACTTCTCCGCAACGCGATCGCAAACCCCACAAACAATCACGCCTACGGCGCGGCCTCTGTCTCTTATTTCGAGCCCCAGGCTTGCGCATATGGATTCGTTCGCTCTCTTCGCCTGGGTATGACTGCATATTACTATATGTGAACCCCGGGTGTGTCTGGGAACAATTTGGAACCTGAGTTGCACATCTTCGGGACCGGCCATTTGAGTATGGAGAGCCTCAGCGTCCCCGAGCTTGTTGAGCGGCTCAGCAGCGATGAAGAGTCGGTGCGGAAAATGGCAGTCTTCAAGCTGCAAAATGCAATTGGAGACCCGTCGTTCGCCGACATTTTCATCCAGGAAGGGGGCTTGCCTAAGCTGAGGTTTCTGGCTCTACATTCGACAGGAAACACGCTGGCATACTGCCTTACATCTCTATCGCGACTCCTGGAGCTTGACAAAGGATGGGACCATGTCACGGACGATCTGATTAAGAGGGTGAGTTCAAGCTGAACGGTGACTACCCTCAGGTCTGACATGGGAGCAAACAGATCGTAGAACTCGTCGTCGCCCAGCCTCTCGTCAATGTCAATCGGGGTGCAATGTCCGTGTTAGCGGCCATAGTGGGCCATCCCTCGCACCGTAACTCGCAACCCGGTGTCACTGGATTCCAGCGACTGAAGCCCGCCGTCGACTCGCACCCACAATTCCTCCCTTCGCTCGTCGAGAAGATGACGTCGGCCGACCACGCTCTGTGCGCCAACTCCCTCCAGCTGATAAACTCCCTAATGCGAGATGCAATTGCGAATGATGCCGACTTTGAGTGGCCGAGGTTCATAAAGCAATTGCAGGAGTTGGGAGTCATAAAGAGCGTATATGGACTCATGCAGAGCTCTGCAATCCAAGATCTGGCACATCCACTGCTAGAATTCCAGTCCTTGACCAAAGTGCTACTGCGAAAGTGGAGGGAAGAAAAGGTCGACCTGGAGAAGGCGGACCACCGCAGGGCAATTCGCGGGTTGCACGCTGCGAGCAACCCAGACCAGCCCGGCACGGATCCGAGGGGCAGCAAAAAACAGAATCCGGCAAAATGGAGGCGGTTAGGCTTCGATACGGAATCACCGGCTTGGGAATTCGACGCTACAGGATTCCTAGGGCTTATGGACCTCACGGACTTTGTCTACAAAAACGAAGATGGTTTCCAGAAGCTGTTGCTTGAGCAGTCAGCCGAGCCGCTCGACCAACGTTGCCCCATTGCTCGTGCAAGCCTTGCGGTTACGTCAATATTGTATGAGCACTTCGAGGTGGATAAGCCGGATGAGACCGAATCGCACAGATACACGGCGCTAGAATCACGGACCAATTTTGACAGGGCCTTCAAACCGCTTCTGCTGCACTGGTCGAGGCTGCACACTAGTGGCCTGAATGCGTTCATTCGGCTCTGGAAGGCGGCAGGGGCGCAGCTAGAAGACTTCGAGAAGATTGAAGAGTTGGTGCGAATCCTGATTGAACAGATCGTGGGTCAGGCGCCTCGCACGAAAGAGATCAAAGACGTGGAGGAGGAGCTAGTGGAGTTCGACATTCAACGACTCAGGGAGCTTCAGATGGAGCTCCTTGAACTTACTTATGAGGACGCATGGGGTCATCATCTACGGTATATTTGCCCCTGCCCTCAGCTTACGACGGCAGCCTTAACTATCAACAGACAAGTGCGCGACGAGCTCAACCATGAAGCCCTCCAATTCGTCAAAGAGCAACGTATACGTTGCTTGCTCCAAGGCGCTTGGTTCCCGCAAGCAATGAATTACGGCACAGAGGCAGGGCCGGTTACAAGCAAGACCCTCAGTCGAACAGTGCCCTCATCCTGGCGCTTCGTCCGACTATCACACAATAGGCGCTATCTGCATTATGCGGACTTCGAAGAGAAAACGGCTACGGAGCCCAGATTGGATGCCTTACAAGAGAAAAGTACGTGCCGCAACAGTCTAAGGATTATGGGATGGCGTTCGCGCCGTGGCTGACTCGCATACCCAGTTGATCTTTCCATTGTGTCTTCGGTCGTCAGCAACGTGTCGGCGTCGGCCCCATCGACATCATCATCTGACAGCACCCTTACCACGCTACGGGAACCTGGGCACGCGTCTACCTCGACGAAGATCACGATCCATGGCTACCTGCCGGCGCCTAATCATTCGCGGCAGACGTCGGACGCGTCCAAATCGACGCAGAAGGAGTCGGTGCTTCTGCAGCTGTATCCACAAAGCCACACTCTTGCGTCCGAGTGGCTCGACGGACTGCTTATGCTGCTAAACCAACAACCAATTACAGCGGACACCAACAAGTTGATCAACCTAATTGGCGGTTACGGACTCAAAATTCGACTCCTCAACGTGCGGTTCGAGGACGTTGGCATGGAGGAGCCGGTGCTTCCTAGCCGGGAAGGGCTGGACGATGATTATTACTATGATATTGGGGGAATGGAAGCTGGCGTCTGAAACCCCCACGAGGACGGACGTGTTTCCATGTGCCCTTTTAGCCTCTTATATGTTTAGAAGCACGTGGGAGTGTTGGAGATCCGGATACATGACCGGACATGGACTTGGCTGCATACACGGCCAGCTTCTGTATTCTTACAGCAGATGGCGCTAGAAGGCGGAGAGGGGTAGGCTTGGCTTGGGTATGGATATTCTAGTGAACCGGGTTTTCGCCCCGGTGCTAATTGCTAGTGCTTTGGATGATGGGTAATTCGGGATGACGGGCAGACTCTGTTGCGAGTGGAAGCTTCCTCTTGAGATACCCTTGCTTCTACGGCGGCAACAAGGCACATTCTGCGAACCTGCAAGGCTTCACTTTCCTATGATGGTTAGCATCTGGCGTACCCTTCAGCTCAACCTTAAGCCGCATCTGCACCGCGCATGCTGCCGACGGTACACAGACGGCGGCCAGCGAATTCTGTGCTGTGGGCAGTCGTGTTCGTGGCACAATCGGCTGTTTGCCTGTTGACCGCATTCCGGCCATTCGGAGCCTTGGAGACGACTCTCCGGGAGCCTCAGGTTGATGAAAGGCTAAAAGAGGACGGCGGTCGCCTGGAAGCGTATCGATAACCAGTAAGTCGTCTACGGCGACCGCCAGGCTGGGGAAGCCGAGCGTGCGAGTGTCTCGGGCGAGCACGCTAGGGAGCTGTGGGCCCGCTGACTGTGTTTGTTCCTGAGCGACCGTCGCCTGAAACAGCGGGAGCAGCGGAGGAAGCGGGGAGGTCAATCTGTGTGCTACCACGAAGCACGCAGCAATTGGCCGAAGCAGTGTGCCTACACGGGCTGCTGCTCTCGCCCATGGGTGAGCTTTCGGCCGCCCAGCGAATCGCGGCCTCGCCCCGAGCTTACTGTCCATGTGTATGCTCCGGGGTCCATACCGACGCGCTACTTGGAGACGCGTGAGTGGGCAACCTGGTGAGCATGCCGGCAACGGGTAGAGGGCCTGAGCCCAGACGCGGTCGAGTTCGTCTCTGGATACTGCAGTACGGGCGGCGTGGATGGCTGCAGCGCCAGCGCCGTGCTCCCTCCGGCTTGGTGAAAGTGCTGGACCCGGAAGCGCTCAATCTCCTGCTGCGCCCGCTGGCTCAATCGCTGTATTTATTTTCTGCTGCTTCTTCATCTTCTTCTTTAATAACCCGCCGCGCCCGCCGACCTGGCGACGCTCCCGGACGATCCTCTGATCCCCTCCGCCAGCTCGAGCTCGTCGCGCACGCCGGCCAGGGCGCTGGAGCTCCCTCACATATGTACCTGGATGCGCTCGCCGCGCTGGCAGCTCCACCGTCTCGATAGCACTCTGCCTAAGGCCCATTCCGCTCGCCAGCCGAAGCCATGAAGAAGAAGGACAGGGCAGCCGTGCCATGCTCGCATGCCGAGTTTGACGCTCTTCCTGAACCAGTGCAGTACTGCGCCCCTATCACATCACATTTTGCCCGACGAATCGCGCCTGCAGCGGGATGCATGAATCTTCATCTCCACCCCACCTCGACTCTGTACCTGAATGCTGACCCTCCCTCTGCAGGAGAAAGTACTTTTCATCCCTCGAGCGCCTCCGCATTGCAGAGCAGCACTCGCTCCTGGACCAGCCGCCCCAACACCGCGCTAGTTCACGCCGCTCCTCCACCACTCCCCAAGGTTCAATTGCGATCCACCGCTCGATTCTTGCGGCGGGATCGTCGCGGCGCCGACTCAGGAAAGCCGAGAGTCTAAAGCAGGACCGCAGCGTCGCCCAGGCCGACGCGCACTTCTTCCTCTCGCTCCCCGACAAGCTGAGGAAGTCGCAGTTCTCGCGCGAAGAGCAGGTGCTCCTGGTTGGCAGGTGCGACCAACAGCAACAGCAACAGCGACTGCCCCGCGGAACCCCCGTCCACACTGAGCGCGCCGACCAGCATTTTGGCGGCTTCCACTTCGACTTCTACGACGACTCGGAGAGCTCGATTGCGCGCGGCCGCTCGCGAAGACGGGCGTCGTCCCTTTCCTCGGTGAGCCCTACCAGACCGTCCACCGCCCGGACGCAGCAAGAGCAGGACCGCGATTCCGAGAGCAGCCTGCTGTGCCTCGACAGCATGAGTCCGCCGACCTCGTACCAGGCGGCAACGTCGAGCTTCAGACGGACCATGTCGCTCACCAGCATGCCCCTCCGCACTTCTACTTCGTCCGCACCGGTGGCCGCAGAGCCGCCTCTCTCTGCCCGTGCGTGGCACCAACGCGCTCACTCGCAGTCTCTGTCTGGCCGGCGTTCCTCCCACACCCCCACCCCACCAGTGTTCGACCCTGAGGCGACGCATTACCGGGACCCCGAAGCAAGGAAAAAGCTGCGCATGTACCTTGCTTCGCCGCAGAAATTTGACGAGGCCGTCGAGTTTGGCTTCCCGTCTTCCTCTGGGGATGACACCATGCCTCCCCGCTACCAGCTGCCTCCCATCAAGACGGATGCCCGAAACTTCAGTCGAGACATGCAGACCTTCCTGCGCGACGACAAGGTGTCTTTCCTCGAGGACGACGAGGAGGACAAAGGTCTGGAATCTGATGGCGACTCTTTGGCCGATCTCGAATCTCCCGTCACCCCGTCGAGCACCGGGCTCTCCTTCCGGTGCCACACGAGGCACGTGTCCTCGAATTTCTCGTCCATGGACTCCAACGGCCTCCCTCTGGTTCACCCAATGGGCGGACGCCTGAATCGCGAGATGACTCTGAGGATGACGCTCACGCGTCCTGACCTGAGGGCCGACGAGGATCAGCTGTACGGCTGGCAAGCGCCGAAGGGAAGCAAAGACGACCCTTTCGCGCTCGAGGAACTCACTCTCAGCGACGACATGACCGGTTCCAAGGGGCCGTTCTACGTCAAGCCGAAGCCGCACGGCAACCTTGTCAGCCGGCTCTTCAAGCGCGCTAGCAAGAAAGGACGGTAGATGCCACGCCACCTGCCTCGATGCTCACGATCTACGAGAGACGAAAATACCGGCTTTAATGGAACGCTTGACGGGTAATAGCAACAAATCTCACGAAAGTCACGTCCGATCACCAACGGCATGATCTCCTTTCTAATTCGCCTTCTCAAAATACCACTTTCTACCGATTCACTTTACGAGGTACATGTGCTGCACTTTAGCGGGCGTTCACCGGTTATGGTCGGAGGACGAGGTGTGCTCAGCTGAGAATACCATTTTCCTTTCCTGTGTACGATATCCCAATGCATGATTTGAGGCGCTAGGGGGGAAGGCGCTGGGCTAGAATAGCTGGTGCGGTTTCTCTATTAGGGGTTGCTGCGGGATATAGGCCTGGGATGGTCCGCATTCGGAGGGGTCGGCTTTTTCTTGCCTACTCGCCCCACGCGCCAAGGGGTCCCTTGGCGCTACGCAGCTCAGTGGGATTACCGAGCTCAACGAAATTCTTGATTACTACAACCCACCCTTTTTGACGCCGTATTTTTCAACACTACGCTCTGATTATTACGATATGTCGCAGTACGGCAGTTACGAGGATATCGAAAATCGAATTGAGCTCGCTCTAGCCGCCGTCGACTGCGGTAGCTGCGAGGATTTGGCTGCCGCAGCCCGTCAATTTCATGTCCCTCGAAGCCGCCTCTATCGCCGCGCAAAAGGCAGCTCCTCTCGCTCTACACGCCCCCAAACAAATTTACGACTCTCGGAGCTTCAAGAGCAGAGTCTTATTAACTATATTAAGCAGTGCGACAGCTCTGGCTTTTCTGCCATGTATTTTATGGTCCATCGCACCGCTGAGGTGATTTTAAACGCCGACATCTACCCACCGCTCCTCCCTCAATTTCTTGGCCGCGATTGGGTAAAACGCCTCCTACAACGTCGCCCAGAGCTTTATAAAATTACACAAAAGCCGAAGGATAAGGACAGGATCGCAGCTCAAGATTTTGGGGTGGTGGAGGCGTTTTTTCGCAAGCTCCGCGCCCTGATGTACGAACACGGCATTCAGCCACCCGACATCTGGAATTTCGATGAGACCGGCTTCAGGCTTGGTGTGGGAGGCAACCAGATCGTAATTGTATACGGATCACGAGGCCGCGAAGGTATTACAGTACAGACGGAGACAAATCGTGATTACCTGACCTCTGTGGAGGCCATCAGCGCTGGCGGGGCAGCGATCCCACCTATGCTGATTTTGAGGGCTAAAGTACACCTCTGCCAGTGGTACAACTCTACGGAGCTCCCCGACGATTACCTGCTCGCCGTGAGCGACTCTGGGTATAATAACGACGAGCTGACGCTGGAGTGGGTTAAGCACTTCGATAAGTACTCTAAACTCACCCAGGTGGGATCGCGACGCCTTCTAATATTTGATGGCTTCGGCGGCCATATGACGCGCTAATTTCTGGAGTACTGCGAGCAGAACTTAATTATTCCGTTCTGCCTTCTACCTCACCTCTCTCACAAACTACAGCCGCTTGATTTATCAGCTTTTCAGCCTATGAAGCACTACCACAAGCGCGCTGTTGAGGTCGCCGTCCGTAGCGGCTGCGAAGACTTTAACAAGGTGGAGTTTCTGTACGCTGTACAGTCGATACGCCAGCAAACGTTTAAAACGCGTACAATACTTAGCGGATTCGAACGAGCTGGCATATGGCCCTTTAACCCGGAAATCGTACTCCAGACGCTGCCTCGACCCCGCCCTGCCACCCCACCTCGCGCAAGGCAAACTCTTACTATTAGGAGCTCTAAAACACCCTATACACCTCCGTCAACGATCGCCATGGCTAGGAGCCTTATATTTGCTGCCAACGAGGGTGTGGACCTTAATTGGGGCTAGTTTAACAAGTACATGCGAGGCACAGTGGCGCAAACTATGGAGCTACGCGTCGCCAAACACGAGCTCAGCGCGATTACTCAGGCAGCTAAAAAGCGCGTAAAACGGCAGCAAACTGATCAACGCCGGCTTTAGAGCGGCGGAGTACTGTACGCGAAAGACGCTCGCGACGCGATTATACAGAAAGGAGCGAAAAAGGGTGCTGAGGAGCCTGCAGAGGCTTTGGGCGATTCACCCGCCAAGACTGTCCCACCCTCTTCTGGGGTTCCCCAGGACTGCTACATTTAGTGGGCAATTCCCGAATATGTACCGGCTACTTAGAAATAGCCCTAGGAGCCATTTCTCATCATAATTACACGAAAATATATCAATTACGTGTCTATATTACGCGTCAAGTACGGTGTGGATTGAGTCGATTTCGTTGAGCTCGGTAATCCCATTGAGCTGCGTATGGCCAAGGAGCACCCTTGGCCAGTGTGGCGAGTATAGGCTGACGTGGAGGGATGACGGCCATGGTTGATACCCCCAATAACAAATTCAGATCGGACAATTCAAATCCATTCAACAAGAGGCAGACAGTGTGGTGGCTCATTCATTTCCGAGACAATATTCATGCGTTCCGAAGGCGCGGAGTGAGGGACATGGCGATGGCGTGCATGGCTCATGGCTCATGGCGGGCGGCGCTATTGATCCGCAACGCCTCTGATATGTCTCACTTGAATTCCCGATACCGTGCCGCGAGTAAGTACACCGTCGTATACGCCACAACCAAGGCGTTCTCCCGAGCATGTCCTCACGAGCTTACGAATATTAGGTATCACTTGAGCATGCCTGAGACATATGCCAATGCCTTTCTCCGCGTTCCTGCATGCGCGCTCGCATGACTATGTATGCAGTTCTCTTTCCCCTCGCTATTGCATCTCAAGACCAGGGTCTGTACTGCAGAGTACTACTAACCCATATGCACGTACGAGTCATGAACCCATCCTACCCGTCCCTCCACATTTGCTGATCAGCCTCGGTTCGTGCCCACGAACGGCAGATAACGTCGAACCTTCCCACCCCTTAGGGCCCACGTGCTCGGGTGCAAGAGGAGGTGTTTGAGCCTACCATTGCATGGGCAACCCTTCCTGAGGCTCAACAGCGGCCGGCGGAGGATTAGAGTTTAGAGCTTTCCAACTCGGCGAGCGGGGTCAACCGCCGGCAGGCGTTGGAGATGCGAGACACGTTCAACAAGAGAGGCTGGGGATGTGGAAGAAGGAAAGGTAGTGTAGTGCGGGATGAATGCGCCTCGACTAATGCAATGCGTGGTGCCTGCAGAAGTGGGAGGAAGGAGGCCGCCAGCCGCGACCAGTAGTGATGGTGATGCTTTCTTGGGGGACGGGTAGCTGTGTGACCAAGACGAGCCGTTTGGTCACTCGCATATGGATGCAGCACGAGCGTACTGTAGTGAGCCGAGCCGTGATGCGCTTGCATGATACACCGTCACTCTAGCCTACACAGCAGGTACCCGTACCATCGCCATACAGTACTGTGTCTGGACCTTGGGCGACGATTCAGCGAGACCGAGCGAACACCGATCGCCACTGCGACGACAGACCTCAGACTCCCAGTGCTCTCCGTCCGAACAACCCTAGGATTCAGCCCCAATAGACCAGATCAAACAGGATATTCGGGCGGATTGTGCAGCCTGAGTAGCTTCAACTTGCGATAACTTATCCTAGTCCCCCGTCAGCCGCAAAAGACCGGTGGTATCTCGGGGCAGGATGAGGAGATTCTCGATATCGTACGGTTGAGGAAAGGCAGCGGGTCTTGGTGGCTGGAGTACGCGATTCATGATGCTGCTAGAGATATCGATAGCATTGGTGGGAAAACCGGCCTGCAGAAGATGGTGGAAACAGAAGAACCTGAGGCAGGCTGCGGGGGATAAGGGATAACGATAGTGAATCGGCACGTGGATGAACGTGATGATAACACAGAAGCGGCGGGAAGGAATAGCTGAACCAAGAGGCCAGGCCAGCGTGGGCTTGTCCAGAGAAAAGCCGGTCTGCACGTCGCTGAATCGAGATGCACCTAGAAGCGAAGCTGCAAGAACCTCTCGGAAGCTAAAGTATTTCTGCATGCAGGGGCACGCCAGAATGGGTATATGGCATACCAAAAAGGTCATTTGAAGATTGAACTGCCAGCTGGTCATTACTCTCATGGTATTCTTGGTCTACCAAATCGGTACTGTACAGACCTCTTCACCCCAGCCACCGCTCCTTTACCGAGACAAGGCGATGTCGTCAATCCTCAGAATCATCTTGACCGTCTCGGCTGCCAGCTCAATCGCACTCGTGCTCACAAGCAGCGGCTGCAGCACATTCTCCTCTGCCATGTCGTTCTTCACACCCCCGCTCTTGATACTGACCCCTGCATTCCTCTGATCCTGAGCATGCCGATGCCTCAGCTCAGTCACCACCTTGATACTGTTTAGCCCTGCGTTCTCTGCCAGGGTGTTCGGAATAACCTCCATGGCATCTGCGAACGCTTTCCAGCAAATGGCCTCGGTGCCTGACAACTCGCGCGCGCGCAGCGACAGTCGATGTGCGATCTCGATCTCTGGGGCACCGCCACCTGCAAGGAGGGCCTTCTTCTTGACAAGCGAGCGTATGGCACAGTGGGCGTCGTGCAAGGAGCGCTCAGTCTCGTCCAGAATCAGAGAATTGGCCCCTCGACAAACGATGGAGACGGTCGACGCCGCGGACTTGACGCCAGATACCTTTACGTACCGCGCTCCTGATGCTTGAACTTCTTCGACAAGATCCGCGGAGCCGAGCTTGTCTTCCGTGAATGAGTCGATGTCCGCGATAGGTTTGCAGCCGGTACTCTATTTCATGTCAGGGGCATTCCAGGTCTGGTATCTCCAAGACTTACCTTGCAGATGAATTCGATCTCGTCGCGCTCAATGTCCTTGACGACAAGGATCTTAAGCTTCGAGAGGAAGTGTAGACTGAGATCGTTGACTGCGTCCCGAAGAATGGACTTTTGGATGAAAAGAACGTTGCACTTCGCCTTCTGGATCTTCTTGACCATGTTCAGCAGATACGTCCGCTCCTCCTTGAGAATCTTGTCCATCTGCCTGTAGTCGTTGACCACAATCTGGTTCTCCATATCCGGCTTGGGCGGGCTGAGCTGGAACTGTATCAAGCCAATCTTCGCCTTCTCTTTTATTGTAGGCCCGCCAGCGCTCTTGACAACGGGTTGATGAAGGACCAGCCCATCAACCATCTCGCTCTCGTCAATGGTGCCGCCAGCCTTCTTGATGATCCTGATGTTCTTCAAGTCGACATTGTCTGCGGTCTTGGGGTCGATGACCTTGAGCACAGAATCCACTGCCATTATCGGCAGCTTTGGCTCCTGCGCTACAATCTTCGACGAGAGGGCTGTCGTCGCGGTCTTGAGTAGCGTCGGCCGATCACTCAACGAGATAGGAATAGACATGTCCGTCAGAAGTTCTATCGCGAAGGCTGCCGCTCGCTGGAACGACTCGGATATGATGGTTGGGTGTATTCCTTTCGACAACAACCGCTCAGCCGCACCCAGAAGGCTTCCTGCTATTACCACAACTGATGTTGTTCCGTCTCCTGCTTCAATGTCCTGGGCGTGCGCGAGGTCGACGAGCATTTTCGCGGTAGGATGCATGACGCTCATTTGGTGCAGCATGGTCGCTCCGTCGTTGGTGATGATGGTCTCACCTTTGCCGGTTTGAATCTGCAGATGTGTGAGAAGTGTCCTGTTATAACCAGCCTGTATACACACCATCTTGTCCATGCCTTTGGGTCCGAGAGACTGCCGAACTGTCAGTGCTTGATCACCCCGCCCGTTCAGCTTCCACGTACAGTCCGTATCGCGTCGGCCACAGCTGCCGTATAGTTAGCTACAGCTCGAGGAAGCTTTCCGTGAGCCTACACACCTCTGGCAGCGACGATATTCGCTATCCGAACAGCTCTGGGCTTCTCCTTGTCCTGCAGCCTCAGTTAGTAATGTTTGCATAGCTCCAAATAGACGTGCGCACCCTGAAGGTAGCATTTCCGGCACCGCCGCTTGCAACTTGGGTCGCCATTATGTGTGTAGCGGGAAAAACTCAAAGGTAGCAAGGGGTATTGTGACAGTCTTCGACGAGTTTTGCTGCCTTCGATTTCTGTAGAGCGTGAAATTTGGGCGACGCGCCGCGGTCGGTAAAACTTCGGTAGGCCAGGGAAGCTCCGACTCCCCGGCAGCAACAGCAACCTCACCGATTACAACACCGTCGCCATCCGTACCTCAAGTAGCCAGCGCTCTCCAGCTCCGACACCTTCGCTTCCCCCGAACCTTGCAATCCCCAGCAAACCCTCGCTGTCGACAGCTGCCCTTACGCACACCCCGCTGCCTAATCCGCACAACCAGCCATGCCCAGCGCCACGGGCCAGAACTGGGAGAAGTACCAGAAGAACTTCGCCGACGACGAAATAGAAGAGAAGAAAATCACGCCTCTGACCGATGAGTAAGGGCACCGAATGAATTCCGGCTGGACGCTCCATGCTAAAGCAGGTGACAGGGACATTCAAGTGCTGAAGACGTACGGGGCGGCGCCGTACGCGGCAGAGCTGAAGAAGCTCGAGAAGGAGATCAAGGACAAACAGCAGACAATAAACGAGAAGATTGGTATGTTTTCTGGGAACTTTGCTCTCAACGGCTGTAAACTAATAATGCAACAGGTGTCAAGGTAGCTGCATCCGAGCTGTTGTCACATTCTCCGGCCGTCTAACTAAGCCACAGGAATCAGATACCGGTCTCGCACCACCACATCTCTGGGATATCGCCGCCGACCGGCAACGAATGCAAGAAGAGCAGCCCCTCCAGGTCGCCCGATGCACGAAGATAATACAAGACGAGAAGGACCCCGAGAAGAGCAAATATGTCATCAACGTCAAGCAGATTGCCAAGTTCGTCGTCAATCTCGGTGAGCGGGTATCGCCGACGGATATTGAAGAGGGCATGCGAGTCGGTGTGGACAGGAACAAGTACCAGATCCTTCTCCCGCTACCGCCGAAGATCGACCCATCAGTCACCATGATGACAGTCGAGGACAAGCCCGATGTAACATACGGCGATGTCGGAGGCTGCAAAGAGCAGATTGAGAAGCTGCGAGAAGTCGTCGAAATGCCCTTGCTCTCCCCAGAACGCTTCGTCAACCTCGGCATCGACCCCCCGAAAGGCGCTCTGCTCTACGGCCCTCCCGGAACCGGCAAGACGCTCTGCGCCCGAGCAGTCGCCAACCGAACAGACGCCACCTTCATCCGAGTTATCGGCTCAGAACTAGTCCAGAAGTACGTTGGCGAGGGCGCAAGGATGGTCCGCGAGCTCTTTGAGATGGCGCGGACGAAGAAGGCGTGCATCATCTTCTTCGACGAAATCGATGCTATTGGAGGTGCACGTTTCGATGACGGCGCTGGAGGCGATAATGAAGTGCAGCGTACTATGTTAGAGCTTATCACACAGCTCGATGGCTTCGACTCCCGTGGCAATATCAAGGTCATGTTCGCCACCAACAGGCCGTCTACACTCGACCCTGCGCTCATGCGTCCCGGCCGTATCGATCGAAAGATCGAGTTCTCGCTACCGGACATGGAGGGCCGCGCCAACATTCTCCGTATTCATGCCAAGAGCATGAGCGTGGAGCGCGATATTCGTTGGGAGCTCATCTCCCGATTGTGCCCGAACAGCACGGGTGCTGAGTTGAGAAGTGTAGCGACAGAGGCAGGCATGTTCGCTATTCGAGCAAGGAGGAAGGTTGCCACGGAGAAGGATTTCTTGGCTGCAGTGGACAAGGTGATCAAGGGCAACCTGAAGTTCAACTCAACAGCCACGTACATGCAGTACAACTAGACGGAGAGCAGTCGGGAGGCGGAAACACTGCATTTGGGGACCTGTACGATAGCCTACGACAGCCATATAGACATGGTTTGCTACAAGGTCGTGCGCGTAATGCTAGTAGCCTGATATCATCAACGTTGATGACTTATATTGCGTTTAGCGTACTGCGCTCATTATTTGAGCGGTCTGTGACCTCACTAGACAAGTCCTCTGGTCAACCCTGAGTAGTCCTCATATCATCAACGTGCTATCCATAAACAATCACAATGAATTGGACCTTTTCCACTGAGATATATACGAGAACACCGGCAATAGATCAATCTTCCTTTAGACCTTCATCCAATATACATAGAATACAGAACAAGTGCCTCTCCTACATTTCTTTCATTGGCTTAATATGTCCGCTTGAACGGCGGCACAGCCTTGCACTCATTCTCATCCAATGTATGTCCGACCACTGCCCTGTAGCCCAACTCCACCTTGCCATGCGGCTTCTTCTGCCATGACAGCGTGTGCTTCATCCACTTCTCATCATCTCGGTCTGGGTAATCCTCGCGCGCGTGCGCACCTCTCGACTCCTTGCGGTTGGCGGCAGACTCGGCGGTCTGGACAGCGCAGGTGAGCAGGTTCCTCAGCTCCAGGGTCTCAACAAGGTCGGAGTTCCAGATCATGCTGCGGTCCTTGATTCCAACATCCGAGTACGTAGCATCAACGTCGCGGATCTTCTTAACACCTTCGTCGAGCGATTCTTGCGTACGGAAGACGGAGACGTCGGTCTGCATGACCTTCTGCATGGCGAGGCGGATCTCTGCCGTTGACTTGGGACCCTCCGATGTGCGGATCTGATCGATGACGGAGATGGAGTCGGCACCGGCATCCGCGGAGACTGGGTCGGCTTTCTGACCGGGTGTGAAGTTGTCACGGATAGTGTGGGAAACGGCACGACCGAAGACGATGAGATCCAGGAGCGAGTTGGCACCAAGGCGGTTAGCGCCGTGGACGGAGACACAGGCGGCTTCGCCGCAAGCGAAGAGACCCGGAACGACCTTGTCGTTGCCCTTGTCGTCGACCGTGAGGACTTCTCCGGTGTACTTGGTGGGGATACCACCCATGTTGTAGTGGACGGTGGGCAGCACAGGAATGGGCTGCTTGGTAACATCAACACCGGAGAAAATAGCTGCAGTCTCGGAGATACCTGGCAGCCGGTCGTGGAGGACCTCGGCGGGCAAGTGGCTAAGCTGAAGGTAGATGTGATCCTTTTCGGGTCCAACGCCACGGCCCTCGCGGATTTCCATGGTCATAGATCGGGAGACGACATCGCGGGAGGCAAGATCCTTCGCGGTTGGCGCATATCGTTCCATGAAACGTTCACCCTCGGAGTTCAGGAGATAACCACCCTCACCACGAGATCCCTCAGTGATCAAGCAGCCAGCACCGTAGATACCAGTCGGGTGGAATTGGACGAACTCAAGATCCTGGTTGGGAAGACCGGCTCGGGCAACCATGGCCATGCCATCACCAGTGCAAGTGTGAGCAGACGTGCAGCTGAAGTAGGTACGCCCGTAACCTCCGGTGGCCAGAACCGTGTTCTTCGCGATGAACCTGTGGATCGTACCGTCTTCTTGGTTGTATGCCACAACACCCTTGCAAACCCCATCTTCCATGATCAGGTCAGTAGCAAAGAATTCAATGAAGTACTTGGTGTTGTGACGCAGAGACTGTCCGTAGAGGGTGTGGAGGAGAGCGTGGCCGGTTCGGTCGGCCGCAGCGCAGCATCGGTAGGCCTGACCGCCCTTACCGTACTTCTGAGACTGTCCGCCAAAGGCACGCTGGTAGCTGGATAGTCATTAGCGCATGGCGATCCTTTCCTGGGCTGCGCATGACTTACATCTTGCCATCGTCTGTTCGCGAAAACGGGCAACCATAATTCTCGAGCTCGATAACGGACTGCGGCGCCTCTCTTGTCATGTAATGGATAGCATCCTGGTCACCCAGCCAATCCGAACCCTTCACGGTATCGTACATGTGCCACCGCCAGTCGTCTTCGTGCATGCTAAACGCACTTCATTAGCGTCTCGAGCACCATGGTACGGTTGAGAGCTTGTACGTACTTGCCCAAAGCTGCATTGATACCTCCTTGCGCCGCTACAGTGTGTGAGCGGGTCGGGAAGAGCTTGGATATACAGGCCGTGTTGAAGCCTGCTTCAGCGAGGCCAAAAGCCGCCCGCAGACCCGATCCTCCAGCTCCAACGACGATGGCATCGTACTCGTGATCTATAACGGGGTATTTGCGGGAGATGAATCCGGACGCCTCCTTAGCTTTCAAGTGCTCGGTTGCGAATATACGTGCTGCAGGCCGCGTCGACGAGAAGGCCCTTGTGGGTGTGCGGAAGCTCTTGGAAAGCTGGTACAGTCCTCGTCAGCCATTGAACATGGTATAGCTGTGGAAAGCATGCGCAGAGCAGGGCAAGAGGAATTTAGAGGCCATTGAGAGAGTCAGACAGCTTCAGGGCATTCCCATGAGGTTGTGGTGGGAGGGTGGCACCCGCCTCGGTGCGGAGCATGCCGGGTGGGATGAGAATAAATAGAGGGCGCATCAGCGGCAGCGTGTCTTACCTGGCTCGCAAGCTGCAGACGACGCATCTTGAGGCAGCTCATGATGGCGACGACTGGCGGAGTGGAGAGGAGAGGTATACCGAGGGCGTCTGGTGTTTTTGTGCAGGGCTCGTTCGATGAACATGACATGAAGTTGCTCCTACAATCACCGAGGCGCTAATTGGTGGGCGACACCGAGGTGCCAAGACCTCGGGAAAACATGGAGCAGCGGAATGTGATCGCGCTGCTCAATCCGGCTTTTCCTCTTGTATCCATCATCCACCACCATGTTGGCCAGCACTGGGGCGAAATTCTGGCTACAGGTTGCATCGTGGGAATGGCATCCATCCGCTTGAAAGATAATATTTGGTTGTGCCCCTTAATCTCATCCCTGGTACTGCGCATCTGTATCAAAAGCCCTCCGATACCTTCAACCCCCCGGGGGAAGAGTGAATCCCAAGCTCGAAATGACTTCCCGCGCGCCACGGAAAGCGTCGTCTCATCAGAGATTATAAACTCTTTTGTCACTCCAAGTCGAGTATCATCGTCATGGATCCGCGATCCTTTATTCCAGCAATGTCTAGACTGAAAGACGGTTCTCTCTGCACCTCGTGCAGGCATGTCCTGCTTGAACTAGGCGCTCCTCTGTGTAACGTTTTCCTGGATATGTCATTGTCGTCACAGTCTGCAGAAACGTCTGCAGTATATGTACGCAGCTCGGAGGGTTAAGGACGGGATAGCGCCTGCTATAAATCAAGGACATAGGCTAGAACATAGTAGCACGTCTTGGTTTTCAACGGGTAAAGAATCATGACATGTTGTTGCATGTACTATGCTGGTGATCACATCCAAAAGGTTTCTTAGTGAAGTGGGAATCATTGAATTTTATCTTCAGTTGCTCAACTGCTACAGCAACCGTAAGAGCCATGTCATTCGCCAGAGAAACCCGAGGAAAGTATGCAGTCACCCGCCACCAACACCACCTTACGCGGCCTGGAGATCCTTCTTGAGGGTACCCAGGTACTGCTTCTTCTCCGCTGGTGTCTGGTACGCACCGTGACCAAACTTGGACGACGTGTCGATCCACTTGAGCTCGACCTTCTCCAGTGCCCTCCTGCTGGTATGTGTGAACATTGACTTGCGGAGTGTCATGACTCGCTTCTTCACACCGGGGCAAGAGCCCTTCAGCAGAACGAAGTCGTTCTTGACCTCGCCATAGCGCACGAAGCCGCCAAGACTGCGAAATGTTAGCTGGGACGTAGACCCTAAGCATGTGACTTACGGAGTGATCTGCTTCTTGGAGACGTCGAAGTCGGTGGCAGCGTTGCCCTCGTCATCGCCCTTGCCAATGCGGTAGATCTTGTGGTTCACCGAGGTACGGTGGTGGTAGCCCATCTGACCAGCACGGGCAACAGTCCACTGGACGTGGGACGGATGCCAGGCACCGATACAGGCGACCTTTCGGAGACCCTTGTGCGTCTTACGGGGGAGCTTCTTGGTACCCCAACGAGCAGTGACACCATTGAAACCGTGACCCTTGGTGACAGCAATGACATCGATCATCTCGTTGGCCTCAAAGATGGAGCTGATCTCAATCGGCTTCTCGAACAGGTTCTGTGCGTAGTCGACCTTGTCGCCGACGCTGCCGCCGTTGATCTGGATCTCCATCAGGTGCGCCTTCTTCTGCTTGAGCGGGGTCTTGGAGATCTGAGTGTGGGCGAGGATGCGGACGACTTGGCAGTACTTCTTGATGCGCTCGAGCTCGCGGGTGACGGACTGGCCGTTGTTCTCAGAGTGCTTCTTGGCGTACTTGGTGAAGGCCTTCTTCTTGCTCTTGTACCAATTCTTGTAGAAGCGGCGCTTGATCTCATCGCTCAAGTGCTCAGCCCAGACGGTGGTGAGCGAGCGCAGGCCGCGGGGAGTCTCGATGTAGCCGACCACGCCGATAGCAATCATCTATTGTCCGTTAGTCCCGCACATGCCGTTGCTCTTGTTCGCTGCGTACCGGAGGAGTCTCGATAACGGTGACGGCCTCAACGATTTCCTTCTTGTGCAACTTGGCACCTGGTCGGTCCAGGTCGCGCACAATTGTGGACATGCCGGCCTTGTAGCCCATGGCAGCGGTGAGGTGGACGGGCTTCTTCGGGTCATCCTTGGGGAAGCTGCAATTGCTGTGAGCCTGCGATCTTTTGGCGATATTTCGACGCGGAAAGACAGCGCAGCGTATGCCTTACCTCTTTACTTTGCCCCGGTGCCTGGCGGCCCGCTTGCGGGGCAAGAATGCCAGTGAGCCGTGGCGGGGCGCCTCGAACTTCCGGTGGGACATTTCGGCGTGCTGTGTGTTAGTATCGAGGTTGTCGAAGTTGGCGATGGGCGACCGAGACGTCGAAATTGTTGTGTGCTGAGCTTGGACCACCTTCGCGCCTAGCGCCGAGCTTGGCGGCCAACCCCACCGACCGCATCCATGAGCGCCCGAGTTGAGGTACCCCGACGCCCACCATACACGCTTTGTCTCTGCATCTGCGCTGCTGCTCGTCCCTGCGCCCGCGCCAAACTCACCCTGCCGCCACCGAGCTGACCCCGTGCTAGCTTTGCTGGAGACCTTCTGCCTCCATTATTCGCCGCCCGACAACACTGCTGCTGCCACCACCTCACCGTTCCCGGTTCAAACCAGCCTCGACGTCGGCGGCGCCCCATCGCACCCCCGCCTCCTCCGCCTCCTCTGCTTTCACGTCTGCTGGGGCTATATAATTCCGCATTTCAGAATCCGGGAAATCTCCGTTCGAGCTAGTCTCGCAGCAAATCCCGCCGTTTCGATCTGGGAATCATGGTAGAAGCAGAGGGCAGCCCCACGACGTGGAAGTTTACGCAGTATGTTGAATCTTGGCTTCCTCCTTCCGTATTCTCCGGGGTCCCCTCTCTTGCGGCAGAGCCCCCCTCCTCCAGTATTTTGAGCTTGCTACCGCAAACACACGTCATTGCTTGAGCCTAGACTGACGGTTATAGATGCTTCGGCGACAAAGGGGACGTCGAAGACATAACAGAAGGTACGCGCCTGGACACATGTAGCTTACCCGACGCTCCTTGAGTCGTGGTGCTAACTGAAGGTGCCTAGCTGATATCATCTCTACCGTCGAATTCGATCAGACGGGGAACTACCTGGCCACCGGCGACAAGGGTGGCCGCGTGGTGTTATTTGAGAGAAATGAAACCGTACGTATTGTGCCTGCAACGTGTGTCCCACACGTCGCGCCGGAGTGGACCTGACGCTGACGGCATCGCCAGAAAAAAACATGCGAGTACAAGTTCCACACGGAATTCCAGTCACACGAGCCCGAATTCGACTACCTGAAGTCCCTCGAGATAGAAGAGAAGATCAACAAGATCAAGTGGTGCCGTCGACAGAATGCCTCACACTACCTCCTCTCCACAAACGACAAGACAATAAAGCTGTGGAAGGTGTTTGAGAAGTCATTAAAAGTCGTAGCGGAGAACAATCTCTCTCATGAGCTCACACCCGGCGGAGGAGTCGCTGGCGCAGGCGGCCCTGTCAGAAACCCCAACGTCCACTTCCGAAACGCCTCCGACCTGAAGCTCCCGCGATTGACCCACCACGACACCGTCGTCGCCGCCGTACCCCGAAAGACTTATGCGAACGCGCATGCCTACCATATCAACAGCATATCCGTGAACAGCGATGGGGAGACCTTCATCAGCAGCGATGACCTCCGGATCAACCTATGGAATCTCAACATTCAAGATCAGAGCTTCAACATTGTCGACATCAAGCCGGCCAACATGGAGGAGCTTACGGAGGTTATAACCGCAGCAGAGTTCCATCCCATAAGTTGCAATTGGTTCATGTACGCAAGCTCGAAGGGTACTATCAAGCTAGCAGACATGAGAGAGAGCGCTCTGTGCGATCAGCACGCGAAGCGTAAGTTTCCATGCCCTTCTACATGCGTTGCTTCCCATTTCTAACGTTTCGTCCGTGTAGAGTTTGAGCAAGAAGAAGATCCGTCCTCCAGGTCCTTCTTTTCTGAAATTATTTCGTCAATATCAGATGTACGCTTCTCGCACGACGGGCGATACATCCTCTCCCGCGATTACCTCACCGTGAAGATCTGGGACGTCAACATGGAGCGGACACCGATCAAGACAATCCCGATCCATGAGCATTTGAGACCGCGGCTGTGTGATACGTACGAGAATGACAGTATATTCGACAAGTTTGAAGTGGTCTTCTCCGGGGACGCCAAGAACGTCATGACTGGCAGCTACAACAACAATTTCATGATTTACCCGTCAGACCCGGAGAAGGATACAGAAGTTGTGCTACAGGCCGATAAGTCGGCGTTCAAGGCAAAGAAGGTCGGTATCCCAACGCCGATGAATTCATCGACGAGCCCCGGTGGTGGCTCAGGAAAGAAGGGAGGCTCAAGGGCAGGCAGCCCCGCTGCTGGAGCTGTAGGCCAGGGCCAGCGCATGCGGAAAGAGACTGATGCCGACCAAATCGACTTCAACAAGAAGATTCTACATATGAGCTGGCATCCGTTCGAAGACAGCATCGCGATAGCAGCTACAAACAATGTGAGTCTATGCCGCTCCTTAGCCCAGTGGGCTGTCCTGGCTAACATCTATTCAGCTCTTCGTGTTTTCGGCACTCTAGAGGATCCTCATCTTGGCAGCGAACAGTTTTCATCAGGGCATTCGCACATAGAGGCATCATACTTGTCTTTGCGCTTCATTCCTCCTCCATTCTTCCTTTCCGTCTCGGTAGGGCGCTAGGATGGTAGACGGTATTTCATGGTGGACGGGCGCGAAGAGATTGTTTGGCAGAGCATGTAGCGTATGCATCGCAAGTGAGGTGGCACCCAGCACAGTACATTGCACACCAGGTTCATAATTGATCTGTAGTGCATGTCCGCACAGAATCCAAAAATTGTATCCAATACGTTGTGAAGGGCCTTACGCATGGCTTTCCATAGCCAGAAGTAAAGACATGCTAGGATGTGTATTGCTACATTCGACATTATATCTTTAGATCAAACGTATTATCACGATTCAATGTATCTACCCATTTCCTGGAGGGAGCATTCAATCATAAAGCATTGGAGCGGGACTGCCGTCCACGTGCAAGGATCCGGTTCCTGGCTAAGTATCCAGCCCTACGGACAACTTGCGCTAGCGTCCGCGAGTCTCCCACGCCGCGGACCTCCACGTCAACCGTCTTGCATCCTTTACCGTCCTCACTCGATTTCTTTCCCAAACCCCTACACTATGATAGACTTCAAAGTTTTTTTCTCTACGTCGCCGTAATCCCCTCTTTGTGTGGGTATTCTGTTTTGGCTCTTCTATTCCAACGTCATAGAAGGTTTGTTCCCATCGTCACTACTTTCACGAGACGCAGTTCCCTCTGCATCCCTTCCCTTTTGGACCCAGGCTCCTCGAGAAACTTTGGAATTACCTCAGCGCTAACAGCCCAGTGAATAGACTTCTCGATTCTCACGCAAACTTTGTTCGTTCCACCGATCCTGCAACCTCTATCTGGCAGCTTTCGAGACTCGCCATGGCCGCTGTTGCCCCTCTTGCTGCAAGCTTTGCACTTATTTTTGGGGGCTGCTGCTCTAATGTAAGTATCTCCCTTCGAGAGATGCGAGTAAATGCTAATCTTCTAGGTCTACTGTCTGGAAGCCATTGTCAAGTGCGATCCATCCCAGGCACTATTCGCACGCTTGTCATCTAACCTTTGACAGACACGAACCCGATAGCGGCCTTCTGATTACGCTCTTTCAGTTCATTTTCACCTGCCTTTCGACACTGCATTATCAATTCGATCCAAATAGTCGCTTTTTCGTCAAGCCGTCGCCTGTTCCTTTTCGGAAATGGTGCATCAGCGCGGCATTGTTCTTTACGGTCAACATGATGAACAACTGGGCGTTCGCATTCAACATCTCCGTCCCCGTCCACATCATCCTTCGCAGCTTCGGCAGTGTGACCACCATGATCGCTGGCTGGCTGCGGGGGAAGAAGTACACGCCTGTGCAGATATTTTCGGTCGCCGTCCTGACGCTGGGTGTGATGGTTTCCGCCTGGGCAGATGCGATGTCAAAGGTATGGTAGCCCGATGAAAGGTGTAGATTTGGCATTGACATACGCAGGGCAAAACCATGGACACATCGAGCATTGACTTCACTAGTACCTCCTTCGAGATGGGACTTCTGATTCTGCTTATTGCACAGCTCCTTTCGGCATACATGGGTGCCTACGTCGAGGACATTTACATCCAACACGGCAACCATTGGAAAGCCAACCTCTTCTACTCACATCTCCTCTCATTGCCGCTCTTCGCCAACTTCACGCCCGTTCTATACAAACAGTACATGCGTCTCCATGCATCTCATCCATTCCAGATATCGCCAAGTATAGCGGCCAACTTGCCCCCAACGGTCAACAAGGCGCTCGCTTCCACATCGCAGCATGTCATCTATCTTACGGCTAACGCGGTAACTCAACTGCTATGCATTACCGGCGTCAATATCCTGAGCGCCAACACGTCGGCGGTAACTGTTACCATTGTGCTCAACATTCGGAAACTGGTCAGCTTCCTGCTCAGCATTTGGATATTTGGAAATCAAATGAGTGGGATGATGAAGGTTGGAGCGGCTATGGTGTTTGGAGCTGGTGCGCTATATGGGTGGGAGACCTCGTACAAGATCCCGCAGAAGAAGAGGGCCGCTGCAGAGATGGCAAAGAAAGGTCAATGAAGGAGAGACGGTCCCAAAAAACTGGGCTCGCCCTAGGGCTTATTAGATGAGACTTCGCGTGGATTGGTTGCCGTGTATATAGACAAGCAGAACAGACGCTCAGCTCATCTTTAGACTCCTTGGAGCGGTAAATCTTAGATCGCACCCTGGGCAGCCGATTCAGGAATCGCATCACGTCACGTGATAATTTAAGGCGGAGCCACGCGTGGATGGCTTGGCGCGGACCAGGAGAGTATGTGTTCTTTCTTAGAGGGACCGTCTGATCACCGACTCCCGCTTCGCTCGTTCTCTCGCGTCCCTTGACATCTCCATTTTCGTTTGTGTGCGGGTGAGTCAACACAGTCCTGTCAATCGCTTGGCTCGTAGAATTAATTTGGGAGTTCATCAAGGCCCTCCGACGAGCTATAACCATGTCGTCTGCTGCCGCCGGCGTGCGGCATCGCGGAAAGGACAAGAAGCGCCCGACCACGCCGAACCCAGAGACAGTTTCCGAGAAGGTCTCCACCGTCGTCGAGAAGGCGAAGAGGGAGTTTGCGCCGCAGCACCCGGGCAAAGAATGGGACTACAAGATCGCCATTACCATCATCACCATCCTTGCTTTCATAACGCGGTTCTGGGGGATAAGCCACCCGGCGCAGGTAGTGTTTGATGAAGTGCACTTTGGAAAGGTACGTCCCGCCCACATATCTCTGCGCATCAATTGCATAGGAGAGCTTCGGAGAAGGCTAACAAGCAAGGCAGTTTGCTTCCTACTACCTCCAACGCACGTACTTCTTCGACGTCCACCCTCCGTTCGGAAAGCTTCTCTTCGCGCTCGCCGGCTGGCTCGTTGGATACGATGGCGCCTTCTTGTTTGAGAACATTGGCGACTCCTACATCACGAACAAGGTCCCGTATGTCGCCTACCGAGCCATGCCTGCTACCATGGGCGCCCTCACGGTACCGACAGTCTTCTTGATCATGTGGGAGTCTGGATACTCGCTGCCGGCCTGCGTAACAGCGGCCGGGCTGTTGCTGTTCGACAACGCCCACATCGGCCAGACGCGATTGATTCTGCTTGACGCTACCCTGATCTTCTTCATGGCTCTCTCGGTGCTAGCCTACATTCGATTCTATAAGCTTCGTCATGTTCCTTTCAGCCGCAAGTGGTGGAAGTGGCTTCTTTTGACCGGCGTCTGCCTGAGCTGCGTCATCTCCACCAAATACGTCGGAACTTTTACTTTTTTCTCCATCGGCGTCCCCGTCTTGATTGACTTGTGGGATCTCATGGATATCAATCGACGTCAGGGAGCCTTGAGCCTTCCGGAGTTTGGCAAACACTTCGCCGCTCGCGCGACCGGTCTGATCATCGTTCCTTTCTTCCTCTACCTCTTCTGGTTCCAGGTCCATTTCTCGATTCTTACCAAATCCGGGCCAGGAGATGACTTCATGACGCCGGAATTCCAGGAAACCTTGAGCGACAACGTCATGTCGCTTCAGTCCGTCGGCATCAATTACTACGATGTCATCACAGTTCGTCACAAGGACACCAAGGTGTACCTCCACAGTCACCCAGACCGCTACCCGCTCAGGTACGACGACGGCCGTATCTCTTCCCAGGGACAGCAGGTTACTGGATACCCCCACAACGACACCAACAACCACTGGCAGATCCTACCTTCAAAGCAGCTTCCTAGCACCAAGGACCAGCGTGTCAAGGTGGGAGATGTCATCCGTTTGCGCCATTTGATCACCGATACCATACTCCTTACCCACGATGTCGCTTCGCCCTTCTACCCCACCAACCAGGAGTTCACCACCATCGGACATGAAGAGGGCGATGGCACTCGATTCAATGATACGCTCTTCGAAATCAAGGTTGAGGGTAAAGGCAAGGGTGACTTTAAGACCATGTCTACCCACTTCAAGCTCATTCACGTGCCGACCAAAGTCGCCATGTGGACCCACACAACTCCTCTTCCTGAATGGGCCTACAAGCAAGCCGAGATCAACGGCAATAAGAACGTTCAGCAGAGCAGCAACACCTGGTATGTTGACGACATCCCGTCATTGCCGGCTGAGGACGAGCGAAACAAGAAGGAGCCCAAGCAGGTCAAGCGCCTGTCGTTCTTGAGAAAGTACATCGAGCTCCAGCGCGCTATGTTCTACCACAACAACGCCCTGACGAGCTCTCATCCCTACGCATCCTTCCCTATCTCGTGGCCTTTCCTCCTCCGAGGTGTTTCTTTCTGGACCAACAACGACACCCGCGAGCAGATTTACTTCCTTGGTAATCCGCTTGGCTGGTGGCTTGCGTCCTCTCTCCTCGCAGTTTTCGCTGGCATCATTGGTGCTGACCAGCTGGCCCTACGCCGTGGCATGGATGCCCTTGATGAACGTAAGTTCCATGCCATTCACGAAGCTGCTTTGCCGGGGCATCGACATCCCTTTCTATGATCGCATACTGACTACAATAGGTACACGCTCCCGCCTCTACAACTCCACAGGATTCTTCTTCCTCACCTGGGCCGCTCACTACATTCCATTCTACATCATGGGCCGCCAACTCTTCTTGCACCACTACCTCCCCGCGCATCTGGCCTCTGTTCTCGTCACCGGCGCCCTCGTTGAATTCATATTCAACATTGAGCCCGTGGACCCCGAATCGCCGCCTCCTCCGGGCGCCACCACCGCAAAGGGCCACCGCCGGACGATGTCGAAACCTGTCCGCGAGCGCGTCGCTACGCAGAGTCTGTTGGGAAGCTGGATCGCTACTATCGTCATCCTGTCCGTCGTGTGCTGGTGCTTCCTCTTCTTTGCGCCGTTGACGTATGGTAAGCCCGGCTTGACTGTACCTCAGGTCAATGCTAGGAAGTGGCTCGCGTATGATTTGCACTTTGCGAAATAGGCATCGAGCACTCTGAGGCGTTTGGATGTGGGTGGGGCTAGTGAATCGTAGGGGAAGGAGGAAGGTAGAGTTGGTTTACTTTGCGACTTTCTTCGTACAGATCAGTAGGGTAAAAAGGTGCAAAGCGCGGAGTGTGCTGGGATTGATTGGATTGGCCCGCGCGGTTCTTCTTTTGTGTCGACTATATCCACTCTCGAAAAGAAATAGGCTCATCCATGCTCGAAATTTCATTTGCGTCGTCGTTGAGACTGTGTATGATTTGGAATGAAAATTTTGATGTATATTATCCTTTCTATCTACCTAGCTTCCTACCGGTTGAGCGATGGTGAATACAGTTGGTGCATAACATGAATCTAGTCCTGCCCAACCACCCAAACCATATCCCGGAAGATCGTGTCGCTGTCACAGTTTTGTCTTGCCATTGGCATATCCGTAAAATGTCGCAAAGAAGCTCTACTACCACCAGGTCCGAAACCAAGACGCCTTGGCATCTCATCATCCTCGTCAAAATTGTCAACTATCGACGTGAGATCTAGTAATCCTCATCATCGGTATCTTTCTCTTCAACCACTGACCCCGCATCGCCCCGTCTAAACCCCGAGTGCGCGGGCTCCCCATCCTCCATGGTACTGCTCCGCATACTACTCCTCCGTCTCCTGCTGACCACACCGGGGAACATCCTCGGCTCCATGCCTTCAAGCGTGACGGTGCTCGTAGTCCTGTGCAGCATCTCATCGGCCGCAGGGAAGGGCTGCTGAGAGCCAGCTTGTGAAGTCCCTGCGCCGCCAGAAGGTTGTGGTGGTGCGCCACCGCCCGGATTCATAATCATGCTGGATGAGCGGCGGGGACGCTCGAAGCCGTCCATGTTCTTTGGCTGGGTGGGAGATGTTGGCTGTGTTTGAGCATGTGGAATGTCGGCGGCCGATCCTGTGGGGTTCATCCGGGCTTGTTGTATAGGGAAGAGGGGTGATTGCTGTGAACCTTGGATGGCGCCTGGTGGCAGGGCGGAGAAGGGGTGTGCTTGCTCAGGGAGGTTAGCAGTTGAGGGGTGGGTGTGGAGAGAGGCCACTGGAGAGCCAGGATGGGTGGCTTGGTTGGATATGGGCGTTTGTGGGTTGATTGTTGAAGGCTGCTGAAGGTTCGACGACGTCAAAGCGTTGCCGCTTGTTTGCGAAGCGCGGGTGTAGCGCTCGATCCTGCATGTATGAGCACTGTTATCTAAGTGGGGTGAGGAAGTACTTACATAGCAAGCTCCTGTGTTAGCGTTTCATGCCTGAAAGCTTCACGAATGCTGGGCACATTGGACTTGGCCATGTCATTGCCGGCCACGCCTGGCAGATGATAATTGGCGCCCAACCAACGTTGCTTGATAGGGTGCTCAAAGCCGCTCTGTTCCACAGAATGCTTTGCAAGTTCGCACATATCCACTGCGCTGAGCTTGTAGATCTGCGCCGCAACCGAGTACTCCTCGATCAAGGGCTCCTTCGTGAAGGCAAATTGGAGCGGATCATCCGTGGATAGGGAAACATTCAGACCGCGTCTGAAATAGCTCAGGAAGGGATTGCGCTCATACGCTAGGAACAAGGCGTTGTTGCTGAGCGGAGACATGGCAACTCCAATTTGCTCAAGGTAGAAGATGTATTGCAGAAAAGGCACCTTGCGTAAGAGAAGACCATGACTGATGCTATGAGCGCAGAGAACGGCGGCGGCAAGATGGTCGGTATCACCAGCTTCACCACAATGAGGTCGAAGCAAGAAAGTGTTGAAACCGCGCTGCTTCCGCCAAACGTTCAATGACGCCATGTTGGCGAACAGATAGTACATCCAATAGCTGTATGGTGGGTTCTGGTTCGTAGACCAGTCCTTCGGCAAGGGGAACTTCTTGTAGACGCGTCGTTCCACCTTACTTTCATCATCAACGCTATCGAAGCCGATGACTCTTTGTAGGAAGATGTGGAGATTGGGGTGACTACTCGGATCCCTGGTAACCTCGAACAGAGGCTGGAACACGTTGACGACCACTTGCTCGAAGTGGTCCATCAAGCCCGTCGCTTTGTACACATCGAATAAGCGAGGAATCTGTATGAGCCACCGCACATTGGGCGAGAAGAGCTTGTTGTCGACGACCCATGTGGCGAGCTTGTCCCACTCGTCTATGTCGCGGCCGTAGATGGAGATCCGCCATTCTACGAACTGGTACTTGCTGGATTCGAGATCTGAGATGACTTCTTTGGTAATCTCCGCAAGATATCGACCCTTGATGAAATTGTCGGTCTTCAGGAAAATCGTTCGTAAACGAGACTCCCCAACTGGATTGTATTTCAAATTGAACTTATCGAAGCGGTGGAACGAATCGGTGTGAGCCTGTCGAGGTTAGCGGAGCCATATATATAAGAGATACGCGACTTGCATGCATATCCAATGTGTCAATGCTAAGGTCGTATGCAGTCAGGTTGATCGATTCGAAAACCTCTTTCAGAGTGAGATGCTTGCCGTCGCGGAAGAGGACTATTTCGTCGGGAGATTTCTTCATCTTAGATTTGATGAAGCGCAGCAAATGCTTTTGGTTCATACATGCCGAATGGTGAACGTGGGTATCGACCTTCCTGACGTTGTAGAAGTCTCTGTGCGGCACCTTCTTGCTGTCCGCTATTTCCTGATACTCATTCAGAAGATAGTAGAGATTGAATTTCCCTTCTAGATACTGCAGTCGCCGGAAAGCAAAGCTCTTGCTTGGCCCGTCCGACGATATCTCGAGGATAGCATCTAGATCCATGTAATACTCCCGCAGCGTGGGTATAGCGACAATGGGCGTATCAAGCTCGGCCGATTTGGAGGTCTCATAGACCTGGAAGACGCCGCTGCTATCCAAACGAAACGACATTTCTGAAGCTCCTGGCAGCGGTAGAAGGTCATTCTTGTCGAAGTCTTCACCGATATCCTTGCCCATTTTCCTAGGTGGCTTAGCCGGGGGCTCCGCGGGGTCGAGAATCGCGCTGTTCTGCAGACTACCCGTTGCATTGTGGCGTTCCTTTAGATAGTCGTTCCATACCGGCTCCGGGTGAGGGGGGTAGATGGGCCAAGAAGGGTCGTCCTTGGGATTGTCGAAATTGCGCTGTAGCGAAAGGCGTATGTACTTGTGTCGTATGTCAAGGACCTTCTGGACATTGGTGTAAATGGCGCTGAGCTCAGCCGTGACACTTGAGTCTGACATGGCGAAGCCTCCTGCACCGCTTCCAATTCCCACGCCAGCGCCAGCACCGTGGATGCCCTCTTCCGCAAGTAAAGGTTTAGGTTCGTGGGGAAGGGTGGGATGTTTTGAATGATCTCTAGCTCGCTGGTCGGCCTGGAGTAAAATGCCCGTGTCGCCCTTGCTAGCTTGGTGGTTTGTCACATATGGAGTCATGTGCGGACGTGGCTCCTGTGACGGATCCACCTGTGACATGCCGATAGGAAGCGTCGGCCGTTGGCCCTGATTCGCAGTACTAGCATTGCTCCTCCGCGAGCGGATGCTGTCCGCCCTGCTAAGGAACTCGACACCATCACCGCCGCCGAAGTGGGCGGGAAAGGTCTTTGCGCGAATGACTGGACTGTATCCATCGCCGGCCTGGGACCCGCCGTACTGGCTCTCCAATTGGTGCCGCTGATAGAACTGCTTCGCTTCAGAGTGGCTCATCTGCTTCTCAGAGTGGTAGTCGTAGAAGGCGGTCCGGCGCTGCTTATCGCGCGGGAGCAAGCCAGCTCCTGGTGCATCGTCGGACGCGCCATTATCGTCCTCCTCCAGACTCGTACCAGCAGTCGTTTGTACCCCCCCAGCCGCGCCGCTGTCTTCTTGTGTCAAGCGCTCGCCATGGCTTCCGCGGTCGGAGGAGTCGCTGCTGGGCTCGTCCTCCTCAGAGGAGGGGATCTGGTCGTCGACGTGTGCAGCGCCCAGGTCTGGCGAAGCATCGGGAGCGGTGGAGTAGTTGGCTGATAATACTTGTTAGCGCGCAGTTGGCCGACGCAAAGGGCAGGTGCGGTGTGCTACCTTTGAGCATTGCGCCGGATTGAAAGGCGGTTATGACAGCTGGGGCAGCTCTGTTAAGAAGTCGGGACGAGGAAGGAACGCGCCCGCGGGCGGTGGGCGCCGCCGCATGTGACTCAACCGCCCCTGGTCCCGTGCCCACATTTTGAATGGCCGATTCTCACTAAGCATATGCTCCAAGAATTCGGCAGCTTTGATAAGGAATGCGAAATGCAAGAAGAGGCACATCGGCGGTGGATCGAGCTGGGGAGTCATTGAGCAAATGCATGTTCGACGTCAGCGAATTTAGCCTCACCGACAGCCGTTCGTCCTCGGTTCTCAAGCTGCTCGGGTAACGAAGCCAATGGATCGTCGGACGTCTAAACATTACTCCACTTCTGCATAGGATAGCAAGTCCATGGTATATGGAAAGTGGGTATCGGAATCCTTTGCGGGATTTCGGAAGTCCCTTGGAGTACCCAGGTACCAACGTATAAAGTTATACATACAGTATAGATTTCTGTATCCGTCCACCCGTGTAACGACTCGGCTCTCGGCGCTCTCCGGATTTCTCTAATACGCAATGGCTACATAGAGTCTAGGAAAGGTCGCTACGAGATGACTGACTCGCCCGGGCGCGGATTCAATTCTAGTGTTGAAAATCAGTGAGACAGGGACCAGGCACAGCCAGGGTTATGTATGTAGTTATCGATAAGACTAGCCGAGGGCAAGGGCGTGGGGCTCTTAGACGGAGGCCGCGGCCAACCACAACCACAACCACAACACATACGCTTTTCATCTCAACTCATCATCCCATCTCATCTACCCCAGCACTGCTTGTGTTCACAGATCTGCTAGATTCTCCTGTCTTCCTGTCATATTCGGCCGTTACCGTGCGCCTGGCCATTCTCCACTTCCAACATTCCTACTACCCTCGACCCAGCCCGCGCAGAGCAGAGAGCCTTTCGTGCGTTGCATACATCGTGTTCTCTACTGTCTCTCCATATGCTATAATAGTCCTACAAGCTGTTCACATACTGTACATATAACGGACAGCACTGCCATCATCGTCCTCACCTCCTACATGGCGCAATCAAACCTTCGTGAAAAAGCTTGACGCATGGGCAAGCAGGGTGTAGGATCGTTACCCATAGCTTGGTAATCCACAATGGACTAATACCCTCTGGCGGCCTCATCGACTTCTCCACGACTTGCTCACGGTTTCTTTTCAACATCCGTTCCTCTATTTGACCCCACCCCCGTGCCCTCCGAGTTTTCATTCCGCGAATTCTGCCCATGGTATGGCTCTTCCCACGATTTTTCGCCTAGCCATCGGATAATTGCAGGCGATTGCACGTTCGTGCTGCGGCTTTCGGATTCCGGGCTTCGCTGGCTATTGTGTTCGTTCTTTGGCGATATGGTCAGTCAACGGGTGTGGATAAAAGAGCATGGGATCTAGCGTACCTGGTGTCCGATTCTGTGGCCGTCTGGGTACTCCGAGTGGGGCATGTCGAGAGTGTTAGGGAAGAGGAGGGTAGCGAATGGAGGGGCCTAGCGTGCTTCAAAGCGAGATCTAGGTTATAGCGACAGTCGAGGAAGGAGTGTTTCTATCCCTTCGAGCACATACTTCATCCCTATTTGTACCGGGCTCTGCGCGTTTCTTCCCACAGAAAGCCAAAAAGAACCTCGGCTGGTCGAGTGTCTCGGACTGGACCACGAACGGTGGTTGGCTTAGAACGACAACATCGATATGCGCGTATGACAAACCCGGAAGACTAGTCATCCAACACTGCACGTCCGAGTATGCGAACCTCCTCGGCTATCTCAGGCTGTGCCCCGCCCTGAATGTACTCTGCCTTGCGCTCTGGTCAAGATCCATGATACCGTTGCTCGGATAGGGCTGTATGCAAAGCACAGCCCAGGGCCGGGCCGGAGCTCGCCCGTTTTGGAAAAGAGAAGCGATCCATACGAGGCAGTGCGGAAGTGGTTAAGGTTACAGGTTCGGCGACGGGGGCTGCCTCTTAGATGGGTATCACATACAGGGGCTGGGTTATCGCTCTTCACAGCAATGCCCGGGCTGTCTGACCTCGGTATGGTGCGCTTGCTCTCGACCGAGCCGGGAGCACCGTCGCTTCGTCCAGAAAACGGTACTTCGGGAAGGAGCTATAACCTGGTTATCCGTCAGATCTACTATCCCTAAAATCATCAACCGAGTTCTTCCCTAATGCAGTCTCGTGTATCCTTGGCCCATGCCGAGACTCATTCCCTGTGCGGCTCCGGTCTCCAATCTCTACCAGTATACAGGGTTCAAGCCGTTAGTAAGGTGCGTCCTCGGTGTCAGGCCCTACCGCAACCAACACAAATTTTCAGAAGCAATACCGCACCATTTTACAGATCCTACTAGGCCAAGACACAATTCTAGTCACTTCCTTACGCATAGTGCTCCTTCACCGCTAACGCAGCCTACAATACGCCTGGTACAAGAGACGGAAACAATTGGGATGTGAGGGGGAGACACAAAATCGAGTTCTTGGGATATGGTCAGTGCAAAAAGCCTCTGGTCCCAAGGACTTCAGTGGGACAAATAGTTCTGTGGTCACCGACCCCAAATCTCCCCGAACTTACCTGGCCCCCAATAGCCCCTAGCCTGACCATCCATTCACGTCAATTGGTACTTGCGGCCGTATGGACGCATCGAGCGCTGTCGTGCATGCCGGATCTCAAACTCCTTAGGACACCGACTTCCTAAGTCCCCGCCCTATGGGCGCCATACAGCCCACAGCCCACTGTTGCGGCAATCCTCGACCAGATGTGTAAGCGAATAATGACACCCTTCGATGCGCATTGCTTCCATGAGAAGCATACAGATGCCTCTCAACCGGTGTTCTACACAAATTTTAGTAGAGCTGATTGCTCCCTGACCCTGAACAGAATGGCCGTCTTGCAGTATGTCACATCGAGCCTTTTAAGTCCGAAGTTGCATCGACCTGAGAGGTTCCTGCCTCCGGTGCACAGGCTAAAGTTGAGCAGGGCACTACTTTCCGAAGGTGGTCAGCATATCCCAGTGGAAGTGAGTGCATGCTACGTTGGCACCTGCTAGTGCGAGCCTGCTACGGCGACTGGGCTAGCTCTAACAACCGGAGCGCTGAGGGTAGGCAATCGGTTGAGATGTGCGGCTACAGCTTGGCGGCATAATCTTTGGCCAACGGGAACTCTCAATCCCTGCAAATATCATATATCCTACTTCGAGGGCTCACGCTTTGATCATTTGCCTGCAATGCTGCGCCAGGGTCCATATTAGAAATCAATATGCACTTGCGGTCGAGATCACTCATTGGTGAGTCCACTCGAAAGAATTCCGCGAAAGCGGTAGGAGGCTGATCCTTCCCAACGCAGTGTCCCTGGTCCGCTCGTCTCCTCAGCTCTAGGCATGATGCACAATCGCTGCTAAGTTCACCGGTTCGAAGAAGTCCGTAGCGGGAGTCCGACGGAGCTGCCGTCTTTTGCAGGGATTTCGGCAAAGAAGCGTTCACTGACATCACCCAGCACTTCTGGCAGTCGCGTTGCCTCTGCTAGGAAGTGGCGTGGAGCGGCTCGCGACCCTAGTCCGTGGTTGATCTTCTAGAAAATTGATGAAACTCGCAGTACTTGCATCCGGAAGCCTAGCAGCCTGCCATCCCTGGCCCCTAATGTCCCTTGGATGCATTCGGTATGTGTCCCAAAACCGTGCAGCGATGTATTTAGTTTAACGGTATTCCTTAGCTCTCGCCATCGTTCACTCCCGTTTTCACACCACACATAGCTCAAATCGGACCCGCCACACCTCGCCTAGCTCTGTTACTCAATCGTAGTACCCGTTCCCCGAACGCTGGTGACGTCCATCGATGGATACAACGACACGAACGGGGTTCTCTTACATACGCTATGCATTCTGGCAGCGGTATTATATGGCACAAAGCTTACCACGTGGGACTTCTGAACAAGCATGTCCACGTAGGCCGAATCGATTCCCACCGTCAACTAAGCTTGTTGATGTCGGAATAGTCGATATAGTTCCGTTGAGGATTCAGATCCCTTCCGTCAACCGCGTTGCGCGTTGCATGCCAAAGAAAGCGGCCCCACTTGACATCACGATCAGCAGTCGGCAAGGGATGCAATGCCATGTAACATCTCCCGCGTACACCTCGAGCAATAGAGTCCAAGCCATTATTTGTCATACAAGCTCTCGGGGGGCGAGGTGTTGATAAGGTTTAGTATGTGGTTGGATGTGTGTAGTGGAGCAGTAAATTCCTTCAGCCCCATTTGTATTACCCGAACCGCGCACTACAGTCCCAGAGCAGCCGTGTCTCATTTTGAAACGTACGGTCAAAGTTTAACGTTCACGCAGCGCTAGTTTGTACCATAGTCATAGGCCATGTCTTAGAATTTTTTTCGCTACTTCCGCCGGCTTTCCCACCCCACATGGAGAACGCCTCGCCAGCCTTGCGCCCATCCTCCCGACGTTGCTTAGTTTGGATATTCTCCAAAGTCACTGCCACAACTGTTTCAGAATACAAGAATTAATTGTCTCACAGGTGCGCTATCCGACCGTTGTCGAGTATCATACCTCATTCACGACGCACTCTATTATTATTGCGCAAGGCGTTCCCCCCGGAACCCCACTGGATCCTTCCGAAGCCTTCCCGCATTTTCCCCTATATCGATAGACTAGGCGAGCTCTGCCACCTTATCGATGATTGTAGGCCTGCTGGAAAGACACGTCAACCGCGTCAGGCAGACTATACTCGCTGCAGGACTTAACGAGCGTGTGACAGTTGTTCACGGCGGTAATATATGGAGTTGCCAAAATGGAATCAGGAGATCAGAGTGAAGAATCGGTAGTGCTTGATGTCTTGGACCTGCACCTGGGTTTTCGCATCTGGAAGGGTTTGGAATCGCCGTTAGCCCTGGAGTGCAAGACCTCCTCCTTCTCATGACATATAATGTATAGGGATGGACTGCGATTAGCATATGACACCGGCAATCTCACACCGCCGGTTTCTTGGACTGGTTCGTCGCTTCTGCTCTACAGGCTTTACAAGAGGTCAGTGAACGAAGATCTTGCAAAGCCGCTCGACCGTGCGAAAACTGGACGCAATACAGCCCATGTAGTATTCTCTGGAGGATTCTGCAGATGATAAGCATGACTCTGTGCGTTCTAATCGTATTCTTTACTGGAATCTCACAAATGGGGATAATGTTGGAATCTTAGGGGTGTTGGACGACTTCGGCAGCTGCCCAGGTGCACGCATTTGCACGTGACTAGCGACGGTCCTGACCAACGCGGCTAGCGTGACCCTAAATTATTTTCTGATCCCTTTAGATCTTGAGGTTCACACCAAAGCTATCCTCTTCCAATCCCTCTTTTCCGCCCGCCATCATGTAAGCTTACTTTGGAAAACCGAATTGACCCTCGAGTACTGATGTCTTGGTTTAGGTTTCTCCTCCGCCGTACTGCCGCTCGTGCGATCGCCTCGACGCCTTCAACGGCCGTCTTCGCAAAGCCGCGATCAATTACCACATTCACCCCGGCCGCCTTCCGGTCAAGGCAGCAACAATGGATTGCGCCGTCATTCCAGAGGAGATTCGCCAGCGATGAACCGGCGAAGGTCGGGACGAAGACCGAGCCAGAGCAAGCCGCGTCGGAGGCGTCAGAAAGCTTTGCGCAGACCGCAGCGGAGGCCCCAGTTGAGGATAACCTGACACCGACACAAGAAGCTGTGCAGGCCGAGCCCACCAATGCTTCCGCTACTGTTGGAGTTGACGCATTGGAAGCCGCTGCTGAGAAGGTGGACGGCTCTGCACGTGCTCCCCAGCGCAGCCGGCTTGGTGTCGGCCCTGGGGAACCGAACAACATGATCTACGTTGGCAATCTGTACTACGAGGTCACTGCAGACCAGCTGAAGCGTGTCTTCTCGCGCTTCGGTGAAATCGAGAGCGTCAAGATCATCTACGACAACAGGGGCCTGAGCAGAGGGTGAGCTATACTTGGATCTACTTGTGGAAAGCGACACATAACTAATTCGTGCACACAGATTCGGATACATCGAGTTCAAGAACGTAAACGATGCCCAGTCTGCCGTTGACAATCTCGACATGCAGGTCTTCGAAGGCCGAAACCTCGTTGTGCAGTTCCACCGACCGAAACCCAACTCCAAGACCCGCAGTGCTGCCGGCAGCTTCGTAGCGAATCCCCCTTCCAAGACGCTCTTCATTGGAAACATGTCATTCGAAATGTCAGACAAGGATCTGAATGACCTCTTCCGTGATATCCGAAACGTTATGGACGTCCGCGTTGCCATCGATAGGAGGACCGGCCAACCGCGAGGCTTTGCCCATGCCGACTTCATCGACGTCGCCAGCGCAACGCGCGCCAGGGATGTGCTGAAGGAGAAAGTCATCTACGGAAGGCAGCTCCGTGTGGACTTCAGCAAATCAGGTACGCAGCAGCAGAGGGATGGTGGCCGTGAAGGCCGTGGAGACAGTATGTAAAAAGCACAGGAGCGTGGATTATCTGCGATCAATGCGTCGCCGACTATGAGGAGTCGACCGGCAAGAAGCACCGCACCCTGATTTGGAAGCAAGCCGGCGGTGATTTTGTCGGTTTGGACGTTCTAGATCTTCTATCTTGTCGTTTTCATACTGTGTTGATAGGTCTGTCTAGCTCTTATGTATCATAGTAGAGGAGCTTCATGGCGTTTCTATTTTCCCTCTCCTCTTATACACGATAGGCGGCGGGGATTGGATGGCTTGAGTGCTACAAAATCTAATGCTATATCTTTTCAAGCAATGCCATGATATATCTGTAATTGAGGCGGCCTTAGGATCATAGGTGCAGTGTGCGGCTGGTACAAGTTCACGTGGTCGAGTCAGCTCCATGGCTTGCGCGGATCCGCACGCGTTTGTTGTCTCCTCGGAGACGTGTGCAGCGTCAAATTGATATTTGTCGCTCGACAGCTTGCTGACGTACCGTTGCGCGTATCGACTCATACTTCACACTATTGCTTAGTGCGTGACCACATGTAAGAGTGACTCGATGTTGTAGGGCGCAACATCTAGCGCTTTCGTTCCTATTCATCGCACTGTGATTGCCACTTCAAGAGTCGCGTGGACCTCGGCGTTCGGCTGCATTTGCCCCACTCCGACCTCCGATTAGCAAGCTCCAGAAGTTACGACCACGCCTCTCGCTCTCTCGCAACCCAAATCAGCGTCTCCCTTGTATCATAGACCCCTTTGCTTCTGTTCTTCGGCGCGACCGCATAACATCTTGGACTTTCGGCCTTTTTGCCTCGATCTTTCGCAATGTCCTTCCTCGGCGGCGCGGAGTGCTCAACCGCGGGCAACCCCCTCAGCCAGTTCACAAAACACGTCCAGGATGACAAGTCGCTACAGAGAGACCGTCTGGTCGGGAGAGGGCCAGGCGGCATGCAAGAGAGCATGCGGAGCCAGCAAATGGGTGGCGGATCGGACGGTGTAGGTTGCCCTTGGACTTGAAAGGGCTTGAACGGCGTCTTTCAGTCTCTCTGGATGCTTTGAGAGAGCTGCGACTGACCGTTTTCCTAGATGATGAACGAATTCATGCAGCAACCCGCGCAACTTCCTCAAGGGCCCGGCCCTGCGTCTCCATTCGCCATGGAGCAGATGCGGAGAGAGCTGGAACGAGCACAACACAGCGGATCGCCAGGCTGGGCAGCAGAATTTGACCCGGCCATGGAAGCACCAGCAGCCATGGGTCCAGGAATGCAAGAGAGACCAGCAGGCTTCAACCCCGCCGAGTTCGCCAAATTCCAGCAGATGAACCCAACAGCACGGACAGCGAGCCCAACCGTCAGCTCCCCGCCTTCGATGATGGGATACCAACGACCAATGGGCTATGGCATGGGCATGGGTGGAATGGGCATGGGAATGAACATGGGCATGATGCACCAGCCGTATGCTCCGCAGAACTTCCAGCAGCCTATGCAGGACTCTGGCAAAGGAAAGGGCCGCATGGTCGTGCTCGATGATCAGGACTGGGAAGCGCAGTTTGCGGAGCTGGAGAAGACAGATCAAGATACACTGGATGAAGAGGCAAACAAGCGCATAGAGGCAGAGCTGAATGAAATGGACAGGTCAGTAGATGCCACAGATTTCGGCGACTTCGAGTCCATCTGGAGGGGCATCAAAGCTGAGACTGAACACGCTAGGCAACTCGCCAACGAGGAGAACTTTGTCGACGGGATGCACATGGGCGATCTGGACCAGTGGGAGGGCTTCGACGGGCTGAACACACATTCGGTGCGCGATCCGCCCATGGGCGACTATCTGTTCGAACAGAACAACGTCTTTCAGGACATTACGAATCCGTTTGAAGAGGGTATCAAGATTATGGAAGAGGGGGGCAATCTTTCATTAGCGGCCCTTGCTTTTGAGGCTGCGGTCCAGAAAGACCCGCAGCATATTGCGGCATGGGTGAAGCTCGGAGAGTCGCAAGCACAGAACGAGAAGGAAACACCGGCTATTCGAGCTTTGGAACAGGCATTGAAACTGGATCCGTCAAATCTGGAGGCTCTCATGGGCCTAGCAGTGTCATACACCAACGAAGGCTACGAAAGTACCGCATACCGGACGCTAGAACGATGGCTAGCCACGAAATACCCGACCCTCATCAAAGAGCCTCTGTCTTCAGATGCCGAAATGGGCTTCACAGATCGACATCTTCTTCACGAGAAGGTCACTAACCTCTTCATCCAAGCCGCTCAGCTCTCACCGTCAGGCGAGCAGATGGACCCTGACGTCCAAGTCGGATTGGGTGTGCTTTTCTATGGTGTAGAAGAGTACGACAAGGCGGTCGACTGCTTCGGTGCCGCGCTTGCCTCAACAGAATCCGGAACTACAAATTCGTCATCACTAATGCATTTGCTATGGAATCGCCTTGGTGCGACTCTGGCCAACTCTGGACGGAGCGAAGAAGCCATTGACGCTTACTCTCGCGCACTTTCCTTCCGACCTAACTTCGTCCGCGCACGCTACAACCTTGGCGTATCCTGCATAAACATTGGCTGCTTCACCGAAGCCGCACAACACCTCCTCGGCGCGCTCGCCATGCACAAAGTAGTCGAGCGAGAAGGGAAAGAACGAGCACGGGAGGTTGTTGGCGACGGCGTGTCCGAGAGCCAACTCGATAACATGATCCACCAGAATCAGAGCACTAATCTGTACGATACGCTTCGGAGGGTCTTCGGCCAGATGGGCAGGAGGGATCTTGCGGACATGGTTGGGCCGGGTATTGACGTAGAAAGATTTCGAGGCGAGTTTGATTTTTGAAGCGGATGGCAGAAAAGAGGAGATTTACGACGACTGGGTAATGGAGAGGAAAGTGAAGATCAGAGAGACTTGGGACGATGAGGAAGAACTGGGTGATAGCTGCTGCTTCGGCACTAAGACCGTGGAAGTTGGCATGGATTGCATATGGAAATTACATGGCGGCGTTTAGGTGGGAGGCCGTGCCTAGACATGGCGAATGTCAACGAATGTGCTAACGAATGTGCTCGCAGAGCAAAAGCTCTCAACTAAATATCCTTGCCGAATACCCCGCGCTTCAGTCACCCCACTCTCATTCCCATCCTAAGTTAGTTCAACTATTCCTTCGGTCATTTGGCAAGATGACCTAGAACTAGTGCGGCTGCCATGCCAATCCTTTCCTTCATGATTCTTAGGTGGGCGGAGACTCTGCCACCGCCAGCGAATTATCGCGATCCTTCTGATGAGTCCGCTTTTTGACAGCGCAGGGTCGGTTTGCCAACGAACATCTACATCATGATCGTCGAAGCCCTCACCGGAGCACCGATTAGGCGAGAACCCTAACCTGCAACACCAAGGCAGCCGTCAGGCAAACAGCGCCACCATGTCAACACTAGCGCCCCTACCGCTTTCAGCTCTGTAGGCTACATCTACCCCACATCATATCCCCGATGCTTCATTCGTTACTTGCCTACTTTTGTGTTCAGCTGTTCTAGGCAGAAGGCGGAGTCTGTCGGTGAGATGTCTCGCTCATTATCAGTAAAGGGGTATATAATGATCATTTCTTCACAGCCATGAATCTTTCCTTCTCCTCATCCTCTATCCATCATCAACTTCTCAACTCGTAGCTCCTTCTCCGTATCACCCAACCTTTCGTCTATGACCTCTGCCGTCGACCACGACGACCAGTGGACCATCGTTAACCCACCAAACACAATGGCCACCACCAACACCAGCGATTCTCAAATCATGGCTCCAGCCCCGGCCCCTACCACGGAGCAGCAACCGCAGATCGAGCTCACCATCAACACCAAGCCAACCTCCTCCGCCGCCGCAGAAAAGCAACCCGAGCCGCCCAAGCTCGCCCGCGAAGCCACCGCCGACTCCATCGACGACTTCGCCGAGCAGCGCGCACGCCCCATCCGCCGCACAACAGGCGGTCCGCGGCGCTACTCGCCCTCTCCACCGCCCGTCCGCATCTTCAACAACCGGCGCGACGACCCCGTCAGCGTGATGCTGCACTCGTCGTCGCAGCTGCTCGAGAACGTCACCAAGTACGACGGCATCGCCGACATGCCGTACCCGGGCCGCTCGAGCGTCTACCTCGCCACGTTCCCGTTCAGCGAACGCGACGTGAAGAAATGGAGCTGGTTGTTTGCGCACGGGGTTGAGGATGTGTGGCTCAGCCAGGTGGGCGGCGACGAGGATGAGGATGCGGAGGAGGAGGAGGAGTATGAGCGCTTTGGGCGGCGCGTGGGGCGCGTGGTGAGGAGTCGGAGGAGGGATCGCTCGCCGTACTATGACACTGTGCCCGCGATTGATATTCCGTCTGTGTATCTCTCGCGCGCGCTGGATGCGGCTGTCGTCCCTGAGACAAAGGACGGCAGCGTGAGGTACTTGATTGTGGCGCAGAATCGGTACAGGCCTCATGGCGCGAAGCTGCTGGTGGCCGAGAGCAGGAAGGCGGCGGGGATAATGATGTATTATGAGGCGCTGACGGGAAATTCTGTGGTCTTTGTGGGAGCCATCGTGGGCGGAGTTGGAAAGAAGATGAAGAAGTTTAAGAAGGCGGAGGGAGTGGATGAAGCGAACGCGATGGCGGGAGAGGGGGTTGTGGGCGTTGTTTGCTGAAGAGTTTTGGATCGACGAGGAAGATATTGGGGAGGATTAAATTGCGGAGATGGCGAGAGTGGTTGTGCTTTCTAACGGTTTTGGAGTTCGTTTTCTCTTGGTGCTTTACGGATTCGGTTGTGATGCCAATGGGCATGGGGGTCTGGGAAATTGACTGGAAGGAATTGCGCTGGTTCTGGGGCTAGGTTCTGCTGCTAAGACAGTCATTACAGATCGCTCTCTTCGCGCAGGACATGAAGGTGGGGTGACGGAAGTGAGGGGGTATTGGTATTCAGTTGGAGACCTTCCTTCGTTCAAACCACTATCGTCTCTCCAATATCGCATAATCCAACCTCTTCACCCCAGCGCAACCCTTCAGCTTCAGCAACCTTCTTCCATCGCTCTGGAGGCTCAGTAACAGGTTCGAAGCTTGCACTAAAGCCCCCTCTAATCGTCCCGTAGTGCATCCCAATGCTCTTTTTGCTCTTCACATCTTTGTGGATGGCGACGGAATCATCCGGCGAAGCGTGCTGTGCCGAAAGGATAGAGCGAGGCCGAAAGCAGCCAATGGGCAGCAGAGCAAGGTCAAACGGCCCGTGCGTGTCTCCGATCTGCTTGAAAGCTGGGCATGGTGGATTGGGCGCATTGTAGTGGGAAGGTTGGTCGTCCGAGGGAACGTGGCAGTATCCCGTGTCTCCTGCGAAGAATAGCTTCTTCCCACCTTCGGATGCCTCTTGGAGGACCCAACTACACCAAAGCGTGCCCTGGAAGTTCCACGGCACTCTCCCGCTTCGATGCTGTGCAGGAGTGCAGACCAGGTCTACCCTTCCGGCATCGTCCTTTTCTAGTCGTAAAGTATCCCACCAATCCAGCTCTGTGACCTGCTCAGCCTTTATTCCGGCGCCCAGTCCTGTCAAGACTGCCTTAACTCCAAGCGCACAGAAGAACCTCAGATTCCCATTCTGTTTCGCATTGACCTTCCTTAGCGTATCGTAGTCCAAATGATCGTAGTGATCATGGCTGATACAGACGGCATCGACGTCCGGAAGCTCGTCGATGGAGCAAGGAGGCGGCGTGAATCGCACAGGCCCAACTACGCCATATGGGTCCTACACGCTCGCTCCAGACCGGATCAAGTAGTATCCGCATCCCTCTCTCTGCGCCTTCAGCCGTCGGTGTCTCGATCAAAAAGCTCGCATGGCCAATCCATGTTGCCCTCAATCCATTCTTCCCCGCCCCGAAATCTGGTGTACGGACTTCGACCAGCCCGGCGCGATCCGCCGGAACAGGGACGAAGTTCTTCGGCGTATTCCAGCGCGTTCTGAACGCATTGGCGAAGCCGGTATGAGTGTACGAAGACCACGGGTTTGTGAATGCCGTTGGCGGGTTGCCGACATGGTGGGATGGAGGGCTGGTATAGGATTCGGGGCGTCGCGGCGCCAGAGGGGTTACGGTGGATGACGGGGACATGGTCGATTTGGTGGTGAATGCTCTGCGAAGCTTTGGGGCAGGGTTGAAATAGCCATTGCTGCGGAGGAGAATGGTGATGCCTTGGGCGGAGTTAGCGCAGAAGTGGTGGTGGCATTCGGATCCAAACCGGCCGCTCGGTTCAACAGTTCGTCCGTTGCGACGAAGGCTGAGCGGAGCTCATCAAACCAGGATAGAAACGATGTTCCCTTTTCGCGATCAAAGATCGAGGCTCACGGTACATCTAGATCGAGTGTGAGGTCATCTTCTGCGCTCTACGAATGGGATGCCGTAAGCGCGTCAGAGCTCGCTCAAGACAAACGCTGTCACGTGCACCGATTTGCGAGCCCGATTGGAAGGTTCAGACTCCGCCAGCTATCTCCCACGAATCCATCACATTCCCATAATCCGGGCTTGCGGGAAGCCTCAAACACACTGCAAGCTACCAGTCAGGATGCCGGAGCAGTACAACCGCGAAAACCACGGCGGTACATCGCGTCTTGCCACAATCGCTTAAGCCGAACCTCCACGGAGCGTCCACCTCTTTTACGAGCACACTCCCGTACCCTTATCACCCGCTCATCCAATGAAGACCGCACGAGGCAGCATCCTCGCATCCTAGCCCTCCCTGCCAGGTACCGTCGCCGTTCGCCGCTTCGCACGCTCCTTCTCCTACCGGATCTCTGGCCAGTGACCTTCCCGATGCGGAAAAGAGCTTCGATGTAGGTTGATCTCATAAAGGTAGGCCGTGGCCATTTTCTGGTAACCGTGGATCTTTCTTCAATTCTGGTGGGACTTCCTTGTCTTTTGCTTCTGTGACTTTGCAATTGTGCTCAGGATGCGGTTCGCTATCGCTGGGGGAGTCGCGCTCCTTGCGGCCTCCGCATCAGCGCAACTCTACCCTTCCCAAAGCCCATTGAACCACACCTGCCTCCTCCAAAAGCCGCTTCTGTCATGTCCACCGCAGGATCCGGCTGTAGTTGACTCGTGCTGCGTCGAAACCTTCGGCGGCCTCCTCCTCTCCACCCAGTTCTGGGACACCTACACAGGCCGCGAAAGCGAAGGACAGCTGCTCCCCAAAAACACGTGGAGTCTGCACGGCTTGTGGCCCGACTTCTGCAACGGAAGCTACACGCAATACTGCGACCTCACCCGGCAATACGACCCCGTCCCCTCGCCCAACACCACAGACGGCACACCCACCGGCACCCCCGTCCCGCCCTACACCGGCCCCAACATCGGCACCTTCCTGGAGCCCTTCGGCAAGTACGATCTGCTCGAGTACATGAACACGTACTGGATCGCGCAGAACCAAGACAATGCGGGGTTCTGGGGCCACGAGTTCAGCAAGCACGCTACGTGCTTTTCTACCTTTGACGTCGCGTGCTATGGCCCGCAGTATGTCGAGCACGAGGAGGTGGTGGATTTCTTCGAAACGGCGATCAAGTACTACAAGAAGTTTCCGACGTTCAAGTGGCTGAAGAAGGCGGGGATCACCCCGTCGAATAGCACGACGTATAGCTACGCGGAGATTCGGGATACGTTGTTTGCGAGGCACGGCGGTGTCCCGTTTATCGGCTGCTCGGGACCGAGATATAACACCACTGAGGCTGGGAAGAACAGCACGGATACGGGGTATACGGTGCTTAGTGAGGTGTGGTACTATGAATACGTGAGTCGCCTTCCACTCTGAACTTCCCAGCTACGAGCATCCAGAAACTGATATCAATTTTCAGGTCTACGGCCGACCGCAAGAAGGCGACACCGTTTCCGTGAACGCATCGTCAACCTACCTAACAAACTGCGCAAAAACCGACGGCGCGATCCATTACTACGAGCGAGGTCCGGCATCGGAGAAGAAGCCCACAGTGCCATTCTGAGTCCGAGTCACCGCCGCTATAATACTATAGACTCTAATGTACATGTATAGGTAATGAATATACCCCATAAGCGCTCGATTGAGTGCAGCAACACGTGATTATCAGGGCGATTAAAGTAGTCCAGATGTCGCAGCCCTCGTATCGCAAGTGTTGTTGTATAGTGAGCATATTTCTCCACCAAGCCTCAAGCCCCCGGTCGGTAGCATCAGCCACATCGTCCACATCCACACCCACCGAAAACTCCAAGAGTCCCCTCCCACTCGGCACGCATTTTTCCGGACGAACTCTTTTTATTAATTAGAGAAAACTCCTCCATGCGGATAGGTATACGCTCCTTCCCAGCCCCATCCATATCCACGGAACGGGCGCATGCCGCCGAACCCCGACACGCTGCCGATGCCGTCCGTACATCTGACATAAGCCCCTCCCTTCTTTCTCCCGCATCGTGCATACATATCCGTACGCCGTATCTTCCATCAACCCGAGACTCGGGTTCCGGTTCCAGTCTCGCCGCTCTCAGATCCGCCTCGGCGCCTAAATGCATGCATATCAACAAAAATTTCTAGGCAGAATCGCGAAGCCCCCATCGTCTCGTCTCGTCTGCTGAGGATGCCATATTTGTAAAGCGGAAAGCCCCGGGTATTTTGTCCTATGGTATTGCAAAATTGGAGCGGAGCTGCTGATTGCGTTATTATGAGTGCCGCAGGGTAGACCCTTCCGCATTGGGAAATAGGTGCTTGTTGAGGGCGGTCGGTTGGGAACACGTGGGCCCTGCCTATAGAGTAGGATCGGAGGATTGCAGCCGGACGCGCATGATCGGTGAAAGCGCAAAGGAATAAGCAAGGATTATCTTTGCTTGAAAGGATAGTATACGCAGACGCAGACGCAGGCATGATATTGTTTGAGGGGTAAATAGGGGGGGAATGTATTACTTCTTGTCCTATCATTATGATAGGGATAGGGATATGGATAGTAAAGGGAAGTAGCTCGCGCTTCGCTGTCTGACAATTTGATATAACTGAGATGGGGAAGTGAATCAAACCGAGCCGAATCGAATGGGTGTAGTCTAGCTATAGTACAATCGTAAGTTTCGAATAGGTAACGGAAACCGAAAACGTAACGTGTCAAAATCCTGTGAGGTGCAGAATCGTGGAATACAGAATACCGCCAACGCCGAGAGGACTCCACCCAAGAATAGGAATATCGATATGCAAAAATACCAAACTCCTAATGCTCGCTTGAAGGAAATCGATTACGCGAGCGGGTCTTTGTTATCCTGCTTCGGCGTGACAACAGACGCTTCGAGGAGGTGGTAATGCCAACGAAAATTGAAAGGCTAAGATGCTTGTGCAGAGCTTTCGGCAAGTGTCTGCGAGCTCTCGACGGTGGACTTTGGAGCCTGCGTAACGGCCTCGGGGGGCCGTTGTAGCGCCTGCTGCTCCCCTTGGTTCGAAGCATCATGATATTGGCTGTCCTGGCCGGAATTATCGCTCTGACTGCCTGGTGTCTGGCTTTCATCGTCTGCATGATCCTCAGGACGATCCATGCCGACTTCCACATTATTCGGGCTTTGAGTGTCAGCCAGGCGAGCTTCGATCTGCTCCCGCTTGATCTCAAGCGGACGGGCATGCGCGTCCGTTTGATGATGATGATGATGTTGCGCTCGCGGATGCGCTGTGTGATCTTGGTCTTCGTCGAACACCTTACGAGCATAGTCGTGCTCCCTCCTTGCCTCGTCTAGCCCACCCGGGAACATCTTGCCCATGATATCGCTATGCCTTTTTTGCACGCTCGCCATGATATCTTGTCCCGCGGGAAGATGACCCGTGGGGCTCGGCGTCTCTGGACCGACACTCGTAGCATACTGAGGGTTCGTAGGAGTGAAGCCACGTCCTGGACCCTTCTCCTCCTCCTTTCGCGCATGAACTTTGCGCAAATTGGCGGCCGAGGATTGCGAGCGCATATCTGGACGGCCATCCTTGCGGATGAGGACCCCGTCAGCGTTTCTTATCGGCTTAGTTCGCGTCTTCTTCGTATGCGCGTAAGGGTCCGCAGGCAATCCAATGCCAATGCCGGCAGTCACGCCCTGCAGACCTAGACTTACGGCGCGGCCACCTGAGCTCGACGGCCGATCTCCTCGTGAAGTGCCACCGCCACCGCTCCCACGACGAATAATTCCTCGGCCGGAGCGCGCCACGTGGTTGTAATATCCATCCGGGCTGATCTGCGAGTCTGGAACCCCCTGCCAGTCATCCCTCTCCCATTCAGGAGTGCTGATGTGATGGACTTGCGCTGGCATGCTCTTCCGACCGCGTCCACCTCGGCTGCCAGGGCCTCCACCGCGACCCCGACCACGTGTGCGAACCTCGCCGATGCGCTGTGACTCTGGCCGCCAGCTGTCATCAGAGGGACCTTCCTGTGTGCCGTAAGGAACGAAAGCAGTATGGGAATATTGTGAGGCCAGGGTAGACTCCGGAATGGACGCACTAGGGTGTGTTTGCGACGGGAGAGTGTGTGAGTGCGTCTGGGCTCTCCCATCAGAGTCGTCTGTATCCATGTGATCATAGACGTGTGGAGGGTGCGCTTGAGAGCTGGGATATGCAACACGAGGCTCGATGGGCGCTAGCTTTGGTCTTTTTGGAGAGCCGACTGGTTGACCGACGGAATCGTGTGGGCTATCGAGGCCATTGGGATGGGTGCGTTTGGTGCCCGCGTTGACTGTGACCCAACCGCTCTGGGTCTGAGCTGCCTCGGTTCTCTGGGATGCCTCTGGGGTAGCTGCGATGGACTGAGTGGCATGAGAGTGAAAAGACTGCGGCTTATGAGCTGGGTGGACTGGGGTGTTGATATGCGGGACGACTGATGAGGTCGTGTGGTAGGAAGGAACACCGTGAGACGACTGAGCCGAATGGGCTGATGGCTCCCGCGGCGAAGCATAGGGATGTGCAGACAGTTGCGGAGTTGGGACGGCGGCGGCGGCGGCATCCTCTAGCCGCTGGATTTTGTTCTTCATGATCTCGATGGTGATCTTCAGGGTATCCACTTCGTTGGCCTTCTGCGAGATGACAGCGACTTGCTGTGCCATGAGTTCTAAGGCTGAGTCCTGAGCGCTGACAGGTTGGCCAGGTGCAACGCTCACACCCCGAGCCTGCATCTCTCTCGTGGCGTGGGTTTCGCGTGTCAAAGCCTCTAGCAGCTCGCGGATACCTCGCACCTCGTGCTGCAGCCTTCCCACGGCCTCCTCGACGCGCCTGATGTCCACATTTTGGTGATGGAGCTGGGTCTGGAGTTCCCGTCGCAAGCTCTCTTCCTGATGCTGCAAGGCCTCTTCGTAGTGCCGCATGTCACGGGACTGGGCTACCAATGCACTGCTATTCTGGGAGATCTGGGTCTGCAGACGTTCAATGGCACTGAGCTGGATCTCTTGAGGGGATCGAGGATAGGACTGGCCATTGGTGCGATGCTGCTCGCCAGGTGATTGCGAATGCGACATCATAGGAGGCAGCTCGCGGGGACGACTAGCCAGTCCCGCGTTGGCTTGCTTGAGCGGCGGTTGTGCATACTGGGGTTCGTGCACCGGCTTGACAGCTGGCGACGGCGAGGGCAGTGGAGGATTGCTGGGGGATTTCTGAGAAAGTGCATGCAACGGCAGCGGCGCTGGTGGAGAGCGAAGTGACGGTGGAGGCAGCGATTGGCGATTGGCCTCCACCTGTTGCAGCGGCTGGTGGTGATGGTGGTGATCGTAGGGTTGGTCGTGGCGTGGGCCCGACGGTGGGGGTGGTGGGCGCGAGTCGACCTCCATGTCTCCTGCTGGTGGGACGATCACTGGAACGGGCGACGAATGATCGGAATCTTCAACGGGCAACGGTGCCGGGGCTGCGTCCAGCTGTGGCTCGACTGCAATGGTCTTGTTCGCCTGGTCGCATCGCAGCTCGATGCGGGACAGTTTGAAGAAGTCGCGGCCGCTGCGATAAGAGAATACGTTAGCAAGATGTCGCTATGTAGGATGCTGGCTGATTGTTATATGGGCGTCGTGGTGTTAATACCGATGTGCATGCAAGACCCCGGCCACGCAGCGCCACAGGAAGACGCGCAGCCGGTGAGGGTGCGGTAGCTCGCGGCGGGACGTCCACAGAGGCGTCGCAAGAGTGCTTACCGGAAAGAGGACTTTTCCTCGGGTGCATCAACAACAGTGAAGCCGAGGGTGTCGCTGCAGCCGGGGCAGCAGAGCGGCTGGATGGCACTGGAGGCGTGTGTCAGTACAAGTGTCAGTGACGGCAGCAACGCAATGCATTGCGGACGGGCGGTTTAATAGATGATAAACGTATAGTGGGAAGGCCGACTAGCGCAGGCGCGCTTAAAAAAATTAAAATACCTGCACCGCTTGATTGGTGTCGGGATAAGCTCATAATAAATGCTAGGGATATCGACTGCTGAAATGGGCAAGGAAACTGTGCGACAACACGAAAAGGGATCAGCCCGGCAACTGAGGCCTGCTGTGGAGCAAAGAGGGTGCAGCTCACCATCCGACCAAGACTGTGCCCATGGTTGCCGGCTTCTGTCTGCCATGTTCCCTGAGAAAGCTCCGATAGGACCCCGGTAGCGTCGGGAGATGGTAGGAATTGGTGATCTTCAGCCACGAGTTGTAGAACTCGCCCGCCATGCTCCCGCAGCGCCTACAGACGCCTTTGGTGGACCGGTCCACGGGCGACGGCGGGCGCGGCGAGTCGTTGTCGACGCTCTCTGCGACTTCGACCACTTTTGCATTGTCGTCGGACACGCCGCTCTCCCCAGCCGTCGGGCGCTGGGGTTCACTGATACGAGAGCGTCGTCGCATGCCGGCCATGAGCTGAGTTCCCGCGCCGCCAGTCCAGAAGTCCCTCCCAAAAAGCTTGAGCGCGGTTCATCCAAGCGCGATGACGCTTAGAGGATGAGAATAGACGGTTGGGGGGTGAGACTGAGAAAGGCCTGCGCTGGCGAGGACTGCGAGTGAGCGGGGCGGCTGCACCAGAGGCTTCTAATAGAGCAAACGGCCAGACCAAGCGCTGACGCAGGAAGGAGCAGGAGTGCGTGGTGCAGGAGGAGGGTACGGTACGCATCCGCTACCGTGAGCGGTCTGGGTCGTTGGGATGGAGTGGCGGTTGCGTGCGCCGTAGCGTCTCAGAATGCTGGCAGATAGCGCAAGCGAGTCAATTTTACAAAGGGCACTAGAAGCGTCGGCGGGATGGAAGAATAGAGGGAAGGGCGTCGGGTCGATAATTAGCAAAAGTTATTCCATGTTTAGCTTTTCGCGACATGCCCCTTACCCAGCGCGGCCTAGTGCCGCCGCTGGATAGATGCATTCGATTACGAAAGCCGCCTTATGTGCAGCCCTAGCCTCTCTCTCTCCGCGCTGCAGTCCAGCAGAGCTTCCCAAACTCCAAGTGCCGCGAATCTCTCTCCCACTATCCGCGAGCCGTAGAACTGCCTATCACCACCAAGCCGCGTCTCCATCATTATCGCGCGTTATTGCCCCGTCATAACCAGCGGGCTTCTTTATTCAACGCGCCGGCCAACCACAGCCGCCGCGCGCCATTATCAGGTCCAACTCGACGATAGCAGTTAATAATAATCCGCACGCCAATCGCTCCGCCATGCTTGGGTCTTAGTGCATCACCTATTAACTCCGGCGAACCAACGTCGACGAGGAGGCGAATCACGCCTCGCTATCTCTGCCCTGCATGTGAGAAACAGGAAATTACTGCGAACCAAGTCACGCTGCAATCCTAGCGCCGTCAACTTTCTCTGCACCGCAATATCTGTGTACCTACCGTTATCCCAATATGGGCGCGGCAGTCGCCGTTAAACTTAACTCGTCTTATAGCCCCTGCACTTGGATTAATCTACCGCGCAAGGGATAGACAGGGGCCCGTTTGCACAACCACACAATTCACAAATACTCGGAATAATGGCTCGAGTAATGATGCCTTTGCGTAAAGCCTGTCTGCATCTCTTTGATCGTGCTTCCGCGTTTCAATTCGCTTTGCAGCCGGCTTTTGCCTCCATAGCGCATTTGGCCCATGCAACACAGCCGGCGCGCCAATGCACATCCGTATATAATGCCCTGCTCCATTGCCCTATATTAGGCCCAATGTCCGTAAAGCCCGATCCTACTCCTGATGCGCCTATATCGAGGTGCATGCCACTTCAGCTTGAAACACTGTGCCACCGTCGGCCTGATCGCCTGTAGTACAGGTGAGACACAAATAATCTTCTCACTTCACTACCATGAACCCGACACCATCCCGGGCGCTTTGACAGGCGTCGGAGAGCGCCCGCACCTCCGTATCCGTCCACTTGACGCTGAGGTTGTCCCAATTCTTTGTTCGGTATTCGCGTTGGTATTGCTGCTGCATCGCCTGTAGGCGGCGAACTTCTCGAGGGTCCCCGGTTCCACTATACACAATGAATGCGGTACAGCGTGGCAAAGAGTCGTAGATCTGGACAATATGGCTGATGGTCCTAGAGACGGCATCGCCGAGCTCGGCGCCAGACACTTCCACGTCCTCGTCTTCTTCTGAGCCAAGTCCGAGCCTCTGCAACGCCGTCCGCCGAAGAGCTTCTACATCCTCGAACGCCCTGACCTCGTCCCACCATCCACGAACTAGTTCAAGCTCGCGCAGGCGTCCCCAAATGAAGTCCACTTTTTCAGTGGCGCCATCTTTGCCCTCCGCAAGACCATTGAGGGCGTGCTCGATGCTTTCGACGACGTCGGAGTCGCTCTTACACCCCATTGATACCTGTGCCTGGGTACCGTGTCCTCGCTTCGGATCGCCCCAGTCAACGACGGCGCCTGCTCGTGAAGCATTAGTGGACTTTGGGCGAGTACTTCGTCCCAATCTTTTGAAAATGGACTCAGCATTTGTCTCGCTACTGCCCCACTTCGGTCCTCGTTCGCATTTCTGCTTGACCAAGTCGAGGCAGGTACGCGCATCCTCCACGCTATTGTGACCGTTGGTACCCTTTTGGATTTCCTTCTGGAGATATTTCTGAGCAAGCCACTTCAAGGACTGTTTGTATGGTGGCCCCCGCGCATGCGGAAAAAGTATCCCAGTGTCAACCAAGAAAGGATGCGTGAGCTTGAGTGCATTGAGGTCCGAGTTGAGCGAATGTCCCACAAGAATGGTACGAGGCGTGACGATATCCAATAGTTCCTTTTGGATGTCCGACAGAGTGGTCGCGACATCTTGGAGCATGGCTTGTGTAATGCCGGACCATTGGGTGAGGTAGTCCTTTATTGTCACATCGGGCTTGACTAGCTTGTCAAGCACGACACTGCCATCCCAATCAAGCAAGCTGACTCGAGTAAGGACAAGTTCGTCATTCTCAGACTTGCACATCTCGCAGTCGATGGCGAGGATTCGCCTTCCAGCCGTCACACTGCCTTGTTCAAGTTCGTTTTCGGGCACTTGTCCGTCTTCGAGACAGGCAACATTAGTGTCGACCCATCCATCTTCGGTTGTCTGTTTAGCCGCCTTGCGTTTCTGAAATGCGACATCTTTGGACTCAGGCGTTGTGAACCAGGCCGGATGAACGACAAATTCGTTCTCCTCTTGCTCAATGAGATTGGCAATGTAGTCCGTCATAGGCGTGCGCTTGTTGTTCCAATTATTAGAATTCTGAGGAAGCGGTCCTTTGTGGCTTCCGCTCTTCTTAAGCTGCCTTTCTTCTCTTGTCCTGGGAATTTGCGAGGTTAGCATCGTGTGCACCGGTGAATGTACTTTGTGATACTGATTGGCCCGATGATCACCTGATGCTTTGATGGGCCAGACGTGAGGAAAGATATCAGATAGGGGCTTTAAAGCAGCAGGCAGCCTGTGTGGCTTGAGTGCAACCGGATAGTAATCGTCCGGAAACAGATGTAGCCGCTTGGGGTCCTTTGAAGCAGCAACGACGTCACTAGAGGATGCCGGCGGTTCTAGGGACACCTCCCCGTTGAACATACCAGGCTCCAAGCCGGGGACCATAAGAACAACAACCTGGTGTATGCTCGCGCGACTCTGCACAGACACCCATTGAGGAGCGTTGCCATCTGCGAGAATGTACAATACCAGTGATTGCAAGTCGATGATCTTCACAGGCGCTTGGAGACGAGCATGATGAGAATGCTCGATCGCTGGATAGTGTCGCTCAAGCTTGCGCTCTCTTCGGCGCTCTTGTCGGTTTTTTCCTTTGGTATCATTGTGCGCAGGCGGAGAATTGTGGCGGGGCGTGTCGCCGTTATTGTCCCGCGTACTGAATGGATTGGCCGGGCGAGACGCATGCTCGCCGGTAGTCTCGTTCTTCGGGGCAAATGGATTCTCGAGAGGAGGCGGGTCGTCTGTGGAAGGTCCCTTGCGCTCGCTAGCTTGTTCGCGTTGTTCAGGCTCTGATTCGGAGGATGTGGAACGCTGAGGACCGTGTTCAAAGCGGGGCGATGGGGAGCGCTTGCGATGCTCTCTCCTATCATCGTGTTGCTTCCGCCTCTTTTTGTGCGCTGCGACGACTGTCCAGCCTTCATCGTCGTCATTGACGGTCTTCGTGTTGTTTTCCGTTTTCTCATCTTCCCTCAGCAGCGCAAGCGTTGCACCAAGGCCGTAGTCAGCGGGTGGCTCCTCTTCGCTTCTCCGCTTTCGTTTCGTCATGTTGGACTGCGCACGAAGGGTACGCCGTTGAAAATAAGCTGGAACGTCGCTGCGAAGCTCTTCGAGCTTTTCGGCGGACGACCTCAACGGCCCGTGCATGCGCTAAGAGCTTGGCACGATGCTTGTTTTCCCAATGCATCATCGTCCATCTCGTCACCCAACAGCTCGACTCAGTCCCCCACATCGCCGTTGACCACTTTTCAGTCCACCTTCCTCCTGGATTGCAGCATCACTTTTGCGCCCTTGGTACTGGTGATCTTCTTGATATCAGAGACCTGCTCTTTCGCTTGCGGGAAGTCTGGAGCGCCAGTGAAGGGACATTATTCTTCCTTAGAGAGCGGAGAGCTCAAATAGGGAAGACAGGAACCCGGTTTTTGGAATCTATCCCTTACTTTCGTCTTTGTTTGCAAAGCAGCAGAACGATTCGTTCCCGCGTCTTACGCCTTCTTCTAATCCGGGACCATTCACACGCATTCACAAGCAACCTTCATCTTTCAACTTCTCGCCTATCCACGATATTTCCCGCAAGTACTGATTTTTACATGCTTTACACTGGACGTTGGGCCAAGAACACGATCATATAGATTCCTACGCTTGAGAAACGTTTCGGATCAGAACAGTATTGTGGACATGTGGAGTCGAGATCTAGTTGAATTTGACCGACACAAACGCGAGCGAAGCTAAGGGATAAGAAATTGCCCTACTCATCCTGCTCCAGAACAGAGATGTTTTGTCCAACAGCTCTTCAGTAGAGTACCCATTCTGGCAGTTGTATGCTGCGGCAGCAACGGCTGGCAAAGTCGATAATGGAACTTCAAAGTTATGAGGATGCGGTGAAAATTCGAGTGAGTTTGAACACCCGTTGGTTTCGAAAGCCTGTCGAGATTGGATATAGCAGCACTGGGCACTCATTGACCTGGGACGCACTGCCGGCTGAGCCTCCATCATTTCGCCTCGCAATCTGCTCGGGTTCATTGTGCATTCACTGTCGAGGACATTCGCGGAACACTTTTCAACGTCTCCACATCCGACTCGATCGTTGAAAGGCTTGTTTCGATTCCTACTCCACAGGAATCGTGCTCTTGCTGCCGAATTCGCCCTTTCCTATTCACACCTCCACTCCGCTTTCACGAACAATCGCCTTTCCACCCTCCACCATGCGGCGGCATCTCCACCAGCGGACCTCCTAATCCCTCCTCTGACAACTGCTGCACATTGTATGCACAGGTCTATGATGTGGGCATATCCAACCCTGTTGCTGTCCATCGACCGGTGTTTGGCCTAGTTAAGCCATCAGCGACTACTACTTACAGCAGGTAACGATTCAGACTACTTACATAAGCAGCACCACCACAGGCGCGGACAGACACCAGGCTGCATATAACCTTGCGGCATCCTGTAGCCTTCAAGGTTGTACTGTGGGCACGGGTTGTATTGTGGGTACGAGCGGCGTGGCCACATTGCGAGCGAGCCGAAGTTCGAGAGTCGACTTTGGATGCCGATTTCGTTCGCTTTGCTTGCGGGGTTGTTTCGACTTTAGCTTTTCTTTTCGAGAGCGCTTCGCGGGGGTTCGAGGGAGAAAGCTGTGTGCGTCGGGGCTGTGAAGGCGAGATTTTATACGGTGCGTCCTTTCACTCTGACCTGTCGCGTGTTGCGTGGTTGTTGACTTCAGAGTAGCTCCGGTGTGCTGTCATAGTCCCATAATAGTTTTCTTCAGAATCTCTTTGAGCTACAGTAGGCCTGATCAGAGCCAAAATACATGAGAGATGTCGCCAGTGAGCCAGGCTGGTGAAGCCTCATATTCACCAGGTGTGGACACAGTTCGAGTGTGTGGTGATAAATATTACAGGAACTGCATGCTTAATTCACCCACTGAACTGTATGCTAACGCATAAGCATCATTCCCGTCTCTGTTTCTCACCGGTGAACGCCGAGCCTGGAGATGATACAGTTGATTAACCGAATCGCCGTCTCCACCGATACGGCTTCTCTCACCAGCCTCTCTCGAGCGACGACGGAATTCTACCGAATTCCGGAGCTACATCTCTATAGCAGCGTCTAAGCTCCTTTTACTCCGGAAGTACGGCCTACGTATCCTGAGGCGGTAGACTTGATCGAAACACTGGAGAATAAGAACCCCCTCGAAGCCTACACGAAAGAGCTATATGCGGCCAGTACGCCTGGTGGGGATAAGCAAAATTGGCAGGATGAGCTCTTGCACGACATCATCACTATACTCCCAAAGCTAGAGGGTCTGCATAGGATATACAGGTTAATGCATTTACCTCTGTTTGGGGATGATGAAGAGCGCGCGCGCAGTCATTAATTCGCTCGACCTCATCATAAAGAAGATGCGAGCATACTACATATACAGTCCCATCAAAAAAGACGCTATATTCTAGACTCCGCAGGCAGAAGGGGTATCATCAAAAGGTTCAGCGGTTTAGGACAGAAAGGAGGATGATGAAGAGTCCCGCTGCGTACTGCTGTAGAGGAATCCACGACCTCGGGTGTCTAAGGCGATCGATTGCAGCGTGGACCACATGCTGGTTATCTACCTACACAGCATATTCAAGCTTCCGGCCCTCGAAACGCTGCATACGAATAACGGCGGCACGTAGCGGCTTCCACCCCTAGGCATAAGGGGTTGGGAAAACTCGCAGTCACGACTCAAAAAATTTCCTTCACAGATCTCGAAGTGCGGACTTCTGTTGGTGCATCGCCGCTACCTGTCTGTCCCTCGACTTCTTGCGCTTCGTTGGAGCTACGCGGCAGTATGGCTTCTTCTATCTTTGGCGTCTCTTGGTGGCGTTCCGGCACCTTCTTGTGGCTGGAAACCTGCGAAAGATAGAAGTACCGGGTAGAAGTTCACCAAACGCAGATTTAATGTGCCGCCGATTGATGATCAGTCCATATTGAGCCGAAGCTGCATGTTACACTTTAGACAGGGAGTCGTTGCGAATGAGGAAAATGTCGACAACTGGTTGGAAATACATTCACGGAAATCAATCCTTCGACATTTGGGAATTATGGGCTATACATATATACGCTGGATGCTAAATACAGATCGGCCATTGACTTTATTTGGGCATGAGGTGGCCTCTAGAGCCCGACTCTGCCCACATGGAAGCTGACTGCCGTTCAAAGCATTTTTGTAGACCTGTGAAGGGCCAGGGTGGCATAAAATCCCTTCATTGCTTCATTCCGTAGTTCGCCCGAACATGGCCCAACATTCTATTGGATTCTAAGTTCTTGATCCGCATGAAGTTCTAGCAGATCAAAACACTTTCGAAGCCGCCACCTTCATTTCGTCTTACGCTTCAGCAGCGGATACTTAGGCTGCCAAAGGAGGATCTAAACGAACCCATGAGCGGAAGTACTATTTGAAGAATGCAAAGCGTAACTTACGGTATCCGAACTTGACGTTCTTGCGCTCGAACGCTTCCCGAATTTGCGTAACATGAGTCTGTTCAAGTACACCTCTTAGGAAGAGTGCAAACTGCACAGGAGTTTTCATGAACCTTAGGATTGTCGCACAAACTTGAAGGTTACGGTGCAAGGTGAAACGCTCTCCACTGTTCCCCGGCAAGTCCGGCAAATCCAGATGGAGTATTGCGCCCATATTTGGATCGTCTTGGTGTCCTTCAGTGCCTTTCAAACTCCAAGTCATACAACTCCATTTGCGCCACACTTTTCGAAAAGACATGGTGTTATGTGGGTTTTTGAAGGCAGCTATAGCCATATACCGGTCGCCGAGATAGCTCCAAATCTCGACCCTTCGAACAGTGCTACGCCCAAGAGCACCTTTGAAGGCTGTCAGAATCGATATCACGTCGGCTAACATGTGGTCTCCGCGACTCACGCACAGCGTGAGGTCTTCTAGCGCAGGGCAAGCGTCCTGGAGGAGGGCAACGTGCGAAATATTATGCGATCCCCTTGCGGCTCCAAGCTGCAGATGCTTGACTTTGGAATTCTGTTGGCCCCAATGGTTCCAGTACTGTGCAAAGCTTATGAACTGCCCCCGTTGTAAGCTTAGGCGCTCGATCGTTGGATGTGCAAAGGCCTGTGACAAGGCCAGTACAGAATGCGTGGCTTTGAGGCGGAGGCCTAATTGTTTTAGTTGGGGGTGTCGTCGAGGTAGATCCGCTACAAATCCTATCATGCACGATTGGTCTTGAGCCCATCGGTATTCAGTAAGGTCCAAAGTCGTAAGTTTCGGAAGCAAGGGAGTGAACACGTCCAGTAGAGATTGAGAGAGAACGGCGGCTGCTTCCCAGGTGCTATATTGTCTCGCAAGTGACCAAGCTCGTATGGTTCTGTCGGGTTGAGCTCGTATCTTGTCAAGCACATCGTTCTTCTGCGGTTCCTTATCACGACGCGCCTTGAGAACCCGGACTAGCCCTGCCAGATACGGATCCTGACTGAGTGTCTGAGTTAAATCGTGGATGTTTCCCTGGGTGTGACCATGATCTGAATGAAAGCATGAGGCCGTTATGTTGTGGTACAGGTGGGGCTCGACTATCCGGTGGAACTTTCTCGATACTAGGGACAGAGTCGCCATTGCTTTGGTATCGACAGGTCCTACTCTGAGGCAGCGGAGTATCTTGTCGAGAAGTTCTTCTGGGAGCGAGTTGAGACCGGCCATGGTTGACTCTTGCGGGGTGTTTGGATTGCACAAGGTGCGGCGTGCGAGGCGGGTGCGAATGAGGCTCCTAAATAATCTGCAGAGATGGATATTTCTAGCATTACTGGCGGTGAGAAACTCAACCGTTGGTGAAATCGTGAGTGGGGCATCGGTGGAGATATCTATAGAGTCTCTCGGTTTCTTTCACTTCGCGCTCGCTCGAGTGCAGACAGTCATAGCGTGACTAAGGCCACTAGGAAAAGATTCACAACGCCGTCACCATAGAACCACCGCTAAGGATTCTGAAGGTGAAAAGCCGAGGTAGAAGTAGAGATTGAGGCTCAACGATGACGTCCCGAGAAAGCTACCTACTGTGTGGGATCCATGGGACGGTTTGATCAATAGCGGAAAGCATTCACCATTTGTTCCACAGTTCGCTGCGGATATGTCCCAGCCTCTTCATCATTTTCATCTGAAACTCCATTTTATAGCTAGGAAAGCAATCTAAGTCACGGAGGTTATATTTCCCCTTCTCTTCCTGAAAGCGCCTACTTCGAACGACACAGCTCTTACCCTGGATTCTTACCGCACTACATCTCCCGTGGCAGGCATTTGCGAGTCTGTGAGCATTGACTCAACAGCTTCAAAGTCTCCGTCAAATAAAAGAAGAGTGGATTTCGTTGGTCATCGGAACCCACGGTCCATGCCGAACCGGCATGATGTGCGGGATGGTATACCGAAAAAAAGAAACCTGGAGAAGGGGGATCTTCCGTCCGCGCATCGATGCAACGAGACCTATATTTGAAAAGGTTCACTCCATGTCGGGCCATCCCAAATGAAGAGCGCGTCCCCGGCGCCCCATCCCGCCGGCCAGCCATGCGCTTGCCCTTTCTTTTTCCTCTCCACACCCGGCGACGCGGAAGCGCATACTATCCCCTAAACCGCAGACTGTTCAAAAAGCAAACGCACGCTCACGCTACGGACGCATTTCAGCACCGGCCCCCTGCATGGTGCCTCGACCAGCGCGGAAAGGCTGAGCGCTAAACCGCACCAGGCTACACTCCACGTGCCAGGCGCCCCCGTATTCGCGATGCGGACCTCTGCCTCTTTGGTATAACGATAACGGGCGGCTAGAGGAGCAACATGATGTGGAGTGACTCGGCTATCGGATCGCCGTGGCGTCTGGAGGGTGTGGTCAGGTGCGAGATGTGGCTGGTGCCGTCAATGAATGGCGCATGAGCATGGCGGTGGCTGTACGCCGGTAAAGCGCGACGTGCTATTGGGATGAGAGAGGAAGAGGCAATGACGCCGTCTTCTTGGGACCTCACCGGACCTCACTCTACTTCGGCCGATTGTGCCGATGCAAGTTGCAAGACTCCTGCCGCCGGAGAAGAAAGAAAGAAAAGCGCCTTGGAGCGGTGGTGGAGCAGTCTCGCATATCGTGTGGGACGAACAGCGCGGAAGATGGTCAGTATAAGGTTGAAAAGGCGAAATGCCCAAATCCAGGGCCACGGCGTTATTGCTAGGCGGCAAATAGGAATGGTCCTGTTTCAGAACAACTGGTTGTGAGGTTGGCCGGTGGGAGAAGTGAATAGCGCCCTTGGGTCGTGAGAGGATGCTGCATGTTTGCCTTCTTTTAACGCCGGATCATATAGCGCAGGCATGGTATTACGTCTGGCCTCGTTTAATCCTCCGCATCTACCTACACCCTGACCTCGAACGGAGGTCGGTGAGCCATCGATCTGTCTTGCTCATCATAGAGGACTGACGTTCGTCGGTCGGCCGGCGTCTAAACGATGCTGGATGACATACCCAACACAGCCCAGCCCTATTCGACCCCATCTGCGACCGGATTACTATCCTTCCCAGCACTAGCAATTCCACCTACATCGATCGTCAGTCCGGTGGGGCGCAAGCACACCCAAAAATTGCGATTCCCTTTACCACAGACACTTGCTGCAGCTTTTCGTCCCTCAACCCTCGTATCTGCATGTCTCAAGCCTCATTGTGGCCTGGCGCGAACCTGTGGGCGGCCTCACGCGTGCCTCATCAGGCATCGACGCGGCAGAAAAGAAGGCAAACGATGGGGTTGACGTGTCAGGAAGAATATGCACGCACGCATATGCTGCTCGAATCGTGGTTAATCATTTTTCTTTGACGTCCGAGCTGCTACTGCTGGTGTTTCTGCTGGGATTATATCGCATATCTTTTGGTGGGTACGGCTTTTCGGGGCGTCGGCGGATGTGAAACACGGACGTACAGCGTGGGAGACTGGTGCGCTGCGTTGAGATGACCGACGGGCGCGATAAGTTGAGGGAAGCGTAAAAGAATTGAGCGGTCGGCCGCCGAAAGTAAGACATGCTAGATAACCGTTGAAAAAACTCCCCTGTTCTCTATTCTCCGGGATGCGTGTTGGGTTCGGAAGCAGCGAAGTTTGGGGGTATGTTATGTAAGGCTCGGATGAACGTGTAGTTTTTCCCCAGGCTGTCTCCCTTACCCTTGCACCCAACGCAGAATAGTACGGAAATCCTCTCCACTTTGACTACCCCGGGCCCTTCGAGAATGTCTGTGAATGATGACGCCCGTGCTTATCCCACGCGAACCAAGTTAAGGTGCTTACGGTCCGCCGGCGAAATGTCGCAATGGAGCATCAAGCGCGCGCGAAAAGGTCTGTGTCGTTGCTCTAGGGCCATTCTTCCAGCGATCGGCATCTCATCTCATTGGGAGCTCTTTGCTCCGAGGCCGAAGTGCAGGTGTTTTGAAGAAGGGCGGTGCGCACCACCTGCAGTAGCATCGGAGATGAAGGATTCCCGGTGCGACGCGAGTCAGACGTCTGTGTGAAGAATAACTCGATGTGGACTATCAACGGGGCTGGCGGTTGCTCTTGGTGTCAAGAGATCAGGTAACAGTATCTCCTTTGGCCCTAGTATCCGTGGCATGCTCGGTGATGGAGGACAGGAGAGCGTGCAGATGATGGCTGGGGCTGAGACGCTGGCGATAGTGTTGAGATTGGGGCTGGGTTGCCGATGTCCTGGAGGACAGGAGCCAGTGTGCGAGGTACAGAAAGTGGCTGCGTTGATATGGGGCTGTGCTGTCTGCGAAAGTACCACGAAGACGTCACGACAGATGCAGTGTTGCTGCTGGACCAGGTGCGATGGTTTTGCAAGGCGAGTGCAAGAAGGCGAATGATACATTGACCGAGCGTCTATGAGGTATTCCTACCCATGCCAAGGAAACTATGTTTATGGCTTTTGATGATGTTTTGCCCATCCACAGACCAAAGAAAGACGTATCCAGTAAACGCCGGAAGGGTATCAGAGTCCAGCCGAAGCAAAGGAGATTCGTAAAGTGTCCATAGTCCCGCCAATATTCCCATTACCCGTGCTTTTGGTCCCGTGCCTTGTAGTCCCATCCATGTACAGTGGTCGTGATATCGTATCCTCTCAAGCATCGTCCTCTGACTCCTCTTCGACGGTGCACCTCCGCCTCCCGTCTCCGATCTTCCACACGCCGCTGCGATCAACTTCGACGAGACCCTCAGCAATAAGCCACTGTTCGAGGGTTTTGTCTGCATTCCAGTCAGGAATGCCCTGCAGCTTGAGACCGGCTTTGCGGTCCTTCTCTAGGTGGCGACCGACATGCTCAATGCGGTTCTCCCACGAGCTTGGGCCGCTGAAAGTTTCATCACAGAAAAGGCAACGGGACTGAGGGGGCGCGTCGCGAAGCTTCTGGTAGCAACGCGATTGGTGCTCGCCAATGTTCTCTTCGGTGACGGGATACTCTCGTTGGCTGCGAGCACTCTGGTTGGGTGGCGCTGCGTGCATGCGTCGGAGGTGTTGGGTAAAGAGATCCTTGCGGTTGAAGTCGTTGTGGTAGACAGTCCGCTCATCGTGAGGGTCGACAGTCTCGGCACAGAGATCGCAGCGCCAGAAGCCGAGCTTCACATGCTGAGTGCTGACGTGTCTCTTCCATTCGTTCTTGGAGGAGAAAGTCGATTGGCAGCCGTAGTTTGCGAGAGGACAAGGGAAGTGTCGCTGCGCATCCCCGTTGGCTTGAACCTCACTAGAAGCTTTGCTCGCGCTGAGAGAGGCGTTGCCTCTCCCTGCTCTCTTGCTGACTCTGTTGGTTTGGGCAGGCGTCGACGTTGTCGAGCTCTTCCGACCGTGGTTACGGCGTCGCTGGCTCCGCTGACCCGAGCCGCTCGAAGCTGACGATTGTCTGCGTCTGCTTTGTCTGTTCGGTGTATACTCTTGATCAGAGGAATCTTCCTCGCTAGGCTCCATTGGCTGTACCGATTCAGCATCTCGAAGAGAAGTACCAACGCCAGAGTCGGGATAGTTTTTGTAGCTCTCGGGTGCACTATCCGTCTTCACGTAGACAGGCTCCGGTTCGTATCCATTATCTGTCTTCATGTCCACGGCATCGTTCTCTTCGGTGGTTGGCTCGGGGTCCTGATGTTCGTACTCGATGTCGCGAAGACTAACATTCCCACCTGGGAGTGTGAGGTCAGAAGAATATGTTGGCTCATTCAAGCGGTCTGCCGTTGGGTACGGGATAGTAGGTTGCGAGAGCTCTTCTGAACTGCCGTATGGTATGGAGTGAAATGGATGAGGCGAGCGAAGTTCGTTCTCGGTGGCGTGGCTGGAGTACCCAGACTGACTCGATAAACCAGGAGAATTGAATCGAAGCTCTGGTGCAGGCCATTGCCGCTCGAAGGTTCCGAGATGTTGGCTTGAAAGAGGTACGCTACGGTCGAACTTGGCTTGTAGAAGGCCAGGGGTCAGAGGCGAGGTATCGAGGAGGAAGCGCTCCATTGTCTGCAACCGCACCATCGCACCATCATCAACTCCGCTGTAGTCGAAATCTTCCTCTACTCGGAATGGGTGCTGTCGGTACGCCAGAGTATGGTCGTGCGTCCAGGCACCATATTGGTGATCATCTGGGAAAGAGGGGATCTGTGGAAGGTCGCCGTATTGGTGGTACATGGTTCTAGTTGCGTTCTATCTAGGATTCGCAAAGAAGAAATGGCCAAGAAAGTGAGACGGTCTGCTAAGTGGCCTGGGAGCGAGATTCGCGAATCGACAGGGAAGTGTAGCTGTCACAGGAGGTCGGTAAGCCGTCGAAGCTTAAAAGGAATAGTGCGTGAGGAGGAAAACGTACTTTGGAACAGCAGCTTCCTATATGTGGATTACAGCAAGACAGGAGACAGATATATGCCTCTGCCGGAACGAAGCCCTGCGACGCGTTGCTAGTTCACGTAGGGATGAGTGCGACGTGAGTGAAAAGGACGAGTGGGGCGAAGCATTGGTCGGAGGGATGGCTTCTCGAAAGCAGATCAGCCTGAGGTTGCTGTAGACTTGCACTGCCTGCTATTTGTGTGTGGTATACCATGTTCGGAGCCCACATGGTCAACCGCGATTTATGGTGAATACATCGCAGAGCCGCATTCAACTCCGGCCAATCAGATGAGATGGCTCGTGCATCGTCCGATTGTCTGGGGTCCCCTGCAGCTGCTGCATCTCCACTCACCGGTGGGCTCTCGCGCTGCGCTTTGGGACAGCCACCAAGCCTGTACGTGGGCTTCCAGCTCTGGCCTACAAGGGGGAAGGTGGTAGACGAAGCCTCATAAAAAGAAATTACACACGCCCGCGGTCGATCACTGCCATATCGTGACACCCCATGAGCTCGTTCGTGGCTCCGCGTCCCGCGTAGCATGGTTCGCACGCTGGGGTCGGAAACAGGCGCGCGAGGTGAATGCTAAACGAGTGTCCAGGTTCGACCGTTGGGGGCTGGGCCGACGAAGAAGCAACCAGGAGGACAAGAGCAAGCGAGAAACATACCACCTGTCGTCCAGAATGTCCATTGTGAGGCGACGCATAAAGGAGATTGTGAGTTTGTTTGTGTTCCCGCACCTGCATCAGGGCTCCTGGAGAGCTTCCAGGGGTCTGGCGGGTATTGGGTCACCGATGAGAAAGGACGAAAAACAAAGCTGACAGAGCAGCCAAACGTCCCCAATTTGGAAGGGAGAGCGATTGTGGACGGAGAAGGATTGCAGCGAGAGGGGTCGGGGGGTGGTGAGGGTCCGCGGCCATTGGAGCGTCGAGAGCGGAGAAGGGAGCCCGCTCTGAATGGGGCGCAACACCAGGAGGATGCCCTGATTAGGCTCCAAAGATAGGGCGGCGGTGCATCGTTTGCCTGGTCGGACAGTCGTGGCTCGCGAGAGGCCATTGGGTATAGGCAAGTAGCAGGACTGTCGAACACAGTCAAAAGGCGCCTGCGCAGGCTCACTCTGCCCGCTGATCTGTCCTCTCCGCGGTACAAGCACTCATACCACGTTCACCGATCGACCGTCTATACAGACTTGCTAAAGAGCTTTTGGGGGCGTTCCGGGCGCAGACCATGTGCACATTGGGGCCGGGTGCGACCCGCGTGCCGCCGTGTGAAGGACTAGACACCCGACAGCGGGGAAGGTTGTGAGGACACCTGGGCGCCATCCCGAGCCGGTCGGCGTGCTGTCCACTTCGACCCCTGCATTGGCGCTTGGTGTGGGCTCAGACCTGTGGTGCCCGAAGCTGCCACCTCGTCCAGGGCGGCTCTGCTATGGTTGTGGTGGGCAAAGAGTGGTCCTGACTTGCTGTGGCGCTCGTCCTGATACTCTGCTTGCCAAGCCCACCAATGCACCCTCCGGCAGATCCCCAGACTCCTCAGCGCTCAAAATATCATGCCACTCATAGCTACCACAACCTCGGGAACGGGGGATTGGGAATGTCATGAATTTGACTACTTGTTTCGCATGGCCCGAGTGGATCAGGCACAAGGATGCAGAGGAGCGCGGGATGATAACAAATCTGGCTCCTCTCCTGCGGGCAGAGCCGCGCCTCCGCCCGATTGTAGTATGCGATTACAGCGTCTCCTCCCGTCCGACGGAAACCGTCTACTCATGGTGGACTTGATGAAAGGGATCGTCAGCGGGGCGGATTCCGCGGCCCGATTAGCTTCCACCAACAATACCTGACGACGAGGAGTTCCGTCATATGTGGAGCGACGGTGTAGAGCGTCCGAGCGCTTCCGTCTCTGCTGCACGTAATCTACGACGTCAACTTCGCAACCAATCGATCTTCGACTCCGTCCAGTATCCAGCGATGCTCGAGAACCTCTAGGTTCTCAGCTTCATTCAAGAAGAGTTTATCGGGATCCTGTTCGGGACCCATCAGCCCTGCGCCTGGATTCGCCATGGCCATCTGTTGGGTGACCTGATTCGCAGCTGAGGACAGGCATTGTCAGCTCTTCCTGAATGGGCACGCACACGTTAACCGGGGAGCAGTTCACTCACAATTGTTGCTGCCCAAAATAAAATTATAAACGGGCTGAAGGCCAAACAGTGTCAGGAAATACCATGACAAGCTTGACACCCATCTGACGTCCAGATCCCGGGTTCCAACGCCTGACTGAAGCATCGATTTGAACTGAGGCGTGAGGGGGAACGGCAACTTCACTGTAATTGACAACGATTAGCGAGGAAATACGAAGTCGATTGACGGGAGGTGCCGAATAGCGTATCCATGGCCATGGCGAGACCAGAATACGAAGCTTTCAGGTCTGATCGTCCCGCCCGTGCTGCAGCTTTGGGACATGCGGGAGACTCGCAAGCACGATGCGCCTGATTTGAGCGACTTCGTCGCTAGCCATGGGGCGCTGGCGTCCGGTGATGGGCCAGGTGCCGCGACAATCATACGATGAATAAAGGTGGACTCACTTATGACGAAGCCCGAGAAGAACGCATTGATCCAGCCCATGATCAGGGTCTGCGGAATCATCATGGCCATATTTCCCTTCATCATGCCCATCATGCCCTCCATTGTGGCTGGATCCGACATGGGATTCGGTCTAGGCTTGCCTCTCGACTCAGGGTCTGCCAGAAATTTCCCTTCTTGATATGCTGACACCATGTACGCTTTGCGGGCTTGGAAGGAGGTCGGCGACAATACATTCGCGTTGGCTCGCAGGTTAATTCCGCGGACAAGTGCGCGTTGCTGTCGGATCTGGGGGAGGGCCAGCTTCTTGGGCGCGTTCTGAAGGAGGATCATGGCGTAGTGGCGGAGGATGCCTGTCAGGATCTGAGAGCTCGTCAGCAAAGAATGGCGAAGGTGATAGCGAGACCGCGCACCATGACCACGGTGATGGGAAGCAGAATCCACCAGCTGCGGCATTGTAAGCGTTGAATCCGCAGAGACGGCGGCGGCTACGCACAACAAGGCGGGATCCCGATGGATCGTCTGCACCACGGGCTGAGCCATTCTGGCGGAAATAGGCGCGATGAAGGGGCGAGAGGAGGGAAATGCGTGGAAGTAAGGTTGTGGGGATAGATGATGAAAGCTCCAAGCGGAGCCTCATCGGCGGGTTTGGCCGTGACAGGGGTGCCCTTTCTTCCTTGTGAACACCTTGGCCTCCCGCAAGAGCTCCGCACCAACCTTGGAATCTTGCAAGCTCCGAGCAACACCAACACGCTTTCTCCTCTCTTAAAATCAAAATCTCATACCTTCTGCAGTTCGTAGCCTATAATGTCGGCAACCACTAAAATCGCAGTGCATTCGCTGTCCGGTATGTCAACGCAGCCGTCGCGCCATTAACCATTCTAACAGCTCGCAGATCTCAAGAACACGACGGACGATGCGCTGCCAAACTACCTCCACTCTCTCAAGTTCAAGCAGGTTCACAAGCAGACGGACATCCGGTTAGCGCTTGGCTACACCGCCGTAATCATCGCCGGCGCGCTCTTCTACTTTGACTGGAAATTTGGATGGGAAAAGTCCAAGCCGTATACTGCCCCAGCGGTAATAGCATACTTTCTCTTGAACACGGCCTTCAGCTACTGGCTATGGTTTGTCGAGTCGGGCACTGTATATGAGGGAGAGGGCAAGACGGGCAAGGTAAGCTCAGCTGTCCCCATACCTTTACGTCTGCACCATTGCTGACCTCCTCGAAGATCCGAATTGCCACCTGGACGAAGAAGCACATCCCCGTCTACGAGTGCGACGTGTTCTTTACGCCCGCGCCGACCGAGTCCAACCCCCCGCAGAAGATCCGCATCCGTACCCCGTTCACCCGGTGGTTTACTGCGGATGGCTACTTCATCGCTAAGCCCTTCCAACAGTGGCTCGCATCCGAGGTCCCAGTGATTGGTGCGGCCGACCCGAACAATGTCGTAGAGGAAATTGGCCGCGGCAGCGAGACGGAGAGGGTGCTCAACGTGACTGGCAACAACGCAATTGACATCTTGGAGCAGTTGAAGGCTAGCGGCGCAAAGGCGGCACCTGGCAGTGGTAGGAGAAGGAAAGCATAAATTTGCTGTCATGTTCGGAGGAGAGCTAAAATACTGGCGGGCCCTGGTTGTGGTGCTGGAGCATCATAAACGCGGGAAAGGTCGTGGCGAAAGCGCATAACGTGCGGCATACGGAATCAAGCGCGACATGTATCGGAGACGAGGTTCAAGAAAAGCTAACAATTGATGATATCCACTTCCCTCAACAACAATTGAGATTCCTTGCGCTATATGATGAAGGGCAAGGTTTAGGGGATTGCATATTGGTGATGATCGTTCATTGAAGACGCTATATTCCATAGTGCAGGAAGAATCCCAAAGACGTCGTGACGGTGCAACTCCGCCATCATGCCAAAACGACTGAAATGCTCCAATGCTCGTATGCCTTTTGCAATGCGCCATGCTATTAAGCCACTGTTCCTTTGCCTTATGCATTGATACCCCAAAAGTTATCTCCAGCTTCCCGATGCAAGTCATCGACAATCACCTAATGATCTTGTTCCAACAAGGGAAGAACCTCCAACTCCCTTTTGATAATCCTCTCAAACTCTTCCCGCTCAATGCCGGCTGTTCTCGCCAGGCGGAATAAGCTCTTGAGATCGGTGCTTATGTGCTGCTTGATGGCAAGCTCGGCTTGGCTATGGCTCTCTGCCTCTCGCTCCAGTCTTTCGACAGAATTCGAGGACGCGGATGACGACGGTCGTGGATGGTTCAATGCGGCGTATCGATCTTCGTCTATAGACTCGATATGTTCCGGTTTGTCGTCCTGGGGCGAATCTCTCCGATGTCTATTGAACCCGCTTATGCCATTGTCATAGTCACTGGGCCTCTGGCTGGATGTCCCAACCGTCTCGGCAGGTGCTTCGCGGCTGAAATTCAATGAATTGCCATTGAGCGTCGATTCACCAGGCCCAGGACCCTCCTCGTCGGGATCGTGGGCATCCAACGCAGGCTGAACCTCTGATGCGTATCTCGCAAAATACTCGAGCTCCGACTGTGTAGGCCCAATCTGCACCCGGCTAGTTGTGGCAGGTGCAGGAGATCGCTTCTGCTGCGGGGTTCGCCCTGGTGTCCGGTCGTATGCCGCCCAATATGCGTCGTCATCATCCTCCTCGTCCTTCTGCTGCGCTGCCTCAGGCTGCAAGGAAGCGGTGCTCCGGGTTGGAGCTTCACTGGACTTGGTCGATTTCCGCCGGAAGCCAGCCTCGTTTGCCTCATTCATGCTGGGAAACCATTCTGTCCCATCATCTGCGTCTTGAATTCCTCTGAGCTCGGCGAGCTCCCAGCGATCGCCCTTCTCGCCGCCCGTGCACCACAGATACGTGGGTACCAGCCCATATTCGCCCAGTATCAGCCTGGCATGCAGAGTCTCCGGGTCGGAGCGCCGGTAGATGATCTGGTCCGGCTCTTCAACCTCGATCTCGCCGGAAACCGGATGTGGCTCAACTAGTATCTTGTTGACGACCTGGGGCAGCCGAGAGGCGGCCTGGCTGTCCCAGCAGAGCAAGGGCAGCCAGTTGTCGGACGAGAGGAGCTGGACTCGCTGGCGTAGAATGGGCGACAGCAGAGGAAGGAGCGCTGGGGGCGGTTGCTTGGAGACGCTTGCGGTGGCCAGGCACGCCAGAAGCGGAGGCAGGAGCTCTCTCGAGTTGGGAGCCGGGATGTGCTGGCCGGGCATCGTGGGCTATCGTACGCCGCCGTCTCTGGTGGAGCACGATCGAGCGTCTGGTCGGCGGCTGAGGGTATTGAACCCTGCGCGCTCCTCTTGTCTCTGCCCGGGCGGCGTGATGTCCTGCGACGAGCGCAGTGTGTGCGGGGATGCGGTGTCGGAATGAGACCTGATGGCGCGCCTAAGTAGTCCGGGCGGCTTTTTGGAGGGCGACAGATGGCGAGGAGTTGAGGGGCTTCGTAAAGCACTCAATGGCGAATATTTCTCAATCGCGGAACGCTCCTGGTGTCCGCGAGGTCTGGTGATGCTGTCACATGCAAACGCGAGCGGTGACGCAGGCAAGCTAGGATGCGCTGGGCGCTGCTGGTGTCGCGAGGCAGGTAGAAGCTCAAGTCAGAGATGTTGGAGACAGAAGAGGGAGAAGAAGAATAATGGGAGACCCGGTGTCTCTCCATGGCGGCCACCATGGCTTAGAGTCCGGTGGGTGGTTCGTCGCGACGCCTAGTTTCCTTTAACCCGATGGACCAGGGTCCAGTTGACTTCCGCGTCGGTCGCACCTGCCGCCCGCGCGCAGCTCCCCATTCTCGCGCGGATAAGGTTAAGCGTTAGGAGCCTCACGCCCGTTCATCTACCAGAAGAATCTTATTTCTACTTCACAGCGTCACAATCTATCACGATATGACTTTGCTATGAGCGCCTCCTTTGGCCCAATCCGCGGAAATACCCACGGAACGGGCATCAACACCGCCGGGGCTCCGTAACCTCTACATATCGGTGCTTATCCACACACCCAGCCCTGAAGATCTGGAGGCCAGATCTGATGGCGAACAGGAGCATCGCCATCGCGAATGCCGTCTCCCTGGTCGCGCAGCCTCCGTTCTGACTTGCAGCTTGCTAAGACTTTGCTGACCAGCCTTCCTCCCGTCATTCGACTCATCAATGGCATACCTCTTGGGCTATCCTTCAAGCATCTTGCGGGAATGTCACATTCGCGATGCAGTTGCAGCAAGCACGTCAAAGGCATGTTGGGATGACCTTAAGTGCCACCACCGCAGTCCGTCAAAAGCTAATATCCGAAAGCAAATCTTTCCAACCCTGTTGAGTAGGAGGTACCGTTTAGCCCCTAGAGACCATACCTGGTCTCTCTCGACGCCCTTTTCATTTCAATGGGTGGCATACAGCCGCTCGGAAGCGTCGAAACGACTGGAGAGGCTGACGAACGAAACATTGCCATGTGCATGGGGAGGTCTCTGCAGGGACTATCAAGGACCGTCTAGATTCCTGCGATGCACTGGGGACTGTTTCACAACTCCAAGCAGCACATGGAAACTCTCAAACGGAACGGCCACCTGCGTACGAGCCTCAGTACCGCACGGTAACCTGCTGCCGTTCAGGGAGCTAAACATGGGAGGCTTGACTTCTTCTTCGGCAGGTGTCATTCTCGGTCATCGACAAGAAGCCCGCAATTCAATATTGGTATGATCCAACAAGCCCACCTGCAGAAGCATCTCCACAATCTAACGGCGTTGGTGCAAACATGGGGCTAGCTTACTAGCTTGAGTAATATGAGATCATGGGGATCAAAGCATGCAGCAAGCCCCCTGCTGCGAAGCAAAGTCCTATCTTGACTGTGTTGTTTCGGGATGGGAGTCAGAGAACTGGCTGGGCTGGCTGGGCGCACTGATACCTGCCGTGATCATGGAGAGTTGGGTATATCCGGGCTCGCTCTCCACGCTCTGGCAATTTGTCAGACGCAGCTTCCAAGTCTCCTTTGGGAACTTCCGCACATCTCATGTCCGTAGACATGGAACGGCCGTTACGCTGTGCCTCGAGAGAAAGAGCCGCAGCACAGTCAGCACATGTACCAGCCATAGAGAAGCACCTATTGGATGTCACGCTGCATGAATGTGGCGGCTTCCGAGGCAGAACTACGGGATGGCTATTTTTGAGAGAACAACTACTCGCCAACGCTAGACTCAAGGTTCTGATTTCAGCATGTGGTCTGGATATATACGAATGGCAGCTTAACGTGGCCACTACAGTACTTCGAGCCGCTCAGGAGCCCCGCCTCTAGCGCTCGGGAGCCTTCCCGGCTTCGGCTCTGAGGCAGACGGCGAAGCGGGTGCCGGACTCAGAGCGCTGCATCGAGCCGGGCTGAGAAGCTTGAGAGCTCCGAATACCGCCAACAGAGCCCACGGAGCGGACGCGCATTGTGCGCGGGCGGGTTGCGACGTACCGTGGCCAACAACTACCTAAAATCCATCTCGGAAGAATTCCTCCCACACAGCGCATGCGCGGTTGAGTCTCCCCAGGCAGTCGTCTACGGAGAGCTTGGCCCAACTTTATATAGCACCCTCGGCACGCGTGCGGGCGGCTAAGCGCGAGCTTGCGCGTTCACGCGATGGGCCAGCTTTCGATGCGTCTCCTGAGCCCTTCAACGCGCTCAGTGAGCTCTTCACGGCCTTAATTGCAGCACGAGGGACCAACAGCCCAAATTAAAGAATATCGGACGTCTTCCGCGATAATCACGATATCGAGCGCATAGCCACTCTGCCACTGCACGCCCCCGTCCGCTGCCCCTGTTCTCGCTTCATCCAAGCCTGAGGCTGTGCTCCGTGTCGCAAATCTGCAAATCTGCCTCGAGTCGCAAGTTAAGCTCGCAGTGCCATCTCGTCATCGCGCTTGATCTCGACCAAGCTGCGTCCGAAGCCCTTCAACCGCGCTGTCGACCTGCCAAACGTCGCATCGCCAGTACCCACATCACGCCTCGCGCGCTCAGAGCGTCCGCCTTGGCAACTCTCAGCCCTCCGACCCGTCTTGGAACTTGGGGAGTGCGAGCAGTCAGCCTTGACCGGTGCCTCGAATTCTCCCTCGCTGCTGCGGCTGGCCATCGCTCGCAGCAAAACCTCACGCCTCACCCGCCAGTGCTCTCGTCGACCAAGAGTTCCGCGCCTGGCTCGCTCGCCCTCATTCCAGGACCTTCATCCCCGAACTATCGCGGGGCACCTCATCCCGTGAAGGACTGGCACTGCCCATTAGCCTCTGCGGCTGTCTAGCATCCTTGCGCGAGGCGAATCCTCCATCGCAAGCCTTCATCAGTCCAACGTCTCTCTCCCGACCGTTGCTGCGATATTTCCGCCACCCTCTTGCTATCTCGCCATCTCGCCATCGTACTTGCTCTCTAACGCGTCGCGACGCTCGCCGGCCTGTCTCTTTCTTCCTTCCCTTCCCGCCATCACAGAGTCTCCCTGCTAGGCTGCCAGGCAGCACTATGGCTCCCTGAAGAGCAGACACCCAAGTCACGTTACTTTCGGTTCCTTGGGTTTGGACCCGATTAATTCGGATCCTTTGTCCATTGCCGCCTTCCCTTTCGCGCAGAGTCGCTCCCAATTCTGCCTTCCGGACCCGCGTAATCCCAGATGATGCATACCGTCGACGCCCGCACGCAGGCCTTCAATGGCCAGCGTCGCGAGCAGCGCCACCCTAATGATGGATCAACAAACAACTTTCTCCCCGCTTCGTCTGGAAACTTTCTCCTTCCAGATGCCCAAGGCCAGTTCACTTTCTCCGCAGAGCCGGCCTCTATGCTGGACTATGGTTCGATGACCACCACCGCCGGCCAGGACTCTGTCTTCACTCCAAATACCAGCTCCTCTTTCGATTCCTCTTTGCACCCGGATGTCATCAATCAATCCTACCCTCCCGCCAACGCCTATATGCAGGCGCAGAACTACAGCCTTTCTCCTGGAACACATAGCCGCAACGGTCACAGCATCTCGCCCTCACATTCGATAGACCACCTGAGCCCAGAGACTGGATACATGAGCGATCCGAATTACCAGGATCTCAGCAATTACACGACCCCAAGCTTTAACGGCCAGTATTTAGACGAGTCGTTCTCTCAGCTCAATTTCTCAGAAAACGTTTCGCCCAACGCTTTTCCTCAATTCCAACAAGAAGTGGACATGTCTCTCCTAACCAGCAACTCCCTGGCTACGTATAATGCCCAGCCGTCTCAGCTTCCAAACAACGCTCGCCTGGATTCACACTCTCAATTGCTGTCGCCCTGTCCCACCAACAACTCCAGTCCCATCGTTACCGACGAAACGTCCAGGAACGTAAATTATTCGGGGATGCAATACGCCGGGCAAGAGTATAATCCTTCCTCGACGCCACCTAGTCGCGCAAACCAACCACAACAGTCAACACCAAGCAAGCAGCAACAACATAGTCCCGCCTTGACGAACAGTCCCGGGAACGTAGCACTTGCGAATCCGCAACCTCGCGCGTCACACCTGGCCAGCCCTATTGTGCGTGTCGAAAATTACGGCGGCAGAGACTCGCCTTCGCCATCCGATGTTAGTAGGCCGGTGAGCAAGCGCAGCCACGGCAGTCGCCGCTCGGGGAATCACCTCTCGCCTTTCCCAAATGACGAATCATCTGACGACGACCACGACGACTCACAGGAGAGGGTGCGGGTGCAGCCTGTTGTTCGCAGCACCGAACGCAACGAAGACGGTTCTTGGTTGACAAGCCCTGCATCTGGGCAAGCCGGGCTCAGCCCAGACGATCGACAAGCGATGGGAGAGGCGTGGGTGCCAAGTATCGAAGAAATCGCAGAGCGAAGATTAAAAGAGGAGAAGAAGCACGAAGTACAAGAATGGCTTTCAAAGAGCGAGGTTGGTAGTGAAGCGGGAGACGGAGGTGCTTCAACCAGCCTGCTCAAACCCTTCTCGACGAGGCGCCGGGCAAAGAGCACGAATGATGCTCATCGTCAGCCATTCAACGGAGCATTTGGCCTCGGTGTGCGCACCGACTTTGACCGCATCGATGACTCCGGGATTCCTGGACCTGGACGCTATATCGATGAGCGGAGCGAATACGACGACTACGAAGATGAGGACGACGAGGACTACGAACCCGAATCGCCACCTGCAGAGATAGATGTCGCAGCCAATGCGGACAATGACAATTCTTACTTCCCTCCGCTAGAGCAGGGGCCCGTGGTTGGTGCTAATGTCCGACCTTGGGTTGATGTACCCTCGCAACCATCGGCATCTTCAACACGTTACCAGCCGCAAACTTCGAATGCTGCCATGATGCGCTTTCGCTTACGAGCAAAGAACGTTGAGACGGCGTCGCTTGCTGCTACTGTCGGGTCGCGGCGTCTCAGCGAGTCCGATTTGGGAAGCATCAGGGCCGCGCCCGGCGTCATCAAGGTCATCGAGCCGGATCCGAAAAAGCACAAGGAAAGGCAACGGCGGCCAAGTTTCTTAGAGAATATCCTCCCCATACGTGCACCTAGCAATCTCTTGAAGCGGAAAGGAAGCATTCCCGTGCCTCAACCTGAGGCCGAAAAGGCTAAAGAACCCGTCATGGAAAAGCCCAAGCGGATGGGTAGTTGGGGACGCCCAAAGTCACCCAGACTAGATACTAGTGTTGCAAACCATGGCAGGGATATTGGTCCTCCTAGTTCTACGGGTCTCTCAGCCACATCTGGTACATGGTATCAAGGTGCCAAGGCTGCAATTAAACGAAGCAGGAGTAGGAGTGATTTAGGCAAATCACCCGGACTCGCTGAACTCATGACTCAACACGGGGGCCCGCCCATGCCTATGCTTGCTTCGCCACTGGCGGAGACTGAGGCCACAAAACTCTCCCCACAGCCGAGTCCCGCGGGAGATGATGATGACGACGACGCTCAAGAAGCAGTGACGATGGATCTCAAAGTCCGTTCTGACCCGATCATTCCCACGTACGAAGGGTTCAAGACACATGCCCGACAACTTAACCCTCGTCTGACGGACTACATGGTCGAGCGGATCACACAGGAGCAAATGAGACGATATAAGCGCCTGCTTGAGTTCAGAGTCAAGCATCTTAACGCTGTCAAGAACCGGAACTGCGCATCAGGCAAGTTCTGTACAGATCTCGGTGGCGAGTCGAAGCAGCTGCCTCCGCGGGCGGGGAATAAAGATTCTGATGCACCTTTCATCGGCTTTCAGATAACAGCGCCAGGTTCATCAGATGAAGATGGCGAGCCTCCTCCAGAAGGAACAGTCGTCTCCGCACAATTTCCCCTTGGTGTACCACTTCCTCCCGTCAAGCGCCTACCCGCCGAGTTCGAATGCCCTCTGTGCTTCAAGGTCAAGAAGTTCTACAAGCCATCCGACTGGACGAAACACGTTCATGAGGATGTGCAACCGTTCACCTGCACCTTTCCAAACTGTGGCGAGCCGAAATCTTTCAAGCGCAAAGCCGACTGGGTCAGACACGAGAATGAACGTCACCGACAGTTGGAGCACTGGACGTGCCAAATTGCCGATTGCAATCATACTTGCTACAGGAAGGATAACTTCGTCCAACATCTTGTTCGAGAACACAAGATTGCCGAGCCGCGGCAACGGACCGTCAAGGGCGGGAATAAGGACATGCCAGCCAATGCAGATACAGGTACGGGACAGCATCCCTTCCCATGATTGCGGCTAACGAGATTGTAGATGACATATGGAGCCTTGTTGCTAGATGCCGACGCGACACGACGAAACAACCCAAGGACGAGCCTTGCCGGTTCTGTGGCAACATTTGCAACAGCTGGAAGAAGCTGACGGTGCATCTCGCTAAACATATGGAGCAAATCAGCATGCCTATTCTCCCGCTCGTTGAGCAGAAGCAACTAAACGCCGACACCATCATCAGTCCCGTTGTCGAGATGCCTGAGAGCCGCAAGCTATCCGCGACTCCCAACCGATCGCCCGTGGACAATCCATCTCGATATAACCCGAACTCCACACTTGCGCCCGGTATCGACCCATCCTTTGGACAATACCCTTCTGAGGCGGCTGCAGGGGTCGCTTCCAATGTCATGCACACCTATCCGCCCCCACAGATGGTGGCATACAAGAACCAAGCGCAAGCTCAGAAGGGCAATTACGCCAATTATGCGGTGGAGAATGCGCAGACTTACACGGGCAGAACCTACCCTGGGCTCCAAGAACCTGCAAAGGTACGCGGTGCTTATGTCAACAATCTCCAGATACCCAATCAGCCGTACCATAACGGCAATATGCAAAATGGACCAAATCGGTTTCCAATGACACCCGTGTCAGCAGTTGGGCAACAGCAGGCCGTATTCACCCCATCTCCAGTCGACACGACGCCGTATTCCACCGACACGCTGGGATCAACGTACTTTACGCAAGAACCGCAGAATATGTCAACAAGCGGAATGCCGGACGTGGGCTTCGATGCGGGAAACACGATGCAGTTCCAGCCACCTTCGGCGTACCAGGAGATGGCGTACATGACGGCGCATCAGCAGAACTACCAGTTTCAGGGACATTAGGTGAAGCAGCTGGATGATGTTCGTTGGCTCCGCTTGCATCGCACTTGAGTAGAGGGACACCGAGGACATTACTTTCGCTTGATTTTTGTTTGTGTTGATACATGTTTTCTTCTCGTTTTGATATCCCCCAGCGCACAAGGAGTCCTGTTGTAGAAGGTTATTGGTCTATGGTTTATCTGCTTTTTTAGCTGGAAGGGCGCGGAATGGATTTGGTCTGAACGACTGATGACGGCCGTGGACGCATATCTGGCGTTCTCACCTTCGCTTACGGCATCTCTTTCTCGCATTTACACGAGTCCGGCGACTGTACTTTAGAATGGGATCAGTGCACACTCTACTGTCCTCTCCGCTCGCATTGCTCTGGGAAGCGATGCAGCCTCCTCCTCATCCCAGATCCTTGAGGTGCGCCTGAGCGGTTGCAGCGTCTTGCGGGTGGCGATTGGCCAGAGGGCAAGTGTTGGCGCAGTCGACGCCCTGCACCGGGAGGCATACCATAGGCCGAAAGGGGCAATTGTGACTGCGGGCGTGGCAGCTCAGGCTGTGTTTCCCCGTGCGATTGGACGGCTGGGCTTATATCAGCGCGGTCCTGGTGAGATGAGATGCGGAGGTCCCTCTTGATCGATGCATCGCGATATTGCCCGCTGTCGTACTGAGTTGTCGGCGACCGGCCTGGGATACGGATGCGGTATTGATTGCAGGACTGGGTGTGCGGCGGCGCCTGCTGGAGGACTATCGCAGCGTCGGCAGGCGTGCTGGCGATTGGCGGGCGCTCGAAGGGAGGACGCGGGCACAGCCACGCAGAAGCTCGTCTAGTGCTGTCTGGTGAGGTGTGCAGGTGGGTGTGCAGGTGTGGTGGTCCTCCCGCGACCTTCTGCGAGCCGCTTGGCGGCCGGCGGTTGGCGGTTGGCGGGCACTAACTCCAGGCAGCAACAGGGCAAACCTTTGCCTTGTGCCCTCTGGCCAGCGGAGGCCGCCCTTTGCGCGCAATCTGTCGCTGCATTCGCGACCAAAGCAGCTAGAGAGCCTCACTCCTCGCATATCATGATGCCACTCCGTCGGCGCACGCCCTCTGCGCCCGAGTCCTGACGGCTTTTCGACCTTCTGCCCGGCTTCGCGAGCATCCCGCAACACCTAGCCCGTATCCTACACCGGCAGCCCGTGTGTGGGACAGCGTCCCTCCGAGGCCCTTCACCGGGACTCGCCTCTCGAATCAGCGTCAGACGTGCTACAGTCGTCAGCGCACGGGGCGGTGAGCCGCGCAAGAGGAATACTAATGCAACCACCTTGCGCATTCGACCCTCTGTGAACCTCCTCCACTCCGCTGAGGCGAACTATCAGGCACAAGGCTGAAGGCTGAAGGCTTCCCTCCAAACCACGTAGGTCCACCCAGCTTTTGCTCCGTTTTCCATCCCAGCCATCCACCCGTTTCAGAATACCATATTTCTGTTTTGGCCAGGACCATCCTCGGGACTGGCAGGGGCAAGCACCTGGCCTGCTTGTTGGCCTGAGGCAGCATCGCTGACGTCTGCCAGACCCAGACATGTCACAGCCCAACAGCTACCCCGCCTTCAACTTCAACGAGACTGTGCGTATAGCCCTATGCTATCATGCTCTCACGCTCGCCGTATAGTAACCATCCTAGTACTTCGACCCGCAGTCGTCGCAGGTCAGCAATGCATCCTTCCCACAATGGAGTTCGCAAGCGTCGAGGCCAATGGGAAATGCTCCTAGCCCCTCTCCAACCGTCCGGACCACCATGACTGCACCTAATCCGCGCTCTTTTAACCGCCCAAGCATGAGCCAGTCCAGTATCCTCCCGCCGGAGAACAGGATCGACCCCAACCTTTCTAGTCTTTCATTTCTCAACGTGCCCTCGGCTGGTCGGCCTCGTTCAGCCATGGACAATGCCAATAGCATGGATTCGGTATCGTCGCGTATCTATGGCGGCAGTCACGATGAGCCGTGGAATCCCTTACGGATGAGGAACCAGAGCGTCACTGCTAGTCGCCCTTCCTTTCCATCCACGACTATGAACTACGGGACCCCGTACCGCAGCGGCCCCGGATCAGACATAGCCAGATCGGACTCTGGATACTATACCCACCAAGCTCATTCAGTCATAAGCAATGAGCCAGAGCGTGTCAATCAGGAACTTTCGCCTAACATCGGCTTCCGAATGGGCAACATGAATGTCAACTCTGCATCTAGCGAGCCGACAGACGTCTTCCCAATGCAATCCGATCAAGCGTCACAGTATAGCGGCCGCAGCGCTGCAAGTCAAAGTAAATCTCACAAGTGCCCACAATGCAAAGAAATGTTCAAGTGTCGGTCAGACTTCAAGTGCGTATTAGAAGGCGTCTAGTATAGACAGGACACTAACAGTCAATGTAGAAAGCATATGCTCAAACACGAGAAGCCGTACAGATGCGATTTTCCGAATTGTCGGCGCGCCACCGCGGGAAAAGGCTTCACAACCGTCAATGATCTCGCGAGACACAAGAAGAGCGTCCATCGCGTTGGAGTTGAGAAGGATTCCTATCGATGCGCCTCTGAGCACTGCAGAAATCGCGAGAAGATTTGGCCTCGTCTGGACAATTTCAAGCAGCACATCTCCCGCATGCACAAGGGCGAGGATGAGCAAGACTTGACCCGCAGGTATGCCGATATACAGTGCGCGTATATCTACGGATTCTGATATGTGTAGGTCTCAATGGCAGGGCCCGGTGTATGCTGCGCCCAACGCCGATGCATTGTCAGTGGCTCCGATGGATACCACACTTGCCGGCATAGGCACGGAGAAGCAGTTTGCCGGTAATGAGCTTGTTGATCCCAACTCCGGAATAAGCTTAACCCCAGATCAGGACTCTAGCCTTTGGAACTCCTTCGATCCGAGCGCTCAAGAATTCGCCCTGGACGTAGACCGAGCGAATACAAGCGCGGACGGTCAAGGATCCAGGAAGGCCAGCAACGGATCCGGATATAAAGCCGCCAGCCAGCCGTCCGCCTCCCGCCCGAACCCAAACCATGCAACCCGGCCTCGACAGGATTCTCTCAGTGTCCTTGCAGATGTTGCGTCCACTCAGCCTTCTCCGGACAAACCGGCTCCTCAATCCCGTCGTCAACTATCCAGCGCCCCTCAAACCAAGGCCGAGCAGCAAAGACAAGCCCTGCAGAATTTCTCAAAGGCGGCGGCCAGCGAGAGCGCCCCTCAAAGCAATGCCGAGCGGCAAAGAGAAGCTCTGCAGAAGTTCTCCAAAGCTATAGCTAGCGAGATCCAGAACGCACACTCCACAGACTCGTTAGACCTTGAGAACGTTGTCTTACGTGTTCTTTACGGCGCTACCAAGCAAAACAGGAAGGACGTCCATCTATCAAATCCCCCTCAAGGGTCTGTCACCAACACAGGCTCTGTTGATGATATGGATACGGACATTACCATGACAAAAGCCGAAGCGTTACGCGCCTCTCAAGCAATATCCAACCTCATCAAGCAAAGCGGGAACCCTCCATTCTCCAACCGTCCGCGGCGACCCTCAAAAGGATTCTCTCCCAATGGGCAAACCTGCCAGAAGTGCGGCACTACGCTCGCGCGCTCTTGCGATATGAAAAAGCACATGAAGCGGCACACTAAACCCTATGGCTGCACCTATCCCAAATGCCACAAGCGCTTTGGGGCCAAGTCAGACTGGAAGCGACATGAGAACAGCCAGCACTTCCAACTCGAATCATTTCGCTGCCAGCTGACTTGCCCGTCTTCTCAAACACCCTGCGGCGAGCTCTTCTACCGTGCTGAGCTGTTCAAGGCTCATCTTCAAACGGACCACAAGGTGGTCCAGCAGGAGCAGCTCGCGCATGAGCTAAAAGCGCGAAGAATAGGCAGGAATGGGCAGGGGCAGTTCTGGTGTGGCTTCTGTCAACAGATTTTGCGATTAGAGAAGAAGCGAAACGCAGCATGGGACGAGCGATTTGACCACATCGACCATCACTTCACAAAGGAGAACAAGAGCATTGAGGACTGGTTGTGTGTAGAGGCGAAGAAGACGAAGGGTGATGTATTACGCGAGATGGACAAAACGAGCTTCGATGAAGAGGACGCAGATGATTACGGCGTTGGGACGGATGAGAGCCCTCCTCCAACTAGGGGTGAAGCAAATGATGCGCCCGGGCAACCGCGACCACCAGAGCAATCCTCTTCAGCAGCAATGCCGGCTCCGCCCTCGACCTCTCAAAACGCAGGCCAAAGCCAAAGGAAAAGATCAGCTCCCGCAGATATCGTCGCTTCGCCTCCGGCATCGAAACGCCGGAAGAGAGACGTCAATCGCTACTGTGTGAGTATTGCTCCAGTCCGGCTCAGAGACCACTAGTGCTGACAGACTACAGTGCGCATGCGACAATGGTCCTTGGCCTAGCCATACTTACATCGACTGCGTGGCCTGCGGCCATCACCTTTGTAACAGTTGTACGGTGGTTGGTTTTGTGCGGCCGGAAGTGGGCATGATGATGAGTTAGCTTTGCAGTTTGGAGTGGAGCAACTTTATCTTAAAAGACCCAGTAGATATGCTTCTTGATAATCAATTTTGCTGCATTATTGACTAGTTCGCTCTATGTACTTTTCGAGTTCGACAGCCCTGGAGGTGAATCTTAGTGCACGTGCGCGTCTTGGCATATCGGCTAATCGTCGGAGTGGACCCCCAGAAGTTCACAGGTGTCAAGTAGCTCAGAGAGCTTCGTGACGCGGCCTTGCGCGCAACGTCTTCCCTTCTTTCTTTAACTCTCACGCTTTCAAGATGGCTTCCGCAGAGGACAGCCAGTTTTTAAAGCAGGCGAACAGCCGGAACACTCGGGGCATGCTCCGAGTGATCATTCTGTGTCTGATTGCAGGCGCAGCTGTGTCCAGCCGTCTGTTCTCCGTCATCCGCTTCGAAAGTATCATCCACGAATGTTAGTGCTCCAATGCGCCTTCTAGTCCATCAATTGGCTAACGAGAGGCTATATAGTTGATCCCTGGTTCAACTTTCGAGCGACAAAATACCTCGTCCAGAATGGCTTCTATAGTTTCTGGGACTGGTTCGACGACCGTACGCACGCCTCCTCCGCAGTCCCCGTCCTCCCTGCATAGCATTAAGAACATACAATTGACACATGGGTAAACAGGAACATGGCACCCTCTCGGTCGAGTTACCGGCGGTACCCTCTACCCCGGGTTGATGGTCACCAGCGGCGTCATTTACCACGCCCTCCGCTTCCTGGCGCTCCCTGTCGATATTCGCAACATCTGCGTGCTCCTCGCACCCGGCTTCTCCGGTCTTACCGCACTCGCAACTTACCTCTTGACCTCCGAAATGGTCACTTCGCCGTCCGCCGGTCTCCTCGCCGCTGCTTTTATGGGCATAACTCCCGGCTATATCTCGCGTTCGGTTGCTGGAAGCTACGACAACGAAGCCATTGCTATCTTCCTGTTGGTCTTCACCTTCTTTCTCTGGATCAAGGCTGTCAAAGAAGGATCCATGTTCTGGGGCGCTCTGACTGCGCTGTTCTACGGATATATGGTGTCTGCGTGGGGTGGATATGTCTTCATTACGAACTTGCTCCCGCTGCACGCTTTCGTTTTGATCTGCATGGGAAGATACAGCCCGCGACTCTACGTCAGCTATACTTCATGGTATGCGCTTGGAACGCTTGCCAGCATGCAGATTCCGTTCGTCGGCTTCTTGCCCATCAGGAGTAGCGAGCACATGTCTGCGCTTGGTAAGTAAAAATGTTCGAGAGATGCTCTTGCAATCGCTGATGACTTTAGGCGTCTTCGGTCTCGTCCAATTGGTCGGCTTCGTCGAGTACGTCCGCGCTCAGCTCCCGAGCAAGCAGTTCCAGACCCTCCTCCGTGCCTTGGTCGTCATTATTTTCGCGGTGGCTGTTGGAGGCCTCGTGCTCCTCACTGTATCCGGCGTCATCGCACCCTGGACTGGCCGCTTCTACTCGCTCTGGGATACCGGATATGCCAAGATCCACATTCCCATCATTGCCTCCGTGTCTGAGCACCAGCCTACCGCATGGCCGGCGTTCTTCTTCGACCTGAGCATGATGATCTGGCTCTTCCCGGCCGGTGTGTACATGTGCTTCCGCAGACTGACCGACGAGCAAGTCTTTATCGTCATCTACTCCGTCCTAGCCAGCTACTTCGCCGGCGTCATGGTCCGTCTTATGCTCACCTTGACTCCTATTGTCTGCGTCGCATCCGCAATGGCTTTCTCACAGATTCTGGATACCTATCTGGATGCGCGGACTCCCAAAGCGCAGGCCAAAGAGAATGGTAGCTCAGAGCCGGCCAAGGTCGCAGTTGCGGCAGTCCTCCCAGACGGGCTCCGATCGACGCGAAGCCCGCTTGTCGGTATCTACTCGTATGCCTCTAGGCTGACCGTTGTCGGAGCATCTATCGTCTACCTCATGCTTTTCGTGCTTCACTGCACATGGGTTACTTCTAATGCCTATTCTTCTCCCTCTGTCGTGCTTGCTTCCCGACTTCCCGATGGCAGCCAGCACATTATTGACGACTACCGAGAGGCATACTACTGGCTCAGGCAAAACACACCGGAAAATGCCAAGATCATGTCATGGTGGGATTACGGTTATCAGATTGGTGGTATGGCCGACCGGCCGACGCTTGTTGATAACAACACGTGGAACAACACGCATATTGCCACTGTGGGCAAGGCCATGAGTTCAAGAGAAGAGGTCAGCTATCCGATCATGCGCCAGCATGAAGTTGACTATGTCCTTGTCGTTTTCGGTGGTCTCCTCGGCTACTCGGGCGACGACATCAACAAATTCCTCTGGATGGTCCGTATTGCCGAGGGTATCTGGCCTGAGGAGGTCAAGGAGCGCAATTTCTTCACGCCACGAGGCGAGTACCGCGTGGATGACGAGGCCACGCCAACGATGAAGAACAGCTTGATGTGAGTGAGGCTCGTGCGAGCGCAGGACGCTGTTGCTGATTATGTCGCAGGTACAAGATGTCGTACTACAACTACAACGCGCTTTTCCCTGCCGGGCAAGCAACGGACCGTGTCCGTGGAGCGCGACTCCCCGCGGAAGGCCCCAAACTCAGCACCATTGAGGAGGCCTTCACTAGCGAGAATTGGATCATCAGAATCTACAAGGTCAAGGACCTCGATAACTTTGGACGCGACCACCAGAGCGCCGTGGCATTCGACCAGGGCCACAAGAAGAAGAAGACAACGAAGAGGAGAGGTGCACGTGTTTTGAGGGTTGAGTGAACGTGGGAGAATTGAGCGCATTTCCATAGTAGATTTTGCACTGTAAAAGTACCCGGACGGTTGCTTGGGTGGGCGGGCGTTCTAGGACCTTAAAAAGAAAGATAGCTCCCACCCATTTCCCTGCCATGATTCCGGGCTGTGAGACATGAAGACGGGATACAGGAAATTGATTGAGACGAGCACGGGTGTCAGAGATTGGTAAAGGTATGACTCTCTGTCTTGCAATGGCGGCATCGTGATCGGTGCTCGAGGCTCGCGCGAGGCAGCGACCAGAGCACGGTCACTCACTCTTTCACCGCATCCTTTCGTAGACCGCTCAACCAGCCAATCTCTTTCGTCTGCTCTGTCGACTGTGCTTCTGCCTCACCTTCCAGCTCTCGACTCTCCCACTCCTCCGTCTGCAAAACACGGCACTCAAACGTTTTCTTCGTCCCACGGCTTGCTCCCGCCCGCGCCTTCCCCGCCGCCAACATGGCGAGCGAGGAGCAGCGGCGCGCCTTTGCTGAATACATGGGTAACACGGCGGCCGCTGCCAATCAGGCCGGTGCTGGCCAACAGATGCAGAATCCTTATGCCGCTAATCCCTATGCCGCTGCTCAGCAGTATCCCGGCCCAGGCTTCTCTTCTGTGTGAGTGCTCTGCCTCTGTTCCCCCATCTTTTGCGAGACAGCCATGGCTAATACGCTCTGCAGAAGCACTCCTCCCGCGGCGTTCCAGTATCCCCTCGATTTTGCTGGCGACGCGCTCGCAAAAGCATCTGTGTCTAACAAGCTCCAGTTCCCGCAACGGGTCCCTCCCGCGGCGCCGACACCCCCAGCTGCCGCGTCGGCTCTTCCCGCGTCGAATCAACAGCAGCAGCTTGGCTATCCTATGCCGCCGCCGCCAAGGCCAGGAGGCTACGTCGACCTGCCGCGAAATTATAACGCTCCTCCGCAGGACCAGCAGGCGGCAGGGTACAACGTGGGTTTCCAGTATATGAACTCGAATGGGCCGCCCCAGCCACAGGTAAACAGTGGTACTTCTACTGCGATAGCGCCGGTATGTAGACGCTGCATGGGACTGACATTGGCATCGTTTAGCTGACTGACGAGTGCAGGTGAATGCGCCAGGACAGGTTGCCCATCCCCGGCCGCAGGAGACGACGGAGCATCATTACCAGCGACACGCCTACGAGGGCCCCTGGCCGCCTCCAGACATAGTACCAATGCCTGGAGCGCAGCGCGTAGTATCCGATCCAGCAGTTCCCGTCATGGTCTGCCATACCTGTAGCGAGTGCGGCCGATTACGCTCAGCCGGTTACCATCGCCATCATCCGACCGTGCCTGGCCAGCCCTTGGTTCTCTCCGCATGTAGGAGATGCAAGAAGAAAGCCAAGAAAAAGAAGGAGAAGCAATCCGCGCAGAGCTATACCAGCGTCGATTATCCTGACAGGACTATTCGTATCGAGATCAACGATGGCGAATCTAGAGGAAGGGCTCGGGATAGGGTTCATGTGGTCAGGTATCGCTCGGCTACTCCTCCTCCCACTCGGACCGCGGTGAGGAGCCGTAGCCAGGTGAGGGTGGCACTGCGTGATTCTAGGGAAGAGCGCAGCCCGCCGCCGATGTTGAGAAGGAAGATACGGACGGAACCGCGCGTCTCCTCCCTCAGCCCGCCTCCAGATTATGTGCGTAGTCGCCGCTATAGGTCGGATGAGCCATATCCAGCTCCCGAACCCCAGACTCGTTATTATAGGGAGAGGATCGTCCAGTTGAGCCAGTCTCCTCCAGCAGACCGCTCAAGGCCGACTAGGTTCGTCTATCAGAACGAGGATCATGAGGAACCTGTTCTAGACTATCGACCTCGCAGTCTCTCTCCTGTCCCTGTCCGCGTCCGGCGGGAGCGTCGGAGTACCGAAGCAGAAAGTCGCCTTGCATCTCACCCTGCGCCATTTCGAACTGTTCTTCCGGAGCATCGATCCTTCATGAGAGGCTCAGAAGAAAGTATTTCGACCGAGGATGCACCGCGCCATCCAGCTTCGCCGCCGCCGCCGGGGATTCTCAGACCTTCGCGAAGGGAGCGAGAGCCATACCCGCGCCAGATGCGGCAAAGCCACGAGAGTACCATGGTAGAAGTGGGAGGCCCAAGAGTTCAGTTCGGCCCTGAACCATCGAGGAGGGAGAATAGACATGTGTCGGAGAGCAGCAGGGAGCAGGTCAGGAGGAAATCAAGACAGGAGGAGGCTCAACATTCACGCAGTGAGGACTATGACTACTACCATCGGCATGCGCGGCGCGGGTACGTAGAGGGCCGTTCTCTTTCTCCCTCCCCGCCCACTCAGAGCTTTGAGCGCCTCCGTATCCGACGTTCACCTCCCCCAGACCCGAGAAGTTACGAAGAAGAGATTCGCGTCCGCCACGGGTCTCCTCCGAGCCGCTACGACGAGGTCCGCGTCCGTCATGTGTCTCCACCGCCACTCCCTCGCGGCCGCAGTGCGCGCCAGACGCGAGACGAGTCCCCGGAAAGCCTTCCTTATTCCGGCTACCGCGCATTTCGTGGCCGCCCTATCGAGCAAAACCCGGGCCCGTCACCGCCGCCAGATCCTAGGCATGAGGACTGGGAGGATGTCACGGAGTCGGAGAGCGAGGGAGAGGTTGTGGAGGTGCGGCAGTGGAGAGGAATTGATGAGAATGGCCAGCCTGCTACGTTCAGAGAGGAGAGGAGGAGGCATCTTCTTGAGCCAGCGCCTCCGCCTCCGACGCGCGAGTTCCCCACGGAGCCTGCGATCTCGCACTATACGTATAGGCAGGCTTCATAGGAGTGGTCTGCTCGGGAGGCTTGAGAGCCTTGGTTTGGTTGGGCAAAGAGGTGGTCTTTAAAGCTTCGGCGTTGGGGAGATTGCATGGTAGTTCTCCTTCCTCCTGCTTTCTTGGTCCTTTTTCCTCTTTCTACTTTTTAAGCCGGCTGGGCATTGTGGGTTATTTCTAGCCCGCGTATTGCTTATCATACGCTGGCGGGACACCTCGATGTGCAATTTCTTCTTACATGCCATCATCCCTAGTACGTCCCTCAAGAAAAGTAGTCATCTCTATAGAATCTTACTATCATTCATTATTCGTCAATCTATGCTCGTTCTATCTACCCACGCCCCTGAGTGTGGAATGTTTGGACAAGAGAGCGAGGAATGGAACTTTGAAGTAACAGAGAGTGTGGTTTGTATTTTCTTTCCTTTACATTATCATTCCTTTCTTGGGCTATCCATATATATTCCAAACTTTCTATCCAAACACCCTTCCCGTTCGCAGGACTACCCATTCAGCGGCCAGTGGCAGCCAATTACACAGAGGCCAAGTCCCGTTCAATGCCGCGTACTACGGCAGAGGAGGCACTTCTTGTGGTGTATATCGCCGTTATGGTGGAAAGCGCACCGGTTGGAGGTGCACACCGTGGTCTCGCTGGTGTTGTACTCTCTGTCGCCTGTAGAGGGTTTGCTGGGTTAGCGCGTCGTAGCTATGTATGTATGTATGTATGTATGTATGTATGT